TACTGGAGTTCGCTTTTAGCGTTAACTTCGGTCGTAGCTTCTACTCGCTGGTTTGTTGGCGGTTTCGGCCGTCAGCTGCCAGCAGGTTTACCTTGAACAAATCAGAGTGCTCAATACAGGCGCTTGCTTGAATAGCTCATCATGGAATAATGAAACAGGACTTCGGTTCTTTTTGTTGGTTCTAGAACTGATTTAATGGTTAAGAGGGACAACCCGGGGGCATTCGTATCATTACGCGAGAGGTGAAATTCGTGGACCGTAGTGGGACGCGGAAAAGCTATTATCATTATGAAAACAATAGGGGGAGATGACCTCAAAATAGGGGGGAGGTGGGCGGAGCACACCCAATGAACGGTACACGTGACCTCAACAGCTAATCACCACCTGTCGCTGTAATTATCTCCTAGAATTTGAATTAAACAATAGGAAAAGCTATTATCATTATGAAAACAATAGGGGGAGATGACCTCAAAATAGGGGGGAGGTGGGCGGAGCACACGCAATGAACGGTACACGTGACCTCAACAGCTAATCACCACCTGTCGCTGTAATTATCTCCTAGAATTTGAATTAAACAATAGGAAAAGCTATTATCATTGTGAAAACAATAGGGGGAGACCTCAAAATAGGGGGAGGATGACCTCAAAATAGGGGGAGGTATTATCATTATGAAAACAATAGGGGAGATGACCTCAAAATAGGGGGGAGGTGGAGCGGACACGCAATGAACGGTACACGTGACCTCAACAGCTAATCACCACCTGTCGCTGTAATTATCTCCTAGAATTTGAATTAAACAATAGGAAAAGCTATTATCATTGTGAAAACAATAGGGGAGATGACCTCAAAATAGGGGGAGGTGGGCGGAGCACACGCAATGAACGGTACACGTGACCTCAACAGCTAATCACCACCTGTCGCTGTAATTATCTCCTAGAATTTGAATTAAACAATAGGAAAAGCTATTATCATTGTGAAAACAATAGGGGGAGATGACCTCAAAATAGGGGGGAGGTGGGCGGAGCACACCCAATGAACGGTACACGTGACCTCAACAGCTAATCACCACCTGTCGCTGTAATTATCTCCTAGAATTTGAATTAAACAATAGGAAAAGCTATTATCATTATGAAAACAATAGGGGGAGATGACCTCAAAATAGGGGGAGGTGGGCGGAGCACACGCAATGAACGGTACACGTGACCTCAACAGCTAATCACCACCTGTCGCTGTAATTATCTCCTAGAATTTGAATTAAACAATAGGAAAAGCTATTATCATTGTGAAAACAATAGGGGGAGATGACCTCAAAATAGGGGGGAGGTGGGCGGAGCACACGCAATGAACGGTACACGTGACCTCAACAGCTAATCACCACCTGCCGCATACGATTGGTATACATATATATGTATTATAAATCTTTATTTGCCCGTTAAAATAATCTAGTTAAAGCTCATGAATAAAATGAAATTCAGTTTACTACGACCATAACTCCAAACTATGTTGAGCGTGAAGTCGAAGATATCTTTGACGCAATGTGTAAGCCGCCATTTTCGCTTGTCGCGTTCTTGTAAAAATTCCTTTATGATTGCCAACAGCTCGTGTTGTTGCTAAAGCAGGTACATAGTTTGTTATTTTTGAACATTACTGATACTCATCCCGGTCATGAAATCAGCAAAGTTCCAGATCATTTCACCAGCAATAGAATGGTCTCGACGTAGAGCGTCAAAAGCATGATGAGTTTCGCGAATAATTTGTTCTTGATATTGCTCCGAGAAGTTTATAGAAGGCTCCTGATGTAATTGTTTTAATGTTTATATAATCGGCGTCTGGCGACTCTATAGAAGCTGCCGGACGCCGACTATATCATGGCATTATCGTCACAAAAATACATATACGACCTCCTTGAATAATTGTGGACAAGCGCTCTTTTTTTTGCGATTGCAATATTTATTAGATTTTACAAAAACATTTTTTAAATTTAGTTTCTTCGCAATCTACTTTAAATTTTTTATTGGCTATGTGCCAATGCGTCTCGAGACATTGAATTATAGCGTACGCGCATTTAATATTCAGCCAACGATGAATCTACACTTTCCCGAATTTGAAGGACCCGTCTCTCTTCAGTCTTTTGACGCCGAAAATAGTTATCGCAAAAAGCAAAAAATACAATGATCAACAATTACTCGAGCAGCTCGTTTGTTTTTTTTTGCGACAATAACAACTCTCAATAACATAACCGGTTTTTTGCGGCCGGGAAGTTTTTATACAATCCAATGTAATATCTTGCCTGATTTAATCCTGGTAAACTGTCAGCGCCATATTCGGTAACTATGATGGGTTTCTTGAATGTCTCCTTCCACAGAGACAAGTCCCAATAAACACTTTGATTGACCCAATTCAAGTATCCCATATCGATGTACCATCCGTAGTACCGATTGACACAAATAAAATCCATCAAATCGGCAGTTTGATCATTGTCAAAGTTTGTCGGGCCGTAAACTGTGGTCACTGGCCGTGTTTTGTCTATTCCATGGGCGGTTTCAACGAGAATCCTGTAATAAAATTCTTAACTTTTAAATATACATATACATATATCCATTTAAAATTTAAAAAAAAGAATAAAAACGGCAAGAAATCATACTTAAAGTAGTGTCGGCTTTCTTTTTTGCTGGTAATTGGTTCATTTGCAAGCGACCATGCGATCACTGAAGGGTGATTCCTGTCCCGGTCAATCATATCTGTTAGCATTTTTATGTGTAAGTTGTTATTAACCTTCGAAAATCCTCTAAAATAGAAATCTATAAAAGTGAGAACATTATAAACTTGCTTCAGCCCCACTGCAGGCGTCTCGACGATGACTGCAATTCCCCGTCGGTCATTTTCAGCCATCCTTTCCTCTGCATATGGGTAGTGAGTTGTACGATAACAATTACCCCCCATCCATTCTAGAAGGTTGAGGTCTTTTGTCATTACGACTTGGTTAAAACCGCGTCCATTTAGCTTTAAAAAGTTTTCATTCAATCGTTTCAATTTACATTCGATCGTCCAAACCTCAAAATCCTCATGCATTCCGAATCCCAAACAGTAAAATGGTTTCGTGTTTATTAGAATTTGTGTTGTTGTTAAGGAAACCGTACGGAATCCAAATATTTCTCGATAAACATCTACTATTGCGTTTCCATTCAAAACGGCGATCTCTAAAGTATAAAGGTTTGGATCACCCATGCCTCTTGGCCACCAAAGTTTGACGTTCTCAATAACTCCTTCTCCCTTTGTTCCATTCATGACGAAAACCTTTAAATATATATGGGGTTTTTAAATGTAAACATGACAAATGTACAATATTCTCGTTTGGATCATAAATTTTTGCTTCAACGCGAGAATCATCAAGATTAGCGACGGCTGCTTCGAAATAAAACGATCCCGTGTGATCGGCCACTATGTTAATGTTGTGCACGTATACCGACGGTAATTTTACTAAAAAGACGCTTCTCAGAATTCCCGCATAATTGAAGAAATCAAAATTTCCAATATTTTTGAAGGCTCCTTCCGGTAATCGAGAAATCTGCAAGAAAAACTTTATGAAAGGAAAATTTCATATGATAAATACAATTTGGTTGCTTATATTCCGTGGCGATAATTTTTGGTAGTTGAAATCTCCTTGTGGTATTGTGGTCCAGGAAAGTGTATTATTAACAGCGACAGTAAACTGAAAACAAATTGTATTTTATTTTTCCTCTATTTTTTCACCTTATTTTTAGTTCCAAACTTTACAAATGATGTAATATCAACTTCAAAAGGTAAATGACCACCAACATGACTTGTCACCAACTCAGAGTTGACATACTAAAAATATGTATTGAATTATACGTATTCTCTTTAAAATATATTCGAGCTACTAATTAGAGTTTTTTTTTAAACTAGCACACTTGCAAAGAATTTTAAACCAAATAGAAGTAGAGAAAAATTAGAACTGCATATCTCGGTTATTTTGACATACTTAGTTGAATTTCATATAGTTAGTTTCTGAAAGAGCGGATACAAGAATCTGCCGCTGCAAAACCTAAGCCATCAGACCGTGTTGCATTTAAGGTCTTACTACATACAGTGAGAACAAGTTACTACGAATTGTTTTCTTCGTTTTCATGTGTAGTAGAAATTTAAACGATGAAGATTAATAGAATGATAAAGTGAATAGATATTGAATGAAAACCATAAAACATATATTTACCACAACGGCGTAATAATTGACGCTGGAAAATCGCAGAACGTGTCGTAAATTGCTATCTCTCAACGGAACCATCTCTGATTTTTCGTACCAAACCCATCCGATATGATCACGAAGGCTTGCGTCAGTTCCAAGATCATTATAGGCTGATGGAACCGGCATTACAGTTGCGTTTTCAAATCGTGCCAGATCCTTTTTGTTCCACTCATTTGCAATTCCGATATCCCCGCCATTATGTTTTTCCACAACGAATGTCCAAAGACCGTCAAGTGACTCATATGTTCGCGCTTCATTTTTCTGTAAAACAATTTTTGGAATTTATTAAAAAAAAAAGTTCAGATAAATACTTATTTTTTATATTATTTATTCATATATGAAGGGCTGAATGATGGAGTATGAGATAATTTTGTTCTGCAGCGACAATTAAAAGGCTGTCCCCGTAATTAAAATTTTAGAAATTTTCCTCGAAATAAAAAAAAGATATTCGTGTATAAAATATTTTTAAGTCTACGTATTTCAACTTACCTGAACTGCTAGCAGAGCGTTAGAGTTAGTACAAAAACTCAGAAACCCCAAAAGAATGAGTTTCATCTGAAAAAAATACCAATCGAAAACTAAAAAGTAGCTCAGTGATTCAAGCAAATGACGTCTTGGAAAAATCACTAAAAAAAAAGAACACATGCTCTTGTTATTTCGAAACGATAAAGCAAAATTGTTTGACTGATGCAAAGTGTAATAACAAGAAACAACAAAAGTTTGTTTTTCAACAAACTATTTTCGACATGAATTAGAGAAATAATTTGATTAGTTATGTATAACCATCAACACATTTTGCAGGATATGCGGAAAAACATATAATCTCTGATAAAAACCAAATTAGAACAAATAAACTGAAAACCATATAAGAAAATACGACGATGCTTTCTCCAAAAAATGTTCACAATGTACATAGTGCAATAAATTAATTGGCTTTGAAAGATTGAGGTCATTTAGAAATCAACGTTTAAATCTCATTTTAGTTTCGTCGAATGAAAACAATAAAATATTTGAAAGTGTTCGATGAAAATAAACATTTTTTCTGAAAATAAACATAGTCAAACCTCCATTTGCTTGGTTTCACTTTTTTTTAAAATCTCAGTTCAGTACGTAACTATGAAAAAAAGATATTGAAATAGAGAATTGAACAACAGCAGATTGAATAGACCGATAAATGGGACAGAGAAAGTCGCAAGACGACAATAAGGCGATGAGATGTTGAAGAAAGAGATTAAGTCATCAAGTTTTATGAGCATTACTTGCGTTCTTATCATCAAAAGAAACGAATGTTTGCTCTCGCAGTTTTTGCGCAATTAACATCTATTTGCTGAATTACCAATATTGTGTCCACGCTGTTCTTAACTCCAACACGAAAACGATGCGGATCAATTAGAATTTGTGTGAATCCCAGAGTTGCGCGGATATGAACATTTTCTAACGGAAAACGGAAAATGAAAATATTGCGAATGCGGAAAACAGAAAACGGACGAAAAAAAAAACAAAAAAATTGCATTTCAGAGAGGAGCAATTTGCTCTAAAACAGTTTTCGTCTTTCGTTTTTTCGCATTTCTCTTTCTACAATTAATAATAACACTAAAATCGTGGTTTCATCGTCCTTTATTCACAAATCGGCGCGAATTCGGTGATGATGATATTTCTGCGTGGAAAATCTGCATCTTGAGCATAACTGAATATTAAACATATGTATTTTTAATATCGATTGCAAGAAGTTGGAATTGAAAGAGCAAATAATTCAACCACATTCGTTCAACCGTACCTATGTATGTTTATGGATGAAAATTTTTCATTTACTATTGAAGACGTCGATAATCCGGAACACGGTTGTTCTTTTTTAAAAACGAAGGTTGTTTTCAGAGAAGTTGCGCTCAAAGTGTGACGTCTTGAAGAATGAGTATTGCGCGTAATTGGGCGATACTCAGCACAATAAAAATTTGAAATTGCCTTTTTCCCTTTGCCTTTTATACCTACAATTTATTTCTGATGTCTCGAAAAATTTCCGGTTTACTCCTAAAAATCAATCACTTAAAGGGAATGCGTGGACTAACTGAAATCAAAAATCAAATATATTTACTATTTCCATTAAATGATACACAAAGTATTGAAAGGAATACCTTCAACAGACAGAAGGCTACAAGAAAATATACAGGAAGTAAAAAAAACGAGAGAAAGAACAGAAATAAAAAGGAAAATATACGCTGAGTCTGAGTAAAGCTGAATAAAATGGTGCACACATGTTGCGAGTAACAATTTAAAAACAACTTTAAAAAAATATATATATATCTTTTTGAAAGTTTGGAATTTAACCAATTTTCCACAGTCGCGCGACAATATCTGTTGATATTTTTTTTCTGGATACCCTTCGCTCTCCTTAAATAATAATTTTCAATGCTCGCCACTGTGATCTACCAAAACTCATCTTTAGTCAGCTGGACGTATATGTTAGTAAAAATGGAAACATCCAGAAGAAGGATGTGAAAATGATAACAATGAAATAGATACTAGAGAAAAAATACGGTATACCTGTGTTGATAAAATCTGTGGCAATTTTCAACAAAGTATTATGGGCATATATTCACTTAAATAACGAGAAAACTAGAAATGCGTAATTGGAACTCGTAAAAATCTATCGTCATTTTTGCTTGCGTCGTCAATATCCATGTGCTTCCATTCACCTCCTTCACCAGTCTTCAGCGAAAAAGACCACTGGCCATCGGCCTCAACGCCAGTGTGTGGCATTCGTAGCTCACACTGCTTTTCAAATTTCAAGCCTAAAAAATTTAAAAAAAAAAATACTGTGTTCGAATAGCTGATCGGTTGCGGGAAATTCAATTTCGCAAAATTAGTATAGATTTAGGAATCTGTAAAGGTATTGTCGGCGTAAAACGACTGAAGGGAGGCGGGGCTTTCATTTTTCAGTGTAGATTTAAATTTTTCGTTGACTGAATATTAAATGCGCGTACACTATAATGCAATTTACGCAGTCTCGCGTACTTCTCGTTGCCTTGAGACATATGACAATATTTTTTAATTTCTCTCAGTCGTTTAAAACCGACAATATTTTGAATTTTACAAACAGTAAATATTAAGATCAATGTGCCGAAAAATCATTCTCACCTTGTGGTCCACACATCACCAGTGGCGAGAGGAGCGTTTCCCCTTTTGATCTATCAATCGGCGACGATTCTCCTTCGCGACACACTTTGACATAAATTTCATGTTTTTCACCATCTTTTATAGCACCTTCCGGAATTCGCAACTCTACATTTGCCTGCTCGCAACGAATAATTCCACCTTCGCTTCCTATAAGAGCAATAGCTTCTTCGACAACAACAGGTTCCTAAAATTGTTTCATTTTTCTATACAAAATTAAATAGTAACCTCTTCCTCTCTCTCAAATTGTTTGCCGTTCTCGTTTTCGTCTAATCTTGGTGTGGGTGATTTCGAAGGTCCATTTATAGAACTAGCAACAGTTAGTGAAATACTGGCGTTCGCAGGGGAAGCGCTTCCGTTTCTGCGGATTCTTTCGCTAAAACATTGTATTTAAAGTTTCTCATTAAATCGTAATGAAAACCTGTTTCCGTTCACCAGCGGTGATCCATTTAAATCCGCGGACGACTTCGCATCGGTTGGTTCCGCCGTCGGCCATCGATTTCGGACATAGCTATCCCCATAAATATTTGATGGCTTCGGAGCTATAGTTGGTCTTGTTTGATTTCTTGAATTAGTTGAAGATGATGACGTCATACTTGAAGGTGTAAGTGGGTGGTATTTCGCATTATAAGCCGGAGAAGACACAGAATCGTTATTGGATCCAGCTTCAAATACGCATTATTTACGGCTAATCGTTTACAACTTACTGTTGGAATAATCCATCGATGGTTGATCATCAAGACGATGGGAAATACCTTGCTACAAAATTATTAAATAATAGACTTATTAATGAAATGTATTTTTTTTTGCAAAAATAAGTTAACAGATTGAGAGTAAACCCTATTCTGCCACGAAATAAAATATTACCATGGCAAAAAAAAACTAGCGCCCTCGCAGAAAACATGATCTAGCGTTCTCGGCAAAACCGCGATGCGTTGCGCACCACGGAAATAATATAATTAACATGAAAAAAAAAGAAAGATTGCAAAATTTTCGTGCAAATTGTGAGTCAATTATGTCATTTAGTTTTAGTTTGATTGGAATCTCGTACGGAAAATGCACAATATCTATATTTCCAACACAGTGTGTCATTTCTATTGAAGTATGCTTTTCTATAATATTGAACCGCTACTATGATTATTCGCCTATGATGTCGGCGTCGCGCGACTGCGGAAAATTGGCTAAATGCCAAAGAAAAAACCATGGAAGTGGTCTTGGCACAAAACTAAGTGTAGATTTACGGCCTTATATATAAGGATAGGTCAAAGGCACACCGCGCACCGAGACCTATATTTAAATTTTTTGGCTTTTAGCAAATTTTTTCGGAGATTTTGTTCCCTGTCAGCCTAATTCACATTTTCAGATTTTCTATGGATTTTCTGTATTTTTTGTTACAAAATGCTTCATAACTGATTGATATAATACGATCCCAGAAAGACAACATTATTCGAAACGATTTTAATTGTATATTACTGCTTAAAAAGTATTTACGACTTTGATTTTTAAAAAATTATAATTTTTTCGCGCCAACCGTTGTTACCGCACCCTTGTTCGCGTTAAGAGCCTTGTCTGCGTATCTAACTTCGTAAATTAGCGCAAGACACTCCTTTTTTGCGAATGTAATAAATAACATAATTGGATAAAATTGACAATATATGCGCTAGACAAAACATCAATACAACACCTCATTCCGTGCCCTTTCCTCTCGAAGTCGAGCTTCTTCTCTAAGCCGTACATTTGCAATTTCATTCGCTAATCGAGCATCTTGGTATAGAGACTCATCGTCGAGTAACTGCAATTAACAAAATACACATCAATACAAATGAGAAGTAGAAAAAAATAATATTAAATTACCTGCTTCACATGATAGTATCCTGGTGATGTCACGCCTCGACTTACAGGAGGGTTTGGTTCTATAAATATATAAAGTTGATACTGAGAAAGCAAATAAATATATTAGTAATTCACACCACGTAAGTCTGGTTTTGAGCCTGTCGGTATGAAAGTTGTTGTTGTTGAACTCGTAGTTCGGCGAGGCATTGTAGCGCAAACATGAAACTCACTTGAGTTATGGTCCAAAGGTGGTTGCCCAATCGTAGAAGCAACGCTATGGTCCCAATTGTAAGTACTTCTGGAGGATTTTAACTATGAGAAGTGGTTCTGAGATTATATGTATACTTGTTTATTGGAGACATCTCATGTTGTTTTAGACTTCTCGGTAAACTTTCATCTCGTTTTGAATTATTATAATCTATATATTCACTTTTAAGCGAATCTACATCTCCGTCACATTTCGGTAGCGGAAAAAGTAAAACATCTTCCAGTGGAAGGTTTGGCGGGAACTCTGGCATCCAAAGTCGACGCTGTTGAAGATGCACAATTAGCTCACGCAGAGCTTCGAACCACCCATTTTCATGAGTTGCGTCAATAGTTGCTATAAAGAAACGATATTTTCCCGAAGTTATGAAACGTTAACATACCTGATAAAAGATGAGAATAATACTTCTTTATATTATGCGCATGTTCCGCTAGTTTTCTTGAAGATAAGTGGGCAGCATTTGCTTTTTTCCTGATCTCACGAATTCTCGAGCGATTTTCAACATCAATTAGAACAACTATAGGAGCGTATTGTGCAAGTTGAAGGCGCTCAACCTAGAAAATTTTAACAGTTTGATGGGAATAGCAAATATTACCGATTCAATGCTAATATCTAAAATGCAATGTTTCATGGATGCAATAACATGATCCACTGAAGAAAGTCGAATAACACCACCATCACTGTCCGGTTGAGCAAAACGCGCAGAAAATTGTGAAAGAAGCTGCTGTCTGGCAATATCGGCCAAGGGTCCAAATAAAACAAGTGGTCTATGAAAAGACGGTGTATTTAAGGCCACACGTTCATAGGAAGGCAATGGAATATTTGCTGAGAGCTCCGTTGGATCGCAGATCATGTTTTTGGGAAGACTCTTAGTCCTTTTGGATTCGAATTTCCTACGTAAAAGAGTTCCGCCACTATTCGCTTGTTTCGATTGTTTTGCTTCAATGTATGCCCGGTATTCTTGGGCTATCACTTCTGCGGTGTTCTAAAATCTTTGTAATAGTAATTTTCAATAAGTTTCTTCTTACTTGATTTGGAATAACACCTTTGACCGGCTCTCCTTTATTTTCAGCAGCTGAATAAACCCTGGCAGCCTGCCACAATCCAACAGTACCGCCAAACAGCGTATCTGTCACATGGAATATATCCCCTTCATTTACTGACAATTCGAGAGGACTGCTCTTTTTTTCTTTAGAGAAGTGAGCTCTATTATAACAAAAAACATGGATGACAGAAATATAAATTAATATAAACCTTATATAAAAGTTATCTCCAAGTTGATTGGAACGAACATGCTCGAAATCCGCTCTCGCATGCTCTAACTTTAAAGCAACGCGATCATCAAGTCCAAGAAGCAGCTGGACTGCGGCTTCTCTAGTAATACCTCGCATATTTCGTCCATTAACCTAAGCGGAATAATTAATACATAGTATTGCCGGCGTCGCGTGACTACGGAAAATAGGTTTTATGCTAAAAAAATTTTAGCAGAGGGCTCAGTGCATGTTGTGTGCCTTTTACCCATTCTTATGAATTTTGCGATAAGAAGATTATCCTTGTTAGCCCAAGATCACTGTCATCTAAAACACTGCCAATTTTCCGCAGTCGCGCGACTTCGATAATAAAAATAATTAATTAAAATCATTCAACGCTCAAAAAGATCAATTTTTCGATCAAAAAGATCAATTTGAATTATGATTTTTGTGTAAGATTCATTGTCTTGCAACAAATAAATACGCAGGAGTCACCGGACGCCGACGAAACGACTTAATGTATATATTCGCTACTCACTTCAAGAATTCGATCCCCGCAACATACGCCATGTACAGCGGCAGGCGAATCCGCTGCGACTGCCGATACGAATATACCAACTTCGTTACCACCGATAACGCGAACACCAACACTGCCGCCAACCTTTTAAATTTAGCATAGTTGAAAATTATCTTTTTTATGATAAAAACCTTCCGAAAGACGACGCAGCGCACTCCGTTGGTATCGGGTGGCTTAGATGGTTGCCGAGTGTAATATTCATATTCTAATGGTCCTCCACTGTTCTGAGTAATAGACGTAGACAATCCCAAATTAGATAATTGTGAACTAACTGGAGATGAAACCCGTCTCTCTACGCTTCCGTCTGGCCTGAAATTATTATCATTTATGATATAATATATTCTTTAAAATAAATCAACTTTACGTTTCCAAGGAAAAAAGGTTGTTTGACTAATCAATCTTTGTGTATGTATTTGCCACAAAAGTAAAAAAAAAACATGCGCTAATTTTAATTACCTAGTGGATAAAGGAATATGCTGAAGCATAGGACTTGGTGAATGCCTTGGAGTTGCTGATACACTACCAACTCGCTCGTAAACAGTATTCTGAGAAGGCCATCGAGACGTTCCACGTCGAACATCTCGTTGAATAACCAGGCATAACTTATCACGTGATCTAAATATGTACTTTTATACAATCAAATTGAAATTTATTTCACCTTTCAAGCCATTTATTAACTTCTTCTAATGTGGCCCCATCTAGACTTTGCCCATTTACGCGAAGTATCGAGTCGCCTTCTCGAAGTCCCGGGTCTTTTTCAGCAAGTTTTGGATTCCGTATTTCTTTTATGTAGAATTTACATCCAACAACAATTCCAAAATCTAAAATAAAAAATACGGCAAGGATAAAACAAACAATTCTTTACCATCTTTCTTTCTTGATTTTGACAATGTGAATTTTAAAGTTCTTTGTTCAAACTCTAGCATCGGCATTGCAACACGCCTTTTCACAATCTGAAATCTTCTAATTTAATAAAAATACTTGGCATATCCAGCACCATATTAATTTGATCCTTATTCTTAATTATATCGACAGCTGTGCTATAATCAATGTTCTCAAACGACACGTTGTTCGCAGATAAAATGCGATCATTCAATCTGAACAAGAAATATGACATATTGAACAGATGGTAGTAAAAAATTACTGCAATAAGCCCCAGGCGGGTCCGTTGGGAACCACGTCTGAAATTATGATTACTGGATCGCCGTTCGTGAAATGAGGATTATCTCTTCCACCAGAGATTGCAATGCCAAATCCGATATTCGCTGCCTGAACAATATACTAGTAGTTTTGAGGTTGTTATGTATACAAAGAGTTGTGGCACCAAAAGGGCCTATAAGAGTCGAGACTGAATTCCCCAGAAGGCAATCCATCGCTTCATACACATATACACACCGCGTTTTCCAAAGGCTATTTAGTTTCCACAATTTCTATAAAACGCATGTTTTCGCCACGAAATAAGCAATTACATTTAAAAATACTTCAAGATTTGAAATATATTTTTTGGATTTTCGAATATTAACAAATTAACACTTTAAAAAAATAGACTGAAAAATTGCTATAATGTTTTTCGAAAGGGCGGCTACCAGAATTTTTCACGCCTGTGTAGTTCAAAAGAGTATCGATTCACGTTTATATTATAAAGAATTTCGAAATAATGAGGAGGGCGTATTAAAAGGCGTCTGTCGACACATTGTCGAAGTCGCGCGATCTACTGTAGAATTGGGTCTTACAACATGAGCGTCAATTTAAGCGTGGGGATTTTTACGCTACTTTGTTAAGCGGTACATTGTTCAAGTGGAATACACAACGCGTGTTTCATCTGCTCAAGTCCATCTTTGGCATTTAGCTAATTTATCGCAGTCGCCCGATTTCGACATTATAACAATTATGGCAGCCACCTTTTTGGGGAACAGACTAAAAATTGGTTTTTTTTTATGAATATTTTAGGAGTTTTGAAACTTTCCTTAGAAAATTCTGATATTTCAAAACATTTAAACGAAACAATCATGTTTCGAAAGAAGAAAAAACATAAACTCCAGTGATGGTGGTATGATATATGAGAAAGATTAAGAAAGGAAAAGTGGAAAGAGAAACATGCAGTAATAGTTGGGCCTACTATATTTAAAAATATATTTGACAATCATCAAAAAACTGGCGCTTGCAATCCAAACACTCCGAAAAAATTTTAACAACAATAAAGATATAAATCACCAGTGCGGTCAATTTCTTTGCATTGCTTTGGGTGTTGTTCGTCATCTCATATTTGTGCAATAAAAAGAATGTCAGATTAAGATTCATAACGATGGCTTGGACTGAAGAGTCATGAAGCGCGAAAAATATGACCAATTTTTCCACGAGAAACATTAAAAATCTTAGGGGATTGGAAGTTTTTAAATACTATATAAAATCGGATGAATTCTTATTTGCCTAAACGATGACTGGTTTGTGAAGAGCCCGTGGAGAAGATTCTGCTCGTGTGGAAAAACGCCAAGCGAGCTGATCATAACAGCTGGCAGCTGTTCTCGAAGTGTACAACAATGTGGTGGGTGAGTGTGGAGGAAAGGGGGAGGGGTGTAAGTGTTTATCTCAGAAAACTTGAACTTGTGGTGAACTCGTTATTAAAAACTATAGCGGCTAAACTCCTTAGTTGCACATTTTTGCTGTTTATTGAGTAAAATGATTCGTTGAATGCAAAATAAGCATAATTTAGATTCAACCATACATCTATTTATAAATTCCTAACTTAATGAAAGAATAAATAGAGACTGCAATAGATTAAACAGTTTATGATTATGAATTTTTCAAAAAGATGTGAAAACAAAATGAACCACATGATGATAAATCTTTTGGCACTTCTGGTGGCCGTTTAACTAAAATTCCCTCTCGTATTAAACTAGGAACATTGAGGTCACTCGGCGACACACGGCTGTTATCGATTGATCAGAAGTATCGCCCGGCACACCAATTGGTTTTAATAAATTTTTTGGTATCGGAAAGTAAGAAGGACTGGAACATTAGTAACGCGAAATAACAATCAATGCAGCATTTCTTCAGAATTAGATAGATGTATCAGGTTAGGATTTTGAAAATACATACCCTATGTAGTGAAACCGACAACAATTGCCATGAGCACTGACTAGTATTGTACATCTGAAAAAGTTCCATTCAAAAAAGAAAAGACAAAGTGCTATTCCAAAAACTCAAAGAAAATTGAGATATTCTCACAAATATGCATCCCATGAGACGCGACATGAGCTTCACGTTTTACATTTGTTTCAAATTCGCACAGCATCAGAAAAATAAATCGAAAGCCCTTCGAAAGAATAAATATATGAAAATGAAACCCATTTCTAACGTATGTAAATTGTCGACAATTTGATCAGTAATATGATACAATTCACATTTTATTTGATCTTTTTTTTTCTAAACATAATTTTCAGAAACATCGAAAAAAAAATGCCAAAACAACAATCGATATATAATTTATTTAATAACTTCAAAGGAGGGGGAGATTAATCATGATGCATATTTTTTACAAAAAAAAATTACATCTAATGTGCATTGTGTCGTGCATGGAAAAAAATGTGCGTGTGTATGTTTTCAAGTTCTATAAAAATTGAGACTAAAATTTAAAAAAAAATCGGAAAATTATTTTTAAAAATTTTGCGTAGTAACGTCAAATGCACATTGGTCGTTTCATTCAGCGACTCAAATCCTCAGATACTTGGTTGGCCATCGACAATTGTTCCCCAAGAAATCGCCAAATCACGATAAAAGCAGCGAAAAGCACTCACGTACAAATCAATACACAATAAAGATAAAATAATAATAATTATTATCATTATTATTTTATCTATAATTATAATAATAACTATAATTAATACTATTTTCATTACTTTATAATATATACTTTATAATACCTCACAAGATAAATGAAAATCAATCGAAATCCAATATAAATTAATCCGTTTCGAATTATTCCAAAATTTTAATCGAACATGATTTCAAAATTGAAAATCAAAAATAAATCAATAAATTTGGAAATTTTTGAATCGAAAAAGTTCTAAAACAGAATTTAAGTGTTTGCTTAATCTAATTTCAATTCTTATTAATCGAATCAGGTTATTTTATATTTAATTTTTCATCGAATCCGATTGATTTTCATTAACCTGAGACACTTTAGTAAATGCATTTTAAATGTTATTTAATGCGTACACATGCGAACATTAAAGTGTATGCGCATTTCGTTTGACGCCAACAATTCATCGCGTTTTTCTCCGCAACGAATTAACATAGAAACTTTGTTTTTTTTTTCGATTTCTTATCTATGTTTCATCATTTTTTTATACTTTTAAAGATTATTTTAAACCCATATTTTTTAATAAAAACCTCTTGTTCATCTTCCTCAACTGGTTCATATTCATCTTCGACGCAGGAGCATACGCTCGATGTTGCCCACGTGGTTGACGATCCTTCTGCCATAAGATCACACCTGAATGATAAAAAAAATTAAAAGAAAAAACCCGACGTGAGAGTAAAACAGATGAGAATCGAAAAATTAGAATGTTCATTACTGCCGGCCCAAACGACTGAAGATTAGCGGGGTCTTCAATTCTGCGAAATCAGTATATTGTCAAATTTCGAAAAAAAACCAGAATCGGTCGCCACAAGACTCAACTTTACTTCGAGCATAGATTTTCAGCAAAAAGACCAACTGGGTTAACGGAAAATTGTCTCACGGACACTGCAATATACTATTATACTATGCTATATTATATTTTACTAATATACTAATAATATACTATACTATACTATGTAATATTAAAAATAAGCAAGTACTCGGTTAAATCGAGCGGATCCAGCTTCATTTATCGAGAAAGAGGAGGGAGGGTGTGTAAGTCCACGCAGGTGATACAATAAATGTAAAAGTGTTACATAAATTTTTTTATATCTGCATTGCAAAATGTGTAATTGTTTATAGTCTACATCCGGCGTCTAATGTATTAGTTACATTTACGGGCATTGGTCCTTCGTCATGGTTTTACTGAGAATGAATAATTATTTCGATTTTTAGTGTTCCTTACAATAATTTTCTTCAATGACGTTGGAAATTCAAGGAAATGCCGAAATAAAAAATAAATACAAATTTCACGTGAAAATAGGCACTCGCACGTTGCGCGAAAGGCGCATCGTAAATTTATCCCCGTGAACAAGTCGAATACAGACGAGGCGGGCGGCGGTCGGCCGCATTTCCACCGGCCTACGTGGAACCCCCTAACATGATATATAAATACTCAGGCAAATCAAATATTCAATAATAAAATCTAAAATATTATGAGAAATTCTAAAGTTTATTGATATTTTCTAAAACTAATTGAGACTCGATAAACTTAAAAATACTATGGAAAATAAGATGGACTACTCTTCTAATGGAGTGGCGGCCGTGGAATTGCCCCGGCCAAGAGGAAAGCCTCCCATGAAATAAATGGTCGGACTCACTCGGAAGGAGATCACCACAAAAACAGCCGAAGGAGCCGTTATCACCCCGTGGTCCACTCAAGTCAAGGACCGAAAAGATTGGAAAGCTGTGGTTCGCGCCGCAACAGGCGATAGACGAACCGACTGAGTAAGTAAGTGACTAAGTGAGATTTTCTATAATTTAAGCAAATTTCAAATTATCTCAATAAATTCTAAAATCTTATAATAAATTTTAAAGTTCATTGAGAAAAGTCTAAAATATTATAGAGACAATTAACTTTCTCAATGAACCTCAAAATTTTTTATTCGATTGGCCTGAGGATGTCGTTTAGAATTTTAATTTTGTTCGAATCGCTATGGTAAAATTAAAAGTAAACAAAGTCAAGTGATCCATGACAAATTGTCGGCTAGGCCGTAGGTTGAGAAACAAACAACAGAAGTTTGCTTAGGGTATTGACACAGATAAAGCTTCAATTGAATAAACAAAAACGAGTGTTCATCATTTGGAACGGTGTGGAGGGTGTTTGAACTTTTTTCGAAACAAGTGAAAAATTAAAAAAAATCATTTTGTGTTGTTAGATGGCCTCAAGCAGAATTTATATGTTCTTAAAACAAATGCGCCACAATTTTAGTTTATACTCAGGCAAATAAAATAAAATATTTTGAGATTCCTTGAAAGATTAACGGGTCTCTATTTTTTTACACTTTACAAATTCTCATAATATTTTAGAACTTATTACAGAATATTTTATTCACAAAATAATTTAGTTCATTTGTATGAGAAGTCAGGAAAGCGATCGAAAACTCAGACAAATCAAATATTCAATAATAAATTCTAAAAAGTTATGATAAATTTTAAAGTTTATTGATTCTTTTTAAAACTTATTGAGAATCGTTAAACTTAAAAAATATTTTTTTTTAATCTTATAAGATTTTCTAAAATTTATTGAGCAAATTCTAAATTTTCTCATTCAATTCTAAAATCTTATAATATTTCGTCACATAATTTCTAAAGTTGATAGAGAAAAATCTAAAATATTATAGAGACACGTTAGTTTCTCAATGAATCTCAAAATATTTTATTCGATTTTCCTGAGTATTTAAGATTTTCTGCAATATTTTTGATCGTTTGCCTAATACAGACAATTATTTAATTAGCTTTTCGAAAAAAAAAACGATTAGGAATATTCAAATATAAATAAAATAAATTCTAAAGCTTATGAATCTATTCAGCGTAATGCAAAATAGTCGAAATATAAACGTTTGGCGCTAAATGTGACAAATATTATGTTATTGCATTGGGTAAAAATAATAAATTCGACAACTTTACAGGAACTTCATAGTTCCATAACAATTGTGAAATAAAATCGGTATTGGCAAATAGCCATGAATTATAATGTTCCGTGCGAAATATTATTACATTGTAGGAGCGTGTTCCTTTTCGCTCTGCAAACACAGCGTCGCAAAAAGGAACTAGAAATATATTCGACTTCTCGGCAAACTTATCGGGCGACGCAATGGCGAAAACCGCAAAATTTGCCACAACAAAATATTTCTGAAGAACAAATTTTATGTTTTCCTTTAAATGGCGAAAGAGTTTGATCTGCATGTTTAGCCAAAACCGAAGAAAACCACTGATTCGCCCGACGAGTTTGTCGAGTGGAATTTAACCTCGGTCATCCTTGATGTAGAAACTGCGGTGTTTCTTACGCTTGGGAAAAACAGTTGACTTTTTTGTCGTTATATGGCGGAAAAAAACTTATCCGTTTCACCCGCCAGGATTGCCAGAACTTTTTACGAAATAAATTTATTTTTTAGGTTCAAAATGTCCCACATGGTGGATTGTAATTTTCCTTTAGATGCAAACAGAAAGAAATGCGTCAAATGTACATGCGAAGCATGCTTTACAGGTAAAAAAGTTGAGTTTTTATAAAAATAATGCCATATTAGGTGTTGATCCAAAGAAAGCCTGGTACTGTAAAGAATGCTTTGTTTCGATGGTTCGAAATAAATTTCGATCAGCATTGAGCAAAAGAAAAATTTTCAAGGTGAATAAAATGGTCAAGGCATTTCGACAACGATACTTCTTCAGAACACCGATTCGAGGCAAACTCTGATTGTGTTTGATGGATCTCCATCAGCAGCATTTCTACTGAATCAAGTTAATGAAGCTGTTCGAAAAATCAATTTTAAAAGGCTAATGATCGAGCCAGTGGTTCGTTGATTAGAAAGTTTATTTTTTGTTACAAACTTTTAGATTCTTGTTCTCGTATCCGTTACAAAAGTTTCTGTTTTGAATGAAGTACTGAAAAAAATTGCTGTGCTGAAAGTAATTCTTCCAGAAAATATAAAGTAAGTGCTGTCGACATCGCGTGACTGTGGAAAATTGGCTGAATGCCAAAATTAAAAAAAAAAGAAAGCGGTGTGCGCCTTTAACCTATCCTTATATAATCTAAGGCCGCTAATCTACACTTAATTTTGTGCCAAGACCACTGCCATTGTGTTTTTTCTTTGGCATTTAGCCAATTCACCGCAATTACCCGCATCGCGACGCCGATGTTATATATTTAATTATATTTTAAATATGAATACGTTTAACATTAAGGTGGTACTGCACTCACATTGCCTTCAGTTTAAAAGATAGTCGAGAGTTTGGTGAGGGGCTAAACTTTTGCAATGGAGCAGAACAGGTATCGAAATAAAAATATAAATTTTAAAAAATTAACGCAGATAAAAGAATATGAATATATTCTGTCATCAATAACTTCGGAAACGTATAGACAGGAATTGAAACGAATTTTGAAGGAAAAAAGTCTTCGAAATGTATCAAGAATTTTGAAAATTGATAAAATTATGGTCCCAGAGAATGCTGATGACCTAGGAAGGACTACATTGTCCCAGTTATGTTTAGGAAGAGGTTAATTTTTTTCCAGTGAAGTTTTATTATAATTTCTAGGAGGTGCGGTATCATCTTTGACATCAGTGATTGACAAACGCTCATATTGTACCTTTATTCGTCCACTTCGAGATGTCAGTAAGAAGGAAATTGGTATAGTTAATTATCTGTGCAATTATGAGCAGCATGCTATTCAAATAGATCAAAATGTATTCCGTGATTTAATTCATTTAATAACCTCAAATAATTTACAGGATATTTCGTCAAATTCCATACAGAGCCTTACAGATAAGTTCATAGTAAATTTGGAGAAGGAAAAGTTTTATGTACTATATAATCGTAATTCGGAATAAATTAATACATTTAGTCTACTGTGAACACTGTATTAAGCACTGCTGCAAAAATCCACGCTCCCAATAATGAAAAATCGCCCGAGATGTGCACCTTATGCGAAATTGAAGCTAAAACTGAAGAAAGCCGTCTGTGTGCAACATGTGAAGTTCTTAATTTACATTGTTCTAAGAATACACTTGAATTTATTATGCAGTAACATAAAGGTCTTTTTAATTTTATATACATCGATATCCGCATTTCACGATTCAGTTTCAGCGCGTAACGCTACGTTGTGTAATGATTTACTTCTTCCTTTCGCACTCAAATCAGAAGCCTGAAAAAAATTGGGTAATATTACACACATGTAATTTTATACCTTTCTTGTTGAATCAAAATCTAACTGTTGTTTAAAAAACATGCAGTTTCGCAACATTTCGATACTATTCTCAAACGATTTTCCAGCCATTTGCATGTTCTTGGTTGTTCTAACGGAACGTTTATAATTCTTACTCTAATAATGTAAAACATACGTTAAAACATTTTCTAAATCAAAATGGGCGCCAGATAGTATCACTGATTGTTGATCTAACAGTAATCTCCGATTAATCAAAACAGGCATACTGCGTACAACGTGTTCTAAAGAAATATTGTAGCAAAAAATATAATACAGTGGCAAAAAAAACAAGCACACGGCGTCGATTTACGATGAGTTTCATTCGCTGGTCACTAGTACGGTACGTGAATTCTCACTGATTAAATTCAAATTTGCACTACAACCTCAAAAAAAAAAATACGATGTCCGGTATTGCTCAAGGTGCTCGCTTTTTTGCGACGGTAAAATACATTTCAAATCACCTTGTAACCTATATAAGGCCAATGACGGTTCATTATCAAGTAGTCGTACACTTTCTGTAATTCTCTCAGCAACTGAAATTTGTTTAAAATAATACTGTGATATTCGAACATCACAAATGTGAGGTCATAAAAAAAGCGTCATACTTGCGACAGAGAGGGGCTGAAAATTTTATCGTCCCGCCTACCCTCTACCCGCTTTGAACTTATCAACAATAATTTTTACCAAACATAGTTTCACTGCATAAAAAAATAATTACCCCGCCTATCTTCAAAAGTTTTCCTCCACCCCTCCCCCTTTAAAAATCTATTCCCCAACTTTTCCAGACCGCGATGTTATTTTGACCCAATATTTTCCTGCACCCATTTGAAACTGATAGAAGTGGTGTTTCTTTTAAAAATAAAAACTTTCCAAGTAACGAATGAAACAAACGAGTCGAGTTGCTTTGAGTAAAGCGAACTTCTCAAAAATATCTATTTTAAGTTCCGTTTTAACCTAGGTCCGATTTCTTGGGGATTCAAAATTAATTTAGAATACGATCACCAACGGGACCATTTTGCACCAATTGGATCATTCTGAATCAAATTTAAAGCGTTCTTACGGGTTTAACGAGATAACCATTTTCATATTTCAAAAGGATTTTATCTTATTTTGAAAAAGTTGATCGTTAAAAACGAGGCTTTTGTTAAAACGGAAAGAATTGGGTATTATATCGGCTGGGAGCAATTATGAACATACTTATCTTCGATCGACTCTCCATTTCCCGAATCTTTATCTGTTGATGTTGACTGCTCATCTAAAATTTTGCTATAATGTTATTATTGGAGTCGCGCAACTGCGGAAAATTGGCTAGAAAATATGACATCATGCAATGTTCATATACTTCTGAGATTTTTCATGTCAGTTCATGAGGTATATTTATTCAAAATAACGTCGAAATATACCTTATAGTATCTTGTTTTATCGAGAAAATTACGGATATTCAAGCAACTCGGCGAACTCGTTGGGCCAAAAACTGGATTTTTCGATTTCGGCGAAAGGGTGGCGAAAAGAATAGAACAAATTTGTTATTTTCCTCGAATCGGCGAAACATTGTAACCAGCATATTTTGTCCAATGAGTTTGCCGAAAGATGCTCTAAAAATTGGCAAGTGTGCATTGAAAGTTCTGTCACGGCCGAGTTCATTTTCTGCGAACATTTCCACAGTCGCGCTGATAATGTAAATAAGTAAAGAAATGGAAAATCCAATTAGTGAAAAGTAAAAATATGAGCTTTAAACAAAAAAAAGATTTTATTTGAACTTTAAGATTAAACTATCAACAATCAGCAATAATTAAAGATTAAAATACTTTCTAAAAAAACAAGACCTATGAAGAGAGCATGGTTGAATTTCGCTGTCGGGATTCTCTTTCAATTTGTTCATTTTCAGCGGCACGTTTCTCCCATTTCAAACGGTTCTTGAAAAAACCAATTTGTTCGTCCATCTGACTTAGTTTTCTTATTTCTTCAATAATTTCATCTTTTCTCATCTGAAATGTATGTTGAGATATCATTAATAAAAAATAACAGGGTTGTTAAATTTTGGGCCCGGCCGGCCGAAAGCCGGCCTCAGGCCGGCTTTCGGCCGGTTTTTTTCGCTGTCAAATTTTCGGCCCGCGATTCGGCCCCCGACTCCGTTGTTTACGGCCGCACGGCCGAAGCGGGAATTCAAAAAAAAAAAGCCGAAAGCCGGCCGAAAGCCGGGCCGGCCGGCCGGCTTTTGGCCCCGGCTTCAATTTACCAACCCTGAAAAATAATAATAATACCTTTAGAACTACTTTTTCAGCTTGCGCTTTAACCAATTCGTGTCTGCGCAAATTCCACGATTCAAACTTTTTTGTCTGTTTTTCGCACAGTAATGCTTCTTCAGATACTCGAATTTTTTCAAGATGCTCGAGAATAATAGTGCTCAAGTTCGAGTTAGCTACGACAGTATTGGACTTTAATTTATCAATAACAGCCTGAGCAGTTTGAGAAAGATGCGCGTCTGAATAAATATTATTACTTTTCGTTTTATCACTGTTTATGAACGGCCTAATTGATTAAAAAAAAATGTTATGGACCTACTCATGCAATGAAAAAAATTTTAAAAAATCAATTTTTTTCATTTGAATTCCCTATGCACGCACGTCGAAAATTACAAAAAATTGACGCGATATATCGTAATTCTCCGCTATTTATTTTCAAAGGCGCACGCGAAAAGTTGCGCAGGCCACGTCGCGAAGTCGGTACTGTATTTTTTATGGCTGTTTTTTTTTTCAATTTTTTTAATTCTTTGAGCGTTTAAAACTTTTTTTTTGGAAATCTGTAAAAGTATTTTGCTTAATCAACATTAAAAATTCATCAGAAGCGTCATCGAGCGAAGTCTGCATCAAATCAGCACAAAAATCACTATTTCACATAATAATTGGTATCTAAATGACGAAAAATAGACTTATATTGTCGAATTAGGAAGTAATTATACCAATATTTGTTTTTCCCTCGTTCTTCAATCCGTTACTCATTTCCTTTTGAAATTTTTCGAAAAATACGAAAAAATAGCACACAGAATGAAAAATAAAAAATACAGTACTGACTTCGCGTCATGACCTGCGCAACTTTTTGCGTGCGCCCTTTAAAATAAATAGCGGAGAATTACGATATATATCGCGTCATTTTTTTGTAATTTTCGACGTGCGTGCATAGGGAATTAAAATGAAAAAAATAGCTTTTTTTTCATTGCATGAATAGGTCCATTAGAAAAGACGTGTGTCACGTTTTTAATGATAAAAAGAAAGATCGTGCGTATTTAAATTATTCAAAACTTGATCGACACAAAAATAATTAATTTGGTTAACTTTTGAAATACCTTCTTCTTTTGGAGTCAGTTTTTTAATAACCATTGCAGCAACTGGTTCCATAATTTTCTTGGAGGCAGGTGTTTCAGTTAATGACCATCTAAACGTCTCAACGAGGTTTCCAAATACATATAGTTTGTAACCAACTTTTCAAAAAAAACCGCTCCCAGAAGTTGCAAATTGTTTTTTAATTCGTCATTAATTGATTTTGACGCTCTTGAAATCCATAAAAGTGATTTACCAACTAAATGATGAGCATTATTTAAATCAAAATGCTCATCAAAGCATTCATTTTTGAGATATGGAAACTTAAATGTTCTCTGAAATTACAATAACGTAAATATTTAAAAAAAAGAATTCTTACTATTTCTTCTTCATTTACTTCTTCATCAATACTTTCTAAAAGTGGCATAGTCTGCTCATTTTCGGGAAGTTCACACCACTTTGCGCAAACGTACAAGCCTTTAAGAAATTGAAGTTATAAAACGATACAATCGTCAATAATTGTTTAATATCGGTAATAACTTACCATCGCAAAAAACGAGCGCGTTGCATAATTGTGGACCATCGCACCTTTTCGAGACGGTATTCAAATTTGCATTTCAACAGTGGGAATTCAATACTATTTATAACTTCCGAAGCTAATTCAAATCAGCGCAGGGAACTCGTTTTTTACGAATGTAATAATAAAAATTTTACAATCGTTTCCCGTAAGAAAAAACCCTATGTTTTGAAATACGGGGCGTTTTTTTTTTCAATCAATTAAGCAAATGCAAAACATATTCTTCTCAGAAATAATGAACCTATTCATCTAATGAAAAAAATATTACATTAGTAAAGATTTTTTCATCACATCAATAGGTCCATAAAAAACCATATTGAACCAATACTAAGTATAATAGGGTTTTGAAGAATTCTAATTTTCGCATTCACGGAAAAACGACAAAAAATTATTTTATAACTTATAAGCTTACATAAAACATTAAGAAGCTCATTATCATAGTCTTCCTGCTGCATCACCCAAGACACAATTCGTGCAGCTCCTTGAATATTGTTTTCTTTTATGAAATGGTCAATAACAATACTAGCGGAATGTTCATCCAGAAAAATGCCGTAATTAATCTGAAAATCTAATTTTTTGTGCAGAAAAGTACGATTACCGCGTCATTGGCTATTGTAAAGATTTTCTCTGGGTTATATTTGAGAAGCAATCTGATTATTGCATACTCGCTGGACTCCGCTACTTCTGACGCCTTCAGACTATGTCGGGTTTTATAAAGAAGTTCGAGAACATCGTCAACTTGATCCTTTTGCTCAGCAATACAAACGGCAGCATCAACATCAACGGCACTAAAATACACTTGCATACATAATTTTACACAGTGCGAAACAAATCACCTAGCATGACCACCGCCAACGAACTTCTTCTGAACAGCGCTAATCCATTCATAGTCTCCTCCCAGACCTAATTTTGATAGCGAACTGTGTCTCGAGGCCCATTCCTGTTAATTAATACATTTAAAGTATTTATTATTCAAAGTTTTTTTTTCTAAATTACAGAAACTCAAATAAAATAGTATTAAACACTGGACCTATTCAGCGAATTGAAGAAATACCCGGCTCTGGGTGAAGTAGAAACGTCGGCGTTTCTCATGTTTGGAAATAAAACAATTACATTTTTGCAGTTGAATGATGGAAGCAACTTCGCCATTTCTCACACATAATTTTTTTATTTGTGGCCTTCTGTCGTGTTTTTTCTTATTCAGAACCGTAAAACGGATTCGAAATCATACTCGCGTACAGTACTGGGCCATAGCCTTACCTTTTCGAGATAGAATTTTTGTGAAAGTACTTTATCGGCCGCAGACCTTGAGAAATTCCGAGACATTATTTTTATAATATTTTTCGAAATCATCTAAACTTCTGCATAAAAAGCAATTTTAATTTAAAAAAAAACGATATGGTTAATGGTCCTGAAACCATAAAAGTATTGTGTTTTATATATTATCTTAACTTATTATTTTAACATCCATTTACATTTTATAAACAAGATTTAAAAAATACAAAACTCAATAAACCATAATCAATTTTTGATAACCATATAAAATGAAACGGACACGTTGGTTAGAAATGGAGTCCAAATTTAAAGCAGCTCCAAGTGAATTTAAGTCAGGCTCTGTTAGTGATTGAATAATAAATAAGGAGATCTTATAAACAAAACATTTAAAAGCAGAGTACACAGACAAACGAAATATGAAAGTAAAAAACCTCTACAAAAATATGTGAGATCAACATTTTTAAAGTGCCATGAGCTCATGATTTAAAGTAGTCGCAATTAAAAACTTTAAAAAAAAGTGCTACAATGCGTATGAGAAATGGAATGTTAATGAAAAACAAAATTTGAAAACAAAATTCTTATTCATCGGAACGAAAAATTTTCTTTGTCTGCAATCGCATCAAACCATCAGCACATTTCTTGTAGGTAAATCTGAAAAATCATATTAAATTTGAAGAGATTTTTTCTTAGCAAAAGTCCCAATTTTGGTCGTTCCCACGGTTCCACTGCTGTTTTTTTTTGTCAGGAATGTAGGGAAGATGTTTGCACAAATTATTTTTGAGTTGATGCGAAAATGTTGGTTTTTTTGGCGAAAAAACCATTTTAGGTTTTTGCGGCCATTCGTTTTGGGCAGTGTTGGAGTTATGAAATATCACGCGAGATAATATCTCTTGGCGTTAGAAGTTTAATAAAAACCATTTTTAACGCTTGGTAATCAGATTGTGCCAAGGGTAGGCTTCCAAGTCGGGATGGAATTTTGGTTATGACCAGGCCAACACTCCGAGCCCACATGTCCCTTGGATCAATAGCTGTATTAACCAACCATATTTGAGTTCCAAGCTATTGAAACTGAATTTCTATAAAAAAAATAAGGGTTTTTTTGTAGGTATTAAAAGGAAAATTGACACTACTTCAATGAAGATTTCCGAGCTTCTGGTAATCAGAGAAGATGAGTTGGGATGACATTTTTTATGTGCATCGGTACTATTATGTGTTAGTATGAAGAAGTCTTCTGGATTTGACATGTTTTTTTTATTTGTGCACAGGGTTAATGATTTCAATATCCAACGTTTCGATCAAATGATCATTATAGTGATTACACTATCTAATTTTCATTTTACTTATCAAAACTATTTGTAGGTAATTTCCCTGATGATGATATTTTGATCGAAACGTTTGATATTGTAACCATTAACCATGCGCACAAATAAAAACTGGTCAAATCAAAAAGACTTTTTCGTACTAACACTTCTGGTAATCCACTAATATGAAAGATAGAAATATACCTGCTAAATCCAATTGGAACTGCACAGTTGTGTTGTTTTGTCAGATGTCTTCCAAGAGCAAATCCGGTTGTATATGTTCTTGCACATAAGTGGCAAATGTACGGACTTGGATTGAAATTCTGTGACTGTTTCATATATGACCAGTCGGTTGAGAAGGGACGTTAAACTCACCTCATCATGAGACTTCATATGTTTTAAAAGCTGTTTTTTCCATCGAAACTTCTCATCGCACATTTTACAGTTATACGAGTTCTCCGTGTGTATTAAGACATGCCTACTTAGTTCACTCTAAATTAGACAGATATACGTAAAATTTTTTCAAATCACACGAACTTCGGAATAATACGCTTTAGCACAACTTGGACATTTATGCTCTCGAGTTCTACTGGAATGCTTTGCCATAAGATGTCTAAATTTAGTATATACATTATTTTTTATAATATTGATATTGTTAAAACCTGTGTAAATTGGATCTTGATGCTACAGATAAGCCACACAGCGGACAGCTCTCCGAAACCAGATGCCTAGTTACATGCATACACAAAGCTTTTTCGGTTCCAAAAGTCTTTTGACATAATTTACAAACCTAAGTTTCAATATTAAAAAATGCTAGATGAAATACTTACATATGGATCTTCAAAGTCATTCATGCACAGGGTCCGACGAATTACATGATCATAAAGTTTATCTTTCCGGGAAAAGAATTTCGCACAAAATGGACAGGCTAACACTTTTTCACCGCTGTGGTGTCGAATATGCCGCCTGAATTTACTTATTTACTTTTGCAAAAATTATTTGTTTGTTTCAAGAAATCTTTGATCAACTTACTTTAAACTTGACTTGTGCTGCGCTACTACACTGCAATTTCCCCATTTGCACGGATACACGTCTTGTTTTTCACCGTCTAATAAAAACCCACTAATAACTATTGTTGTCATTTTAACTCACTATCAAAAACTTGTAAAACTCTGTCAGATTCATCCATATTATCAATGTGCAAAGCCGCATGTTCAAAAAGTTCCGTTAAAGAAGTGAACGGTGCCTGAAATTACTGCACTAAGTTACGGACGTCCTACTCAATTTTTACTCCGCACTCCACCCACTGACAAACTAGCACTTCTCCATCGTAATGCACATTTAGTAACGGTTCAAATCCACAGCTAAAAATTTTATATCAATAAATAAATATACCATAATCGAAAAAAAACGAGCACCCTGTGAAGATTAAAATTTTTTAGTTTGATTCGCAGAAAAATTTATAGTAAGACACTCCCACCGTTTGAATTAAAATTGAATTACCGTCCCAAAAATGAGACATTTTTTGCCTGATAATATTACCATCGCCAAAAAACGAGCATATTGACAAATTCTGAATAATCGCATTTTTTTTGCTATCGGTGATTCAACTTTGAACTGAAGCAATGATAATCCATGTGCCGTACTACGGATAGCCTGCGAATCTATTTCACAATAAATATGCTCAGAGTGCTTGTTTTTTTTTTGCGACTGTAATAGATATTTTTATGAATCACCATACCATTCAATTGATTCGTATTCTTCTCTTTCTATCAAGGCTTCGGAACCTTTTTGTTGACAATCAGCCTTAAAAATAATCGTAAATGAATTAAATTATTGTAAGTTACTTGAAATATATGCATTGTCATGTGTCGCTGCAGATTTTCGAGATCAGACAATATTTTCTCGCAACCTCGTACTCGACAGCTACATTCGCTTAACCCTAAAAAATTACTTTTAATTTAATTTAATTTTAGTTGCGGAGAATTAAAATTAATATTTAATTTAATGGTAGTTATGGAAAAGTAAGTTTATGTTGATAGAGTCGAGTGATCACGAAAAGCGACAAAAAAATGGAGGAAAGTGCACTCCAAGATCTGATGTGCGCTCCATCCATTTATTTAGCATTTACGAGTGTTCATAAAAATGTTATTTTAGTAAATGCGTGGAACCAACAGACACTGTATCAAAAATGTATGTAGAAGATGCGATTAACAAACGAGCTTCCGCATTGCGGTTCACGTTTATACATATAAAGATTTTCGAAAAAATAAACGGGAGCGTCCGTGAACAACCTATCATGCAATAAAAATAATGCATTTTCCTATGCAGGGTGTAATAATAATGCACATTTAATGTAATTTTAAATTATTTTGTAAAAATATACATTTCGTGAATAGGTCCATTAGAAGTTATTGAATGCATAAAATGGCGAGATTTTGCCGAGCAATTATGCAAGGCGCTCTTTTTTTCGCAATTATAATTACGGTAGCCGCTTATTTTGAAGAAATACACTATAAATCTTCAAATTAAGTTTTATCCAAGGCTCAGAGTTTTTTCGACATTTTGAAAATTTTTCAAATCGCACGACATCAATACAACTAAAAATTCAAACCTTGCGGATTCTGTATTTTTTCTGCAGACAGTTGATCTATGTGTGCGTACATATGATCAATAAAACGATCTTTAGTAGCCATAACTTCGACACAGCTGCCCCAAAGGCAGACAAAATTAAAAACGCCAGGATCGTCAGCAGATCTTTCTATCCATGTCATTGGCATCCAATGGTTCCTCAAATTGTTACTAACATCCGATAAGTTTGAATCTGGTCGTTCTGGAGTAGCCGGTTGATTATTACTTTGTTGAAGTTGCGTAGTTCGGTTATATTGAAGCGGATTTGATTCTGGATACGGCGTGAAATATGCAGAAAGAGAAACTTCCTCTTGCTGAGGCATAAGAGATGAGAAATTAGTCGGGGCACTATGTTGGGCGGTCTCCGGATGATAATACTGTGCTTCAAGTTGAGACGCAACATTATAATAATGATAATTTTCCTCAAATCGTACTGAAAAATAATACTGATTTAACGCATTACAATTTATTTATTACCTGGTTTTAAATCTGCATATGACATATGACACCTGAAACCAAGTTATAAATTCAATTTAAAAAATAAGAAAATATATATTGAAAAGTTTTGAACTTCTAAGCGACATAAAAACCTTTTGATATGGAATAATTTATGAAGACTAATAAAAAGAAAAATAAATATTTTAAATTCACCGAAACAGAAATAAAAGGGAGAGCCAAATATTCACGGGGTTTCGCAATATTTCTAACTAGCGACGATATAAGGGAACATGTGTTGTTTTTCATTGAAGAAGGAGGCGGACATACAAAATTTAAAGAGTAAGCAAGAACATATGAATGAATCAATTTTAATTTCATATTTAAATTAGTACATGGCGCCTTCCGCCGGTTGTTGAAGTTTCATATTTTCCTTGGCCATCATCATGTTCTTTCTGATATCCTCAAGCACGTTCTTAATCATATAATTTCCGTTCCAATTGCGCAAAGTAGATAAATTCCGCTTGTCAATCTGCAAGAACTACATATCAAAGAGACATAATTTGTTCAATGTCAGACAGATGGCCAACTTGGCAGTGTAAAACTAGGTTAAGGAACAAGAAAATTCTTCAGAGATAAATAAATATTAATCCTTATTTTCAAATCAGTTTATAGTTTTCATTTCTTTTTACGAGCCTGCTTTTAAATTAATTTATTCTCGACGTCGCACGACTGCGGAAAATTGACTAAATGCCAAAAAAACATTGGCAGTGGTCTTGGCGCAAAACTAAGTGTAGATTTACGGGGCGATGCCGCTTCTCAAATGTATTGTCATTTTGCCAGTTTTCTGCAGTTGCACGATTTCGTCAATACCATTCCATTCGTTTGGTTCACTCCGACCATATGAACCTTCGTAGCAAAACGAACAGTTGGCGGCTCCTTTGGATAATTTGGGCCACAAGAAACTTGCAAATTATAAATTCTGGACTCATACGGCGTCTGGAAAATTTTCAATTTCGATCATGATACATTATATTCGCAAAAAAAATGAGCACACTACGGCGATTTACGGTGAGTTAGCTTCGCAAGTTAACCAGAGTATGATAGCATTTCCCGTTATTTAAATTCGAATTTGAATTACCCCTCAAATAAGTGCGATAAACCACAATTATGTAAGGTGCTCACTTTTTTTGCTATGGTAATGTTTAAATAGTCGTACTCTTGGTGGGCCGATAATTGACGCGGTCCATCTGGTCAAAGTCATATCACTATCATCTTCTAGTCCCCAAGAGATATTTCCATCACCTTTCCCCTTCTGCCCTTCTTCCAATTCTTCCAGAAGGCGAAAATTGCGAGGAACATCAACTAAAAAATAAAAAATAACGCACAATAACAATAAACACATACCCATTTTTAAATAAGTAGTGAAGTTTATTGACGGCCTATAGAAACAGTTATCTGAAAACGTTTATTTTCAATCTAAAAAACAGATTTTAAGAAAAGTAAGTGGTTCGAGTAATAAACCGAATGCTCAAATCGCATTAAGCTTCTTTAATGCAATCTCTGCCCGCGACAGCATTCGATAAAATACAATGGAGCGCGTTTGTGTCACGAAGACGCAGAGAAGATAAACAAGGACCCTAAAAATCGTGCTGTAGAAACTATGCTCGATAGAGATTTCGGTGAATCGCCGATGAAACAGTATTGAAGAGACGGAAGCATTCGTCTTCCCGCTGTTTCACCGAATCTTGCACTTGTCCGCCGTTCTTACACCGATTTACTGACTTTATGATTAAGCACAATGCGATTTCTGCGGAAAATTCTATCTTTTATGGATCTATCCACGTAATAAAAAAATGTATTTTTTAAATTACGCATTTTTCCAATGCAGACTGAATGCAATTTTTACAGTTTTTTTTAGTAAAAAGTTACATTTCATAAATACGTCCCCATGTATGATTTAAAAAAAGATTCTGTGGTTTTATTTCCTGAGTTTCTTATAACGACTATACAACATAAAGTGCTATTATTTATTTTTTGAAGCATGCTTGCAGCAGTTGTAAAACGTTTTGGAGGTCCTGAATCAATTGAAATATTACATACCGCAAGACCATCTCTTCAAAGACATCAGGTAATTTCAAAAGTTGTGTTATTTTAATCTAAGCTATTCAGGTTCTTGTAAGGAATAAGGTAGCTGGTGTAAATCCAGTTGATACATATATTCGCAGTGGGCAATATTCGGTTTTACCGGAATTACCCTATATCATTGGTAAGGATGGCTCAGGAATAGTGGAAGAGGTGAGGCAACATGTTAACTGTTTTGTTTTTAATACTTTACCATTGCTTTAATTTATGTGATAGCAAAGTTGTATTATATTCATTCTGTGAATGCTACGAAAAAAGACAATTACTAGTTTATTCTGTTGATTTAAAACTATTTTTGCTGATAAATAATGAATCATCTTATATCTGTAAAATATACATTTTACAGGTTGGAGATGCAGTTAAACACGTTAAGGTTGGCGATTACGTTTGGTACGGATACGAATCAAATGCTACCGCTCAATTCACCGCGGTTTCAAATTGTTTTCTTCTTCCAGAAGGTTATTCTAGCAAATTAGGTTGAAACTGTTAAGAAAATTTTTTTTATCCGAAATTGTTTTTAGAATACCAGACTTGTTGTTTTAAAACGGCGCTCTAGGCCGAATAAAAAATCGACTAACCCATCTAAACTAATGTTCTTGACTAGTTTAAATATGGAAATCATTTATTACAACCGCAAAGAAACGAACGCCTTGCATAATTGTTTATCATCGCCTTATCCGTTTCGAAATTCTACAGATAAGGTTGTAAAACTGTAGGATATTTTTAGTTTTTTTTTTGTTGAGAATTTTCGAATCCGATTGGTGATTTGTCGGATCCGATTTGTAATTTGTCGTATTTGTAAATTGAAAATTTTGAAAAATAAAAATCAAATCGAATTCAAACAGTAACTAATTAGATCCGACAAAATACGACTCCGCTTTTGTCAGACAACAACAAGAAAACGCGTAGTGTAATTTTTTCGTTAACGTTACCCTTTTATGGACCAATGTAATAAAAAATGTCAAAAATTACACGTTTTTTTTTTTCAATGCAGGGTATAAAAAATGAAAAAAATAATGCTAAAAATACCATTTCGTGAATAGGTCCATTAGATACATTAGATATGTATTATAATTATTCAGTGAAAAAAAAACAATGAAAATCACATAATTCTCACCAAAGATCAATAATATATTACAGGAGTTGAGTTAGCAGAAGGCGCATGTCTCGGAGTTCCGTATCTCACAGCTTACCGGGCAATGTTTATACAAGGATGTGTGAAAGTAAGAAATAGCACTCGTCATTCGATTTTGCGCGTCGGTTCCGCTGCTGTTGTGGACCATAATGATGGTGGCAGATGGCGCACGAATTATTGATTTGTGCAAGTGCGATGCAACAGGCATCGTTTTTCTTGCAGCCTTCGGACGTAATTCTCGTTCATGGAGCATCAGGCGGTGTCGGAAGTGCGATTGTTCAATTGGCAGCGTGGAAAGGAATACGGACCGTTGGTACAGCAGGGTCAATCGTTGGATTAGATTATTTGAGAAATCTTGGCCTTCATCAAGTTTATGATCATTCAAAACCGGGGTATATTGAAGAAATCAGCGCAGAATTTCCAAATGGTGCTTTCTCTTTACTTAACAATTGAGTATGATTCTCCTTTCAGGATTTGATTATATTTTCGAAATGGCAGCTCATATAAACTTGAACAATGATATGGGCCTACTAGCAAAACACGGAAAATTAGCAGTAATCGGAAACCGCGCAGAGACCAAAATAAATGCAAGACAATTAATGCAAAAAGAGTCGATTGTTTATGGTACTTTATGTGTTTATTTAATTTATTACTGTTTTTTAAGGAGTGATGCTGGGAATGTCAAACTGCGAAGATATTTTAACATCAGGATCAGAAATTAATAAATTTTTAACGGAAACCAAGTTCCGTCCCAATATTTCCAAAACTTATACTATGAATACGATTGCACAGGCTCATTGTGATATTTTAAATAATTCTGGTTCTCATGGTCAAATTGTAATAAATATTGAATGATTATTTTTATTGTGAAATTATATACGCGTTATTTCAATTCACACGCTATTTTGATTTAATTTGCAATTTTCGCGAAAATGATTTAGTCTAGTATCTCAACATCTCTCCAGCTGAGTAGTACAACCACTTTCCGAACAATAATCTAATTTTTGAATGATTCAATCTTTTCATAGTTCCACGTTTTCCTTGATTTTGCTCTGCCATGCCAACATTTGGTTATATATTTTTGAAATAAAAAAAAAACAATTCAACTACGAATATAATTACATTCACATTTTCTTTTCATCACATCGTGTGCGTGTTGGAATGTTTCATTTGTCTGTTCTTGAATTAGTTATGGCCATATTCATGTATTGAAAAATTCCTTTTCCTCTCATACACGCATGTCGAAAAATTCAAAAATTTGAATCTTCGTATAAAAACTAAGGAATAGGCGCCGTAGAACGGCGAATAAAGTGTTTCGGAGATACGCTAGTGAAGTGTTTGAGAGTGTGTGTCTGATTGTTAGAAGAGGTATTTCTTTCCGTCGGAGTTTCATCCCAATTTTTACGGCACAATTTGAACAAGTTTTCGCGTATGTCCTTTTTCATACTGATACCCGACGAATCTGCGCGGCTTCGCCCCTTAGATCCCCTGGGTTAATTCACTAATCGAAACCGTTTTTGGCATATTTAGCTTTAAAAAAAAATTCGAAAGACAGTGTAAAAGTGAGAGACGCAGGCAACATCTCGTTTCTCTGTTTCTACCGTAGTTCGAATAAATCTATAATTCTCGCTCTTCGATGTTGTAAAACCCAAAATATTTTTGAATAGACCACCTCACATAACCCTTCCATCCCTCTATCGGACGAATACAATCCAAAAATATATGGAGTACCATAACTACCATCATCCTACTGCAATTGCTTAGATATTTCTACAGTAACATTTCTTCGTCGAAGACATTATACCAACCAAGTTTGGACCTGGCAGGCTCAATCCGGAAATGTACGAAAATTCTTTTTACTTCACGCGCTGCAGAAAATTGACTAAATGATAAAAAGTGTTTAAAAAGAGTCGATGCGCGGTGTGCGCCTTTAATTTTGCCTTATTCAATGTCCCGTAAATCTACACTTTTGTTTCGCGCCAAGACCGATGTTATTGTTTTTGGCATTTAGCCAATTTACCGCAGTTCGACAATAAATTGTGATTAATATTTAGATTTTTTCGGTTAAAAGATAATACACAAAAATAATCATTTTTTCTTTTATTTATTTTTTCCTCCATTGCAATTTTCTCTATTTTTTAAGCTTTTTTTTAATGCACGTTGGAAAATGTGTAAAAAATGGATTTGTTGCAGATAAACTTTAAAATTCTTTCTCCCCTTTGAAAATTGGCCGAAAAAAAATAGATGAAACATTGATGAATCACGGATCAAAATGAATAAGAAACCCGATCTGCCATGGATCCAATTTTCATCCATTTTCCAACGTGCAATACAGAAACTTCTGCAATTTCCCTTTTAAAAGTTTCATTTATTTTTTCAAGGAAAATGAGTTTTGGGTCGTTACTTGTAAATTAGTATTTTTTCTTTAAATTGTTAAATATGGCTATTTTTCTGTTATGCATGTTACGAAGAAATTTGACGCCCCTAGTGGATTGCAAGGTTGAAAGAACTCGTTTTCAATTAGCTTAGTTGGCCGCAAGTGCCATATATCGTATTATGATGACAATAGCATTAGGATATACGTAGCAACTGGAAAGGGCAAAAATTGTTAAGCAGTGGAAATATAGATACTTCTGTAGTCTGAACCATTTTTCATTAATTATTAGTTTTTTTTGCCCTTTTCCCAGTTGCAGTGGTAAAATGAGAGGTTAAACGCGCACACTGCGCGCCGAAAACTTTTAAAATTTTTTTGTCAATTCACCATTAAGAAATGAGAATTTTCGTCACACCGTTTCTTCTAATTCTCTTGAAATCGCGATTCAATAGCCCCATTATTTATCGATATCTACCTGTAGCTTGTTTCTATCAACTTAAAAATTAATTAAAAATTTGTATGGGAATTATTTTATCAGATATAATGTATAATTAATATATAATTTGGAATTAATTGCAAGTGATTACTACACACCGTACCCACATTTTTATTTAATTACTCTTTGAAAAAGAAACTGGTTGTTTTTAGTCTTTGCCAAAACATTTTTCACCACACGAGAATCGTATGACGCGGCGTGGTTCTACATTTCTCTTTTTGCACTGTGATAGCGTGACAGCAAAAATAGCATCGTTTCTTTCTTGAAACTGTTGCCATTTTACAAAATTTTGATCGTAACATTTTACGGTTCCTTTCTTTCTTCTTATTCGATTTGGCACTTATAAGTTTTCGCGTTATTTCGTATTTTTTTTTATTTTTAAACGCAATAGTGATTTTTGGGCAACGAATTATATATATATATATATATGAAAACATTTTTTAAACCTTTTCATGTCGTCTATTAAGGATAAATAGCAGGTCTTCTTCTCAAAGTGCGATGAAGTATCTCCTCTTTATTGCATTGTATCAATGACAAGACAGTCGTGAATGACACTTTGCTTTCTAAAGCGATTTGTTTATGATCATTAGTATAATCCAGATTATGTTTTCCCTTACGGTGGACGAAGCGGTAACATATTTTTGGCAGATATTTGCTTTCGACAGCCCACACGTGTGAAGACGAGTTATCACTGCGCACGCAAACACAAGTGAGAGAAGGGGCTCGGGTTTCGCGCAGAAGAGATTGCAAACAGTGATATTGTTTACTCTATTTCTTCGAACAGAGAGTATATTCCACCTATCATTTTTGAAATCACTCCGGCTAATGTCAAAAAATCACGGAGCGTTTTTTCATTATGACAGCTTGACAGTTCTTTTTTTTAAATGTTTTTGTAAAAGAAATCGTTCTTTAATCAATCAAGTATTTTTTTCCCCTAAAAAGTTGCTGTCGTAATTATTCCGTGACGCCAACTTGTCAAGTTTTGCGTGTGCTCCCCTTTATTTTGAAATTTTAGATATTACCATCGATAAAAACGAGCGCCTTCAGTAATTGTAGACTATCGCACTTTTTTTGAGGCGGTAATTCAAATTTGATTCTAACAGTGGGAATTGATACGGTACTCTGGATAACCTGCGAATGCAACTCACCGTAAATCGGCATAGGGTTCTCATGTTTAGGTTCAAGTAAATAAATTTGAAATGTTTTCCGTTTTTGGATGGAATCAATTAAAAATATGCGATAGTTCTTAATTATTCAAGCGTTTGTTTTTTTCGCGATGGTAATAATTTACAACACTGCGCGTAGGACAATTGATGTAAATGAGATCTGTGACAGATCAGCTTTTTATCCATGTTGCATCAGTTTTTATTCCAAAGAACGAGATACAGATGAAAAATTGATGAAACGTGGGTCAAAAGTAGATCTGCCGCAGATCAAATTTTCATCCATTTTTCAACGTACAGTTAAAAAAACTGCAAACTTTTGAAATTGTACATGGCTTATACGTAAAACGTGCTTCCTCAGATCTAATATGAATAAATCATTACGGATGCTCATCGTAAACTCGAGTTTTCTGTCGCACGTTTATTTATTTCTTGGTCGTTTTTGCATTGAAAAAAGCTTAAAAATTAAAATGACGTGTACGTTTTAATTTTCTTCAAACTGATCGGTAGAAAATATAACAGAAAGAGAGAGACTAGTGTTTTTTTTTAATTTTATTAATCATAAAGTGTAATTTTATTGCAAAAGTAGTCGAAAGTTTTAACATGGACATTTGTTTCTATTGAAGCGTCGAAAACTAATGATAATATGTCGATGATTGACGAATTTATCATCACGCATCTGCAGAGGTGTAATGTCTTTTCATTTTTACACATTGCTATTGAAAACCGCACCCATTATTCCAACCGAATAAGAATCTTTTTAATTTTTGAATAATTTTCTTTCAAGGATGAGTGAATTGTATTCTTGCGAGTGAGAAGTAAAGGCTATGTAGTCGGCTACTTCGTATACCATCCCATCTAGCCTCCAGCTAGCCGATAACTAATTGTATCATATTCATCGATTAGTTTTTATTCGTAAGAATACCGGATTCAGCATGTTATGCTTGGAAAAATTTCCGAAAATAATAATTTTCTAAAATGCCATTTTTAATTCTGCCAATTTTACTATAATACTTTCTCAAAGTTGTCATTTTTACTCAATACTATCACGTAAAATTTGATTTCATGCCAAAAGTGGCTTTATCGACGATTTTGCATGCTACTGAGTAGGTTCACTAGCTAACGAATTATTCTTAAATATAAACCTATGATCTTCCTCTTATCCTGGCAGAAAAACTGAATTGTAAAGGCGAAGTGACCTTGCGCGTTTGGCCGGCTGCCAACGAATTTGTGGCAGTTGATGATGTTTCATCCTTGTGTAATGTTTGTCGCGTTTGTTGTCAATTGTTTGCGTCCAAAAAGAAAGTTTATAATATTTTTCACCAGTCTAATACATTTCGCAGAAATATATACATAAATCTTCACAAAACATTTGAGCGAGTGTTCATCTTAACATTCAAAAAGTTACGAAACATCCACTTCCATCGGAAAACCTTCTCAACTTTAAACTGAAAGTCTTGCGTTTTTCAACAACTAATTACAATTTACTTGCCACATATTTGCAAATTTTGGGATTATATGTAGCTCTCCATTTCTTGTTTCCTGGGTTTCATATCAATTACTTGCAAGAACAAACTACTAAAAATGTCTTGTTATTTCGAACAATAATTGATTGACAGTAACTAGATTTGACCACAATTCTCACTTTCTGTTCGATCCGCAAAACTCATTAAAGCGCGAACAGGTTCGCACATTCATAACCTAATCAAAACCATTGAATAAAAAGTTCATCCTACCGTTCGAGTCAGTCGCCGCCCATTCTATTGGCCCATGTCTGTCGGACGCTGTTCGCGCCTCCCTTCTACCCTCCCATCCATCGTCTTTTTCGCATTCAACAACTGTCCACCCCAAACGACCCGCCTTCCTCTCTTTCGCTTCTTCCCTCTCCTATGCGTTTACCACGTTTTTCTGGTCTTTTCATCCGTTTTGCATATGTGTTCAAGAAAAAATCTTGCAAAAGGGTTCCCGCCAGCCATAGTTTGTTTTTTTTCCACTTTCATGTATCTCTGAAGGTCGTCATCGAACATGTGCGGAAAGTAAAACATTGAACATTTTATGATCGTGCCTCTGCTTTGACATGTGGTTAGATATATCTTATGAATGGCTGTTTTTTTTTTTTCTAATATTTTACGTTTTGAATGGTTTTTAGGGTGTGTAATTGTAATGGGTTATTTATTAAGGTATCTAATTCAAAACCGATGCAATAAATGGACTGCTATTCGAGATTTGTAACCTTATTGTTATATTTCGTGCACTTGAACTGTGCGAATGTTGTCAACCTTCGTCCAAAACAGATCGTGAACTCAGGTTTGTCATTTTTACACATTTTTTTTTGATTTGATTGTTCTTTTAAAGTTGATTATAGTCAACATAATTTGTTTTTTTTTTTTAATTTATTTAAGGTATGTTTCAATTATTCATTAATTTAATATATATTTCTGGGTAGTTTACAAAATTTAGCCTTGTGTTTTTATAGGAGACATTGCTTAGTTGTTGTTCATAGATACTCTTTTCTCGATTTTATCCACATCGGTTCCGTCCTCAATTCAACTTGACTAATCTCCAGAATCGAATCCGTTCTGTGCAAACTTTCGCGGGCGGCGGCGTTTCTATCGCCCAATGCCATCTTCTTTTTATTCTTGTCTACATAGCGATTTATCGGTTTTGTCGTTTCGTTAGCCCTTCAACGGGACTCAAATTTGGTCTACTGAATTAGATGTACAGCAAAGGGAGAGAACAAATTTGCGTACGATATTAAATACAATCGATCTCTCTGCGATGTGTATGTGTGCACACTGAGCCACTAAGAACCACGCGAGAAATGGATACATTGTGTCTTCAAGTATGGTATAGATGTATGCACGATGGAGAATGTATGACACTACCACAAACAATACCAATGCTTTGTTTAGACGGGTTGTTTTGTCTTGCACAAAAACTTTTGGGAGACACGAATTGAAATTTCGCTCAACGATTTGAGTAAAATATTAAACGATAATAGTTTTTTTTACTGCCACTCATGTTTTAATTTTTTAATCGGAAAGGTGTGTTTTTCAACTCCGATATTTCTATAATATAGTGTTGCGAAAAATTTTGTTCAACTTCTTTCCCATATACTAAGAAGTCTATATAAACATAGCAAAATCAAAAATCATAAAAATAGGATGATGGCGTGTAATTGATGGTGTGAAAGTCGGTTTTTTACCGTGTATGTGTATGTGTGGGTTTCTCGTGCACGCCGAGCCAACAGAAACACAAAAGGCCGCTTGAAAAACGATACCGTTTCGACAAAAGGGGTTAAAGGACTTTTGGGTTTTGTATCGTAAAAATTATGAATTCGTCACCTTATTAGAGGAAACAATAGTCCATTGTTACATTCCTTTGTAATTAGGACCAATGTTCAAATATATCGAATCGCAATTATATTCAGTGACCTTTCAACTTTCGGCGTGTGTTAGTCGCACATCTGGCAAAACACGAGATGAGCCCCTTATGAATATTCAAAACGCTGCTTTTTATCCAAATCGCCGATTTTTAATATATTAAGCCAAATGGGCATTGATTACACCTTTGACGGTGTGCTTTTTACGCCATTATGAAACCCATTTGTGTTTCCGTTGTCCCATATGGCTGGGTGATTTGATTCTCCAGATTTCTTACACTCTCATTCGCTTCTTCTAAGACGCATAAACGATGCAGGGATTACACATTGAGTCAGGTGGGCATCAGAGCTACAAAGATTTGACAAATCGTCTTAATTTTGAGGTTCAGTTTTTGAATTGATCATAATGTTTTACTAAAAACATTGGCAAAAAGTATTTAATGTCGGAATTTTTTGTTACTAGTGTCATAGACGGTTTTAAAAAATTAAAATGGGTTAAGATGTTTTATAGAATTGTAAGTGGACAATTTAGTTTGAATGATGTAAAAGTTGCGTAGATATACGAAGTTTCCCAGAGTGTCAAGACTATTTGTAATTCTTTAACCGAAAAGAAAGCAGTTGCGCCGTTTTCAATTGCCGCTTGATTGTTGGTTGCGTGTCGAGATTAACTCTCATTAAACGTCGTCAAGTTTATATAGAGCCTAATCTTGTTTCTCATCAATGTTCGAGAATATATTCATGTTGCGCAACAACGCCCATATACGCATATGTTGGGTCGGACACCCACTTCGCCTGATGGATGAGAGCAGATGTGTTTATGCAAATGGCGCCACCTCTCTTCAATTTATCATTCGCCCTGTAATTATTGAAATGAAATCTGTCTTGTTATAAAAGGACGAAATAATGATTTATATGGTGTTATTTTAGTAATTTATTTAATGCGCTCTTCATCGAAATTTCGTGATAATTTCTGTTGTAATGTTTGATCAAATGTACATAGTGTAATGAAGCACAAAATAAGACAGCGAGTGTTGTCGATATTCCCTCGAGACGACGATAATTTTTGGCAAAAGAACATGATTGCAATATACGACGAATCATTGCTTTACTTTTCCATTTTCTCGAGGGAATTTGTTCTGTAGTTCTCCAGCGCTTATAATATGATATAGTTCCTGTTTCAAAGGGATGTAAATTTTTACTAAATGTTTTTCCGGTGCTTAAATAACAGAAACGTTACTATTAATCTTTGCGACCGTTTACAAAAATCAATGTTTTGACCTCCATTTTGATATTAATTTAATGTGAATCCTACTCTCTGCCACATTCTTCACAGACGTCCGCCAAACCCAAATAGAGCCATTAGAGTTAGCGGTGTCCTTGAAACTGCGAAAAGGCTGCCGTTTACTCAATATTTTCCTATACTTGGAATGTTTATGTTTTATGAGCTTTTGCGGTATCAAAATCTGCTGGGCTTTGTAAATTCTTCTTTGGAATATCTCATTAACCTCATCTCTCGCCCATTAACCTCTTTCATAATCGGTGGAATGGTTGTTGGACTAACTGAGGAATCCGCGAAGAACCGACATGATAATTGTCCAGAAAGGAGACGGGGAAGACAACCGTCTTATACGCAAATTGGAGTCTCTTGAAAAAGCGCGTGTAGAAATGGAAAAACGCCGAAATTTCCGCTCTACCATAAACATGAAAACTCGTCCCATAATGCGGATTCGGTCTCATATACAACACGACAAAACCCATGTAATAATAAGGATAAAAATCTAATTGTCGCTTGGACGAAACGGTAATGAAACGACAATCTGTGGTCTAATTTGTGAATGGAACATGCTATATGTTTTTAAAATTTTATTTGGCATGAAAATCAAAATGTATTATCACCGTTACTATCACGTGATATTAGAGTCGATGAAAATTGTTTTTATTATGTTAAATCACAAGGATTTCTATTGACCATACGCATGAAATTCCGACTTGGTAGGTGAAATTTATTTTCTCGAATATGACAATGTTAAACCTATTTATATATTTATTCATATTTTCCATTTTTCAGTGGGACTTGGAGATAGATTTGGCGGAACCGGAACAAATTTGGACGAGTCAGACCATTTTAAACTGCTAGCCGCAGATGGAGAATCATTGCTAGTCGGAGCACGGTAAGCTTTTTTTCATGAGTTTGTATTTCGCTTGTGTGTTTCTGTTTGTGTTCTCGATATCGTCGCCGCCGCGAGAAAACGAGTCTCAAATGTGTATGATATTATTATTATTATTATTTGGCGGCGCATGACGCCAATTCCGCGAAGCGACGGCGCTTGTGCGCAAGTTTAAAGCCATACAAATACAACCACACGTTTTTGCGCTGTGGTCGCATTTTGGGGGTTTTAACAAAACGTTCACAAGTTTTGCAATTTTCCAGGTCACCAAACACAGCGTGGTTCCCAGTAGACCATACTGACTTGCGGGTTTCCTTTGAAACTTGCCAATGAAAGTGATAATAATAAATACATTAAAACAGAAATCAAATTATGCTGTTTTAATTGTTATATGCAAAAAATAGGAAGAGATCTTGGTGCGAGGTGTGCACCTTTTACGTTTCCTTATGCTTACTTAGATCCGCATATCTACAGTTTTAGATTTTTAGTGAATAATATTTCTTCTGGAATTTCCATTGTTCATCAAATTTCCTCCGTTACACATTATTATGCATGCCGCCGCCGCAAAAGTAGACATCTTTTGGCAGGTCGTTACGCGTCCATATATTAGTAATTACTGACCTTGTAGGTAAATAAGTGTGGACGAGTCTCACCGATGCATATTTCAATGCCTTGCATTTGGCTCGTTCTAAAGGTCTCAAGTGTATTACAAACAAATCGGCGTCAGCCAGCGTGGTAACTTGTGCTGAATACCATTTAAAAAGAAGGGTGGAGGGGTGACCTCAAAAATCATAAAAATATCATGGAATCAGATTTGTTACTTACTTTGAACATTCTGATTTTTTTCGTTTCTTTCTTTTTTCTATGAAAATGTTATGATTTTCCGATTACACACTCCCTTCAAGAAACCAAACCGTCGATCAAAAACGGCAAGGTAGTTTAATTTTCACGCCGGGCTGCGTTTTTCGTTGTCGATAAGATGAAGAAAGACCTCGTTTTCTCCCATTATTTTTAGTGAAGCGGTTCTCAACGATTCACTCAACTAGAAAATACAAGTTTTGAAGTTTATCGGCGGGAGAACAAAGAACTATGTATTTAATGTGTAAAATTAAAAAAAAATGAGTAGAGAGCGGACCAATTTTAAATAATAAAAACCACTTAATCATTTATTCGAGCATAAAAAATTGTCAAGTTTTGAAATCTGCAAATGAAAAGATATAAACAGATGATGATAATACTAATAATAATTATTATATTTACCTGCCGGGATATTGTGGGTTATGTTGGATATATAGTCGTTAATGATTCACACTACCGTATATACATAGAAATGAGCTGAGAAAGTTCCCGAAAACTCGCGTGATTAAACAGCGAAATAAGAAAATTGCGAGAACATTAGTCGCACATTTTTACATTTTTAATAGATGCTTGTCATTTTGTTTTCTATAAGATCGAATAAAAACGGAAATTTTACATATTTTTGGTAGCTTTTTCGAAGTTTTCTTTTTCTAATAATCTAATTTATTTTGGCGCCATTGGCTGCAAAACACGAAAACAGATGTGAAACAAAAATTTACATTTTGTGCAATTCACGATGTGATTAAATACATGTGATTTAAATATATATATATATATATATATATATATATATATATATATATATATATATATATATATATATATATATATATTTAAATCACATGTATTTAATCATATATATATATATATATATAATAATGAAAACAACAAAATAATTACAGAAATGCTGTCTACAACCTGTCTCTCACTTCACTGACGGTTAATCATGTATGTTTTTTGTCTAATATCTTTATTTATATTTTTTGATACAGAAAATTGATTGGAAACCGCCGGCCGAACATATTGAAGAGTGTATGATGAAAGGAAAAACCAAGGTCTGTGGTCGCTCCATGTTTCTTGAACAATTTGTTTTCCGTTTTCAGATGGACTGTCAAAATTATATCCGAGTTTTAGTCCGAAAGTCTTCCGGTGTTTCGCTTGTTTGTGGAACACATGCATTTGCGCCAAAATGTCGAGAATACTCAACCACCGATACCGGAGTGCAGAACACGCGACAGTTTGATGGTCAAGGAATTTCCCCATACGATCCACGGCACAATTCTAGTGCTTTGTACATCGCCGAAACAAATCAATTGTATACAGCAACCGTAACAGATTTCGCGGGAAATGATGCGTTGATTTATCGAAAATCTATAAGCTCGGAAGTTCGAAGTGGAAATGTTCGCACACAAAAAGACGACACTACAGTTTTGGATTGTAAATAAATTTTAGAAAATTTTAGAAAATTCAAGTTTTCAGCCCCAAATTTCGTTTCTTCCTTTGCCTACAAAGAGCATGTTTATTTTTGGTTCCGCGAGATTGCCACAGAAGCAATAGATAATAATGAAGAAGAACAGGTTATTTTCATTTACAAAAACCTCACGAATCCTCGTACATATATTGTCGAAATTGCGCAACTACTGAAAATTGGCTAAATGCCAAAAACTTAAGAGATTGCGAAAAAAAAGTTTAACTTTTCGAGTATTCTTTCCATTATCACAACCAAATATGTGTGTGAAATAGGTTAATTTTGCATGTCTCTTTGATGCCGATTATCATTTAAACGTCGCAGTCATTTTTTAGATTTATGCTCGCGTGGCACGTGTTTGCAAAAGAGACAAAGGCGGGGCAAGACCAGCCAACGAAAGATGGACTTCATTTCTCAAGGCTCGCCTAAACTGTTCACTTCCATCCTCATCATCTCCATTCTACTTCAATGAACTTAGTTAGTTCTCAGTTAAAAAACAAAAGAACTTACCATTTTTAGAAGCCGTATCAGAACCGATCGCCTCAGGGCCGAATGATCACACTGTATACGCAGTTTTCACTACACCTGATTCTCCTGTTCGAATGAGCGCTGTCTGTGCATTTTCTATGAAAAAAATTCGAGATGAATTTGAATACGGTTCATTTAAACACCAAAAATCTGCGCAAGCTATGTGGGTTCCATACGGAGGTCATGAAATACCGAAGCCACGACCTGGATCATGCGTCACTGATTCGACTAAACTACCCGAAGCAACCGTCACGTTTGCACTTCGAAATCCGTTAATGCACAAAGCTATTGATTCAATCAGCCCACCACTTATTGTGGAAGGATCGGATCGTGCCGAACTCACTCAAATAGCTGTCCTCTCTCATGTTCAAGCTGTGAATAATAATCTATATGATATCATCTATATTGGAACTTCGGACGGCCGAGTGCTGAAGATTGTTGAAAACGCGGGAAACGCTACTATTATTCAATCTACTTCCGTATTCAGCCGAGGAGTTCCAGTAGTTAACTTGCTCACCAGCCGGACAAATATCGTTGTGGTATCATCTGACGAAATTGCTTCAATTCCCGTGGCAAATTGTGGACAACAGTCTTCATGCTCTAGATGTGTTCAACTACAGGATCCCCATTGCGCTTGGGATCAAAACACGGCTAGATGTGTTGATCGAAATTCCTGGAGTGGAGGTCATTATATACAAAATCTAGTATTTGGCCAATCCGAGCAATGTCCAGAGGGAATTATTGTCAGTGAAGCGTTCGAGGACATTGGTTAGTGTTAAACACCTTATACAACTGTTCAAAAACATTTTTTATTCTTATCATCACAAAAATGAGCATCTTTGTGGATCATCTTTTTCGTGGTCTTAATTCAAATTTTGATTTTCTCGTTTTTTGCATATGTATGAATAAAAATTTAAAACATTTCAGAAAACGGTAACAACGTGTCACCAGCAGCAATTGCGGTGTATCCCGACGGAAGTCCTTCATCTAAACAACATACGACACTCACACTAATTTTCGCAGTGATTATAGCCTCTTTGATCTCATTGATAGTTGGCGTCTTGGTGAGAAAAACAATTATTTTTTAATCTATTGCAAATTGGGCAGATTGGCGTAAGAGCTACACGTTGGGCAACTTCTTCTGATGCCCACAGATCAGCAAGTTCGACTAGTGGATCGGATTATGACAGTTTTGGCCGTGCAAGGCTAACACGTCACGATTCATTAACAACAGCGACAAAAATTGAGCATGCATATGGTCCACCTTCAAAAACGGTGAGCTAAATATTGTCGAAATCGCGCGATTGCGGAACATTGGCTATATGCCAAAAATTTAATGAGAGGTCTTGATGAGCGGTGTACACCTTTAACCTATCGTTATGCTTAGCCCGTGAATCGAGAGAATTAGCTTTGTGTCAAGACCGCAGCCATTTTTTGCATTCATCCAATTTCCCACTGTCGCGCAACGTCGACAATGACATTTTTTATTTTCGAAAAAAAAAAAACAAAACGTGGCGTTTCGGTCATCGCGCACTTCCATTTATTTCAACTTATTTCTTTCTAAATTCTTTATATAAACGTGAACTGCAACGTGCTTGAACTACAAGTTCGTGCAGCAAAAATTCTGGTGTGTCACTCTTTTGGAAAACACATTACTCGAAATTGTAAATTTAATAATTTAAACATTTCAGAGCATCGACGCTACTTCGCTAGTAATGCCAATGAATGCAGCACATCCGATGTCAATCAGCCAGCATGGTTCTGGAATTAATACTCCATCAAGAGACAAAAATGCCATAGTGACGTCGATTAATCAAAACACGCTACCACGCGACTACAAAGTGAAAAAAGTGTATTTGTAGTTAAGGTTGGATTCCATTTAGTAATTATCCCAGTGCCCCGCGAGAATACGTGTACAATACCTTTCCATTAGATACAGGTCGAAAATCTTAAAACACTTAATACTAACATCAATTTTAACAAATTTATTAACACTGTATATTTTTTATCTGTCCTAGTATAATAGTTTATAATGAATTCCCACCCCCAAATCATTTTTGTTTCTATGTTAGAAGCATATTGATTTTATAGTTGATTATCTCATTGATCTCGTTTGACGAACGAATTTCTTTAAGAAGTATCGCTAAAACATTATCATAGCATATTCAGAATTTTACAGGTTTTACTTTTTCATTATTTTCTCAATCAATTTTTTGTGTTTCATTTGGTTCAGGACGGTTTGGTCAATAAACAATTTAACTGACAATTTTTTATTATGTTTTATTAAAAAAGAAAGAGAAATAGAGAGGGAGAGAGAAATTCTTGCTAAAATGAGATAAATGTTATGTGGAACGTTGTCTGCGTTGTAAATTGAAAAATTTACAAAGATTATATTTTGTTAATTCCGGAACGTTTGCATGTCGTCACCAGCAACTATGAATCCATTTCTAAAATTTTCGCTTTAGATTAACAAATATATTGTCGACGTCGCGACCCTCTTTTCAAATTTTTTTTAGCATATAGCCAGTTTTCCGCAGTCGTGCAACGTCGACAATACCGAAGACAGACGAATTTAGGAAAAGGGGGATCGCGTTTCGGTATTCAGTAAAGATTCAGAAACACGCACGCAAAATTGCATATTTTTTAAAGGTCTATTAGAAACCACCCCTACTTTTTAACCCCCACCCCTGCTATTCCACCCCGACTTTTTAACCCCGACTTTTATTTATGATACCACCCCCACTTTTTCACCCCCAATTTTTAGATTTCACCCCTACTTTTTCACTGCACTTCAAAATTTGAAGTTTCTAACAGTAATGTTTAACAGTAAAATTTTTTAATATTTTTAATAATTCAAGTTATCAATAGGAGATTCGCAGGACTGATGTCTAAATTAGATTTTTCAGAAACTATTGTCGAAGTCAAACGACTTGACGAAATTTAAAAAATAATTGGCTATGTGCCAATGCGTCTCGAGGCAGCGAAATTGCGTCCATTGCATTATAGCGTACGCGCATTGAATATTCAGTCAACGATTAATTTAAATCTACATTAATTTCGCGAATTTAAAGGCTCCGCCTCCCTTCAGTCGTTTGACGCCGACAACATGTAGTGTTCTTATGAAAGGTTGACAATTTTAACAAGAAATTAACTATTCTCGGAAAACCCTGTTCAGAAAAATTTCGTCTTTTGTCAAAACGTCAACCTTTCATAAGAACGCTACATAGTTTCTGAAAAATCTAATTTAGACATCAGTCCTGCGAATCTCCTCTTGATAACTTGAATTATTGAAAATATTAAAAACAGTAAAATTTTACTGTTAAACATTACTGTTAGAAACTTCAAATTTTGAGTGTGAAAAAGTAGGGGTGAAATGAGAAAGTAGGGGTGAAATCTAAAAATTGGGGGTGAAAAAGTGGGGGTGGTATCATAAATAAAAGTCGGGGTTAAAAAGTCGGGGTGGAATAGCAGGGGTGGGGGTTAAAAAGTAGGGGTGGTTTCTAATAGACCTTTTATAAAATATTACATCCGCAAAAAAAGAGCATCCTGCGCCAATTTGCGGTGAGTTAACTTCGTAGGTTATTCAGAGTACGGTATCCAAATTCCCACAGTTTAATTTCGAATTTAAATTACCACCTTGAAAAATTGCGATGGTCCATAATTATGCAAGGCGTTCGTTTTTTTTGCGATAGTAATATTTTTATTTTATAACAAATTCTCATTTATTAATACGCATTTTTCACATTGCAAAATGTCGGACTGAATTTTTTTCCGACCGGCCCTCGACATTAGACTGCTCAAAAAAAATTTTTTTTAGTGGATTCAATTTAAACGCCGGCAAGAGTTGTAATTTCTCAAGTAATTATTTTTGCGAAACTCTGATGGAAAATGACGTGCTTTGCAAATAAAAACGTGTCGGTGTGCCGTGGCATAGGAAGGCGGATCGGATACATATTATGTAGAAACATGTTCAGAACTAAATTTCACTAGCGCAAGCATTTCTATTTCTTTAAATTTATGAAATTCTTTCGTCTTCTACAACATGTACTTTACCGTATTGCACAAATAGAAGCTGGTAAATTGACAAACGTCGGTTTTCTCAATAAGTTCTGCCCACTGAATTCGCTTTCAATAACAGCACAATCTAAAGACACTGAATAAATCTTCTTAGAGATTGAGCAAATTCCTATAAATGAAAATTTCTGTAATTATAAACCAAGGGTACGTTATACCAACTACAGTGGATAAATGCTTTTGAATAGTTCGAGCTTCTCCACGTTCCAAAAAAATTACATTTCCTGAATCAAAACCGAAAACATGTTTGTTTTCGTCTAAAATAGCCATTGATGTAACTCCACTTCGATCTTCAAATCTCTAAATTCAGAAAATAATATATGAATGACACAATAAATACTGCCATCGCAAAAAAAACGAAGGCCAATGTTCATTGACTCATACTTTTTGACTTGACTCATGATTTTTGACTCATAAAAATTGTATCATGATTTTTTATTCTTTGACTCATGATTTTTGACTAGTGATTTTTGACTAATTTTTTTTTTGACTAACAATTTTTGACTAATGATTTTCTGAATTTTTTTAGTTGAAATTCCTGCAGTTTTTTCAGTATTCAATTCTGTTTTTTTTTTGGCCAATATTGATGGGTAAGAAGCTGAAGGGTGGGAGGAATTGGGGGAAAGATTATTACTGAAAGGAAAAAAAGTTATTTTAACTTCTGTAAGCATAAAAAATTGTTTTTTTGGCATTTCATCGCTTATCGATTTCAATGAGAAGCTTAATCCCAGCTAAGCGGATCCACCGAAGGAATCGACTGTAACATTAAACGAATATCTGTAGTGGGCCAAATGGTATGTATGATTTGATGTTTTTAGTAGTCTTCGTTAGTTTAATGAAAACAACTAAACACAGTTTTTATTCGCTATCATTTATTATTGAGCGTGAATAAAGGAGGGAAATGGATGGAATAACGCGATAAGTGATTTTTTATTAATTTATTTTGCAAAATATTTTAGCAAAAATAACACATTGTTATACTTTGAGAAGTTTTTTGAAGGCTGTTTTGTTAGAAGTACCATTTTGATAAAGGTTTAACGGTATAATGATCTATCGAAAATTTCAATGATTGATTAATTTTAAAAGTTTTTAATAATTTTTTTGAATATACCGTTTTTCCTGAATTTTGATGAGAAATCGAAAATTATGCCGTTTTAAAACAGGCCTGACCGAATAAGCTAAAATAATTTGCAAAATAAATTAATAAAAAATCACTTATCGCGTTATTCCATCCATTTCCCTCCTTTATTCACGCTAAATAATACATGATAGCGAATAAAAACTGTGTTTAGTTGTTTTCATTAAACTAACGGAGACTACTAAAAATATCAAATCATACATACCATTTGGCCCACTACGGATATTCGTTTAATGTTACAGTCGATTCCTTCGGTGGATCCGCTTAGCTGGGATTAAGCTTCTCATTGAAATCGATAAGCGATGAAATGCCAAAAAAACAATTTTTTATGCTTACAGAAGTTAAAAGAACTTTTTTCCTTTCAGTAATAATCTGTCCCCCAATTCCTCCCACCCTTCAGCTTCTTACCCATCAATATTGACCAAAAAAAACAGAATTGAATACTGAAAAAACTTCAGGAATTTCAACTAAAAAAAATTCAGAAAATCATTAGTCAAAAATTGTTAGTCAAAAAAAAATTAGTCAAAAATCACTAGTCAAAAATCATGAGTCAAAGAATAAAAAATCATGATACAATTTTTATGAGTCAAAAATCATGAGTCAAGTCAAAAAGTATGAGTCAATGAACATTGGCCAAAAACGAACGCCTTGCATAATTATGGATCATAGCACTTTTTCGAGGCAACAATTTAAATTGGAATTCACAGTGGAAATTTGGGTACCGTATTAAGGATAACCATCAAATCTAACTCACAGTAAATTGGCGCAGGGTGCTCGTTTTTTGCGAATGTAATAATTATTTGGAAAAAAACCTACGATTTGATTAACTAGAGAATTATTTAAAATATCCCTAATTTCGTAGAGCAGTAAATAACTTCCGGATGTGCCCACAAATAAAGTGAGTTTCGTATCCGAATTCAACAAATAAACCTGCAAAATTCAATTTTATTATAAACTGAATATCTTATTTTACTTTTGCTCCAATTCCCAGTTCTTGAGGAAGATCAATTCTCCCTGCAGATTTCAATTCGTTGTCTTCCATTTTGAAAATTCTGAAAACACGTTTTTCGGCACTTAAAAAAATAACTAACTCAATGATGGCTGATGAGTATGAAACGAAAAATACGATTTCATCCTCAATTTGAGAAATTTTTACACAAACTACTCTTCCTTCATCTGGCTTTTGTAAACTACGAAGCCAAAACGAATCTTCGTGTAAGTCGACTAAAAAATAAATTCGTTTCATTAAGTTGTTCAATTGGTTTACTTTTATTCAACTTGCAGACCGAAATTTGCGATTTTCCACCACCTGAGATTATATAAACATCGTTTTTATGTTCAACAATATCAACGCAAAGAAGGTTTTCTCCAATGAACATTGTTTTTATTATAGAATAGTCTGAAAACTTTTTCTTGAAAAAATAACATAGTTGTTATTTTTTATTATTGCCGTCATTACGCGACTGCGGAAATATTATCATAAAAAACGAGCACCGTCGGAAATTCAAAGAATTAGGCGGCTCCCAGTTATGACCAGTATTTTGCTTACACGGGTTAATGTAGTGAGGACCTCTCGCGAGGTAAATGTATAAAATTTTTGTAAATTTACATAGAATAAATTTTGGTTCTATTCTTATAAACTTATTTTTTATTTTCTGCAGTCGCGCAACGCCGATCATTTTCTAAAGAAATGAAATTAATCACTTTCGTTTTCCGACTCGAAATTTGACGAAATCGTTAAAACACCGTCGAGGGAAACAGACGCCATTAATCCTGATGATGAAGTCGATGCGCAAGCGATTGGAGAGCTATGAGCACTTCGGGAAAGATATTGCAGATTTTTCAGAGACAATTTCTGGCGGCATAGCGACTGGAAAATTATATTGATCCGGTTAAGAAACGGAGAAAATACTACACACCCCATTCCTCAAAAATTCAAAATATATAACATTAGGAGTTTCTAGTGATTCTCGAACTTGCCATTCCCGATGTCCACCACCACACCAAATCTCGCAAACGGACATAGAAAATTTAGGGTCCCATACCACGAAGGATGTCTGAAGACGATTCGAAATTAGGAAAATACATAAAATGAAATCTTACTCCGTGAAATCCTACAATATATGTATCATGTGACATAGTTCTGAAGAATTTCTGCGGCCACGAAATTCGACTGTTCGCCGCAAAATTACGAGAATTTAAAATCTGGGGTAATATTTCGCAATTCTCGTCTAGAGTGAAGCAAATCGTAATCCATCTTCCGGATTTGTTCAAGATCATAACCATATTCTCTTTGGGCCCTGCTTCTATACATGTGATTTCTTTTCCATTAAATTGTTCGCGACACTCAAAAACCTGAAAGTGTATAATCAAATTATTTGCATAAAAAACAATTGTAAAACGTTTTTAGAAAAAATCACGATTACCTGTCTTCCTATTTTACCTTTAATCTATATTTTTTCAAAGATAATATCATCGAAAAAACGAGCGTCTTGCATAATTTTGGACCGTTGCACTTCTTCGAGGCGGTAATTCAAATTTGAATTTAAACAAAGAATTTGGGTACGGCATTACGAATAACGTAAGCTATTTAACTCACTATAAAAATCGACGCAGGGCTCTCTTTCTTTTGCGAATATTATATTTCAAATTTGCATTACCACCTCAAAAAATTCGACGGTCGACAAATACAAGGTGATTGTTTTCCAATAGTAATTATATCTATATCAGATAATATACATACTCTTCTTTAATAACTAAATATGGCAATTAATGAATTTAAATTAAATTGTTAATAAATGTATCAAATGCAGGAGTATAAGAATTTATAATATGCACACATGGACAGTACCACTGCACGCAGGAAAATTGAATTTGATGAAAAAAACGTTTGATTATTTCGTTATTTTCAAGTGAACCGTTTATTTTGTTTTGATGAGTTTAGAATTTCCTTCAGCAGTAGTCGGACGGCGAAATTCTTATATGTACTCTTACATTAGATACATTTATTAATAGTAACCGCTTTTAATCAGTTTTTCATATTTTTTTTTACGAAAAATTTTCAATTGTGGATAAAAAACTGATTTTCCACAGATACCGTTTTTCCATTATCCAACGTGCAGTTTACTTACTTTAAGACAGTATTTCGCGACATGGACATCCGGATTTGTCAGATTGACATAAAGAAGTTCTCCATGTGAGGAACCTAACACCAAAACTTCAATACTTTGTGAAATACTGCAAACATAAGGAAATAATTGAAAAAAATCTACACCTTTCATACCGGATAACGGTGAACACTGCAGGTATTGTGGAAATTTTGGGAACGCTGAATGTTTTAATGCGCTTCAATTTGGAAGCGTTGCAAAAATTAAAACAAATCTGTGAAATTCCAAAATTTGGACAAAAAGTTCTGAATACATACAAAGTGTCCATTAATCAACTTTACGAGACAATATGATTTGTTTACAACTGCTGTTAGTATATTTGCTGTCATTTCCATATCAATAACTAAATATCATAAATTGTGATTTAAAATAAAAGAGATAATTACCTTGATTTTTTAATATAAAGTATATATTGTTGGCTTTCCAAGCGACTATTGAGTCGTCGCAACAATTCATACTCCGCACATTATCTATTTTGAATAATATTTCTTCCATCAAATCATTTTCGTAGACGGATAGAATGCTAAGGAATTGAAACTCGAATTTTTCATCGACGCGCTTACTTCTTTTCATTTAAGATAACCAACTTCTCATCCAAAAATCCAAAATTTCTAATTTCATCCGGAATTAATTCTTCAGCTCCACTTGCATCACCAACATTCACAATCATCAAATTGCCTCCTCGGGATCCAATAGCCTTGAATTTAAAAAGTATTTTAAACGACAAAAATATTTAAAACCAAAAAGTTTTCATCAATTGGCGTGATTTTCCTAAAAACACCAATAGATAGGAAAATCTTCCTATTAAGATATAATTCACTGTTCGTATAGCTCCACACAAAAATCGCCTGCTCAATTCCACCCGTAAAAATTTTGTAGTGTTTCGAATCTACATAAATCGCAAACGGACGAGCTGTATGGCCAAAAGCCGAACTGAAACTGCATTTCAGTTAACAATAAATAGATGTGTTACCAAATCGGGCCATTTTCCATATTATCCGTAGACCACATGCGAAGAGTTCTGTCATCAGAGGTTGTGAAAATCTTCGAACGATCGCTGGCAATAGCAAAAATCATGCCCTAAATGCAATATGTATTTTCGTGGAATAAATTACACATTTTCTCATGTTTACAGCACCTTTCATACGTTTTTTCGTAGTCGTAATGGGATAACAGCTAATTGTAACAAATGACACATAGATTGTTAGGATTCTTCTTTGATTATGTTTAGGTCAAAGTAAAGGAAATCTTATCCGAATATTCGACAAATAAGGAAGTAGAAATTATGAAAGGTTGCCTACTTTGTGACCATAGAACATCTTCACGCTCTCTTTTCCTGTTTTTGTAACGTCCCATTGAATCAAATCACCCAAAACGCTACCAAAAAAAACTTTCAGAGCATTACTATCGTTAAGAATCAAGGAACAAATCCTGAAAATATAATGAATTTCTTTATTAGAAAACAGAAAAAGTTACGATGTTGCCTGATAGTCACATTGGATCGATTTCTCCAGTGTTAAATCGTTAGTCCGATATTGTAGAAGCGTATTTCGGGACGTCACTACAATGACATTCTGAATACTAATATTAAATACACATTCAATTTTAAAACTACCGCTCCATCGTTTATCAATTTGCATCCAATTACGTTTTCGGGAAAATTTCTCTCCAACTTATTACAAATTTTTTCATACTTGACATCATCTTTGATTTTCGTAGTCACTAAAATATTTAAAATTCAACAAACGACACATAGTTGACGATTTTTACATGAATTTTTAAAATCTTTGTTAGAAAACGGCAAATGCGCGAACAATGCGGATTCAATGAAGGCGCTTTTTTTTGAAGTTTCATCTAAATTTTGAAGTGTTGACATTTAAGGTGTTAATACTTTACGATTTAATGCAAGCTCCGCCAATAAATCCTGTAGCAAGTTCTCGTTGAATCGCATTTTCCAAATAAATGGTACAACACTCTGAATTGTTTTATTTCCGTTTTCAAATAATGATGCTATGGCGATTTTGGGAGTCTTTTTAAAAGATTTTTTATTGAAATTTGCATAGTACCATTCGAACGTTAGCTCCTTTTGGCCACATTTATATTCAGTTTTTTTTTCGATTTTTTTCCCAAATTAACATATCATCATAATAGGTGAATTAGATTTATAGTTATTAAACTAAACATTTTTTAACATGCAGAATTATATTACCATCGCAAAAAAAACAAGCGTCTTGCATAATTGTGGACCATCACACTTTTTCGAGGCCGTAATTCAAGATTGAAACAATGCGATTTTTTAATCGTACGGAATTACCTGCCAGCGTTAGCCTGCCGATTATCAAATTTTAATTGCCACTTCGAAAAAGTGCGATCGATGGTCCACAATTATGCAAGGTTTTCGTATATTGTGATAAAAGATATTTTTTTTTCCACAAAAGACGATACCGCGATTATTTAGTCGCCAGACGCGTTGCGGTTCACGGGCGCTCCCGTTTATTTAAATTTTTGCTTCGAAATTCTAGATCCATTCACGAAATGTATTGTAAAAAAAAGTTTTAAAAAAATAGTACATTAAATATGTATTTTTTACAATCCTGCGAAAAATTTTAAAATTTTAGTTTTTTTTTATTTCATGAATAGATCCATTGTATAAATGTGAACCACAACGCGTATGAACTACAAGTTCTTGCAGCGAAGAATGCAAGTCCTTGTAGTTCAGAGTTTTTTTTGGAGAGTAAACGCACAAAGTTTTCAAAATTTATCGGTAGCACATTTAATAGTCCGCAAACACTTAATTGCAGAACCACGGACTTGTTCAAGCGGAAAATCGGAAAATTTAGATTTTTGAATAAACAGTTCATTCCAAAAAAAATTAACGCTTGTAACACATATTTTACGAATTTCACGACTGGATGGACAATATTAGTCTGGAAAATCATAGAAAATGCTGGAGTTGTATTAACAAAAATCCATTAATATCGACTGTCGTAAAATAGCAGCTTTCTATATTCTGTAAAAGAAAATCGTGTATTTTGAGGAATCGCCTTTAATTGTGCATTCCTGCATATAAAAAATTCTCAACAGAGCACTTTTCTCAGCTCAGTACCCGCCAGTTCTTTTGCGTTTCTTTTGTTTAATTCATTATGTTTTGGTTAAAACCAACATTCGTATTCGTATAAATGGAATATTCCACACGAGTATACGGATTATTTTCTGGAATAGGCAAATAATATAAAAGCGAGATACGCACAAGTCTCACTATTCAAACAAATTTTAATAAGGGATCGAGATGAAATAGCTGTAATAGAGATCTTAATATTATATATATATTTTTTTACACACTTAGTTTTAAAATTCCGCATTATCGTTTATTCTCTTAATATGTGTACTTTGAACAATTTTATAACATTCTCATCGTGCGATTTTCTTGAATCGTAAATCATTTAACTCGCATTTTTCCTTTCTCTCTAGGCAGAAGCTTTTCCGCTCATCTAATTTTCTAATACTATCAAGTTCTGCCATCTTCTCTTTTCTTCTACTTCTATTTTTCATTGTTTTTTCAACTCGCTTCATTTATCGAATGCGAATTTCAAATTCAGTAAGAAAAATTCTTAATATGAAAAATCATGAGAAATTTCCTTCACATTTCTGTATATATTGAAACTTTAGTTTTCAGTTGTAAATTAAAATTCACTATTGCACTTTTCGATAATAATTAAAAACCTTTACGGTCAAAAGAAGTTTCTCCCATCATGTCTCAGAAAAAATTTGGCGATTCCGGAAATGCACAATTTACACTTTTGTGTCATAAAGCCACCTTTTTATTCATCTTTTTTTCTTATTCTTCAAAGTAAAATGCTTAAATTGTAGTTCAAGTCTCTGCTTGTTGCGGCAAAATATAGGTGTGTTCAGCGATGGCGGATGGCACTGCTATTATGATTTGAGTTCCACTAGATTTGCTTAAATTTGGATCTGTACCCTCGTTCAACTTCTTGCGACCGTTTTCGCAGCAGGATATTAATCAGAATAACGTTTTAATCATTTAACCACCTTGTTTACCGGGGAAAAAATATTTGCTCGTTTACCGGACAAGGCCGGAGTTTTGCACGCGCTCGAGAGGAACACGCAAATTGACTTTTCAAATGAATTAAACGAAACGCACAAAAACCGACAAGCGGTGACGAAAAGACTCAGCAAAAGTGAAGACAATTATTCCGCAACGCGCTTGCCTCGCCTTTTACCCCGCGCGCGATTACTGTAAGATTCTGGTGTAAAAGTCTACTCTACGCTGCGCAGCCAGTGGTGTGATTTACTGCGCGCGGAGCGACTATGTGGAATTTTGCTGGTTTTTTGCTTGCGCAAGGTTAAAAAATCACAGGATTTTTAAAAAGATTTTTTCAACTATAGTCCAAACACATTAATTTAAATGTTCTGCTCACTCTCTTTTTTCGCTTCTGAGATTTTATTTTCCATCAGATGTGATGGTTTAGATTAAAAAACCATGCGTACTAACTTTTTGAAATAAAGAAGAATAAATTATTATACTGCTGTTATATTTGAAAGAAGCGATTGCGAAAAAACGAATTGATGTTTTAAATTGGAAAAAAGGGGGAATACACAGAAGTCGAAATATACACGCTTTTCTTATTTGAAAATTGTAGTCTGAAAAGATTGCTAGGTAACAATTATATGACCCCAGTGGGAATTCTATAAAAATTGAGAGACCTAGAACAGAATTTTTGTTGGGAAAGGGTTTGAAGGTCCGCTAAGAAAACAACCTACCGTACGAAATTAAAAATAATTTTTTGCTATTCTTGTTTTTTAAACATTAAATCTCACTTAGCAAGGAAGGATGAACAATAAATATTTATACGAAGCAGTGCCATAATATTAATAAAAAATAATTTTCATTATTAAAATTGTAAACTTCTATTAATTAAATTTTCACTAATTCTCTATTCTTAATTAATTAAACTAGAAATTTTAAATGTTTCGCTTGTTTTCTGTTTTCCAATTTTGTATGTATTTTGCTTTTCTAATTTGTTTTAATTTTAATGTATCGCTTCAGATAATTTGGCTTGTTTTTGAACTGATGAATGTCTCGGATGTTGAAAGGCAGAGTTTCAGGTCAGATTTCCAATATGAGTAATGTTGATCAAATTATTACTTCATGTCCTTCGCAATTCATTTCTAATGTGTGCTATGCAAAACTCGTGCGGCTAGCAAGTTCGAGCTCGAAGTTATTACTTGAATGACATCACAACATTTTTATGCTGCGGATGCTGCAATTGCTTTAACGCGACCTTCATTATTCCGTCAATTCAAATATATTTATTTTTGACTCTCTTTCGTAGTTTTTGTGTGGTTTTAGACAACAAAATCTGCAAAATGCAATGAATTTCCTATGAACCTATTCAATTGTCATTCAAAATAGTCGAACTTGTAATTTTTCCAATTAGGCACATTTTAATATTATGCCATATTATGCCAATGAATCTCGAAAAAAAACAGAACTTTGTGTGTCTGCATACTCCGCGTTTTAGTTTAAAAGCATTTAATATTTAGCAAGTACCTATATTCACAAACTAGTTGAAATTTTTTACATTGCCTTTTTTCGTGTTTTTTTCCAAAAATAGAAAATTAGCTTTTTTTTTTTGAAAACACGCAATAATAGAAAATGATGAACATCCATATATGTTGATTTAACCGTTTGTAGTGTATTCTTGAAAACCATAATAAACTTCCATAAATCATAAATTTCACAATTAAAAGAACCAGAATGGAGTATAATTAATTTAGTTAAACGCATAAATGTTGTCCAAGTCAACGCTAAATGAGGCATTCATTTTTTTTTTGGATTTCGTTAACCAATTTCAAATTGTAGTATCAGCTGTAGAGAATCTGGCAAGTAGAAGTCGAATTGGAAAGTCAATTGTGCAAAATTCATAATATATATTTTTTTTAGAGCGAAGAACTTTTTCTAGAGTGTTACCTATATTATTAATTGTTTCTATGCAGTTTTCTGTTGTTTATATATATATATATATATATATATATATATATATATATATATATATATATATATATATATATATATATATATATATATATAAAAGATTTAATGGACAATTAGGCGGTTGCTCGAAGAGCCGTGTTAAAGTAATTTGATCGAATTTTCGCTTTGTGTCATTCATCGCCAGCCACTCTCTTCATTAACTAACATATTTGGTCTTGCTACGAATACCGAACGAATTTCGCTTTGCATTTTTTGACCAAAATCTCATTAAATGTCGTGTCCAAATCCCATGAGGTTTCCGGTGCTCCTTCAATTTACACAATTTTGTCTTTCTTAAAGCACCTTTCACCAATTTCGATAAGCAGCGTAGGGTAAATTAATTGATAATTGCTTAAAACAAAAAATTCTAAAAGTTAGTTATTCAAATGCCTATTGCAATAAATTATTCAATACAGTTTGCGAAATGTTTGAGTAATTATAACTACCTACACTGAAATAAACTTTGTTATAATATTGCCATAAGTTGTCAATTTTGTTAGTGAAGTACGAAAACGAAACGGAGAACTTCCGGATTAGCTGTGCCACAGCGCGTGGCTGCCTCATTCAAATTTCCTATCCAATTTCGCGCACCTTAATATTGAAAAAGAATAATGATAATATAATACAGAGCAAAAACATTATAACCGTTTTGCTTTATTTTAGTTCCTCAATTATTTCTACAAATGTGAGAATCTGAAATTTTTTCCCATTTCTTGCACTATGGAAAAAATATCCATATGTGTGCGTGTGTATGTGTGTAAGCTATAATATTATATTAAAAATAACAATGCAGTTTGAAATATATATATATATACATATATCGATTTGAGACATATTTGGCTTTTCCGCCTCGATAACGCAATTACTTCAATTGTTCAGTTTTATTTCGTCACGAATTTTTGCGTATTAGACTTCAAGTTTAAATATAGTTTTTTTTGTTATTCTGCTTTGTGGGAATTGTGTTAATTAATAATGATAATAATAAAAAGAGAAGGGTTTTTGTTGTTTCGTTCATTAATTCTTTCATACCTTCTTTAAAACAAAATAACATTACTCATGTTTGGAGATCGAAATATGTCGACGCCTTCGCGTCAACTGAATCGTGCGACGTTTCCGCAACCAGGTTGTGGTTACGTTGCATCACCAACCATCCGAGCACGTTCATCGGCTTTCAATGTCAAGGCAAGCGATTTTTTTAAATTTTTTTTGCAGACGTGGAGCCAATCGATGAGACCAATAAAAAATGTTTGAAGCAATTCGAAGATATTCGCAGGTTTGCCAAAATTGTTATGAACTTTTTCCGGGTTTTCACAAACGCTTTTCCATTATCGATTTTTCACTATTGATTTCTCACTACCATATCCTCTTATACTCAGCTTTCCGGAAAGTTTACTACCGGTCCTATTCCAAAAGCAATTATTGGGGTGGAATGTTTCAAGGGTTATTTTGTCTACCAGTAGATTAAAAAATTTATTAATGAGCAATTATTAAAATAAAACTTTGGCATAAAATTAAAAATTATTGTATTTTCTCAAAAAATATTAATATTTTATAACTCTGTCAAATTTTAAAACTTGTCATTTTTGTTAGATGCAATAATTCGTTTAATAATCTTATACTCTGTATTATTTGACACGACCTAATTTGATTCAACGAATCATTGCTCTTAGCAAAGAGGGCAAATGAAATCAACATATTAGCATAAATATATATTCAATTTTAAGCTGAGCATAATTTTTGAGATCAGGCGAAAACTATAACATCTCAAGTATGGATTTTTTTCGAAAATTAAATATAAATATGAGTATCCTGATCATAGTAGTGAAAATCGATATTTTCGTTAGTAAAAAGTTTATAACGAAAAATCGGTAGTGAAGAATTATTGACCGGGAACTGCCCAAACATTCGCTGAGAATTTCTTACTTGGAATCATATTTATTTTTTTAAAATAGAGTTTTATGATATTCTCAGGAAAGAGGTTGCATATTTCCAAATCAAATGTTTATGTAATCCATGCCTTGGGAAATTCCATCATTAGATTTATTCCCTCGCGAAGGTTTATGGAAAGAGTATTTTTGCATTTAAAATGCATATTCTCAAATGGGATGAAATGAATATCATATTACAACAAAGTTAATACACCCCTGTAAATTCTCATCATAAAGATATATTGTCGTTTTCTGACGAGTGATCGAAATTCGAATAAAAATACTCTGTTCCAATGCGTCTCGAGGCAATGATAACTATGCGGGATGGCCTATCATTTAATCGTTCGCGCATTAATTGAATTATTCGCCCAATCAAAAACTTAAAGAATTACACATTCTCAATGGCAGATATATGTAAAGAAATTAATGAAATTTTTAGATATTTTTTGTAAAACAAAATGCATTTTGTGAATAAGTCCATTAATATGTAGTCAACGTTAAATTTAGATCTAGACTGAATTCACGATATTGAATTTCCCGCCAACAATTAGTCATTTGAAACCGACAATGAACAAAAGATTTTGTGAGAAAATTACTTCCATTAGACGTGAAATTAGCGGAACCAAGGTCCCTGCAGCAGCCCCTGCGATATCTGGCTCAGGGCCACATCGGGCGCTTGTTAGTAATATCTTCAATATTCATCCAAATTCCAATTATCAATCCAACATAATAAAAATGAGAAAAATATAATTTGGACGAGACCTCATATTTAATGTACCCGCTGAAAATTGTCTTCGATGTTTGACACGTTGGGCCAGTTGTTTGCTTCTTTTTTTCCAAACTGCTCTCCTCTTTTTCTTTTCACATATTCTGTTCGATCCATGCATTTGACACACGAACCTTTTCGGCAAATTAAATAGAATTAAGTGCATATGCGCTTTGTTTTCTCTGCGTATAGATATAAAACATCCAACCTCTTCGGGCGGATGTAGGGAGGATCAGGGGGCGTGAGGTGACCTAGGGAAAGAACGGTGAACACGGGCCAACGTTTCTGAGGATTTTCGTCTGAACTTATTTTTTTATTATTTCGAATTCTAGATCTAATTCAATAAAGCTGCAACCAAGAAAGAAAAAGAGAAATTACAATTTTTACCTATTTTCCCAAAATTACGTAATTTACAAACAAAGCTTCAATACGTCGCACCAAACATTTCTTTCACATTAGACAGATGCCACACGCTTTTCTAATTATGGCATAACGTCGACCGAAATTACAGGGTTTGCCCATAAGAACAAATTTCAGTCCATAATTAAGAATATAGCGGCAACCTAGAAGAGAAAATTCCTCTAGAATCGATTCGTCAAACTATTTTTTGATACCATTATAAACCTCAAAAATGTGAGTCTCGGCTCGAACCTTTTTCTAATTTTCACCTGTTTGAGTTGCGTGATAAAAATATTGCAGATAGAAGTGCACATATGCAGAACTAGACACGTATTATTACTGCTGTATTAATTCTACTTATCATATAGTTATGAGAACAATTTTTCCAAGAACTTGATGAAGCTTTGTGGATGCATTAAACGAGTCAGTATGCACCGACATTTTTTCAAGTAACATCAAAATAATCAGAGGATTTTTCATAATTTAGTATTTATCATAATTTACTGAGAAAAACATAAATTTCCAACATTTCGAGTATTAATAGATTAACTTTAAATTTCTGAGTTTGGATACACATTTAATCTATAATTGGTTGCGAGCATCTGTGGCTGAGCTCACAAACACACACACACGCTCATATCCCTTTCCTCCATGCTGTTTGAGTGTCATTCTCTCAATTTTTCAGACCCTCCCCCCACCCTACCCACCCATACTACACTCCCTTTTCAACTTTTAATTTATCCCTCGCGGAAACCCACCCTCTCCATTATTCGCTGGCCGTTTTTTTCCAAATAACGCGCCAAATGCGCTTTTCGGCAATATCAATAACTTTTCGGTGTCTACCGTAAAAAAAGCCAATAAGTTGGTGTTGGGTAAAAATAGACCCCGTCGATTATGGCGGAAAAGAATAATAAATACTCATCGGTCGCAAATTTTCGCAAAAGTTTTGGATTTCCATTAAAGGTTTTTCTGAGTTTTGTTAAATACCAGTTTTGCGTATGTAATGCAACTTTCCAGGAACTCTCGATGGTCCCGAACCGACCGATCATCTCACCGACACTTTCATCCCCCTTGTCTGGATCTGGTCCAATTCCGCTCGAAAAGGATTATCATTCTTTAGAATTTTGCTTTCAAAATGGTCATTGGAGAGTATACAGTTCAAAAAGCGTGTTTGGAAATCAGGTTTATATCACTGTAAAACTCATCGCTCAAATTTTCGCGCTTTGCCAACCCATCTTAAGATGTAACTCGTCTGAATAAAATTCGCACGGAGTCGGTCAAACATTTCAATAGAAACCAATTCCGAGCGGCGTCTATTGAGATTTACCAAGTATATTACAAAATTTAGTTGAATGTTAAATTACCGTTCTGAAAAAAAGAGGGCCTAGAAATACCCTTTTTGCGATTATTATATTGTCGCATATTCTTATATCCTTATAAGTTTTTAAATGAAAAAACGCTCAAATTTGAGTTTAGATATCAAATGAAACATTCATCCTAGGAGTCGTCGGTTCTGGTTTTCGAGAAAAGACATAACGTCAAAGCTCCGCCAAGAATTGGTCGAATGGCAAAGTTTGCACTTTCAGATCTTTTAAAGTTAGCACAAACACGATTTATCAAGAATTTTTACTTAAAAGTTTACAGATATGAGCTCAATCAACTTAATACCCTTATTCATCCGAGAATATTGCATATTGAACATGCTTTAGAAGAGACGAAGTTAAGCCAATTTTGGTTGAAAATTAATTAATTTTTTTAGGGACCTAATGGCATTTGCTACCGAGCTGCTAGTTTCAACACTGGAGACAGCGATTTCTGAACATGGAATTGATCCATTGGAAACTAAATTGGGAGTCCTGCAGGTAGTTGTTATAAAGCATTCAATTATTTGAAAATTTTTAAACTAATCAAAATCTTAATTTTTAGATAATCGACGGTGTATCGTATCTGCATAATTCTGCCAAGATCCTTCACGGCAACCTCACCCCAGAGGCGATTTATGTTACTGCCGCAAAATCTTGGAAAATTGGAGGATTCATGTTCGCCGTGGGCGCGAAAGAGCCAAACACTTATCCATGCTTTCCATGGACGAAAAAGCTACCACCATGCTTACAACCTGATTTGGATTTTCTAGCTCCAGAATATTTGACACCTGGCCAAACAACTGTCACCACTGCTGCTGACGTGTTCTCACTTGGTGTTTTAATTTGCTGGATTTACGCTGGAGGGAAAAAATTAATAGACGCGAAAAACAATCTCGAAACCTATCAAATAATATGTGGGCAGGTATTTCTAAATACCTGATTCACGATTATTTTGAGTATAAACTATATTTAGCTTGACGTGGCTCTTCAATGTATTGCAAATGTTTTGGGCTCCAATCTGAAAGATTCAATGAACAAAGTTTTGAGCCTGGATGTTGAAGTCAGACCAACAGTGCAACTATTATCTTTAGTATGATTCACATTTTTAATTGTTATATTTCACTTTCCACAAAAATTCCAGACGAAACATTTTGATGATCCAGCTTTATCAGCTTTACGCCAACTTGATGATATTTCTCAAGTTTTTGACCCATCTCAGAAAGCTCATTTTCTGAGTCAAACACTGTATTCAGCTCTGCCTTCTATTCCAGAGGTAATAAAAAAATATGAGACAGTTCATTTTCTAAGTTATTACAGACAGTGTGGTTTACGAGAATTCTACCTCGTTTCAATGAACAACTCATGGAACTGCCTGAACTTTATTTTGCTCTTTCGAAACCGCTTTTCTATATGTTGGATCAGTGCGAAAGTCACAATATCGATAAATTGAAGATATGGATTCGAAGACTTGTGGAAGCCGCAGCGCACAACAAAATGGTACATTCCAATTTCAGTAGATCTCACGATAATATAATTGTGTCACATCCTTTTTTTTGAGAGCTACCATTTATTTGACACTTTTCTAATCGTTTAAACCTAAAATGTCAATAAATAAAAAAAAAACAACGATATTTAGGCGGTAAATCAAAGGCCTTTCCATTTTTTAAATTGAAAAATGTAACGGTTTAGAAAAATAAAGCTCGTTACATTTCAGCTTCGATCGTTTATGCTGGATAATATGTCTGTATTATTTCGAAGACTTTCTGATGAATTTGTCGAGGATCGATGTCTTGAAGTGATCATTCATTCATTGAAATCTGAAGACACTTCCTTACAGGTAATTTTTTCTTAGTAAAAAAATTCCCGTCGTAATACTGCTGGCGAACTTGGCCAATATTCTTTCACCCATTTTTTCGCCCCCCCCAACCCCGATCGATTTTTAACACCAATTTTTATTGCTTTAAAAAACAATGTTTTTTCTTCCAGTTTTCCAGCTTCCTATTTTCTTATGCCCATTTCAAATGGAAATTCGCAATCATGTTCATTAAATATTTTAAGCAACAGTCTCCTCGAAGGCTCAATATGAAATGTGAGAATGAGAAAATGAGCCATATTAACTTTGCTGTAAAAATAAATAGAAAACTAAAAAAATTTCAAAGCCAATAGGTCATTCCAAAAACTTGTAAATTTGATGCATCATACAAAAATGTTCAGTAGCTGGAAAAGTGGGAGCAAAAAAATCGGAATGGGAGTAAGAAAAGGGTGGAAAAATAATTATCCAGTGAAGTTCATTATCTACTTTCAAAAGTCATAATCGAATGATTTGAAAATGGTAAAATGCAAAATGAACATTTTTTTACGTTTCTCCCTTTTTAATTAAAAAAAATGATTAGGCGGCCAGTCTTCGCGGGATTCCGCACGTTGCTGAATATTTGCCGGCGACGTTTATAAGCAAAAAGTTGTTACCTGCAATAATGTGCCTACCTTCATTTCTTCATGATAACGTTCCGGTATGGATATCCGTTTGTGTGAAGTCGATTCAAAACGTTCAGCGACAACTCGATCTTTTGGCTTGCCTGGCTGCATTATCAGATCGTTGCGACGCCAACACTCTCACACAGCTTCTTCAGTCGGTTTCGTTATGCTCTGCACATCATCCCGTTATAATTCATGCCAAATCAAGTCGTGTCAAAAACTTTCTTAATTGGCTTATTATTTCAGCGATTTTAGGAATCGTGCAGAGAATTGTGACACGGGATCCCGTCCGTCTCAAAGATGCCCACCAAGTTTGTATTCATCTTCTGAATCCATTGGTAATCGGATTGGCTTGCAAAGAATTGAGCAGTGCCCATTTCGATGACGTGATGAGTAGCATTCGCATTCTTTTGGATATTGTGGAACAACGACGGTACGAGACAGAGGAGCGACAAATGCAACCGCAGCATCATTTGGGTCTTGGGTAAGGGTTGTCATGCTATTCTTATATTCTTATATAATTGTCGACCATTGCACTTCATCGAGGCGGTTATTCAAATCCGAAATTAAACAGTGGGAATTCGGATACCGTATTCTGTGTTTACGTCTCACACATAAACACACTATCTCATAATGGACATTTCTAGATTTTTGAGAAAAAGGAGGGGGATCTTTTCGAGAAAAAAAGGGGGATCTGACCGGCGACGCCTGGGGTCCGAAAAAAAACTTTTGCACATTTCGACCGCTCTAAATATTTTTCCGAAATTAAAACCAGCAACAATACAATGGCTCAATTTTTAGAAGAATGGGCAGCCGTCGGGTGTCAATGTCCTCTACGAACTTACCTCGGGTGATGATTAGTGCAGCAAGGCCTTCTTTTTCCTCAGATTCTCGAAAGATGTCGTTTTTGTCAGCTGATGGCCGATTAGAAGATCGAGGAGGGAGAAGAGAATCCAGAGATTCGAGGGGATCGTTAGAATCAGACATGAGTATTCGAATTGGCATGTCTTATTAGTAATACTTATTAATGTAATCGACTTTAGGGAATGGAAGTGACATTTCTGATGATTCCTGCTATTCAAACCACTCTGCTCGCGGACGGAGACAGTCGTGGCTCGATGGCTACGGCCATTCTGTGAGCCTCGAGCAAAACACTAATGGATTTTTAGAGACAAATCGAGTTGAGAAAGGGGCGAGGTAAGGAGACATGAAGATTTTGTTTAGATTAAGTTATTTCAAGTTTTAAACAACGTAATGCAAGATGCTCGGAACGACGAGCACGAACACGTTCACCGAATGGAGCCGAGCTTGATTCTAGACAGCCGCCAGCGAGACCAAACTCATTTACGAATTTGGGACATAATCTGGTTTTAACTTACAAGACTTTATGGAATAAGAACCATTAAAAGGAAACATGTCTTTGTTATTTTTTTTTACAAACTGATTTAAAAAAATCACGGTTTTTCATAAAAATTGCAATTGTTCATTTCTAGCGTACATGAAACACATTTTCGAAAACATTCGCTATCAACAGAAGTTTAAATTACAGTTACTCTTTTGATTTAACCAAATATTAAGTATATACTGTACATATTCACCGATATGCAAAATAGCCAAAATAGTCTTTTTACATTTCTGGCTTGAATTCGGGCGGTAGATATGCCCGCTCTCCGTCCTCGTCCGTCGGCTTAGTTTTTTCTAGCATGATAAGAAGTACTTTCGGGATGAGTTCGGAGCACATTGAGCGAGACTACAAACGCGACCATGTTTCCATGGAGAAAAAGAATATATGAAAAACAGTAGCATACTTTATAGGCACATGCGAAAAAATGATTAATTTAACTGTATTTCGCCGAGATTCATTGCATTTCAGCTGTCTATCTTCGGCAATAAAGCTTTTTATACCACAGCTTTCCATGAATACGCGTAGTATAAAAGCGCGTAGCAAATCTGGAGAAAATCGTTTGCACAGAGGCGCTGCACACTTGCCCCTCCATCTCACCTGCTTAAGGCTTAGAGCAACAACTCGTTAGGCTAAGCCCAACACTGATTTACCTAAACCTATTACTAGTTAGCCTAAAGCGCGCAAAAAAACTCATATTGATCAATGTTTGATATAATCTTACCACCATTCAGAAATAACATTTTTCAACTTTACCTGAATTTTCAGATGGCCATAACTCGTCTGTAACCCCCAATTGCAGGTTGGAATTTTGTGAACACACTCAGAAGACCTTCTAGTTTAAGTGCAAAATTACAAAAAAAAAATCCAAAACGGGAGGTAAAATTACATTCTTTGTAAGCTATTTTTTGGATGTTGCCTCAACAATGTGAATCTGACAAATCTTATCTAGTTTAGTTTACGGGGCTTTTCTTTTACAAAAAAAGAAAATTGGTAATGAAAGCATTTTTTATTGAATTTTTTTGGACCTAGAAAACTAATTATATGATCTAGTAATTGTCGGAATTTTCAATTGATGTATCGCCCTGGAAGAACGAGTATTTTGTTGATTAAGCTGAGAAAGCTGCATTGTCTGGGTTGTTGGCGTGATACGAAGGCGACTACTTAGGGATGTTGATTGCTTTCTCTGTAAATTTAAATTCATCAAACATGTAAAAGTGAATGTATTATTTGTTACCTTATCAGATGGTGAAGCGTCCAGTCTTCCCAAATCACAATGAACTGATATTAAATATGGCAAAATTGTAGGATGGACAAGCAATTCTTAATTTTTTAACTACTGCTTCTTTTCTCGAATTTTGTTCAAACCTGGAACATCTGGGCGACTATTTTCATTCATTTGAAGCAGCGCACGTACTAAATCTTTGACTTCTGCAGAAACATGGTCGCCCATAGGATTCATTATTCCCTAAATATGAGAAAAGGTTTTAAAAATAATCACATATTTAAAATAAATGGTGCCTAGCTTGTAAATTATTGTGGGACATTGCCATCCGGAGTACGGTATACTATTTATTAAACAAAATAAAAAAGAAAGAAAATTCGCCCCGAAGAAAAACGATCCAATTTGAGACAAACACTGGAATTAAATTCGAATTTTTGAAAAAAAAAAACATGAGTACGGATGAAAAAATGCACAGGAATGAGCGAAATTATGATCAATAAGAACTATGAATTTTATTTGTCGAAAATACACATATGGTTGACTTCGCGATCGTTTTTCTTCACGTCGAATTAACGCAAAAATGTTTGTCATTTTTTTAAATTTCCATTTTTTATCTAACTGATATGCTGGTTTTATGATTTTTGATATTACTTTAATCGAAATATCAATTAAAACAGAAAAAAATGGTTCATAAACATTTCAGGTTTCGCTTTTTTTTAATGGTAATATGGCGTACTACAACCCACCCTGACTTACATTTATTATAAAATTATCACAATTGCCTAAGGGCAAATGTCGAATTAGAACAAAATTGGGAAAAAATAGCGAAATAGTAAATTTAAAAATATATATATAACTCGAATAATTCCCACATATAATAAAAAACGTTAAAAACAACGAAGAATGTTGCGAAAGAACGAGATGTGCATAAAAAATATTACTTATTAAATTTACTAATGTCTGAATAAGTTTCGTGTGGTTAAAAATTGCAAGGAAAGATTTAAAAAAAGAAAAAAACCAAAAATAAAATTAAAAAAATGTTTGGTGAATACACGCAGTAAAACACTCTACGACTAATTGCACAGATATACCGTACACTGAATAAGTCAGGGTGGGTTGTAGTAGGCCGGTAATATTTCTTCTACGTTCTACGCATATTTCGGAAGTTACGAGAATCAGCGCAAAAACTAATTCTAAGAGCGTCTTTAATAATTGTTTCTAAAAAAAAATATTTCCGAAATTTGAAAATCTTCGAATATTCTTTTAAAAAACACTGATTTCATGTTTTTTTTCTTGGAAAATGAGCTGGGTCGTATGTGCTTTTTTAAACTATACTTTTGTAATTTTCATGACAATTGCCGGCAGATTGTCGCCATCAAATGCTCTTTTCAGTTCTAGAAGCTCGTAAAACACACAACCAAGCGACCACATGTCAGTTTTTTGATTATAAGAGCGTCCTTCGCAGATTTCCGGCGATAAATAGTTAGGAGTTCCTATAACAGTTGAAGCCGCGCTTTTTGTACTTAGTTCCTTCGATATTCCAAAATCTGAAAGCTACAAGAAAATAATTGAATAAATCTACAATCGTCTATTTGAAACTACCTTCACAATAGTTTTCCTGCGATTCATAAGAATATTTTGCGGCTTAAGATCCCTGTGAACAATCTGTTTTGAGTGCATGTGATTTAGTGCAATCAAAATTTGTGTAAAATATTCCAATACAGTTTTTTCTGCAAACTTCTCGGGTCTCTGTTCTTGTATCATTCTTTCCATGGTCCCTCCTTCTGCATACTGCATCACTAAATACAATACCAATTTTCAAATTGTTGTGCTCGACAGTTTCCTAACCAATTGCTAATTGATTTTCGAAGCTAAATGAATCGTAATATCCTATTATCAATGGATGCTGTACCTTCTGTAGTAATTTTACTTCTCCTAAATATTAGAAATTCCGTTGAATCTAGATTTTATACTGTACCTTTTATAGCATTTTCTTCTTTCTCGCACAAACCATGAATATTTATTAATTTGAGAATAACCTTAAAAATCTTTAATAATAATTACATTTGTGGATATGAATGTTCGAATCCTGCGGAAAGATGTTTTAATCATTTACCTTTTGATTCGAAGCATCGTTGCGACGTCGACATAGCCAACATACTCCAAAAGCACCTCGTCCAACAACCCGTACTTGTTCATAACTGTCCATCACAATTAAGAAAATACGAAGAAAAGTACAAAGCAAATCGATATATAACAAGGTGATATGTGTCTGCAGTCTCCAGTCTGCGTATCATAGAACTGGTTTCTTTTTAGCATTCCGCGCATTTTTTCTTGGCATAAAAATGTTTCACGTATGGAAGTAGGATGTATTTATTAAATAACCCTTAAATAATTTCTGTGAAAAAAAAAACCAAAGGAAAAATAATTTCATAAGTGCCTTTTTTGATATTTTTCTGTTCTCACGCATTTCCGTGTGTTACCATATATTTTAATATTCGGGATATTTTAAACCTCAAACGTCAAAACCAGAAATTAATTGTAAAAAAATATATGCTAGAAAATGCAAATAATATCGAAAGTCCACAAGCACCGTTGTTTTGGCGGGTTTCAAAGATCTTTCTGAGATCTTCGACATTTTCCAATATGGTTGGTATCTTTAGATGAAACCCGATCAAATCATATTTGTACGCTGTTTTCCAAAACGAGATCAATCTGAATAATAGTGTTTAATTTTGTTTTAAAATTTTAAAAATAAACTTTAATGGCAGGTATATTCGGTGGAGATTCTTTTGGTGACGGACTTCGTCTTATAGGCATTGCTGAGCAACGAGTCTGAAATGATAAGAAATATATATATCTGTTAGAACACTTTACATTGTTTAATACCGCATGGTTTTGATTTTTTCTAAAAAATGCCAATACCGACGCGCGAAAAGACTTGTTCATAAAACAGTAGGTAATCGGGTTTGCCATTGAAGAAACATATGTCAAAACTGTTAAAGATGCATTGATGCTTGAACTCCAAAGATTATTTCCCTGAATAAAAATCGCACAGCGGGTTTTAAGTCTTTTTTCTCCACTACCATTAAATCAGCCATTCGAATTATTAGCCAGTACATATACGATGGCACCCAACATAATGCGAACACAATAACTAATGTTATTAGCATCCGAGTAACTTTTTTCTTTGCAATTAAAATTTTCTCTTGATTTGTGCTTCGCAAAAGCATTGATGAGTCAAATGAATTTCGGGGTGAAAAATTTAGGAATGAAGAGAATGAGGACTGTCGACGGCTCGCTCGAGCTGATACTGCACGTGGAATCGAAAGCGAATTTTTTTCCTTCACCTAAAATTAATATAATTTCGCAAGAAACGTTTTTCATTGGCACATGTTAGAATTAGCAGAAAGCCGATTAAAATAACTGTGAGGCGAGAAAAGTTTACCGATTTTGACATTAATTTCATACTTGGGACCCTATTGATTGTAGTGGAAAACCAATCTGAAAATGAGGCTCTTGATGGTAGGGCTGCAACAAAACGAAATGATTGTTAATAATTATTTTTGACTGCACTTTTTTCAATAAGATGTTGTTCCAATGTTGGATTATCATTATTTATAGCCGTGTTTAAAGTAAATATCACGTTTCCATATAGACTAATCATTAAAGCCAATGGAACAAAAAGAAGAGCCTGTAAATGTATGAATGTGTGTTATATTTAAAGTAAAAAGCTTACAAAGGTAATGTAAAGTTGATAAACGAAGTCAAATGTTGGACCTCGAGAAGAATCACAAGTAAATTTTGTTCTGAAGCAGGCGAAATCGGACATAACACTGAATTTTGTTTGACAAACCCCAAAGACATTTTTTCATAGGAAAAAAGACTTGCAATATTTGCGGAAAATGAGAATAGCCACACAACTGAAATAGTTACAAGGGCTCGTTTCTGAAATAAATCAAAAATTTTAAAAGCCGTAAACAATGATTGACTTTGGTTTGCCATTTTCTTGATTCCAAAGGTCGACAGATCGCGTAATATCGCTCTACTGCAATGACGGCCAAAGTATAAGCTGAAGCACAAACGCCGACGGCTAAATGTATTAATGTGACATGTTCAAAATTTAATTTGATTTGATAAAAATGCTATGGTTCACAAATAATCGGGCGACGGTTTTTTTTATTCGCCGGACACGACTTCCATAAAGAATTTGGAAGTAGTAAACGGTAGAAAACGTGTGAAAATAATACCGTAACTTTGAAAAAAATGACGCAAGAGCATCAAATTGTCTCATGGGTCTTGCAGACGAAAAATACTGGGTTAGAGAAGTGAAAACTAGGGGATTAAAAAGTTCTAGAAGAAGTTAGAGTGGTTTGAAATTGTGAAAACGATTTAACGAACAATATAACTTTTCAAAAAAACAAGCGCTCGCCAAGGGTTCAAAGAACCAAATTGTATTCCATATCGCCATGCTGTGCACGGAATGGTCCCCACTCTACGGTAGAAAACGCGGAAGGCCGTAGAAAAGGTTTCTTGATAACATTAACGAGGATTTAAAAACGTACTTTGACCAACAGGCATCACAAGGAAGAATAGTGCCCGTAGAAGAAGAGGAGTCCTCCTCACCATGAATAATATTGGTTTACATATAATGGACAAAGCCGATCTGTCTGTATTGATTTTTCGGCCGTGGCAGAAGCTGGATACACCGGACTATGATATATTTAAACTAAGTAAAAATGTTAGTGGTGCTCTAATAATTTGGTTTTTAGTCTGAACCCTTGCAAAGAGAAAGGTTTCCTGGTTTGCTAATCTATTCTAGGCGACACAATTTCCTTAATACATAAGCCGTCAGCCGGATGATACCAATTACGACAATGGGGTTTCAATTGTGTCTCAACATTAGAATTTTGTTGGAATTTTTTCATTATACACTAAACGCATGCTTGTTGTGTATAGTTGCGCTTATTCACTCACGTTGCAGGAAAGCAACTATTTTGCACATTAATGAGCTTAGTATCCAGCATTGTGTCAGTTCACTTAGCAGAGTGCTGGGTATGCAGATAATACTTCTTAAAATTTTAAAAATTACGAGTCTTCAACTTTTTATACCTTAGAAGGTCAGCAAACGCCAAATTGAGAAGGTAAAAATTGGTAATTGAACGTGATCGGTGTCTTTTTCCAAGTATCGTCAAAATTACTGTAATACTACATATGTATCTAGGTTCCAAAAAAAACATTTACTTTGAAAAGCCAAAAACTTACCAATAGCGTTTCCAATAAGTGAAAGAATCAAACAAGTGACATAAATAAACGAAATGAAAATTGAGTAGGGTGTCAATATCATGGAGCATGCGCCATTGTACATCTGAATATTTCGAAATATACAAAAACTAGCATAACGCGAGGGAAAAAGACAACGTGCCCCTAATTAATTCACGAGCAGAGGTATCAAATTGCGAGATGTTTAATAAGAATCCATGAATACATGTTTTCTCCATTTTTAAAGAAAGTTTGTTTTGTGTTTTGGGAATTTCTTCTAGTTCATAGAAAATGTTTTTGACGAATACATACAAATACAGAAATTGCTTATTTTCACTCGGTCCCAATGCTTTGTTCAAATAAAATCGTTCTCTACGACTACCATAAATCTGTATTAAAAGAGATGGACGAGTTAGAGAAACTGAATGACTTCAATAGAAATTATCAAATTGAATGGTCTTTATTCCAATTGTGTGAGTTAATTTTTCGACATCATGTGAGATGGAATGATGTGGATTTGTCTTTTTGCAGCCTCAAAAATCATTGATTTCTTTTTATCGAAAAAGAAAAGAAAACGTTTTGAAGTGTTTCTAATACAAAATTCAATTCGGTTCGACTCACAATTTGATTCTATGACAAAAAGAACAGCGATGCGCCAAGAATTGTCGTGAGATTATTGAAAACATTAAATCTCTTCTCTTCATTTGGCACGAGGGCAAGAAAAAAGATGAAGGAAGAAACTCTTGTTGACGAACAAAAAAAGATCACTAATTATTGCCGAAGGGTGTTTGAGGAGGAGGAGGTGGTGTGAAAATTGCACAGCCCAACAAACAAATACATATGTGCACGAATAAAACGATAACTTAATTTTCAAAGTAGTCAATTAAAGAACATAAACATTTGAAAAATTACTTAATATTGAAAAAATTGAAAAAAACCCTGAATATCGACACATTTTCATTTTTGATATTTTTAAAATGAAAAACATGTTCCTCAAAAAAACGCAATGAGAAACATAATGACGGCGACTCCGCCCAAACAGCAACCATTACCCAACCAATGGGGATTATTGTATGAAAACGAAACAAAAATTTTTTTAGATAGCTTGCTCAAAGAACATTTTCGCAAAAAAAAATATGAATTCTCTCGCATAAATAATATGTATTTTGCCGTTTTTGACTGATTCTTGAATTCTTAGGGGAATTCGCACACCCCATGTTTTGTATATTTAAACAATTCTTTTGGGATATACATGTGATGTATCCGCGCGGTTTTTCCTTTCCAACATTTTCTGCCTATTTTTTGATTAATTTTTCTCACACGGCATCCATTTTATTTCTAAATAAACACGCGAGAGACAAAGAAGATTGCTTGTTTTCTATTCTAAACGAGAAATTTTGAAAAGCTTCGACGACTCTTTTCGTGATGTGTAATTTTAAATTGAATGAGGAAGGATACTTTTAACAGAATTATTCTATAAAACATCAAGTGTACTTCAACAAGCGGATTGTATATACACACGATATGAAATGACGAAAAATTGATCCTCGCCTTCATATTAATTGTCAATCTTCTCCTTTAAAACGAAAGTGGGTTTATTTTTAGGAACTTTGTAATACGCACAATTTTCTAGTAAAAATATCAATAACAATATATGATTGATATCCTTATTTTTCCGCTTAATCATCCTACCACAAATGGTTTCCATTATGTTGTCGTTTAATTGTCTTCTCTCCTGCTTTTCTCCATTAAATAAGACCTTATTCCAGATATTCAGTTGTTTTAATAAATTTTGACCATTATACGAGCTAAATTTATGCGAATAATATGTATTTTGCTGTTCTAGCGCACCTTTTCGCCCATCCTCAATTTTCTCTTTTTTAAGCCATTTTAAGACTTATTTTTTTTTAACATAAACAAGTCTCTTCGAAAATGTATCATTTTCAACAATTTTCAAAAATGGTAAAAAGGTCGAAAAGTGCATTATAAAAAAATGTAGTCGAAATGGTCGAAATATTGCGCTAGAACGGTGAATAAAAAAATGCTAAATAAATGGTGAAGCTAGAGAAAGATCTGCCTGCGCTAAAAAATCTAGATCTCCTTGCTTTGGTCGAAGTATTGGAAATCAAGAATTTTAGAGGTATATTCATGCGAGACACTTTACCACCACAAGGGATTAAAGAAGTAGAAGTTGGTATTTCATAATTTTTCTTTAACATTTTTTTTGGCATTCAAAAGTTTTCTACTTTCATCACATGGCACTTTTCACATTTAAGATAATATGAAAACGTAAATGTCTATCAGATGAAGTACGTAGAAACAATGATAATTTTCGACGACGAAGAAGAAGCTGGTGGTTGGCGGCTTAAAAGTTCTGATTTTATTGAATTGGATTTTCTAGACCGATTAAATTAGCACTAAAAGGTGAAATATATGTATACGAGACTGGGTCCCTTTAGTTGAGATGCAGAGAATATTGTAAGAAGGCTTAAAAAATAAAATTTGTCTATACAAAAAGAAAACACTTAAGGAAGAATACATTGAAATATTTAAAAAATTAGCTCAGTCGTTATAAATTGATTTATTAAGAGGTAAATATTATCTATTTAAATTAGTTGTGGTTTGATCGGATCTTTGGTTTTGATATATTAATATTATAATCAAAATATTTGCATAATTGATTGAATGTTGGCCTTTCATCTGGATTTAAATCGATGCAAGGTAAAAAAGCCTGAAAAGTCTAATAGAATTTTGATAAAGAAATAATTCAAACAAACATCTTCATAAAGAAAATCAACAACTGCGGAAGGTTTCGGTAACTTGTATCCAGAAGAAACCATCTCCATTGTATGTTCAGAAGACCATTCAGCGTACGGAGTTTTTCCCATTGTAGCTATTTCCCAGAGAAGGATGCCAAAAGACCAAACATCTGTTTTCATGCTTAAAATAAATCAGGGGTTTGATTTCTATTAAATTTAGGTCTCACTATTTGGAAAATAGGGAAGGAAAGTACTTGGAATATTAAAAAAAAAACCTACTTGAATCTTTTAAAGAGGAATGATTCAGGTGCCATCCATTTTACCGGTAATGGAACATCTGTCGACATGAAATAAGTGTCGTTGTTTGTAGTCATTTGCCGAGCTAAGCCAAAATCGGCAACTTTGACCAATGGAATATGATTTTCAGAAATTTCTCCAACTAATACATTCCGAGCGGCGAGGTCACGATGAACACAGTTGTTATCAGAAAGGTAACACATCGCAGACGCTACCTGAAAGAATGTTTTGAAATTGTGCATATTGCCACGTATACACCAACCTGTGAGGAAATATTCATAGCTGATTCGGTACACAAATGATTTTCATGAACACCTTTTTTCAAAAAATCCAAAAGCGATCCGTTTTTCATGTATTCGGTTATGATGAGAAACGGTTGCTGAAGCACAATAATGAAGAAAACTAGGATCTATACGTATGAAAACAAAATACTCATGATACAGAGAAAACATATAACGAAGTTTTGGTGAATAATCTTACCCTATCCGTACATATTGCCAATAGTTTGACCAGATTTGGATGATTATATCTCATGAGAAATCGAGCTTCTCTAAATCAATCTTTAATTGAAAATAAAAAATATTTTAAGGATAAACATCAAAAATTCAGCGTAATCTTGCTCATCACTGTTATAAGTGTGGATTAATTGTTTAACTGCTACATCTGTACTTCGAAATACGGCCCTTCGAACCTATAAAAATGCATGAAATCTACAAAAAAATCATAAAGAAGTAGAAAAGTATACGCAGCTAAAATTTAGGTTTGAAATCTTAAAAAGTTAAAAAAAAATCATGGTAAAAGAAAGTTAATGTATCGTTTGCTTACCAAAAAGCCACAACCCAACTTACATATATTGTTTGCCTATACTTTATCACTTCTGAAATACCTTTCCAAACTGCCCACTTCCAATATGCTCTTTAAAAACGAGACTCTTCCTATCAATTTCCCATTTCATCAATTCTTCGTAGTGATTTTCCGACGAATTATCCATCCGTGGTGCCGGATCAGTAAGTTTCGTGCATATGTGAATATCAGTGCTCACTACTTCGTCTGTAGTTAATGTATTTTCATAATACTCAGTTAGAAAACTAGTGTTACTTCTAAAATATGCCACCAGGTGATGCAAATTTTGAAAGTTAATGATTTCAACCGAATTTTCATCAGTCATATATACATTACTGCCGTTGTCACTTCTTTTGATTTCGTAGCTCGCTAATTCATCTTCTGGAAAGTTTAAATATGCTCTAAAATGAGCTTCGACATTATGTCAGCGCAAATTTTGGACCAATTTTCGTTTGCATCTTTTTTATTGCTCTACAAAAAAATTCGGGTGGAGGGCAAAAAATGGGCGCCACACAAAAATTTGTCCAAACACTGTGGAAAGCAAAAAATCAAACTTGCCACTTTTTCGAACAATTAGAACAAAAGTGTGTTTCGCTATATTTTCTCTTATTAGAAATGATCCAATTGGTAGTCCGCGTTTCATCACCCTTCGTTCTGCCGCAACTCGTTGAATATTTCCGACAAACCACGGTTCATTGACCGTCGAGACTTTTACATGTGTTTTTGGAACAAAACCCCGTTTTTTGTTTTTTGTCTCTACGTACCACCAATCACTCCTTAAACATTTAGATGTTTCGAATGAACAAAACATGACTCGGGATGTCATGCTGAGTTTGCTTTGCTTTTCAGCAGACTATAATAAGAAAATGTATGAAGCCTGCTGAAATCGTACGCAAACTCTGCACGACATTCACGTGAACTTACTTTGCATCAGCATGAAGAAGATAAACTTGATCACCCTCTTCTAAACTCAATTCATTTTCGCCGTCAGCGATAAACCTGTGTTCGGCAATCAGAAGGGATCGTTCTTGAAAAGTAAAAAAAATTATATATAAAAAAGTATCATTCACTTTGGTTATGATTTTCGATAAAAGTTGATGGAGCATGAAGTGACGATGTCGAATTTATACGATTCGTGCGAGATATAACTTCAAATCCATCTGAATACAATAATTGAACTCGATATCCGCATACTCAGTGAGCAGTGCACATCGACAACAGGGACGCAATAATTAAAAACCTACTTGATGTACTAGTAGTTCTTCTCGGTGGGACTGGCGGTTTTATTCGAGAATTAGGTTTGTTATTATTCCTCGGTGGAGGCACATTTGGCTGTCTGACCTCCGTAGGCATTTCCGGTTTATCCGTTATCATCGAGTTGAACAAATTTGGAAAAAATGCAGGATCTGTTGGATCCAGTGCTTGTATTGGCGAAGATGGAACATGCGTGTTATAATTATGTGAATGACGTTGTCCCATCACAAATTCTGTGTAATTATTATGTGTTGTTGACTTGACGCGACTGCGGAAAATTGTCTAAATTTAAATTCCAAAAAAACAAGGAGAGGAGAGGTCGTGATGCGCGGTAAGCAGGCGTGGTTTCGGGGCTGCGGCATCATGAAGCTGGGTAAAAAATGGGAATCGTCAAGTTCGTAACCGAAATTTTTGAAATTTTCAGAAAATGATCTTAGCAGTCTGGTATTACAGAAAATGATACTAAGAACATGGCAAAAGTGTGATAGGGGTATTAGAAGGTCCGATTTCGAATTTTTCAGAAAATAGTTCAAGTAGTCTTATGGCAAAAAAAAACATAATATCTTTCCTAAATTCTTTATAAATAAAAGTCTAATCATATGTTTTTCTATGCAAATTGTATCTAAATAAAACTTTTCTGGAGTGACAACCCGGTTTCGAAAAAAAACTCTTTCGCAGAGCCTTCAGAGGAAAGCAACAAAAAATTTTAACGCAAGTTTTGACAGTTTACCTATGGCCAGAATCATGCCAATAAACTATTGGTAAAATAATTTTTCCTGAAACGTGTTTTTTGTAATTTTGTCGTCGAACAGGCTCGTCGAATTCCTAAAATTCTGAAGATCTCAACAATTTCGAATTCGCACCCCCTAGGGCTCCCTAAAAATGATCATTGGAGTGGGTCGTAAAAATATACTCATGATTAGTCCGAAAATCTAACTTCTAGTATTGCGCCAAGGCCTCTACCATAAATTTTTGGCGTTTAGCCAACTTTCGGCAGTCAGTTGACAATACGTATTTACATGATACATGAAAATTGTTCGATGTACATATCTACCAACTTCGCGAGGGTTGGCCTTATGGTGGTCACTATTAAGTTAAAAGTAGATCGCTTTTTAATCTCAAGACTCTCGGTTGTCACTCGCAATTTTCGCATAAACTGAAACCTGGAAAAGGACAAGGTTAAAAGTGAATGAAAAATGGTTCAGACAATACATCCACGTTTAAACAATTTTCTGTCTATTTCCCAGTTGAAGTGTAAATCAAGCTTCATTCACACAATCATTGAGTGAATTGAGTTGAATGCACATATTTAATTCATTTTAAAACACACATAATGAAACGTGAAATTTAAAAATTGTTTTTAACGGTATAAACTATCAAGTAAAGGCTTTCTAGAAAGCATTGGTCTCGAAAAAAATCGATCGATAAAAAACTATGATTCATAAAAATGCACCTAGTTCGTGATAAGACTCGTCTCTATCTACGTCGAGAATGCATGTTTGTCTTTCCGCATATTCACACCAGGGAAGAAATATTCATTAAACGCAAAATGCAATCAATGCGCAAAGGCTAATTTCATTTTTAAGCACCGTGAGTTTCGGGGGCAATTCCGGCAATGTCATAATAATCATGGCAACAAGAAAAAAATAATTAAAAAAAAAGAATAGGAAGGGATTGAAAAGGGGGACAATTAAAGCTAATATATGTTTCGGGGGAAAGATAAAGCAAAAAAAATAATAATAATAATGTGTTAGTCAATTAAGTGAATAGTTAACTGGAATCTATTTGCGGGGAGCTGATAAAAACAGTATTTTGGAATAATTCGAGAAAGCCATTGATTTGAAAGAAAATTGGGTAACTTTGCGCTTGCCCCGCTCGTTTGTCTAATCCACGATTAATACAACAAGCAAGGCCACGTTTTTAGTTAGGCAAGAATCAATTGTATTTGGTAAAATATGGCATTTTAAAAAATTGTCATAAATGTTAGAACAAGTTGACCCGAACTGTTTCGACAAATCAAATTATTACGCATAATTAAATTGTCTGTGAATATAGAAGTAGCAATGATAATTATGATAATTTCAACAACAAATTTTAGAAATCACGTATACTGTCCGATTTGATCAACAAGGGTATCGATAGATGCAAGACTAGCAGCCTTTGACCCATGGCACATCTCTTTTTGCGCCGCTGGCATGTTTTCATCGCAATGAATTGGATGGTAAATGTGGACAAGACCAGGCTCGGGACTTCTAAGTACTCGCAGTTTATTATATTTTATCGCCTAAACGTTCATAAATAGAGAAAGAGAGAAACTATTCCTATACCTTTTCAAACAAATCAACATCTTCTTTACCCCAACCTTCTATTTTGGTATCGAATCCACCAATTTTCATCAAGTCTGCCTAAAATTTGCAATTAGAATTCTATATATGCCAAAAATGTTCGCTGACCTTATACATAGCCGCTAAACCATATCCAAAATGCCGAAAATAGCCTCTTCGTCGTCCATAATGGAAAGCGTCGGCAAGAAGTTTATCATTTTCAGACCAACTCTCATGTGAAAATTCAGAAAACACTATTGGGAAGTAGATTTGCGCGTTTAGAATCGTGTTCAGTTTAATTCTTCTCAAAGCATCGCACGTAAATAACATGTCAACATCAGTAAAGAAAAGGAGAGCATTGCTTGGGAGAGTGCCAGCGCCACGCATCAGAGCAATTCCCCGAGAAAATGGAGCATCTCCCATTTCAATAACTGAAACAGGAATTGAACTGGATCGCAAAATTTCAATTGTTGCTCTGAAAAATATTAATAAATTTTCGAGGCCAAAATATTGTGAACACCTGTTATCTGCCTCGTCTTCACTTGAATATAAAACAATTGTCAACGATACCGATAAGTCGTCAGCTCCGCGCGAGCAAATGCTTTTCAAATGTTGTGCAAATCTTGCGAATATTGATGCTCTTCCACGTAACGGGAGAACCATATGCAAAGTTGGATCTTCAATAAGGCTTGAATTGGCCCGCACACTGGCTCTAAAGTTTTTGCCTCGTCATTTTCTCAAATGAAAAAAAAAACCTCATAGACGCTTCAGAAATAGTTTTTAGTTTTCCGAAAGTTTGTTGTACGTAGGCGTGCCTTCGAACCGAAAGAGTTGTTCGATGAGGCGGTCGAAACTTTTTGAACCAAAGTATCATATCAAGAACATAATCCACACCTTGTGTTGGCTCAACTCTCATATATCCATATTGGAGACTTTGGAACTGAAGTACTCTACCTCGTTGACGTGCGTTTGCGTTAAACTCGTCAAAGAGCTGTATATCAAAGATATTAGAACGATGATTCCATTCAAAATGAATACCTGTGCGATTATTTCATTCATTTCATTACGAATGCTCAAATCTACCGTGTGTCTCGGACAATTGACACGATCGGCACAAAACAGTATCTTGTTATTGTTTATGTAGTCCCATGGTGTTATATCTATGGTCCGATTTGGGGTAATCCGGATCAGTGTAGGTTTCTTTGCAGTGGTAAGTTCCGAAACCAGTTGGCTTCTTCGAGCACGTACTTCACGGAGTTTAATTTCTCGATTTCTTAGATGAACTTTTCGCATTACACGAGGATCTTTTATGGGATGAAGCGTAATAGCATCTTTTAGTTCCTTCATGTTCTTAGCATACGACTCCTAAAATTATGACTAGCATAATCTATTACGAGAGATCATACCTTAATGGCACTCTGATTATTATGGAAAAGTTTCTGCATTTCATAGTTCCATGTACAAGCAACTCCCACATGTTTTCTTATACATCGCCCAAGTTCAACATCCTCATGGGATGTCAGAAGGTGCTGAAGACAAGATTCAAGATACGGAGAAACTTTCCTAAATCAACATAATTATAATAATCTTATATTATTCCTCATACAGTAGTGTTGCTCTGCTCATTACAATTCCCGGGCCTCCCATGCAATAATTATCGGTTGATCCTAATGCTAATAATCCATACTCAGCACTATTACCCAAACCAGCTTGACCAATCACGTGCGCCCTAAAAAATAACATTTTGTCGTAATTAAATGCATTGTTTTACCGAGATGAGTCTATCGATCGCAGGAAGTTAGCGAGTTCTTCACCTCGAATGTACAAGTCATCATCAGCTCGAAGAAACCAGTCATATTCATCGGCCTAAATATTGATGAATCTCAAATCCTTTTAAAATTTGAACTCGTTTTACCATGTTTTCCGCTAACCACTTGACCATCGCAAAACTTTTTTTTTGCGGAGGGTAAGTGTCATCAACGCCTTTCAATCGAATCACAGGCATGTCTTCGTGAATTGTTTCGGTTCCTTCGGCAACAAATATCAAGACCTAAATTAACATTCGAACACTTAAATCATTATCAAACGTCAAAAAATTTCATCGCAAGACAATTCCCATATTATTTACCTTTCCGGGAACATGCTGGGCCCACGTCTTCCAAACATTGTAAGCTCTGGTATCAACATACTTTGCAGCAGTCATTATTGCTATCAAAATAAGTCCGCGTCTGTGTCCCGGAACGAATTGTGCACGTTCAAGTACATTGGCATCTGCGCTCAATGCAGCAACTTCAACGTCATTGTGGAGTCGTCGAGAAGCTCCGCATCGTATCGGTTCGGTAAAATTTATTAGCGTCGTTGAATAGTAACTGAATAAGCAAATATGTTTATCTTCTTTGATCGAATGTTTTGATAGACACAAGCATATAACTTATCGACATAAGGATTCCTGCGTTTAATACTAAACAATACTAAGTTAAATAGCTGCAATTTTCCTAACTAAATTCAGATAAAAGACAAGGGCCCTCAATTACACAATTAGACTGTATAAAACGCGAAAACTTTTAGCGTCGTCCTCGAATCGGACATAACTCTCAGAATTCCTTTCGAAGTGAAAACGAATAACACACGGATGCAGAAAAACTACACTGCAAAAATAGTTAAAATACGACTCACGTGGCCGTAAAACCAAACGCTATACCGACGAGAACAATGACGATAGGCCGAGATATGGGCATTCTACAGCCGCCTCTCTAAACCAAAAAAATATTAACTTTTGTGCAATTAATTAAATAACTTACCAATCTCATTAGAATTGATCAACCGTTTCTGTTTTTGGGTGTTCTCTCTTCGTCGAATATCAAGTTCAAGTGATTAAGATTATATGCAGAATATAACGGAGGCAACACGTCCAACGACATAAATAGCACAAAGAATTCAATGATTCATCTGCCTCGTCGCAATAGATTCGAAAACGAGAGTATATAATGAATCTACACTGCTGGTCTGGCGTGTACCGAGTGACTCTGCAAAACAATGAGGCGTAAATTTTTGCGAGAGAAGAGCACAGCTAATAATATCGTCGAATAAACACAATTCAGCCAAAATGACGAGAAAATGAAATCGTCGGCAAATCATAACATTCACGATACGGCCGTTTGCTTGAAAAAACCGAAATTTCAACTAACGTAACCACTTGATTTCGATCAAACAAAACTGCTTGAAACACAAGGAAAGTAAAAATACATAAAATATTGTCAACCTTGAGAAATAAACAGCTAAATGAAAGCGTTTAACACAAGTTGAAAACGAAAGTAAACATTTGGAGCTAAAAATTGAATTATAAGTTCTTGCATTGAATGCCCATTCAAATTAGGGACGGAAGAGAAAATTATCCGCAGCAAAAAAAACAGTTTCCATTATTCCGTATAAACGTTGAGAGGTGGTTACCACAACACTAGAAAACATGTAACGCGTAATTAAAATGACAAACTCTGAGGAAAAATTTAAATGGTCTGCTAGTTTTGTTTCGGTCATATTATTAATGAAATAACGAAATACTTAAAAACCGTATTAATAGTTAAAACACATTTTTTATGTTTATATGTTGAACCAAGCTAAACAAAAGAAATCGATAAAATCTTTACAAGGCTACAGTTTACACAGAAATCTTTACCGCTTCAGGTTTTCAGACAGGTGGATAGTGTATTTTATTAAACTAATCTTTGACCTAACACGTTGTTTAAAAATAAAACAATAAAATAAAACAATTATTTAAAAATAAAACGGATAAAAACAAATTTGTACTTGAATATGTGAATTACTCGTTTATACGACTCGAAAATAGTATCACTTGTTGGCGGATAGATCGAAAGGTACGATAAAATTCCCGCACTAGAGACAAGTCGATCACAAGACGCAACCGCGAGAGGAAACATTATTCGAAAACCGCTGGGAAAAGATAATTGTGGGATGATTTGAAATTCTATGGATTCCCAATGCCACTAAAATACAACTTCCATGGTTAAGCTAATTAGATTAATGAACAGAAGGAAAAACAAGAATCGATTAAAGATCTTTTTTAGTCGGTTTTGAAATTGTTGGGCTAAACTATTTGAGAATTCTTTATCAATGTGAAAAATTTGTTCAGAATAAAATTTATATCGTTTGGCAAATGTAAGGGTCAATTCGAAACGTTATTCTAAAGCATTGGCATTATACACATTCTGCGAAAAAGATAATTTTTGCGGAAGCAATGACACTGAAAGTGTGTCATATCGACTTGATTAATAGGGTAGAATGTCTAGCAAGATGGAAGAGACGAAGAAAAAACCATGGAACGAAAGAGATGTAATGGAAGAAATCAAAAAATATTTGAAATCAATTAACGGATACTGAACAATGAGAATATCGACTAACTAATACGCCAAGTTGTTTAAATATAAGAAAACGTTTTAAGTTTAAAGTTTTGTTACATGTGGTTAACCGATTTAAAAAAGAACGATTCCCGAAAATCACATCTAGCAGACTTTCGACTGTCATCGAAAAGCGCAATTTGGAAGACAAGGACTGTCTTCTAACCACACTTCGCAGCCCTAATTGGTGGAAGAACACCGTTGATGACATCTCCGTAAACTTCATATTTCATCCAAAAAGGTCGACGCTAACTAAATGAGCATGAGAAACGGTACTTTGGGCGTCACAAATTACACCGTACTGTCCATATGAGAAATGACGATTGCTATCCAATTTCAAATTTCTCTACACTGAACGTTCGGTTGACTATGATTTTCGCGCAAAAAACACAAACACAAACAAAACGAGAGTTTGCCTAAAATCACAGCAGAACAGCATAAGCATGTGCTACCAAAACTAGAACCTCTTACTTAATGATCATTTAAGCGATCGTAGCAAAATATTGAACTTAGTCGTTAAAGTATGAGAAAGACAGATGACAAAAAGTGATGAGTCAAAGTAAGTGAAACTGATTAGTTGGATGTCGATTTCCGATAAACACGATTCACAGATGACTTCCAGCTTATAGTCATACAATTTTCCCGGGATATATATATTTTTTTTTCATTTTGGATATAGCATATTCAGAAAATAGGTGGGTCTGAATAACTTTGCAAGGTCACTTACGGAAGCGATATTCATCAGAAACCAATAATCTCGTGAATCTAACCACCCAGAATAAGTCTTTTTGGGCAAATCCCCGCACGAAAAACCTTAAGAATAATTATCTGTTTGCCTCAAAATAAGCAGCTCTAAGAAATAGCCGCTGCGACCAAAAAACACTCCTTGAACGATAAAATGTGGGACGCGCGTGCTTATTTGTGAAGCATAGCCGAGCCGCCACTGTACAAATATATTCAAACAATTGCTAGATAACATTCGCGTTTTATAATTCTAAAACTCGAACACTGTACATACAAAAAGATGAGAAAAACACGGAACCAAATTGACTATATAAAACGAGAGCAAACTGAGACAACAATGCATGAAAGAATCGTACAAAGTGAAAGTAATAATTTTAAAATTTTCAAGTACCAATTGTATTGCGTATTATCGAAGACGAACGAATATGGCACATTTGAATGATTGTTTAAAATTTATGACCCTAGCGCTATACGTACATATATAAATTTTTACACCTGCAATGAAGAATACTGTAGTTTTCTTTTTACTGTAACTCGTTGTTTGTTATTATGAAAAATAGACCAAAGCGAAAATATATACAAGACAACAGTGTGAAAATTTTTAATCAAAGGAAAGCCCCTTTAAAATCGTCAGTCCCCGACAACATATATTTAGCTTTCCTCATAGGTGTATTTTGTATGCTGTAGAGGATAACACATTCGAAAATGAGAGAGACTTTAAAAGAAGATTTAAGCGAAATTGCCTAGAACATAATTCAAGCATATTATTTATCCGACATTGTTAATGAGTTTTAGAATTACACAATCATCCATAAAATCTAAACTGTCGAAATAGAATTCCCAAATACACAAATGAAAGGGATGATCGTTAATAGTTATGACTCCGAGGTTACGATCCGTCCAAACGAATCAACGCATCACACGGACAGACACGGATGGATAAGGTTAACTAGTATCATATAAGAAGTGCAAATCGGAACATGTTCAAGGCGCTTCCGAAGGTCATACAATGTCAAACATTGAATTCTAAGCCGGAAATTATAATTGGAATGGGAGGATGTTATATTCAAATTCTTTCACAAAATTATCATAATCGTTATGCAAAATATTGTTGAAGTAAATTGAACGCAAAACGAATTTAAAGACAAAACGAAAATGGCATGCGTCATGGATTGAAAACGAAAATTGAAACATTTGCCACATCATTACATTACGCGTTTGAGTACAAGTACAAAAGCAATTGGCGACACTCGAGAACAAAAAGAAAGAAGACGCAGTGGTTGTCTTTCTGACCGTCATCAACAGACGCGACACCCATTTACCAAAATTTGGCACTTTATGTGTAGAGCGATTGCGCGCGTCTGTGTGCACATAGCGAAACGAATTGTAAAACATTGATTGGTCCATCTCAACAATCGTTCGCCCTGTGCGGACAATTTACTTGCGCCCTTTATTCTAACCGAACGACTTGAGAAAAATTCAAAGAAAATTAAGCGAATTGCAGACAACCTTCACTAAAGGGCACGGATATAGAAAAAAATATAGAAAGATATAATTGTGATGAAAAGTTTTTATTTACTTATTGTTATCAATATTGAAATTTAAGAAAAAAATACCCCAGTTGAAATATGTACATAGGAAAAGCTCATGGACTTACTCATGAAATACGAAAATTTAAACAGTTACATTTAATTTAGAGCTTTTTTTTACAATCATGCAATGCAAAAATTAGTAATTTTTATGGAACTATATTCAGAAAAAGAATTTTTTAAACATCTTTTTATTGGGCGAATAGGTAAATCAAAAGAGAAGGTGGGCCACAAATATTCATGAAATTGTTGATTACACCTATCAGAGCAGAATATTTCAAAAAATTACCACCATAAGAAATACAATTAATCGTCTTTCGAGCTACGTGATTTAATAATAAAACTACTGATAATAATGATTAGCAAATTCTATTTGAAGAAATATGATCCAAAAAGACGCCAACAAAAAGAAAGACTGGCGCAATTTATTCATACGAAATCGAAGTCTCTTTGTTTTGCTTATTATTTCTCCCATATAGGAGGCCTCATTTTGTGTGCTCATATGATAATCCTCTAGTTTGGCTTGCTCCGGAGAGCACGATTCTAAACGTTTCGCTTATTTCGATCATCTCAGATACCTAACATTGTAATGACCCATCAAAATTCACTCCGCCACTTAGAGCTACTCAGTAAATCATGCACAAATTATGAAGAGCTGCTTGATCGTCTTGTAAAATCAGAAAAATCACATGTAAAGATAATTTTTGATTTTGGAAAATATCAACGGATAATTGAAGGGCAAAAGGATTTAGAAGAAGCCATTCAGGTATTGTGAAATATGTCTTTAATTTATTTATTGTTTTTAAGCATAATGGGAAGTCAGTACTTATCCGATTTTTATTGCAAAATGATGCGGGAAACACAAATTACTTAAATGATTACAAAATAGGCGATGGAAATATGCGCAAAGTTCCTAAAGAAGAGTCGAAGATTTTGCTTCAATCTACTTCTAAGGTAATTTTTTTTAAATGAAGCAATAAGATATATAATGAGTACGAACATATTTTCGTCATTTTATCTAATTAAGCAAAAAAAAAACCGAACATGTATTCTCGAAATTTTTTTGAGGGAGACTCTGCAAGCTACGATGGCACACTTTGTGGAAAATCATTTGGAGCACCTAGTAGTCGATATTCGGATCAAATCAATCGGGCTCCAAGAAGATATAAATTTTTAAAGTAATCTGCACTTTTCAGCTTAAAATGTATATTTCGTTTTTAGAAAATTGGGGGAAGGCACTTTGGGAACTGTATATATGGCGGTTGGTAATAATGGTCTCAATTTTGCCGTCAAAGTTGTAAAGAAAAAAGGGCACTTTTTACCTCAAGAAGCAGATATAAAATTTTTAAGTAAGATTATAACAGCTATTACTATATGTATCAATTATTTCAATAACATTTATTAGAGCAACTGCAGCATAAGCGTATAGTTGAATACATGTATACAATTGAACCTGAAAACTCGAATGAAATTCACATACTCATGGAGTATATGCACATGGGATCCCTACGAGATTACATCGATATTCAAGGGCCTCTTGATGATGAATTGCTGAAATGCTTCACAAAACAAATTGCTGAAGGTTTAGATTTCCTTCATTCAAATGGCATTATTCATCAGGATCTTAAACCCGAAAACCTTCTATTAAAATGCTCTTCTAAACTGAGGATGATTAAAATAGCAGACTTTGGATCAAGCACCTTTCGGTCTTACCAACAAAAACGTGGACAACAAGGTAAATCGACCAAAATGCTTCATTTTCTTTGTTTTATTTAAGGTCGAACTCCAAAGTATACTGCACCGGAAGTAACAAATTCGAAAGTGATTCCTGGAAGAAGATCAGATATTTGGAGTTTTGGTGTGATTGTCATTGAAATGATGAGTAAGGAATTCCCATGGAATGTCGAAGGTGCTCATTTTCTCGAGGTAGCAGAGATTATCGAGACAGTTCCACCACGAATAATTGTTAGATTTAAAATGGTATGCGTCTTACTATTTTTTATGTTGCAGAGAAACGATGACACTGATGAAAGAATGGTTGAACTGGCTCTTTTGATGATATCACCTCTCAATATGAGGCCATATGCTCATGATATTTTGAAATTCCCGGTTTTAGAAGATCCACCACCGCAATTAGAAGAAGATCCATTTTACGAGGATGACGACGAATATTACTAACATAATGAATATAATGAATGCCCCCTCGTTTCATGTTTCTATTTTGAAATTTTAAATATAAAATGTTTTTTTTTTCAGTATAATTTTCAACTATAGCGTAAAATCGCTTTTTATCTGTTACATCAACCAGCTTTCATAACGAACCTCTATAAATTTCAGATGGAAATGTTATCTAGCCTTGGAGATATGTTGAACACAGTTCAAAGCGAACTTTCAACTGGTGTTGAAAGATTGAGGCAGAATGTTTCCACGAATATAGTTTCTCAGCAAAAGTAAATTTTCATTTTAAAAAAATTTGGTAAAGTTATTATGCTTCTGGTTATTTTTTTCATCTTTCATATTGATTTGGGTCTAATGTATCATTTTATTTTCCTTCGTGAAGTACAGCTAGAATGCAGAAAAGCGAAAATAGATTATGTGCGTTGCAATACATATATAGAAAGAATAGTATTGAATAGAATATATTGTATATTTAATATGCAAAATTGTCCGAACGATATAACACGAATTTGCATATTGATCATACGTTATTATCTATTACATTTGTTGATATTCCATAGTTGCAGTTGGAATAATGAATATCTTAGGTCAAAATTATTCATCGTAAGATTTCTATGTTAATAGAATGAAATTCGCGTTTTTCAGGATTTCAAGTGAATCAATTAATGAAATATTGAATACACAAGCGGGAAACCAGTTACTTTCACAGTGAGTACATATTGTGGCGTCGTGCGACTGCGGAAAATTGCCTAAAAGTAAAAAAAAACTAAAGCAGCGGTTTTGCCAAAAAAAAACAAAAATTTATGTAAAAGATTTTTAAAAAATCACAAGTCGTGCATTTTTAATTTTTGGCATTTCGCTAATTTTCCACAAGTACGCGACGTCGAAAAAAGTTTGATAAAATCCAAAACTTTATTGACCCATTGTCAGATTTCAAGTAATGATAAAGGAAATAGTTGAAAACGGGGATGAAGGTGCAAGATTAGCCAATTTATGCAGTACAAGAATGGGGAGAACACAACAGGTATTGTCGGTTTCAAACGACTGATCGAAATAAATATATCGCTATTGTTTTACAATGAGGAAATTTATTTTAAGTTAGCTAAAGAACGCGCTGAAGCTGTAATGGAAATTGATTCTTTCATGAGAAATTCGTCAGATTTTGATAGAAGAATACGCGAAATCAATAGTCAGGTTTGACGAACGATTTTAGGAAACAGTTAAACAATCCATATTTAAGTTAATAAAACTACAAAGATTCTGCAATCAAACTGAACAGGCAATGACGTACTTGGAAGCGCTGTGTGAGGTCGCACGGACTGAAGATGAAGTAGATTTGATAAGACAGCAAGCTAGATCTGCTGCTACAATAGTTCAAATCGAGTCTGAGACACCCAGCATTTTAACCTGTAAGTATTATATATAATATTCTGATGGTTTTCATTTTATATCGTTAAGCAATTGGTCAACGCAAAGAAGACGATGATAAACAACACCAGGAGGAAGTAATGCTAGAAGATTTTCTATCAGAAAAAAACTAACAAATTCCTTAATTAAATTTTGAATTTGCACTTTATTATTAGAGCATACTTCAATATTGTGATTTATTGTCGATTATACTTACAAACTCTAATTTCTACATTTTTACTTCAAGTTTGTTTTGATAAATATTAGTAATACTGTCTTTGTCTTCATTTCTTTTTACGTCAGTTGTTATCTCTGAAAGTTAATACTAGTAGTAAACTATCGCCAGTGAAAACTTGATTGGCGCGTTTTAGGAGAATCGTAGTTTTTTGCAGGCTAAGCCATATGTGTTCATTTTCACAAAAACAATTGCATGGAATTTAATCTACCTGCTGAAAGTAGAATAGGTAGGCAGCGCAATAACTCTGTGAATCACGTATCTCTTCCAATCCGAGGTAAATATTTTGTCACGTTTACCGAATTTTCAACATTATAATCATTTCCCGACTAAATTGTAGCAATGCTGTTTCCGCGGGAATTCGTATCTTTTAACCATACGGTTTCAATGGAAATCGCATTGTGCATACGGCACCTGGGAAACAGTTTCCATATGCTTCTCTACTTGATTTCTTTAAAAAAAACTTTCTTCCATGAGCGTCAGCTGTTCTGATACGAACCAAATTTCAAGGAATGTATATATGTATTAATACAACTGTATATGGAATTAATGCTGCAAACATCTGAAATCGATTTGTAGTGTTTTTCTTCAGTGCGCAGATTTTCTACAGCCGATGGGATTGGGTCACCAACGGATCACGCCTATGCACCTCCTGGAGTTTTAACCAAACTCAACTCAATTATAAAAATCAAGCCTACAATCCTGATGTAAATTTTTTATAACCATTACATTAAAAATGTGAAGATGATTTTAGCCCGAAGAAAATGTTTTGCGCATGTTGTAACAAGAAAACCAGTTGTAATTGCAAAAAGTGTACATTAGAATGCTGTGAGTTTATTATGAGAATTTCAACATAATAAATAAGTAAATTCAATTTTAGTAGCGTTTTACTCAAGAAAAGAGCGGTTGTTTTTACGCAATTCAGAAAAGAAACGCTATCAAAATGAAATAGAAAAGCTTCAAGCAGATATGGTAAATTAAATGATGGATAAATATTCAAACGAATATCGAATTTTTAGGCATCTAATTGTGCCGAAATCGCATCTCGGTACGAACGGGTGTCAGCATTGAGAAGCCAAGTAGAAAATGCAAAAATGAGAATTGAAATTAAAAGAGGAGAAAGTGTTAGTCTTAAGGAACAACTAAGCAAAAAAGATTTTAAGCAATTCGAGGTATTGTTTTTATGCATATTTGAAATGTAGAATGGTTCAGATCATTTTCAAAAGTCAAGAGAAAAAGTTGGAGGAATTAAACGATTACAAAATGAAATATGAAAAGGAACTCGATAGAAAAGAAACAATGGTTTGATAAAAATTTTTTATATCTTCATTTACTCGTTTAAGCTTGCTAAAACTCGACACCTTCTTTGCCTCACTGCATGTCGTATTTTTCCCATTCAAGAGATTGAAGTCGATGTAGAGGACATTGAGAAGCCAATGGAAAGCTCGAAAAATTGGGCATTAGTAAATACAACGGAAGCAGGGAGGCGATATAAGGTATTATTTTCTGTTATCCTTACAAGCTCGTCTCCAATTTTATTTGCATAGATTAGAGGAGGCTACATCAATGATAGTTTGAAGAACCGCTTGACCACTGCAATTGCGGGGGGGACTATTACCTTACCACCAGAGATGAAGCCGCCATTCGCAGCTTTCGTACATACTGTGCAACTGGTACATCTTCTAAATGTAATTTTCAATTTTCGACCACCACATCAGGTTTCAAAATTTGTATTTTTCGTTTCATTAATAGACATTTTTAGATATCACACAGAGAGCTGTGCATTCGTGAACGATGGTCGAGTGACTGTTTTACTAACGAATGGCAAAATTTGTGTGACTCTGTGATTTATTTGTGCGCTTATCTGGGGATGAAAGCAGCAAACTTAAAATATTCTATTCCACATGCGAATATTCTTGAATTCGGCTCGTTTGTTCTCGAAACTGGAGACATAAAAAATTTAGGAGTATGATAACGATTCAAATTTGAATATAGTCAATTTGTTTTGTAGAATCGACCGCGCTGTGATATGTCTACTCTTCAAGAACTTTTTTCGACCGAAAGAGTCTATCCAACTGATCGAGAAGAGACTGAAGAGATCAATGGTTTTCTTTTAGTTGATTTGTAATATACTGTGTATTTATTTGTAAATATTCAATACTTATCACTTTATTTTACGTGTTAATTTAAGGCATTTATGCATCTCTAATTAACAAATAAAATGAAAAAATATGCAATTCGAAAAAAAAATTTCTATTACCATCGCAAAGAAAAACGGGCGCCTTGCAAGAAAGTAACACTTTTTTTTGCGTGTGTATTATCGAAGTCAAACAACTTGAAATTTAAAAAATAAGTGGCTATGTGCCAATGCGTTTCGAGGCAGCGAGAAGTACGCGAGACTGCGTGCATTGCATTATATGTACGTACACTTAATATTCAGTTAACGATAAATTTAAAATTTAACTGATTTCGCGTATTTGAGTGCCCCGCCTCCCTTCAGTCGTTTGACGCCGGAAATAATATGTATTACAAAAATCCATTAAATGGTATTTATTGTTTATTCTTCAAATCATTGAAATGCTTTCGGTTTGTTACTGTATCCATCAGCATAACTTTTCCAATAACTTGATTAACTAAGAACTTCGGGAGCATTCCTTTTAAGTCGGCAAGCATGACTACATCAGTAATTGTTTCATTTGGATTCTCGGGATGTCGTCGGAATCGTGCACCAGCAATATGTAAATAGGCACTAAATATTATGTTTAAAAATTAATTTCTTTAATAAGATATACCGGACTTTCCCTTTATGCTTCGATATAAATGGAACATCAACACTTCTTGAAGCCAATATAAAATGATCTCCAACTTGACGCCATAAGCGTGCCGATACAAATTCTCTACCGGATACAATTAAAACATCATTGTTTCCGTACTATACTTAAATATTGTTTTATTAGTAGAAGAATACATACCGTAACAATATCGAAATTTGGAGTTGGTGCAGCGATTCGTTCGGCAAAGTTAATATTCTGATTCCATTCTGGAAGTGTTTCTACACCATTCCAGGTTTCCTTCATAACTTGGGCTGGATTCATTGGAAGTGTTGTCTTAAATATTTTATTTAACCAAAATTATCTATTCAAGCTCACAGATATTGTGACCATTCGTCCTTTTGGTGTATCTTTTGCGAAAACAACATCTCCCTCATTGTTTGATTCGTCACGGAACCATCCTTTCTTTGTTTCGAAATCGGGATCATTGAATAATTTTTCTACGTCGTTAAATACTTCACCGGCGGTTTTTAGAGCAGAGGCGTACTAAACTAGAAACAGATATATTGTTATTCGAAAACTCACTTTTTCATTTTCAGAATTCAATGTGTCTGTTACATCATGTAATGATATTGAAGTCATTGATGCAGGAGCTGTAACAACACTGATAAGACATAAATTTCCAAATAATATCGAGGCGGACGAAGTTTTCCGTCGTCCTCGGCCATTATTTTACACGATCGTGTTTTTTTTTTCAATTGAATTTTGTCTGTTTCGGAGCTTACCTATAAACCAGATAAAACACAACGATAGCATTTTGGTTAAGCTGGTGTTAGTTTGTTTATTTGCGTTCAATTGGTATCGAATCATCCCAACAGCTGACTATAGGTCATTTTCTTCGTCACAATTAATCATGTTCAGCGATGGTTCAGCAGAACTCGCTGTATTTTTCGCCGCTTGACTCATATCAGAAACGGAAAAAGTCATTGTTTCTAATTATTTGAAAAGAAATTACAGTATTTCATTAGTCATTCCTAATTTAACATTAAATTTTTCATATAAAAGGGACATTTCTTTCAAAAAATTTAGTCATGCTCGCTCCAATCTCGTTATTTTTACTTGTAGCTGTTGGTTCTTCTCTAAATTTTGCAATCGAAGGTGATTCTAAAGTATTTCAGTGATATATTCCTCATTGTTATTGAGATATTCCCCATATCTGAATAACGATGAGAATATTGCGTATTCGAAACAGAGGACATATATAGTCGGCGTCCGGCGACTGATGTACGCGGGTAGATTTACGCGCATGCGCCTTGAAAAGGTCTCGTCACGGAATGCTTATTTTGCTGTTTTCACGTGAACTGCTTCATTTTTCTTGATGAGTTTCGCATTTCCTTGAATTTCCAACGTCATTCGATTAAAAAATTATCGAACCGACCCATAAAATTTGAAATAACCTGTTAGTCCTTGCGAGACCATTTCGAAAGACGCATTCCCGTAAATCTACTTGCGTATAGCAGTCGCCGGACGCCGACTATATTAGAATTACAAATGACTTTCCGAAGTTATCATTCCGATTTGGCCTTTCTTTTTAGGAAGTTACTGCCTTGAGAATGGACGAAGAGCACCATATCCTCGAGAAAAAAATGCTTTCCTGATATGTGTCGAAAACATTTGGATGAAAGTAATGTGCCCGGATAATCAATACTATTATAAGAAAGTAAAAATTAAAAGTAATAAACTGCTAAATTGTCCCAAAGTTCAGTATGAAATTTGTCTTGATGAAACTAAAAGTATTTGCAAGAGCGGCGAAACGAAGCCCGACATTTTCGACAATCGGCAATATTATGTAAAAAAAAACTATTTACATGTATCAGAAAAATTATTAACATTTAGCTTTGTGTCAACGGTCGATTCGTTTTAAGGAGTTGTGGAAGAGATAGAATCTACGAAAATAGAAAATGTACTTGGATTGGGCCAACTAGCACTCTCCCAACCACAACAAAAGCAACGACTACAATCTATAATGAGAACTGTGAGGTGGGAATATTTTTCGTTTATTATTTGTGACATTGTTATTTCAGAGTGGTTATTCACCGGATCCCTACGACTGTCATTTCTTTAGACAGTGCGAAAATGGAGTGTGGAAATCAATGCAGTGCGCCCCAGGAACAATTTGGAATCAAGCTATTCTGGCTTGTGATCATTATTCCCCATCACTATGTCAAAAAACCGAAGGAAGTCCTCCTGCCCCACCACCTTCACCAATTGAAGTTTAATTGACAGTTTCTTTATTATCAAAATACATTAATATTTTACAGATTGTACAGATTTTTGATTGACTAGGTTATTTGCTTAAGAAAGTTCAAAGCTTTGTCATGATAATCGAGATTTGATGGCCTTGATACTTGCGATGATTGAGAAATTAGCGGTTGTGGATCAGTGTTCTTAAAGCGGATGGATAAATTGGTCCGATTGAACCTAAACGAACCAGTTCATCGAGATCGCCATCACTTTGCAATCTCTTTTGTATCGTTTTCACGACGAAATCATCGTCAACAAGTGATTTTCCAAAACGGATACGGTGAAATGTATCGAGAGCTTCATCACAAGACTCAACAGACTCTTCTAAGCAGACGTGACGAGCTCTAAGAAAAGCTTGCCTTGCATCCGGGGAGATATCTGTTCTAAAATTAAAAAAAAAAATGAAAATGTTTTTTTTTGAATTACCTTCTGATTTCTTCTTCCGGTTTCTTTTCATTCTTGCGATTGTTAATGAGACTAATCTCATTACGTGATTCGCCATTAATCTGAAAAATATTCTTCAATAATAAAACAATGAAAACCGCAAAAATGTGTGCATGCAACTTTCGATTCTCTAAAGTAAAAATTAGAAACTCAAAAACGTTCAAAACAATGATCGGTGACAAACAAATGCTGTTCGTGCATGAACCTAGTGTAGAGTCGCTTGTTAATTCGAATTTCAGAGTTCATAAAGATCTATTAGTTTTTATGATATTAGAAACAAATTGAAATTACAAATTTTCGTTAAAATAAAAAGATCGCATGAACATAACAAAAAAACATTCACTCTACCCGCATTTGTCGGAATCCGAATATAAGGAAAAAAATAGAGTATTCAATTATTAAAAAAAACAAATAATAGATAAGTGGACATACTTCTAGATTCATTGGCTTTCCCGTTAATGTAAATGGCAATTCTATTCCAGCTAGTGTTTTTCTTTTAGTATCTACTTGCATTGCCGATGACATAAGTTCGGAAACAACTTTTATTGGATCGAGCTAAAAAATTTTCAAGAATAAATTTATTTATTTTTGAAATATTACCGCCTCAAAATCAGGTATTCGGAATTTAGACTCGATGTGTCTTTCGGTATCACTTAGATGGTAAATACCGCGCGCTGAAAGCTGCTCATTCGTCTCTGAAAAATAAACATAAAATGTAAATAAGAAATGCAAAGAATAAACCATCACTTTCACTTGTGCTGACAACGACCATTGAAACTAAATGAAATATGTTTAAAGTAAGTGAAAAATTTAAATACCAGATGAGAATAATAGGAGAAGTATTAATAATACTTGGTTTATGACTATCCGCAGTACAACGAATTCGGACATTTATTCATTCGCATACTGATGTTGACCTAATCGCTTATGCTAGTCCTATCAAATTTGATAACTGCAAAAAAATCACAGTTTAAAAAGTCAAATAGTATAATTAAAAGAGATAATGGAGAAAAACAACTCATATTTTAAGAAAGAGAGAAATATAAAGGGAGAGGAGAGATGATAAATGATTGCTAAATTGGAACACGGAATTGGCTAAACGTCATTAGTCTATGAACGATCAAACCATACATAATATGGTGTCTGTTTTGATCGTGACAATTCCCATATTTATCTCATTTATGAGGTTTTACGTACCGGAGAAGGAGGCGGAGACTAGGGTGCAAATAGATTCATTTAAGCACATTGTCACGTTAATAGTCGGCAATAATCGGTATTATGATACAGCGTTTGACCTACAATCTGAGGACATATCTTATCAAACCTCCCGGCATTCCAAAAACGACAATGGAAGTTGACAACAAGCCAGAATTTGGGATGAGTGAAAGTTGAGAAACGATCATTTTGATCTCTTGCGATTTATGTACTAATGTTTTTGTGATCTTAGCTAATTAGCGAATAATATGGACTTATTCATAACCATGGACAGGTACGGACTACCGAGTATTTTGTCGGCGTTGATACTTAGAAGAAACGAGGTCTTCAATTTCACGAAATCTGAATTTTCGCGAAATTTGGATTTATCGTTGATTGACTATTTAATTCGCTTACAAACTCATCGTATTTTTTCCGTTCAGTCATTCAATGCTATCAATTTTTACAGACAAATACTTGAACGTTGATATGTGGACGAAATTTTTAACACAGAAACACGGCCATAGATCGCTGTCCTGAAAAAAATATTTTCAACGATTAGACGATTTTGTATTATTAAAAAAAAAATAATAATTTTCTTCCTTCCATTTACGATTCTCTCTCGAGTCTTTTCGATATAATTTGCGTCGGATTTATCGAATCTTTGCATCCCTCTCTAAACGCACGCACGAATGCACCATGTAATTTGGAGAGGTAGCAGCGATACAGACGGCAGCTAGAATGCCTTTTTTCTTTTCTCTAACTCCGCCAGTGCCAGTTTTATTGACGTCTTTAATAATTTTAGAAGTATCACCAGTTACAGATGCAATTATTCTATTAAATATTAATTAAAACTACAGTTATGGCAACCTCGGCGGTTTTTATTCTGGATCTCAAAGGAAAAGTATGTTTATTCGAATTCTAGAGATTTAATAGGAATATTTGCAGACTATAATATCGAGAAATTATCGCGGTGATGTAGATATGAGCGCTATTGACAAGTTTATTACACTTTTGATGGAAAAAGAGGAGGAAGGTTCAATGTCACCAGTTATAACCCACCACGATACCAATTTCGTGTTTATCAAGCATGCAAATATATACTGTGAGTGTTTACTCAATGAACTTTTTCATTAATGGACCTTTTCATGAAATGTAATTTTTCACGAAAATTGTAAACCATAAATTGCTAATTTTCACATTTTTTGCATGAATAGGTTCATTATTCATTTATTGCGGTTGTTGAATGTAAAAAATATCAAATAAGTCTATTTTTAGTGGTGTCTGTTTGTCGCTCGAACGTCAACGTCACAATGATTCTCTCCTTTTTATATAAACTCATCGAAGTTTGTTTTTTTTTTAATATTTAATTTAATCGAGACATTATATAAAACATATTTTAAGGTATTTACTGAATATTTTAAAGACGTGGAAGAAGAATCCGTTCGCGATAATTTTGTTGTTATTTATGAACTTCTTGACGAAATGATGGATTTTGGATTTCCACAAACTACCGAAAGCCGCATTCTTCAAGAGTTTTATCCAAAATTATTCATTTGATAATCAAAAATTTCAGGTATATTACGCAAGAAGGCCAAAAATTAGTTAACGCTCCTAGACCTCCTATGGCTGTAACAAATGCTGTTTCATGGAGAAGTGAAGGAATAAAATACCGAAAAAATGAAGTTTTTCTTGATGTTATTGAAAGCGTAAATATGCTGGTATTGAAAGATATTTATAATGTTTTACAACACTAATTTTAGGCTAGCGCGAATGGCACGGTTCTTCAGAGCGAGATTGTCGGATCTGTGAAAATGAGAGTGTATTTAACCGGAATGCCGGAATTACGTCTTGGTCTCAATGACAAAGTTCTATTTGAAGGCAGTGGACGTAAGAACATTTTTAGAAATACTAAAAATTTTAAACTTTAACTACAGGTGGTAAAAGCAAATCGGTTGAATTAGAAGATGTCAAATTTCATCAATGCGTTCGTCTTTCTCGATTTGACACCGATCGCACAATATCCTTCATTCCACCTGACGGAGCTTTCGAACTAATGAGTTACCGTTTAACTACAGTTGTTAAGCCGTTAATCTGGATTGAGACGAGCATTGAGAGACATAGTCATTCTCGTGTTTCGTTCATTATTAAAGTAGTGTTAGTTCTGTAATTCTCAAACGAATGATTTCAAATTGTAGGCAAAATCTCAATTTAAACGACGCTCGACTGCGAATAATGTGGAAATTATTATACCAGTAAATTCTGATGCTGATTCACCGAAATTCAAAACGAGTATCGGGTCGGTCAAATACACGCCTGAACAAAGCGCATTTATTTGGACTATTAAAAGTTTTCCAGGTACATCTAATTTTTTTCGGTATATCGGTTTGTTTAAATTTTAGGAGGCAAGGAATACTTGTTGACTGCTCATTTTTCGCTTCCATCTGTAGCCAGCGAAGAATCGGAAGGCCGTCCGCCTATTAAAGTGAAGTTTGAAATACCTTACTTCACAACTTCCGGTATTCAAGTGAGTTTTTAAATTATTAGAAAACGAACATTCAAATCGTTTTTCTATCAGAAATTATCACTAGGTTATAGTCTCTCGCGCCACCCACTATAGTTCATCATGTAAAATACTGCTAAAAGGCAGGCGGGTGCCTGTTCCATTCGAATGAAAACCCTACTAGCTGTCGGAAAATAAAACAATTTTGGTCTCATTCATTTTTCCCTTTCTACGAAAGAACTGTTATAAATACATATTATCATTTCTTAATTTTTTGAAAATACAATTTTCAGACTTCTAGATATTTCATTTTTTACGAACTAATTCGGCTCATTTCAGGTTCGCTATTTGAAAATCATCGAAAAGAGCGGCTATCAAGCACTCCCATGGGTGCGATACATCACTCAGAATGGAGAATATGAAATGAGAATGAAGTAATTATCTCATTTCCAATACTCACTTCAAGCTTTCTTATTTCTTTCCTTTTCTTTTGTTATTTTCTTTTAATGTTTGATATTCAATGGCTTGAGACGCATTTGTGCTTAAGCGGAAACTTATGTTGGAAAGATTGATTACCATCGCGAAAAACGAGCATCTTGATTTTCTTTCTTCTTAGCAATTCTCCCAATTTTCTAAGTATATAATTATCGATTTTGTTAACTTTTCTTAATTCGAATCTCAAAATGATTTTTCATCAACGTGTTCCCGCCGTGCATAATTTTCTTTGATCTTGTTAAATCAATTTTTTTCTTACTCAGAAAGTCGTAAAGGAGAAACTGCGCCGACTTTTGTTTACTAATTGATTTTTTCCCTGATTTTCCCAAGGTATTCCGCGGGTTATCCCAAACCAAAAAGTGTCCGCTGTTCGTCCTGAGCGTATCTCTGAGAAGTTTAAAATTATCATTATTTATGTCTAATGTGATAAATAAGTATATTTCAATCTGTAACTTAGTTAATGTAGGTTTAAACCAATGTTACTGTTGATCGATGATAAGCAAAATACGCAAATTTAGTCAAGATGTTTGCGAGAGGACGTTCAACTGTGCAAAATGTGTCAAAGCTTGTTTTTAGCCAATTGATGATGAAGCAGAATGTAAGTTGGGCCTATAATTTTTATAATTCTTGTCAAACTCATCGAGCGGACTTCTATGCTGTGCGCATGTTATGTTGGTTCAACGATTCGCGGAAAACAAATATTTTTTGATTTTTCTCTCACTTTCTCCCAAATTTTGCCACAGTTCCACGAAAGCAAAGCCCCTAATTAAATTCATTAAATTTGCCAAGCAACAGTAAAACATGAATAAAAATCAATTATACAGTTTATTCCATCGGCTTTGACTTTTCGGCATGCGCATTATAAATACAAGAAGCCGAGAAATGTGAAAAATAGCCGATATCTACTTAAAAGAAAGGAACTCGATGAAAGCAGTTGCTGGGATGGTTCTGAAAAAGCTCATAATTATCCATTAAATGACTTGATCCCTAGTAAGAATATGTTAGATAGAATCGTTGAGGATTTAAAGGTATTAATACAAATTGGATGATACATATTTTACAATTTTTTGTTTGAGAATCAATGTTGTTCGACATTTGTGATCCCCAGCAAACAATCCGAAGCACGCGTTTCGATCGTTGAAAATATCGAAAAACTTTTATCATATGGTATGTTCCCCCCATCTCAAGAAGTGTGAAATCCCTATGAAATTTTAGGAGTGAAACCGGAATTCGTCGTCGACGCAGCCGTCAAAAACCCACAATTTTTTCGACATCTCGTCACACTTCCAAATGTTACTACTCAGGTAAGTGTTGATACAGTTTTTTAAAATTTGTGATAAAGTTCGAAAACTCAGCAATTCGTTAAGAACAAACTGCGGATGTTTTTTGGTATTAATAGGTAAAAACCAAAGATTTATCTCTAGATTCCGCGGTTCGTCTCAAAACTTTAAAACCAGGAGTACGCCTATGCAATCTCCATTCCAAATTCCACTAGTTCTTTTTATTGAAGAAATTAAATGTAAAAAGGAAGATTCTCCATTTCGTTTGACGGGATCAATCAAAAGCAGCGCTCACTCTTCAAGTTTTTGTTTTAATATTTTTCAGATCTTGGAAACTCTTGTTTCTGTAGCCTATTTGACATTTGAGGATTCGATTCGTCTTTTTACTATGTAAGTCGACCATTCATCAAATCATGATAAGGTGTAACGCAAGACGTAGGTCATTTACGCTTTGACAATCTACCCAACATGTGAAAAATTACAGCATAGCCACATAAAAATTGTTATTTCGCAAATAATTGAAACTGTTTTTTACTTTTTTGTAAGTTAAATTTCCGCCAGTTGGCTGTCGAGGTCTTGCGACTTCGACAATAACATTATTTTTTCTGCTATTTAATTAAACAAAACTCGTAAAAATGTCGGAAACTGTAAAGCGGAAAATGACATTGCAGACTTGTGCATTTTATTTGCCGAAAATACACATGTTTTTGTCATTATCTTTCTTCTCCATGTCTTAACGCAGAATTTACGTTCTTTTTTTTTAATTTTTTGGATTCTTATCGAATTTCTGCGTTATTTTTGTACTTTTGCAGGTTCCCTGATGACTTCATCCGATGTGGTCCAGATGGAATAATTGAACGTGTCGAATCTCTCTCAGCATGTGGTATTACTTCTCCAAAAGTGACATCGGATGTTATACGCAAATGCCCAGCCTTAGCGTTTTCAAGGGATGCAATGGAAATGCGCAAGTTTGTGGAGTCCATCGGATCATTTTTCACACGCAAGCAGGTATTTGGCCGGGAGAAAAAAATACATATATACGTATATTCGGCGTCCTGCAACTGCTGTACGCGGGTAGATTTACGCTCATGCGCCTTTCCCCATGGTCTCGCCACGTGTGATCGCTTATTTTGCTGTTTTCACGCGAATGGTTAATTTCCTATTGATGAGTTTGGCATTTTTTGAATTTCCAACGTCATTCGATTAAAAAAAATTTCTAACCGACCCATAACATTCAAAATAACCCGTTAGTCCGCGCGAGACCAAGCGAAAGACTCATCGCCGTAAATCTACCCGTGTACACCAGTCACCGGATGCCGAACATATATGTATATATATATATATATCCTAAAGACGTCTCGGGACTGAGAAATATTGGCTAAATGGGGCGGGTAGATTTACGTTTTTTTCCCGATGGTCTCGCTAATTGTGAGCGCTTCATATTTTCAGATGAAATGTTAATAACTTCTTGATGGTTTTGACCGTTTCTTTAACGACGTGATTTAATATAAAAAATTATCGAAATAATCCATGAAAAACAAAATAATTATTCATTCTGCGTAATACCATAACGAAAAACCGGTAAACCCCGCCGACCCAGCAACGACACTCCATGTTTACAGCGAGGCCTTTGTTTAGCGTAATAAGAATTTCGAATTGCATTATTTTGAGCAGAATTAGTTATTCCTGGAACACCAATTGTTCAGAAGTTCCCAAACAAAATTGATTGAACCAGCTTTCACTGGTTTTGCTTCATTTTTTTATTTTTTTATAATAAAGTTTTCTTGAAAAATCTATTAGCGGGTCGGGGCGGGTCGGTAAAATTCTCACACTGACCCGCCCCGTTGTAAGTATGCATATGTTCAATTTTTAGATTACAACATTAATTTCACGATCTCCTCATATTTTACTCAAAAATATCGAGGAAGTTGAGGAAAAATACGAATATATGTTTTATCAGGTATATTTAAAAAAAAAACCCTAGTATTTATACCAATTATGTAAATTATTCTAGATGGGAATTGAATCCGATGAACTTTCCGAAAGCTCTGGTTGGATTGATGAACTAAAACTTTCGGGTATTATTCAGCGCCACCGGTTTTTAACTGTTACTGGAAAATACCAAATGCCTGATCCGAAGCGTCCACAGCTTCGCAGAGACAATCCAAAGGGTTCGCGGATATTTGATACAAATGACGAGGATTTCGCGAGAAACGTGAAGAAAATGAAACATATGAAAAGCAAATGAAAATGGTAGTTATAGGTTGCTGGCGTATCACTTGAAGAATGGGTTGTATTCCAAATGCTTCAATTAAAGATTGAAGAAAATCAAGAAAAGGTAGAGCTAAATCAATTATTGCTAATTAAATTAATCGTAGGAACGACCATTTGAACGCGTGAAGCCTTCAAAGAGAAAAGCCTATGAGCGACGTCATAAGCAACGTACACATCACGGTGACCATATTTTCGACGTTTCGATGTTATCCGCCAGAGAATGAAATTTTGAAATAATATGTTTGGGTAGTATTTTTCATTGTTCTATATAATTTTATTGCTTATCTATTGTCGGAATCAAAAACGGGCTATGTGCCAATGCGTCTCAAGGCAGCGAGAAGCACGTGAAATTGCGTACCTTGTATTTAAGCGTACGCGCATTTAATATTCAGTCAACGAAAAATTTAAATCTGCACTGATTTCGCGAATTTGAATGCCTCGCCTCCTTTCTGTCGTTTGACGCCGAAAATACATGCATTTCACCTTGTGCTGGATTGTTTTTTGTTTTATTTTCAAATAATTGTTAATGGTTGCTCCCACGAAATTTTATTCTTCAACAAAAATTTGTTTGACATGTTATGACTTCGTGTGAAATTTTCTGTCTGAAATGGTTTATTCCATATTTTATCTCATTATTTTTCATTTCCGTTATTTGGTAGTGAATTCCTAGATTTCAAAATATCGTTTCTAGCTGATTTAAAGGATTTCAATGATTCATTAATATTTTCGGGTTCTTCAAATATTTGCAAGTGAGTCTGTTTTTGATTATTTATTTTTTATGTTGCTATGGAGATTATTTTTGTTGTAGAGATTTCTACCGTAGATACTATTTAGCTTGTCTCGAATTTTTTATTAACATTTATCACAAAAGAAAATATCCAAAACCAAATAGTGCGGTATATTAACGCGGACCGACACTATTTATTATAATTGAGTTTGAAGCCAAACAAGCTGAATTCCATTTACTGTACCATTAATATAAAAAAACTTGATATTCTCCTTTATGTTCGTGATAATAGCTACTTTCAGTTGCTCTCATTAACATGTTATCGCCGTTTCACGAGTCCTCTGCTACAAACGCACTGGAAATGCTACCTGGTTATCAATGTTCCCATATCATGAACATAAATGACCACCATTCCTCATTGCCAATGCCAATTCCATGGAGTGACTTCATGCAACCTACAATGGTATGTTTTCTTAGCTAATAAGGAAACGGCGTTTTTATGAATATCTCTATGGTAACCTGAAAAGTTCAGTTAGTAATGTTCCAGAATGCGTGAATCATTTAACGTCTCGATTATTTTTCCAAATTAAATATCATCTTAGCCAACTTATCGGGCGAAACAGTAGTATTTCTCGATTTTGACGAAACAAGCAGGTTACACTGTTTCGAAGCAGCCGCTTCGACGAAAATAATGATTTTTTTGGTTTTTACGTCGCTGTTTCTCTTAAAATTTGCTACTGTTTCGCCGAAAGCGATCAATTTTGTAGGTTTCTTAGTAATTGATATTTGGTTATTCACGTTGTTATACAGGATGCAAGTTATTCAATTAGATTTAATAATTCTCGACACGGTTCTTTCTAGCGCCTCGCGTTGAATTCCTATTTGGGTTGAACACCAACGCATATTTGAATAGTATGTTGTTTGGTGTAGAATCATACATCTCGAAGGAAACTCTTTGCGGTTCCCGTAACCATTCTTCCTCCATTTAATTTTCAAGGTCAGCGCTCAGTTTTTCTTCGATGTTAATGGAAAAATCTCGCAACTGCCATCTGCTCGTCAATTTTTTTTTCATTTCGTCTTCTCGGAAATTATATGCTTTCAAATGTAATGACAACACTTGAATCACTTTCGATTTCATTTTCTTATCAATCTGCCGCTAATCATTTATTTTCTTATCTTGTCCTATTCGCGTTCCCACTGAAAGAGTTTATCGTCTGCAATAGAATTTTTAAAGTTACTTTGTCTCAATGGACGATAAAGTGAAAAGAGCATATGAATATATTAATAAATCATCAGCTATGAAAGGCCACAATAAAATTGTCAGACGCCGCTAATTAATGTTTGAGTAAGCGTCTAGACATTGTTTAATTGAAATTAAAAAACATATTATGATATTCGCAAAAATACGAGCGCTCTGCACCGATTTAAGATAAGTTAACTTCGCAGTTATCCCGAGTACGGTAACCAAATTTCCACTGTTTAAATTCAAATTTGAATTACCGCCTTCTAAGGTGATATGGCCCACGATAATGCAATGGGCTCGTTTTTTGCGATGGTATTATTTATTTAAAGTACACTGCGAACTACCGACATAATAAAATTTTACGAGAGTTAAAAAATTGAATGCTGAATAATAAATAGTCGAACTGTTCAAAATTTATTTTTAAGAAGTAAATTAATAATTAGTTTAATGTTCTGAATCAATTTATTATTTGTGTGCTTTGCACAGCCAAATAAAATTCACATCCGAAGTAAGATATACATTTACACATATGCAAAATTTGCAATGGTCCATGCTCACCGCGTCTCGCTGTCTCTCGATTCGTCATCAGTAGTTGTGGCTCCACGACTCAAGTGCGTTTTCGCATTGATCGAAGATGCATGCGAAAAGCCAACTATTTTTTTCGTTGCTTTTTTGTTCGCTCGTTTGTCACCGTCATCGCTGTTCATGTTTGCTCCACCCATACCTAAATGGAGCTTACTCGTGGTTTATTTTTTTTGCATTCAGTTGAAGAACTTTTTCTACCGGGTGGCCTTTCTATTCTGTCTTTTTCTCATCATTTTCTTTTTCTTTTCAAATGTGCATGCATGTGTGGGAATTTCCTCGCGTTTTCTTCAATTAGAATGCATATTTCGGCAAAAGACGGGAAGTTCGTTTTTGCCTTTGAGTTTTTTCCGGATTAATTACGTAAGGGATGAACATTGAGTGGATTAGCTCAGAGTTTAAAGAAAAAGAATCCTGAGATAATGTCTTTTTCAATGATATTTGAATTGTTTTGCAGAATCGTAATGCATAATTAATTTTTGCAGTTGGTATCACATACTTGTAGTATTTAAATTTCTACGAATAATTAAAACTGCAATCAGCATGTTAATATGTTGTACATATTGGATATTACTGTAAATTGTTCAATTATTTGACGTCATGATACTTCATGGAAGAACTGGAAATATTTAACAATTGATTTTGTAGAATTGTGGGAAAATTGCGATGTTTCGGTTATGATTTTCAAATTCCACCTTAATTTGACAGAAGTAAGCTTTTTTATGCTGTCTTAAACGATTATGAGTTTTGTAAAAACGTGAATGCGAATAATTTAACATTTGAATGATAAAACGCAGCGTGATTGACTCTCCTATATAAATCAATGTTTGACGAGCAGCGAGTTATTTCATGTTTTTTGTGGTTAGAATGTAATTTCGGGCGCAATGCATTGTTCGGTTACTAAGCGACACCGAACGGTTTCCTGTGTTTAGGAAACAAAATGAGATTAGGTGGATCGAGGAACACCGAAAAGCGTCGAACACATTTATTCTTTCCCGCACATCTGCCCCACGGGCGCATCCCACTCGCTATTCGTCGGCGTCTCTTCGCGAATCTGCCGCTGTCCAAAGTGTCCGTTGGTTTTTTTTGCGTTTCGTTTTTTGTTGTGTTTGTCGCGCCCTCTGCCCTCATATATATATATGTGTGTGTGCTGTGCGAGTGTATGTGTATATGCCGAAGAGTGTGTGCGGCGAAGGCAAAATCGGCACAAAAAGTTTACACATTGTCTTTTCTAATTTCTTGAAAACACCATTTCATCCTTAGAGGGACTAACATTGCTTGTTTGTATTTATATATACTTTACATTTGAAAAATCATTTTTAGAAAATGTTTAAAGTTTGTGATATTATGAGTGGAAACATTTGTCATATTAATTTTCATACAAATTTGAAATTAAATTTGTGATATGTAAAATTTATCGGAAATTGAGCAAATGTGTCAACGACTAACTACCAGTGCTTCATATATTTATTACCTTTCCATTTTTTTGCTGAATTTTTTTAAACTACCACGATTAATTCGACGTTCCAAGGTTGGGTTTTTTCATATCTATGGGCGTACTGATATATTTTACAGGATTTTCGTTTCTTTTTCATACAATATATTAGCACCTGTTAAATGCTTGCTACTCTTACTTTTTCATAGTTTGTCAATTCTTATTGTAAATTTTTTCATCTTCTTGGCATGGAAATAGTAATTTTTCAAAGGTTTGATGTACTATAAAGTAGTAGAATGACCACCAACTTATCAGTCGATTACTGTAGCAAAAAAAATGGCGGAAGATTTAGACATATTACTGTAATTGAATGATTACGTAGTTGCGTTTATCACGAATTTTTGGGAAAAAATAAAATCCGGTTTCTTACAGATCAACGATTCGCAGATGCTGGCGGCGTCCGAGGAATTGGATCCACCACCAGTTAGCTCCTCTTCGACAAATTCTGAGGAGAAGAAAGATAGCATTTCTGATGATCAACGGCAACATCCACATGGTTCGTCCTGCACTAGTAGCAACACGCATCATAACTCGTCATCGTCGTGCTCGCCGGCTACACCGCAGGAAATGTCTTCTAATCGTCACATTCAACAGCAAAGCGGTTACCTCGAACTGATTGTATTTTAATTTATTTTTTAAAAATTTTTAGACGAGCATAATCGATCGAATCTTGATCGTGTCGTTGGCGACATAATGAAATCGGAATCATCACTTCTCGATGTCGATTATATGCATATTATGCAGAATCGGCTGACGTCGCATGATCAGATGACATCTATGCCATTACATTTGCGTATGTTTCATTTTTATTAAAAAAAAACCTAACGGCCGCGAAACGATTAATTTGCTTTTATGGATTTTTGACGAGAATTTTGAGATTTGCGCTATTTTTGAACTTTAAAATTTCTATTCCTAATTTTAATTTCAATTTTAACAATGTACTCAGAATCTTTTCACTCCACCTGCTTCTCAATTATTTCGTGTCTTATGAAAGCATTTTTCATTTTTTTATTTAATAAACACCCCGTTCAACGCTTGAAATTCTAGAATTTGGACGTAACTCTACTCAAACAGCGGAGCGTCATCATTCTGCAGAAAGCCTTCAACCACCGACACCGGCTCCGGCACGACGGACTCGCTCATCCAACGACGGAATGATAAAATGTCAATTTTGTCCGAAAAAGTGGAGCAATGAACACGCGGTATCATGTTAAATGAATTAATATAGAAGATAACATTACAGCTTCGCGCTCATATGACGGATTGTCGTTTATTACGATCTCATGAATGTGCGCAGTGCGGAAAGCGATTCAAAGCTCGCGGAGGACTTCAACAACACATGAGAATACATAGTACGGAGAAGCTTTACGGTTGCACCTATTGCGTTAAAAGGTTCACCCAGAAAAGTCATTTGGATCAGCACGAACGTATTCATACTGGTGCCAAGCCTTTCTCGTGCCAGTTTTGTGGACGAGCATTTAGACAACGCTCGCAACAAATTGGACATGAGTCAACTCATGCCCCACATTCGACAACCAATACTAATGCATCCGTTTCATCTGCGGGAAACACTGCTCCTCGCACACCTCGTAAAAAGCGACAGAATGCTTCAAGCGAATTCAAGCAGTCGCAAAACTCGCCGCCGCCTAACCTTAATCATCTGGACGTCGCAGCAGCAGCTGCAATGATGCAACAAAACCATCTGACGCATGACATACTTGGACACCTCGACCATCAGAGATCTGATTCACTTCTTGCGTTGTCGTCGCAAAACCAATCGTCAATATCGTCGCTTCTCGGTCTGCAACATGATATCACACATCAGCAACCGCAACAACATCATTTACTACATCATTCGCATCTTTCATCTCAGCAACTTCATGACTTTGGAGCGTCCGTCGCGACGCCGTCTGGAATGCAGCTGATAAACGGGTTGCACTGATTTTTTCTCTGGGTGAGTACTGATTACAAATAATACGTGTGACACTTGGAAAAACAGATGTTATTGTGTGTTTCCAAGGTATTTTACTCCATTTTGCATTTAACCCCTTTAGCTATATTTGGCAAGTCCCATTTGGCATTGAGCACATATTTACGCTTTTTTTGCGCAATCAAGTTAGTAATTTTGAAAATGAGATGTCCACTTTGATATTGTAAAGTCTGCTAGTATTAATGCCTTAACTGATAAATTGCAGGTATCTTAACTTTTCAATGGCAGCACAATCATCTTATGAAATCTATACACGTTTTCATGTCTACTCAAATTGAAAATGAATAACATATGCGATGTGTTTTTTTTTACATTATACTCGGTAAATCACAACGGATGCTGCGCGGACGGGTTTCTATAGAAAACATTGACGCACTCCGCGCGGACGTTATAACGGACGAGCAGTAGCGTCACCGATGTGATTTATTGGATTAAGTATTCTCCCCCACACCTATAGCAGATATCCAACTTCCAATTAATGAAACTGTTAGCATTATTTCCACCCAGTGGTTTCATTTTGTCTTCCACTGCCCCCCTCCCCCCATAATAAGAAACCAGCTTATGTAACTAAGATTTCTTATTTCGTTGCATTCATTTTATTTTAATATTTTGAATTGTACCTCTCTTGCTTAGACATTTATCCATAGTCGTTTTTTTTTTCAATTTAGTTATCGGTGATACCGGTGAATTATGAGACCCTGTTGTTAGTGATCGTCTAGATTCGTTTTCTGTTTTGTGCATTTCCCTTCCACCGTGTTATATGATTCTAACAAAAGAAAAGCATTAAAAACTAAGAAACCGTTAAAAAATAATAGGAACGTGAAGTCGCATGCCTTCGACAATATGAGAAAATTAATATAATTATGATCGCCCTTTAACTGTTTCTTGGTTTTGGCTGTTTAACGGCCGGTCCGGCCTTTTAAAGGCATAATATTGAAAGAAGAAATAATATGTAATCTAAATAATAAATAAACCGATATATAATATAAAATCCTATTTCCCGGTGAAAATGTAGTTATTTTTTGAATGTTGCAATTTCGGTTCAGTTTTAGATTTTTTATTCCCCTCGTGTAATTGTGATTCTCTATTTTTTTTAACGAATGTATTGATTGTCGTTAGAAATGCTTGGTTGAATAAAAATTGTCATTTTTGACTCTAAAATGTATAATTTGACAATTTTGCATTACGCTAAATAGGTTCATAAGGCTCTATTGAATTTGCTCGTACTTCAGCAGACAAAATGTTTTTTTCGAATAAATGTCTGCGCAAACTCTGGACGATAACAAAAGTAATTAATATATCATGTTTTGTTCGGACTTATCATTTTGCTTTTTGAATAATAGCTGTTAATACGTTTTTTGTATGACCTCTCACCTAATATTTGGTATTAAATTTAAAATTGTCATTTCTTTTGCCACACTCTAATACCGTGGGTGTCGCAACTAAGAGTGCAACGATTTTAATTTCAAAAGAGTCGCCAAAAACATTATCAGCGGCTCATAAAACGTCCCATGGTATAAATATTATTCTTGGAACACAGGAGCCTAAATACAACAGTTGCCCTATAGTATCGTTTCCAAAACAGTGGAGCCTTAATTATTTAGAATTGTTTTGAAATGAAACAACTTCTTTGAATATTTTAGTGCAAATTATAAAATGTGACTACTTACTCTTGTTTCACAAAGAATCATTTTTCAATTAGTAGAATATTTTGTTCATAATCGTGACTAGCTGTATCACATTCTGCTTGCCCACCATGTCGTCGCAATAGATCCCATAGAAGCCCATCTTCATCCTGCCCCTCTCGTCACTCGCTAAGCTCCGCCTACACACCTGCGAGCCCCGAATGCACCAAAAACGGGCACTGGAAGCCAGCCTCTATCCAATTATTATTGTTACTTCGTTTTCTCCGCATTCTTCCCTTTTCTTTGGATTCTACAAGATGCAAATATTCGCGCTTCTCTTATTTGTCGACTTTTTTCAAACAGGTAATTCTATTTTCCATCTTCGGATACTATGAATACTGCCAAGGATCAAAATTTGCGGGCATGAAATCCTCTCGGGAATATTAGACTAACAATAGACGGTAAAGAGTCATACGCTGTCGGGTCGTGACTTGATTTGCGCATTCTGTGTAAAAATGTCCGCTGATACTAGTGGCTCTTTCTTATTTTTGCCGACTATACTCTGCCATATTTTTGATGGTAGGTTTGTGTAGAATTGAATAAAATAACAGATACGATAACGTATATACAAATTTTTATTGAAAAATGTTTGCATTTGAAAAATCAAAATTCGCAGAGCTTTTATTCGTTGTGACATTGTTGTCATTAGAGTTTCAATCTATCCCGCTCCGAAGAACTTTTTACACACATATTGCGCAAACGTCGATGAGAGACATCTCGTTTCATTTTTTCGGGGGAAAAAAGAGGGGTGGGGGTAGGGCAGTCTCTTCTTGTTTTTTATTATTTGAGTGTCGAAACCGAAAACTGAAACTGAAAACCAAATATGGGCAACAAATACGCATCTTCGGCAAGAAATATCGGTTTACTTTTATAAAATGCATATTGTTAGGAAAATGAAGGAAGAAAATAAAAATAAGCATAATATGAGTTTTAGCATGTTCCCGAGGTGCTCCGCCTTCAATTGTTCAGCCGTCGATGTCAAGTGCTATTGCTCTTCTTGGGCAGGATGTGGATTTTACGTGCATTGTAAATGATTTGGGCAGTCATATGGTAAATAGATTTTTTTCGGTATATATTCAATAAGTTCTTCGGCAGGTCGCCTTTGTGAAAGCCGACACGCCTCCTCGTCTTTTGTCCTTCGATGAAAAACTTTTCCGTCGAAGAGACAAATATGAATTGAAACCCAGAATAGGAGATCATCACAATGAATGGGTGTTAACAATTAAAAATGTGCAGGTATGGAGAATTTGGACGTATTTTATGTGTAATGCGTTTTTTTTAACAGGAAGCCGATCGTGGTAATTATTCGTGCCAAATTAATACCGAACCCGTAATGATAGCAACTGGCGAACTTGATGTGAAAGGTTGAAAGCATCATTACTTACATTTTTTTAATCCCGTGAAATTTCTTCGGTGGATTTAGTGAAACCCATTTGTATGCTAATGAGCATCGGTGTGAAACTGCTACGGATTGAGACTGAGCGAACAAGATGAAAAACGCGCTCATGGAGACTCGCATTTTCGCTGTAATTATAATGAACAATCCCGCCCGCTTATAATTACCGTTGCCACACAATGGTCCGGAAATGTCCCATTTATATATTTACCATTCTTGAGGCAACTGAGGATTGCAACATGCTTAAAATTTTACAGGACAATATTGAATGATCAATCGTATTAGTCTTTTTAGATCTTTGAGCGAAATCAACAAATGCACATTTGATATCTACTGTAATTTTTAATGCATTTCATAATAGATATTCAAAAATGATGATATATACGCCAAATTTTGCATAATAAGCAACACCCTTAAAATTCGTCCGTCCTCGACAATACATAATTTTCTATATTAAAATTTTTGTTATAACAACACCAATTTATTTTGGTCCACAAAAAATTTTATCTTCGGCTTAAAGTTTTTCGAAGACTGGACACACTCATATCATTCGATATTTATTTTCAAAAAAAAAAAAACTTGATATTAAGTGCCACCGATTGTTTCGCGTAGTACACCGGCAGCCGTGGAAGTTCGAGAAGGGAACAATGTGAGCTTGACCTGTAAAGCTGATGGAAATCCGACACCAAGTGTAGTTTGGCGACGTCAAGACCGCCAGATTATTAGATATAATGGCGCCACGGGATTTGGCGGTAAGTCATTCGATACATTCTCCCACAATTTGCTGCACAAATCAAATTACTTCAACTCAGTCCGACATGTGGGGAGGTTTTCATTCTTAGCGGGGTTAATAAGGGTCGAGTCAATTAGGCCAACACATTCGTCTTCTCCCTCCCCTCTCTCTCTCTCTCTCTAAATAGTCCCATATGTTGTCGGATGGTGTTTCATTACGAGTTATGCAATACTAACAGGTGTTACAGCATATGAATACCTGACGCCAGTCGAAAGGATTCATCCAAATGTCTGAAAGTGCCGAGCAAAATATAGATATTTTCAAATGCAGTTTATTTGACTGTTTCATTCTATCCTACACAGCTAATTAGTTATTTTTGCAAAACCATCTTATAATGCGATTGAGCATATGGTACTACTTGGCTAATGGAATATTAGTGCAAATCAAAGTGGGAGAGTAAATTATAATTAGTCAGTGAGTTGCAGCTAGCGTATTTCACGGACCCGTCCTACATCTCACTAAGGTTTCACGCAAACACATGAGTGAATATATCTGCGTTGCAAGCAATGGAATACCGCCTGATGAATCGTGGACAGTAAAATTGCTCGTAACTTGTAATAATTAGAAATATCGTATATTAAAGTGTAATCTGTAATTCAGTTCCACCTCTAGTTCACGCTCAATCTGAATCTGTTCAAGCATCTCCTGGATCAATATCTCGATTGGTTTGTACAACAGAAGCATGGCCCAGACCAGAAATGATTTGGGAAAAGGATGGAGAGCCGATTTATGAGAACAATGAATACTCAATCGTAAGAAATGTATTGACTGAAAATCATAATTTACGAAATAACAGACACATACTGTATCTGGTCAGTATCACAGCGTTCACATTTTGGAGATACGAAATGTTAGGCCTCATCACTATGGAGCCTACCGATGTGTTGCAAAAAATGATAACGGAATTCATTATTCACACATTAATTTAATTAGTAAGAGTAAAATCAGGGATTTCACGGAATTTAGATATTTTTTTAGAAACACACCATACTCAACATCCAAATATTATTCCAGAAGGTATATAACTGTTTTGTGGAGCACAATTTGCATGCTTTATTGTATAGTGAAATGGTAGATAAATATAAATATAAAAATTATATATATATATAGTCGGCGTCCGGTGACTGCTGTACACTGGTAGATTTACGCGCATGCGCCTTGAAATGGTCTCGCCACGCGTGAACGCTATTTTTGCTGTTTTCACGTAAACTGCTTCATTTTTCTTGATGAGTTTAACATTTCCTTGAATTTCCAACGTCATTCGATTTAAAAATTATCAAACCGGTCCATAAAATTTGAAACAACCTGTTGGTCCTTGCGATACCATTTCGAAAGACGCATTCCCGTAAATCTACAGCCGTCACCGGACGCCGACTATATACGGGGTAGATTTACGCGATGAGTCTTTCTCTTGGTCTCGCGCGGACTAACGAGTTATTTTGAATGTCATGGGTCGATTCGATAATTTTTAAATCGAATGACGTTGGAAATTCAAGGAAATGCGAAGCTCCAAGAAAAAAAAATGTATCATTCACATTCATTCCTGGCGATACCATTTTGAAAGGCGCATGCGTAAATCTGCGTACAGAAGTCGCCGGACGCCAACTGAATATATAAATCCATGTAAATTACAATTTCGTGAAAATTTTTAAAATATGAAAAAATACTGAGATTTTAAACATTGTGCATGCGAATTGTCACTTTAGGATCTGCACTTAATCCATTTTCGATTGACGACGAAGAAGAAGATGATGATCATCAAAATCAAGAACAATATATAAATAAAAAACCTGCACATACTAACATTGCATTGCACTCTAACCAAGGCACTTCAAAATCTTCGGAATGTTAAAAATCTTAGAATTGTATTTTTCAGAACTTCGCTCGTTATCCTCTTCATCAACATTGGTTTATTCCACTTTAACAATTCTGCTTTTTGTTGTTCTCCACGGGTTTCTTTCAATTTAATAACATACAGTGCTCATTGATGTTTTTTATTTGAATTCATAGATTTACATCATATTGTTGAGATCAGAAAGCAAAGCCTAATTTGAAAAGCAAAAAGATACGATTATGGCAAGAATTGTTGTCAATACTGTGAGACATTCATTAGCAGTTGAGGTCAAGCATTTATAAGCATTGCTTTCGGATTTTTTTTGGAGATGGTGACGATGGTGATGATGATGCCGATGAAGGTTGAAGCGATAATAATCGGAATGCACGGATTGGGCAAGAGATACTAAATAGTCATCACCTGAATGTTAGCAATATGTATTATTCATTTAAAAATAATTACCGGTAAGCATTAAATCAAAAACACAAGCCTGAAAAAATTGATGTGTAACACCAATTTGATGGCATCGATCTGAAAATGGTTGTTTGAAAACGAAATCAGATATTCTCACCTTCAGCCACTTTTATCGGCACATGAATTTTTTTATTAAAACATTTTGAAAATGACGTAGGGTCAGTAAGTGCATACGCAACAGGAATAATATTATTTTTTCGGCACCCCGACAAGCATAATTCGTTTGAATCGATGCTTCCAGTATCGATCACATTCTGAGGCACGCGAATTGAAACCGCCAAATATCGCCCTTGTCGTCTTATATGTATCGATGAATGAATAAAGTGTAGAAATATCTCCACAAAATTTGATGTTTGCCACAATAACTCCACAGAGTTTTTTTGCAACTCCGCGGTTTTTTGAAATGTTGATCCATCTACAAATCCACGTGGAAGATCTTGCTCATCCGACGATGCTTCATACCGCAAAGCAGCGGTACAATTATGTCGTCGAATGAGAATTGTAATCTGAATTTTTAATTTATATACAAATTTAAAAAAACTAATTAGAACTTTATTTATAGTCGTAGTAAGTGAATCGCCACGGAAGTTGTCATTTGTAACCTGGACCAGGAAGTATCTGAACAGATACAAAGAATAACCGGTTGCTCAATTAAATTTCAGCACCTATTGTCAATAAGTGGCCGCGCGCCATTTTCAGAACATGTCTCAAAATTTTCGTTGAATCGAATGAGATGCGGATCTCCGAAAAATGAACAGAACTTCATTTTTCGGTTTGGGGTTGGAGGATTGAAGTAGCATCTGTTATTTCGTTTATTTAATAAAACATCAATGACAATGTTGTTTGAAGTTTAATACTCACTTATTTGTATGCTGCGATTCTGTAGTATTGACCTTTTGCCAACTATTACAATTCAATTCTTTCCACGATCTTCTCATTACTAATTCAGACGAATGGAATCGCAAGTTTCCATGACAAAACGTCATTGTATCATTCATACATTTCAGGTAAGTGCTTAGAACTTGACAGTATCGTTCGGAAGATGTCGGCTTCAATGATTCGTACTCTTTAGTTTTTTGAAACCACTGAGCACACTCTTCGACACGACACGTTGCTAACGGCTCTGAATAAGTCATATTCAAAAGGTTAATGACTATCACTTTACCTGGCATAATAATAAGAAGCAGTAATACCGCCATTGTGGACGGAGCCGGATTCATGACATGTTTAGGATTAACGGAATTTGCGCTCCCACCAGGAATTTCCTTGAAGATTTATGTAATATTTGACATATGCGAGATAACAAATAACGTTGTGCCAACGCTCGAAGAAAGAAAATTCAAATTGCTATGTTTGTACGCATTCAAGTTGTGTTTAATTCAGATGAACATTCAAAGGTAAACTATTCTTTTTCAGTTTATTGGTTGAAAATCAATGCGGACAATAATTATTGAAAAACCAAAATTTATTCTAAAATTCAAGCTCACGCGAATTTCACATCGCCTTGACGTTGAGACGAGATGAATGGAATGAACGAATCGAATTTTCTGGGGCTTCGTTAACCTAAGCGAAGACTAAAAATCAATCTATTTCATAGAGAGAAACGAAGATTTATGAAGTATAACGGAAAGCTGACATCTAAATGAAAGAAAGAAAATGAAAAATGAGGAGCGAATCTGATTAAATGAATTTTCATGGAGGTAATATTTCATTTTTCAGAGAAGACCGCGCGCTGTTGCGCGATTGATTCCGGCTAATTGATGTGACACGTTAATGATTGATGACTGGCAAACTTTAAAAGATGCGACGAACAACACTGACAACGAATGATTTAGTACACAATAGGTTTTGATAAGCGTAAGAGATCATTTAAACATGGTGAATGTGCGCTGAATTCAAATTCACCGTTGTAATTCGAAACTGTTGTGTATACATAAAAATTGTTAATCACTGTTTATTGGCCCAAATTCGCCTTCGTTGGAGTTAAAAGGTGAAGAGTAAAAGTGGAGGAGCGTAACTTTGAAAGTCTTCTGAAGTCTTTATATGGGTCCGACAACAATTAGAGATAACTGCTTTGAGAACTAATAGCGGGTATTCTTTATACAGTTAACTTTTCTCTGAGCGACAACTTGTTAGATTGATTCACGAGTAGAATATATACACACTGTATATTGTATTGTGCAATTTATTCTGTCCTATTTGAGAAATTCATTTTCACATCCTCGATTCATATGGCGCGTTGGCCAAATTATTTGAGAAAAACAGTGAAAAAAAAAACAAATGAAATTTTAACATTATTAGTGAGAATTCTTATACGTATATGTTTGCATGAAAAATGTGGGAAAAAAGAAGATCAATAAATACATAACAAACATGTGATAGAGTTCGTAAAAGAAAAATTGCGAAGAAAATGATAAGGAATCGGAAACTGTGTTTGCACAATGAGCATCCATTGTAGTGCGGGAAGGCAACTCAATCAATTCTTTCTGCTTTTTCACATTTATGGTGACGCGAATATCGTAAGCCTCAGATAGATATATACCAAATACAAAACAATTTTCGCTATAAGTTTCATATTAAAAATCGATAATCTAAAAAATTGTTATATGTTTCCATGTCCTATTATTCGGCGTCTAGTATATGCTTCTTTATGTTTATCTCTTTTAAAGGTCCGTAATCGGTCCATGTCTCATCTTCTTTTTGACTTCTCTTCTAGTTTTTGATGTTTAATTTTGACTGCTTTTTATACTATTTGCACTATTTGGCCTATTTCTACTATTTGACTGTTCATTTTTGATTCAAAGTTTGTCAGAAACGCATTGCAACCTGGGTTGGGGCCATTTCGTAGATAACCTTCTCACACTTTGACAGCAAAATTTTTTATGTACTTACGGATTCCAAAGTCCCAATATTTCTCATATTATAACTAATTGCCATTTTATGGAAAGGTGGGGAAAAGGTTTGTAATAGGCCACCGAAAAGTAAAAGCATCAGCTAAATCGTCTAACAAGCATCAACTATCTCTCTTTTCCTATCTCAAGAATTGAGCGTTATATGCTCAAGTAAAATATGAAGAGTCCACAAATGGATGATAAAAATCGGTAGTGATTTTTAATAGGAGTTAAAGAATATAGGTCAGTATTCGGTCCCAACGATAAAAATTGTTACAAATTTGATATTTATTGTATATTGTTGAGATTCAAATTATAAAGACTAATAAGGCACAATAGTTTTCCAAAAAAAACCAAATAAGAAAAAGAAAAACTTTGTTTGAAAGCGAATATCGGCACCTATTTAATATTAGGCGATAGTAAAATTGTTGATTAACTGTTTGCAGTAATGTCGCATTTTTTCGCGGATCTCCAGGCACGATGGAGTGGAAAAATTGCGCAAACCGTGAGAAAAATAAGAACGGAGAAGGAAAGAATTAGAAGGAACGTGATACGAGACTGCTGAATGCATACCATCGATTCAGTTGAAGGTTGAATGATCGCAAATTTTTGAGAAGCATCTACAAAATTTTTAAAATTTATAAATATGAAATTAATGAGCTTTTTAGGTTTATTTTTTAATAATTATAAACATACCATCTCCCTTTTCTTCTAACTCAAATACAGTTATTTTTTGTGCAGATAGATCCATGGTATCAGCCAGATGAACCCAATTAACTTGAGTTCTGTTCGCAACGGCCTCCCTTTTAACCCTTTTATTGATATTGTTATTGAAAAAGCTTGATGGCCCACAACGAGGAGGGGTCTTTCCGTCACACATTCCTTCTGAGTTCATGCACGTCGAAACAGCGCATTGGAAATATGTCGAAATCTGAGGTCTCCATTTAAGATTACACTAACATCTTATTTAGTACCTTATCGGCAAACTTGAATACATTTACTTGAGCATAAGCAATATTGTTTTCTTTGTTGTATGTCAAATCAGGAAGGATTAAAGGATCAATTGAGCATCCGTGCTCATCAAGCAAAGGTTTCCTTTCATCCCCATTTCCATCGTCGACAAAACAACTGTGCACCAGCATGGAAAACATATCTAAAACATTCCTTTAAAAAAAAACTTTCATTTCTTGACCGACCGCTTTCGCAGTTCCAAACATGGAACACGGATTCTCCTACTTTTGCATACTCGACAATAGGTCCTGTCACGGAATCTCTACGAACGCTGTAGGTGCACAGTGGCATGCGTGCGGTATCGATGAGATCAGTTGTCGGCAGCATGCTATATTTATTATTCGGTGTTTCAAAGAGTCAAAAACTTACCTGACGTCAAATCGATTTGTAACCACTTTGTCAGCTTCCATATAGAAACAAGTGCACCTTAAGAGGCATTAAATAGCGAACAACACTATTGGTCTACCTGTATGCTCGATCAACTTTAGTAATAAATGTTGAATGAAATGATATAATAATTGTCATCGACATTTCCATTCCGCGTTTTTCAGGTCCCAACTGAAATAATTAGTAATTGTTATTTTTTTTAGAGTTTTTATAGATAACCATGCGTTGTCTCCTCATGTTGCAAGCGCCGTTCTCTAATTCAAAAGACACTTCTTTCGCTTGATTTGTAACAAATTCGCGAACACAAAATTGCTTAAAACTTTAGCCTAAAAGAAATATGGAAAATAAAAGAAACCTTGTCAACCATGCCCTTCACAAATATTCTTCCATGAAATGGGCGTTGAGTTTTGAATAATAGTTTCACTCGATCCTCCATACAATTGACGATAGGGAGTTCTTAATTGAAATAATTCGATAATTAACTAGTTGGAAATTTAATTTTTATTAAGCTGATATTAAATATCAATGCTATTTACTTTTCCTACCTGTCACACCATTGTCTAAAACAGGAGGCTCACTTGCTACCGTAGTGATTATGAATTGCGAGACAAGTATGAGAATGTAGAACATCGTCTCGTTACGGTAGTATCGTGCGTATATGCGCGGTTTCGCTCTCGACATCCGATTTATAGGGGTCCTTGGACATTGTAGGACGCCGCCCATTTCCAACCTTGAATTGTGCACTTGTAATCGAGACAACACTAAAGTAGAAGTATTGCAAAGCGATTGATGAGTATTCAATAAAACGGCGACCCCACCGGGTAAAAAGTGCCACTTCAAGGTTTCGCTTTGATAGCCGAGAACTTCGATCTGCTCATGCACCTTTAAATAAAGAATAAATGGGTTAATATGTCATGAGAGGTTGCAATTTGACTGAATACCAATAAACAAAGAAATCGGTAACATAATTTGAAATTGCGATTACTCTTGCTATCGTTTTCAATTTTTTGTAACTAGTCAATATACACATTAATTGTCGTATGATTTATGCTAGGGTTCAATTAATATAGCGGCATGAGTACTACTTCTTTAAGAATAACAATTCAGCTATTAAATGAAAGAACTTTAATTTTTTGATGTTGAGTTTCGAAATTTGACAGAAATATATTTCTTTCGAAAAATCTGAGATTTACGATCGCATGGTGAACAGGCAATATCATAAAATCCAACTATGTGACCTTTCGAAACGAATGGCAAAGCTATTATCTGAACTTTATGACGTTCTTCACATTTCACCCCCTATTGATATATTATGCATATATTACTACTACTTACAGAACGATTTCTATTTACATGTTCAATATCAACTTATCTTTGAACCAAGAGGTAAAAATGCGAACACTAAAACAGACAAAGGAAAACGGAGACGATGAGAAATTCTGAACAAATTTCATTTTCAATTACTCACGAACGCCATAATCTTTTTTTAAATTAAGTTTGCTGGAAAAAAAAATTATGTTAGACAAACAGCTGAAGTGTTTTCAATTCCATTGAGAATTCAATACAAATATTTATCAAAACTTTACACTTTACCGGATTTATGCAAAAAAACGGAAAAGCTAGGAATTTATTTTGATTTGTTGTCGATAATTTGAATTATGATAATACTGCGGAAAGGGGAACAAATGGAAGATTAAAACAACATTCGAAATGTTTTGCGAACGATTTAATTTAAAAAAAAATGGGATTCTTGAGAAAAGGCACTGGGTTGCACGTAAAAATGGACGAACATCGCGGGAAAATATTCACTGGGATTTGCATGGTTGTGGGTGAAGTATTTTTGGCAAAATAGCAAAAAAAAACACGGGAAAATGAAAACATTTTTGAATATTTACAAGATAGTTGCAAACAAAAATCTAGACAAAACATGGCAAGAATCTGCCATCTAAACAAATTGAAATAACTACAAAACCAAAAATGTCGAGAAGAAACAATTTTCACCGAAAATACAAGAATCAAAGAATTACAAAAGAACAGTAATCTAAAACATGAGTTTCTCCAGATATGCAAATATCGTAGAGAAGAAATAAATCTACACTAAATTTTTGACTAGAAATTGACTAATGACTATTGAAAAGTAGAGGATCTGACGGTGGGCCATCTTCTGGGCGGCTAGTGGTAAGACTATCGTACACGCTTTCGTACTGCAAAAAAAATATACTTCTTTCAAACATCACACTTAAAAAATGTTTTTTATACCTCGTTGATATGTTCAAGTGTTGGAATGATATCGAGAAGCTCGCGATCTGCCGGGTCATCAAACCATGTGTTCACTGGTACTGCATTTTCAGGATGAAACGCATAGCTTGACGGAGAGTTGTCAATAATGAGCGTATGATTTAGATCTCTTCCAAGACGGCTCAGGTCTGAATCAACATTGGTCTAGAAATCACGAAAAAATTAAAAAAAAAGAACCCACCTTTAACATAATTCCCTTTGTGGAATACACATGCCTCGCGGAAAAGCCTACCGCGAAAAACACGTTTCTTGTCGAGAAGATCAGCGACCGGATCAGCATACTGAAGTTAATGTTTAAATATTACTGGCTACAAACTTTAGAGCAACTATGAAAAATAAAGCGTACAATAAGGAATTGATTTTTTTAAAATCCAACCTTTGCCAATGAAGCTGTGAACAGAACACATTCAAAAAGATCTCCAACTCTTGCCAAGAATTCGTCCACGTATGGCCTTTTGAGAACATAAACCTGATGCTCAACTCCGTCAATTTCAACCGGAATTACAAAATCTGGATTTTTCACAGGCTAAAAATTGAATATTGGAAATGATTAATAATAATAATTAAGCACCTTAAAAGACGAATGTACAAGAGTCTCATCGAGATCGATAACAAGACACTTTTTCTTTAAGTCTGATGCACGGAGAGGAGGTAGAAGTGGCTTTTCACCAATCGAATTCTAAAATAAAATTTGAGAAAAAACATTTTATAAAATGAACCTTTCCCAGTTTGCTCAACAAATCATATTTGATTATTTCTAGTGCTGAAGGAGTGCGTCCAGGCCGCCACTCGATCAAAAAGCGATAATTTTGCCTATACTCGATTTCTTCTTGGAATGTCAACCGTTTTCGTCGTACCCGTTCAGGTTCCCTCATTTTCTGCGGGAGGCTTAGAAAAAATCAAATTTAAAACGGAATATTGCCATAAAAAACGTTCGAAATAATAATAAACTGAATGAATAAAATTCTATGTGATCTACATATATCATCCATTAAATATGTTACAATTTTTTTTCAATGTTCGCATAATCGATTGACGAAATAAATTAATAAATATATTAACCATAAAATTTTTACAGCCTTGTCACAAAAAGAAAGAAAAAGAAAAGCTCATCAGCGGTCGCGGGCGGACTGGCTTTTCACCTTCGTCTTGCAGTTCTCCACTTGGAGCAGCGATGAAAGAGAACGTAAAAAAGAGTTATTACAGCACTCTCCTGACGCAAAACAACGCAAAAAGCACGAGAGAATCACTGGAAGAAATAACCGCCGAAACAACGAGCAGGTGACACTCGAAATTTCCGCAAAAAAACATATGACGTCCAATCATTTTTGAAATTTTGTTAAAATTTCTAGAGAAATGATGAAAGTTATTTACGTATTTTTAAAAATATATATTTGGGTTTTAAAAGTGCACAATAACTTGAGACGAAAAGTTTGGTGCGGTCATTTAATAGATTTAACATCTTAACATTGGGATCCGACTTTGTTCAATAAACAAACATACGTTATTAATAATGTAAATTATTTGAATCAAACTGGTTGGGCTCATATATTTTTTAAAACAACAAATTTCAAACGTACCAAGTCTGTGAACGATTTATCATAGGTGATTCCATTTTCACCATTTTCATTTTGAACTGACGCCGTGTTAGGCAATCCGGTCACACTACCGTCTTTGTTAATCTTTAATTACGTTCGTTGTTTCAAAATCGATTAATACGAAAACCTGTGTGATAAGTTGAATTGCAGGGCTTGCTTTCGAAGTCGGTGTCGATGTACCATTGCTCAGTCCACTGGTACTTTCATTGCTGTTGTTATTATTGTTCGTCGATCGCGAATTGTTTGATTGTATCTTTTCTATATAAGCATTTTTATTTTAATTATTAAGATCTTCCATTAAAACACTAAATAATTAAATATTATTATTCACCGTGTTCTTCCCTACACAAAGATAGTCTTCTTAACTAAAAAAAAATATCTCACCAATTTCCCTTGGAGGCGCTACACAGCAGAACAATGTCTGCATACAACGACTCCATCTAGGTTTCCGACGACCTGATGATGGTTTCTTCTCGGCTGAAAGAAACATAAATTAAATATAAAACTGTTTACTATCTTAGTGTTTCATTTTTCATGTCTTGGATTGATCTAGCACGGTGTTTTTTAGAAATAATTCGAACTTTCTACAAGAGAATTAGGCTTAATCATTACTTACAACATGCTAACGCAGTCGAAGGTCCCGCAATGCCGTCTTCATCCCATTTCTCCTTTTTCGACCCTCCCCAAACTACGTTCGCTTCCGTTTTCTTACGAGGCGAAGCAGCGTTATTATTGTTATTTCCTCCAATTTTAGCTAATTTTGCTCGCGGCATTGCTGGCATATTCTTATAAAGACCCACAGGCGGAGTTGGGCTAAGAACATCGATCGGTTTGGTGGGAGTGGGAGCAAGAATAGACGATAACGCCTGCGTCGGAAGCGTTGGGAATCGCGCGGGACCAGCACCGTTTATGTACGGCGGCCTACTGCTGGTAGGCTGCGGTCGCGTACGCATTCGATTCGGCAATTGCATGTCATGTCGGCTATAATAATATGTAATTCCTGATTGTTCGTCTTCCGCTTTATTCCAATAATCAAGTCCTTTCTTGCTCTTGCGGTTCATGTCCATACTCGGCCCGACGGGCGTACGCGGCGGTGGCGCAATAGTATATGATGCCGACGAATAAGCCGTCGGTCGGGATTCGGCATAAGTCATCTAATCGTCAAAACAACCAGAAAAAAAGACCTAGAAATATCTAGAATAAATATCAATAGAAACGGTTAAAAACAGATGAAAATTAATTGGACAACTCAACAATACTAGCAAACTGCAATATGTTCTTTTAAAAACGATTTTTCAATTTATTTTGAAATTTGTTGGCTTGGCCATAGTTAAAGGGAAATAATTGTAAAATTCAAGTTTGCTGGGGGGGGGGGAGGTTTGCCAAAGCGTCATTTAGACAGGCAAATAGTTAGAACGCAATACTTGCGCGGGAAAAAAACTGAAACGGTGAAAAGGTAGAACGAATAGAGTCTCCTGCCAAAATGTGCGAGTGCTTGACAAAGAGCAAATAATGAAAAATGAGTGTGTATATATGAGTGCGGCCGAATGAGCACAAGTAATATAGACTTGCTCTTCGACGAGCAGAGCACACCGATTAACGGCTCAACTCAACCTCTAGAATCACCTTTGCGCAACCTCCCCCTTTCCTCTCCCCTCTCCCTCCTTCTCGCTGAGTACGTGAAGGCTTTACATGGGTGTCAAAGGCTACTTTACCTACGTTTGTTTGGCAAACATGATGTTATTATGCTTATTGTGGGAAGGGATATTTATAGAAATGTTGTGTAGACGGTTCAAATAAAAAAAAAACATTCTTTATCTTTGGCGACAACCCAATAACTTCAAAGAACAATTCAGAAATAGTTCACATAAAAATCAGTTTTAATTTCACTTCTTCATGTAAAGAGATAATGCACAAGGACAAGAAAGGAGAAAAAATCAAAGCGGAAAAAAATAGGAGACATAATCACCTTTTCATTTCTTTTTCTTCTGCATTGCCCCTTAAAGAGAAATAAATTTCCCCGAAGCTCAAACAATACATCACACCGCATTTTCTTCCTTGCAATGTTCGCACTTGAAAGCAGCATAAAAATGGCGTACAAGAAAATAAATTGACTCAAGAAGGAGCGTCGCAATCCAATTTTCGAGAAAAATACGGCTGATCGTAGTTCGCTAAGAATGTGGGAAACCTCCTAATGGAATATTTTTGAAGGTCATAAATTTTCCAATCCCTGTTTCTGATAGAGTAGAAGAGAGGTAATGATTTTACGAGAATGAAAATTGTAAAAAAAAAATGAAAAATTTGTCTATCAAATCGAATCCATTAAAGCTTGTGAGGTACTGAGCTGACAGAAACGAACAAATGTATAGGAAAAACAAATGAAAAAAAAAAACGCATGAATGGTTGACACACAAAATGATGAAGAAAAAGGCGAGGGAAAGAAAACAAAACGAACAGCATTGTGGCAACGACTGGAAAAATAGTGAAAAAAAATGCAACGTCGCCAGAGACCTTCGAGCAGTGTGGAGAGGAAAAAATAACACAAACCGTCAAGTGAATGCAACGAGAGGCGCGACGATTAGAGCGTCGAGAGACAAACACGTGCAATTTAGTTTTAACGTCGGAATTCTAATATGAAAATAATTATTATATTAAATCGAATAAAAATCAGATAGATAAAGTAAATTTTTCCAGAAAAAAAGCCTTCCCCGCCATCATGAAGCTGTTGTAAATTATTATTTATTTTTAAAAACAAAATTGATTGGTCATGCTCAAATGCGTTGCAAAAAATTTTATCCTCCTAAAAATTTAAATAATGCAATACGTCTAGATTGTAGTAAAACTAGTTTGCATTCACTTCACAAAATATAAAATTGATTATGGCGACATTTAACTTTTTAGTAGTACATATATTCAACAAATTTGTTACTGAATAACCTTCAATATTGAAATCAACGGCATCTAACTCAGTTCAAAAATAAAAATTTCGCGGAAACAATCAATAGCGAAAGACAATGCGTAGCTGCCATTAAAAAGAGTCGTATATTTTGAAAAATGGACGAAAAAAAAGTGATCGCAAAACCAAGCGAGAGGAGCAGCAGCTGCTAGTCTGAAGATGAAATGTCATATAACGGAATATCTAGAAGGCGCATATTTATGAAATGAAGAACATGGAAAAATACTGAGATTTTTTCACGTTTTTGAGATTAGAATCAGCATCATGGATATGAATATTGGCCGCGCAAATCAAAAACACGTTTGTGGCCAACTGGTGATGATAAGTGGTCGGCAATTCGAGAATTTGTGGGCACACACTCGTTTAGCGAAATCCAAGACATGATAATTAAGCAATTGACAAGACGAAAACCTACTCATTGGGCAGAAATCACCAGTCGCTAGCTGCTGGCTGTTCGATTTGAAATACGAAACATCCACACTGGAATCACTTATCGAATTCTCATTTGACGAAATCTGAAGAAAATAGCTGACCGTTTTTAAATCACTTAATTGTGAAATTAAAAATAATTTAAATAATAATTTTGCTTCAAATACTAGTTGTTAATCGTCGATTTAATTGAAAAGACTATTTTTTTTAACACAAATTATATAAACATTCTTATCATTGTATAAGTATAACGTTCTAGTTTCATTTATTTCATATGAAAAAAAAACATACTTGAGTATCATACCCGTTGTTCATCGTATTAACAAATTCGGCAACGATATTGGTACTATCCTATTGCACGTTTTTGAACAATTCAGTTGAAAAACAACGAAACGAACCTGAAATCAATGATTTGTTTAGGGACAGGGATAGGACGAACAACGAGAAAACTGGTTTTACATCGCAAAAATTGATTTACAATTTCAAACTCAAACCTATAAAATAAATGCAGGTTAGACATATGATATCACTATATTGAAAGATAATATTAAATATTTTAAATTTAAAACAAGGATTTATATTACGAGCGTTATATCTTGTGTAGGAACCCAAAAAAAAGAAAAAAGTAAAAGAATTCTAGTTTTCCTACTCAAGCTTGAGCAAATTTATGAAAAGAAATACATAATAAATTAAGCCAAGATTTTTGCCCTAGAAAATCTTTTTTTAATAATAAAACGTCGGAAGTAGAAGTTGGAACATGTTTTTCAGTCGTAAAGTTCGTCACGTGTGAGTTTACCAAAGACCACTAGAAACCATGTGGTGAAAGTCATATCGAAATTCAATAAGCATAGATTTTTTTTCGCAAATAATATAAAAGATAGAGAGAGAGAGAGAGTGGTTTGAGAATTACAATATAAACTATGAATGAAAATGGCATCGAAACGATCATAAATTTCGGCGAATTATAAGTAATAATAATAATATCATCACAGAAACAACTGACTCAAATAAATGTTGCCGCCGAAAAAAATAGTGTTAAAAATCAATAATGGAAATAGAAAATGTTGGCGCCGACAATAGATGGACGCCCGTCGGCGTCAATAAAAAAATTCTGAAATGATAAGAATTGAAAGGCATGGAAAACGAAATTGATTGCATGTGACACTCGAGAGAAGAAAATTACTAGGTCACACAAGCAAGTTCTAGCATATCAATTAGAAAATTGGCATTTTTAAACAACTAATTTTTTACTCCATAGGTAATAAAAACTGAATGAATTTTCATGTAGAAAGTCTCAGACTCTGTTTTAAAATGCGGAATTCGTAACAAATTAATTAAAAATTGGAGCAGTAGCCAATTCCGATTTTAAAATCGATCTTCAAAGATCCTTCGAATTCACAAGATTCAAAACAAAACAACTGATGGTTTGTGAAATTCATAAAACACAATGTTTAGATGATTGCCAACATTTTTAATACAAAAAACAAAGAACGTAATTACTATTGGCCTTATTCATGAAATGTAATTTTTTTATTGCACGAATATGTCCATATTTAGAAAAGTGTTAAGCACGATACATTTTCAACATATCCGTATTAGTGAATCTGATTAATCTAATTTTTGAATGCAAATTAGTCTCGTTAAATATTTGTACTTTAATACCCTTACGTACATAATATAGTAATGTATTTTGATGGAAACGCTGCTTCGTTTTGGCGTTTTGTTATATACTTTTCCGGTACAACAGGAAATTGACTAAATTTATGTAAACTCGAAATGTCGTTAAAACAATGTTTAAAAAGCATTGGCTTCAAATTAAATCTATTAGTTCACTTCAATTTAGCAGTATGTTACATAGCTAGAAAATGAAGTTAGGTAAAGAGCAATTTTGCATTAGTACTCTATTTCTGACCTCAAAACACCTGGCGCTGTTACTAAGCAACTGCTAACAGCAGAATGGGAAATTGGTATAATATTCATTATCTAGTATGATTTAAGCTTTAAAAAAATAAAAATTATTCAAACTTTATTTAATTTTTTAAGGCCAACCTGAAATGTTTCAAACAAAAGGATGAAAATGTTTAGAAGAAGGCAACTTTCATTTTCAGCAGTTGCCAAGGTCACACTCTTCACGTTTGTTCGTTATTCGCCTGCCGGAGGCCAAGTCTTGCGGCAAATTGCCCAGGTAGTTGACCCTACCAAAATGACTAATTAGCCAGTGAACGCATACCATTCGTGTCTCTTCAAAATCGAAATCGAATAGCTCATCATAGCATCAAATTTCATGAGAATAAATGTTATGGTGTCGAAATTTTTAAATAGTCAATATATGGAAATGATAAATTCCTTATAATATTATGTGTAAACATTGCGTTGGCCATTTTCAATACTCGTTATTTATTTATCTTAAATGTAAAGGTTTTGTTGCATTTTACCGTTTAATTGTTTTGGTCCAGATAAAAGCATTACATATATGGAGGAATAAATACTGTTTAACAAAAAATGCCACGATTATTTATTTTCCATCACCTCGATTTTCTTAAGATCCTCGGGACACAACCTTTGTCTACATGACAAAAAGACGTGGAGCGAGAGAAAAAGAGAAATGGAAAAGAGAAGATAGGGGAAAAGAAGAATTTCAAGACAAACAAAGAAAAAAATCGCGAAACAAACAAGAAATACATTTTTTTCGATGACAACGGTTAATTAGTATCATTTGCGTATAGTTTTCTTGGTATGATACGTACTTGCAGAATTTAAATTGTCGCGTCACATTAAAGAATAAAAAATATTCATTCTAAAATTGGATATAAGGGAGCCGCGTTTAATAATAAAAAAGAATCCAAATTAACACACATCATGGGCGTGTTAAAAAGGCGTATTAAAAATAAATTATATATATATATATATTTTATTTATTTATTTATTTATCTAGATCGCGCCACTGGATAAATGGGCTAAATGCCAAAAAAGCGCTCTTGAAGCAAAATTAAGTGAACATTTACGGGTTAAGCATAATAATATTGTGAAATTTAGCCATTTTGTCGTAGTCGATAAACACGTAAATCAATATTTGACTATGAATTTTCAAAAAAAGTTGAATGGGTAGGTCAATTATAAGACGGAAATACACTCTTTTATGAGAAAAGCAGCATAGCATGATGTGAATTGAGCCAATTTTAGTAGGGGAAACAGGAAAAAAAATATTTGATGAGTAGTAAATAATCGAGAACTTGAATTTCTTGCCGTTAATTTAGAGATAATAAAATATACCTTTCTATAAGTATGTTTTAAATCGATATTTTGTATTTCATCAAATAAAAATATTATAGAAAAAGAAATCAAATCCAGATAGTTATGAAACGTTAGACTTGAATCAAGTGTTTTGGTGACGCATTCCAGTACAGTCATGTTTTTGAACGGCAAAAGCATAACTTCCACAAAAAAAAAACGCGCATTTTTTCGCGGTTCGTTGCTATATTGTTGACAATACCGGATGGAAGGATACTAGTTTTGACCTGCACGCCTCTATTTTCGATAATGATCTCGAACTAACACACTTTTGATCTAACCGCTTAGCGTTACTAAAAATAGACGATTTTCAAGTGGTTTTACAATTAATAAATATATTGTCGACGCCGCGCGACTGCGGCTAAATACAAAAAAAAAATTAGAGGTTTCAGTGCACGGTCTGCGCCTTTAACGTATCTTCACACTTAGACCCGTATATTTACTCTTTTATTTTCGCCCCAAGTCCACTGCCGTTGTTTTTCTGGCATTTAGCCAATATTCTGCAGTCGCGCGACGTCGACAGTTTTAAACGTGATGAAAAGAAAACAAATAAGTGGCCGTTAAAATGCTTGCCTAGCGGTTATTTACTTTAGAGTTTAGATTGAAAAATTTGTTGAATTAATACGTATTTAAATAATTAAATTTAACGAAATAAGAAGTATAGTGACTCAATGATACGACCCAAGCATCAAAATTTCAAAATGAGAAAGATGAAACTAAAACAGCAATGTTTTTGGGCCTATTCAGATAATAAAAACATGAAAAATTACACATTTTCCAATGCAGGATTGTAAATAATGTATATTTAACTTTTTTTGTAAATTTCGGTCCATAGTGATATCTTTTAAGACAGAGAAAAAATCCAAAAAGAAACACACATACATATTTCAGTTGCTTTTTTTGCAATAATTTAACGGCACATCGAACTGGGGGATTTCCTTAAATTCTTGTTTTTTTTTTATTTAAACAAGAAAGAAAACACCGGGAAAAAAACTCAACAATATCAGTAAAAAACCATATAATAAAAACCCTAGGATTGTGCAAAAAAATTAATTTTAACCCATTTTTGAGTTTTTTCACGAAAAACGCCACATAATGCAAAATTGAAAAAGAAAAATAGTTTCAAAAAAATATATTATACACGCCTACGCACAATTACACCAAAATTGGTTACCGTAACATTTATATATAATGAGTGTTAACAGCAAAGAAATGTTTAGTGGTTTCAATGAGAAGCGGAACACTCAAATGGTGCACAATTATTTTTGAGGTGTGCTTCTCTCAAACACTTGAGCGTTTTCCGTCAGTGTAACATCATACGGCAACAAGATGGAGTTTTGCACCATCCATTTAATTTTCCATCAAGAATTTTTCGTTCTGAAAAAACGTGGAATATTGGCTTTGTATTTTACAAATTGTTAGTTTTGGGGGGTTTCCAGAAATATTACTTTCTGGATCGATATATATTCAGCATTTTTAAGGTTTTTTTTCTGTATAAATTATAGTCATTCTCTGGTAGAAGAAAATAAAACTGTTGCTCCACGTATGAATTGCACATAAAATATTTCTATGCAGAGGAGACGACACTACAAAAAATTTCCTCCTGAAAAATCGCCACACTTTGCTTTTAGCGAAAAATGTATTTGAATTGCCGCGTTGCGGTCTCGCAGCGACGCGGTTCGCTGTTGGCTGCATGCCAAATAGTTTTCGCATTTCTTGCCTCAGCGTTATCCTATTTTCTTTATTTTAAAAACGAATATTTTACGGCTTCATATTATTTTTTTAAATAAATAATGCATATATTTATAGTAGAAAATTGACAATATTTTTACTTAATATAGAATTTGTATACACTTGCTATTTTTCTGCTCAAAAATTAATCTTATTGTTTTTTAATTTAAGGTTAGATGCTGGTCCTTTTTGAGGTCGCGGCTGGTTATGCTATTTTCAAAGTGAATAATGAAAAGAAGCTCAAAAATGTGGACAATATTTGGGAAGAATTTAATTCTCCAGAAAAGGCACAAGAAAAGTCAGTTTTTATGAAGTTTAATGAAATATAATTCCATATTTAGCTTGCAACTTGTGGCATTCAAGAAATTCAAGACGACTGCCTCAGCTGTGGAAGCGGCTTCTGAAATAACCGAAGGAAAACTCAGCAAAACCTTGAAGAAATTGTTGAAAGGGAGTGTCAATGAGACCGAGAAACTAGCCGTTGGTGATGCTAAACTTGGCAACCTTATTAAGGTAAAAGTTCTTAAAACTTAATGGCTTAAATTTAAAATCAAACTATTTAAAGGAAAAACTGTCTCTCAACTGTGTTCATGATAATTCTATTAATGAAATCATGAGAGGAGTTCGTGCCCATATTGAAGATTTGCTTGCTGAGCACAAGAGTGAGATGAACGCCATGAATCTTGCGGTGGCTCACTCTTTGGCGCGTTACAAGGTGAAATTCAATCCTGAAAAAATTGACACAATGATAGTGCAGGTAAATAAAGAATGATTTCTTTTCTCAATCTTATTTAGGCTGTTTCTCTTCTTGACGATCTTGACAAAGAGCTGAACAATTACGTGATGAGAGCACGCGAGTGGTATGGATGGCACTTCCCGGAACTTGGAAAAATTGTCCAGGACCATCAAGCATATGCTAAAGTTAGTTTTACATTATTCGCTTATTGCTATGTTTTTCGTTTTAGATCGTGAAAGCGATTGGAATGCGCCAAAATGCGATTAATACCGATTTGTCTTCGATTCTTCCGGAAGAGTTAGAAGCTAAACTGAAGGAAGACGCAGAAGTGTCTATGGGTACTGATATTTCTGAAATCGATCTCATTCATATCAAGGGTCTCTGCGATCAAGTGATTGAACTTTCTCAATACAGGTATGAAGCAACGATATGTTTCATAAAATTATAGCAAGCATTTTAGGGCTCAATTGTTTGACTACCTCAAAAATAGAATGAATGCTCTCGCACCAAACGTTACAGTACTTCTTGGAGAGTTGGTCGGAGCGCGCTTGATCTCACATGCTGGATCTCTTGTCTCACTTGCAAAAGCTCCAGCGTCGACTATTCAGATATTAGGAGCTGAGAAAGCTTTGTTCCGTGCTCTTAAAACGAAAAAAGACACTCCAAAGTATGGATTAATTTATCATGCCCAACTCATCACGCAAGCGCCGCCTAAGGTCAAAGGAAAAGTTAGTGTTTTTTTTAACGTGTTTAAAACAAATAATCGTTAGATGGCTCGTAAATTAGCTGCTAAATGTTCTCTCGCCTCAAGGATTGATGCTCTTTCTGAAGAAACAACAGGAAATGAGATTGGAGTAGAATGCCGCGCATCACTTGAAAATATCCTTCGAACCGAATCGGAAAGAGGGACTTCAAAACGTCAGAGTTTCGGCACTCACCATCATAGCAAATACGAGTTCAAGAGTGAAACGTATGAGTATGATGAATCGGCTGATGCGGTCAAAGGAAAGAAGCATAAACGGTTTGGTGATGACGACGATCACAACACTAGCGCCGTAAAAAAGTTGAAGGTAAACAAATACAGTGATTGCTAGATTAAACATAGTTATGTTTTTTAGATCGAAGAAGTTGATCCGGAAGAACCAGTTAAGGAAAAGAAAGATAAGAAGAAAAAGTAAAAAAATGGGATGGCTAGGTTAAATCTTGTTGTTGTTAATATCTACCTGGTAAATTTGTTTTTGAGATCAAACATAAGTTATTGTTGAACAGATTTACAGGCAGTTCTGTTCTTTTTGTTCTCTTGTTGATTTCACTCGTTTTTTTTGAAATGTTTTGTCTCTTTTCTTCATCAAAACACAATTTGTTAAATTGTCTTATCCAAAAAATCTATCAAGTTTTACCGTAAATGTTATCTGTTACTTCGTCGTTACGTCGTTTCATTTTGTTTTGATTTTGTTGTTACCTGTTAATTTGTCGATAAAATTGTTGTTTCTTGAATAAGTATTAATGATGAGAAAAACTGGATAGGAAAATCATAAGACCAAAAAAATATTCATTACGATAAGAAATTTAACCCGTAAAATATATTTTGAAGTGTGTGTAGAATTTTTTAGCGAGTATCAATTTGATTATTAGAAGGCGTGTAGCAGCTAGTGGATGAGACGCTTGATTAGATTGAGCCGATGAGCTACCTGAAAATAATTGTTAAAACATATGGTATTAAGAAAGAAAGACTTGAAGAAAATCGTTGGCATCGTTCAGTTCGTTTACAATATCGTCGGAGGGGGGCATTGATCCAGGTGGACCAGTCTGATCTATAAAAGGAGGTGGCGGCGCTGGTGGGCCTATTGGAGAAGGTGGAATTGGCGTCGATGAAGAAAGAGCTTCAAGATGGAAATTAAGAATGGAAGTAATGCTTTGATGATCGAACCAGCAATGATGTTATCCTCAATTTGTCGTAATTGTTGATCCGATTCGATATTCGTCGCAAAAGTCAACTCATTAATATCCGGCGAATTCGTCGCGCCAGTTTCAGAAGAAGAATTGTTTAAAGGCTTCTCACTGCCTTCTAAGAATTTTGTAGTTGCTTCTGTTGTTGTCGTAGAATCTGTAGTGGTGAGAGTAGTTGGAATTTCTGTTGAAGTCGTCGGTGCTTCAGTTGAAGTTGTTAAAAGTTCCGGAGTAGTCAATATAGGCAATGTTGTTGAGAGTCTTGAAAGAAATCTTCTGCGAGCTGAACGTCTAGTTGCAAAAGCTGGAAACAGAGAACTGGTTGCTTCAGTTGCAGTTGTGGTCGGGATCTCAGTAGTGCTCAATTCATTCCTTGAAGATTCAGTTGCGTGATTCTCCAGCACAGCTTTCAAAACCGCTTCTTCAATGGTCCCCACTTTCGTGCTAAACGAAGTTGGTCTTCTCTTTGATGTGCGAATACGATGAGCCCTGGCTCGAACCGTAGACACTTGAGTTGTCGTTGAAAATTCTGAAAGGCTGAAACAATTGAAATTCAGTATTTCTATTAACCTTCCACAGCTTTAAGTATTGCCGATTCGATATCATCCACTTTACGAATCGCGTGCTCTTGACCTAAATAAATTTAAACTTTTCAGGTTTTAAAACTTGTTGAAACCTATTTCAGATATAGTGGATGTAAGAGGTGATAAAGTTGTCGTTGATAATCTAAATCTGCTAATTTGTATTTTCGAATGGTAAAAAAAATAGATTTAGACATATTAGAATTATTGATTACGAGAGGTGAAAACTTGAAAATCTTTCTCATTCCTACAGCAATTTCTTGAGAAAACATTAAATTTTGTTCAGTTGGCACAATGGAATAATATTTCTTGGCAACGAAAAATTATCGTTTGATGTTACACCTCCACCCTAATGTTACATGGTGTTTATTAATAATGGTTAGCAAACCTATCATCGATAATCTTGTGAGTCGGTTGATGGCGATTTGAGTTTCTGAAAGAACTAGTAGGTTTTTTCGCCGTATGTGAAGGCCGTCGTCGTTTTTCTGGAGTTTGAATTAGTATAGTTCGCTTCGTCGTCGATAAGGATGTCGTTGTGAATGGCGAAGTGGTAGAAACTGTTGTGGTTGCTATTGTAGTAGTTGAAAGATTCATCTGATTTGGTCTTCGATGTGAAATCGAGTCAGCTTGAAGTGCTCCAAACGGAATTTTCCCAAGGGGCGCGCGTGAAATCGGTACATTTGAGCCCCGATTTAATGCCGGTCTAAAATGGGCCGGCCTTTGAAGCGAGACGAGTGATTTCGGTGGTTCAACAGGAATTCTCATGCTAACTCGCGAATTCGGATGATTTCGGAACTTCATGACTCTACGAGGAGCTTGAGGTGCAGCGGGAGACAATGGAGGCAATCGGGTGATTCGCACAACTCTTGGTGGCTGCGGCGGGAGTTGCACTCTCCTTCGAATTGCGAACGGTCTTTGCCTTGGCGCGAATCTGGAAGTGTTAGGTTGATTAGACACCGATGGTCGGTTAGTCGACGTTGTAGACGAGTTAGTGCGGCGACGTTGGCCGCGTCGACGATACACGTGACTGGTTAGTTGCGCGACCGAAGGCTGCTGGGTAGTTGTGCGTAAAAGACGATGTAGTCGTGCAGACCTATGAAGTTGACGATGGCTTATTTGTCGATGGGAGAGGACGCGATGGTTGCCAGTGTGCGTTTGAGACAGATCGCTGAAATTGAAAGCGGACATCAGACAAAACATCGCACATTTCAATGACGAGACTATTTCGAATTTAAAGTAATTTTAAATGTTTGGGTTAAGCAAGAATTGGAAACGCAATTAAACAATGTGCTTCTTTAGCATGAAAATCTGAAAAATAATTTGGAATAAGCACGTATATATATATATATATATAATCTATTAGTCTTGAAAAAACAAGAATCTGGAAGAAAACACGCAAATTTTTACACGGATCCTAAGCTTTACGCTAAAGCAGTGCTCATTTGTATGCGGTGCGTGAAGCTACAAAACACTTACCGATTCTGAAACTGTGAGTTTTGACGAAATTGGTTATTCTGAAAATAGATCAATAATATGTAAACAATGAATTTATAAATGTTACTGTACTTGAATGGCTCTTGACTGAAACGATGAAAAGCTAGCGGCATTGTTCGCGATTAACTGTTGACACTTTAATGGACAACAATATAACATTAGGTTTTAATGAAGCATTACCTTAATCGTTTGTAATGCGCATATAAGAAAACAAACCAATCGAAGGCAGTCAATGCGTCGCTTTTTTGAACCATTCATCTGGAAGTAAGTGAAACTGTGGTTCTGAAACTGTATCAGCGTCAATATGGGCGTGGCTTTTGACCGGCGTTAAAAAATCGAATCGAAACGTGTCAAAATAGAGTTGCATTGAGAAAACAATCGGTTCCGAAAGAGTGTAATATGGTTTTGCCGCCTAACTTGGTAATGTTGTCCGGAATAGTGAAAACGTCATATTTTCAAAATGTGCTTTTGAAGCCCTGGGAAAATAACTACTGCGCATTTTTTTCCAGAGAATTGCGAAAGATACAATTAAACTTGGTAAACTTTCGATTTTTATCGGTTCCGGGAATCGAAAAAAACTTTTTAAACATGAAGCAATATAGTGGAAATCGAATAAAAACATTTACAAAAAAACAGAAAAGTCAAGGTGAAACACAAAGAATCTAGAAATAAAGCATTATACCGAGAGTCGTAAATCGTAAGAGATCACCGGAAATGGTTTAACTTTTTCAAAAGAAGTAATTGTGTCTTATCAGTTGAGTAAATACCGCTTTGTTGGTAAAAGTGAAATCCATTTATGTTTTTTTTTTCAAGGGTATTTCGTTTAGAAACTTAATAACAATTTTCGACGAATTTCCAATCAAAATAGACTAAAGCAAAGATTGTTGAGACAAATAATCTAACAAAAACTGCAAATTGATTCTCGCACCGAACACTGCGGCGCCCGCCTGATTCAGTGTAAAACATTTTTTCTGCTGAAAACCTCCAAATATGGCTTGGGCGGCGGGAAAATCGAATGCATAGTGTACAGATCAATCACGCACCGGGAGTGTGACCGTAGATTAATATAGTTTAATGCGACGTAGGTTAATTTACATAGACTAAATCTGTTAAAAATTGTGCAATCTAATTCTGAACTAGTCTGTCGTCTATAGATACTATCAAGATGACGACATTCACTTTAGATTTGTCGCATAAAAAATTAGAAAACTTATACGACATCTGAGATTTGTTTGCAGCTAGTAAATTCTTAAAAAGTGCTGGAGAAAAAGGAAGCAACGGTCTGAAGAATGATAATAGGCTTAGATCAATTATGAAGCATTCTGTCTGTAGATTGAATAACACAGTATGCTATAATAAAGCGTATAAGCGGCAGGATCTACTAATTAAAGATTTTTTTTAAAATAAGAATTCGTTGATTAATTTCCATATTTATTGAAAAGTTGATATTACTTCTAAGAATGTTCTATAAACAAACCAATCGAATTATTTTTTTTTCTAAATAAAATTCTGTGTGTATGCTTAAAAATGGCAAAAGAATATTAAACGAAACCTTGTTTCAAGACTAGTATGTTATGCTTAATATCATTCACTGATTAAATGCCACTCCATTTATCACAAAAGATGCCGAAATATACGCAACGCCATTCGGATATAATTAGATGTTAAACCTTATATTCAAATGTGTTAATTAGAAATAATGTCGTATTTTAGCAGCAGACTTGTAAGTTCCTTCCTAGAGTTTCCTTCTAGACATCTCGAAGGTATTTTAATCGCCATCAGTCATTGATTTTTTTTCTTTCATATTACACTAAAAAATTATGCAAATCGTGCTCTCCTACAATTTGTTGTTCTTCGATTTTTCGTTCTTGTCACGATTACAACTAATGACATTGCCGGAGAAGTAAGCAAAAAATAGAACAACAGCTGACCTTCGCAGACCGCTAACAATGGACAACCGTGAACAAGGCATCAGATCGTTGAGATAGAAGCAAAATTTTCAAAAACTGAAACTGTGAACTTCTTTATATCGAAAATGCATTTCTATGTGAAGGGGGATGTGCCAACGAAACTTTTAATATAATACGATAATAAGCGAAGTGAATTTCGATCGCGAAAACAAGAAAACAGCGAAATGTGAATAAAAAGCTTCACGATAATTATTATGGAATATTAGCTTGGCCTTTTAAAGTTTACGAAATTGAGATCCGTGACGTCTAAGATATTATTTTTCGAAAATATTCATTCCAATTAGAAGGACACAACTTTATCTCTGTAAATCGTACACTAAAAAAATGCCAATCGACGTCCATACTAAAAACGGGTTGAATTATCTCAAGTGAATTTGACCGTGGGAGTTTACAAGCGGTATAAACTAATGTTTAAAGTGATAAGATCAGGGACAAATGGCTTATTCATCGAAAAAAAGGAAAGTGTGGCAAATTCATTCGATTCGATTTCAATTTAAGAGTCGTTTTCAAGTACTTGAATGAAACACTCAGAAATCACATGATATACGTCTTGTTTTGTAATACGCGCGTGAATGCTTTTAAGAACAGTCCATCGAAATATTTCTTTCAGAAAAATTAATCTCCGTGACATACAATCATACCCAAGTTGAAATGCTGAAATTCGTCAAGATTTTCTGATAGATTTCTGAAAAAGGTTCAATCATCAAACCTATGTGTAATAAGCTAACGCCGATTGTACTTCACTTAACTGTGTGTTCATTTCAGTTATTCGGTTTGGTGATTGATGACAGTTAAAGAGAAGTTTGTAATTTCAGTAAGGTGTTCGCTATTGTGTTCGTTTATCATTGTCACAATTGTTTGACAATTACTGTGGGAAAACGGACGTTCTAATACAAATATGTCAAATTCATTATTGCAAAAAGAAAACAATTATATGAAATATGGAATACACTGTTTTATTCGCCAACAGAACAAATTTTGACTTAGCGTTTTTAGTTTCCAAAGAACGTATTCTTTATGTAAATTAAATTTTTACGTTCTCAACATCACTTGAAGTGATTTTTCTCAAAACGTGTGCGCTATTTCTATATTAAATCAACGAGTTTCCCCAAAAAATCACGTGCTCATAAATGCTTCCAAGTCGCCTCAGTCCGAATGCGACACATTTTCCTTTGCAGCATACATCTGTTTCAAAGGAATGAGTCTTTCGATTTGCTACTTTTCCCTTTAAATCAGTGTCGGGACCTGCCTCGTTAGGTAGACGAAATCGTTTCCGAAAAGCGAAAACGAAAGATGGAGGTCTCTTCCAAAAAAAACGGACAATGAGAGAAAAATGCAACTCCTCTGACCTTGCTTCTAGTCGTTTTCGCTCAGGCTCTTTTTTGTCGAGCAAACCGCGGTTGGATCTTTTCCGTTTTGCAGATTCGTCTTTTTTTCTCATTTTGTCGGCTTTCTCTCATTCATCGAACGTCATTTTGACCTCTTTCGCGATGTGCGCTCTCTTCGATTCCACAACTATTTCGCGTTGACGACGATTTCTTCAAATTTCTGGCTACACATACACATGCACTCGCTGATTCACACACTTCCGCGCAATAGATGACCACCCAAATGACATTTATCTTCAATCTATTTTGCCGATTTTCTTCATACATTAATATTAATAAGAACACTACTATATATAAAAATATTATAATTTAGAAAATTAAATCCAAAACATAAACATTAATCCTAATAGCTATTAGACGTATCATATTTCAAGCATCCATTTTGTTTTTTTCTAAATGCTGATCCTTCACAGATATCTTAGAAATGTTCTATATGCAACATTCTGAAATGTTCTATATGCAACATTCATTTTTCTGGAGTCATGAGGAAGAGCAACGTTTTTCAAATTTTGAACGTGTTTCGATGTGCTCAAAGAACACAAACGTACCTCCAATTGTCGCCCTCTAGCTGTTCATCTTTCTTTTTAATGCCCCCATTAAATAATATGTTTCTAATCGATGGCACTCTGGCCGAACCCGAATACTCGCAAGTGAAAGAGTCTCACACAAGAATATACACATAGCGTTTTCTATTGCCGTCGGGAAAGAGTTTAGTAAAAACAAAGACGCAGTGTTCGGGCATCCGCTGTCTGACCGACCGGCCACTTTACACTTTGACTCATCGAAAAGCCAGGCACAAACTGCTCGAAAAATTGTATCCCGGGACTTCGTAATCGAATCCTTTGAATATCGACGCGCCATTTGCCGCAAGAATCAAATCTCGTTGCTTTTGAAATGATAATGAGAAAAAACCGCTTCTAAATAACTCAACATATAATTTTTAGGCCAGCGATGGCAGCCTCGTCAATGTCGTCACTGGCATCAACACACTACAATACGGCGGCACCGTCAAATTTTGTGGTGCCGCCGTTTGACGCCAGAAACTTGGAAATCAAAACCAAATCGATCGAACACACATTAGTGCCACTTGTTTCACAGGTTTGGAAGTTAGCCTATTTACAACAATAGCTTTTAGTAATGAGAAATTCTATGAACGCGCTGATTTTATTTATTACATGCCCAATAAATGATATGATGTCATTCATATTTTGGATATGAAAGGAAACGGAAACAATTTGAATGCGCAATTTGAGCGATTTCGTTTAGATAACAACTCTTGTGAATTACAAGGAATCTTACTTAGCAACCGGGAAGCCTAAATCGGAGAGAGCGATGCGAGCAGCACTGAAAGTATTGCATTTATCTTATATTTCCAATTTTGCAATTTAAATTATTTAGGTAGGAAGCGCTGTAGAAGCTGCAATCGAGCGGTTCGTGTGTGTCGGAGAGACAATCGCTGATGAAAATCCAGATATTCAGCCAGAAATGTATGATGCCTGTACAGAAGCAAGGCTGGCAGGTAAATTCACTCAGTTTCTGGTTGTGTTGTTTATCCATATCGAATTTCTATTCCATTTTCTCATTATTTGGTGCTTCGCTTCTTTCAACATTTTTTTCGTATAAGATTGTTTCATTCAGGGGCATCTATGGCGAATCTTTCCTGTGGTTGCTCGGATGATCCCAACTCAATGGTTGATAAGGTTTGATCATTAATATTCATTCAGATAAAAATAAAACAGTGTTTCAGGCTGTTCTAGTCCGCGCAAGTCGGCAACTTTTAAGCAGTGTTACTAGAGTTTTACTTCTGGCTGATCGTGTACTGGTTAAGCAAGTATTGCGTGCTGAGGATAAGGTAATCTTACATGTCCTGATGTCATGGGTGTTTGATTTCAGATAGCATTTTCATTATCCCGGCTAGAATCGACACCTTCTTTTAACGATTTTGTAAAAGTTTTTGCGGTTTTTGGCGGCGAAATGGTTGAATTAGCACACAGAAGTGGCGATAGGCAGCACGATTTGAAAAGCGAAAAGAGGAAAGCGCAAATGTCGGTGGCTCGAACTGCACTTGAGCGGCTCACAATGCTACTTTTGACGTCGTCGAAAACGTATTTGAGACATCCCGACTGTGAATCGGCTCTTCAATGTCGTGATGGCGTTTTCTATCAAGTAATCGTCGCGATATTTGTAATCATTTTTTATTGAGTTTAGATGAAAGTTTCACTAGAATTAATAGCAATTTGCGTTTGCGACGGAATTTTGACGACGGATAAAAATAGATACATTCAAGACGAACCTGATATGCCCATTGATATTGCATTGCAGCTCACAGCAAACGCTGCGATCAAGCAATTATCTGTATGTCTAGCGGCTCTTTTCATCGTCGCAATTTCATCGTTTTAGGAAATGCTTGAGATGATTCGAATGACTGCCCGTGTCGGTGCTGGAGTTCGAGAACGAATTGTTGCTGCCCTTGATGCTCTATGCCAACTTACTCAAGATTTTACTGATTCCGCTTACACGCCACATCATCAGAGAGAACAAGTTCTCGATTTTTTAGAAGAGTGTCGGTTTGAAATGACCAATTTAATACAACCTGACGTAATTAGAACGTTCAACGCGATTTTTAAATTGTCTTGTTTTGCAGGAAAATGAACAGCTAGCAGCCAGCGGACTTGAAGTCACTGTTGAACGATTGAATCGACGTTTAAAAGATCTCAGCAAACAATTACAAATAATCGCAATGGAACAGATTTCTGAAGTCTTGAGAGCTAATGAGGACCAGGTGTTATTATCTTCGATGAAAGCATGCGCGGTTTCCGGTGATATTGATGGCGTTGAGAAATATATGCACAAATTTAGAGAACATGCTGACCATATGCAAGAGGTCAATATAATGATTTTAAAATATTTATAAACGTTTTTATTTTTTTTTAGGTATGCCGCCTTCTGCACCATATTTCTCTGACGGACTCGCTCCATGTACATACGGGCCATGTTGAAAGAAACATGCGCGCCTTAGCTCCTTTGGTAATACAGAGTTTCATTGAATAACACAAGTACCAAAGATTTTTAGACGATTCTTGCTGGACGAACATTATGCATCCATCCATCATCAAGAATTGCAAGAGAGAATCTCGAAGTTTTTTGTGACACTTGGGGACAGACGGTAAGAATATCTTTAATTCTTCATCGCACACCTCGATTATGTTTTCAGATTAACGATTTGTCACGTGTTGCCAAAGAAACTGATGTGGCTGCAAATGGGCGCGTGGTAGCTGAAAAGCAGGCCTACATGTCTCTACCGAGACCTGGGGTATGTCAAATTGTGCCAATTGCTGTGATTCCTTCTACTCGTCGTGCGTGTGTTCCAAAGCATGAAGACTCAGATTCCTCAGCAGAGCTTTTGCCGAATGGTGGTAGACGCCCAAAAAACACTGGAATCATGCCTGCTCATGTAGTGAGCCAAACAGGAGACGAAGCGAGCTCGGATGAGGCGGCAGATTGCGAAGAAGTGGAAAACTTCAAATATCGAATTAGCCTTATAATTGATGATCTGCAAAGCGACGTTGGAGAATTTTGATGTTGTGTGAATCATTTAGATGGAGAGAATCATTTTTATGCCAAACTCCATTCAACTAGTTTTATGCGTGTATATTGATTTGTGATACTTACCAAATATAGTGATTGCCTTGCTGCTCTTCTTTTCTTTTTTGAGTTTTCTTGACTCAATTTAATGAATTTTTTAATGCATGAAATAGTTACCAAATAAGTACTGTGTTTCAAATAATTCGATGCTTAAGAAACACGGAACTACTCACAAGCCATCTAAACCGATTACTTTGGATGTTGAAGACCAGCAAAAAATGGCAAAGGTAGGACTTGAGATGAAACTTCTCACGTCGGAGGTTGATGCTGAGGCAGAGAAATGGGACGAATATGCGGAGAATGACATTGTTAAAAGAGCAAAGGTGGGCTTAATAATCTATACACAGATTATTGTCTATTTTCAGGCAATGTCATCAATGGCTTATAACATGTATCTGTTTACAAGAGGTGATGGTCCCTTGAAGACAACGCACGACCTTTTTACGCAAGCCGAATTTTTTGCCGAACAAGCCAATCAGATGTACAGGACTGTTAGAGAGTTTTCCTACGAAGTACGAGAAAGCAACCAAAAGCTTTTCAAACATCTCATTTTAAGGTTCCCGGATCTGCCGAAAAGTCTGACCTGTCAGCTATTCTCGAACGAATTCCGTTGCACTGTCAACAGCTGCAAGTTATGGTTAAAAGCCCAACCGTTGGAAAAACGGCAACATTCGGAAAGGTAAACAGATGGTGGTCTATAGAAAATTTTATAACATTTTTGTAGGTTGATTCTGTGATACAGGAGACTAAAAACTTGATGAATGAAATTGCAAAACTGGTTACAGCGTCATTTGTCTGCGCAACGAAGGTACTTAGTTTTTTTCGTAATAGTGACTTATTGGTTTAATGGTGTGAAAAAGGATTTAGATGTTCCAAATGGATAAGCCGCAAAAGTAAGTCAAGAACCCTCGCGCTAATTTTTGTAGTTGTTCTTGCTCCTAGGAACCCCTTCCCATCAAATATTTTTGTTCAATTATGTATATGTCTCAATGAACATAATTCAAACATTGCTTACTTAAGCTACCGAAAACCGATAATGTTTCCACTTGGTTAATGAATAATGTTTGGTTTTAAAAAGCGGAGTATTTGTGATTATGTTCAGCGCACTGTAGTTGTTCGAAGAAATACATGGTTGTTTTTTTTATCTTTTCTCGTAGCTCTTGTTCGATTTAAATGCAAGTGACTTACTTTGAAATTTTTCAGTATGAAATCGAGTTTCGCGGAGGCACGATTAATGGGCGGTCGGGCGCCGATGGCGAAAGGACAAGTCGCGAATCGACTGTAACAATATGATTTTTTAGCTTAAACAGAATGTTTGATTTTGTAGGTTTGGCGCCGGACTCCAAGCATCAGACGAGCCGCGCCGCCATCCACTTCGGTCCTTTCAGCGAACAACTCCTCAAGCATTCACCTTTAGGTACCATTCAACCCCCCAATTTTATCTAATTTCTTTTTAATTTTCAGCAATAGCGTAGGAAATTAGAATATAATCTGCCGTTTTCTCTTTCATATTCCCCTGCAGGATCTCTTTACTTTCACCAACACCGTTTACTTCTTCATGTTTTTTTCGTCGTTCGATTGTTCATCTTGTTACTTCAGAGAAAGCACCTGAAGATATTTTAATTTTAACAAAATCATCTTAGTTTTACCCTCATATGCTGGTGTCTTCTACTTTTTGCCATTTACTTATTAAATTTCCATTACGATTGTTCAAATAACAAAGCTCAAAATTTTGTGTTCCGACATTGCATCTGAGACAGAGTAAACCGCAATTCCAACCACTTTCAATTAGAAAGTAGGCTTTTGTAATTGGAACCTAACTAACCGTAGAATTTCACTTTCATGTTATATATATATATATATATATATCTATATATACATATTACAAAAGAAGTGGTGACTCAGATTGAGAAATGCGAAGCCAAGCCAATACCAGCAAAAAGGCAAGAAATTCAAACGGTCCTCAACCAGTTCTGGTTGCCAGTCTAAATCGGACGCTATTCGCCAACACGAACGATATCACCTCGGAATCCAGCCCTCATATTAGCACCGTTTGCCGTATATGGCCAATGATGTTACTTGGCGCATTTGTTCGTTACGTTTTACTTTTTCGCATTATTATTCAATAGTCGTGTTCTATTGTTCCTGACGGTACTCGAAATTTTCGAATTCCATTCAAGATAGCTATCGAAACTATATTAGCATCAGTAATTTGGTTGTTTGACCCATTTCAATCGCTTTCGCCTCTTTTTTCTCGAAACATTTTTATTCAAATGTGATCAAAGACATTCCTTTCATGCGGCAATAGAACATAACGTCGATATAATGCTGAACAGAATATAATATCGGATTAGTTTTTGACGTCTCGTCAGCAATTAGATCCTACGAATACTTTTATCAAGCAAACTTGATAAAAATGCTTTTGCACTAACAAATTTTTGAATTCATTACAGAGCGTTAGCAACAACCGTGGAATGTTTTTAGATTCCTGGGAAATGATTGAGACCGGTTTGAATTACATAATGTCTACAAAACATCCTCGTTTCGAAATTAGATGCTAAAGTTTTTCTGGTCACAAACCATTTTTTCAACTTTCTTTTTAATGGAACCTTCTTTTGATTGAACATATTGAACAATTTCGTGTGTTTAGTTTTCGAAAATGCTTGACAATCGCCCACTTCATTTATCACTGTTTATTTATGTTATGAGCGGTCATAAGTGTGTTCCCAACCATTATTTTTTCGGCGTAGCTTCTGCCATTTTTCTTGTCAATTTTGGCATTGTTCACACCCGACGCCCGGAACAAGTTTGCCACGCAACCAACCGTAATCGCTATAAGTAATAACCTTAACCGAATACACACTCGCATGTAACCATTATATACATGTACATACATATATTCCATTATCTTAGCTAGCTAATCGAAATTTTTTTCCTAAATGCATTGTTGTTTTTTGTTGTGCCGGTAAATCTTAAAAAATATGAAAAATATAAATTATTATTCTGCTAAACCGATCGTTCATAAAACTAGAAATAATAGAAACAAACAAATACAAAATATTCCAGCATAAACCGATCGTCTTTGTGATTCACAAAAAAAACAAGGTCAGTGTAATTTATTTGAGAGAACATCCATCGACAATTATATGCGGTAAAAGAACCGTTTTTATTTTTGAAGACCCAAAGTATCAGCTTGGTTCAATTTTTGCACTGCGCCATACGAAATATGTTCGTTTAATCAAACTGTCAGTCATACTTTCAATCGTTCTTCAAGTGGTAGCCGCTGACTCAACACCACTTATCCAATTTGAATGAATTGTATGAATCGGATGCATTTTTTTGTTAACCTTGAACAGTTTTGGCTTACTTACTTCCTGATATTGCGGTCGGTATGTTTCATACAATGTTGACGATTTTAAACTGAAACAAGATACCGTAATTCCTTTGTTAACTTACAGTAATCAAATGACCTTTCAGTATCAATCCTGGTTTTTTTGGTTTGCGTTTGATGAGGAAGAATTCACTCAATCAAACTGTTTTCGTTTCTTTTCTTTCTCCAAAATAGAAAAAAAAATTGAAAACGGTTCTCGTGACATCTCATTTTCGTCTGGAACTTACGGTTACACTCGAATTCCGCAACACTTCGATGCTTCTCTTCTTCTCTTTTCACAATTTCACTTACGTTTGTGACCATATCTCAATAAAAAATCTTGATTATGAAAATTGTTGAAAATCCTATTCGCTTATAATTTGCCACCGCGAGATATGAATCTCATTTTTTGCGCCTTCTCCGCATGTTTTTCCAATAAATCCGATGAGAATCGCTGAATTCTCTACCTTTCCATTTTTTTTTTTGAGAAAATAAATGTTTAAACTTCTATTCCAAATGTTTTATGCTATTGGGAATTGACGGAAACAGTGAGACATCGTAATGATAATTCCTGCTGGGTTCCGTCCGGTCCAGTATATACATATATATTAACTACGTTTTCGCGCAGGGGGGGTTTACACTTGTTGTCACTCTCCGCATAATCGAGAGCACGGATTAAGCGGCAACGCGCAAATACCGTGTCATGTTCATGCCAAAACTATTGTCTTGCTTCCTCCTATTGTGCTGCTTTCGGCCTCTTCGAAAGTGTTGTTATTGTAGCCTTTTGTTTTCCTTGAAAATGAATATTGAAATTTTCGTTTCTTTGATCTCGTCTTCTTATTTAGGAATCTCCAAAATTTTCGAGAAATGTCATCCATATAACATAAATTGCATATTTGTCAATTTTTTATAATTCTTTAACATCAATCAAATGACCGGAACGAGATTATACGGGACCAACACACCGACATATGAGTGTCCTCTCAATCATTCATTTATTTGCTTACATTTTACAATTTGTCAACCGCACTTTATTCAAATTTCAGGATCGAACGATGCGAATTATATTCACATTATTCTTTATTTTACATATATCAATTCGCGGTAAGTTCGGATATTTTAAAAATACCATTATAAACAAATTTTACTAAACTCACTCTTGAAATAATTCATTCAGCTTGTAATGCCATAGATGAAAATAGTGAAGACGTTTTTGAAATGGCAGCAATGGCAGAATTAGTAGGGGGACAAGCTTCCGGCGAAGAGGTTGAGGTTGATGCTGCACCCGAAGCGCCTACACAAATACCGATAGAGAATGTAAATGAGGGGTACGACAACAACTCTACGATTCTCTAAGCCTTCTTCTATTTTTTCAAGGTCTGAACCGTTCCAAACAAGCACTGAAATGATTGAGTCGGTCACAAATAATAATGATAGCACATTGGAAGTGACGCCACTTGGAAGAAGTAAAATACAATTAACAAAAACAAAACATTTTTTATAATTTAGCCGGAGTATTTTCACCAATAACACCACTCGACACCAAGATATTGAACTTCCCAACTGAAACCGAAGTGAGAAGTTCAACTATGCCAACGGAAGTGATCACATTTGAATCAGTTTCCGAAGAAGTTGCGGACAGAAGAGTTCTTAAAGAAAAGGAATTTACAACTTCCAAAGTCGGTAAGTTAAGCAGAAAAATAAATTTTAAAAATACAAGGGGGCGGTCGAAATTCGAAATTTTACAGAAACTTCGACGATTTCGATCCAATCTTCAAGCGAAACTGTCGAAGACGAAGGTAGCCACTCAATTTGTTTTTTATTAAATTATTTTTTTCACAGAAACCTCTGTGCCGTTCGACCAAACTGCATTGGACGGTCTTTTTGAACCGGACGGAAGTGTTATCGACAAATCCATTGTAATAATTTCAATAATACTTGTTAAAAATTATACGTTTTAGACACACTCGTCACCACCATTCCCTATTCTTAAAATGAGGGAAGAGGATGAAAAAATCATTGGAGCAGTAACAACAACAGAAGAAACAACCACCGAGGAAGAAACCACTGCGGCAGTTACTGTTTCTAGTACCACTCTACCGAATTCCACCACCACGAGCACTCCGACATCTACAACTGAATCGAAAACTACAACCATGTCCGAATTGCCTGAAACGTCAACTGTTTTCATTACTACTCCGCGCCTTGAATCAGCATCTGAATCAGAAGAGACAAATTTCGAAGAATCGCGTTCTAATATCGCACAGATTCCAGCATTGGCTAATTCGTCAAAAGTCTTCAACCCTTCTAAATCAGTACGGACTCCGATTTCCTTTAGAATAATGTCTCTTGAATTCTCTGATGCTTTCAATGATATTAATAGCGGACCATCGAAAAAGCTAGTGAAGGAAATAGTTCCTGCGGTATACATCGCTTAATTTTGTAAATGGCAATTATTTTTAGGTGGTTAAAGTTACTTCAACCGTATTCACCGACAACTCAATTCTGGATTTCGATGTGAAGTCATTAACAAGAGGAAGCGTAGTTGTTGGAGGTGATTTGCTCACAATCAAATCATTAGGAGATTCTCAAACGGCAGTTAACCTGTATGTCAATTTTACATACATATCAGTTATTTAATCTCATTTTATCTAAAGACTTGAAGCTGCGATCGCCAAGAACGATTCAATGTTGTCTCACTACAAAATTGACACGTTGAGTCTCACAGTCGATGGAATGACTTCTCAAGCTTACATTGACACAATGTCAACTCAGCCAAACTCGGCGTCGTTATCATCCTTAATGATTATTATTATTAGTATTTCAATTCTCGTAATAGTCATTTTTGCTTTTGTAATCATTTATGTAAGTGATAAAACACTTTTTTTGTCAAAAAATTATTTGTAATTGCAGATTACCACTCAAAGACGACGACAAAATACAATCAAGTTAAGCATCGATGATACGGTTCGAAGTATCTCTCCCACATCCAACGGCACGGCACCGAGAAATGTGCATTTGTAAGCATTTTAACTGGTAGTTGTGATTATGAAAAAAAAACTTTTTTATAGAATGTCGTACGGAAATGCCCATCGAATTTCTCAGGTAACTTCAAAATCTGGATATCTAATCGAAACTATTTTTTCGGAAACCTTCCCCGACAATGACAAAGATTCGAATTGATGATTCCACTTCACATGTCTACTAAATTTTACAATTCATATTTCATCACCATTTCCGGATTTTATACCTCTGAGCCTAGCTCCGCCCTCTTATGTCTTTCTGAGGGTTGCGTTAAATATTGACATGATTTCATATAGCCTTTACTATGTTCTTTCCTTGCCATAAATGTAATAGAATAAATTATACAGCTAAATTTGAAAGTGGATAACCAAATAAAAGAAAGTCAAAATAATACATTTGAATTAATTTGGTCATAAGATACTGGCTGTTTTTTATTTCAATCTCCAACATTTTGCGTTCCGCGGAATCCTGAGTGCTATGTCGCGTTTTTTGCTGAAGACTTTTGTCTGAAATTAGAGGAAATGTATGATTGTCAAGTTTAAAAACGTTCTACTTATAAATATCAACTGCTCATCGGTTGCCCTTTTCGAAGCTAAAACCTCAAGAAGATCATCGAAAAAATGGATATCATCGAGCTTCAAAATGTGGTATTTCGATATGAAAGAACTAAATTCGCAGCGCCTGCACGTTTTTGGGATCATCAAAGTTTTGGAAAAGTTTTTAATCATACCACGATTGCGGAAAGAAGTGTGAATCATCGAAATTATTCTCCTTATACTTCTCATTTGAGAAGCGTTTCATTCTTTCATACAGTTTTTCGACAAAGCATGTAACATTCTGAAATTACAGTAACCGAAATTGTAATTTTGGTAGAAATACCGTTTGACATCCGGAACATCTTTTTTCATATTTTTTCCAAGTTTGTTCCCGAAAAATAAATAGTTAAAATTAAAACCTTTTATAATAATTACCTTAAACACTTGTCAGCGAAGCCCGAAATAAACCGATCCATAGGGTTTCGCACCACCGCCAATTTCAACATTTCTTTCTGATTTTCAATCGACCTAATTTCTGTGAACTCATTCACACCTTTACAGTATCTATTGTGATAAACATCTCTATCAAGCGTTCTATTGTTTGAAACAAATCCAACCGGATCGCTAAGATAGCAGATTATTGCTGTGAGAAATGTCGAAAAGTTCTTTTCGATTGCACACCCGATCAAATTGTTTTTCCTTGCCACCTTCAACAATTTTATTTTGTTCATTTAAATTTTACAAAACTTTAATAAATAATAACTTACCCTATATTGTTGCCGATAACGAATTAATGGGGGAATGCAGTTCTTTAAATTTCGGCCAGTACAAATTTCATATGGTTTCGAAAAATTCGAATAGTCTATCGCCAAACTGGGACATTTTTCCGTATTTTCGTAAAATATAATGCAGAATAAAGCAATAATCAATAATATTGAAAGTTTTATAAAACGATTCATTCAGCCTTTGGGCAGTTATCGAAAATTGCAAGGGATTACCGACAAACGTTTGTATTTATTGAACAATATGAACCGTAGAAACATGTGAAACCCGTGTGGAAACGCATTGAAAGTTAACAATACGTTCTAATAGAAGATTGCATGGAAATTGTATTAAACTGATTGGTTGATAATGTCGAAGCAAACATATCATCAACAAAAGATGAAGCTGTAAATGCGTCAATTGGTTCCCGCACTGTTGAAATCTGTCTGGCGGTCGACGCCGATAAAGCAGAGGATTTATCAGTATTCTTTTTGCACCTGAACATCATAGACTATAACTTCTTTGTTTTCAGAGAGTGGTTTCTCGATCTCTTGTTTTTCACCGGTTAGTGTTTTTTCATTGGTGGTTAGTAAATCATGCATTGGTCTACAACAAAACAGCGATTACTCCAAAAAAAACATAATACTTACTTGTCAATCAAATGAACAAGTGCAAATACCAGCATAGTGACAATAGTGCCCAATAACATTCCATAAAAGAAAGGACCCGGCGAGTCATTAATTATTTCCTTCTGAATGACTTCTGTTGTTGACGGCATTATTGACGAGCTTTCGCACAAACATATGGGATGTTCTGCTTCTAATTTCACACGATTTCAAATTTCTCTTTTTTTTTGTTAAACTAACCAATAATTATTGGTGCATTTTTTACCGGAAGCCGATCATCGTATTTTGGGCAGTGTGCAGTCTCTTGGGTGAGGTACTTTAGACTGTAATTATTGATCTCTCTATGAAACCATTTTTGAATAATAATCAGAAATACCCTTCAGGATAAGTTCTAGTAATGTCAAGACACTCGACACCGCCTTTCCAAGCACACTGCGGATCTCCTGCTTGCAAACAAAGTGCACATGTCATTTCGTTGGACGTCATGCAGACACTTGTCGGCATCTTGACAATGCTGTTCTCAGTAACAATTGCAAAGTGATTTTCATCTGTGAGAAACATCGATATCACTTTTGTATTGACCTAATATTTCGAATTTCTTAAACTAAAAAGTTCCATGCGTATAATACCGGTAGAACTTTGAATGTACTGGAATGTCTTGCGTTTCCATTACTTATAATAATCTTCAAAATGTTTCCGAAATTTGTTGCAATAAAAAGAATGTCATGTGTCTGATTAGAGAGGTCCCGGACTTGTTCCTGCGGCAAGACGTAAATAAATTTTTCCTTCCCTTTTCCGTAATAGCTGAATATTGGATGGGATTTAATTCCTGAAAACAGGCTGACGATAATAAAAACATTCAATTTTGAAATTACTCTTCTTTATGAGAGGATTTAGTCGAAGACGTGAGAGCTCATCGAAATCATTTGCTTTAGAGCACTGATCGGATCTTATTGAGTGGAATGCACTGGAAAGACTCTGCGAAATTTCTTGTTTGCTGTATTTGCAAATTGCTGAAGCTCCAATTCCAGCCAGTTCAGAACGAAACGCTCCGTAGAAATTTTGATGAGTCTCGGAAATACTTTTTAGCTAAAGGAAAATTGTATACCTGTGAAATGCTTCCAAAGAATACCTGATTATAATGAAAAGTATCGGCCCCATCCTCTTCAAGAACGCATTCGACTCTTGCCTTCACGAAAGAAGACCATTCACTTTTATAATTTCCTCTGAATATGTGCCATGTTCACAATTAATCAATGTTCATTACCGTCCTCCTTGATCGTCGATGCAAACGCGAGCCACCCTTGGAACAACGCGATGCCCGCATTCCTCTGAGATAACAGGCGTCTCAGTAAAAAACATTGTCAACTCCTTAACTACGGATGATTAAGGCCAATTAGTATTGGCTCGTGAAAAGTGGCTTGGCTCGTGATTTTTGGCTCACAAAGTGGCATATATGTATATCACAAGTTCTATTACAGCCGAGTTCACAGCGAGTTCCACTCCGCGGTGCCACCCTAAAAATCAAGGGACGAGTAAGAAAAGGGGAGCAAAAAATTATTGGCAATTGTCTTTTTCTTGGTAAAGGCAGCCAAAGATCACAAGCCAAAAATCACGAGCCAAAATTCGCGAGCCAAAGAATATAGTAAGTACGAGCCACTTTTTGTGAGCCAAAAATCACGAGCCAAGCAACTTTTCACGAGCCACTACTAATTGGCCGATGATTAATAGTAATTCTAAGTAACAGACCTGCCGATTTTTATGCATTGACAATATTTCGGCTTGTTCGAACGTTCCGAGTCCTCGAGGGGTTCGCAAAATATTTGCGTTTTCTTCGTCGTCTTCCCGCCATATGTCCCGAATCTTTCGTCGGAGAAGAAATGGCTCCGAAGAAGCCAAATCAGGAACTATAGGAAAAAAGTGCATTCATCACGTTTAATTATAATATTTAGAAAAGAAATTTTTGAATAATTTTATATTTTGGAAATGATTGGATTTACAAGTAGTTTTTTAAAACCTTTCTCTCAAATCTCTAATCTACACTATGCTTATAAATTTCTTACCAGTAGCAGTTATTATATTTTGTCCAGATTGATGAAAAGGAGAAGTACCGTTTGAGCTAACCGGAGCTAGCCCAACAACGAATTTCGTCGTAATAGGATCTAAAATAATGTTGTAAATAGAAATTTGTACTATTTTTCACTTTTTTGTCCATAATTAAACTCTGCACATGAGGGTTTCATTCCATGTGTTCCACACATCAAAAAAGATCGAGTTGAAAGTGTAAAAAATGATCTAATATAGTTATTGCAATCTGATATCGTCTAAAAGTTCCACTTAATGCACCGTTAGGATGATTCCAAATACCAAGCTAATATCTTCACAGTTTCTTCTCGTTGCCTCACTTGTTACCCACTCGTAAGTATTGACAACTTTCATGTCAGAAATACTCACATTATAAGCTCGATTGCTGAAATTGTAACATTTTTGAATTGTTTTGTATTCGCGCCAACCTGGATCCAAGAAAAATGTAGCCATTTGATTTATGAAGAACGACCAGATTGTCATCTTCTTGAAATAGTAGCTGCCTGGTTACTGAAATTTGAGGATGCATTGCAGTAGTGTTAAGTAAACAAGTTTTTAGTAAATTCACAAAAATTTTATTAAAGCTACCAATCATACCGTTCAGTTTTGATAAAACAATGGCCGATGGCGGTGAACAATTTGCGAGAATGCAAAAATTAAAAAAAGCAATGTACGCAATGATTGACATGGTTTCATAAACTCATAGCATTACCCTGCAAAAAAAGCGAATGAAGTTGTTAGGTGTGAAAAGGTGAAATATGAGATGAGCCAGAACAAAACTGAAAAGGATCAGAGCGTTTTACATATACGCATTAGAAGATCATTTATCTTCGTATGAGACGAAGATAAATGCACGTGAATTCTCACCACGAGTGAAATTGATAGCGCGAAATGAAACGGTTGGCCCGATTTGGCAATGTTCCCTAAACACGCCCCACCTTGTTGGCGAGGCTATTTAATTAATTCCGTCTCCTCCGAATATTCAGCTGATTATTGACAGAAGTATGATCAAAATTATGGGCGCGTCTCTAGATATGGCATAGAAATCGCTGACCGACATTCATAGTAGTTCACATACTAACTACGCGAACAAAAATACAATGCCATTATTAAAGAAAATGGGAGAAACTGGGGGAAATTTTATTGCAATAGAAATATAAAATCAATGGGGCTGACGTCGATTTGAAACGGCAAACTCAAACAAAAGTGTGTTATCATACAATTATTGAGCTGATAAAAAAATTGAAATGGTGAAGACCAATTATGATCGTCAAATATGGTTTTGAAATGTGTGCGGACAACTGGGTGTGAGTGTGTGAACTGGTATCTAGATTACGAGAGCGATAAAATCTCGAAAAAGCTATTAATTTGGTCACGACGACAGAATGCGAACCAGCCGAGTTTTAAAATCATCATTAATCATTATCTCACCGCAAAGAACAGAGTTATCCTTTCTTTCGGAAATAGCATTTCTGATGTGTCATTAATAAAAATCATAAAAAATATTAGTTCGAACCACCGGTTTGTCAAGGCGAATAGAATTGTCAAAAAAAAAGCAAAACTTTACGACATTTCTTCCGAAAAACTGCCCGAACGTACATTCTCATCAATTCATCAAAGCGAAAAATTGAATTGCGACAGTTGCTTTCTCGGCGTAGTGCATCACATTGCGGTTCCGAGTTGAAAAATTTGATACAGCTTATAGATTCTTCGTTCTAAATTGGGTTCAAGGAAAAAAAAGAACGCGTGAAGTGAAAAACGACGATGAGGCCGATTGGAATCTTTAATAAAAATCGCATTGGTTTGAATTGAATCGGCCACTTTTTTTTTGTTGTCGCGCGTATCATTTCGGGATCGCTGAACTAAAACAAATTTAGAACGAAATCTTGGTGTTTGCATAACGAATGTGAAGGTGAAAGATTGTAATTTATACCTTAAATTCATCCAAGCAGCTAAACTATTTTCTTCAGTTTTAATTAAAAAAAAGGTCATGTGAGTAATAATACATTAATTGAAACATTTTTATGATTTTTATTTACAATATTAAATTAAGTTTTTTTAAATAAAAGAAAGTAACTTTAAACTCTGAAGCTTCGTTTTCAGAAAAATCTCGTCATTACCTCAAATATAAAAAACTTAAGACACGTAATTCGGCTGGAATAACAGAATATAGTATGATATCATTGGAACAGGACAAGAAGAAGACGAGGCCAAGAAGGTCGGGATAAATCTCCTTGAAGCAGTTTATCCAAGACAACTCAGCTCAACGAATCATAGACGAATGAATCTACTGCAGGCTCTAATCCAATGGTCATCGTGGGCCTGCTTTTCTGGCGAGACTTCTACCTGATTGTTGTATTCACAAAAGTATAAATTTAAGGTAATTTTTATCGTGGTTTTCTCTAAAATTCTAAAACTGTTAAAGAAGTCGAATTGTTTGATTGAAACAATAAATCACCATCAAGCAGCTTATCGTAATCGTCAATTCGCCACATTTCCGTATAACGCTTTCTTCGATTTTTCCATTTCGTGTCACAGGGGCTGACATTTCAATAAAACAATTCTCCTCTTTGCGGAAAATTTATGTAATTTATATCCGGTAGGCTTTTATAATCTTTATCAAAATGGAAATTGTCCCGATCAAATTTAATAATATTTTCTTCAACGAATTAACAATTTTAGACCACAATCAACTTTATCAATATCGATATGGAAATGGAAGGCAATCTAATCGTTGATATGTACAGGACACGTTCGTGCAAATAACTGATTATTCATTCCAGAGCCTCTTTGTCGAAAATGAATTCTCCCATTCCTTTTCCAACTCTCTTCAAAGTGGTCACATAGTGAGCAAACTGGTTAATCGATCTGACCTGAACCACATAATCACTTATGACAGCAATGAAAACTCCAAAATTCCAAACCTGCTCATCAAGATATTTCTCCTCGATAAAGTCAGTAAGATGAGCGTCGTTGCGGCTTCCAGCAATCGAGTGCAATTTCAAAAGCGATTCGTTGTTGAACTTCTCAAGAGATAAAGCAGCTTGGAAGGCCTCAAGAGCGCTTCCCCATTCGTCCTTCTCCGGTTTCTGGATGTCTTGAAGAACAACGCGTCCTCCGCGAAGGTTTTGGACTCGCATCAACTCAGTGGCGTGTTCGCGTTCTTCATCCGACTGCTTCTTGAAAAACTTGGAGATGTTCAATAGAGAGACATCGTCTCTTTCGAAGTAAAACGCCATGGACAGATAGACATAAGAAGCATAGAGTTCGATATTGATCTTAATTGAAGCAAGATTACCAAAAATTTGTTTCTTTCGAAAACCTGCTTGTTGACAGCAGCTTCGACTTCTTCGTGATAATTTTGACGACTGAGTGATTCCGGCATGTTGAAGATTCTGGAAACCAACCAAACTTAATGAGGAAAAGATAGTGGACGAATGAAATGAAGGCGATACGCTTCTATTTATGAACAATTGGGACGGTAGGCGGTGCCAGAACTATTTGGCATCTACTGATAAGGTGGCGGAGAGAAATGAGCGGTACGTCAACATTTTTGAGAACAATCTAAAGTTAGTGTTAACGAAAAAGAGAAGTAGATCAAATGTATGTAGTAAACAAGACTGATCAGTATATACAAAAACAAACTCACATTCAACAGAAATCCAAAAAATTCGTAAATATCTCGTTAGGGTTCATGAACAAACAATTTTAAATGCAAACTAGTCCGAGGTAAAAATTGAAAATTTTTGTTCCAATTTTCAGTTAAATGCCGAGCAAAATTTCAGTTTTTTAACTGTAGCTACATTCAGACCAACATTTGAACGTGTTTTTATTTTGAGTAAATGGTTTTTTATTATGGAATACACATATATTGTTTGTACCTTCTTCTATTTACAACATATGACCAAGTCCGATTTTGTTTCAAACGAAAACATTGATAGAAATTGCTATTAAATAGCCGAAACATAACCAAAGAAATGTCGAAATTAAATAAAGTGTCACGTTGAAAATTGAAGATATGTTATTGAGATATCGGTATCCGTCAACCCGAACTAGGCCATTCGATTGATTATATCCTTTATGGTGACATATTCGTAGATCGGTTGTTGCATCATTAGCCATGATGATCACATGAGCATTTCGTGTTCTACACAACTGATAATTTGCTCAACAAACAACAGCTCGATTGATAACGATGAATACGTGCCGGCGTTATCAGTGTTACGTGCGATGGGTAGCGCCATCTATCGACAGATAAAACGACTTATAATGTCATCAGATTTGAGTTGCCCAAGATTGGAGCGTTATCATTACCGGTTTAAATAAAATTCTTATTGTTGGCGAGGCGAAATGTCAAAAAACACAAATTCAGCATTCAGTCATTTTTTTTTTGCAGTCGCGCGACAGCGAAAATAATTCTCGTTAATAATTGCACGCGGAAATTATTTGTTGTAAACATTCAGAGGGTTTGTTTTTGTAAATGAAGAGTTTTTTCTTTGGACCACTCTTAATTTTCTTTTTGAGCATGCAATTTATTGATATTCTTAGATACCAAAAGCAGAAAAAGAACAATTATACTCGGATGGAAGAAGCACGTTTGAAGCGACGGTGTGAGTAAATGAAGCGAATTTCACCGAAAATACTACAATAGTAAATGAGAAATATCAAAGCGGTAAAACAATTACAATTCACTGTTATTATGAATGTTTTGTCCAGATAGAGACGATGAATAAAATGGCAAAACAGTACGAATGTTGTGTGGAGACAAACAATATTGTTATAAATTAGCCATATTTAACCGTAACTCAGACAATACAATAATAGATAGATTGGTTGATAGATATGATACAAACTAAAGGCGAAGAAATAGGCGGAATAAAGAAACCATTTATAGTAATGTGCAACTGAAGTTGCTGAAAAAGCCTTTCTTGTGTGAACTGCCGCCAATGTTCACGCGTCCTGAGTTTGACACGGTACCCCCAGCGCGCATTTCATTTTGTTCCATTTTGCTTTTGATATCACGAGCTAACGTGAAGAAAGCTTCATCGACGTTCAAGTTTGCTTTTGCAGACGTTTCCATGAACTTCGTCTCGTATTCAATTGCGAGCTTTAATAAAATAATGAAATTATATTTTTTTTTTCAATGCAAAAAACCTGTTCACCGCGATTTCTTGAAACTTCACGACGCTCCTCGATATCACATTTGTTTCCTATGATCATTCTTTCAACGTCCTGTAACGCTCCTTTTTTTTATAAATTTTTAAAGATTTTAATCCAACCTGAGCTGCATGCTCCTCAATATTGCGGATCCAATTTTTAATGTTTTCGAAAGATCGCTCATTTGTAATATCGTAAACCAGTATAATTCCCTAAATTTAAAAGTTTATAACTATAAAAATTAAAATGTTAACCATGGCTCCACGATAATAAGCTGTAGTGATAGTACGGAAACGTTCCTGACCTGCAGTATCCCTGAATTTTGAAGATGCTTTTCACACAAACGATAACATTAGACTAACCAAATCTGAAGTTTGATTTTTTTCCCATCAAGTTCAATCGTTCTGATTTTAAAATCAATTCCAATTGTCGAGATAAAAGAATTATTGAATGAATCATCAGAAAAACGGAACAAAACACAAGTTTTCCCAACGCCACTGTCCCCAATTAGCAGCAACTAAAAAGAGTGTAAATATATATTCTCCAATATATTGTTAATCACCTTAAATAAGTAATCATAGGTCTTGGCCATGATGCGAGAATTGAAGTGGTAATAAGAACCCTGAAAATTACATTTTTGTTGAGCAACCACGCGCTAAAAAATACATAAATAAGCGAAAGGCCGAAAAGTTAGAAAAAATTCACCGTAAATGAAATTATATTGAAATTTTGCAAAAACCATTATAATGAAAATTAATTCGATAAATAGGACTAAAAAAAAAGGAAAAAGTAAAATTGCAACTCTTGCGAAACTTCGGACCATTAAATAGTTACCAAGTTTACGTCAGTGTTCTATACTTGACGCAAATTCGGATTTGAAGGTTATCGAAGCGGCAAGATGCGAGTTGGCAAAAGATGAACGCTAAGAAATCTTGTTTTCTCTTCAAAGTATACTTTTATATATATTGAATTTTTGTTCATAATTACTGCGATTCTTTGGAATGGGATCGTCACAGAGTTCTACTCAAGTACACCTAGTAGATCAACTAGTGAGATCTGAAAAAATTTCTGAGCAAACGACTGAAGTCGCATTAAGGTAGGCTGATGCAGCTATAGACACAAAACGTTGTTGAGAATTTATATTTACAGAATGGTTGATCGAAAATACTATATAAAAACTGCTTCTGATGTCTATCGAGATCTTCCTATCGTAGTTAGATGGCGACCAAATGAAACGGAAAGCGAAGAAGTTGAAATTCATTTTTCCTCGTTTGATATAATTGCACGAGTCGTGGATTTACTACAAATTAAGCCTGGACAATCATTACTTATAATCGGCTGTGGGGGCGGATATTTAAACACCGTTGCTGGTTTTTTACTAGGTAAATTAATTACTCTTAAAATTAGCTTCTATTTATAAACATAAGTATTTCTTTAAGGGGACAATGGCTTAAATCATGGTGTAGATGTCAATCCAAATGTTATCAAGTACGCCAATCACTGCACCAAAGAGTTTATGGAAGATTGCCATTACGTTCATTCGTTTCCTTTCTGCAAGCCAATGTGAGTATCTGTAATTGTATTGTGATTTAAAAACCAATCATCTTCGACATTCATTTTTTAGATTTATTGCTTGCAACGGATTTTCTGATGAGTTTATAAACTCAATGCCACGATATCGGTACGATAGAATCTACATTAGCTCATCTGTGAACTCTGAAGAAATAAAAGACAAGTTTCTAAAGCTACTGAAAGTGAATGGAAGAATGGTATTACCTTTCGAAGAAAAGGTATGTGATTATTTATTGAAAATTCTTCTGAAAATGTTCCATTTAGCTCACATTATTCCGACGAACTAGCGACGATGAGATAACGCGTACCAACTTTGGTTCTGTAAATTTTGCATCCCCTGTTCATCCTGACAAAGACTACGTTCATCCACAGACTCCTGAGTTATTTCGGTATTAGTGGGAAAAAACTAACGAAGATTAATTCATTCTTCTAGTAAACCCACTCTCTTAGAATTGTCTCGAATCGCGGTCAGAAGAAACATACGCGAAATGGGGCATCGAAAGTTTGACCTTAAAATTAAATGCTTAACGCCATTGTGAGTCTGAAATGAAATATTCAAATTTCTTACGTGAAATTGTAGGTACAACCGCGATATTACTATCGAAAGTTCAGAAGTGCTATCAGATCCGTTAGTTTTTGAAAATAATATTTTAAATTACATTACATATTAAGATTGTGTGATAAGTTAATTGACGAGTTAAACTGGGATTGGGATGCCGATGACGCTTTGTCGCAAGAATGTCGTCTCACAAGTAAGCAGAATTGTGAATACAAATTTTAATTTTTTTCCATGAATTTTTTCAAAAAAGTTTTTAGAACCCACTCTAGAAGTTGGACTTCAACGAGAAATGAAATTGGATAGGATGTAAGAGGTTACTGTAAAGTTTTTGTTTAAAAAAAAATTTTAGGCTTGATGCGACCGACACCGTAGTAATGCAAGAACTCAAAGAGTTTCATAATTATTTAAAACTACAAATTAATCAAGAAGAGGAGAGATTAGAAGGCATAAAGGTAAGCAAGAAGCGCATACATTTTCTACTGTGTGTATGTTTTTTTTTTATTTAAAGAATTATTTATAGACGAAATTTATTTTTAACTTTCAGCGAAGGAAGAAATTGCCTAAACCGATGTCTGATTTTCTGAAAAATGTAAATCATAGTATGTTAATAGTTCTAAGAAATAAAAATATATTTCAATTTATTTCAGATAATTTCGGATGTCAATACGCAGCGGTTTATGCTATTTCGAACCTTTTTGAATTTATCCAAGCGACAATTACTGACGATGATATTATGAGCAATTGCTTTAATCAAGCTGATGCCGAAAAATTTGCCCGGTGTATATTTATTTAACTTAACTCGATTTGTAGAAATTTCATCTGTTTTAAGGTTTCCTTGGTAAGCCCTTCGGCCCATTCAAAAATCGGAATGAAAAAAGTACTGTGGAAGATTTGAAAAATCTGAGCAGGGATATTACACAAATATTCCAGAAAGTTTACGAAAGAAGGGTTGAACGCAAAACACGGCGAGTTAAGGTACTTTAAACTTTGAATAATTGAATAATTTCTCATGTTAAGCTTGCTGCCCAATATGAACGTGAATGTGATGGCTACCCTTTTAAGATGTTCCACGAAATGTATTTGAAAACTGTCGCTGAATTACCTATTCCGAAAAGATTGATCCATTTCGTATTGCATTTTTCCGAAGATTTCGAATGGCTTTAGAAAAACGAATCATCTCTTCGGACATGTAAAAACCTTATTTACTCATGTCACAACAGTTTCTTGTACAATATTCTCGCGGACTGGTGAACTTCTGTGGTAGTCCTCTGTGCATCAGAGCTGCACGGAATTCCGTCTTCCGTGAAATTTAAGTTCCGTGCAGCTCTGCTGTGCATGTACCACGACTAAATTGTATTTTATAAGCTTACTGCTATTCAAAAAACGCAATATTCTACATTCCCATTAAAGCCCGTCCACGACAAGGCCAAAATTTCACACTAATTCGTAGTATTTAATACTAAACTAAACTAGTTGTTTTCCATTTTTGATTATATTGCTTAATAAAATGTAATAAAATATTATATTGACATAATATGTTAAAGCAAAGCTCAAAACAGATCAAAAAATGGATGGAAAGAAAAAGGCAATAATTGAAGTTTTAAAGGAACGAAAATCGAAATATCAAAAAAGATATGAAATTCTTGAAACAACGAATTGATATGTTAAATTGTCGTATCAACAGCAGGACCCCCGTATGCTAGCTTTTCTCGGATGAATGTACTGAAATCAAATGTTGTGCTTGAAAGTTTTGAGTCAAAATTTTTACCCATGAAACCGATTGTCATTATTTACAAGAATATGAAGATCTCGAGTAGTAACGCGAACAGTTCGAGGCCTATGCATCGAACTTGCATTCGATGAAGATCCTTCGAATCTGCAATTTCGATTGTTTCAGTAATTGCACGCACACTAATACGACTTACTTATTCTTGAAAGTGCGATTACCAGATAAGGCTGCAATTGCTGCAGCGTTTGCATCACGATTTCTCTTGGCCTCTGCTTCAACTCTTTGAATTTCCTATAACTTTCATGATTTCAGGAAAAAACAAAAAATGTTACTTTTATTTTGTCAGCCGTTTCTTTTCCAGCATTTTTATTTTTACTCATTCTGAGAAGAGCTTCTTTTTCTCGACTTTCGCGCATTTCTTCTTCCTGCCTATCTAGATCTTCCAGAAAACGCAGCTGTCTCTTTGTATCATCAATCGGTTCATAATTTTCACCTATCCGAATTGATTCAACACGGTGTTCGGCGATACCGGCGACCTGCGTTATTAATTCTCTCAAATGAGATTCAGCTGCATCCGAAATCAACATTAAAGCCTTAAATAATTGTTCATATGAAAAATAATATATAAGACCAGACCTCTTCTTCCACCATACATGACTGCTTCATTCTGGCCGTGATTCGATTCATAATTTCTTGAGGGCTAAGAATTGCTGACTTCAAACTATTTTCGACAAAAGTTCGAGCTCCGATAGCTTCTTCTTCTTGTTTTGGCTCAATTGGCTGTGACGTTGAAGGCTGCATCGCAGGAATTTGAACCGGTTGCGAAATTGTTTGTTGCTGAATGGGGATGGACGGTTGGTTTATTACTACTTGATTTTGTTGAGGTGGAGGTGGCACCGGCTTATGAATAATTTGTGGTGATTGGTGAATTTGCTATAAAAACTTTTTCAACTATTAACTTCTTTTAAATTACCATTTGAGGAATAGAACGGATTTGTTGTTGTGTTGGTGCCATTGTTTGTGATTGCATTACTGTCCCCTGCTGGGATACCTGTGAAAAAAACTATAGAACAAAAATTCAAACGAAAATTACGGTGGATAAACGCGAAGCCAAATGAGAAGACGGATTAGTCTGTGTCATATGTGGAGATGGTCCTGGCCTCATTTGGTCTTCTTGTTGCCTAGATTTATTGAAGACGTAGCCAGGAGGCGGAGATATTCCATCAATGACGACTTCCCCACTGCGAACTGCTGTTCGAAGAGCAGGAATTGTGTTTTGCAAAAATGGAAGTAGGTGTGGTTGAGCTTGTGAATTCAGAGCTTGTTGCAGTCTGCTTGTAAACTCTTCCGCAGATAAGTCTCCATAAAGAACATGCTAAACTTTTAGATTAAACAACACACTTTCTCAAATTTCTACTTACTTGAATAAGATGACGAACCAAAACGGAATTAGTAGCATTTTCAGAATTTTGATTTGATGACAAATTTAAAAGTGTTCGCAAAAATCGACAGCACTTTGTAACTGCATGTCTTTCGTCATAAACAGGTTGAGGCTGGGGCTGAGCAGGAGCATTTGAAGGAGGTGGCTGCGGTGGTAGAGTGGAATTGGACGCCGTGTTAACTTGAACCATCGGCGCAATTGCAACAGTTGGAAGAGCATTTCCCGGATTATGCGCAGAATTTGGAACCGCTACGGAAGTCGCGGTTTGAGCAATTTGCGGTGATTCCGGTTGAGAAGATACATTTGCAACCTATAGTATATATTTTTTAATTTTATAAAAATAATTAAAACAAACTTGAACGAGTGGTTGTACTTGTTGCTGATGAGGTTGAACCTGTGGCTGGAGTTCGCTATTTCCTGCACCCGAAATTGATGGTACTCCTGGATTCAATGGAGATCTCTCTCCTAATGCTTTTCCTTGAACTAGACGAAACCTTGGGAACGCAGGTGGTGGTGGAGACATTCTTTGCTTAATTTTAATTATTTAACACAAATATTGTAATGTGATTCGTCTAAAAAATAATTATGTTATGAAGCACAAATGCGGAAATAAATTGTTAATGTTTTACAAAAAACACATTAAACTAAATGCAACTTGATTAGAGTATTTATTAACAACGCGAGCAAAAAAACGCCGCAAAATATTCGCACATCTCAACCCATGCTACCGTAACCTCATCGTGCTAAGATATTTCGATGCACCTAAATGGCTCGCAGCGACGCTGCTCGCAGAGCGGTCGCGGGAAATTCCAATAAGATTTTTTTGAATTGATTCTTCGTAACTATAAAAATTTATTTCGTTTTTTCATTATTGAGCCAATTTTTCTTTTATTTCACAATATTACCTGCTATGTGAGACTACGAAATTCTGTTTATAGTTTTTTTTAGAGCTGTAGTCCTCTTCGTTGACGCATTAATATATATTATTGTTAATATATATCGATTCTTAATTTCAGAATGGGTATTAAAGGCGATTCAAAAAAACAGCCCACTAGCGAACAAGTGCGAATGGCACGTTTGACTTTGGAAGGAAATTCAGCTGATGACGAAGCATCAAAGATTCAGAAAATGATCAAAAAGGTTTGTACTGACAAAACATTATTAAGAATAAATTCTAATTTAGGTCATGGAGATGACAAGTTGTTCGCAGTCGGAAGCAGAAATTGCTCTTTTCGATAATGACAACAACATTCATGCGGCAATTGAGCATATCTTAGAAAATGACAAACTTGATTCATGGACGGATCCAAAAGCTAAAAAGGAAAAGAAAAAACCGGAAGAGGAACGTGCGACTGGCCGAACTGGAACAGCTTCTAATTTCCAACGAGGACGAGGTATGAAAATAAATGTTTGACATTCATTTTTTACTGCTTTTTCAGGAAATGGTGGATTTGTCGATCGAGGTGGACGAGGTAGATCAAACGGGGCACCACGAGAGCATAATCGTGAGAACAACCGCGAGCACAATCGTGAGAACAACCGTGAGCACAATCGTGAACACAATGGCCCCCAGCGAGGCAAAGGTGGATTCGATCGGCCAAGTACATTTAACGGAAGAGGAGGCAGAGGTGGCGGACGCGGTGGTTATTCACGAGCAGTGGCACCGGAAGCTCCTCAGTTTCAAGAAGAGGTATTATTTCACTATATTTCATATTTGAAAAGTTTTATTAAAGAAGGTCGAATCCAACCAGGTTAATGCTAATTTGTCTGAGACATCTCCTCCAGTCGAAGAATCTGTTACAACTACTGTTCCAACTTCGTCAGCACCAGGCCCCATTTCTTTCGCTGCCGTGGCCGCTGCTGCTCACCGAAAGGAACTTAACAAACAACAACAACAAAAACAACTTCATTCTCAAAACATTCCGAAAAGGCGAAGCGTCTCCCCGGCACCGGATCCAGCTAAGGAAGAAAGTTCACACGTTTTTGATGAACCTGAATCTTCTCGTAATAATAATAAGGAAGAAAACTTTTATCAATGGTATATAATTTTTATTTTATCATTTAAAAGTTTTTTAGTGAACCGTCATCAGCTGAAGAACCATTGGCTTCAGCTTCTACACATGTAGAAAATGTACAGAAAACACCAAACCAAGCCAATGTTTGGACAAATCAATTGAAATCGGAATTGGGAATCGGAATGCCTGAGAGTAATGGCGTGACATCTCCAATACCATCCAATGTTTCAATTCCGTCTTTACCTGATCCGGGTATGTTGACTTAATAAAAGAAAAATAATGTCATTTCTTAGGTGTTGAATTCGTCGGTTGTGAGCCTACTTCTCTTGTTGATATTTCATTTGGATTCGTTGAAACCCCTCCTACATCTCTTCTCCCACCTGCAGAAACGTCATCAGCATCGATCTCAACTAATAACAGTGATATGTTGTTTAATCATAATAGGGTTCAAGTCCAACAGAAGACTTTGGAGGTAAATTCAATTTTTAAAAATTATTCTTAAATGATTCAAGTTTTTCATTTTAGCAAGAACGTGTACAAATGAACAACGATTTCAACCTGAAATCATCTTCCCCTCCAAACCCGTATGGGCAGTCGAACAGCAGATCACTATCCTATGATACATCTTCTGTGTCCTATACCCCTTCAAATGATCGTGGATTGGCATCGAATAAAACGCAGTTCAACCAAGCCACTCAGATGTCGCAACAACAACAGCAAGTTCAGCAGCAACAAGTACAGCAACAACAGGCTCAGCAACAGCAGCAACAGGCGCCCCAGCAACAACAGCAACCTCCGCAACAAACCCAACAGAATCAACATCATCCCCAACAGCAGCCATTGATGTTCCAGCCACATCTTCCATATGCTCCATATTCTTACATGAACATGTACAACCCTGTAGCTGCCACGGGAGTTCGTGATGAGTACGCTGCGCTGATGCAATATGGAATGGGCGTAGACTTGACGAATCTTTCTACGATTCTTCCAACCACGCAAATTTCGCAAGCACCTCAATCGCAGCAAATATCTTCGTCTCAACATCGCGGTGAAACACATGGTCTGATGGACATTAACAAGTTTGGAACCCAAACGACGAGGGATCAGCAACAACCATCGAATGTTGGACCACCTCCTGGATTCCAGGCTGCTTCATACATGCAGCAGCCAAATTTGACATCGTTATTTATGCAGCAACCATATCAAGCAGCGGGTCCACACCCATTTGGATTCATGAACATGGTTCAATCTGTTGGAAACAATGGAGCTGCTCGTCAGATGTACGGTCAAGAAGATGATCGTAAATCTTACGAAAAGATGTCAGCGAAGCCAACACAACAGCCAAACAGCCATTCTCAGTATTCTCACAACAATGGCAATGTTGGTATGTATGGAAACAAAACCAGCAAACAAACATACAACTGGAACTAATAATCGGTTTCGAATATTGATCAGCGATTTTGCCCTGATAATAAAATGATCTGTTTTATTTTACATGTTTTGTGAATTTTTACGGCTTTCCAAATAAATATACCTGATGAATCAGTGTATTATATGAATAAGAAAGTGATTAGGAATGCACACCGCTTTAGTAGTAGGAGCAACATCAAGGCTTGGGAAAGCGATCGTTCAAAGATTGGCGTTTGCGGGGTTTAAAATCGCTGCTACTGGTGATTGCCCTAACAGTGTCGGGAAAATTGCTGAGGATAACAAAAAGGTTTAAAATACTGAATCTCTGACAATTTCCATAATTTAGCTCGGCGGTGATGTCACCGCATTTTCTTTTGATTCTTCGAATGACTCGCATCGTAAAGAACTTATTGAAAAAGTAATTGAAACACTTGGGAGTCTTGATACGTTAATTGTTGTCCCTCCACAAAATGAACTTGTTGGAGAAATTCTTGATTGCACGGAAGAACAGTTCGATAAGGTTGATTTTCTAAAAAAAAACCACTCGATAGAGTCATATTCTAACGACAGGTGTTTGCTGACAAGTTGACGATTCCGTTCAGAATGGTTCAAGCTGCATTGCCAGCTCTATCAGAATCGAAGTACGGTGCAGTATCATCCTTGTTCAATTAATCGTTTAGGAATGGAAGCGTTGTGTTCCTGACTTCATGTCTTGGATATACTCCGTCTGTCGATATGGGAATGTTCTCTGTGGCATCTAATAGCGTATTAGGATTAACAAAAGCTGTTTCTGCGAGTGCTGCAAAACTTGGTGTGCGGGTGAATAGTGTCGTTACGGGAATGGTACGTATTTAAATATTTGATGTAATTGGAATTTAATGATATATTTTGTATTTTGCTCAATAGTAATTTCATATCTTGTGTGTTCTTGTTGTAGGTCGAAGGTGACAACACTGGTGCTGTTTGGGACCATAGTTCAGACAATAATGCAAAAATAATTAAACAACAACTAGAGGTATTAAAAAATCATTGCTTTATTTAATAAAAATGTTCTCAGGCAATGATTCCACTTGGTCGTATCGGCCGACCTTCAGATGTGGCTTCGTACGTAGAATTTTTGGCTTCTACGAAATCTAGGTGCTTTTATTTTACAGAAACTCTAAATGAAATATTGTTTTAGGTATATAACCGGTGAAAATTGTATTGTCAGCGGTGGAGTTTCTTATCGAATTTGAGATTACTCACCATTTCCCCCTTTAGATATTGCGCGATTAGATTTTTTTTGTTCTGTTCTGTAAAAATGACACTTTCTTGACGTTCTTTCCCTGTACAAATGTCTTCGGCTAGTACTTTTATATAAACCATTTGTTTTCTGGAATTATATTATCATTTCTAAAAGTAGAGTGACTTAGTGTGTATTTGAAGAAACTGAGATTGATAACTGTAGAAAGGGTTACAGAAAATGTTCAAACATGGTAAAAAACTTATAAATAATTTATGGCCGTCCAGAATTCCAAATGAAGAATTTGCTCTTAGAAGAAAAACGTTAATATCAAAGCTGAAAACACAAGACGGTAAAAATTTTCGAATAAAGTGAAAAAAAAAACAATAAATTCAGATAAAAATGTTGTTGTCATACTGAAAGGTGCCCAAAAATGCTATATTGCTCCCGATGTGCCTAATAATTTTCGGCAATGCAGCTATTTTAGGTTAGTTATTTGTAGTGGGAATTCTAAAGTAAATTTCTGGGTTCGTAAATATCTTTAAAATTATAATAACTTATAATTTTGAGGTATCTGACGGGAATAACTTCTCCTAATTTGTATTATATTATGACTTCCGCGGGTTGTTCATCCAAGTTCTCATCAATACTTGTCGCTGATCGTCGAAGTGCTCATGACGAATTGTGGGAAGGAAAACTGCCAAGTGAATCTGAATGGGAACAAACTGCTCGATTTGATGAGATTATTCCGACGAATAGAATGCTTCAAGTAAATTAGTTGCAGGAAACTTTAAAAATCCTAAAATCATTGTCAGACCCTCGAAAAACTCTGCGATGAAAATACAATTGTTTATCATGAGACAGACGATAGCATGATGTCCAAATTTATTCATACAAAAGCGTCGGCAGTACGATCGATTAATCCATTAGTAAGTTGATTTCAATTCAATGTAGAAGGAATTGACTGAAAATTAATGAGCAGATGAGTCTCTTAATTGTTTTTAGGTTGATCAGCTGCGATTAGTGAAATCTGCAAATGAGTTAGAAGCTGTGCGGGATGTTTGTTTGCTAGGCTCTCAAACCATGAGCGCGATGATTGCAAGTTCAAAAGACGTACCAAATGAAAATGTAATAGTTGGTCTGCTTGAATATGAAGGCCGGAGGTAGATTTAACATAATTTCCAAAATAAATTTTTATTTGCAGAAGAGGTTCGGAAATGCAAGCTTATCCTCCGGTAGTTGCAGGAGGTTCACGCGCAAACACTATACATTATTTGGATGCAAATCACGAGATACTTCCGGGGTAACTATAACGCGTAAATTGTCTATACCGCAGCAGTATTACAGCGAATGTGTTCTGGTTGACGCTGGTTGTGATTTGAATGGATATGTATCAGATATAACACGCTGTTTTCCTATCAATGGATTGTAAGGCTTCAGTTAAAGGATTAATATCTGAAATTGGCAGTTCAGATGGTCGGATGCCCAACGATCACTTTATGAAGCTTTGTTGTATGCTCATGAGCAACTTCTTGAATACGCACATAATATGGAAAAAGTAATATTTTTACAGTTGTTTCTTTTCAAATTTTAAGTTTACAGGTAAAGCTTAGTAAACTATTCCAGCGAATGAACGAACTTCTCGCATCAAGTTTTTTAGAGCTGGGCCTCATTAAAGCCCAGAATTCCGCAGATATGTTGAATGTAAATTTTTTATCTGTTGTTATTTTCTTTGTTATTTTAAAAATTTTAAGTTAGCTGAAAAATTGTGTCCCCATCACGTAAGTCATTATTTGGGAATGGACGTGCACGATTGTGCTTCAGTATCCCGAGATATTGAATTGCCAGCCAATGTTGTATTTACAGTCGAGCCAGGTATTTCGGAATTATAAAAAATCAAGATGTGTTTATTTTCTATTTTAGGGGTTTATGTTCCGTTTGATTGGCCAGTTAAAGAATTCAGAGGTATTGGGTATAGAATAGAAGACGACGTCGTGACATGTTCTGGAGGCGGCATTGAACTGTTAACCGCCGCTGTTCCTAGAGATATAGAAGATATTCAAAGGTTGATGAATTCAGCAGAATGAAAATTGTATTAGTTTTTATTTAGAGTTTTAAGTTTTTTCACGTTTTAAAAATAAATGTTTTCAGAAGTTTCATTTCACATAATCTTATTTGCATGAACTCGAAAAATGACTATGACAGATAAAACGAGTCTTACAATTTCTGGTTTGTTGAAAAATTGCTGGCTAATAAATGAAGTTAAGCTGATAAAAGTAAAAAGGATGATTTTAAATCGGGAATATTGCCGCTCACGGTGAAAGAAATTTGAGTTTTGTATATGGCTGAAATAAATAAGTTTAGGAGGAGGAAGATGCCAGACCAGAAAGCCCTCTTTGGTGTGATGCTTTGAAGCATGTAAGCTCTAAATCTTGGTCAGAAATGGAAAAGTTTGCGCAAATGGTATTTAGTCGTAAAATTGTTTTAATTGCGGGCCAATTTTTAATATTTTATAAATTATTGATTCCCCACCATGCCTAGAGTACTAAATTTATTTTTTGTTCGGTTAAAACTTGATGAAATTTTTTTAAAAGAAATATATATATTTTTTTAAAGTAATATATATATATATATACAGGGTGTCATTTAAGTTCCCGCACAAAAGTTTGACGCCATGAAGAGCTTGGCTGTCGCACTTTTCGTGCACCAATACAATTTATTTTTGTTAAATAAGGTATATTTTACTTACTTTCCAAGTTTCACCTCATTCGGATGTGTTTCCCAGAAATGGCGAAGGCTAACATCCATCGCGCTTCCATTATCGAATTTCATAAGCAAAATGTGAGCCCGAGAGACATCATTCAACGGGTCGGTGTGCCTCGTAGAACGGTTTATGACACTATCAAACGATTCAAGGAGCTAAATACGACCAGTGACCGTCCCAGACAAGGAAGACTCGTCTCAGTAATCACTCCTCAGAAGATCAACGCCGTTAAATCGAGGATCAGGCGAAAACCCCACAGGAGCATGAGAAAGATGGCGTCAGACATGGGAATGAGCATCTTCGCTATGGAAAAAATCGTCAAAACGAAGCTTGGACTGACCCCATATCGTGTCCAAAAAGCGGCAATTCTATCGGCCGTCAGCAAGCAGAGACGCTTCGAAAAAGCAAAACGACTTCTTGCTCGCACGCGGTCTGGACAACACCTCGTCACTGTCTTCTCCAACGAGAAGCTGTTCACTGTGGAGGCGGCATTCAACTCACAAAGCCATTGAGTACTTGCCCAGACATCCCAGCAAGCTTCTGAGAAAGGAAGAACAATTCATCGAGCCTCACATCCTGCCAGTGTGATGGTTTTCGGTGCCATCTGCTCAACCGGGAAGTGCCCCCTGGTTTTCGTGGATCAGGGGGTGAAAATGAACAGAGAAGTCTACGTTCGGGACATTTTGGAGAATCATGTGATGCCCTGTACCCAAACGCATTTCGGTGGGCAGAAATGGGTCTTTCAACAGGACGGAGCACCCGCCCACACTGCCAAAACTACTCAGGAGTGGTGCCAGACCCATTTTCCCGACTTCATCAAGTCATCCGAATGGCCTGATTGCTCCCCAGACCTGAACCCGCTTGACTTTTCCGTGATGGGGTCTTGCAGGAGAAGGTCAACGCAAAACCCCACTCAAGTATAGAGGCTCTGAAGAAGACATTACTGGCGGAATGGGACAATCTTTCCATCGAATATCTGCGTACCACAGTCGCATCCTACCCGAAGCGTCTCCGTGAAGTCATAGCTGCGAAAGAAGACCGAATCGAAAAGAGTTAAAAGATAATTATTTGTTATACTATAGAAAAAAAATATTTCGAGTCTCGTTTGATTTGGACTTTTAGTTTCAGAAATATACGTCTTCAAAGTTGTGCGGGAACTTAAATGACACCCTGTATATATACCTAAAAATAATAAAATGTGTGTTATTTTTCGTGAGTGTGTACTTTGCTGAAGAGAAGTGGACCGCTCTTTTCACATTTTTCTTCGTCGAACTTCGATTTTGTTGTGCCAAATCCATATATTCTATTAGGTGTCGTATAAAATGTATATTGGCAGGTTGATTTAATTCAGAAAAAATTTTATATCGTACGAACATTTGTCTCTTTCAAAAAAACATTTGTCTCTTTCTTTAAACGAGACTTATTGGAGGTCTCCAGTGATGAAGTGGGTCGCGTGAACGGTAATGTCGAAAATTATGCATATTATCATGGCTACATGACGAAGGAAGAAGCAGAGTCAATGTTGTGCAAAAATGGCGATTTTATTGTGCGTAAAACTGAAATTGGTACTCATTTGCATTACGTAATAAGCTGTAAAACGAATGGAAAATTTTATCACATTTTGATCAAACGAACTAAAACGGTAAGAATTTGAACTAATATACGATTCTGAAAAAAAATTACAAGAAAAAACTGTATTGGACTTTTAAATATGCATTCAAATCGGTTAGTGATCTGATAGATTATCATAAAAGGTTGGAAAATGCATACTTGATAATTGTATTAATATATTTAGAAATCAGTTTCCGGTATTTGCACAAGTTTATATTGAACATCCAGTGGCGAAACAAGAGTGGCAATTGAATCACGAACAAGTATTATTTTCTGCTGCGATGGCCATAATGAGATTCTTTCCGGTTGATTTGCAACAAAAAATTGGAGAAGGTCAGTTCGGTGAAGTTCATCTTGGTATCTTAAAGGTTAGGTAGAAGCAATAGTCCTACAAAAAAATTGACTAAGCTTTCCGCCTTCGGAAAACCAAAGAAGGTTGCCGTAAAAACGCTGCATCAACATCATATGAGTAATGACGAAAGAATAAAATTTCTCAAGGAAGCAAATGTGATGCTTAAACTGGCACATGTAATATTTTTGATTTTAATTATCTTTTATTATATGTATTTAACACGTCACTCGAAACTGGACTCCAATCCTCCATTGTCATATTCAAATTTTAGCCGAACGTCGTAAAATTTTATGGTGTTTGTACCACCAAAGAGCCAATAATGATTGTAATGGAATTTTGCGATGGAAAATCTCTCGAAGATGTTTTATTGAATATTGGATATGAGGTTATCGATATTTATATATTTCTTAATAAGTTTCGTTGTTAGCTTGTTTCGGATACACGTGTTAAATATCTTTTTGGAGTTGCCTGTGGTATGAAATATCTTCATAATGAGGAAATTATTCACAGGTTTAGTTGTTCGAAGAAAATTTTAAATTCTATCTTGTTTTTAGAGACATTGCTGCTCGAAACTGTCTGTTGAATAGTAATGACGTGGTCAGTTTTATTCTTCGATAATTTTAATGATAGGCGTTGAAGATTAAAATTTCGGACTTCGGACTTTCCGTTAAAGGAGTTTCGGTAAAAGAAAAACGAGGGGGGAGATTACCAGTAAAGTAATTAAAAAATATTAGAGAGTTATTTGAAAACAAGGCTTTAGGTATATGGCACCAGAGACCTTAAAGCGAGGAGTCTACAGTACTGCTTCTGATGTCTACAGGTGATCTTATATTTAAATTATATGTATAGTCGGCGTCCGGCGACTGTTGTACGCGGGTAGATTTACGCACGTGTGCCTTGAAAAGGTCTCGCCACGTTTGAATGCTTATTTTGCTGTTTTCCCGTGAACTGTTTCATTTTTCTTGATGAGTTTCGCATTTCCTTGAATTTCCAACGTCGTTCGATTAAAAAATTATCGAATAGATCCATAAAATTTGAAATATCCTGTTAGTCCGTGCGAGACCATTTCGAAAGACGCATTCCCGTAAATCTACCCGCGTACAGCAGTCGCCGGACGCCGATTATAAATAGCGATAATTTTTTTCTCATAAATAGTTATGGTGCTCTCATCTACGAGGTTTATATGAATGGAAAAGTTCCGTTTGATGATTCAAAGCTAAGTGGAAATGAGCTCCGAAAAGCGATCATTGAGAAAAAAGTATAATTTCAAAATCTGAAATCCCTATAAATACACTTCTAGATCATTCTGGAATTAAATACATCATGTCCAATCTATGTAAAGGAGCTGTTCAAAGGCTGTCGAGAATATTCTCCAGAATTGCGCCCGAAATTTGCAGAAATTCGGGAATTTTTAATGAATGTTGGAAGCTGTGTAATGAATAGAAATGAATCGTATGTTTCATTTTTTCAGAAAGCCAACATGAAGGATGCCGAAATCGACGATATCCCAATTCAACAGCAATTACTTGAATATCTTACCTCATGCTGGGGATAAATGAAAATGTAACTGTTAAATTTCTTTTGATGATTAAATGGGTCCAAAGACCAAAAAAAATGCGGCTGTGAGTGTTGATCTTTGTCAACATTCCATAGTGAAAAAATTATTAAAAAAAAACATTGAGACAGATCATCCAGGAAAGGCGCGAAAACCGTCGCGTTATTGCGCCATTTCCGCATTATTTCCGTTTGTTTTGTATGTTTTTGATGTTTGCGCGCGAGCCGTGTGCGCGGCAAGGCTGTCTCGTTGGCAGTGATCCGGGCGTCTCTTGCGCGGCCACTTTTTTCCTCTTATTGTTATGTTATTATACGCGTCTCCCGTCAATGGAGAAACCAGATGCGTTGCAGGTATCGGTTACGGTTTCCGCAACCCGAAATTAGTGCTGTCCCTTTTTTTTTTAAATAATCTTTAGAGATATAACAAATTTGAATACCGCTAGAGGTTCTATGGAATAAAAGTATTAATTATTTATTCATTTCCTTTTTTCTCGTAAATTATTTGAAAATCTAGGTACAGATGGTTTTTGAGCCCCGACATATGTCAATTTCTTAAACATGTGTTTTTTTTTCGGCGCAAACTCACAAAACTTGTTAGATTCAGCCATATGGCGTTTACATTTGTCACCATTTTGCCGACAGTTGCAACTGATTTATGATATCAATCTAATTGCCGACATCATAATTTGCTATTAGTTTATACAAAATAGAAAAGCTGCGAGTTTGAGGTCCCGCCTAATTAACTGCAAACTGATAGGAGAAGCTACACTTATTTTTGGTCCTCAATTTTGCACGTTGCTCCCATGCGAAAACGACCTTGGTTGTTTTTCTCTTCTTCCATTTCCAAATTTGCATTTTTGAATAACATTTGCGCAATAGTAGATATATATAATTCTTTGAGAAACAATAGATACTGGAAACAAAGGAATGAAATTCAATGGTAGGCTATTATTATATGTTTGAATTCAAATAATTTAGAAATCAAAATATCTTTCAAGTCCTCTATTTTCTTCAACCTTCGAAGTTTGCATCGGTTTTCTTTTTTTGGAAATTGTTGAAAAGGCTAGCGAGCAGGTGTGTCTTTGTGCACAACACCCAGCTGCGGGTTCGAATTTTAGTTGGTGAGAAGAAAGAGATCGGTAATTCCGCAATTTTTGTGTTCTCTATTGAAAATCTTAAAATTTCTTTCCTACTAGAAATAAGAACAAAATTGAGGTCCCTCTGTAAATGTGAATGTTAGTTTTATTGCCTTTTTTACAGTGGTTTGTTTCGTTTAATCCGTTCGAACAGGTTAGATTTGCAATTCTTTTTTGCATATTTATTCGAAAGATTTTTGTGATTGTCTCAATATTTTTTTCAGTTTATTCAAACTCATACCATTTTTTTGGGTATTTCCTGACATTTCGTACCAATAACATTTGTCGCTTTCAAGCGCACGAAATTTTCAAAAGTCGACGTTTTAATATCATACATTACTGCCAATGAGAAAGACACAAAAAGGGCAAAATCAGAAGGAAACCGACTCGTCTAAAAACTACGCTCTTTTATTTTGCTACCTCATAAATGCATCCCGCTCATTGTGAGTCACTTTTTGATTAGGCCGACGACTCGTTCGAAAGCATTGAACGATTCCGTCTTTTCGTTTTTACATTTTAAAATTGTGTTCAGGTGAATTGTACATGTTATGATACACCTATTCGCTCATAAATGGTCGTAAATGAGGCATTCGATAAGCCTCATCAGCACGAAATGGTTCTATATGGGTTGGCGGTCAGCCTATGTCAAATGAGCTCGAATTTCAGAGCGCGCGCGCGCGCGAATCAGATGTCTCGCATTTCAAACATCTTCTCATTCGACCGACCGATTATACCGTGCAGTCGCTCATACGTACAGATTCGAGGTCAAATAATGACATTTATGGAAATTGGTTGCATCATTTTTCCCTCGTCTTCATTTTTCTTTCACGTGCTGGAGTTTTTAATTTCAATATTTCAATAAGAAAAACTGTAAAAAAAAAACATTTCGTTTTACTTATGATAATTCGAATTTTATCATTTGTGAAGACAAATTTTAGTGAGGTGCAAACAAAACTATGAAGCAAAACGACTTCCTCTAAGAAAATACGAAACATATTTAAATGAGCAAAAAAGAAGAATTTTGATTTGAACTATTCTACGATGAGTTAAATCAATTTTTGCGATCATTTTTTTCTTTGCACGACCTTCCCCGTTTGAAAAATTCGCATTTGAACAACTTGTTTTGCCGGCCGGCATTTTATCCACAAAAATTGTACATTTCGATTTGAATCGCAACATTTGTTTGTTTATCCGTTTTTTTGTTGTTGTTTGCTCCACAGTTTCATTCAAAATGTTTTCGTTGGTCACCGATGGGTTGTTATTCCATGATATCTCAAAATCTCTTCTGTGGGCGTGGCCTCCTCCAAAACAGCGCAAGCGGGGGAAAGGCGTGACACCACGCCCCTCCAGGCCCAACTTGTCACATTGTGCTTGCCACTATTACTAATGTCATTACTAGAGCAAGTGATAAAAGCCGCTGGTATTCAATTCATGCCAATCCTGTGAGTTATTCTTTTTTTTATACTTGACGTGAATGAACGAATTGGAAATTAAAGATAAATTCTCGCGATATGAAATATTGAAACATTTGGAGACAATTCGAAATTCGTTCATCCTTGAAGCTATATATTTGGTAACAAGAAAAAAAAACAGAATATTCCAACTATTCTATCAGCTTTTATCTATTCATGTTCTCAATTATTAAATAAAAGTGTTTCCTAACATTTCTAACAACGCCCGAAATATCCATTTGTCATAGTCGCATACTCGGGTATAATTATAAATGAAATCCACCTCGTGATATGTTATTAGGATTATCAAAACATAAAATTAATGGAGCCGAGACTCATGTGACCTATGATTATTCTTTCAACAAATTGAAGCACATGACAAATTCGGTTATTCTATTTAATTAATCGAAACCTTTATAAATAATAAGCGTTTTAATTAATTCATATTATGCTAATAATAGGATGTTTATCACTTTTGAATAAATAATTAAAACATTTAATTAGCTGTAAATTTGACTTATTATTTGAATATAAAACTGTAAATGAGGACACCAAGTAAAATTTCTCTTTGATTACAACGATCTGCGGGGTATAATACATAGTAGAGCAACAGATGCGCGCGTAGAACCACCTGCCCTTTCAATCGCCTTTTTTGTCTGTTTTTCTTCATTTATTCTCGAAAGCACCTCGCAATCTTTGGAAATCATCGTTTTGGTTGGTTGTGTTGCATTTTTACTCATTTTTTTCTCAACAATTTTCCCTCGGGTCCCCTATGTCTTAATTTGGGTTCGATTTGAATGTGGCGCATTATATGTCCAGATTCTTATCGTATTGATGTCAAATTTAGCCAGTGATTGTTTTTGCCAGATGAAAAAATATTGTTCCAATATTTATTGTGTAGTTGAATATCGTAGAAGGATTAAGAATATAGGTGAACAACTTTATCAGAAGGATAAAACGAACGCGTTTGATAGCTGTATCAATTAGTTTTTTGTCCAAACATAGATGGAAACTGTCACACCAAATAAGTTTTGTAAAAATATTCAAGTTCGTTCTTTCGACGACGCCATTATAAAAAAAGGAAATGTGATTGAAGTGTATGATTTCCCTTACCTCTTGTTCTTTTCGTCTTCACATCGTCGTAAGTCAAAAGTTTTCGTGTGTTCACTTACTTGCGGATTTATAATTTTTAATAGGATTAGACGCAGCGGTTAAGATTCTTAATAGTTATATTGTCTTTTAATTTTGTGTTGGTGAAGGCGCCAAAGATTTATGGTGGTGGTTGTTACGCCGGCCGGGTGTATATGTTTCAAGAGAGGCAAACACGCGCGTATCCTTCTCAAATCTACCACCCAGTCTGTCTGCCCAGTTTTATTGCCCCTTTGTGTCGAATGTCTGCAGTTTTTGGGACATTTTCACTTTTAAAATTAATTTTCGTTATATCAGACTTCATCTTTTTTCGAAAATTGACTACGGTAAACGAGTGATCTGCATACACGCTTACGCAAAGCGGCAAATATTTCGAAGCGCGAATTTTCTTTTTGTTTCAATTTTGGCGGCGTTTTTCGCAAACGAAGGGAGGGGTTTGCGTTTAATTGTCTTTTCTTTCATATAACTTGTGTAACTGTGCACTATTCTTGCTAACCCTTATCTGAAGTAGCTAGTTTTTTTACAGTTCGAAACCCATGGACCTCAGTGAAGAGATGAATGCGAACAGCAGACGTTCGCAGCATGGTGTGGATCCAACAGCGGGCCATCTGCAGATGCCAGGCGCGTGGTATTACGAAGAAGAGCTTACTGGATCTCCAATTAATGACGCTGATGACGCTGCGATGCTTCGAACTTTCCAGACAAGTGCTGCCGGTGGTGTGCGCAACGTAACGCATGCTGTTACTGTTCCATCGTCGGAGCACGTTGCTGAAATCGTTGGGCGACAGGGTAAGTGTAAAAAAAAAAGACAGGCTTTGGAAAGTTTTCCTTTTGATTTGAAAACATTTCTCTTTAATTGTCTTGACTGTGAAATAATAATTCCAGGTTGCAAAATCAAGGCTCTTCGCGCGAAGACCAACACCTACATCAAAACCCCAATTCGCGGCGATCCATCAGTTTTTGTTGTAACCGGTCGTCCAGAGGACGTGATGGAGGCGAAACGTGAAATCGAGTGCGCTGCCGAACATTTTACGCATATTCGTACTTCTCGACGACACTCTCAAGGTATAACAAATCGTCATTCGGGATTAATGATAATTCTGTAGGGGGAACACATGTGGCCGGACATGTTACAATTTACGTTCGGGTACCGTTGCGTGTTGTCGGTCTCGTCGTTGGTCCAAAAGGTGCAACGATCAAAAGAATTCAGCAAGAGACGCACACCTATATCATAACACCAAGTCGTGAGCGTGAGCCAGTTTTCGAGGTGAGATATTTGATCCTAGTAGTATTTTCATTTTGGTGGCAGCCTTAAGTGTCTTGTTTTTGGTCGCAGAAAAACAAAAACAACAACGTGAAATTTCGTTAATGCAACATGACGAGAGCGAGGCAGTTTTTGATTGGTTTGTTCCGGAATGGAACGGATGTCCAAAAAGGGCACTAAACTCGCTCATAAAACCAGAAAGGAAATATTGTAACAATCTAATTTGTAGCATGTGTTTAGTACTTGAGTCGGCTTAGCTGTGCATCATAATTAGAGGGGGATGTAAAACTTGCACTCAGCATCGCCGGCAATCGCCGATATAAAACATTGTGCGCAGCCGCCAAAAGACCTCTGAATTTTGACGGACCAATAAGAGAAACGCAACGTGCGAATCGACTGTTTAATTAATTGGATGAGCTCAGTCGGAGGGACGAAGACAACAATTTTGTGGTGTGTATGCGTCTCAAATATGTTCATCTCACACAAAAGAAACAAAGAGGATGCCATCGGCGTTGCGTGACTTTAGTAATTTTCTAATCTGCACTATTACCCCACAGAGGGGGGTCTTGCCTGCGCATGAGAATAAACGATAGAATATTGTGATAGGTTATCGAGTGGAGAAGGATGAAATATAAAATGAGATATTTTAAAATTTGGTTCTCATACTCCGAAATGTATTGCTCCTTAAACTGCGTAAATATCAACATATACACTTGCCGACCGCATTAACCTTTTAATTCTCCACAGTAGATCATTGATGGTCTTCTTCACCATGACAATAGTAATTATCTAAAATGAGGCGACCTCATACTAACCCACGGGTGTTTGTGTTGACATCGCCGTCAAAGTACATGACAGTTAGTTGACGAACCCAGCAATTTACTTGTTCCATTCAATGGATAATGCGCATTATTGAGGATAACCACGAAACGAATTTCCTTATCTTGATTGCCATAATTGAGCGTAGGGATTTGTGAATAAGTGTGCAGGCAAAATTCCAATTAAGAGTTAAAACTTTTAGGTCACTGGAATGAAGGCAAATGTCGAACAAGCTCGCAAAGAGATCGAAGATCACATTTTCCAGCGCACTGGAAACATGCCAATTACCGACTCCAATTTGATTCCGGCGGTTTGTAATTGAGGCTTATATCAATTCAATGTAAATTTTTGCTCAGATGAACATGGATAATCATATGTGTCATAATATGGCTATGGGCTACAATCCGCCGTATAACCAGGAGAATCGTTCAAACGACTTTGACATGCGCCAGTTGGCCGATTCTAATATGGGACTCTCGTCTTTGGTCAGAAATCAATTTTTGAGTAAATTTTCATGCTCAATGATTACAGCTTCGCAGTTTTCCATCGATGCGTAGCGCTTATTCCAGCGACGTTTTCGCCAACGAATTTGGCTCCCACCGCCATAGCCTTGGTGCTACTTCTCCATTACATGTTGGTTTTTCTGAAAGCAAATGTAGGAAAACTCCAAGAAATTGCAGGCTTCCAATTTTTTCAACATGCCGCCAAGACAGTCCCGTTACTGCGCGGATTCTACCAGAAACTCGCTGGGAAATCTTCTCGACGGCGGTTTGAGATCTAATTTAAGCTGTAATTAGTCATCTGTTCAGATATTTTCGGAAAAAGCGTCGAATCATTCGGCAACTCATCGCTTTGGTCTTCGACAATGGGACTTAATAGCGAAGACACCATGCGTCATACTACCTCGCCAACATCAAGGTAAATTGATTATCAACCACCCTGCTTACTATGCATTATTTTACAGCCTCGTTTCATTGAATCCTATTTCGTCCAGCTTTGGAGGAATATTGCAGTCAATTTGGTCCGATATTCCAAGTTCGTCTCGATGCTCACTTCCTTCGACTGCAACCCCTTCGTCTGCTGAAGTGTCACCAGTCGATTCTCTCGCTGCCTCGCCAAAATCGACCTGTGACGATGAAAAAACGTTGGTGGAAAACCCGGCGAGTCTTATCGCCTAAGGCCTAACATTAGCTAACCAAATTAACCACATTAGAAACGACATAGTTAATTATAATACTTGCGGTGAAACAAGTCATGTGAAGTTTGTATCCCCATCCCAGCCAACGCATGATAATGCTTGTCCACTCTGAAAATCTGATATATGTTATCGTATTATGATTGTATTATTTTCCTATTATTGTTATTATTATACATATTTCTTATAATCCTATTTTATATAGATAAGGACCTTTAAATTGTACTAGCTTGCGGGAATTCTTTCCGTGAGCTACTAACCTCAATTGTCCTTATACAAAAACTCAAAAAAATACTAGAAATCTTTATAGCTTTATTGGTAATCCCCCAGATGTCTCCTTTTTATATTTCACATTTTCACATAGTGGATGACTATTTATTTATTGTCTCTGTCTCTCTTTTCGTGGCGCTCTTTAAAATTTTCTACCCCCTTCTGATAACCACATACAGCAAGAAATTCCGAGTGACCAAAACAATAAGACGTAACCATGCGTCACAAACAACAACAAAAAAAGAAGCATAATTTGTTAAAATCACTCTAATCTTACTATTCTTTTGTTAGAGATTAAATTTATGTGAATAAAAATCCATGTTAGAGACGAATTGTGGTGATGTGTGGTTTTGCCGATGCCATGGCAACAGTTGGCGAGGGCTCTTCGACTCACTTTCATATTTATACTACTGCTATTGGCCGCCGCAAAGGAAATTCGTTGGTGTGCCATTGTCTTGAACTTGATGCCGCGTGATAGTTATTCTTCTATTCAGCATATTTCTTCGCTATTGTCCAATTCGCCGGTGTTTCAACCACTTCGGGTAAATGACGCTATTTATTGAATATTTATGACGTTATTTAATTCCTTGTGAAGTTGTTTTAGTTATGGGGGATTTAATTTACTCTCAGTTAAATGGTTTGAAGACTTGAAGCTGTGAATGGTTATAAATACTTCCGAGATTACACCGCGGCCGCGGTCAAAACATTGTTCGCGCGAGCCGAGGCTCGGCCAACGATTTTTTGTCATATGTTTGCGAGAAATCGAAATTATCTATCAATCAATATTATTTTAATTATTTTAATAATTTTTCAAATATTAATTTTAATGTCTGAACTTATGAAAAACTCATTTTTAGGAATGCATCAGAGCTGCGGTTAAATCTGCCTTAAATGGCAATTATTTGTGTGAAAAATCGCTTAGTGACGAAGGTCCGTTTTTCTGAATATGTTATAAATAATTTAAAAACGAATTTCAGAAGCTTTTATTCATAGCTTAATCTGCGATTGGCTGGAAGTGAATGGATATTATATTGCAAGTCTCGCAATGAAACACGAATTAAAGAATGTATTAATTGTTTATGAAATTACGGAATTTTATGGAAATTTTTTAAGAAAAACTCTTATGTTGACGGAGAGAAAGTTGAATTAGGTTTGTTGAAAAACGCATTAGCCAGTATTAAAGTTCCGCCGCAAATCAATCGATGTGCAAATGAAAACAAAATTTTCAAAGCTGTCAATGAGCCCGAAGGGAAAGTAAAAATTGTGAATAATTTTAACCTCGAATCGAGTATGGAAGACAGGATAAAATTAGAAAGGCAAAGGGTACGTTTTCTTTTTTTTTGTTCTTAATTGTTTATTAATATAACAGAGGGAAAAAGTGGAGAAAGCGCAAAAAGATAAGGAGGAGGAGGAAGAGAAACGAATCGAGGAAAAATCGCAAGATCAGGAAGACGACGACGATGATTCCAGTAGTTCATCCTCCAGCAGCTCGTAATATTTATACATTAACACAATCCTGATCGAAGTTAAATTCACCTAAAATTTCAAAATAAGATTTCTCTAAAAATTTTGGCATCTGCGTCGTTGGTACCAATTTTATCTGCCGGACCAGACACAGAAGTGAGATTAGTTTTTCTTTTCAGAAATTCTTCCTCGTCTACGGGAACCACATCCTCTTCATCGACTTCCGAAGATAGACCAACGACTACAAATTGGAAACCATCAACAGAGAATTTAAAAACCGACACCTTAGAAAAGTTTCGAATTTTGAAACGTTTTTAATTTTACAATTGAAAATTGCAGAGAAAGTTCATCAACTCTTCCAATAATTAATCCAACCATTACCGAAGAGTTTCCCAAGTTCAGTGTAGAGGAAGAGAAAACAAAAGAATCAGATGGTAAAACGAATGTATGTAGGAATGAACCAATTATTAATTTAGGCGATATCATCGAAGAACTTGACGAATTTGATACTGGTTTGCTGTCATCCGGAAGATCAGAATTTTCGTTTTAAGTCATATTTATTCGTGTAGAGCGATAGCGCCGCCAAATAATATACGCGATGAGTTATCTTCCATTGTCCTCTGAGCATTAATCGAAAATTTCTTAACGGAATTATTTGTACATTTTTTATCCTGTCGTAGTTTATGAAATATTACCTCAAACTTCTCAAGCTCCGTTTTTATTGAAATTTTAAATTCGTTAATTTCGTCGAAGAAATCAGATATGACCAGAAATGAAACGATTAGCAATAAAAAAGAAAATATTAAAGTGCATCCATATAAAGAATAAATCATTATGGATGGAATACTGTAGTACAAACAAATGAGAATGAATTGTGAGATTGTCGATTAAGTACAGTTTTTGTTTAAAAAAACCGGAATTCGTATATTTAGTCTAGTTTTGATTAATGTCATTTGATCGAATAGAAAACTGTGTCAAACCATTCAAACATATAGTGCGTGTTTTTTTTTAACGAGTGGAAAAATAATAATAACTATAAAAACGAACAATAACGAAAGACTTATAGCTCTGCTTGGTACAGTGTGTCGATTAGCCTGACTCGATCCCCATGAAGGAGGACCGAGTCAGTTGATCTCCTTCGCCACGTAGAGGCTCGACACTTGAAGGAGAGGCTCACCAGCATCAGGCCGAAGCCTGATGTGGGTCATCGCCGATCCCACCTTGGGGATCACCCAAGGACATCCCACAACTATCATCCGAGGATAATAGAAGTAGAAGTGGTTGGGCAAGCCACGTCTGGCTGGGCCCCGGGTCTACTGGTGATATGGTAATGTGGTTTTTGTGTTCATAGCATAGCAGCTTACTACTAAGTAGTAGCAAGCCACTACAAAGTAGCAAGCTACCATGCTAAGAAGCACGGTCCATGTGCACCCGAAAGGCTGGACATATTGACATAGCTGGCCAATCCACGTCAATATAGGTCTGGGCCAGATGACATCCTGACTAGTATGGAGGACACCCGGTGAAGCAAATTTCTAAAGCATAACCATCCATAACGCCCTCCAAGCACTCGAGAGTACTTGAAACGGGGGCGTTTGGGTAGGGTTCGATTCCCGGCTACGGAATCAGGGCTGAAAGGCTTGCCAGGCCAATCACCCGAGTTTAGGATACAGCGGATAAGCCGCCATCCAGCCAACGCCTCGGCACTACGTGGGATCAGGAAGCCTTGGCGTTTGGGGGAATGGCCGACTACGGCCCTAATATAGCCGACTAGGGCGGATTAAATAGAAGAGGGGTCCTTAGTATGGCTAATGCTTAATAGTGGAGGGAGGGGGAAAATTAGTTGTGGTGGTGAATCGATTCACCGGCAGGGTTCTTCCATCGGCGGCGGCAGCGACGATACCTAAATACCTAAAAACCTGAAAACTTGAAGTAAAACAATAATACAATACGGAAGGGGGGAAGCCAATCATTAGTGGAATGACTGGCATGGCCGTAAGTGGTACGACGCTTTCCCCGAAAAAGAAGTGACGGTCCCAAACGGTAGGACCGGAAAGAAGAGGGGGAGGCCGTAAGTGGTACGACCGGTAAAGGTGAATAAAAATAATAAAAAAATAATAAAAAGTAATAAAAAAATTAGGCCCGGGCCAAAAATTACCACATACCCCACGTGATTGTCCTTCCTCGTCGCTTCTTCGAGACGGCGCCTTCGATTCGATCCATTCGATTCAAGATGCCTGAAATGATCCGAGTTATTCTGATAGACTGTGCCTCCTTCTTTACCTTTTGAATCCGCTTCCTCTTTCGCCATTCCCCATTCTTGCTCCTCTTCACGTGATACGTCTACTCATGCAATGTGGGTTTAACGTCGGCCTGGACGCGACACTGCAGTAGGGTTAGTACTGGCTAACGGAGTCACACCAGTCGAGAATCCCCGACACTTTCAACATAGCACATCGGAAGAGCTCGAATGAGCAACGACTGTGGCTCTCATCGGATCTGCAATACGAGGAATTGAGAAGAAGGATTGCGATGAACGTGACATACCGTGTGGATCCTTGGCCATGACAAGTCCGCCAAGATATGCGGGGGCACGTGGAGCCCGCAGGTTGTGCGGGACACGCGGAGCCCGCAAGATAGGCGGGCTTCCCGCAACTCGAGGAGCTGCGAGAACTGACGGAATTGCGCATCCGCCGGCCTTTTATAGTGCCACTGGGGGTCGGTGCACAACGTGCAATAGAGCGCGTTTGTCGAAGCGAACTGCAAATTGACGCCAAGTCATCGCAGATTCTCTCAAGTTAGCACACTCTCTGATCACAGACGGTGACGCGCTTTCCCGATCGACGGTGATAATGCAGTAGAGCGCAATTGCCTCATGAAAAAAAACATTTGAGGGTTTTGAAATGCAAATTCCTGGCTACAATGCATAATTTTGATGTGTGAAAACAACGAATTATATATTAATATCAAGGATGAATTTAGAAAATTTAAGTAAAAAATTCCGGTAGTTTCAAAACGAATTACCTGTGACAAATCTAGTAATTAAATTTAAATCATTACCAAAATTCAATTTTTCCTATTTATTAGTTCTTTCTAGATTCCTTGAATTCAATTCTTCTAAATTAATGAACCCCCTGAAATAGGAGAAGATTTCAATGGAAAAATTGGAAATTTTTGACCATCGAGAACTTTTTGCTGAATTCTTCATACGACATTTATCACAATTCGATCGTCATTGGCATACTGTAATACAGGCGGCAATTATACATTACTGTAGATGATCTGCTCAGACACAATCAAAATCTGCGAAACACACCGAACATTTTTTCTGCAATTGTAATATAAATAATAAAAAAATTATTTATGTGTGCTTGTTAGAATAAAAAAATAATAATATCATATGAGCTCTTTGAATAATAAAACCTTCAACACTTTACCCATACACTTTATGAAAAAAAATTATAATCAAAAGTCGGAAAAAATTAACCTATAAAATGTAAAGCTGTCAGCAAAAGAAAAAATTTCAAATTATCAAAACGTTTCGAAGCGATGGGAAAATGTCGGCGCAGTGTTGCTGCGATTTCCGTTAGCCTGCGCACATCCTTCAGCAATTTTCTCATTAAGATTCGCTGGTCCACAGCTGAACACTCCGATCTCGTTTTGCTGAAACGTGTGTTGTTTTCTAAAACCTAAAAAAAATCCTCACATTTCCGTGTCGGTCTTGTACGAATCTGAAGAATTCCTTGAAATTCGGACGACCGAAATGATTTTGGGCGTGTAGACCGGTGAACATTGAAACTCCTTCATGGGATTCTCGGAAGTGCTTCTCACAAATATATAACATTGAGGTTCTCAAGTCGAATTTGTGGAAGACTTGAGTTATGAAAATGTGGGTTTCCAAAATATTCTTTGCATCTTGCTCTTCGATATTCTTGAGACAGTCGACAAACCACTCGTAGTTTTTATGAGTGGGGCACACCCATAGGAAATACACCTTCTTACAGCGAACTGTATTATAGCCGTCGCTTGATGTTAACTTGACAAGGTCGAGAAGCGTTGATGCGTATGGGGTGACGCCAATTCCGCCACCAACCATCACAGCAACTTCGTAATTCATCCATTCCTGATTTCCATCGCCGTAAGGACCTTGAAGATGTATCAGTGGGTAAATTGGCTCGACTTCAGCTTGGGCTCGTTGGATCTCTGCTCTTAATTTCCATGTCCATGGTCCCACTGCTTTGATATAAAGCTTCATCGTTGATTCTTGTGGTGAGGAAGCAATAGAAAATGCGTGACTTTCATTGAACGTGCACGAAATTGCCGGCGATGAAATTCGAACCCACTGTCCCGATTTGTATTCGAAGGTTCGCGGTCGGCGGAACTCAATGTAAATTATATCTAAATTTTTTTTCCAAATTCACATCACGTTGGCTCAAGTTACCTGAGGGCAGAATAGCAGCGTCAATGATTTCAAGCCTTTTATAGAACTTTGTTTTTCCAATTATCCAATCAAGAACGAAGCAGATAACTGGTCCAATGACAAAATAAAAAAACTTGGGAGACTGAAAGAAAATATTTAAAAATCATGTTAGGATCATTGTAGTATTACATCAAGCAATTTAGGAAGTCCATGGAGAAAAGTGAGTGCGTAAAAGGCAATGTTGAGCAAATGGGTAAGTCGAAAAGCACGATACGCCCGTCGAATGAAGGCGGGTAACGCAAAAACATATATAATACACATAACAGCAACTAAAGCGATTCCCGTCAAACCAGTTATTGTTTGGAAAAACCAATAACTAATTGAAGGAAGGAAGTTGGATCTGAATGTTTTCAATTGTGAAAAACAACTGAAATTGAAATTCCTACCCAAACACAGCTTCCTGGAACAAGCAGTTCAATCCTTCCTGACTTTGAGTTCCAACATGATAGAAGTTGACACAATGCCCAACGGTATGGACGATTGCCCAAAATGAAGTGAACAAGGCGACGATTTTGTGAAACCCGATGGCCGAGTCAAACGGAATATACTGTGCAATGATGGTTTCTCGAAGTATGGTGATTATATTTCGGCAAACAGTGAGAAGAATCAAAGCCATGCAGAATGACAACGCTCCGGCCGCTCCGCGTGTTATCGCTATTCCAACACCCATAACACGTCTCAAATCACGGTGCTCGGTCATATAACGATAATCTGAAATAATTGATGAATTTGATGTCTTCAATATGGTAACTTACGCCAAAATCTCTCAAAGAATACTATTATATTGAGGCACACAAATATGGAAACGATGAAGGTATGTTGGCGATAGGTTTCCAGGAACGCGAGGACTCTTGATAGGAATTTTTTGGGCGTGCTGATCATTGGCGAGTTATCAACAACCGCAAACGAACTAATAGATGACGTTCTGAAATATGATTGTTATAATAAATTGTAAAAGATTTGACTTGCTCCGGTTGATTTCTGTTCCTCGCTCCACGATCATTTACTGGAGCTCCGAATCTTCGAGAATCAACATTCGCAAAAATCGCTTCAAACTCGTCGAACGTTAAGTAATCTGCTTCTCGTGACACTAAAATTTTTAAATATATAAATATAAAAATACATTTCAGAAGAAACCTGCTCTCGACATGACTTGATCGAAGAGTTTCTTCTGACTTCCATCATCGAGCATAACACCAGCGGCTTTGTTCAATGATCGGACGACATCCGTCAAATCCTTGCGCAAAACACGATTCGTACCTTCCAAATCACACATTTTGTACAGTAATCTCAGTTTCTCCTTCATGGGCGATTTATCGAATTTGTGCAAAATGGCGAAGAACTCGTTGAAATTAATGGTTTCCTCGTTTTGCTTGGCACACAAGGCGAACATTCGCGACACAAACAAATCGTCTTCACGCATTCCGATCGCATTGGCAAGTTCGGCTCTGCTTAGCGATTCAACACAATCCTCGGATCCAGTGGACGCCAAGCTTTCTTCGTCATCATTAGTGAACTCAGTAGTATTGAATACTTTAGCGTATCCTTTTCGGAAGACCGCCTGCAATTGATCCTGCCTTCGCTCCTTTGTCGTAGCATTTTCAAGAAGTTCCTAAATTGGCATTTTTTTAAAAATTGTTGTAGTTAAAAATACCCTACCATATTTGGTTTCGATTCAACATTCAAATTGCTTCCAACGCTGGCGGCGGCTTCTCGAAGTTTCGTGATAAATTGGCTCAAGTCAATGTCAGAATGCAGACGAATAACCTAAAATTACAATTAATTTAGATCAACGTGTGGTCCTTTATACCAGATCATTGTTTTTTGATTGGGAAACTAGCAGATATGGTCCGTGCATTGTTGACGCTCTTGGCTCTGAGTGCTTCAAATCAATGACAACATTCTCTTTGAGCCGAATTTTTCGCAAAATTCCACCACGTGGCTTTTTTACAGTAATCGTAGAGTTTTCGATTTCGACTCGAACTTGCCGTATGTGTTCTTCTTGTAGCCATTCGAGAGCTTAACCTTTTTGATTGTTCAACTAAATTAGATCTCAGAATCACCATTCACACTGTAAATATCTATGCTGTTTTTTGGCTCGTCGATTGTCGGAAATATTGCTGTCAGGTCGTCATAAGCAGCATTATGCCCGATACTACAACGACGCACGACTAGATATCGACCGATCCCGAAGCAAACTAAAGATCTCAACGGCTGATGTCACAAAGAAAAATGATAAAATCTCACTTAAAGGCACACATGCTAACCCAATGAGAGTAAAAATATAAGTGACATCATTGTCGGACCAGTAGGTAGATTCCATAAACGGAACGCATGTTTCCAATCCGGTCGTATTTACTTGGAACGGTTGTGGGCACGGATCACCATCTTTGAAAAAAAACACCTAAAAATTTGAATAAATGTATTTGAAAAAGGCAGCTCATACGTCTTTCTGGAGCATGTTTTCCGATATGTCTGTGGTCGCTTTGATGATGTCACGAAGGGTCACATTTCTTATTTCCGCAATTTCTTCATCGGTGAAGATGCCATTGACACGATTCTCAAACCAGAATCGATCGCCGTCTCGAATTCTCTCGAATTGATCCTTGATTATATGAATGAAAAGCTCGCCAGGACCATTTTCCCCGCCTTCTAACATTCTTAAATATTTCTTTTAAACATCTTTTCTGATAAAAAATTTCAATCAAAATTACCCGCCAATGTAGGCATCGAGATGACCAATATCACCACCATAGAGGTTTTTAAGTTTTTCGAACATTTCCTTATGCTTCGCATAAAACTCGCTATTTATTGTTTCCCAAGTTCTTGGAGCAAGGCCAAATGTTCTTCGCAGCACATTATACGGCGGGAGCCCGTTGTCTCGTCCTGCAAATATCAAACTACATTGTTTTTGCATATTTCTTTACCTCTCATAATCGATGAAGAGACCACATCAAGTCTCGAAAAATGCATTGGTCCAAAAATATAGTCTCTCAGGTCCTCAACCACAATATTATCATCTCTTTCAGCAATCTGCGACGCCATTCCGAGCACGATTTCATCAACACTGTATTCGCTAACGATATCCTGAGCATTCCACCTTTAAACATGTATGTATCAAAATGAAAAAAAAAACCTAGAAGCAAACCAATTTTGGCACAATCTCAAAGCCGGATATCCGCCAACTTCCGTTCGGAACTCGCATTTGGCTCCTCGTTTTCTCAACAACATTGCCGGAGGAACAATTGAATGGGGAAATCGGAAGGCGGCGGCGGCGAACGCGTGCGATATGCCAGGTGGCACGTGGGGCATGTATTTCGTATATTTCGGCAATTCGACTCCTCCAAGAAGGGCTGGCAGAAAATCATAAGCGATAATCTTTTGAAGTGTCGCAATCACGTAACGCCGAGCCGCCTGGAAAATTTGTTCGTCTGTCCAATCTGGATGCTCGCGATTGATTCTGTCGGCGTTGGCGTTGTGCCAGCGGAACAAAATGAGTCCGAATGAAAGAAGGCCGGGATTTTCGTTGACTCGCGAATCACCAAGCACTATAACATAAAAACGTTAAAGGAATTGTTTAAAAAGAAAGACATACTGAATAGTCTGTCAGGACTCATAAGACGATGAACCTGTGGTGGAGCAGGGTTATTAAGCGGAATGTGATGGTTGTTTAGTGGCGGATAGCCAGGAATTCCTTCCATAAGTCTTCCATTCTTAAAAGCTCTCAACGAGTTTACCCAAGGCTCTGTTGTACCATAAAGGAAAGAACCGTCAAGCCATGATGTCCTTTCATTAATCTAAACGCAACGAATAAAAATCAAATAAGCTAACAGATTTTTTATACTTGTTCCCTGGGTGAGTTCAATCCGTTGCCAGTGCTCTTGTCATACTTGGCTCGTGTAAATGGTATCTCTGTTTTCCCTTCGCAATGCTTGTCAAAAACTTCATCACATTTCGGGACAGGAATATTTAGTACTTCCAGAGGGCAACTCACACCGTTTGATTGCATGATCTCATAGGCAACCACTTGGCCTAAATTTGGATTTTTAAATTTCGTCTTATAAATAAAAGCTACTGAAGAATGCAAGGAGAGTGGTGACATTCCTCGTATTCGGAATTCCAGCTTCCCCTTTGAACAATAGATCTGAAAGAACTCTGGCAGATGGAAGGGTGTTGTTGATTGCATAAACGCCGTCGGGGTAATTAGATGGTGCATCTCTATGTAACCTGCTACCTAAGAAAACCACATTGAAACACATTGTACATATTCATTTTGGCGAAACCTGCTGAACCCCATTCACTATTCGCTAGGTTATTATACCATCCATCATATCGTTGAAATTCTTCATTCTGATGAATACCTGAACAAACAGAGTTGTTGGTTGATTTTCTGTCCGACTTTATTGTTTCATTTTCCAGTTCAAGAAATGTCCGGTACGGTTGGTAAACATTATTTGGAAGAATTGCGACACCTCGCCTACGTGCCCGAGGTGCAAAAATTTCAATCATTTTGAGCACACAGATTTGCTAGTTCAATTGTTTGTTTTGAATCGTAGAGCAAAAAATTGCACAGGAAAATTTGAATTTGGCACGATTGACTTCAACATCAAGAATTTTTCTCGATTTTTCGATAAAATCTTTTCTTCTCACATTGAAACTTTCAATGACCTTCGACCGAACATCTGTCAGTCGGAAAACTTTGAACAACGCAATAAAAGTCAATAGTGGCTAGTCCATAAAAATTTTACCACTTCATTAGATTCGGTCTAATAAATTATTTTCAACCTGTCTTTCTTTTTTAATATTTTTTCCTAAATTTTTTTGAAACTTACCAACAGAAAATTGAAATATACAAAATATGTACAGTATAGAGCGCATTGCGCCCTGTGGAGTGAGACAGTCTGAAATATTTTAAAGTATTTTTAGAAAAAAATATTTCGAACTGTTTGCAGACATCAAAACAGATGGCTTATGCGGTATATTCGTACCGTAAAATAAACAAACAAGTAAACAAGCGTATGAAATAATTGAAGTAGATAAGAAAAAAGTGAAGGAATGTAATCGAGGAGGTGATTTGTTTTGGGGTTGGTTTCGAATTGCGAAGCGCTGCAGCGAATGACGGCGAAGAGTGTATACGGTGAGGAGAAGTGCGCGAAATTAGTTGGCCGTTCGCCGGAGAGCGCAGACATTCCCGGAAGGGACAAAGAATCGGTGGGCGAGACAACAATGCCTGGGCCCGGAAATTTTTCAAATTCTCGGTTCAAACGAAAAATGGTTGTTCGTGGGAGGGAAATTGGTACAGGCAAAGGTGACGTTCATTACTGACATTTCAAAAATTCGCTTTTAATTACTGCAGCTACCCGAAAATATATGAGAATTGTGACGGCCCCATTTATTGGTTCAAAGTTTAATTGGCTAAATCTTTTTGAAAATAATCAACAAAACTGAGCAATTCATAGAATAACAAGCATTAAAGGAAGTGGAGTAGAGAAAAACAAGTCACAAAAATACCAATGCTGATAACAGATTTAAAGCGGAAGTATCTAAAAATGATCGAATTATATGATCGCAATAGAATCGCGAATAGATATGGAAGGGTCTGGTAATGAGTTTATGCATTGGAAATTAGTTTAAGCTTCACCCAGAACTATTTTCAGAAACTATATGAATGAAAAAAGAAACACAAAAATAATCAAAGACAAATCAATACGTTTGTGCTTTCATCAATTATTTGCACTCGGCGACTTCTTAGTGCCGCCGAAAGCGAGATATCACAAATTTGAGCGAACGATAATTTGGCAATGTTTGATGAAAAATACGGCACAAATGCGAGGCTAATTGACGAAAAGGACAAATGAATCGATAGTTTCTGATTGGCAGAAGACACTCATGCCACCGCGCAATACAATGTCTGCTGTTTGATGATGTCGTGCAATGGTGTGTAATATCGATTTGAAGCGCTTATATAATCCCGTCTTCATACCGTGGAACCGATAATAATGACTAATTCTTATTGTAACAATTTGAAATGTACGTTACAAGCTATTAATTTTATACGAACAATATAGAAATTTTCTAGGAATTTTTGGGGTAATTTCAAATTCATAAAAAATTAATATTATTAAAATGATATAGAAAACTCTTTATTGAAAGTATCTAGAATGACTAAATTGTAGAAGGCAATATAGAGACAGGTATGTCGGGAACAACAAAAATCAGATAAGGTTCAGGGCCAAATGAGGAATGTGCCGTGAAAGCAACAACAATATTCAGATATGTTAAATAAATACAGTTTGTACAATTATTAACCACCGGTTTGCATGCTCAACATGATGATACGCACTTTTCAACCAATGGCTGATCGCTTCCGTTCGTCACGGCCAGTTCTTTCTCCTCGAGCGGTCGCCTACTGGAAAATAATGAAAGGACAACCGGTAGGATAAATAAACCGTGTAGGAGACCTGCAAATTTCTTTTCAATTTTAATTTCAAAAATTTCTTACCAATGAAAACAACAAGGAATACCGTTTTAGCAAAACAGACTATTGTGTATGTCGGCACAAAGATTAAAGGAAGCATGCATAAAAATGTTGAAAGACCCGCCTTCAATTTAACAAATTAAAAATGGTTTTCAAAAAATGAGCATGTCGAAAAACCTCAAACATCGGCTCGGCCATTTCGGCCAAGCATGTATACACGCGATCATATGATGTTCCACGTGCTCGGAAATAGTTATAAGCGACATGCGCTGTGTAATCAACGGAAAATCCAGTGGCAAGGAGCACATCGACCTGAACAACCGGGTCCAAATCAGCTCCCCAAAACGATAGACCGCCGATGAGCACTGAAACCAAATCCGAATCGGGAAGAATTGATTTAATTACCAAAACAAATTGAAGCGATCACAGCCGTTATTACAGCGACAGCATTAATATTTGCAATGAATACAAAACACACTAAAGCCATACACACCACAGTAACTGCAATCGAACCGATCAAATCTTGCCCAACCTAAAAATCATGACTATTTTTATGGTGAGATTAATAATATTAATGTTTAATAATTTATGTTTTGACTAACAATCTGTTTCTACCAAAATCGCTTGGCGTATTGTTTCAAGCTTTATTTCGTTTTCAAAAATCTGTTTAGTTCAAATTGCAATTTTAGTGATCTCTTCGGCGAATAAATCAGTGGAAACGAATTTTCACTTTCAACAAATCGTTAACTAATTTTGAAAGAAACCGTGACAGAAAATCAGAACAAATTAGTGTTAAAAAAACAGTTTTTCTTTTTTTCTTTACGGCCAACTGCTGATATTTGTAGACGTTTCGAATATATTTTTTTAAATAAAAATATACTCTCGGCCTTGATATTGCGAAGGTCGTTTGACGAATAAAATGCATATAAAAATTTCAACTTGCCGATAAAATTATATTCAAAATTGCAGAATCGCAATCAAAAAGTGTAGCATTGAAACTGGGCTCTGACTGTAAGATGGTGCGAATATTTTGCATGGCCCGCGCACGCTCCGCCCATTCGGACATTCCTTTTCCGAGAAGCGTCATTCGAAACGCTTTCACTTCCAATGTTCCACTGAATATCGTAATTTACAAATGTTACGTTTAGAAGTTGCCAACTTCTCGTTTTTTTCAAATTTTGCAATTTTCGGATTTCCAATTTTCTCGATCCAAAATCGCAGGTTGTCATACGACGGTATGTAATCATCGGAAAATATGGAAAGAACCGAATGCACTGCTCGATCGAATTTTTCATATTGCGGCAAAAAAAGTAGGGTTCGATTATTTCCGTGAATTCCCGGGACATGCTCAAGTCGATTTATAAAGCGATAGAAATCGTGGTACTATTAACAAATATGATAATTGACATAGAGAAAATGAGTATTCAAACCTCATTCTCGTTTTCAATATCTGGCGGATTATTGATAACAACTGTAATAGGAAAGTATGTGTTAAACACAGGCCTGAAAAACGAGGAATCATAATTTTACAAAGAAGAATTGAGCTCTTACTTAATATCTCGGAGAGCTGTAACCAATTTGGAGTTCGATGGAAAAGCTTTCGCTGGTTCGAAACTCGTTCGCATTGTAACAACACCGTACGTTGTTAAGCCGTACATGACAACCAATAGAAATCCACAAAGAACACGACCTTGAAGAGAGCAAATGAATCGTGAGTACTAAAAAATCGAAATTTAAACTGGAGATATCCAATTGGTATACCTTCGCAAGGAAACTCTCGTGATCTCGGAGCTCTGGCTTCATCACAGGCGCATACGTCTTATCATTGCATAAAAATACGATTGGAGCGAATACAGTGTAAGTAAAAATGTAATCGAATAGTAAAGCTATTGAGGCGGTCAAGCAGAAAAGTGACATTTGAGGGGTTGGTGTGAAAAATCCAATGCCGAACGCAATTATGTTGGTTAGCGAAGTGATGGTAATTGAAGGACCTACATCCACAATGACATGCTCTAATCTTTTTGAACTAAATTGTTTTTTTTTGTTGCTAATCTTGAATAGTCAAATTTCTTACGTATCACTTATCGAAATATGATGCTTCCATCGATGAAGCAAAATGAATGCGTCGTCAACACCGATTCCAAGAACTAAGAATGGTGTAACACATTGTATTGGAAATGACGGAAGTCCAAGCCTTGAAATGAAATTGATTTTTTAATTAATATTTGAAAATTGACCTACCAGCAAATTGTGCCAAATGAGGCTATCGTTGCAACAATTGGAATAAGTAAGGCACTCGCAACCAAAAACGGGACCATTTTCGCTGATGACAGCCTTGCGATCACAATTATTACTTGAGTGAGCAGCAAGAAAAATCCTATTGTCATTAAAGTTGTAGCCTTTGAAAGCAATTGTGAAGTTATTCATCATTTAAAAAAAGTAAGAATTACCTCAATGGCTCCACGAATCATTTCGCGATTTGCTACGATATCGCTGAAAATTGTGAAGTCAATATGATTGAACGCGCTTGAATTTTTGCTTAAATCGAATAATTCATCAACAGCGTTCTGAAATTATTTTAAAACTGATGCCAAAATAATAATGATGAAACCTTGAACGCGACACCTCCTTCGGGAGTATCTGATCTTGAAAAATACCAAAGGACAACAGTTTTCGCACTAATAGGCATCAACTTGTTGCTAATATCTGGAATAATTTATGAAATTTCAAAATATGTATAGGTACTTACTAACTGTCGCCGGACTCACATGAAGACCCAAAAATACATCGAATCCATCAACACGAATATCAGGAAAATCAATTACAGTATTACTCGTTGAATTGGTTATTGCATCCATATTTTTCTTAAATATGTAGTTTGAGGAAACTTCATTTTAAATCCATACCACTAATAGATGAAACGGAGCATTTAGATTGCATAGTGGTTCACAATTCTGCCGACCATCTCCATCTAGTAATTTTACAGCATTCGTCAGACGGCTATCAATAAATGAGATCTAAATTTAAGCTTGTTTTTCTTGACTAACATCATAGTATATTTACTTCGGATAGTGCCTCCCTCGTTAAAACATTGGAGCCACCATTTTTTGCTGTGAACATGCAAAATGCTCTTTCAGGATATTGGTCAAGCTCATAAAATTGAAGCCATACATTAGTTTCGCTAAAAAGTGTATTCTCTTATTTGGCGAACTCGACAGTTTTTAATTCTCCTTCTTGTGTACTTTCGCATCGAAAAGGTACCACATAAACAAAAACTGATATTTTTTCATTAAATCCAGTTCTCAGCGACCATCTTGTTTTGAAGGCCAAGACCAAATAGCAATTTCGCTTTGATGTATAATCCAAAGAATAAGCAGAACTCACTAGGCTGAATCCGATTTTTCAGGCGAGAAAGATTTACGAATATCATGTTCCAGACGAATATTGACTAGTCCAGCACTAAGGGCAATGCATAATAAAATACTCACTGCAAAAATAAAATTAATTGTATCGTGCTTATAATCAACTAAAAACTCTTGCAATCATCCTACCACTGGATCTCCTTTTTTCTTTCTCGATTATTACAACTCATCAAAATTATAAAACGACACTAAAATGAAAATACAACGAAACGAGCATAACCAATTGCGGTTGTACTAGTTTGTAGCCTATATTGTCCTTTTATAGCGACCGGTCATCTAATCCGCAATTCGGATGGGGAAAACCTCGACGATAATTCAAAGGATCATTTGAAGTATTAATGTTTATATATCAAATTGAATGAAAATATCATGCAAGAATTGGTTCTACAAACCTTGCAAAGATCAGACGTTCGTGCTTAGCATTCGATTAAATATAATTAGATAGACAACAACGATTCAAAGAAAAACATTCAACAAAAATTAATATGAAATAGGTTCGAAATTTGTAATCTATAAAATCAAATAGACGTTTGTCGGATTTAATCGAATGTTTGAACTAAAATAATTGGAAATACTTACAAACGATTGATTGAACAGGATATGCGGCTAGTATTCGTGCTACTACAGCACTGATCGCATCCCATCCCATGCTAACCACACTCGAACAGTACCGCTGAAAATGCATCGAACGGTCAGCTGACGTCCAAAATGACGGCAAGGTAAAATACAAACACTTTTTGACGGGTCTACTACAACAACAAGTACTACTACTACTACTACTACTACTTATTCCCCTCTTCTTGGTTCCGGTACTGCGTTTGTTTGTCTGCCAATCCGGACGAAACACACACAAAACTGTAGGTAATTATAAATGGGAGCTTATGAGATCACATATGAATTAATGTTGGTAGGTCACGGAATTTGCGAATTTCCAAGCAAAAATAATGAAAACGTCCAAAGGAAATCAAATCTGTCACACTGAAAACCAGATATGACCGCTAAAATAATGCAAATGGGGGGGGAGAAACGATTTCTAATCTTCATGTGGATCTCATGTGTGTTTTCCTCTCATCTCTAGCGTCTCCAAGAAAACACCAAGAAGACAAGACAAAAAATGAAAAGAATTATGCGGGTGTACCGAACACATTCGACTAGAATTGAATACAATAGCCGACTGCAGAGCGTGCAGGCTGTGCGATTCCGACAGAAATCGAAAGCGGTCAAACGCCGACGGCAGCATCGACTCAAAACACACTAATAATAAGCAACAGACTTTCATATATTTTTTACTAAAAACAAAGTCGGGAAATAAAATAATTGACGTGCGATCTTTTAAACCATTATTCAAACAAATAAGAATACATAACTATACACTCAATAGATAAAGTAATAAGAATGAAATCCAAAACTGATCGGCGAACGCGAAATTCGTAGAAGTCTTGCTCTTGCATGTTGCCTCTATAAAACACGTCGACAATTTCTTTAACATTTAAGTACACTGCAAGGCCTAGGAATAATTTTGATCCTTGGATAACCCTGAATTTCAAAGGATATTTTCAAACATTAAAAAAATATTCTCACCAAATTAAATATCGAAGAAATGTGCGCTTCTCGATGATTCTGTCAAGTCGTTCTCTCGATTTTTGATACTGTACTACATTTTCAGCACTATTAATCCATTTTGACTAGAAAAAGTAAAATTCGAGAATTTTTTTCAAAGTCTACAATTCCCAAACCTCTGCTTTCATGTCATATGTAAAATTTCCAGTTTTTCCCAACTTTATCGAATAAACACTAATATCTTGTTGGAGTCGAACGTTACAAAATGCTTCTATCAGTTGCTTATTAAGTTTTTCAGGAATTCCAAGATCTCTATTCCGATTAATTTCATCCTGCAGTTCAGCGTCAACTGCATAATACTTTCGAGTTCGATTCGCAAACGGTACACGCCAAAGAGAATTCCAAACATATTCTAAACATCTTAAAAATAACAATGATAATGAAGACTTGTGCGTGAAAATCTCACTCATCAATTTCAACGTTCTCAACTCCCGTGTCGAATTCAGCAAATTTATTCATTTTCTCTTCTATATCGTCAATTTCTTGCTCAATAGCTCTTTCCATAGCAATCATCACTGCGTACAACACAATTGCCAACAAGAGCCGGCTCATATTTCAAAATTAATGTTCAAAAATGTTTCACGTGTATAAATTTATTTAGCTGAGAGCAATAAAAGAAAGAATATTATATATTAACTTTGTCCGTCTTGTACCAGTTCACCAATTTCTTCTCTAGATACTCCTTAAAAAATGATTAATCGATTAATGTTAGGAATTATTTCGAGATTCACCTGTGACATCACAAAATTCTGCTAGTGTTTCACACTTCATTTCATTGTCATCGAAATCTTGGACAAATTTAATCGTTTTTGTAATCGTCTCTCGTATATTCTCGCGAAGCCATTCGACTCGATCATCACCAGTTATCTAGATAAAATATTCAAATAAAGATCAATCCAAAAAACTTACAGGAATAACTTTATTAAAATATCTATCTACGAACGCCCAAGTGAGCATTATTTCTCGCAACGCTTCCCATCGAGCTTCTCCAATATTCTGCTGCGCGTTGTTCAAAGCAGCTTTAAGAACCTTCAACAAAAAAATGAGATAAACCTAAACCATTTTAAAAGTTACATTGATTTTTTGTTCGTTCCAACTATCCAACGTTAGCTCAGTAAACAAAAATGAAACAAGCTTGAAGCAATGATTTGAAGATTGCAAATCTCCTTCAGCTTCTGGCAATGTAAGAGCAAGGAGATGCAGAATAGCAAGGTACTGCATATTCGATTCTCGTCCACCACCTTGCGATTGAGTCGAGAATGATCTAAACGAGAAAGTATATTTGGCACACAAATTCTCAAACCTCTTGTAAACAAAACGCTCAACCAATTGGCAAATGTCCAGGAAGAGGAATTGTCGAGTAATTCCTCCATTTACTTGTGCAATATGCTCATAATCCGTCAAATATCTTGAACAAATTCTGATATACATATTTTTTTTAATTCATAAGATACCGTTGTAACGCCGCATTCAACAATTCCTGAGTTGTTTCATTTGTCGCAATCGGCGTCAAAATATTACATTTCGCTCCAGCGTTGTGAAGCGAAGCTTTTGCCCATTCGTCGATATTTCGTCCTGCTCCAACCCGTCGAATTGCATTATTGTGGCATTCAATATGAACCATGACCATTTGTGACACCGAACAAAGCTTGAGATCCGGATCTGACGAGAACTGCGTTGTGGCAGCAAACGCGTAAACCGCCGATGCTCGAGAGCCTTTCAATACACTCTCACGACAAATGCAGCAGATGAATCCATCAGTTTCATCTTCGAGAGCTGGTTCATTCGTTATGTTCCTAGATGCCACCTTCACTTCGCCGCCTTTTCCAACTTGCATTCCCATTTTGCTAAGTTGTTTGTTGCGCATAGCCATCGCAAGCTGCCTCTTTTTCTGTTTCGTTTCCAAACGAACTGCCTCAATTTTTTTGGCCACATCGCGATCTTCCTTTAGCGCGTCCATCACATTTTCTGCAAGTGTTCCGATTGAATTCTCCGACGCCACCTGTTCGAGTCGATGAAGCAGTGGTAGCGATTTGGCAGCAATTGCAACCTGCGAAGGTTGATGATTTTTGGCCAAACCTTGAAGCAGCGTTAACATCTAAATATGAATATTAATTAAAATGATAATAATAAAACTATTGCTCTCACCATTTTTAGCGATGGCTTCATCAAGAACTGTTTCCAGTCATTTGATTCGGTTGGAGAGTAGAGAGGTGGATGATTCGACACCAGATAATCGCACGTCTGAACAGAATAATGAAATAACAAATATTTAAACCTCCAAAACCGTATTAACAACACCACTGTCCAATATTTTCTGTTTCAATGATTTTCCTCTTTCAGACGGCAAAATATTGGTTGAAATGGTTGCCAGCTGTTCGGCCATCCAGGTACTATCCTCTCGGATTAACACACTCCTAAAAGAAAAACAAAACGATTAAAAATGTAACAATATTTATCAAACTCAGCGCGATCCAACGTAGACCAATCAAACACGTTTGGATATCTCTCGACAAGAACATTTTCTGCTGCATCTGATCCGAGAACAATGTTTCCAAAGCTAGATGCTATTGTTTCTAGCATCTGAACTCTTCGTCGCACTTCTTCTGCCGTCATTCCACTGTGAACCGACGTGCCTTAATGATATATATTGTGCAATAAAGAAACAAACTTTTTTATTAATACCATCTCTTTTTCTTATGTTAAACATATCGATTATCCATTTCGCATCCTTTTCCTCAATTCCAGAAAGATTTGAATGAACGTTTATATCGTTCACAATCAGTTCGGCGACTTTATAGAATTCCATCGCCAATACTGATTTCGATTCAGCATTCGTTTTATCATTCTCATCTTCAGTGCATAATTCTCGCATAACCTAAAAATTATATTATTGTTTCTTTGGAAAATATTCTTTTTATGGAAAAATCATACCCTTATTATTATTGGAATTGATTGACGCTCAACCAACGCCTTCCGACCTTCTGACGTCTTCACAATTCTGTCGAAAATCTTACGAAGCTGTGAGAGAAGGAACCTTTAAAAAAAACATAATTTCACAAAATGGTTTCTATTAAAACCTTCCGGATGAATTTGCTTGACTCGATGACAACAATTCTAATAATCGGTTCATGCCGCCACACTCAATAAGACAACGTGTACCATTGAGAATCGCAACGTTTTCCTCAGAGCCATCCGCAATAAAATTATTTAAAGGTATAAAGATATACAAAAAATACCGGCAGCATCATCACCGAACGATGAAATAAAACTTTCAACAGCATCGCCCATCAATCCACGCATTCTATACACAATTAGCATCGGTTGGCCGAAATTCATCCGCCTCCACATTTTCTCATACACCTGTCGGACAGGTAGTGACAACGATATGATATTATTGTTAACAAGAAGCTGAAAATCAGAAAAAGAATTATGGAAAAAAAACTATCAGAAATATGCCTCCATTCCATTATCATCCTCCATCAACGCGATCATTTCAGTATCTCGACAAATCTTATTCTTTATATCTCTCATAAGCGGTCCCATTCCAGGATCACTCGACTAAAAATTACGAATATATAAATTTGAAGTAGTAGAACTATCACCAACCTTGTATGGATTTCCACTCATTCTACCTTGCAGGAAGTCTTCCTGTGCAGCGTCTTTTTCAATTTGAATAAAGAAATCTTCTTCCGCTTTTTGCTGTGGATCCATTATCTCAAGCATCACCGAAACAACATGACCCTGGGCAGAAAGCAATTCAACTATTTTTTAATCGAAATTCATTCTTACTTGTGTATTCGTGTCAGTCATTGAATTAAGTGAAGTAACACACGCCTTCATGAGTTTCGACCCATCGCGCCATGAAACCCGCCGAAGCAATTTTTCCAACGCTGCTCGAGATGCGTCAATAGCTCTTGTTCTTTGTGTGACCATTCGCTTCAGGAAAATTGTTGATTGCAACAAATAAATGAGTAAATCATCCGCAGCGGCCTTTAGCAAAATATTCTCGACGCAAGATCCAGAAAAGAGAAGACACAAAAGCTCGACATAACTTCGCATTTTAAAACCGAACATGCTATCCGTTTCCTTTTCAGAAATCGTGCTCAAGTTCATCGCCTTGCATTCCTAAAGAAATACAAAAATTATTTACAAGCTTATATCTCATCAAACCGAATGAATTGCGCGAATCAACCAAATGTGAAGTTTCTCAATGAATAATCGAGTTTTTACGTTCGCCGATGCCCCAATGATATGGTGCGCTGCGTAGACAAACTGATCACAGAGAGCAGGTTGGACAGTTTTCATTTTTTCAAGATTATCGATCACCATTAGGCAAGCGACACCCTCATGACCCTTAGAAATCAATTTTTAAATCTAACAATTGAATTAATTCTTACCGGCTGACGCGATATATTAATAAGTAGACGATTAGCAGCAGCACGAACTGAAGCCCATGGTGAGAACAAACAATGAGCAATCCATATATACTTCGTGGTGTCAACAGGTTTCGGCGGCTGGAAATTCTTCGACGTCGTCGGCGGTAAATCGACGCAACAAGCATTCCACTCTTCTCCCGTTGTTAGCCATTTTGTCACATTTTTTCGCGTAGCGATCGAATAATTTGCGACTTTCACACGTGTTTCTCTTGTCGCCATCTTGAATGAAAAAATTGTTTTGAGATTGTAAGTCGACTAAAAAAACCTTATTTGTGTGCACATATTTTTCTTGGCGTCTTGCTGCCATTTTTCTGTAGACTTTCAACCGAATTGGCCGCGCATTTTCCAAAAATTTGTTCAGAAGCATTAATGTCTGAAGCGAAATATTCCGATCGTCATTCTCCATAGCGTACTGAAATAAACGATTACATTTTACAAAAATCATAATACGGTTTTAATACATACTCGAATAAGATATTTCATTTTCTGTTGCCAAGTGTTATCATTGATATGCCTCAAAGAGCGTGCGAAAACCTCAACATCTACTTTCTTTTCATCAATAAGCTTCTCGACCCTAAAATTCACAAATCTCTCCAATTTTATATAATATAAAAGCTCATGCCTTTTTGTTGCATCTTTGTTATCAATCATCATTCTTATAAGAGTCATTTCACATTCGTCTCTTATTGGCTCAAACTTTCGCGCCAATTCACTTATAACTTCAAGGGTTGGCATTCCCATCAATTGATATTGAACATTTTCGTCTTCACATGCAGCACCCATAAGGGATATCGCATGAATCACATTTGCAGAGAGACATCCAAAACACGTTGAGCTAAATTTAAGAACCGTGAAAGAACAATTCAACGAATAATATACTTGTTAGAATAACACTCTATTGAAGAGGGACTGTAGAGAACACTCGGTGTTTTTTTGGGGTTATCGTATCTTCTCAATTCATCGCGTAACGATAATAATTGTTGTGTCCTGGTTGCTAGTTCCTCATAGACTAATTTCAAGTTTGTCGACATTTGGAGAACAAGATGTACCGGAACCTAAAAATTAACAATACACGAAACATTTTTTCGCTGTAGACTAACTTGAAGATTATTCAACGATTGCGACGAGACACTGGTTGCTGTAAGATAATCTGCGACGTGTCCATTTTCGGCGTGAGTCGCAAACGGCGCAAGCGGCCTTCCCCGAAACCACAACGCTTCACAAAACGCCCTCAACACCGCCAATTTCGCCTTGCTATTCTCCATTCGAACCAAAAGCTTCGACATTTCTTCAACACTTTGAGCACGTTCATTATCACATGTTATGTTTTGGGTTCCCGGTAGTTGACGACACGAAACAAGACACTCAAGTCGTGCATATTTACAAAATCCACAGGATTGACAAAGGAATGGATCCTAGAATAATTCAATAAAAATATCCCTTGTCAGGTTGTTAACCTTGTCTACATAGTTTATCGCTCGACATTTGATACACTGGTATGCGTTCTCACCGCAGTTTTCGCAAACACCAGAAGCTGAACGTACAGGCAATGAACATCTAAAATTAAATTATGATGGTCAAATATTTCCGGACCACTTAAGCGTAATGCAATATAGTCGAACCAGTCATTTTTAGTGCCAAACTTGACAAATTTTAGTTGTTTGCAGTAGGAAAAATGACAAATTCGACAATTTTGCAAACACCGAAAAGTTCCATTATTCTTACAAACCTTGGACAATGGAGCTGACTGTTCGCTTGGGAGTCATAAACGTCGTTAAACTCGATTATAAGGGAAGATGTGACAACTGCAATCGGGAGATTCAAGGTGATCGTCTGCTCATTGGCGGGAACATTGACATGGGCGCATCTTCTCCAAAGTTCCTTGTTAAGTTTTAGTTCAACGATGTTGTCGACGGCTTTTGGTGAATAATACAATGTGACTTGTTTGAAAGATTTCGTTTTCTTGATCTCAGTAAGCTTGATAACGACTTTCGAAACCTCGTAATTGCTTGAAAGCTTATAGATCATAGCATTAGCGGAGTACTTCGCATCTTGCTTAATGGCATTCAACTTCTGCGTTTCCTGAGTTCCACGTCGATTGAAGCAAACCAAACATGGGTTGATGTCGCATAGCATAGCTTTCCAGCCGATTCCCAAGTCCATCATCTGTTTGAAAGTGCCAGTGTGTCCCAATTCATCAAATTTTCTGGCGATTTTTTCGATAATTTCCGCTTCCGTATCACAAATTTTTAGAAGTTCACCAGCATTGAGCAATCTTGGTCCATATACGCACATCAAATCGACAAGCTGCGCCGTATGATTTCCCCGATTTCTTGTCAGCGGATACACTTTGAAATACATGGCTCGCATAATCGCAACCTGATTCTGTCTAGATGCCAATTGAATCACAGTCCGAAGAAGACCGTGAACATGCCATCGAAGATTTTCATCGCTAGAAACGAGACACCGCAATATTAGTTTTTGAATCAATTCTCCATTTTCAGCTTCGATAATTCTAAAATTCCTTGATTTAATAGAGTTAGCTTATTTTTATATTTACCTGTCGGCTAAACCAACCATAGAGTTTCCAGCGGCAGTGCTATCTCGAACTGCGGTTATAATCAAGTCTAATATTGGGCACGAAATCGCATCAGCCGCATAGCAAACGAGATGGAGGAACCAGGCGATCTGTTCAGAACATATCTCTCGCCACATTTCAGGATGTTGAGCGGCTTGCGTTGTAATTGAACTAATAACGTCGACCAATTCGGTTAACTGCTGATGTCCTCCACAGTTCTTGCTTAAAATATATAAATGCATAAATATCATCGATTTGATAATGAACCTGTATTCAACATATTTCTTTAGTAAAGTTTCCGTATTGGTCTGCAATCGGAATTTATCGCGAAGCTGTCGGTAGATGTTTCGATCACCGTTGCACAAAATTGTCAATAGTTTTTTACAATACTTCAAAGCCGGAGCATCATTTGCGCTTGTCAACTAAACGCATTTCTTTTGATAAATCCGAATGTAGAAAATAATTCTCACCTCGCATAACTTCCGGTACCATTTCTCCTCAAACTTCAAATTGCAGAGCTTATAAAGAATAGCCGGGAATCGAAGTGCAGTTTCGGTCACTGCGGCAAGATACACTGTTTCAGCATCTCCTGAATAGTTATTTTCTTAGATGGCATTACGAAACAATTCTATAGCATACCACCATTAGTTTCATTGGCGAGTCTTGCTATCATGTTCGGATGAGGCTGCCAAAGACGTCCACCGTTCATATCAATCGCGGGAGGCGTAGGATTTGGTGCACGCTCTGAAAAAATCAAATAATATTTGAAAACTGAAAAAAATCACCCAGCCAATACGGAATAAGATGCACTATAATGTCAAAGCACATGTCAAGAATTCCCATCTCAATAAGTTTGTTGTTAAGTTCGCCGAGCAACTGATTTGTCTTCTTTTTATGGGAAGCATCTTCAAAAGCCGGAAGTAACAGCTCCTCGTCTTCGTCTGGATTACCATCAACTGAACTCCACCGTGAAATCAAGATATAGAGAAAACGGAAAAGCGCATAGTTGCTAAATGAAAATTGAAAAATTATATGAAAATATAATTGAAAAGTTTTACATGAAATTTTGTTCAGTGAGTGGCACAATGTGATCAACGTCAAACTTGAGAGTTGCAACAAGATTGTCAATATGTCGTCGCACTTGATTCGGGTGTAACTGTGCCATTGTCAGGATTGCAACCATAGTTAATCCATGAGATGGAGAATCAAGCATTCTAAAAATGTTAAAGTTGCATGGAAAAATAAATCACATACGGAATTCGAGGATGTGGCATTGCATTTACGGCTCCTTCGTTTTTCAGCTTCTCGATTATCATCTCGATGAACGGATCAATCCATGCGCATTCTAAAACAATTGTAATTCAGAAAAAAAAAACCGTTTTGGAAGATACCTTCTTCGTTGGAATGTGTTTCCAAGAAATTTGAAATGCTCACAGTCTTGTTAATTTGACGGAGCGGCTCAGAAATTGGCGAATTTCTAAAGAAATCTCAACATTATAATTCTGAAAAATATACTCGTCATACTCAAATATTCGCGATTTTCCAGTGAAGGTCAAACTTCCAACTTCGGAGAGAACAAAGTACGAATCTTGTTTGCCTTCATCGAAGAGTTTCTTGCACAAAAATCTGTCCTCCCGGCAAGTGTAACTATACTTGTATAGTGCAATTTGGCTGGCGGATCGAATATCATTGGACAAATGGAATGTCTAAAACACAACCAGATTAACATATTCAATTCTATACGGTTATACCTCTTCATCAGTAAACATATCGAAGTAAAACTTCGTGATCGCCTTTGATTCCGGCCCATTTTGCGAAATGAATCCAAATATCATTTCGCACATTCCCTGAAAATATCTGGAATGATGAATTATCAAACAAAAACCGCTTACAAGAGCAATTTCGCTGTATCTACCAGGTGGCATAGCGAGAAGTTCATCTCTCATCAATTTGACGAAATTGAGAAGAGAAGAAAAGTCTACAATGACAGTAATAACACGATCTGAATTCGTTTTAAAATAATACATTTCAGAATGTTCTTTTCGACAAGACTCCATCTTCTTTGCATTGCCAACAATCGAGAAACAAGCTTTTCAACATATTTGCGACGAACTTCTGCCATTCCTATAAAAATTTATAAAATCTTACGTAAATTGAATACAACGATGGTTTCACCTCTATTCGGCTCCCATTTTTGCAAAGCTTTCCACTCCTCCAAAAGACTTCCATCAACAATTTCAAACAGTTTGACGAGATCCTTGTTGTGAACTTTTCGTAAAAGACGCGTTGCAGCCAAGCACACCGAAGGATGGTTCACCTTACGCGACAAATTCGAAGCGGCAAACATTGACAATTTATTTTTCTGCGATTCGTCGCTAATCGAAACAAGTTGATTGCAAAGCTCGAAAAAGTTTGCAACAAGTCTATCAGGCATGTTTTGAACAGGTTTGAACATGTAACAGGGAACATTTTCCTCCATTAGCGCTCTCGCACATCCAAGAAGCTTCAAGGAGCGAATGGAAATGCATGTTTGGGTTCGTCTTCCGCAACATTCGATTCGAATTTCGCCATGATCCCTGAACGAAAAATATATTCGAACATCAAAAAATATGAACTCTTACAAGTTGAGTGACATCTCCCTTGTAAACCGCAAGTCGAAAAATCGCGGCGTTTCGGTAGCAACGAAGAACTTGTGGCCAGCAACAGAAACGGTAAACGGTCCGATGGGACCGTCCACTTCTAATCGAATTTGGCGAACGACCATTCCAGAAGTATTAACCTTCGCGATCAGAGTAAAACTATTCAAATGTGCCCCATAAAGCGGCATTGGTTCTGGTGAGTTCAGTCGGTTGTTAAGGTCGGTCGAATCATAGAACCATGAAAGCTCAGGGCTCAACCAGTAAACCTTTGAAATGACTTCACAGCCTTCAGTAAGCTGCAAATCGCATCACAATTACAAATAAGGATTAAAATAACGTCTAGTACCACTACTAAGTCTGCATCTTCAATTAATACTGGCTTATCTGCATCTTCTGCTGTTTCATACGTAACAACTTCACTTGGAATGTCATCAATCCATAAATCCGGGGCAGCTCTCCAAGAAGAAACATGAATCTCGAGCGTCGGCATTTCAGGGAACAAAACGAAAGAGTAAATAGCATCGTTTCGGGAGCTCGTCATCAAAAACTGCGTTAGAATATTTCGTTTCAGAAGCATTCTCTGAATAATCATCTCGTGCCGTGTCGGATGAATATAATAAATCAGCATATGTTGGCTCGATGAAATGCATGAAATGATGCCAGCCGTTTCTTTAAAGCAACAAACTGGTGTCGAGAGAATCATTCTATAAATGATTTGCTGTGGTTTGATAAAATATTTCAATTACTTTTTCCAAGTCCACGACGGTTCCACATTGTTGGAATTTTGGAAATTTTCAGGAACCTTCGCAAAGTAAGTTCCTTTTTCGTGAGATGCAAACAACAAGTCATAGGTTTCCGAATAGAAAATTGATCTGAATTAACGAAAACATTAATATGTATAACGAAAAATATCTTCTTACACTCCAGCTCCTGTCGACGACGATTGTGCATAAAGCGGATGAGGGACCAAATTTGTCAAAAAGATTGAATTGTTTTCAGCTGTTTTAGATTCGACTGTTTGAACGTATAGGTATCCTGTTGTGCTCAGTACGAATAGTGTTAATTGATTGGCCGGTTTCGACAACAATACAACATCTTCTACATTTCCGACGGGTAGCACCATTTCTTCCAAACACTTCTGATAGTGCAGTGTCAAATCGTATATTCTGACAAATTGATGAGTGGCGATTGCAATTATATTCAGCAATTCATTTCGACACCACGCAACTCGCACGATCGGATTGCTCGAATTTTGAGTTGGCTGCAGTTTCTCCAATTGGATGTGAGCACGCTCATTGATTATTCCCAGTTCATTGAATTTCAAAACGCAAACTTCTGTGTCGCTCGAAATTGCGACACGATTTCCATGCACTTCAAGACGCCTTGGAACAAATGGGAGACTTTCTGATTCCAATTTTACATGCGACATTCCATCCAACAAGCTGGGTCTCGTGTCAATATGATATATGTTGAGAATCGCTTGCGAAAATTCGTTCAAGATAAGCCACACCTCACCACCAGAATCTAAATTATTTTTTTGTAATTAAGAAAAAGGACAAATTCGCACCAAGTTTAATTACTCCAGCGATTTCTCTCAATTTAGAATTAGAGTTCGAAGATCCAGAATTTGTTGAACGCTCCAAGTGTATGTCATACCGCCGTGACGGAATGAATAGCATCGTATCATGAACGTATGGAAATTCCTCCATGAAGCTTGCATCAAAAACGAATTCTATTTTAGTAACGTCTTCTAAACATCGTAGATGCTCCTTGCGTTTCTCTTCGACCATTATACAGCTTTCATTGCCTTGGCCAATTGCCGTGATGACACTTGTTAAATCATCGCGATATTTATCAATTGCCATATTCAATTCGTTCTAAAAGAATGTAAGTTGCACTTACTAACGAAAGCTCTAAATTTAACCAATATTTTACGAATTTCCTTAAATGATTTCTCGTCAAATCCGTCGGTTCTCAATTCATATGGCACAGTTTCTCGTACTTTTGGTGTTAAAGTAGGAGCCTATAACAGAAAAATCTACAGTGTCACATTTTTTTGCGAATTCTTCATACCTTCTTCAGTGGGTATTGACCTCTCAGTGCGTTTGTGACATTCGGCGCGTGCGTCGCATCTCGCACAGAATTACAATCGGCTGAACCACAATCACAGAAAAATGATCCTTTTTTACTAAATAAAATTCGCAAATAAATGAATTCCAAAAATTTAATGAACCTATAAGATATGTCATGCCCACGGTGACAATTCACAGCGCAAACTGAGCACACTCCAGTTGTATCAACTCTACCACATGTGTGACAATTGTACCAATGTTGCATTATAAAACCTGCTGTTCAAGATATAGGAATATTGCTTTACAAATGGCTCATACTGGTTCCAGATTTTGCATAAGTACATTGAGCCTTTTCAGTTTCTTCATCTATCTTCTTCCCATCGTCCTCCTCAATTTTTGAAGTGACATTCAAAGACTTTCCCTAAAGATGAATTTTAATGAAAATTAAAAATTAATGTAAAACATTGTATGGATCATCTGTGATTGAAAAAAGCTGCTCGAAACCATCATCTTCGATTTGTTCATCCTTATTTGCCAACTGTGCCACTAATGAACAATATTCAAACAATTCACTTATTATCATCACTTTAATTGGCAGAGTTCGATCCTTAATTTCAGATAATCGTACACAATCGTCTATTAAAAATTACATCAAGAATCCTTCGATTTCCTGACAAAATTTGTTCACACTTAGCAACCGAGTGCACCATCGGCATCAATTCAATTAATTTTCTTAACATCTAAATTAAACACTTTTAATTCCAATCGTCCCTTATTTAGTTTTACCGCTTTATGAACCTTAATTCCTCCATACTTGCTGAGCACTGTAAACGCCTCTTTTACTATATTGGGGCATTTCGACTTTTGAAATTTGTCTGAAAACAAATTATATGATTTTTTTTTCTAAAGTTAGACTCTCTCTTTCTCACTTCTTCCATACAAATCCATATTCATTGCCGAATATCCTCTTCTATCGCTGTACTGGTAAAAATATCCGACGTAATCAAATATGGATTGAGCAGTATTTTCATTGATCACGACTTTCACAACTTCAACTAGCGCTTTTTCGATGTCTTTTTTCTTCGACTTTGCCATCTCGTTTGTGAATAAAACTTCAAATAATTCGTCGCACGCGGCCAAAAAGTTTATAGGGCACGAAGAACATTGAACCCATCCCGGAAGTAGGGAAATATTTGTAAGAAACAGATCAATCAATTTCCCATGAATGGTCATATTCGACTTTTCTAAAAAAAAAAAACACGTATGCTTATATTTCGCAAAATTGTGAAGTATTACCCTTGAAAAATTTGACATCACTCAAAAGTTCGCCGAGCTTTACTACCATCAAACTAGTAAACTCAGCACCTTTAATAGGCAATGCACATTCGGTCATCCAATACGTTATGTTCCCAACAAATCGGTTCAAGTCCTAAATAACTTTTATAAATCTTTAATTTGAAAAATTATCTATATGTACTCCTGGAAATTTTGCCATGATAGATCCCACAGGTTCGACATTAAGTTCTGGTAAAATTTCACGGAGCATATCCGTGTACACAACTGTGAAATAGTCAGATATACATCTAAAAAAAAAGAATGTCAAATTTAATAAATTAATGATTAAACAAACATATTATCGTATTCACTCGTATTTGGCACAATCGACGTAGAACCCATCAATAAGTAGTACATGACATGGGTGCGCTGATGTCGTTGCAAGTCTTGTTTTCCATACTTCTAAAAATATGTAAAGCTACAAAACATACACTTTCGCAGTCTTACTTCACTCAGAACTTCATTCGCTTCAGCTACAATACTCTCAAGGTAAGAAATACCTCCGCACGATACACCAACAGCCCAAGCAAAAATTTCATTATCATAGTTAGCCGGTTCTTCTGGTCTAAAAAACAAATTATTCAAAAGTCAAAATCAGAAAATCTTACAGTAGATGACACATTGAAATGAGATGGGCACTGGCTCCATTCAGAAAACTAAGAAGACGTTCATCGGCTTCTGTCAAGGCCGCAGCATCGCGGGCTACAATCAGCATTTATTAAATAGACGCTGACTTAATGGATACCTTTGATCGCCGTCGGTCTGTTGATTAATACGCGTTTTATATCAGGATCAATATCCCATCGTTCGGCGATCTCCCTTTTTCTCATGGTTAGGAAGCTCTGTAAAAAATAATTAAAATTCATTTATTCATTTCTAGACCTCGAGTATATCGGCTTCTGATCGTGGTAAGCGTTTCAGTAGCTCGCAGTTCCAAATTCGAGCCAGGCAAAACAAGGAATCTACTGTCATAAAACGGGCCTCCTCTCCAATGACGTAGGTTCTTGAAATATGCATAATGATAATAATAAAATAAAATGTAAATTCTTACAAATGCCTGAATACGATGGTGTTGCATAATGTAACAAGGGATGACACAAATTCCGATGAGGACAACAAATCAAAGTCTTTGAACCATTCGAAGAATAATTCAAGATTGTCCACAAAATCACGCCAGTCTCCCGATTCCATTATTATGTTCGAAAACCCGTTTAAAAGCTGCACACCTAATTCGCGAATGTGTTCAGGATTAGTAAACGCCTCGATTATTCCATTAATGTTCATAATGCCGTTGTAGAACATCTTCAAAAGTACATGAACGTAAATAATTTTCGTTTTAAAATTTTACCCTGATCTTTTGTTTTCCACCGCTCGTCATCAGCTCATTCAGCCGTCGGAATATGTATAAGAGTTCTTTGAGGTTAAGCTCGTTTGAAGTCATTTGTCGTAAACTCAGAACTTCAATTCTGTTGGGATCATTTTCAGCATCGCGCGCTTCATTATCCGCCACCTAAAAGATATTGTTCGAAAGTTGTTTGAAAAAATAAATTTCTTTCTGAAAAATCATATCCTAACTTTAAAAAATTACAGTACATTGGATTTTCTCGCCGCTACCCAGTTGAATTGCATTACCCAATGAACTTTTTATACGGTAAAAACATGTACTTTTTTTCATACTTTTTTTTTAGAAAAAAAGGTCGTTTACAAAAGCGAAATCATACAATTGCAGTAACTTCATCCCATTTGTCCTTTGAAACTTGGAGTGACGGAAAATCAATTTTGTTCGAATATGTCGAAAGAACTCCGCATAATAATTTTATGACGAATTCTTTGTGTTCTCTGTAATAATATCGTCACATTGATCAATGTTTTTCTTCAAATATACGTGAATTTTCCAAGGATATCCATCGATGTATGCACAATATGCAAAGCATCATCAATCGTAAGACTTTCAACCAAAATGCTTATCAGTTCACTTGACTCCTCGAACTTTCTTAAACAAAACACTGAATTGTGTAAAAATGAAAATAAAATTCCGAAATTACTTGGTAGTGACATCAACATCGACGCCGTCCGATGATTTTATAATTCCAAGAATATTGTCAATGAACATTTTTGCAACGCGTTGTCTGACCAAGGATTTCGTTGGAGCACTCAATACAACTGTCTTCAATTCTTTCATCTTGTTTTTCTCCACAAACTGTTCAGCAAGTTTAACCTGCAAAAATTTGTTAGTGAAATATTAAAATGAAATCAACTTGGCAATCATCCGAAAGCAGTTTTCTGTCGACCGCACTCTTATAAACACGTCTTATGCATTGGGCAACATCTTTTTCATTCGTATTGCGGAGCTGAAAATGAAACTAAAAGAAATAATTTCACACGCAATTACATCATGATGTTTCGTAGCTAATAATGAAATAACATTATCCGCCATTTTGCCCTTTGTAAGAACGTCAAGAATGAACATAATTGCCGACCGAGCCTATAAACTATATAATAAATTATCAAAATTTCGAAAACAAACCTTATTGATTTTTTCTTCGATTAATCGATTTTCTGCATCTTTTTTGTCTATCATCATGGGAATTTGCTCACAAATCGACTGAAGCCAACTGCCAGACTCGAAGTCGGAAACTAAAAAACCAATTATAAAACAACTTCTTGCCTAGAAATTCGTTTTTAGAAACTGATGTTTTCAATGTTTGCAAATAAGGCAAAGCATAGCATAAAATTTAATGTTTCGTTGTAGACATTTGTCTATTTGTTTCAAATATTTCGCTATTATTAGGCACAAAATTATAATGGCAGAAATGATAAAATAACGCAAAATAAGAAGAAACACCAACTACAGTTGCAACAACACCAATCTGATGGACTTGTCACCAATGGGTCTGGAAAATTTCAAAATTTTGTGAGATTCGGTAAAAATTTTGTGAGATTCTTAATATTACTGATGCAAGGAATTATTAACGAATTTTAAAGAACTCTTTTCATTTTCTATTAAATTCGACAAAAAATTTTTCCAGTCGTCAGGCAACAAGTCTAATCAAACACAACACCATGATTGAATTCAACAAACCCTCCGGTGATGCCAACGTCGCAGTCGTCACGACTGGATTTGGAATGTCGGACGGAGAAACGACTAAATAAAACAGAAATATTCGGGCAGCTAATTTCAACTTTTTATACTTTTTGATATTTTAGTCATTATTTTACAAGCAACTCACTGATTTCCAGTGGCATTTTCGAAATATCGCTCAGAAGCTGAGTGTTGTGCGAGTCCAAACATTTCCAGAGTGTTGGCTCCATAAACTCGCAAATTTCTTCGTATGGCGAATTTAGCCAGCCGCAAGTGTCCTCGAGAGTCTCCACACAACGTAAGTCAAAACTTCTCGAAATGCTCTTGAAACATTGTAAATGTTTAGTTTTACACCCGGTTTTAATATACCACATCTAAAAGTCGTCGAAGAGCTTTATAAACAATTTCTCGAAACTTCCGATCTTCCGCAATGTAAATCCAAGACTTCGACATAATCCGCTCAAAAACCATGAATGCAACTTCACAATTGACACTATTTTCCAGTTTAGAAACAGTTCTAAAAGAATAAGATTTTTTCGAATTAAATGTGCGTGTGTTTAATTACTCAATAAGCCTTGCAAGAGCAGATATGGTCAATTCTTCTGCTACGCATTTCGCATCAGGAATCATTGAAAATGAATCGAAAAGCTTATTGTCAACTAGTCGAAGAGCGTGATTTGAAGAACTTTCCGTGCTAAAATGATTTTCTATAGTTTTTTAAAGTTTTTTTTTTCTTACTATTGGATATTAAGATTATCCCAGTCCTCATTCTTCACGGCTTCCATTGTCTTATCAAGTTTAGCTTGCCATACTGCAGAGAAAATACGCCGAAGCATATCGTTATCAATTAAAATTTTCTCGCATATCATGTTCATTTGTTCACTTGTTTTAACAATTCGTCGTGATGAGCCAGTTTCATTGTCAGGAACAGGATGTTCCGGTTTGAATTGCTCAAGATTCACAGTGTTAACCTTTAAAGAGTACTCATTAACGAAGAGTTTAATACAAATGTACCATTTCCTTCCAATCTGGTTCAATTATTCCATCGAGAATCGCAGTGAGAATAGCCATCCAAACATCCTCGCAATAAACATGATTAGGAAACTGGGAAAGTCTTTCAACAAGAACTCGCAATGCACTGCAAACTACTCGTACATCTGTTAAACCATCTGGAATAAATACAAATTAATTTTTGCGCATACATTTTCCATACAATTTTTGACGGTTCTAATTCTGTAGATCAATGCACCGACTTGTTCGCTACTCAATTCAATATTCTGATTTTCGTCCAGAAATGTTGCTAAAGCTAATCCAGAATGGCGAATTGCTTCGTCCATTCTGAAATGAACGTATACCTTTTACTCGATGTATTTCTGAAAATAGTGTTATAAAATATTTCATTCAATGATATTAAGCAACACAAAAACAACATAAATTTTTTCGAAATTTAAAATATACCAAATGATTAACTATAATATACCAAATGATTAACTATATTTGCTTATAATTACACAATGAAGTAAATAAAAAGATCATTATGAAGGACAAAACTGAACTCGGCAAACTCATAATTTTAGATTGTGTTTTTTGTGTTCAATGACGATGAAACAATGACGTAAAAATAGGATAAAGAGTTCGTTTTCCCCCCAAATTAAAAAAAAAGAAAAACAGTGTAATCTGAATTTCGCCAAAACCGAAGGAAACCTTTGTTTCCCTCTATGAGTTTGCTAAGAAGAATCATTATATATTGATGGGCGGAGCCAAGCAAAAAACTATGCGGCATGACGACAAAAAGATGTGCCCACGCTTAGTTTTCGAATTTTACTTTCGAAATTATTTTCCTGTGATCAGTTTAACTTTATTGCTATTTATAATCCCGTTACTAATCGATTGTATGATTCCAATAAAATTTAAAATACAAATATGAATCATGAAATGAATCCTTTATTAATAATATATGAGTATTTGAAATTCAAAAAAACAATTAGGATAAACTTCGAAAATTGTTATGTTTTGCTCAATTCGTGGTCATTCTTGAAATAAACAGCTCTACGATATTTGTAAACACGTTAATACTATCAAATATTGGAATTATTTACTATTTAAGTGACAGTGAAGAAAAAAGTTCTAAATTGCAATGCAGCGAATGAGAAAAACATTTTTTTCCTTTCTGCATTGAACTCTACTCATTTTTTCTTTTTTAAAATTTTTTATTGCTCTTTAAGAATAAATTCATAATATTTTCAAAGTTATTCAAACAGATACGTAACCCAGTTTGTTTTTTTTTTCAACTTTTAATTAAAGGTGCATTTCAGATAAAAATGACCGAAAATGTTGCACCAACCATCGATGAAGTCGATTCTAAAATTGTTAAGCAACTTGAAGTTCGTTTTTTTGTATATTTCTGTCATTAATATGATTAAATTTAATTTTAGTATTATTTTGGCAATATTAATCTTCCAAGAGACAAGTTTCTCCAAGAACAATTGAAAGAAGATGAAGGATGTAAGCGAAAGTAAAATTAACAAGTTTTCTTTTTTTATTTCAGGGGTTCCGCTCACAACCATGTTGAAATTTAATCGACTCGCAGCTATCAGTTCTGATGTTGAAAAAATTGCAAACGCTGTTAAAAATTCGATGTCGGAAATCGTATCTATCTCCGAAGATAAACAAAAGATTAGACGAAATCCTGAAAATCCTCTTCCAGAGAACTCATTAGAGTATTGGCAAAAGATCAAACACAGAACAGTTTATATGGTTAGTACATTTTAACCTTAAAACTATTACTATAAAATTTTAGAAAGGATTCCCTCAAGATACCCAACTTGATGCTATAATGAGCTGGGCTAATAAATTCGGAGAAGTTGAAAATATTTTGATGCGCCGTGTTAAACCAGGCGACCGTACATTTAAGGTTATTTTAAACGTGAATATTTAAAATTAATGTTGCTTCTTTTTAGGGTAGTATCTTTGCTACTTACAAAACTAGGGAGGAAGCAGAAGTTGCCCAAAAATCTGAGGAGAAATTCAACGACATTGAGTTGGTGAAAATGATGCAGGACGACTATTGGACGTTAAAAAACAAAGAGACAAAGGTATTTCTACTTTGTAGCATATATGAATGCGATAAATTTATAGGAGGCGCGGGCTGCAAATAAAGCTGCAAAAGCTGCTAAGAATGCCAGTGAAAATGCTGAAAAGGATAAGGCTAAAGTACTAAAGATTTCCGTTATTTCTTGCAAAAATTTTTTTTTCAGAATGTTGCACGTTTCGATAAAGGACTCATTTTGTCTATTGATGGACTCGGCGATCAAGCGACCGTCGATACTATTAAAACTTTCTTTAAGGCCTATGGATCCGTCGGATATGTTGCGCATGAGAACGGCAGTACTACAGCAGAGATCAGATTCAACAACGACTCTGAAGGTGGAGCGCAGAGCGCCTGGGACAAGGCAGTTGCCGCTGGCCAGGATGGAAAAGTCATCTTCCAAGAAAAAGAAATTACTGCAAAGGTGCTAGAAGGAGAAGAAGAGGAAAAATATTGGACTGAGTTCAACACTCGAAAGAACAACAAGGCAGGTGGGCGCGGGGGGAAAGGTGGAAGAGGTCGCGGTCGAGGAGGACGTGGTGATCGTCGAGGCAAGCGCTTTGCTAAGGACGACTTGAATGAAGAACCCAAAGCGAAACGAACGGTGTTCGCTGATGGAGAGTAAAGACTAGATTGTTGTTTCACTATTTAATTGTTATCTGTTATTTTGTACCATTGTGTTGTTCCAATTCATTCATTTGTTTGAAGCAAAATTATCTTGTTATCCGTTGCTTCTGTTGGATAAATCCATTCGGAAAATAATTTATAAAAACATACACAATTTAAGAAGTTACTTCGTAACCTCGTGAATAGCTTTTGCCAAATAGTCAACATTTTGTGAGGTGATTCCGGCAATTGATATGCGGCCGTCCTTTGTCAAATAGATGGAATGATCCTTAATCAGTTTTGAAACTTGCTCCTCACTGATACCAGTGAAACAGAACATTCCAATCTGATTCGTTATATGTTCCCAATTTCGAGTTGATCCATGTTGAATAAGTCGATTTTTGAGTTCGGCACGCATGTTGATAATACGATCAGCCATTGATTTTACATCAGAAAGCCTATACCTTCTAATAATTTTGATAAATTCTGAATTGGAATACCATTGACTTTTCAATTTTTGATCCGAAAGTATTCTCTCTGCGATTCTTGCCCCATTTATAGGCGGATTCGAGTAGATGGGACGGATGATAATTTTGATTTGCGAGGCAACGCGACCCGCTTCTTCCGCATTTTCCGTGACAATTGAAAACGCACCGGTTCTTTCGCCTCAAAATGCAATATATTTAATTAAATACATGTTTTGAACTTTAATTATCTACCGTATAGACCCATATTCTTTGCGAACGATTGCGCTAGGAGCATATTATGACCCTGCTCAGCGAAATACCTCAAACATCAAAAACATTACATTTATGCGAGTTTTTTATTTCAAACCGAACTGCAAATGCGTCATTGTCAACACATCCCGAAGCAAATCCTTGGTAAGCCATGTCGAAAAACGGAAGAAGTTTTCGCTCCTTTACAATTCCAGAAATCTTTTTCCATTGATCCTTCTGAATTGAATTTCAATTTATATTAACCAAATAAATAGATGTACCGTTGGATCAACTCCAGTCGGATTATGGGCACACGCATGCAATAAGACGACGGATCCCTGTGGAATTTTCCCTAAATCTTCGAGAGCACCCTTTTCATCGAATCCACAAGATGCTTTGTCATAATATCTATAGGTTTTTACTTCAAAACCAGTATTCCTACAATAATTGAATAAAAAAAAACAATTTTTTAGACAAAAACAAACCTAAAAATTGGAATGTGGTTACCCCATGTCGGAGATGGCTGATAGATGGTTTTAATTTCATGATATTTAGCGAGAAATTCCGAACCAATACGCAATGCGCCCGTTCCAGAAATCGACTGGGTGGTGAAAATACGTTTCGATTTGATTATGTCACTTTCATCTCCAAAAGCGAGACGAGCAGCTTCGTTATTGAAATTGGTGATTCCTTCACATTTTCCGTTTAATGTTTTTAAAAAATTTTATTCGATTACCTGCAATAGTAGCGTATTCTTTATCAAGATTATCTCTAATCATCTGGGCTTCAGCAGATCGTACCGATGGAAGGACAAAGGGTCTTCCCTGAACTTGTTATCAATTGGATTTAATTCAATGAATTTACTTGATCGTCTCGATAAGCACCAACACCCAAATTAATCTTGTTTGGATTTTTATCAGCCTTGTAAGCTTCGGTAACCCCCAAAATAGCATCTGGTGGCCCCATAGGTACGTGAGACCACCATGATCTGAAATAGTAATCATAATTATAGCAAAATAATAAAAACCTACTTTTTCGCTAAGTTTGCCATTAAAATTCGTCTAGCAGACAACATCAAGACGAGGCTAAAATAATGTTCCGACAAAACTGTTTCGCGTTGTTTTATCGATTGATATTTCTTTTACAAAAGTAAACAATACAAAGAAACAACAAAAGTATGTAATTGAAGCAAAATTATTTTGCTCACTGAAGAAAAGCAATCATACAATTAGACGAATAAATTTATTAATTCGTTTGGGAATGTGCATAATCACAGTCATGCAAATTCATTAAAAAAAAGAACATCAAAATCAGCATGAAAGAATGGGGCCCACGAATCTATAATGTTGTAAAGTCATGTGAGAATCGAAACATTTGGCGATTCCAAGTAGATCAAAAGCGGATCAAATTACTTGTCTTTTCTAGACCTGATTATATAATAGTGAAGTATTTACAATTCTCAAGCTAGTTCATCTAACAGTCTTCACAACCTTAAAGCATTAGTTATTTGCAAAATTCACAATTACATATCGATTCTTCAATGGGATCAATAATTCGTCCAGGGAGAGCACAATTAATGCACCGTGGAACATCTGAAGAGGTAATAGACAAGCAACGAATACACATATGACAATCTTGACTGCTTGAAAGAGGAGGAGGTGGACCTTAGCGTAAAATTTTTTAAATGAAATTTTTTAAATCTTACGTGGTGGCGGAACGCAGGTAGGATGAACTTGTTTCAAACGATCCTCGAGTGTTTTAACTTCTCTTCTCAATTCTGATTCATCCTTCAAAAATTAACTTTTCGTACAAATATGAAGCTATATATAAAAAAATTATTGACCCCATGTTCACTTTTTTCCATAGTCGCTATTGTCGGCGTCAAACGACTTGACGAATATAAAAAAATTTTGGCTAATTGCCAGATTTCTCGACGATGTTATGATATACTGAAGGCCACGCCCCCATTAAGACGTTTGACGCCGACAATATGTTAACTTTTATCGTTCTTCTTTTTAAGCATAAATCTTACTCTCTCCATACATTCCCCAAATTTTTCTTGAAAAATAGCGCTTAATTCAGAGTTGTCGTTCAGAAGAACTTGGAGCTCTGAATTTTCTTCGCTAATTTTCTTTTTTATGGCGTCCAATTGAATGTTTTGTACTATAAAAATGCATTTAATATTGATATTTAAAATGTGTCGCTGTACCATGCTTTGTATTCTCAATTTCATTGAAATTAGGCCGAAGATAATCCGATTCATCATCAATTTCATTCAAATAGTCGTAGCCTGATCCGGCAGTTTCGTTACCAGCACCAATATCCAAAAACAATCCACCTAACTGAGGAGTCGGACCAGTAGAAATTCCATTCAAAGCCCAACCATATGAAGGCGGGTGAAAACCTATAAATTAAATTAAAATATAAATATTGCATTTTGATTATCATTTACTCGGCCCTTCTAAACTAGCCACTGGCGGCGGTTGAACGGGACGATTGCGATCTTTAAAAAATATTTTATTAGTTCAAAAAATTCAATTTTTACCTTCCACAGTATCACTATTAGTAATAGTTGTTGGTATAAAAGTAGGATTCTTTTCGTGATGCAACAACTTCTTACTCGCCTTCTCCACCTAAACCTTATCAATCACGATAAGAAGGCAAAGAATAATTATACGACCTTTTTACATATCTTGTTCAAATCTGGCAGTTTGCGTAGCTCCTTGTAACTCCACGAAGAATGATTTGTTGAACTTGACGATGACGGGGATTTCTTTTCAGAATCCATCGCATTTCGTGTTTATCTTCAATTATTTCACAGCAATAAAAATATTTAGGTTATAATTTATTTTCGATTAAGCTTTGAAGAAAATTAAGAATTAAATATATATTATTTATAATGGGTTTGCTACATCTAACATTCAGTTAAATCTAAACATGAAGTTTATCTTTTAAACAGAGCTCTAAATAATAAATAATTTCTTCTGCAATGTTTGAACCACTGTCTGTATTCGTATCATTTTACGCAATTTTGCGGACGCGTTAGTGCAACCTGCTTTGTCTCTCTATCTGTTCCTCTAATATGCGTGGCTATTTCTTTAGCTGCGTCCGAAGAGAACTAAAAAATGAGGAAGGCGCAGGAAAAATGAGAGAATCAATGCGCTTTTGCCTTGAATACTTGTTATGGCAGTATTTCTTCTTTTTTTCGATTTACCTTACAAATATCACCATTTAAAATTGATTTTCAGTATTTCTGTCGATTTTTACGTCTCTCTACAATCGGTCCCTGGAACCATGAGAGATGACGATTCAATCAACGTCATCAGAACATTATCAACCTGACGAAAGCACTTTCCTCTGTGGTTACAAAAGAGTGAGCTTACTTTTAATTTTTTTTTTATGAAATAATTAAGGTTCGAAGATATGGAACAACCCAAAGTCAACCTTCACCGGTTACGCCAACATCATATACTATTTATCATGTTAAAAGTAGTGATACATTAGAGGGAATAGCACTTAAGCATAATTGTTCAGTGAGTGTTTTCACTGTTTGTTTAAATTAATCAATTCTTTTCCAGGTCTCTTCGATTATTCGTGCAAATAAATTATGGTCGTCTAATGCAGTTCTATTAAAGGAATTTATAAGAATACCTATATTTCAAGGACGAGAACCTTGCTCAGCGATTACTGAACAGACTAAATCACATCCAATAGTTGATAATTCTTCAAATACGCGGGTAGAAAACGAAAGAAGCGTCAAGGATATTCTCCAGCGTATTGACAAAAACATAAATAGCTTCAAGAATTATGAATTACCCAGTAACTCTATAGTTTTTGACGATTGTGCCTAGGTATATCAACGTTGCATATTTGAAAATAAATTGAAATATAAACTTGTTTAAACATTAATAGATGAGGTTAACAAAACACTTTATCAACAACAGTATATTTACTTCTTTTGCGCAGCCTTTGCAGCCTTGCGAAGAACAGCGGTGTATGGGTTCAATCTGTAAAGGAGCTGGCGTCTCTTCAATGGGTTGCGATGGATCTTTGGAACAACTGGGTTCTTCTTTGGGGCACGAATAGCCTTGACGATTTCTTCCGAACGGATGATTCTCGAGAAGTCAGCGTTCTTCATGATTGGAAGTGGCACAGACCATCCCTTCTTGGTCTTGGAAGAGTTTGCAACCTGGGTTCCGTAGATGGCATCGAGCTTCTTGAAAGCGGACTCGGTCCAGATGATGAGACGACCGAGATGACCTCCTGGAGCGAGTTTCAAGAGATTCAATCTCTCGACATTCAAAACATCGACTCCTGGAATGTTGCGGAAGGCACGAGCGCATTCTCCGTCTTGACCGTAGATGACAACTGGTCCGAGCTTCTGCTTATGTTGACGGTTGCGAAGCTTTCCCTTTCCGGCACGGTTTCTCTTTGAGTTGTAGACCTGAAAATTTCGATGTTGTAAATAAGAAAAAAAATCCCAATAATGATACCTTCTCAATGTCTTCCCACAAGTGGGAACGGCGAAGGAAGGTGACAGCCTCTCTGGTTTTACGGAAGGACTCAACCTTGTCAGAGACGACGAATGGAACCTCAGCAACCTATAGTTTAAAAATACAATTAACAAAAAATCTCTAATTATACCTTATCGATGATATGTCCACGAGCTTGGAGAAGAGCCGGAATTCCAGATGCAGCGATGGCGGAGCAAACAGCATATCTCTTCTGGGCAATGTTGACATTGCGGTGCCAACGTCTCCAGACCTTCAATGGCGCGAACATGTGTCCACCACGGCACATGTTTCCGAAGGCTCCTTGACCAGAACGGTGGGTACCGCCACCTCGAACACGCGGAATACGAGCAACAGCGCGTCCGGTTCCCCAGGACTCGGCAGAATGTTGCTTTCCTAGAAAAATTTCAAATTTCAGGTTGTTAATTTGAAATGCGAAATTATACGATAAAATAAATAATTTACCGGCTTTAACATTAACAGCATGGGCTTGTCTGCGGTTTCTGCGAACCTGGTCGTGAATGAAGCTTACAAGGTCTGGACGGATTGGGGTACGGAAGACCGATGGGAGCTTCACCTGCGACTCAGTGGCCTCGTACTTCTCATCATATACAGTTACGAGCGGTCTGGCCGCCATTATTACCTGAAAAGCTACAATAGAAAATAAATATTTTAATTGACGAAAAATCACAAAAAATAGGAGAACTTTATTTAATAAATTTTTTGGAGATAACTTATACATTACTAGAAATGCTAATTGCGGAATATTTCACAATTTAAAAGAAAAAATTGCGAAAAATCTAAAAATAAACGTAAAAAAGAAATAGGGATTAAAGGGAGGTGAGTGCAGGCAGCTCGTTGACTGAGTATTAAATGTTTGGTCTCAGCACGCGAAACCTGCGACAACAGACATAATGTGTCGATTTACGCAGTTGGACTTTTGCCAAACGATTATTTTTAATTTTCTCATTGTTTTGAGTTGTATTTATTATTGAACATATTAATGTAATAAAAAATGTAAAAATTACACATTTTTCCAATGCAGGGTTGTAAAAAAATGCAAACATGATGTAATTCTTTACATTTCTGTAAAAAAAAATAAATTTCATGAATTGGTCAATAAAATTAAACTTTCAGTTCATCAAGAAAAGTTAGCATGTAACAATTTTCTTTATTTCAAATATTAATTTTTCATATCATTCTAAATTTCTTGTGTACGTACGCTTAATGTGTTTGAACATTCGTTTAAGTTTTCTCCTGAACAGATAAAATGACAAGGTACTTAAAGTTCGGGCCAGAGCAATCCTACACTGCCGACTTAAAAAAAATTGAGCTTCTATGCAAAGCTTCAAAGTTAAAAAATTACAAAGTCACCCAGGCGGTATTCAACAAGTTGAAGAAATTTAATCCAGGTCCTTAGATAAAATGTTTTTTTCATTACATAAAACATTCTAGATGCGCTATTGCCAAAAACTGAAGTTCATAATGGCCCTGAAACATTAAGACGTGGTAAGCGACGAGCCGCGGAAGATATTAAGGTAATTTGTATGGAATGGCACAAATTATTTCAAATATCAAACAGAGGGATGAAAAATGTAACAAATGTGGATGCACTCTTCTAAGGATAGTAGATATCGGTCATCCGGAAAAAAAATTAATTCTTGAATGTATGCGTCGTAACTGTTTAGCTACAGTTGGGTACACGACTGGTCATGTGGGAACTATCATCGGCGCAGGGAATTTCCAGGTAACTACATATTTATTTATCACCAAATGTTGTCAGCGTCGCGCGACGTCGACAATATATAAATGTGATTCATTATTTTCAATTTAGATGAATGGTTATCTGCGCGATCCTGCTCGTTATTATTACCCCTCATTAGAGGAGATACAAAATTCCATCGATCTGTAAGTACACCTACCTATAGATATTTTTTGAAGCGGATATGCATTTAGGGTAAATAATGACGAGCACCCTGAAGTTCATGAGTACGATCCCAGCGGAGATAGGATTATTCCATCAGTTGCTGTACCATGTCAATTGCAAAAAGCAAAAGTATTGTAAATATTTTTGAACATTGGATGCATAAATTAATTTATTAAAAAACACAAATAGTCGACTAGCTAGACAGTAAATTCACAGGAATTATTCATGAAAAATTGAGAGCCGGTCTCCAGGAAAGGGAACTAAAACCCTGTAGTAGTATTTGAATGAATTGCACATAATCTATAGAAATCTACCATTTTTCTATTATGATACAGAAGATAAACGAATGGGGGAAAGTGACGTAAATTACCAACACGATCTGAGATTTCTAAGAGAATATATTAAATATAAATAAATTTCGATATACATGATTAAAGTTCACAACTAATTTTTTTGAAACAAAATTGACCAGTATTGTAATTTGAACACATTTTAAAGCTCATCATCTTGGTCTATAAGCTGTTCGTTATCCTCACGCCGATTACCATTTTTTGAAATTCTTAGGTTTGATCCACGAATCGTAATCTGACCACGATTTTGAGAATAAGCCGCGCCAATGAATGCCAAGATGATTGGGATCGAAGCTATCAGTTGGCTTACAGTTGGTGGCTTGTTTCGAAGAATTGTATCGGCAGCGAACGACAAAGGAATTGAAACTGTAAGCGACAACGAAGCGGTTAAAGGGTCGCACATACCAGCAGCCAGAAGCCACAGGTAATCCGCTATCAGTGTTCCTAAATAAAAAATATGAGACATTACTGCAAAAACGTGCTTATACCAATGAGCGCCGACAACAAAATAGATGACAACTGTGTCCCATTTGGAAGAGGATAAAGCTTTTCGACTTGCAGCCAATCAAGAATGTTCAGCATAGGTGTTCCAACGATTAACGAAAGCAATCCAATACTACCTTTAGAAATATTAATACGGTTTAACAATATACTCATATAGTTCTACCAAACATTAAGTTGATATTCATTTTGCCGTATTGATCTTCGAAATTGTTAAAAGCAAATAAATAAACGGCATACGAAACAGATGATATCTATAATATTTTTCAATATTCAACCGTAAAGAATCTATTTCATTACCTGGGCAAAAAAAGCGCCGAGCAAAGAGGGCATATAGTGAGATACAAGTAGAACTCCCGCAATATTCATAGCAACCAAAAGACACTGAAAATAACTTTAGTCAGATTCAAAGCTTTCAATGTACCTTGTAAAGCGTAAATCTATTGTGAGAACTAGGAAAGCAAATAGCAAATGCTAAAACGAAGACCGACGACGAACTCGAAATGAGATTTAAGCTTGAAACTGATGTAAAGACTAGTGCCACTTGGTATGTAAAGGAGCATAACATCCACTGCAAATGGTTAGAAAAATCGAGAAAAATAATTTTAAATTACCAATGGCGCAAAAATGAATATTGTATATTTAATATGACGAGGAAATTGGTGTATATGACACTCTAGTGATGGGTGACGATATGGTAGACGCGCCCTTCGTTGTTCTTCTGCAGTTGAGGAAGGCATTCGACGAATCTACAATTCAAAAGTATTCATTTTACAAGGAATGAATTTAAAAAAAAAAACGGTACATGCCTCTTTTCTATCTGAAAATCGAATTCTTCGTTTCCTTTTTCCATTCTCCCCTTCGTAATACGATTCGATATCAGAATCTTCGGTGACAGTTTCAAATCCTTCAAGATGCTTCAAATTTTAGATATTTTTTCATTTATGAATAGTTTAATTCTACCAATGATTCGCAGGACAATTCAAAACTCTCAGTGTCTGAGGTATTATCATTAACCAACGTCGTGTAAGAATTCTGCAAACCTATTTTAAATAGAGATTTTTTCTTGTTTCAATTTTTACCTCATCATGTGCCTCAAATATCAGATACCTAACCATGTATATTATTAATGTGCACGATTTCACATAAACGCTGAAAAATGGCCGCCGAAATTCTTCGTCGACAAATATGTACTGAAATTAATTTGCATACATAACTAATTAGAATTAAAATCTTACTCTGGTTAACTCTGACGATAATACCCATAGAATGTTGACAATCAGCAGAAGGCAGATTCCGAGTGTTCTTCTATCAAGACATTTTGCACTTTCTTCACTTTTTATATTGGAAGTCATCCAATATGCGAAATGCTGAAAATAGTTATAGAATAAAATGCTGAAATTAGTTATAGAAAAATCCTGCTATATATTAATACGACCAACAAACTAACATTTTCGCGTGAGACCTATTTTTCAAGAGACAAAAAGACGACAATGAAACCGACTTTTTATTGAAAATAAATATTAAAATTAAAAAGCTTCAGAATGTTTAAAGGGTTCGTTTGCTTAAGAAAAAGACCACAAAATTTCTGTTAGTCTTCTGGTTCGATTAAATTAGTGTGTAATAAATAAAATATTTTAAATTTGAATATGTGAAAAGTATTTATGAAAGTGGAAGAAAACTATATAAGTAAAATAAAAGTATAGTTGGGATAGAAAAATTGATCGACTGGCCTCACTTCCATATGCCCAACTACTTGCCATGGGAAAAATCGATTTGAGGTTGTTTACAAAACAAAAAGGACCATAAAGCGAAAAAGTCACGAAAAATAAGTGTGGGTGGTTGCACAACTGACAAAGATACGTGTCATAAGGCCATGTAGCGGGATCATAAATCAATTAAGCGTTTTATTTTATTTTATTGCGAAATATCATTTTTAAAGTTAAAAATGGAACTAAAAAATAATCTACGCCATTTCACAATAATGAATTTCGGTCATAACAGAAAATGTATGCAAATAAACGAGAATTGTGTCAATCAATGAAACGCATGACGCGTTTTTAAATAAAAAAAGACAACTATAAACATATTAAAAATACAACGTCCAGAGAGATGAATTGTTAGCGTTGTTCACCGTAATATGTAAAGATATTCTTAGGAGTTTCTTCAACGGTGACTTTGTATAGAACTTCGGGCTGCGACATAACGGATTTAAGTTTTTCATAAAGATAAACTGCAACATTTTCCGATGTGCTTACTCTTTCCTATAATATTTAAATACACCGTTTACTTTTAAAAATTATTTTAACCTTGAAAAACTCAACGTCAACATCTAAGTTCCGATGGTCCACTGTATCGAGAACAATCGCCATTTCCTTCTTGAGCAGAGCCAAGTCGTACACCATTCCAGTGGTCTTATCAACTGGTCCACGAAGTTTTACCTGATAAAATAATGCAAACATTACTTCAATATTATAAAGCAAACTTTCCAAACATAATTGTGGCCATGACCGTTAACGTGATTACATTTTCCGAAGACTTTCGCATTCTCCTCTTTGCTTAAATTAGAAGTATTTAAACGATGAGCAGCGGAAAATGTTTCGACTCTTTCTAGCGTAACTGTTGGAGCCATACTAAAAGTGTTTAATTAAAATAATTGCCGAGAAAAATAACAAACGACAAAAAATGAAGTGAAAAACTTAAACTGAAAAAATAGTGAACGATGCCGCACAAATTAGGTAAGATTTATATGCGGCATAGTGTGCAGAGGCGCAGATTATAAATATGCAATCACGCCCTTTTTTTCGAATAGGAGTTTTGATGATTTTTCTGTCGTTACAAATAACTATCGTAAAAGACTAAAAACCATTATAATAGTCATCATAATTTTTCACTTTCGATTCTGCTATTTAAAAACGGCAGCCAAAAGAGGTGCACAACCGATTTTGTATAGAATTACAGAGCAGGCAAAACAAAGAAAAATATTTACCACCCCAACAAAAAATATAGTAAAATACAGTATCGATTCGTTACAAGAGTTTTTTAAAGAAAAAAATGTTTCTTATTTTTATTGTGCATACTGTAATTTAAAAATCGACAATTTTTTATAGCGTAATTTTCAACAATAATTAATTTGTATAATTATTATTGTAAACATCCATATATGATAAAAGTTTTTTTAAAAAATTATAATGATGAAAATAACAAGGAAAATTAAGGTATAACATATATGGGAAGAGGTTGCCAAGATATCAACAGAGCCAATAAATCTTTGAAATTGTGCGGAAGTTCTGCGGAAATGAATCCGATGCGGAATGTCTCCACACCTGATCGTCCACTTCAGCAGTATCCAGCAAATAGTTATGGGAGGCAAAATAGCGGTTAGTCATTTTTGAAATGAATGCTTTTTCACAAGAAAAAGCTCAACATTTAATGATAACGATTTCACAAATCACACACAAAAATTTTATAAAATTAAATGTAAATTGTAAACTTACACACGTTTGAAACTGTTACTATTTACAATTTGATCTACATTCAGTAATCACAAATGCCTTCCATAACGAACCGAATCACGAAAACACAAAGCATTTTTATATTTATTGCACGAACCACGAAAACACAAATCATTTTTATACTTATTGCTATTAAACTAATTTTTTTCAGTTATGAATGGTTTGCCAGGATCCAGCAAACCAGATTGGAGAAAAGGTGAAATGATAACCCCACAGCCATTTTGGGAAGGTCCTATGAACATGCCACCATATATGATGAATTCTGGAAGATGGACATCTCGGGTAAATTTTTTTTAGAATTCGCCCCAAATAAAATTTATAATTTGCCAAAAATTCAAAAAGTGAAATTCAACCATTTGTTTTAATAATATAAATATTTATAAATATATCTGGAAGTATTACGCAACACCCGTAAAGTATTGTTTATTTTTGAACAAAAATGTTTTTATTTTTCCATTTGAATAGTAGGTTTTTTACAACTTGTTTGAAACTTTAATACGAACAAAAAATAATACACAGTTAAAGGGTTCTTTTGTTATAATTTTTCGCGACTAATCATAGCGTAAAAATAATCAAGCAATCATTATTTTTTCGTTAAAAAGGATGATGGCAAACGTATTTTTTTTAATAGTCATGTTTTTTTCTTATTTATCCATGCGTGCATGTGTAAACCTGATGTTTTTTTTATACAAACACTCGGTTTAATTTCTCACTATTCCTCTTTCATTGCTATGAAAGGAAACGAATAAAATGGAGGTTCCGTGAGAATCCGTTCCCCTCACCGCGAGGTACACAGTAAAACCATCGTGCCCATTTTTATCGTCTCCTCCTTCATTTTAGCATTCGCCTTCGTCTCCTGCAGCAGCAGCAACAGCAGCAGCAACAGAAATGGCTGGGCCAGAGAGGCGATAGTAGTGGCGGCGGTGGCGGCAGCGGTGACGATAGTTGTAGCGCGAGCGCGGGGCCGCTGATGATGATTTTTTCTCTCCCTCTCACACATGCGCGTTGTCGCTTGCCCGTCGCGCAGGCACTCTCGCAACCGCTGCGTCTCTCCCATCGCCTCTTTTTGCGTAGTTTGCAGTATGAATGGGTGATATCGATCGACTCGACACCTCAACGCGTCGTCCTTCGTCTCCGTCTCCGTCTCAATGCCCTTGCGCACATTCGCCGCGTTTTTCCCGTCGGGCCACCGTCGTTGCTGACCAACCAGCCTTGTCTCTGTGTCCTCCTCGCGTCATGAACCTTATGTGTATGTGAGGAATTGCGCTTTGCAATCGCAAGTATAATTTTTTTGTCACTGATTTCTTACGTGCTACCTGTATATTTGTAAAAAAAAAGATTCATCGTTATGCCGATATGTCGTCCTTTCGCAAAATTTTCGTAATATTTTCTTTTCCCCAATCTTTAAAGTACAACGATTTTGATTTCGTCACACAATTATTTACCACTTCCAAACATTTTAATAAGGGCGTTCAAGCAATAATAATTCGTGACTTGTTAGGTAATACATATAATTTCCCACTTACAATCTTATTTAAGTTCGACTAGGTTTGTCCTTCAGTAGTTTACACAGAGACTTCTATTGTGACTTTTAAATTAGTCTCTGTTCGTTTTAGTTTGACTTAAATTACTACCAGATGTTGTTAAACTCGTTTTTCTTCAGCAAATCACCGCAGCTAAAACGAGCCAAAGGTTGCTAGTGTTCAATTTCCTCGATGCGCGTTATCATGTGATGCATTCCAGACAAAGACAGAATGTTTTATATTCCTACTGTGGCATTCTTTAAAATTCCTTATGAGACATCCCATACCTTAATAGAAAATTGAACCCGGGCTTTGCTTTCTTTATTCCGGTTACAAACCGGTTCATTGAATAGGGAAGTTGTCATAATTTAGGAAGGAAAATTAATTTATTATTTAATATACCAAGAAATCTTCTAATCACTCACCTTTCTTATAGAGTTTTTTTAAGGTATTAATTCATATTTCTACCAACTAGCGATAAAAAACACCCAGAAATGAATATGACATAATGAACAATTAGCTTTCTGGTATAGTGTAACCATGGTAACGCTTCCATTAGTTTTTTTGCCGATTAGTCTTTGCACAATGTAGCTTTTCCCTTTAATAGACTATATGGCGTATGTTTATTATTTTGTTATTGATGAGAGAGACACCCTTTTAATGTTTTGCTATGTGCACTTTAAAAATACATTCCAATCCAACGAGTAAACGAATGGGTGGGCAGCGTTCGAAACAAAAAAAACCTAGGCATCGTCTAGAATATTGGTTTTGGAAAAAAGGCGTTGGCATCTTCTGAATACAACTCTCCATCTCTCGCTTTTCAGCATCCTACTCTTCTCTTTTTCTCATTATGCGTGCGAATCGCTGTGCTGAACGCGTTGGGGGTTTTGCTCATTTGCCATGCTGAACGTGTGCTCATGTTGTGTATTTTTTGTCGAATAAATATCCAATGTTTTCTTTTTCCTTTTCATCTCTCGACTTTTGGCTCTCAGCAGCCGTGAGGCCACCAGCAGGCTTAAGAAACAACGGCAACTACAACGATTTTGCATCCAATCAGTTGAATGTTTCGTTAGTGTTTTCTAGGCATTACTTTAAATTTCCATTTTTCACTTCACTAGATTTTCAAATTTTATCTCTTCTACTTGTATATTTGAATCCACACAAATTTTTCAAGGTATCCAATTTATAGCTGAGAGCTCTGCGTCATTTCGGATATTCTAATTCATGATGTCATTCAATTTTCTTCACGAGATAGTTAACGGAAATGAGAAATCATTTCTGAATCATTGAATAACTAACCCGCCAACTAATTTCTAACCGCTCACTGGTATATTGCACAGAACATGATTTGTTTCGGAGCTGACGCGTTGACTAATAGCATAGCTCTTGTTGTTTTATGCGTTCGTCGTCTTAGTATTGTGTGCCCGCCGTTTCTGCATTTTTTTAGTCAATGAATGTATGCGAGCTGTCCTCCAAGTCCCTGCTTTTGGTTTTGCCCTTTTTTCTGCGCATTTTTTCGTATGTGGGTCGTCTGCAGACGCGCAGCCGGCATCCTCAAAAGACAAAAACACATAATCATCTTCTGCCTCTCTGGATTCTGTCTCTTAAATATAGGTTGGATTTAGAATTTCAGTGCTCCGCCGAGCGTTATATTCATTTTCCCTTGATGATACTTCACTTTTCTCGTCTTTAAAAAAATTTCCGTCTTTGTGTTCGTAAAGTTCACTTTTATATTCGTTCTTCTTTCACGGAATTTGACTTCTAAATTAAAACTCGACATCTAAAATTTTCTGAATTTTTAGTCAAGCGAAATCGATTCGGGTATGAACGGGGACGGTGTTGGCTGGCAAGGACAAGGGCAACACGGCGGAGGCCGCGGCGGTGGCGGAAATTATATGGGTGGCGGGCGCCGCGGGATGCATCAACAAAATCGAATGCAGTCACAGCACCACAATGCCGGAGGGCATCCGCATCGAATGATGAACCCAAATTTTCGTCCACCTCCGCAACCTCAGCAACCACCATTCGTGTACGGTGTTCAAGACATGATGGACTTGAATATGATGCGGATGAATGAATTGTCATTGGTGAATCTTTCAATTAAATTTTGTACTATTTTACAATGAATTTTTTTTCAGAACGGTGTGCCTCCTCCACAAGTAGTACCGCCTCAGCAAAATGGACTTTACGGGGAACTTGGACCTCAGGCCAATTGGGGTAATCAACCACAACCTTTCGTATCTCAGGAAGAGATATATGAGCATGTGCCTCCGTTTGGAGCGCCGCCTACGCCGCACAGCGGAATGCCATCTTACGGTAACAACCAACGCGGTGGGTTCAATCGCGGAATGGGCAATCAGCGACAGAACAACTATGCGCCACGTGGTGGTTTTCCACCGATGCCCATGGGTATGCCGCATCAAATGCCGCCGCAACAACAACAACCGGGACAATTCTTTGGAGCTCCTCAGTTCCCTCAACCGTTTCCAAACAATCAACCAATGCCGATGCATGAAAACATGGCTGGACCTAATCGACCAAGTACGACATACCCAATCGCAACATTGAACATTTATTTATTTTTGAAGATGCTTCAACAATGGACGATTATGCCATGTGGACTGATGAGAACGACGAGGAGGCCAAAAAGAAGAAGATTCTTCGTGATAAAGGGCTAATTGCTTGGGGCGATGCTGAAACTTCGAGTATGCTATTTTTGTTTTTCATCATGGAGTTCAAATAATATTTTCGTTATTTAGACAGCAAGCCAATCCGTAAGTGGATTGTTCCGGAAGGTCAAGAAGAAGACATTGAAACCGCGTTGGCACGTTGCCCTCAGTTTCAAAAGAAGAAGTCGAACCATGAAGAACAGATTCGGCGACGACTTGGAGCTGATAATCCGCAAGCGGCTGCTCAAGCCCAACAACAACTTGAAGAAGAGCGAACTTCCGTTATCAAAGTCGGAAAACGGCCAATTGTTGCTTGTGGATGGGGAGATTTACCAGCGGATATGGCTGAGAAAAATGGTACTGTTGACCTTCTTGAGAATCTTATAATGCGGTTGTTTCTAGATGCTGATGCCGCTATCGCGAGAGTATGGGACGATGTGCCAAATTCGAACAACGGCCCGAAACCCGATGATCAAGGGGGTCTTCCTTGGAACCTTCCTGGAATTCCTCCTGGACAACCATCATCATCATCATCTGATTCCCACCGTAACCCATTCTTTGCTCAACACATGCAGCAGCAACAGTTCCAAGGAAACCAGGGAATCTTCATGGATAACGCTGGTGGTGATGGTGTTTGGTCCAACATGGGAGGAATTGATGGAACAGCAATGCCAGTTCCGAACCCGATAATGGGACCATCTCATTTGGGAATGGTTCCAGCGCAGCCGGGAGTTCCTGAGATTTCAGAAGAGAACCGTTTGAAGGTTGCGGAAAATTTGAGATATGCTGTTGAAAAAGGACATTTGGATATCAGCCTAATGACTCTTCCGTATTTCCCGCCAGCCGCTTTGGATCTTCTTACCATAATTCTTACAAAGATACCTATTTTGGATGCATATCAAATGGAACTTCAGAAATTGGTAAGTCTTGAAAGAATGGTGTGTGTGTGTGTTGGATATATTTACTGGCATCTGTTTTTGAGTTGGTCTCATGCTGTGGAAATGCTAATTTTACATTTTTACGCCATCGTTACCTATGTGAATTCTAAAAAAAAATTTTGAATGTAACTAAAACGAAAAAATTCTAAATTGTATGAAGGAGGACCCTTTCAAAACATGCACGACTTACCTGACGCAAATATAGGATAGCAATAATGAAATTGTGTGGTTTCAGGTTGAAACCAATCGCCCTCCAGATCTTCCACCAAATGCTGACCCAAACACGTGGTTAACCGAATCTCAAAAGGTAAAAGGATATTTGAGCAATAATATCGCCACGTTTAATTGTTACAGATTGAATATGATAAGCTCGTGATCGCTGTAGTAACTGCAAAAATAGAGGTTTCCGATTATTCGAAGAAAATAAACCGAGCATTAATTGATGCGGGAATAATGCCGAAAAATCCGCCAGGCCCAGGTTATCAAAATGGCGCGCAAGCAGCGCCTGGAAATGAGTCGGGACTTCAAAATCGAAGTGGAGACGGATTTGAAAACGGACCACCTGATCATTGCGATTATTATGATTATTCCTTCCTGGGTTGAATAGTGTTTGCCGAGTCTTTAATTTCTCCCAATTAAAAAAAACAAACTATTTAATTCCAAGTTTTGTTGCTCGACAGAATCTCTTTGCTGTTAATCAGTAGGGTGTAGTCAAAATATCATTAAAAATTTTCTTCATTTAAAGAATGGATTCTCATGTGAGTTATGTCCTAATTTAATCAATTTTCCTTTACCCAAAACAAAACTGGACTTTCTTGAAGCCATGCCCGTATTCTATTAAGTTTAACTATTTTACGTTCTTCTCTAGTGTGATCCGAATACGGTATTCCAACGTTCCCAACTCGAAATATTCCCCCCCCCCTCCAATTTCATATGCAGTTTCCTTCGGACCCGTGTTTATGTGTTTACCTTCCCTAAAACCCAATCCGACTCCATTTCACATTTTACGCCTAAAAGCCCTATGATGATTTTTACGAGGTGAGCACCCTCAAATGCAAATTTCGCGCATTTTCTCCGTCTGTTAATTCAACATAATTATTGAAAGTGTCTGTGTGAAATCCCTCGAATTCCCAGCAACAAATTCTTTACTTCTCTTTCTAGCCGCAAATTGTCTGCATTTAAATCATTTCCAGAGAAACAAACCCTGTCTGCTCTTAACTATTATAATTGATACTTTACTTTTATAATTATAATTATTATCTTTATTATTGATCAAATTGTTCTTTGCAAGAAACGCTTATATTCTAAGAATGTTCAGATTGTCCGTATACGACACATTTATTTTTAATTTTGTCTTCCCTCTTTCTTTATTTTCAGCTTTTTATTCAGAATTCGGATGCTATATACTTTATTTTTGTTCTTCTTTTTTTACTCGGTTCAATAAAGGATAATTGAAATGTTTTATTTGTATAAATAACAATAAAAATCAACAATCCTAAGAATAACTATACCGGTATCTATTTAAACAATGGTTTTACTGTCCGCATTGCGATTGATTGATCAACCAATTTGTATTCCTATAAATTCGGAGAGTAATTTAACACTTTAAAAAATTACCGCTAATCGTGAAACATCGCCATATCCAACTAATGATGGCTTTGTCGAAAGCATTCTATCGGAAACTCTCAAAATATCGTTTTCGCTTACAGCTCCTAACAAAAATATTTTTGTCATCTTAATATATTAAGAAAACTAACTGATTTTTTCCGCATATTCTTCTGGATTTTTCCATTCATCGTGACCGAGCAACTGACGAACCATATTTTCAAAAAGAACAGGCCGCACTTCCAAATTCATCATTAAATGGGAGCGAAGTTGTGTTTTTGCGCGTTCGAGTTCTTGTCGATCAATTCCATGTCGCAGTCTGAGGAATTGATCCGCAATTACGATCAGGGCTTCGTTTATCTGAAAAGATATAGTTTTTATGTCATAGTGATAAGATGTTTTGACAAACGTTTTCGGGAGGACAACTACTTGTAATGGTAAACAATCCACTATCTGAATATGAGTGATTATGCGCAATTGCGCTGTATAACCAGTGATGCCTGAAATTAATAAATCACTGCATTGCGATAAACTATAGCAACCTGTTCATAACATCTGTGTATAAGCGGGCATACATTCCTTTTCCAGGACCGCCTGCTGAAAACGCTCCGCCGCCACCAAGAAGGGATTGCAGAACACAAAATGGTACAAAATCATCATCTCTATTGAAAAGTAATTGATAGAACAATTTAAAAATACAATAATACTTGTAGCTACAGCCTTCGAATCCGAGAGAAACATGGGAAAGAAGTGGATAAGGTGTGCCAATTGTGAGAGGAGTCAAATCTTCGACTTTCTTTAAACAAAAAGATTGAAGATAATATAATCAACAATCATTTTACCCTGATTTCACCCCCAGTGTATTGAGCTTTTGATTTATCGATTTCCGGAGCATTTTCAAATATCATCGACGGTGTTTCTTTCCACGAACACGTATTCCAGTCGAAATGCTTCTCTACGGAGCTTACAAATTCATCATGGTCCACCCCAACTCCTTAAGTATCACGAATTTTCTAAATCGTTTGCAATGTTGTTAACCTCCAACAACCATTCTTTCTGGCACATGCGCACCGTTTAAATAAGAGGCTACATGTTTTTGCGTAAGTTTGTTTAAGTCGGACTGTGTCGAAACTTCGGCGTACTTGGGAATCCCAATGGTATTCCCTTGAAATGCGGCTTGATGAATATAATCAGTCACAAGTGTCTCGATTGATTCGATTCGTTTCACCATATCGAGCGATTCAAAATAAATAATATTTTTGGCGGTTTCGATTTCTTCTGACGTAAGTAGAGGATTTAAAACAGCGTTTGCTAAAATTTCGAGCACTGAATCTGTTCCTTTTCTGTGACAGCTTGAGGCATACATAAATGTGTCCTTAAAAAAACATTATTTAGAAAATTGCAAACTTTTCAAACTCGTGTGCTTTGGCAATCAATAATTCCGCCATTTTTCTCGAGAACTTTAAAAATATCGTCGCGTGATGGAAATTTTTTCGACGCCTGAAACTACCAGTGTGTATTTGAGCGGATATTTTTTATTACCCCAAATGCAGTTTTTTCAACCATTTGAACGGTACCTCTGGGAAATCCGTTTTCATATCTACAACCACTTTCCACGGCAACTAGAAATAAATAATACATTTTGTTGAATTATTTTTTTTTACCGCCAATCGTCACAAAATCACCGAATGCTGGCTCGGTGATTACACGAAGTCCATTAGAAAGCCGAGTTATTCGAGCTTCGGAATTTGCGGCAACATTTTTAGCAGCGTTTTTAACTTCTACGCCAATTTTTATAGGTTCGGAAAGAGGAACCCGAGAAGCATTCTGAAATATTTTATTTGCGATTTTATTTTTTTTTCATACCTTTGTTGTAAAAGAACTAGTATGAAATATTCTTCTTCGGATACATGCTGAGAGAAGTTTTAAAATCATCTAAAGACGAATCAAATTCTTTATTTCGAATGTTTCAATTGTTAAAAAAAATAAAAATATTTCGTGTGCACTTGTGCGTGCACGTTATTGCGTACTTTTACTGCAATCGTACGATGTGAAATATGGCGCTCGTAGTTTTCTAATTTTCATTTTGACGCTCCAATTTGTCATTTCATCGTCGGTTTTTAGCAAAAATTGTGCAAAAATTAATAATTAAAAAATTTATTTTCCAGAATGAATGTAGCACGCAAATTTGCGGGAAAACGTTTGATGTCGACACAGCGCTTCGAAAACTTCCGAGTTGTCGAAGTTGGAGCCAGAGACGGTTTGCAGGTTTGCATAGCCATTTCATTAATATTGCTAATTTTTTTCAGGCTGAGAAAAACTTTGTTCCAACTGAAATTAAGGTGGAATTGATCAATCGTTTGTCAAGATGTGGATTTAAGACTGTTGAATCAACTAGCTTTGTGTCACCAAAATGGGTGCCTCAAATGAGTGATCACGCCGATATTGTCGAAAAAATAGATAAAATTGACGGTGTGAACTACCCAGTCCTCGTGCCAAATGTTGCTGGCTTAAAGAATGCGGTATATTTTATTTAAAAAACTATTAAGGATAAAATTTTTAGCTAAAAACTGGACAAGTAAAGGAAATAGCGGTTTTCGGCGCTGCTTCAAATTCATTTTCCGCGAAAAATGTAAATGCAAACATTGAAGATAGTCTTAATAAGCTCTTAGGTTTGACGGATCGCGTAATGAAAGTAGAAAACGATATATTAAACTTTTAGAAGTAACATCACTTGCATTGGAAAATAATCTAACAGTTCGCGGATACGTTTCGTGCGTAGTTGGATGTCCGTATGAGGGAAAAATCGATCCGAAAGTTGTTGCAAAAGTTTCAGAAAGACTACTCGCAGCTGGATGCTACGAGGTTGTGCTATATTTTCCGTATTATTGATGATGTTTACACTGTTAAGATTTCCCTTGGGGACACAATTGGGGTAGGAACCGTTCAAACTGTTCGCAAAATGTTAAAGGAAGTGACTAAAGCAGTCCCGGTTGAGCGGTTGGCTGTTCACTTCCATGATACATATGGACAGGCGTTGGCTAATGTATTAGTCGCTGCTGAAGAAGGTAAATATTATTAAATTCAGTTGTATTTAAAATGTTAAGGAGTTCGTGCTGCTGATTCTAGCATCAGTGGTCTAGGAGGATGTCCATATGCTAAAGGAGCTACTGGAAATCTTGCAACGGAAGATCTTTTATATTTCCTTGAAGGTAAAATTTATTACGTGCACGCAACAGCGAAAGTTTTCCCGCCTTCCTCTTTCACACATTTGTATGATGGACGCTCTCTCGCTCTTTTTATTTTCATTTCATTTCTTTCCTTATTTGTTTAATGTTTAGGTAACGGTTTTAACACCGGCGTAAATTTGGACAAAGTTGTTTCAACTGCTCAGTGGTTCAATGAAGCGACCGGTCGCAGCCAGATGTCGCGAGTTGGTGCGGCATTATTAGCAAAAAGGGCGAAATAAATTGAGCTTATTCGCAATTCACGAGTTAAACTAGTCCGTTGAAATAAATCGACGTTTTTATTAATTTTTTATTTCATTTTTTGGTCTTGAATCCGTTTGACTACTTTGCATTTTGTTTTTAATTAATCATTGGATAGTTTTTTAAAGATGTCTGCAATCGAAAGCATGATGAATGAGGAGGATGTTCTAGACGACATCGGTCCATCAGATCAAGCAATTGAGATGACAGAAGGAGAGGTAAATTCAAAATATTAACAAAAATTCAATTCATTTTCATAGATTGATGCACTTCTAAACGACGATGAGCATTCTGGACTCGATTTAGCGTGCAATGAACCTTCGCCAAGTATAAAAATAATTGATATTGAAAATGGAAAAGACGAGGTTTCTTTATATTCATTTTTTAAATTAATTAAAATTTTAGGGTTCCACGTGCTCATCTTCTGCGAATTCGAATGGATGTGTCGAGATCGATATACAAAAAACCGTTTCTCATCAGAAATCTTCTCGCAAAATTTCCGCAATTTGTATAAAGTAACAAAAATTGGGTCATTAACTAATTTTTTCTAATTAAGCTATTCGTATTCCTAACACGCCAACTCATCAATCTTTGCCTAACGGATCAAAATGCCAACCAAAAAATATGATTTTTGTTCCATCTACAAAAATTGCTCACACTGTATGTGACTAAGCAATTCATAAAATTAGATTTAATTATTGTTTAGAAAATCGCCAAAGCAATTTGTAATTACAATGCACGGGAAATTCAAATCATTATGCTAGAATCAATTAAACAATTAGCGAATTCTCAGAAGGAAATGATTGAGAGTATGATTGCTAGTTTTGTTAACGCTTTAAAAATTGTTTAAGGATTGGAAAGACAACTGAAAGAGCTTCAAAATGAGAATTTATCACTGTCGAAAAAACTAGCGGAACGCGATTATCAAATTGAAATTTTGAAGAAACATCAAGAAGACTACGAAACAGAGTTTGGGAATATTTGCCGAGTCTCAAGAAATGTAATAAAATTGACTAATGAAACAATATCGTTTTCCATTTTAGAAATACGCGAGAGAACCAGTTACTCAGCCAAGCATTCAGGACTCTAACCAGCGGACACTTCTGGGAGATTGTATAAATGTGTGTGGGCAAAATTCAAGCGTGAGCACTTTCTGTTCCTCGCAACGAAATTAAAAAGCATGTTTTCGTTTCTAGGGCCGTATTTTATCATCGAGTACTCAGAACAATAATAGGCATACTGCTCAAAAATATCCAGGTATTCAATATCAATTAAATAATTGTTTATTATAGTTTACAGTTCACATAATTTCTAACCCATCTAATATGCACATTTCACGTAAGAGACCTGCAAGTGATTCTCCGCCTACAACGCAAAACGCCAGAAGCTTGTATTTTTTTTAGTTTTTATTCATTTTCAACTCTGAATTTTCAGCCAAAAGGTTAAGTCAACATCGGAACAATTGCCACAAAATGCGGTAATAAATAATCATTTAATTCGTCAAACTAAATAAAAATATTTTAGACATACAGTGGTCGGAATTGTGGTCATCAGTCTGGACCAGAAAATGGAAATACAGGGCCGCATTGCGAAGTAGGCTATTCTTATTAGATAATTTATAATCACGGGTTTTAAGCTAATGGATATCGTAAACAGTGACCCACGGGAAATACTTTGTCTCGTGCCATTTGTAGACAAGAACTATTTGAATCCAAATTATATGCACCAGGTATCTCTTTGGTTAAATTGTGATATATCACAATTTTTTCAGAGCGTGCCTTCCGTACCTCACGAATTTAATACTATATCATTAGAGGTTCAGGTAGAGATTAAGTCAACCAAGAGTGATTTTGTCGAAACGTGGCAAATTGCTGGAGTTGTTCGTTATAACTACACTCCAAGAAAGGTATGCAGAATTTTAATTTTAGTGTATTCTTAAAATGTATTCTATTAGAATCTTCGCATATTTGTGCAGACAGCATCTATGTACCCTCATGGGCTTACGACACCATCTGAATACAGCAATGAAAGAATGGAGTGGGGTGCCTCTGGTTTCCATCAATGCTCCCAAAACGGAAGAAGTAAATTTCGTTTAAAATTTCATAGAAGTGAGTTAAATATTGAACGAAATATTAAATAGTCAACAAACGCAACTTTTATTTGCAGATCAATTAATTCCTGAAAATGACCGAATTTACATTTTTGCGGTTATCTATGACTCGGTAATTAATACGCAAGAAGTATCCGAGGTTTGAATTTTTTTTTCTCAAATTGAAAAAAAATATTTTTTCCAGGTTAAAAGTTTGATCTATTATTAGCTACGTCTTTTTCATTATTTACATGGCAATTGTGCGAACACGAATTTCGTACAGCATATTTTTAGAATTAATATATTTATTGTTGCTAATTTTGTTTCGGTTTATATAGAATCCCCCTAAACCACAATCCCTCGAAAAATCTCAGCTTTTAACTTAATTATATTTACATAATTTAATGAATAATTTCTTGTAAAACAAATAAAGCAGAATTTTTCTTCGAATTACTAACTTTTATTCGGTTTTTTTATACCGTACTGTTTACCTTAAAATATTCTATTGAAATGTCAAATGTTATATAATTTCCTAGATTTAAAAATGGTGAATTTGTTCCCGAAAGCGATTGAAAGCGATGACGAAATTGAAAATGATGAGAGTGGTGATGAGCAAATCGACGAAGAGGTTTATTTTTTTAATGTAATTTTTAAAATTTTTACTATTTGTCAGGCCGTTTCTGTACGGAAGAAGAGAAAAATCGCAAATGCTGCCGAAGAATTTGCTGATAATTTCGTTTTTGAGGGTGATGGAGCCGGATTTGTGGACCGAGAAACTGAGGATTTGCAAAAGTAAATTAATTAGAGTAATCCTGTGTTATTAATTATAAATTTAGATACTTAAAAAAGCAAATTGCCCCGTCTCTTGACGAAAAAATTGCTGAAGCGCGGCGACTTAAAAATACCGGCAAAGCAGTAATTGTCGAAGGAGAAGAGGACAGGGATGATGGCGAACAGTCAGACGACGAAATTCAACAGTTGGGAGGTCGTGAAACACGAGGTACAGTATAATTTTTGTGAATTCTTTGCAACATATACTTATAGATACGGTTCGCGAAAAAAAGAAGCTTGGAAAATCAAAAAAATCAACGGGACGCGATGATTTTTTTTCGGCGTCAATTGATGGGAAGCAACTAGACAATACTACCCAGATCACATTTGATCAGATGAACTTAAGCAGACAGATTTTGAAGGCTATCGGATCTGCTGGATTTACTGACCCAACTCCAATTCAGCAGGCATGCATTCCTGTTGCTTTAACCGGAAAGGTTTGAACTTACTGGTAAAATATTAATAAGTCCGTCATTAAAGGACATTTGTGCTTGCGCAGCAACTGGTACTGGTAAAACTGCCGCGTTTGTTCTTCCAATTTTGGAAAGAATGCTCTTTCGCCCGAAAGGACCTAGCTGCACCAGAGTTCTAGTTCTTGTTCCTACGAGAGAACTGGCCATTCAAGTGTTCCAGGTATAATATTAAAAAAAAAAAAGAAAGTCAACAATTTTAAAGGTTTTTCGAAAGCTCTCAACATTCATTCAATTAGAAGTTTGTCTTTGTGCTGGTAAGTGATTTTTTTCATATGCACGATTCATCGAATTAAATCAATTCATTGCTAGAACGCGCCCGTTTAAGAATTGTGATTCACTATGAATTATTATAATGCACTTTTGTTTGACGGATATGGCTTTTGATGTTGAGCGAATTTGCGTCTAGTATGTAGTTGCTGAGAGCGAAGGTAGAAGAGCTCCAGACCGTTTCTCATCAGGCTTGGCGAAAGCGAGCACATATCCGAAAACTCCCACGGAAAGAAGTGCGGAAGTGTAGAATGCATATGTGTAGTGAAGATGCTGAAGCAAGGAACACAATTTAAATTTTTTTCTAATTTTTTAATCACCTCGACGATTTGAGAAGCATAAATTGGTAGGATGAAATGGGTGAGCCATTGGACCATTGAAGCAAATCCTGTGGCTTTTCCAAGATCAGTAAGCTCAACGGCGCTGTAAAATTCAACGTGTTTATTTCGAGTCATGTTTTTCCTTACGTTGTGATTTTTGTTGAAGTCTCGGCGTAGGCAATAGCATAAGCTCCAGTTTGAACGGCCGTGATGACTAACATGTGCTCGAATGATGATGCGAATGATGCCGAAATATAAGCGACGAAAAGAGCAGCAACTGCCATCTATAATATAACTACCCATTGGAAATTGCCTTTTTTAAAGCTAAATTACCAGTAGCACGGTTTTTGGTGAAGCTCGTCTTTGTAAAACTGGCATCACAACGAATTGGACAAGGAAAAGAGAGGCGGACATTGTGAGGAGAATGTAGGAAGATTCCGAGGTGCTATGCATGTAGTTTCGGAGAAGGAAGTTGCGCGAGATCATTTCGTAACATACATAGGCTGAGATGATAAGAGCACGAAGGATTAGACCTTGCTAAATGTGTAATTCATGAGAATTTAGCCTTCAATTTTGAGAAACTTACACGAAGGTTGGGGTTTTTCGCAATCATGTGCCAGTAGTCTTGTGGGCGAAGGCGAGCAGAGGCCAAACGCGGAATTGAATGAGTGGATGGAAGTAAAAATACGAGAACTGGGAGCATGGTGGCGAGAAGAACGCCTCCAACGATGAACTGAGAAATTCGCAACGATGTCCATGCAGCCACTTTTGATCCAATGATTGGTCCAAAGAACATAGCAATAGCCTATTATTGTAGTATTAAAATAATATAATTGGTACCATAAGCTACTTGTGGAAATGTAAGTTTCATTAACGCCCGAGTTCTTTCGCTTTCTGTGGTGACTGTGGCGAGATACATTTCCGCCGTTCCATCAAGTTGGTAGCCGAAGCGCAGAATTTGAAGGAAGAAGAATGAATACCATGAGCTGGCCATCGATATTCCAGAATAATAGACTGCCGTGAATGTGACGGAGAGAATAAACATTGGCTTGACACCCATAGTATCAGCAAGCTAAGTAACAAAATTGAAATTTGTTTTAACGGCCCCCGAAAATATACCTGCCCAAATGCGAGGGCTCCAAGAGCATTGCACAAACTTCCAAAAGCTTGAATATATCCAAGGTCGGTAATTGTCATCGGTTCCTCGGTGTCCCATTGAAGGAAAGAAAGGAGTGTGGTGGTCCATTGTGTGGCGAAATGCCATAATCCGAAGATTAGGCACAACACCAGCATTACTTTTTGTTTCTTTTCAAAAGACATTGTCTGAAAAAAGTAATCGATGCAGAAAAAAGTTGGAATAAAGCAGTTGAATATAATTATCTCTTATTAGTAATTGTTGAAGATATGCTCTTTCTAACTTATTGAAAATCAATTATGGATCGTTGATATTCGAAAACTAGATAGGTTTTTGTAAATAAGCAATCGATTAAACGGCAAGGATCTCGTAAATGATCAAAAGAAAGAAATAGCAACAATGTATATGCATATATTCGCTTCTTTTGTCTGTGTTCCTCTCTCGCAGGCGCTTTCGCCAGATCAACTGGATCTGGTCGTTTTGGCTACTTGAATTGACATCCCATCTCGTTTCTCAGTTTCGCCCGTGACGAAACGTGCGCGCGCGCAGCGCTTATATACGCATAAAACACACTTATTAGGGTTTTTTCGGATGAACGACATCTCCCGTTTGGCAGCAGCGGTTACAAGTGCAAGAAATGTGGCGCACGCACGGTTGCGTTGGGTGTCAAACAATCTGTACACACAACTCTGCCGAAAACATGCCTGTAAAGGTAACACAATGTCAACAACATGTGTCTAAGGACGTTTGTCGTCGCCTCAATATCTCCAGTCTACATTTGAGACAATGTAATAGAAACAGGCCCTTTTTCCGTTTTCGGAATTCGGTTTTCATAAATGAATATATAACATAAGAAGTTAATCTGATTAGTGTTTCTTTAAATGTAATCGTTTAGTTTTGGTATGAAATTAGATATTATGAACCTATATGGCGGCTTATTATTTACTACGTAATTGAAATAACACGACTATTGGATTGTTATGTATCAAAAATGGGAAGAGATTGGCAAGTATGCAGTTACATATCAGTAGTAGCCCTCGCCGCATCCGAGGATAAAGAATGAGAGAATTCGCAGAGAGCGCGAAAACCTGTCCTTCACGGCGATATGAAGAACATTTGCCTCGACAAGCGATTAGAAAACGACGAAGAATAAGAAGGAGAAGAAGAAGAAGAAGCCTCAGGCTTGTTTAGTGATCAATGCAGACACCTGTAGTGTATGTGTGGATTTTATGTGAATCATTTATTCGAATTTGCCGAGGACACCGGGTAAAAGCGCGGCGTTGAACTTCATAAAAGATCCATATTTCTCAACAAGGCCAATTGCGATGATAGATATTCCCGCACTTGCAACACAAAGCCATGTGCTATCGATGTGAGACATCCAGCTTCCGACGATGAAAGGAATTAAAATGCCCGCCAATAATTGGCTTATGCGAATAAGAGCAGCAGCCTGTAACATATATGCTTAAATGTTGCCAAATACTGTCGATGTCTCACTTTTCCGGCTCCACCTCTTCCAATTGTGCCCATCAGCTGCGAGGAAACCTCGCCCAATCCAATGGTGACTCCAATTACTTGCAGCGGCATTCCAAACAGCAAATGGGTATAATCGCGGAAAATTGCGAGATAGATGTATGAAATTGTGAGAATTGCGAACGCGAGCTTCAACAGGAATTGCGGTGCGAACCGGGTCTGAAGTTTTGGTAAGAAAACGGCGTTAACGATCATCGTAGTAATTCCGAGGATGAGAAACTGCAATGAGTCACTATATTTTCTCGAAGCGTTTCGTTTTTTTTTCACTCATACTAGCGTGTGAATTGTACGCGGATCTCGAAGTGCTGTTGAAGCCAGAGTTATCCGAATTACGTTGTCATATGTGGCATAGGGGGCCGAAATCAACTGAAAAATTGATTATTAGGGGGAATTTAGTTTTTGCCGTACCATTATGAGAATTGTGCACCAAACAGTTCTCTCGTTCTTCAATAAATCTCCATAGGCTCTTAAATCGGGAATAAACGATTTTCCTTTACTACAGTTGCTATCGGGAAAATAATTAACCACCAAAGGAATTATAAAGAAAATCGTGAGAACTGAGCAAATTGATTGCGAGAGCTCCAAGGAGGGTGTAACAAAGAAGATCATCTAGTAAGAAATTTATATAATATTGACCATTGTTTTTGTTCAAGTCTTACTTGTAATGCACAATATGGTCCAGCGGCAAAACCAATACTTGTTGGAATTAGGATTTTGGTTATTAATCTTGTTCGCTTCTTGTCGTCACCATCCTCACCCTCTAAATGAAGGACAGCAGCGTCGATAATCATTGGCATGTTGTTGAAAATCAACAAAGTCTGTAGAAACAAGTATGTGTAGTAATCGCGAGTAAACCCGACGACAATCTAAATTATGAACAATGATTTTGGAAATGCTCTTTAAATGTACTTGAAAAATTGCAACGACGCACGACGAAATGACGGCCGTTTTTCTAAGTCCAAATGCTTCGATCTGACATTAATTTTGGAAATAAATAAGCATTTTTTAGTTTTTAGTTTTAATACCATTTGTGCTATGAACACTGTTCCGATTAAAGAGAAAAGTGTTGATGTTGCAGTTAGCCATAAGAGGGAGTCTGGTGATAAATGAGGCTCAAGTTCCCATTGAATAAATGGAGTTAGAACTCGAGTCCATTGATCGGATGTATGATAAAGACCTTAATCGGGATTGTGAGAAAATCTAAGGAATGCCTTACCTGCTGTCAACAATAAGGCATATTCATGCCGTTGGCGCTCGACGCGATTCATTCGCTGTTTTACAAAATGCTGTTTGAAATAATGACGGCGGCATGCCACGATAGGAGGAGCGCGTCATGTTTGCACAGCAGGAGTTTCATTCTCAAAGTATTATTTAGGCGAATTTAAAACAATAGACGAGACAGTAAAAATAATGAATTGGTAAATAAACCAATTTGTTTTCAGGTGGTTTGGACTTGAAAGCTCAAGAAGCTGCACTCCGAAGTGGACCTGATGTTGTCGTTGCCACACCAGGACGACTTATTGATCATCTCCACAATTCTCCAAATTTTAACTTGAGTACTATTGAGGTTTCAAATATTATTAAATCATGTTGTTATCCGAATTCTGGTTTAGGTTCTTGTTCTTGATGAAGCTGATCGAATGCTGGAGGAAGCCTTCCGTGAGCAAATGACAGAACTTATTAGACTTTGCGCAACAAATAGACAAACCTTGTTGTTTTCGGCTACTATGACTGAAGAGGTCCATTTTTCTTTAATTAATATTTTTATTTATTAATTTTCAGATTGAAGATTTAGCTTCGATGTCACTTAAGAAGCCCGTAAAGATTTTCATAAATGAGAATACAGATACTGCGCTGAAATTGAGGTCGAAAAATATGTTTAAAAAAAACGTAAAATTTCGAACATTACAGGCAAGAATTCATTCGAATCCGTGCTGGACGTGAAACAGATCGTGAATCCATTGTTGCGGCGTTGGTAACTAGAACATTCCAAGTATGAATACGTACTCAATTGTCAGATTCAAGCGTTTAATTTAGACGAATACTATTGTTTTTGTTCGGACCAAGAAAGATTGCCAGAGAATGCAAATTTTACTTGGGTTATTGGGAATTAAAGTTGGTCAGATGCAATCGAGTCTCACCCAAGGTCAACGCATTGAAGCTCTTTCGAAATTCAAGAAAGGAGAAATTGATGTTCTTGTTTCCACCGATCTTGCTTCTCGAGGTTTAGATATTGAGGGAGTTCAAACGGTAAGCTTACGTGGTTTTTTGTCTGAAGATTAAACTTTAGGTTATTAATATGAATATGCCCAAAAGCATCAAACAATATATTCATCGAGTTGGCCGAACTGCGAGAGCCGGACGAGCTGGACGATCAATTTCTCTTGTCGGAGAGGATGAGCGAAAGCTTCTCAAGGAGATTATTAATTCGAATGCAGATCGAACGTTGAAACAACGCTTGGTTGCGCCAGAAGTCGTTGAGGCCTATCGCCGCCGAATCGACGAGCTGGAAGAGACTATCCAACAGATTGATGAGGAAGATCGAACCGAACGTGAGATGCGTATTGCTGAGGCATCGATGGCAAAAACGCAAGAGAAGCTTGAGACCGGAACCACTGAAAGAGAAGGACGTGTATGGGCATTAAAGCAGAAGCAAAGCGGTAAGTTTGCCGAAGAATGATTTTGTTTGAAAAATAGTTTTCAGACAAAGAGAAGAAGCGAGAAGAAAAACGTATGCTTAAAATTGAGGCAAGAAAGCGAGCGCAAAATGCCAAGACTCCCGAAGATGTTGCAATTGAGCACGAGGCTGCGTTCCACGTTCGTGAAGCGAAACGTAAACGCCATTCGAAGAATTCGAAGATCCGAGCAGTTCTAGAAGATGGACCACGAAAGGCAATAATTAATTGATAGTGATGTTTTTTAAAGTTATTTTTTGCAGAACCAAAAGAAAGCGGGTGGCAGTAAGAAGGTGAAAGCTAATGCTTCATTGCGCGACATTCCATCTGTCAAGGTTGGTTTGTACTTAATTTGATGATGATTGCTGATAAATTAAGACCGCCACGAAGACATTCCAAAAGAAGAAAACTGGAGCGGAAACCAAAAAGAAAGGATTCACGTCTGCCCTGGCGTCAGTGTCCAGTAAAGCTGTTAAAGCGGCGAGACACGGACCACAAGACGCGGATTTCCAAAAAGCGCGAGTTGCTCATCGTCTCAAAACGAAGAAACGTTAAAATTATTGTTTTTTGTTGTTGTTATTCTTTTTCTTTTTTTTGTTACTGTTTTGTTACTGATAAAACGATTTTATTCATGTACTCTTATTAATGGAGAAAATATGTTTATAATCTTCATGCTTGTTTTTTTTACATGTAATTATTATTATTATTATATTATTACTAATCTTGACTTAATCGCGAAATTTGACGTGATATCAATGAGGTAAGATGGTCCGTGTCATGAGCGTTATGAGCGGCGTACGTAAGGCGATTCGTGGTCCTGCTAATAGAAAATTATTGCGAATAGTTAAAGAGACGAATTACGTGTTTCTGAATAGGAAAACTTATTGGTTCTGAAACTGCTGAACGCGACTCTATTCGCTCATCGAGTTGTTCCATAAGATCCTATAAAATTAGAAATTAATGGATCTGTTGAATTTTACATTCGAACCTGAATATCACTAATATCTTCCATTAAAGACTCTTGCTTTTGTTTATTTTCGTCATTCGAATAAGCAAGTTCTCCAGTGTTCTGAATATGCATTTTAAAAATTAATAATTTAATTACGGCCAGTTACCATTACTGGAATTGAGACCTCGCGACTATTGGCTGTTCGAATACCAAAAACCTTGGCACGACGAGCATGCTTATTGCGGAACTTTGGAAATTTGTTAGCAGAACCGGTTGGCTCAACATCACCATAGTGTAATTGGACCACCTTGGTTAGTTTTGTTCGGTTTCGTTTTGGTCCACGCTTTTTCTTCGTCTAAATTTTTTATAAAATGGTTTCAATCAATTGTGCTACCTTCTGAATAACCTTCGCTTCGGCGATTTTAGCAGCGTTTAACGATTCTGGTGAGCTATCAAGTCTCAATTCGTTTCCATTCACAAAGTTTTGACCCTGTTCGGCTGCCTTCGTCATATTAGCAAGCATCCAGTCAAGAGCATGGAGAGTGTCTAACGATATCTCCTTCAAAATAAATATTATGAAACGGAAAAAAAAGATTGCGTATATTGGGTATTACTTCTGGTAATGGTTTTGGAGCAACCGTGGTTGTTGTCGTACGTACAGTAACCTCACCTTCATGGATCACAAATTTATCTTAATTGTTTAATTAATAATGTTTTAATATAATGTGACTTACAAGGTTTTTTAGTCGTTGGATTTACTTCAATGGATTCAAGTAGCTCTTCATTGAAGAAATTTATTACTTCCGGATTCCTATAAACACAGAACCATTTTACATATCCAACTCGTATAACCTACATTCCAGTCGTTGTCGATTTTGGCTTAGCTGTTGTCAACATCAGTTTTGTGGTAGGCTTCTCAAACCCAGGCGTCACTAATTCCACAGAATCATCTTCGAATACCACTGGATGCCTTGGTGTTACTCGAATCGGTTGACGAGTCGTCGTAGTGATCAGTTTTGGAGTGGTAGAATGTCGAATAGTGGCGGCGATTGTTGTTTTTGGGATAATAGTAGTGGTTGGCTTCCTTGTAGTTGTAGTAATTGGAGTAGTAATAATTGGCCTAGCCGTGGATGCAATTCGTTTAGTTGTTGTCGTAGGAGGATGAGTTGATAACTTTCTCTTCGGCATGATCAAATCCTCAATGCTTCCAAATACGTCGTTGGTAAATTGAGGTCCGGCTACCATTGGTCCATCCATTGGGAATTCTTCATCGTTGCTTTTAGTAGTTGTGATCTCCGGGGTCGTTGTCGTTGACGGTGTCGTGGTTTTCGTTTTGCTTTTCTGCAAAGTTCAACATTATCTAAAAACCGAAAATGTTTGCCTACCTTCTTCGAAAATGTCCCTTCACCACGCGCTTTATTTTCTCTCGACGACTCGTTATCTCTTTCCAAAAACGGCAAGAATTCCTTCGAATTCGAATCACCTTTTCGAGCAGGCTCAACTTCTTTTAAATCATCAAATTTTTCCTTCGTAATGTCCGATATATCCTATAGAGTGAAATATAGCGAGAAAAAAAACAAAAAAAAAAACAAATGACGCACTTTCAAATCGAATTCCGGAAAATCTGGAAGTTTCAGTGGTTCGTTGCCGGTTTTCACAGCAAATGATTTTGCTCCAAACATTCGTTCCGGAGTTGATCCGGGTGCCCCTGTATTTTCATTGGTTGGCCGATGAAGAAGTTCATGAGAGATCAAAGATGGTTGCGGCGCCGCGAGCTCGCCTGAACAATCAATTTTAAGAAAAGTCGTATTTTCTTGCTTACCTAGTTTGACCGAGCTCAGAAGTCTCTGCCTTTCATGCTCGGGTAAGCGATTCAGTTTCTCATCAATACTTTCATCTGGGTAAAGTTGTCTAAGTGCTTCAATACGATCTTCCTGCCATGGATCGATTACATCATAATCATTAGCGACCGTATTTGGTCGTTCATGACCCCGAATTGGACTAGTGCTTGGATCACACGGTTCAGTTTCCTATAATAAGCATTAATGGATGGTAGAAGAAATAATCAATTTTAATAGCTGAACGTTAACTTTACGATGATGTTCATATGCTCGCTTTAGTGTTTTGATGGTATTGCTAATTACAAACCTGATTCGGGCCTAGACATCTGAACCCGCGCACGGTGTTGCATGCGCGAACGCGGATACGCTTTCCATCATTGCAAAAAGACCACGCTGACCATCCAGCCCAAACCGATGCGTATACTGAATATTGAAAATCGGATCGTAAATCAGATTTCATGCAATTATTTTTACCCATTTGCGCATTTTCTGGTAAAAGGCTTGGTCGAGGTGTCGCAAAGCCGTTGAACTGATGAAGTCGTCCGGTTGGAGCCCATGATGGCTGCGTTGAGACTTCCAAATCATGAAGCTGGGATTCTAAAAAGAAATATTTTTCAAAACTATAAAAAAATTAAAATATAGAAAGAAAAGAAACTTGCTAGGCTGCATTTTTTTCGACGTTCAAACCACGCTTACCTATGATTTGGAATATAGTAAGTAAGGATAGGTATATGAGTAAACACCGCATTTTTTACGGAATTCGTTTAGGAGACCCGAGTGCGAATTATGTTCGAAAGGGAGAGAGATAGATTGGGTCAGTTATCAGACGAATGATGGGAAAAAGGTGAAAGGCTTCTCGCGAAACGGGGTCAGAGCTGACAACGCGAATCGAGAGAACGCAGCGGCCCGACAACAATATGCAACTGTTTTAGAACATATTAGGAAAAAAAGTGAAATCGCTTTCGGTTTTAATCTTTATCAATATTGCGAAACTTTTGGTTTTCGAGTGAATTGATTAACAAAAAAAAGATGAATATGATGAGTTCAGTGAATTGTTTCTCCAGATTGTTTCATTTTATCAAAAAAATATGATCATTGAAACAGCGTACTGAACCGGAAAATTCCGGAAGAACAAAAAAATGAATATCGTGTGTCTAAAAAATAATTTATTCAAAAAAATAATAGAGGCTAAAACAAAAATTGTGCGGCCTAAGCCAACACTCAATTTGAATTGATATTATTATTAAACAAAATATGAGCAGAGACAAATATGAAACAACCGGTCATTCAAAATATACATGTTGCACAAAATAATAATCGTTGTAATTTAAGTAGCGGTCAAAATAATTGCTTGATAACAAATAAAAAACGCATGCATTGAAAAACAAACAAATAATTTGAGGCTACATTATTGTATATAATTGAACTTTTTGGAATGGTTGTTGTTATTATTGACATTTCATATCTACATTTTAGGAATATACTCTACAGCTACTGATTTTTTAAAATTCAAATATCAACGGCATCATCATCACTGTCGGTATCTGCAGAGGACGACAACGTTTCATCAATAACCGAATGAATTATTGCTTGTGGATTCTAAAATAGTCACAATTATGGGATTATTTGCGAATTAAATTCCTACCGAATGAGTCCTTCTATGGCACTTTATCGAGTTTTTAAAATGTTGAATTTTGCGCTCGTTGTCACTTAATCCATCAGATCTTGTTGCTCCAATCTCCAACGATCTCTCCAGCGACGACATCATTGTCGAGTGCGAGGTATCCATTAAATCGTAATTACGATGGCGAATTATCTCATCTTCCGATTCTTTTGAGCTACGTGAGTCCATTGAAATATTGAGAATGTTTCCATTTTTCTCCTTCTCCTCGTCGCTGCTGCTTTCTTCCGACACATCCGCGTCGTCAGCGGGACTTCGTCGCGAATCAAGCGATGACATCAAATCAATATCATTCGCGTTCTCTTCAACGTCAAATTGTCGAATCGGATTATTGTAAGTGGTAATCGGCGGTGTGTAGATTGGATTGTTGCAGCTCACAAATTTTGTCGGACTACGCTCGTTTAAATGAATCGCTGTGATTTCCTGCGCTTCTCCAGCCGACTTCAACGCCTCGTCATAGGAAGTTGAGACAGGCATCAATTCGGTAACATTAAGCTCAGTTGGGTTATCATACGGAGTCGGAGATCGAGCTCTCGGCAGAGGACCCATTGATTTTGCTCTAAATTTTCCAAATTGTACGGATTAAACCCTATTGCGTTCCAAACCTGGCTCCTCCACAACACTGCCCTTTGCACGCACACATTTCGCCCTCTGGCGGCTGCGTATTTCTGGATAACGCGACCACCGGATACGATTGGCGATGAATTTTGCTGCTGCTTCGAACTGAAATAATTACTCATATCAAAGAAAAATACTATAACAAATTCTAATGTTAATTCCCATGCGATTGAGTTAGAATTCAATATGTATATAGGGTAATATGCAAACATACGAAAGTTCGAACCATGTGGTACTCTCGCCGGACTATCTCGCTGGAAGGTTGTGCTCGATCTCTTCGGAAGGCCGGGAGTCCTTCGCCTTTGCGCAATTCGACCATCCGACCATCTTCCGTCACAACCGCGATAAATTGTTTGAGCATAGCAAACCTAAATTATTCAAAAGTTAGAAAAAGACGGCGTCTCTCAAAATTACCGGTTGTCCAGCGGTGTTGAGTACGCTGCAACTGGCAGCCGGACTCCACATGCCGCTGTCTTGCGAATAGCCGCTTCCGCGCGCCGGACTACCTCGAACTTGCTCCCAATAAGATTTTCCATTTTCTCCACGAAGGAAACCTATCCATATAAATTGATTTCATCAAATCTATCAGATTACTCACATCCTTGTGGCGCTCCTTCTGGCAACCGTTTTAAACCGGCGGAGCTACGACAAGACGATTGTCTTGAAAACTGGGAGGCTGAGTGCGCTCCTGATGAGCTGCTTGCTTGACTGCAGCGATACGGCGACCCACGACAGTACTCGCTGTGGACCTCTTCGTCAGATGAGTATTCTTCAAATCCTTCGTTGGGATACAGATTGGCGCGACAGTTGTGCATTCCTGGAGACATTGCTTCACGTTCAGCCAGATGATTTTCCCATTCCAACAATTCCTGCATATGAAAAATATGATTGCTATCCAAATATTTAAAGCCTACCGTCTCCTTCAATTTCAATTCCTCGAAACAGCCTTGAATCTTCTTGCACATTTTCTTGGCTCTTTCGAGCTTTTGCTCATACATGTACCGAATATCCTTGATATGGTTCAGCTGTTCAGATCTTTTTCTGTTCAGATCCTCTTCTATAAAATCAAGCAAATAACAATAGAAAATAATTCGATAAAATATACCGATTTGGCTTGCGTTTTTCTTAGTGATCGTTGAAGGATAAACAATGTTCTTTGCAAAATGATTCCATTCATCACAACGTTCAAACCACTCGTCATCGCTCATCTGCGCCAGCTCTTGCCGCAGAATGTCAAGATGCTGGAGGATATGGCCGAAGGATGGACGATTGCGAGGCTTCATTGACAAGCATTGCTTGATCAAAAGCACCAATCCTTTAGGTGCGCTCTCAGGCATTTGAAGTTGAAGATAGCTGAACAATCACAATAAATTTGACGCCGATTTTGGAAAAAGGTTTACTTTTTGCCAACCCCATACATGACAGCCATTGGGGCAATATTTGCATAAGGTTGCTCTTTAGTGAGCATCTCCCAAAGAACAACCCCAAACGAATAGACATCGACTTTTTCATTGCACGGCTCCTTTTTATAGATCTCTGGAGCCATCCAGTTGACAGTTCCGCAAATCGACATCGCCGTATAATCATCCTTATTCTGGTATTGTGACGTACCGAAATCGCATATTTTGATAACATTTTCAGCGCTCAGAAGAATACTGAAGATTTTCAAATAAGAACGTTAATGAATTTCGCACACATACTTTGGTGTCTTCAAATCGCGATGAATCACTTTGTTACTATGCAAATAGTGCATTCCCTCGCCAATTTCCCTCGCGAATCCTGACCACGTGGATTTATCAACCCTATTCTTTCTCAAAAAATGACCGAGTTCTCCATTAGGGCAATACTCCATTATAATGCAATAGCATGGCTTCTGCGAGCAAACACCGCTGGAATGAGAAACAATGAAACGAGTATTTTGATAGTCGACCTACTAGAAATCAATTATATTCTTATGCGACAAATGTCGAAGGTGTTTGATTTCAATTTCTTTGATCTCGTTGACTTTTTTGATGGCTACCATTTTTCCTTTGAACTCTCCTCGAAACACTGCGCCTTGCGAGCCCTGTCCTAACCATTGAAGTTCGTTGATGGCGTCGAAAGGAACTTCCCAATCATCTTCCGGTTTGCTTTGCGTACTGAAATTTTATGTTTAGTTTAAATTATACTTGTATACGTTAACGTACACTTCTGGAATATCCTGTCTTCCGAAAATGCCCCAAACCGGTTTGAAACAGGCGAAAATTCCATCACGAAGAGTGCCAATGCCGACGCGATAATAGTCGTTGGGTGGCTTTTGAGTGCTCAGCGCCATTTGCGAAGAATTGTTGAATTCCTGATCAGCGATTTCGCGATGGTGAATTGGCGTGCTCGGAGCACTTTGCGTGACGAGCGCATCCGACAGGACAACTGTGGAAAATGTCCCCTGGTCGTCTGAAACCAATCAATGCAATCTGTTTGTGTCTTCGGAAAAATTCTAATTTCTCATTATCAAAATAATCATATTTACAACCTGAGCAATATTACGAAATATGAATATGCAAACAGGGGCTAAAAATAATTAATAGAATATATGAAATTGGATTCAAAAATATTTGAATAAAAATCGATTGTGTAAACTGCTACTAACAAAATATTTTCTAATTATTCACATAAGAAAAGCTCCACGTGTTCATATATATGATTATATTTTTCTTTGCATATTCATTGATTAAATACACAACTCAGTTTGTCTTTGAAAATAATAAATGAAAACAATTTAGCAGGCTAGCAATCACAAGATACACAAAACCAGGCATAATGTTTTTCTGCCATTCTTATCAGACCGTTTCAAAAGTTCTATTTGAACTGTGACCGTGTGACGACACGTGGCTCATTTTATGAATCGCGCGACGCAGAAAACGAATGGTGAGGAATCATCACTTACTGTTCCAGATGACATTGACATTTTTGGGCTCGTTTCGTGCCATGACAACTGCTTCTTCTTACACACAACAACGAGACTGGTCGTCGGATGGCGGCGCAGGAAGAGAAGTAGGAGCTTTTGCAGAAAAAAACGCAAAGACGAGAAGGGCACGATGGTGGTCAGAGGAGCCGAACTATTGATAGAGAATGGGGTCGAGAGAGAAGCACGGCGCGCATACAACAATATTGTGGCGCCATCAAATGACTCATGCTAGAGTGCGGCAAGACAACGAATGTCCCAAACAAATAAAGTATGTTACGCATCAAACAGTAGTAAAGGTCGAAGAGCAGAATCCGCGCACAGAAAGTGAATCTGGAATTTTATCGGACTATCGAATTTTACCCTCAAATCGCATGACCAAACTGATATCACCCGTTTGCCAAATTGTGTTCTACTCTTCCGGTAAACTAGGTTTCTCACTGACCGAATGACTCATCCGTCGAAACTTGAGCATAAACAGCTCAAACCCGAGACCCGAAAAAAGAATTCGTTCCTTGTCTTCTGACGTCAATGGGGAGCGTTTCATTCATCTTGTGCTCATCTTTTTTTTCTCCCAGAATAGTTGTCAATTTCGGTTTGTGCTTTGGCTCTCATTTGAGAGAAAAGACAATTAAATGGCGGCCAGGCTCGCGCCGCATAATTACATTTCAAGAATGATCGATACGATGAGGCGCGAGAAGCAAACAAAAAAAAAGAAACAAAACCGAACACGGCTTCGACGGAATTCTCACAAATGACGTAAAAATAGGGCGCTTCTAAAATAAGCGCAACAATGTCGTGAGAAGTTGAAGAACTAAAAAATGCAAATTTGGACGTTTGGCGTAAATTAGGGAATTGTGAGGAATGAATATTTGATAAGAGTATTTTATCATGTTTGCGGTGCCCCAAATCAATTTTTCTACGTCCAAAAATGCGTAGACGCCTTTTTGTTGAAGGAATGGGACAGAGAGAATTTAGAAAAATTTTGAGAAATAGCGAGTCGATAAAAAACGAAATATATATATATATATATATATATATCAAAACACAAAAAGATTTTCCCCGGTCTTCCAGTTTTTTTTCATTCGCAGCAATAAGTGTAATAATTTTTGTGTACCTACCAGTGTTTGAGTCTGGTGTTACCACTTCCAGCGATGTTACCATTGCCGCCGACGTTGATGTCATCTATAATGATAAAATGAAAAATTGTGAGTGAGGAACAGATTAATAACGGTGACACGTTTGAGAAAAACGGTGCGAATTAGAATGTTTTGAATATAAACACACAAATAGCAATAAAACGGCGGCTAGAAAAATAAGATGGGCATTTTAGATAAGACTTCGATGGACAATTATTCTCGCAAATAAAAAACGGTTGAATGTAACTTGTACATCGAATCAATAATTGACCGAAATGAAATGAATGTCCGCTGGTGATGTGAAAACATGTTGCCGAATCGAGTACCGGCCGCAAAATTGGCGATCAATGTGTGTATGTGAATGTGAAAAAAAAGGTAGCGCGCGAGGACGCCGATTTAAAGACCTTGGATAAATGTTCGAAGGTGGGGGTGGAGGGCAGCCGCAAAAATTGCTATGAGCGCAAAAAACCAGAGAAGCGGATGTGAAGGAGAACAGGAGGCGAAAGAGGGGCCCTCAGTGGTTTATGACCGACGGTGAAAAATGCATGACAGCACGCAAGGTTAAGCTTCAGGTTGCCTGGCGACGAGCGCACACAAAATTGTTGATGGCGGCGGATTATGGTAACGGTAGCCGGAAATGCAGAAGATCTGTGATCAAACACCTATTGCGACAATTTTCAAAAACCTACAATTGTTTTTTTTTTACGTCTGTCATGAATTTCCGTCATCTGAATGTTTGTACTTGATCGTCATTTTTTTTCTTCTAATACACATTAAAACCTGCTTCATCAAGAACACTATTTTCCTAATAACCGCTTCGTTCTTGGGCAAAAGTGTCATTAGAATAATGCACAGAAAAAGAAGATTAAATCATATTAAAGAATTCCTTGGCAATTCATCATCGGATTTTTGCTTTTCGAAAAATGCAAAAAATGCCAAAAAGCAGCTAATCAACTGAAAACGGTGGACGGAAGAAACCTCAAAATTATGCCTGTGTCGAATCTGTGCCATTCTGCGTCTCACTACACTTCTCAATTGCTTTTTTTTCGTCTCTGGTTTTCAACTTTTTGATGGCTCGCATGGAGTTCAATGGGCGACAGCGCACTACATATCAAGATTGCCATTCGCCCAACAGCTAAACAATCAAACGACACCCACGAATGCTCTAGTAACTTGACGGGTCTGCAAATTCATCAAAGAATACGCTTTGCCGAAGAATTATTCTAAATTTTTAAATAAATTCAGCGTCTGAACAGTTAGAAGCAGCGAAAAAAACAGGAATCATCAATTAAGGTTAAGAAAGAAGACATATCTCCATTGAAACGTCAAATCCTCGTGTGACCCTTCTCACAATAACCGGTTTTTTTTTGTGTTGCGAAACCATTTTTATCAAAACTTTTGACTTTTTTGGTTCATTAATTTCAAATAAGTTTATATATTTTAAGGAAAACTTCTTTAATTCAATTTTTTGGCGCATCGATGACCACAAACATTTACTGATAAAATAATATTTTATCTGTTGCGCCGTGGTAAACACTTATGAAAAAAAATTCGCCGATAATCCATGGAAAACATCTTCAAATCGTATCTTTTATTTCGCAACTTATTCGACGGCCAGTTGCTCAAAAATAAGTCTTCATAATCATGAGCAAAAACAAAAAAGTCAAAAGGGGGCGGGGGTGGAAGAAATTAAAAAGAAACAAGTGAGTTCTCTTAATCTGATTAGAAAAACAACCAATGTGGATTATGTATTAAAAATTCGAAGTCGGAGACCAACAAGAATACTACCCATTATAATGAAAATAAGAGAGAATGGGGAAAGACACATCAGAAAATACAATAAAAATCGAAAGAACCGTAAGACTGACCATATGAAAATTCACCTGATAAGAAGAACATGATAAAGATGAAGAGGAAGCAAAACATTCTTATTTCTTCGCCACTTTTGCACGAGAAATGGCATCAACAATTGATTTACGGGAAGAATTTGATAACGGAAGAGATGATATTGATGTCAGTAGTTCAGTAATGCTTTCGATGCTCGACAAATGACCTGAACTTCAACAATTATTCTATAAATTAGGAAAAAAAAAAAACGAACCATTTGCTGCAGAAACTCCGCTCAGCGCACTTTTAATTGTTTTATGAATTATTTCGATCTTAGAATTCAACAATTTTATACATTTCTCTTCTGAAAATTGTTCTTGAATAAATTGAATTCTTTTAGGACCTACGCTCTTCTATTCTGTTTTGAGGATCATGCTCAGCCAATGCCTGTAGCTCATGCTCTAGATTCGATCTTTCCATTGTTAATTTACGACGATACGAGTCTCGGGCTTAAAAAAAAAGAATTTTTAAACTAATAATTTTCAAAAAAACCTTTGTTGAACGCAATAAATTCTTTCGAAAAAATTTGACCAGTAAACGAAACATTCGCAGAAGTGGATGGTTCAGAACTCGAGTTGAGTAGAGGACAATATATCTCCATATTAGGCAATGGCTAAAAATTCGTACTGAAATGTGGACTTCCAAAGAAATATAATAACCTTGTCGCAATCGTCATCGCTCTCGGAAGCCTTTCTTTTCAAACCGCGTTTCAACTCCAACTTTTTTTCTAGAATATTACAATATTGATATCAAATTGTTCAAACTTACTTTGAAATTCTGCGTATTGCTCGGTCTTTTTGTATTCCTCCATTGCAATTTCGTATTCGCGTCGCTCTTTCTCAGCGGCTTCTTCATAAAGCTACACAAATCAACATCAAAATACGATTGGAAAAAAATAATTCATACTTTTTTCTGCTCCTGGCTCAAAGTCTGCCATTCAGCTACCAATAAGCTGTGAATATCTTTTTGATGTCGGCCTGGAACACTATAATGGGGTCTTCGGAGCCTAAAAATTATCATTATATAAGATTTTTATTTCTCATATCACATCAAAAATTGAATATATGTGCTTCTAGGACGTTTCGGAGCATTTGGATCTTCGATTCTCCTTCTGTCATCAAATGCTTCCTTCTAAACACTGCGAAAATTCGAAGCATAAATTTATTTTGTACCTTTAATTTTGCCTTGGATTTATTTCGATTATTATGTCTTATCGAATTCGGTTTCGGTACAGAAGGTGCAACAAGTCGTTCTTTCTTTTCAGCTTGCAATTTTGACGCCTCAAATTGCTCATTATTCACTTCTTCCGGTGACAACAATGGTGGCGGTGAACTCGAATCAGACCAATTGGATGGACGAGATGACTGAAGCATACAGCAAAATTTAGATTTTCAAAAATTTCTCGAACACTCACATTTTCTAACGCTGATTCATCACGGATTGTACCCGGCAAAGTGTTGCTGCTCATCTATAAATCATCATATAGTTTCGTTCCAACGTTTTTAATTAAAAATTTACGAAATTATTAAAAACATGTTCTAAACAATAAATATGATAGAATTCATTGGTTGGAATAAAATCAAACATGTCAAAGTCAAATTAAAAAACCAAAATAATTTTAAAGACTCCGAAACAAAGGATGTTTTCGTACCTTAATGTCAGCTTCGATTTTGAGCAAATTAGCATCATCATTTCTCAGCTTCATCTCAGATATAAGCTGCAATAAATGTCGAAAATATTTTTGCGCAGAAAAATTACACGTAACAATTAAAGAATTATGAGCCAGGTGAAAAAACGCTATCACTGATACCAAAGCATTAGTGAAAACTGCGTGTATTTTTCGCGATCACCGCATAATTTTGTTGAAAAAACGCGCATTACACAAATAAAAGAAATTTGGAAGCAATTTTTGAATTGTACAAAATATTTATAAAAGCAAAATATTTTTTAAATCTATTCCGGAATTCTTTCTAGCATAAAAGATGATTTAGAGTCACCGGTAGTTAAATAATTTCTAATCAAAATATGTGAAAATGGAACCACAGAAACACAATAATTGTGCTAATACCACTCTTCAGTATCTATTTTCCAATTTGTTGGGGTACAAAGGGCTATCATCTTCAATACATCAATATGTGCACACATTCAAACTCGTAGCACAAAAATACACACGCTATGCAGTTTCGAGAAAAAAAAATTCAAATTCAAATTTGTCATAATAAGCGGTTAGACAGGGTCATTGGAGGGAAAGTGTAGGGGGCGCGTGTAACCGGGTACAAGTCTCCAATCTCTCTCTCGCCTCCCCCCATTTCTTCAATTTTCTCGATTCGCACACTCTCTCACCTCAATGCCGCATCTCTGCGCTTCGCGAGAAATGTAGATATACACGTTCCTTAATATTATAAATCAAATATTAATCATGTCACCTTGAACATATTACCATACAGGTTTACGTTTGAGACAAAATTATTTATCAAATTACAAAAATCACATTTTAGCATCATTATCCAGGGATTCGGACTTTACATTAGATTGGCTTCCACCCGGAATGACCGTTCGTCTGCCCAAAATTACCTCAAATTTTTAAATAAAAAATAGTTGAATTTGTATATAAAAGTTACCTTCTGGGATTCTTCAAAATATTGATTAGGATGAGTAATTAACTGCCCGAGTTCTCCTTCCTCCATTTTATGAGTAAATTCAAAGTATCTTGTGCACGCCTTATCATATCCATTATGTTCGCTAAAATCAATAATCTGAAAGATATCATGCAATTAATATGCACAGATTACAAAATTTCCAACCTTTTCAATTTGCTCTTTTGACAAATTATCTTTTCGCAATTTCTGTTCGAGTACATGTGTTTCAAGGTGACGAAATGGGCACCCTGGAAATCTGTGAGTTATGCGTTTTTATGGTGTTACACAGATTTCGCAAAAAAAGTAAAAAAAAACCGGTTGAAAAAAAACTTTAAAAAATTCTATACCATGACAATCAACTGCCGAAGGAGGGTTTCGAAGAATAATTTGTGCACAAGACATGGCGTTCTGGAATTAAATTCCTTGAAATGAAAATTCAAACTATACTCACCTGAGGTACTCGTTTCCCTTCTTTTCCGTACATATATCGAATATTATAGGCATATTCCTTGTCAAACTGAAATTACCAATATATATATTGTCATGAAAAATGAAACAAATGAAAACCTTGTCACTTGGTATTTTTTTAGTGAATTCTTCTCGCATCATTTGCATTGCTTCATCAAGAGACAAACCGAGAGCTTTCAGGAATAAACCGTATTGCCTAAATTGGAGTTCTAACAAAACTTTTAACAAGGCCTACCTTCTGGCGCCATATTTTAAATGGTGATTAACCCTGAGATGTGAATGCATTTGTTTCATGCATGGCGGGAATGATTTCACAGCTAACTAAACACTTTGAATTAACATCAAAGAGTTAAGGAATTGTAATACTTTGTCGATCATATGACGTGTGATTTTTTCGGCTCCTTCTTCGTTATTATACTCCCTTTCATCGTAAACATTATTTGCGAGACGTGCAAGTCGCGGTAAAAGACGGCCTTCTTCTTCAAGAATTGCCAAATGTTTGAGCGATCTCTAAAATTTTATTCAATTTCTCAAATTCAACTTTAAATACCGCCATTGCTCCTGCCATCACACTTCGAAATTTAGCAGAAACGATAGAAATAAGGTCCTCATAGGGAAAGTAAGCGATTCCTCGTTTTAAATGTACACCTCCGCGGCGTACCAGCTCGATGGCATTGATAAAGTCGATCTTAGAATGTAAATATAACATGAACAATGTAATTTTTACTTTATAAAAATCGGTGGTATTAACGTCTTCAAGAGTCATCGTGCATCCGTTTGCCAAATCTTCACACATTTCATTTTTCTCTTCTTTAGAGACCTGAATATAAAAAATATACTATATGTAATAATTTGTTTAAACTTACTTTTTGAACGTCGAGATCCATACCATGAAGCGCTGCAGTCACATTCTTCTGATTTTCATTCATGAAGCGAAAACGGAACAAATCAGTTTCTATAGTAGTAAACCATTTTGTGTTTTCAGGCGTTCGGCAAAATGCTAGTCGCAAAATGCAATGCCCAATTAAATCTCTTCTCCAGCATTCAGCAATTTCTTCATCAGTTTTTCCGAAAGCTTCTTTACTCAACACTGAAAATATTTTTTTACAAATAAAATTAGATCTTTTTTTATCAAACCTAAGAACTTCTTCAAATTCTTATAGTGGTTATGGAATTTATTCCGGAAATCAACGTCATTAAACTTGCAACTATCTTTGCAGTTTTCAAAGAACTTCAACAATTTCAATCGTTCCATAGCAATCTCATCGAATTCCATGAGACTGATTTCATCACCCGGTGGAGTCTGATAGAGATTAAGATATTGTGGAATTGATTCACTGTTTTCCTTTTTAACTTCTATCTACAAAATAAAATTAAAATATTAAGAAATTGATGGAATAAGTAATTTAAAATATATACCTTGATACTGCGCCTATTATCTCCGATTTTCGATCGTTGAACTCGGTTTTCCTGGGAGATTATCATCTAAAATATAAAAAAATATGTGTTAATTATGCTTAAATGTTCTATTTGAAAAGTGGAAAACTGTCGGCAATTAAAAACTTAAAAATTTATTTGAAAAATACAATTTTGAATTAGCGCGCGCAGTAGTAACCACGTTATGTAAACTGGAGCATCGTTGCGCCTTTGATTTATTTCACAATAAAATTATTTTTTTCCCGGAATTTCTTTCAAAAAATTGAAAGTGATGATTTTTTTCTTATTAAAGAATATAAGCAAACATTTTTAAATAAAATGAATTAGTAATTATTGTGTCTTTCAGAGATTGACGACGTGATCAAGCGTTTTTCACAATTATTTCCTTTCCACCAATTCACGGCCACCCAAATAGTGAACAAAACGAACCAATGAATTCATTTGGAAATGCCAGTGTCGATATTGATATGGTTTGTTTCTTTTTTGAAATTAAAACGCGGGTTTGTCATCATCGATATAATAAAATAGGAATTACTAATTGAAAATGCGTGACATTTATTGGCGCATCATTCTTTTTTATTTTTCTTTTCATATAATATATAATGCTACATTCTAAATTAACCATATTTGCCACAAATTCCTCGGTACGAGATATATTAACATACTAAATTGATAAATGTAAATTTAGCTCGAACGTGAAATGGCGGCGGAACAAGACACCCGCCGCAATCCTGCTATGGACCTATCCGGCAATATTGCTGGAATGAGTAATAACAGAACAAGAAGGTTTTCTGTACTGAAAAAAAAAATGCATTACGTTTTTTTCAGAGGGCCTATGCAAGAAGTTGATCTTGACGCGGACTTTGATACTTTGGATGAACCAGTATGGGATACCGTGGTACTTAGATTCGTGTAATTTTTCTTTTAGAAAAAGTTTACAGAAGCGAGATATGGTCACTATTGGTGCGAAGTTCATGCATGTTATTCTTCCGCATGGCGACAAGCAGCAACTTTTGCGTGATTGGGATTTGTGGGGGCCACTATTCATTTGCGTAGGACTATCCTTGTACGTTTCGAAGTTAGTTGTAATAGAAAAATGGCAAGTTTTAGACTTTTGCAATATAATGGTGGAACTGACTCTGCCCCACAGTTCACCCAAGTTTTCTCAATCACATTCTTTGGTTCTGTCGTTGTCACCGCAAATATTAAATTGCTAGGTGGAAACATGTGAGCTAATTTTTAAAAATAGATTTTGTTATTCACAAAAAACCATTTATAGATCATTTTTCCAATCACTATGCGTCATCGGATATTGTCTTCTTCCCCCATTTGCAGCAGCAGTGATGTGCTCCATTTTCCTTCATGGGGTTTTCTTCCCATTAAGACTTGCTATTACCGCGATTGGATTCATTTGGTCTACATACGGTAAGCTTTTATATGGTCTCTAATATTAAAGTGAGCAATCTTTTTTTTTAGCATCAATGGGTTTCCTAGCCGGTTGTCAACCCGACAAGAAACGTCTTCTTGTCATCTATCCGGTGTTTTTGTTCTATTTCGTCGTTAGCTGGATGATTATATCGCATTCTTAAATTATGCCGCATTATCGATTAAATATAATTCCCGATCTTTTTTGAATTCGCTTATTTTTGAATGTTCACCTAAAAAATAACAAATTCTGTGATACGCAACGAACTTGATGAAACACCCCATCCGTGCAATATTCACTGTGTTAGTGACACATTTTTTATGGGTTTCTTTTGCATATATTTATTTCAACACTGTATGTTATTTGAAATTATCTACTGGGGTTTTCTTTTTTTTTCATTTATTCTATGACCTGAATAATAAAACTCAATGTGCAACTCGAAGTGAAATTGACCAAAACTGGAGAATGAAATTTTTTATTCGACTTTTGCCGGAAATTTACGTCGTTAATATTAGTTTTGTGTTTATTTTTATCAGAAATAAATAGGCATGATCTACCTTTTCGAAAATTTGATCTAGAAAAATGATCAATCGCGGGTGCACGAAAAACGAAAATTATAGTTTGACCGCGAAATAAGAAGGGTGGAAAAAAACAGACAAATATTCGTTCATATCTAAATCTGTTGCCTTGATGCGAGGTGACTTTTTTTTATGATAAATTTTTTGAACATCTACATTTAGATGCCGACTGTGATTCAGTTTTATCATTGCCCCTCCCAATAAGTTTTATTACAGCCATCCAACTAACCGTAAATGACATCAAAGAGATCTCACAGACGTTCTGGAACACAAGTGAAAGAAGCACCGAAACAAACGCCAAGCGAAACAACTAAAGAAGAATCAAATAAATGTACCGAAGTTGCTAGAAAATTGCCACCATCGGAAGCACGGAATAGCGTAAGCGTTTTTGTGTTTTTCGAACATCATATATTACGAACTCGACGCTCGTCGTGTGCAAAATTTGATTTTTCTGGCAAAATAGGAAGAATGCGTGATTGATTCAGTTGAAAAAGTTTTTTTTCAGTTCTTAGTTGTTTCAAACTTCTTTGGGATTACCGTTGAACCGAAAACAATCCACCGATATGACGTTTTGATAGAATTATATGGTTCAAAGAATGGAAAGAATTACAGGCTGCCATATTCAGGAAAACGAACAAAAGAGTAAGTATTTTTTTAATGGGTGGACCTCGTCTAAAAAGACTGTCATCGTAAGTTCTTTGTTTCGAGTATTATATTCCACCGATTCTGATTCTAATATACGAATTAAAAAAAAAGGAAGTCTTTATTTAAAAAAAAAACGAAATTCCTTTTCATCAAAAAATAATTATTTTTCAGGTGTACTTTCATAGATCGGCAGAAAAATTGTCTAGCCATTTTGAGAAAGGCGATGCAGCAGGTTTTCCGCTCAACGACAAATACCATTGGATTTATCTATGATTGCGTTGAGACGATGTACGCGTCTGAAGCTATTAAAGAATTGGAAACGAAAAGTGAAAAGACGCTGGAAATTAGAAAAGACGAACTCGGAGACCCAACCAAGAACGAAAACGATGCTGGATTCTATGTTACAATCAAGAAAAATGCGAGCTCTCCAACGTTGAATTTGGCTAATTTTAAAGATGAGATGAAACGAGATCTGAGTGAAAACAATAAGGAAGTGAGCAACTTCATAAATCTCCTTAACAGCTATCATGCTCGAGAAATTGGGTTTACGGTAAAATTCCTTCATTCTTTCTCGACGAAAACGAAACTTCAGGTGTTCGGTTCTGGAATAATTTTCAAAATGGATAAAACGATCGTGGAACATATAAACGGTCACGAGGATTTCGAAGGATATGATAAGGGCGTCAAGATTATTGATCAAAGAGTATCAAATGATCTTGTACCGACTCCTGCATTTTCGGTAGATGGTGAGATTTATAGACATTAAATTCAACGTTATAAGAATTGAATACAAGTAGTTCTCATGCCAACCGAAAGTTCATACCATTAATTTACATAATCCAAGTGAGTTTCTGTTTTCAGTAAAAGCCGGAACCTTTTTCAAACCCATAACGATGGAGCAGAGTTTACTACAATACTTCGGAATAACTCAAAGTGGTTTGGCTGAACCGCGGGGAGACCTACTACCGCGAATGAGTCGATATGTGAAAGGTGATACACATTTTTTTGGTTCTTTGTTTATTTCACAGTATCTAAGGCCTCAGCTTCTGCGCTAATTACTCTGGCAGGGTGTACACTTGTTCCGGTCTTAGTAACGTACCAATTTCCCAAATCAAATTCATTCGCGATGGTACGATTTCAATAATTAACAAAATTTATTAAAATCAAATTACAGGGAAAGAAATAACCGTCGCTGAATATCTTAAAGGAAATTCAAAAATTAAAAGATTGAATGTTCGATATCCTGGTGTTCGCGTTTTGAAAACCAATATAAAAGATGGTGTGAAACAGGTAAAACCGTGAGATATTAAAATCAATTTAATAATTTTTTCAGACCGCAGAGCTTATCTTTCCTTTAGAAGAATGTCAGATTCTGAAAAATCAACGTGTTCCAAGAGAAAAGCAATCTTTAAAAGTTAGACGTGGAAAAATTATTTAATAACGTTTCTTTTTTAGGGCCCTTTGCTTAAACCATTCGTAAGATTTCCTAAAATAAGCCAATCGTTTAATAATATGCAACTTAACCGTGAACACTACAAGGCGTTTTTTAAATTGTGAGTGTCTTCAAATATTCTTTATATTATTGTTTTTTTTAGGTTTGGTGTTTCTCTTTCGACTACCCCAAAAAGTGTCACTGCCATTCCTCGAAATGCGCCGGGAATCTTCGCCGAAAAAGGAAGCGTTAATATGAAACAATCGACTTGGTTTTTGACTGCCAACGATTTTCTTGTCAAAGGCTCTCGAAGATTCATTGATATCATTTTTACGAGTAAAGCACAATCTCAAGTGGAGTAAGAATTTTGATAATGTAGCTATTATCGCTATCAATTTTGATGTTATAGAGAATTCAAAGAATCGCTATCGGACATGTTGCAAAAGGCGGGTATAAAAGTAGGAAGTTGGGGAAAATTCAAAATCGATTCCGATAATGATATTTACCTTCAGTTACGACGTGTACGTTAGTTATTTAATGAAGGAGTAATCAGACATTTTGCAGATTTGCGAAAAACGAGAATATAAAAAAAACAATGGAATGATTATTTACATAGATAAACCGAACGAAAAATCGCATGGTACGTAGCAATTCGGGTTTTCGATAACGAAAAAAAAATGTATTAAAGATATTCTGAAACTAGTCGAACGTAGATACGAAGTTCCAACGCAACATTTATTAGAGCATCATGTTTTAGAAAAAAAGTTTGTTTCAATTATATACATATGAATAAAACATTATTTCAGAAATATAACTCGCATGAACGTTATTCGAAAACTTAACCTTAAAATGGGAGGATTGAACTACCGTGTCGTTCCAGAAGCTTGCGCGTAATATTTTTTTCAAATTTGTGATTTTTCGAGAATAATATATTTTCAGACGGGACAAATGGATCTCTAATGAAAATATGTTGATCGTCTCTTACGACGTTGCTCACCCTGGACGAGTAAATACGAATGAGGCGGTGATGGTGCCTAGCGTCGTTGGCGTAAGTCGCTTTTTCCCCATTTATCTCATCCGAGAGTTGATTTTTTAGTTCTCATTCAACGGAGCTTCTCATAAAGAAGCCTTTATTGGTGATTTTCATTACCAGTATCCGAAAAGAGAACAAGTGGATTCCAATATTCTCAAAACAAGAATGAAATGGATGGTTGAAAAGTTTTTGAAAAATCGCAACAAATATCCTGGAATGATTCTGATTATTCGCGACGGTGTTTCTGAAGGACAATATCCAATGGTTTATAAACTAACTGAAATAATTGCATAAATTCTTTTTTTGCAGGTGATGACAGAAGAACTCACTGCGATTCGTAAAGCATGCCAAGAGATAATAAACGAGAAAAACGTCAAGGGCTGGTCGCCAAAGTTCTCACTAGTGATTGCTACAAAGAGAAATTCGTCAAGATTCTTTCTACAGGAGGGAAATAGTACGATTTTTAATAATTTTTTGTCTATAGTTCATATTGTAGATATCTCAAATGTGAAGCCGCTGACTGTAATTGATCGAGATGTGACGCGCCCTAACATTAATGAAGCATATATTGTATCAGCGAGGGCAATTAACGGAACATCAAAACCGGTCTGTTATCAATTGCTCGTAGATGAGATCGGCTTCAAAAATATGGATGAGTTCGAGGCATTTATGTTGGCGTTGACTTTTCATCATCAAATTTGCGAAAGTCCCATTTCACTACCCGAGCCTGTTTATCAAGCCGACGAATTTGCCAAACGCGGAAACGCCCTGTGGAAGGCATACGAGTAAAAAATAAATCTATAGTCCTTGGCTATTCTCATATTTCAGAAGCACTGCACCACTTCTTCTAAAAGAAGACGGATCCGCAGACTTTGAAAGAATGACGGAACGGTTGGCTTATTGGCACTCAACACTCGAAAATATGCGAATTAATGCCTGATCATTTCGTTTACTAACCAGCTCCTACTAACCAACTGTATGTTTTTTAAACGGTGTATATACGTTCAAAACTCTTTATATGTATTATTTTTGCAACTCTGTGCTATTTGGTAATCATTGAGTATGTACATTTTGCATTTTGTACTATTTACTATTGTCTTGCATATGTTTACTAACTTGCTATGATTATGTGTGTTATTTTTTGGCAGTCTAACGGCTGAGTAATAATGCATCATAAAACGTTTCACCGACAGCATTACCATTGAATTAATTTATATAATACTGGTTATTCATAATGAGGTCTTTTCGCAGGGGGTTCTTCATTACGGTGCCGAACAATACTGGCGACATAGCTGAACATTAGCAAGTATATTTGACTCTGATCAAATTTAATGGTAATACCTGCACAAGTGCTCCTTTGTGATTGGGTTTGTCATTGTATCAAACACACTCTGAGCAGTTTTAAGAGCATTTGGCGCTGATTTATCAGTTCGTTCTCTCATAAATTTCCATTCTTTTGGCTTAAATAATTCTATATTTCTCGAAAATAAATTTTTCTCACTCTTCCCGCATGATCTAGCTCAAGAGTACATTCGATAATTTTTCCGTCCAGCTTTTTAAGAGAGTTTGTAGCCTTCATTGTTCCGAACGGCTCTTGATGATGAAGGACGTAAAGAAGACCGCGCCATTCAGGAAGCATTCCTTCCTTTTGTATTCTGAATTTATTTTTTCTCGCAATTCTCTATTGATTTTAGAAAATCACAACTAAAACGTTTTTGGAATTAATGCTTTTATCTTACTTTTCTATTTTGAGCTTGAAATCGACTGAGTTGTGCGACGGAGGTTTCCATTTTAAGACGAAATCACATTTTCCAGCAACATAAGGCTAAAGAAGGAAATTGGAACCGAATAACTAGAATTTCCGATACCCTGTGATCCGGTTGGAAAATCAGACCGTCGATTTCGTGTCCAATATTTTCAACAAATTTTGGCTCGAATAGTTTAGGAACAGCCACAAGATCCCAGAAATCTTTAATACGTACTGACATTACTTGTCGTTCTTTTTTAATTTTGTTCCTCTGAAATTATATTGTACTATCTCTAAATCATCTACACTTACTGCAATTGCTTCATTCCTTGGTTTAATAATTTCACTTCGAATACATTCTGCACGTATTTTATAGTTACTCTTCATCATATTGAAATTATCGAAATGAATGATATCATAAATCAGCAAACGAGGAATCGTGTGAATTCGATCTCCTTCTTTCACCTGTCGTTTGATATTTGTTTTTCGATATTCTACTTTTCGCTTTTACCTTTTCAATAATCATTTCGGCATCAACAAGAGTATTTTTTATATGTCCTCCATTTTTGGCAGGAAAGTCCAGGTTATGAATTTCAAACACTTCATTGTCACGGTCGAACGCGAAAACTTCTCCTTGATCGCAAATGAACACCATGTATCTACGTCTGATTTCAACAGATATAACTCAAATTTGTTACCTCATTCCGTCAGCTTTCCAAGACACCAAATAAGTTTCCTTTTCTAATAAACCAATATTATGCCTACTCAATGAAACTGGTTGTAGCCCCGGAAACCCGTCGCGATTATATTTACAAAGCGTTTTTATCTTAAAATAATGAAATAAATGTGAATTTTCTATGAATGGTTACTCTTGCACGAAGCATAGCCTTTCTACTTTCATCGTCGCATATAGTGACTCCTTCAACCAATCCGTCCATAAATTGTTTGACATTGGCAGTATTAGCACCTTTAAATTCCATTAAAAACTATTTTTTATTCCTTAAAAATAAATACCGTTTTGTTTCGATGTTGAAGCCCCATTATTACTGACCGAATCACCGGCTTCAAATCCATTCGTTCGCGGAATCAAATCCGATACGGAAGTTGGATCATCCCATGTTGGCTTTGGTGGAGCAATAATCCTATCATCATCCTCTTCGCCATACCTATCGAAGAGATCATTTATGTAATCCTGCTTGTAAATTCCATTAGGTCGACTTCTGGCGAATTCGCTGATTGCTGCGTCGATTCCCCATCCCTAAAATAATGTTATTAAATTATAACCATTGCACTATTACAGACCTCTACGCTAAAGAGATACGCCGATATAAGAAAACCGGTGCGGTTAAAACCGTGAGTACAATGAACGCCAACAATTCCTGATGGGTTATTGTTTCGAAATTCCGAAACAATTTTTATAAATTGCTCAGTTTCTTCTTCGCTCGGAGATTCATTATGACCAACTAGTGGTATTTTCTTATAAACGCAACCGTGTTCAGTAACTTCTTCACTATAATAATAGCGATCCGTCCTCGTGAGATCAATCCATAATCCAATTCTCCTGCCTCCAAGGTTTACATGATTAAAAACATCTCTAACATAAAATCGAAGCTTTTTGTCGGGAATCTGATTATCATAAAGAACACACAAAGGAGATTTGAAAGGTAGAAATGTGCCCATCACAAGCTAAATTATATTTCACATATTAGCAATAAAAATAGATTTATACTAACCATACCAACTTTTGGGCAGTTCATCCAGCGATCTGGAACTCCTTTCGTTGCCTTTTCAGGAGTTGGTCCCCGAACCATGTCTAAAAATGTAGTGGTTGTGAAAAACGAAATCGGTAGTTAGTAAAATAACAATTTTAAATTTTAAGGGAAACCCCGCATATAAATAAATTCAGTCGAATGCACGTCATGCGAATTTAACTGACGCGTCCGTCGCGATTGGCGTAATTTTGGTGCATATTTAAATTTTTAATACTTCTAAAACTTCACACTTTTAAATATTTGGATTTGTCCAATTTTCCGAAATATTATAGTAGAAAAGAGATCAGTGATATTTCTTTTAAAAAAAAATCTGTTTTTAAGAATGCACCCATTGTCTTTAACTTGTTTTAAAGGCGCGATGAATATAATTCTTATTAAGAATTATCGGTATTTGCAATTGTCGATGGTATTGTAATAATTTTTATTTCATTTTATTTAAAAAGATTATGCCTCTTCACTTTTCGTCTTCTCTTCCTCCTTTTTCGATTTTTCTTTAGCACTCTTCTGAGTTTTGAATTCTTCGCTTGCCTTTTCTTTTCTTTTGTTTTCTTTTGCGCTGTTCCGCGCTTGCTCAGCCTGAATTGTTTTCTAGTTGGTATAAAATTTCGTGTAGACCATCTTTTCCAATTCATCCATTTCTTCATCCGCTGCCTGCCACAATTCTTTCCTTTCTTCCAACTCTTTCCTCATACTCGCAAGAACTTTCTCCCAAGCTGTTAAGCGACGTAAAAGCTCGTTTACAGGTAGTTCTCCTGACTATTAGCCAATGTCTTAATATTTTACGCATTCTCACCATTTATTAATATTGTTGACAAAAATTTGAAATGTCCCGATTGCAGATGTCTGACGTTCTAGATGTCACGGACTTCTTCTTTAATACTTGTCGAAAATTTCGTCTCTACACGGCAAATGAGAAATGCAACATAACACCAAGAACAAGACTCGCCACCTCATCACATTTAGGTGTTTCATTTGCCGTAAATTCCGAAAATTGTTTGATTTGTTTCCCGACACGCTCCATTGTTCAAAACGATGTGACAAAAGAAAATATGAATATCGAAGTGAAGGATTTGCCTACAAAGAATATTAATTTAAATGGAGTGGAGGTGTGGTCACTGTTTTCTGCTTTCAAAAACTTCATAAGTTTGTTCAGGAAATCAATGAAATTGGAGTAAATAGCACTGGAAATTTGCTCGCAGTACTTCACACTTCATCGGGCAATGTTTTTGTTGATATTTTTGATATCCGTAAATTGTGTTGCTCATCGGATACAAAGGTTAGCAGTTGTAAAAAACGTTTTTTTTTATTATTGAAATATTACAGACAATTTCAAAAATTCGTGTTGGAACAGATCCGGTAAATCGAGGAAGTGCTTTTGAATGGAATCCGGCGATCTCAGAAATGTTTGCAGTTAGCAGTACAGATCGATCACTTTTAGTTGTGAAAATTGATCCAAGCGTAAAAAAAATTGGTAGTCATTTTTTTAAAATTTTGTTTCTTAGGATCCAAACAAGCAGACGGTCATCGGCGCAAAAAAGTTGGGAGCCGTTGTGACGGCGATTAGTTGGAGTCCAAAAGGAAAACAACTGACGATAGGTGATTCGTGTGGAAAAATGGTGCAATTGAAGCCTGAACTCGAAATAGTGCGCACTGTTCAGTCGCCAGGAGAATCTGGGCAATATTTTCAAGTCACTGGTCTCTGCTGGCTGGCAACAACTGAATGGCTAATCTCATATTCAAAAGATAGTAATGCAACCGCACAAGATGTCTTCATTATGACATGCAAGAAAGATAAGCCAACTGATTGGAAACAGCTCAGCGAGTTAAGCTACGCCAACGCGAAATCGCATCTATATGGTTCGCTTCTCACTTCGACACAGCTTCTAGTGGATTGGAATGTAGTGCTCGTTGGAAATAGTCGAATAAGCCAAATCGTTCCTGTTGGCAAAGCTAAAGATGAGTGGCAAACTTGGACGGTAGACGATGGAAAAGATATATACCTTCCTGTATCATCTACCGGTGCTGATTCGTTTCCAATTGGAATTTCGATCGATCGATCCGCTACGGATCAAGTGCCATTAAATTTCGATCGATCGCAAATGCACAGACCCTCACCTGTCGTGCTCTGTTTAACTAGTGATGGTGTCTTAACAGCACATCACATTATTTCGAGTAATCCAAGTCATACAGATGTTCAAATGTAACGGATGAATCATAATTTAAAAAAAATTACTTTCTTTTTTAGAAAGGCTGAAGAACTGCAATTTCAAGGATTGCACGTTTCCGCCGTCACTTCCCAAGCACCAGCAACTCCTGCTTTCGTCGATGTAGCTGTGACGAGTTCATCCAGTATACCCGCTCCTCTTACTCCTTCCTCATTTCTTGGTGCACCATTGAATACTCCCAAAACATCATCGACTCCTACTCCAGCAGTTGCTACACCACCACCTCCAGCGACTCCAAATTTAGTTTCATCGACTCCTGTGAAAAATGAAGAGGACGATAAAAAGTTGCAAGAGAAAAAGGAAAAATTAATTGGTGTTATTTCGACAATCAACACTTCAATGAAAGAAAGCTCAATTGAATTGGGAAAACTAACATTTGCGACGCAAAATGTCCAAAAATCAGTGACGGAATGCTCTGAAGTAGTTAAAAGCTCAATATGCGACACTGAGGAAGTAGTATTTGAACTCAAATCGCTTCTAAGAAATATTGAAGAAACTGCAGTGAGAACAAAACAGGCAATCAAAGGTAAATACGGCTGAAAAAGTTTAAATTAATATTTTTTGCATTTTTCAGACATGGATTTTGAGATCGAAGAAAAGAGCGAGTTTGTCGCGGAGTTGACGGATCCTGAGAAAATTCTGGAAACCCTACGCGATATTTCCGAGACTGAAAAAGTTGTTCGGTTCAACAAATTAGAAACGGCTGCCGACTTCCTCGTGCAAAAGTTCATCGAATGCGATTCATTGTTGAAATCGTTGAAAAATACGCTCGCCGATCGCGAAACCTCGTTGAAACAAACTGTATTGTCACCGCTTCGCTTCCAAAATGATGCAAATCGATTTGATAACGCTGCCGAGGAGCAAACGGCTCTAAAAGTGATGAGGAACATATCTAGGATCATTTTGGACATTCGCGAAAAGCTACAGAGAAATGAAATGGAATATGCAACGCTTGCGAAGCTTACAAAATTTGGGTAAGTATACTTTCATTAATATGAATTAATCTCGAAATTTAAGAGAGAAACAAACATCATTCCCAATAAATAGTACAAATAGCGCTCAAAAAGTGGCACACTACCAGATATTCAATTCAACGCTTAGCAATGGAAATTCAAACAGCGATATAATTGATGCACGAAGGGCACTTGCCGAACGAATGTCGAAACGTGGTCCTGTGAAAACGAAAAATGTCGCAGTTAAATCTTATCATCAACTTGTCAAGCACACTAAGAAGCCTGATATGGATACTACGGATTTGGCTAGTGCACTTTTGAAGGTACTAATCAATCCATCTCTGTAAAACTTTCTTGATATTAAGATGAGCACGACTCCAAGAAGAGTTATGAATACTTCAATTTTTGCCACATCTACTCCATCCGGTAAATGTGACGCCACGACGCAAGCCACTGAAGAACCTATTGTCAAAACAGTCGTAGTTACTGTAGAAACTCCGGCGCCTAACCCTCCAGCTTCACCGGTTACCGTATCAACCTCTACACCAAAACCGACTCTAACGACAACACAAATAACTGGAACTCCCATCTTTTCTGGTGGGTCATTATTTGGAGTAAAGAAACTTGAACCATCGCCAATGGCGAAAAAAGAGCCTGCAAAGGTTTTTGAACCTGAAACTCTAAAACAGCCTGAAACTAAACCCGCTGAAGAACCAAAGGAGTCGGTAACGAAAGTAAAAGAAGAGCCAAAGGAGTCTGAAAAGAAGCCGGATAAAGATGAACATGCAGAGAAGCCAGTGAAAGAACCAGATGAGATACCTAAGAAAAATGAAGAAGTTACAAAAGAAATTGAAAGAAAGGACGTTAAAGCCGAAGAGAAGGCAAATCAGCCTGAAGAAGTGATTGACGTTGTTAATGAGGATCCGAAACCAGACGAGACAATTTCTCAACCAGAAAAACTGAAGATTGAAGAAACAAATGCGGAACCAATAACTGAGAAAAAAAATGAGCCTGCAATCAATTTTTGTAAGTTTCACTTATTGTTTTTATTATGATTTTATGCATAATTTGTAGCGTTTTCAACACCAACTACATCCGCAGGGAAGACGTCGTCAATTTTTGGTGGCAATTCATCAACTAGTGGAAGTAGTAGCCTGTTTGGTGGAGGAATTGCCGCGTCATCGAAGTCGTCGCAGTTTGGAAGTTTTGGGCAAAAAACAGAAAATGCTGCCGCGACCGGCACTAGCGCCGTCAATTTTTCTTTCAATACCGCAAAACCAACAACAACGACTGGAAATGGATTTGGAGCCGCTTTTGGAGGGGCAGCAAAACCTGGTAGAATAATTGTGCAGAAAAAATTTGTTATAATTTATTTTTCAGCATTTGGTGTCACAGAAAATGCAAAGCCTGCTGTTGATGAAGGTATGGAAGACGATGGAATGGTGGCATCCAATTCTTCAACGTTCGGTGGCTTCATGAGGTTGAATCCAAACTCTTAATATTTCAGACAAAATTCAATTTCAGTGGGTTAGGCTCAAAGTCGTCTGCAAACTCGACAAACAGTATCTTTGGAAGTGCTGCGTCGAATAATTCGGGAAACACGTCGAACAGCTGGATTTTTGGAAAAGGGCAGCAACAGCAGCAAAATGCCAAGGTTGTTTAAGAAAATAAATTTCCAAGGGATTTTAATTTATTGAATTTTTAGCCTGCAACATTTTCATTCGCAAATGCTGCAGCTAAAGCGTCTTCACAATCCCCGCAGCAATCAGCATCATCAATTTTTGGTGGCGGTCCGAAATTTGGTGCAGCACCATCATTCGGCGCAAAACCAACGTTTGTTGGATCTCCGGCATCTGGCGGCGGTGGGCTGAGCAAAAATGCGTCGATTTTCGGCGGTGCTACCGGTCAAACTGGCGGCGGTTTTGCTCAATTTGCTACGGGAGGCGGATCGGCTTTTGGTGGAGGAGTGCAATCAGCTAGCTCATCCATATTTGGCGGGGGATCCAATGCTCAACCTGCATCATCAACATCATCGATTTTTGGAGGTGGTGCTCCTCAGAAGACTTCAAGTACTTTCAATACGTGGCGATAACTTATTTTTATCCTATTGCTCTAATTAGATTAACTGACTTTTAAAATATTTGTATTACCGGTTTAGTATTTTGTTGTTCTTTCATTACATTCTTGTGACTAGAAATTTTAAATAAAGTTCTCATTGTCTCTAAATTGTAGTTCCTGCGGAATTTTTTGAGTTTAAATGTTGTTATGCGAGAGGTTGCCGATGACAACCACTCATCCGGAATAGAAATAGCAAACACGCTTGCCTTTTATAGTTGCGCCTTATATTATGTCAATGAACTACAAGGTTTTTGAAATTTCTAAAGCTAAAACGATTTTTGTTTTTTTTTTTTTTTCAGAAAGAGCTTGAAAATTATGAGAAGAATGTTGAACATCATGTTGAAAAGATTGACAGGCAACTCGACGAGCAGCTGGCTGAATTGGTAGGCCCATATGGGAATTTCCTATTTTTACAGTGATTTTCAGGGGCAAAAATTTAGAAATAAGTCCGAATTGCTCAAAACGCTGGAATATGAGAATAAAATAACGGAAGAAGCGAATAATCAAATGAGAATGAGACTAGAATCGTTGACTAAAGTATGTTTTTAATTTGACGGCTCGCTTATATGAATTTTATTTAGGAAGTGAATAGTTTTGATAGAGATCTTAGAGATAGCGAGGATAAATTAAAGGCAACCGAACGACAGATCATGGATTTAAAAGCGAAATTGCCTGGAAAATTGAAAACGAGTTAGATAGGAGTGCAAATAAGAATTATAGATTTCTTTAAGTTGAGGAACTAAAGAGCGAGCTTAATGAAAAACGAAGAAATATAACTGAGAAAACTCAAACAATTTCAAATTATCGCATTAATCAAACCGAGCAAGCGATGAAAAATCGGTTGGAAAAAGCTAGGAAAAAAATGGAAACGGTAAAACAGAAAAAAGACGCGCAGGTACGATTTTCCTTAAAAAATAAGAGTATGTTTAATTTTCTAGGATAAAAAAATTGCAAGGCTTCGGGATGATATTGCCAAAAGTGAAAAGAGTTATGATAAAATAGAGAATAAAATCCGAGATGAAATCAAGTGAAAAGCTTAATGTTGATATTGAAAGCTATACGTCATTTCATTACAGAAGACAGTTTGAAAATGAATCGAAGAAAAATGAAATAGAAAGACGCATAAGAATATTTGAAGCAGAAAATTTTGGCCTAGACGACGAGTTTCAGAAATTGCTTATCAGACTTAATCAAAACGACAGCGAGTATGTTATTTTTTTTCTTCTTACTAAGACATCCTTTAGGCAAGAAATGGATGAAGATAAACGAATTAATGAACTTGAGATTTTATTGTTGAAAGGAGAACGATATTTAAAGAAGCTAGTCGAAAAGAGAAATGAAATCAAAGCATTATTAAATTCGCCGGATAATATTGTGAAGACATCCGATTTGGAGCTGGAATTGGACTTGGTTGAGAAACCGATGGAATCTGGTGCAAATAGTAATCTCGAAAAACGTCATAGCAGAAAGGCTTGGAAGGAAATGGAACAATTAAAGCGAGCCATCATCCAGTACAAAAGAGAATACGAAGCCCTGAATGCATCGCGAAAACGATTGACTGAGGAAAAAGAGAAACTTGAAAAAGACTTGGAGGACGAACAGAAAAACGCAAATAATGCCGCATTCGAGTTGAAGAATGCCGAGAATATTCGAGTATTTGAGATTAACGAAGGCATATTTTCACACATAAAAAAAATAATAATTTGTTTTCAGAAAGCCGCAAATTGAAACCTTCAATTCTTATTGAAACGATTAATGAGAAAAACGAAAAAATAGCAGCAGAAAAAAAGAAGAATTTCGCAGAAAGGAACGAAAAACTGCGAGAAGAAAATCAATTGCGAAGAGTAGAAATTGAAAATTTGAAGTAAATTTCTTGTTTTAAATATTTTGAAATGAATCTTCTAACAAGGCGAAAGATTGAAAACTTGGAGAGAAAGCTACAATCATTCAGCCATCAGGACTTGATAGAATACGAAAATTTAAAAAGTGCGAAAGCTGGTGACTTACGGCATCTCAAACGGCAGTACCACGATGGAGTCATGACTTTAAATTTATTACACAAGGTGAAATATTATCTAAAATTGAAAAAAATATATATATTCCTGTTTAGAAGCTAAAGAATCGCGTATTACAGCGAGAAGCTGCTTTGACAAAAGCGAATAGTGTCGTTCATTTAGCTACTAATATTAGAAATGATCGGAATAGAGAAATAGAAGAGCTGCAAAAGGATATTTATGGGATCGAATCGAAATCTAGCGCGAATTAATAATTTTATTAATCTTCCATTGGTTAAATGAAAATTTTTATTATTTATTGTTCACTAAAATCTTTGTTTATTTTATAAAATCAAATCTTTTATTCGAAAACCAATCGCATTCAAAGTGTAGTCTCGCCATTTGAATTTCGGAATTGCTTATCAAGGAGAAAAACCCGCAAAAAGTGTGCGGCGTTGCAAACACCGCACACTTCATTTTCTGGGTCTCGCAGCGCTTTGGTTTACAGTATGTCGTCTCCTTCGGCCACAAGAGATTCTCGCTGTTTTCCCAAATTTTGTGCCGGTTTTTCACGTTTTTATTAAGAAATTGGAAGCATTTTTTATCGATTAGCCGCTCTATAATTTTCTATGTGTTTTTCTGGGTTATTTGCTCTGTTTTAAACCAAAAACTTTTAATTTATGGCTTAGAAACAAATATATCTACTTTTACTTTTTTATGCCAATTCTTTTTCATTTCCATGCTTAAAAATTTTTTCTTGATTTTTAAAATGATGTTAAGCTAAATTTTAAATCTTTAGAAACATGGTATTCAACCGTGTCGTTCAAATTGGGCGCGTCGTGTTCATCGCTAAGGGACAAGACGAGGGCAAGCTTGCCACCATCGTCAACGTCATCGATGGAAACAGAGTGAGTTCTTTTAAATAATAGGTTTTTTTTAAAAGAATGTTATTAAGGTTTTGGTTGATGGACCAACCACTGGTGTTAGCCGAGGTGTTCGAAACCTCAAGGATCTCCAGCTCACGAAATTCGTGACTAAGATCAGAGTTGGACAGCGCACCAAGGGAGTCCAGGCTGCTTTCGAGGCCGCTAAAGTCGGAGAGGAGTTCCAGAAAACTCAATGGGCCAAGAAAATCGCGCAGAAGGCCTTGGTAATTCGTTTGATTAATAAAAAAAAATTGTTGCTCAGTTATTTACAACATCTTTCCGTAAAACTTAGATTCAAAGTGTTAATCACAATTCTAAAAAAAATTTCTGAAATTTAGTTTGCCTTTTTCAGAGAAGCAAGCTCACCGACTTCGAAAGATACAAGTTAATGAAGGCCAAGCAAATGAGAAACCGCCTTGTCCGAATCGAGTTGGGCAAGTTGAAGAAAGCCCAAAAGTAATTTGTTGTTGTTTTCAATGAAACGTTGTTTAAAAAATGTTTATCAATGAAGTGACAAAATAAATAACAACATAGCTGAAAAAAACATTTTGAAAAGCAGCGTGCAACCCATAGTTTGAGAGACGTTCTCTAGAGCAGCATGTGATAACCGTTCGATTCTCATGTAAATCCTCTTTGAATATTGTTTGTTCAACGCACTGAAATCAAAACTAATGTATTCTTGATTCCAAATGGCTAATTTTATATAATTTAAATCTGTAGTTTGAATTCGACAAGAAAAAATTCAGAAAGTATAAAGATTTAAATGAAAGTTTAAGGTTTTTTTTTTATTAATTATTACAATATTCTAACCTTGTCTTCTTGATCATCACACTCAGGGGACGAAGCGCATCTTCCTAGGGTATATGATGACTTCGAACCAACGCTGTGAATTTTCACACACTGAGTCACCGTACGTCCACATGTCAAAGTCTGCAGTAATTATTCGCATTGATCTCTGAGAAAACACTGACCGTTGTTATATTTGGCGTAAGAGTCATGTCATTTATAATTCGGTAAAATAAACATTGAAGATTATTTGATTGTTCATCGTCTGGTGTTGGATGTGCGCTAGATGCCGTAAATATGAGCAACAAGTATATGCACAATAACATTTCACAAGGTAAGCTTTGCTCTGAAAAATTATAACATTAGGAAACATGACATTAAATCGTTGCAATTGGTGAATGCGGAAATCATTCGCGGATGAGTGCAGACGGACCTGTTTAATAGTGCAGAAAAGCAGTTTTTAAATGTGGAAGAAATGACGAGATGGGGGATTTGTGTTGGAACAAAATTTGAGCGGTGATTGAGTGCAACTCGAAAAAATTTCTGAAGGCAAAACACCTACATGCTATTATATGAAACGACCGCCACAAGCGCAAAATACTTTTAAATTATTTCCGGAGCTCGAAATGCGCGGCTTTTTTGTTTAATGCATCCATTCGAATAAAAAGAAACAGAAAGTCAATACAACAACAAAATAAAAGTTTGCACAAAGAAATGTTGCACGTAATTAATAATTTTGTTTAAAATTTTTTTTTTAAATATTTGAAGTCGCATACCAAAAGTACTGTAGGTTTATGTGTTTTCGGTTCGTGACCTTTCGGAAAACTGAAATGCACCTTTAAATGCTTTACGGTATGACAATTCTATTTGATAATATTGTGTCATGAAGAAACTAACGCCCACAATCATGAACGAAATCAATTGAAAATCTCTGCAGGTGTTAGCTTTTTTGAATTTAGTGATAATTTAAAATAAATTTATTACCCGATGTGTTTTCAACTAACAATGCAACAATGAAATTTAATAGAAAACCTGACGTTTGAGCAAAAAAAAAACGAGGTGACATATTTAAAAGAATCGTTGGGAGGGAATCGGAAAGCTGAGATCAATTTTCAATGGAAAGACATATCACAATTAGAATTGCTAGACACTTGGCACTAATTTTTGGCAATATATTAGAATGATTGTTAATTTGGCGGTGTTACAAGTCGTTTCGGTCGTCGTGGCAATGATTTGTTAAATGTGCCGTCTGACGGGTACACGGCATAGCCTTTTCGTTCTTTTAAGCTGAAAATTAATTCGTTGAAACATTGAAAACATGTTGAGGTTACCTTCTACCGCCAAAACTACTCGGCGCTCGTATTCGACATTCCAGTTCGTTCTTTTTTTCCGTCACAAAACTTTTTGGCTGCGGCAATCGCGACAACTTCGGACCATTTTCATCGGAATTTTTGCGCAATTTCATCGAGGACGTTCTTAAAATCGGCAATTGAGACGGTCTTGGCGTCAGGCTTTTCTCGAAATCTGAATGAGCTCATTATCATTTCGCAAATCAACTGCATTTCTTTACTTTTTACAATGTCTGAAACTCTCGACTCCTGCTTGACGTCTTCATCATCTTCAGAATCTTCTTTCGATTCTCTACCACTGTCTACAGATTTCGGTTCACTTCGCGGTGAGGATTCCTGAGAAATCGTCATTTGCTCATCATGCCCATGAACGGATTCTTCTGTTTCCTACAAATAATCAAAGTTGAACATTTTCAAATAGTCTCAACTACTTCTTCTTCCGGCTCTTCTGTTATCGATCCAAGGACGGGAATGAATCGTCTTTGGCGGATTCGCTCTTTTGCAACGTCGACCATTCTTCGTAAATCGTATAGAAACTGCTCTGCCATTGGGGGAGGATTCTCAAGAAGATCACGATCAAAATATTCTAAACAAATAGAAAAAAATGAAGCAAAAATAATTTTGAAGCAATTCTCGCACCTGAGCTGAAATACAATCGCCTTCGGTTTGAAAGAAGGCCATGCGGTGCGCCGACGTCTTCTTCAATATCAATGTCATCAATGGAAAGTTGAGCATTCATCTAGAACGTTGAAGTTTGAAATATTTTTCAACTTTTTGAAACCTTATTTTGTTGATGCCTGTATTGCTGAATGAATTGCATTTGGAAATCGCTTATCAGTTTTCTTTTCTTGATTTTCCAGCAAATGTTCCAGACAACAAACGTCGACGTCAGTGTGATGACGATGAATGCGACGAACGCCAGAAGGAGAATCATTTCGATTCTCCAGCCCGGCTCCTCGACAATTCCAGCGCCGCGATCAGCGTGCTGAAACGCGCCTGCAAATTCGGTGTTAAGTTGAAGGATATCCGTCGGATCCCCTGCCACATAAGAGTTGATAAATCCGAGTTAATCCGCATAGGCTAGCAAGACGCGCGCGCGCGCGGCGCGAGAAAGTGAAATGGCGAATAATATTTGCTGATACAGCCACACAACACCGGCTGACGTTCGGTTAATTGCGGAATTTATTATGCGTATACAAGCCGGATTGATAATGAATTGAAATGAACAGAATTGAGTGCGCGCGTTCAGAAACTGACATCGGTCCAACTGAATTAATTAATTAATTAATTGCAATCAAAAACAATATACGCGAAAGTCACATTTCTGTATTTAATTTATCGCAACATCATTTCTGAAAATATTTTTTGTTTAGCCCTATTTGGCTGCGCGTTTGTTTCAAGAGAAAAATAGAAGTTTCCGAAAATTTAAAGGGCCAATGTAAGAAAAGAAAATGAAAATAGAGGAGATATCAATTCAAATAAAATTTTGAAATTTTGTTTCCTATTTAATTTCACTGAAATTTTCTTTCAATAAAAATTTAATAGCGAACCTGAAATTCCTGAAATTCTCAAAGCTATACAAAATTCTTGATTCGACTCGTTTCGGGTGTCACAACGCATTTTGATTTGCACCACGGCTCCAGCGAGAAACGACGCGTCGAACTCCGTTCCTCGAAACTAAATTTTGAGTGCAATTATAAATTCGATAAATCATTAATCTATTACATATAAAATTGGCATATTGTTCATATAAGTCAACTCGAAAAGTACGCTTTTCCTCGGCGGCGTTTTCCATTTGTGGTGAATATTTTCGTAAAATACTCGGCCGAGAGTGCAATTCGCTTTTCCTTCAGAATTCACAATCACACCAGCTTCTAAAAAATCAAAGTGGAGTTGCAAAAAAACAGCTGATTTTCAAAATCAAATACCGGAAAACTGAAGTGGATTGTTCGGAAGAACTATTGTGTGCGGTGATAGTCTGACAACGGGAACCAGACGATCCACTGGTGAATCGGTTTGCCATCGAATTGTTTCCCGACATTCTTCCTTGCTTATTCGATCGACGCAAAAGCCTACCGTACTCAAGTAAACTGGCCGTGATTCTGGGCATTGGCAAGCGCACGCGGTCAGTTGATGCGAGAAGTTGTCGGCGTGGTAGAGGTGCTGACAGGCGGATGGGCACAGCGTTGGATGCAGAATGTCGCCATGACTCGTTTTTCTGACTAAACTTCGACAAATTCAATAATTCGTGATGATGTATAGTCTTTCTCGTGAAATTTCCAAAAAAAAAAATCCAATCTTGTAGTTTGTGTTTTTCGCCAATAAATATCATTTGGTCACTGACGCCATTGCACTATTTTTTTAAGAGAAAATAATTGTTTTGGCAATATGGCGAATGTAAAGGGACAACATATTTATTTCTTTTTTTTTGAACGGACAAGTTGAGTTTATTTTGTGATAGTAATCACTGATAATAAAATATTTTTAAAATAATCGAGTTCGCTAAAAATAGAAGCGAGAGCAGCGAAAAAAATTTCGCATAATTTATCAATTAGAGAAGATTGTGTGATAAGGTACGACTCACCAACAGAATGGATGAGACGATCAAATCGATGAGAAGGCACTGTGGATGTCAAAATCGAGGCGGAGCCAACGAGTCGTATGAGCAGAAAAATGCTCAGCATCCTCCCGCAAAAGGGGGAGTGTCGACAGCGATTCGTGTCGAAATTTAATTGGGTTCACTCACTGAAAAGACAAGGCAAGATAGTAATAGTCAGAGCGCCGTCGCGATCGGTCGGAAAACGCAGCGACGACGACAAGGTCGTTCTCTCAATTTCTCCTTTTTTCACCTGAGTCTCCCTCGCCTTATTCGATGAACAAGTTGTTTCGTTAAAGGGCCGTAGGGGGGTGGGGGCGATCCTAGGAGTGATAACATGAAGGGGGTCTGTCCATGTTTTGTATAGTTTGAATGTGTATTATATATTTATATATCATATACCAGGTACGATTCAGTTAAATTCATGGATTTCCGAATGGAAAAATACTAGGCGAATGAGTCAGAAGATTGATGAATGGGCCAATTCAAGGCGATTTGAGGTCGACATTTATCAAGGAAACGAACCAAAGAATAAAATATGGAAATTGTCAGCTGGGCTGGGAGTCTTCGAGTAATCATAATAGAATAGCGAAAAAATTATAGTCGACACGTGATGATGTCGATTAGAGTTTTGTTCATTTCATCGTTTTCCCATCTTTAAGTACAGAACTCGAATCGAAGTGGAGTCGTGAAGATAGGACAGAAATGGGAACTCCAATTGCTCCGGTCAAAATAAGTCCTGGAGACAAAATCAAGGAACAGTTTTTAGTGAAAAAGAAGGTTGGTTGATTGGAATCAAGGTATTCCAGAAAACAATCGCAATTTTTCAGCTTGGCGAAGGTGCATGTGGTCAAGTGTTCCTCGTCGAATTATTGCAAGGGGTTCGAATTGTGGCCGAATATTCAAATATTATTGTTTTCGATTTCTAGAAAGGTCGAGCTGCTATGAAAATTGAGCCGCTGATGAAAAATAAGGAAGACGAAATTCTTAAAATGGAGGTTTTCGTGCTTAAAAAATTGCAAAAGTCTGCTAAACAATTCCGAAAATGGATGCTTCGTGCAATTTTGCAGCTCGCGTCACGTATGCCGACTTTTAGGGTCGGGCAAAACGGAAACCTACACATATTTGGTGATGAGCTTGCTAGGAAAAGAGGTTCAGAGTGGCATAGATTTGACAAAATAAAAAAAGCGAATTTCGTGTTAAGATTGGTGATTTGCGGAGACGGCTGCCTGGCCGAAAAATGTCAGCACCATCAACGATTCGGATTTTCATTCAAGTCGTTAAAGTAAAAATGAGCACATTGTTGATTTTGTAAAATTCGTAAAATTTGACCATCAGGCTCTTCAAGACATGCACGAGGCCGGATTTGTTCATAGGGATGTGAAGCCGAGCAATATGGCCGTCGGACTGAAAAATGAGCAAGTGGTCTACATTTTTGACTTTGGCCTCTCAAGACAAATCATGTTTCCGGACGCGAGCGGCAAATTGAAATTGAGAGATCCAAGATCCAAAGTTTAAAATGAAATTTGCACTTTTATTAATTTCGAATTTTAGTCAGTGTTCCGGGGAACCGTTCGCTATTGCAGTTTAAACGTTCATTTGCACAAAGAGCAAGGAAGGCACGACGATTTGTAAGGTTTTTTCAACTCACTTCAATTAACATCATATTCAGATATGGAGCTTTGTACGCAATGATCGAGACCTTGACATCACAGCTTCCATGGAAGGGAAAACCCAAGAAGGAGACGCAGACTTTAAAAGAGAAGACGACGGACGCTCAGCTGACAAAAGTACGTGATAACACTGATCTTGACATATTGGAATAGTTCACTTCAGGGATGCCCAAAATCGTTTTTGGAAATTGCTCAAGGTCTGCGCAAACTCAAATACAGCGACACACCCCCGTACATGTCGTTTATGGAAAAATTGAAGAATGATTTGCCGAAGGGCACCAAGATGTTTGACGTTCGAATCTAGTATTGTTTCACATCATCGTTTTTAGGACCGATCCATTTGAGTGGAATTTGAATAAAGCGCAGCTCGACGAAAATGGCAATGAGAAGTCGGATCGTGATAATGCCGAACGAGGTGAAGGTGCTGACACCGTCAACGAAGTGGATGAAAGCGTTGTAACGGAAGATCGCAATACTGGGGAATCGTCAAAGGATGCAGAAGAATATGGAAAAGAAGATACTCTTGAAGGATTATAAATTTGTGTGTTTTGGAGAACATAAATGATTGTTTAAATGAATTTAAAGTAAAAATTTATTGTTATTGTCCGATTGTATTCCAGATACATGGTTATTTACAGTGAAAACGGAATCAAATTGGAGTTTCTTTGCTAGGACTCGGTAGAGTTTTGTTCTGAGAAGCGATGATAGCCTCTTGCGTTTTTTCCATGTGATGAAGAACATCAATGGTGACATTTGTCCTTTCGAGTTTCGCTTTTGCAGAAGCGATTTTCTCTCGTAGCTGAAAATGTTGAAAATGCAAAAATATAAACGCGAGAATACGAACTTGTCGAATTTTCTCTAATTTTTCCTCGAACACGCGATCATATTCTTTTGAATCGAACACCCTTGGATCATTAAATCCAGCAAGCATTTTCCTCTGAAATATAACAAAAATCAATTATTTTTCACTATTAATCTTACATTCTCTGGCAATGTAACTGATTTTGGAATAGCCATGAGATAGGACCTGACGAAATCCTGAATATATACCAATTCATTTCTCACTCTATTCTTATAATACTTACATTAATAACCTCGAGTAGTGTTTTAAATGGTTTCAATCTAAAGGGAAACGCCAAAAATGAATCTTTTGCTTCGGGGTCAAGCTGAAAAATCAATTATTCGCCGCTCCTGTCGTGAATAAAATAATACCCCAGCCAAATCGCCTTTAAATTCTTCTTGACAGACCTTTTGCCAGGCGTCGGTAATTAAATTCGTAACTAAAAATAACTTATCATAATAATTAATAATTCAAAATCTTACTATGATCACGCAATCCAACAGATGAAAACCCGAAAAAAGCAACCTGTAGTTCATTATCTGCTCCAGCTAATTCGGACATCTGAAATATTAAATAGTTTCTGAGTAAAATACAGATAGAAGAAATAACTACTAAAAAACTCAATATGAAATCAACAATTTCAAACGCCCGCCGTAATGTGCATGCACAGTAATCTACGCGCAAATGCACCTAGTTAGTATTCAAAAATTTTTAATTTTTATTCATGAATTTTATATAATTGTAAAAGCTACAGTGATTTGTTTTTATGTTCTTCGGAATGGAAAAATATTGTTTTTTTTTGTTTAATTTTTGCTATTATACATTAATCACACTGAATATTTGTTGAACGTCAGGACCAACGCCGCGTCTTTTATAGTGTGACCGAGTTTATTGACGACCTCTTCACTTGTTGATTATTTCCAAATGTTTCGACGTTATTTTTGTATTCAAAGTTTCCGATTTTTAAGAAATGAGTGATCAGGAAGAATTAGATCAGGACTATGGCCCTTCAGAAGCTACCATTCTATTTGCAAACGAGGTAAAAACAATTGAAAATCAGTTGTTTGATTAAACTTTTTTCAGGTGCGCACCGAGTTCAGAAAAGCATTTCCTCTACGTTCAGAAACTCAGAAAAAACTTGAAATGACGCAAAAAAGGAATGCGTGTCGTATAAGAAAACAATTAAATTTTGATGAGTCGATGTCACCTATTGGTAAATATTTAAAAATACATTAAATATATTTATTTTTAAAGCCCTTCAAGCAGAAGTCCAGCGAGCAAGTTTTGCAATTGAATCAAAAGATAGAAAATTGGAAGATGCTGAAAGGGAAATCGCAAAGTTAAAAGAAAAGCTTGAAGTAATATATTTTTTTATCAACCGTCATCGAATAGTTTTGTTAAGGAAAAAGATACGCAATATCAAAAAGTGCTTGACGAAAAAGAGAAACTCGAATACGCCAAACTGGAGCTGACAAATTTGTCAAAACAAACAGAGGCAAGATTAAATGAAGTGGAGAGCAGAAATCAGCTAGAAAATGAATATTGGCGGACGATAGGAAGAAAATATTATATTTGGTTTAAAATGGCAAATGAGCAGCTTGAAGAAATTCATGATATTCTCTCGACCGGCGGAAGCTTTGATGAAAGAGCGGTTCAAAGAATTAATCAGGCTCCGATGAATATTTTCATGCAATTGAAGGATATCAATTTCTGTGAAAATAGTAATTTTAATCATTTTTTATTTTTTTCAAATCAAAGTTTTTAGATTATGCTCAGAGTCTTGCTGCTGGATCACTACTAGAGTTCAGCGGAGTTCAATTTGAACCGCAAACGGCACCACAACTCGACTTCACCTTATTCGATTCGCGTATTGAGGGCGCTCGTTTCGGTGAAAACTCGACAACGTTTCAACCGCCAAAACCCGAAAGTAAGTCATACTCGAATGTTGGTTTAAAATATTTGAATCTCTTCAGATGCTGACAATACTATTCTAAGCGATACAATTTTTTCATCCAATAGCACAATGGCGGATAATTCCACGATATTAACGGGCGGTGGTCGAGCAAATATGTCATCGTTTGATTACGAGAGAGATGAGAAAATTCAGCGATTACTTCTTGAAAATAGTGTTCTTAAGGATCGATTGAATGTCTCAAAGTAGACATTATTATTTGAATAGAACAATTTGATTTGATAATTTTTTAGAGGACGCGCTGAACAGTCATTGATTTTTGAAGAGAAGAATCGCACGTTGGAGAAAGAAAAACAGCTTTTACAATCGAAGTTAGATAAGACATTTGTAAGATTTGAATAAGCTCCAGAATTTTTCAAAATTAATTAATTTTAGAGCGAAATCGAGGCAATGCGAATGGGAACTGCTCGTAAACTATTTTCAATAGACGAGGAAATATCGAAAAGTGGCTCGAGTGAGCTTAACAGCCAGAATAAGGCCCTTAAAATGGTGGATAGAATCAATAATTTGCTTAGCGAGTATGTGAAACCTGTCGTTTCTTCCCGCCAATAACAAAAAAAAGTGGGCCTATATTTGGAATTTCGCGGAATAATTGAGAAATCTTCACTATTTTTTTTCTAAAAAGTCAAAAATATGAGTGGATATTTTTTCTGCATTGCGCAATTAGTATGTGCGGGAATTATTATAATGCCTCAAATACGCAACTATGAAAATGATTCAGAAACACCAAAATGGAGAAGGAAATTGCATCAGCAACATCGAAAATCATGTCATTAACGAAACAGCTTAACGAATGGTATTAGTGCGGAAAATTAAATTAATAATAATTGTTGAAATTTTCAGCGATCGCAGAAATAGTCGAGTTGAGGATGCTTACTCTGAGCAGCTTGGAAAATCCATTGAGCTTGAAAAGTTTGAGCTTAAATTTTAAAAAATCTTATCAATTTTGATTGCAGTAAATTAACGGAAATGACAAATAAAAATTATTTATTGGAACAGGAAATCACGCAATTGCGACAGGTTTTGTTGATCAAAAGTATTTCAATGTTTAACTATAAATTTCAGAATATTCAATGTTCTGTACAGCCAACAGATGCAGGAAACACAACACAAATATTCCACATGCCTCAAAATCCGCTTGAGGCTGCTCACGAAGAATTTCAAGCTGCCGAAACCAGAAAAAGAAAGTTGAGCGAGTATTCAGACGATCCCGAAGCGAAACGAAAACGAGAAGAGCTCGTCGAGGAGCTTGAAGAGCGTTTGAGAAAAGCTGAGATCGAAAAAAACATCATTGAAGACAGCTACAATTTGCATAAGGATCTTGCTAGCAAATTCAGGTTTTATTAGTTTCGTCTGAAACTTCGTTGAACTTAAACATTCAGGCAAGTTTGTGTGGCGCTGACCGGATTGCAGATCAAACTAAAAGATGCTGACGAAGGAATCTGCACAGTACAAAGCGAATACGAAGGAAGAGATAGGCAGTTTGTGTTTAAATGCTTCTACGGAACAACGCGAATCGATATGCTCGATGTGAACAGTGACCAATCAAGCGAAACGATCCGAAAATGGGAACCACTTATGCGGAAGTACATTGGAGAGCGAAATTCGATTCCAGCATTTCTTGCCGCTGTAACATTACAGCTCGAACAGGAGCGCGATTTTGATCAGACGATTCTTGAAAGGACACACACATTCTCTGTTCTACACGCCGATTAAATTTTTTAAATGTTACCTTGCACTTTTTTATTTGGAATACAAACTAATTGAAATTTTTGTGGAAGACTGCTTGAAGCAGCGATGACAATTCGATCTCTGCCACTTTAGTCCATCCTTCGTTAAATGGTCCGTTTTTACCCATCTCTCTCAAACACATCTAATAAGTTCTGAGTGAGTGCAAAAAGGTTTTTAATTAATTCGTATTCAAATTTCAGATATGATGGAGTGGATTCTTGAACTGATTGATCATGAGATTTCCATAATAAATTCCACTCCAAATTCTGCATTGAGGTATATTATACGGTATATACTTGATTTCATATCCTTACAAAGCAAATGCTTATGGTGTCATTCGGTGATCTCCAGCACAGGGGACGGTGTGCTTCTTGACCAAGGTGGATCAAAAAATTACGGCAGAAAATTGTTATTTCTAGTTAGTGACTAAAAACATTGAATGTGGAGAATATTATGAAAGATAACGGAAAATTTTCGATTAAAAAATTGCAACCCCCACCAATAGTAATAGGGCCGATAGTAGAAGTAGGTAAGAGATGTGTCCCATCTCTATTCATTTCATGTATTTGTGACGAAGCCACCTTTTAAGGTGTTACATAATTTATTTTTCTCAGACTGTAAAAAATATTCATCAAAAATTGCGTTTCGATTTTTTTTTATGACAACGGACTTGAAAATTGTTTTTTTTTCAGTTTTTAAATAAATTTTAACATGCTTGATAATACATGAATTTCGTTTAAAAATAGTATTGTAAATGTAAATACTATTAAATTATTAATGTTGTAAAACGGAGATAACAAGTTAAGCATTAATTCGCGATCCGTCCAGTTTAGAATGCCAGTAAGACAAGTTTTCGGTCATGAACTCAAAGTCTGCAGCATTTCCATCTTCGATTTTCGGGATGGAGTGAATTCGCCTAAAAACATTGAATTTTTTGAATAGAAGAATTTGATTATCGTACTCGTATGCTTTCCACATGGCGTTTCCTCGTTTGGCAAATTCGTCGGCTTGATAAACAGGCTCGGGTAGTGAAATGGGACTTTCGCAAATTTGATGATGAAAAGTCAACGCCAGCATAAATGACTCGAACTCATCCATATTTTTGAAGCCGATCTCATTTCGAAGCAACTGATAACAGATGGGCTTTGCAGTACCTTGAATCGCGTTTGCCGAGACGATGTACGCTTCGTTGATATTGGATCTCGTAATATCTTGATCAATTACAGTTAACGGCTTGACATTTGCGATGTCTATAATGGAAATAATAGACGAGAGAATATATTTTAAAAAATCGCACTCTGTCCGTTCTGCATAAAGAATCTTGCTGAATTTCTCTTTGTAGCAATCACTAGAGCGAACTTTGGCGACCAGTTTTTGAGATTTTTCTGTTGCGCCACTTCTTGGCATGCTGCTCGAATCGCAGTCAATTCTTCTGTCATTACCTGCACAGAAACATTCATTTTTATTATTTTTCTTGGCCCACAAACCATTGCATACTGTCCTTCGGACACTCCATCGCGGATTATCAAAATAAACGCAGGATATTTTCGGCGGTTCGTCACAAACTTGTCAATCATCCACTTCATTCTTCTTTTGAGAATATTGGAATCCACTTGTTCTCTTTTCGGATACTGGTAATGAAAATCACCAATAAAGGCTTCTTTATGAGAAGCTCCATTGAATGAGAACTAAACAATATAAACAATGAACCGACAACATAACTGGAACAAATCTCACTCCTACGACGCTAGGCACCATCACCGCCTCATTCGTATTTACTTGTCCAGGATGAGCAACGTCGTAAGAGACGATCAACATATTCTCATTAGAGATCCATTTGTCCCGTCTGAAAATATTCATATTCTCGAAAAATCACAAATTTGAAAAAAATTACGCGTAAATTTCTGGAGAGATCTCGTAGTTCAATCCTCCCAATTTAAGGTTTATTTTCAGAATTACGTTTTGACGTGTCATTCGTTTCTGTCTGAACCAATTCCCGTTATCATAACACTTTTTGGTTGTTTTTTTTTTTAATTGAATTTCACATACATCAAATCGTGTGCCACTTTTGTCGTGAGCTGCTGCGATGGAATACTATACAGCCTTTCAACGAGCTTTAATGAGTCTAAAATAATTAATAAAATCGAAAAATAAATTTATGCAAACCGTGTGATTTATTGATTGAATCATCTATGAATATGATCAGTCCAATACTTTTATATTCTTGCTGACACTTTTTAAACAACTAAATGTCTCGTTATAAAAACAGAATACACGTAAAATTGACATACTTGGTCCAGGGAATCATAATAGCAATATTCAGCCTTATAAGACCTTATATCCTCGATGATCCACCTTTTTACGAAGATTCCCGCCTTTTTACAAGCGTCGTTAAGCGAATTCATACAATCGCTGCAAACGTAAACGTATTAAAACGTTTTTAATGCAATTGCCTTGCAAATAAAATAATTTACTCACACGGCAAGACGGTGCTGATTGTCGTGAGCCAAAACTACAATATCGGAGGAAGCTCCACGAAGAAGTTTGCTTCCACTTGAAGACCAATTCATTTTCTTTGCGTCGTATGTAGACGTTTTATTTTTGAAAATAATTTCCGGTGCTTGTCGTTGAATGGCTGTCACTGTTCGCGGTTTTTCCGAGATTTTCACACCAAACCTGAAACAATCGTTTGTGCTTCAATCTAGGATATTCTTTGTTACATTTTCAAATATTTGTTATTAGCACCGCCCGCGTCAAGACTGAGATCGTGCAACAACTGTTGCATTTGATTGTAACGTGCTCGGACTGAAATCGGTCTTGGCTGAAATCGGGTTGAGTAACGATTATTCTAAAACAATATAACGGACCTTTTCAATTTGTTTATCATTCGGAACACGCTGATTTGGAAGCAACATCATGGTTTCAAGGGCAAATAACATTTCTCTCTTCTAAAAAATTATTCAGTACCACAATAGGCTTTTTTATTTGCTTTTGATTGATCTTACTTTTTCGCCCCCCACTAGGACACGTCCCGCTGGTAAGTTTTTATTAAACGGACCACGCTCATTGTGAACACAACCGAGATATTCAACAAGGCTTATTTGTTTTCCTGAAATTATAATCCAAATTTAAATTTCACCAATATGAAAGAGATACCATCGTGCTGAATTTTGATTTCCGACATTGGGAATCTGGTTAGCCCAACGCAGGTATAGGCATGTTTGTCGTAAGTTGGCTCGAATTTAAGCCCTTTAAAAGAATTTCTTCATGTTTCCGAAAATCAAACCCACAAATAGTATTATTACCTTTAACGTAACGATTCATTTTTAAAAACGCATCATGAGCAGCTCCTTTTCCGTCTTCCTGGTCCATCAGATTCCAATCAATATAACTGCTTCGCCCAAAAAACGCTTGAAGCGATTTATCTAAGGTTTGCACCTTGAAAAATGTCCCCACTTTTGCTTAAATAATTTTAAATTATACTCCTGTCATCAATAAAAATCTTCACACCATCCAGATTAAGTGCCGGTATCGTATCGCTCTGGTTATTAGCGTTTGGTTTTCCTTCAATAAATTTGATGCCCTTATCGGCGCCATTACGCTCTTCGTGTCCATTGTTTTTGACTCGACCTTGCCTCGACATGTCGAAAATGCTACCACATCCAAACACCTAAACAACAACAACAAATCATTAAATCCATACTGCGTTATTTGTACCGTTAATCCATTCTCGCGAGCCGATTGATTTGTAAGAAGATCCATAAAGTTTGACACAATCTTGCTCGTTTCTGTGACATCTTTGGGATTCTCATTTGAGAAATCCGAGATGTCGAAAAATGGAACGGTTGAGTTAGGCGTGATCGTAACAATGAAGTGGCTTGGATTCGAATGGCGAATGAGCATTTGAATAGAATTCGGAAGTTTCGCAACGGGTACTGTCAATTGCATAGATTTCACGGAATCGAATGCTTCGATTTTCTTTGACGTATACATAGAAGTCGCACAGTCATAAACTATCGCTGATTCATTTTTGAATACATCGTTCTCGTCGAGAGCCTCCCGTAAGACTCGATGACAAATCTTGTGTCTTTCCATCGTCACACATCTGTAACATGTTAATTGTTTTTTTTTTTTTTTGAAACTCGATGACTAATATTATATTGTTTGGAAACGTATTTTCCAATGGCATTATGCACATTTCGAACACACCTTAAAAATCATATGCAAGTTACAGAAAAATTTACATTCACCCAGTGTTTGAGCATTTTCTCCAAAATCAACATAGTACCATCATCAGTGATGTGGTCTATAGAAATTTTAAAAAAAATTCACTCACTCATTCGTTTTTTCTCCAGTTAATGATATCATAAATGGCGTTTTAAGTGCAACCGAATCCTTGTTTACAATATTTGTTCCGTGCAATTCGATATTAACATCATATCTGTATACGATCGAATTCTTCTCGATATGAATCGACCAGAAGTTTGTGGACACCTCAGACTGAAAACACATTCAATTTCAAAGAAATATCTCGCTCCGGCAAAAAGATATATCGACCAGCTCTTGAAATATTGAAACTAATAAGATTTCCGCACTTACAATAGTTGCATTTTTTGTTGACGCCGGATTCAGCTTATCGCTAACTTCTGAACTCTTTAAAGATCTGTTCTGAATCTCAGCCATCGGCGGATCGGAACCGGCAATGGACATCTCTTTCAATTGCTTTTTGAGCGGGTACATTTCTTCCGTATAAGGCTCTGCTGTAATACAAAATATTATTATGAACATTGGGAAAATGAAGGCTCTAGAGGATAATAAATACGTGAACAGTTGCGAATCCCGTTTAAAGTGTGTAAATGTTTAAACGCCATGGGGCGGGGGAAGGGGAAATATTAATATTGAACATCAAGACAGCTTATTGAGCTCTGTTAGCACATACCTTTTACTTTGTTCGATGGCAAGAGTTTCAATAGATCGATGAAGGCATTGTCCGGCAAATTCTAAAATTCACTAATTCTAGTATATAATCAGAACAGCGTCAACACAAATTTTAGGATTCGGCTCTCAACCATCAATTTTTTCGAGCTTCAACATTTTGAATTTTGCAACCATGTCTCGTGAAAACCCAACAATCAGTTTCGAAAAATCACCAACTTAGGCGATTCAGCAAAATTTGGCCGTGTTTGGGGCATTAAAATATTTTATTCTTCAAAATTGTTGGAATTCTAAAGATAAGGAAATTAAAATTGCCCCCCTCCCAGTCATTGATAGACTCGAAACAAGACACGCCAATAAAAATTCATTAACATCATTAAGATTTCCGAAATTTGGAAGAGTGTCGTATCATATTTTGGAGCACTGTAGTATTATATTTTTCAACTTTTTACCAAAAATCATTCAAAAATTATCATCGTTTCGATCACTCTATATATTTATCAATAACTAACCAATTTTAGATGTTCAATTATTACAGCACGACACTTCTGTATCGCGTATTCGGACTCAGCCAATCGGGCTTTAAATATTTCAGATTCTTCCTGAGCTGCGGCTAAACAAAAATTTTGAAATATACGCTAAAATATTTTTAAAAACAACCTATTTTCGCTCTCAATGTTTTAATCTCCGTTTCCAGTTGCTCCATTTTTCTAGCACTTTTTACATTCTTTTTACCATTACAGGATTTTTTGTACAAAATACTGAAAAAAATCGATTAACGCAATATTTTAAATAAAAAGCCGCGAACTTACTCTTCATTGTTAAATTTCCGTTGATCAACATCATCACAATAGTATTCCCTCTCACAATTTTTGTTATTCAAATATCCAAAATTATTGTTCCGTGAGTAGAAGCTTCTCATATCTTAAAAAAACCGAATAATCAAATTGTCCATTGCACGGTAAAACTTTAAATTTTAATTTCTGAAATTTGTTGTTACGCTTTTCACGTAATAACAAACACTGAGTCACTTACGTTGTATTTTTCAAAACAAAAAATAAATAACAAATTGCTAAAAAATTTCACATTAACCTTGGCGTTAATTTCAAAATATTTAAGCCTTTTGAAACGGTGCGAGACCGGCAATAAATTTCCTTTTTTTTCTTTGTTTTCATTTATAAAACGATATATTCTCATCAGAGTATGAGCCGCATTTCTTTCAGGGGACAAATTAAATGGCAGCAAAAACACTATTACCATCGCAAAAAAGCGAACCCAAACTCGCCGTAAATCGGCAAAGAGTTCTCGCTTTTTTTGCGATTGTAATATTATTTCATATAAAACCAACCATTCGTTCTGCAACTGTTTGACAATGTTTCTTTTTCCTCGGAATCTCTCTCATAATCAGATTCACAATATTCGTCATCCCAGCTATTCGGCGATGGAGTCAAATCGTCGTAGTTTTTGGTTTTACCACGGCTGGCTGTTTCCACTAAATCTTAAAAATAAGAATACCAAGATTCAATATATATTAAGTTCAAACCTGGACGCTCGTTTTTCTGTATGAAATCAAAATATTTGTCGAACGTGTCATTCATTTCACATTGAAATTTTCTAGAAAAAAATGACGTGAATCGAGCAGAGAAAAAATAACGCAAAATTATTCAAGAAATCTATTAGTTAGAGACCGTAGTTTGTTTCGAAAAACTACGGGAATGAATCGCCGAGAGACCAGAAACATTTTTTTTTTCGAAATAAAAAGAAACTTGAAAAATCGCAATGGGTTGCTGGGCGAATTCGACCCCTCTTCGCGGTTTCATTCCCGAGTCTTGAGAACGTCTAATTTTCATAATTGAGAAGGCTAGGCCTATGCGGGGCGGCTTTTGAGCCTGCATATGCTGATAAATTGAGGGCGGCGTACGCTTGAAGTTTCGTTGTCCATTGCTCCCTCTTTTTTTGCGTAGAGAAAACAACTATCATAATTTGAAAAGACACGAGAAGCCCTTCCCTTCTCTCAGTCTGCTGCTGTTCCAATGACGTAATCTCTCACTTCAACTGGACAACGGACAAGCAATTGCTAACGTGGATGAAAAATAGGTTCTCTTAGAGTCTGAACCATTTCTCATCCACTTTAAATCAATTTTATTCAATTGTTTGTTTTTGGCTTCGGAAGAAGTCAGCGATTTTCACGACTTTGTCGACACCTTTTTGTATTAGACAAAAAAGTAAACTTAATGTGGTATATTATTTACGTTTACGAAACGTTGTACAAGAACAAATATGAACAGAATCGTAGTTTATCAATTGTTAGCTTTAGATATATAGCAAATAAACACCAAGATTGAATGCAATTTTCAGGCTGCACCAGGAGAACGGAACAGTGCTGAAGAATGCTAGAGATCGATTGTAAGCAAAATAAATTAGTTATTAATATTGATATTTGACAGAAGAAGTTAATAAAGGCATCTGCCTGTTATATATATACATAACATAATGTAACATAACATAACATGTTACATAACGGTTCTTATAAGCACGGAGTGAATTTTGGATGCGCATCAACCGGCAACTTCTTGCCCATGATAAGCGTCTAAAAATCGAGAATGTCACGAATTAGTGTTGGATATAAAACCTGGATAACCCATTCCGAAGAGATGATCTTTGCACCAATTTCTTTCGCGTAATTAACCACATCTTCCTTGGCGCTCGAGTCAGTCAATAAATAGTTAAATTGATTTCCTTAAAAAATTATTTAATAACGTTAATTGTAAAGAAAATACCTCGAATTTTCTCATACCCAACATCAATTATACTAGCTCCAAGCGATAATATCATTGGCTTCCATATTTCATGAAAAGAAGAAGAAGTACCATCACGGTTCATGTTTTTACCGTCATGGGTTGAATGAACATAAAAAACCTCTCCGGCAAGCAATTTATCGGCATTTTCGGGTGGCGGATAAAGTTTATCGTCAATAATCGAAACTCCAGAAGGAAGAATAAATGGTTTGTAATCAATGCACATTCCCTAAAATTAGATAATCTGAAAAATTAATAAATATTATTCAATACTTTTTCGCTGCACTGCACTATCCACTCGTTCGAAATACATGGCATATTTTGCGCGAGTGCTCTCAAATATTTGTGAGTTCTATAGTGCATATCAGAAATCACAAGAATTTCCTTTGCTGGCTTATCAATGTCTTCACAATTCTCCGTAACAACTCCACCGTTCTCCACGATGAATTCTTGTAAATGCTTTTTGCGTATTGCCACTGGTCCTCCGCCTGTTGTGCTCTTTGCTGATGTAATCATAAAGACCATTCCAGCGAAAATATCTGCATGCAGGAAAGGATTCAAAATATAGAATATAAAAAAACACACTTTTCCCAACTCCTTTTGGATTCATCGTTAACTGTGTGGAAAATTGACGAACAATTGGTTCTGGTTTCGGAAATTTTGGCTAAATTTCGTTTTTCTTTTTGAATTAACTATTATATAAACTTACCTTCGGTTTCGGCGATGAAGCAGCTGGTGTTTTTACAGCTTTCCGGGCCTGACGGCTGAGCTGTGCTGGTGTAGTGATATTTTCGGAAGCAATGGATGAAGCTTCGAAAGACTTCTTCTGAATGTAGTCTTTCCATTCATGCATATCAAGGGAAATATCCGTCCATTTCACTCTTAAAATATTAAAAAATACACGTGCTTGTGAAATATTATTAATTACAATGCTGTTTCCCCGGTTGGATCTTCCTCCTCGTTCAAATATTCGAGCTGAAACATGCCCGTGCTCCAGTCATCTGCGGAAGCTGCATTCGGGCACCGAATTACGCTAAGAATATCTTCATTGTATGAACATTGCTTTCCGGCGACCACTGCCCGCAAAGGAATGATTCCAGCAGCTGGAACATCTTTCACGATTTTATCAGCCGTGAATTGAACTTTGTAACGACCGTATGAATCTCGTCTAAATAATATTTTTAAAGTTTAATTGTAGCAAGTAAACATACTCCGCGCCAATGACAGCTGGATAATAAATTTTGCCAAAAAGGGCGAATACACGTGCTCCAGGAGCATGTGGTTCGTGTTCATCGTCTGGATGGTCAACCTTCCATTGTTCTTCATTGCTAAGTTCGGGAATTTCAACTGTAGCCTTCTTTGGGGCAACAAGTGGCGTTGTTTCTAATTCGCTTTTGCGTTTTCGTCCTCTTTGTGAACTCTTTTCTCCTTCTTCGGCGTCATCTTTCATATCGAATTGATCATCTTCCTCTTCTGCAGTATTTTTTCCGCGACCCTTTCTAAAATAAAACTTTGAATTTCTTCAACTTTTTGAATCAAACCGAGGTGTTGGGAGTATTCCTGTATCTTTTTTATGAGGTATTTTTTCTTTTCCTGGTGCCATTTCTGCTAAAGTTTTACGCTCACGACGCTGCGGAGTGGAACCTAAATATAATTTTAATAGTTTAATACAATAAAATCGATCTACTCGAAAGATTTGGAATACGTGCTCCAGCTGCTCTTTCGGTGAATTCGTATCTCGACGCTGATGAAGACCCTCCAATTTTTGCATATTTCACTGCCCCAAACTGCTGAACCTCCATCTTTAAACAAAATTATAAACTGTTTTTTATCAGAAATCTTACGTGAATATTTTTCAATGGCTCAGGATGTTTGTCCATTTCGGTATCCAAGTCATAAGGATCGTGCTCACCATCGTTCAAGAGCTTTTTGTAGGCAGGTGTTTTATCAGAAGTGGCCAAAGTAGCTTTCGCCGATCTTCCACCTAAAAGTAGATTTTGAATAAATGCATATAATGAACATCAAGAAAATTACGTTTCGACTTAGGAGTTTCATCTGATTCTTCTGTATCATCCGCACCTTCTGAAGTCTTTCCCCTTCGACTGGAAGTAGAACTAAAATTATTTTTTTGTCGTGTTAAAAAAAATACGCTTACGTCTTATTAACTGCTCGGCCGCGACCCCTCCTTCCTACTGATTTCTGAATCTCGAAGAGATAAAAAATAAAATAAAAATAGCTTTACCACCTCATGAATTTCTTCTTTTTCTTCATCGTCTTCCTCCAAATTTTCTTCCGCGGCGACCTCTTCATTTTTTGAAGCAGCTGAGCGACGGCCTCTCCTTGAAGGCGTTTTCTAAACAAAATGTTGATTATATCGGATATACATATATTGTCGACGTCGCGCGCCTGCGAAACAATGACCAAATGCCAAATAGCAATGACAGTGGTGTTGACGTAAAACTAAAAATGTATGTTGAAATTGCACACCGAGACCTTTTTGTTGGCATTTAGCCAACTTTCCACAGCCGCGCGACGTCGACAATATATATATAATTCCAAACCACATTAGCCTTATTGCTTGATGCTTGTGATCTACGAGAACGCGGAGATTCATCTTCTTGCACATCCTCCACCTCATTCTTTTCGCTTTCATCATCATTCTTTAAAAAAAATAAGCGTGAACTCAACTAAAAACTAACCTCAATAACGGTTTTTCTGGCAGGTCTTCCTCTTCTTCCTGTTTTAACTGCATTTACAGACTCTTTATCTTCTTCAACGTGATCAATCTTGGATCGTCGATCCACTCCCGGCGTTTTTGGAGTACCCGCTGAAGCAGATTTACGCCCGCGTCCGCGTCGCGAACTTCTCGGCTCTTCATCCTGCTTCTCTGGCTCCTCTTCTTCTTCTTCCCCATATTGGATCTCTTCCACATTTTCCTCTTTTTCAATATCAGTTTTCTTTGATCTACCACGTCGTGGAGTTTTATTGAACGACATTAATCCCTCCTTTTAATTATAAAATGCTTTTACATTTTACATATAAATTTTTACTTTTTTCTCGTTTTCAATCGTGGCAGCAGACTTTCGTCCACGACCTCGTCCACGTTTCGGTTCCTCGCTCTCTTGACTTGAGGGAGTTTCCGGGTCGTTAGCCTCGCTAACATTCGAACGACGATCACGCTTTGAGTCAGGCGGATTGTTTAAAGGTGTTCCGACACCACGCTAAAAAAACTATTTTATGATTTTTTTTCCTAAATGTTACCTTCGTTCTTCGTCGCGGAGATTCTTCAATAAGCTCTTCTTCTTTATCATTCGTTTCTTCCTCCATTTGTTCGTTATTTGACTCTTTTTCACCGTCTTTACTTTCATCTACCTCGTGAGTATTTTCAGCATCAGGCTGGTCATCGTGCACTGTTTGATCTTCTGCTTCGATCATTTCAATGTCCTCATTATTTTCTTCAGATTCTTCTCGCTCTTCAGATTTGGTTCTTGTACGCTTCACTTTCTTTCTTGGAGCTTCCTCCTCCTCATCTTCGATCTCTTCTTCATCGTCAACTTGTTCATCTTCGGGGATTTCATCCAAACTTTGTTTTTTCTCCGAAGAAGAACTCTTGAAATATTAATAACTTTAACAAATATAAACAAACTATATGAAAAAAAAAAACCTCTTGGTTTGTGGTATCCATACTAACAATTTTTGGTGATATTATCTCTTCACCAGCGGTATCCTTTACTTCTTCGTTGGTCTTATCTTCTTTCTCTTCCTCTGCGGTTGACTCAAAATCACCATTTCCTTAAAAAATTCTTAATAAACTATCGAAAAAAAAAAACTAAGTTTTTTTTAACCTGTCTTTTCATTCACTGTCAACGGATTGTCGCCATTTTCAACAGATTCCACGTTTCTTGCAGTTGAACTGTTCCCCGACGAATCGTTTACAACTTCTTCACTTTTTTGTTCTGGAGTTGGCTCTTTGACGAACGAGTTCTGAAGACTAGATGCTGAATTGCCAAAAAGACCTTTTCTATTTAATAGAACCGATGGCGTTGAAACCCTGAAAACGAAACACTTATTTTTATTAAAAAAATATCCCATCACTTACGATTCTTGACTTGTGCTAGACTCGTCCATTGTCTCAGCTAAAAGTTAAACTTTATTAAAATCTGTTGAATATATTTATATTTGTGTATTCAACTTAATTTTTTTGTAGAAAATGAAATTTCGGATACGGACAACTGAGAAGTCGCTAATATTGCAAAAGTACATGAATATGAACAAATTTTTGAAAGTTTTCTTTTGAATTTTTTTTGTCACGAAATGACAGATGCAATAAATAAAATAACTTGCAGTTTTCCTCCTGGAGCGACGTCATGGCCACTGGGATGAGCTAAGAAAATCAGAGAGACAATTAAGCTGAAAATTTGAAAAAATTATTGTGAAAAAAGGAAAACGATTAGTTGTGAAGAAGAGTAAAAAAACAAATTCAAAATTTTATGTTTTCAATGTCGTCGAGCGCGGCGCGGTCGCGTCATTTGAGCTGCTACGCAGTGGGCAAGGAATGCAGGCAAGGGTGGTTACGGTATTCTCGCTAATGTTCAAAATTTTGCAAATTTTTCTTTTCCTATTCTTTCTTCATTGGTTTTCGATGATTTTTTATTATTTCAACCTCAATAAGTTTTTCATATTGTACGGCAAATTATTTTTGGCTTTATTTATTCATATTTTATTGTGATAAATTTTACTTGTAAACGAAAAATATTATTCTAAAGAAAAATCTTATTAAGGTAAAATGGTCAGAGCGACCAGCATCAAAGACGTCGATCAACACGAGGCTGTTAAGTCGATCGCCCACTTCTTAAAGAAGAGTGGAAAGGTCAAGGTGCCAGAATGGACTGACCTCGTTAAGCTCGGAGTCCACAAGGAGCTTTCGCCAATCGACCCAGACTGGTTCTACACCCGCACCGCTAGCTTGGCTCGCCATCTTTATTTCCGTAGCGCCGGTAAGTTTCTTTTTGTTATATGATATAAAAACGATATTTTAGGAATTGGAGCCTTCAAGAAAATCTATGGAGGAAACAAGAGACGTGGAGTTGCTCCAAACCACTTCCAGACTGCTTCAGGAAACTGTCTCAGAAAGGCCATTCAGCAGCTCGAGAAGCTGAAGTGGGTTGAGGCTCACCCAGACGGAAAAGGACGAGTTCTCTCCAAGCAGGTAACTTTGCCAAGTGTTTTCACCGAGCATAGGTTTTAAAAAATCGATATCGGTGATTGATCAGAATACGGCCCAGTGTAGTTATTAATGTCCATTAGGGAAAATATTACCATCGAAAAAAATGAGCCCCCTGAGTAATTGTGGACCATAGAACTTTTTCGAGGAGGTAATTCAAATTTTAATTCAAGGGGTGAAAATGCGGGTACCGTACCGCGAAAAATCTGCGAATCAAACACTGTCATTCGACGTTTTTTTTGCAATGGTATATATATATATATATATATATATATATATATATATATATATATATATATATATATATATATATATATATAAGCTCAACTACTTGCATCAAGTGCGGAAATTTGTTTCTTATTTCAGGGACGCAAGGACCTTGATAGAATCGCTACCACTCTCCGATCATCCGCCGCTCCAGCTTTCTAAACCCAAGTTGTTGATTTATAAACGTTATGTTTGAGGCTTGCGTATTTTACATACATAATTTATTAAAACCTACAAATTATAACAGTGGAGATAACAGAAATGGAAGATGTATTGGAAAAACTAGGTTTTCAAAGCAAATTTAGGCTGTATTGCACTGAGAAGGACAAGAAACGGAATTTATTTAAAATAAACTGTCTTGCGAATTGTTCCAATTGCTCCTTCCAGAGTACTCTGCGCGTTAAGGGCAATCTGAAAGTTCCTATTAGGGATAATGCTATGGTCAGAAAAGCGAAATTGAAAAATTGACTACATGCCAAAAATCTTGGCGACGCCGACGGTATACCTACATAGTAAAATAATGTAAGATATCCAACAACTCCAGAAGCGATAACAAGCTCGAAAACAGCTGGTTTTACACGTTCAGCAATAAGTCTGTTTTTTAATACTCCGTAGGCTTGAGCATCAGTAATAGTAACTGCGGAAGTCGACACTTGAGCATATCCAGAAGCAGCAGCCGCAATGTTAGCAATTGTTGCCTCAGTAGCTTCCTTGTCCGAAACTGGTCTTGGTTTAGACGCGAATTGTCTTTAAAAAAATCATTAAAACACGATTCGAATATTTTGAACCTGATAAAGTGGTGAACTCTTTGCTTATCAATGGCATCTTTCGATAACATAGTGATATCGGAAGTAATACGAGGATCACTCGAAGGTCCATCGATTGGCAAGTTTAGAATATAGCCAAGAACTGATTCCGCGATAACCCGAATATTATTCATCAACTCTTCTTCATCAATTTTATTTGGATCATCAAGAATCGAATTTCTTGAAGGATCAGTTGGGCTCGGAAGTGTAGAAATGGTTACAGCTGGCATTCGTTTAATATTGAACCTGAAATTGAACTGCTCAATATTGAAATACAAAAATTTTCTATACTTTTCATGCTCCCACGAGTTAGCAGAAGTAAGGCTGATCTTTTTAGAGACCATGTTCATTTTAGGAGTCAATAATCTGAAAATCAAACATTTCCACCGTAAAAATATGCACAATCTCAATTAATTACTTGATTCTCTTAAAGATATTTGCAGCCACGGATTCATCCTTTGGAATCTTCGAAACATGCATTTGAAGACCATCTGTTTTTCTTCCAATTGCTTCAATACAAATGGCCAAATCCAATTTTTCATCTGTTAGAATTTTTTTTAATAAATAAATTATATGCTTTATACCCTCATTTCCCCTTTGATATTCATCAATCCAATGACGTGCCCCTTGGTAGTTCAATTTACCAGCTGCTGTCCAGATAAATAACTGCAAATTTAATATCGGTATTACATTCACAAAAAAAACGAGCATCCTGTGCCGATTTACGGTGAGTTAGGACCAGTGTATCTACCCGGGACAGGTTTTCCCGGGATCCCAGGAATTTCGCTTCCTGGGTTTATCCGGGAAATCCCGGGTCCCGTCCCGGTTTCGTCCCGCAACTACCCGGGATCCCGGGATGAGCGGGTTGCCGGGAAACCAGGGAAAAAGTCTGTAAACACCGCGCGCGCAAACGCACACTCTTCGAATATTGCGTATTCTCGTTTTTTTTTTAATGAATTTTCTTATTTTAAAAAGATTCCAATGCTTAGAAAATGGCATGGGAAGTCCCTATTTGGAATTTTTAAAATTTCGCAGAAAAATGAGCACAATTGCAATGTGCAAATAACGATTTTTCCAAAAACGCCATTTTCTAAGCATTGGAATCTTTTTAAAATAAGAAAATTCATTAAAAAAACGACAATACGCAATATTCGAAGAGTGTGCGTTTGCGCGCGCGGTGTTTGCAGACTTTTTCCCGGGAAATTAAGTTTCAATGAGTCCCGGGAATTTCCCGGGAACTCGGCCATTCCCGGGAAACTTCGTCCCGGGTAGACACACTGGTAGGACTCGTTTTTTTGCGATTGTAATAGTGTTATTTTTGCTGTCACTTAATTTGTCCACTGAAAGAAATGCGTCTCATACTTTACTCTGTCATTCGACGCCTGTGCTAATGACCACGGTATTTTAAATACAAAACAAACTATGCTCTTTCGATGGTTAGAAAACACAATAATCTGCCCTAAGATTTTTTCAATACGATACAAAAGGCAAAATTCAAACTATAACGAAAACGCACCCTAAGCGGGTCTGGAATGACTATATAACAAAAGATAAAATTACCAAATTGTATGGTGGACGAGTTGATGGTTTATCATAGAATTTGCTCAGAACTGCTAATAATTCCAACAGAGCGACAATTCCACTTCCATTTGAGTCGGATCCAGGTGAAAGTGCCTTTATATTCTTTTGTGAATATTTCATTTTAATAAACTTACAGGAATAACCGAAGACGAGTCATAATGAGCGACAAATGCAATAGTAGGTGCTGCACGCTCACTACTTCTTAATCGTGCCTAGAAAAAATAACTTGACATGTTTTAATAACATCTTGTAAATGCTTACAACTATATTATGTGGTTTGTAATTTTTTGGCAGCTCTGGTTCGGTATCAGATGAAGTAAGCTGAATAAATTTCCCTTACGAATAATACTTAAAACAATTATGAACCTGGATAGTGTTTCCGGTAATTGAGCTTATTAATTGGTCAAAACCCGTTCCTGACTTCATATTTTTTCGTGAAACGTCTGAATTTATGTTTGATTGATAAAAATAATTGCAATAGAGCACATAGAACTTGAGAGATCTACTCAATAATATTATGCGCATAATTACATACCGCTGATGATGGAATGCGCATTTTTGGACATTGGGGCAACATACACGGCCAATTGCGTGTTAACTTTTGCGAGACGGCTTTCGAAATTGAGAAAATCCTGGAAGGACGATTTGCACGAAAAATTGAAATATATTAACAAACTTCTCTCTCCTTTTCACCAAGCTTTTCTAGATCGGCTGGAATAAAAATAAGGACAGCACCCGATGAAAGCGCCCAGAGATCAGTTAAATCTTCGGTTGCGATTTCATTCCACAAAGCGATTGCACACCTATACGAAGAAAATTGCAAAAAAAAATTTTTTTAATCAATACTTCCGCAACGCTCTAGAATTCAAATGAACAGCTTCGTACAGCACTTTAAAATTTTTTGATCCATAAATGTTCCCACTAATTTCATATTGATGAAGACGATAAGCGTTGAATTCGAGCTCTACGGCATCCCCAAGTTGCTGAGATCCACTCACCTACGAAAAGAAAGAAAATTTTAATCCACAAAAAATTCGCTTTTATTGCAAAAGTAAATAGTAACAAAAATTAATACTACTTACCACACAGAATGTGAGCATAAACGTCAAGGAAAATATGACGAATGGATTACGAAAGAAATCGAATATTTCTTCTTGCATCTGAAAAAAAAATAGTTTGCCTAATTCGAAAATTTATTTTGAAAGACGGTTGAAACACGGAAAACTTGAACTCAACTTTGGAAAATTCAGCTCTGCAAAATTCAAATGAAATGCACTACCGTATCCTGACGTAGTATGCAGCGTTATCGTGTCAAGACCCTCAGCCCGCCAAAACAAACGCCGAAAATATATTCAAAGCCGTCTAGTATTTCTGCATGTCTTCTCTGGCAGTGCCCCCATGTTTTCTCATGGTGTATCCACCACCATATAATTATTATACATTGCTGACAAGAAATATGTTGTTTTTTTAGTAAAAATGTTTTACGTAGTTTATTCGAAGTTAATTTTTTGTTTCACATTCTATATTTTTGAATATTCATATATTTTAGCTATACAATGGCTACTGTCGATGATGGCTCTTCTGAAGATCGAATTATAAACGATGAATACAAGATTTGGAAGAAAAATACACCGTTTTTGTACGACATGGTGATGACGCACGCACTTGAATGGCCGTCTCTTACCGTTCAATGGCTTCCAGACGTACAAAAGGTTTAAATTTGTTTACATAAACAGTTAACGTGATTTATTTTAGTCTGATTCATTGGATTACACTTATCATCGTCTTATACTTGGAACTCACACATCCGATGAACAAAATCATTTACTTATTTCTCGTCTCGCCGTTCCAAATGACGAAGCACAATTTGATGCATCAAGATATGATACCGAAAAGGGAGAATTTGGAGGTTTCGGAGCAATAACAGGAAAAATAGAACCTGAAATAAAAATCAACCACGAAGGTGAAGTAAATCGCGCAAGATACATGCCACAAAATCCTGTCATTATTGCTACTAAGTCTCCAAGCGCCGAGGTTTACATTTTCGACTACACGAAGCATCCGTCCGTCCCACAAGACAATAAATGTAAACCTCAAATTCGTCTTCGCGGACATTCGAAAGAAGGTTATGGATTATCGTGGAATCCAAACAAGGAGGGATATATTCTATCGGCATCAGATGACTGTACAGTTTGTCATTGGGATATTCAAGGGAATCAAACGAACGCCGGTTATTTGGACGCAAAAGCCATTTTCAAAGGACATACCGCGGTTGTAGAAGACGTCGCATGGCATGTTCTTCATGACGGAATATTTGGATCCGTTGGAGATGATCATAAATTGTGACTTTTTAAAGAAAAAAATTATAATGAATATTTGATTTCAGGCTTGTTTGGGATATCCGCACACAACAACCAGCTCATTCCGTGGATGCTCATCAAGCGGAAGTTAATTGTTTGGCCTTTAATCCGTACTCGGAATTCATTCTTGCGACTGGAAGTGCCGATAAAACTGTCGCTCTTTGGGACTTGCGTAATCTTAGACTCAAGCTTCATTCTTTCGAATCACATAAAGACGAAATTTTCCAAGTTCAATGGAGCCCACATAACGAGACGATATTGGCGAGCAGTGGAACTGACAGGTATAAAAATTCGAACTACATTTTAAAAATTATCGACTTTTCAGACGGCTCCATGTTTGGGACTTATCAAAAATTGGAGAGGAGCAGTCTCCAGAGGATGCCGAAGATGGCCCACCAGAGTTGCTTTTTATTCACGGTGGACATACTGCTAAAATTAGCGATTTTTCATGGAATCCTAATGATGCCTGGGTTATCTGTAGTGTTTCTGAGGATAATATCCTTCAGGTAAATTAATGGTTGTTAGAAATAAACCATTTTTTACTACGTAGGTGTGGCAAATGGCCGACAATATTTACAACGAAGGAGAAGAAGACACTCCACCGGAGCAATTGGAACGCGCGTAAACTCCGAGTTTTTTTCAACAATTTTCTTTTTGATTAATTCGGTTAATCTGTTCACGTATATGATTTTGTATACTAATTTGGTTTATCAAATAAATCGATTACCAACAATATGATTATAATTTTTGTATGACAAAATAACTAGTTAAAAATTTTGAGTTAAATATCTTCCTGATTCTGAATCAAATTTTCGAAACTACTACAGCAATCATGAGACCGGTTTTGCTCTTTCTTTATTAAATAATTACGATTTTTACGGTTTCCGGGTTTTCTGTTATTCATTTGAGCGTCGCACATAGTTTTGTGCCGTAGAGCACATTTGTTGCAGCTGTTTTTATTATCAATCATCATTTTTAAGCATTCTGTTATAATAAAGATGCAACGTCGTTTATTAACTGCAATTCGATACTTTTCATCAAATGCAGCTGAACAAGAAGCTTCTCATGTCAAGGTCGATGTCAGCTAGTGAGTATACTAAAATGTTAATCAATGGTCAAACAACTTTTTTCATTGAGAAAACAAGGTTAACTATAGAAACTCTTACTCGACCGTTTTAATAAATACATTTTAATATTATTTGTTATTAATACCTCGTTTTATGCAATTAATGACGAAGGAAAATTTTTTGAATGAAATCTACTGAAATCCTAACAAAAATAACTGAACCAATAATTCGATTTAGCTTCCAATTTGAGGCGTTGTATTTAATATTTTAGTATGAGGCCTCGCCACAGGATAATGGCTTCTGGCGGTATTCCTCCTGTTCAGTTTGAATTCGAACGTGATCGCATCTCTCGTCGCGAAAGATTCGGAAAATATGGTCTTGCATCTGGAGTTGCTGTTGAAGAACTGTTTCCGACTGTTGAGGTGCGATATTTTTTCCTAACTGCTTATTTATAAATTTTTTTGAACACATAGGAAATCGAAGAAGAGCAAGCTCTCGGACTTTACCACGAGTTGAATGATGCATTGAAACAACATAAAGAGCTGCAGCAGAAAAAGAAAGTTGCCGAAGAGGCGAGACTTGCCGAGCTCGAAAAAAATCTGAAAAAATATCCAAGTATTCTCGCCAAATACGAAGCTGGTCTTATAAAACAAGAAAAGGAAAAGGATGAGAAAGAATTGGCGCTAGAAAAGAGAATTCGGTCAGTTTTTTAAGCAATTTTTTGAAAATCCGAAAAATTGAACTGAATACCTTTGAAACAGCAAATAATTTATTTATATTTTTTTCTCAAAAAGTAAAGCTCACGAATTTTTAGAGAAATTCAAGAATACTTTGGGTACTGGATGGATCCAAAAGATCCAAGATTTGAAGTTATGCTCAAGCAAAAAGAAGAAGAAGAGAAAAAGGTATAATCATTAAAAAAGATTGAAATCTTGGAGTTTATATTTTAAGGCTGCCAAGCTCGCGAAACGCCAAGAAATGGCTAAAAAGAAATTTGCTGAAAATGTGTAATTTAATAATGATTAGTGCTTAGATTATTCAGAATTGTTGTTATTTCTATTGTTGTTTATGGAAATGAATGATTTTCTCTATTTTTTGCGATTATTTTTGTTTTATTCATTATCATTAATTGATGATTCATATTTATTGAATGTCATATTAAGTTTGCTTCATGCGTTTATTTTTGATTTCAGTCATGAATGATCGTATGCCAAGATCATTTCTGCAGTATTGCGGGACATCAAAATCGCGATGCGGCTACTGTAAAAACGCTCGCGGAATGCGAATCAACACAGGTAATTTTTTCGTAACTTTCAGAAATTTAAAAATCACATGAAATGGAAAAAAAGTTGTTTTGTGGATTCAAATTATAGGTGGAGGTGAGGGCGATGACGTTGACGATTCGTCGATACAGGATGGTAACGCATTTGAGGATTGTCGTGGACGGACGAATTTGAGAAATTTGAATTGCGCTGGGCTGTCATTTAATTGGTTTCGCAAAACAAAATCTCGCCATTCACCATAGTCCCAAGCAATTGCACCCCAAATTCGTCCGTCGTCGCCTATATACATACATATGTATAATGTTTATTTTTATTTTAAAAAGAAGTTTTGAAAACTGTGCTACATGATACAAACTAAATGAGAAAGCCCCTTAAAAAAGGATTCACTAATTTTAGGGATGTACTCGTTAAGCATTGATCCAGAAGATTTAATGCGATTACACGAAAAAGGATGTAGTGGGTTAGTAGGCATTGTCGCCGTCTTCTCCACCGCGTAAACTTATATTAACTATACATTTATGTATTTGAGATTTCATTGGAAGTTTAAAGCATGAACATGCCGTCGATTTTCAGGGGCTCTCACCACAAGAATTGACGTTGATGATTACATGAGTTTATTGGATCGTGGATGGAGAAGGTGGCGGCTTGGAAGCGCTTATTGTTTATTTTTTTTAATTCAGAAGTGGAACTTATTTGTACAAACCAAAAAATGATGAGACCTGCTGCCCGCAATATACGATTCGCTTGGATGTCAGCAAGTTTATTCTGTCGAGATCGCAAAAGCGTGTTCTGCGACAAATGAACGAATTTCTTGAATCTGACAAAAAACCGAGATGTGGCGTTAAAGAGGAATGCGATACTACAAAACTAGCGAAACAAGAAAAGGTATATATTGTCGGGCTTCGCGCGACTACGGTTTGGTTGAAATTTTCGAATAAGTAATGTGGAAAAGATGTTGGCGCAAAACCAAATTTATAGATTTAGTGGCTAAAAGAATGAGTCAGAGCCGCATCGTGTCAGGATCGATTCGAAAAAAAAATGTTTGACATTCAGCCAATCTTTCGCGGAGATTATGCGACGCCCGACAAAATGTTTCATAATTGTAATTATTGTCGTTTTTTTTTCACAGAAGTTATCAGAAAAAGATGAAAAACCTATAAAGGCGAAGGATTCCGATCGGCCGGTGCTAAAAAAAAAGGAGATTCGAATGAAGAAGTATATATATATATATATATATTTATTATTTAATATCGTTAATTCTAATTGGATTTTTTCAGATTCGAAGAGAAGTGCCGTGCAAAGAATCTCGACATTGAAGAGATCAAAAAGAAGCGCGCTGAAAAAGAAGAAGCTCGTCGTAGGACCATTGAGTCATACGACATGGGGAATCCAAAGGAATGGAAACACAAATTAGAGGTGGAATTAGAATTTCAGCCAATTTTGAAAAAAAAAAAACGAAATAAGATTTAGATTAATATTGTTGGCCTAAAAGATCCGGAATTTAAAAATCGATTTATGGAATCGTTCGAATTATTCAAGAAATATCAGGAAGCTGTAAAAATAAACTTTTTGTACTATTAAAATTTTAATGTCAAATTTTAGATTCATGGAGATACTGATAACACAATTTCTGGCTTCAAACAATTTTTGTGCTCATCTCCGCTCAATAATCCGGAGAGAATTTCGTATAGCGGGTAAATTTCATGAAAATTTCCGTGATAAAAATTGGTTTCTTTTGTTTAGCTATGAGCTCGGTCCTTACCATATGCAATTTCTTTTGGATGGCAAACTGTTGGCGGTTAGTGTGATTGATATATTACCGAGATGCTTGTCGGCCAAGTATATGTTCTATAATCCGGACTATGCGTTCCTTTCGATGGGAACCTATACGGCATTGAAGTAGCATGGGACATATATGGTTTACCCTCAATTTCTTACAAATTTTTGCAGAGAAATCGAGTTTAACCGCAAACTTTTTGCTGAGAACACCGAAATGCGCTATTACTACATGGGATATTATATTCACTCATGCCCGAAAATGCGCTATAAAGCGAAATTCCGACCGAGCGACCTTCTCTGCGACAATTCGTTTTTATGGGTCGACTTTGAGACATGCAAATCGTATTTGGATCAGAGTGAAGCTCAAAACGGACACGCAATTTTCGCACCAACTGCTCCGAAAGCTCGCCCGGCGGATATTTCAAAAATTTATGTAATACATGGAACAGAGGTATTTTTTTAAAACCATTCTTGATGGATATTCAATGGGCAATCGTTGTCGCAGGTGTGGAAATTGCAACATTTATTCAGAGAGAATGTCGAATTACAGTTTGACGTGGATTTTGTGTATGATATTCAAAGTAAGTTTTTTTTGGAATAATGATCCGTATAAATCATAAAATGTAATTTGTGATAGGAATCGCTTCAATATGTGGTCCTGACATGAACACTCTCGCCTTCTATTTTCCCCGCATTGGATAATTATGTGAATAGTAATATTTTAGATGTGTATTTATGAAATATTTTGATTTGTTATTTATTCGAAACAAACAAAAGAGCATTGATTTTGTAGCGTGCAGCGCGCACACAGACACCTCATGTGCACACACTTATGTACAAATTAGGGGAAAGGAGAATGTGCAGCGATGTCCGAGTGGTTAAGGAGTTGGACTTGAAATCCAATGGGCATTGCCCGCGTAGGTTCGAACCCTGCTCGCTGCGATAGTCGTTTTGTCAGAATTATTGATAACGCTGATAAAGCTTATAATGTGTATAATTAGTCGTTGGCGTTTCTTCGCCACATTTCTTTCACATTTTTTTGTTGATATATATTTATGCATTTGTTGAGCTGTTTTCTGTTACTGCTGAGGGCTTGAAACTGAGACAGAGGGATAGAGAAAACAGCCGTCCGCCACCTGGGGTGGCTCAACAAAGCTTTGAACTTTTTGAAAAAGAAATCTCGACTGCTGAGTATCTTGCCTCAATCAATAATCATGCGGATATGGGTGGCTTCCGCCATTTTCTACGCCTCTGTATTCATTTTCTGTGAGCTTCTGCGATTTTTAGTGGTAAAATCATTTGATAACCCGAAACGCCTCTCGGCATTGCTCATATTAGAGGCAAGCATTCGAAACATGAAAGTTCATAAATAAGACATTTTCAGTTTATTGGTACACTTCAAATATGCGTCCCAATGTTCGATGTTGGGACCATTTTAGACAATTATGGTCTCTTTGGGGTCTTTATTGAGATTACCGTAATTGAACTTGCGAATTGCTATTTTCAACGAGACGCAGTTGCACACCCATGCCCTTTGGTTTTTTTTAGAATATAAGAAGTTTTCTAACTAATTTTGAATTCAGGTTACTAATTGCTATCGAAAGAGTAAAGCAATTCGTCGAGGAATATATGTTTTCCTCACTCAATTGGCTGCAGGTGATAATTTAACATGAAACTTCATTTCAAAAACATCTAGGCGTAGCTAAAAATGCAAGTGCGCAGAGTTCATATAACGTGCTTGCACAAAATTTGACTCTTTATTCATATGTGCAAACACGGTGAACAAAGTCTGCGGATTTGCATTTTAATTTACGCCCAAATTTTTCTTCTCAATATTCATAAATTCAGCCTATCTTTCATATTTTATTGCTCGCTGTTTTTGGCGTCTCGGCATTCATCCAATTCACGAGGAGCTTCTCAATCAATCCACGTGTACCTCGGACTTGACCGTAATAAAATAACACATTAAAAAAAAAACGCTGAATAATTTACAGGTAGCTATAACTACAGGCTGCATAATTGAAGGCGCTGCTACATTCGTGGCGCGTGCTTTTGAAAAATTTGTAGATCAAAAGTATGAAGGCGACACGATAATCTGCTCTATTGCGAATTGTGCGTTCAGCGGTCTCCTCTGCGCAATAGGTAAGAAAATACCTCAAGAGCTTAATAAAAACATTCAGGTATTAATTACACGGGAATGTACGCAAATCCAATCGTCGCCTGGGCGTGCACCTTTAATTGCCTCGGAGTCTCACACGTTGGCCATCTTCTCGTTTATTGGCTCAGCCCTTTGATTGCGTGGTATTCGTCATTTTGCACTCGGAACCTATAAATTTCTTCCAGGTACTTTGGAGAACTGGTTTACGGCTCAGAGGACGTTTTAGACGACGATGAAGACGTCGTGGAAACGAAAAAAGACGAGTAGAGCAAATTTTGTTCATTAAATGAATTTCTAGAAATAAAAATAATAAATAGGAACTTAAAATTTCAATCGTGTCGAGTTCGATTGTTTCACATCTTGCCTTTTAACCCGTTTCATGTTAGATTTCAGTCGATCGGCTTTATCAGAATCCAGTTTTTGATCAAAATGAATCAAACTAAAATAAACCGATGGTCAACTTTCATTTTTTCCAAGAGTACCTTATAAATTTACCAGCGATAAACGATTCTTTTAATTTTCTATTGCACATTGGCAATATTAGCGTTGAATTTTTAAGAAGAATATTTGAAAATCTATCAGATTGCTTTAAACTACCTACAACTCCAATATTAACCATTTCTTCTAAATCAAACCTTACCAACAACATAAGCCCCATTCTTCAATTCTATCCAAATCTGTTTCCCAATCATTCTTCTCATCAAATCCGAAACTCCATCATCCATCTAGAAATTCAAATTTAATTGATCTAACCGCGCAAGGTAAAACTGATCAAAATACTAAATTTTCTGAGTTCAAATTGCGTATAGAAATAAATTAATTTATAGAAATAATTAATTACTTTACATGATAAGGAGGCAGTTTGTACACACCCACGAAAAAAAAACAACTACAGTCGATACGGGGAAGGGGGGAAATCTCGTTGTAATGAAAAGAATTGAAAGAAATAGAGCTGCACTATTCGAAAAACAGATGATTAATAGAATTTCGCCTTGTCCTGTTTGCTTCTGTAAGAATATATTTGTTAAATCTGCCCAAATTTCGATTAACCAACCTGAAGTATACTACGACTACAATTACCGCTGATTGTATCACAATGATAGTAAGAAACAGTGCGTTTGAAACACAAGAGACGTTCGGGCAATTTTGTGCACCACCAGGAGCTTGCTGAACTTGCGTAGCCCTCACTGTCCGAAGCTCATTCAGCAAACTATCGACTTTTTGGTGAAGGCCACTATCAACACCACCAGCCGCACCACCACCGCCGCCACTTTGCAATTTCTGCTCCATGTTATAAGTCTTTGTGAATATCTCATTCACATATTGCTTCATATCGCGCACACTTTGGGTCAGATCCCGCAACGATTGAATAACTTCATTCTTCTCATGAGGTTGGAAACTTTGGACTCCAACAGCTCCAGCAACTGGCGGAGCTCCGCCGGTGTGCGGTTGAGCAGCCGCGCCGGTTCCAGTTATTTGAGCTTGTTGGATTTGCGCCAAACGTTGGTCCATATTTTGCATAACCTGTAATTCAAAAAAAGAAAATCAAATTATATTAATAGAACACTAACCTGATGAATAGCGTTTTGAGACTCGTAAATTAATCGCAGTTCCCGAGCCGTAGCATCCTCGTAGTACTTATTTGGATCATATTCGTCGTCCTCTTTGACTTTATCTGGATGCTGCTCCTTGAACTTGGCTCTGTCCGCTTCATACTCCTTCATTTGTCTCTCAAATTCCTCATCGTACTTCTGCTTTTCCTGTTGCGGAATTTGTTGAGCATTTGGCGCAGGCTTCTGGTTCGAGTTGAACAAAGCGTAAGTCGAGAAATCAAGAATGTCGTGATCGTCAGCAAGCCCACCAGTGGCAGCCGACACTCCGAAGTAACCATTCTTAGGCAAAAACACATTTTCCGATCTCATGCACAGCTCATATCTTGGCGTTGGCTGCATTCCGTCGTCGATATGCACAGTCAGCACATTATTGAAATATTCAATACGAGCACGAATCGGGTACGGCTTATTACGGAAATCTCTTTGGCAGCTGGCCAAAATATGCTGAGATCCGTCAGATTGATGATCGTAGGATCGAGTTCCATCATTGAGCATCAAAGATATTTGCGGGTTATTCTTTTGGCCATCGTTATCAAAAGAATCAAAGAATAATCCCATTCCGGTCCAATAGTCGTTCGCTCCAAAAACAGGTCCCAGCGCTCCAAGTTGGGAAGTGTACCAGATTCCGAGTCCATCGGCTCCAACACGGCCTTGACCACCAATTTTCAAAACAACATCAAGCTAAAAAATTTTTAATTATTAAAAATTAACATTAAACTACAAACTTGGAAATTATCTCCAGTGAATGCCCGCTTGTTCCAAGCAATTCCCTTACGACTTCTCATGGACGGCGCCAATCGAAGCTGTTCTCCAGAAGCGATCGCATCTCCACTCACCTAATATTAAAAAAGATAAACTAAAAAGAGGAAATTTGTGGTCTCACAAGCCAAAATGGAATCGACCCGTCGCGTTGAGCCAAATTTGGAGCTCTGAACGAATGCTTATATTCAAATCGCTTGAAGATTGCATCATTTTGAGCATGACTAAATCCTGCTAGGAGAATCGCCAATAAAACTGGTATCATTCCCTAAAAAATGATAAATCCGCGGATTTTCAAGAAGAAACGTCACGTTAAACGATTTTCGACCTATTGTTTTGATAATATTTATTGTTTGGGTTCAAAACGGTCATGAGAAGACATTTTCACACGATACCAAAACATACAAATGGAAACAAAGACGGTGGAAAATACAAAAACTGTACACGTCAGCCCGCTGGGAATAAATATAAGAATAGTGCAAACACCCCAAATTTCCGCGCATTGCGGACTTAATAGAGTCGAAAACGGAAAATTCAAAACAAGCTCTTTTTCAAAAATGAATTATATTAAAAATTGTTCGATATTATCACCGAATTGGTGAATAAAATATTAAATATAGTATGAAATTAATGAATGATTTTCAAACACTGTTTTTATTTTATTTTGCTGTTTTTTAATTAAAAAATTGAAAATGTTATTTTAGTTTATTTTCAAATTAAATTTAGAAATTCCGATTTTCTTACATCCGAATTTCCGAGAACATCGCATCTGGTCACCATGGTGTACGATTTGAATGGTGACAGCTGAGCAGCAACAAATGCGCTCCGCTGCAAAATAGTTTTAAATCTTTAAAAATCTGAATTTTGATATTTTTAAAATGATCTTTTTAAATTTGTGTATATATATATATATATTTATTTATTTATTATGAATTCTTTTTTATGTATTACCTTATCAAAATACGTGTTGTTCTAATTTGTTGCATTAGATATTTCTTGAATGAAATGATATATAAAATTTCAGAAAATGTTTTCTAACTCGTTCAATTCAACCACTACTGGTAGATCTCACCTAAATGATATGAACTCTTCTCAAATCTCAAACCTTGGTACCCCACAGGATCAATCTACTCCAGCATTTTTGTTTGGAAAACGGAAAAGCCTTGCTCCGAACGGGTGTATGCATTAATGGAAAAGTTGTTAAAATCGTTAATTTTTATTATATTTAGTTACTGGACACAATTTAAACACTGCTACTGCCCCAACAAATGACATTTTTGCTTCTTCAACCCCTTCAAGTCTTCCACAACACGTTAAAGGTAGGTGTAAGGGTGTCAAATAATTTTTTAAGCAATTAGTTTCAAGATGTTAACAGCTCCAAGACCGTCCATTGGTCTCCTCACCTAGTGCAGCCTGAGAAGACCGCCGTGTCTACTGTCGGCACTCCAACATCGACGCAATCCTATAAGGCACCCCCGCCAACATCTTTCGCCAGCCCAGCAGTCAACGGTAAAATTTTGTAAGAATTATTTGAAAAAAAAAATATCGATTTAGCTCCTCCACTTCGTTCTCTTCGCGATAAAATCGAGCCTGTGAAGAAAATCGCACGTCGGAACACGTTTGCAGCGACGACGACCACACGCGCCCCAGCTCCAAGTGTTGTCCCTCAAGATCAAACAAATCAAACAAGTAAAAAATTTTAGAATTTCTTGAAATCCAAAATAATATTATTTAAAGCTCGAAATGAGGATAGTAATGACGCTGCTGACACATGGGTCACGGTTTTTGGCTTCCAGCCGAATCAAGTTTCCGTTCTTTTGAATCTTTTCTCACGCCACGGCGAAGTTGTGAGCCATCAAGTACCAACAAAAGGAAACTTCATGCATATTCGGTATTCTTGTGTGACTCACGCTCTTCAAGCCCTTTCGAGAAATGGCACACTTCTGGATTCCGAAACATACATTGGGGTGGTACCTTGTACTAACAAGGTTGATATTCACTGATATGTGAATTTTGGGAAATTATGAATAATTTCAGGACGTTATGAATGGAGCGGCTACCGGAATCGTCGCCCATACGCCATCTACAAATCGTTCACTATCATTCTATAGCTCAATGATCGAAGAAGATCCGAATACAGGAGAGACTCATTCGATTAATGAGAATTTGAATAATAGTGCAGCTCTTAATATGTCAAATTTCGACACCTCTTTGAAGTATTGAATTAACTGATTTTACAAGTTTTAAATTCAATTAATTTCAGCTCGTCGAGGGTTTCGGTGCGATCGAGCGTAGGAATGAGACCGCTGGCAGCTGGTCAAAGAACTAATGTAAGATGATGCTTGTCAGTAGTAAAAAATGTATGTTATGTAATTTAGGCCACACAGCAAAAGCAAGATGGGCTTTTCAACAAAATTTGGAGCTCAATGGGGTTATAAATCATTCCGTTGTTTTTTGTTTTAATTTCATTCTGTTTACTATATTCGATTATTTATGTTTAATTATTATTGTTTGAATTCCATTATATTTTTTCGTCTTCAATACTTACGATATATCAGTGTTTGATAAAATTCTCATTGTTTTAATGAATTTCGGACGCGAACCATTGTTTTGTCGATGACGAATGTTGAAAAACGAGAGATTGAATGTTTTGATTCGGGTGGCGCGTTCAGGAATAGACCGAAATTTGTATAAATAGAGTGGCAAATTTCAGATAATTTGTATCATTTGTGGAAAATGAGAATTCTCCTTGCCGCTGTCATATTCTCTCTCGTCATCGTGACATTTTCGAGGAACAGCGACTCCGACGAAAGCAGTTCGCGCGAAATCCGACGCGAAAAAAGCTCGGAGAGCGAAGAAGGTAAATTTGGAAAAATCTTGAAAAATTCTCTGTGTGGTACCATCAGATCGTAGCAAATTCTGCCCGCCAAATGAGAAATGGTTCCAATGTGGCACGGGATGCGAGAAATCGTGCACTCATCCACGCCAACCTTCATTGAGAGTATGTTTCGTCATTTTCTGCAAATTTACGTCTCGGTGTTGCACAGAAAGTGACGCATTATAATTTTCAGAACTGCGATCTCCCGTGCATTCCATTCTCGTGCCGATGCGAACGCGGCTTCTATCGTGACAATCGGGTATTTTTTAGAAATTCATTTTATTGAAGTTCAACAATGAATGAATTACTTTTTTACAGGGAACTGGCCGCTGCGTGAGACGCTCAAAATGCAAAAAATGGTGAATAATTGAGTGTTTAATGAATAAAGTAATGGATTTAAATACATTTACTGTACATTTTACACAGACTCCAAACGATACTATTCCGACAATATCCCAAACGATGATACTACCAAGTAGTGGCTAGCCGTTTCGATGTAAGGTTTTTGTTTGAAAGAAAATAAAACAGGACAAGTATCAGAAGGTGTTCAAATATGAAGTGGTTAAAGGATGGCCGGAATGTGGTTTCGAGGGAATATCAAAGCAAAAAAAAAGAAATTCGTATTCAAATATGTGGAAAATGATGATTAATTCAAGAGAGTCGAGGTAGCTGAAATGTCACCTAGACAAAACAATGAGGTAGATTGTTGCATAGTTCAAATGGTCCATAAATAATGAATCTTTGAAGCTAAATGGAGATTTCATTAAAATTGATTGAGACTATTTATCAGGTCTTTCAACACGAGGGGTGGGGGTTTCGATTTGGCAAGTCTCCAGGTCCCGAACTAGGTGGAATTTGTGTGCGCCGCAGGTTTGGCAGGTCATCGGCTCATTGATTGTAGCATAATTGCCCTAAAATATCGACAAATGAAGGATTTCTCTTAATTGAAACATACAATGTTTAGTTGGGTTAGAAGAGATTCGCGGAGATTCAGTGGGTTTTTACACAATGAGCAAGTTGGTGTGCAACATTTTCCAGCAGACACTAAATTTTTAAATCGCCTTTAAAATCGTTCGATATTATTACCAATGTCATAGTAGTATAAAGTTCCCAAAACAATCGAGCGACCGTCAAACCAGTCATCCTTTCCGCAGATTCTACACGACCAGTCTGCCCAGAGGCATTTGACGCAAATTTGCTGGAGGCAATATCGTCGGCCATCCAAGGAAATCTTTAAAACACGGAGAGTATATAAGTATAAGCAAAAAATGGCTTAGTTTAAGCTACCCGAATCGGTCGCCACCAAACAAAGCTGATTTTCAGTTTTATGAGCCTTTAACCATTTTTTTTTGAAATTTTGAAACACTAAAAATTAGAATTTTTCATTGACTTTAAAATCAATTGGAGGGGAGCGAGGGTCTCGCGACGACAAATTCTAATCTCTGCAATCTGACTATACCTCCGTTTTGGGACCATATTGTGATACTGGTGATATGTAAAATGCGCCATCAATCATTGGGTATTTATCATAGACTTTAAGCTTCTCATGACACATGACGCATGGTACACATCTCAAATTATGTGCTCCAAGGGATTTCAGCAGGCAAAGACGAACGTCGTCGCCGCCTTGCGGGCAATCGTCTTCCATCTAAAATAATCGTTTAAGAAGCGATAATGCGAAAAATAAACCTTAATATGAATTCCGTTGAATTTGCTTTTTGGGATTATTGATAGTAGATTGTCATAATTCTCGCGTTTGTGAAAAACACTGCCATTGACACGCACCTGGAAATGATAATTGCAAATCTTGGGCATTTTATGGACTATGGTATTTATTTTTTAAAATTCTCACCGTTTCATCTTCAAAATAGCACTGTCGATCGACATTATTGCGAAGAATCTGAAAATTTGTCAAAAAAGATTATACAAATGTTTCAATGAATTTTTTTGTTTACGTCTAGATCAACACAGCATCGCAGCTCAAACTGTGGTCCCATATCGCGTTTCGGCCAACGTTTTTCAGACCCTCGCGAACCCATTGTGTTGCTGCGTTTGCGAAACTCATCCGAGTCTGAAAACCAAACTGATTGAAGTGGGTGTGTCGACAAGCGGTGAGCAACTTTGTACGCCTGCCGTCGGACGATGAAGCATTCAACAACAACAAAAAAAGGAAAGTTATCATGATGGCCGCCGATGAAAACGGGGCGGACGGCACCGTCGTATATGTTTATTTATTTGCGTTCTCATGAAATCCGTAGAGTCTGGGACTAGCTAGTCTTGTTTTGGGCCGGCGCCTGGCGCGGCGAACACCCAGTAAACAACAACAACAACAACAAAGTGGGGGGTGGGCGGCGCTTAAAGGCAAAAAGAGCGTCTCGAGAGGCGAGACGCCGACGGAACACTTGGCCCGTCGGGCGGTGCCATGTTGCAAAGCGGTAAACTGGTTTATTCTAGGCTTTTGCAGTGTCAGACAACCCACCCATTTGGTTTAGTTGTTGTTGTTGTTGGTGCTATCGAGTCTAGACGCATTTGTACATGTTTTTCATCCGACAAAAATAGTGACAACGGGAGACTGAACAAATAAACAAGGAGTTCTCAACGGCTGATAGCGTCGATGTAGTCATTGAGCGAAATTTTATTTTGAACTCCTTCTCACAATCATTTCGAAAACGCCTGTAGGCGGTAAATATTGCGAAAAATCGAAGATTTCCAAGTCTATAAAGCCTATTCGCATGCATTTTTACGTGCAAATTTTAGTGTCTACTTACTATTGTGCAAAAACACGCCCCCAGAGTGTAGATTATGGCAAAAGTTTGATTTTGGTAGGCCAACTGTGGTATTCACCAATTGCCAGTGCGCAATTTGAATTATCGTGCCGCTGGCCCCCCAAGGGTCTCGTCTTGTTGAAATTCAAATAATCTGCTGGTGAATGATAAAATGTGGCAACCTGAATCGGTCGCATGTTTTTAATTACAATTTTCAAAAAGAATTTTTAAATTTTTATAGTCGACATCCGGTGACTGTTGTACGCGGGTAGATTTACGTGTATGCGCCTTGAAAAGGTCTCGCCACGGGTGAACGTCTATTTTGGTTTTCTCGTGAACTGCGTCATTTTTTTTTATGAGTTTCGCATTTCTTGGAGTTTCTAACGATATTCGATTAAAAAATTATCGAACTGGTCCATAAAATTTGAAACAACCTGTTGGTCCTTGCGAGATCATTTCGAAAGACGCATTTATTGTAATTTAAGGACATTATGATGAAAATTGAGATTCAATCGAGAATTTTAAATACGAAACTTTGTTTTCGCTCTATTTTTATTTTATCAGAATCTACAAATTTAAAGAGTCTTTTCTTCGGTCCATGTCGGTTCCCCGACGATCAGCGTTTTTTTTTTCAGTGAATGTGAAAAACAACAAAAAAACTGGAACGATCTTTGTGCGGTTAAGAGTATGTGCATGCACTTTTGCTCGAAAACACGAAGGGCAAATTTTCAGCAATGCGCCCAAGTGCACGGGTACTGTAGTTGAGAATAGTGTGCACGTGAATATCCCGCCAATCTATTGTTTTTTTGTTTCAACAAATCCATTTTCTATTTATTCTTTAAAAATTTAACATTTTTTCCTAAATTCATAAAAATATTTTTCATTTCATACATCATAGAGCACCAATTTTTTGGAAATAATTTATTAGCAATAACACGATGAATATCAAATTCAAAAGAAACGCTTTGCTGCAATATCCGGTGGGTTTTCAAATTTCGAAAAAAATGCCATTAAAATTTTGAAAATGATTATATAGAAAAATAAATACGCAAGAATTTGATTAGACCAATTTTTTGTTATTTTCGTATGATTGTGAACACTTAGGTGCCCCCCATTCAGTAAAATTTATTTCGTCGAAAAAAATTTAAAAAACCGCGGGTTACTGTCTGTTTTTGTCTGTTTACACACATACGCGATTTTGCACACATTTCTTTTCACATCAGTAAATCTCTTGTTTAAAATGCATTTCATTGAATTTTTCGCATCAAAATTAAATTTGTGTCCAATATTCTACCCTATTATGTCGATTGAAAAAAAAATTGAAAAGTACAAAATTTTTTTACACCTAGCGCAAACTTTGATATAGTTGAATCAAAGCTTTATAGTATAAAAACATGGTGGATTTAATTAAAAAACTGGAGAGACAAATGACAAGAAAAAAAGAATACAAATTACTAGCTTCCAAAATGAGGTTTTTTTTCGTATTCAAACAACCTAGGTTTGCGTGCAGATAAAAGGTAACAATAGCTATTAAAGAAGTCGTGTCAGGACGCGTTTTTATCATTAAAAAAAAATCAGGCATTTCCAGAAATGTGCAAGTGAAAAATGACTCACCACATGATTTTTTTCGGTCTCGAAATTGATAAAATGCATGATGTTGATGCTGTTGTGCGGAAATTGTCGTATCCATCAACATATCGGCGAAAAGAATATTATGTTAATGAATTTTTCTGCAAAAAAATATATTTTTTTTCTATAAAGTTGCAGGAGGTACATATATATTGTGGAAGAAAAGTGGCGAATAGTACATTGAACGAAGGGAAAGTGCGCACGGCATGGTGACTCCGCCCACTTTTTGTTGGTCTCCAATACTACGGTAGCGATGGAAAAAAAATGCGAAGAAAATTGAATGTGTAGGATGAAGAATTGAGGATTTGCACACAAAGGTGAATATAACGAGTTGTTGTGACATCATACAAATTCGACGCAGGAAATCGAATTAATCGTGAATCATATATTTTCTGGCATTTAATAGTTTCACGCAAAAAGACTTGGAATTACCAAACACCAAAAATGCGAAAAAAAAATGATATGAATTCTCGAGGTGCCGTAGAAAAGAAAATTCTTACAATAATTTAAAAAAGGATTAGAAAATTGATGCGTTTTTCTCCAAATTTCAATTTCATTTATCAAATTTCATTATTTTTCTATAAGATAGTTTTCTTAATCGGATTTTTAAAATTTCATTTTTCGATCCATGTTAGAAAAATTAAACAAAAATTTTAATCTTTTAGGCTTGATTTTGTAAACAATTACAGTATCCAACAATTACAGTATAATGCAAATAAAAGTACGCAATTTTGCGAAAAATATGCATTTTTTCTCGTTTCTTTTTTTACGTCAAAAGCATGAAACAAACGCCCCTTTTTGACATTTGTAACATGTTATTATGCCAACTCGTCAGGAAAATAAGGAAAAAAAATCAAACAGCGGTGAGAAGAAACGGGGAGAAATCGAATTAATAAGAGTAAACGAGGCCTTCTTTTTCTGCGTTTTTTTTCCCGTCTTCTGCTTCTTCGTTCCGCGCAGCTCATTGAGCACAGCCCCCATTCGATATCAGTTTGTCTGCGTTCGAGGAGCACATTCATAATAATCCCTCCGTGTTCTTTCGCTTCCTCGCCTTATATTTCTCGGCTTCCATTTGTGTTCCTTCGATTAATGATTCATACTCGCCTTTTGATTATCATTCATATATGGTAGAAATAAATGACAATTTGTCAAAAAAAAAGTCAACAAAAAACGGCTAATTGGCAAAAAATCGGGATGCTTTTAATTATGATGCAACGAAAAGCCTTCCCTGACGATTCAAAAAATGGGGTAAAACGAAAAAGCGGAGAAAGTTACTAGGTCACAACTTACTCGCATTCAATCTATTTCATCTATTTCTCTCCAAAAAACGTAGACTATTTTCGGAAAATGTGAACGCCAAAACAAGGCCGAAATGGAAAAACACATTCACTCACACACACATATACACACATGAGGCGAAAGTGGGAGGAGTCACACTGCGCAATAACGTATTGGACAACAATGCAAAAAAATACAATGGAATTGATAATAATTTATGAAGAATAAACCCGGTCGTCAAAATTATAAAACAGTCTAATCAAAAAGGAGTCGCCGCACTCCGGCCCCGCCCTCCATTTCATCCATCCGCCGCCTTTTCGGCTGTCGATTTGGCAATGGGAGCTCCTCATCTGGGCAAGAATACGGCTGGTTTTTAAAGTAATCCATGTGAAGGGCTTGAGTCGTTGTGCAGCGTTTAATGGGGTCGAATGTGAGCATTGCCTGAAATTATTCGCAGGTGAAGATGAATTGGCGTCATGAAATTGCAAGATTAAAAATCGTATTCAAAATGAACAAAATTGTATTTTGTCAATTTTTTGATTTATTGTTTAATCTTCACGAAGTATTGACAATACCATATAATCAATTGAATATTTGAAAATCTTCGCTCATGATTTTTATTATATAATTTTTTTCTTTCTAGGCTAAATCCGCAAATGACGGATTATCCATAAAATTATTATAAAGATTTGATGCACATCTCCAAATTATTCACATAAATAAACGATTAATAATCGCGACAACTTTTTGTCCGGTAATACCTTCAAAAGATCTATCAGATCAGGGCCAGCTGCAGAAAATATGAACGTCATCTCAGGAGGGGTTTCGTTTTGAGGCCTTAATGAATAAATTTGAGAAAGAAGACAATTTTATTCGCTAACTTAATGACAACGTAGCTTGGCAGATTTGTCATTGCTGGCCATAATTCTTCAGTGGGTTCTCCGAGAACATTGTAAATTTTGACAAGTTGATCAATATCGCTATCACCGGGGAAAATTGGGCTCTATAAATGATTACTATTATTAAATTTTTGCAAATATAATAATTACTCTCAAAAGAAGCTCTGCGACTATGCATCCGATAGACCAAATATCAATTCCAGTTCCATAGGATCTCGCGCCATACAGCAATTCGGGGGCTCGGTACCATCTGGTAACGACCTGGTGGGTGTAAACTTTATTTGGTGATCCAAAAAATCTTGCAAGACCAAAATCCGCCAATTTCACTCTTCCCATATTGTTCATAAGCAAGTTATTTGGCTTCAAATCACGGTGAAGAATCCAATGAGCGTGAAGGAATTCGAGCCCTAATAATGTTTGCATTGTGATATTTTTAATATGCGCCGGCATTAAAATGATGGAATGGTCCTTGACAACTTGCTCCAAATCGGTTTCCATGAAATCGAACACAAGTTGGATGCTTGTTCGGTGCCCGATGACATCACGGAGTCCAATTATATTGTCGTGCTGAATTTCTTTGAGCAATTTGATTTCCCGAAGCGCGGTTCGATTAATTCCGTCTTTAGCTTCTTCGCGGGATCCGAGTTTAATCTAAAAACAGGCATGTTTTGAAGAATTTTATGCTGAGATTACCTTTTTGATCGCGACAACCTCGCCGGTTTCGAAATCTTTGGCGAGATAAACGTTTGCAAACTGACCTTCTCCAAGATGTTTTATTGTTTCATAGCGTTTACTCATCTTTAAATAACGTAATTTAGCTAAGAATTATTTTTTTTTTAAGAATGTGAATTTAAATTCGTGTGACGAAGGAAAAAATAGGACGACCGAACATCCCGACACATAAGTTAGGCCATGTTCATGATAATTTTAAAAAATGTTTAATTTCAGAAATTATGCTTTTTTTTGAATTTTTGGTATTAAATTACAACAAAAATAGAAAATTATTGCGATGGAAAGTTTTAAAAATGCAATATTCTCACTTTTTAGATTAAAAAGTTAGCTGGCCGAGTTTTTATTTTTCGAATAGCAATGATGATTTTGGAAAAAGCTCACTTTTAAAATTGTATTTCTGACATGATTCCGATTTCCAATAATAGAAATAAAAGTGTTAAGGCAATTCCGCTATGGATCACAGTTTAGAAGGCGTACGAAGCTATACGGATTACACCATAAGGGTGCAACACGATTGGCATCTCTGTTTAAGGTATTGAAAATGAACATAAAAAAAGTAATTTTAGCTGCGACCCAATTTTAGAGAACCAGTGTCACAATTTTACATATCCATGAAGCCTAATCCAACGAGTAGTCGACTGGAATTTCACGTCCAAGTCACAAAAATGATTGATGTTTACGCGTGTACTGTTCTTCCTCCTCAGCACGATTTCGGGTCAATTGATAAATTTCAAGTTTCGATCGATGATTTCGTAGGAAAATAATACAAAAAGAAATAATAAATTTAAAATTTCAGAGAAATCTTCACGTCTCTTATCATAACCAACGGACCATATTTGTTCCTCCATGTGCACAAATCACAACACATGGTTTGGCCTCATCGATTCTATCGTTAGATTTTTCCAAATCCGGGCAAAGCTATGTTGCTGCAGATAATAATGGGAATATGGTGGTTGCAAATGCGACAAATGGACAGCCAATGGTTCTTTTTCCAATGAAATTCATAAAATACATATATTTTAGAGATTCTTAAGAGGACATACTCTTGATGTCAACCGATGTCGGTATCTTCCATCGGACCTTGTTATTATCAGTGGAGGACTCGATATGAGTGTCCGAATCTGGGGAATCGATGATGGTACATGCGCGCGTGTGTTAATGGGTCATACGAGAGAGGTGACCGGCATTGGCGTTCTCGGAATTGGCAAAGAAGTGTTATCGTGCTCAAAAGATGGGTCTGCAATCAAGTAACTCTAGTGAGTAGCCGAATGATTTTAACAATGCCTAATGCATTAGGTGGCATGTTGGCGAAGGAAAAATTCTTGAGCAATGGAAATTTGATTCTGGCGATTGCGTTGATTTGGCCGTGAGCCTCGACAATTCAATGTTTGCTGTGATTTGTGAACTCGGCATTCTATCGATCATTCGGCTCAACGGTGCACCACGCATTGACATTTACATTCCTCAAAATGCGACATGTCTGTGCTTTGCTGAAAATGTAGTTCCGCGCCATCAGAATTCAGTGGCAAGTCAGATTTTTGTCGGATTTGATGATGGTCACATCGCTTTATACGGAATTTCTGAGAAGTAATATTTTAAAATTAGTTTTTTCTTAAACTTTTGTTCTAGAGTATTTTCAACATTTGTCGCAGAGGTTAACACGTTTGCTGGAAAAGTTACTCGTTTAATACAGGCATACGAAAGATTAATTGTTGGATTTAGTAGGCAAAATCATGAAATTATTTCTAATCTATGGCTACAGGTGACGGTCGAATCGCAGTTTATCCAGTTTCAATATTTACACCAGGAAGTCCTGGAATTGGCGGAAAAAACGATATTATTGCCGAATTTGAGCTCACCGGAACCGATTTGAATCCAATTAACGATATCGTTGTCGTTGAACGATATGTTTACATTTGTTCGCGAGACATGCTCATCAAGCGATATGCGATTCCATGGAATTAATAAATTTCGGGCGAAATTTTACACGGTTCTTACATTTTGCTTAGACTCGTATTATAAATTTGAAGCATTTTTTAACTGTCAAATTTTTGTTTCTTTCGTTCTAATACGATATAAATTACTGTTTTTTTTGTTATTGGGAAAAACCGTGAGATTTTTTTTAGAGAATGCAATGCCTTCGGCAACCGCGAGCCGTGTGTTATTATCAAATTCGATTTAAAACTGTTAAATTTAAACCAAAAGTGGGAATTTTAAGGCGGTATTTTAAGTTTTTTTTTTCATAATTTTCTTCAGATTGCGCGAACAAAACCATTAAAAACGCCATCAGCACTAGCTTTAGATCATTTTGACTTTTATTATGGACCATTATTCGGAAAGAAGTGGCCCAGTATTCGATTAGGGCTTTTGTCGCCTAATAAATATGTGGCTGTTATGAATACTATGTGCAGGTAATTTTGGATAATCCAAATTTTCATTTTTTGAAAAAAAAAAATGAACAGTTTTCTAGAAATTGGAAGCCTCACGAGGAAATTCTTATCGATTTGGGAACCCAAGACTTGCTCGCCACAATTCGCGGCAAAAACGAGGACGATGTAATCGAGAAAAAGCGGCAGCAAGTTGATCAGAAAGCTGATGAAGACACGAAACGAGCTAAGATTGAGCTATCAGCATCAAATGAGACTTCCGAAAATGAAATCGAGAAAAATGAGTTGGCTGAAGAGAAAATTTATCGATCTGCGGCAGGATTGTCAGAGTTTCGAGAAAGTCGCGGTGAATTGTCGACGGCTCAACTTCAAATGGGAAGTGATAAAAAGAAGAATGTCGATTTTGAGTACGCTTAGTTTCAGAGTTTAAACACAATTCAATTCATTTTTAGGATCACTGGATATGAGGGAGAAGGTGTTCGACTACCGCTGCGAGACCACTTTCTTTATTATCCGAAACATTTGCGAATTCAATGTTTTGGTCGAGCGGTTTTACATGATTTTCCGGCCCCGATGAAAGATGAAGTTGGGGTTCCGAGTAAGTACGCTGAGGTTACACAAACGTCTATAAGCTCCAGGTTATTGGCTACTCGACGGCGGCTCATTGCTGCCTGTATTAGCGCTTGGATTACAAAAAGACGAAAGTGTGCTCGATATGTGCGCAGCTCCCGGTGGAAAAAGCCTTCTTGTGGCGCTCACTCATTTGCCAAGTATTCTCAATTCGTTTTTGAAATTCTTCAATTATTATATTCGAATTAGGCAAAATTGTGTGCAACGATTTCAAATTGTCAAGGCTTGGACAGCTGAAACGAGCACTGATGACGTATGTGCCTGAAGACAATCCGGTACATTTTGACAAATGTGTAATGAATTGAGAATTGATAGTATTTTAGGCGATTGACAAATTTGTGCTAAAACGGAAAGATGCGGCTGACGTCAAAAATTGGGATGAATTCGATGCTTATGATAAGGTATTTCTGACGGAAATTTGGCGAAGTTCCAAAATAAAGCAACAAAGGAAGTCTTAGCGTAAAACGGAGTCTTGGTTTACGGCTTGAACAAAAAAGAGCTTAACAGCGCATAATGTGGTTTCGAATTTTCACTGACCCATAAATTATAATTTGCAGGTGTTGGCCGATGTTCCTTGCTTGACTGATCGGCTGTCGGTTTCGACGGATGAAGGCAACATTTTCAGCACTTCGTCAACTCAATTGAGACTTGATTTGCCGATTTTGCAGACCAAAATTCTTGTGTAATCGCCAAAACGTATTAAAAATTAAAAGAAAATCAAAAAATTATTTTAGGAATGCGATTAGATCAGTTAAAGTTGGAGGCTCGGTTGTCTACTCAACGTGCACATTGTCGCCAAGTCAGAATGAAGCGGTTGTAGAAAATGCTGTAGCGATTTGCAGGAACGAATTTGGAATTCAGGTACAAATTTTAAGGCATATTAGCATCTATTCAAGTAATTTATAGATTGTCGAAGAAAATCTGAAGCAGATTGTATCACACATGACAGCAACTGGATTATATAGATTTCATAAAACTCAAATCGGAGCGCTTGTCATACCATTTTTGCCGTCGAATTTTGGCCCCATGTATATCTGTAAATTGACTAGGTTAGAATAATTGTTGAAAATTATTTTTGTTAATTATTGAGAATAAAGTTGTTATTGTTTTTTTTTTAAATTTAAAACAAAATAGAGTTTCTGAAACTCTCTATTATACTTGTTAACTCTCTATTATACTTGTTTAAACTTGCATTTTAGAATATCCTGCAGCGTTCTTAAATTTCCCATCAAAAATGCATTGCCCCCCCCCCATTCTCATCTCATATTCTATCATTATCCTCTTTGAGCGATCTTTTCGAAAAATGACCTTCTTCTCGTTCCTCGTTTCTCCCCATTCGCTGGGTATTTTTTTGACCAACTCGCTGCACTCGCTGACCAAATATTGTGAAATTCGCCGGTTTCGTTTCGACATACATATATGTGTTCGCTTCATTTGACACGATTACACACTTGATTATTCTCATTCATTTTTGCACATGTACATGTATTTATACATTTTATAAGCTTCAGAAATGGCAGACGCTCAAGAAATCAAGCAGCTGAAAATCAAAACTGGTGTCTTGAAGAGGCTTGTGAAGGTAATTTATATATTGTCGAAGTCGCGTGACTGACTAGGCAAAATTCACAAAATACGGATGATTTTCTTTTATTTCAGTTTTTTGCATTTCGTAAATTATTTTATTGTCGGCGTGACCGACAATAATAGATTTGGAATTTTCAAATTTGATTTTTTTTCAGGAATTCCATGCTTACGAGAAGCAATCCAAAAAGGACGAGGAAAAAGCCGAAAAAATGAAATCCGAGGCGAAAAATGAGGACGATGAGTATGCAGCTAAAAAGGCCGCCGAAGTTGCTCGTGAAACTCTTGGAATGGTCCGTGACACCAGAAGCCGATTGACCAAAGCCGTCGCTGATATTCAAACATTTTTGTCGTCGTCTCAATTCTCAGAAGAAAGTGCCGAGCTCAAAGAAGCCAATGAGCATTTGGAAGCAGCCAATAAGGTTATCTCGGCTTAATTTTCCCAATTCGAAAGACATTGATTTAATTTGTTCAATAAATTATCGTATTCGTTTAGATATTTACATATAAATTAGGAATTTTTAGACGCAATTTTCTCTAGAAGCTCGTTTTGGCGGTCCAATCTCAATAATACCTAAAAACTGGAATTAATCTTGCAAAAATTATTAAATGAACCTCGTTTTTGAAAGATTCGAATTTTGCGTCCATTCGAAGTTGCATTCGATCAATTTCAACGCCTACTATACGATGTATCGTAGCATAAAGATCTAACTCAGGGGCAGCAGAAAGTGACGGAAGAGGAGCAGAGTTGGTTGAATCCGAGGGAAGAAGAGTCTCGGTGGCGCATTCTGCTTCAACTTCGCTCATTTTAGATTGACCTTCTACTGGAAAGATGCTCTTCCCAATTTTAGATATTCGTTCTTTTAAGCTCGTCTGAGTTTCCCTTGTTTCTTCTGGCTCCTCTGAAGGTTCCTTCGAATCTTCTCCCTTCTTTTCCAAATCTTTAAACTTAATTTTCCTAATGTAAACCTAGAAACAATCGTTTTCGATTCAATCTTTTTTCAAGAAACAACCTGCATTACAGTATCCGGGGCAGTTCTAACCAACAGATTAGCGGATTTTGCAAGTCCTATGAAATGGGCGTGAAGCGGGTGCTGCGCCGACTTCTCCGAAGACATTTTACATTTAATATTGGGCAGAGCTTGTGGAATTTTCATTTCACCGTCTTCTTTTTTATGTTTTACAGTATCATATAACACGGAACATTCATAGCTGATTGGCTCACCGACTCCGTTTGAAAGAATAAATTTGTCCGTTGTGTCAACGTGAAGAAGAACCTTTAAAAATTAGTTTTTTTTAGAACACAGTAATGTTATTACCATAACCGCAAATCTGTTAAAATCCGATGAATCAATGAATGTAACAGTTAAATTTTCCTGATTCGCTCCTATTTTCGCAGGAAAAGACGCAATCATATTTTCTTCATCAAATGTGAATTTAATCCCATTTAGCGGATTGCACAATAAAACCTGTTTGGATCCATCGTATATGATTATATGAAGAATATCATTTTTTGTTGTAAGTGCTAGTCCAAATTTGGCCACTTTTCCGTGAAACTCGATAAAAACTGTGGCAGCAAATGGTGGAGCTTCAGCTTTACTTGTGACTGCTTCAGGTTCTCGCAATTCTTCAGCAGGCAATAAATTTGCCAACCTTTCATTAAATTCTTCCGAAAAGATGCCGGTGGGGTCGCTTTTTTGAATACCAAATTCAGGAAGTGATTTTTCACGCATGTCTATAAAACTAAATTTATAAATATTAAGAGATAAGTGAATTAGAAAAATGAAGTAAAATAAAAACAGGTATCTTCTTCATATCCTAGAGCTATCAATTTTTTCAACTAAAAAAATTGTTAAAATATAAAAAATACTCAAGTCGCTCGTAAATCGACACCACACACGCGCTGCAAGACCACAACCACCTCTGCGCTACTGCATTCATGTTCCTTTAATCAAAATATTTTATTTTTTTTGCATTTTTGACGTTGTTTTTCAATGTTTCTTCGTGACAAATAAAAAAAAAACAAATAATTAATAATTTGCAGCTAAATTCAAACTAACTGGGAAAGCAATTTAAAACATGGCTACTGGTAAAATCGCATGGAGATTCCGAAAATAATTTTATTAATTGTTTAGACGGTGAAAAAGACGAGTGTCAAAGTTGGCTTGCCAAACAAGATTTGGATAAAGTAGGAATTGACAATCTCACACCACTCACTGAAGAGGTATGCGAAAAATAATTAAATAAAAAATTATATTTTTACTTTAGGTGGTTTCGCGACAAGCTACAATTAATATTGGAACTATCGGTCATGTAGCGCACGGAAAGTCAACACTTGTTAAAGCATTTTCAGGTGTTCATACTGTCAAGTTCAAGAAGGTTTCGTAATACACAAATTATATCGCAAACGAATATTTTTTTGTAGGAACTAGAGCGTAATATTACAATTAAATTGGGATATGCGAATGCTAAGATTTACCGGTGTTCAAATCCTGACTGTCCTCGACCAGGATGTTACAGGTATTTCTGCAAGATTTAAGAAGTGTCGAAAAAGTCGTACAGATCTGCGGGAAGTTCAACTCCTGATAAATTTCCATGCGAAAGAAATGGATGCGGTGGTCAGTTCACGTGTGTTCGTCACGTTTCTTTTGTTGATTGTCCTGGTCACGACATTCTTATGGCTACCATGCTTAACGGTGCCGCGGTTATGGATGCTGCATTCTTACTCGTCGCAGGAAACGAGCCATGTCCTCAGCCACAGACCTCAGAACATTTGGCTGCTGTTGAGATTATGCAGCTTCGCCATTTGATGATTCTCCAGAACAAAGTTGACATCATCAAGGAGTCGCAAGCTCGTGAAAATTACGACCAAATTACCCAATTTGTTCAAGGAACTGTTGCTGAGAATGCCCCGGTCATTCCAATTTCCGCTCAGCTGAAATATAATGTCGATGTAAGATTTATTTATATTTTTGTGTAATCTTAATTGATTTTAGCTGGTTTGTGAATACTTGTGCAAAAAAGTACCAGTCCCAGTGCGTGATTTCAAGTCTCCTGCTAGACTCATCATTATTAGATCGTTCGATGTCAACAAGCCAGGATCAGAAGTTGAAGTGCTGAAAGGAGGAGTTGCTGGAGGAACTCTGACCAAAGGTACTTTATTTTTCACTTGATATTGCTTATTGCACTGCTTTAAGGTATTCTGAGAGTTGGACAAGAAATTGAAGTCCGACCTGGCATCGTTTCAAAGACAGCCAACGGACAAATTCAGTGTCGGCCGATTTTCTCTAAAATTGACTCGCTATTTGCCGAGAAGAACCAGCTGGAATACGCAGTTCCCGGAGGTATTGGAAATTTTAACAGTTTTCAATACGCAGATTGTATTAAAAATAATATAATTGTAGGCCTTATCGGAGTCGGAACCAAAATTGATCCAACGTTGTGCCGTGCTGATCGTCTTGTTGGTCACATTTTAGGAGCCGTAGGAACTTTGCCAGATATTTTCATTGATATCGAAATCTCATTCTATTTGCTTCGACGTCTTTTGGGTGTCCGAACTGAGGGTAACAAGAGAGGAGCCAAGGTAGGAAGAATATCAAATTAAAAAATGCGTTTGGTTTATTAGGTTCAAAAATTGGCTAAAGATGAAACTCTTTTGGTGAACATTGGATCATTATCTACTGGAGGTAGAGTTGTTGCTGTCAAGAACGATGCCGCTAAAATTCGATTAAGCGACCCAATTTGTACAGAGGTAAGGTCTTTGAATTCGTTGAATTGATCAACATACAATATGATGTGAATAGTATTTCTAATCATTTAAAAATCAATATTTAAAATTATTCAGGTTGGGGAGAAGATTGCGATGTCTCGTCGTTTCGAAAAAAGTTGGAGATTGATCGGTTGGGGTACAATTCGCAAAGGAGTCAAAATTGAGCCAACTCTCGATTAGGTTTCTCAAAGAATTTACTGGTTCCAATCGTCGTTTTTTGTTTCAAGCGTCTTTATTTTCTTTCTATATCCAAATTTTTATAAACGTCAAGCTTGGGGTTGCCCGGTCGTGTTTTGTTAGTATACTTTTTTTTTCATAAATTCAAAAAATCTTTTGAAAACGTTGAATTTAGCACTTGTTTTTCATTCTTCTGTCTTTTTTTCGGATCCAAACCTAAATTGTTCTGTTGGTTTTTTTCATTCATAAATTATTTATTTAAAAAAAAACTGAAAAACGACAAGAATTATCTGCAAATCGAATCTTTTTGAATACATAAATTACGGTATTAAATGCCTTTTATAGGTATGACGAACCGGTTTCCGGCAATAGTAATCTACATGGTATCCCGTCTCTTGTACTGCGATTTATTATATTTACAAATCTGGCATATAAGTTGCTACCGGCGGGTACCAGCAAAAAAAAAAACAATTGGAAGCGGATATAATGAAGGGCCCCCATCAGCTAGGCTCTCAAAGTGTTGCTTTCATTCACAATTTTTGTTTGTGTTTGTCAATTCGGCAAACAATTACCACTACGCGCGGTACGGTTGGGAGTCCGACTGTCGTCGAGTTCTTGACACAACGTCTTATTTATTCGAAAACATAAAATACCTACGGCTCTTTTGTTGTTTTTACTAACTAGTTGGCTTCTCAACGGTAGTCGATGAGCAAAAGCTGCAGTTTTTTTGTGGTTGTGGGTGCCATACTTCTCAGAGGGTATAAGAAACCTTGCAAAAAATTTCACTACATTTTTTCCTTCTGTTATAATTGTTCTGGGTTTTCTTAAAGAACCGATCATTGACTTATAGTTTCAGCGCAGGAAATGCAGGAAACTCGCGAGACCGAGGTTGGCTTTTACCCAAAACATATCGAATTTGGTGGAAAATTGATCTTCTTTGACACATTTTATGCTTCGACTTGTCGAGGGCTTACAAAAATCATCTCAATTGTGAGTTTATACGTTGTTGAGTTTGAAGAGTTGGAAATTTGCAGGCTCTATGCTTTTCGGCGATCGTTTTGGTGTGTGCGAGTCAGCCGGTTCATGATGAACGAGGCCCGGCACTATTTTTTGCGTTTCTGGCAATTGTTGGTAGTTTTGCTATTCTTCTTGAATACACTTTTATGCTGAATACCAAGATTACAACCACATTTGCCTTTATATTTGTAAGTTTTTTTGGTCTCTGCTGATTTTGGTAAATATGTTCAATGAGATTTTAAGGAAGCTGTCTTCTATGTAACTGTTGCTGTTGGTCTTTTTGTCTCCGCAATTTTTATGATTATATTTTGTGCTAATCATTGGGCGGATATGAATCCAGAATGGGCGACCATGCCATCCCTTGCGGCGGTATATTCAATTTTTCGAAAACCCATTTTTTAGGATGTTTTTGAATTTTAGGGAGCTTTACTTCTTTGCAGTGCGCTTTATGTCGCAGAAATATGTATTTTGGTGTCAGACGCTCGTCGTTGCTCATGGAGGCCCTCAAACTCTCGGCCGGTTACCACAGTTTTACCCGAATAAACCGCTTCTTCAAAAATTTTCTTTTATTTTGGTATAAACGAAAATGTTTTTCGTTTTTCCGTCCGCCGTGATTTTATCGTTCTCGTATTTGTTGATTGCAAAAACCGCGTTATTTAACAATTACTACGAAAAAAAAACGACCTTCGCAAACGCCGACTTTCGAATGGCACGAAAGAAATAGCGCGTGCAAACGCGAGACATGGATGAGAGACGGTTGCTGGCAGTGTGCCCAGTTCAAGGCGCGTTGCATTAATGAGTTGCTGGGTCTCGCAGCGAGCAAAGCGGCGTCGAGGCCCGCGATTATTCGATTTCGGATTTTTCGCTGGCTCAATGCAATATATCCCTTTGTTTTTTTATTTTCCGATCAATTTTTCTACCTACCGCATAGTTAATTGTATTATATGCATTTTACTATGCGCATCGCATTTGATTGAACTCCATTTTTCATTGCAAATTCAGTATTTCACTTGGATTATGGGAGGTTATTGATTTTTCAACCAACTTATTTTTAGCTTCACGATGACTGATGTCAAACAAGAAGTCAAACAAGAGGTTGTTGAAAACACTAATGGTGCTGAAAATGGAGCAGCAGAGACTCCTGCCCCTGCGAACGTGAGTCAAAAATTGAATTTTCTCATTTCAACGGTTATTTTTGAAGAATTTCGAAGAAAATGAAGACTATAAGAAGCTCATCTCGCTCAAAGTGAAGCCTCCAGTGGCTGAAGCTATAGTTGAAATATATCAATCCGGATTACTTTCCCCTGAAGATTTCGATGAGCGTGCGATTGAGATGATTAATTCCATTACTGTCGATCAGGCGAAATACATCTTCAAAGAAATAGCGGTATTCAAGAAATTCTTCTATTAAAAAACTAAAAAAAATTTTAGGCATCAAAATTGTTTGGTGTATCGACTAAATCGCTTTATGTCACCTCATTGATCAGGTCCTTCAAAGATCGTGTCCGACAGCAAGGTGCGGCAGCTGTGTTGTCTGGAAAACTCATTCATGGACCAGATCAAGCCTCTCTAGAGGCAATTTTGGCTAGAACTGGATATCCTATTGAAGTTACCATCGGTCAGCGTAAATATGGTGGACCACCGCCTGACTGGGATGGACCGGCGACAGGACCATCAGGACAGGGACATGAGATATATGTTGGACATATTCCGACAGAATTATTCGAGGACACACTTATTCCACTCTTTGAACAAGTGGGAAAGATCTGGGATCTCCGTCTTATGATGGATCCGGTAACCGGAATGAGCCGTGGTTACGCGTTCATCACATTTTGTGAAAAGAACGACGCCGCTGAAGCGGCGAAGAAAGTGAGTTTTCCAAATTTTCTTAAACGTTATTCACGATGCACGCCCCATTTCGGTCTGCATTTTGGATTAGCTTTCTTCGACAAAAACGAAAATTTGAAACAATTTTTCGCCTAAATTTAGTATGACGGTCACGATATTTTGCCCGGAAAATCAATCAAAGTGAATGTCTCTGTCGCTAACACTCGCCTATTCATTGGAAATATTCCGAAGACGAAATCTAAAGATGAAATTCTCGAAGAGCTCAAATCTCATGCAGGTATAAAATTCGAAATTCTATTGTATTATTCTAGCGATATTCTCGTATATTTTCGTATTTGTATCCTGCGGCGCGTATATATTTCGTGATGTGACGGGTTCTCCTCATTCACCTCGTTCGACGAAACGAGAATTATTTCAGTTGGCATGCATGAACTGTAATGTATTTTCAGATGGCGTTACTGACGTGATTATTTATTCGGTGCCCGACAATGACAAAATCAAAAACAGAGGATTCTGCTTTGTCGACTTCATCGACCACAAGACAGCATCTGATGTTAAGAGAAAGATCTCTCAAATGAAGGTAGAGTTGAATTTTTAGAATTAAAAAAAATAATTTTTTAAGATTCGTCCATTTAATGTAGAGGTATACGTTGACTGGGCTGAACAGCAGGAAGAGCCTGATGACGAAACTATGTCGAAAGTGAAGGTCTTATATATTCGCAACATAAAGGAAGCCGTAACCGAAGAGAAACTTACGGAAATTTTCAAAGAATTTGGAGAATTGGAGCGCGTAAAAAAGGTTAAAGATTACGCTTTCATTCACTTTAATGAGCGTGAAGACTGTCTAAAGGTATATAATATTTATATATTTTGAATCTAATGATTATTTCCGTATAGGCGATGGAAGCTTGGAATGGAAAAGAATTAGAAGGAACTGTCGTTGAAGCTTCTCTGGCCAAGCCTCCACAAGATAAAAAGAAAAAGCCGATGATCAGGGGCCGAGGATACCAGCATGGTGGTCCTGGAATGTACGGCGGACCCCGAGGAGGAGCTATGCGCGGAGGTGGTGGCGGCCCAGGTTATCATCCGAATCCATATGAGATGGGAATGGGCTGGGGTGGTGGCTATGGTGGTCCAGACATGTATGGAGCTTATGGAGGAGGATTTGGTGGTGCCTACGGTGATTATGGCTTTGGTTTTGGATTCCGCGGAGCTCGCGGTGCCCCAAGAGGAATGAGGGGCTTTCCACGCGGGTCGATGTAAGTTTCAAATCCACTTTTTTTTTTACAATAATTTCATTTCTGTGATGTTAAGGTTCGGCAACAACAGGCGAGGTCGCGGAAAGCGACCGGGGGATGGGAGAGGTGGTCCAGCATCGAAGAGGGATAACGGAAAACAAGACTTTTCAGCTGATGTAAACATGAGCACTTTTTAAAGAAGTTTTTGTAGTCCGAAAGTCATCCCTCCCTTCAAACGACCTCATAATTTTCCGATGCTCTCCTTTATCCTTTCTTGTTCTCTTCAAGATTTTCGAATATCTACAAATTATACCCAAATATACACATACGTACGTATATATATATATATAATAATAATATTATTATATATATACACATTATTTATTTATTTATTCGAAGAGAATACCGATTAATGTTGTCCTGTTGATACGTATCTCTGCAAATTCTAAGCGACTTCCGCGAATAAACTTTGCGGCCGTAAGCAATCGCCTGTTTCATATTTTTACCACATTTTGTCTCCCCCAATTATATGCTTTTCTCCGTTTTGTCTTCTTCGGCGAAATTTCGAGGCGTAATTCTCACTCGAGTCGCCGTTCTATCGTGCGTTTTAAAAGTTTTGATGATTGGTGTGCAATCAAAAAAAAATTCAAAAAATTAAATGAGCTACCCAAAATCATTGTTACTTTTGTATGTTAATATTCATATAATAATAATAATAATAAACCATGATGAAAATTTCAAGATTTTCGCAATGTTTCGTATTGTCGAAAAAATGATTTTATCAGTTAAAGCGCATGCCAAAAAAGACAGAACCCTATAGCTTTATTGTTGATTTTTTGTGGAGAGATCTTAATTTCGATTTGAAAAGAGAAACAAAAACAGTGAAAGGAAAAATGTTGTTTGAACGTAGTGGAAGAGGAGGCAGGAAAAATTTGAGAAATTGAGGGGCCTTACTAAAACGTCGCAATAAAATTGAAAAGTGTTCAGATTTCGCCCTCCCAGCCGAAATGGGTAGCCGGTTAGCCAGCAGCAGTTCACCGAAAAGGTAGTCATTGATTTTCAATAAATTTACGATTTTTGTGGCAAATTTTGGTTGCGTGACCCTCGGTCGGATGCCACGTGTTGATTTTGGTGGTTAAATTGACCTAATAACATTAGATTAACAGATTTACTTTATTGCTATAAATGAACGTGTTCAGTCTGAATGCGAATGCAAAGTCGCTGATTCCAGTCGAGCATCAGCTCGTTTCGCATCGTGGTCCCTACATAGGATTGCGGAAATGTGGAGTTTGCCGGCGTTTTTTGATGTACTTCGCTATGAAAAAAGAAGATACTTTTATGTGCAATGTGTGCGGGTAAGTTATTTAAAGAAACAAAAAATTATAATCGTCAATGCAACGGATTAAACATGTTTGTTAAGTGTTCTATTAATCTGAAAACTCTTAACACTAAACAGGTGTCACTCAGTTCACAATTTGATTGGCTTATGAGTCATTCTGGGTTTTCATTTGTACACCATAAATAGCGATCAATTCAGGCTTGGTAACCTGATATATTCTATTGTTATTGTTTGAGTAGACATAAATTGAGATATTTCGGCATGGGAACACGGCTCTACTAGTGGTACGTAAACATTGCAGAAAAGAGGGATTTATCCTGCTGAGATTGGAAAATTAGATCGCGGGGGGGGGTCTTTGAAAAGGGGTCCATGTTAAAAAGAAAAAATCTATATTTGAATTATTTGCAGTGTCCGCGTTCATACTAGCTGTGTGAATAAACTAACCAATAACTGTCTGATAACTACCCAGCTTGTTGGTGGATTGGTTCATAACGCCATTGTGAATAGTAATTGGGTATTTCCGCTATCTCAAAGTTTTTAAATTGATTGACGATTTTTTTAGCAGCGCTGGGAAACCCCTGTACCGGTCAAAGAGGCATCGGCGATTCGCCCAACGGCTACTCCCAGTTTGTGTTTTTCGTACAAAGCTCATGTTAATAAATTAGTTTGGGTTTTTAGGAGTAGCTGAAGTGAAACGGGTGCATACGATTTGTGAGGAAAATGAGGAGGAGCGAATCACGACGGTGCGTTGGAAATTGCTCAAATCCTTTTTATTGAATGCTTTCAGTGGAATGACGTCACTATTCAACTGAAGGATATTATAGTAAAAGATGTCGTCGGTAAAGGATTTTTTGGACGTGTTCACTCTGGCGTGTATCATGGTGATGTTGCTGTCAAATATATTCATATGGACCATATTGAGAAAACGCGACGATATGAAATTTTCAAGAATGAAATTGTTGCCGCTTATAAAGTATGATTTGACTACCATTGTATATTCATATATATTTTACCATATTATAGAACTCTCGGCATAATCATATAACATTGTTTCTTGGATTTTTTGCCGATGTGCCTACCAACACATATGCTATTGTGACGAATTTCTATCATGGGAGCAATTTGTATAGCCGAATTCATGAAACAACGGAGGAATTGGATTCGGTCTGGATTTTGAATGTTTCGCTGCAAATTTGTCAGGTAAATTTACAATTTAATTGTTTTTTTAATTAATCGAAAATAACACAAGACAAAACATAAGCATAAAGTGTTGAAAAAAATGTTTGGCTAAATGATTAATGTCTCCCCATCTTCAGTTATAGAAAATAATATTTTCTGTGTTTTAGGCGATGTCCTATTTGCATAAAAAGCAAATTTTGCACAAAGACTTGCGATCAAAAAACATTTTGTTCGACAATTTTAACAATGCGTGTGTATCGGATTTTGCGTTGTTCCGATTTGATCGTTTACTCCAGAAAAGGTAATATTTATTTGCGGAAAAAGCCAAACTGCAAATATTTTCAGGCAGTCGTTCATTCGGGTGCCAGATCATTGGGTTGACTACATTTCGCCCGAAATTGCCACTTCCTTATATGTCTCGAATGGAGTTTTCGTTGAAATAGACATGCCTTTTTCGTTCGAATCCGACGTTTATGCATTTGGGTAGGTTATCTATTTATTTTTTAAATATGAAATGGTTAAATAAACTATCAAAAAACTGCGAAGTTTACAATTTTTTTGTGAAAAACCTGAATTTTCTAGAACGATTTTCTACGAGCTGATAATGCGTCAAATGCCATCCGCTGGCCGGCCATGGGAAGTGCGCATGTATGAGAAAATCAGCGGCACGAAGGGGACGATGCGTCAGTATGAGCCTGTCGCAATGCAAAGAACTGACCTGAGACTCGCGAAGACCCTTATGAACTGCTGGAGCTATGAGCCCGAGAATCGGCCAAGTTTTAAAGACGTTGTTAAAGATTTAACAGAATCACGCAAACGCAAAGAAAGCAGCGCGAGAAATTCGATTCGATGCTTCGAATCAACATTTTAAATACATGAGCCGAAATTTCGAAGTATAATATCCACGTTTTATCGAAATATTGTGAATAATTTTCCTGATCCGCAAAAATTTCTTTTAAACTTATTATTGACCCTTTCCCCTGATGTAATTAACCATATTTACCCACTTTCGCTTTGATATATGGATGTGTATCAATGCATATATATAATTATGTTTTTCTTTTCATTTATTCTTCTTTTTTTCATGTGCCATAGTTTCCGTTTTATATGTACGTAGTTTTATCAACCCGTTTTGTTTTTTTTTTGTCATTCCTCCATCATCGCGTCCGATTCACTTTTCATTTCCGAACACCGGTTTTTAAAGAAATATTAGCATTAATAACAGGTTCTTCATTTTATTTCGCTTATATTTTTGTCTACGAATTTGTTAATAAGTTTCAGATTTTTTAAAAAATATTTTTCTATTGCGGAATGTATAATAGATTTGAAAATTTAGATGGATCCGCCAAAAGTTATAATGATTGGACGAGAAAGAAAGTCAGCGATTGATTATGTTAATGAAATTGCGAGATTTCTGGAGATTTTCGCCTATTTAGGATATTCGAAGGTTGTGGAGGATATTGTATATGAAAGGATCAAATTTGGATCAAGATTTTATCAGGCAAGTCGACTAGTCATTGTTCTGGATCATGGTGATTTGTATAGAAAACGCCCGATGAGAAATTTCGAGACTATGTCGAAGAAAATGTTGGAATTGCCCGAAGATATCTACTCGCCAAGCGACTTTTTGCATTTGAATGTGGATACTTTTAAAATCGGATCTATTTTCATTGGATTCTTTTTCTAGTGTGCTGGGTGACGCCTGACGAACGACAACTTATTGGATTTCGGATATGCGTTAAAACTTTGACGCGACCTCCCGAAAAGTATGAATTGGTGAATACTCATTGCTAAGACGCCGTCCGATTTCAGACAAGTCGTCCATAATCGCGATCTCGTCGAACGTTTGAATCAAATTTTGGAGAAATTTGAGGCGCTCGGCATTCCCGACGCTGCGCGCGTTGAAATGACATCGACAAGTTGGTGCTAGTTGGGTGGTGTTGAGTTGTGTGGGGGGGGGGTTCGCCGATGGCGGCAGATGTTCGCCGTGCACAATAATTCGCGCACCCGATGCCTGCGTCTCTTCTGGTGCCAGCTTAAATGAATAGGAAAAGCGGCAGATGGGCGAAATGAGCACTAGAAATTGGATGTGTGGTTTGGTGCAATTGAATTCGTTTGATGATTTGGGGGTCGAAAAGCGGAAAAAATGATTTGTCTTATGGTGTACTGTTATTTTTTTTAGAAATTCGTCCGCGAATTCGACTTCTTGCTTGTTTACGAAGTGGTTCTGAGAAAACTGACGACACATCGACATCTGATAATCACAAAATGATTCCGATTGCGGATTCAATTATAGTCGGCAAAGAGTGCTATGCGTTTTTCGCTCATTTTTAAAATGAATAAATTGTGAATGAGCTGAAAATTGAATAGTACTGCTCAAACCACATTGGTTGAAAAAAATTGTACATATTCATTTGCGCAATTTTTGCGACTTGTGGTCAACGTAAGTGAAATTTGATTAGTTCACATATAAATTGTTTTTTCAGGTAACGACGGCCGTCGGAATCAGTCGTTATATGATCCTTCATTGCTTTTCATTGGATTTTCCAAATATTTTAATCTTTTTCGAAATGACTCTGGTAACTCATTATCATGACCTTCTGGAATTGGCGCGACCCGACTGGTTATTGTTCGAATCCGATTTGTTTTCATTGTGTGTGTTACGGATTCAACTAATGTTTTTGGATTAATCAGATAATTAGAAATCCCCCAAAATAAGAAAAATAAGTGAAAAAAGCCGCTCCTTTTTTTCAGAAACCGTTACCAGTGTTTTTTTTTTTTAATTTCAGAATTTTCCTGGAGTACTGACATTAAAAAAAATCAAATACTTCATCGTTAGCTTTGCTTGATTTTTTGTTCAATTAGCTGGTGAGCCGAATAATTTGAGCTATGATCCATACGAATCGCTTGAATTTTTATTAACGATATCGGAATTTTTGATATAGTCAGTTTGATCAATGGAACCCGTCTTGTCCAAGGTATTGAGGTCCAAATGCAACCTGTTTCCGGAGCAAATTTGAAAATGTCTCCTTAATTTATAAATTAAAAATATATAAATACTAAATAATAGATTTTGCTAATTTTCATACTTACTTGAAGTGGACTCAATTGCTCGAAAACAAAATTCTGCAACTTTGTCATTGCGTGCATCCACTTTTTTCGCTATTCCATTTTCAAAAAAAAGAGGATTTTTCGCCATGCGCCTTTAATCCTTCCTATTATTTATGGTACTATGCAAATTTTGCAGAAAACTCGAACAAAACCTAAAAACATTTTTTTGCTACCCGAAATCTGCATAGAACCACCAAGAAAATATTTTAAATGACGAGACAAAAAAAGCGCTTCTAAAGTAATTTAATTTCGATTTTTTGTGGGGGGAATGTTTGAAACATGAACATTTTAGATTTATTACGGGCTGCTCGACACCACCGATCGAAGGATTTCAGAATATTTTCCCACCGCTTGGAGTTTTGTTTGTATGCTCAAATTGCCCAAATATTCGACTCGTGAGAAACTCGATGAGAAATTGAGGTTCTTTCATTTTTTTTTAATTTTTCCATAATTTTTGCTATTTTAGATATGCGATTAATTCGAACGCTGGGTTTGAATTGATGTGAAAATGATTTAATTCAGATGGGCCGAATTTTTTCTTGAAATGTATATTATTCCTGAATAAATTATTTCCCTTTTTTTCTAATGTTTGATTTTTGATGCAAATTTGGATGAAATTCCAACATTTCGATTTGTTTATTTTTAATCGACGAATATTGCAAGTTGTAAATAAATTTTTCGAATGTGTAAACTATTTTTTTCAAATATCTTTGATTTGAAAATGACAATTTGACCTGCGATATTTTTTTTTTTGAAATTTTGACCTATGACATCAAGTAAATGTTGCGCGCTAAATAAAGTCATCACAATGGAAGATATCGATTTTTTGCGTTTTTTTTTTTCGCTAAATTGCCGAACCTTTGTTTTCGATTCAAAATTATTCATTTTTTTTGTATTTCTTTTCATTAATGATGCACAATAATTAGCTCAACTATTTTCAGCCCATCAATAATTAATATTTGAATTCTTGAATTTTTGTTGTCGAAATATTATTATAATTGTCTGTCAGCGAACTCCGTCGTTCAGCAATTCGTAAAAAGCGAACTGCCGTTATTTTTGTTGCCGGTGTTCGTGCGAAAATTGTTTTACTCTACCAGTATGGCACTCCAATTACAGATTTCTCTCAGTTTATTGACTTTTTGCAATTTTTCTTTTCTAACCAAAAAATGTCCGCTGTTTTTCTTTTCTTGGATTATATTCCTTGTTTTCAGAAGATCGAATACACCGCCGGACCAATTTGTCAGCCTTGCTCGCCGAAATTAATTTGAAACAGTTAGAATAATAGTAATATTATATTGCACTACTTCGTGTTTTCTATTTCAGCAACGATTACTTCCTCCCGACTTCCTCGCCGCTCTTCCTCCTGCCGCACCATCGATCAACGTCGGACCCTGAAAGCCGCGGTCGCGCCGCCAACGAGGTTAGCGTCGATTTCGTTCTGCCGCCCGCCTTCATCGTCGAATTTTGTGTTTTTCGCGCGCGTGCGTCTTGATTCTCGGACTTGGACAACATGTGAATGCAATATTCCTTACTAGGACTATATTCTCAAATTTTTTCCCCACCTCTCACATCGGAATTCATATATTTTCCTATTTTGTTTTTACATTTTTAAAGGAATATTGTTCACATGTGTTCGGAGTTGCCCATTCTGTATCGAATTTTGCTTCCTTTCGCTGTTAAATCGCGAATTTCTTTTGATTTTTTGTTTTGCAGTTGAATTGTTTGGATTCTTCAGGGTTTATGAAACACTTCTTGGAGCATAATCCCCCCCCCCCTCAAATTTGCGCGGAAATTTTTTTCAAAATAAATAAATAGCGTTTACGAACAAAAGTTAATACTTCACATATAGGTGATTAGGTCTTGGTCTGGACTGTGCGGCAATTGGATTGCCGAAATATTTTTTGGCAATTTTTTACCGAAATAAAACCTCAATATTTTGGTAATTTATTCTCAAATTTCTGTTTGAAAATTTTAGAAATTGATCAGAATAAATTGTTTTTTTTTATTTTTGCGAAATGCCAAATGTACTATGAAAAAGTATAGCCGGAATTATTTCGGCAATTCGCTGATTGCCGTTTTGTCCAGCATTCTCGAATAAGAATAAGGTGGATTCGAACCTCGATAATAGGTTTAAATTGGGACTTTCAAATATTTAAATGTGAAATGAAGTGCATGTCCGTTATCAGATTTCACTATTTGTATAATTAAAAAATCAATTGTGGTGAAATCATGAACACTGAACTCTACAGACTTGCATTTTATTTTACGCTAAGGACCTCAAAAATCACAAAGATATCATAGAAACTAGAAAAGAAATCGAAAAAGTCGAAGTTTTAGATTCATTTTGAAATTTCTACCTCTTCTAAAGGTAGGTCCATTTGCGTGTTCGAATTGAAAAGTCTCGTTTTTTTTTAAATTGTTTTTCTCCGCAATTTCGTAGAATTTCATTTTTTTTATTACTTACCTATTTTTATGATTTTTTTTTTGATTTTTGAGATTACCCTCCGCTTTTGTGTTAAATATGTAATAAAAGACATGTATCATTCATGTCTTTTATATTTTGGTTGAGATAATTGGAATTTAATTACCTAATTTACTTCTTGCGTTTAATTTATTCGAACGCGGTAGATACTAGGCCCTTTTACAATGCTAGTTGAAATTAGTTATTTCCAATTAAATAAGACGTTCTTCTATTGGAAAACATATCATTAGTGTTCAGAAAATGGAATGTGAAGAGAACATAAAAATAATAAGATTCAAAAACGGGTTACCATCAAAATGTTTTGGGTTACTGTAGGATCATCTCGTATCTTGACTGAAAAAAAGAATACCACTTTGTCATTTTATCCGTTTTATTCATAATTTTCATAATTCAAGAAAACGCTGTATTTTTTTAGAGCCTGAAGTAATCCTAAATTCTTTTCACCGTCATCCGTTTTTGATCTCACAATGAAGGTCGTTATCCACTACATTGGCGATTTTTCTTAAAATGCGCTCTCATATAATCTCCGGAAAATTTCCTATCGACTGGTCGAAACGTCTAAAAGTCTGAAAATTTTTTGTCTGAAGTTTTAATAGATTTTCTGGGCAAATTTCGGTGACCATTACATTTTGTATGCGCGCTTTCGTATCCCGAGTTTATAATTTTCTCTCACCCACCGCTGCACGCTCAAACTTGGAATTAAACTTTGAATATGAAAATGCGCATACAAAATGGATGGGTGAATAAAAACATCAGACCGAAATGTTCTGGCATCTAGGCGTCTGCGTAATGATTGCTAGAGTCGATACAGAATTTTCTCTAGATCATATGACCAATTTTGAAAAAAATCGTCAATATAGTGAAAAACGACCTTCATTGTCAAGACATTCTGCCAAAAATTCGCTAAAAGTCAAACCCTTATTGTTTCAAAAACTCTGTGAATCAAAATACTTTACTGCTAAAACAAGAACAAAATAGAAAAATTAAAAAGAAATTCATCGACTTGGCCGCGAAAGAAAGTGAGATTCGAGGCAATTCAGCGACTCCGAATGTCCAAGTAAACGAGAATCGAATAGGCACGCTGAAAAACAGAAAATTCGACATTATGGAGGGCTGCAGAACGGAATCGGGGCTAGCAGTCGTGGGGGGAAGGGCCGCGCATCTGGACTCCAACGGGAGTCGGGAGGGTAGGATTGACGGGGTTGGGAAAAAAATTCGGAAGGGGGGCCTGGTTACTCAATTAAAAAAAATTAATGGCATGGTGTTCTCTCCCACTTAGCGACTCCTCCAATTTTTGAGCGAATCCCTCCCCCTTCATTTTCCCGAGCCGAAATCGCACAAAAGAATCCCGTGTCCTAATCTCTCCAATTTTCGGTCATTTCCCCACATTTGTGAAATTTTCCATCACGTTTGTCCCAAAAATCAAACTCACACACTTCCGATTCGCCATTGCTGTTTCAATGGGAATACGCTTGAATTTACGAAAGTATAATCACAAGAAAGCTGCAGGGTTACAAGATAACGCCGTTTACAGAAATCCCTTCGTCATTGTATGCAGTTTGGTCAGGATCAAAGTATATACATTCTACTGGACCAATCCTATCTAAGAAAACCATAGATTCTGGCTTTAAATACGCTAAACTTTAAATTTAACTCTAAAAATTTGAAAATTTTGGGACATTTGAAAACCGCGGGGACGCGCCAATCGATGTTAATGGAATATTAAAAGAGAAACTGAAAATACTTGAAAATAGGTCAACTTCCACAATTTCAAACTGGAACGAGAAATGTGACATTATTTTCGTCACCACATTTGAATAAATTTGAGCACAATCAAACGAGGCAACCCGCTAATCTATCAGAATTAACTCTACAAATTCTCACTGCATATTGAAAAATGGACGAAAAGGAGATCTGTACATTTTCGATGAAATGTGGATCAAAAGACGTTAATAAACTGATCTGCCACATAACCACTTTTCAGGTTTGGCTGTATTTTCTGCGATTTGGATATTATTTGAAAAGGTTTTTATGTAAGCCAATTTCTTGTGGAAATATCCATGCAATAAAAAAATACATTTTTTCCTGTACAGTTGTAAATATTATTTAATGTTTGCTTGAATTAATTCGAAACTAAAACTTCTCTCCTATGTAAAACTCTACCCACGTACCATTTCGCATAATTTGAACAAATCTCACTTATAGAACCCCCTCCCTCCAAACTCGAAATGTTGTTATAATCGCTTACTCTGGAATTAATTATGTGTCCAAAAAATGAGAAACTAAAAGGAACATTTTTTAATGATTCTGCGAAAAAAACCCGATCGAAAATATTTTAAATGAGATCAGTGTTTTTTTTTGTGATATTTGCGTCACGGTGTTTTCACGTATTTTGGGTCTGTGGTTTCAAATCTTAACCACTGTTTTTTCGTTATCTAGCGAATTTTTCGCTCCAAATTCTTGCGCTTATACTGGGCGCTAGGCGCGGCGGCAAACCTTTCAGAAAACGGCAGTGACAATCGATAGGGAATTTTGAAAACTGTTTGTGTGTCATTAAAAGCATCCTGTTTCCCCACACAGTCATTTAAATCTCTAATATTCTTTACAAAAGTGACACCAAACTGCATACAAAGACAAAGAGTACTGTAAACGGACATCTAGTAACTTTACAGTAATCCTGGCCCGTCTGTGAACTGCCGTAAATTCCAGTGAATTTCCATTGACACGACAAAAGACGAATCAAAGAATGGGAGTTGTGAATTTGGTACAAATTTGACGGAAGATTTCAAAAAATGTTGGAAAATAACCGAAAACTGAGAGAGTCGAACCAGGTCATCTATGTGTATTTCGACTCGGGAAACAATGTCGAGTTTAGGAAACGAGCAGGGAAACCGGAGGAATCAAATGCTCATAATAGAAAAAAAATCGCGTACCGTATTAATTTATCAACATTTATCAACAACGAGTTCTCGAATGCAGCCAGCTCCATTTGTCCTCTTCCTTGGTTTTATCCATCATTTGTCGATATAGGCAATACACAACCTAAAGTAATCCAATTTTTAAAAATATAATCGATATGTCTACGTCGGCCAGATCTTTAATTTTTTAGCCAATTTTGCGCAGCTGTCGATAATAACTTACTTTAAATAATTTCAAGCGGTAGCTTTGAGAAATATGACTACCATGACAGCTTCATATTCTGAAAAAAGTTAATTAATTGAATGAAAACGGTAGAAAATAAAAACGAAATCAACGAAAATATGCAAAATAAATGGAATAATGCGGAAAGAGTACGGAGGGAGTGCACGAAGAAGAATACTATGAATACGAATTCTAGGACGATTGATAATCTGAAATTTTTTTAGAACATTGGGCTACGGGATAAATACAAATATATACTAAGATACCTAGCATAAAAGTATTGAAAAAAAAAAGAAGTTTCCGTGATGAAACACGCTTATACATGATTAAACTACAAATGAATCATAACTAGAACAGGCTTAAAGCATATAAAAAAACGATAATGTAAGAAAAATAAGGAAATGCACGAGAAACACCAAGCATTTCAAGGAAAGGTATATACCAATTTTTAAACGGGCGGTGACACCGAAAAAGCGCCAGCAATAGAATTATTGACGTAATTCGAAATACGTTGGCGCATTATTGGATGCAGACGTTTTAGTCAATAAATGGTCAATGAAAATCATGTTTCAACCAATTTTCTGCCGATTTCTCGGAACAAGAATAATTCGGAGTATCGCTACCACATAATAAATAACATAAACGCAATTCTAAGCAGGTTAACAGTTTATCCTGAAACACGAAAGTTCGATATGATAAAACGAGACGTTTTAACCCTAACGAAGTCTTTCACAACATAAAAAAAAATGCAATAATGTAAGGAAAACAAGGAAAATGCACGAGAAACGCCAAACTTTTCAAAATAAACTTTATATCGATTTTTAAACGGGCGGTGACACCGAAAAAGCGCCAGCAATTTGATTATTGACGTAACCCGAATTTCGTTGGCGCATTATTGGATGCAGACGTTTTAGTCAATAAATGGTCAAGGAAAATCATGTTTCAACCAATTTTCTGCCGATTTCTCGGAACAAGAATAATTCGGAGCTTCGCTACCAAATAATAAATAATATAAACGAAATTCTAAGCAGGTTAACCGTTTATTATTAAACACGAATGTTTGATAGGATAAAACGAGGCACTTTAACCCTAACGAAGCCCTTAACAACACGTAAAATTATGTACATGACATTCATCTGATAATAATATGATTATGAAAAATTAATAATAAAAATAAAAAAATTATAGAATATAAAAGATCACAAACCGATTATATCACACATCTTTTTTAGAACGGGGTAAAAACTTTTTGAGTTGATTCATTTTTGAATCATATTTATTAGAAACTCTTCGTACTCGATGCATATTTCTTGGCAAACTCGACAATCGCCTGCTTTCGCCGAGTATGCGGAAATTGATAGCTAAAACAATTTCAGAATTTGACAAAACCCACTTTTCAATTTCAGCAACATCGCGTTTCGACGTGTTCAAAATCGTGTGCCGTACGAACGACGCCAAATTCGATTGCGACACCACAATTTCATCAACAAGCGGACCGGCTTCTCCAAATCGATTTGTGGTTCCGCGAGTGCGAACTTGCACAACGCCAGGCTCAATCAAATGAATGAACATCGCCTGGTAAGCGACATGCTGTGGCGCAGCCGAATGATGCTCATTCGCATTATTCACGCTCAAAAGCTAATTTCCATCGTCACAAGTTCCGAGAAGTCCGTCTAAAAATGACATTTTGGCAATTCTTCGGAAGCAAAAACAAGCTCACTGATCGGAAAATTGGCAATGTCTTCAGCGCGTTCAAGCCAAACGAGAAGCATGCGAAGCGGACATGTGCGTCGACTGATATGATGGCCGCCGCCTGAAATTATTCCGTTCGATCTTTAGATCATCATCAGGGAAGGTCAATTTACCTTCAAGATAATAAGTAAACAAGACAATAATTAAAATTGGTCAAAAAAAGGAATAAACGGCTTTTTTTATATACATAATTTATATACTGTTTTTTATATTCTGCGATTTTTAATACCTTAATTATGCAAATGATGAAAAATCGATATTGTTGATGAAATCCGCGAATAACTGAATCGCAGTCGAACACAACATAATTTTCAAACCAAATCTGTTACGATTTTGTATGATTGTACATTCTAAAATAAATAAAATCATGATTTCAAGTAAAAATAAAAGGAAAAGTACAAAAATAGTTGGCGATTAAATAATGAGTTTTATGAAACGGTGGTCATAAACGCTGTGACCGCATTCACTTGAGCAAGAATGCGGTAGTAGTTTGAGATGAATCAAATACGACAAACAACGGTTATTTCTGAATTGTTAAAGAAACGATGTTCAAATGGAATACCAGTTGAGAGAATACAATAATCTTATGTAATCAAAATTTAAGTATTTTTTGTAAGATATTCCAGGAAATTAATATATATATATATATATATATATATTTATATTTACATTATATTTATATATTCTAAAAGCAGAAGCGGAAACATAATACGATTTTGATGATGATTCGCTTTTTTTATAGTTATTGCCGAATAAGTGAAGGAAAAAGCACAAATCGATCTGATTTGGTTTTAATTCTAAAATTGATCGCGGTTTCAAGGAAAAGGAGTGGCTTGTAGAAATTCAAAATTCCAGTTTCCAGCCAATAGTTTAATTTAAAAAAATCCGGTGAAAGCTGGAAGAATAATTGACGAGTATATCATCGAGAACTACTTATGGTAATTAAATAGAGCATCAATATCTTTGCCCACATAATTATGCTCAATTATATGACAAATGCTATTCGAAAAATTAATATATTAGAAAATTAAAAAATCTGAAAATATTCGTAAATCTGTTGATCTCCGAGACGACGATTTTCGATTTGAAGGGAACAATTTGACGGCACATTCGGTCATATCAAACCATTAGATATCAATGACTACAGCATTCTTTTTATATGCGAAAAACCATAAAAAGGCTCATATTATAGTTTGGGCTGAATTCGAGTCAGATTTATTCGATTTCAGCAGTTCATGGGGATGTTGGAAGATATTCCGAGATATTCTTTGAAGAATATGCGCTACCGAAAAATTATGTGGAAAAAAATGACATGTGGTAAATAAAGTAAGTCGAATTTGGGACATTAGACGACAATTGAATACTGGAATTAAAGAATAACCATAAAATTCGCCAAGAAAACACAGAAAAAAAAACGAAAAAATTAAATAAATATTTAAAAAAAATTGCAGTTGAGATTACTGTAGCTCTGATTGAAGTGTGCGACTCGGTGTACGCACACAATACATAGGATTTCGCTGCAGTTTTTCAAAGTTCAAAGTTCGGGATCACATCACGAAGAGGAAGATGACCTGAGCTGGAAACGTTGTTAGAAGAACAGAATAAAGATGGACTACTCTTATAACGGAGCGGTGGCCGATGGTCGGACTCGCTTCGCGCCTCAACAGGCGAAGGACGAACCGACTAAGTGACTGAGTAAAGTGACTACTAAAATGAGTCCGGCATCGACAAATCTTTATTGATTTAAAATTTATTTAATTGCTATTATTGTTCTTTTCATTATTTTTTATTGGCCGCTTCCTGGATTTTCGAAAACCTTGGTATTTTTGTTATTATCCATAAAAACAAAGTGAGAATTTGAATTCGTTTTTTATGCGTCAAATTCGCTCTATTGAGAATACCTGTTCGTATGCGTTTTTTCGATGAAATATCAGCACCCACAGTCGTTATTTGTCGATTATTTGTTTATTTTCATTTTTCTTCTATTTCAGAAATGCTTATCAAGGTTAAAACATTGACCGGAAAAGAAATCGAGCTCGACATTGAGCCGACTGATCGCGTTGAGAGAATAAAAGAGAAGGTTAGCAAAAATTTGAATTTTTTTTTAATAAAAAGACAATTCGCGGACAATTTTTGTCACACTCTGGCTAAACAAAGATTTAATAAAGTCAGTGGTTATTAGGTAGAGGAGAAAGAAGGCATCCCACCGCCACAACAAAGGCTTATCTTCGCTGGAAAGCAGATGAACGACGACAAAACAGCAATGGACTATAAGGTGATGACGAAATCCATTTTTTTCCATTTTCGAAGCTTTAGGTAGTTGGAGGGTCCGTTCTTCATTTGGTGTTGGCGCTTCGCGGTGGATCACTTTAAAAATAGAGCATCAGTAAGATTTTGAAATGTTTAATTAATATTACTATTGCAAAAAAAAAACAAGCGCCTTGCATAATTGTGGACCTTCACACTTTTTCGGGGTAATTGAAATTCAAATTTAAACAATGGAAATTTTGATACCGTACGTTGCATAACCTACGACACCAACTCACCGTAAATCGGCGCAAGGTGCTCGTTTTTTACGAATGTAGTATTTGAATTTATATCGGTTTCTGGAAAAAATGACTGCTAGAATCGGTAGAATCGGTCCTCACGAGACCCAATAAGTTGTAATAAATGAATGCGTTTTCGAAGTCACGTTGCAATCCATTTTTCAAATTAGTATTCGTATATTCGAAAAAAAGGAAATTTCGACGAAAATATGAAGAAATCCAATTCGTGGGCGAAATTAAAATATACTAATGAAAATATAAAAGCATAAAGTTGTGAATGATAAGTTGGGTCCCGTGGCGATAGATTTCGGTTTAACTGGAGTAAATATCTGGTTTTTGCTTTTTTAGAGCTTGGTTTATATCTCTTATGGATCTAATTCATAAAATAATGAAAATAATTCAATTGTTTTGAAACTTACGTTTCAGTTTTTTTTGAAATTTACGTTTTACGATTCATATCATTGAAAAATGAATTTCTATTGTATGAATCGATCCAATAAAGATAATTTATTGAGGTTTTGGTTTAACTACTCTTCAAAAATTCATCAGTTTCTAAAATGGCGTAAACTTCTTTCTGCCCGAAGCCCACTATTATCAAACCATGTTTATTTTGTAGTAATTTTTTTAAATGTTATGGAAAACCCAAACAAGCTTTGCAATTTTTCAGATTATAAGCTCTCGCATCCCGAGTGTTATGTTTTGTTCAGCAATCTTCTCAAAAAGCAACAACATTTGGTTATTTATTTATTTCAAACTTCATTATCATCTTTTTTTTGTATTTTTTGATTTATTATCGTTATCATTGCAAATTCGCTATAAACTTATGCATTTCATTCGGAGGGGGTTTAAACATATGTAAATATTTTAAAAAGGGAAACACATTTGTTGGAAAGAAGGGGCAAACGGAAACGGGATGCAAATGGGAATTCACAAAAGACCAGATGAATGATATGTGCAATAACATAATTGAGAATCATTGAAAGAGGTCGGAATCGCCGAATTATTTGCTTCAAATCAGTTCACCGGAGCGTCTTCGCTGAAATAATTGTTTGTTTTTGATATGCTCTTGTCTTGTTATTATTATTATTCATATGGTAGCGATGGGTTGATTGCCGGTTAGCAGCATGTGGTGGTGATGCTCCACATTTTTGTCGAGCTCTCGTGTAATCCGAATGGGAAGGGGGAAAGGATTACTGTAATTATAGGTTAACGTTTGGCACGAACGGCTTGCGTACGCGTCGATGCGTGCCTCGTTCGCCTCGTATACCTTGATTGCGTCATAGTTAGGCCGAAAATGGGAGCGTTTAGAATAACATTTACGAGGTGAGGTGATTAACGCATCAGATTACGGTGTGGTGAGGAGGAGCAATGGTGATGCCATCGTTTTTCGTTTTTAAACGTTTGGGGAACTAAATGTGGTTTTTTGCTTAAAGGCAACATTGCTTTAACAAAAACTATGGTAAATGCTAAAAATGGAATTTTCGTAACGCAATCCTTCCTTTTCTTGAGATATCCTCGGAATTCGACTATACGACGCCGTATTTTCAGGCGCGCGCCGCCATAATTATAGTTTATACCCCCTGCCCACCCGCTTTCGGGCCGAAGGCGCTAAATACCAGGCAACCGAACCAATCAGCTAATTGTCGCCCCCACAGAAAAAAACCGACATTTCGAATTCGTAACGAATGCTACCGTAACACGTTGGATGGAGTGCAAAAAAATACGTACCGCTGGTCTCTCACCGGAATGCCATCGGAGATGCGCCTTCAAATGGCTGCTCTTGTTGTAGACTTTGCCGCATCCGGCGATGTGACAGTTGTGAACACCGCGTTTCCTCGCCGGCATATTTGTGGCACCTTAAAAGGACGTTGTCATCGATCTGTATCGCTTTATCTTGATTGTGGACGCTAAAGACGAGAAGAGAGCCGTGACCAATTATGATTGTCAAAGATGCGCCTTCCCAGAGCACCAGGTTATCTGATCGGCTCGACACCTCTTTTTTCGTTTCTCGTCATCGCGTATTTTTAGGAAACCAAAAAAAAACTAAAATTCGTTTTATTTTGTTTGTTGACCGATATGAGTCAGATTCGAAAATGTCACGAAATCGGTTTCAAATTGATCTAAAAAATCTGACGAATATGACATTTCCTCATAATTTTGAGCTGGAATTTCGAACCAGTGAAACGATAAATGACGATCCTTCAATTCTCTGCACAAATAAAAATGAACGAAGGCGTCAGGCGGCGCCCAGAAATAAAAAAAAAACGGACGGCACACACACACACACACACACACATGAAAACGGGCCAATTCGGAGGCCAATAATTGGCGGGTTTGGACCGAGGTGTCGAATTGGCCATTTCGTACGTCAGAACGTTTTCTCAACGATTTTTTTTCGTTTGTTTGTCGCGCACGTCTTTTTTTTCGACTGCGGGTTCGATTCACGATGAGACTACCTACCGACTCTTTCCGCTTCCAAACAGTTGGGGCATTCGCAATTTGAACGCGCCGCGTATTTTCCGCCGCCATTGCTCGCCGGCATTGGCGCAGATGATGACGATGTTGATGATGATGAGGTTGAAGTGTTCAACGCGTTCGTTTTTGACTGAAAATCAATCGAAAAAAATTCAAATAGTTGTTCATTGAAATTTTACCTTTGCGACACTTGTCGCAGCTTTTGCGATTGTAGTATTCGATGGCATCGTGGTGATCGGATGAGTCGCTGCGGTTCCGAGAAGTCCCAAAGGCGATGTCAAATATGATTGGTATGCATCAGTAGTTGTCGGATACGTTAGCTGCCAATTCGACGGCTCAACCCACCTATAAAATAAGTGAAGTGAACAAATCGAGACATTTGATTCGAATAAAGGAAATCGACAGGCTTCGAATAAATGCATAGAAGGTTTAAAATGACTTACCAATTGGTTGTCGGCAGAAATTGATGATAAGCGGCATATTGGCTCATGTCAGGTGGCAATAGAAGCTTATCAGTGGCCGTGGCAGCCGTCTGAAATCCCATTTGAAAGTTTTTCTGCGATTCATCGCGAAAAACCTCAAGTTTCTCGCCGATTTTTAATTTCGAATCGCCGCCGAACTTGTTGCAATGCTCAACGAGCTTCGACAACGGCGATTCCGTCTGAAAACGAGAGATTATTCGAATTTGAGCGAACATGTATAATTGCGAATACTTGAAAGGTGAGAGCTGGCGTTTCCGATGAGTTGATCATTGCTCGAATAAGGAATTCTTCTGGATTCGTCGGAGGGCCGCTTGCGTACCTTCTCCCCGTCGCTCGCTCGACTCCTCCTTTTTTGGGCAACGCGCAATGGCTCCGCCCACTACCGTAGTCTGGGAGAGAGGCGAGGAGACACTTCGCTGTCCGGGTTGGCCAACGTCGTTCACACCTCGTTGAAAGAAAATCGCATTGTAGGAAAATTTTGGTGCTTGAATTGAATCGGCTATAAAACAAATTCCGGAATTTACGATGATCCTTATGTTCGCATTGGTAAGAGCTTCAATTACAATTTTATCGGGGCGTCATGCTGAAAATCATAAACACTACATCAATAAATACATTTAAAAAAGATATTAGCATTCGAAAAAAACGCGTACCTACAACAGTTGTGACCCATAGGATTTTGGGCCCTAATGCAAACTTTTTGTTAAACACTGAAAATTCAAACTCATCGCAAAACATTGTGCTCGTTTCTTTTTCGACTGGAATGCAAATCTTAATTACCACCCAAAAATTAAAAATAAAAACATTCACAAAGGCGTTTAAAAAACGAGATTGGCGCCAAAAGGACGGTGCTTGCGAACCATTCTGATTAGTGTTTACGGACTTACCATATTTGACGCCTTTTTCCGCATTTTGCAAATTTCCTACTATTAATAGTAGTAAAAATTTTTCTTTGTTTTTGTGCCCAATTAACGAAATTTTCCTCTTTACTATGATAGTTGCTATTATAAAAATGTCAAATTATTAGACTAGGGGAAATAATAACGGATTTTTCTTTTTTTGACGCCTATACGAGAGAACTACAATTAACTCCTAAATTTCTTGACAAATGTTCGCACCATTGAAAAATCGGAAGTCGCAGACACCAGATTCCCACGAACACCATACTGCGAACAAGTGTCTTTCATGTACGCCGCGTTTTCTTTTTTAGATTATCGAGCCAGATTCTGTTATTTCAGCTCCGCTATCATTAAATCTTAATCCTTACAGGTGCATCATATCCAGTCGTCTCCCTACTAATTAAAGAACTCGTGATTTCGTGATCAGGTGGTTTGTATTTGGTTGCACCGCTTAGCTCATAATTGCTTCGTTTGATCGTTCCGAGGATTGCGCGCTTCCCTCACATATGTTCCAATTAACGAAAACCCAACAATAATATTTATTTGCTCCATATTCTTAACTACACCGAATATTATAAGCAACATGAAATTTTGGGGGAAAAATGAAACCAACCTTGTTTTTCCTGGCAATAATTGTTTGAAAATACATGAAGCTGCAAATTTTAATTTAATGCATGCATATTGCCGCCCATTTAATTGCACTTAAAAATGATAGTTTTGAATAAAATTCGGATACATATACATGATGCGGCAAACTTGAAAGAAATGTTCGCAGTATGGTGTTCATGGGAATCTGGCCCCTGCTCTCAATGTTTGCGGTTTTTAATCACCATTGAAGTTTGTCTTTCACAATTTGCCAATATTTCAACACCTGTTCAATATGTTTTGCGAGTATCGTGAATTTCATGCTTATTATTATGATTACTCACACGCCAATTATTTTCGAAATCCGAAAAGTGCCATTCAATTCTAATCGAGTTTTGGCTCACCCATATCCGTATCACCCAAATAATAGGTTTACGGATTATGGAGCATATGCACACATTGTAATTAATTCGTGTCTATTGTTAACACATCGCAATTGGGTGTCATCGTTGCCAGGAATTGCCTCTTCGCCAAACATATCGGATTAATTGCGTGAACCCGGCCTATGGGCACCGATTTGCGACACCTGAATCGCACCTGCAACTGACTTCTGGCCCATTTGATTTTCATTGGCCAATTTCAAGTGAATTTCGAGGGCAGTCATTTCGAAAAAGAAGTCATCGCCAATGAAAATATTACAAATATTTTTTAGCGCAACAAAAATCTCCTTTCTGGAAAATGACGCTGATTTTAATGAATGGTACGAATTGTCGTCACCTTTTCCAGCAATTATCGGAACACAAAAGGAAACGAGTCCAATTTAGCACGTTTCAATTTCGAAACGCTCATTTTCCCAGAGCGTTTAGTTTGGTGCGGTGTCGATTACCGTGGATTTGTCCTTGAACGATTCGCTGACTTGCGCCACTTCCTACCATCGCTCACACGTATGTTTGAGGGATCCTTGAAGATTTTTATCTTGAAATAATGAAAGGGTTTGTTTATTCGTGATAGTTGATCAAATTTAGTAAGTTTCGAGTTTTAGGAAACCGGCAAATTGGAAGAGGTTCGCACATACATTAACAAATTTTCTGCGATAATTAATTGTGCAACTTCGTATAGCTCAATAAAATATTGATTGCTCGCAATATCAAATTCCAAAGCAGGTTCCCGCCGGACCATATGGTTCCTTATCCAATTAGGCGGCCGTTTAATCCATTATGTCTCGCCTCACCTTGTCTCTCAAATGTCAAACTCATCACCAATTGCGCAACTAATCCGAACAACTTTTCTCGTGTATTATTATCGATTCATTATTAGAAAAAAACTATAAAAGACGAAAAAAAAGGGGGAGGGAACAAGCTGGAAAAAAGCAGAACTACCCGGAAGGAGGTAAAATTATAGATCAATTTTAAAAGAAAATTAGGAGAATTTCTAAAATTAGCGGCAAAATCCGCATGTTCTCGCGCAATCCCTTCGCATATAAATCGAGGAAATTTGGCAAACATTCCTATTCGAATTGAGCCAAGCGCTGCACCACGCAGAGCGATCAGCACACCTTCCGGATTGTGAAGAAGTTCGCTATAAGAGTATCATGGCAATTTAAAGTTCGTAAGAATCTTACTAGTTGAGTGCTCTGCGGAACACTGGAGCTCAAAGAAACCGCGCTAGAAGTGCCTGAAATTGAAATTGTCGATGAAAATGCAGAGTAGAATTCGCGGCCGACGATATTGCCCTCGGCCATTCAAAATTCGGCCACAGCAGTACTCAATTCTACACTAGGAACTTTGCCGCTTCTAAGACAAACCTGAGAGGGTTCGAGCAAAATAATTATTTTAGAATAATTATGACGAAATCGAATTTTCGTCCTACCCGTGAAAAAATATTAAGCGGGCGTGTATTTTGCTTAAATATTCTATTTTCTATAAACTGACGACATATGCGAAGCTGTTCTACAATACGATACTACGGACAAAATACGCAACGACAAAAAAAATGAGTGGGGGAAAAACTCTAGGACAAATTCTTACGACTTCTAAAAGCTGGCATAACATGCGGCGACGATCCCGATGGCCTTCTGAATCCTGGACGAAGTCGTTTGATCTGCGAATGATGCGAAACATGAGGAGACACGACATGGCTTACCGTGCTGCTCGCTGGCCTTCGAACGAACGCAGCCACCGGCGGCCGTCCTACAAAATCAATAAGTGAATTGGCGGATGACGATGGTGCGATTAATGGTGACGGTGGCGGTGTCGGCGCCATCGTGCTTGTGGCCAAAAGCCAAGCGGGTGTAGCAAGCATAAATGTTTTAATAGATACAAATTTAAAGCGGCGTTTGCCAAGCTTATAAGAAGCGTCCAAATGGATTGGTGGGCTGGTGGTGGCGATTGGTGCGTTGGTGAACATAAATTCAAGAATATTTGGTTCCGTTGGAGTCACGAATTGCGTGGTTGGCGCAATGGTGGTTGTGGTAGTGGTGGTAGAGGTGGTGGTGGTGGTGGTTGAAGTAGTCGTCGTTGTAATTGGCGGCGGCATAGAAGAAACAAAGGATGAGTCTGGGTCAGCTTAAACAAAAAAAAAATGATCATACACTGTTTTTCGAGATTTCTGAGGGAATTCGCTCTAAATCTACTAAAGATTCCCTCAAAAACCCAAAAAATCAAGTTAAATGTTGCATGCATTAATACCAAATAGCAATAGCGATGGAAAAAAAAAAGAGAGAACAAGAAGGTAATTCAAATAAAACGACGAACTTCGCTGCATATCAGAAACCGCCTTGATAACAACTTTAACGCCGTTCCATGTTTCTTTAGCTGTCGGTATTAACTGGTGCTGATCGAGAATGAAGCCGTCCCAAACTGGAACGCATAATTAGAAAATTGGGTTAATGAATAGTTAGTGGCAGACCATCCTCGCCGGGTCGCAACTCGATCAAATACACATATTTCACGCCGGCTTTTCCTTTCGCCCAATCGTCGGAACCTCCAGATGAAGGATCTGAAAAAAAGGAATTATAATGGATATTTCCACAATATTTTTTGAAAGTTCATTCATACACAGTATGTCCGATCCGGTTCCGAAGCGATATTTTGTGCCAAATGTGTTTTCTAACGCAGAAACCGCAGCTCTTCCGACTCTCTCCTGAAAAAAATAAATGTTTCAATCGTCAGCTCAATATTCAACGTGCCAAATCTCTAATATCATTTGGGACGGTTTTCCGTTGGTGTGAATACGGATGAATCCACATTTGCGAGTAGGTGTGAACAGTGATGAAACCATCAACTTTATCTTTAACTTCTGGCGTCTTGAAAAAATTAGCAATAGCCCTATAATTAAAAGAAAATCGACAAAAAACATTTTAAACATTGTGCTAACCTTGACTCGTTTTCACTGAAAACAAAAGCTCCCTGATAGATCTCCGAACATTTGTCAGTACTGGATCCGACTTCTGAAAAACGCAACAATTCAATTAATTTCTTTAGTAATCATATTTACCTCCAAAATACCAGTCAAAATTTCGATTTAAATCGACACCACCACAGCAACGATCACGGAACCAACGATCTTTTTTGCAGACAACTCCAGCTCGGTTTTTACGCCAGAGGCGAACCTATAACATGATTCTTCGTGCATATCTTTGCTATTTTTTTTATTCAACCATTGGAGAAACATCGCTTCTCGTATATTCGTAACCGTCCGGGTTCGCCACCGGGACAACAATGAAGTTCATCTTTGAAAGAGCTTCACGAATAATTGGGTCATCTTCAGAATCGGCAATAAGCTAAAACAAAATTACTTTAATAATTAGCGAACCGTTTTTTGTGCTCTAAAAGCCCAAAAAAACTAGAACTCGATAAATAGAAACTGCGATGAATAGAAATTTCGGTGAAACGCGGGTGAATCGCCGATAAAACGGTAATTAAGAGAGCGTGTAATTTTAGGAGAAACATTTTTTTCACCGCCATTTCACCGAATCTCGCGTTTGTCCGCCTTTCTACGACACGATTTTCTGAAAAATTGAAAAAACTGTGTAACATCACGTTTCGGTGAACCACAGATGGCCGATTAATTTCCCGACCACGGTCATTTGTGTACATTAAAAAAATAAAACTTACACGGTCGATAAACCAGACGACAGTGTGGACGGCAGCCCATTCCCTCGCGTGAATTCCACCATCGATCCAGAAAATTCGCTTGTTTTGTACAATATTTTGTCCAATTTTAATCGCGTAAATATCTCTTCCTTCAACGGTTTTTCCGATCGAGAAAACGCGAGCTCTGTTCGGATATTTCCTCTCAATATCCCTCATATAATCGACGATTGTGGCATAGGAGTGATATTCTCCGAAGCCGTACTGAAATAATTTCCAAACTTGAAACGTAGTATTTAGATTATCGCAATATGTACCCTTGCTCGATTTCCCCCTTCGTTATTGAGCCGCTTCCCGAAAAGGTGCAGTTTTTTTGGCTTGTGCTCTTTATCAATGATTAACCTAAAATATTTATGTTAGTCCTCTCGTTTTTTCGATCGCTAACTTTTCCACGTCATCAATAATTATATTGTAGGACACATTATTTCGTTGCAAGACATCGGATAGAAATTCGAATTTCTCATCGTCGACCATAATATCAGCTCGATGTCCAACTTTTGAAGGTGTCAACCAGAAGTCAAGCTGAAAATTTGCGATTTCTAAAATTTCTGAAACTTCTGAAACCTCATGCTGAGTATTCAAGTGGATGTCTCGAAGCGCGTTTAATTGTTGGAGATTTTCAGCGACGGCGCGAATCACTTGAAATTTTCTGAAAATCGCTCGTAGGTCTGACATGTTTTTTTGCGCCACTATTTTATCACTCACGGTTTCTCTCGAAGTTCGGCGGTCACGCTGGTGGACCCAAGGATGAGCAGAATCTTGACCAATAAATGCATGGTTCAATTATTCTGGAGTTTTACGAAAATTAGGCGGTCACCAGTTAGAGGCAGCGTTGGGTTCAAAGGTGAAAAAAGACACAAAATCCAGTTTGAGATTTTATCGAAAAAAATGTGGACACCCTCAAAAAAAAATAACATAGAAGGTGTCGAAAAATTCGAAATTTTTGGTGCGAGTGTGATGAAAGAGGGGGGACGGTGAAAGTGAAGAAAGGGTTTCTCAAACCGGTACACTTTTCAATTAAAAACGCGCATTTTTTACAAACTTTGGAACGCGCTCTTTGTGAGGGTGATGCTGATTTTTGTCTCCATCAATCTTTTTGCCTATCGGGGTGATTCTCTTCTGTCCAATATCATTTCCGGGTCACCAACGTTGAAGCAAAAAAAAATTGGCGAGGTTTTGGAAAAATGGAAGAAATTTTAGAATCACAATATTTCAGTGGTTTGGTTTTCCACAAAATGTTCCTCCAATTATTTCTCTTAGCTAACGTTGAAGTTTCAATGGAAATTTTGCGGAAAACCGGAAAACAAAACTGCATGCCCGCTTTTTAAAAATTCGTTGGCCTTTTAAACAGTTGTCGACCGAAACCATAAAAGGAGGCCAACAAATTGCGGTGAGGCTAATCAGTAGCAAAAAGCAACGAAAAAAAATTGGGTGATCGTGCTAAAAATCGAAAAACAAACGAGAAAAATCAATCTTGAAAAAGAAATCACACACGATACGTTCAGTTCCGCGCACAATCACTTCCTTTTTTGGAAAAAAAGGAAAATCGAGAAGTGATTGCCACTTTACACATTCTAATATTACGCGCGGGTCGCGAAATCGAGAATCACACGAATTTTTGTCGCGATCAACGCGGAACGCGAGTTTGACGGCCGACAATAAGCTGTAAATTGGTCTATAATCATTAGCTGAAATCGTTGTTTCTATTTGCAAATCTCGGAATTCATATGTATTGTCGAAGTTTCAGAAACCTCAATTTTATTTTCACATCAAAACCGCAGAATTCCAATAATTTGCCGCGATTGATAAGATTTTGCGTAGTTTTGTTGGCGGAAATCTTTTCAGAAAACTCTTCGCTATTTACGTTTTTCGCGCATTGCGTCTTCGCCGATCATAAAAACAACAATTAATAGTCCAAAAATCGTTATAAATAACGAAGATCGAAACGAGTGATAATAATGACGCAAATTTGTTAAGCAAATTCTGAATCATCCAGTAGTCAAGCCTCTGGTTGCTTGTTCTCGACTTCAAGAAAAAGAAAAATTTCGATAAAGTGTCAATTTTTTAAAAATTTGGCGCAAATCTTCAAAAAGAATACAAATTTGACGATCTCAAATCTGACAAGAAATTCACTTTTTTATTTTTTCCTTCCAGTGCAAAATATCGCCGCAACGAAGAATTGCACCATCGAACCACATCACCACCAATCTTTTAAGCTTGAATGTATTTTGCACTTACGCGGAATTGCCTAATCCAGAGGCAGTCACCGTAGATCGAATATTTCGATAAAAACCGATGGGCGCAATCTCCAAAAGACAAAAAAAAACTTTTGAGGTTGTTGGTAGATCAAAACCAGGATTTCGAAAAGCACTACAAGATGAATCTTAAAATTATCTATATAGCAAAAAGGGGGATATTGGCATTTTAATAATTAACATACAATAAACATCTGGACTACAGTATTAAACGCGCGCGCAAGATCAAAACTTTCGATAAGCTGGCGACGAAGATGGCATGTTATCACACTGATAATATGGTCAAGAGTGTCGCAAACCGCTTCGAATGCCCAGAAAAAAAGGAAGACAGCCAAAAAAAGTGAAACCTTTACGCAGAAAGATGAGAGGGGGGGGGGCTTGATTGCAAAATCATCAAATTACGCGATCGACGCCGAGAAATGCGATGGCGGGCGATCAGCGCACGCAAAAAATTTCTGACGTCTCCACCCATCGAAGACGAGGACGACGGCAATCGGGACTTGTTTCGGCCGCCCCGTCAGTCCGTCAGTCAAGCCTCCAAACCGAATCCATATATGGAAGACGAAGGGGAAAGTAAAAACCGAATGGTGTGTTTGGCAAAACTGGATATCTCCTATCTTCCTGGGGTTTTTTTTTGGTTAGTTGTGGCCCACGACTCGAAGAAAAAACGACTCCAGACTAAACGGTTTATTGAATGTGAATCCATGAGAATTTGCGAATTTCGGGGGAGGTGCTTACGACGGGCAAAAGCCATGTGCCATTCGGCTGACGGCGAATTCGCACATTCCAACGACGGCGTGGCTAAAATGAGGACATTGCGAAAATTTGTTCGAAATTCACATTATTATGACAAATATTGCGTTTTTGATTATCCGATGATCTCGATCAAATAAAATAAAAAACGAACTGACAACACATTTTTCGAGACTGCAAAAACATGTTTCTACGAGCGAAATTCAAAATTTATGGAGTTTTGCGCGACCAACGATAACATTCGCGTCGAAACAGTGTCAAACCGAATCGCGAATTCCAAAGTTGACATCAGCGAAAATCAAAGTAAAACAAAAGAATAGTTTCCAGAATCGGTCAATGCGAGACACAGCAAAAAAAATTCGAATTTAAAACGAATTTTGATGTTTTTCCTTAAATTAATTTAAATTATCGATAATAGAATATAAGAAAATTTTAATGAAATTGCAAAGAAATGCAATCCTAATTAAAAAAAAAATGAATTAATTGCTTAAAGGCCCATAATACGGAAAATGAATTCTAGCTGTGTTTGCCTTTTCCTCGAAAAAAAAAACAGACTATACATACCTCCACATTTCTACCATCGTGCTTATAAATGGAATCAATATACCAGCGATCCCAAATTTCGATCAATTTGTCTCGCTTCACCGGATCATTATTCTTCTGCAATATCGTGCGATGATCTCGAAAATGATCATTGGTGAGGAGTTTCGCTTTGGGACCAAACTCCCACGCGCATCGAATCGAAATAATATCATCAGCGGACCTGCAAAATTTCAAATTGTTCCAGCACTTCGGGTTCAACAAGCCCACGTTTTATCACAGTAGATCACATTTCTATTAAATCGCTTATGAATGTCATTGGCTATTGCTCTCGGAGGCCTTCTCGTCGACATTATTACATGTTTGAAATCTTTTTCCAGCCTGAAATCGCAAAAAAAACAGTTTCTATTATTTTTGAGGGCTTATCCTACATCGAAAAATTCTTGACGTCATGACCTTTTCCAAAATTCAACGAATCGACCACAATCAGATTTTCGCCTTGCACATTTTTGAATTGCCGCTTTTTGTCGGCCACCATTTTTAGTGCATTCTTGAATTCTTTTGTCGTTAATTGACCTAGAATGACAATACTTTGCGACTTTAATTGATTTATTTTTGATCTACCCTGATTCCCATAAAACACGTGCTCATCAACCGTTTCTTTGAGTAAATCAATTTCGTCATTGCTCAGAAACTCTTCAGGATACTGCTTGAGCAATGGACATTCGGCGCCGAATTTTTCGAATTTCGTTTGTGTGAATCTGCAAAACACTTTTTCACATAATTAATAAACGAGAGGGGGGCTGAAAGCAGCTCTTGCGATTAGCAGATTGCCCTACGGCACAAAATTTCTTGCAAGAGGAAACGCTTCGAGGCGATTGAGAGAAAATTGGGAAATGTTTTCGAGAAAGCTATATCGTCGACGAATTTCGGTACAATTGCTCTAGTATTACTGTCGGCGTCGAACGGAAAATAACGAGAAATTTGAGCATTTGTATTTGAGCACAACTCGTAGGAACGAGTTTTACATTTTCCGACCCTCATTATTTTTGAAGGCGCTATTTGTCATTGACAAGGCTTCAATTTTTCTTAGCGGGACCAATTAAAATGTAAAAAAAACACTTACTGTAGTACTTTTTTCAGCGTCGTTTCGAACAATTCCTCGGAAATATAGAACGGATTCCTTTTATAAAAATGATTGAGAAACATTTGAAGAAGTTTCGCCTTTTTGACCTGAAACTCAAAAACGAGGTTGCGATTTATCGAACAATTTAAAACTTTTTCAGCTTTCGCTATTTCTAAAATCTCCGTTGTGTAGTTTTCAAGTTCGACAACATCATAATTTTCGACGAGCTCTCGGATATTCTTGAAATTCCGCTGTTCGAGCTCACGCAAGAAATAACACAAAACAACATAATTCTGAAAAATGGCTATAATTTGAAGAAATGCATAATGGCAATTTACTTTGCTAAGACAATTTGAACAATCAGGAATTGTATCAGAAGGCGACAGAGAGTCACGAAAGAGCTCTAAAATAATTTTTTAATGCATACGTTTCGAGAAAATATTCAAATATTCTCCAGAACCATTCACTTTACTATTTCAAAAAAAAAAAGTATCGTACTGGCTTCGTTTCGAATCAGATCAATTTTGCATTTGTCGACGTCGACATTTCTCGCTAATTTCTCCAGAATAGCCCGTTTATCCGCTTCATTTTTCAATGCTCTATACGCAACAGCGCTAAATCGAATCTTTGCGAGAATTTCGGCGTCGTTTTGCCTGCTGCTCGACTCGCTTTCGGCCAATAATCGCATGCAATTTTCAAACACGATATTATCGTGAAACGCGTTGCACCTAATAAAACAATTTATACAATATTCTGGAAAAACACAAAACACTAAAACCGTAGAACTTCGCTTAAAATTGATCTCGTTTCATTGAATTTCAACGGAATATTTTTTTTCGTCAGAGCGGCGACTTTCGGCGACATTATTTGAGTCTAAATTCAATGATTTACACATATTTACAATTTTCGATGAACTAACTGTTAACATTCTACGGGCGAAATTGAGCAGAAAATAATTTCTATTCAGAAAGAGCATTTTTATCGGCGATATTAACTCCTTTCTGAGTTAATTCTTGCTTATATCTGTAAAATTTAGCTAAAAATGGAATTTTCTGAATATAAAGTTACCTTTCAAATTGGTGTTTTCGAATAAAGTGGCTGACCCAAGAAGCGGGGCAATCGCTGTCGAACTTCTTACGCTCTTTTTTGCAGTAGGAAATTGCCTAAAATTTAATAACAGTGGAGTTAAATAAAAAAATATTTTTTTTCGGGAGTTCTCAAATTTGACAGTAATTTTTTTTCTGCATTGAAATTTTCGCAATGTTTCTTTTTTTATTTCCTCTGAAAAATTAAAGGGGCAGCTTCCAATTCTGGTAGCCGCGTTCTTTTCAGGAACAGACTATAAACCACTCCTTTTCATCCGACGAAATGTAAACGTGGCCGTCAATATGTTCCGGCCACAATTTTCAGGCCAACACCACATTCCATAAAAGCCACGGATATTTGCGCAAATTTAATTTTCTCACTTCCTTTTCCGACTTTCCCTCGTCCAAATACTTATCAATGCACTTTTCGTAGTAATCTCTGGCCTTAAAATTTATAAATTATTTTTTTCATGAATTTTCAATACCTCGTAGCACTTCTTTCTTTCACTTTTCAGTGATTTTTCACCTTCTACCATAACTGAATTGAGCCAATTTTAATAGATTTTAAGCAAATACTCTGAGAAACACATGATAATGGTCAATAATTGCAGCCATTTTGTAAAATTGATAAATTATAAAATGTTAAAAATTCATTTTGCTTCATAAAAATCGATATGAACATGAAAAAGTGACAAGATGAGATCAAAAATTGAAAACTGAAAGGTTTGGGGGAAATAAATTATGAACGTTAGAAGAAATTAAGTACAGTGTCAATAATCAGATGAACCCATTAATTCACAATGGTTCACCAATTTCCGCCATCGGTTCTCCTTCGTCGAAAATAAACGTCGATTCAGCGCACCTTCCTGAAAACGACAAGTCAATTTTTCGGAATTTTATTTTCGCTGCGAGACCTATCGAAAATATAGCGATGATGAGCGCGAGAATTGCAGCCAAAAGGCAAATCCAATCAAAAGAATTGTCCTCAATGAGGAATAATTTGATATCTTCAATTGAATATACTGATTCCGTCCATGTCGAATATGTCGAATTCGAGAAGTCATAATCTTAAATAATCCGAATTATCAGAAAAAATCGAGAAATCAGAAGTTCACCATCAATATCAAATGCTGGCGAGTGTTCCACAATATTCTGAATTGACGATCTCCAGCAGCTAAAATTGCCCGTATACGGATTCGGTTGCCAATCATACGCGTAAATCTTAAAATTCATTTTTAAAAAATTTTGCAACACCGAAACTAAAATTACCGCTTGATGCTCAGATAAGTGTCGGCAGCTGTTTTTATCCTTCACGTTCAATGTGTCACTATCGCTTCCCAATGCAAAAATGAGAAGCCAATGAACGATTAGACGGAACGGATTTTGGCTCGAAACACTTATGTATGTTGACTTCTCGCTCATGGTATACGCATCTGGAAATCACCACGCGGTTAAAGGAAAAAACGTCCTACAACTTCATACCCATATATGGGTAAAATCGTCCTCCATTCAATTTCTTCATAAAATCGCAATCAAACCAAAACTTCGAATCCACTAAACAATTGAAAAGTGTGGAAACCTATATAAAATATTTTCAATTTAATAAAAAACAAAAAATCAAAACATTACCAAGGTTTTATCAACTTTCGTGACCTTATCGTCAGGCGTCAATCCTACGAATTCGGCGGCCCCGGCGAGAACAGCGCTCACAGATGCCGAAATATCATTAATCGCTCTCAGCTTAGAAGCTTCATCCCATTTGTTCACATCGAGCATAGAATTGACGCGTCTAAATAGCGAATATTTCGTTCCATCGGTCATTATAAAAACTCCTACCCATAGTTATAATGTCCCTCGAAAGGAGCCAAAACAATTGCTTGAACTTTTGAGTTAAACTTTGCGAATGAGTGCCAACTTGCCGGCGGAACTCTGAGTTCAACAATTAGTTCGTATATTTAAAGGAATATCAAACAAAAAAAAACCTAGTGACTTCATCCAATCGCAGACCATTTTTTTCCATCGAATCCTCGATTTTTTCAAAGATTCTCTTGTTATCCGCAGTGACGCGGTCCGAATCATAATGCAAATACATTTTATGCCCTTCTCTTGTACCGATCTAGACAAAACGAATATATTCCAAAACAGGCCGAATTTAACAACTCACCTGTTGAAACTCGACAACATAATCAATCTGCTCCAAATCAATGTTGCGAAGTTGTGAAATGTTCAAGACCGGAAGAGGGAAGACTCCGTGTCTCATTCGATTCACCGCCGCGCTGCTCCCAATATAATCAAAAGCCTCTCCATTGAATAGCGAAAACATTATGTGTCGGTTTGACAAATATGACGCATCCGACCATTTCGTCAGCGAGTCCGAAATCGTGCGGGCGGCGACAATGACCGAAATAATTGATGTCAAAACGGAGAGTTCACCGGGCGAAACCTCCGGTATTACACCGAAGCTGTCCAACTACAATAATTCATTTATGAATTATTGTACCAAAATCATATTTAAAACAATACCCTAGCCGAAATCGCCATATATTTCGGCTTCGTCGTTAAAATCGCCGAATTATTCAATGGGGTTGGCCAACCGAACAGATTTTGACCGGATAATGGACTACACAGCTCAGAAGGACCGCTGGATAACACAAGTTAACAAGAAAAATCAAAAGCAAAATACTTTGTATCAATGTCCATTTCGAATAATTTTGAAGAGGGCTGCCCCCTTCGATGGCAAACTTTTGAGCTGCCTGCAGCCGAATTGAACAACTTAAAGGACATTCCACAATATGGATATTCCGCCTCGTTTTGATTTGAATTGAACATAGCATGACACTGAAATTATCAAACTATTAAAACAATCCACTCTTTATTGCTCCCACCTTTTTCATTATGTTAATATCCGTCTGATTTCTCACGTAGACCATCTGAATCCCCCAATTCACATCTCTGAGTCCCATCGGCAGAATCGCACCGGCTTCGTTATATTCATTTTGGCAATATGGTTGCTTCTCGTCTCGAAAATATACGTCTAAACAGAGAAAAAAAAATTTAAATTACAATTTTTGAAAATTACTTGACATTTCGTTCGGACAATTCGAATCGTGCGATCCTCTGACATTATCAGATATCGAAAATTCCGTCGATGAGGTTATAAGAACCAATCCGCTAGTGCAATTTGAAGCTTTTACAACTTCCATAGTTTCTCTGAGAAGAAAAAAATTCTAATTATACATAGTTGGATCAACTCAACCTGTTCAATTTGGTCGTCTCTATCATTATCCAAAATTTTCCGTTGTAGCTGGGAAATTTTGGCTTGTAACAATTTCTAACATTTTCCAAATTATCAAATTCTACAAGAATCCCATTTCGATTCTCATCGTTCGCTAAAATCCAAAAAAATTGTTGAAAAAAATAGAATTGAATCAACCATGACACCCAAATTGGTGGGTTCCGTTGAGAAGACGATAACAGGATGTCCCCTCCTGAACCCGAATCGTCCGAAATACTCTGTCCGAAAACCCGTCAGCCATCAAATTTGGCACGAAGAAACAAGAAAGAATAATAATCGATAAAGAAATGAACATTTCAGGATGTCATTAGCTGAAAATAAATGTAAAAAATACCGATTTTTCAAAAAATTGAGCTCAAAAATATTGAAATGTCATCATAACATTCGATTGAAGATTAACTGCACATGTTAGAAACATTAAAATTTATTAATTAACCTAAAAATCAACAACGTAATAGCCAGAATTCCTAGAAATTCACTGTTTTGTGAATTACTTGCTGGAACCACACGGCTTGTAATCGTGTCCAGTAGCTTCCTTGAATTGTTTCTTCAGCTCAAGGAGCTTCGCAATAGCGTCCTTTGTCGTTTGCGATTTCGCATCCTTCGATTTCAATTCACGTACAAGATTGCCTTGAGCGTCAATGGCTGAGGCAATGTCAGTTGAGGTGACTTGGGGAGCTGCACCTGGTGCATTCCCTGGTTTATACTCCGTCCCAGTGGCATCCTACAAGAAATCCTGATTATTAGAAGATTCTTAATTTAAAATAAACCTTGTATTGTTTTTTAAGATCTAAAAGTTTAGCGATGGCGTCTTTGGTGGCTTGAGACTTGGCGTCTTTTGATTTCAAGTCTCTCACCAAAAGCCCTTGAGCTTCAACTTGAGCATACAACTCAGCAGCTGGTACTGTAGTAGCTGCAGCAGCGGCTGGCGGATTTCCGGGCTTGTGGTCGGCGCCGGTAACTTCCTTATATTTCTTCTTTAGTTCAAGGAGCTTCGCAATGGCGTCTTTGGCAGCTTGAGATTTCGCATCCTTGGATTTCAATTCTCGCACTAAATTGCCTTGAGCTTCAATCTCATTGTAGATTTCGAGTCCCGATCCAGTTGAAGTTGAAGGAACTGGAGCCGCAGCAGTAGTAATTGGTGGTTGACCAGGTTTGTATTCAGCTCCAGTCAGTTCCTAAACAAACAAAAATAAAACTAGAAAATCGAATTTAAATATCACCTTATATTGTTTTTTAAGCTCAAGAAGTTTAGCTATGGCGTCCTTGGTGGCTTGAGACTTCGCATCTTTAGCTTTCAAATCTCTAACAACATCACCTTGCTTCTCAATAGCCTTATAAGCTTCAAAAGCGCCTTCTCCAGCGGAGGTTTTAGCAGGAACTCCAGAGGAAGATGGAGTTGGAGCAGCTTCCTTGCTAGTATGACCATCCGGAACAGCAATCAAAAGAAGTGGAGTTTCAACGCCACTGAGCTCGGACTTCGGATTGTAGACTTGATCAACAATGTAGAATCCTTTTCGTTGAAGCTGAATAATGTCGCCCTTCTTCAAATTGCGCATCGCCGGTTCTCCAATCATTTTGGTATACTTCTAAAATGCATTTGATTTGAATAAAAATGGAACATCTCAAACATACCACAGAGTCGTAGTTGATGAAGTTCTTCCAGTCTTCATCTTTTCCGATCACAGCCTTGCTGATGATGTGATCATAGTCGGCTGTGACAACGGCAATCGAAGCACCATCCTTGGCCTTCACATCTCCAAGCCACGTCACCTTCGTTGTTTTTTTGTAGTCTTTGTTGTCCAATTCCAAGCTAGCGTCGATTGAACTAATCAGACTTCCCTTCTTAGCGATGTTGTTGATCTTGATGTTTCCCCAGTTGACAAATGTGACAGTTTCACCTTCCTTGAGAGCAGCAGCATCAATTTGTTCCAGGAGGATTTTCTTTCCGCGATGGATTTCCTTGCTTCCAACATCGGCGTTCTTCAATATTAAGTTAAGCTGTTTCAATTAGTTCAAAGATACCTTTGGATGAAGAGCAACATTGGTTACTTCATCCGTGATATTATCGGATAGGTTAACGGTGACCAATGGAGCCGAAGTGTCAAGGGCGGTGTATCTTGGAGCAATTGGATCGATGACTTTTTTGTTGAACGCCCAAATCTTGTCCCATTCCATCATAACAACAGATCTGGATCCTCCTTGAGCTACGATGAATTGCTTCAATCCTTCAACAGTAAGTCCACGCCGCATGACACCGCGCACGGTTGGAAGTCTCGGATCATCCCTGAAAAATTTAAACTTGTCATCAGATTTCTCAAAAACCGGGGAAGAAAGAAATATGGGGTCAAAAATAATTTGAGCGGTCTAGAACGCCATAAACTTTTACGGTATCAAAACATGTTATAGAGGGTCCAGATTCCATTTTTAAAGAAAAAGTCGGCTGCCGTGAAATTAACCAGCCTACTTGAAACAAATCATCCGAGAAACTCACCATCCTTCAACATGTCCCTCATCGACAAACCAAGTGAGCTTTCTCTTGCTCATAACAGTGTTGGTCATGTTCAATCTGGCGTATTCCCAAATGTATGGTCGACGAAGGCCAAGGGCGTCGCAAATGAAGTAATATTGATCATCACTGTAAGTTGCACTCAATGCATTTTTTTTCTATATTTGATTGTATCATACCGATCATGATACTCGGTCGTTCTTAAAGCATGAGTTACTCCTTCAATACTATCAACAATCGGGCAAGTGAAGTCATATGTCGGGTAAACCCTAAAATTGTCAAACTTTTCTTCATAAAAATCTCCAAATTTCCAACTTGTATTTGTTTCCAGTCCGCACATGTTCTTCCGGTTTGCATCGATAAATGGTGGGATCTCTCATGGCTCCATTATTCGATTTCATGTCCATCTTGATGCGAACACAGCACGTCAAACCTTTCGGAGTTCCGGCCTTCATTTCCTCCCACAGCGCAAAATTCTTGGCAGGATCTGAATAATTTGCGATGAATTTTGTGAAAAACATTTGATAATCAGTCCCAACCGTTGTTCCGATTCTTGCTCTCAACACGCTCTTCTCTCTCCTTCCGCATAGTTTCAGTGTCCGTATCATCAACATAAGCCTTTCCTTCTTTGAGGAGCTTTTCGCACATGCTCATAATAAGTTCGAAGTGGTCTGAAGAGTGAGTCCAACGATCCGGAACAATGTTCAAAAGTTTCAAGTCCTCTTTGATAACCTGAAATTGCATAAATTATAGATCAGAAATATATTATTTCAGCAAACCTGCTCAAAATGAGCATTTTCCTTCGCCGGATTCGTATCATCAAATCTCATAATAAGTTGCCCTTCGAACGCCTGCTGGTAGTATTGGTTGAGCAATGCAGCTTTAGCATGACCAATGTGAAGATATCCACTAGCCTCTGGCGGGAATCGCACGACAACTTTTCCTTTCTCGGCGCCCGGGAGTTCAACGAACATTCCTTCGTCTTTCTTCTTTTCTTTGGCGGCATTATTCTGAATACAACCATTAATTGACACTTTCTTGACACATCCAAATATTCCAAAAATTCAAGATTATTTATTTTACAGGAATGTTTCAAATTGCATTTTCTCAGACCCACCTGCGGTTTGTTGGCCGTCTTGGTCTTGTAAATTCCAACTTGGCTATGCGCAGCCGCCAATGAACCGTCATTCACTACCTTATCAATAATTGCCGCGAATTTACTCTTCAACTGAAAAAAAGAAAGCAATTATTTAAAATGTTGTTTAATGATTACTTGAGAATGATTATGAACGAATGAGAAGATCGCGTAATCAGCTAGGGTAAGCCTGTCAGCAGCAGCGAGGCCGGATGGAGCCAACTGAATATCATTCAGCCTTTCCTCCTTCGCATTTACTGCGATATCTTGGCACAAATTCAATAATTGGTCGATCTATAAGAAGTTAGATGAAAAACAAATGTTGAATAATCAAAAACTTTGGCGAATTCATGAATGTTTTTTCCGAGAAGTTCCTCGTTCTTTTTGGAGCTTTGAGCAATAATTCGAGCAATTATCACATCATTTTCAATCTTCTCGCCGTCCCTAAGCAAAACAAATTCAATTTCATAGAGCAAATTTAAGCAATTACAAGACAAGCTGCAATTTATCCGCTAATTGGATAGTCTTTTCGATGGAAAATCCGCCAGCGGCCAATGCAAGAAGCGTGGTGTACGGTAATTGCTGATTGTTGGCTTTAATCACAAACTCGCGACTGATTGCCATTTTTTACCTGAAATTCATTTCATTGCAGAAAACTGAGAACTAGAAAAAAAGAAGAAAGCTCAAGAGGGCTCATTTTAAAGCCTCCAAAATGAGCACTTTCGTAATCTTGTGCAATCTGAAGAAGATAGGAGTAGTAGGAGGGAAAAATGAAATGCGGTGTGGAGTGAGGGGGTTTAAAATCGAGAGATTAGAAGAAATTTTGGACAAATATTTAAAATTACTCCACGAGTAATCCATTTTGATTAAATGGAAGGATCAAAGTTGATGAACTCGATATCATTTAGCAATTCGGCTAATTCTTTTATTCAAACATTTACTATTGCTAGTAATTATGGTATTCAACCAAACTGGGCATTTGTCCCTGGTAGCGATATGCATTACCAATAAAAGAGAAAATATACGAAGAAGTAAAACAACAGTGTTAGCAATGATATTCTCATTAGGGATTGTAATAATTACTAACAGAAAATGTTAGGATTATTAATAAAAATAGATGTTCAATCATTCTAATTTCTTTTATGGCATTAGAACACGAATCATTAATAATTAAACAAACAGAGAAAGAGGTTTAAATTAAACCTTGTCCATTTTTAGCAGAAATTGGGAAAATGAAAAGCATTAAAAAGAACGCGAGACTACGGTGAGTAATTGTGCAGTGACAAAGTCCGCAAACAGCGTAAATTGCAGACCGTACTTTTCATGTATTTAATTTTGAGATTTTCATTTAACGTTTTATTCTGATTTGCAGGAAATGAGTGCAATAAAAAAGAAGAAAGTGAAGAGAGTTGTAAAGCAAAATCATGCTGAAGAAAAATTTGAGTTGGAATCTCTTAGATGTAAGTTAAATCAGTTTGCATTTTCAAATAAATAATTGAATGTTTAGACCTTCGCTACACAATCGGAAATGGATACAACACTGAAAGGCACATGTTTCTCAAAAAAGATTTTTCAAAAGAAAATTCGATAATTGTCACAAATGTTCCTGCATTTCTCGGCGAGGTTATTTCTTTTCAATTTTATTAAAACTAAAAAGGAATTGCAATTATAGGACATCGTGGAGGCATTCCTTGGTAGTTTCGTTCCTTATAAAATTGAAGAAATACTAGTGCAGAGAAGTAACGCATCAAATGGCTCATTATTACAAGTATGACTAATCATTAATTTTTGAAAATTATAATTGTTAAGGGACGACTCACAATGGCTGTTAGCTTCCAGTCTTCGGAGGCAGTACTTCACGCTCTCTCATTTTGCCAAAAAGCTGGCCCATTGGTTGCTGCGGATTTTGTAGAGAGCCTTGAGCTTCCCTCAGTTTTGCGAGGTAGAAATCAATCAATAATTTCAGTAATATATGTTTCAAATATTCAGAATCGAACTCTCTTTACAGTCGATTATTCCCATCAGAAGAAAAAATTGAAGAGATGGCTGAAACTTACATTGAAAGATATGATACAGAACAAGCTGAAGCTCGAAGAGAAGCGAAGAGAAAATACTCGCAACCTGATGAGGATGGTTGGATTACCGTTCTGAAGGGAAAGAAAGCCGCGAAATCGGTTAAAATGAAACGAGACGAGGCTCCATTGATTGGAGGCTTGAATAATCCGAAGAAGAGAAAGCTTGATATGGCATTCTATACTTTCCAAGCCAAAAAAGACAAACAGCAAAGTAAGAAACGATTGAACCCCAATTTGATTAATATGTGAACAATTCCAGAAGCCCAAGAATTATTGAAAAAGTTCGAAGAGGACAAGAAGCGAATCGCCCATCTAAAGCAAGCTAGGAATTTTAAACCCTTATAATTATTTTTTTAATTTGTTGTTGATTTGATTGTTATAAATAATGAAAATTGACGTGAAGTTAATTGGCGCGCGAAGAAGAATCGATGTATCATTAGGTCGAAGAATGTTGTAAGATTTGTATTGAAAATTGGCTAAATTCTAAAAAATTTAAGAAGAGGTCTCGGTGCACCATTAACCAATCCTTAAACCTGGTCCGTAAATGAACACTTTTTGTTTTGAGTCAAAACCACTGCCATATTGTTTTTTTTTTCATTTAGCCAATTTTCCGCAGTCGCACGACTTCGATATTTTTAACTCCATATTTTATTTATGACCATCCGGAACAGCAATCAAAAGAAGTGGAGTTTCAACGCCACTGAGCTCGGACTTCGGATTGTAGACTTGATCAACAATGTAGAATCCTTTTCGTTGAAGCTGAATAATGTCGCCCTTCTTCAAATTGCGCATCGCCGGTTCTCCAATCATTTTGGTATACTTCTAAAATGCATTTGATTTGAATAAAAATGGAACATCTCAAACACCCCCTGGTCCATCCAAGCCAAAGACCGAAGAGCTTGGTAAGCTGTGGTTCGCGCCTCAACAGGCGAAGGACGAACCGACTAAGTGGCTAAGTAAGTAAGTGATTTGAGAGTTGAAATTTATAAAAATATTTGAAGTTCTCCTATGAGAAACCCATTTTGATCCCATAAAAAGATCAAAGTTGACGCAATCCTTATCAGATATCAAAGCTGCCAATTCACGAATTACGCTATCCCGGCAATGTTTTCAACGATTCGAGATCCAGTTTCTTTTCAAAAAAAAATAGCGTAATAGACAGGTTATTAGCCAGGCGGGGATTCGTTGTCGAGAAGCAAAATCGCTCATTATATTCATTCCCTCGTTCGCCATTCATCGAGGCATGATATTCATAAAGCCTCTACTATTGTTGGTAGTGGTCGTGGTGTACACCAAAGCTCAATATGCATTGGTGCGGTTGAAACGACAAGCGTATCCACCAAACCCGGCGCCATTCAAACCAAGAACTGAAGATTACAACCTTCCGCCATTCTATCAGGTAGTTAATACAAAATTCTTGAATCCCAGAGGAATAGAAAAAATATCACTGACAAATCGGTGTTCGCTTGTTACAGCCAAATCCCGGACGAGATGCTTCAAATCTCTCACCGATCTTCCCATTCCACAGTCAATTCAGTAATGGACTCGACGTAAATCCTGGAACTCGAGTCACTGTCGATGGAAACTTGAATGTGCCTATTATGGGTTGGGGAATGTGGGACTACAAAGGCGGCGTCAAAGTCGGACGTCCGAACACACGAGTTGGATTCGGATCACTCGGCTCTCCAACAAACGTGCTTGGCATTTCCGGAGACACGGTGGCAGCTCTCGCCAGAGACGGCACATTCCAGCAGTCGAGACGTACGAACATCATTTCGAGACATTTGCGAATAAGCGATTTTAGAAAACGTGCCATCGGTTCCGGTGGCTGTTCTTCCTGGCAACTTTGTACCTGTGCGCTGCAAACCGCCCATGTGCAATCCATTCGTGCACAATATGGCTTTCGGGGTCGACGTTGAACCGGGAGATGATTACTTATTCGATGGCGGCTTTGATTTCCCGATTCCATTGGCCCCATCTGGAGTTGGTGTGCGTTTCCCAATGAGCGGTGCGGTGAACGTTGGAACTGATCCATTCCTCATTACTTATGGACACGGAATGGGACCTGTTGAACCACCAGGTAAACGATTTTGACATATATCTAATAGAAAAAACCGGTTTTTCTCATTTTTCAAAAAATTGTCTGATTATAGGATTCAAAACGAAAAAGACACTTTCCGAAGACGAAATTCGCCGAAAACTCAGAGAATAATTTAATTATAATAACATTAATAATATAATAATTTTTGCTAATAAACGATTTCCAATTCCTACAACCTGTTAATCTTCGAGATGAAAGCGAGTTTTTTTATCCCCCGCTTGAAACAATGGACATGATAGGGCAGCGAGATGGCTTCATTTCGTTTCCGAACGCATTTCGCTATGATTTTATTTTTCCTATTTTCCACAGGTTTGCTTATTTTACTCAAATCAATATCAACCACCCGCCATTGTAGCATTTTGTCAAAAATATGGGGGTGATGAACCTTTGGTGATACCAGTCAAAGGCCAACAAGCTATGTTCCCAGCGCTTATCACTGCCGATAATTTTCCACTATTTCCGTTCACCGATCAATTTAATACCGGTGTTGAAATCAATCCGGCGAACAAATACGTACGTTTGAAACCGAAAAATTAGCCCAACACTATTTCAAAATCGTATTTAGAGTATGGCCGGAGACATGATTGTGCCGATACCGGGTTGGGGAAATTTTGATATGGACGGAAATTTATACTTCGGCCACATTAATGTGGATACTAAAGTTGGTTATCAGATAAGACCTACGAATCACTTGAACATCAAACCCGAGACTTTAGCGTTGTTGGGACAGAATCACGCATTCCGAGAGGCAAGAAGTATGAATTTACTATTAAAATAAGTTCCTATAAGAAAAATGCATTAAGAAAAAGCAAAGGAAGTGATTGTGGGTAGAGTTCCTTACGGATACGAGCCGATCAAGTGCAAACCTCCATATTGTAACCCGTTCGTGCAGCACGCAGCCGTTGGTGTTGAAGTTGAGCCCGGAGATGATACATTCTTTATCGGTGGTCTCGATTTTCCACTTCCAATTGGAGAAAATGGCGCAGGAGTGCGATTTCCTTTATCAGGAGCGGTGGAAGCGGTGAATAACTGCCAAATTTTCCAAAATATACGCGAACTTGTAGGGAACTTCACCATATGCTATTGCTCATGGTAATGCGTTCAATCCAGTTTCGCCGTTTGACTTTCGAAAAATCGATAGCGATGATGTTAAACCTGATTGGCCTTATGTCCCTGGCACGCGGCGACGTGCGCCAGCCAAGAAGGGAAAGTATACAGAGGAGCAGAAAAAAGCGTTCTACTCGAAATTCTTCGACAAAATGCCATCGTAATAAGAGGAAGGACGATAATAATAATAATAATAATAATAATAACAATGATATCCTTTAAGATTCTAATAACTTCTTAATAATAATTGTTAAGACATATTTTACGAGTATTAATAAAGTAGTGTATTGAATCATACTTAAGGGCCAGAGAAATAGACCCTTTATTTATTTTCTAATCAATAATATAATGATTAATCGAACCAAAATCTCTGGTAACTCAAAACCAATCAGATTCGACAAAATTCGGCTCTGGAATTAACCTTATTCGATTGGAAATTCTACGAATAAGATTGGAAAATTGTCGAATCCGATTCGTTTTTTGGGTATTTTCGAATACGATTGGTAATTTGCCGGATTCGATTGGTAATTCTACGAATAAGATTGGTTATTTGTTGAATACGATTCGAATTGAAATATTAAAACAAAACGGATTCGAATATTTATCAATCGGATTCGAAGAAAATCTAATCGGATCCGACAAATTACCAATCGTATTCGAAAATACCCAAAAAACTAATCGGATTCGACAATTTTTCAATCTTATTCGTAGAATTTCCAATCGGATAAGGTTAATTCCAGAGCCGAATTTTGTCGAATCCGATTGGTTTTGAGTTACCAGAGATAAAAAAGAAAACAAAACAATAATAAAAAAAACGTCACCGTATATCGCATATACGGTACTGTTGAGCGAGAAAGTGCAAACAGCGTAAATTGCAGACCGTACTTTTCATGTATTTAATTTTGAGATTTTTGCAGAAAATGAGTGCAATAAAAAAGAAGAAAGTGAAGAGAGTTTTAAAGCAAAATCATGCTGAAGAAAGATTTGAGTTTGATTCTCTTAGATGTAAGTTAAATAAATTCATCATATTAAAAAAATGATTTAAAAGCTTTCGGTTATGATATTGAACAAAATATATATGATATTGAACAAGAGAAAGCTTAAAAACAACTTCTGTTGAACTTGTTGTGAATTTGATAGTCATAAAGAATAACAATTAAAAACTGAAACGTGAAGTTAATAAGCGCGTGAAGAAGAATCGATGTGTCATTAGGTCGAAAAAGCTTTGATGGAAAATGAAGGTCAAGGACAAGCTGAAAAAAGCAACTGAAAAGCTGAAGACGACAATGACTTTGTCTGACACGGAAGGACCCCAGGAAGACGTCAACGGTCAGAATAAAAGTGTTGATAATTCTTTACCGACGACTCCGACAAACACAAGAACGGTACGACTCACTTCTAATACAATAAATATGCATTTGAGTTTATTACGGAAATTTATTGAAAATTATTCACGATCCAATCAGTAGACCACCTTCAAAAATAACGAAACTACAAAATTCTCTTCAGGAAGAACAGGAATTTTCGGATGAAGACGATTTGATTGCCAAGAAGAACTTTGGCTCGAAGAAATTTGTAGATGGTGATAAACCTTCGAATTGGAATGTTTATCGAAAAAATCAGTAATATCCCTAAAATTTATCTTTTTAGTTACTAGTAAGAATTATCGAAGCTAAGGATATCGACACGTGCTCTGCAAGAGTTCGAATATACTTCGATGGGAAACAGAGAACAACGAGAACTGTGACGACTTCTGAACCAAAATGGAGACAAAATATTCTTTTTGCTGCAAAAAAACAGAGTCTTGAAACGATTTCAACCAAAATATTGACTTTAAAAGCATGAAATATTTTTTTAAATTTTCTCTTTAAGATATATTATTTTTTAGCTCGCTCATCCGACATTCAATGGAGAACGTCCTTTAGGAGAGTTCTCTTGTTATCTTTCCGAGGTGATTCATTCTCCGGAGAAGTCAGTCATCGGAAAATGGGTTGCACTTGGGATATCAGGTGGAGACGAAGATGAAACCGATGAAGAATATGCTGTTGAGAATTGCGGATTTTTAAAAGTATTTCAAAAACGGAACAAAAAATTTTGAATTTTATAAATAGGTGTCGATTTGTGTATTCCGGAATGATGAAAGTCCTCCTCAATTAATTGACGACGACGGGTCGGAACAAATCTGGAGTGGCGCTCATTTGTCGGATTATACTTTAAAGGTGTTGATCTAAAATGTTTTGATGTCGAATTGTTTTTTTTTTTCAGATTCGTTTTTTCGGAATTGAAATGCTTATGTCAAAATTGCTTCAACAAAAGAAAAAGAAGCCTCCGCCGTTCTATGTGCAAGTGAAATGTGGCGAAGAAACATGCGAGACGAGTGCCGAATATGTACTAGAATCAGAAAATTTGGGAGCGGATATCAATTTTGATCAAGAAATTTATTTGCCGATTCAATGGCCGACTGTCATTTCAAAAGTTGCACAAAAGAATTCAATTCGGTGATTAACAATTTTTTATTTTCAGATTTCATTTTTTCTATTTGTTAAACCAGGAAGAAAAGCAAAATGTATTGGAATGGCGTCGATCCCAATGAAACAATTGTACGAGCCGGGAGAAAAAGGATTTTTACCGACGTTCGGACCAGCATACCTCAATTTATTTGACTATGAAAAAGTTGGAAAATTCAAGTGGTTCTCAAAACGATCAACAACACGTCAAGAAGACGGCTCGAGGTTTGCATACTATTCGAAAAATTTTCGAGCAAAAACAAATTTGGTGAAATTTGTAGATTTGTGGCGCGTTTGTTTATCTCGATCGATTGTGTGGAATACATGGGAGAATCGACAGCGCAACGCTTATTTCTTGATTATTCGGTGACAAAAGAAGCGGAAAATTTAATGGTTGCTGCTAGTGTAGAGAAATGCGATCTCAAATATATTGAAATTTAGAGCAATATTGTTAACTATGTTGTTTGCTGCTCTTTTCATACGTTGAACATGATCAATCCATTGTTTGCCTCGGATGCTATTCAGATTCTGGTTTCGATTGGTGGCTTTGGAAGCATGGACACGGATCACGCCGAAATTGCTAGCTCAACAGTTGCTGCGATGCCGAATTACGATGGATGCAAATACTTTGCAATGCCGTGGGGAAACTTGCGGCCGATGGTCGAAGTGCCATGCTATTTCGAGAACGTTGAATCAAGAATCGAACTCGCTAACGCTCTTATGAAGGTTCACACTATGCACATTTTAGCCTTAATTGTTTGGGTTAAGATGACAAGTATGTTAGATTCAATGATTTGGGAGGTTCTTCGAGTTGGAAACTGCGCAACTGATCATGTTGCTTCTATTGGATTTGAGACAATTGATTATTTGATGCAAATGGTTGAAGCTGGAGTTAAATATTTGGGGTACGAAGATCGTCTATATTGTTAAATAAAATTTTCTAGGCATTTAAAAATGCGAAAAGCGAATGATTTGGATCGAAACTGGCTTGATGTCCGCCGTCGCAAAATTGAGCAGCTCAAGGAGCAACTCAGCGATGAGCTTTATACCGTCGATTTCTCCGACACGGACGTTAATGCAAAAATCCTACGGACACTGACCAAGTTTCGAGATATGGCAAGTGAGATGGCAGCTGATGTGCAGGTGACATAAGGCTAAAAATCAAAAAAAATAAACACTAAACAGATTTCTCTGCCACCTGTCGTTATCAAAATGGTCTCGATGGGAAAACTGATCGGATTTGCAAAAATTCCGATCCAAGACATTTTTCAAGCCGACAAAGAAGCGCCGTCGGGTGAATGGTGTGGACGATCACGACCAATTAATTTATGCTGGCCGACCCTTTTTGATAGGAGATATCGATTAGAAGAAGTAGATTAACGATGTATTTTGATTTAATTAAAATTTTGACGCATTTCAGTTTGTCGCGGTTCTTCATGCCAAATTATGGTTTGGACGAAAGGATAATATCGACAAGTGGAAAGAGCATGTGGAGCCAGCCGAGAAGCGATATTTCAGAGAAGTATATGAAATTCAGGTAATAAGAGCCATAGTTGAATCAACATTTGTTGAAATTGTTCAGACGAGAGCGAGCATCAGCATGAAATGGAAAAGTGTTGATACGAAATCGCTTCAAGACGCGTTTGGCAATGAAATCAATATGAATAATGTCGAGGATGGTTGGGAGACTGTCGTATGTCGATTGTCATTTGTCCGCTTTTTTTTTAATTTTAAATGAAATGCATTTGAGGGTAATTGGCTTGTGATGAACACTCATGACATGTGGATTTCGAATTGTGGACAGAAGACAATGCACGACAAAGCGTACGAAGTTCAGAAGAAAAATGAGGATGGCGAGTAAGAGTTCAATGAATGAGAATGAATAGCAAAAAAACTTAATTCAGATGGGTTCTTGACAAATACACTGATTATTATGGATATGAAGTTAAGGAATCCGACATGAAAAAAGGTGTTGAAGGTATACTGTCATTTAAGACGAAATTTTCTTTAAAAAAAACTTTGAATTTCAAGGCTGGGAACTTTCGGCTTGGATTGCTGACAAACTTCGCAATAACGGAGACAAAAATGGATGGGTCTATTCAAGCAATTCGATATTTTTTGGCGACGGAATTGTGATTGATCGTGAAGCCAAACCGCATCATAACTATCGTAGACGATGTATAAAACGATCCAGAAAAATGATAGCTTATAAGAAGGAGCATGAAAATCTGGAAACATTCCGAAATTCACTCGATGATACGAATTGGGAAGTAAGCTTTAAAAAAAGGGAAGAATTTAGTGTATGTACTATTTTCATTAGTATTCTTCCAAGAAACATGGGCCTTATCATGACGACGAGGATTTGAAAGATACAATAAGGCGAAGAAGGTACATTGTGGAAATGGAAAAGATCAAGTGAGATAACTATAAATAAGAGAAACGAAATTGTTGTGTATTTAGTCCAAACTCGGATTGTTCGAGTTATCGGATCTACGAGCATCAATTGGTTACTGCAAAATGGCAGCTTCGCTGTTACATTATGTGGGCCAAAGTAAAATAATTTTACTTTTGATTTTTCAAAACGAGAAATCGTGTTTTTTTTTTAGGATCTTCTACCAGTTGTCAAAAATTCGTCTCGGGCTTACGCTCGAATCTCATTTGCCCAATTCACCAAGCAAACTTTAGTTGTTGACAATTCGCAGAATCCGATTTGGAACGAGACGGTGATTTTTCGATCTGTCTTGATTGCTGGTGGCACTCGTGATATTATGCACCATCCGCCAATCGTTTCGGTTGAGATTGTTGGTGAATGTGAGAACAATGCTGAGGTTAGTGGTAATTTTAAAGAATTTTCTAATTTTTATGGTATATCAGGCCCATTTGGGACGATTCGAAGCACCGCCGACCGTAATATGTGCTAATACAGATTCCCGCGCTAAACCTCAATGGTTTCCACTTCGCTTTCCGAAAGGCCATACACGGTAGCCATTATTGAGAAAAGCGATTTTGAGCAACTAGCACGTTTCAGCGGAGCTGTATTAGCTTGTTTCGAGCTTTTCGAGCAGACCGATAATAAAGATTGTCTTCCATTTGAGCCGGCTGCGAAATTCAACCAACAGTATAAAATAATTGCATTACGATTTATGTTGAAGATTCAATTTAGCGATAAACGAGAGATTCCAGCAGAGCTTCGGCCAGAATTCGACAAATACAACGTCCAATTTTTGTGTTGGGGAATTCGTAATTTGAAGAAACATCAGGTAGATACTAGAGTTAATGGTTAGCTTCTAAATTCCGAATTTTAGCTTCTTTCCGTTCGCCGCCCGTTTATTGAGATTACCATTGGAGATCAAGAATTTTGTCTGGATCCGTTAAAGGATGTTCGCAAAAATCCCAATTTTCCGGAGCCGATGATCTCGTTCACCGATGTGCAGCTGCCGTCGGCACTTGATCTTTCGCCGCCGCTCGTTGTTAATCTTTTCGACTCGCGCGCCTTTAATCGAAGGCCGCTAGTGGGAGTGTGTCTGATTCAAGACTTACACAAATATGTCCGGAATTTTGGTGATAAGGTTGCAATAATGTTATTTACAACTTTAAAAAATTCAAGCACTCTTTTTAAAGAAAAACACTGAGAACGACGAGAATTGGGACGAGTTTGCATCAATTATTGATAAAGAACACGAGAAACTACTGAAAATGGAGCGCAAAATGACATTATCGTTAGATTTGATGGTTCCTTTAGATTGGTGGAGTCGCTATTATGCATCTTTGTCGCAATTCCACAGAGCCCCTGGTTATCTCGAGTTTGTCGTTTTTTTTTTCATTGCATCTCAAATATTTAACTCATTGAGATCTGGCATGGAATACGTGCGAATTATGAAAATGCCACTTGAGGATATGAATGGATACAACGGCTTCAACGATTTTCTTGACACTTTCTATTTTGTGAAAAATTCCAAAGGCGATTTTGACGATCCTGAAGAAAAGGAGAAAGCTGGTGAATTGAAAGCGCGCCTTTTGATTTCAAAAATAAAGAAAGATAAAAAATTTGGTAATATGACATATTACACACCCCTATGTTCAATGAGCCGAATTTCAGAGCCATTCAATCCCTATGTCGATTTTGTTGGTCCGGTTAAGTGTGTTGTTCGAGTCTACATTATTGAGGCCAACGGTCTTATGTCAAGCTCAAAAAAAGGTCGTATCGATCCTTACGTTGTCGTTGGATGTGGAAAACAGAAAGTCAGTCTCAAAAAGAATTATCGATCGGAATGTGCGAATCCGATATTTGGCGAGCGAGTGGATTTGAATGTGACGATTCCTTTAGAAAAGGATTTGACTATTACAGTGATGGATAAAAGAACAATTTTGAGAGGTTGGAAGTAGGTTTGTGCGAATCAAAATCATTTCGAAATCTAGACGAGGAAATTGGTACGACGAAAATCGATTTGGAAAATCGGCTTCTAACGAAATGGCGAGCAACGTGTGGCTTGAGTGCCCAGTATACCGTACAAGGCGAACTACAATGGAGGGACCAAATGACGCCGTTGGAAATTCTAAAGTCCTATTGCAATCGAATTGGGCTCGATGCACCGAAAATTGTCAACCGCGAGAAGGATGAAGTTGGAATATCGATTGATGGTGTTGAATTTTACTATTCAGATGTGATCGCACAAATGGAAAAGTGAAAGATTCTTGAAATCGATTTTCCGTATATCTGATATTTTAGAGATGAGAAACATCTAATTGAAGCACAACGTGAAAAAGCTGGAAGGTCGAAAGATGTTGAGGATTTTATTGACTCGTTTGAGGATGTCAGTGATGATTTCTCGAATCTTGATGATCCTGGTCCGCCGACGGAACGAAAACGAACATATAACCGAGTAGTCAGAAAAATTGGTTTAGAGTAAAGTAAAGTTCGATTAAGGCTCCTAAATTGGGAAAAACTGAAGCTGCGGGCGACCAGCAAAGAAGTTTCAATCGGAAAAAGATTATGGGAAGTGAGCTGGAAGTCATCGCGTTGTTTATTTTGCGACAAGTTTGTGACACAATTCTATATGTTATTTTTGTATTATCTTGAATTTTGAGGTGAATCTTGTTCCAGAACATATTGAAACCCGACCATTAGTATCTGATCGATATGGGAACGTTGTTCGCGGTAACTTGCGAATGTTTGTTGACATTTTCCCCGTAAATTTCGTTTCAAACTTTAATTCGATTCTATTTCGTTGTTTCAGAAAGAATATGGACCAATTCCCGTTCCGTTTAACATTTCACCAAGAAAACCTGTACAATACCAACTAAGAGTATCGGTAATGAATGTTACCGGTGCTATTCCGATCAAAAGAAGCTTTAATGATCCGGTTTCCGATCTTTATATCAAAGTTTTTGTGAATGGAATGATGAAAGGAGAGAAGACCGATACACATTTTAGGTAGGAATTTAGGCGATATTCTAATCAATTGTCAAATTAAGAATTCTTGATGGTAATGGCGAGTTCAATTGGAGATTTGTACTCAATTTTGACTTTAACCCTTGGGAGCAGAAAATCGTGGCTTATACGAAAACGCGAATGTTCCGCAAAGCAGTTGAGGAGCTTGTCGATCCGATCATTATTGTCGAATTATGGGACAAGAACAAACTCAAGAAGGATATTCTTCTCGGTGATATTGAACTTGATCTATTAAATTTTATGGAAGGTCTTGGATCGCCGGACGACGTTGGAATTTTCAAATCGAAAAATCGAAGATCCACATGTAGAAAATGTCGAGGAAAATGTGTTTGTATGGCAAAGTGAGAATAAAAATTTGAAAGAAATGCGTTAGTTTAAAAAAAAACTTTCAGATGTTGCATATATTGTTTCGATACGAGATGCTTTTGTAAGACACCGAAACCGAAATTAAAGCCGTTCCCCAGACCGCAAGTATAATTTTTAAAACTTTATCAAATTTGACTGAACCAGAGAATATTCAAAGTTTAAGACATTAAAATGTCATTTCTGTAGGAGTTCGTCGCAACGCCAGAAATTGACAATCATGTGAATATGTTCGACGCGCGTGATTTGTATGGATGGTGGCCTATGCTATCTAAAATTTATCCACACGTAAAACGAATGATTCAAGTTGAATTGTTTATATTTAATTTTTGTGCCTAGGAAAATGTGGAAGTCTCCAAAAAGCACGAGGACGTTGGTCCAAATCCGCAATGGATTATGGGTCTTGTCGAAATGGATATTTCGCTTTTGACAAAGGCCGAAGCTGATATGGACCCAGTGGGAAAAAAACGAGACGAGCCGAACCATGTAAATAATTGGGATGAATATTGTGTGAAAAGCTATTGCAAAATTTGTAGAGCCCATTCTTGGAAAAACCCAATCGAAAAGCCTGCGACAGTTTTTGGATCACTTCGAGACTAAGTCCCTGCTTGAGCTGGTTCTGGCACAATTATGGTGGAAGAATATTATTTTGGACAATTATTGTGCTTATGTTGCTCCTCACAATCTACTTTGTGGCGAACACGTGGCCGGTGATCTTGGCGCATTTTATATTGCCTTCTTAACTGTTATACTTATTGTTTCAATAATATTTATTCATATAGTTGTACAAATATTCAAACAAGTGTTATTAGCACTTATTGCTTCAAATAGTAGAACAATGTTTAATTTTTGAGAATAAACGTTATAAATTACACAATAGTCATCGTGACTACTCGAGTTCCGAATTTTTATTTACATTTGGAACACGAAATGTTAACCTATTATTCACGCAATGAGCGCCAAATTACATACTATTTTGATTTTTCTATCACTCGTAATCATAAAAGGTAAAAACTAAAATAATTCCGAAGACATTAGAGATTTTCAGAAATAAACTCATTCCAATGCCAAGTGTGTGACTCGTTTAATGGATATTGCGATTTTGACGGTTCAATATGCGTGGGATCAAAATGTTCGAAAAGATCTGCTCCGATGCCAAGTGAGATCGAAAATTTGAAAAATCGACGAATCTCATAATTTCAGATGGATTAGTCAGAGAGCAAAAGCTTTGCGTGCCGTCAGATTCGCCAATAGGATGTCGGCGAGCAATTCTTTGGAATGAAATGGAAGGAATTGAGTGCGTCTGCGAAGGTCATATGTGCAATTCATCAAGAATTTCCGATTATTGGATTTTAATGGTGCTAATTATAATTGGAAAAATATTAATGCACTATTCATGAAACGTATTTTTTTACAAAAAAATGTAAAAATTACATTAAATTTCCATTTTTTTACTACCCATCATTTTAAAAGTGTGTAATTTTTAGCATTAAAAAATACATTTCGTGAATAGTTCCATAATTTTATACATGTTTCTATTACATGCATAGGTCCAATTTTAATCTTATACGATAATTATGATAGTTTAAAATTTGTTATCAGCGTGCAACAAACCTCCCCAATCATTCTCCCCACCCATCGCTCCCTCTCTCATACGAATTGTAACATTATTGTTTTTCCTTTCTTGGTTTGCTTAGTAATATAAATAAATAAATAATGTTGTGAATTTTTTGGCGCTCCTCTATTGTACTATATTTTAGGCATCGATGAGGCGATTTTTGGTCGCTTTTACTGTTTTTTACTCGGTTATCGCTGCTGATGAATGCCGAGGATCATGTAGTAATGTAAGTTTTCGCATATGTCTAATATTTCGTTATTCAAGTACTACAAAAATTACTGTAGTTGAATATTTCCCTAAATACTGATATGGAAAATTGATTTTTTTTTTACTATATTTAGAATTTTGTTGAGAATTAATTTCTGTTTAGGATGGTTACCCTCGAGCTTGTGGTATATGGTTGAGGAATGAAACAAAAAGAAGCACAATTGGCAAATATCAAGTAAAACTGATTAAAAATTTCAAAACTCAGCTCCTATTTGCAGGTTGAAAAGGGATACGTTGAATTGTTCTGCGCGTTCGCTTCACTTCCAGAACCTGTTCAAGTCCAATGGCAATTCAGACCGAGTGAAGGCTCACCGTTCTGGAGTGAATATTCATGTTCAAACGCGGAAGAGCGCAAAATTTGCAAGTAAAACTCGATTGTAATTATTTTTCTGGTAGACAAAACAAATACCTTCAGTAGCGAGGAGATGATTGTTGAATCGCGATGCATTTTACGGCTCAAAAATATTCGAATGAGTGGCTCCTATCGTTGTCACGCGACAATTCCAAATCTAAATTATTCGAGACATCGAGGATTTAGGTAACAAAAGAATACTATTGCCGAAACGGATTTGATCTACATATTACAACAGTACCGAAATTCCGATAAACGTCGTCGGTATTGAGACACCGCGAGTCATTTCGAGCCATTTGCCAATCGGACAGACGGGCCATATTGATCTTGAAATTTGCGCGAATCCAAAGCCGGAAATTTTCTGGGTCACTTCTGAAGGTCTCATTTTACCCGAGGAGAGCTCGAAACGATTTGCAACCACAGCGGTTACACCAAGAATGGTAATAAATTCTAATTTTTAGAATGCTAATTATTAAAATCCTTAAATTTCAAGATCATCGAGAGGCCTGACTATCATGCTACTGCCTTGCCATACTGCTATTCGACAAGTCTATATATTCACAAGACAAAAGAAGATGATTCATTCAAACTTATAATACGAGGAGACTTTCAGACTCTCACAGAGAAAATCAGTGTTCGTGTTAAAAACTCATCCTCAACCTCTCAACTATTCATGATCTCCCTCTTAACTATATTCTATATAACGAAATAACTATACAACCAACTTTTTATTTAATTATTTAACTAGTACTGAAGCGGTATTCATATAGTTCCGATAAACCTCACGAGAGATAATCATCTGCTGAATTTGCGTGGTTCCCTCGTAAATCGGAAGGATTCTCGCGTCGCGCATCAATTTCTCGACCGGATATTCCGTGTTATAACCAGCGCCGCCGAATATCTAGTAGAAAACAAATTGATGAAATCCGAAACAAAATTGAAAAATGAACCTGCACAGCTTTGAAAGCATTCTTGTTCGTTTCTTCGGCCGCAAAATACTTCACAACAGAAGCAAAGTAAGTGGCTGTAGGGTCCTGAAAAAATATTCGTTCAAGGTTGGAATATTGCGCGCAAAAGCTAATGAAGATTTTGGGGAGAATACTCTAAAAATAAAATAAAACCTAGTTTTTTTGCGCAATGTGCATAGGGTTTTTAGAGTATTTTGAAAGTTTGCGAGATTTATTGGAATAACTTTTAAAAAAAATCTAATAAATTTAATGTTTTTTCGCAATCTACTTTTTAAACTAGATTTTTTTGAGTTTTTTTTAAATCGAAATCTGCATAATACCAAACATAAATGTCAATTTACAAGCTAAACAATATAATCGAGAGCTTTTCGACAACAATAAATACCTTAATATCAATATAATGAGCAGCGCGATAAGTCATGAGACGCATTAACTCAAAACTGGTAGTCATTTCGGATATCATTTGCATGATAGCCTGATGCTGGAAAAAAAATTGTCAAACACTTAAAAATTTCGATGAAATTTTCAAACTTGAGCAATCGGCACTCCAAACGTTTTTCTTTCCAGCGAGTATTTCACCGACTCATGAAGGGCCCTCCACGAAATTCCGCATCCCATTCCGGCGACGAATGGACGAGTCCGGTCAAACGTCGCCATCGCCACTTTGAATCCCATTCCCTCAGTGCCGAGAATGCTCTCCTTTTTGACTCGGACATTATCAAATGTCACCATTCTTGTGTCCGACGCCCTTTGGCCCATGTTCTGCTCCTTCTTGCCGCGAATCACACCTTCGGCGTCACCATCGACAATGAACATGGTGAACGCTTGGCTCGACGGCGTTTTTGGGTCCGGCGCGGTTCTTGCTAGCGTCACAAAATATTTGGCTGGTCCCGCGCCGGTGATCCACATCTACAAAACCGCGAGAATCCAATTGGATTTGTTGAACATTCGAAACCTTTGTGCCATTGATAACGTACTCATCACCCTCTTTAACGGCTTTCGTCGTAATTCCGGCAACATTCGATCCAGCGACCGGCTCGGTGACCGCCAGCGCCGCCGTGCACGGCTCACTTGCAATCATTCCCATGTATTTCATTTTTTGCTCTTCGGTTCCGAAAATGTCAACGCTGGATAGCGGTAGAACGGCGCCACTCAACGCCAAACAAATTCCGGAGCATCCGAACGAGACCGCTTCTCCGACGATAATCTGATCGAGAAGCGACATTCCCAAACCGCCGTATTTTTCCGGAATATTCACATTCCAGACTCCCGCGTCAAACGCCTAAAGCACATCAAGTTTCTCAACGAATAACGCGCTTCGCCCAACTTTTTTTTTGAATTGCGTGTGGAAACTCTCCAGATTGGTCGTATTGTTTCTCAGCTGGAATAATCTCCTTGTTGACAAATTCCAAAACCGACGAGCGAAGCTGTTTCTGAGTATCCGAGAGCTCTGCAACATCATTACATATATATATGCATATAAGCATTTAAATGGTTGCGTACCAAAATGAAAACTTCTTCTCGCCACTTCAATCCGCGCAATTCTTAACAGAGTTCGAGACATTTATTCCTCGGTAATAAAGAGTAAAATTGGTCACATTACACGTTGTTTATTTATTAATACAAATTAATGATGGGGTATTTTATTTAGTAAAACATTCTATATCGGGAAGATCTATTTCAGAAATTCGTTATTTCATCAACAGTCATTGAAAATTCGGGCATTTGCGAATTCCAGTATTCGACGATTTCGGCAAGTTTCGGCTCTGCACAGCGTTTGAGGTAGTTTTTCACCACGTTTAATCCAGCATCTCTTCCGCCTTTCTCGACTTCGCTGGCATACATGCACTGCAATTCCTTGACAATGAGCGGAATGTCAATCTGCAAATCAAAGAATCAATTTCCATTAATTGAAAAATTAAGTTTAGTTATTGTCAAAGTAGCGCGACTAAAGAAAATTTTCTAAACTCCAAAAATTATTGCAGCGATCGTGGCGCAAAACAAAAATGTAGATTTAAGCATAAGGATATATATTTATTAGTAATGTGTGTTAATTCGTATTAAAGCACAAAACTTCTCGGGTGCGACGCTTACCACAAATCTTCCATTTTCCGAAAAGTTTTTCAATGACGATACTCTTGAGCTCGATTTATATTGTTCGCAATCATAAGTGTAAACCTAATACCTTACAATTTTGTCGTAAAAAATCTGATAAAAATTAACCTTCAAATCATAATTCGTTTCTTGTGTGGTATCTAAATGAAAATTGCTCTCGTCGCTGAAGCCATCATCTTCTGAAAAAAAGAAACACATAATAATGAAAAAAAAAACACGAATGTAAAGCAAAAAATTCACCGTTTCTGAATAATTCGTTAGCAAAATCGTTAATGGCTTGAGATGGCTTCAATTGCATTATCATTGTCGGATTTTCGAAAAAATCCTAAACTCAAACTGTCGTTAAAATAAAACTACAGTAGTTAATAATTACAGATAATTTCTGTTCATACACGAGGGAAACATTGTCTAACGCATTTTGATATCCTGCCAAAATCTCCCTGATAGCTTCAACCTGGAAATGAAAGAAAAGATTTAATGATAGTAGATTTTCTAAACCATTGGCAACTTTGAATACCATTCCTCAATGGAATTCGACTTTCCCAGTTCATTTGTTATCTAAAATTCACATTAAAATCATCGCTTATGAAAATTGCTCACCTCAGTTAATCGATTGTAGTCAAATTTTTTTGTCGAATGAACTTTCATTTTGGACATTTTCTTCGCAAAATCGTTAAAACTTTGCTCATGCTCCATTGTTGATATTTTTATCGCATAAAAATCAGCTCGCAAAATGCTATTCCGATGTGATTTGTGAATTTCGAACAACGCACAATTTGAACAGCTCACATGCTCCTTATTGAAAAACTCCTATCAAATGAGACGCATTCAAATTAGCAAACTGAGCTAACTTACATCGGGTGATTGGATGGAACGACTTTGGTGCAATGAGAAAGAGCAATCGGTATTTCGACAAATGTACAACTTGTCGCATTTGGCATAATCTCCACAATGACGGCATCTGTATTCTAATTGCTTCCAATTCTGCAACAAAATTATCAAATTACTAAGTAAGTAAGTATTGAAAGCCCCGCTATCTAAAAAAAATGTGAAAAAAAACGTTTGTGCAAAAGTCTCGAAAGGTTATCAGGTCTTTGGGTACAAAATATGTTCTTGCCACCCATTTACACAATCAAGTTCAAATATTGAGTGTGGGGCTATGAAATTGAATAGGGGTCGTTAAAAAAATTAAATACCAAGTTGGTACGAGTTCTAGAACGATCATGATTCGACACGGGCAACGTTTGGTCTTCAGCGGGAGAGAATCCACTGTCGCCTGGAAAAATCCAAGTGTCAATTATTTCCTGATCAATTTCTAGGAAATTTCAACGAATTTATAGATACTAATGCGGATTAGTGGTTCCGTAATCACTTTCATGCTAGTCTGAATACTTCATTTCGTCCGAAAAATTACGTTTAGAAAAGAAATATTGATATCAGCACACGAAGCTTTGTTTTGGTTTAAAAAATGTTCTGATCACTTCATAAACACAGACAATTTGCGAGACCTTGATGATTCATCGTTTGAGAGCCGAAAATGAATAGATGTGAGATTAATCACATAATTTCCGACTTTATAGCCTCCTTATTTCGTCTCATTTTTCGCGGGTTTATTGCAACACATAAAATTTGAAACGATGTCATCGCTATTTTTATGTGAAAATTAATTGGTTTTTAAATAATATTCGTTCATTTTACATTTCGCAATTGAAACTCCAAATGATTAACAAACACTTTTTCAATATCGTACTGACAAAAATTATTTACAATTCATGTCCTACCGCAAATTTTAATAAACCTAGACGGACTTTGTTCTAATCTCCTTCACACCTCTCGAGAATTTCTGACACCTCTAGTGTCCTTACACATCCAACTTCCAACACATGTGTTTCCCCTCAAAAAAGGAACGCCAAAAATAATTGCGCAACCGGTGTGTTCGGGAGCACGATTGCATATGTCGGATAGACGTTCGATAAGGTCGTTCGCTCACCTGTCCAATATCGAAAACCCGCTCATTATAAATGCATTGGCATATGTTTTTATGCTTATCAGAAAATTTTTATACCTTATCAGAAATTTACGAACCTGATAATCCCTTGTTTCGTGCGGATTTCATCTTACAAAGCGAGGAATTGAGGTCGTCGTTTACGTTAATTGCGGATATTTCGCCGTTGTCTTCACAGATTCTATAATGAGCTATTTTTGGTGATTCTTTCATTTTCATACATTTTCCTTTTTAGAAATCGTATTATTTGTTCCTGATTTGATTTGCGTGTATTTGTTTTGTGTTCAAGCCTTTAGAATTCATTTTTAAGCCTATTATCTGTCTAATTAGTTTAGGGAGACAACTCAATAACCATTTTGTTAAAATACATTATTTTTGAGAGCATAGATCATGCGAAATTCTAAATCTGCTTCTCACATTGAAATTTAAAATTTAATACTAATTTTTCCTACTTCCCTTTTTCACCTTAAAGGACAACATATGTCATTTAAGATAATGATTTTTCTTATCTAAACGGTTCGTAGGCGTTTTCACGACTATATTGTAAAGTGCGCTGTGTTTTCGTGGCTATTTCGTAAACCCTCTGATATATTCAAGTGTTCTTTTTTCTCGTGTGAATGTTTGCGTCTCACTCGTTCAAAAAAAATCAATCTTTTTTTGCGTCTTATTCTCTGATGAGCACGTCATGCGAGTTTTGGTTTCCAATTTTTTTAAATGTTTCGCAGACGGGGTCGATGCGAATGACAGCCGGTTGCGCAAAAAAAAGTGGGCCGCTGTTGGTTGAGATATGCGTGCCGACGCGCGAGCACACATACACCCTCTCACCGATTCTGTAGTCCTCTGTTTGTGCGGCCGCCGAAGCACCTCTTCAGTGGCCACACTCTTTACTCGCAATCTTTTTCTCTAGCGAAGGGCCCCCGCCGCGGCCGCAAAATCGAAACCGATCGATTGAGACGCGCCTGGCCTGCCCAGCCTCGCCTGGCCTCCTCCCGTCATCGCAACGCACTAAAATGGTTTGCGTGTCCTCGTAACTTGCTTAAATTTTAATCTACAATGATTTAGTTTTGCAATTGTCATCATTGACTCAGCGGGAGTAAACTGTCAAAATTTCAGAGAGATTCGCGGACGTTAAGCGGTAGAATCGCTGCACGCCGACGCATTATCGATTGATTTGTCGTGCGCGCGCGCGTTTGTGTGTGTGAGTGCGACGTAGACAAAACTACCAACCTGTGCTAGGATTATTGTCTTGTTCTTTTTTTGCAAGAAATTTGCTATCACTGTAACAATTCGTAGATTTCCGAGGACGACGCTGGAATATGAAACCATTTTAGTGCAAGACGGAAGTTGAAAACGGTCATATGGAAATCCGCGTAAATTCCGCAAGTGCTCATAATTGAATAAAAATCGAGTGATCGAAAAATAAACGGGCATTAACACAAAGCTTTGATTCAAAATGGAGAACATGTTTAAGGAAAAAATTGGAAAGTAACCGTACACGACTCCAAGACGAGACCTTTTTAAAAATTCGGCATGCACCTTTAATTTTAAATTTTATAGTCTCTGCGCATCATCGTTTCGTATACTCTCATTTTTTGGCGATTTCATTCCACGTTATAAATCTTATGATTTTCAAAATGCAAAATAAAAACGATTCTTACAGATGACTGAGCCGGTCAGTGCTCCTAAAGCTGAAAGGCCATGGGCAAGTCCGCGACAGGTAGTTTGACGATGCATTAAACTAGAAGACAAGTATTTTTATTAGGAGCCAGTTAAAGGAATTGTTCAACCACGAGTTTTGCCTCCGTTCGGAAAACCCACTCGCCACACAAATCGACTGGATTATATCTTGAATACAACTTTGAAAGAAGCTTGCAAGCACAAACATGTTTGGCCATTTCTCAAGCCAGTGGATGCTCTTCAACTCGGAATTCCGCACTATCATGAGCGGATTCAAAGACCCATGGACTTGAAAACTATTAAAAATCGCATCAAAAATATTTACTATTCTTCAGCGCAAGAGTGCATTGATGTTTGTTTTTTTTTAAGTTGCAAAGAATTTATATATTAACTTTAAGGACATTGAAACAGTTTTTCAAAATTGTTATGACTTCAACGGAAGCGAAGATGACGTAACGATCATGGCCCAAAACGTCCAAGCTGTTATTCGCAAAAGTCTCGAATCTCTGCCGTCCGAGGTTGTTTTGCAAATCGTCGGAACCTCTCATTATCATGCACTTGCAGGAGGTTCAAATCGAGTCCAATTTCGGCAAAAAGAAAAAGACGAAAGGCGGTGAGCTTTCGCGTCTGGCCGCCGGTTTAGAAGATAAAGAACGACGAAGAAAGGAGGGGAGCAGTGTGCGCGGTTCCGAGCCGCCGTCTGAATGTGGAAGCGAAGTACGTGACCTTAACGACGCGATTCCACCTGGCTTTTTATGTGTGACAACGTCAAACAATTTTTTCTTGCAGGCTTCAGTTGATCGCAAAATGAAGACGACGAAAAGAAAAGCGGATTCCGACGACGACGAGAAAATTGAGCCGATACGTCCACATAAGCGCGAAGCATCGATGAAGCGACCACCAGTGGTCCTTACCGGAAAACTCAAGGCATGTCAGAAGCTTCTTAATGAGTTTTACTCGAAGAAATACCTCGAAATCTCCTGGCCGTTTCACGAACCCGTCGATCCTGAAGCGCTTGGATTGCATGATTATCTAACGATTGTCAAGAAGCCTATGGATATGTCGACGATTAAAAAGAAGCTTGAATCCGGAGAGTATACGGAACCATCACAGTTCGCCGAAGATTACAGATTGGTAATATCGATTTTGCTGTATTTTTATTTACTAAGGCATGGTATTATAGATGTTAAACAACTGCCTTCTTTATAATCCGTCTGGTGATCCAATCAATGAACTCGGTCGGAAGTATTTGGCAATTTTCGAGCAGAAATGGAAAGATTTTGAAAAGTCTGATATGCCCGAGAAAGCGTCGAGCTCGGCGAGCGTTGCTTCCACGTCGACATCGCACTCGTCATCAAAAGCAGCAAAAGCTCCGAGCTCGACGCCGGCACCTTCTGTCGTAAAGCATGAAAAACCGGAGGTTCCGGAAGGCTCGAAAGCGAAAACCGAGGATAGTATGCGCTTGGAGAATGCGCTTTCCATGGTGAGTAGCTGATTAGGGCGTTTGTGGTCTCAAAACGAATTTCACCATTTTTTTTTATTTGTGTTTCCCTCTCCCCACCCCATCTCCATTTTCATTAATTAATTTATTTTTGTCATATTTTTGATGTGTAATTATAACTGTTTTATCTTCCTATGTCGTCCATTCACAAACACGCGCTTACAAACGCAAACAATTCCACCAACTGTTTCTACGGTTTTCCTTAATAATTTTGTGTATGTAATTTGTCGAATTGTTTTTTTGTTTCGTATAAGTAGTTTATTTATCAATAATCAACATAAGTTATAAAGCTTTATTCGTTTTGAGACCACGCATTTTCTATGTTCAAAACGCGTCAGTTTGGCAAATTGCAGGTCCGCGAGCGTGAAACAAAATTGAAAGCCGATCTGCGCGCAGTTGAGGAAATCAAACATAAATTGATTAGCATAAAAAAGGAGGGCACTGTGGCGCCGGATCAGCTGCTCGTCACCGCGCGTCTCATTTGCCAGCCGACGTCGTCGGTGCCAATCGCCAACACGAAATTTATTGAGGATAATGGAAAACAGACGGTGAGAGAGAAAGAGAGAGAGAGAGAGGGAGGGAAACCCCGTAATTATTCAGCAAAAACGCTCATCGAATTTGTAAGCCAATCTCATTTGTTTTAAGAATGGCAAAAGCAAACTCAACAACAATTTCGCGTACGAATTTGATTCGGATAGCGAGGAGGCGAAGCGCGAGATGACCTATGAAGACAAACGGCATCTCAGCCTACTCATTAATCGTTTGCCGCCTGAGCATCTCAACACGATTGTCTCGATCATCGAGCGACGCGAGCAATTGGTATGACAAAAAAAAAGAGTGAATAGATTATTAATCAGTGTCTTTTGTTTTTTTTTGCAGCCTCGTCAAGGCGATGATAGCGAGATTGAAATTGACTTTGAGGCCCTCGGCACGTTGGCGCTTCGCGAAATGGACGCGTTTGCGCGGTACATTCTGAAGACGCCGAAAACGTTGTCAAGCGGACACAAACTGAAAAAGGAGATTGTGACGCCTGAAAAGCAGCCGATGCGCGAGACGAACTCGAACATGACGCCGACGGCGGGTCTTGTTGCGCCGGCTGCTCCGGCGGCACCCGTAGTGCCGACGACGGCAGCGCCAACCACTGCGACAACTTCGTCTTCGGCGGCGACGGTGCCTCCAACACCGTCGTCGATAAGTATGAAAGAGGCGCCGGCTCCAACTGCACTTCCTGTTCCAGTGTCCGTTCCAACATCAGCTCCAGCTCCGAATTCTGCGCCGACACTTTCGGCCGCGTCGGCGGTGCCCCCGGCACAACCAGTGGACAAAAAGAGTTAGTTGAGAATATTATTGGAACCGCTCATTGAATTTCATTGCATGCTTTAACTCACTTCCTCACCCCTTTTTTGTTTGCTTAGCACGAATTTCAGAGCGTAGGACGAAGTATCGGCGAATCGATGAGACGACGAGCTCCGAGGCGCTTCAAGAGCATATTCAGAATGAAATCGAGCGACTGAACAAATGCATTATCAAGAAAACGTCTGCGCGGGCTTTTCTAAACAATCGGCCGTCGGTTTTGTTGAAGCGAATTGCGAGCAACTCGGAAAAAATAGTACGAAAGAAGCCGAAAGTGAATGTTGAGCGATTTGTTGTTGAAGATGAGCATGTCGAATTCAACATAGGTGTGAAAACGGGGAGACCTGATTACTAATTTTTTGTGTTTTGCACTAAACCATCACGATTTTTCCATGCATGTTTGCACTTTTAATATTGCACTCCGTTGGGGGGAATTTGTCGGCGAGTTCGATTCACAAAACGATCTCTTTCGATTTTTAGAACGTCCATTTGATATGTCGGAATCGTCGGATAGCGATAGCGGAAAAAAGGCGCCGGTGAAAAATCGACGAAGGGCCGAATCAGGCTCTTCTTCCTCGTCCAGCGATGATTCGGATGATGACGAGTTTCAAGGTTGGTTTGACTTTGTCAAATTGGAAGTGTCGTAAATTTTTAATACGTCATTGACTGATAGACAATAAAATTGGAAAATGAATAATTGTTAACGGTTTGCAGGTGCCGCGCAGAACCGTAAAGGTGGTATGCCGCCGACGCAATGGGCTCCGAATCGATTAGGCGGAATGGGCGGACAGCCGCCGACGGCGCGCGTGCCTCCCGCAATGCAGCAGAGCTCAAACTCGAAGACGTCATCGTCGTCGTCGTCATCTCAAGCACAGCGTGAGCCTTTCTCGTTTTGAAAATGTGTACACCGTGTTTGTTTCTTTTTCTTTTCTTTTTTTTTGAAAGTGGCCGGTTTTTTTGTCTAAATACTTATATATTTTTTGCATTTCTACTAATTCTCTTTAAACAAATTCCTGTGAATTTAACAAATTGAAACGAAGTAATAACGAGGTATTAAAGAATACAGTGAAACAATTTTTTACCACAAAATTTTCCATTAAATCTCACCAAAAATTCGATATATATTGTTTTTCCTCGATATTTTTTTCGGTATTGTTCTGTATTTTTGCTTGATTATTTATGCTTTTTTGCTCGTCAAAATGAGACATTTTGTATAGTTGGAATGAATTATATAATTGGTTTCTTTTTAAAGAATTATATTTTTCTGTTTGGAATATCGTCGTCACCACATGCACTCTCTTCCGTTTTTTTCACATTATAAATGCATAAGATATTTTTCTGCGAAATCGTTTTTGAGTGGATTTAATGGAAAATTTGCAGATATTTTAAACGAATCGTTGTAATTCATAAAAATTTCTTGATTTTTTTCCAGCGGGTTACAAACCAAACACGGGTGCAACTGCCGCTGCGTCGACGGCGAAATCCCGGAATTTCGGAAGTTCCAATGCTAGTGAGTGTTTTGCTTTGAAGCTGCTTGAATTATTTTCGGTTTGTCTGTTAAGGTAAAACTATTTTGGATACTCTTCTTCCGGAGACCAGCGGCGAACCTTCAAGGAATGGAACTTATCCAAAGGTAAAGTGATTTTTGATTTTCTTTGCATGGGGCAATCTCTGGATTGAATTATAATTTTTATATTTATTAATATAATTATAATATATTTAATTAAAAAGGCAAAGAAAAAAATGAATATCTTCAGAATGAGACACCGAGACCGAGTGAAACGTATCGTTCTCCAGCACCTACAGCCAACCCTGAAGTATTATCATTTTAAGTGTCTAAACTCATTGTCTTTCAATTTTTAGGAGGACGAAAGCGAAGCTGCTCGAATTGAACGCCTTCGAACTGAGGTGAATATATTCGAAAATTGAGTTGTATATAAATAATTGAATTTATAGGCTCGTCTCGCTCGTCAGCGAGAAGATGAAAACTCAATGTCTCTCACAAATCAAATGGAAATGATGCACAACTTTGAGTTTGACAATCATTACTAAAAGAGATTTGTGTCTTAACCATATTATATATTATAATATTATTTAGTTTTAGTTTATTATGCATCATCATATACTGTTTATTGTTCGGGTCACATCATCACCCAATTTTCGAAAATATTTGCCGAAACGGTCGTGTTCTTTGTTTTTTCTTACGTCTTTTTTGTCTTTATAACAATTTTTTAAACAAACTTGTATGATTAATATCAGTTATATTCTTCACTCCAACCTCAACCCGATGGCTTTATTATGTGTTCCAAAATTAAATTTTTTTCTTGATTAATTTTACTGCGACACATATTATTATTTTTTGGTGTTGAATAAAATCTTCTATTTGTTTATTCAAGTAGATTTATACTAATAATCGAAATAACTGGTAACGTTTTTCACGAAAGTGGGTTTCGCTTGAATGCTGGGGCTTGAAATTTTCGAAATCACTGATGTGACCGAGATTATGGTGGCTAATGTTGGTGTCAAATCGTCGGTGGAGTTATTATTATCCATTAATGAAGGGGATGTGTTATTACTTGATGAAAGACTTAAAGGTGTTGCTAGAGATTCATTCTTATGGGCTTCCATGATAGTGGTAGTAGTAGCCGAATTGGTGGACAAATTTACAATCGTCACTTGAGTTCTTGTCGAACTTGCCTTCGTCATTATTGTCGGCGATTGAGCAGTGCCAGAAGAATCCGAAGACGTCGACGGCTTCATTGTTGTAGAATTCGTTGACGCCTGACCAGTAGTCGTCATTGTGGACTTTGATGAAGACTGGGTAGTTGAATAATTCAAAGTCGTTGAAGTCTTCGTTATTGTAGTTTGCGCATTTGTTGAGGGCTGACCAGCAGTGGTCGACGTGGACATCGTTGAAGCGGTTGCGCTCGAAGGCGTCCTTCGATTCTTCACATCTTTCTCAGACCAAATATAGCATAGCGGTTGATCAAGGGCAGATCGCGGCGAGGTTGTATAAGTCGCTGAAAACGATCGCGATACAAGTTTGAAAAATTCTCATCGCATTCCCCCTACGCAATTCTCCTTTCGGATATTTGTATAATGGAAGTGTGGCGCCGCACTCCCCCTGATATTGCGCACAAAGGAACGGCTCATCGGCGCTCGAATTGAACAGATTGGTGAATTTGTGCACGTGCGTCGTCAGCTCATGATTGATAAACGCTAAACCATTGTTTTCCTTAGATTAAACAACGTGCGACAAACAGTTTGGATGGATTTCAACTTCCGGCTTTAATCGAACCATGCAAGTGCATTTCTTATGCGCCTTGATGTTCAAAACATAACCAAGAGTTTTCTCACGATCATAGTCGTCGACTTCCGAACGAGTTGTGTAATAATAATCATATTGTAAACCTTATTAAATAATTATATAAACGAAATTGTGAACGAATATTCAAATTACCGGAAAGGCCATTGACATGCTCATAGAGCTCCATAAAATCATCGAGGTCAACGGGCGCCTGAACGTCGTACTTCTTCCCGCAGCCCATATCCTTTTCTTGAACGGCATGAGTCGACCATCCATAACATACATCGCCTTCATCAATGGTGTAATCTTGGAAATTGAAGCTTTTGTCAAGAAGCGTTGTGTGGACTGAATATTGAAAATTCTATTATGTCCTTTTGTTTTCAAAGATGCTTACAGAATTTCCCTTCCGATTGTAATCGTCGACGAAGAATGGGAACATCGGCACCGCACCATCCGAACACGGGGGCACAATAGAAGTCTGTCGTGCCAACAGAACTGAATTTTCGAAAATGATGGGTTTCTTAAAATATCCACCCCTTACATATAGTCTAAAAACTGTTCCTCTCTCGCGTAAAATAGTGAGAATGAATTATGATCTTCAAAAAAAAAACAACATAAATAAATAATTTAAGAATTTTTGAATGAAATTACAGAAACTGGGAGAATAAAATTTGTTTAGTTTGACCAAACAATGCGTGCGACATTGATTATTCGGGCTCTTCAGTAATTTGAAAGACTTCGAAATCACGTCGTAATTTTCACCCGGTGACTCTTTGCCGATTATTGTGTTCAGAATGTCTTCTGTGTATACGGTACTGTATAATCGATACAAGTCTGAACCGCGAAAAGCTGAGATTCTCGTTTATATTTTGTCGACATACCAAAATGCGATTCCTTCGTTGGCCGAACACCACAGCTTTCGGCTTGGTGGAGCAAGAAGAAAATCACGATTCTCAACGTCAGCATTGTCGGAATGACAAACGAACAGTGAAAAGTTTCACGTCAATATTTTTTAATGAATAAAAATTTTTTGAACTCCTAATTCTCCGACAGTATAGAATTACATGCAGGGAAATCGCAATTCAAGCCCCGCCCCCAAAGGCAAGCGCGCGCTACCGCAAGACAGCGTCGATCGGGAAAGCGCGTCACATTCCGCGATCAGAGAGTGGGTGAACATGAGAGAATCGACGGTGAGTTGGCGTCAATTTGCAGTTCGCTTCGACAAACGCGCTCTACTGCAAGCTTTGCACCGACACGAATGGCACTATAAAAGGCCGGCGGATTCGCAATTTCGTCAGTTCTCGCAGCTCCTCGAGTTGCGGGAAGCCCGCCTATCTTGCGGGCTCCGCGTGTCCCGCATAACCTGCGGGCTCCACGTGCCCCCGCATAATATGCGAGCTCCACGTGCCCCCGCATAACCTGCGGGCTCCGCGTGCCTCGCATATCCTGGCGAGCTCGCCGTGGCCAAGGATCCACACGGTATGTCACATTCATCGCAATCCTTCTTCTCAATTCCTCTTATTGCAGATCCGATGAGAGCCACAGTCGTTGCTCATTCGAGCTCTTCCGATGTGCTATGTTGAAAGTGTCGGGGATTCTCGACTGGTGCGACTCCGTTGGCCAGTACTAACCCTACTGCAGTGTCGCGTCCAGGCTGATGTTAAACCCACATTGCATGAGTAGACATAGCACGTGAAGAGGAGTAAGAAAGAGAAATGGCGAAAGGTCGACGTTGCCCGGGGCGTCGAGCAGAGCGCGGAAGCGAATTCGAATGATATAGATCAAGCCGCAATCCATCAATATAACTCGAATCATTGCAGAGATCTCGGATCACATGGATCGAATCGAAGGCGCCGCCTCGAAGAAGCGACGAGGAAGGACAATCACGTGGGGGTATGTGGTAATTTTTGGCCCGGGCCTAATTATTTTTTATTATTTTTTATTATTTTTTATTTTTATTACTATTACTACTATTATTCCCCTTTACCGGTCGTACCACTTACGACCTTCCCCTCTCTATCCCACCACTTGGGATTCCCCCTTCTCCTCTCCGCCGTACAGTCGTACCACTTACGTCTGTACTTCCTCCCGGTCCTACCTTTTGGACCAACTCTCTCTTCTCTTCGGGGAAAGCCGGCTTCCCCATTCTTCTTCCAGCCATACCACTTATGGCTGTCACTTGCACCACTATCACTTCACTCTATCAGTCGACTGATTCTCTCTCTCTCTCTGCCGTACCACTTGCGGCTTCCACCCTCTATATCCCACCACTTGGGATTCTCTCTCTCTCTCGGTCCTACCGTTTGGGACCAACCATCGCTTCTTTTTTTTTGGGGGGGAAAGTCGTACCACTTACGGCTATGCCAGTCATTCCACTAATGATTGGCTTCCCCCCTTCCGTATTGTATTATTGTTTTACTTCAAGTTTTCAGGTTTTTAGGTATTTAGGTATCGTCGCTGCCGCCGTCTTCTCTCACTCCTCTTTCTTTTTTAGATCCTTCGGGATCGGGCGATGATCCACTTCAGGTGTTCTGCCTGAAGTTGGGGAGCTTCCTCTTCACGTACCGAGCCTCTCCGTGGCGAAGAGGATCAACTGACAATGCCCTGCTGGGGCTTCGTCAGGCTAATCGGTACACCGTCTCACGCAGGTCGAGGATTCTCTTCCTCGTACCGGGCGGCTTCTCTGCGATCTAGCAAATCATAGAGATGTATTCAGAGACAATCCAATGCTTCCGAATTCCAACGGTCCTCTTAAGGGCTGTTATGAGTAAAAATAAAGATTTTTCTAATAAGGTTTTTTTTAATCCGCTGCGAAAATCAAAAAGAAATTAGTTCAACCTCAAATTTGAAAAATGTGCAAAAGAAAATAGTGAATCATGTTCCAAAATAAAACATTTTTAAAAATTTGGTTGCAAATATTTTGCAGATATTTTTCGGTGCCCATTTGGCATTAACCAACTTTTGAAAGAAACTAGTTGTCAAGCAAATTAACTATATTCAAATGCAATTAAAAATATTTCATTAGTCATCACATTCGTCTTCTTCTTCTTCAGGAGTCGTGCTAGATTCAATTGATGACGTTGTGCTTGGCTCTTCCGATGATGTTGTGCTAGGCTCTTCCGATGATGTTGTGCTAGGCTCTTCGGATGGTGTTGTGCCTTCCACATCTGAAGGAGCTGACTTGTCCACCTTCCATCCATAGCAAATTGGGCTGTCTTCGCGGGTATAGCCATCCACAGTCCCATTGGTAATTGTGTAGGTGTGATCTGAAAATGTAAACATCTGAATTCGTCCATAAGATTCAAAAGTACATAGATGAATGTTTAATAAACGGTAATGCCGATAGATTGGCACCGTGGCTCCACACTTCTTCTCGACAGCGCAGAAGAATGGCTTCTCACCGACTTTGCTGCAAGTGTCAATTCTGAATATTTGCAATCTTCTAGAATCTAACTTACACAAATCCATTAGCCCGATCATTTTTGGCATCCAGAAGCATTGAATTCTTTTCTGAAACAAATAATTGCATATGGGTGCTCGTTTGCTTTAAATTACCGTCAACCAGGTTCTCAGCAACGAAGACTTTAATATTTTTCAAGCATTCAGAGCATTTTCCAATTTGATGCGACGCCAACTGAAAAGTTGCCAGCTTATTTCCGCTAGCCTTATCATTCGTTTCAATATCCGAAGTGTTAATTTTTGCGTCGACAACGTATACGGAGACATCCACTGAAACATCGTTTAATCAATCAATCTTCGTCCTATCCATATCCATATCAGACCTATAGGATCATTTCCGAGCAATGTCGAATCATCGCAGCTGCATTCAATTCCAGACACGCAGAATATAAGAAAAATGAAGGCGGTGGATTTCATAGCGGATTTGATTGGCAGCGTGTCGAAACGTGCTTATATTTATAACAAATGTGGTCGTAAATTGTCGAATTCGATTGTAAAGGGTGAGAATTTTGGCGAAAATTTTGAAAAAAGATGAGACGGTAAAGGCGCATTTTTTCCATGGAATAAAAATGAGATGTTTCGACACTTGTTGCGAATAGTAATTGGTACGTCCATGTGCGTTTCAAATGGTCCCTGGCGGAATTTTTCTGCCGATTGCGGGTACCCCTGCAATTAAATTATCATCTCTTTATAAATCATTTGTACATATCTTTACGGTTCAAATAGTTCAATAATATATTAAATTCGCAAAACAACGAGGACCCAATGAAATTAAATTCGGCGAGTTTGATTCGCAGGTTGACCGTAGTACGGTACCCGAATTCCCACTGTTCAAGTTTTGAATTATCGTCTGGAAAAAGTCAAGCTTGTAGCGGACACACATCGCGCCCGACTAAAATTATTCGAATGTCCAGCTTCGAAGCAACACGCCTGGAAAAAATACGATTGCCCGCAAATTCCCAGTGTGCTCGTTTTTTTTGACTATCAATGTTTCAAGAAAAAAATTTTCACAATTCAACCTATTCAGCTTTATCTATACATGACGATTTTCAAAGGTTTTATAATTACTGTTTCCAAAATGTTTGAAATATTTTGTTTGACAAATTCTGACTAGGAGAAATCTCAATATTTTAAAAATATTTAAAATCGCAACAATATGACCTTAAGCGTCCTAAATAAGGTGTGAAGCGTGAGAACAGAAAGAAAAAATTATTGATCATAGCGACGTCGAACGAATGGATCGTTGATTTGAACACAGCAAACAAGAATTTTGGGGGTGGTGATTACACAAGTTTGTGTTTATAAAATCGAAAAGTTTGATTGGTTTCTGAATTTTCAAAAAATAAGTTTGGCTTGATTGGCTTTTTAGAATCTGTAAAATATTTTAAATTACAACCTTATAATTAAAAAATTCATCTTATTCTCACGTCTTCTGAAATTACTCGAAATCTTTTATTCTAGATTTTTTAATTTTCATAGAAGATGTTGCATTAGAAAAAAAAATTATATTTGAATCGTGTCATAAAGATTCTGAAAGTGAGATACAAAACAGTTAATGGTGAGAATGTGAAGAAAAATATCGATTTGTGATGGTTTGTGATATTTAGGTTTTTTGTTGAAAAATAGGGCCAATGGAAAACGACAAAATAGAATCAGATGGGTGAAAATGCGTGGAGAGACACCAGGGCTGTGCGGCAATCGGAATTTTCGGCAATTCGGCAAGTTGCCGAAAATAAAAATTTCGGCTATTAAACGTTTTCAATGATAATTCGAAATATAAATACCGAATTTTCACGGTATCCCAAATTATTCAATGGACATTGATTTTTGTTTCGCCCATTTTTTTATATCAAATTGCCGAAAATCATAATTTCGGTAATCCGGCAATTCGGCAATTTGCCGATCGAATGTTCTCTTCGGCAATTCGGCAATTTCAAATCCTGAGACACCCAATCTTCAATTGATGTTTTTTTCACAAGCTTGCATATCAATGAAATTTTAATGCGAAATGTAGAATAGAAAAAATAAAAAATAAATTATATATATAATAATTAAGATTCATAAATAATAAAAATTAAAGGCTCATAACGAAAAAAAAATTCTCCCGTTAATCATCAACCATATGCCAAACTACAGTATACATTAAAGGCGCATTCCAAAATTTGTTATTTTCGCGTAAATATTTGAGACTGAAGTTGACCAAATTTATTGAATTTTCCGAAATTTGCCTGTTTGCGACAATAAGAGATCAAAACAAAAACGCAATTTTCTTTTTGAAATATTTCTAGCCGATCCGTCGACCTTGATAGTATCGTAGTGTACAACAAAAAATCTTCATCATGTGTTTCGTCGCCGCCAGCAAGCAATCAATAAACAAGGAGAAAAACAGAACGACGCCAATAACAAAACTTATTTTTTCGACAATTTCTGCAGTTTCAGTATCAAAATGACAACAAGCAGCACGTCCGGAAAGGTTTTCTCGCAATGTTTTGTTTCCTCGTAAAAAAATTTCTATTCAGATTTTCCTCCATCATTTTCGACGTGGTCCTCTGCGCCGCTCTTCTCGTCTCCCTTATTTACTATTATAGTAATGGAAGACAATTTTCGACCCATTATTTAGTGGGCTTCTGCGCGTTTTTCATTCTTTTCGCCCTATTTCTTATCGCCATCGTCTATCTTTTTGCCACCGAGAAGCGAAGAGCCGTTCTGTTCGCCGTTGTAATCACGGTATAGCGGGGTTAAAAAGCGGCTTCCAGAGTTTTTCGCTGCAAGACCTTTTATTACGCGTCGCAGTTCACGTTTAATTCCTTTAAAATAACTGCTGTACGCGGGTAGATTTACGCACCTGCGCCTTGAAAAGGTCTCGCAACGCGTGAACGCTTATTTCGTTGTTTTCACATGAGTTTGGCATTTGTTGGAGTTTCTAACGATATTCGATTAAAAAATTATCCAAATGGTCCATAAAATTTGAAATAACCTGTTAGTCGGTGCGAGACCATTTCAAAAGACGCATTCCCGTAAATCTACCCGCGTACAGCAGTCGCCGGACGCCGACTATATAAGTTCGGTAGCCGTTTTTTTTTTGACGATGGGGGGGGGGGAAACGTTTTTGCGACATGACCATTTATCGAATTCAAGATCGCCCGCTTCTTGTCGGCTATCGTCGTGGTCATCGCCTGGTTGGCCGATTATAATGGTCCGCAGGGCGAAAAGGACGAAAACGATCCGTACGAATGGATTTCAAGTGAGCTCTTTGAGTTATAAATCACACTTTTTTTTCTTGTTTCGACCTCACCGATATTCGTTTTCAACTTCCGGGTTGTCTCCACTTTACACTATAAAAAAAACTCATTGTCAGTCTGCTATATTGATTAGAAACAATTTCAAATGAAAAGCAGCTTCAAAATTTCATTGACGGTTTGTGTAGGTTCACGCGCCTTTAAATTGGTCTCACCACGGTTAATGTGATTTTTTGCATTTCAACTGATTTTTTCACTTTTCGAATTCAAACGATTGAAAGGAGGGCGTGGCTGAAAGGGGACGCGCCTACAATAAAAAATTTGTAATCGTTCAATTTTTTCAGACCGCAAACCAATACTGTTCGCGTTCACCGCAATTTACGTGCCAATTTTCATTGTTCAACTATTCGTCTTGAATCGCATTTACACAAAACGAACGCAAATTAAATTTTCTCAAGTTTATTAATTATAAAGTGTGAAAAAATAATAATAAAGAAGAAAAAAAAAGAAAAACAATAATATATTACACGTTGCGGTGACAAACATAAGAAGAAGAAGAAAAAAAGAAAAACGATGCATGTGGTGGGGTGTTGGGTGTGATTGGAAGTGCCTAAACAGAAACAAATATTTCAAAGGGACACACACAAAAAAATGGGCAGAGGAACATCATTGTTGAGGCACGGACAGAGAACAAATATTTTCAATTTATAAAGCTATTCTTTTTTGCAGACTTGTGACTAGGCGCTTTTAAAGTATCGAAGTTCGAGATAATAAAGTACTTTGGTGTGGGCGTGACGAGAAGGGGTTGGTTATTGATGAAATAAATAGGTGAATAAGAATATGAATGAATGACAAACACTTTTCAGAAAAATGCAATTCTTTTTTCTTTGGGATCACTAGAGGCAAGGGGGTTTCGGGTGGGAAGGGTGTCGAGGGTGTTGGACAAGTAGTACCGTTCTGGTACACGAGAGATAGAGGGGGGGGGGGGCAATAAGCAATTTAAAGAAAAAATGCATACAACTTCCATTATAAATATCACAAAATGCTTGAGCTCTTCCGATTCGCTCATCGACGAGAATGAGACGATGACGACGTCGCATCGGAAAAAAACACAAATTTCGTTAATATGAGCCGAGAAATACTTTGTAAAACTTGTGGGCGCGGGGGGGGGGGTTGAGAGACAAGACAAGCGAGAAATCATGTGCTTCCCTGAGGAGACACAAAAAAAACTTACGATAATATAAAGGAATAAAGAAAACAACAAAAAAGGAACTATTCAGCACATAATGGGTGTTTTCGGATAACTCACTGGTTTCGTTTTGCAAATTGGTACAAGATTGGTTCTTATTGTTTGGAGATGAGACGAAGAAGGTTCCTTCTTTTCGGCAAGCTAGAGCAGCTCGTACTGTCGGAGGTGAATGCGTTGGATGATGTCTCGGCAGTCGTTGAACACCCGTCGAATGTTTTCGGTATCGACAGCGCAGGTGAAATGGGGATAACAGTGGTGACGGCCGTCGCCGGCTGCGGTTGAAATTCTCTGCAAAAAGAAACACATTTTGTGAATGAATTGAGCTACGCGGCAATTCGTCAGCGGTTGCTTTTAGTATAACCAAATGAGGTGCCGTTGTTCGACCCAAAACTATTATATACTTCCAGTACGACACTCCAATTACACATCGCCCTCATTTCAGCGTTCCGGGCTAAATCATAGAGAAATTTTGTTTCGACTGATAGAATTTTTCCGCTATTTGTCTAAAAATCTTTCAAGGGTCATCCCAAGCCAAAAAGGGCCCGCAAAGTGTTGCCCCGATCGAAAAAAAAAATAACGTTTCTTATATTCCAACGAAATTTTGCTGAAACAAATGTGCATAATGTCACATGCCCCTTTAAATTCTAAGAGATTAATACATTAATGGACCTAATCATGAAATCATGAACAAAATTACAATTAATGTGTTTTTTTTTTACATCACTGCATTGGAAAAATATGTAATATATTTTTTACTGCACGAATATACTCATAATACTCAATTTTCTCATTTTAGATTAAAAATTCCCTCCCGAAATTTCATATATTCAAGCAAGAACTTTGATTACTTTTTTCATATTTGCCTAGTGTTCTAGATTTGTTGGAATTATTCAATTTAGTAGTACATATTTACGTCGAAAACGCAATTAGGTACCTAATTTTCGCGGTATATTGAAAATAAAGTAAGATGAAATGGGATTAATAGACTTTTGCACGTACAAGAGTTAAACTTTTGGCGTATCACGCATAAATTAATCGAGTTGAAGCGAATCAATTCTTTCAACACACATTTTTTTTGTAATTGGCGAAATTGTCAAATTGGTGGCAATTTCTCCACTCTCATTTTCAAATAGCTCCCGTGGCTCAATCCATTCGAAAACAATATTGTGTCCTCAATTCGAATCCGAGAAAAGTTCAATTTGGCAGATTGAGTCCCAATAAAATCGACTCAGAGTGTATTAAATATCGCGCCAACTGGAATTTCGGCGAGCAACCATTTTCATTTTTTTACATTCAGGCTCTTGCAGGTGCTCGATTCGATTTTGGCAAGAACAAAAAGAAAATTACCAGGAATTCTCCACGAATGAAGTATTTGGCGCGAACAACGTCCTTGTCGTCTCCATTCTCATAGACAGCGTCGTTTGGTAATTGATAATTGGCGAATTCAGGAAAAAATGATTCGAGCAAATATCGCTTGGCTTTGATTTTCTCCGCTAATAAATCCTGAAATTGAGAATTAAAGAAAAACCATTAAGAAAAATAAGAGAATATACCTGTTTGTTCAAAAACAAAATAACAGAGATGGTTTTCAGCCATCGGTTGTTCCAAATGTTTTTAAACAGGGAAAGGGATTCGCGTAATCTGAAAATGAAAGAGCTTGGTGTTTGCGGACAGATGCATTTTAATCGACGAAAAGAAGAAAAATCGATATTTCAAATACTGCCCTATTCAATTTTATTTCTTCCTTTTTTGTAATTTTCTGATATATTTCAAAACGTACCTATTTTGCGTCGCATCTTCCCACAAAACTAAATTATATGAGGACGAAGCGCAAACGAAAATAATTGCTGTAACATCGTTGAAGCACTGTATCCATTTCCTCCGCTCGTCTCGTTGGCCACCCACATCAAACATGCTAGAAAAACAATATTTTAGATTTCCTTTTTAAAAATTATCGAAATTTAATTTTAATGTAGCTTTGAATAAATGAAAACATTTCTTTCTGATAATCAAAAAATAAGGAATGAAAGTGTCTTTCAAAACAAAATATACTCATAAAAAATAATTAACTAGCTTTTAAATCAAGTTTTTTTTTAAATGTTTTATACTACGTAATAAATACAAATCAACTTACTGGAATCTGACTTTATCAACTTCAAACTTGGTTTCAAAAATACCGGTGGTCATGACACGACATCGGAGAATATCCTACAAACCAGTGTAAGCCCCATTGAATAAGAAAAACAAAAACATACTTGTTCGGTTGGATCGTAGTTTGGTTGTCGTACTTCTTCAATTTTATCAAGGAAACTAAAAAAAGTTGTAAATTAGCAAATTTCAGAACAAAAAACTTACTATTTAGCACAATCTATCAATTGATATTCACTACTTCTCTCGTAACAAGTCAAAACACCTTTATCACACCAGCATTTAATAACATGGTCGTAAAATTCCTGAAAAAAATTAAATCCAATGAATTTCATTTCTCTTTTTTTTCATATGATCGTGAACGAACGATTCTAGGTGCCCTTAATTTTTATTTTAACAATCATAGTGGGGAGAATGGATAATACTTTTTTAAATATAAATGTGTGGTTATTAACAAGAGTGCAAATTGACAGACTCTGAATAAATTCTACTTTACGGGCCTATTTAATTGACAGTCTATGCGATTCAAAATTTTTAAATTCGTCCGTACACGACTATAATTAAGTCCAATATATTTTTTTATTGAATAATTCAAAAGATCACACTTGCAAAACCCAATGTTTTTTTTTTCTATTATTCTTTATCTTCGTTTTTCCCAAAACTGTAATGTTTTCCATTTTTTTTCTTGTATTTTGACAACAATTTTCTCGTCTCGCTGACTGTTGCTGACCTGCGGATAGTTTTCGTCGGGATCATGTGTAACGCGGAGAATGTAATCGCGGCTAATTGCGGTGCTCGGGTCGTCAAGAGACACTTTCGGATCGATTTCGTCCATCGCCCTCAAGATTACCTGCAATCATCGACAATTCATCGTCAATTCGCCCACAACATCATCTTTTTTTCTCGTTTTCTCGACGCCCTCCTCAATTTTCCCTCTCATCCTTTGCGACGCGTCGACTTTTCTCAACACCACCTAATTATACCGTTTTAAAAATCTTCTCGTAGAGACGGGCGGTCCGAGTGAAATGTGCAATTTTGTGATAGTTGTGGAATGTAAAAACCATCAATAACAAAAAATGTGGATTTCGCGCCGAAATTTTGACTGTTAGTTTCCCGTCATCTAGCCTCTCCCAACTTAAGGATATCGAGAGGGGTTTGGAACATTTGTATGCATTATATGGTGCGAAAACCGATAAGCAGGCTCGTTCTAAAAATAGCCTGCCTAGTGGTCTCCTTCTCTTTAGCCTCGAAAGAAATCGCTGTGACATGGAATGAATGAAGAGAGAGAGAGGGAGAGAGAGGAGGAATGATGGAGAAAGAGAAGCAGGAGAAGCGGTTTTAACCCCCCTAAAAACCGAAAGCAGCAAAAAAGACAACAAAAAAGTTTGCAATGGTGTTTTTTGTGGAAAAATTAATCCCAACAATATGATCTGGGGGGATGGAGTGCGGATCGACAGTTTTCAGAAATCAACGGACCTGCATGGCGTCGCGCACGTTCAGCCGAATGTCCTTGATTTTTTCCATTTTCTCGGCTTCATTGAATCCATTGATATGCAGAATCCTCATCTGCTTCACAATTGTACTCTTTCCACTCTCTCCGGCGCCAAGTAGAAGCAGCCGATGAGTCGCACGCATCACCTACAAATAGCTTCAGTGAGCCTCAATGTGTGTGTGTGTTACACATTTCGCAACGGGGATCTTTTATTTTTGGGTCGAAAATTCACATTATCATTATTATCTAAAAAAATATCGACGCCAAAATGTCTATTTTGAAGCAATTAACCGAAAAAGAAGACCGCGATGCTAATTGATAAAAGGGCAACGATGAAAATGATTAATAAAAAAATTAATTAGCATAATTTGTTTCTTTTACCTGTTTATCTTTAGCCAACTGCTCTTCGATTTGCTTGTTGACCTTGCGCGCCTCGCGCCCTTCGGCATCGGCGCCCGCGCCGACGCACCCCATAAGGCGCATACTGACGCAGTGTCGTCGTCGTCCGTCGGCAGTTGAGGTTCAAACACTTCCGTGCGGCCAACAACAGACGAATAGTAATGAATAGTAATGGTTTAGACAGTTGAACAACGCTTGGTTGCCGCCACTATCCGAAGGGGGGTTTTGTGCGTTTAGCTGGCTGTTTCCCGAAATCGAGGTGATGATGATGAAGACGCGCCGACGCAACAACAACAACCAACAACAACTCGGCGGCTCGCAGTGCTGCTGATGATGATGATGATGATCGGAAGGTGGTGGCGCCGCCGCCGCAAATGGTGATGGTGAGGTGGGGAGTGTTTTGTTGGGGGAGGACGTTCGCAATCGGATCAGACGCACGTCGAATCGTGTTCGTCGTCCGCCGTTGTCGTTGTTGTAGCACAGACAAGTATGCAAACCCGCGAGATGGCGAGACGGCAGACACGCACACACAAACTGCAGTGGTGCCCCCCGTGAGTGCTAGTTGCCAGCCACAAGCTCCCTTATTCTGCTCGCCTAGCCGCGCCTCCTAGGTTTGTGCATTATTTCGGTCGGCGAGGGGGGCCCTTTTCCTCACGAAACCGGCCAACACACGCACACACACACACACACACACACACACACACACACACCGCCGTCTTCCACCTCTAGCCTCTCTCTGTGGCTATACTATGGTATTTTTGCGCGCTGCGAGGCCATCGCCTCGCCTTCGTTCTCGGTTTGCCCACTCTCTTCTCGCCTTCCTTTGCCTCACTGACTGCCACCCTCAGCTCTACTCTCCCCTCTCTCCCCCCCCCTCCCAAAAAAAAACTATACCGACCAAGAGACCGGACCAATACCGCTGGCCTGGTCGTCTTTTGTCGTCGGGTGTCTCGGGGAATGGCCGCGACGCACGATTGCCATGCGTCGCGGTTAGCGAGATGCCCGGCAATTCAAATGCGAATTTCCTGCGAATCAAACTTGCCTCAGGGTCTTTAAACATTGGCGCGATGATTGGCGATATTTTAATCGGCAATTAATGCGCCATTTTAACAATTAGCAAATGTTTGAAATAGCTAAAAATGAAATTGAGCTTAAAATCTTCACACGAGCTTATTGAATGAAATGAATAATTTGTCATCTCGCTTGATGAATTTCATAACGCGTTTTTTGAGGTGAATCAATGACGATTTTAACATTTTAATTTTATCGTTCGGTTTCACAAAACTTCTTTTATCCTTCGTACTTTACACAATTCAGCACAAAAACCAAACTGTTTCACATTTTAGGCGAAGAAACTCAGCTATCGCATTCTCGGCTTCGAAAGGAGGATGTCAACAAGCGCTCTGCAGGTAATTTATTGGTTATTTTAAATAATTAATAGCTGATTAGTGTAATATAACTTTTTATTCAAAATTCAATAAAAAATATTCAATAATGATAAAATCGTTTATAATTGCCTCTTTATTTAATTCTTCACAAAAAATAAAATAATAAATAAATATATATAACAAAATATTCGAGAAATTTTGATTATAAAATTTCTTTGCATATACTTCAACTTCCTGAGAATTACAAATTATCATATTCAAATAAAATTATAATGACGAAACAATTTTTGATTGAATTATTTAATTATCCATAAATTAAAAAATACTGTAATTTGTTTATTAATAACATTTTCTTTCACAATTAACCGTCTTTTTAACGTGGAAATGCTAATTTGAACTCATTTTCATACAATAAAAATTTGATAAATGACCGCTGACATGTCTGAACCATTAACAATATATGTTTACAAGTGGTGATTTGAATTAAAATTCGTTTCGAATTTCAGAAAGCCATTGAACTGGTGACAAAGGCGACGGAAGATGATACCGCTGGAAAATATGATTCAGCTTTGAGGTTCTACGATCAAGCCATCGAATATTTTCTGCATGCTATCAAATGTGGGTCTCTCATTTCGCTTTTTGTTTTATTTGCGCAATATCTCCTTCTTTGCCCATCGGAGGGCTTCATATCGGCCCCCATTTTTGCTTATTTCGCCATGGAGATTAGGCCATTTCGATTTTATTTATTTTGTCGCTTCACACATTTTTTGTGTGTCCTCTCTTCTCGCACCCCACCCAATTTGGTTTCATTTTGTTCGCCAAGAAAATTGCGATTCGAAATTGTGGGGGATATTTGCAGATGAATCACAAGGCGAGAAGCAGAAGCAGGCGATTCGGTCGAAAGTCGCTGCATATCTGAATCGAGCGGAGCAAATTAAAAAGTTTTTGAAAGACGGAAAAGAGCGAAAACCGGTGAAAGATGGTAAAGATGATGATTCTGACGAAGACAGTGATAAGAAGAAGCTTCAGGTTGATTAATTTGTTCCGAAAATTTGAGAGAGCTAATTATTATTTTTTTAAGGATAAGTTGAGTGGCGCTATTGTCATGGAGAAGCCAAATATTAAGTGGAGTGATATTGCGGGTCTTGAAGGTGCCAAAGAAGCACTTAAAGAAGCGGTCATATTGCCTATAAAATTTCCACAACTGTTCACAGGTACGCATTGGTTTTTTGAGGATCATCAAAATTTCCAAAAAAAAAGTTGCATCATGCATAATTTCTTTTTACAATATACGCAAAAAATTGATTATTGATTGTCATGAATTTTATTTTTCAAAATTTGCGTCCAATTAGTTCACAAACTTTACCGAGTCAGGTTTTTGAAAAATGTTTGAATCTTTTTAATTGCTTCTTGTATGTGATATGCAAGTTAGAACAAATTTTTGAGAATATAATTTTTCGGATCGATTTCAACTTACTGAAGCATGAAGAATCCATAGGTTAATTCCGCTGTCATTTTATATTGCCTTCCTATACTAATATAGGCTAATTTAAAGTTTTATTGTGTGAGTTTAATTTATTCAACAATTTATTCGACTATTCTATCATATATATTTATATATGGGTAATACTCGTAGACAATATTCTTTGATGATTTTTCGTGAAAAAAAAACGGGGTAGCGGGTTGGGCTATTTCGAGAAAATCCTAATAGAATATTAAAATATACACCAAATAATTAAATTAATTGTGCTTGCATATTATGCTGTTGTGCGACGTGATGATAAGCGCCAGGTGGTGTTTTGTGTGTTCGCGCCGTTAGCGCCATATCCTCCTCCTTGATAATGAAGAGGCTTGCGCCATAGAGAATCGGCGCCACAACGCACGGAACATAGGCGACGAATGTGCAAACAATGGGCCATACAGTATCCTGGCTCAGTCGCATTGGGTCCGAAGGGTCCATTACGGTTAACGCGTAGAACGGTACGGTGTACAGTGGACTGCAAATGATGCCAAATTTGAAATTGCCAAAAAAGAACAAAACGAACGATACCTTAAAAGGAAACCATACACAAGAAATCGGCTCTTGTACAATCCGAGACTTTGGAAAACGATCGGGCTATGGAATAGAATTTGGAGTATTCGAAAATATGCGTAGGAGGCGAATCCCGCCGGAATGATGACGCCGAAAATGAGCGCGTAGGTGAGAAATTTGAGGCCCGAATCGGAATGCGAGAAAACGCATGTTCTCACCGCGGGACCGTAGATCACCACGTGGCCGTTGGTTAGAGACGGAAGGGCCAACACGAACGAAATGACCCATGAGAGAATGCATAATTTGATCGGTGATAGGCCGAAGAGTTGCTCGTAATGGATTCGCGCGAATGTGAGCAGATGGACACCGGCGATGCACAGATTCATGAGAGCCATCACAGTCCATACTGTGACAGTTATGGACACCTGAATATCGAATTTCAGATTTTGGTTTATGTTTTCCCTTATAGAAAAGTGGTTGTCGCGATGTTTATGCGTTTTTGCTCTTGCTTTTATGCATTGCAGTAAAAAAGGAATGTTTATAGACTTCTTTTCAAAAAAAGAATTTGAATTGTCATAGTTTCAGCGATTAATTTATTCTTGAAAAGAAAAACGACGGCAATGATTAAGTGGCTCATCAAATTTTGCTCGCTATCTCTTTTCCCTTCGCTCGTTTCATTTTTTATTTGAAAATTGCAATTAACGTCGTCAAAATGATGTGAATCTCATTCCTCAATTTTTTTCTTTTTCTTCGTCTTTTTTTTTGGTTTTGTTTTCGGTTTTTGAAAATCAACATGTGGAGAACAATGTGAGGCAACTGCGAGGAAAAAAAAGAAGAAGAAACTGGAATATTCGAGGAGCAAAATTACGAGCAAAAAGCTAGTAGGGGGAAAAACGCGGCGGCGACCAACCTGCACTCGACACAACCAATTATTGTTCTGGAACAAATTGACGCCGGTGAACACGTTGTAGAGCACGATTGGCACCAAAATCACCAACGCCACCAAATTGGTGAAGCACAAATGAGCGATGAAGTGGGACGAGATGAAATTTTGGTAGACTTTTTGGCACATGATGTATATCAAAAGTATGAGATTGCCGACGACGCCGACGATGCTGAGCGCCGCGAAACCGATGGCGATGATTGGCGCCGGCGCCGAGGTGTGCGTCGAATTTGCATAGGCTTCTTCGATTTCGGAAGAGTTGAATATTCCAATCATATTGAGCGCGTGCGTGTGTGAGCCCCACCGTTGGGTGAGCTGAATGAGTTGTCGGCTCACTGAAGCAACAGCAGCGGCAGCACTAGGCAGTGGCAACGCATGGTGTCAGTCGTCTGCTTATGGCTCCTCGGAGCCCGTGATCTCTCGCTGCGGAGCCCTCTCTTCTCGATGTTTTTTTTTTTCTCGCTGCTTCTTCTATGCGCGCGCGCCTTCGTGTATGTTTTTTTTCGTCATTCTAGCTAGCAGTAGCCGCTAGCAGAAGAAGAAGACGCGTTTTCTTCTTTCTTCTTCTTATACAAGTGGATGCTAAAAAGTTGTCTTCTGCTCCTCGCCTTCTTTTTTCTCATCGTCGACAGACTGGGAACTATAAATAAAAAGTTGAACTTTTTTTGTGTTGAAATGGAAAAGGGTATGAAGATACGGCGGATGTTGAACGAATTGTTGCCGCTGCGGACAATGTTACGGAAGCGGAATCCGAGGGTTATTTGGGGGCAATTGAGAATCTCTAATAATGAATTACGAAATGTGGAATTTAGTTTTAAACTTAAAAGTGCCACTGACTAGACATATGGGCCCAATATTGACAAAAGTTTGAAAATGTTCAATTATGCGTTTAAAATGGCGCGAATGGAACATATTTTTGAATGGGCCTTTGATGCGTACTGTAGTTTTCACTGCACCTCTCGAAAATTCTTCAACAATATTTGAAACTTCTAAGAATAGAAGCATAAGTCAAACATTAATGCTTAAATAAGTTCTTTCTTTTTTTCTAGAAGTGGCTTTTTACGTATTTTTGAATGGTGCCAAATCTGAACAATGGAAACATTTTCTAATAAATTATTGAAGGACAAACGTTGTTTTTTTTTCGAGCAATTTTAAACAGTATTCAAACATTTGTTGCAGGAAACCGTAAGCCATGGCAAGGCATTTTGCTGTTCGGACCACCAGGAACCGGTAAATCGTATATTGCGAAAGCTGTCGCTACCGAAGCCGACAATTCGACGTTCTTTTCGGTGTCGTCATCGGATTTGATGTCGAAATGGCTTGGAGAATCAGAGAAACTTGTAAAGAACCTATTCGCATTGGCCCGTGAGCATAAGCCTTCAATTATTTTCATTGACGAGGTTTTGGCTCTAGCGATTATGTGAGATATTCTCAATTTGTTCAATTTAGATTGACTCATTGTGCTCATCAAGATCAGACAATGAAAGCGAAAGTGCGCGTCGAATTAAAACCGAGTTTATGGTTCAAATGCAAGGCGTTGGACTCAATAATGACGGAATTCTTGTGCTCGGAGCAACGAATATTCCATGGATCCTTGATTCGGCTATCAGAAGGTCAGAAGGTCCAATTTGCATGTTATATACATACTAGATGATGTTTAGACGTTTCGAGAAAAGGATATACATCCCACTGCCGGATATTCATGCTCGAAAAGAAATGTTTCGAATCGACGTCGGCAAGAATGTGAACAATCTGACCGATCAGGACTATAAGATGTTGGCTGAACGGACTGAAGGCTATTCTGGATATGATATTAGTATTCTTGTCAAAGATGCGCTGATGCAGCCGATTCGTCGGGTTCAGTCGGCGACACACTTTAAGTGAGTTTCGACTATTTTTCGCAATATTCTCTATGTTCAATTTTTTTCAGACGCGTTTCGGGACCATCGCCAAAAGATAAGAATGTCATAATCCATGATTTGCTCATGCCGTGCAGTCCCGGCGATCCGCAGGCGATTGCGATGAGTTGGTTGGATGTGCCGAGCGACAAACTCGCCGAGCCCACACTCACAATGGTATGGGAATTTTTCGTTTTTCACTCGAATGCCAATTTTTTCAGCAAGACATTCTACGATCACTTTCATCGGTGAAGCCGACAGTGAATAGCGCCGACTTGGATCGCCTTGAACAATTCAAGAACGATTTTGGACAAGACGGACAAGAATGAATAAATTGGCGATTTATTGTAAATATATGTGAATTTGGTGCGATATTTCGCGTTTCTGTTTGTTAGGAATAATCTTCGAATGCACCCGTCCCACCCATTTTTCGAAATTTCTCAAAAGACAATTTTTTGCTACGATTTTATTCTAACATCTCGGTATACCGTTATTAGCAGGTCCCTTTTTTATTGTTTTTCGTTTTTTTCCGCTATATTTATTATTATTATTATTTGAACATTTAACTATCATTTTATGTATTATAGCCTATCAGAAAAATTTTCGGAAAATGTTATAAAAATGCAAGTGAGTGCCGTGAATATTAAATTTACTGAAGCATGAAAAGAATGTCCATTATTTTTCAATGTTTTATCTTGTTATAAGAAATAGTAGGTTAATGTGCCGAATTTCAGTTTCTTAATAGTAGGTTAATGTGCCGAATTTCAGTTTTTTTTTTTTCAAGATTTTTGATAGAACAATTTTTCAGGCCGCCGACCGAGCCCGAAGTGTAACAACTATACGAAAAATGTTACAATCGCTCCAAAAAAAAACAAGTATTGTTGAGAAATGACAAATGTATCCAGGTGTCGTGGGATCCTGCGTTTTGTACGCAATGCTAAGAGACAGTTACCGTAATCCTCGCAGCGATTTACGGAGATTTTTTAAAAATTTTCTTTCAATTTTTTTTGCTGAATTTTCTAATTTTCTTTAGAAATCTTATATTTAAAACCTGTAGAAACCGAGTTTAATTATTTATTTTTCAGAATATGCACTTTTCCATTTGTCTAGTTGCGTTGGGAATTATTGTGAAGATTTTGACGCCCTAAAAATTATTTTGAAAATGAAGAATACAAAAACAAGATAATAGAAACGCATACAAAAAGCAAAACACGATTAAATAATTTTGTTAACGACAAAAATGATTTTTTTTTTAAATCTCTGCTGTTCATACCAAAAAAATATCGTTTAAAAGTGCTTATTCTGCTAAATACATTATTAAACGGTTTCTGTAAAATTTAAAAATTTAAATTAAAAAATTTCGAAAGAAAATTTAAAAATTGAACGAAAAATAAAAAAAAATGAATATGCGAAATTAAAAAAAAATGTCCCCGTAAATCTCTGCGAGGATTACGGTAACTGTCTCTTAGCATTGCGTACAAAACGCAGGATCCTACGACACCTGGATACATTTGTCATTTTTCAACAATACCTTGAATAATGGTGGACCATTGAACTTTTTCTAGGCCGTAATTCAAATTTGAGCACAGAGTATTTGCTTTTGCGATGATTTTGATAGACCATCAACGTTTGATGGAATTAGCGTATATTTAATTAAATTTGTAAAAATCAGATGTGAGCGCGTCGAAATCGGAATGAATGCGCAATATATGGAAGAGAGCCTTCGCGTGGTCTGCGTCTCTTGCTCCCCCGCTCATTCTCGCGTTTTCCATCGATTTGTGCATGGAAGGCGTCTCGTGAAGAAGGCCAGAAGCATTGAAAATGAGACGTGCCCTATTTCTGTTGATTATTCGAATAATCGAGATTCATTCGCAGGTGACGTCGTCGCAATGCAAATTTAGATAAATTTTCAAGTTTCAGTATCAAAATGAGCCGCAATCGAATATTGACCGAGTTGCGCAGCGCCCGATTTTACCGCAATGTCCGAGTAAGTCAAACAGTTTTTGAAGGTTAAGGATGTTCGGTTCAAGATCCGTTTTAAAGGCACATACCCGTAAATGTCCGTGCGCCTTTAACCTGTCATCACGTTAAGCCCGTAACTCAATACATTCAGCTTTGCGTCAAGATCGCTACCATACACTTTTTGTGGCGCCGAAAACATAATACCTAATTTTATAGGAGAATGGGAATGGGCGTGCCGCAACGGCGAATGCATTGCACATTACGACGTGTGCGACGGCATAGTTCAATGCACCGACGGCTCCGATGAATGGAATTGCGACACGCGCAATCGGTAATGAAATTTTTCGCTTATCAGTTTCGCTCAATCAATAACAATGTCGCAAGACGATGAGGAAATTCTATCAAAAATTATTCAACAAGAAATCACCGATTTTCCGGATTTGTTCGGGTTTCTCACCTCCACCGTCATTATTCTCAATGTAAATCTATGAACGTTTTTAGAGGGGCAAGTTATGCGCATGAAGGAAATCCCGGAAAGGTTGACGCTGCACCAACTACAATGGTCCCTACAACGACTACTCAATTGGCTGCCTGTGAGTTGCTTATTAAAAAAATTTAAGCACCCACATTTTTTTAAAGTAAGCTCGACATTCTCCACGAAGCATACCTTTATCGGAATTGTTGTTTTGGCTATTGTCGCGTTTGCGTTGGTGACTGCGTATCGACGAAGAGCTCGCAAAAAGACCGGATTCCGGAATCGCAGAGGAGCCCACAGTATTCTTCAGGTACAGCGACAGATTTCCACCAAATGAAACCATGTTTTGTGAAAATTGCAGCAAGATTCGGATGAAGACGACATTTTGATCAGCTCAATGTACTCGTAGTGCCAACCAAAATCATCAGCATCATCATTAACTTCACTTCTCATGTGTTCACACTGTCGGGTTCAATAAAAACAAAAGCGAGACACTATATTCGTGACAAAATTAAAATTCACAAAGCTTCGGCGTTTTTGAGAAGCTCGGCGAGCTTTCCATTCTTGGCAGCAGCCGCCGTGTCATCACCACCGCCAAAGAATTTTCCTCCGATGAACACGCGGGGAACTGAGCGGGCTCCAGTTAGACTCTAAATTATAAAAACCAAGATAGTCGACATTATTGTGGTCATACTCCTAGATAATTTTGAATATCGTCACAATCTGGGCGTTCATCAATCTCAACCCATTTAAGGGCGTCAGGCTTAATGTTTTGGCTGTCCAGTGCGCTGCGAGCCTATAATTTTTAAATTCGTTCTCTTGGGGTCTTCTTTTTTTTAAATAAAAATTACCTTATGGCAATATGGACAATAGGATTTGCTGAATACAACAACCTTGTGCGATTTTAGTAGGCCATCAACGAAACCTTTTCCGTTCGACATTAGTTTCTGCAAAAAAAATTAAGTTTATTATTTAATTTTCGACGATGGAATAAATTGTAAGATAAGAAACGAACAAAAAAATGCAGCGTTACAAGAAGAGAGATCGAGATATAGAGAAAAAATATATATAAGTAAAAAAAAATCATTCGGCTCCAGTCGAATAGCCACGGATTTTCGTCATGATCTTCTTGAAGATTCCTCGCTCTCCGACTTCCTCGTTCGCCTCGAACGGAACAATTCCGACAGCAAACTTATCCAGGTCCGGTATCGATTGCTTTTTCCATTCGCCACTGTCAACTCTTTGCGAGACGATTGGTGTGCCGACGATCACGCTTATCGATTCGCCCTGAACGGTAACAACTAATATTTGTTTTGACGCGTATGCGAAACCGGGGGAGGAGGGAGAATGTGATCCAGTTTTTTTTAGGGGACAATGCAGAGAAAAAGAAAAATAATCATTTTTTTTTCTTTTTTCACGATTTTTGATAAATGTTCTGTGACTAATGATTTTCGACTTATCATATTCTTGTCTAGTGTAAAACCGGTTAAATCGATTGACGGGATCATTCCTAGGGGGTTCAAATTCAATTCTTTTTTTATTTCAGAAAATGATGCAGTAACTTGGTAGATTTTCTGCTAAACCCACAGTCGATTACCAAATTCATAGTATTATAAGGCAATTCCTCTCTACATTGACCTTTTAAATAAAACTACATAGTGATGTCGAAAAAGGAGCCCTAATTGTTTTGATCCGAACATCGGCTTCTCGGCAATACTAATAATAAAATTACCAACTTTTTGCGAACGTCTTTGATGTATACCATGCATAGTAATTATCGCACACTGTTCAATTTTTTTCTCTCATTAAACAAAAATACCATTGACGACGTGTTCATATCCGGAGTTTCGCATCGCCCATCCCCTTCCGCTTCTTCGTCATTTGTCGGATTGCGATCAATCACAATTTCATCATCGTCCACTTTGATTTCATCCGCCTTCTCCATATCCTTTTTTGCTTTCAGCATTGTCGCTTCAAGTATTCGGGCATCTTCAGAAGCATTGTGTTTTTCAGTAACTCCCTAAAATTCAAAAATTTCAAATAAATTTTTTTTTTAAATTTAAAACCTTTTGAAGCATTTCACAAAATGTTTGAAATGGAGGCACATGAAATTTTTCTCGATCTCTTAGCGCACGATACGTGTTGTTGAATCCCATATAATACATCACTTTCGTGTCATCAACGATCGGCGGCGGCTTCTTCTGATCGGTACACGACTCAGGGATGTTCAAATTCGTCGAATCCATGTGAAATGTGATGAGACTATTCGAATCATCAAATTTGAGCGCCTTCTTTAAATAGCCAGGCGGATAGCCATCAACAAATCCCATTTTTCGCATTCGATAAATCCATTCGGGAATATCATCGGGTCCGATGTTCAGCGCCGATCTCAAATCGGAACTTAACCGTCCCGGCTTGTATTTCGAGCTGCTTGATTGGCCGGAACTATTCGCGTGGTACCTTTCAAAGAATATTTCAGCATTTCTTGAAGCCATCTCGAATATTACCTAGTATTTGAGTTATTGTTTTGTTTTTGCATAAACGCCAATTTCGCCATTCGAATTTTGGCGTAGTCTTTCGGCGCCGGACAACTCTGAATACAGTGCTCACCATCGCAATTAAAACATTTGATTTTCGACCGCCCATCATTCTTCGGCTTTTCTTGAGGTGCCTAAATAATTCATTTTTCGACAAAATTATAAATAGTGATCAACCTCATCTAGCAAAAATCGCTTCAAACTCCTCTCCCATCGACTCGGGCTTCCCTTTGCCACCTCGCCCTCCTCAACACTATCATCTTCCTCTTCAATCGTGCTCGCCGTCGTGTCGATTACAAAATCATCATCATCTTCCATTCGCACGCGTTTCTCCCCTGGCGATCCCTCGTCTGAACACTCACCCTCCTCAACATCGATTCGACGTTTCATCCTAGATTTATTTTTCGACAAAATGAATAAAATAAAAAAAGTTATTAGAAGATATCACAGAGTTATACGAACTCAACCGATAACTGCGAAGAAAAAAAAAACAGACAAAGTTTATCACTGAGCGCGGCGACCTGTATGACACAATTTCCGTAAAACAATGAATTAAAAAATGAAAGGGATAGGTCGAATCGACTTAATCGGCAAACTCTCTCCAAATCTTGTCACTTTCTAATTGTCTGATAAGATTCTAAAAAAATACACAAAAATTTGTATATGCAAATGCATTGCAAAATCTACCTGATTTGAGCTTAACCTTGCGATTAGCCTTTTACGCTTCGTCGTCCCGGCAGCCTTCAGAATCTCGTATATTCGGGCCTTGACAAACAATATGCTCCAGTTGGTGTCAAATTTTGTGAACGCTTGAATAACGCCGTCGGCAAGTCTCTCGACCGTCGAAAAATCGCTGGTGCTGTTGATATGTTTGCAAAGAAGCGTCGAGAATCGCGCGAATCCCGACGTTCCCGTCGTTCCAATCGACGCCAATTCATTTGATAATGCGCAAAACACACCGGAAAACACTTCGATGATTCGATTCCTCGCATTTTTCGCCATCGACTCGTCAAATGAGATCGGCGGTTTCACATAGACGTTGTATAAGATTTTGTACCATTGCGAATTATTGCACCACACTTTTGCGTCCAATAGTGCGTCTTTTCGCGAAAATCCGCGCTTCGAGACCTAAAAACACACAAATAGACACCAAAATTTGTGGGACACATCACTTCACAATAGTATTTCAGGCATTGCCCAAAATCATCCGTGTCGGCAACGCATAAACCCGCGGCAATTTGAGGATTTCCATCGGAAATTGTGTTATACAACAATCTTGCGATGAAATCAACATCATTGTCTGCAATTATCGACATTTTTCAAAAATGTTTTCCGTTCAATCTACCAAATTTCTCAGCACCAAAACAATAATATATAATGAGAAGCTCGAAAATTGCGTTGAATGCCACATGGAATTTGTGCGTGAACAATTTGACCAACTCTTGCGAAGAGAGCACCGCTATTGAGAATGATATGAACAATCGGCTCATTTTCGTAATTGTTGCGACACTAAATTTCAGCAATTTTCGATGGGAAATAATTTTAAAAAACCAAACTCTTCGGTTTTAAAATTGTTCATAATTTGCTCAAATCTGCGTTTAATCCAGTGCTCAAATTTTTTCTCGCCCAATTGTTGCATCTAAATTTTGCATTCAATTGAGACTTCTCAATCTTCTTTTTTTTTTGACGACTTACCGCTTCTACTAAAAACGAAATGGCGCTCTCGTGCTCGCAAAGCTTTATCGCCATTTCCCAAGCGTCATTGTTGGTTTTGAGTCTCGCATAATTGTCTGAATCGTTGAAAATCTCGAGCCAAGTGTCCGTTGGCATTTTTCGTTTCGCTAATTCTTCAAACTCTTTTTCTGACAAGAATTTGACGCTTTGCGCGACATAGGTGCAATTCTCTCGATGGCTTGGATCGAGATTTGAGAAAACTGAAACAACAAAAATCATATGTTTTAAGAAATTTCAATAGAAACATTTCTTACTTTTTTTCTTCTCAATTTCAACCAAATTGTGCAAATTTTCATTTAATACCTCGACGTTCTCAAGGAGTCTCATTGCCAAACATTTTTGTGCAGCATTGTACTTATTGAAGTTTTCGGCAAATCCGTTCAAAATTGGGATGATCACCGTAAATTCTTCTTAAAATTAAAAAAATTAAAGGCGTTCCATAGTTGCTAAAAAAAACAATGGCAGTTTCACGGATATAACTTTTTTTGATTCCGTCAAATAGCAAACATGCATTTTAAAAAATTTTTGCTCCCCAAATTTGCAGAGAATGATTAAAAACAAGAAGAAACTGATTTAAATCGATATATCCACATTTTAGGGTTTTAATGTTTGAAAAAATCATATAATTCTGCGCGTCTTTTTGATAAATTATAGATAAAATCCTACTATTTGCTCCAAGTGCAAGATCGATAAGGTAGATGAGCTTTATATGAAAGTCTGAGGAAGAGCTATCCAGACTCAATTCCTTTGCGTATTTTATGAAGAGCTGCTCACAAGATGACCAGGCTTCCTCTCCTTAAATTCCCTTTTTATTTCAAAAGTTTAAAAAAAGAGAAGTAAACCTTTAGAAATGATTTTCAGTAACATTAATGGGTGCGCAAATTCATCCAGTTCTTCATATTTTCCATCTAAGACCACTGCACTGAGAGCATTGTCGAGTTTTATCTTAAAAGCAGAACAATAATGAAAATATTTTTTTATAAAAACCTCTTTTCGATTTTTCTCGACAAAACTGAAAATTTGCGTGACAATTTGACGATAAATTTTTCTTCTCTTCGAGATATCCGAATTATCCTCAATTCTGTGTAGAAAGTTCACTATAATGTTGCAACATTCCGGAAAACTACTCATCGGCACCTTGAGGAGAAGCTCGAGAAGCATCGGAATCCGCTTATTGCTTAACTCGCAGTTATTCTGATCTAGAAACTACTTAATCTCGATATTATTTTAGCGAAAAACCTATTATTTTGCATTTGACGAACTCGAAAATCATTTCAACAATATATTTGAAGCAGTCAACAGCATCGATATTCGTTTTCAAAACATCTGAAATTATTCTATTCAGAAATATTTTCATGTTTGAAAATTTGACTTACAAGGGTATTTCTTTAGAATAGGGCTGCCCTCCTTCACACATTTATACACGTTAAGAAAGGATTTGAAAAATATAACCTCATTGAGCTTATAGAAATTATACTGGGCCCTTTGAAGACATCCACATGAGAAAATCTGATATCAGTAGGGGTTTTATTTAATAAATATTATAATATTAGATACTTCATGATTCGCCTTGAACATTTCCACAAATAGCTTGACGTTGAGACAATGAACATCATTCAGTGTAAGGTGTTGCTCTGTAGCTTGGCCGTCTTCAAATATTAATGTTGCCAAAGAGAATGCGAATAATTGAAAATGAGTGTCGATTTGTGGCGATTCCTGTACTATGAGTAGAAGAAAAAATGAGTATTGTGATCTAATAAAGTCTTGTATAGAAGCATCAAACGATTTCCAGTGGCGGGCAATTGAGCGAAAAACTAAAAATAATTTTAATGTTTGAAAAAAATAAGGCCACATTACATTGAAACGGTTGCTCGAGGTTATTACGTCGTAAGAAGAACACAGCGACGTCGAATTGAAGTTCAATGTCAGCGGTGTCAAAAATTGAATAATTTGCCAATTCCTCCGAATCGATATAAGAAATATTTAAATGATTTTGTGTATCTTCGAAATTTTCAATAACTGGAATAATTTTTTGAATTTTATTTATTTAGAAATTTGCGACTTACTTGCACAACATTGCTCTGAACGAAATTTTCGTTTTCTTGAACCCATCTACCAGGTACATTCAAAATGAAATTGGCGCGCGTTAATGTAACGAAATACATGTGGCCTAGGAAAATTAGCCTTTTTCTAGGCCATCCTGTCAAGAGAACCACGGCGTTCACACTAGTGGGATTTACATGAAAAAAGATTTTTCTCAATGGAGCGCACTTGCAGCTTAGCGCTATTCCGGTGCATAAATTCAACAAATTAAATTTGTGAAATAAATTAGAAACATTCTCAAAATGGATCGTTTTTTCAATAAGAACGTTTAGTTTTTATATTTCTTCGGGTAGATCAGATTCACCGCAATTTATGGTCTATTTAGTTATAAATTAAATAAGTTATTTAAATTTATATCGGATCTTTTTTTTTGAACATATACATAACATTTTTAAAAGATAAAACCATCAATTAAGCGAAAGAAATACTACATAATTGAATTATGATATAAAAATTGATGATGTGTAGCAGATGAATTCAATGCGAGTAGATAAAGACGCGAGAGAGATTGAATTCGGAAAAAGAGGATATAAGGACATTTGGAAAATTGCAAAACTAATAGGGAAAAAATACACTTATCAATTTGGAAACAAATGGATAATCAACAAACACATTTAACAAGATTCTCTTTACCGATTTCATTAGGCAGCTTGAAAAGAAAAATTTGATGTTATACAACACAAATGACTAAAAAAATACATTTTTGAGTTGAGGACGTCTTTCCATTGGTCTTTTGGAGTAGCTCGGAAGTTAAAAAAAATCTCGAAAAGCGAATTGTCCGTGATATCGTTTCATCATTCCGCCAGCTTTTGATTTTCGAGATGGAGTGCTTATCTGAATTCAATAAATGAATTCAATGCGAGTAGATAATGACACGAGAGAGATAAATAACGAAAAAAGAAGCTGAAAACGGTAAATTAACGTAAGAACTAACGAAATTTAAAAAAAAAAAACAACAAAAAATTATAGAGAATCTCTTGCAACTTCTCCGCCGAAATGACACACTATTTACATTTAAAATTAGCAAAAAAATTAAAAAATAAACAACTATGAAATGTTTTTCCAGGTATTAACAAACATAATCGTATAAATCAAACCATATAATATAACAATAAATGATATTAACAAAAGAGAGAGTGAAAAAACAGAGAAAAGAAATGTGAATATTTTTACAGTTCAATCTTTAAAAAACTACGGACCTCTGAATACTTATCCGATTGAATTATAGTAAAGCTTTTTCGATAGAAAAAAGCCTTGCGAAAAACGTGGTCGGTGCACTTTTTTGTTAAAATTTGAGAAAAATTCAAAAAACTTGAAAAATGAGTCAAAACATGGCGATTTTTAAAAAATTCGTCTGCGCGTCAAAGACGCCAACAATCGACCACTGACACAGTTTGAGTATTCATTTCAGGTAAATCCCACTAGTGTGAACGCCGTGGAACGTTCGAACGTCATCCAAACGATAAAAAAAACGAAAAAAAAATAGACCTGTCTGCTTTATATTCAGCAAGAATTGTTTAAGGTTCTGGTGAAAAGGTTATTAAAGTTTGAGCTTCTATTTATATTCAATATTTCTTAAAAATTAAATAGAGACCCTTCATTGCACACTGTGAATGCTCGGTGTTTGCGGACACGCACAATTTTTTCATTCTCAACAAAAATTTTCTTTTCTTTTTCTGCACCTTAATTTAAAAACTAACATACAAATTTGAATATTATTTTAGAAATGAGTGCTTCTCAGTATGCTCGACTTGTTCCCAAAAAATATCGAACCCGGTGGTTGCCAAAAATCAATCGTCCAATTCGGCCGCGTGTGATTGCATGGGCTGGGCCAAGTGCATTCTATCCAAATAGGTTTATACCAAGAAAAAAATAATATTGCTCAAATTATATAAGTTTCAGATTCTATGAAATTGATAAATGGTATAAAGCAAGAATCGATAAACCAGAGAAATTACCGAAAATGCATATAATTGACCCGGCGAACTATGTGCAGCCACTGGAGGAGCTTTTAAGGAAAAGTATGGCTTGAATTAAGGTGAAGCGTATTGAAAATTACAATTATAGCGGTAATTAATGCAATCAATATTGGATATCAGCAAAAAGAAACGCCTGTGAAAAAAACGAAAAGTGAAGTTGACAAAGCTGAATTGGAAAGGTTGTCCAGACATTTGAAATGTATAAATATTACCTTTAAACATTTTTACGATTTTTTTTTCATTTTAGTGGAAGTAAATTTGGATAATGTCGATTTTCCAAACCTTCATGTTTGTCGTCATTATTTAATATTCGACCATTTATTTGGCGAAGGGACCTACTTCCACAATGTGCAAAATTTCGAGGCAGCCTTCAACGATAATCAAGTTTACAATGGAAATATCTTGAATGCTTCGACGACATCTTCACCTCCAATGGTATCAATTGAAAAAGTTGGAAATGACGGATTCAATACGCTTCTGATGGTGAACCTTGACGGAAATGCCTTCGAAAAGAGTGGAGAAGTCATTCAATGGCTTGTTTCGAATATTCCTGACGGATCTGATATAGCCGAAGGTGACCAGGTAGAAAAATTCACGTTCTCAGTTGAAATGAATATAATCAGAGCTTTTTGAGAGTCAATAGTGAATAGTTTAGATTTTTATCAATAAACTTTAGAACGCATTTAGCAATAACAAAAAAATAACTGAAATTCAGGTGATCGATTATTTGCAACCATTGCCATTTTACGGAACTGGATATCATCGCGTTGCTCTTGTACTTTTCAGGCATAGCGAAAAAATCGATTTCAGTAATCTTAAAGGGTCAGTTTAGCTCTCTTCTATCTTATAATCAAAGTTTAGTCTGTTTCATACAACTAATCATAATTCAAAAAAGATAGGTCAAAACATTTTAGCGTACGCGCAGTTAATATTAGCCAAGTTAATTTTATGAAGGGCTCGCCCCTCGAACCTTTCGTTTGAAACCGGCAATTGTGATTCCCACATATTTTTTCCAATCGATGATTTTTGATCGCATCAATCTCTTGACCTCCTTATCAAATTTTTTTCTCGCAAGTCGAACTTCACAATTTTCCAGGACATCATTATTTGATCGAGTTCAACCGATTAGCGAGATTTACAAGAAGCATGAGAATGTTTTGACACCTTCATCGATTCGATTCTTCCAAACATCCTATGATAACAGTGTGAAAAATGTATTGCATTCATTAGGTTTGTAAAAATAAGAAAAAAAAAATATATTATCGGCGTTAAACGACTGGATGAAAGTAAAAAAAAATATTGGCTTCATGCCAATTGCTCTCTAGCCTTCGTAAATCTTCACTGTTTTCTTATTCGTTTGACGTCAAGAATACGTTTTTTATTAAAGCAATAATTCCATAGGTATGAAATCACCACTTTACGAGTATAAGTACAATGAGCCACTGAAGCCAGAGCAAAGAGAATTCCCTGAGAAATCGCAACCATTCGATTTGTAAGCTTTTCTTCAGCGTTTTTTTTTAAATCTAATCTATTTAAAATTTAATTATCTTTAGGTATTTGGATATGTATCGTGATCCGAAGGACGTTGAAACTGAAATTCTTGAGAAACGCTTGAGCGAAGCCCAATTAGACAATTATAAGGTGGGCGATAAGAAACTCCCGGAATTCTTGATAAAATCTCTCTTATCAAACAGGAGCCACAATGGCGAGACATTGACTACAACGAGAACAAAAAACGACTTCCGTCTTGGTTGCATTCGAGGATTCTGTCGAGGAAAGGTCCCGCAAAAGCGCAATATGTCAACAAAATTGACTAGATTAATTCAACGTTTTTAGTTTTCTAGGCTCTTGTTGCGTTTTGTTTGTTATAATGAATATTTATCTAAGAAAATTGGCAATTTAACATTTGTTCATCTTCTTGCAAATATCCTTTGGTGGCACGTCCTTCTTGAGCTCGGCAACGATCACATCGACCTCCTTGTCTCCGTAGGACTCGCACAAGTGTTCGGCAGCTGGGACTGGAACGACCTTCAAGCAGATGGCGTTGACTTCCTATAAAATCATAATATAGTTCAGTAATGCGGGTGATGCTGATTACCTTCTTTCCGAGAACGTCTCCCTCGTGGAGAGCCTCACCCTCGATCGCCTTGACGGTGGCGACGCAGGTACTCGAGCGAGGCCTGCATTGGTGGAACAAAAGCGGCGGCGGCGACCGAGAAGGCGATGAGAAGGACGATGAAAGAACGCATGGCCTGAAATTAAAGCAGACGTTTAATAATGAAGCTGATAAATCGCTGAATAGATAATAATCACGCAACTGATCATTTTTTATACTGGAAACAAACACTGATAGCGTAATCAGTCGGAGAATCCTTCAGTTTCGTAAGATGATACAAGGAACTGATCAAGAATTGGTTTCAATCGATCAAACCTTTAATCATATGAGCGCTTGAGGTATAAAAAATTAAATTAACCTTAATTAGAGAACTGAAGTGCGAATATGACACTCTGATTATATCTCCGAGCTTCATTCCGTTTCGGATGAGAACGCAGCTTCTCATATAGTTTCCTATTGTAAATGCAAATTGATTTGAATCCTAAAAGTATATCAAACGTTATGCTTGAAATTAACCGAGATGGGCACGATCTTAAAGTGGAAGAAGGAACATTACAAATGATTACAGAATACGAATTTTCTGGAGCATGATTTAAAGACCAAAATTTTCGATTCGGGTGACATCCCATGCTGGCATAATAAATTCAACGAGGCCATTAAAATAAAATAAAAATAGCAAAACTGGCGTTATTCCGTACCAATTTGCTTCATAGCATCCTAACGTTCATTCGACGTTGAAAGTGAATCGAGAAAATCAAAATCGAAAGCCTCAATTATCGCCATACAAGAGTGGTCTTTTTGAAGTCCATTTTGAATTTTTTGCATTCAGATTATTTAGAAAATTTCCATTCGCGAGGATGTATGTCCCAACTTTCACAAGCTTCTAGTTGTCGAGTATGGTACGTCAAATTTGGCCTATTCCCTCCCGTGAATTTTATATACAAAATACAGCAATGAAGAAAGAAATATTACGTTTTTCTTTACAAATTTGTCAATTATTTTTTTCAAATGAAACATTTGACAATTAAAATTCTTAATAAATTAACAAGCTGTTCCAATTGGCTGGCATTTCTTATTTGAGGGAAGTTGGATGTTGAAGGTCCCATTCTCCAGGTCATGCAGGGAATTCGCAATCCAAACCCAGCCCCCAAGGCAAGCGCGCGCTACCGCAAGACAGCGTCGATCGGGAAAGCGCGTCACCTTCCGCGATCAGAGAGTGTGTGAACATGAGAGAATCGGCGGTGAGTTGGCGTCAAATTGCAGTTCGCTTCGACAAACGCGCTCTACTGCAAGCTTTGCACCGACACGAATGGCACTATAAAAGGCCGGCGGATGCGCAATTTCGTCAGTTCTCGCAGCTCCTGGAGTTGCGGGAAGCCCGCCTATCTTGCGGGCTCCGCGTGTCCCGCATAACCTGCGGGCTCCGCGTGCCTCGCATATCCTGCGGGCTCCGCGTGCCTCGCATATCCTGGCGGGCTCCGCGTGCCTCGCATATCCTGGCGGGCTCCGCGTGCCTCGCATATCCTGGCGGGCTCCGCGTGCCTCGCATATCCTGGCGGGCTCCGCGTGCCTCGCATATCCTGGCGGGCTCGCCGTGGCCAAGGATCCACACGGTATGTCACATTCATCCTTCTTCTCAATTCCTCTTATTGCAGATCCGATGAGAGCCACAGTCGTTGCTCATTCGAGCTCTTCCGATGTGCTATGTTGAAAGTGTCGGGGATTCTCGACTGGTGCGACTCCGTTAGCCAGTACTAACCCTACTGCAGTGTCGCGTCCAGGCTGATGTTAAACCCACATTGCATGAGTAGACATAGCACGTGAAGAGGAGCAAGAATGGGGAATGACGAGAGAGGAAGCGGATTCAAAAGGTAAAGAAGGAGGCACAGTCTATCAGAATAACTCGGATCATTTCAGGCATCTTGAATCGAATGGATCTAATCGGAGGCGACGTCTCGAAGAAGCGACGAGGGAGGACAATCAAGTGGGGATATGTGGTAATTTTTGGCCCGGGCCTAATTTTTTTTATTACTTTTTATTTATTTTTTATTATTTTTATTCACCTTTATCGGTCGTACCACTTACGGCCTCCCCCTCTTCCTCCCGGTCCTACCGTTTGGGACCATCTTTTCTTCTTTTTCGGGGAAAGCCGGCTTCCCCTTCTCTCTTCCTGCCACCAGTCGTACAACTTGCGACTGTCCCTTCTCTCTATCAGTCGACTGATTCCCCCTTTCCTGCCGTACCACTTGCGGCTTCCACCCTCTACATCCCACCACTTGGGATTCTCTCTCACCTTCTCGGTCCTACCGTTTGGGACCAACCATCGCTTCTTTTCTTTTGGGGGGAAAGTCGTACCACTTACGGCCATGCCAGTCATTCCACTAATGATTGGCTTCCCCCCTTCCGTATTGTATTATTGTTTTACTTCAAGTTTTCAGGTTTTTAGGTATTTAGGTATCGTCGCTGCCGCCGCCGATGGAAGGACCCTGCCGGTGAATCGATTCACCACCACAACTAAGTTTCCCCCCACTATTAAGCATTAGCCATACTAAGGACCCCTCTTCTGTTTAATCTGCCGTAGTTGGCCATATTAGGGCCGTAGTCGGCCATTCCCCCAAACGCCAAGGCTTCCTGATCCCCCGTAGTGCCGAGGCGTTGGCTGGATGGCGGCTTATCCGTCGTATCCTAAATTCGGGTGATTGGCCTGGCAAGCCTTTCAGCCCTGATTCCGTAGTCGGGAATCGAACCCTACCCAAACGCCCCCGTTTCAAGTACTCTCGAGTGCTTGGTGGGCGTTATGGATGGTTATGCTTTAGAAAATTGCTTCACCGGGTGTCCTCCATACTAGTCAGGATGTCATCTGGCCCAGACCTATATTGACGTGGATTGGCCAGCTATGTCAATATGTCCAGCCTTTCGGGTGCACATGGACCGTGTTTCTTAGCATAGTAGCTTGCTACTTTGTAGTGGCTTGCTACTATGAACACATGAACACAAAAACCACATTACCATATCACCAGTAGACCCGGGGCCCAGCCAGACGTGGCTTGCCCAACCACTTCTACTTCTATTGTCCTCGGATGATAGTTGTGGGATGTCCTTGGGTGATCCCCATGGTGGGATCGGCGATGACCCACATCAGGCTTCGGCCTGATGCTGGTGAGCCTCTCCTTCAAGTGTCGAGCCTCTACGTGGCGAAGGAGATCAACTGACTAGACACTCCTTCAGGGGAATGTTGATTCAGGCTAATCGGCACGCTTTTCCAACGGCCCTCTTTAGGGCCATCAGGCCCTTGATATCGTTTATTTCTATACGATTCTTTTTTTTTCAACAAGTCTAAAAAAATGACAAAACGCACTATTTTCTGAACGATATGAAAAATTTTAAATGCCAAACATAGGGCGAATTCATTCATTTCTATATTTTACCTTAACTATGCATTCCCGATATTTTCACTGACTCATTGAGCAGGCGCAATACGTACGAAAATATTTCCAGATTTACATATTTCCTATTTTTATTCAACAAAGGAAACCCCGGTTAGTTTTCAAGGAAAAAATTAAAAAAAAAATCAGTAATGTACAGTCGAGTGTGCAATCGAGCGCATTTGCAACGGCGGGAAATAAAATTAATTCAAATCAATTTTTAATAATCCAATTTTTTTAAAGTTTTTTTTATTTGTCCTCTTCTTAAAAATCTTCGGAATGGAACCCTCTGGAGCTAGCACATCGTTAGAAGCGCAGGCAAACATTGCCTCCAATACTCGAAGGTAAATTACTAAAAACATGTTAATTTCCAAATTTTCAATATTTGTAGAAAACGGCGGTCATCAATTGGAACTGAATTATTATCAGCATTTCTGGAAAATGAGAAAATGGACAAAATTGAAACACCAGAAAGAATGACGAGACCTGTTCGTAAAACAGTGTTAGCTGCGAGATATCGGATGTTGAATACCACTAAAGAGGTTCTAAATAGGCGAAGGAAATTATCGGTAATAAATTATTTCATATAATTTGTTATTTATGTTTTACAGATGGATATTGGAGAAAGGCCGTTAAACCTGAAATCATGCTTTAACAATAAATGTAAACTTGCTCAAAAAACCGCAAAGAAACTTGTTTCAAAATATCGGAGGAGTCGTTCGATGTCGGCCACGCCGTCAGCAAATCGTCGCAGAAGTTTGGCTCTACGCTTTCATGAAGTGTGCACGATACGAGTTATCACCCCGAGATCCGACTACGTGAATATATTATCCCCATTATTTTGTTTTTATATTTATTTCAGAATCCCGCCCATTTGAAATTGCCGACCTCCGATGATGAAGGAGATTGCCCAAATCCTCAACGACAGCGATTAAGCACAGTGAAACTTGATATTACACCGACATCGAAAGCTTATGTAAAATTTTTGTATTTTTTTGCTTTTAAATGTTCTTTTTTAGCTGGAATCTATTAAGGATAAAGAAAACGCAAACATTCAGTTCAAGTAAATATGCGGCCGAGAAATTTGCCGGCCATTTTTCAAATATTTACTAATCGCAATCAGTTCAGCGCGTCGATGGTGTTTGGAGATGACGGCTATCCGGAATCTGATATCGTTTCGACCGATTCAGGACCATCGTCGTCTGCTTCGAAACGTCGCAGAAAGCGCAAATCGCTTGTGTTTGGTGCCGGCTCACCTTTAAAAGTTCCAGATTTCGCGGCTTCTTTAGACGACACAAAAATTGAAGATGCTGCGGAAAAAGCGGAAATATTCCCCTTGTTCAAATCATCGGTAATAATTGAAATTTTTAATAAGTGCATACTCAAATTAAGACACCCGAGCCACAATTAAAAGAGCCAAAAAGACGAGCGCGTCGATCAGTAAAAATTGAAGCCGAGAAACCGGTAGAGGATAAAAATGTGAATAAAAGAAAATCGATTGCGGTAACTAGGAAAAAGAGCGCATTTTTTGCGCCACCGACGACTTCTACAGAAGTTTCAAAATTTGCAATTGAGACAACGGTGAGATTTCTTAAATTCAATTAAACAAATAATTTTATTGAACATGTTTTTTTTCTAAAGAAACCTGCAATTGAGAACACTCGTAAAACTCGTAGACGGACATTAATAAAGACGCCGGAAGTTATTGAAATTGACGACAAACCCGAAACACCGCCGCCAGCTGTTCCACAAAAGGTTTTCTCGATATTTTCAACGAAACCTCCGAAAACATTGCCGAAAATTGTGGATAAGGTGCCATCTGGTCCGAGTTTAGAAGAACTGACATCCAAAAAGTCAAAGACAGGTTCACTTCATTTTAGATACAATTTCCATTTAATTATTCCAGTTGAGAAAGTGACATCAACTGTCTCTTACTTTAAAGATACCAAAATTCTGGAACCGCTCTTCGCTAATTCTTCTGAAAATGACAAGGCATCATTTTTCCTTCAAATATAATAATGCTGAATGAAATTGAAGGACTGGTTCCGAGATTGCGATAGATCCGACGAAGAGAAGCCTCATTTCCCATTCCGATTACTCTCTGCGTCAGAATCTAGTGATTATGATATTTTGAACGGAATTCAAACTCCGCCAGAATTCTCTTTTGATCCAACATATATGGATATTGAGCCGGCTTGGGATGAGCTAGTTGAAGGCAAAGACGAAATGCTAAGAGTCATTCAATGGCTTCGAAGGTGGAAGAAGAAAGTTCGAAGAATAGGTAAATTATTAAAATTCTTGAATATTTTATTGGTTTTCTTTTTAAGCACAAAAAGAGCAGGAAGCTGAGCTAAATTCGAAAAAAAAGAAAGTTAGCAGCAGCGCGAAAAAATCTAAAAAGTATAGGGATGACGATGATGAGGACGATGAGGATTATGAAGGTTCAGACGAGGAAGAGCTCGAGAACCCCTTGATCTTGATTGGACCAACCGGTGTAGGAAAAAGCGCATTTGTTAGTTGAATTAAAAATTCGTTTAAAAAACGTTATGAGTATCATTTTCAGATATCATCGTTAGCAAAAGCAGAAAATATGAAAATTGTTGGAATGGGACCGGAAGTTGAGAGAAACGGTATGGCAATTCGATCGAAACTAACTGAAGCTATGAAGTCGCACCGGGTACTCAAGCTTCTCTTAATTTTTTTAAAATCTTGGTTACATGGAGTTTAGGTGAATACCCAGCAGCCTAGTGGGTTATTGGTGCGTTTTTTCGCCAACGAGCGAGTCGAATATCGCAAAAAAGACAATGATGGTCCGAAAAAAGAAGCGTCCAAGTGTGTTTTGGACACCGATTTTGCGCAATCGCTTGTCGTTTTTGAGCACGTCGACTTGCTGTTTGGAAATTTGGATCGGCACGCGGCGACAGCGTTGATCGATCTAGCCAACACAGCCGCAGTGCCTGTGGTTTGGACGTGTGATTCGGAATACCCGAGGAGCGCATATCAAGCCGAGCTCGAGAAATCGCCGCTTCTAGTGCATCTCCGACGACGAAATACTAAAGTTCGGAATTATGTGCAGGTAGCTTTAGAATTTATATAAATGACTACGAGAAATTTGCATTTTTCATAGAAAATGGTTCAAGAATCAACCGGAATCGAAATTGACGATGACAGCATGAATCGATTGGCCAAATCGGTCAACTATGATCTTCGAGGTCTGATTCAGCAAGCGAAGATATTCGCGTTTGTTCCGGATGTTTGTCGAATTGAAATGTGCCATTCAAAATGCTCGATAAATTTTCAGAAGCCTCTTCCGTTGGGTAATCGATATTTGATAAATGCGGGCTTCGATACGGTTTGGCAATGCGAAACAGAGAAATCGTTGCGAGAGACATTGAAAGAACAGGCAGAAGCCCGAAAACTTCTTGTTGAGGAGAATTTGATAGCGACCTATACAGATATTTACAAAATCGCACCTGACGTATCTATTTTTCCAAAGAATGTTCAAGAAAATCGTTTTTAGGGGTTAATAAGGTTCCCAAAAATTGGAATTGAGCGCTTGCACGACAATGATGAAATAAATCTTTGTAAGAAGGTACAAATTGTAAAAGGGTTGACAAAAAAGCGCAATATTTAATATTTGCAGATGTCGCAATTCAATGAAAACTACGAATTGGGATACCGATCATTTTCGGGAAGATTCTCGAAGAAAAGCATGATAACTGATGTTCTACCGATTTTGGAATATGCAGAAGAAGTTGAGAAAAAACGGAAAATGGCTTCGAGGAGGTATTTTAAATCTTGCAGCAATAAAATTTTCTTCTGATTTCAGGCATCAACATCGTTTCACAGCTGCAAACATATCGGAATATTCACTGGATGATGAGGGATTGATGCAGGCGCTTGCCAGAATCCGCACATTATCCACTTCATAGTCCACTAACAGGTGTTTTTCAGTTATAGCTCGAATTTTGTATGTGAAATACATATACGTGTCAAATATTATCGTTTTATGCAATTGGTATCATGTGAAATAAAGATTTTGCGCCACTATGAGATTTAAAAAATTTTGATTTCGAAGAATACGACTTTGACAAAAGCAAAGGAGACATCTTCTGCTTAGAAGGATTTTATATTGAAAGAGCTTCAACCTTCAGCTGAAACGATTGAAAAATTTCGAATTGACCCATAATCAATGTATGAACTGATGATGTTTTGAATGAATATCGGCGAATTATCATTATATCAAAAAATTGTGTTCGCCACAAACCACAAAAATAACAATATCAATAGATAGATGACTGGCCTTAAGAGATATGGGCCAATCGCAAAATATTGCAAAAATGTATGATTTCAAAGATTCGAAGTTATTTAGCATTGAAATTTGATAACATATCAGATAATTGGCATTGAATTCAATAGAGAAATGCTTCTAGCAAAAAAATGAGAAGGTTAAAATAAACCCGAAATATTTGAAAAATATTTCCTTTATTAAAAACTTAAAATTGTCTATTAAATTGTTTCATTTTGATTTGCAGAGAAAATAAAAATAAATGATTGTTTTTTTTCTTTCTTTTTACCTCTATTAAAAATTCCATTTTTGATGCTTCCCTAATTAGGAATTATCAACTAATTAGTAGAACACTCATTTATTTTATTACCTAAATTGATAATAACCTGATTCTTAAAGTGCATACTTTAGAGTTTATCAAACTAGTAAGACCGATGGCGACCAGAAAGATCAGACCACAACTTTGTGGTGTTTGTGACCAGCCGAAAATGCAATTCGCTATAAAAGGCAATGGGAACATAGCGTAACATCACACCGACGATGCTACTACGTTGCCTTCTCTTCATATTATTTACGAGCGTCGGCTCGCTGAAAATTCTCGTCTACTCGCCGGCATTCGGTGGAAGTCATACTAACTTTATGGCGCGATTGGCCGACGTGCTGACCGAAGCTGGGCATAACGTCACATTTTTGGTGCCTGTTGGAGACGAGGCTCGAAAAAATCAACTCGGCGTCAAATTAACAAAGAATGTGGTTGTTGTCGAAAGGGATGAGCACATGATCAATGCGAATGTTTCCGAAATGGACCATGAGATGAAGAACATGTGGTTATTGGATCAGGATCCCGACGAGGTTTCCGAGGTATTTTTTCAGTTAATCATTCTATGTGTTAAATAGCAAGTTTTAGAGCTTCAAGTTCTTCGAAGGCATTTTTCTAGAAATGTGTGCAAATTTAATGCGCAACAAACAGATTTTCGATGAACTGAAATCGAGACATTTTGACGTCGGAATCTTGGAACCGATTTCATACTGTGGATTAGGTATACTCATAATTGTGATTGCAATCAATAATAGCGGTTGTCAGGATACATAAACAAACTTGGAATCGACAAGACAATATTGGCATCTTCCACAGTAATGTACGACAATATTCCGATTATTTGCGGAGAAGATCTTGAGCCGAGCCATCATCCGTCTCTGTTGGCAACGAGTTCCGACGATATGAATATAATTGAACGCTATCACAACTGGAGAATGATGAAGGTTTTTGATGATTCGCAAAATTGTTTCAAACCCTACGAGTTCAGATTAACATCGATTCGGCTGAGAGAATGTTCAACAAGGAGCTTGAGGTCTGCCGACAATATTTTGGTGATGATATGCCGCATTGGAGGGTTGCGAAAACTGGAACATTTAATTCGAATAATCGATGCGATTTTAGGACTTGTTTCCAGCCGCCTCAATTATGTTCACAAATTCCAATCCGTTTATGGATTTCCCGCGGCCAATGCTTGCCAAAACAGTTCCCATCGGCGGAATTTCTGTACAGTTGAATAAGATTCGAGAAGCCAAATTGGACGATGAGTGGGACGAGGTGCTCAACAGACGGCCGAAGACTGTTCTAGTCTCATTCGGATCCATGACAGCCTCGTCGGACATGCCGAATAGTTGGAGGTAATTCACGTGATTTTCATTTCATCTTCTATCCGTTCTGCTAAAGGGAGAACATGGTAAAAGTGTTCGAATCAATGAAGCAAGTAACATTTATTTGGAAGTATGAGACTGATGATCTGGAATTCGCCAAGGGAGCTGATAATATTTATTTCTCAAAATGGGTCCCGCAGCCGGCCCTTCTAGGTATATCGTTGCTCATTCTGCTAGTCCATATTATTTTATTCTCTCTTTCAGCTGATCATCGATTGTCCGCATTTTTGACTCATGGCGGTCTTGGAAGTTCAAACGAATTAGCATATTGTGGAAAACCCGCCATTCTTGTAGGAAAATTATGCCAACAAATTGAAACAATAGCCTTTGCAATTCAGGTTCCTCTGTTCGGCGATCAATATAGAAATGCAAAAATGCTCGCCAGGCATGAGGGCTCGATTATTGTGAAGAAGACAGATTTGGAAAATTCGAGCATTCTTAAAGACGCTTTGATCAAAATTTTGCATGACGATTCGTATACGAAACATGCTCAACATTTAGCGGAGCAATTGGAGCATCAGCCTGTCAAACCAAATGAGCTTCTCGTCAAATACACCGAATTCGTCGGAAAGTATGGACCGCTAGAAAAATTGGACCCTCAATCAAGGAAGTTGAACTTCATTCAAAGATACATGCTAGATATTTATTTAATTATCGCAGCGGTTTATTTTTCAATATTTGTAGTATGCTTTTATTTATTATCTCGATTATCTATTGTAATAATGAGCAAAACAAAATAAGGTAAAGTTATAAATTCAATTGATGTATATAATATATATATTTTACATAAATATTTCGTAAACTATTATTATAATACCCGGGATGTGCCTAAACTAATCCAACTCGGCTCTTAAGATGATACTCATCGCATTATTGATTTTTCAGCTTCTTCTCCTACGAGGTTGCCTCAAAATCTCCCTGATCAGGGCTCAGCTGACAAGTTCATCTTGTCCTAGGTGGCCGAGTTTTTGTGGTCGCGTTTACCTCAAAATTTTCCCGCCTTCTTGAAATTCAAAAAAAATCTTTTTATTTGATTCATCGTCTTTTTGCCAATTATTTACGCTATAATTCAGAATGAAGATTGAAAATCAGTTTGACTTCAAATCAAAATGGGCACTAATTGTTTCGGTGCCAGATGTAGACGAAGAAAAGCGGCAAAAAATCGCGTGAGTTCTAAAAATTTGCGTTTCTCATATTCTTTGTAAAATTCCAGCGAATTTTCGAAATGGTTTATGGAAAAATTGCAATACGAAGGCTCTCAAATTGGCCATCATTTCAATTATGAGGTTTTTCTGCCAACACAACATGTTGGAAATATCCTACCATAAATTATTTTCTCTAGGCACTGCCAACCGAGACAATTGAAACCATAGTGAATGATTTGGAGTCTTGTACGAATGCGTATCGACAACTTCAAAAAGTTAAATTTCCACGAAACCATCGAATATTAAGATAAATTGATATTTTTAGCAGCATCCACAAGTGACCTTGGTGATCCATCTTCTTCCCCAATTGAGCTCCAACGAATACGAGTGGATGAAGCTGTTGTCGCAAAGATACGGACTTTTGCGACAAGGAGTTCTCTTCGAAAACGCTATGAATCGTTTTGAAAATGTGGAACTTAGTGTTGAGGCTATTTTCAGGTATGAAAAATAATGAAAATTTGAAAGAAAGAAACGAGAAATTTCAGAAATATGTGTCACTGGATTTATCGCAGCGGTTTAGCAATGGTTCGCGGAAAGTATGACATACGATTTTGGTGTTCTTGAAAAATTTCTAATTCGATTTTCAGCAACTGCGGGCTTCTAATTGGCGAGGGAAAGAAACCAACTTTTGACAAAGTTTTGTTCAACTCTGATGATATACGCTATGCTGTAACAAAGGGTCTCCACTCGTGGGATCTTCCCGTTGGTAAACAATATTTAATTTGTGAATTTGATTTAAAATCTTTCAAATTTTAAGGAAATGAGTGTGAAAGTGCTATCATGATTGCCGGATTTCCCGACATTCTTAATTCATTTGGTGTCGCTCAACTTCTCGCCCCGTTCCGTGTAATTAATGTCACTATGAACGGACCAAGAGAAGCGACCGTAACACTTGAGAACAAATTTCAAGCGTATCAAGTAAAACAAGAAAAATGTGGTTCGTTTTTTAGGAAAAAATCCAAAATTCCAGGCTGCTCGCGTCTTGAATGGAAAACAGCTCAGTCGAAATGATACTCTTTCGGTTGAGGCACTTGGAAAAGAGGTCTCGCAACGACTTGCCTTATAATTTCCCCTTTATTTCTCTTGTTTTATTTTGTACGATCTTGGATTATATTCGATACGGTTTTGTACACTTCGATGAATCTCATTATAATTGATGTTTCGAAATCCCTTATTTTTGTTGAATACATCAATTTTATACCTTTAAAAGTTTGGCTTGCCATTTTCAATGTTAGTATCAAATTATCTGAAGAACTAATGGACGACGAATCGTCGAATGAACCATCGACTTCAAACGCTCCACCAGCAAAATCATTTCGAACCAAAAGTGAGACCTCAAATCCGAGTTGTTCGAAATTTTTGTTATTTCAGCGATTCCGTACAGTCGTAAAATGATACCGGTGATTCGGCCGAAAGTCGCAGAGAAAAGTAATCGTATCTCATGAAAATTTGAAATCTAATATTTCAGCAAAAGCGGGACCAATTCCGACACCTCTGATCGCCCTATTGGACAGGACTCAGTCAGCGAATCAGAAAAAGTAAGAATTAAGTAATATGATCGTCAAAGTTTAAAATATAACACATTTTCGCGGAAAAATGTAATTTTTAAACAAATTTTAAAGTTTTATTATTCTTTAAAAAATTACTTTGTTTTACATTGATTCCGGATTCTTTAGAAAAACGTATTTTCCGGATATGAAGACGATTCTCGAGGAATTCGGTCTGACCGATAATCCGATTGCCTTCAAATCGTCACTTTTTACTGGTTGCTTAATCCATTTAATTCGAACAATCGAAAATAAACTTTTCAGAAAAGCTGGAAATGATCCAAAAGCTTCGTGGCGAGAACGAGTTTCTTCGCGACGAGATCTGCAAGAAGAATGACAAGTAGAACGAGCGCATGAATAACATGAAACTTTATTAGATTCCAGTTGTCGAAAAACCACTCTACTGATTACAAATCTACGCAATAACACCATCGAATCATCAAATCAGTGCCAATTTTTGCACTCGACCATTTCTGGTCTCGAAACGGAAATCGAGGAGATCAAAAGATCTATTGGCGAATGATTAATGAACAAAGTAGAAGACTACAATACCCAATATTTGGTTTCATTTTCCCAATTTGGTTTTTATTTTTTGGGATAACAATAAAAATCACGGGGGGAATGATATATCTTAATATCGTAAAGCGTTCAATTCAGGGTAGAAAGAACCGTGCAAAAATTCAATAATTATCAAACATGGCCGAAAGGAGGAAAATCATGAAAATAAATAAAAGAGGAAAAAAAAAATGCAATTCTTGAATTAGAAAAACAACTATTATAATTAAAACAATGCAACAAAAATTTATGCGGTTCCTGTCACCTGTTTGTAGTTCTTTTGCTGCGTCTCCCACAGTTTTTCAAGCTTCTTCCTCAATTTTTTCGAAACCTGAAAAAGAGAAATTACAAAAATTATCTAATTCTCCAGCAATGTCACCTCCTCCCCTTCAGCAACATGCGTTGGAATTCCCTTATCATCATATTTTGAGAACTTTCCAGCATATTCTCCCTGCTTGAACAACTCCTCGGGCTTAATTCGCTTCTGGGCGAGATCGCGTTCGGCTTTCTCCTTCGCCAATCGCTCTTTCTCCGCTTTTTCGCGCTCTTTTCGCTCCTTCTCCTAAAATATTTCCAATTTTCATCAATTCACTTTTGATTCGATTCAATATACCGCCTGCTTCTGCTCCTGCTCTCGACGCAAAGTTTCGCGATCGACGAGTTTGACACAAGTTTGAGTTGTTCGATCCTCTAGCCGCACTCCGAGTTCGGGTAGAATCTTGTCGCGCAAATTATCACATTCCTAACAATTCGAAATTGGAATTTTTGAAAATTTCAAGAAAAACATACCTCCAAAATTCCAATAATCTTATGCTCTTTGGCAATATTTCTAACTTTCTCTCTGAATTCGGCCAAAGCGGTCAGATACGGCATAACAACGGCTTCCTTCGAGAAGGTTGGTGTAGCTCCAAGAGTGTCAGCACTTAAAAAAAGCGAATGCATTAAAAAAGAACATAAAAAATAAATAAATCTTACTCGTCTTCCGATGAGAACCCAATTTCTTCATATTGCGGAATCGCTCCAAAGATTTTCAAAAGGTTCGTGATATAGGCGGCGATATTTCGAAGAAGAATACAGTTCGGAATTGATCCTTCTTTTTCCTTCTCATTAATATACGCGTTTCCAAGACCAATCAGCTCGCGAATCTTCTCAATAACCGTTCGAGTGTCAATCGAATCACAAAGAGCAGCATGAATCTCAAAAATCGATTGTTAAATCAAGGAACGTTTTTCGTTAATCATACCTCCGCCTTGATTTTCGCCAACTCATCCATCAGTTGCCTCTCGCGTCCTTGCGATTTCTGGTATCCCTGCGAACTTTCCGGCTTATAATACCTTCGAATGTAATCCTTCACAAGAAGGAAGAATTCATTGGCAATCTTTTCGAATTGCAACGCTCGTTCCATCGTCGAAGAACTAAACTTTCAAAACATTGTTTTAAATTGCATCTTCTCGTGATTACCTATAATCTAACACATCAGCCCAATTGTGCATAAGGAACAACAATCGAAGTTGTCGGGGGGTATATTGTTTCAACGCTTCTCTAAAATTCAAAAAATAATCTTAAAATGATCACAAATTTCAAATATCGATACCGAATTGTGATAAAGTTCTTCAATGACTTCGACATTTTCATTCCTTGAATTCGAAGCGTTCCGCAATGAAGGAAATAATTAACCCAATGCGGATCATCATAATGAGCTTCAACCTGAACGTTTCGAATTTTTTAAAAAGCGTGGAATATTTTTTTTTACTTGAGCAATTTCGTTATCGTGATGCGGAAATTTCAGATCGAATCCTCCAGCATGAATATCCAATTTGGCTCCGCAAATCGCCGACGACATCACAGAGCACTCAATGTGCCATCCAGGTCTTCCTTTTCCCCATGGGCTGTCCCAAAACGGCTCCCCATCCTTTGACGACTTCCAAAGAGCAAAATCATTAGGGCTTCTTTTCGACTAAAAATTCAGAATACATTGGAAACATTTAAGGAAAAAATCAATCCCACCTTTAATCGATCGTCGCCCATACTCAATTCCCCTTCTCCTTCCCGCATATTCTTCATCAATACTTCGCTATCGCCTCCATACGCCTCGGGCACAAGTTTTGCATACCTATGCTTCGGATTGTCTTCGAACGCCTTCGTGTCGAAATAAACAGAACCATCGGAAGCAACGTAGGCATATCCATTGGCAATGATCCTTTCGACATATTTGATGACCTCTGGCACATATTCGCTGACGCGAGTGAGCACATCGACCGGCAGCACATGCAGGCGAGCCATGTCGGCGAAAAACTCGTTTTCATACCTAAAAAAAAATAATCAATATCTAAAATTGCGCGATAAAACTCCTCTTACGCTTTTGCGAGCTGATCGAAAACGCTATGATCTCGAACATCTTTGCCGCGTTTCGCGTCAAGCCATTCCGAGAGCACATCGCGAGCTTCGTTCAGCAATCGTCCCTTTAAATACTATCTCGTGTATCGATGGTTTAATGCTGAATTTTTACTTTAGAACTTTCAATCCCAGTTGCGTCTTTTGCAATCATCGCCGCTTCCAACGCTGATGACGAATCTTGAACTTTCTTGATCTAAAATTTTTAAAGTGAAGATTTCTTTTTTTTCAATCGAATTTACCATGACTTCATACATTTTCTTCTTATCAGGATCAAGCTCGTCATTGTATTTTCCTTGGAAATGCTCCAGCGCAGATAGCACATCTTCAATGACCTTCTTCACCGGCGGCGCTTCTTGCGACTCATCGAAATACGATTTGAGCAGATGACGTTGGCGAGCTCTTAAATTCAACAAGGTTGCTTAATTTTAAAATGAAAAGTGCTCAAAAAATTACCTTTTGATGATTTTATCGTCGACATCGGTAATATTCATGATGAATTCGACGTCATACCCGAAATAATTGGTAAAAACTCGACGGAGAATATCAAGCGACAAATAAGCGCGCGCATGTCCCATATGAGCCGAGTCGTAAACGGTCGGACCGCAAATGTACCAACGGACCTGAACAATTTTTGAATTGCAAAAAATTGAAAAAAAAAATGGAAACTATCAATTCGTACTCGTTTTCCATCATTCGGCTCGAAAACTTCTTTTTGACGCGATAAACTATTGTAGATCATCAATTTTGGCGGAGGATGGCTGTTCACTGGCACCTCCCATTGTTTCTGTGTGCGTTTTACAGCCACTGGAAAAAAAATCGAATATTACAGTTGCTGGATTTTCTTCGAACAACCAGGCTCCAAATTCTTCGCCATTTTATAAGCACTCGACGTCAATGATCTTCGATTGTCAATGAATGTAGGAAATATGATGCGATTTGTCGCAATAACCCGAAATGTATTGAGCGATTTCGTTTTGACAACGTTGAAAAACCGCTGAAAACGTTCAATGACGAAGCTTTTCTCGATTTTTTAAACACACACGCATACAAAGAAAAAATGAAAAACAAGGAAAAAATGGTAGCAATTGTTCAAACGGCGGATTTCCAAAGATGAAAACGGAAGTAGCATCATTAAAAGAACAATGTAATATTAAGTGAGGCAAACCGGTTTATATCAGAAGCAGACAGCGGGAAAATGTGGAAGAACAACGGGAAATTGTTTTCTCTAATATTTAACATTAATTTTTGGAAACCGCTTGAAAAGTTGAAAAATAAAAAATAAATCAAGGAAATCATGTGAATTCTCGATTTTCTTATCGAATTACATTTGGAATTTGCGGAATTTTTTGCAAAATTTGATTCGAGAACAACAAATGTCTAAGCTTCTTGAACGTAACGGAAACAGAAAAACGAAACAAGAAAAAGAAAGCGTGGGAAAAAAGTGACTTGAAGCGGACGGCGTATTACATCAGACGCGACCCTCAATCAGCTGATTCAACTCTCTACTCTTCATCATTTTGTGCCCAATGATCACCACAATTTGGCGCGGCTCAAAACGGTCGACGCGTGGTTTTTGAATTAAATTGATAACGTTTTAATTTTTTTAAACTTTTTTTTTGGAGGAAAACTACCGGAAAATTTCCGCAAGTGGGGCTTGCTTCAAATAATTTTTTTTGAAAGACAAGAGTCGAAGATAATCGATAAGTGGATCGGCCTAACATGGTCACGAGAATGAATGGAGAAGCATTTGCACACGAACCGTACGATCGTCTAGCGCCATCGCTGATCGGCGTTCTATTTCGTCGGCGACATCGCTTCGCTCGGCGCCTATTTTTCAATTTTCGATCGCAACATACACGTGGAAGATCGCGGCTTTTTGTTCGAGCGGAACACTTTCACCGCTGTTTTTGGGCATATTGATAAATAAATATTTGCCAAAAGCGAGATTTGCTCAATAGAGAATGCGCTGATGTCATTTGCTGCAAATCCTGAGGTGATTACACTACTGTGTAAAATTGGCCTTTTACATTTCGGAATATGCATTTCAAAAATTAAACTGAGGGGTTATCCAATCCATCCTTTATTAGTTGAAAATCTTAATTTAAGAAATGTGGCAAAATACGTTAATATAAAGGCAAGAAATGACAAAATTTTTGAGAATCTGAAGGGCGTAATTGTACGTTAAATATGGCGCATATCTGCAAACATCCAGGAGATTTTCAAAAAAATATTTTAATGAAATTCCATTTCGGGAAGTTTTTCAATGGAAATTTTTATCAAGAATGAAATTTTAAAAACTTCATGGTGCATGATATCATTTTTTGCAAAAATAAACGTTTCATAGTAAAAAAAATTATATTTAGATTATATATTTAATAAATATAATATTTACAGATGAGTGATACCGAGAATGATGCACTTTCTCTCACTCGTGAAGTAAAAACTACATTCGTAAGAAATAATTCAAATAAAATTTCAGGAAGCACGTTTAACCACTGAGCTTTTCGTGTATATTGTCGAAACCTTGGTATTAGTTTCTCGGAATGTAACCATCAGCTATATTTATGTTGCAGACGCGAAAAAAGTTTGCGAAGCTCAGCGAAGTGAGAAGAATGTACAATATGGTCATTTCAAAAGACAAATCCATCGCATATCGACCGTTTCCTAATATCATGAAAGATGTTTCGACAAGATTTTGGCATTATCTCCATTGGAGGGCAAGAAATTCGAAATGTCTCATTTATACTTTGTTTAATTTCAGTTGTTTATCAATGACGACAAAATCTGCTTTGTCAATTTGCTCAAAATGCCAATCACTGAACAGAACATGTCTGAAGAGGTTTTCTCGCTTTCAAATTTCGAACAAGATCAAAATATTATTTTTCTAGAGTCACAAAATCAACGGAATTCTGAAAGCAGCTTTGATGTACATTTTTGTCGCTAAAAATAATACCGGAATGGAGAAAGGTGTTCTTTTTGAAGAAATTATTCAGTTCTTGGTAATCGTTCGTAGCAATTTTCATTTTAAAATATTTTGAAGGAGGTCCTGTGCACTAGGAACAACGATAAACTGAACACAGAACAAATGAACTTGATCAAAAAGTACATCGCGCCCAATAACAAGGCGATTTTCATCAAAAATGGTTGGATTTCATTCACTAAGAGCAACAATGAAAACGACGAGGACGAATTCCGAATGGATTGGGGGCCGGTGGCCCAACAGAGCGTTGATCCAACAGTAGAATTCCATTTTTTGCAAAATACACTAATTTACGAAATTGCAGAAACTGTTGGAGTTGTTCCAAAACCAAACTGATTTTCCTGTTTCAAATCTTCTTGAGCAAACAAAACGTGCTATGGAGCTTAAAGGCTATCAATTTTTTTCATCTAGCGAGGTACTAATCCGGTTGAAATCATTTGAATATCCCATTTCCATAGGTCGGAGCCGATCCATTGTTCATTCTTCAATCAAAAACCAAACACAAGCCTCAATTAACCCTGTTTTAAATTATTTGATCTCATCCAACTTTAACAAGTAAATCAATTAATTTTCATTTTCAAACATTCGTCAACAGTAAATTTAGTAAACATAACGTTGATCGATGAGTTTGACGCCCTCGTCCTCATTCATTTCCACCATTGCTTGACGAAGACGAGTGATTGATGAATCAGTTAATTGCTAAATTTGCCAATTAATTGTAGTTCCGCGTTCAACATTACCTCAAATTGATCCAAAAGTATCATCGTTGGGCTTGACTCATCTCCATCCGAGCAAATTGTAATTAATTCGATCATATGATCGCAGCCAAGTTGCTAACAAAAAAGGTTGTTTTGAATTCAATTTTGATGTGAATCGTACCCGAGCCAATTGATGCCATTTTCCTTCATTGTCAAATATTTTCGAAACCCGTATTCTAGTGAGATAGTCCAAGTTGCAAACGCTATCTGAAAAAAAGAAGGGTTCTCGGGTGGCATTCATTATTCGTTTTAAAAGAATACCACTCATTTTCTTATTCCAATCACTTCGTTGGCTTCTCGGCGTCGCCGAACTTGTAGATGGACCTGGCTGTTGATCATCGTCATCGGATTCCTCAGACGGTCCAATAACTTGAATAGGCGGTCTCTCATCAGGCTCGTCCAGTAATGATTGAGCGTCTGGACAGGCATTTATTATATAACGAACCAAACAAAGCCGAACCATTCAATATTTCCTCTCTGCTCCTTTTAACCAGTCTACTGATCGTCGGATCATCATCTGGCGCACTATTTGGATGAGAGCGGCCGAATAGTGGCGACCTCGAGGTTGATAGATCATTTGGCGCCGTAAATCCATCCTTTTTAGGTATTTCATGTCGTTCTCCATTGATTATACTCTGCACAACGGTATCAGAGCAATCAGCGAGGCATACACCCTTCGAGTTCATCCTATTCGGATCTGCGCCATGATCAATCAATAATCCGATGGCAGGATAATTCGCATTCTTATTGGCTAGACTAAGTGCAGTATCTCCGTTGACATCCTCAACGTTCGTGTCAGAGTTCTTCTAAAAAACGGATTTGATCATTTTCCGGAAAATTATGAAGACGAACCTCGACTAGAATTTGAATTGCTTCAATGTCATTCATTTCGACAGCATGAAGAAGAGCATTTCGCTTCTTCTCGCGATCCAACAAATTCACATCTGCTCCAGCTTCGATGAGCATTTCAATTAAAGATAGTTTCAGCTTTCGAACGGCCATGTGAAGCGGACAATAACCTTCATTGTTCAGCTGATTGATGTTATAAGATTGACCGCGCGAAGGTTCGAGAATCTCTTTGAATATCGATTCATTATAAGTCTCGCTAAGTAGATGAACCGCCTGAAAATAAGAAACTAATTAGTTAATAAGGCAATTAAAAAGGGTGGGACCGTATTTCCATAATGATCGGCCAAGTCAATGCGCGCCCCGTGATTCATTAAATAATGCACAGCGTCCGGGTCGCCTTCGCGAACAGCGCAGTGAAGAGCCGTCAGCCCTTGAGCATTTTGAATATTGATCACTTCTGAAGCAAGCGCTTTGCTGGTGTTTCAGAATAGCCAATTCTCACCTTGCTTTGTTGAATTCGGGAGAACTGATAAAATAAGCTTCAACGCGAAACTCTGGCTGCTCCTCGACGCGATGTGCAAAGCCCTAAAATAAGCGAGGTTGGTCATTTTGAGCATCATTGGGTCATACGTATTTCCCTCCGGATCGGTTTTGCCGATTAATGGAATAAATGGAGTGAGAAGAGCAATCGGGTCGCCGGTTGTCGCAAATTCAATTAGGTGATCAAATCTGACGTCGTCTAACGAGGATTCTCGTTGCTTTCTGAATACAAAAAACAGTTTTCACAATTTTATTGACATTTTTCTTCCTTGAATTGTCCGCGGATAAATTATTTGATAGCTTTTAATATAATTGTTTGTTTAATTCGCGATCGCTAATCCCCATTCTGCGTAGAATAAATGGTACTGTGCAGATTTTCGAGATCATCCCGAAAATTCGCATTTTCCTTCTTATTTTTCCAATATTATAGTACAATTGGCTTTAATAAAATCGAAAATCTGAGTTTTATGTATTGATTTTTCATAAAAAGTTTGCAAATACATTGTAAGGGACCGTTTGAATCAGTTCATATGCAATGCTGGACACAATTAAAGATTTCAATTTGTTTTGCCCATTTTCTTTACCTTGGCACATATCTAAAAGGCACATTTGTAAAGTTTTCAGCGCTCGTTGAGAATCTCAGCTGAATATCAGATTCAGTTTCTAGAAGCAATGCGGGCGTCGTGAACATAACAATCTAAAAAAGAAAATCGAATTGCAAGGATCATATGATTCGCTTCAAGACCTCAGTTTTCCTGCAAACGTCGAGCGCGTCTTCCTCGAAATTCACGCCAACAAATCGCACGTGAATCACTTCCGATGAATCGCCGGCGCCCGAACACGTCGCCCATACTCGGTCGCCGGGGCTCGCCGAGCACACGCTCAAATCATCAATGAGTATTCGCCGGAGTTGACTCGATGATTTATTCACCGCCGGCGAGATCACCTATGAGAATCATCGAGTACGTCTGATGAAATAATTTGACCGAGAGCGAATACCTCCGAATCCGATCTCGACTTTTGCACATTCTCCAATGAGCCATTCAAACAATCATCAGATGACATTGGGAACAATTCAAAACACACAATAAGCAGCGAAGAAGACAGCGAATCGATTCGAAATGAAAATGAAATGAAGCCTAAGAGATTTCGCTTCTCTCTATCTGTGTTTGTGTGCACGCGGGAATTGTGTGTAAACTCTTATATTGCCTCGCGATCTCTCACAGCGCAAGATTATTGGATCAAGTGCTTTTTGGTAGATTTCAACATTCTATAGCCACGTTTATGAACAACAAACAATAACAAAGATAACAACAATAATAATAACAATGACGAAAACTAGTTATTCATCGGCTTCATCGTCTTGCGCAATGCTCAAGTAATTCCGCTTGCGAGCTGTGTTCGTGTACGAGCGGAGCACCCATTCGTCTTCAGCCGCCGCCAAATTCTCCAATGTGCCCAGTTTGATTTGGTACGCTGAACATCGTGACATCATTTTTGCACTTTTGATTGATTTATTGGGGGTTACGTTTTGTTTACTCAAACAGAAATTATCTGAACGCTTTTCGATACTTGAAACCCGAAAAGTTTAAGAGGTTTCAAAACGATATTTTTGCGATAAACAAGAAAATGCTAGTTCAATAATCGACCTACTCGGAATTTTTTTTTTCAGAGATGTTTGATTTTTGAAAACAGCTGGTTTCGGCTTTACTGCCGTGTCATTAATTTTCTAACTTATTCAATTTTTAAGTGTCATTTTGCATTCTGCATAAATATCTCGCATTTTTTTTTCTGGAAAAAATGCACTTACGTTTCAATTCAAATCTAGGACCGACTTCGGATAATTCGATCTCCCCACTAGCGTCCGTCTGCAATATATAATTTCTTAATATAGCAAATATTATAATTACCTTATAAACGTGATGTCTAAATGAAATATAGTCATTGGTGTTGGAAAACGTCATGACCCTATGCGAATCAGGTTTCGGCACAGGAAACAAATGTTTCAAAATCGTCGTGAACTAAACATTCAAAACTAATTAAATTAATTCGAAGTATATAAATTTTCACCCGTTTCCCAAGTTTGCTGTCGAGTTTATTAAAAATTAAATGCGGATACTGTTCGCTCATCGTTCCACAATTCGGAATATCGTGACGCATTACAACATTCGTCAAGGAAAAGAATGCCGTCGGGCCAAAAGAAAGATGGCAAACAATCATTCCGTCGGGATTTCCACGAGTTTCTGTCAAAACTATCAAATCTGTGGTCTAAAATGTTTTTAAATAAATAAATCTTTTGAAAAAATCGTATTTTGAACTTACATCTTGTGCACGACATGCTTGAACTAACTGCTTAACATCATAATGACCTCTGTTGATTCTTTGACTATTTGGGAAAACCAATCGCATTTCCTATTAAAAAAAACACACTATTAGCAGTCATAAATAAATAAAGTTTACCTTTGAGAACATTTTCAGCCTACTAGAGGGATCACGGCTTGTTGTAATAACAATTTTTGGATCTTGAGCGCCGGCCCAGCGATATTCGTCATCGATTCCGTATACCTGGGAAATTTGATGGATTTGAACACAAAAAAAACTTTTACCTGTCCTCCCCAATCAGCTCCTTTTGCTAGTTCAATGGCATCTTTTCTGTGATTATAGTCAATTTTTCTGCAAAAGTAAATGAATAGACAACTTCATAAAATATTAAAAGCTAACGTATTATTTTCTAAAGCCTCGCGAATTTTTTCTCTCTTCTCTTCTAAGCCTCGCTGCTTTTCTTCTAGTGATTTTCTAAAAATGTACTCACGACGTAAACGATTTTCTCGACGAATCATTCTGAAAAATGGAGCTCACGCATGTTAGAAAAATAAAAATATGTTAAAAAAAATAATAAATTTAGCGCATACGGTTTGCAAGTCCGCAACACTGGTCTGCAAACATCTCGTCCTACCGTATCTAATAAATTTCTTATTCGCTGCTCCTTTATTTCATTCCCTTGGATTTTATTTCGAACAAAACTGATAAAATGTTTTGCAATAATCGAAAGATTTAAGGAAAGTCAATTTGATTGCAATACTTCAAAAACGGGTATAATGGACGCAGAAGCTAAAAATTGGATGGAAAATAATTCGGAAGGAATTAGAGCGGAAGCTCAAAAATTGTTCCGTCTTGAATGCATTGAAACACTTACGTGGCCACCATGTTCATCCTTACCAGAAATAATTAAAGGGTAAATCTATTTTTTGAAGAAAATTGCGATAAATATTTTCATTTGAGGCAAAAATCCGAATCAATTGAATTTGAGCTGGGTGAGAATCTGAATAATGGAGCGATTGGGCCTATGGAGCCATCGACGTACATTAGTCCAAAAATCGATAGCGATGGCAACATTATCGGTATTTTCAACTATTTCAATAAAAAAATCGCTTATTTTTTCAAGATTTCATCGAAGAAGCTCGCTCTTCAGCAGAGTTTGGGTCTTCGACTGTTTCAATGTCGATTAATAGGTTTTCAAAACTGAAAAATTCCGAAATAAACACATTTGCAGAGCTCCTTTTAAGTATGCAAATGCCAATACGTCCTCAATTAAAGGCTCATCGAGCAACGTGCCATTTCTTCCGGGTAAACAATAAAAAAGCCAATGAAGCTGAAAATAAAATTGTAGGCTACGTTGATGATTTGGATGAATTTCTCGAGTCCGAATCTTCAATAGAATGTAAACATGATGAGCTGAAATTTTTGGATTTCTCAAATCCCGATAAATTCTTGATGGATGTGCCGGTTATTGGAACTGTCGTGTTTCCTGCCGTTGCTCCAACGCCAAGTTCAGAAGAAAAGGAGGAAATTGAGGAGAAGGCATCGTTCGATTTGGAATCTGGAGACTTCTTCGATCTCATTGATTTTGTGTCGTCGGGAGCGCCGGTATGCGTTCCAGAAGCTGAAAGTGCAAATCCGACGGAGAACGATGAGAAGCCAGAATGTGATGAACCTGATGAAAAACCCGTAGAAGACGAAATCGACGTCCCACTACTTGAAGCTGAAAAAACAAACGACGACGATGACGACGATTCGACAACACCGCCAAATATTTCCACGGAAAAATTTGCCTATGCGAAGGAAGTGGAAACATTGAGCGATTTTGAGGAATACAAACAGTTATTGCCAACAATGGCAAGAAAAGTATCCCCAAATTTTTTGAAAAATTATCGCTTATTTACCATTTTTCAGTATCCTTTCGACTTGGATCCATTTCAGCAGGCTTCAGTTTTGTGCATGGAACGCGGTGAATCGCTATTCGTTGCTGCGCACACGTCGGCCGGTAAAACAGTTGTCGCCGAATACGCGATTGCAATGTGTAAATCGCATAAAACACGGTTTGAATTGATCGAATCAAAATTGTTTCGCAATATTCAATTTCAGGGCGATTTATACGTCGCCGATTAAGGCGCTATCAAATCAGAAGTTCCGCGATTTCAAGCAAATCTTTGATGATGTCGGACTTGTCACCGGCGATATTCAGCTTCATCCAGAGGCATTTTGTATAATCATGACCACCGAGATTCTCCGGTCAATGCTTTATAATGGATCTGATGTGATTCGAGACCTTGAATGGGTGGTCTTCGACGAGGTTCATTATATCAACAATGAAGAGCGTGGACATGTCTGGGAAGAGGTTTTCTCTTTAAAAAATGCACCACTTAAAAATTGATATTGAATTTTCTCAAGGTTTTAATCATGCTTCCCGCCCATGTGAAAATTGTGATGCTTTCGGCGACCGTTCCAAATTGTGTCGAATTCGCCGACTGGGTTGGACGCATCAAGAATCGCCGAATCAACGTGATCTCAACACTTCGGAGACCGGTGCCACTCGAGCATTATCTGTACACGGGACAGGACGGCAAAACTCAACGTGATTTGTTCAAAATTATTGATCGAAACGGTAATTTCATCATGAAGGGCTACCGAGAAGCCAAAGAAGCGAAGGAGAAACTGAGCGAGAAGGCTCAGCGGATGATGAGTCAACAGAATACGCGAGGAGGTGGCGTCGGCGCGAATGGGCGTGGAAGGGGAAATGGACGAGGCAATGGACGACCGGCAAATTCGGGAAAATCGTGGCCGGGAAAGAATGACAAGGCGATTTACTTGAATCTAATCAATTTCATGAAGGCCAATGATCAATTACCGCTGGTGGCGTTCGTGTTCTCGAGAAAACGGTAGCAAGAATGATCGTAATAATGCTCATTTGTATTTCTAGATGCGACGAAAATGCGCAACTCTTGAGCTCCATGGACCTCACGTCGGCGGTTGAGAAGTCGCACGTGCACAAATTTTTCTCTCAATGCATCGATAGGCTGAAAGGGAGCGACAAACAGCTACCGCAAGTGCTCACAATGCAAGAAATGTGCCTTCGCGGATTCGCCGTTCATCACAGCGGAATTCTTCCGATTCTCAAAGAAGTTGTTGAGATGCTCTTTCAGAAGGGTTATGTTAAAGTAAGCGGTTGTTTTCTGCTTTTTCTAATAATTATTTATTAGATTCTATTTGCTACTGAAACGTTCGCGATGGGCGTTAACATGCCGGCGAGATGTGTGGTTTTTGATAGTATTTCTAAACACGATGGAACTGAGAGGCGACTCCTGAACCCTGGCGAATATACGCAGGTTTTTATTGACTAAATGCATTATATATGTATATATGCAAACTTGAGATGGCTGGTCGTGCTGGACGCCGAGGTCTCGACTCGACTGGTACTGTAATCGTTTTGTGCAAAGATGCTCATGTGCCGCCCTACGAAGGGCTTTGTAAACTGATGAGCGGCTCGGCTTTGAGGCTCGAGAGCAAGTTTCGTGTAACATACTCAATGCTTCTCAATTTGCTAAGAGTCGAACAGCTTAGAATCGAGGACATGCTGAAAAGGTGAGTTGCGTAACGACGGCCGAAAAAAACAATAGTAGAGGTCTTGTCGCGAAACCGGAAATGTAGATTTACGAGGATTGGTTAAAAGCACTCGGCTCGCGGGAAGAGCTCTCGTAAAAATTTGAACTAATTTATACTTACAATAGATTGGCGGATTATTAAAAACATCGAAAATTGCAGTAATTTAAAGGGAGATGCCAAAAATTCCAATTTTACGTCACCTATTAATTAAGGGTGATTGCATTGATGCCAAGAAATGCTGAGAAAAAGCCGAGGCAAATCTGACTACTGATTTTGAATTTTAATAGTATTCGTGTCAACACTCGATGCACAAATGCAGACTATGCGTCTTAAATTTCATTATTTTTGTGATATATCGTAGAAAAAACATACCTGAATTTTCGTCGACGCGAACCGTATCAAAATTCGGAATCATCATATATATTTTAATTGTCCTTTTTAGGAGTTTTGTCGAAAGCGACTCACTTCGAGAATCGAGAGATCGAAAAAAACTGTTGAAAGATGTAAAATACTTTTTTTTGTTCAACGTAAAATATTTGTTTGATATTGTCAGGCCCAAAAAATGCTCGACGAGATGTCAACGACCGAATGCTCGGTTTGTGTTCCAGCCGATTCGTCAAATTGGGAAGGATCGCTTCTAGCCTTTCACGACGCTCTCGCGAATTTTGTTGCGACTCGCGCAGAATTGTGGCCTAAATTGAATGGTCCGTGATTACTATCGGAACATTATTATATCGATGGATTCAGGGGAAATTTCAATTAACAAATTGTTCGCCTCCGGTCGATTTTTGATAGTTTCGAGCGCTCAGCACGGATTGCAGAACGACCTGGTGATGTTGCTCAAAGAAATGCAAAACGGCGGCACACGAACTCTTCAGGTACTTTTTTCTTTCTCGAAAATCACTGAAACTTGATAATTTTCGATTTTTAGATAATGTATCCTGTAAAAGACTACGATGAATGCCATGAGCGCAATCAAAGTGCCGAGAATTTTTTAAAGCTTTCGAAAAAGGTGGTTCTATGCAAACTGAGATGACAAAAAAAGAAATGTCTTCTTCTTTTTTTTTTAGGAATCTGAATGGGAAACTGAAGAGAATGCAATGCTTGGTGTTGCACTTTATGGTGTTCTTGGAGTTCGAGCTCATAGCGAAGAGAGGTACCAAAAATTTCAATCGACCAACAACTTCTCCCCAAATAAACGTGTATAGAAATTTCTTCCGCGTCTGCGAAGTCGCGTTCAACACCGTCGTCGGTGTTGTGAAAAAAATCGCGAAAGCTGTGAATATCGCCGACATTGTGCAGGACTATCAATTGAAAATGCTTCCGCGGTTCAGAAAGCAGGCGGTTGCCGATATGACGGCCAAGGCAATTCAGCAATGTATTTCAGTGGCGGCTGATATACACAAAAATGAAATTGAGGTGGTTTACCGAAGAATTTCAAAAGAATATTGGAAATTGTTAGGTTTATCAAATGATTGAACTTGTGAGATCAGTATCAAACATTGAATTGAACAATGATGCTTCGATGGCGGCTTCAGCGGAACTCGATTTTCTTGATTCTCAAGCATTCCCGGCGAGATATTGTACAAGATTTGAGGAGCATGTAAACAAATTTAAAACGATGATATAGTGAAAATGAAAACATTTGCAGTTCTCGAAATTACGAAATCGTGTCAAGGTGGAACGAGCGGCATCAACTCTCCAGTATGAATTATCGAGTGATGCTCTTCTGCTCAGCGAAGAATATCAAAATAAACTCAAGGTTTGCCATATTCCAATTTTCGTTGTTGTTGTTTTTGCTGTTTTTTTTCGCTTTTCAAATTTCTAAATTAGGAGGTGAAAAAAAAATGCCTCAGGAGAGTCGAATTTCGGATTCAGGTCCTAGAGGAGCTCGAATTCGTGCAAGCCGACAAAATGGTGAGCCTCAGAGGGCGTGTTGCCTGCGAGATTCATCATCAAGAGCTTCTAATCACCGAGCTGATTCTCGGCTACAAATTCCATACGAGACCGCCAGCGGAGCTCGCTGCACTTCTCTCAACGCTCACATGTCAATACAATTCGGGCAAAGAATTAAAGTTCGACAAAGATTCGGTGTTCTTTGAGGTTTGTTGATGTGAACACACACACACACAAACTTGAAATTTGTAGATTCGAGAATGCGTGGAGTCTGTGATGAAGCGACTTGAAACGATCGCGGCGAGAAATAAGGCGCAAATTGCGGAGGTTGGAGGCGAGGTTGGGAATTTGAAAGAAACTTGATGAATTTTGCGAAAAATGTTCAGATTCGATATGATTTAATGGAAGTTGTTTACAATTGGGCACTTGGAGTGGTAAGATTGTATATTTCCGTAGAAATCTTGGTTTTTTAATTACAGCCTTTTGCTGAAATTATGAAACTCACGGATGCTCACGAAGGTCTTATAGTAAAGTGCATTCAGCGATTAGATGAAGTCTGCAAGGACGTCAGGTACGTTCTTTTCTTTTATTGATAATCAACCTTTTGAATGAATTCTAGAAATGCTGGCCGAATTGTCGGCGATCCTGCCCTTGTTGAGAAAATGGAAGAGGTGAGCGCGTCGATTCGAAGGGATATCGTGTTTGCAGCTTCGCTTTACACTTCAGTATAATTCTTTAGTAATTAGTTTTTTTTTTTTCAAAGTTTCAATTTCTTGTTACTTGGGTATTTTTATTTCAATTGATTTTGTTATTGTTTTTTTTTTCAAATAATTTTACACAATTTCCATAACTCGGTTAATTCACGTATGCGAATTGTCATTTTGAACTCGGCATTGCCTAGGAATCGATTGCGATGAACTTTTATATATCAATCCTACTCTTATTATTCTCGTGCCATATTTGGTAAAATTTCGCGGGATGTGGCATCGTGAGCAATGAGAGGATTTATAGGCGGACACATGCGAATGTCGCAATTTTAAAGTTTATCATAATTGATAGCGAGCCAGACACAAACTGGAGTCAAGCGGTTGAAGAAGTAAATTTGAGAGAGAGAGAGAGAGAAAAAGAAATTTTTTATAATAAAATTTTACCAGCTTATTAAATACACGTCGAGGCAGGAAAAGTATGCGCCGCAGACGTTTAATGCATCGGCAAAAGAAGATATTTGTGAGAAAATTGGAAATATCGACCGAGCCAAACAGCCATCGGATGTCATTATTGTTGTGAAATCGTTTGGAATGGTTGAATGGCGTCTGGAAAAGTGGAAATTTACAGAGCGGAGTCGAAAATTCTACGATGTGACACCGAATGGGGTCGAATGAATTTTATAATTGTTAACGTAAGAATTGAATTCAAATCAGAGATGTGCGGGGAAAACCGTCGGGAAATTGAAGGGAAAACTTTTTCCCGGTCTAAATCTCCGAAAAAAGTAGTTTTATGTGGTTTTAGCAGTTTCCGTTATTATTTAAACAATAAATAAAACGAAAAACTCATTAAGCCACACAACTCGATGTAATTAGAATAGAAAACGAACAAAATCCTATCTGAAATTATGAAAAAGATTTTTCGCTGCAAAATATTTTAACGGTTTCCCACATGCGCCTTTAAACTCTACAGTAATCCTTGGTTGAAAAATTGAGGCGCCGAACGCGGAATTTCTCAATACTTAGTTCCGGGAAATTTCTCGCACATCCGCATTGTTGATTCGATTATTTTTTTTTAATAAATTCCAGTTTGATCCAAATTTCAATGGGACATCGTTTTTAGCCCAGGTTGAATTAGTTTTAAATTTTAAAAAAAATGAGTATCGGTTTTAGATGAGATTGACTTCTGATGAATCGGCGCAAAAATTCATCATCGAAACTGTTCGAAGCCCCGAAGAATTCATCAAAGTCGTTTCCAATATTCAATACAAATTCCCATATAGCCGAATTCCGGATGATTATCCGTTCAAGGCGGTAATCTCCTTAAAATAATTCTGATATTCGCAATTTGTCAGGAGCGAGAAGAGCGCATTAAACGACGATTCTACCTTGCCATTATATCGCTGCTCGTTCTTTCGGTGTTGTCGTTGCTCACAATCATGTTCATGACGAGTTTGGCGAGATACAACGAGCGGAAGAACGCGCACAAGGGACATCAAGCTCATCACAAGCATAGCAATGAGATTCGAATCGAGAAGAATCCGCTGAGCAAAGAGCCGACGAACTCGAAAGAGGCACGCCCGAGTTTTTCTTGATCTCAACAAAACACAAAGAATAGTTTTGCAGGAGGACATAGAACATTCCAAGGAGAAAATTGACAAGCAGCCCGAATCGAAGAAATCGGAACGCGAGAAAGAGCGAGCCGTGTCGCCGGCGCCGACGATGGACAAATCGCAAGGCGGAAGCAAGAATCGATCGAAGAAGAATAGCGAGAAGATTGGAAGCAAGGAGAAGGCGCCAGGCAAAGATGGCGCCTCGGAAAAAGATGCGTCGATGAAGGCGGAGAAGGTGGCGCAGGCGGTGTCGAAGGAGCGAAGCGAGGAGAAGGAAAAGGTGACGCAGGATGTGGACGAATCAATGAAGGCGCAGAAGCCGACGGAGACATCGACGAAGACCAATTAGTCATTTCGTTGAACCCACAAAATGTTAACCACATGCACTTTATTTTATCTCAAAAATGGCAAGAATTAGACTGGAATTTGTTGTTGATGATGATGGGCTGTTGATTCAATAGTAATCATCGCGGTATCCCACTGAAAACCGATTATTTGCGCGCACCGATTTCTCGTCGTCTCGACTTACTGTATTTGTCGAAATCGCTCGGATCGCGCTTGGCGTTCTTCGGGATTCCGTAGAATTTCTTGAGATATGAGAGCGGAATTCGGTCGAGACTTCCGAACGCCGATCTAGAAAATTCAAAATTTGAGATCTTGTCGTGTGCTTTGGCTTACCCTCCCATCGAGCTTCTCTTCTGTTGAGCGCTGACAGAGCCCATCAATAGAGCGCACAGAGCGACGACAACGCATACCCAATACGATTTCAGCATGATTCGTGTGTGGCTGGCACTGCAAAAATGACTGAATTGCGCGTGTGACGGCCGAGAAAAAATGGGGGCGTGGCCGGAAAACGGAGGGCGGGATTTCACACGCACAGCAAAAAAAAAAGAACCACGAGCGAATGGATGGATGGCGTTGAACGGACCGGGGGAAAACGACAACAATGGCGCGAAAATTTTCTATACATATGTCATCACCATTCCGGAATTTCACAATTAACCGAATCGGCGAGCGAGATGCGAAAATTTCGAAAAATTGGCAATTTGAAATGACGGAGGCGTCACACCAAATGAAAACAATACGGCTTCTCGAATTTTCGGCAAACAGCGACGAATTGATTCGGAATTTTTTTTAATTGGCTGGCTTCATTTCGGTTTTTGCGCCAATTTGGGCGATGTTGAAAAATTGTGCGGATTGCGTTCTGGATTGCAGCAGAGGTGTATGAAGTAGTTGAAAAGAACAATTGGGAAGTGATTCAGCGATCGACGCAATTCGTCGTAGTTGCAAGTGACACTAATTGAACCAAATTAGGGGTGAAGCTGAGTCACTTAAAATTGGACAGGATGAGCAGACATTCAGTGGCACTAGATTTTGATTGAGGTTGATTTTAAAATTAGCTCATTTTTGATTTCTTGAATATCGAATTGCTAATCCTTTATTTGTCCTTGCGAAACTAGAAAATCGAAGAGTCAGGCTTAAATTTTTCATCGAGAGTTTTAAAAATGAAAACTAAACCAAGGGAAATTTTATTATAAAAAATATCTGCGGACATTTTCCGGGATGCGCCACATCCGCCCGTATGCTGTCGCCGGTGGCGGGAATTCAAACGCTGCTTTTAACAACACTTCCGTCCTTCGAATCATGAATTCTTTTAGAAATAGCAAAAACCTGAGCAGAATAGAAGGAGAAGAGTCCATATTTAGAAAAAAAACGACTCAAATCGAATTCGAGCACACTGAATAATTTATAATTCGTTCGTGGGAAGACAAAAAAAAATGATTGAGTTGAAAAGGCTCTCATTTCTTGTAGGCCACGACTATATTGGGGGGGACAAATTGAATTAGTCAAAATCATCTCGAAGATGCATATTCGACAAATGCAATTTGCGCACAGAACAGATGAGTTTTGAGTTGAAAACGAAGGCATTGAGACGGAGTTGGAGCATTCGAACGATTGGGTCCCAACACGAAAATTGTTTCAGCTAAGTTGTGAACGAAAATAAACATTTTGTTGTTGTGTGTTTTTTTTTCGAAATTTCTCACCCTTACTACAAAATTAAAAAATTTTAGATAGACATTTTCGCACGAACAGATTCGGTCGTCGAAGAAAATTAAACGTTTGAAATCACGTCATGAATCGCTGCGGGACCAAAAATGTTTAAATGAACACACATCGAAGAAGTTGTTTATGATCCCCGCTAAAGAATTCTAGGAAGCTTCAAAGCCGATTATATGAAAAAATCATAAAATCCTGCTATTTGTTTTTGCCACGTGGATTACACCGTTTTCGCCTATATCAGAATATCAAAGAAATCGAAAAAGTTTTGGCACAAAATTTTGTCCAAACACTTTTTTGAATTGAGCGAATTTCGAAATTTTCCACAAATTATCGACTTTCTGCAATTTTGCGTGCGTGTGCGTGCACACTTTTATTCCTTCTTTTCAAATTTTTCGAATCCAACAATTTTCGTAAACGGTATGACGTGTATGGTCTTACGCGGAATCACTAGTCATCAGATCATAGGTCTACTTAAATTTGGTGTCTTCCAGAGAGACTAACGAAGGTATCTTTGGAAATTGTTGAGTTTACAATTTGCCAAATAAGTTAAATTTTAGGATTTATTATTTAAAGAAGACTTTTAAGAATATTTTGAAGCAATAAGAAGTATCAACTAACTTTACAATTTCTCGCAATATTTTAAAATTTATTTGCAATTTTTTTCTTCATTTTAAAATGAATTTAAGGTCATCAAAATTGATAAAACCAAGAAATTCAAACGTCGATAGAAAAAAAAATTGACAGAGTTTCTTTTTTCAGATCCACTCGACCGGAATGTGATTTTCTCATTATGATTTTTTTATTCACAAAAATTCTAAAAACTATTCGACCATATAGTATGTTAGTGAGAACTCGACTGTGCTTGACGTAAATCGTTTCGAGACCCAGGAAGGAAAAGATAACAATGAGATTTTGTAGTCGTAAAACCACAATTTTTGTTCGCGCGGCACGCGTTTTCTCGAATACAATACGCGTTTATTGTTGAGCCGCACATAAAATAAATGTATTTAAAAAAACGCGCACGGAAAATAATTAAAACGGATGAGGGCAAAACACACACTTATCATCCAGTGTGGCTACCGTTTCTGGGGAAACTTTTTCGCTAGATTCAGCGCTCGGCGGACAATCGCCGGCGCATTCTCAGTTTTGCAAGCGCGAGGGAAGGAAACCACAAAAAAAATGAAAAAGTTTTCGCACTTCGCATTTCATCATGGAACTGTTTGAATTGCGCGCCAATATTCAAATCGTTTAAACTTTTGCACATTTTCGATTTTTCTTAACACATAGAACGACACAGATTACAACATTCAAGCTTTTCTTGGCGAAAAACTCGACAAGATAAAAAATTGTTTAAAAAATTTCGTCAAACATAATCAATTGTATGCAATCTTGCGTGCGTGTGTATGCATACCTTTGCCGACAGTACGCAGGCTAGGTTTTTTAAAAATATTGCGGATATGCACGTTTTTCTTTCAAATAGGACCAAATGAACAATGCTCATAAGAAAATAAATTCGTAAAGCAATTGTCTTATAGTTGCAATAAACTTTTGCCATGCCAACGAAAAAAATTGCGAAAATCGCAAACCGTTTTGGGAATCTGCGTGATTATCAAGATTTATTCGAAAAATAATTATCAAACACATTCTATAAGTTTTTCAAAAGTTGAAATAAAGAAATTTATGAAAATGACATTCAGGAGAATATTGATACATGCGAAGTGTCACCTACAGAATTCATCGGTTTGACTTATTTGTGTGACGAACACCCATGAAACTAGCTTGTCGCGGATAAGGCGCTTTTGAGAAGCCGTCATTCATTTTTTAAAGACATTATAATAATGGGTTCTAATTCATAATTAAACTTGGCGTCATGCGCCAGTTATAGATTTACGGAGGCATAGAATTTTTTAATGGAAATTCAAATTTCCAGCCACCAACAAATAAATTAACCATTTGAAAATAAAATAACAAATTTCTGAAAGTGAATAATTCATTCAACTATTTTAGAAAATACACTTAAAGTAAGATTTAAAAATAGATTACAGTCAAAAATTTATTTTTCTTTTTAGATTATGAGTCCTTTAAGGGACCATTGGGACTTGGAAGCATTGGATGGTCTCTGAATACATTTCTATGACTTGCTACAGGTCGAGGAAGGGAATCCTCGACCTGCATGAGACGGTGTACCGATTAGCCTGACGAAGCCCCAGCAGGGCATTGTCAGTTGATCCTCTTCGCCACGGAGAGGCTCGGTACGTGAAGAGGAAGCTCCCCAACTTCAGGCAGAACACCTGAAGTGGATCATCGCCCGATCCCGAAGGATCTAAAAAAGGAAGAAGAGTGAGGGAAGACGGCGGCAGCGACGATACCTAAATACCTAAAAACCTGAAAACTTGAAGTAAAACAATAATACAATACGGAAGGGGGGAAGCCAATCATTAGTGGAATGACTGGCATGGCCGTAAGTGGTACGACTTTCCACCCAAAAGAAAAGAAAAGCGATGGTTGGTCCCAAACGGTAGGACCGAGAGAGAGAATCCCAAGTGGTGGTATATAGAGGGTGGAAGCCGCAAGTGGTACGGCAGAGAGAGAGAATCAGTCGACTGATAGAGTGAAGTGATAGTGGTCCAAAAGGTAGGACCGGGAGGAAGTACAGACGTAAGTGGTACGACTGTACGGCGGAGAGAAGAAGGGGGAATCCCAAGTGGTGGGATAGAGAGGGGAAGGTCGTAAGTGGTACGACCGGTAAAGGTGAATAATAGTAGTAATAGTAATAAAAATAAAATGCAATGATTCGAGTTATATTGATGGATTGCGGCTTGACCATTCGAATTCGCTTCCGCGCTCTGCTCGACGCCCCGGGCAACGTCGACCTTTCGCCATTTCTCTTTCTTACTCCTCTTCACGTGCTATGTCTACTCATGCAATGTGGGTTTAACATCAGCCTGGACGCGACACTGCAGTAGGGTTAGTACTGGCTAACGGAGTCGCACCAGTCGAGAATCCCCGACACTTTCAACATAGCACATCGGAAGAGCTCGAATGAGCAACGACTGTGGCTCTCATCGGATCTGCAATAAGAGGAATTGAGAAGAAGGATTGCGATGAATGTGACATACCGTGTGGATCCTTGGCCACGGCGAGCTCGCCAGGATATGCGGGGGCACGTGGAGCCCGCAGGTTATGCGGGACACGCGGAGCCCGCAAGATAGGCGGGCTTCCCGCAACTCGAGGAGCTGCGAGAACTGACGAAATTGCGAATCCGCCGGCCTTTTATAGTGCCATTCGTGCCGGTGCAAAGCTTGCAGTAGAGCGCGTTTGTCGAAGCGAACTGCAAATTGACGCCAACTCACCGTCGATTCTCTCATGTTCACACACTCTCTGATCGCGGAAGGTGACGCGCTTTCCCGATCGACGCTGTCTTGCGGTAGCGCGCGCTTGCCTTATTCATGTTTCGAGGCATTTTGCGGACCATGTTTTGAATATCATCCGTGCAGACCCTCTCACTTTAACACACTCTCTTACCCATCGCCAATTAAATGATCACCGAAAGGTCATCAATGAGCCGGCGGTGGAATGCGAATATCACGTGAACGGTTAACAAAAAAAACGAGTGCCTTGCATAATTGTGGACCCTCGCACTTTTTCGAAGCGGAAATTCAAATTCAAATTAAAACAGTGGAAATTCAGGTACCGTATTCTAGATAATCTGTAAAATTCTCATTAAATTGTTACTATGCAGCTCATTTATAGGTTACGAAATGCAGAATTTCTAGATCGGTTCGATTCCGAAGCCGAATTCGAAGGAATATTTTCATATTCGACATCATTCCTGTTCTTTATTAGATAATGATAACTTCTGGAATCCGAATCAACTTTATAGTAAAGTCGCCAACTTCAAGATTTCTAGCGAAAGCATTTCTGCGTCTGACGATAATGTCCATTTACATAGGAACACCGCCTCATGTAGGTCGATGATTCCCTTCCTCGGGCGGCTTCTCTACGATCTAGCAAGTCATAAAGATGTATTCAGAGACCATCCAATGCTTCCAAATCCCAATGGTCCCTTAAAGGACTCATAATCTAAAAAGAAAAATCAACATCGACTTTCAACCTTTTGCTATTTTATTTTCAAATTGTTTGTTTGCTCGCAAATAATTTGAATTTCCATTTTTACAATTCGTTTCCGATATTCTGACCAATAGAAGATTTCCAAAATAAAGTTTTAGATCAATTTATATCCCACGAGCTTCCAAATCCTCCACTAATCAATATTATCTTCTACATAGATTATTTCTGGTGAATTGATGACACCTTAATCGCATATGGCTCTAATATCATTATTGAAATTTGCTATCGTATAATATACAATCGCCCAACTTTGATATGCAGAAAAATATAATTAAAAAAATATACTATATATGGGCTCTATGTGCCTCCTCAACTTCGTAGTTTCGGAATGTGGGGGTTCTGTCCGATCTAATGGACCTAATCATGCAATCAAAATAAAATTTTGTTCAGTTGTACATTTTTTTCAATTCCAGGTTGTAAAAATGCACATTTAATATAATTTTTGCTTTTTTTTTAAATTGATTCATAAGGCGCTCGGGCCGTGCGAGATGGCATCCCATACGGGATCTACCTGCGTCATTTCATCCAATCAAAACGAATCGAATAAAATTTTTCTATTTTTTTCAAAAACGAATATTTTTAAACCATAGGATTTTTGATGTTTTTTTTTATTTTTAAATTTCTCTAAAAATTTACGGCCCGGTCGCAGCTTTCGTTTCCATTGGTGTCAATTGCCCGCCTCTGCGAAACAAATTGACATTTAAAGGGGTCCACCGCGTTTCTCTCTCTCTCTATTTTTTTTGGAATCAAACGCCCTTTGCACTTTTCATTCGCAAAATGCTCGCCTCTCTCCCTTCGCTCTTTTGCACAAGACCGAATTTAAAGGCTCTTCGGGGGTTTTTTTGGTTCATTTCTCGCCGCCACACACAACAATGTCAAACGCGCGTTTTGCATTGCCAATTAGCCGCGCAAAAAATTTGCGCATGCGGCTTTTCATATTCGAGTTGCTCAACTCAATTTCCACGAATTTCTCACTTTTATTTTTTTTTATTTTGTTATTTTTTCCCATCCCCCCACTCCTAACTAATAATGGCAATTAATACACCATTGGTGTGACGGGCGCAAACTCAATAATTTGGCGTTGTTGTTGCCGCAACCCAAGCTTTCCTTCAAGGTTTCCGGTTATTCGACTCACTCAATTCCCCATAAATTGTCGGAAGGTTGCTCTGTCCAACCTTCAATACCATATAATTAACATTCAAATATCACCGGGCCTGTTGAATATGAATTCAATTTCAGAAAAAGGTTTTTTCTAAGCAATTTTTTTTTCGATAACCCTCTTTTTTCCATCTCACCGCTTCTTTATTCCGAGATTTTGGAAAGAAAAGAAGAATTTTCAAAATTTTTTCTACTTTCTTACCTGGATTTTTGGAGTGTTTTGAAAATAATTAAAAATTACGCAAAAATTGAAATTCTCAAAATTCGGCTTGAATTTTTTTTTTTCAAATTAATTCTTCAATTTTTGTTTCATCACTAGGCGAAATTCTGGAAAATTTGAGATCAGAGTTCGTCTTTTTCGGAACCATTCCAATGATTTATGGTCCCGTCAAGATCTATCCGTGTGAAGAAACCAAAACGCGATAAATAATTGTTTGAAACCGGGGGGACAAAAAAAAGGCGCCGACATATGTTTTGAATCGATTCTCGTGTGGAAACTTTAAATATCAAAACCGAACGAGCCGCACAACAACAGCGGCGAGGCGAGGCGAGGCGAGCAAAGCCGAGCGGCACCACCAGTCAGACTCATCCGAAATGACTCGTATATCTCTTCGCCTCCTTCTGCTCTTCTTATTTCCGATGACAAAAACAAGGCTCGGTGCGAGTGTTTGTCAGTGTGTGCCGTCGTCTGCGTGCCTTTCTCTCGGCTCGTAATACTCGCTGCCAATTTTCGTTCGGCACAACAACGAAAAAAAAAAACTAAACTAAGAGCGAGATTGTTTGTGTGAGAGTCTCAGAAACCGCGGATTTCCTCTCCGCCTATTTTTTTGCTTTCTTCTTCTTCGTCGACTTTTTTTGGGTTCATCCCTCTTGAGACCAACTTGCGCGATTTGTGTGACACTCACTCGACCTTTTTTGAACTTCACTTTTGCCGATTTTTTCTAGAGCACAATGAAGAGCATCGAGTTTATATTGGCGCTCGTTGTGCCAACACTTGTTACCGCTCTTGGAGGTCGAGGTAACTATACAACACATAATAATTATATCATTCAATCACAACACTCAGGCTCGAAGTCCGCTCTCAACCTGATAGCTGCCCGATCGTCGGAGCATCACACCCTTCATTCTGTGGATGCAGTGACGATCTGGTGCACTCCTGACAACCCGCAGGTCGTCGTCAAATCCGGATTCTTCGTGCGCACCGTTGACAACAAAAGGTTCGATGGTGTTCTGAGTGCTAACAAGAAAAACGTCTCGTACACCATTGAGTCGCCATCGGTTAAAGGTGCAATGCTCATTTCAATTTTCTAGTCCTTATATGTTTATATATGTATCATTTTTAGATGCTGGTGAATACAAATGCGAATTGGATACGCCGCATGGACGGATTAGCCATAAAGCCTACGTTTATTGTAAGTTGAGATGAATGGATATTCAATTTCACAGGGCAAAAAAATTGAATCTTAAAATATTCTTGAAAATTTAATTTTTCATTTCACTGCAATCTATGAAAAACTCAATTTTTCTTCACTTATTGTTTTATCTGAGAAAAACGCGTTTTGGGTTCAACGCGCACGTAATTTGTGATTTTCACAATAATTTTGTCCGTACCGTACTCTATCGCGTTGTGGGAGCCACCCGACTTGGTGTAATGCGCCTTTAGACAACGCTACTGTACTTCTTTTCTTTTTTGTAATCCGTCATATAAGAATTTTCTTTTTTTTTCAGCCCGTCCTGTTGCTCACACTTCGGAGCACTTCACCGAAAAGGAGGGCAAAGATTTCCAACTAACCAGCACCGGATTCACAATTCAGGTATTCCGTTGAACAATCATTTTCAGAAGTCTAAACTGTTTCGAATGTTCAGAAAGGAGAATCGGTCAACCTCACGTGTCCGGTGACGGGATATCCGAAACCAGCGGTGAAATGGTCGAAGAATGGCGCACCATTGGGTTTGTTGTTTTTTTCTTTCGCACGAATCGCTTCATCTCAATTTTTTTTATTCAGCGTTGAGTAAAACGGTCACAATGGAAGGCACCACTATTCGAATTGTGAACGCCGAATACTCGGATGCTGGAACCTATTCGTGCGAGGCGATCAACGAGTACACTGTCAATCAGAAAACGAGCAAACTGCTGCTCACCATTGACAAAATGGTCAATGTCAAAAGTAAGTTTTTTTTGAAGAGACCATGCCATAAAATATAAATAACGAAAAAAAAAGAAAGAATTCAATGCAGTAAAAATAAGAAAGATTGCATATTGAATTTTTCGATTCATAATGATGAATCTTATATAGTATAATCGCCACGAGACTCAGCGTCATGCGCCTTAATGTTGCCGCAATTTTCATATGACGGGATGACTTGCGGGGGCGGGGCGTAAATATTTCAAAGACGCATGCAAAAATAAAAATTTGTTAATTTCGCGCCACAAATGACCAAAATTCTTGGAATTTCCGAGTTTTCTTTATTGTTCGACAGAATTCGATCATCAAAAATAAAAAAATTAAAATTTAATTAAAACCACTCAAAAATACTGGCTTTCAAGAAAAACATTATTTGAATACATTATCTTTTTCAGGCGAATACGACTGGGTCTACCCATTGGCTGTGATTCTCGCCATCCTTATTCTTCTCGGCCTCATCATCGTTACTTGCGAGTTCCGCAAAAAGAAGCAAACATCGAAAAACTAGGACATTCTAGATTTTTCAACGACCAACCCAACATCGACCACTAAATGCTCATTCTCACGTTTTTCTACGGCGTATTGTTGTTATTTTTGTCACAAAAGAATATGATTTTTTTTGCATTCTGGAATCCCACGCCAACTTGCCGTGCCTCAATTAGCTTTCTTTGTTTACCTACTTACTTTCCTCATTTTTTTCTGAGAATTCATTCTGCGATACATATAATCATAATAATATAATGGATAAAAATAAATGATAATAAATTTAAGGGAAGAAAAACAAATGAAGAAGATTGAACAAGAGTCACACTACGAAATGATGGGCAAAAAATAATTTAAAACTGCTTTCAAATTTTAATTCATCTCTTTAGTAAAACGTTGACGACTGGTGAAATGTTCCGAAAATCTACAGAACTTCTTGAAAGATAGGACAGAATAGAAATGATAGTGAATAACAATTGTGACATTGTTGGGAGTTTTTTAATGCGCAAGAAAGTGCTGGAACTACATCAATTAGCATCGTGATTATGATTATGAGACGTTAAAACTGGAAAGGATTATACTGTACATAACATTTTTCTGGTTTTGCTGTTTCATAGTGATGATGATATTAATAATGATATATAATGATAGTGATATGCATAATGGGCTCGTCACAACCGCTTATTCGTTGGTGCTCGTATTCTGTGCGACATTTGCTGCGTCATGATGCTGAATTGATGATTCATTGAAAATGTTGCCTTTACAAAAATCGTCACCTGCACATGTGGGGCTGGACTGAGCTTGCAATGAACCGATGGATTGATGATTGATGCTTTTCGCTGTGGGACCGTGTCAGGTCGTGGAATCTAAATGTTTGCTTGTTTGAGGTTGTCGCTCTTTCTTTTTTCGCACCTGTAAATTGTCATCGTCCAAACGTTCGGCGCTGGGGCGGCTCGTGGTTTGAGCAACAGGCGATGCTGATAGAGACGGCACCGGCGCTGGTTGCGGAGCAACCTTTTCGACAGGAGCCGGCACTCCAGCAAGTGGATGCGGTTTTCCAAGAAGACCGCCGCCAGCTTTTGATTTATCCATGGCATAATCACCCGAATCGAAAAACTTCTGCAATTATAGGAATAAACGCTGAGATAAACACCAATTAAAAAAAACTCCTACCCTCTGTTGCAATTTCTTCTGCAAGAAGCTGCTAGCTGGTCTCGCCGGCAATTTTCCGCTCGACGCCAATTTCCCCATCAATTCTTGCTCTTGCTGCTTTTCTGGTGACAACGCACCGCTGGCAATATCGCCACTGGTCACTGCCAAATCGCTAGCTTCTCCGCGCATTGTTTCGAGATTTCGATCGACCCGCGATTCTGGAAAAATGGACTATTGAGGAATTCATAATGATAATAATAAATAGGAAAGCTGAGCACAATAGGAAATAACTCTGTCGAAATCGAAGACGAATGAGGAATCGCTAATGCTGAGTCAATAGTTTTGAGGCAGAATTAAGCAGAAAATGGCGAGAGAAATGCAATTTTGTTGGAATTAGAGACGGATTTGCGATGGCTAGGCGAAAAAGCGTCAGGCAGCAAAGAGCTGCGCAACATCTTTCCATTCAGATTTCTCTTCTCTCGCGTGTGTAGTGTGTGTGTTTTTTTTCGATAGCGAAACCCTTCATCAAGAAGACGGAGAGAAGGATGAATACCAAATGGGACGTACGATTTTTGAATTAACGAGACTTGACAAACACGTTGCCCACAAGATATAGCATAACTGAAAAACGAAAAACAACGAGTGGCTCGTTGTCATAGAGCCTAATCCATTGACGTAAAGAGGAATTGTATATTGGATATGAAAGGATTATGAATAAGTATGATTCCCTATTCAATTCTACTTTTTTCATCAAATAATGACGAGTGCGGATAAAGAATACATATGGGAATAAATTAATTTGATAGATGAGTTTAAACTAATGAAAAAAGCACATGATTATTGTGAAGCCACAATAAATGAGAGAGAAAGTCGAGAAATGAATAAGCAGAAAGGAATACGAGTGGAAAGTTGACTCGCTTGAAAAGTTCGCCCGGACCTGAAATTTGCGACCACAAACCCTCTGTCTTTAAACTTTAAAGTTCATTTTTCTAATTCGGTGAAATAAATGCATTGATGTCATGATTACTCAAGAGAAAACTATGACAAGCAAAAAAAAATTCCGCGAAAATTAGGAATTCGCGAACAAAAAAATTATATTGGAAAAATTTTTTGCCTGCATCCAATAAAAAATATGGGTTTTAAAAAAGCAATAATACGCGTTTGAAAAATAATGACCTAATTTGATAGCTATTGTGGAAATCAAAAAATGATGAAATAAATGTGTTTCGTATGGAAAACTCTGGAAACATTATTAAGCTTACGGTCGGTTTTTCCAATGCGCCTTTGAAAAATGGTGATGATTTACGCCAATCTTCACATTTTTTTCATGATTTTTTTTTGAGAATTCTAAAAGAAAAATTCGATTCTAAGATTATTAATTTTAATTTAACAAAAAACACTTTCATTTTATTATTCGTTAATTTTCAGTGGAAGAGGAAGGAGGAAGCACCAGTGGGTTGCAGCAAAAATTTCGAGGTAATTAATCGATTTTCTCTTTTGAAAAATATTGATTTTCATTCCTTATATAGTGTAAAAAAGGCTTAGAGCGAACCCTAGAGAGTTGAAGAACGTAATGAGGTAAAGTAGAACGGGCAAACTGATAGGAACGAAGGGGTGGGCAATAAAACGGTTAAAAAGAGCAAAAACGATTGACGCGCGCGCAAAGCAGTGATCATAAGCACAGGCACTCACAATACAACACTCATCTTCGCCACAACAAACTAAAGGTATCGATCGCGCGCGTTCTTCGGCGACGAATGGGACACGAGCGCCCACTCGTCTCGTACGTCGCGACTCGGCCGGCAGAGCGCGCACACGCCTGCGTCGCTAGCGACGTCGTGTGTCGCGCGGCGAACGAAAGAGATGAAAAATGGCAGGCCGCCGCCGGCCACAGAGACACATACGCTGGGGTTTCGGGGCACACTGGAATTCGCCTTACCCCTCGCGTCCGTGTTTTTTTGTATGTGTTTTTTTTTTCTGCGTAACGCTTCCCTGGTCGTCCGTCTCCGTCCCGCTGCTTTTTCCCACAAATTTCTTTGCGCGCCTGGAGCCTCGCGTTTTGCCCTAGCGTTCGATGGTCACCAGCCAATTTTGCTTCTAATTTTTGCGTCTTTTGTTGATGTTGTTGTTTTTTATGTTCATCTCTCTCTCTCTCTCTCTCTGTTTCTTCTTTTTTTCTGCACTTCGCTGCTAAAACCGAGCAAATTTTTTTAAATGTGGTTTTTTCAAAATATTGTCCACGGTTCCGTCTTTGCGCTATGCAAGCGCGAATTGTGGCAGCAACAATTGTTGCATAATTTTACCGCCGGAAGGCCTACCCACACGCAATTGGTCACCCATCTTATCTTAATACTTAATGATGGTGAGAGAGAATTTGTTTCAAGAAGGCAAACACATACAACGAAATTTCAAATGAAGATCATAAAACGGCGGGGTAATGAATACCTTGCATTTTTTTGGTTTTAAAAAATAAGTAGGATAATCTCAAGATTTTTTGAAATTCTAAGGTTTCCAAAAGCAGTGAAATTGAAAAATTCTCGAATATCGGGTGAGGGGTCAGATATTTTCGAGAAAATTTGACATTGAAAATGATCGAAGTGTAGCTGTCATCAGTAGAACAATTCTTTTTTTAGAACAGTTCTTTTTTTAATAGAGATATGACCTTTAGAAGGCTTCATTTGATCTTTGATACTTCTATTGTTTCATATTTTAATGCATTTTAAATTGACTGCAAACAAATTAGAGCGAATTTTGGCGTTGAGCCTTTATTTGGTTTTATTCGTCTTTTGATCTAACATCTTCTCTCATTCGATCTTTTGCACATCGTTTTTTGAAGCTCGAATTTTCTCACGTTGTGTGGTCCTCACTAGGCACAGGGTGAACACACACACACACACACATACACGCGCACCACGCGGCCGCCTTTCTTCTCCCAAACAGCCATCTCCAGCTCTCGCTGTTTTTCTATTTGTTTTTTTCTTATTCTTTTTTTTTCAACTGCGCGGCATCCAATCCGTCCCGGCTGTACTGGTGGCATTTCTGTGTCCGACTGTGTATGCGCGTGTCCTTGTGCTTACGCGACCTTTTTTTTGATTCCTCGCATACGAGCGCGCGCGCACACACACAGACAGACATTTTCGGCATACACATAACATGGCAGCCGAAGTTTTGTCCAGCGCCATAGACGCCAATTTTGGAGTTTTTCCTCACCATCGAATTGTTTTTTTGTTTTGTGTCACATGAATGCCTGTTTGACCTAAATTTGATGTTTTCTTCCACTTTTAAAGGCGCACGCTCTTTGCCCGATTTTATTGATAAGAAATTTCCGATAATAAACTTAAATCATATGTGCAATTTTTCTAGTTTTCGAATTCAACATTTCCATAGTTTTTACCATTAAAAAAATGTTGTGAGCTGTAAATGTCGCCAAACGTATTGGATTTCTAGTGTTTGAAGCTTATGAAATTTTAACATTTTAGTTCTTTTGAATGTCTCGAAATTCAGAAATGGCCTTAATTTAAAAAAAAAACTGAAACCTTTACAAATGTTTGAATAATCAAATTATTGACCCATTTTGAGCTAGTATTTATTTTTTCTTTGCTCCGCGCTGATCGCAACACTCCAACCTCTTAAAACATTGACAGGCTCCTAGCAAAAAGTCGCACAACAATCCTTTTTGTTGGTTTTGACCTTGAAACACGATTTAACATATTTGTGCCCCTCCAAAGGTCTCTGCCATAAATGTGTTCGCGACATTTCGCTCTAATTTTCTTCGCAATTTTCACTTAAATGCCGAAAGAAAATGTTGAACTTTATGAAAATGCTGGAAAATTATTTTTTGCCGAGAAACATTCATAAAAATATCAAAAGCGAAGCGATGGCTGAAACATTTTTTTTCTGATATCATGTAGAAAGTATTTACTCTCTGTGAGTTGAGTCACGATTTATTAAGCCATGAGTAATATTCCTCATATTCAAGCCAAGCGACCCATTTGTCCTACAGTAACGAAAATTGTTTAATTAACAATTTTTTTCGTTATTGAATCCATAAAAGCGGTGTCATTCGCTACCGAATTTTAATGTTTTTTTTTCTGGTGTGTGTAATTGGATGTGCATTGAGCACTAAAAAATTTATGAAAAAAAAATAAACGCCGTTGTTCTCTCATTTTGCTAGCGTCGAAACGAGAAAAAATGGTTCCTCAACTCCAACATGTGGTTTTATTGACATTTTTCATTCGGCAAAAGTGTCAAAACTGCGCGAAGCGTCTCTCCTCGCTCGCAGTTTTTTTCTGCCCCACACACACACACACACACAAAAAATTGGGCTCACACATTAACGGTTGAGAGATGTACCGAATCGATCACTAGATTTAGACGAGCTGCTCATTTCGTTGGGGGTTTTTTGTTGGCGTGGTTCTTGTCTCTCTTTTTTTCCTGCAATTGTTGCCCTCTTGCGCGGCGCGTCGACCATCTGGCGTCTCTCGATGACCGCTGACGCCTTTTTTGCGCCAAATGCTTCTGACAAGCAGATATTCTCGCGCCTGTGACCATCTGCCGATCATCATCATCACCATGAAAACTGCTGAGTAGAATGGTGTTGTTTATTTGGCGATGCCAACCTCTTCGATGAAATTTTGCGAAAAACACTCAAATGCTTGAAATTCATTTACTTTTTTTTTAACAAATTGCCTTTTTTATTAGTGTCTTCCGGTTCTTTCAAAAAATAGCTTCTGACCACGCCCACTCACACGGTAAACGAGGCACAATATTACCCCTTTACTCATCTTCTATATTAGCTTATGTTCGCCTAACGCTATGCACTTTTTTTTCGTATTCATTTAATAAAATTCTGGTTTTCATTTTGCATGTGGGTGATGCCGAAAAATTGAAATACAAAAGAAATTCAGTGTTGTTTTTTTTTTGTTGAGTCGCCCTTTAAAAGTTCTCGATTAGTTTTTATCTACCAATTGGGGTTTTCTGAAAAGAAATTCTCTTCGATTTTCTTAGCTATTGATTTTTCATCGCTAATTTTTGATTGGCTTGACGGTTGGAGGGTGAGGGGACCATTGGAAACATTTCCTGTAACTCGATAACTTCTGCATTGTAACTTTTGCAATGTGTTGGCGTTGCACTATAAAACGTCTGTCATGTTTTATGATCGAATTGTCTGCGCACATATGTCGACAATTTTTTTGCGATTATGCGAGCTTTTTGTCTTATTTTCGCGCAAAATTTTAAAATTATTAACATACACGGCTAAACAAGGGAATCTCTATTAGCATACGGTATTCCATGGCTCCTAATTTATAACCGTAATCGAAGACTAAATTTCTAATCTGAAGGCTCGCTGTTTTTTTTTTCATTATTTTTTGCATAGCAAAGGACGAAATAAAAAAGAAAAGATAAAATGCCGAAATCAATTTTTTCTTTTTTTACTGCATTGCCCCTTAACTGAATCATATTCACACTGTCTCCGACGCGTCGCCGACGCCTAATTGTTTTGCGGTTGTAGGTTACATGGGAAAGTGCGGAGAAGGGTGTGTGTGTGTGTATGCGTCTGTGTATGCTTCTATTGGTTTTGCGCGCCGCGGCTATTTCGTTGGTTGGCACACTGCCAAACGGCGAACATTTTCGAATATATGCGAAAATAAATGCGACCCTCTTTTTTTTTGTTGTTGTTGTTGTTGCGATCGCCTCGAATTTGCACGATGGATATTAATCAGAGAGTCTCGGAGCACTTTTTTGTTTGCGCGCCATCTTTGATGTGTCACCTCGAATCAAGCTCAACCCGATGCTGCCCGTATCTTTCGGAAGCTTTGTTATTTTTTTCCTTCCTATCAGCCGCCTGTCCCTCCCTCGCCGCCGTCAATGCGCGCCCAACAAAAGCACACATCTATAATGCGTTGATTGTAGCGATCTTTTTTTTTTGCCCGCTTTCGCGTTCCTCTCGATTTTTTTTAATGTTGCGATTTGTGTGCTCGAAAAGATTTCAAACAATTGTTGCTCAAAACCCTCGATTTCAAAGTTATCGAATTTTCTGATAATTTTTTTTCAATTTGCTGAATATGTCCATAAGAATTGGAAAAAAATACGCGTTCTATTGCTAATGTGGTTTGAAGCGAAGCAATATTTCATATTTGAAACATTCATTTCATCACGTTTTCGTCTACGAATATTATGAATAGAGTTTAATTAACAATTGCATAATGGCGGCATCTATTGTGATGCGTAATTCCATTCAAATTAGCAAAATGTAAAGGCTGTCTGTCTGGCGCCCAATTTGAAATATATATCTCTTGTGTGTGTGTGTGCGTTTTTTCTAGAAGTATTGGATTATTTAGGATTTTAATTTTTTTTTCTTGGTTGCTCCTGAGAAATAAATGTTGCTAGATTTTTCTTCGTATCTCGTCTCACACTCGAGCAGAATCGCCGGATTTGTATGAGTAATGCAAAATTTCGAAGCTGATCCGATAAGCTTCTTGCACTAATTCGAGAATGGAGACTCCTCCCCTCGCCCCTAAGTAGCAAAAGCTCGAAACGTCGGCCACGCCCATTTTTCTTAACGGCTAAACGTTTCGGAGGAAAAGCTTGACACAAGCGGCAGCTTGTCGTCTGGCAAACGTGAGTCGACCTGACCTGGCAGTCTCGAGCGCGGCGACCCCGCGCCGTCCGTCGAATGTGCCCTTGAAAATATACCGTCATCGTAGTGGTGTTTCTCTCCGCTGGCGTCCATTCGTGTCGAACTAGTATTATTTTGACCGGTTGTTAGATTGATCGCTTCCTTCGTTTCCTTCTTCCTTCTCCAACACATTCGCCTCATCCTCCGCCCATGTCGTCCACCACCTCAGTGTCGTTGTCGCCGCCACCACCGCCATCTCCGCCCATGTTGTTGTGGGTGGGGTGTTTTTTCCAAACCTTGTTTGTGACGGATTCACACGTTTTTATGGGTGGTTTTCGGCGGGATTCGACGGCGATGATACCACAACGATCGGAAGACGAGGCAAACTTGTTTCAATTGGCGAGACAACATGGTTTTGTGTGTACTTTCCTTGGCTGAACATGGGACGTGACAAGAAATTGGCGAAAAGGATCGCAAAAGGATTTAGTTGTCCCCCTCTCTCTCGATTGTGGCTTCTATTTCGAGAATCCACGTTGCTCAATTGAATACCATTCAAAAATTAGGCTAATTAAGCACTTCTAAATACTAATTGGCTGTTTTCTATATTTTCTTCGCAATAATACATATTATGTCATCAGTTCAAAAACAACATTGCTTGATTTTCAGCTAAAATCGGTTCATATGCGCCATTGTTGGAAGCCGATCGATCTCGTCGAAGTTGGATAAACTCGAGGTTTTTTGTTGTTCGTTTTGCTTCATTTTCAAATTTCGTCAATTTTCTAGATGGATGTCGTTGTGGTGTTGGCACTCATTGTGCTCAGCGCTGTGTTCATCATTTCGTTAGTGATTCTGGCGCTCATGTGCTATCGACGTCGTCACAACAAAATGGCATTTAGGGTTGGTGTTTTCATAAAAATTGTTTGTTTTGTTGAAAAACATAGGTATTCCAGCGTGCTTCTCCCATCAAAATGGTTAGAGTGACTGGAAAAGGGGGTGATATTGAGCGACTCGACGAGTTGAACTCGATTATCGGTGAGATTTGGCGAGAACTTCTACTTTACGAATTCACGATGATGATTTTTTAAAGGTGAACTACTTGAAAGAAACAGCTGGGTTCACGAAGTGACGGGACTTCTTCATCACTCGGTTGCGATTCTCAAACTATGCCAAATGGTCACCGAAGAGCTCGCGCCGATCTCACTCGATGAGGCGCCTCAACCAATTAACGAGGCGATCGCAATGGCGGTTCGTAACATCTTTCCGCGTTTCGATGATCTCATGGATGTTGTGTCGGCGAGTTCGGTAAGTTTTCGGCTGTTCTTTTATGGTTCATGTTGAGAATTGTCGTTTCAGGTCGATATTCGGGTTCTTGAAGCTCGTACGGTGTCTCTTGCCACCGTTTGCTGGGCTCTCTACCTTCCATTCACAATGCTCAACCCTTGCTTCAAGAAAACACTGTTCAAGCCGCTTAATGATATGAACAAGCATTTGGTGACGATTCGGGCCGCTTGTGAGCTCGCGATCACCGTTGAGCGAAAAGCTCAGGAGGTTCCAAATTCCGTTTAACGATTGTTTAAATGTAATTTTAATGTTAAGAAAGCTCAACAATCGAACCAGCCCGCACCGCCAACCCAAGACGCGATGATTGTGCGCACCGAAGTTCGCAATGAGACAGTTGCCGACGAAGCACAAGCTGTTGAAGACGTCGACGCCGAACCGTCCGAGGCTCATACCGAGACGACGCCGCTCGTCTCGTCGCAAGTCTCGATGGCGTTCGATACCACCTCGTCCAATGGTTTGAAATTCCTCCGATTTTTCGAGTGTAGGTGTTTGTGGTTCAGAGCGAATTCCGACGACACTAGAGGAAATCGAGATGACGATGATCACGACGAGCAAACTGAATGGCGATGGTCCTATGATCATCGATACATGCCCGTCGGTTCCCGATGATGCTCTCGAAGGGTATGGAACTCGCTGTTACCGTATAGGTTATCGTTTCAGTGTGTCAGATCGTCGACCTCATCCTCCACCAGCGGATCATGCTCGACACACCCCATCGACCCCGAGACGTGATACCGACAGCAGGAGCAGTAGCACATAGCCGCTTCAAGCTCACATGTATATATTTGATTGTTTAGGTTAACTGCCTCCCACTCCCCACTCGTTCTTTGTTCTGTTTCATTTTTCTTCGTTTCTTTTTTTATGGCTTGACGTTTTGTTTTTGTTGAAAATATGGTTCCTCAACTTCTCATCGTGTGTACGCATCTACCTTTTAAATGGCGAGTACTTCTTGTTTTGAAAATCAAATTAGAGAAAAAAAAATGACTCGATTCTTGTATATTTCAAACAGTGGACGGTTGTAATTTAATACGCGAAACTCACGGGATTGACAGTATTACTCGTGTCCACCAACTAATTGTTTCACTTTGCTTGTTGATTTTTTTTTGTTTTTTTTTCTTCTCAACCCCTCTAAACCTCAAATAACTGACGAATATTTCCGCTATACCTCTAATTTTGCATATTTGAACAAATTGTCGACGGTTTTCTCGTTTTGTTGTTACTGTTTTTTTAGACGTCAATTGTCACCATCTCTCTCTCTCTCTCTCTGTGAATTCAGGTCCTCTCCGATTTTCTCTCATTGATTTGCTTTGAATTTGTTTTCTTCTGAGTTTGAAGACTAGTACAAATTGGCCATTGTTAGGGTAATCTCACTCACTCACTCACTCAATCACGCGATCAAAATGATGAATGCTTTTCTACGCCACTATTTTAATTATTTTCTTATTTAATGACGGGTTCTATTTGTATTGTTAAGTTGTCCAATTATTGGTTTGTATATTCGAAACTGTTTCTTCACTACAAGCTTGTATAATATTTGCTTCGAATTTTCTTAAAAAATAAAATTGAAAGCGCGATTTTCCATTTTGCTCGTTTCACACAAGTTGAATTCGTCGATACCTTTTATGAAGAAGAAATTGCGGGCGGGGGAATAGTTTGGATTTTTAGAAATGGAGAGTTTCGAAAGTTGTTTGATGAGAGCGGCAGCGACGGTGAGTTTCTGCGGACATTGATCGAGGCGCCGCCAGGGGGGGAGGGTCATTTGAAAAGAAAATGAAAAGAGATTTGAGAAATTTATAGAAAAAGCCGGAGGAAATTCGAAACGTTTGCCTAATTGCTCACGTTGATCACGGAAAAACGAGTTTTGCTGACTCGCTGGTGTCAGCAAATGCGGTGATTTCAAGTGATTTTTGAAATAATTGACCAATTTGTAATTTCTTGCATAATTGAAGGCCGAATGGCTGGCAAATTGCGCTATATGGATAGTCGAGAAGATGAGCAAACGCGCGGGATCACGATGAAATCGAGTGGAATCTCGCTGCTCTGCGAGCCGCTTTTAATCAATTTAATTGATAGTCCAGGTTTTTTTGTGGAGCAATATTTCCGATTTCTTCTTCATCTTTGTTTTTTTTTTCAAGGGCATGTCGATTTTGCTGGAGAGGTCACATCGGCTCTAGTTCTCTCCGATATTGCCGTCCTTTTGATCGACGTGGTAGGATTCTGAAGTGGTTGTTATTCTGGAAATTGATGACACACAAATTTTGTAGATCGAAGGAATCTGCTCACAAACCAAAGCTCTCATCCGCCAAGTTATTCGAAACGGCCAATCGATGATTCTAGTCATTAATAAAATTGATAGGTGAATTATGGCTCAAGTTAATTTTATTTTTATTGCTTCAGGTTACGTATTGAATTGAAAATGTCGGCAGACGAAGCGTATTCAAGAATTTGTCGCCTAATCGAAGGCACCAATAGTTGTATTAGCCAGGTTGATCAGAATGAATTGAATTTTTGTAGAGATTACGCCATTGTTTAGGTCTTGGGTGGAATTGTGCTCGAAGATGACACTTGGGGAGACATTGAGGAAGCCGAGAGGAAGTATCATTTTGATCCTGTCAAAGGTTTTCTGAGTGTTTATTTTTTCTTTGAGATGCAATATAAAAAAATAATAAAATTAATAATAATTTTTTTAAGGGAATGTTATATTTGCATCGGCTTTACATTCGTACGCGTTCGGTGTTGAGGATTTCGCCGAGATTTACTCGTCTAAGCTGAAAATTGCAAAAAACGAATTAGAGAAATCCATGTTTGGAGATTATTTCTTCGCCGCTGGAGTGGTTAAAGTTGGTGGTGGTTTTCAACTTTATATTGTCGAAATCGCGCGACAAATTGGCTAAATGCCAGAAATGGTGTCGAAACGCACGTTGTGTACTCCACACGGACATTGCACCACTTGACAACACCTATATTCTACAGTAGATCAGCAATTGCGCGACTTCGACAATATAATATTACAAATTTCTTTCTTTGTGTTTTTTTTTTCTAGGAGGGAGCTTCAGCAAAAGGCCGAAAAACGATATTTGAGCAATTCGTTTTGGAGCCGCTTTGGATGTTGCATGATTATGGACTCGTTGCGAATGATTTGGAAAAATTCACGGCGTTGACAGGTTTGACACAAATAGGCTCTAGTGGATTCTGTACCCGTTTTGTATTTTATTTCAGAAAAATTGGGAATCAAAGTGCGATCTAGACGAGCTAATGAAGCTTTTGATGAAGCGATGCGACAATGGATGCCGCTTCCGAAGGCGACATTCCGCGCGGTTGCGAGATCTCCAAACGCGAAATCGACGTTCGGTGTAGATCATCGGTGAATTTTTTTTAGCCGTTTTAATAATTTCGATAATTGTTTGGTTTGAAGGATCAATCATGTTACTGGCAATCGAAAAGATCATCCTCTTCGGAATTTAATATTGAAATGTGATCCGCAAGGTATAGCTGGATTAAATCCACTTCTTCATATGTGTGTGTTTTTTTTTAGAAACGACTGTTGTATTCGTGGTGAAGCTTTTGAAAAATGATGATTCTGAATCGAGACGAGCGATTTGTCGAATTCTCAGCGGGACTCTGCGAAAGGGCGATAAAGTATTCGTGCTTCAGCAGGCGGGAATTGTATGCAACAGCGCATTATGATTGCCTCGTTGTGTATGTGTGTTTTTTTTTTGTTTCAGAGGCCAAAAGATTCTGGAGATTATAGCGACGACGAAATGACGAGCACCATTATTCGTCGTGTGTCGATTCTTCGCGGTCGAGATGTGATTCCTGTTGAAGCCGTGACGAGCGGAATGGTGTGCGCGATTGATGCTGAATGGCTTTTGCAAAACACCACATTATGCTCTGACGCGAACTATCCGAGCTTAAAGATTGGATCTGATGTTGGAGAAGCTTTGGTTCGAGTGTCGATCAGTACGAAACAATTGGAAGACATGGATGAGTTGAGGGAGAAGCTCAAATTGTTGGCGTTGCTTGACACAAGCGTTAGAGTGATGGAACTTGAGACCGGAGAGCTTGCCATGGTCACCGCTGGAGAAGTGCACCTCCAGAAGTGCATCAAGGATCTTAACGATCTTGGATTGGTTGACATTGATGTCTCGCCGCCGATTGTTCCGTTCATGGAGACGGTTGTGGCCGATGCGGCACTGTCTGGACCGCAAATCGCCGAACAGGAAACCGAATGCCGAATTCGCCAAGACGCCCTTCATATCCGTCTACGTGTTGTTGCGCTGGATCGCGACGTGATTGAGATTCTGGAAAAGAATGGCTCGCTGATATCGTCGATGAGACGCGGCGAGGCGGATGCTCGCGATGTTGGCGAGTTTCAGACGAAGTTGACAGCGGTGTGCTGCGAAAAGTTGCCGGCGTTAAAAGGATCGTGGTGGTATAAGAAGTCGAAGGAGTCAATTCAAACGCTCGTCGAACGGGTATATCAGAGATATTACAAAATGATAATTAATTCAATATTGGCAATCTGTAGATATGGGCGTTCGGACCGGATCGTGCTCGTTCGAACATCCTTTTCAACAATATCGAAAGCTACGATAGGACTCCAGTATGGAACAGTGAGTTACTTCTGAATATCGATAGGCAGAATCAAATTTTAGAAACCGAGTTGTCCTCGTCACATATCCGCCGACACGATCAAGCAATTAATGCCGGATTCGATTTGTTCTGCACCAGCGGACCATTGTGCCACGAGACAATGCATGGTGTGGCCGTGGTCGTTGAGGAGTGGACCGTCGACGAGGAGGACTCGGCGATTGGCGGCCAAATGATGTCGGCGATGCGGGCGACGTGCGCGGCAGCCGCGCAAAAAGGAGCCCTTCGACTTGTGGCGGCGATGTACAAATGCACGGTGACGACGGCTAGCCAAGCGCTGGGAAGCGTCCACGCGGTGTTGTCTCAAAAGAAGGCCAAGGTTCATATTGAATATACATAGTCCAATTTGAAGGTGAATTTTTGAATTTAGGTGATCGCTGAGGACATCAATGAAGCCACCGGTCTGTTTGAAGTCGTCGCATTGATGCCGGTAGTCGAATCATTCTCATTTTGCGATCAGCTGAGAACTGGAACGTCTGGAATGGCTTCCGCTCAGCTGCACTTCTCGCATTGGCAAGTCATCGATGAGGTAAGTGTAATTAAACCTACCAATTATTGCCAAATTTCTACAGGATCCTTATTGGACACCATCGACACTCGAAGAAATTGAAGTGTTTGGGCTCAAGGGAGACAGTCCGAATCATGCTCGAGGCTACATGGATGCAGTGCGTCGGAGAAAAGGACTGCCAACTGAGGACTTGATTGTTGTTTCTGCGGAGAAACAAAGAAATTTGAAAAAGAATAAGTGATTTGCCAATTTCTTGTTATTTTGTTATATTTTTTGTTTGTTCACCTCTTTTTTTGTTGTTATTGTTATTAGAGTTTATAAAGTTTAGAAAATCCATCATCTATTCTTTCATCTATTTATGGAATCGCTAAAGCGAATTAGGGCCACCTCCCCCAAAAAAGGTGTCTGATTAAAACGGGTTTTCTTCCATTTTTTTTCCACAACATTGCGGAATATAAAACGTATTTAATTGCCATCAATCAGTTCAAAATTGTATAATTATTTATTCAACAATTGAATTGCCAGTATCGTCAGTAAGCATTGTTAGGATTCTGTGAGCCATCACTGGCCCAACGCGGCGTCCATTTTCAGCGACAATTTCTCCAATCTCTTGAATCGCGTCCGAATATGACATCTAACAAAGATAAGAATTGCGTCTCGACACGATTACATTAACCGATTACGTTTTTGTATTTATCAATAGCTTTAATTGGATCTGGGATTAATTGAAGTATTGCTCTTCGTTGTGCATCCGACAATCGTTCTACAGTATCTAGCATTTTACTCCACCAGTCTCTAATGATTTCGTCTCGACTACCAGTAGTAATACCCTGAATTTCAAAAATCAATAAATAAATTAAGTTTTTTTCACAACTTTTTGACCCAAATACTGGACTTTTCTTCCATCTTCTCCACTTTTTGTTTCATTTCGCTTTTTTTCACGTCTCGCAATACTTCGAAGGTATTGCGCACAGAACAATGCTAATTGGAATGGTGAGCTAATCTATATCATAAAAATTAAATTTGGCACACTTTTTAATAAAATACCTGAGTAATTTGAGCGCGTTCTCGCTCATAAATATCGATAGTTAGTTGATGAATCTAAATCCAAAATAAATTTTGCTCAATTTTCAAAACCTACCTTCTTTTTCGGAACGTCTAGCTTACCAAATGAGATTATGATCATAGTTGAACGGCCAATTTGAAATTGTGAGCGTTGCTGAGAACAAAATTAAAGAAAATAATCAGACTTCCAACGAACCTGTACAACAAAATCGTACAGCGATTCAGAATCGATGACTTGCTTCAACGTGTCGGCAGGAATTACAATGGCGAATAAATCTTGAGTCGACTTAAATAATAAATGATTTGAATGGAATTGTAACGAAATACTACTGAATATTCGAATCGCTCTTTTCTGCCGTTATCATCTTCTTTGAGTTCGATGCATTTTCGCCTCCATTCAATTCTTGTGCCCAGATTATTTTCAAAAATCAATTGATTTTCGATTTTTCGCTCCGAAAACAGCATTCGAAGCTCGGCTTCTAGTCCGCCTATAATAAAGTATATTAGATCATATTTCAATTAGAAAAAAACCTTACTGATGTCGTCTAGTATGGATTTTCCGATGTGGCAAAATGTATAAAGCTCACATTTGCTATTTGTCGCCGCCGAAATTTCCCGCTCAATTTTTCGAATTTCTTTTTCATTCTAATAAATTCTATTAGCTTATTTTCATACCATTTTCCATTAAATATACCTCTTTTTCCTCTTTTTTTCTTTTAGCCTCCATTCTTTTCCGCTCTTTTTCATCTTCCTTCGCCCTTTTCATCTCCACATTTTCAGTTTTTCGCTTTTTGGGAACAACTTCAGAGATTTCTTTTTCGATTATGGTGTCTTCAATACGACTAAAGCGTTTGTTCCTAATTTTTTTTAATTTTAAATTTCCTTACCTTCCTCGTTTTAAGCTTATGAGCTTGTCTAGCTCCCTGATTTGAGAATCAAGAGATTTATCATCATCCTCATCATTATCATCTAAAACAATTGCAGGACTACGACCTCGTTCTAAATATTTTTCCTGGTGAGTTGATGTGGAAACCAATGCGGTAAATGAAAAACTCGAATTTAAGCTGCAAACGATGAATTGTTGAAATGATAATAAATTTAAAACCTCTTATTTTCTTCGGTATTAGTTTGAATAATGGTGGAATCTTCTATGATAACAATTTCATCTTCATCCATGTCTTTTACTTGAAAATTTTTGCAAAAAAAATTTGAAAAACAAAAATGGCCGAGGATTCTTTGGCACGTGTTCAACAATCCTCGGCCACCATTTCTTCAACGTTTAATCACGATTTCCTTTCCAATTTCACAATAAATTATATGTGTAATGGGTGGAATATTTTCATCAAAAAAGAAGGCCCCGTCGCCGCCGCCAGTTTCCGACCAAGATAATGCTATTCTGGCAAGTTTTTAACGAATATTAATGATTAGAAAATAATGTTGCATTTTTACAGCAATTAAAAACGCAGCGGGACAAAATTAAACAAATGGTGAAGAGAAAAGAAGCATGCATTGAAAAAGAAAGGCTTCTCGCTAAGCAATTACTTAAAGAAGGCAAAAAAGAGTAAGATTTCATTATATTGTCTAAAAAATTTTTAAACAAAAATTGCAGTCGAGCTCTTCTCCTCTTGAAAAAGAAACGCTACCAAGAAAATATTATTGATCAAACACTCAAACAACTATCAAAAATTGAGCAAATGGTATTCTTTTGGTTAGAATACTCACCAAAGTATTCATTTTTAGGTGCAAGATCTCGAGTTTGCTGAAATTCAGCAACGCGTTGTTGATGGCCTTCGTCAGGGAAATGAGGCGCTGAAAAAGATGAACCAGATGTTCGACGTCGACGAGATTGACAGAATTATGGACGAAACGAAAGAAGCAGCTGAGTACCAGGAAGAGATTTCCAACATGCTTTCCGGGAAGCTCACCAGTCAAGACGTCAGCGATGTGGAGCGCGAGCTCGAGGAGCTTCTTGCTTCAGAATCCGGCGTCACGTTGCCAGAAGCGCCAACGCACGAGCTTCCGGAGCGCGAGAAAATCGCCGCCGAGAAGGAAAAACCGCGGAGAGAACGAGTTGGCATTGAGGCTTAAAATCATCTTCACTCGCTCAATTGCTCTTTTTTTCTTCACATTTCACTTATACTAAATATATTGTAAATAAGAGGTTTTATTGCATAAAATAGTCTCGTACAATAGCCAATGTGTGTTTTCCATCTTTTCTCACTATTTGAACACCGCGCTATTTCATTCATTTTTGTGAATCAATCTACGCCGTTTAGGTCTCGAGCAAATTTTGTAAAAGAAAAAAAGATAGTGTTTGATTTATGTCGACCTGAATGGAAGAATGGCAATGTGCCGTAAACGGAAGGAAATGCGAGGCGCCGAGAATGAAGGTGAGTATTTTTTTTAAATTTTTTTTTCAAACTTATGAAAAATAGTGAAAATATAATCTAAAAAATGAGAAGATTGAAATGTATGTCGAAAAATTGAAGGGCCCTTAAAATTTTGTTAGAATGGCTGAATTGTTCGGGACTTCATAAGGTTATTAGACCATCACGTTTGATCATGGGTAAATGGCCTAAAAATTTACTAATTATGAAAATTTAGAAGTTAAAGGCACACAATTTGCCACATCGCGTCGAGACCTATTTTGTTTTTCCGTATAAATTTTTATAAATTATGAAATAAGACTAGACCAATTGGGTATTTTAATAATTATCGGAAGATGATTATTTTTAAGACTGTACCATAGTATTTTTGATAGTTCAATCCAGCGTAATACAGAACCATTGAAACAAATGGGAATTGTCTGTCAATTAATTGAAAATGCAGGTCCGCTTTAAAATTCTTGCTTAATACAGGTTATGACGAATCATTGGAACGCAAAAATGGCTTATCGCCTTAAGAAATCTCGTTTCAACTTTAAACATCGAATCTACTCGTTTCCAGTCGTATTAGCGAGCTGTCAGTAAAAGAACGCACACAAAGACACGGTTCTTCTTATTCAAACCGACTGGGTCTGCCGGGCCCGCGGCGGTCGAGCAACCATGTTTGACGGAAGCATTACGTGTTCCGCGCGAGGCTGAAGCCTATTCAAATATTTTGATTGCTCCACTACCGTCGGGTTCTGTGCTCAACGTCATTTTCGCTTTCCACTGTCCTTTGCGTTTGGTGCCGTTTATTCGCGTCCTATTTGGAATTGCATTTTATTCATTGTTTTATTGTTTTAGAAAATCATAGCAGCCTTTTTTTTTAATGAAAAGTTTTCATGCAACTCTTTCGAAAAACAAAAATGTTTATTTATTTTCAGCAAAATTATTATTATTATTGTCAGCATTATTATGAATTTGAAAAAGCAAGAAAACACTCGCCGCTCCCCATCTTTAGCATTCCACAACTCGAAACACAACAGCTGTCTATTCTCATCATCCGGCTCCCGGAGCACGAATAAAAATCGGTGGCGAGCCATTCGATCCGAAATGCGTTGGAGGAAAACCTCGCAATATTTTTTTTTGTCATCGTTTTCAAAGCGATTTTTTTCTTGCAAAAAACAATACGGGGCCAACCTCTTCAAGTGGAGTCATTGTTATAAATTTGCATTTCTCACTTTTAACCGAGCCCAGATGTTGTTTAAAACGTCCCGCTAACAGATGTCGGACCTCGAGGTCACATTTTTCATTCTAATGTTTGAGTTAGCATCCTTCAGGTCAAGATTCTTTGGAAATTTGATTTCCTGCTATACGAGGGGATCAGTTTAGTTTGAAATTATTTTGAATAATTTACAAGGCCAATCTGAAAATGATACCATTGAAAAATTGTGGACAATTTCAATCGAAACACAATGATCCTCTTCTGAAATCTCACGATTTCTTCAATGCCATTTATAAATATCGTTTAGCGATTATTTGAACTCTCGTCGTCGCGCTGCCGTGAAGTGGTATATATATATATCATCGCCTCATGCAACTCAAATAGATATCCAAAAATTTGCGTTGAAAAAATCCTCGAAAATACCCGTGTTGACCATATGGATTTTTTCGCATTGTTGACCGAACCGATAATCGCCAAATTAGTTCATTCTTCGCTCCTGAAATCGCCATCGTTGTGCCTAGAAAGGTGATCAGAGGGCAGGCGATTCAAAAACAAAAACTAGATTTGCTTGATCATCTGTCATCACTTTCAATTGTTTTTTGGTGCTGCGATTCGCTTAATTTTGTTGAATTCAAATGAATAATTGGCGATTTTTTCAAGCTTCTATTTTTGCATGTGTGCCATTTCCCCGGAATTCCGGCATATGTCAAGAAACCGGCGCGCATATGTCACCAGCGCGTAAAAAAAACGCATTTGTGTTTTTCGCACCTCCCTCCGAGAAAACGCTGAACTGCAATTTGTGTAAGTGCTTGCAGAAATGTTTCCTTCCGATAAGGAGACGTCGGGACGGACAACGTTCGAAAGTCGCAATCGGAAGAAACGCATTGCCTATGTTGCGGCAACAATTCTCATGGCAATCGTTCTCCTTCTCTTAAGTAAGATTTTTTAAAATTTCATTTAATACATTTTAAATGTGGTTTTCAGTTGGATTAATCGTTTGGGGTGGATTTTACCTTTATCGACACTATGTGACAGATGTTAATGATAAGCGCGAAAGCGATGAATACTTGAGAAAGCTGGTCAGACAGGTTAACGACTCGCCTGAAACGACATGGAAGGTGTGATTTTCAAGAAATTTGCGAATAAAAAAAATGTTGAAACAAAAAACCGGTAATAAAAAAATTCAGTCTGCACACACCGTGACGACATTTTGCAGACTTGCTTATTTTTTCTTTATTTTTTTTTTCGTAGAATTTCCCAAATTTTTTCACATTCCAGGCGAAATTTAACAAATTCGGCGTTAAAAATCGTTCATATGGCTTCAAATACACCCGTAATCAAACTGCTGTCGAGGAATATATGGAGCACATTCGGAAATTTTTCGAATCCGATGCGATGAAACGACATTTAGAGTAGGTACTTTGTATTATTTAAGCCACTTAAAATTTCCACAATTATTTACTATACTCAATATTCAGGGAAATTGAAAATTACAAAGATGAAGATTTGCCGAAATCGTTTGACGCCAGATTGAAATGGCCTCAATGCCCCTCAATTTCCAATGTGCCAAATCAAGGAGGATGCGGAAGTTGCTTTGTATATTCTAATAATTATTAATTGAAAAAATAAAGTATTAAAAAATTCAGGCGGTTGCTGCAGCTGGAGTGGCTTCCGATCGAGCATGCATTCACTCAAACGGCACATTCAAAGCACTTCTTTCCGAGGTTTTTTTTTAAATTTAAAAAAAACACACTATTTAATTTTGTTAATATTTTTTCTAGGAAGATATTATTGGATGTTGTTCCGTTTGTGGAAATTGCTATGGCGGAGATCCATTGAAAGCATTGACGTATTGGGTGAATCAAGGATTGGTGACTGGTAAGTTGGAAGATTACTGTCGAAATGGAAAATTGGCTAAATGCCAAAAATCTATGGGAAAGGTTTAAAGGTGCACGTACCAAAATTTTTTATTAGCCATCTTGGGCCATTTTTTCGCAGACTTTGGCAATATTTAAAAAGAAATGCCAATTTTCCCCCAATTTCACATTTATAAATTCTAGGCGGCCGCGATGGATGTCGTCCGTATTCATTCGACATTTCATGCGGCGTCCCTTGCTCGCCGGCAACATTTTTCGAAGCTGAAGAGAAACGCACGTGCATGCGACGATGTCAAAATATCTATTATCAGCAGAAATATGAGGAAGACAAGCATTTCGGTTGGTATCAATTTGAATGTCGTCCGCACCTGTCAATAATATCTCATTGCAGCGACGTTTGCGTACTCGATGTACCCGCGTTCGATGACAGTGTCCGCAGATGGATCGAGTAGAGTCAAAGTGCCAACTGTCGTTGGATACTTCAACGAAAAAGCCGGAACCCCGCTGAACACCACCGAATATCGAAATGTGATTAAGAAGGAGATTGCGCTTTACGGTCCCACCACGATGGCATTTCCAGTGCCCGAAGAGTTTTTGCATTACTCGAGCGGCGTCTTCCGGCCGTACCCGATTGATGGGTTCGATGATCGCATTGTTTATTGGCATGTGGTGCGACTCATCGGTTGGGGTGAAGCCGACGACGGCTCGCATTATTGGTTGGCTGTCAACAGTTTTGGTCGGCATTGGGGCGACAACGGTTAGTTTTTGGGGAAATCAAGTTTTTGTAATTTTCTCAATCTTATTTTTTATCAAGTACTGTAAAAAAAGCAAAATTCCGCAAATTGTCGCCAATTAAAACGCCAAAGTTTTTTGCTTTTAGGAGTCTTCAAAATCAACACGGATGCAATGGAAAAATACGGTTTAGAATACGAGACTGCCGTCGTCTAACTCATTCAGTTGAATTATTTGAATAATTTCCCAAAAAGCCACTAATTCCAAGAATCTCGTTCCATTTATAAGTTTGGCATATATTTATTTGTAAATAATTCATTTTAAGCAACAATTCAACAATTAAATAATTCGTTTAATCTATCGAACTTCCCTAATTACGCCGATTTCTTCGGCTTCATACTCGGGCTGTTTTGTAGATGTAAAAATCTCGTCTTCAGCTTCTGAATTCGGCGATTCTGCTCGATTTGCCGCTTTCGCAGAGCCCTCCAATAGTTCCATCCGTCCTTCTCCGGATCCAAATCTTCCAGCGCTTTTGGCGGTCGCAAATCGAGCTCGAACAACCATTTTGGGTATTCCGAATCGGGTTTGATTTGCGGACCCGGTTCTTCACCTAAAAAGTGGGCGAGTTCGGAATTTTCGGGAGGGCAAGCCGACCTTGTAAATACGCGTTAATACAAACAAAGTTGGCGAGCTTCTCGGCGTCTTCCTCAACAAACGATTTGTCGATTTTAACGGCCGCTGAAGCTGGAGCTTTCGCGTAACTTCTAGAAGCCATGAAGGTTCTCGAACAGCAACTCAACGCGGATCGAAGCATCTGAACACACACATAAATGCACATTTTTCTTTTGGAACCAAAAATATATCAATAGAGCAATAATACTCAACAAATATTCCAAACATATTTTACAAGAGGAATGCTTCATTCACAATGGCAATTTAAAAAAATTCAACTAAATTCACTCAAGGCTGCTCAATTTGCTCTGCCGATTTCTTTTCGTGTCCAATCCGGACCCCGGCGAGCTTCTTCCTCGTTTCAACGCGAGTTTCGTTGTAGTTTCTTTAGTCGACGAGTTGAAATTTTGAACGTACATTTGCTTTGGAGCGGCGCCGCCTGAAATCGATGAAATCACGCAATCACAAAAAGATTTGAATTACCTTGGGTTATCATTTCTTGAATACTCGTAGCTAACGTTGTAGTTTTTGAAAGAAGAGAAGGCTTCTAAATATGTTTATTTTTTCAAGAATTGCTTTTTCCGACCATACATCTTTTCTGACTGTGACTTCCTCGACAACTTGCTTCGTTGATTTCACAAGTCTTGCAGCTCGTTCAAATGGATCATTGACGCTTTTTGGCTCTTCGAGAAGCATAAGCTCGTCAGCCTGGAAATCATCAAAATGAATTTCATTTCAAAAAAAAAAGACGCCGAACCTTCTCAATCCGAAATTTGATCATTTTCGCGCGTTCAGCTCGTTTCTCCTCGTCTTCTTCCTCCTCTTCCTCGTCGTTTCCCTTCACATCGCTCTCGGCAATGATTACATCGTTATCAATCTCTTCACGAAGTCGGAATCGGAACTGTCTGTTCGTCTCCATTCCTCCTAAGTCTCCATCAGCCAATAAACGATCTTGTAGTTTCAAAAGAGCTCTAAAACACATTAACTTTCTTTCTCTCCATTAAACAATTTTCTAAACCTTTGCTCTTTATCACTCTCCTGCTTTAACAAAAGTTTATGATTCTGGCGTCGAATGGTATCAGTGTCTGGCACGTCGTCAGCATCTCCTTCTTCTGCCTCGTACTCATTCCCAAGCTCATCTTCATCCACGTCACTTCCGACGTCGTCACCAGATAATGAAGCTTCATCGTCAAAAAAGTTCTTCTTTTTCGCCATTTTCTTAAACTCTTGATATTCGATTCTTTTTATGACCGCCAATTCGTCGTCTTCATCATCGAAGTTAGGAGCTTCTTCTTCTTCTTCTTCCTCCTCCTCCTCCTCCTCTTCAGGCTCTTCTTCAATTTCAACCTCTTCCGCTTCCTCAGCCTCCTCATCTTCCACTTAAAACATATCAGGAAAAACAATAAAATCGAAAGAAACGTTTTTAAGAATTACCGTCATTCTCGTCGCTACTATCCTCATCACCGCTGAGAACTACGCGCCTAGTTTTTTCAACTTCAACTTCTTTATTCTCCTAAATTGGAGAATCTAGTAAAAAAAAACAAAAATACAAAATGTACCTCTATTCCATCAAGTGGAATAGTTTCTGGCAAATCATTTGCGTGCTCCTCTTCCTCTTCTAAAATAGGAATTCGATATATTGAACTATCAAATAGTTTTATACCTTCGTTATCGCTATCGAAAACCTTTCGCGTTTTTCTAGTTTTAACAGTTACTCCATCATCATCTTCTTCCTCATCGTCGACTTGGTTTGACCCGTTCGATTCTTTCAATATTGACTTCTCATCTACAAGATCATTCCTTGAAGTCACTTCGACGGATGATTCAGTCGTCGTATTGTCATTTCTGTAAAATCCTCATTTAAAAGTGACATTGTCGAAAAATGGAATTTTGTGTTTCAACGAAACTATATAACGAGTTGTCAGTTTTCCAAGTTGGGTGTTAGGCTATTGGGTTGACAGAATTTCTCAACCCGTAGCAAACATCCCCAACCAATCACGAATCAAATCTTACACGATTGTTGTTGGTGTTTGAACTTGAGTTGTTCCGAATTTTCCAGAGCACAAGCTTAAAATATCGCCAAAATCGTCATTTTCGGGGTTGTCGTTGGCAATTTCAGCTTCCATTGCTTCAAGAGTTGGGAGGCAGAGCACGTTACGCTGATCGAGCTCGTCTTGTTTGGGCTCAAATCCGGAGAACATTGAGCTCGGACCTGATTGATGCTTTACGTTGTTAAAAACATCATATGTGAAGGAATCGTCAAGTAAGTTTACCTAAAAATTTTGAAATGGCTTCAGACGTAAAAAAAAAAATAATTTCTTACGCTCATTTCATCATCTGCCAAATGACGATCACCGTTGTTCAGTTCGTAAGGGTCATGGGATTTGGGTTTCGATTGATCACCTGAATAAAATTCATTATTTAAATTGTTCCATCAATTAATATTACTATTTTCGTCATCTTCATCGTCACTTCGGCCAGGAACATAATCTTCATCGTCTTCACTATCATATCCGTTATTTCTAGGTCTTTAATAGCAAAATTGAGTGAAAAAAATACAAAATCCCAACCGTTGCTTTGTTTTCTTTTTCTTCTTAATAATTTCCTCTTCCTCTTCTTCATCATCATCCGCTGGCCTCAAATGCTCGTTGTCCATTTCATACATTTCTCGACGTTTCATTAACGCTTAAAATTCGAGGTTTTCTTTGTTCAATATAAAATTTGTGGACAAATGCTGTTCATTTTTATCTAAACTGGGATGATGTTAAATAATGCAATATTTTACCATTTTTCCTTTTGACCGCCATTGACGCTTCCAGCCGTTTTTTCACAATTGCGCCAATTTTCACTGAATAATGATGAAGGCTACTTGAAATTTCGTAGAGAATCTTACAGCTTTTGGGTACATTTTTCTTTATTTCGTGAGGTAGTGCAAATCCACTAGCTTCATCAATTTTTGGTTGTTTGATTTGCTTGGGAACTTTGAACGTTTTATTGAACCATTCATTTGTTGGGTCGTCCTAAAGAATATAGAAGTTCAAATAATTCAATATCTCGCATTTCTTACAGTTTCCACAGTGAGATCAATCGTTTCATCGGGTTTCATTGGTTTTTTGATTCCAACAAGTGGACTTATTTCATGTTGACGGGCAAGAGCTAATGCTATTCGACGATTCAGACGTTTTTCTTTTCCCTTATTTAAATGTACTGATTTATCTTCTTGATTTTCGTCGGATATCAATTGTTCCTAAACATTTTTTAATTGTTTGGGTTTTAAAGCAGAAATTTAGAACCTGGGAATCCGAACCGGCGGCTTCAGCTGTTGTTGATGATGGAGATCCAGCACTTTCCGCTTCTAAATCCATCACTGAAAATAAAAAGAAATTAAATAAACCATTGAACTTTTAATGTCAAACAAGAAAATAATTAAATCAGAATACTATTAGGCCTAGATTTTCAATTTAAGATATTATTCTCCCTTAAAAAATTTGAATACATTAATTATGCAGAGCAAAGTGTTTTTTATTAGGTTTTTTTTTTTCATTTTTGTTATAGCATTGAAATAAGTGCAAAAAAACAAGATAAATTGTGCGGGAAATTCAATTTGTCCGCCTGCACCTCATTGGCAAATTGCCACACGTTCAAACTGCCGCGCTACCGTAGTTTGCCTGCGAATCAAACTAACAGTGGTTGGAAGGAAATTTGCGATATTCCTTACTCCGTTCAAGCCGCTATCCTCTGTGCGGTTCCTTTTGTCGTCGTTATTGATAAAAACTTCGAAAAAAGCTAAAGATGGTGAGTGATTTATAATTTTTTTAAAATAAAAATACCATGAAAACATGTATTTTGTGTGGTTTTTACTACATTAATTTTTAGGCCAATTTTTAATGGTTTATTTAATTCATTTTTTATTCAAGATTTAGTTAAATATTTCCAAATTTTAATTTTATCTTATTGTAGCTTATAGGAAAGCAAAAATAGTCCGAAAAAAAAAAACAATTTTTGTCATAGTTTTTATAAAAATTATCACAGGTCAACTTCACCATCGATGAAATCCGCTCCCTTATGGACCGCAAGCGGAACATCCGTAACATGTCCGTTATTGCTCACGTCGATCACGGAAAATCCACCCTTACCGACTCTTTGGTTTCGAAAGCCGGTATCATTGCCGGAGCCAAGGCCGGAGAAACTCGTTTCACCGATACCAGAAAGGACGAACAAGAAAGATGTATTACCATCAAGTCTACGTAAGTTTTGAAAATTATTTCTATTGCTATATATTAGTATTTAGTGCCATCTCTATGTTCTTTGAGCTCGATCGCAAAGATCTTGAATTCGTCAAGGGAGACGCTCAGGTTGAGACCGTCGAAGTTGACGGAAAGAAAGACAAATTCAACGGATTCTTGATCAACTTGATCGACTCACCCGGACACGTTGACTTCTCGTCTGAAGTTACCGCGGCTCTTCGTGTGACTGATGGAGCTCTTGTTGTCGTCGATTGCGTCTCTGGTAACTGGATTATTTAATTTTCAGAATTTTATTGGGTTTTAGGTGTGTGCGTCCAGACCGAGACCGTACTTCGTCAAGCCATCGCTGAACGCATCAAGCCAATTCTTTTCATGAACAAAATGGACCGTGCTCTCCTCGAACTTCAACTTGGAGCTGAAGAGCTTTTCCAGACATTCCAGGTATTTCGCAACATACGTAACTATTAGACATAATTTTTTAGCGTATCGTCGAAAACATCAACGTTATTATTGCCACCTACGGAGACGACGACGGACCGATGGGACCAATCATGGTCGATCCATCTATCGGAAACGTCGGATTCGGATCTGGACTCCACGGATGGGCCTTCACTCTCAAACAATTCGCCGAGATGTACGCTGACAAGTTCGGAGTTCAGGTATAGTTAAAATCAAAAAGAAGAAACAATTTAATTTATTTTACAGGTTGATAAGCTCATGAAGAACCTTTGGGGAGATCGTTTCTTTGACTTAAAAACCAAGAAGTGGAGCAGCAGCCAGTCTGCTGATGCCAAGCGTGGATTCAACCAATTCGTCTTGGACCCGATCTTCATGGTTTTCGATGCCATCATGAACATCAAGAAGGACAAGACCGCCGCTCTCGTCGAGAAACTCGGAATCAAGCTCGCTGCTGACGAGAAGGATCTCGAAGGAAAGGCTCTCATGAAGGTCTTCATGCGCAAGTGGCTCCCAGCCGGAGAAACTATGCTACAAATGATCACCTTCCATCTTCCGTCGCCAGTTACTGCCCAAAGATACAGAATGGAAATGCTCTACGAAGGACCACATGACGACGAAGCCGCTGTCGCCATCAAGAACTGCGACCCTAACGGACCGCTCATGATGTACGTCTCAAAAATGGTTCCAACTTCCGACAAAGGACGTTTCTACGCTTTCGGACGTGTCTTCTCTGGAAAGGTCGCCACCGGACAGAAGGCTAGAATCCAGGGACCAAACTACGTTCCAGGAAAGAAGGAGGATTTGTACGAGAAGACCATCCAGCGTACTATTCTCATGATGGGAAGATACATCGAGCCAATTGACGATATTCCATCTGGAAACATTGCTGGTCTCGTCGGAGTTGATCAATACCTCGTCAAGGGAGGAACCATCACCACCTACAAGGATGCCCACAACATGCGTGTCATGAAGTTCTCTGTCTCTCCAGTCGTGCGTGTCGCCGTTGAGGCTAAGAACCCAGCTGATTTGCCAAAATTGGTATATATTCTTTAACATTATTACAATGTAAATGGTAATTTTCAGGTCGAAGGACTCAAACGTTTGGCCAAGTCCGATCCTATGGTTCAGTGCATCTTCGAAGAATCTGGAGAGCACATCATTGCCGGAGCCGGAGAATTGCATTTGGAAATTTGCCTCAAAGATTTGGAAGAGGATCATGCCTGCATTCCACTCAAGAAGTCTGATCCGGTCGTCTCTTACCGTGAAACTGTCAGTGCTGAATCCAACCAGATCTGTTTGTCGAAATCGCCAAACAAGCACAATCGTCTTCATTGCACTGCTCTCCCAATGCCAGAGGGTCTTGCCGATGATATCGAGAACGGAACTGTCAATGCTCGTGACGAATTCAAGGCTCGTGCCAAGATTCTCGCTGAGAAATACGACTATGATGTCACTGAAGCTCGTAAGATCTGGTGCTTTGGACCAGACGGAACTGGACCAAATCTCTTGTTCGATGTCACCAAGGGAGTTCAGTATCTTAATGAAATCAAGGATTCCGTTGTTGCTGGCTTCCAATGGGCTACTCGCGAAGGAGTTCTTGCTGACGAAAACGTGCGCGGAGTTCGTTTCAACATTCACGATGTCACCCTCCACGCTGACGCAATTCACAGAGGAGGTGGTCAAATTATCCCAACTGCTCGCCGTGTGTTCTATGCTTCTCTCCTTACTGCTTCACCAAGAATTCTCGAACCAGTGTACTTGGTCGAAATTCAGTGCCCAGAAGCTGCCGTTGGAGGTTAATTTTATTTTTTAAATATTTAATCAGTGATGTTTTACAGGTATCTACGGAGTGTTGAACAGAAGAAGAGGAGTTGTCTTCGAAGAAATGCAAGTCGCAGGAACCCCAATGTTCGTCGTCAAGGCTCACTTGCCTGTCAATGAATCATTCGGTACTGTTTTTATTTTATTTTAAACGATTTATTTCATTAATTTCAGGATTCACTGCTGATCTCCGTTCCAACACCGGAGGACAAGCCTTCCCACAGTGCGTGTTCGATCACTGGCAAGTCATGCCAGGAGACCCACTCGAGCCAGGAACCAAGCCAAACCAGATCATCCTTCAGACAAGAACAAGAAAGGGACTTAAGGAGGGTATTCCAGCTCTTGACAACTATCTCGACAAGATGTAAATTATCACATTGTCAAGATTGTTTATTGTTAATTTTTTTTATTAAAATAAACGCGGTTGTTTTGTTAATCCTTGTACTACATTCTTGTGCTAAAACATAAAATACCATAAAAAGTTAAACATTTTGTTACAATTGGAGTTTATGAAGTTATGTTTAATTCAATTGAGGAGTTATATTACGTGTCAGATAAGTTGGATACAATTCGTCTCAGAAGTGCGTCGTGCTGGATATCGTTTCAACATGATTTACTCATAGTTCCGGAGGAATCGTTTGGTATTTTTTTATATCGATTCCGTTTTTTAAATTTTAAATTTCATCAGCGGCCGTGTGCACAATGCGAAATCATATTAGGTTTTTCGGCCGAAATTGCATTGTGCTTATACGGTCCATGTCAAAATCAAAAGCATCAATTTCGGCCCTCATCCTTATCACCGATGCACGTGAAATAAAATTTCATTGCGAAGAAAAATTCGTTTGATTGCGAAATAAATTATTCTTATCAATGAAATGCATTGTCTTATCCGATAATGTTTTTTTAATGCATTCAACATGTCATTTTTGCTATCTTCTCTCTCGTTGTCTGACCGACGAAATCGAAAAGATAGTTTTGTTGGTTAGTTTCCGAGAATCAGTGCGACGCGAAAGAAAAATTGTTCGCACCGCTTGATAGTTGTTGGGGGTACATCGGCAAACGAACAAAAAAGAAGGAGAAGAGAAGCTACTAGAAAAAAACGACGAAGGAGCCGAGACGAGCGCGAAACCTCTAAGCGGTCTGCGTTCTCTCGCCGATTTGCCCCCAGGTCCGGCCGAGCTAGTGGTCCCAAAACATTCTTTGCGTCCCATTCTTTTATTTCGTTTTACAGTGTCATTTCACGTTTCCTTTCAATATTTGATGAAACAATTAAATTATGCACTTTGAAGTGAATAAATAGTTTTTTTAAAAATCGAAAGTAAGAAGCCGACCCAACGATGCGCCTTATTTAATAGAAGAAGTGTAAAGAACCCGAATTCCGGCTTTTAGTTCAATTAAGCATGTAGAAAGAGGTCCGAATACTCCAGAAAGATCGAATTAAAACATCCCACTGACTATGTTTCGACAATCATTTTAAATTCCGGTTTTTGAAAATATTTTATTAACAATATTTTTTGATTGAAATTTGATCTTTACTTTCCCATATTTATCGAGTTGTTGTCGATTTATTGACCCGTTCGACATTCTCACTATTATTCCTGGCGCGGCGCGGCGCGTCAACCAACCAACAAAAAACACACAGCGCACAATTGGGCATCGTATTTGGTTTCGCGCCCGGCACCGCGGTGTTCTTCTCTTTTCAACAGTATTGATTTTGTTCAGTTCTCGCCGTCTTCCATCGAAGTTTGAATGTGCCGCCCGTCGGTGGGCAAAGGTTCACAAATCATCATCTCACCTCATCGTTGATTCCTCGTCGAACGCTGATATCAGTAGTTGTCTAGTTGGCAATCAAATTCATTTGAATCATCAATATTTCGCTGGTAATTCATTGCGAATCGATTTTGAACTAAACTATTTTGATATTTGCTAATCGAGTTCCAAAAAGCTATCGATAAACGACGAATTTCGGATCTAAACCAGTCAAATTTGAAAAATAAAAATAGTCATATTCGATTTGAAACGAATTTCCAAAGTTTATACAATATTTTCTCTTGACCACAGCTTGCACAATCAACCCCCACGATTTTCTGCTGAACAATTTTAAAACCCATTAGAATAGAAATTAATTAGCATTAATGGCACTACAAACTTGAATTAGAACAACTGGTTTTCGCTGTTGTGTTCAAAACAGTTGTCGTTTATCGAAATTCGAGCTCGTTTTTCAAGGTGAGTTTTTCATTTTTCTAGTAAGGCCAGATGAAAAAAGAAATGAAAAATTAAAATTTGGAAAAGAAGGGAAATGCTTATTTTAATTTTTTTTTTCATTTTTTACAGACTTGAAATGCTCTTTTTTTTCTTCATCTACATTGACCCGATTTGTCCGCAGAAGAGTTTTTCAATAAAATCGGCCCATTAGATATGATGAAATTAGTTTGATCTATTAAATTTGACCTCAACTTGTGGCGTTGTTTTCCTCGCGTCTTCAAGAGATTGATTCGATTTTCCGCACTCGACCCATTCGTTTTGAGAAATTGAGAGGCGCTCATCCAATTCTTCACATATTCTTTTTTCTTTCGATTTTCGCACTAAAACAGCGAAGAAAAAATCCTCGTCCGCATAAAATTGTGCTGTTTCGCTGCTGCAGTCACTTGCTCGCTTTTCGTTTTGGTCCGTCACGTATTCATCCGAAATTGTTTTGCAGGGTACTCGTGCTCGAAAACTTCGCGAGGAGATGTCGGAGGTTGGTTTCAATTCTAATTCACAATTTATTACTATTATTTTTTTTAGGAAACTGGTCTCGCCGTTCAGATGAACAATGTCGCCGTGAATGACGTGAGTTGAAAATTTTTTTTACCAAAAAGCCACAAATTTGACCTCAACGGATTTTTTTAAACTGTGTCTGAACACAAAATGGTTTTCGACGCTCTTGAATTGACCTACGTCATGTTTGATTCGCTTCTCTGTGTCTCTTGCATTTGCGTCGAGTTTTCTGTTTTTTTTTTCCGCGGTGAGTGTGAAAGGACACTCACCAATGCTAATATTGACGAGATAACCATCTTTAGTACTGATTAATGGGGTTCTGATTGATGGACAGACCGACGGGTACAAGGAAATGAATTGTGAATGGGGCAACAATTAGGGACCATGAGAAATTAGGGACCTATGGCGGCGGATGCACTTTGTATCGAAAAATGTAAAAACTGCATTCCATCTCAATTTGGTGTATTTCTAATGGTGCTATCCAGATTGAGATTTTAGAAAACTAAAAATCTTCGAAAAAACCATATTCAGACTGAGAAAAATTACTTTCAACCATTTTATTTTTCCAAAATCAGCACCGAATTTAAAAATGTGTCGAATTTCGATGAACTTGCTCTTTTTTTTGGAGTGTTGACCGATCATGAATATTGCGAAAATTAGGTGAATTATGGGGGAGGACGACTCTCACAGCTCTTTTTCTTCTCGGAAAGTTTCGCCATGATTCTCACCATGTAATGAGCATTTGAAAGCTCATTCAGGTGAACCGTGAGAATAAGGGCAGATATGCGGTCGCATTTCCGCTTTTCTGGCTGACGAAGCATTTCGTTTCTCGTCGACGTCGCGTTTTATTTTTAACTATATTCCGGCCGTGTTTTTTTTCTTAATTCATCGTCGATTTCGATATGATTTATTGATTTGAGGCTCGATGCGAACCCATCATGCGAATTCGGTGGCGCCGCGTGAAATCGCCATCACACACGAGCAATTTTTGTCGCCGATCACGTCGCGATCGGAGCGATTCGCGATATGCGAGAAATGTGTTGCCGAGCACGAGACGCTTCGTCGTCGTGCGAGCTCAGCAGAAGAGTTGACCGAAAGCGCGCTTCGCAGCGCGTTGGATAGTCTCAACACGAGTGTGCGATATGTGAAAGACTGGGATATTGACGAGGAGTCGTCGCCGCATTCAGTGTACGCTTCGCATGTCACCGAAATCGTAGAGATTGACGATGCTGCTGAGATTCAGAACGAGCCGTCGGCGTCGGTGCGAGCTGAAGAAAAAGAAGAAGAAGAAGAAAAAACAAATAACGCGGTGGTTCCGAAAATTTACGACCCCGATAATTATAAGCGAGAGATTGATGATGAGCCTAGGACGGCGAACTTTGTTCTATCGGGTGATGGGCAATTCAAGCATCAGCCGATAATAAGCCCTAGTGGGGTGATTCGGGTGGTCGGTGGGAGCCCGCCACTTGTGAGATCGCGACCGCCCGTGAAACGCCGTCACTCTTCATGCGCCACATTGACCTTCTACGAAGAGGATCGGCCTAAATGGTACCTTGGCGACGCTGCAGTAGACGAACCCGACGAGCCAGTGGTACTAGGCGAAGAGGTCAAGCCGGTAGTGCGAATTGTTGAGGACACTGAACCGGAAAACTTTGTCTCGATTCTATGCCTTCCGCTCAAAAAGCTGCTGAAAATGTGCAGACGCGCAGAAGTAAGAATTTTCGAGAAATAAACAGCTTTTCGGCGTTTCAAAGTTCATTTCTGTCGAGAGATTTGCCGGAAATTCGCCTCTCAGGCCTATCCATTTGGATTTTGCAGCGTTTTATGCGCAACTTTTTTCTCCCTATTAGGAATGTTATGCACATCTTGCGTAATTAGGTAATTTGAGTCCTTCCGAGGTCTCATGAATTGTTGACACATATCGATTTCGGTTTTTTTCTTTCTTTGCTATAAAATCAGAGTCGGGTCAAGACCATTGTGTGGTTCCGGTTCGCAGAAATGCAATGAGTCATTCACGCCCCTCGTATTTAATACTGTATTGGAAATTTAGTCAATATTCAAGAATAAATAAAATTGTAAAAGACACTCGTATTCGTAATATATAAAATTTGCAGAGAAGTAAAAAGTAGATTTTATTTGAAAAAAAAAAGATGAATGAAAATCCAAATCCCTTTTTAAATTGGATTTTGAGGCTTCTTTTCAGCTTATTTACACAAATGATAAGCCAATTTTGCTCAATGACTAATCAGCGAATTATTTTTTTCCACTAAATACAAAAAATTTATGGATTTGTGCTTTTGGTCTTTTTAGCTCAAATGTCTGAAACCTGAATTTCCCAGGGCAACTATTTACGTTTTTGTTTGGAAATTTCATTTCATTGATTTTTTTTCCAGGAGCTCGGTGAAGCCGGTGATAGTGTTGCTGAGGTGAAACGAACATCGTCGGGCGGTCGTGGACGATTGGCGCGACGAATGACAATCGAAGAAGAGCACGCCGGCGATTATTTCAAGTGAGCTTTTACGCACTTTTTGGAATATTCGAAACGTTTCCAAACTATGATGCAATTTCGTCGTCGGACACACACACACACACACACATGCGTTCGCTCCTCCCCCTCCATCCCATTTTCATTTACGACCTCACAGTTGTAGCCGCGCGAAGGTCTGTCCCGTCGCGTGCCAGGTCGCGGATCGTGGTGGTGGTGGTGGTGGTGCAAGAGCAGACGCACACTGTTTGATTTCAACCATGTGTTATTCATTGGGCATCGCAAAACCCGAGCATTTTTTTTGTGGGGCGGTGTTCGAGCGGCGCCTGCGCGGCAGCGGAGCCGTCAACAATTGCTCTGCGTCTTTGCCGTCTCCATTGGGGATGTCCCCCTTTTCGCCCCCTCCTCCCCCATCTGACATTTGTGCTAGAAGCTCGAAGAGTCCTTTTTTCTCGGTTTTGCCCGTCCTCTCAATTTTCTGGATTTCATCCGAAAGTTTGCATAAATGCGTGCCTATTTCAAACAAATTACGTCATTCTAAACTGAATGAGTCATCTCGAAAAAAACGTTTCCCAACAATTTTTTATTTTCCAATAAAGAAATTTTCGTATAGCGAAATCCCGAAAAAATGAACTGAGAAATCGCATGCTTATTAAAACTGTAAGCGCGGATAATTGTAGGCGAAATCCTTTCGAGACCTGCGCCGAGTACTGTAGCACTTCTTTCTCCTCATTCTGCTATTGACGACATTTGTGCAGTGTTTTCATTTTATTTTTCACCCTTGAAAATATTTATCTGTGCGTTTTTCTTTCGTGTTTAGCTGGATTTTTTACGACTCGTAATAACAAACCAGATGCGAGTTTTGCACATATTCTCATTTTCTCGTTTTTGCTGAAAATTGGCGGTTGCTATGGATTGCCATTATAGATTGTTGTTTTTTTCAAGTGTGTTTTTTTCTTGTTGCGCTCTCCTACCTTGTTGTTTTCCACCTGTTTAATCGATTGCACTTCGCAGAAGTCCGACTCTTGTCCGCCCGCCTGCCCCGCTAACTCACACTCTCACTCGCACTTCTGTCGAATCGACGACGAAGTGAGTTTTCTGCCAAAACGGGAGCGTTCGCTGCACGACCGACTATCGCTGACGAGACTCGCGAGCCCGAGTCCGAGCCGCACGAGTTCGTTGTCGTCGAGCCGAAGAAGAAGCCCGACGTGAAGCCGCCGCTTCATTCGGTTGCCGGTTGTTTGACATCGTCAAAATCGTCGTTTCGCGAACTATTCGCGTACGGAATTCCCGGACAAGCCGATCCGAAAGCGGAAAGCAATTGGGAGGACGCCGACGCGCCGAAAATGTTGAGAAACTCGACCGACGACGCTTTTCAGCAGGAGCTTGAAGCTTCTGCTTACGACAAGTAAGTAGTAGACCCCCCCCCCTCCCCAAAAACAAATGTACAATAGACTGACTATTGGCTGGTTGGGGCCAACTGCTGCCCGATTGTTGTTTTGTGCCGCCGCCGCAGCGATGTTTGACCTGCGGATTTTAAGACAAAAAAGAATGGCCCGCATTGAGATTTGTGTCGACTCACTGAGAATGAATTAAATCATATTCGAGATGCTACTGCGTGAACTCGAAACCCTTAGTCTCTCACATCTCATCTCTCATAGCTAATTTTACTAAACAATGGTGATGCATCGTTTTTGGTCCTATGTTTCGGGTTCGCAAAATGGTTATAAGCCTTCGATGAAGAGCATCGAAGCGGCGAAAAGTATCGCCAGCACGCATGAGACGGCCTCGTTGACGCCGGTGCGCACAAAATTGGCGGCCGATGAGCCAAAAACGGATGAGAATAACAATAATAACAATAATGTCGATCCAGGGGTTCGACCGAAAACGCATGTGTGTTCGGTGCCGAGTTTTAGGCAGAATCCATATAAAACACGGTGACATTTTTTTTTTCATACAAGCGCGAAAAAAAAACTAAAATCGATATTGTTTTTAGGCAGGAGCAGAAGCTGACACCAACTCCGGCCACTACCCACATGGAGCACTTGTGTCGTTTGGATATTCGCGAGGCGCCGCATTTGGTCCGTCAAACTGGAATCATTTGTACCATTGGTAGTTGATTAGAGCAAATTGATAATTGAAATTGATTCGATTAAGGACCCGCTTGCGCTAGCGTCGAAATGTTGCAAAAGATGATTTTGAACGGAATGAACATCGCTCGTCTCAACTTCTCGCATGGATCGCATGAGTACCACGCCGGAACGATTGCCAACGTTCGCGCCGCGTGCGAGTCATTCTCGGATCCGCGAATCGTCGGAATCGCTCTTGACACGAAGGGACCCGAAATTCGTACCGGATTGCTCGCTGGCGGAGCCAGCGCTGAAGTCGAGCTTGTGAAGGGAGCCTCGATTCGTTTGACGACTGATCCGCACTTCCAAGAGTCTGGAACAGCTATTAATCTCTATGTTGACTACAAGAACATCGCGAAGGTCGTTCAGCAGGGCTCGCGCGTCTACATTGATGATGGATTGATCTCGTTGGTCGTCGATGAGGTTCAAAACGATGCCATCGTGTGCACAGTCGAGAACGGTGGAATGCTTGGAAGCCGCAAAGGTGTCAATCTGCCAGGAACGATTGTCGATTTGCCGGCGGTCTCCGAGAAGGACATCAAGGATTTGCACTTTGGCGTCGAGCAAGGCGTTGATATGATCTTCGCCTCGTTCATTCGAAATGCTGAGGGAATCCGCACCATTCGCAAGGTTTCGAGAATATCCGTATTATTTTGCAATCATTTTTGTTTTTGTTCAGGTTCTCGGCGAAAAGGGAAAGAAGATCAAAATTATTGCCAAGATTGAAAATCAGGAAGGCGTCGACAAGGCCGATGAGATCATCGCCGAATCGGACGGTGTCATGGTGGCTCGCGGAGATCTCGGAATCGAAATCCCATCGGAGAAGGTGTTCCTCGCGCAAAAGATGCTCATCTCGAAGTGCAATCGCGCCGGAAAGCCGGTCATCTGCGCCACTCAGATGCTTGAATCGATGGTGCACAAGCCGCGTCCGACAAGGGCCGAAGGATCCGACGTCGCCAATGCGGTGAGTGTTTGGGTTGGGGGGGAAAAAAGCTGAAATGTGCACGAACGAGTGCGCTTGAAGAGACGATGCTCTTGTTCGCTTCTCACCGATTCGAGATTATTAAATCACATCAATATCGGGACAACTTAGCGCAATTGATCTCGTATGACGATCAACTGCAACTCTGTGCCCCTCTCGAACCCGCGACACCTCGCGCGTCACTTTCTGCCGCACAAGCAGCCGGCCGCGAAACCCCTCGTCGCCTCTGCCCCACTGTGCGTTGATAATCGAAACGTTGCAGGTTTTGGATGGCGCCGATTGCGTCATGTTGTCGGGAGAGACCGCGAAAGGAGAATACCCGGTGGAGGCGCTGAAGATTATGCATTATATATGCAAGGTTGAATATCTCGAAATGTATTGTTTTAAGCATTTATGCGAAATTTCTTAAGGAAGCTGAAGCCGCTGTCTACCACAAGCGCTACTTTGATGAGCTGCTCATCAACACGCCGAAGCCGACCGACATGTCGCACACGATCGCGATTGCGGCAACGTCGGCGGCGGTTTCGTGTCACGCCTCGGCAATCCTTCTCGTCACCACCACTGGAAGGTTGGCGATCAATTTGATTGTCGTCGGCCAATTTGAATTGCGACATTTGCAGATCTGCAATTCAATGCTCTCGCTATAAGCCGCCAGTTCCGATTTTGACCATCTCGCGAGACATCTCCGTTTGCCGTCAGATGCATCTTTACAGAGGTGTGTTCCCGGTTCACTATCAAGCCGAACGCGCCGCTGACTGGCCGACTGACGTTGACAATCGTATTAATTATGCGATCGCGATCGGCAAAGATCGTGGATTCATCCATAAGGGTGACTTCCTGGTGGTTGTTACTGGATGGAGACAGGGTGCCGGAGCCACCAACACTCTTCGCATCATTACCGCTGAATAGATTTAGTACGAGACTTCCCCCCAACCATAAAAGTCGTTTTTTTTTTGTCGAATTTTCTTGCACCCAGTTTACATAGGCTTCTTTTAATTTGATGTCCACTTTTCATACCCTGTTGCATTAGGTTTTAAGAATCCTTTGTATTCATCGTCCATTTTTTTTCTCATCTCCGTTAATTATAATTCTTTTATAATTATGTTATCCTTATATTAAGGCTCTATTATATTTCGGTGGTCTTTTTCTGTTGAAATCTAGATATTTGGAAATAAACGCCTAGTTTCATTTGTTGTCGAAAGCGAGGCTGAGGGGATTTTAATAATACATAATATATGATTTATTAGAAATGTTTTTTTTGGCAAAGTTCGATATGGAGCAAAAATAATAAATTACATTGTTATCACATGAAATTTGGCGAGGGGGTTGAGCATCAACGAAACAGTCGAGAATCTTCTAGATCTTCATGTTGTTCATTTGACCGACGACCGATGTTAGAAGATCGCGATGACGGCTTCGAACTTCCGATTGTCGTCTGGCCAACGCGCCAGAGAAGTGTTTCATCAGATTATCGAAGTCGATTCGATGTGGAGGCGTCTTTGGAGCGTATTCGGAATCGCTGAAAACACAAGATGAGGAATGCCAAAGTTGTTCGTTGGAATACTCGATCGAAACCAATGCTGGAACCGCTTGAAGGCGCTTATGAAGTGTTAGAAATGCCTCCGATTGTGGCAGAAGCATTAAAAGTGCGGATAGGACTGTGCATAACGGCTTGCGATGGTGAGATGATAGAAGATCCATACGGACATCTAAATTTGGTTGCATTAAATCATGTGAAGTTTGCCTGAAAACTCCTACACGCTAAAATTGGGCTTTCGATTAGATTGACAAGTTTATCAATTTCAATTAGGACGTCGGATGTTATATCGATCTGAAATTGATGATTCAGCAATTGGATAAAGGATATTTTCTATTAAAAAGCACATTATTTTCACATTATGATTGAAAAAATTTGCAAAACTCGCTCTTTCCATACGAGACCACCGAGGCGGCAATTCAAATGATACACCCCAATATGGTCCTCCAACGTTAGTATTATAAAAAATTTAATAATCTTACTTGAGAAAGTAGTAAGGCGATATCGGAAGCTTCCTTATAATGTTGAGACAATAAGCAGAGGCCGAGTAGGGCAATTGGCCGATTTGACCAGACGCGAAACATTATTTCGAATAATTCTTTCGATTCCTACAAAATTGCAAATAAGAGATTCCAAACATTTCTCAATAATTTCATATATACCGTAGTTTTGAGCTGTCTCAGCTCATCTCTTAAAATGAAGAGCTCGGTGGCTGTTAGAAGAACTCCGTGCAACGTCGAAACCATGCTTTGCGCAAATATGTGCTTCGTTTCGCGTTCCAGCAGTACACAAATTGTGCGATATATATGCGCCGGTTCGAGAAGGAGGCATAATTGTCTGAAAATTCGAATTTGTTGCGTTTATATAAAATCGAAGATTCTGGAAAAAATAATAAGCTAATTACAAAATAACCCATTTTATTAAAAAAAAAACTCACATACCTAATTATTAGTACACCGCGATCATTGAGAAGTGACGGATCAGCGCGGAACATTTCCAAAAGGCTTAATGCGAATTTAACAAGAAATGGCGAGATAAATGAAATTTGTCGCAATGAATTCGCGTCGAGACCAAACGCGGCGACATCGACCTTGTTTGGAGCGAATTCTGATTGGCAAATGTTCGAAATTAGAAATAAGTCAAGAAGAAGGACCTCAAAAAAACGTTTATTAAATTAAAGCAAATTGAAAAAAAAACCTCATCAGAAGTGTCGGAAAGTGTATTCAAAAGGACCGGAAATATCACATCCATATGCACAAAAATTTCAGCGGACATCGAACCGTGCAAATGACGAATCCAATTAAGCACCGTTACCCGAGTTTCAACCTTCTCATGACGAATATACTTTAATAAAACCTCTGCAATTAATTGGGTAATTAAAAATGACGCAATTAGGCATATAATTGCAATTACCAATGGCATTATCCAAATTTTCTTGCTCAAGCTTTTTCTCGTCGACCAATGCCATCAAATGCCGATTGACAGTGTCCGCTGTGAACAAAACTAAATTTTCTGCAAAAATTCCTTAAAAAATACCTTTTAGTTCGTGCTGATCGATTGAAGGCAAAATTCCGGCGAGAAATGAGGAAAGCATTGGCAGAAGTTCGTGTTTATATAAGCTATAATTACGCAAATTGGGTAATATGATTTTAAATTTTCTTTTTTTCAACTTTAAAAACTCGTCGAGCCAATTGAGTGAGATCTTTCTTGCCATCATTGGCTCATTTTCGTGAGCATGAACCACGAGAACGTTTACCATTTGAATACGATCCATCTGAAATAATTATAAATTTAAAGAAAGTAATAGAAACGGAAATACTGGAGGAAGAGCTTCCGGTTTGCTTTTCACTGCCAAAAAGAAATTGGCAAGCACTTTTGAGCAAAGCTCTCGTGTCGCTTCTGTTTGATCTGAGAGCATTTTCAAAAGACCGTCTGTTATTTGAGCCAAATATGGGACCACTGAGAAGTATGGGGCAGAATTGATAGTATTTAGCTAAAAATAGAATAATTATATAGCTAATTAATTAAAATAATACCCATTGCATAATAAATCTTCGATTTGAACTTGTTTGCGTGTAAATTCGATCGCAGATTAATGTCATTAGAATGGAAATATCAAAATCTTCTTTAGAAAGTACGATATCCATAATTAGGCGATCTAAAAGTTCAGCACCGCCGCGAACATTTTGGTCTGTATCTGCTGTAACGCGCCAAAGAGCATCGAAAATATCGTCAAAGTGATCGAGGACGTCGGTTCGACAGATTTTAGCCACGTTGTATAAAGACTCGCAAGCATAATAACGAATTTGGAGATCTGCATCCATAAAGCAAGGTATAATTGGCGCTAGAAGCTTCTCAGTGTACGGTGAAGCATTCTGAAACAAGTAATATTTATTTACAATAAGAAATGCTTGCCTTATTTCCTAATCCAATTGCGGTAGCCGCAAGTCCAATAAGTCCTCCTTTTCTTTGATTTGAGTTGCCGGAAACAACCAAATCGGAAAGGCAAGCAATTAGACGATCGAGAGCTGAGAGATGGTTTTGATTGAACAAGTCACGGGCAATTCTAAACAAAATCCAACAATAATTTGTTATAAAAACTAATACTTACTTTTCCACGTCTATTGCAGCTGACTTACGTCTTTCATATGCTTTATCAGTTAATGACCTAAGAATACCTGCTGACAATGGCCCATCGGACATTTTACCTGTAAGTAATTACTGAAAATCTAAAAAAAATTTGCAAATTAAAAATGAAATTGCGTGAATTAAAATGCAAGTCCGCAGTGATATTCAATCGGTGTATGCAGAGAATTATTTAACGATTTTTGCATGTCGAATTTCCGCAATAGATTTTCCGACATTCCAAAATTGTGATGAACGATTTTATTTGGAAAAACGAAATTTCGACCGTTGTGGCCTAGAAAATGTGACCGTGATCTTCGCGTTTTCCATTCCCTGAACGCTATTTTTGTTTAGTCAATATTTCCGCGATAAGTGTTGAAACGCAGCTCGATGACTATGTCAACCGGTTTCTCACAAATTTGAAGGCTCATCAAGATGTAAAAAGAAAAAAATTGCCGGAAGAAAAGGTAAATCTATTTTAATTCGATATAAGTCATGATAATGTATTAAGATTCTCGCGAAACGAAAAATCGTTTTCGGCGCCCACGAAACATTGCAAAAATTGAAAGCAGACAAAATCAAACTAGTCATTTTCGCTCGAAATATGCACGAGAATGAAAATCGACGACGTGAGTTAATTTAATTAATGCAAATTGTAACATGATTAATTCAGTGGAATTATGCTCCGTCGAAATTCGCCAAATTTGTGCGATTCGAAATATCCCAATAATTCAAGCATCAACAAAGCGAAACATTTCTCGGTGTGTTCGTAAATATCCATATGTAGCATGCATAGGACTTCTAGATGAAACCCCGGAAAACGTAATATTTATTAATAAATTTCCAATTATTGTTGTTCAGGAGCTCTACACCAAAATACTGGAGATATGGAAGCATACGGATTTTCATAAATCATTTCATATTGATCAATCAAGCTTATTCGCATAAATTTTCTAATTTACTTTTGATTTTATTTGCCGAAGGGGTCTCCTACCACCTTTATTATCGTTTCGCCTGCTTTTCACCAGATTTTTTTTTTCAAAATCGGCCTATTAAAATTTCTAGAACTCATTGGATGCTTGCCAGATCCTCATCTATAGGCCGATTTTTGTGCTTATCAGGTTTCTTCCCAACTTTCTGTCAATCTTCGTGTTTTATTCTCTTTTTAACCGCATGCTGTCTTTTTTTCATGTAACCCCGCTCTAATATTTTTCAGGTTTCCTAGTGTTACCGGCGTCCGTTCAACCGATTTCTCACGCCTGCGGAGCGTTTCCTCGCACGAAAATAGGTGAGCGTTGCGAGACCTCCATTTCTGTGCGCTTTTCGTTCATCTGTGTCTACAAGCTAACATTTCTGTGCATGTTGAGCTAATTCCTTGAGAAAGTCCTATTCCCCATTCACAATATTTGCCAAACGCATAACCAAATACAAAATTTAGAATTTTCTTCCAGGTTCTTCACTCTCATCAAGAGCGCTTTGCTTTATCGGCAGTGGATCATCAGAAGAAGATTCAGAAAGGGTATCTCATTTATTTTATTGTTTTAGGCTTCGAGGATAGTAATTTTTGTTGATATCTTGCGATCATTATCTGAATTTCTGTAAAACTTCTGCATAGAACTTCACTACAGTTTTTGTTGAATTTTTCATCAAAATAAAAATGTTTTGGCTTTTATCAATGATTCAGCATTGATAAAAAAACATGTTTCGCAATAATAATTTCTTTCTCCATTTTCAGATGTCTTCGATTGCGAATGGTTCTGCGGTGGTCCTTCCAAAAGGACAACACAAGGCCACTGTAATTTTCCTTCACGGACTTGGCGATCAAGGCGATGGCTGGGCGGACATGTTCAAATCCGATATGCGATCGGACCATATCAAATTCATTTGCCCGCATAGCGCTTCGCGTCCAGTAACACTTAATATGGGCATGAGAATGCCGGCATGGTACGATTTGTATGGTCTCGACGCAGCTTCAAAAGAAGACGACGAAGGCATCGCCGCCGCCGCAAAATACGTGCACGATCTTATTGATTCAGAGGTATGTGAATTAAAAATATTTTTGCTGGTTTGCTATCGAATCGTCGTCAGATTTCTTCTGGAATTCCGTCGGAAAAAATCGCTGTTGGCGGATTCTCGATGGGCGGCGCATTGGCGATCTACTCCGGATTGACCTATCCGCAAAAACTTGGAGCTATCGTTGGATTGAGTTCGTTCTTTTTGCAAAGAAGCAAATTCCCTGGAGTAAGAATTGATCATAATTAATTGTGCTAATTGATTTATAATTAAATTGAAGAATTATTCTGCCAACCTTCAAACACCAATCTTCCTTGGGCATGGTACGATGGACTTTTTGGTTCCGCTTCCAATTGGTCAGCTTTCGCAGACTCTTATCAAAAAATTCAATCCGAATGTCGAACTTCGGACTTATCCGATGGCTCATTCGAGCTGCCCACAGGTAATTTTGCTCTAAATTATATGAAATTAACATAATTAATTAATTGCAGGAAATTAATGACTTGAAGACATTCCTTGATTCAAAGCTTCTATAATTAAACTACAACAATAATTCAGAGAACATTTATCATATGGAAATAAAAATTTATAAGAAAATAATTTATTTATTGAAACGCGTAATGAAGCGTGAATATCTTGAAATAAAAAAATGAGGCCATGAATTTGCGAATTCGAAATTATTAAAGAATGTCATCGAAGAAAAAACCGCAAATTGTTGTATGCCAGGTGTGCCAGTCAACGATATTGGCTAAGGATTCAGCGAGACATGCAGATTTTTGTAATCAGGAGCTTGAGAAAAGCGAGGTTGAGTATTGAATGTTCCTTTAAATGGAAATCGACATTAGATTCCGATTATCAAATCGACAACGCTGATTGGATTCAATTCGGCGGTTGAGAATTCGTCATGTTTCCTACCGCCCGACTCGCTCGGCTGGGAGAAGGCACACGCAGTTCTAATGAGCTCTCAAACAATGGAAGCTTTTGATCTACTCCCACGGCAGCCGATTCGTGTGACATTTGGTGAGAAATTGCTAATTGGTGTCGTTTACCCATGCAATACGGTACAAATTTTAAACAAAATTCCGCATTTAAATGAATTTTTGAAGATTCCCTTGCTGAAATTGCATATTTTGTCGCCAAAAATTCCACGAGAACGCCTTGTTAAAGTGCAGAAATACGGCCGTGTCGAAAAGGTTTCGAATTTGAGCGTCAGAGTGGAAGCAACGAAAATCGAAAGCTCTCTCAAAGACTTTCTTGAGGTATTTCTGATTTAATGAGAAAATTGATGAATAATTATGCATTTCAGATGTACCTCTCCTATGCTTTTTTGGAATTTAACAATCCAATCACTTTGAAATATCTTGGAAGATTCATTGAAGTGACAGCAGAGGAAGGTCTTGAAAGGAAAATCGAGAAAATGGGTTTAGCCGATGGGAAGGAGGTTTGAAATTTTCGAGCGTGTCCCAATTTGAACTCAATTTTTTAAAGGATATTTCTGTAATTTCACCGATTTCTGGATATTCATTGAATATTTTAAACCAAGAGCTCTCGAAAAATTCTGAAACTCGTCCGACAAATCTTGAAAATGTTGACGGCATGTTTGGCGCGAAAAAGATATTGACTGATTATGTGATTAATCCAATTTCAAGGTTGGGAAATGTTTTTTTTTTCAACAAAAATTATTAAATTAATTAATTGTGCAGAAATCAGGAGCCATGCTCGATTTTGCTCTGGGGACTACCGGGAAGCGGCAAGACTTACATTCTGCGACACTTGGAAGCGGTTCTGGGTCCCAACGCGATTTTCATTTCGGTTTCAAACTTATCAAATACTGTTTGAAGGGGACGATTTTAGGCATTTGAGGATTTGGCGGAACTCAAAATCGCACAAGGCCGCCAATTACTCATTTTAGATATTAATGAAATCGATAAGGAGAATAATAATGCGATGAAGTCTTTGAGGAATGTTCTCGAAAATGAAGGGGCACGTTTGACTTTGAATTTTTCCTCATTAACTTGAATTTAAGACATCGGTTATTCTCTCGATCAGATCTCCGGATAATTTGGATATTGGATATCGCGTCAGATTTCCTGTCGAGGTAAAACGCGTCTAGCAGAATCGTGGTTTCGTACCAACAATGGCAGCGTGCGCCTTGAATTGCCGTTTTCAAAAATGATTTTCTATTTATGAAAACTCGTCAAATTCTCTTGAAACGCACTGAATACGGGCTTTCCTGTGTTCAATTTTCAGCTTTAAAAATATTATTGTATTGAAGCATGTAAAAATTTCGAAGTTTCTATGGAAAGAAATAAAAACATCAAATTATTGATTAAAGGCTCATGACGCTGAAAGCGAGCTGGGTCTTGTGGCGACCGATTCTGGAAGCCGCTTGTCTTCAAGAAGAACTAACTTCAACTTTGATCTTTGACGTTTTTTTAGGTTGAAGTCACCGTTCCCACTCAAGACGAGCGAATTGACGTCTTACAAAAATTGCTCAAAGACTTCGGATTTGAATCTGGAATTGAATTGGATGTTGCGAGGTTTTCCGCTCGAGAAGAAAAAATGAATAATCCATCGAATTCAGAATCACTCACGGATTCACGAATGGCGATTTGCGTTCGCTGCTCAAAGCGGCGAAATACTGCCAAGGGACGAGCATCGAGCAAATTGAGGCCGCTCGGAAGCTCATACGACCGACGGGAATCCGGCAATTCATTCTCGAGGTAATTCAAAAACACGCTCCTCATTTTCAATGGGTCCATTTTAAGGTGCCAACAGTGAAATGGTCCGATATTGGAGGAAATGATGATTTGAAGTTGGACATTCAACAAGCTGTCATCTGGCCGCATCAGCATCCCGAAGCGTTCGAGAGGTTCGGCATTCAGCCGCCGGCAGGCATCTTGTTGTACGGGCCGCCGGGATGCAGCAAAACGTTGATTGCTCGCGCGTTGGCGAACGAGGCGAAAATGAATTTTCTCGCCGTCAAAGGTCCCGAGTTGTTCAGCAAATGGGTTGGCGACTCGGAGAAGGCGATTCGAGAGCTGTTCGCGAGAGCCCGCCATGTCGCGCCCACAATTGTGTTCTTTGATGAAATTGACGCCGTCGGTTCGGCGAGAGGCTCCGATAAGAGTTCGGCGGTGTCGGATCGCGTGTTGGCTCAACTCCTCACCGAGCTTGATGGGCTGGAAAAGTCGAGCCGAGTGATTTTGTTGGCGGCGACGAATCGGCCCGATCAGCTGGATGGCGCTCTTTTGAGACCAGGTAGTCGTCGAATAAATGCAATACACTTTAAAATCGCGATCCTAGGAAGACTGGATCGCGCGATTTACGTCGGATTGCCTTGTCAGATCACACGACGAGCCATTATCGAAATGAGCACAAGAAAAATGGAGTTCGAGAAAGACGACACCATTGAGAAGCTCGTTGACATGACTGATGGATATTCTGGCGCGGAGCTCGTGGCTCTTTGCCGAACTGCTGCCATGTTTGCCATGCGTCAGGACATGAATACGAATTTTGTGCGATGGTCCAATTTTGAGCAAGGTTTTGTCTCCGTTTTACGCATTTCTGAGAAATACACTTTTTGAAGCATTCACTGCTGTTCGACCTCGTACTGAACGTCATCTCATCGAAATTTACGAGGAATTCCGATTAGGGGCCACTTCCGGCGCCTAAATTGTTGTTGTTGTTTTTCTAAATTGTTAAGTTGGTTGTTTCGAATAATACATCAATTTATAATTAAAAAAAATTAATTGAGTTCAGATTTTGATTGTAACAGGATGTGAAAATCGTTTAGTCATTCCTCCGGGTTTTCTTTTTTAAAGTATTTTTAAAATGAGCAACTGTCTTTTGTTGTGGGGATATCGAGGAGGGGGTCTATTAGAAACCACCCCTACTTTTCAACCCCCACCCCTACTTTTTAACCCCCACCCCTGCTATTCCACCCCGACTTTTATTTATGATACCACCCCCACTTTTTCACCCCCAATTTTTAGGTTTCACCCCTACTTTTTCACTGCACTTCAAAATTTGAAGTTTCTAACAGTAATGTTTAACAGTAAAATTTTTTAATATTTTCAATAATTCAAGTTATCAAGAGGAGATTCGCAGGACTGATGTCTAAATTCGATTTTTCAGGAACTATTGTCGAAGTCAAACGACTTGAAGAAATTTAAAAAATAATTGGCTATGTGCCAATGCGTCTCGAGGCAGCGAGATTGCGTCCATTGCATTATAGCGTACGCGCATTAAATATTCAGTCAACGATTAATTTAAATCTACATTAATTTCGCGAATTTAAAGGCTCCGCCTCCCTTCAGTCGTTTGACGCCGACAACATGTAGTGTTCTTATGAAAGGTTGACAATTTTAACAAGAAATTAACTATTCTCGGAAAACCCGGTTCAGAAAAATTTCGTCTTTTGTCAAAACGTCAACCTTTCATAAGAACGCTACATAGTTTCTGAAAAATCGAATTTAGACATCAGTCCTGCGAATCTCCTCTTGATAACTTGAATTATTGAAAATATTAAAAACAGTAAAATTTTACTGTTAAACATTACTGTTAGAAACTTCAAATTTTGAAGTGCAGTGAAAAAGTAGGGGTGAAACCTAAAAATTGGGGGTGAAAAAGTGGGGGTGGTATCATAAATAAAAGTCGGGGTTAAAAAGTCGGGGTGGAATAGCAGGGGTGGGGGTTAAAAAGTAGGGGTGGTTTCTAATAGACCCGAGGAGGGGCCTATTAAAGTAGGATTCAAGGACAAAAAAAGAAAATCGAAAAAAAAGGCTTTAGCATTATTTCACAGAAAACTCCCGTTGCGGTTTTAAAGAATGAAAAGAAACAAGAAAAAACGAAACAAACAAGGAATACTGCTGGGAACGGGCGGTTGGCGCAAATCATTATGCGACAACAATGGGTTAGATATGGTTTACACGTACAACCAGGTAAACGACTAAAAATTTCAGCGCAGGTTTCAGGCGGAACCGTCCGTGGAATTGACCTCGCGAATCGGCGCATCTATGCGAATCGCATTCGCTTCGTGCTCAATAAAACTTCGGAGTCGCTCAAGGTAAGCGGCATGAAGTTCGACGTCATTGTGACCGGCTCCGGGAACCCACAGCGGCTCCACCGACGTTGGGCATCTCTCATAAATCGATACGCCATGCGAAAAGTCGATAACCTTTAAATGGCAAGACTGAACAATTTTCATTTGGCGCTCAAAATGTTTACCTCATCGTCGGTTCCGTGTATCACCAATGTCGGGCATTTCACACGCGGAACTTTCTCAATCGATGGGAACGCGTCGCAACACCTATAACAACAAAATTTTTCAAGCTTTTCCTTCATGATCATATTTTTTTTATTCTCACCATGTCGTTTGTGTTCCTGGGAATGCAACACGCATTCCGCTCATAAGCGGCGAGTGGAGAATTAGAGCCGCGACTTGCTCTTTACTAGCCAGATCAACACTTGGCACTGTTCCAATTGATTGCCCATAAAGGATGATACGTTCAGCAGGGACATCTGAGACAAATTTTGCTCACACTTTAAATCGTTAAGAAAATCTCACTGAAATCCTTTTTCAGCGTTTCGTACGCCGCCAAGATATCCGCATAGAGGTTCTTCTCGGACGGTTTGCCGCTGGAGCATCCATATCCTGAAAAAATTGGCCCAATTTTCTTGCAAATTGATCCAAAACTACCAGAATAATCGTAGCTAAATACATTGCAGCCGAGATGATATCCCAAACCATACAAAAATGATGCCATTTGGCCGAGATCAACAGCGTTGCCATGAGAGAACAACAATGTGAAATGGGCATTCGGCGTTGGTCGGATCATTGAGCAGCAAATTTTGTTGCGCCTTCTCGTCCTAACCACACACATATCCACACAATTCGTTAAATATGATGGATCATGCGGCCAGCCAGCTTTTCCCTCAATGAGTTGCAATCTACAATGGAGGTATATTAGGCATTCAAATCGTTTATCATTTTTCAAACTTGTTATTTTCCGAAATTGTGTAGCTCGATTCAGGTGGCATGAAAGCAAGCTTCGAAACGATTGCCGATGGGAATGGTGGGCAGCAGAACAAACAACATAGGTCCCTAGAATTAAATTCTATTTTTGATTGTTAGTCTAGACAACAATTGGTTCAATTATAGTCGTCATATACAACAAATTTCATTTAGATTGTTATTTGTAGTGGCCATGATAATAAATTGTTTTGTGGAATTTGGAAACAAAGGGCATTCATAATTTATTCATTAATTACCGGATACTTTGATGGCTGGATTACGTCATTCATAAAAAGTGCAATCTAGGAGTTTGATAATTTCAACAAGAAATGTTTCTCGCTCGCGAGATTTTAAAGCGGATTAAAATGTGCCCATACCTAAATGATACGCTGTTCCCTCCAGCTCTTGGAGGCGGTGAGCCAGGTCCACTAGTATCCATTGATGATCCGGAAGCTGGTCCTGATGACATTCCGGAGCGCCTCCTCGCCGACTACAAATAATGAGAATATTGTTAAGTATGTTGTTGCAGGGGTTCTAAGAAACGTGCGCGGTTCTATACAATATCAATTAATTATGTATGGGCATGGAGCACATATGCTTTTGTTTGGCACGCGGACTACGCAGAAGTTGTGGAAAGGGCACAACCCGAGCGTCAATCTCCGGGCCAACGACACGCAATTTCCCGCTTCCACTTTTTTTTTTGAAAAAGAAAAAGATGGATAGCATTTAGAATGAGGCTGGACGGAGAGATTTTCTCGGGCAGAATTTATTATGAAGAATGACTATTCAAATATAAATATTATTTGGACACTAATAAATGATTCAGCATTATAAGAGGGCGCCAGTTTTTTTTCTCCAAACATAAACACTGAATTTTGTTTTTCGTTTCGCCCGAGCGATGCGTAATGTCGGCACACAAATAGATATACATTCATTTCTTTTTCGATTAACAAAACTAATTACGATTAGGGTGAGCAATGCTAAATCGATGAGAAAATTAATAACAGCATAAGCGGTGTGTGTAGGCCAATGGATTGCGAGTCGTAAATATATCCAATCTTATGCGAAAAAGACACTCGCCGTCTCGCAGTTCCCGCCCCCATCGAACCTTTTGGCCAGATACTTTGTGCAATCGTTTCGCGTAAGAGCTTTGAATGGAAGAAATTAGATGAAATGAAGTTAATAATACGATATAATTGGGCTTATTATTCAGGAATTGTCACAAGATCCAAGTTTATTTCAATGCGAAAAATCAGGCAAAAAAACGAAGAATTTGGACTTTAAAGTTCTCCTAGAAGAAAATCTGGCATATATCTAAATTTTTAAAGTTTATTTAAATTAGAAAAAAGGTAATTTTTAGCATTCTATTACTATCGGATCACAAAAACTGAATTTTCAGCAAATAAACACTAACAAAACAAAATTGCGGCGATAATAAATAAGTCAGCTTAATTTAATTACGTAATATTGGGCAATCGTTGATTTAAATGATTTAATAAAGTCACAGGAAATTGAAGAAATAAGAGAGTTTAACAGCTAGCAAAAAATTTTGATATAACAGTGGGACAAGCTCATCATCTGCGAAATTTTTCTCAGAAGTATATGCATATTTAAATTTTTACGATAGTCTAGTACGAATATAAGCGATGAAATGAAAGAAAAGAGTGTGCACATCTGCAAACCGGCAAACAAGTGCGTTAACGAGCGTAAAAATAATTCTGTCGACTCCGTAAATCGTGCAGGCATAGAGCCAAAATCGATTTCGTGCCGAGACCTTGGCCATCAGAATATGTGTGTACCTTGAGCGCAAATTTTTTCGTTTCATTTTTTCTCATCTCGTGGATTGTTTTTCAATTTTTTTTCACGGTTTTTATTGAAACGGATGGCGAATTTTTTTGTTAATCTCGTATAAAAGTTTATTCAGCCGAATAAATGTTTTGCAATTGTTGGAAATAGATGGAATTTTAAACTTATATTTGTAAACAATTTTGCAGATAAAAAAATTTTCTGACTTTTCGAAGGTTGAAATTTTTAAAAAGAGTTCAATATTGAATCTTCAAATAACATTACTTTTAAGCGCTACTTTTACTTCATGAAATAAAATCGTTATTTTTGCTTTATTCAAATTTGGTACGATTTCATCACAAATTTACTTTTTTTAAGGTTTCTTTAGCTCAACAATCAAGCATGGCTGACGATTTGGTAATACAAAACGTAAAAAATGTTTTTATAATTTAAGTTTAGGGTTTGGAACTCGGAAAAAAGAAAAAGACAAAGAAGGTGATTAGGATTGACGATGATGTCGATACTCCTGAAGCTGCAGCCGACGAATTTTCTGAGCTTAAACTTGATGGAAAGAAGAAAAAGAAAACTCCAAAGGTTGCACCAGAAGAAGTTGTTGAAGAAAAGAAACCCACTCTTGGTATGTTTTAATGAAATTGATGATAATTTTTTAACCAAATAAGCTTAGATATCGGAATTGGTGCTGAAAATTTGATCGATGCGAAAAGGCCATGGCCTGATTACACTTATGAGGAAGCTCTTGCCCTTGTTTTCCAAATAATGAAGGACAAAAATCCGGAATTATCTGGTGAGAAGAAAAAATTCGCCTTGAAGCTTCCTGAAGTGGGAAGAGCCGGTAGCAAAAAGACAGCGTTCTCAAACTTTTCGGAAATCTGTCGATTGATGAAAAGACAAGACAAACATGTGCTCCAGTTCATTCTTGCCGAATTGGGTATGTAAACAATTGTTTGTATGAAATTGAAATAAATTATTTAGGAACAACTGGATCGATCGACGGTAGCAATTGCTTGATTATCAAGGGAAGATGGCAGCAAAAACAGATTGAAAGTGTTCTCAAGAAGTATATCAGTAAGAAATTTATTCATTTATTGCTCATTTCATTTTTTTTTGTAATTTTCAGAGGAATACGTAATGTGCCACACGTGCAAATCATCAGACACCCAACTAACGAAAGACACCAGGTTATTCTTCCTCACGTGCAACGCCTGTGGATCTCGATGTTCCGTCGCTACAGTCAAAAGCGGTTTTACTGCGATGGTCGGAAAACGAGCAGCAGCACGACGTGCGGCCGAAGCAACCGCCGGAAAGTAGAACTATCGCATTACATTATTATAATTCGTTGTTTCGATTTTTTCAGTCTTCCGTTTTTTTTTGTTCGTTTCAATTTTCATTTGCTATGGGTTTCGTTTCTAGAATCTATTGCTGTTTTGTTATTAATTCCTACTATTTGTCCAGATCATTTCGGTGTACTTCTGATAAATTATTTTGTTTTCATTTGATGGATTGTCTCTGCCTCCACAATTGTTGTTGTAAACCATATATTGCATAACGATTATATGATATTTTGACAATTTTCATCACAATATTAATATTTCTATTATTACAATTATTATTATCATTAAAAAATTTTTAGATGTTGTACCTTTCGTCAATTTCAAAATCACTGGATCGAGAGGATATCGGAGACGTGTGCGCGAAACTTGTAGTTTTAGATTGTCAGAAAGGTTTATTGAAAATTTGTGTGAATTGCACAAGTGAAATCGAGACGATTTAGGTTTGCATGAGCATCAAAAAAGTTTGTGCAGTATTCTACACAGGATAGCGAGCCTTAGCTCATCAGTGGATTTTGATTTCATCGAGCACGCGCTTAAAATTATTCTGCGAAATTTGCAAAACGCCGAAGAGGAATGCTTCGCGTTGCTGCTCGCCAATTGTAATCCGGCTGGAATTGTGTTTGCCGATTTTCTACTTAGACAGTAGGTTATTTTTTACCCAAAAACGATTCGTTCACGTTAATTCGTCAATCATTTTCAAGTCGGAATCGCCAATTGAGCCATCAAGAAGTTGAGAGGATCGCCTCGGCAAGCAACTTCCCACTCGACCGAATAGCGGCCCTTTCGCGCCTTATTCGATATTCGAAGCATGAAAAAACGGCAAAGAATCTTGTGATGAAGCAACTTGAGAATGTCAACGTCTCCAGTGAATTTCCGCTTCGATTTCTCACGGAATTGGCGTATTTTGATGTTGGGCACCCAATTATAAGTAATTTTTCTTGCAATCGTGCAATTACGTCAAATATGGGTCTTCGGTTGATTTACGTGTGTGGGGATGATATATATACTTAGAAATTTGTTCGAAAGTTTATGAATCTATTAATTACTTTCAAAATTGTCAAATTTGACGCTACAAAAGAATATTTCGACTATTTTTCACGAAGCTGAATGAAATAATAAAAAAAGAAATTTCTGGATATTAATTTGTCATTTTCAGTTCTGAATGATCTCGCTAGCACCTCAAAGGCCACACTATTCCCATCTGTCTACTCGCTTCCGTTCCAATTCGACATTCTTGCCACCGGCTTTTGTAATTTTGTGCCGAAATATCAATCGCGCGACGGCGACCCACTATTACCATTAATAATGCGAATTTTTCAAATAACTGAAGAGATTCAACTAGGCGAAGAGCATATTTCAAAATTGGCGGTATGGAATTGCATCTGGGAAATTTCCAAAAAAAAAAAGAAAATAACTGAAATTCTTTGCAGAATTTTTGGAATTGCGTGTTTGGACTTTGTGATTCCTACGAAATTCCGCAACTTCAAACATTTGCAAAATGCTTAGAGAAAAATTGTCACAATTTTCCGTTAGTACCACGCATATTATTTCTGAAACGAACTCTATGGCTATTAAGTTCGAAGGTTCGTCATTTTTTTTCTGAAACATACAAATATGATTAATAATCATTTTTATAGGAGATGGACATCGTTGTGTATGAGCCACAAATTGTCGCGGTGATAATTGATTTGATTCGACGCGACATTAAAGCGGAGGAGTTCCAGAATGAATTAGGCGATATTTGGACGATATTATACCGAATAAGATATGATAATATTTATAACGCCGCCGCCTATTTTTGTGCACTATTTACGCTAGCACGGGCTCAAGCATTATTCAAGTTTGAAATTTGAAACGTTTCGATTAAATTCAAATTTGGTTTGTTTAGAATTAAAAAGCGGCTAATGTTGATGGTTCGCGATACCATTCTTAAACCATTGCACGAACAAATTGTCGATTTTAAACAAGTAATTTGATTTTTCGAAAATTTTTTCCTCCCAAAAATTACTTGATTTTTAAGGCTGGTGGTTGTGAGAAGATGGTTCGGGCCGAAGAATGCCTCGGTTCGGAAATGTTTGAAACAGTGGTTTACAGTTATAAAGTAGCCATGGAAGCGGTTAACACGTTTTTAAATTCGCCATAAAGATGCTATTTTCAATTATTTTTTTTTGTTTTTCTTCATTTAATATTGTTTTTTGTAAATGGGATTTCGATTCCTTGAAATATTTGTGATTCACTCGGTGGAAATGATGAGACGCAGAGTGCGCCGAGATTGCGTCAACATTGAGGCTGGCGCGTTTTTAGATGACCGTGCTAAATGTATTTTCAACTTATCGCTTTTTTTGTATAGGTTTTGCGATTTTTGTCAATAATTTTTAGTATTTAACGTTGAAAAATAAAAATAGGTGTTGTTACATTTTATTGAACGCTTTCAACTGGTATTAATTATTTGAAAAATTGCAAAATTGAAATGTGCGATGAATTTAGGAAATACGGCTATTTTCGCTGTTTCTTTTTACTATTTTTATTCACACAGTTTTAAAATTTCAGGTAATAGATGTGGCGAGTGATGCAGCGGGCTGTTCTTCAAGGTTCCAAGGTAAATTCCGATTATTAGAATATTTTGGAAAATAAATATATTCAGCGGACTGCCGCCGTTATTGCCGGTGTCACTGCTGCTTCAGGCATGGGACTTGTTTACGCTCTTGAGAACTCTGTGAATGCGAGCAGTGATGCCGTCCATCCGTACCATCTCCCATGGTCGCACGCTGGACCATTCTCCTCGTTCGACATTGCTTCGTAAGTAATTTATCGATAATTGTAGGTCGTGCAAAAATTACTAGATAGTTACGACATTTATCAAAAAAATTAACAATCGAATGATTCAAAATGTATGAGTTTAAAGTTAAATTATTGATTCAATATTATTTTTTCTAAAAATCTAATGTTCAGGGTGAGAAGAGGTTACGAAGTATACAAGCAGGTCTGCGCTGCTTGCCATTCAATGAAATTCCTCCATTATCGTCATTTCGTTGATACCATCATGACTGAGGTTAATAGTCTCTTAATAAATTTTGAAAAACAAAAAACGAGGTTTTAGGAAGAGGCCAAGGCTGAAGCTGCTGACGCTCTCATCAACGACGTTGATGACAAGGGAGCGGCAATTCAAAGACCAGGAATTCTCACTGATAAGCTTCCAAACCCATATCCAAACAAGAAGGCGGCTGCTGCCGCTAACAACGGTAATTTTTAGAAATCGGCAAATAAATTATCCATGGGTGATTTCAGGAGCTGCTCCACCAGATTTGTCTTTGATGGCTTTGGCGAGACATGGAGGAGACGACTATGTCTTCTCGCTTCTTACTGGATACATGGATGCTCCTGCTGGAGTCAAGGTAAATTTCTAGAATTATGTCAATTTATGTATCACTTTACTCGTTCAGGTCGATGAAGGAAAAGCTTACAACCCATACTTCCCAGGAGGAATTATTTCTATGCCACAACAATTGTTCGATGAAGGAATTGAATACAAGGTGAATTTATTGTTTCTAGTTCTTTTGGTTACATTTTTATTGTAGGACGGAACTCCAGCAACAATGTCTCAACAAGCGAAGGACGTGGCTACATTCATGCACTGGGCTGCTGAGCCTTTCCATGATACCAGAAAGAAATGGGCTCTCAAGGTGAAATTTGAACGCACAAAAAAATGATCTTGAATATTTGCAGATTGCTGCTTTGATTCCATTCGTGGCCGTTGTTCTAGTTTACGGAAAGAGACACATTTGGTCATTCACAAAGTCTCAGAAATTCATCTTCAAGACTGTCAAGGGAAGAGAGCCACCAAAGTCGCAGTAAAATGTTTAGTGTCTGGTCGAGATGTCTGTATTTTCATTTCTTTGAAACCATTTAATTTAATGCGTCAAATGAATTTGAACGAAACTTGCGAAATTTCATTGAAACGAAAATATGTATTGCGACCACACACCCACACCACCACCAATGCGTCCACTTCCAACAGAAATTTATCCACCAGCTTATAGAAATGTAGTTGTCGTTGTTTGTTTATTGAATTCCGTTTTTTAGTAGCCCATCGCGAAATTATCGTATGGCGGAAACCCCGATTTTCCACATCACATTTCCCCTTTTAGGAATGTTGTCCCCCACTATTTTCCACTTTCCTTTTTTTAAACTTTCTTCTTCATCCAAATTTTTACTTCGATATTGGTTATTCAATAAAATAATGATCAACTGCATAGTAAAACGAAAATCTCGTTTAAAGCGAAACATTGTAATATTTTTTTATTACAAAACAACGTAGCTATCTTGGTCGGACCTGTATTCAAAAATTGAAAAAAAAATGTGCGCTAGCGTTCCTGCGATTTCCTTACAAAAAAAACTACGAATTAAGACGATTCTAATCTAATGATGGACTTTTGCCTATTCAACAACTTCTGTATAGTCCTCCGCCATGTTTGGTGTTTGAGAAAATAGGCCGAAACATGACCGTAGCCTTCCATCATCTCGACGGTGCATTCCGGCCACACTTGCTACAACAAATACATATATTTTTACTAACTAAGTAAGAAATTACCTTATACGTCGGCGTCCCATCATCACGCAGCACGTACATGTCCTGATCGGCGAGGAACACATGACAGAGCGATGTGTCGATCGGCGTCGGGAAATTCTCCAAACTCGTGAAATAGTCCATCAGAATTCGCATCATGTTTATCGCTAGCGAATCTCCATTGTTTTCCGTCATTTGATACTGAAAAAAGGGAAGTTGGGGGTCCATGCTATATCATTTTTTCGTATCGTATTGGATACGGTAGTTAAAGGCGCACATTTTTTTTGAGCTGAGTCTCACAGTGGCTTGCTTAATTTTTTTCTAGAAATGAACAACATAAATTTAATAACCATTCGATCAACCCAATCCACGTTCGGTATACTCTTCAATTTTTCAATGTAATGCGGGTCTTCGAGCTGCTTCTGAAGAGCTTTGAAGTTCACCGCAGGCGCGATTGCTCCTTTCGTGTACGACGGCGACGCGGTTGTCCATGATAGAATCGGAACAATACCGATTGCGTGTTTCGTGTTGGAGCCGGCCAATTGAGCCATGAATCCACCCATCGACACCTAAAGAAATCGATTTCGAACCAAACGAATCGAATTATTTGAAAGGGGTACCCCTGAAATGGCGAATGGTCCGTAGCCGCGCGATTCGACCCATGAGAGCATATAATTGCATTCAGCTATCAGGGCGGCGCCCATCACAAAAAGGTCCGACACATTTTCAAGCGACGACCGAAATTGATGTGGCGGTTTGCGGTCGCCGTAGAACGGATTCTGAATGAGAATCGCGCCGATTCCGTCCTTCAGTAGATCATCCACTAGCAAATACGAGCGTCTAAAAAAAACGCAAATTTGAATATTTGCGTCAACAAGAAAAGAAATTAGGAAAGCCATATACCGAAAATATGAATGATCGCCGGTGCCGGCCAAATGAATGCACAACGGTCCCGGAACGATCGGAAGATAGGCTCGGAAATGTGCGCGCGCAACGTTGCCAGGCATCGTTTGTGGGAAAAGCAGCGCGTGCGGGCTCGTGAAGTAGCCATCGACCATTCGGACCCCATCTTTCACAATTTCCTATAATAAAATTGACGACGTCGGTTTTCATCATATTATTAATGAAATATATTGGTTGCATTAGATTGCATACTAGTGAATTGGCAGCCTACAATTATGATTCAAATTTGGACGATATGAATAAATATTAAAGGCGCATGCGAAAATTTATTGAATTCGCGCGAAAATTAAAAAAAAAATGAAACGAAATTTGAAACAAGAAGCAAAATAAATACCTTTGCGATGTGAATATTGGGTCGCAATTCCAGCACATGATCGACGACTTTTCTCTGCGACATCACTTCTCGCCGATATTTTGACATTCTAATAATTTGATATAAAAAATCGCAATTAAATTTTTTTTGAGAAAAAAAATAAATTCGCGTTACTGTTTGAGCACATCGGGATGCCCCCATGATTTGGTGAAGAGTTTGCTCAAAACGAGAAGCGATCGAAATTTCAAATCGAGTTGTTTAGTGATCGTCGGCACAATCGGAATGAAGCCGATCATTCTGGCAAGTCAGTCGCCGAATCGTCTCAAGCTTCTCGAGCAGATTGTGAGTTCGAGTCGCTGCAAAACCAAAAATTGATTGTTTCTTTCGTTTTCTCTTTTGAAAGGGTCTCAAAAAGGACGTTCTTGTGCGCGTTTCGAAGTTCGAAGAGAATTTGCCGAAGAGTCTGCCGGCGGAGCGATTCGTCGTCGAGACGGCGCGCGGCAAACTCACCGAAATAATCGAGGCCGTCAAAAATGAGAAGGTATTTTTGTACAAAATGAGTCGATTTTCTAGAAATGACCGAAGTTCGCGAGAAACAAAAAAAAGAAGAATAAAGGGCCAATTAGAAAATTTCAATGTGAAAAAAAAGCGATGAACAAGAATTAACTGAAATTGGAAAATTGGCAATGATTATTGGGAGGCGAAAAAAATTAGAGAAAAAAATGATGAAATAAAAGATAGAAGAACTTCTTCTCTTTCAAAAATGCGTCCAAAAAACGAAAAAACATCGTCCCCTCAAAATTCTGTGTTTTGTACAAGAAATTTGATTTAGAACCATTTGGCAAAAAATCAGAACAATAGAAAATCCGTTCAGGATGACCGCATTCTTAAAAATCTCTAATTTTCGATTTTGGAAAAAATTCACAGAAAAATTGTGGAAAGTTTTGTTTTTAACGATTTTACACATTGTTTTAAAAATCCATTTTTAAACAAAATTTTAAAGAAATAATTTTTCCAATTTTATATCATATGTATAGTTGTCTATCTATCTGAATTTCGAGAGTCCGACGTTCCAGATTGATTATTCAGTGATAATCGCGTGCGACACCGTTATCGAATTCAACGGCGAAATAATTGGAAAACCGAAAGACGCTGCCGACGCGGTCAACACGCTAAAAAGGTCTTATCACGAAAATCGTTCTCACCATTTGTACAACACGCTTTTTAGACTTCGCAATAACACACATAATGTGTTCACCGGAATGTTGTTGCATTATGGCGAAACCGATGAGATCGAGGAGATCTGCGAGAAAACGATAGTGCACTTTGGCGATATTCCGGATCGCGTGATTCAGAACTACGTGAACGGTGGAAGCCCGTTGTGAGTTTGATTGAAAGGCAATTTTGAAAAAAGAAAAGAAGAATTGTTAAGAAAAAAGGCGGGGTCTTATGGAATCGGTGAATTCGGCGCGGTGTTTGTGAAAGGAATCGAGGGATGCATGCCGAATGTCGTCGGATTGCCGCTTCATCGCCTTCACCAAGCGCTAATCGCCAAGAATATTCTTTGAAAAATAATTAATTTGCGGAATTTCACAACCTCGAACACGCAAGAATAAAAAAAAACAATTCAACTAATTATTAATATTATTATTTGGTGATATTTAAATAAAAAGAATCTGACATGGGATTGATTTCGGCGCTGAGAAGGCAAGAAAAGCTAAACGAAACAAAACAAACTGAAATTCACAGGATCCTTGAAAGTTCAAGATATGTACGAATCTCTAGAAATGTACAGGACGAAATTGGGGACTAGACGACGGTGATTTCGACTAAATTGTAATTGTAGTGGGATTAAATAGGTGCCTAGGCGAGTTTTGCACCGAGGTAGCCCATTCAAATAGAAAAATGTGCAAGCATTTACGACGAATCCGAGCCGCGCGTTTCGCGAATTGTTCCCGAATTCGGCTCACGATAGTTCATCATGCCCAAATTTGTCGGTCTTGATGTCGACGTCGGCATGTCGACTGGCTCTTCGGGAAGCGCTTCGAATTGCGCAATCCTAGAAATTATTGTTTTCAATAGGCGATTCTCGATTTTGCCAAAAATCAACTTTTTCGAGCTTCCCGTTGTATCTTTATCGCCACTTTGTCGTTTGATGCCTCTACGCTTCATTAGCGGAGCTGCGGCGACGTCAAGTAGATGGAAGCCGTCGCGATTCGCGTGTAGGAATGCGCGAAGAGTTTCGTTAAAGTTCTCATCTGAAATATTTCGCGAAATCAAAATGTTGGATTCAAATTTCAATACCGGCAGAGCTCGGAAGAATGCTCGGCGTCTGAAGCGGTGTGTCAAATGATTGCGACGACACCAACCATTTATGGTTGTTCAGCTCATGCATGGATAGTCTCTTATTCGGATCGACTGTTAACAAGCCTGAAATTAATCTTGAAAATTTGAATTAAAAAAAAAAAGAAAGTTTAACCAGTGATTAGATCCTTCGCGTCTTGCGAGACACTTTTCCAGGCGTCGCCTTCAAACGAAAATTCGGCGCGACAAATTCGCTGCATGATGTCGGTCGCCGATTCTTGACGCGATCTCGCATGGAACGGCACCTGCCCGCAAAGCATGGTATACTGGAAAATTTCGCGTTCGAAACCATCTTAAATAATTGAATTGTACCATCACAACGCCAAGCGACCACAAATCGCACTGCTCGTTGTATTCAGGCTGCGTGTCGCCGACGTCAAGAACCTCAGGAGCCGCATATTGAAGGGTAAAGCATGGAGTCCTGAAAAATAATTTTTAATAATGAAAAAGAAAACAGAAAAAAGAAGCTAGTAGAGTAGACTGAAAGTATGTTAGAATGCCGCAAACAACACAAACACACAGAAAAAAGCAGAGGATAGTAGGAGAAAGGTACAAGAACATTCGCACACACGCATCACATCACCGTTTTCAGTCACTTCGCTTCGTTGATGAACAAAAATTGCCGAATATGGCGAGATTCCAAAAGAAACCGAACAATAGACAAAAAGTAAATCGTCTGGGAATCGAATTGATATGGAATGAACAACGCGATCATCATTTCTATTCTAATTTCCGAACAAGACAGGATCACTGGTGAAGATGTGTGACGAGAACTAAGCGATTAGATGGTGGGGGGAAGTCCCATACATCTTTCGGTACACTTGCACAGACTTCAATTGTTGCTCCATCGAGTTGGGAAGAAGGCGAGCGAAGCCAAAGTCGACGAGGCGGAGGCGCGCTGACGGCTCCGAATTCTCGAATAAAATATTCTGGAGAAATTGAGTTGCGAATGGGAATCGCAAGAATTGCTACCTCGGGCTTCAAATCACGGTGCACAATTTTCTTGTCGTGCAAATATTTGACAGCCGACACCAATTGCATCATGATGTCGGAGGCTTCCATCTAACAAAACACAACATTTTTTTTTGGATAAATCTCAAAAAATGTCTTTTTGAAAAACCACAAAACCAAAACCTCGGTGAATCTCTCCAATTTGCGAATTCGACCCAAAAGCTCGTCGCCGGTGAGCAATTCCATGACTAAATAATAGTGGAGAGCATCCGAATGAACGTCGATGAGTTTGACGATGTTGCGATGGCCTAGAAAACAAAACGTATGATTGTGAATTTAGAAATTCTCGGCCACCTTGGACCATTTCCAGGATTCTTGCTTCTCGTTGAGCTTGTGTCGCGAATTTTTGCGAGACGATTTTCACGGCGAACGGCATTTGGTCTTCAATTCGCTCGCATCGTCTGAAACGCACAATGAATGCCTCATTGCGATGGACCGCAATTAAACCTGACAACCGAGAACGATCCACGACCAAGTAAGCCTTTATCGGTTTTATCGAGCAAATATTTATTGAAAAACGTTGAGCTGGCAAGCATTTTTTGCACGTCTTCGGCAAGAAGCTCCTCGCCGATCACGTTGTCATTGGCGAAAATTACAGAAGGCGAGACATATGAGTAGCCCTAGAAAAAAAATTGAATATGAGATTCTAAGCATGAAATCGAGTGAAAATTACTCTAAAAAGGGTGTTGGCGTTGAGCGGAGAATCCGCCGGTGAGTACAATGGCGGTTGAGAAGTGAATTCAGCGGAGAAGAACTGCGTGTCCAAGTCGTGACTGATTCTTGGCACGATGACTGGCTTTAGCTGACGCTTCTCCGCAGCATCCCAATCGATGTCATGGAAGAATCGATGGCTTAAATATTTCAAATTTATCGAATTCAAATTAAAACAATTCTTACTTTTTAATCTCATGAACTCCGTTGAATCCTAGACGCTTTTCGAGCTTCTTTTCCAATAGTTGAGAAATAAAATCTCTGGCATCTGGATCCATATTTTTCGGAAAAGGCACTTTTTTTGTCAATATTCGCCTGGAAAATCATTAAAATTTGAATTGAATCGCGCAGAAATTCGTTTACTTTGCAATGTCTTTGCTCGAGTTGGCGGCGCCGTCAACGGTGAACGGCGAGCATCCGGTCAATAATTCGAACGAAATTACACCCAGCGACCACCAGTCAACAACATCTGTGTAGCCGCCTTCAGGCCGATTTATGACTTCGGGTGACCTGCAAACATTTTCCGATAAATTCGCGGAAATCGCATTAAATCAAAAATATGATAAATCCGCATACACCGCTACGACATATTGCACACTTTCGTTTGAAACAGCTCATTTTTTCTTAATTTTCGGATAATTGTCTTAATTGTTGTTTATGGCTGATGAGTCAACATTAAAAAAAAACACTCACATATATTCAATTGTTCCGCAATACGAATTCGCTCGATCAAGTTCGCCTTCCAAGAACAATTTGCTTAGCCCGAAATCGGTCAACTTCACATGGCCTTCCTCATCAAGCAAAATATTTTCAAGTTTCAAATCGCGATAGATCACTTTTCTCTACAAAACAAACCGATTGCGTTGAAAGATTTGAAAACAAAAATTACGAAGAAGTACCTTGTGTAAATTATCGATAGCTACAACTAGTTCAACGATTATAAATTTGGCAGCGGGCACGTCGAAGCTGCCTTTTGAGCACAAATGGGTGAACAATTCGCCACCGCGGACATATTCTAAATAAATTTTGGGCGAAAATGAGAATTAATATCGCCAAACCCATCACAATGTGTAGTTTGGTGTCGGTTTGGAACGCGTAGATCAAATTCACGAGGAACGGTGTGCCGCGCAATCGCTCCAGAACCTGTCGTTCAGCCATCGTGTGCTCCAACGTCTTCTGTTTCGTGAGAACGCGCGTCTTTCGCAAAACTTTCATCGCATACACCGAATTGTGGTCTTTGCCACCAATTTTGCGCACCAGGTACACCTTGCCATACGCTATAATTCAATATTGTTGGGTGTGTCTGTGTGTGAAAATTTTTGTTGACAAATAATTTGTAGATTTTACATTTCCTAATCAAAACGGCAGGTGCAAATCAAATATTTTCTGTTTTTCTTTTTGAACTTGAAAATAATGCACAATATTCTTCAGAATTCTCCCGGGGAAAAAAAAAACGGCCCACCTCCTTTGCCAAGCACCCGTAGCAACGCAAAGTTCTCCATGCTGACTTTTTCAGCTTCTGGCATCAGCTCCTCCATGATATTCTTCAGCTTTTGCTTCAAGTTTAACCACCGCCTAAATTATTCAAAAAAAAAAAAACAATGAATTGGTCGGAATTGGAGTGAAAGAAACACGAGAAGACGAGTTGCGGTGGACAACGACGGGAGCGAAAAAGAATGAATAAATGTTGGGAGGGGGAGCTCTTCGAGGCTCGTCGAGCCCGTGTGTCTCGCTGCATAGCTCATGTGCGACAGCACATGGGCTCCGTGTTGTTGCACACTCGCGCCTAGTGTTTTTTTTTTGCTTGCTTGCTTCTTCTATTTTTTCTGTTGATCGCAAGAATGCTGAGAAGCAGCTGTTGCCATCTCATGAACAATTGTCCGCAGATGGAAAACTAGTTGACAAGTTACTAACTAGCTAACTAAGAAGCCCTGAGAATTATAAGAATTTAGTCGTGGACTAAAAAGAAAAAAAAGACCTCTTATCAAAATAATCCGCAGCGATGGGTTTCAATTTGAAAGTGCTTTTTCTGGTAATATGGAACTAAACTGGAAAAAATACAAAATAGAAGGACTCAAAAATCAGACATTTCTAGATTTTTCACGTAAATTCTCAAAAACGGCAATTAGATTTAAAAAAAATTAACCCGAATTCCGTTTGAAAATCTCATTAATAAGGAAAGTTTAAGGTTTTCCAATTTTTATATTTAATTTTGTTTATATATTTAGTTCGGAAATTTCTTCTCCAAAAATGGTGTATCGATTGATTAATTAATTATTTTTCAAAAAAAAATCGAATTCGATTGAAATCCTCGCAAATCGATTCGTTAATAATTTATTTATTTCCAATCGAAACCTACTTATCCAGAGAAATCTTACTAAAAAACTTTTTTTTTAATCGAATCCATTTTTTTCGAAATCGATTGATTCGAATTACCAGAAGCCTTTAGAGTTTCCTTATCAGCGAATATTCAAGTTTCTTCCCAATGTTTTAAAGTGAGTCATACCTTACAAAAACCTATAAGCCTCGTTTCTACAACATCTAAAAAAAGAGATAAAAATTTATTTCGAAAAAAACTGCACCAAGACTATATTATTCCACGTTTTCATGACATCCTCAATATATTTTCTTAATGAGGAAACCAAAAATCAAACGAAACATGCTATGAGGAGACGGGGATGGAAAAATTGGCCTATAACTAGCTGCCAAGGGCACACACACACACACATGAAGAGGAGAAGCAAGCAAGCACTGCCATATTTGGGTCGCGTCGAGAGGCGCAGACGAGTCGACGGTTCAACACCATCCAAATTGCTCGGCGTAATTATGATAGGCGTGCGCGCGCGCAAAAAGAGGCACTGATAAATAAATTACAAAAAAAATAAAATTGCGATAGAATCTCTCGAATGACAAACATGTTTTGTTTGATAAGCGACGCCGATTAATTGGCGAAACACATGCCGATGCAAACAGAACGAAAAAAAAATTGTTGGGCAATTTTAGCCAATTGATCAGTTCGCCGGTTGCGCACTGGTTTCTGCCATCTCCGACTTCTCAACAATCACTAGTTGCGCGTGTCATTTGACAAACAAAAATTTCGCCTCAAATACTCTCATTTTTTTCTTTTTTTTGCCGCGGCATCAAACTCGATTAGGTCAGACAAGAATAGAAATGAACAAAAATCGGTTTCACCAAGTTTCCCTAGCAATGAGTCAGCGGCTCAGCGCTACAGAAGTAATCAAAAAAGACCCATTAAAATTTGGGGTATACGATTTATAATAAATATTATATACTAATGAGGAAAACAAATATTTTTCTCGACAAAAAAACCAACAAATATCAATATGCTCCGTCTTCTCCGCCGCCGCGAACCAGAGCCTGCGTCGTCTGAAACAAAACTTTGAATGTTTGGGAAAAATGCGATTATCTACAAGTCCAACCTTGTTCGAAATTCCCGCCAGTTTCGGACACTCGGTAATTCGGTGGCCGAGACCCGAACAATAGGCGCAGCCTTTCTCGCCGCCACTTCCCGCCGGTGCAAGACCCTCTTCTCCAGCGATCTCATTGAGGAAGTCGGGCAGCTCCTGGCCAGCCTCAACGAGAAGCTGCTTCAAGTCAGACAGTACCGAGATTTCGGCCTTCTTGTTGATGAATGTCGTCGCAAGACCCTTTCGGCCCGATCGTCCGGTACGTCCAATACGATGCACTGAACAACAAAAGAAAAATTATTTCCGGTGAGTTTGATTCGCAGGCCATTCGTATTAAGATTCTCAAATTCCCACAATTTAATTTTTTTTCAAGATTTGTAAAAATTCTACCAAAGGATCGCATTTTTTGAGCGATGGCAAAATGGTAAAAATTGAAATAATCAAATTATTCCCACAACTGGGTAAAGTTTTTCAAAAACGACATTCCAAATTCCCTACCATAATTCTCAATGTCCTCAGGCATGTCGAAATTGATGACATGCTCGATTCCTTGAAAATCGAGACCTTTTGAAGCGACATCGGTGGCAACGAGGACATCCTTCTCATTTTTGCGGAACGCATCAATACCCGCATGCCGATCCGCTTGATCTGGAACTCACAAATAAGGAGGCGTCTCGAGAAAAATTTTCCCAACCTTTTCCTCCGTGAATCGAAGCGACTTCAACTCCTTTAACTAGCAAATATTCATAAATATTATCGACATCAATTTTCTTTTCAGCAAAAATGAGAACTCTGAAAATTTCTTTTCTATTAAAAGAAAAAGAGAGATGAAACACAAAATGCATACTTTGGCGGCGTCTTCTGCAAACATTCCAAAATTCTTGTCAATTTGTTCTCCGATCGCACATACTCAATCTCTTGAAGCACATTGAGAGAAGCTGCTCCAGCTCTTCCAACATTCACCACCTAAACGTAATCGATTTCAATTACTAATACATTTCTTATAGCACGCACAATTGGTTTGACTAACGCCGACTTGGCGAAATTCTGAATCTTCTTGGGCATCGTCGCCGAGAACAAAAGCGTTTGTCGTTGCGCTCTGAAGAAGTAGAAGATGTTCTTGATCTCATCTTCGAATCCCATGTCAAGCATTCGATCGGCTTCATCGAGAACCAAATAGCGGCAAACCTGAAGAATATCGTTAAATTTTTTTGAAATCATTGATCCAAAAGCCCACTTCCAAATTGAGGATTTTCTTTGTGAGAATGTCCGAAAGTCTTCCAGGCGTTGCCACACAAATATGCACACCGCTGAAATATAACAAACTTTTTTTTTAAAAAGATATGCTTGAAAATTACTCTCGAACATCTTTGGCCTGTTCGGCGATCGGCACGCCTCCAATAGAAAGCGCGGCGCGCATATTCGGACCACCATTTTTCTCAATGGCTTCGAACATTTCAATGACAAGATCGTAGATTTGTCTCGCCAATTCTCGCTGAATAAATTGAAAAGTATTATAAAAATTTGGCGCAAATTCATACCGATGGCACTATTATCAACCCAAATGGTCCTTCATTCTTTCGAAATGGCAACGTTGATTCCTGCTCGAGGCAAAACATGACCAATGGGAGAACGAACGTCATCGTTTTACCGGAGCCCGTCGAGGCAATTCCAATCATATCGCGCCCCGTTAATCTGAAACAATTACGATTTGATCACGGAGAATCGGAATCAATGGCACTCACGCTACGGGAATTCCCTGTACTTGAATTGCAGTCGGTGCCACAATTCCTTTACTTTTTAGAGCATTTAAAATCGATTTTGGAAGTTTCATCTCCTTAAAATAGGCGAAATTAAAGCAAAAATGGATAGAAATCTTACCAAAAAGCTTCCGATGGGCGGCGGCGCGTTTTCGCCTTCTACGGTGATTCCTCGCCGCTTCCTTTGGTTCTCATAATCATCTTGAGATTGTTTCCGAATGTGACCGGGAGGCGTCCAGCTGAATTTCTAAAAATCCGAAGAAAACTCCAACTTGTGAAAATCTTACCCGGTTTCTATCGGATCCGTATATTTTTCGCCTTTCGACATTTCCGCAACCGCAAGCAGCCCACCACCACGAGTTACCTTCTCCAATAGCTCTTCCTCTTCACGCTTCTGTTTTTCCAGATCATCTTCCTCTTCTTTATTTTCCATAATTTCGACATGCTTCTCCAAAAGCGTTTTCCTCGCCTCCTCGTTTTGTCGTTCTTCTTCCTTTCGCTTCCGTTTCCGCTCGATTTCTTCCATCTGATTCGACGTCGGCGCTAGTACTTGCTTCAGAAGCGCCCGACGATGCTGTTTTTCTCTTTTGCGCTGTAACGCCGTCAGAAACATGTCATCAACATCGTCGTTATCGTCTCCGGACGACAAGTTCATTCCATCGCGTCGTGCTCGCTGCTCTTCTTCTTCGATTCTTCGCCGCTTTTCTTCATATTTTCGCCTAAAGACTTGCACCAAAATAAATTTTTGAAAAAATATCTCACTTGGCCGCTTCAATATCTATCTCTTCGTGACTGGAGGAAGCTGCATCTACCATTCTAAAACTCAAAACAGTTAGAAAAAATTAATACGGATAAAAAGAAATTCGAAATTTTTGGCTGAGCGATGGAGCAGACTTGCAACAGAGCAGAAAATCCTCACGCAAACCAAGTTAATATGAAAAAAAAAAACAGATTTCCTGGATATAAATGCAAAAATTGAAGAAATTATAATTTACGAAAAATTGAGACGAAAGGTAGAAGTTTGCAGGAAGATAAAAAAAATTGCCGGAATCGTACGGTGATCTTAAAATATTTTTTCGGCTGAAATGCACATTTGCCTTTCGCAACTCACACATATAGGATATATATATAGGATGTTGCTGTGCAATCACGACTCTGCATTTTAATCTATGCCAAATTTGAAACATTTTTCAGAGAGAGAGAGAGAGAGAGTGAAATCGAAACAATTCGGGACACTAGCTCAAGTAGTACAAGATAAATGAAAATTCTCCGCGTTCTCGATTAGTTGCTTCACAGTCGTTATAAATTGGAAATACCCATAAATGGTTTGCATCGGCTAATTGTCGCACATTGATTGATCGTCGACATCGGAACGCCAAATTAGTTTCAACCTCATTTCAAATCCCGAAATCGTTGCCTGCAAAAACACTGCGTTTCATGTTACACTTGACACACTCCAATCAACGCCATTCTTCATGAGACCCGCACGCCAATTTTTCCATTTTCGGGATTCACTATAGCTATTTTGTCCTCCAAACATTTTCATCGTCTTCTAGAAGACCGCGTTTTTTCGACATATGTTTTATAAGAAAATTTCTCATTTCATCTGAGAAACTATAGAATACTAGAATACCTTTAAAAAGCATTTACAAGTAAAAAGTTTCAAAAATTCTGTAATTGAATGAATATGAGCAATTTAGAATTCAAAAAGGTCAATTCTACCTCTTCATTACATTCTTCTACGACCATATTTGCTGAAAGCGAGATTTTTGAGCTTCTTCCAACTCCCACAAATTCCCCGTAGAGACGACAATTCGATCATCCCATTTGATATGCCCATTTATTTTTATGTGCAAAACTTCTCTCTTCTTCTCAAAGTGAGGTTTTTTGTATGTTTTTTCTAATACAACACCCCACTTCAACATCGGTTTTATTTATTTGTATATTGTTTATTCCGATTTGTATCGAATTTCAACATGCAGATTTGATTATGTTTGCTGTAATCGATGCTCACGTGATGTTGTTGTTGTATTTTTCACGGAGAGGAAATATGCCAAAAATTCAAATTTAAAAAAATTGAATTATAAAGAAAATCTCTGTGTTGTGCAAACACGCGCACACCATCTCTGCGGACTTGCATTTAAATCGACGCTTTAATATTTCAAATATTCTTTTCAAAGAAGAAATTCTGGTTTTTGGTTTTTGAAATTTGAATTTCATATCGAAAATGTCGCTATTTTTTTTGAGATTTTTCGTCGAGATATTCGCATTTTCAAAGTTACTCGCATGTTTTGGTGAGATATATGAGAAATACTTTTAAAATCAAAAAATAAAAAATTTATGAATGCTTCTAAAAATTCTTTAAATAAATCTTAAACCATTCAAAATTCAAATCTCCAACGTACGATTCCCAGTATCGAATTCCTCAATTATTGTTGGTCGTCAGGCCTCATCCGCTCTCACTTCCAACAGTCCAGACATCATTTTCATACAATAATAATAGCAATAATAAGAAGGATAGATCGCAAGCGATTTTCCCATCCCATTGACTAGTCACTTTTCGCTTCCTCTTCGCTTCTTGTTGCCGATTATAACAACGATTATATTCTCACAGATTTCGCATGCTCCTTTAATTACTGTACACTCAAATTTGGCAGATTGCCCTCGTTGATCGATTATATATCTACACATATTTTTTTGCTCACCCCCTCCCATATGTCCGATGAACAGAAGCTCGACAACATAAATAATGATGGTCCTTCTCCATCGCAGGACCAAATGTCACATTTTCGCCGCAACGATGATTTTTGCGCGGTGTCGGTTTACACATACTCATCCACCGAAGATAAATTTTCGCGCATCTGCTCGCCTATTTCTTTTCTTACGAATTCGTCTTATCAATTCTTCAAATCGCCAAAATTTTGTCGTCTCATTCAAAAATTCTTGACCAAAATCATCTGCGGACATTTCACGAGGTTGCATATTGTGCAAAAAGTCCAATTTATTCGATATTCGAGCGCGCGTTGTTTGCCGTCGCGACAAAAAAAATGGTAAATCAATAATTCAATTAATTCCCTATATAGAATAAGTATCCTCGCTCGCCGAAATAATGAATAAATCAGAAGAATCGTAGGAATCCTGAAAGAGACATGTATAATATATATTTATATAAACCAAAACAACAACAACAACAACAATCAGCGACACACTCGAAGCATTTTGTCCGGTTGGAGGACATGAAACCTATATGTCCCTGTTTCCACCCCTCCCAGCCCCGGCAATATTGACACTTGCCTCATATGCCCGGCTGAGTCGGACTGGAGGCACTTGATGACGGGAGGACAGTCATAAATTAGGCGGCCATCGACGAAAAACTTCGTTTTTTTTTTGTTGTGTCAATTCCTCTCATTCATCTTAGTTTGTCGTCGTGTCCCTTTAAATCGGCTGGCGCATTGCCAAGACCTTAAAGGCGCATATGACCTTTGGTAAACCTTGCCATTCATTTTTTCGCGTCTTGAGCGCCCCCAAAGAATTTTAATGAATCTCGCGTGCGCCTTTAAATCGATCCTGTTATGAATGCACGTAATAGCTAAACATTAATAGGCGTGTTTTGCCCATATCCAATCCGTCCTCCTTCAATTCCTTTTGTCCCCGCAAAATAACCGCAAAATCCAAACAATGCCCGTGTTAGGTGGTGGGGTTTCGGTTTTCATTTTCCTATTATATGCCCGTTGATGTTGAAACCGAAGTGAAATTGTCCGCAGATGGTTGCCGATGTATTTTTTTTTTGGAACACTGTTGGGGTCGTATTTCGCACAGCAGTTCAGAAACCCTAAAAATCGCTAATTGCAGACAAAAAAATTCCAAAAACATCGGCCGCTGCCGATTTTTTTTTTTGCCATCTGCATCCCGATTTTTAGGTTTTTTTGAAACAAAATCTATCATAATTATTTTTCTATAGTTAACTATAGAATAATTTTTGGCGATGATAATAAATCTCGGCGATTTGAGCATCAAATTCCAAACGTGTCTATTTTCGCGTCGAGACCGAACATTCAATTTTCGAATTCTCGCAACACTCCCCGCGAAAATGCACTATAACACATTTTTTGTTCCAATCTCTACTAAGTACCATTATGGGTCCTAAGGCGCATAATGTATTTGGCAGACTTTCAAAAATCCATATACGGCTTCAGATTCTGAAAGCTCTCATTAGAATCCAAGTACGCCGGTTCAATTAAAAATGCGCTCTCTGATTGATTTGCCGATAACGAAGCTTCCCCACCCCCGAACGCCGTCCGAACAGATTCCAAACATCTTGCTCGTCGTGGTGCGCATAGTTACGAGCGTCGGCCGAACACCTACCGGAAATGAGCACTTCACATCTCATCGCCAGTTGTTTTTTTTTGTTTCGCCCGCGTCTTACGTTCTCTCGTAGCCACAAATTGTGTGTGTTTGATCAATTTGTATGCTTATCCTCATCCACTCGGCCATCGTATCCCGTTGGCCGGCCGATGCCCGTCTGCCCAAAAAAACAACATTCACAACAACGAAACATACTGTAGTTGGTTACGGTAACGATAAGTGATATCTCGATGCCTTCTTTCCCACAATTCTCTTTCTGTTGTTGTTTTTTTAATAATGTTGAGAGCATCTTTTATGGCCGCCGAAATGAGCCATTTCGTTTTTGCAATTTTGTCTCTTTGCCCCATCCGCTATTCGTTTTTTTTGTTACCCCATTGTCCATCGCACAACAACATCGAAAGAATGGCGAGTTTTTATTTTGGGCGCTAGAATAATTTTGTGTGCATTTTTGCGTCACGGTGTACACGCACAATGCGCGTTGAACTGAAGAGATTTGCCCAATTTTTTTTTTTCATATTATTTTTCATATTAAATCATTCCCATCTGCGGACAATTCTACGCGGCCAGCAAACATTGTGATTTAGAAATTAGAAAAATTTTGATGGAGTTCGCAAAAAAAAGCCAATCTGCGGAAAATTCCTCAAAAATTTGGGCGCCCAATTATGGTAATTGTGATTGGAAGCCGTGTCGCGCGAAATTCACACCCAATCATTCATTCATTCGGGGGCAACCAACAGCCGGCGAACGAACCCGAAGAGCATGATGCTCATTGTCTGCGTCTCTCGCCCAATTTGCTTCCAGATTATTACAGCTTCTGTTTCTCTCCGTCTCTCGGCCTCGCCATAGTCTCTCTCTCCACCTCTCTCTCTCAAATCCGCATAATGCCTATCCGCCTGGCTTATATCCATCTCTTCTAATACATTATGGCGTACATACGCACATGGAGGGGGGGGGGGCCTCTTTTTCACTCTTGCCTATGTTCCCTCCCACTTAATGCTTTTCACTCAAGGGTGTTATTACTCGCATAATAAGCGTTCAGGCAAAGAATTTCAACAAGCCTCTTTCAATTTTATTTTCAAACATTTTTCTTCTTCCTCCCATCCCGAGGAAGGCTTCCCCCACTATTCATTCCCATTCCTCTTGATTCCAATTTTGTGCATCTACATTTGGATGCTTCTAACACTAATCCCACCCACCTCACATCGAACCTCGTAATCCGCCATTCTCCACAATTTCTTGAATCATCATCGCCCATAAATCATAGCGAATGAGTCGGACCTGCGTAGCTCAACGATAAGTGCGTTTGTTCGCCAAATAACCCATTTCGTAATGGAAAAGAGGCCCCCTCATCTCTTTATTAAGGTCCCACAACTAGCAATTTTAAGTCTACCTCTTCATTTTGCTCAATTTTCTTTTCATTTTCAACCATTATTTTAAGCGATTCAGACACGCCCACTTATGGATCTATTCATGCAATGAAAAAAATTAAAAAATCAATTTTTTTTTTCATTTGAATTCCCTATGCACGTCGAAAATTACAAAAAAATTAACGCGATATATCGTAATTCTCCGCTATTTATTTTTAAAGGCGCACGCGAAAATTTGCGCGGGTCACGTCGCGAACTCGGTACTGTATTTTTTATTTTTCATTCTGTGTGCTATTTTTCCGTATTTTTCAAAAACTTCGAAGAGAAAATGAGTAACGGATTTAAGAACGAGTAAAAACCAATTTTCAAACTCACATTTTTTTTGTTAAAGTTGAAAATTAGGTACATTTATGGTAACTTTGTTGTCTCGCCAGTGCGTTTTTTTAGTGCCCCCGCTCTCTCCTCGATTTTATGATCGACCAATTTGCCACCTCCCCCTCCCCTCAAATGGTATATTGATTCAATTTTTCTATTGAACTTGCCACCTCCATTTTTCACTTATTGTTTGAAATTCCTAAAACCCAAATTTCTAGTCATCCAGTTTTCTGGCAAATTGTCCGAAGATCGATCTTGATAATCGTTGGGAGGGTATTTTTTTTTAGCAAATCGTCGTTGACACGCAATTTAAAGGCGCATGCCGAAAAACGCGCCCTAAAATCGAAAATTGCAATTTTTGAGAGCACTCTAGCATTGGTGCGTTGTCCGTGCGGAGTACACAATGAGACCATCTAGTCGCCGCGCGATTTCAGCGTAAGAAAAGAGAAGACTATTGATGTGAATGAAAATTGAAAAAAGACATATCGCAATGAATCTGCGGACAATTCGCTGCCAAAATTCGGACATCATCTCACTGTGATGAAGCGCGCTTCAATTCGCCGCGGCGGCCGGTCGAAGAAGCGAAGCACTAATCAAGTGAGTGAAGTGCGATCGACCGAACAATTAGAAAATACGCTTGAAAGCGTTCCGCCGGCGTTTTCGCGCGCGCGCCCAGTTTCTCGTACATATAATATTTATTATGCGTTCGCCCTCTCTCTCTCTCTCTCAATCTCGCAAAATGCCCAATTTCGGGATTGGCCTGATTCGCGACACTGATAACACGCAAAATGAAACAACAACCTTCGCCAACAACAACAACAACAACAACATGTTTAATAATATGTACAATATGATTAATTAATTAATTAACTATGGGGCTCCTAATTTCCGCTATTTGATAAAGCATGGTTGAGCCTTTTTCTGGCAACTACTGCCTGGCTTGTCGCATTTTTTTGTTTATTAGATCGTTTCAAGAATCATACAATATTTATCATATGCGCCTTTAACCCTAAGGAGCATATGCTGAATATTTCATGATTCTTGCAGCGATTTAACAAAAAAAAGTTGTGGTACTGTAGGCTTCGAAAAATCTGGCCGCTGCCGAGCTCTCTTCTAGAAGTGCACCGAAAACCGTATAGAAGCGCGCGTATTCTCGTTTCAATCGCTATCAGCTGACTCATACTGTCCATTTTTTTTTTGCTTGCTTGCTTGCTTCGATGTTTGTCTTGTTTCTTTTTTTTTCGCGACGCCAACAAACTCTAAAACGCTTTTGGCTTGATTATATATTCATGCGGCTTCTTCTCATGGTGTTTTCCGGGGTTTTCCTGAAGAATGAATCCCCCTCCTCAAAAAATATCTTCCGACAAATGATTACTGTATGTGCAACTCTGCTAAAATTCAGCATTCTTTTGTTTCCCCCAGAAGTTGACATTTTGTCAATCAAAAATTACTGTAGATGTTTAAAGGCGCGTGTGATGAAAATTTTAAAAATAATTATTTTCACGATTTTCTATTCCAATAAATCAGAGACCAAGTTGTGTTTTTCCTCATATATTTAAATTGAAAATAGTTGAGAAAACTTTCCCGCCAAATGTCCGCAGATGCAAAAGTTGAACCCGAATTCCATTCGAGAATTCATCAATTCGCCTACTGTTGTATAATCCCAGTGTTCCATTCTTATCAATGCCTATGTATTTATATCGAATTATATTTATATATATGTATGATATAATAATATTCATATCGTCGTCGTGATTTCTCGAAACTCGTTTCACCGATCCGTTTTCAGTTTGGTGTCGTCGACAACAATAGGATAAATCCGAGTGTGGGCGTGGTCGTGCGTCCATCGGCGAAATTATCAATTTGACTTGGAGATTACGGTAGCCGCGCCGTCGGCCCTTTCGCCGGCCCCGAATATTATCATATCGGGTATATCACATTTCAGGTCACTCATTTATTGTATTGTATTATTGTGTTCCGTCATAATCCCCTCCCCTCCCCCCTATCATATTATTAGAGGATGGTTGCAAAACAAATGCAGGTTTTCGGATTTTCAGTGTATTTTTTTTGAGTTTGAAAATGTCTTCGACTAGAATTTTCAAAAAAAATCTTGTGTTATTCATTGCTACTATTCTAAGCAAAACCTCCATTGATTTTGCAGCAATCCAAAAAAAAATTTACGAATTTTGTGCTCCTTTAAATTTGTTTCCGTCTCCGCAAAACGATGATTTTGGTTTCAGACGCGATGACGACAGCATCGGAATTGCTGTCGGACGACGCGCGCGCACGATTCTCCCATACAAAAGCATTGTTCGAGCAACTCGAAAGACAACAGGATGTACGGTTTCGTTTCTCTCTCTCTTTTTCAAATTTTTCAAAAATTCGATAGTTTCAATTTCACAATTCTTCTACAGGTTCCGTCTTTCTATTCACCGCGACTACAAAGGCAACCACCGCCGCCGCCGTTGCCGCCGAAACCGTCGAGCCCAATGTCACAGGTCTCACTTTTTTTTTTGTCTTTTGGTCTCGTATGGAACGAGCGATTTTCGTTGCAAAAATTGCAATATTTCAATGTGTTTTGGCTTTTCAAAAAAATCGCGCGCAATTTTCTTAGAATCCTCAATTTCCATCACATCTCATTTTTTAATTCTTTTTTAAATCCTCTATTGTTTGCCATCGGACGCTGTAGCACATCGGTGCGAGACCCTACTCCCTGTAAATCTATTTTTTCTCGATATCATATTCAAAATTCATAAGCTTCTTATGATAATCTCCTTAATTCTTTTGGTCCAATTATGGAAAAAAACACAAATCCAGTCAAATCTAAATGTGCAAATGAAAAACAAATTATATTTGCAGGCTTAAATTTTTTTATTTTTTCCAGATTTATTATGAATATAGGTTTTTTAAGACAGGAAAGAATTTAATGATAAAATATAGCCACGTTTACATTTTTTAATTAAATGCGCGTACGCTATAATGCAATGTACGCAGTTTGGCGTACTGTCTCGATACGTATTGGCACTTAGCCAATGGTTTTTTTTTTAATTTCGTTCAGTTGATTGACGCTATTAATATTTCGTTTTAATTTTATTTGTTGCGGCAATCGTTAATTTTGAGAAAAATCAGCCAAATCTTAGCCGATCATAAATATTCAAACATAGCGCCAAAAATTGGAACGGAAATTTCTACGCACAATTCAAAAATGTTTCCATTAACAACTTCTTGTGTTAGAAAACGATACTAAATAAGACTTCTATAGTATTTTAAAGCAAAATAAACTCTAATTAGAATTGTTATACATTTTCGAAATTCAAGAAGGCAATCCTATAGGCGCATGCGTTTTGTCCCGTAGAAAATTGTTGATGCCAAGAAAAGGGAATATTTAATGTTGATTATAATAACAACTAAAAATAGACTTTTTAGAAAATGAAATAAAATATGTATAAACAAAAATTTTTGTGCGCGCGCTCGCCGCTGCTATGATTCGATTAGCGAAATGGACAGCAAAAAAAAGCGCCTCCTTTTTTTTTCAGCATAAATGTTTTCGAGAACAAATGTTCGCGCTCGTCGCCCTTTTTTTGCGCCGCCTGAAATTGTATTCAAATTCGCCGATAAATAATTCAATTTTCGCCCACTCGACTATTCACCATCCCATTTTTGGCCAACATCTCCTCTCTTTTTCGCTTTGTTTCAATATTTTTTTCAAAACGCACTTCGATCGCATTTCACACATTTTTCAATGCAATATTTATTTGTCATCGCAAAGAAAAAAACTCACAAGAGTTTGCAATTTCAAAAAAAATTAAATATCCTTTCAAGACCCATTTGTCGGTTTACAGCAAATGATGTTTTCGCTTGCAGGTCGAGCGCAGTTTCTCCGACATCGATCGGATCCAATCAAGTCCAGCGACGTCGCGATTCAACGCCACGACGTCGCCGCCGCAAAGGTGAGCACTTATCGCACAAATTTCTCGCGTTTCGCTTCTTTCACTAATTTTTTTGCTCATTTTTTTTCTGGCCCTCCTCTCACGCATGTTCCGCTTTTTCTGTTTTTTAGACAAGCCTACGACAACAACAATCAATACACGGCGACCAACAATAATTTCGAGCCGTATTGGCGGGATGGATCGATCTACCGGCGACAATTCGAAAAACCGTATGTCATTATGAAGCATGATTTTGATCTACTATCCACTAATAATCGTTTGAATTGTGTTCAATTGGGAAAACAAAAAATGCATAGTTTTTTTGGGCCCATCATTTAGAAAAATTTTGAAATTTCAGTTTCGATGAAGCTGACACTAGTGGATCGCCAGCGATAACCGGCCTGAAGCATACGACATACGCCGTCGTCAAAACACCGAAAGAAATGGATGACGAGAAGGGATTGCTCGAGACGCGACGCGGTTTGAGTCCCGAACGATGCGATTCCGACAATCGCAAGGTCTCGTTCAGCACCGCGCCGATACCTGTCTTCTCGGCGTATTCGGTCGACGATTACGATCGAAAGAATGAGGACATTGATCCTGTGGCGAGTTGCGCCGAGTACGAGCTTGAGCGTCGACTCGAACGAATGGATCTGTTTGAAGTGGATCTTGAGAAAGGCGCCGAAGGATTGGGAGTATCAATCATTGGTAGGAAATTGCGCGTTGATCTTGTCATACACATTTGCGTTTTTAGGCATGGGAGTCGGAGCTGACGCCGGATTGGAGAAGCTCGGGATCTTTGTGAAAAGCATCACGCCGGGTGGTGCCGTTCATCGTGACGGACGAATTCGCGTGTGCGATCAGATCGTCTCGGTTGATGGTCGAAGTCTTGTCGGCGTTTCGCAATTGTACGCGGCCAACACATTGAGATCGACGAGTAATCGAGTAGTGTTCACAATTGGTAAGATTTTGGCACCCAAGCCGAATCAACAATTCGATTTTTCATCTTTGAAGGACGTGAGCCAAATTTGGAAGAATCGGAAGTGGCGCAGCTCATTCAACAAAGTCTTGAGCAAGACCGCGTGCGTTTGATGGGCGATGAAGAGGAAGAAGAAGAGGAGGTCGACGAGCCGGAGCACACGCTCGCGCCTCCGACGATCGACAACGAGCGTCCGACGACGTCGATGATCTCGAAAGAGGAGGCGGAGATTCGCGCGAAAATCGCCGCCCTCGAAATGGAGCTCGATCTCACACAGAAGAAGGCGGTCCGAATGCACGATGTGCTCGACTCGACGAAATCGCACTGCGAGCAACTCGAGAAGAAGTACGAGCAGGCGAATCAGATGCTCAAAAACTATCAGGAGCGCGAGAAGGAGCTGCTGAGTCGCGAGGAGAGCCACGTCGAACAGCTGCGCGACAAGGATCTCCACTACGCGTCGCTGGTGAAGCAGCTCAAAGAGCGCATCGACGAGCTGGAGACGAAACTCGACGAGATGGAAGAGCGACGACACTCGATACAGAATCTCGAGCTTCACGAGCTTCGCGAGAAGCTCAAAGAGAAAATGGAGAAGCGCGACGAGCGGATGGCGTACAAACCGGGCGGCGAGTTGCCGCACGAGGACAAAGCCGTCATGGCGAATCTCGATGTTGTGGTGAGTCGATCATCGCGACGATGATACGATAGATTTGTGATTTTTGTGCAGAACAACAAAAAGGACGCCGAGGTGTCGGTTGGCAGCAGTTGGACCGAAGAATACTCATCGCCGTGCGAGTCGCCGATTCCGCGAATCTCCGAGCCCGCCTCGCCGGCTCTTCCGCACAAATTGATGCACAAAAAGTTGTTATTCCCGCTCCGCAAGAAATACAGTAAGTCGACGGAACCGATTTTGGCCAACAATTGTGCAGAATTGTCTTCAGGCGAGAATGAGTTCTGGCGGGCGACGTGTCAGCCAGCCGGCCTACAGGCGCTTCACTGGTCCGTCGACGATGTCTGCCAGCTGCTCGTCTCAATGGGCCTCGACAAGTACGTGCCGGAGTTCACCATCAACAAGGTGAACGGCGCCAAGTTTCTCGAGCTCGACGGAAACAAATTGAAGGTAGAATAGAGAGAGAGGGGGGGGGGCACGAATAGCACGCCATTCATTTTTTTGCAGACGATGGGCATCCAGAACCATTCGGATCGGTCACTGATCAAGAAGAAGGTGAAAGGGATGAAGAACAAAATCGAACGCGAGCGGAAACAGTTGGAGCGCGAGAGTCGCACTCGCGTCATCGCTCATACCATTCCAATGTGAAACGAGCTTGCTGATGCTTCTCGATCCTCATTCATTCACTTCCGCCGACAACAATGGGTTCCCCACCGCGACTAGTTTTCCTAGAAATTCCCACCTTCCTCCCCCCGCAATCGATTTGCCAAAACTTCCCCCGCAACCGTTTCAAATTGTGATATATTGCCTCCCAATCGTTTTCCAGTTGAAATTTTACAAAATCGCCTAAACACTAAAATTAGACCAAAATCATAATAATAATAATAATAATAACAATAGTATTATATATTATACTAACTATAATACAATTTTGTGTTTCCGTCATAACTAAAAACTTCTACTTACTCCCACTGTAATGAATGTTCATCTCGTTTATAAGAACATTTTGTAAAAGTTAATAAATTAAATATTTTTGGATGGGGTGAAACAATCTTAACAAAAAAGGAAATGAACAAAACAAGATGGACCATACAAATCAGAATCACCCCCAAAATATAAGAAAACAATAATAAAAAATAATCATAGTAATATAGTTAAAACAATAAGGAAGAGGAGATTATTATTATTTCATATTTCGCTATAATAAAATAACGCCTGCAGATCGCGTTTAAAAAAAAAGAAACAGAACCTGATGATTCGAAAAGAAAAGTCAGCAAGAGGTCGACCAAAATACACACAGACACTTGGTTTTTTTTGTTTGGAGAACAACTCGAACCCGCCCGCTAGTGGCGCCGACGAGAACGATCGCGTTCGCGTTCGCTCGTTGACGCTTTCGACGTTTTCGCCTTCAACTCCTTCGCGGCAACCTGAAACGCCACAATCTCGTCATCAAATTTCGCAACGTGTTTCTTCCAATTCTCGTCATAGAATTTTCATTTGGTTTATGTTGCGCTCACCTCCTCATCTGTCAGTGGCTTGAAGTACAACACCGGCTTCGTGTTGGTCTTCTGGAAAAGCTCGTCAGGCGTCTTATACTTCGGCTCTTCGTCCACCGTTCTTCTCTCCTCGCGATGCTCAACTCGTCCTCTCTTCTCGTCAAGAAATCCGGCGCCGCGGCTGAACGGCGGCGTTTCCGAGCGCGTTCGCTTACGCTCCTTGTCTTTCGACGATCCATCCGCTTTCGATAATCGACCAGCGAGACCGGATTTTCGCTCTTTCGTATCGCTTTTCGAGATTTCACGAAGCGCGTCGACCTAAAATCAAAAACGAAATTCCATTTTTTCAAGCCAGACCAACGGTAATTCGAATATTTCCCGGTGTGCTCGATGACAGACGTTCTCCTCTCGATCCCGACGTCAACGTACCAATCGTAACGACTTGTGGCAGCTTCACCTCACCTTTTCCTTCTTTGTACCTTGTCATCTACAATGTTTTTTTGCAAAACATTGACCATATTCAACCAATCTTACATTTTCATCAGTGTCGAACACCACCGAAAGCTTCTTCGGATTCGATTCAGGCCAAGTGATTCCATGCATTCCTTTGAGCACATTCTTGGCAGACTCCTCGTCAATTAACTGAAATTCGTTTTTTTCCTCCAAAATTCAGCTTATTTAAACCTTGACAAAACAGTGACTTTTGACTTTGTCCATCCAAAAATCGACAATCTCACCGCCATGCGATGAGATTTTCTGACGGAGCATTCCCTCGGTGAACGGTCGCGTAAGCCCACGAATATGAACAATATTTGAAATCGGATGCCTACAAAATACATTGGAAAGAAATGAAAAGAGACAAGGACGAATAAAACCTGGACGAAGGCGAAGATGAGCGTCGATCTTTGACCGATTCGCGCACCTTCTCCTTCTTCCGGACATCCGAATCGCCTTTGCTCTTTTCGTGTTTATCCTCAATTGGCTCCTCCATCATCTACAAGTGAGAAAATCAGTTAAGATGTCGTAGAAATGAGCTTGAACCAAATATTGTCAATTATGATTGAAGGCGCACACAAAAGAAGGTGCACTTGAGTCAAGAAATGAAATTTCGAAAAAACCCGATGTCTGAGGACTTACAAATAGTCTCAAATTTAAAATGACGCACATTTTTGTGTTATTTTTGCAAAAACACTCAATTTTTCATAATTCAATAATATTCAAATCTAGTCCGACCTCCTCTCTCGCATCCTCTTCACCATAGTCCAGCTCGTCCTCGTCCCCATCATTGTGGTGGCTCGCTCGCGAATCTCCACTTGCTTTTCCTAAAGAGTTTCTATTGTCTTTTGAGCTTAACATGATCGTTAGTTTACCATCTCTCTTTGCATCAATGCTTTCCTCTTTTTGCTGCTCCTGTTCCACTTCAGGGTCCTTTTGAGTCTCCGGCTCCCCTTTAGCCTTCGCCTTCTGCTCAGAGTCGTTATGAACCTCCTTCTGAGCAACTGTCTCAGACTCGGGCTCCTTGTGTACCTCCGGCTCTTTTGCTTCTAGTTGAACTGTTTTCGGTGGTGCACTGAAAACCCGCTTCTTATTATTAATATCCAAAATTTAGAAAAATTACATTTCTTCTTGTTTCTTATTCTCATTTTCCTCCTTCGTCTTCTCAGTCTCTATTTTATTCGGAGTTACACTAAACAAAATGAATAAAATCGAGAAAAAAAATGGGAAAATTTCTTACAGTTCCGTAGTATTATGTGCTTGAACTTCAACATTCTTCTTTTCATCGAAAGCAGCCTCAACCTTTTCCGGTGTTTTTGCCAGACTAAACGTGAAAAGTCATTTTTTCAAAGAGAATAAGAATAGCGTACACTGGAGTATCAGATCCTGATTGCTCTCCAGACTGTGCTGACGATGAAGCTGATTCAGATGACGCAGAAACTGAGACAGGCTTGACATCTTCTTTAGGCGGTTCCTCCACCCTACAAAGCCCTTGTTTAAAAAAAAGCATAGATCAAAACGTTCGAACTTAGGTTGTTGCGATTCCGGTTTCTTCTCAACTTTAGGTGTCTCTTCACGCTTTTCCACTTCCGCCTCTTTCTTCGGCGTGATCGACTGGCTTTTCGTCGAACTGACAGCTTCATCACTTTCCTCCTCGGCGCGCTTTTTACGCGCTAAACACAATCAATAACAAATATTGTATTTCATGAAAAGAATCTTACGATCAGCAGCCATCGAGCTGAGCAGAAGGCTTTTCTGCTTTTCGCGATAGGCGGCCACCAGTGGATTGACTTTCACCGGTGAATCATCCTTCTTGGGGCTAGTTAGTGGTGTGCCACTTCCATTCCCAACAAGAAACTAGCAAAAAATAATAATTTTGTAAAAATAGTAAAACGCTTACATCTCTCAATCTGTCTTGCAACGTATTTTTGACACCTAGCTTCGATAGACCGTGTTTAGTGAGCTCGTCACGAAGTTCGGCGACTTTAAGGCTAGACAGCGGTCTTCCATCAATCAGTGGGTCTTGATCCGACATTCTTGTTACTTTCTAATAACTAAATGCAATAATTAAAGATGGAGTACATGATTTTAGCTTTACGATGAAATGTAGCGTCAAAAATTTGTAATAATCCCACTTTTTGGTAAAATCAGATAACAGATATAATATCTATCAATATAACGTGAAAGAAAAAAATGAAAGCGAAAATAATCATAAGTTCAAGCCAGAAAATGCAATTTTACAAAAAATGAGATTTTCGATTTCAAACGAGCTCATAAACGCGCTAGCACTACACAAAAATCACGTCAGTGCCACGAGGTTGGCGCATTTCGAGTTGGCTGATTTTTCACTTTTTCTGGCTATTTTTAGTAAACGTTTCGTCTTGTGTAACACGCTTATTTCGTAATTTTCATCATTTCTAAACGAATATACATTTAATGCTGTGATTTTATTTGGTTACAGTTATAATGTCGAATTCCTACGACGAATTACTCGAAAAAATCACCGCCTCAACATTAACTACTGAAAATTGGGATGGAATCCTCACGTTTTGTGACAAGGTATCTGATTTTAGTGTTAATAAAAACTAACGTTTGTACTATTGTAGATCAATGGAGATATCGATGGGTGTAAATTAGGACTGAAATCGCTTAAAAAACGCCTTAACAACCGCGATCCTCATGTTGTTATGATGGCGATATCTGTACTCGATTCATGCTGGGCCAATTGCGGCGAGAAATTCCGCAAAGAAGTGTCTTCCGGGCAATTTATTAACGAGCTCAAAGCTCTTTCAACAAATGTAAACCAAATGTTCGGAAGTTAATATTTTTATTTATTTTCAGAGTCAGAGACTTGTTGCTGAAAAAATGAGAATCACTATCAAAAAATGGGTCGACAATGAATGCAAAAAAGAGCAATTTCTTTCATTGATTGTTTCATTGTTCAAACAGCTTAAAGAAGACGGGTATTCGTTTGAAGTCGACGATCCGAAAAAGAAAACTAGCGTATTAAACTCGAAATACGCAAACGACCCCAACTATGTACGTTTTCATATATAAATATGAATGAACACCGAATTGATTAGGTTTCTTCTGCACAAGAAGAAGAGGAGATCGCGAAAGCTATCGCAGCTTCTCTAGCCGATGCTGAAAAACAGGATAAGATCAAGAAGACGACGTCGTCTTTGTACCCTTCAACTAATAAGGCGACAACACCGAAGTACGACATTAATTTTCTCAGAAAATGGTATTTTATGGTCAATTTTCAGCCAAAATTCATCAGCGAATAGCGCAAATGAGCGCAAGGTTCGTGCTTTGTACGATTTCGAAGCGGCCGAAGGAAACGAGCTCTCGTTCGTTGCTGGCGACATTATCACTGTTACCGACGAAAGGTTGGAAGAATAGATTTTGAATGCCAAAAATTGTAGTTCATTTTTAGTAATGCCCACTGGTGGACTGGTCGTATTGGTGTTCAGCAAGGCTTATTCCCATCCAGCTTTGTGACCAACGATCTCGAAGAAGCGAGCATTCCCAAACAAATGGAAGCTAAGAAAGAGCCCGAGGTTGTGGCGACAATTAACGAAGCAATATTGTCAAGATGTTTGAACGTTTTGCATGAATGCGATCCAACTGGAGAACGACCGGATCCCGCTGATCTTGCGCAACTTGAAGCCGCCTCATATGCTCAAGGTCCTCTTATTGATGCTCAACTCGCTAGCATTGATAGGCAGAGCAACGCTTTAGCCCAGGTAGAATTATTTGTTTCTCTCATACTATGCGTAAATCTTGTTTCCAGATTGATATTGCTATTCGTGATGTTCTCGCCTTGTACGACGACGCGATCCAAAAAGGAGGCTATCAGCCGTACACAGCAGCTCCACCAACTGCGGCCCCAATCCCACCACCTCAGCCGTACGCATACACCAACCAACCCCAAGCCTACCAGCAGCCATATTACCAGCCACAAGCGCAACAGTACCAGGTGGCTTCAGTTGCTACAGCAGCCGGTGCTGCTCAACAGCCAGTGCCGCCGCAATATTATCCGACACAGCCGAATGCTGCTCAATGGAATGGTGCTCCAACGCAGCAGTATTAACCACTGAACTGCAATGCATGTGAATAAATTGTAAGTACTTAATTTATTACTGTGATTACCATAATTGCGCCATCTGATAAAGAGTTACCCACTTTTCATTTGTACAAAAATATCGATTTATTCATCATACATATAGTTATTAAGTTATTCATGTCGATCGCTTCTTTCCCCAACCGCCTCCCCAATCGCCTCCGCCCCATCCGCCACCGAATTCACCGCCGCCCCAGCCGCCACGACCCCAACCGCCACGACCCCAGCCGCCGCCGCCGTCACCCCAGCCTCCGCCACCATTAAAACCGCCGTCATCGTTGCCCCAACCGCCGCGAGGTGGCGGCGGACGTGTGTTCTGGGCTCGGGCTTGCGCCACGGGGGCGACAGCGCCGGCGCGATTGCCGCACATTCGGCGAAGCTCACTCTGCGAATAGCAACTATTGCAGCTGGCTCGGCAATTCTCCGCCATCCATGGATTCTTTTGACATTCGCCGGCACGCGCCCATCCAGCGCACGAGTTGTGATAGTCGACGCATGCTGGAATTCAACGAATAATCGACGCGAGATAAGACGCCTACATCCATAATTGTAATCGTTCGGATAGCAATGGCCGCATGAAACGCGACAATTGCAGGCCATGTAGAACGGATTCGCTCGGCATTGGCCCATGAGTCCCCACACCGAGCAGCACACATTCTCGTTGAAGCATCCGTCGGAGTTGTCGCATTGATCCGCTGGGGCCACTGTGGTGGTAACTGTGGAATACAAATCTCAATTTCAATTCAATTGAAGAGATTATTACCTCTGGTGCTTCCACCGCCGCACTCTTGTGCTCGAGTCCTGCCGCACTTGCTGCAGCTCCTTCTGCAGTTCTCGCTCATCCACAACGTGTTCTTTGTGCATTCGCCAGCTCTCGACCATGCCGCGCAGTTTGAATGACGATCGGAACAATCTGAAACACCATTCGCTATCGTTTCGACAAAGAATCGAAGCCAACCATCGGTGAGACGATATTTCGGTTTGCACAATCCGCAGCTCGCTTTGCACCATTCGCTCATATACGCCGAATTGCGAGTGCACTCGCCGCGCGCCGCCCATGTCGCACAACACTGATTCTCGTTGAAGCACGATTCTTGAGTTTGCACCGGTGTCGGATTCGGCGCCGCCGTTGCCGGAGGCGGTGTTGGCGGAGCGGTTCGCTGAATTCGACGTGACGTTTCATTGCGACGAAACCGTTTTTTTTTTTCTATTTTCGCGTTCGAAACCTTGGCGGTTTTTTTTGTGAAACAGTAGAACAAATTGGTTTTCTTTTTTTTCCGTCGAATCTTTTTTGTTCAAACCTCCAGAAACTTGACAGAAAAATCGACACCGTAGTTTTGGGAGGTGTGCATTTTTGCGTGACAGTGTATGCACTACTTGCACATTCAGGGAACGCCAATTGAGAGAAATCAGAACGATTTGTGGATATAATTTCTCCAAAAAAGGGATTCATAATTTAGTTTTCATACACACAATGCGATTTTTTCTTCGCAAACTTTTCGCAAAAATGCACCAAATTTTGTGTCAAATTATCGAATCAAAAACAATTTACCGAAAGAACACAGACGCCATTTTGGCAGACTCCCGAAAAGCATGGATTCACACGGAACTGAGTGCAGCTGGCTCCTGGTCGAATTCGCGATACGCATCGATTGGCAACCAGATCGCAGAACAAATATCTGAAAATGAAAAAAAAAAACAACCCAGACGTGGCCTACTTTTCATGGCCGACAATTTTAGGCCTCATGAGGTGCTTCTTTTTTAATAGCTATTCATTAATTAACCTACTTGGATCCACAATCGCCATTACGACATGTTGGCCGTGGGGCGTATTCATACAAATTATCCGTGAAGAGATTCGACAATCCATCAATGTTTCTGAAAATGACATCACATCGGTGGTGCAGCTTTTGGGATTTTGTCTACCTCATTGGAGTGAATGGTTGCATCGCGGCGGCGCCGAAATGCTGCGGCGACGAGCACAACTGATTGTCAGGCGGAAACGCGATCTCGCGTTCGGCTCTCGATTGTCTCGCCTGTCGCCACATCTCCCAAATGAAGTCGACGAACGAGTGATGGAAAAAGAAGACGGGATCGTTCGACGAGGTGGCCGTGTCGAACATGTCGCCGCCGACAAAAATGTGCACATTTCCGTGCGTGTACTCCAAACAGTTGAAGTCGGTTCGGAACGGGCATCCTTGTCGCGGCGCGGTGAATGAGAGCACCTGATCGATTTGCGTCTGTCGCATCACGAAATCAATGTCGGCCTGTGTGAAGCCGGAGCCTTGTGCTCCGACCGCTCGTTGAATATTGGGACGTCCCTTTAATTGGCCAACGCATTATTGACAATAATGTTGGAATGATTACCGCCAAGGTCCTCCACGAATTAAATGGTCCCGACGAGACCATTCCTTGAGCATTCGCGCTACCCGCAAGGTATTCACTAAACAGGATTTTAATCAATTTCAAATCATATTATAAAAAATAGTGCGGCGCGTCCCGGAAAATGTCCGCAGATGTTTAAAGTGAAAAAATCATTTTGACAACTCTGATAATGACTACCTGAAAAGTATCGAGTCGGCTGGCCTTGGAAGGCTGCTTTCAAGTGTTGAGTCCCAATAAGGAAGATAAATCGATGGGTCGACTTGTCGCAAAGCGAATTCCACCCTACAATCTTGATTGCTCGAAACAATTGAAGCTCAAATCAACCTTTTGATGAACTCTCTGTGCCATGGAAGGAATGCGGGACCCGAATGGGCGCCGCCAGCAGCGCTCATCTGCGAATGGATTCGACCGAGTCGATCGTACTCGCCGTTCTAAATATTTGGGAGGGACCATTGAAAATCAAATCTCAAGAGTATTGCCCACTAACATTCTTCAACGTTCTGAAAGCGTTGTGAAGACGCTGCCTCTCATCATCAGTCATCAATCGGTACTCTTTTCGGATGGCCTTCCGAAGCGGCTGACCGTTCGGAAGAGTGCAGCCGCCGTTCGAAGCGGTTCCTGGAAACAATGGAATTATTCGCCGAAGCGCTTCGCGCCGACCTCTGAGATATGAGCAAAGGCACGGCAAATCCATGCACTGATAAATATTGGAGGCGATCGGCGCCAATTCGGCCGCCATTCCTTTGGCGAGACCCGGCGGAAGGGCGATTTTCTTTTTTTTCGAAGCCGCCTGAAATCGATGATCGATGGAATCGCAACGAACCGCTGCTTACCCTCGCCCCATCGTCCCATCGATGAAGTTGTCGGCACATAATTTTTGCGGCTTCGGTCGGCGCTTTCGCGCATGGGTCCTCTTCGGCGGCACACCAGCCGAAGATGGCCAACACAATTGGCCATAGTATCGAGGGCCTCATTGATTGTGAGAAGAGGGTCCCTAAAAATCAGTTCAAGTTTCGCTTTTCTTTTGAAAATCCCATGTAATTGATAGTGACCGATTGATAAGAAATTTTTTGGAGGAAGTGGTAATGCGATGGAGATTAAACACCAATTTTGGTATTGATTTCGGGTCAATTTGGTTTTTTTTTGCGAAAAATCGAATTTTCTTTTATTGAGCAAGGAATAACAAAGCTCGGACCCTGATGAGAACCGTCAAAATCAAGCCTTATGAATTTCATAGCAGAAAAAAAATATTAGAAAATTTTTTTTGAAGAATTGAACATTTCTAAAAATTATTTTTCTCATCAATTAGGGTAATTATTAATTTCGCTGAACTCCTTCTTCGCTTCAGGACCCATGGCAAGTTTTGCCCGCTCATACGAGCTTTTCAAAAAAACATAATTGGGTCCCGACGCGAAAATTTCAACAAAAACTAGTTGTGCCACGGGAAACACAAAAAATGGCGATGGTCGTGCGACAAATGTTTAAACTGATCGCCGAATGATATGAAAACGAAGAAGGACAATCGGACTGATATTGTCAAGCAGAAAAAAATTGTCCCCATCAAACTCCCCCCCACCTCCTCCTTCTTCTTCTTTTTCTTCTTCATCGTCTTCTTATTTTTTTTTCGTTCGATTTGACGATCTGACAAGTTCGCCCAACTGACCGAACCAAAATGATGTCACACACAGTTCCATTTCCTTAAAGGGACACGTTAAACGGAGAGCGGTTTTGCCTGAAATTATTTCTTAAATTGCTTGATTTTTAATTAAAGGACCAATGCTGAAAAGAAGGTTTTAAAATGATTTTATTTTTTCTTTTAAAAACTCTCCAAGTATATATATTTATTTATTTATTTCGATGGTCCCTTGGATAGCTGACACGAATGGCAGCAGTACTTTTTTTTTAAATATTAGATTAATAAAAAAGGAGATTTAAAATTGATATTTTAAATAGTTTGCATGAACCGTAATTTGTCCGCAGATGAGGCTCGAGAAATTCGAATAGTGCAAGCTGATCACCGGTACGAAAAATGAATCGTCATGAGGAATTTTCTAACAAAAAAGTGATCACGACGATTTCTTTGATAATATTGTTGTTTTGTTTTCAATCTCGTGACAATTGCCACAAAAAACCGATTTTAGAAGAAAAATGCGCGATGTCAACAATCTTTTCTCACGTTTCATGGATAATCAAAGCCCGTAATGTGTCCGCAGATGAAATTCGGAAGAGGGAAACGAGAAGCTCTTTGCTGGTCGCTCCAGCCAACTTTCAATATAAATAGGTTCTCATTAAATTTGAGTTTTGGGGGTTGTTCGAACGGGCCAAGAAAATTCGTGGCGAGACCCTATCGTCTTTTAATCATGCATGAATCAAACAAAGAATTTGACGCTTTAAAAATGAATAGAAACTCTGGGAATTTCAAATCCCCCTCATTACCCAATCGTCTCAAGAACCCTCATTAACTAATTACAGTAATTAAAGGAGCATTCACTTCTCTTCGAAGAGGCCCACCGCGCATCGATTGATTCGCTCATCTATTCAGTTGTACAAACATGCCCATATTGACAGACAGACAGACAGACAATGCCGCAAACAACCAAATTTCGATGAGTGTGTTCATTTCTGAATACAATTCCATCTGCCGACAATTCACTGGCCCGCTGAGTTGTCGGCACATGAAAATTATAATGCCGCGTATTTCAAACCATCAAATATTTCTCTTCTCTACTACCACTCGTCGTAGATTTCAAATTTTCCGCCAAAATAAAAGCATGTGACTCATGCCGGTACGGTTGTTGCTATTTTCACCATTTCGGCGTATTCATGTCCGCAGATGACAATTCTCTTCTCGCCGTCGAAATCGATTTGGTTGTAGTCTCGATTTTCTCATTTTCCTAAATAAATGCCTAGTGTAATGAAAATGGTGTTGTTGAATACGATGAGTCATCTGTTTCGCGGGGCCGATGGTTTCGCAAGCGACGACCTTGGCCGCATTTTGCATATTCATTCATTTTTACCCCCCGCCATCGACCGACCAACTTGTTAATATTACTACGTATTTAATGTTTCGCATCTGCGGACAATTTTCGCACAACGAATTCTGTTAAAACCAAAGCGCTTCAAGCTTTAAATCTTTTTTTTTTCGCCTGCGGACAAATGACGGGTTATCGATCGATTTTTTGAGTTTCAAATTTCAAAGCCGTAAATTGTCCGCAGATCGCAATTATTTGTTGTAGCCTTTTAGTGTTTCGTAACTTGTTTGCCCATGTCGGACGCTAAAAATAAATTATTTGCGCTGATTTCAAATCTTTGACTTTTTGGTGTCAAAAATTGCTCTACACACTCGTTTTCTCTTCTCCTCATAATTGTCCGCAGCAATTATGATAACTTCAAATCATGTATTCCCCCCCCCAACGAGAATAATTGTCTTTATGGCAACCCAACAGGCACCCACTTATCGATAATTTTTTTTCGCAATTTTTAGACCCTAAAATTCAATTTAAGATGTCAGCTCAAAAAATTCAAATGCCACAAGCACCGGACGTCGAAGAAGGCCGAGTGTTCGTCGTGGAGCGCAATTCGCGAGATGAGCTCGTCAAGACTATTTTGCTCATTATTCTCATTTTCGTGTTCCCGGTAAGACCTAAACAAAAATCGAAAAAAAAGAAAGATCGAGAGAAGCAGAATTATTGTGTCTCGACGAAAACCTCTACTGGTTTTTCGTTTCAGACACAAATTTACTATTCACCGTTGATAGTCTACAAATAGAAATCTTGAAACGTTTATTTTGAAAAAAAAAATAAAATCTAGCGATTTGTCTTTAAAAACTGTTTCAAAAATATTTTGAGGGACTAGATTTTTCTCGGCCACGCATATCCGGCCAACTTCCGTTTTTAGTCGTCTGAACGAGAAGTGCTCGAGATTGCGTACCTGGCATTTTTTAAATAATAAGCAGTCGAAATTGTCTAGGGATTTTCTGATCTGCGGACATGCTTCCGGGCCGAATAATAGTAGGAAAAGCATAATTTCAGCCGGCCGCCGTCGCTGTTCACGCCAACGAATGCAATATGCATGTGTTCATCTCGCTGATTCTCGTCTTCTTCTTCGTCATACCGTCCTACATTCACGCCATCTGGTACTGTTTCGTGCGGAAGCCAACACAGATGACAATTTCGTAATCGATTTAATTATTAACGTAACTAATTAATAACATTTGTAATTTTATTGTGCTTTCCGTTTTTTTTTTAAATAAAACTGAACTCGCTTTATCGAATTGGTGAAAAGACGCGATCCGCGCGCGCGCGCGAGCGGCTCGTTTCCACGGCAACGCGACATCGCGTCGTCGATTTTTCAAAAATCGATTCGCGCGAATCGCATTCTTCGCAATCACGCTCGATTATGGAGAACTTCAAAAGCAAATGGACGGCGGCGGTGAATTTGACGAACTGTGAGATTCATTGCGCGTCGACGTGCGTCGCACTCGGCGATTTGTTCTCCGATGGTGATTCCAAGCTGATTGTCGCACATGGAGGACATCGAGGGTGAGTTGAATTTAAAATTTCTTAATTATTATGTTTATTTGAGGTCGATTAAATGAAAAAAAAATGAATTTGAAACAGAAAAAAATCCTTAAAAAATGTTTGTCTGCATATACACCGACGAAATTTTGCACACATTTTTATTATCTTTATGCAAATAATTTTGAAAAATAAAAATGCCATTTTTAGCCTAAACATGAAGCTCAAGGTGTTCAAAGGAGTCGCACCATTCGCCGAAAGTTCACTAGCTGACATGCCCACTGCCATTATTCATTTCATCAATGAACTGGTTGATCAATTTCAATCAACCAATTGAAACATAATAAAATCGTTTTCAGTCTTCACTTCCTTCGATAGCCGTAGCTGCGGGACCCTCATTGCTCATTTACAAAAATCTGAAGCCATTTTATAAGGTTTGATTGGAGGCAATTTCGAGCCAAACCGTTTTTTTCTCTCTCTACCACACAGTTCACCGTTCCGTCGTCGCCGGTGAACGCTGTCGAGCAGCAGGCATGGCAGGCAGCCGGCAGCAAGCAAATTGGTCATGACGAGCTGATCACAGTGCTCGGCAATTTGGCGAATGAGGTGCGTCGAAACGCGATGTAGTCACCATCTGCGGACATTTGTAGATTTCGTTCACCTCGCTGAGTCCGCTGTCGCAAACTCTTCTATTAACTCCAGCTTCCGATCGACAATTCCTCATCGAGAGATACATTCACAAGCCGATTTCCAATTCAGTAGCGATTTTCATTTTTTTAACGCTTTTTTATCCTCATTTTTTGCAATTTCTATTAGGCTTCTATCACATGTGTCGCAAAAATGGAAAAATCATCCGCCGAGGTCATCGACGTGCTCTTGATCGGCACCGAGCACAACGCATTGCACATCATTGATAGTCAGGTGAGCTGCGGACATGTGAAACGCAACCCGCGACTTGTCCGCAGATGTTCTTTGTTCATTTTTAGGCGTTCACAATCCTTTCAACCTGTATTCTACCGTCGGTTCCGGTTTCCATTTGCACTCACGGTAACCTACCAATTGTTTCGGACCATATTAGTCGATTTCAGGGACCTATGAAGTCGACTACCGTTTATTTGTGCTAACTCGCGATTCGCGAATATTCTCGATTCGACGCGAGCAAAAAACCGCCGACAAGCCGATCATAACCTCGCCGGAATTGATCACCTCATTCGTGCGCCTCAAAAAATTCGTAATGACTCGGCCTCGAATGATTCGAGAGCGATTCTCAAAATATTCCAGATCGCCATCGCAACATCGGACAATCGAATATGCTTCTACACGTTCAAAGGCAAAAAAATGAATCAAGTGAAGTGCGAGAAGAAAATTCGACTTTTGGAGCGATTCGAGTACAAACAAAAACAATACGCCGCCGTCATCGCAATGTTTGACAACGAGGTTGTCGTCAATTCGATCTGCGAACAATTCCAAAATTTTAGTTGCGTCTTTACGACGAAGGCTATATGCTGGATATTCTCAAATTCGACAAAACCCTCTCATGGATCAAATTCGGGAATTATGGACGTGAAGAAGGCGCTCTTGTCATATGCTTCAAAGGTATTACTGTAGGATTACTGTAGCAACTGAACATCTACAGATGGGTCGGTGTGCGTTCGAATGTTCCGCCGATTGGCCAACTTCGACGAGAAGATGGATTTCAATCCACGACCGCCCGTCCATAGCATCAAACTGCAGATTCCAAAGAAGACGAAGGTGTTCATTGATCAGACGGTTCGGGAGAAGGACAACGCCGGCAAAATCAATCAAGCCTACCAGAAGGACCTATTCCTATTGCGCTGTCGGATCGCCGAGGTGTTCAGCGATCTCACCGCCAGCGCTCATTCGGTCGTCTCGAACAACGCCCAAATTCCAATCGACATCTCCGTGGACATTCACGGTTTCGGACCATCATTCCGAATGACGATCTACGTCGTCTCGTCAGCGTAAGATCAACGATTTGTGGGGGTCGCCGAATGTCAATTGATTGTTGCAGTAAAACGAACCTCTACAACATGTGGCTGTCAGCGGTGTGCGATCCCGGAATGTACAACTTCGATTCGCCGTTGATCCCAGTGTCGTTCCTCTCGCCTGGTCACAAGTACTCCTACACAACATTGCTGACGTGCAAGGATCCCGAGAAGGCGACGCAAGAGGAGATCCGTGTGATACTGGTCCACCAAGATCGTCCCACTCCGATTGTGACAGCGCTCATCAAAATGCCGATCAGCGAATTTGCGATTGATTAATTGGAAATAAATTCGTCTTATTGAAAATTGACATTATTTGAGCAAAAAGGAAATTTTTGAAATTTATGCTTAAATCAGCTTCTCGATACTAGCTTGATGCTCATCTGGCGCATACTGCAATCCATTGTAAAGCTTATAGAAGCAATCATGACAATAGGGCTTGCGGTCGTGCTCACGGAATGTGCCGTGCATGTTGAGAGCCTACAAAAAAAATGCCACAGGATATAATGGTCCCTATTTGTCGATGAACCTTTTGACAATACGTACACATAAAATGATATGTATGGAATTTCTGAGCTCGTTCCGAGTTGGGCGCAAGAGCCGTCAGAATCGGACCATCGATCTCCTCGCTGCAATAGGCGCAAACAGCGGCGGCCGGCGGTTCAGGTGAGCCCTGCACAGAAAAAATAATTACATTTGGATTAGTCACGGTGAATTCGCGATTATTACCGAGATGTGCAACGTCCGTCTTGGCGTCGTTGAGCGCGCACGACGTCGCCGCAAGCTGTCCGTCTCCTCGGTCATCTGAACGCCATAGTTTCGCGAGAAATCATCGACCTCGATGTTATCGTCTTCGGCTGAAATAATTGAAATTCAAGCAAATCAAAAAATATTGCTTCGAATTGAACTCACGAAGTTTTGGACGCGGTGGTGGCACATCTTCGGGCGCCGGCGTCAAACGAAGGCGATACTCGATTTCCTGAAACGCGCTCCATTGCGAACGATTGAAATTGCAAACGCGCTCCATTGCGAACGATTGAAATTGCAAACGCGCTCCATTGCGAACGATTGAAATTGCAAACGCGCTCTATTGCGAAACGCTTTCATTCTCACCTCCTTCCGATTCTTTTTCGCGTCGGCACGATCACGTCCCATATTGGCGCGTCTCAACACCTCGGTGGTCGCATTGACGTCATAGACGAGAGCCGCGAGCGTGTCAGTCACCGCATTTTGCTCTGAAGAGAGAAAATTTGCCATTCAAATTGGTGCGACTCGATTGAATACTCTGATCATCCTTGAGCTTGTGAAGTGTGTTGTTCATGTCGTCGGCGCTGACCGCCTTCAATCTCGCCGCCAGCCAATCATCGCTCGGATCCACCGAGATTCGTCCCGTCACTTCCATTTCGGTTTGAAATTGGCGACGCTCCAAACGCTGCAAAATTGCTGATTAGTTTTTGCGAGTTGCTTTATGGTCCCAAATTACCATTTGCTCCTGTTTGCGGCGAATAATCTCCGTCGTCTGCTCGACGTCATTCTTCAACGCCGTCAATGTTCCGTTCACAATCTCGTCTTCTGAAAGTTTTATGAAAGATTTAAAAAAAATAAAAAGTGCATTTTTGATTTCGTGTCAAACTCACGTTGGCTAAACTCCTCATCGTTTCTGAACACCTTGTCGCGATTCGAATTTCTCGATTCGCTGCGCCAGCGTGCCACGTGGCGTTCCACAGGATCCGGAATTGTCGATGCTCGCGAATCGCTGCGATACTCTACAATAAAGCCCAATAAGGAGATGTGCGAATTTGAAAATTTGAAATTTCGCGCGCAGCCTTTCAATGAATCCCGATGAATGAAATGCATTTATTCACCGGAATTTGAAATTTTCTAAATAATCAAAATTTATTTTTTAAAATTATTCTATTTCAAACTAAATTGAGCAAAAATCGCCAGTATGTGTATTTCCATACGAGACCCAAGGCGGCAATTCAAATTATAAATAAATGACGCTAGTAGAAAAAAAAATTTAAAACTGAAATTATTTTTCGCTATGGGATACGTTGACGCAATCCCATGCGCCTTTAATCGCGGATGTGTGTTTTTTGGCATAAAGTCGAAGAGGTTTGGTCTCGATTCGAAGAAAAATTTCCAGAATCGAGAGACTTACGCTGCGACGGCGTCAAGGTGCGATTCTGACTGCTGCGGCTCTCGGTCGTATACTGATACGACTCGAAATGATGTTGTTGGGGTTGAGGAGGGATTGTCATCCTGAGAAAAAATTATTTCATGTTGCGAGCGATCGATGAGAAGAATTCACGGCAATATTGGCGGCAAACCAAAAAACCTTCAACACTCGAATGCGCCTTTAAAAGTCGCTCACCGTTTTTGAACAAAAATCTCGACAATTTGCTCGCGAGACGATGCCATCAATTTTGCCTTCGGGGCCCAATATTATTTTTATTAAGACGAAATTTTTTTTTCTCGCCAATTTGACGACAAGCAGAAACGAATGTTTACAGAACCCGCCATCCTCTCTCTCACGCTTGTTAGAAAATTTGTTTTTGTATGCTGTCCAACCATATTAGGCATTTATTCAAGGTGAATTGAGTCGCACGCACTTGAATGCGCACAAACATGCACAAAAGGGGGAAGGGAGCGACCCGGAAGGTTGTCCGCAGGTGTGAGTCGATAACATTGAATTAGAGTGCACAGAAAAGTTTGATGGTCGAAAGTTTATCACATCAAAACCGATTATGAAAATGGAATGTCGAGCAACGGGTCTCGAAACGAGCGAAAAAATCGATCGAAATAGAGTTTAACAGATATGAGTGTGTGGGATGGATGGCGAAGATTACAACACGCTCGCCGAATGATTCTCGAAGAGCATAACAACAAAATGTGCACCGGATACTACATAGGCTTTGGGTTGGTGATAAAGACGACGATGAGAGGATGCGGACATCGGGGGGATATCAAATTATACAAATTATCGCTGCTGCGGACATTTTTGGAATCCACGATCAATGTCCGCAGATTGCGGAAATCAAATATTGAATTTCGTTGGAAATTTGAGACATGATTCATAATGTTTGTCTAAAAAATCGTCTGGTTTACTCAGTTTTAAGATTTTTTGTTGTTGGGTTCAAAATTTAGCAAAAAATTGCGCATTTTAGTTTCATAGCTATTTTTTCAAGAAAAATGACGCGAAAGTTGAACATGTGTTCGCCATATGGTTCGCTAGACTCCGCCCACTTTTGGCCTTTTTATGATGATATCACAAGATTTTCGCTATGAGACCTATTGAATAGAACATCGAGACAAAGCGAGCTTTGGCCTTGGAATTTGAAATTTGTGAAACCGAAAAGAAGAAATTCAATATTTTTTTAAAGATGGAATGGTTCGTTGCGAGACCCGCGAGATTTGTTTGATCCTCCCCGCTATGAAAAAATCGCAATTTGTGTTTTTGCGGTTTCTCCCCGTCGATATTGATGAATATCAGATTCACACGTCACGTCAAACCTCGAACAAAAAAGAAAGACGGAAGAAAATTGCATGAAGCGCGACTGACAGCCACCGGCATACTACAGCACTGATGGCGAATTGTGTAACAGGCATCCAATCTATCTGCCGGCGGCTGTCGTTCGTCTCCTCGTCGTCGTATGCTCGGCGGTGCTCCGCCAATCTTTCAACTCAATCAATATAACTCGCCAATTTTTTTTTTCGACGCCTTTGTCGCAATTTTCCCTTCTAGTTTGGTTTAGTCGCTACGAGACCCATTTATAGCTGTCCATCATAGGGTCTTGCTTTTATATGAATCCTTTGATTTAAAAAAATGCTTCTACAATAATTTCACGGACCATTTGATGCCAACACAAAAAAAAAACACGGTCCCATCAGTTCTTGTTTGAATTGCCGCCACGCTAAAAAATGACAAACTGGCGATTGTGGCGCGCATCCCGAAAAATGTCCGCAGATGTTTAAAATGAAATTTTACTTGTTACGACACAATAAAAAAAAACAAGCTCCCACAGATAAACGGCGGCATAGGCACAATGGAAGCATAGTGGAACGGCTGTGGATATCATAGGAATCTTATATGCAAGTTATATGGAAGCATAATGGAAGCATTTTTTTGCGGAACCGCGTGTTTCGTATATGGAATGAGCCGTATGCCTTCCATATGGGAAAATAAGAAAACAATTTGATTGCTGTATTCAAAATTTATTTCATATTAACACATTTATTTAATTTAAAATAAAAAAAACAACAATGAAATGAATTTCAATTAAGATATAATCAAACCATTAGTTACTGGCAACTGCCGAACTATTCGAATCATTGTCAGTACTGACATCGAGCGGGACGCTGTAATAAGTAGATTATAATGGGCCTATTAATTTGAAAAACTTGTAAACCATTGTTACGTAAACTAAATTTTTCGAGAAAATACAATCAGTTTTTTTACATCAATAATTTTCTTAAAAATAAAAATAATTTATTTTTATTGCATTTTTGGAAACCCTTTAGTGCACAAAATAAAAAGTGAATTGGCGGAAGAAAGAACAACTCCAAAATTTGAAGCAAAAAGGCATTTTGGTTAAAATTTCAAAGACATATGAATACTCACATCTGAGGGTTGCTGGTAGAATAAAGCAGCTTCCTTAATTGCGCCGCGAGCGCTTCCGGCGCTACACCAAATTTCCTTTGAAGTCGTTGGCGCATTCTATCGCTTAATCAAATAAATAAATTAATAGTCATAGTTCAAAATCTTACAGAAGATTATCCATGACTTCTCGAACCATGCGTAATGCTTTCGCTTTGAAGTCATTTGTCGGTTGTTGCCCAAAGCCATGGATAAGAGCATCTGTAATATAGATATTTGCAATAAAGTATAGGATCTTTATATAGTCGGCGTCTGGCGACTTCTGTACTAGAGCCCCACTTAAAAAGATAAATGCCACTGAATGATATTGGTACGAAGGCTGTACGGCAATCGGAAATTTCGGCGATTCGGCTAATGGCAAATTACCGATCGAAATTTTCTTCGGCAATTTGAAAAACCGGCAATTTCGGCAATCGGCAATTCCATTGCCGCACAGCCTTGATTGGAACCAAATAATCAACAAGCTTTAAACTTAGGAAGTACTTTATAAAGACTTCATTGCGCATATTTTTCTAATTGAAACCATTTCTGGAGTCGAACAGGCCAATTTTTGATGATAACAACTTACAAATTGGGCGTACGAAGGTTTAGGAATTGGCGTTGATTTTGTTGTTTGTGAGGACTGTGGAGAAAAATTTTTTTGCTGAGTTGGCGAGTAAATTGGACTATCTGGATCTGAAGTGTCGAGCGAATTTGGTTCCATGTTAGGGACTTCTGGTTCTTTGTTATTGACTTCTAGAGCAGTTTCAGTTATATCTGACAACACTCTCGATCTTGTCTTCATCTGTAAAAAATTTCAAAACATTATGTTTTATTAAAAGAAAAAAAGCGAGCGATAATAAAAAATATGTTAAAGTAAATAAAAATAAAACGGATTCGATGAGAAATTAAACACAATTCGATTGAGAAAATATTTAAATTCGATTTTAAAAGTGTCGGAAACGATTTGAAAACATCGTATCGATTTTAAAATTTTCGAATGCTATCAATTTATTTTTGGTTTCGATTTTGATGATAAATATGAAAATTTTTCCTTTATTTTTTAAAAACATTTTTCCTTTAATTTTGAAAAAAATTCTTTAATTTTTGACAAAAAAAAAAACACAAAAATCTTGAAAATTCATTGAGAAAAAGCAAAAGGACAAAAATTTTGAAAACGAATTTCGAAAATGTGAGGCGTGGCCGCATTGTGCAAAGCGGCGCACGGTTTTGCAATGCTGCGGCACGCCTCTTCTACGCGCGTCTGCTACCAGTTTGGAGCAAATTGTGAGTAGTTTGCGATGCCAATTTCGGAAAAACCGGCAAAAATATATTAATACGACTAAATTGTAGTTGGCAATCTTTAAACAAAGTAAGGAACAGTTGACTGAATTAACATAAATCTGAGTAGCATAAGTCATTAAATGGTAGAAGCTAAATTTCGTATGTTGTGTATCATGTAATTTTCAAATTTTCATTGTTTATATGATAGCATAAGTTTTTTGTATTGATTTTTCTAGAAATTGTCTTGGTCTGCCGTCCAGACGCCAATTGTATAATGTTTATTGACATATGATTATTTTATCCATATTCCATCCATATTTGTTCCACGGCTCGCAAACACCGGAAGCATATTCATCCCGTTTTCATTCCATCCATATTCGTCCCATAATTCTTCCACAGCCACTAAGAATTACATTATGCTTCCTATATGGAAGCATTATGCTTCCGTTCCACAGATTTCCCACAATGCTTCCATTATGCTTGCGTCGCGCTTAATCAGTGCCCCCGGGCCAGCCCTCATCCCCCCAGGGGCCCATTCAAGGAACACTGCTCAGTTTGAAATAGAGAAATTTGCGCTGCTAGATTTTCTGTTTTGTTCCGTTTTGGTTTGAGAGCGAGGATTAAGTGGTCTTAGAAAACAGCCAACAGCATCCCAACGAATTTCGCGCGCCGTTTTTTCCACATGCGTTGAATTGAACCATTATCTAATTTTGCAAAGTTGAGAATAATACCTGACTTTGGCCACATTTGTGGTTATTTTGAGGAATTTTTTTAAAAGAATATTGTGTTTTCAATTATTTCTGTCAGAAAAAATGAGCTATAAATTAAATTAAGGGATCATTTTTTAGTTTATTGGATCTGGTATGGAAAATCTGTTAAATCCGATTTTTGCGTACCCAAATCGTCATTATTTGATGAAGAAATGAATTTTTAATATATTAGTTATCTCAAATCGATCTTTGAAATAATTGACATGTGAAATTAAACCATGCGGACTTGCATTTTAATCTACGCCTAAATATCTCAATTCTTGTAAGTGCGCAAGTTGCAAACGCGCTCCAATGAATCGAGCGCGATTTTCAAATTTGAACTCCAATTTCTCAATTTTTCCGTTCGCCCACACCGAAAATGCTTATTTCAAGATTTCCTGTCATTTTTTATAGGTAAAAATCGCCAAACGGTGCAATTATTCTAGCAGAAAGTCTTTATGGGACCACCATTTCCTTGTTGTGATGGCCATCGTATTCCTATTCGCATTCATCAAAAAAACCAAAAACGTCGTGTTCAGAATACTCGTCGATTTCTCCGCGAAACTTTGCCGTTTTTTTCTTGTCTGCTAACATTCCCATCTGTTTTTGCTCATCAACCTCTAAATTGATTGCAAAAAACCATTTTTCATAACTTGAATATTTTTATACATTTTTTTAAAATTTAGTTTTCCGTTTCCAAATTCAAACCAAAATCTCTTCTGTTCACACAAATTCAAAAAATGCCGTATTTTTTTCACAATTCATAAATTAATGTATTTTTGAACACGAAGAATAGGCGTTGTGATGGAATTTCATCAGAAATTCTTCTTGGAATATACTGAATAATTAATATTACTTTTTTCTCCAACGCCGAAAAGTCCCGCGGTCGGATAATTGCAAGATAATTTGTCGGGCTTCTCCAATTTTCTCAATTTTCTAGTTCTCAGTTGACTCAATCAGTTGCCGATTGTCCAATTCCCAATTGGGAATCGAAATTGGCCAATGGGAAACTCGCGTGATTACGGACCAAATAATAATCGGACGGCGCTTGAAAAATCTCAAGAGCGCGTTCATTCTTCCTTAGTTTTCGGTCTCGACACGATTCAGATATAGTCGTCACAAGACCCAGATCATTCTACGTGTTATTCGCCTTTAATTTGTTCTTTGTTTTTGAAATTTTACAATTAACTAGCCTGGCTTCTATTTGAAGTTAAAAAAATAAATTTGTAAGCAAAACGATGACCAAAAAAATAATTTGAATACGGTATCGAAAGACAAATTTTGGCACATTATTGCGCACATTTTCTCTGTTCCAAAAAAATTCCAAAAATTGAATTGAGAATCTCGATTTTGCGACGACCGCGCGTTTTCCATTTCGCTCAATTGTGTGAAAATATCGCATGGCATTATCTTTTTATTGCACACACACCAACCAGCCCGAAAAACAGCAACGCCAAACCTCCAGCTCCATTTTCGTGTTGGGAGCGCCCCACCGTCGAAATTCCATTATTTCATTGGATTCCCCGCCGCCGAAATCCTCGTGTCCGTCTTTTCTCCAATTTCATCATGTCTCCGCTTTTTTTCTTCCATCAATTTACCTTTTCCAGGCCGGCACATAAAAATTGCGATATGTGAGCTGCTATGAATTTCACCATCATTTGCCAATTTATGGTCTTAATCGGACTCGTCCAAAATCGGAAAACCCTATTCCGTAAGCATTTTCTTCATTGAAATCAATCATCTCGAAAATAGATGCGCAATTTTGCCATTTATTTTTGAGGTACATGCATGAGAGAAAGCAGCGCTTGGGAAGCTGGGGGGACCCTTGAAAATAAAAAGTCGACCAAGAATTGTCCGCAGATAGTTTTGAATTCAATGTGATATTCTCCGAGAAATATATTTTACGATTCTATTTCCATTAGACCTATTCATGAAATAAAAAATTTAACAAATTACACAATTTTCCAATACAAATTTTTTTCGGCATTCCCAAATGTGCGTTCCTTTAAAAATGGTTCCAAATCTGAAAAGCAAGCCGAACAAATTTAAACGGTCAATTCCCATGGCTCAATTCATTTTTTGTTATCCCCTTTTTCTGTTGCTACTAGTCATCATTTTGTTGTTCGTGCTTCTCCTGCCCAAAAGATGAGTCTCAAAGTTGTTCATGACACACACACACACCCACAAAAAAAGGACAACGCGAAAACGGGCAAATGCAAAAATAAGCCGAGTTTAATCTCGAAAACCGATTCGAAATGAGCACCGACGCGAGATACTACTCGTTTCCCTCACCACTTTTTTTTTGTGTTGCGTGCTCCCTATTGTATTGAGTGGAAAACTACTTCATCGCTCTTCATTCTCCTTTTATATTTCTACGATTTCCCATATTGAATAATAATGAACAAAAATGACAATTCACTAATTAAATATGTGAAAACCTTCCCACAACAAAACCATTTTTGTTTCTCATTTTTATTTCTGAAAATTAAATTTCATTCGACTCAAAAAAGATTAGTGACCGAAGTCGTTGCTCAAACCCAAAAATCAAATTCATTCGATGTTGTTTTTCTCTCGTTTTGTAAGTTAACTAGCGTCGGCGTATTTACACATGTGATTTTGAATTATTTGTTCGAAATCAAAACTTCTCGATACCAAATGTCTTTGTTGCTCATCAATGTTTTACCAATCCACTCAACAACGGTGTGCACCTCTTGCTCTTTCTGCGACTTCTTTTCCACCGCCTCTGATCTCAATGTTTGTCTCCAGCGCAACAATCGCTCAAACAAAAGTGCGCGCATCCAATTTTTTCTGCCGTCCCCTACCCTACAATCAGCCTATTCGAGTCGAATTGGACAATTTCTGAAAGATGCGAAGTCTGGAGAGAATCGTTGAGACGCGCATCGAGCTTCTTGAATGGGATTCAAAAGGGACCAAGGAGGACTGTGCGAGGTGTCGAGCACTTGACTGCGACATCATATTCGCTTTGTTATTCACAATTGTCATCGCGTGCCTCCTCGTGTTAATCATGATTTTCTGGCTTAAAGGTGTCCTGCAATATGAAGAGTAAGTTACTCCAAAAGTATTAGAAAACAGAAACCGAAAAGTCCGAAGAAAACAACCTAGAAAAAGTTTTTGCGGACTTGCAACTTTGTTGACGCAATACTGCTGAATTTTGACATTAAAATCATTTTTCTTAACAAAAAATTGGGTAGTTGGCTCTTTCTCAAGGTTCCCTAGCTTCCGGTGCGCTGTTTCCAGTACCTGGTAACAGTATTTCGCACAATTTCAGAGTGTGACCAGCATTTTGATAGCACTCAGCCTGAGGGTAATATAACATTTCCGAGTTTTCCGAAAAGTTTGGCCATCAGCCAAATATTGAATATCACCCATCCCGAGCTCAACTACAATCTACAAGTAAATTTTTTCAAAATGCTACCAAACACCAATTACGGTAACAATTGTTTTTGTTTCAGTGTGTATACACGTTTGTTGCGGGACCGGGGCAACGTGTAATGCTCGAATTCGAACATTTCCAATTGTCTGGTAGCTCTGAAAAGTGGGCTCTCGCCGCGAATCGCAAAAATTCGAATAAATTTTGATTGCAGCTGTGATATAGAATATATAGATATTTATTCTGAAATTGAATCCGTCGATGAAGATATTTTATCATCGGCATTAGGTGGCAGGTATTGTGGTACAGTGGCGCCAAAAGTTAGAATTAGGTAATTTCGTTTTTCAATTTACAAAATTTTGCCAATTTTTGCAGTTTGCACCGAATTATGAAATTAATATTACATTCACGCTCAACGACGCGTGATGAGAATTACGGTTTTCGCGCCAAATATTCATTTATCGATGAAGGTTGTCTTGGCTCGTTAATTGACTTTATATCGTATAATTAATCGAATTTCAGCAAAATATATAGCGGGTGATCTTCAAAATGGTAGAAAATGTAGCTATATTATTGAATCCTCTGATAGGCCATCGGGCACGATCTACTCGCCGACATACCCGGGCACCTATCCTCATGTTAGATTTTTTAGTTTTAAAAGTTCGGCACAATTCCGTTCAGAATATGCATTGCTCGTATTTGCTTCAAGGTTATCGTGGCGAGAGAATACGACTATTCTTTTCCGATTTTGACGTCTTCTTTGGCGGCGAGCAGTAAGTCTTCAGATTCGCCGAAATTTCTGATCGATTCGTTTTTTCACCGACAGTTGTCCATATGACAGTGTCACGATATACGACGGACCGACTCCAACATCGCCGATTATTCGAAAAGTGTGCGGTCTTCAGCAGCGGATGGAGGTCTACTCGATGACGAACGCGGTCCTCATTCATTTTAACACGACGAATCCGGCGAAAGCCGATCCGAGAGGTTTTGTGATGGATTACGAGTTCTCGGCGCGATTTGTTGATGTCGCGAAACTTCTTGGCGGGCAGAGTGGCGTCACTCATGTTAGAGGGACTGAATGCGATGTGCGAGTTGAAAGCAATCGAGAAACCACGCACACCATCTCAAGTCCAAATGTGAGATTTTTATCTATTATCAAATATGAAAAACTTATTACAGTACCCCAATGCCTATCCGCCGAACACCACGTGCACATACATTATTCATGGATTACAAGGCGATCAGAATTTGGAGAAGGTCATGCTCACTTTTGAATCGATCGCGGTTCTCTCTTATGATACCGCGTAAGACATTGATTCAGTTCATTTTTTAAATTTTCAATTTTGCTAATTATTAGACCGACTCTGAGCCCTTCCGCCGACGATATCGCTTGCCCAAGCGCTTGGGTCGGAATCGCAATCGCCGACGGCAACATGAAAGCGGTGATGTCGTCGACCGATGATTCGACGTTTGATGTGACGCTTTGCGAGAGGATCCCGTCCGATTCGCCACTTCTCGGCCCGTATATTAGTGGCGGTCCGCGAATGGTGGTGCAATTCGGCACCACCGACACCAGAGACGATAACGTGAAACCGCTGGGATTCAAAGCCAAAATCGAGTTCAAAACGGATTTTGGTGTGACCGGCGAATCGCTGGGAACGTCAAACGAGTGTAAATTTCTGTTCTCATCGTCCACCGGATTCTTCAATAGTCCCCGATATCCGGCGAATGTAATAGGGACCATTAGAAAGTTCGAAGTCAATCAAATATTGTTACAGTATCCGCTTGACACCAATTGCACGTATTACATTGTTGGCCAGCCCGGTCAGGAAATTGTGCTCCATTTCGAGCAATTCGCTCTTCACGAGGACGGAAAGTAAGCCGAGCCCGATTCTTCTAAATGAGTCCACACAACGACCCATTTATTCAATTTTCAGCTGCAACGACTGGCTTGACATTTACGATGTTTTTTATGAGAATGGCAAAGAGCGATTGCAGCTTAAACGTATGCAATTATGTTTCTCTTTATGACCTTCAATTCACCGATTCAGAACGATATTGCTCGAATATTTTTCCGGGACCATCGGTGTCGGCGTTCGGATCGCACGAAATGCGCGTCGTGTTCTCATCGGGATCCGAAGGATCGGAGAACGGCTTCAAAGCGCTGTTCGAAATTCGAACATCGCGAAAAGAAGATGTGCCGAGCAACAAGAAGAAGAACACGGATCGTTGCGGAGCTGTCATCGAGGCGACCGATGAGAAGCCTAGCGGTCATATACATTCGCCAAACTATCCGGTCAAATACAACAAGGGCATTCATTGCGATTGGCAAATCAACGTGCGTCCCGGCCGTCAAGTGCTTCTCAAAATGGAAGTGATTGACGTTGAAGGCGAGATGACGTCGACGAGCGCCTCATGCCAGAAGGCGGTTATTCGTGTCGAAGGCGCTTCGCGGACTGAATACTGTGGACAACACATTGAAATGTTCGAGCCGATGCTGTCGGCGAACAACTCGGTGCGGCTCAGTTTTCTCACGGCACCGGACAAAGTCAACGGATTGAAGGGATTCAACATCGCGTGGACCGAAGTCAAGAATATCAGCGACGGACAAGAAAGCGAGTGCTCATCGGAATCATTGTATTTGTGCACTTATTCGAAATTGTGCATTGACGCGAAACTCCGATGCGACGGTCACGATAATTGTGGGTACTCGATTCAGGATGACACCGACGAGCAGCACTGTGAGTGTTCAAAAATTGTTTAATGACTGTTGTGAGCTAATCCCATATAACCCTGGTGTGTCATTCATAGGCTCGAGACGAGCGGTGGCGCGCCTTCCGACACGCTACATTGAGCGTCCAGCGACAACGACAACGCGTCCGTCAGTTCAAACAACTCCGCAACTTTTGACGACGTCGACTTCAAGAATGCTCATCGTCACGCTTCAATGTGCCTTGCTTTTTTGCCGTGTTAGTTTGTCTAATTATAAAAATCAAATATTTGCTCAAGCATGCCGACCTCGTAAAAATGGCATGGAATTTTTTTGTAGTTTTCTTTTTTTTTTGAGGGAAATCGAAATGTGATTGGTTCAGGTTCTTTAAAAGAGAGCTCGGCTGATCGGACGGTGGTGATCGCCGCAATCCTTTGCGGCGCTATATTCCTCTTCATTTGCGGATTCTTCTTCTACTTATTCAAAAAGAAGCTGGAAAGAAAGAAGAAGAAGAAGAGGAAAGAGGCGGGACGGCATCGCCAACGTCAGCCGTATAGACAGCAGCGCCCAAAACAGCACAATGATTCTGAGTAAGATTGTTGAAAATACTCGTCTTCAATCAGAATATTTTAGGCTTTCATCACCAGCTACTAGTCGCTTCGTTCACCATGACGCTACGGGAATCCTGCCACCAATTCAATTACACCAATCTTATGCTTAGCTGTTATTTAAAAAATATTTTATAATATTTTTGTTTTCTAATATTATTTGGCAAGTGTCTTTCGTTTCAAAATCAAACAATTCCATATTTTTCTGTACATAAAACGATATTCCTTAGAAATCATTCATAGCAATGTATTGTCAAAATGCATACGAAATGAATTGAAAAGAATTGGCCGGGTAGAGGGTGAATGAATCAAGTTGGTTCTCGTTCTCTTCGTCGGTGTCGCATAGGCCGACCGATGGGAATATGCGTTCGCCCGAGCACGCCACCAATTTTCCACTAGCCACACTGGAAAAATGTGGTTGCAATCTTTGTTGAGCGATATATATTTATTTCATCTGCTTCCTCACAAACTCCACTTGACTCACCTAACACAGGGAACACAGGTTGACGCTATTCGCGTTTTTGAAATTGGCTCGAGCTCCTCATCGACACTTCCAATGTCGTAAGCGACGATTTCGCCGGACGAAGTACCGGAGAATAGCAATGAGCTAAAAAAAAAATAAAATCTCGAAATACTTATGGTCCATCGATGGGTGGGAGATAAAAATTTCGTTTTTGTTAGATTTTTGGCCGTTTCAGTTTATTTTCATACTAAACACGACGATAAGCCCCCTGGACAACAGAAGCCAATGAGATTGAAAAAGAATATCCGAAATTCTATCCTAAATATTGAACATTATTTTTCATTGCTTTATATTTTCCCCACGCACATTTTAAATTTAAGTAATCTTTATCTGAAAACATTCTCTTTTTAAAAACTTACGAATCAATATCGAAAATTGCCCTATGATTTGTGGTCATCTCGCGCTTCAAAATTTGGCACATCATGTTCATACGAAGATCGAAACAATGAATATCGCCCTAAAAGGATAGATAAATTCATGAAAATCATAATAAATTCAATAACCTTGCGCTCCGACGCGTAAAGCTTCATACCATCACTTGAATAGAGAACATGTGTGTAACTTTTCGTATTCGTTTCGATCGTTGAAATTGGGGACTTCCATTTGTCAGAGTAAACGGCAACTAAAACAAGTGGAAACGTTATGAAAAGCGAGTTTCCAAAAAATTTCAATTTCACTGTGAAAAAAGAATGCCTTCAAATCGTCTTACTTCTATCGCAACATCCGACTGCGGCAAATATATTGGGCATTGATGGATGAGCGCAAATCGACATCGCCCTACCGGTAAGCCCATTGTAAGCTTCAAAAAAATTCCTTTGGTAAATAAGAATAAGAAATTACATTTTTTATCATAATAGGGAAAATTGGAAACAGGCTTTCCGCCACGTTCCACATTCCACAGCTTGAAATCCTTTTTATATCCTCCTATAACGGTGTCTCCAACCATTCCAACGCACATCGCGGCTTCCACGGCATCCTAAAATGATATTTCGATGATTTGAAGGCAGTGCGAAAGCTTACCGCGTGGTCTCTACCGATATAGGCCCCAACTCGCTCACCGGTTTCAGCATCGAACGCGTGAATTGGGTGCTCTTTTGAGGTCACTAGGAACTTGTCATTGTTCATGAATTTAATATCGTAGACTAAACCGCCCATGTTGTGTTTCCAATGAATGTGTGGCTGGAAAGAGGTTTATCTTCTGCATACTATAGGAAATAAAAATTCTAACCTTATCATTTTCAAGCTTATATACTCTGACATATCTGTCTTGTGAGGCAACTGCTGCGTATTGCCCAGAAGGACCTAATAAGGAATATCGTACGTAATTATTATTTCTAGTGGCATTATAGCCAAATGATGCGTTGTAGTTTTGAAATGCCTGCTCGTCTCTGAAAATTGAGCATGTTTTGAATTTTTTATGGATTGTTTGAAACACTTCGATGATTTTGAATACTGGAGGCGTTGCTTTCTTGTAATCCGGGATTTTAATGGCAGAAATATTTTCATAGGATTCCTGAAGATTGAAATAATAAATTTATCATGGAATTTTGCGACTTTAAGCTCGGCTTGCTTCAAAGCTCTTCTCTCTTTTCTGTTCAAAGGCCTCGAACGTTTCACTTCTGGCTGATAATCGAGAGAATATGAAGTGGATTCTTCGGGCTCACGAATCTAAATAATTTTTATATAAAATAAAATATTTATTTTCCGCTACCCTTGACAAAACAGCTCCAAGACCCATCTTCACTGATTTTAGAGGTTTTGGGGTCTAAAAAAAGCAATTATGTATGAAAATAATCTTAGCTAACTAACTTCATTTTTTACTGTTTCATTTATTAGAAAATGAATTAAATTTTGAACCTCCTCCATCTTAATTTTACTGCTGAAATTAAATGTTTTAAAAATCCGGCCATTCAAAATTTAAATTTTTAAAAAACTGATTGGTGGCCAAGAAATTGCAAGTCCACGCAAAACTGCAGACATATTGAGTGCCACTGTCCGCAAACACGCGCCACATTCCCCCGCACTCGCCATTTTCCATATTTGGCCAGCCACATCCGCACACGTTGTACTATTTCGTATAGAATTGTCAATTTCAGGCTTGCGGGAAGCCTCAAATAGCGCAAAAAATCATGGCGACCGCCGTCGAGCTGGCCATCGAAAAAATCGATGAGTATAAATCGAAAATTGGAAGGTTTTCTTTTTTTTCATCCATTTTTTTGGGAATATGTATTATCAATAACGTTATTAATTGACAGAACACTTGGCACACCGATGCGCCTGCGCGATCTAATTCGGCAGGTGCGTGCAGCTCGCACGATGGCCGAAGAGCGGGCAGTTGTCGATAGGGAAAGTGCCAATATTCGGGAAAGTTTTCGCGATGACGATTCGCCGTGGAAGTGTAGGAATATCGCAAAACTTTTGTATATTCATATGCTCGGGTATCCAGCGCATTTTGGGCAGGTAATAATGGCTGGCGAAATTAAAAGAAATTGATATCGAAATTGTTTAAATCCTTGAAGCCTTTTATTTCCTAATCTACAGGAAATAAAAAAAGAAAAAATAATAATGTTAATTTCAACGAGGAAATAAAGAAAAAATATTTCTGCATTGAAATTTTGGCTTTTTTAAATTTAAAACAAATTGAAAAAGAAATGAATGGGTGACGTCACAATCACACAGAAAATTATATTTCTTATTTTATCTCTTCTTCTTCTTTATATGCTCGGTATAATGTGCAGTATTTGTTATAGATGGAATGTATGAAACTTGTTGCGCAACCACGTTTCACCGATAAGAGAATAGGATATCTTGGCGCGATGCTCTTGCTCGATGAGCGCTCTGAAGTCCATCTCCTTGTCACAAATTCGTTGAAAAAGTAGGGAAGAGACGCCTCCGCACGTTTTAAGATAATTTTTTTAGTGATTTGACATGCTCTACACAATTTGTGAGCGGATTAGCGTTGTGCACACTCGGATCGATTTGCTCGGCAGAAATGTGTCGAGATTTAGCGAATGAGGTTGAAAAAATAATCAAGCAAAATAATGCTTACCTAAAAAAGAAGGTAGGTTAGATTTAGCTATATTATATGACCCATTCAGTAAATGATCTAAAATATTATAAATCTTAATTATATTAAGTTACTATATAATATTGTCGATTTTTATTAATAAACTTTCGAAAGCATTATAAAATTTTAGAATAGATCTCAAAAGTTTCAAATTGCCTTAATTAATTTTAGGTAATCTTATATAATAGTTTTAAAAAAAAAGTATCTTAATAAATTAAATAAAACATTATTAAACTCTACAATTTTCTATAATATTTTAAAATTCTTAATAATTTAATGGAAAATTACATTAATATGTATTTTTTGAATATTGTCTTCGTAAAGCGTAAGACACTGCAGAATGAAATGCGTTAATTTAGAGTCTGGTTAAAGGCACATCCTGCATCCTTTTTCAGAGGATTTGGCCCAATTTTTGAACGCCGGTAATCGAATTAATTCATAAGATTTAAGGCTCTTCTTTGCGCATTCCGAATCGTTCGCAAAGTTCCTGAACTTATGGAAGTGTTCATACCATGCACACGTAATTTGATCGGAGAGAAGAATCATGGAGCTCTTATGGGCTCGACAACATTGATCACAGAGATGTGCGAAAGAAGTCCGGATGTTCTCAATCATTTCAAAAAGGTGCCCATATTTATCTAGAAAAAAACTGATTGAAAAATATTTTAAGCTTGTCCCGAATTTGGTGAGAATTTTGAAAAATTTGCTCATGAGCGGATATTCGCCGGAGCATGACGTCACCGGAATCTCGGATCCATTCCTTCAGGTTTATTCAAATTGTCCAAAACAATTTTTGGTGAGCCTGTTTTGTTTTAGGTGAAAATCTTGCGACTTTTGCGAGTTTTGGGCAAAGACGACGCGCGCGCCACCGAGGAGATGAACGATATTCTGGCGCAAGTCGCCACGAATACGGAGACGGCGAAAAATGTGGGAAACGCGATTCTGTACGAAACGGTGCTGACGATAATGGAAATCAAGAGCGAGAGTGGCCTCCGAATTCTTGCCATCAATATCCTTGGAAGATTTTTGCTCAACACTGACAAAAATATAAGATATGTTGCCTTGAATACACTCCTGAAAACGGTTCATGTCGATTATCAGGTAATATTGAAAATTTATTTCGAAAATGTTCAATTTCGTTTAGGCTGTCCAACGGCACCGCAGCGTTGTTGTGGACTGCCTCAAGGATCCCGATATTTCGATTAGAAAGTGAGTTTGAATGAAAATTTTGAGTGAAATTTGCGAAAATGAATGTTTCAGACGTGCAATGGAACTCTGTTTCGCTTTGATGAACAAGAAGAACATTGCAAATATGACGAAAGAGATATTGATATTTTTGGAGACGGCTGACGCCGAATTCAAATCGGAATGCGCCTCGAAAATGTACATCGCCACCGAGCGATACTCGCCGAATCATGAATGGCACCTCGACACGATGATAACGGTCTTGAAATTGGTATATCAAATATTTTCTCGTCGTCCTGTGAAATCATGATTTGTGCTTGTGTGTTTTTAGGCTGGAAAATATGTGCCCGACGAGGTGGTTTCGTGTATGATTCAATTGATTTCGGCGAATTCGCAACTCCAAAACTACGCCGTCGTCCAATTGTTTTATGCGGCGCAGAAGGACGCGATCAACGCGCAGCCGCTTCTTCAAGTCGCGTTTTGGACGATTGGAGAGTTTGGCGATTTGCTACTTCAGCCGGCGGATGCCGATTCGACAGCGGTTGGTTTAATTACGAGATTTCGAATCCTATTGTTTTTTTTTTTCAGATTTCGGAGAATGACGTCATCACGTTGTTTGAGAATGTTCTTCCTTCGACGTTGACCTCATTGATGACCAAATGCTATGCGGTTACAGCATTGGCGAAGCTTGCCACTAGGTAATAATAATTATTATTATGTCATTGCAATAATGGTAGACTATTCAAAATTTTTCGAGGCAGAAATTCAAATTTCAATTTAAATATTTTAATTTTTGTTTAAAAAGAAAACACTGTAAATCTCTGTGTGGTGCGATTTTAATTCTTCAAGTAGTTAAACATTATATAAATGGGCGTGGCATAGTATAATTAAGAATATGCATTCAGATTCACCACCACTGGCGATCGTATTGAAGCGCTTGTGCGAATTCACCAAGCCCACATTCATCTTGAACTTCAGCAGCGTTCCGTTGAATTTAATTCGATTTTGCAATTGGGAGAACTTAAGTATGATTTTATTCGAATCATATACATTTTTATACAATAATTTTAAAGATATGGACTTCTTGAACGAATGCCGATCATTACTCACAACTCGCTCAACGCCGCTGCATCGTCGATGATTGATGGCGACGCAATGGCAGATGGTATTTTTTAATCATAAATTTGAATTCGATTTTTTTTTCGTAAATTTCAGAGCCAGTTGTTGGAGCTCCCGTTGAAGAATCGTCGAATGTTGATTCGCTTCTCGGCGATTTGGCTGGATTGTCTATGGGAGGTCCACCGACAAATGATGGACTTATTGGTGTCGATTCGTCGCATAATGGGGGAATGCTCGATATTCTAGGAGGTCTCGAAGCAGCCGCGCCGCCTGCCGCTCCGGCTCCAGCTGCAGACCCCTTCGATCTTTTTGGAACATCAAATCCAGTTGTGCAAGAGTAAGAAAAAAATTGATTCGAAGAAAGAGCAAATTATTTTTCTTTGTTTTAGCACCAATGCCTTCCGCCCTGTCATTGTGATTAACTCGAAGGGTATTGAAGTGCAGGTAGAGGTGGTTGAGAGTTGGGTCAACGAGAAGGCTCGCCTCAAAATGACGGTGTTCAATTACACGCCGGCGACAATTGTGAACTTCAACTTCCTCGCCGCTGTCACCAAAGCGTTTGAGATTCAGATTGAGCCGTGCTCAAACCCGAATGTGCCTCCAGACGGCACGAGCACGCAATTTATGACGATTACGCGAAAAGTGCCTGGAGCTGTGGTGGGTGGCATTTTTTTATACGCTGGTTTTGTCCGAATTTGATTGTCTGGTCCCCTTAAGAGTTGATTGAGAAATCGGTCCCTTAGTTCGCTGCGCTTTATCCTTGTTCTTTATGAATGTAATTTATCACAAGTAAATCGACGCGTAGGAAGTGAGCATATGGCAGATGTGATGTCGGTGTCGGAATGAAGCTCAAAGAATTGTTGAAAATGAGAAACGCATGGGAACGATGGTGAGGGGCGCCAGAAAAAAGGACGATGAACTCCGAACTGGCATCATTTATCACAACTCGGAAGTTGTTTGTTGAGTTATTTACACAGCACAAACATAAAAGCACAAATCACACATGATAAAGTATAGTCGAAATGATATGGGGGGTCTCGGACGGAACATTGTTAAATTTACGGGCACATACGAATCGTTCCTATATGTGTCGAATTTTATCCGAGATAAATTTTGATAAAAAAATTTGTCTACTATTTCGAAATTGCAAACGAAACAACAAGTATACTCGTGGCTATAATTTGTTTAAGATGTTTGATTACGAATGCCCACTATTCAAAATCGAAATTTGATTTGCCGCGCGAAAAAACGTGAAAATGGTCCGCAAATTTTTTTTTGCGATGATAATAGATTATTGAAAATTTTAGGCAATTAAATTTTGAATAATAATAATGCATTTTTGTGTTTTCAGGCGAGAATGCGAACAAAAATTTCCTACATTGTTAACGGAAACGAGAACACCGCGAGCGGCGAGGTCAACGAATTCCCGGGACTCGTTTAACCATATTTGGAGGTTTTGTTTCTACACAAAATTATTGTATTTTTTGTCGTTCATCTTATGTTTTTTTCCATTTTAAATTGAGCTATTTAATTATTATCGATTGTGAATACGAAATGTGATAACGTTTTATACTGAAAATATAATGCTTCATTCAGATTCCCTAATTTATTCGCTTCTTTCCCATCGCTCTACGTTTTCTTTTTGTGTGACCCTTCATCAAAATGTACCCAATTCGCTACCGCAATCAATCAATCAAAATATTAACGATTATGTTAGTTAAATGGTCTTAATAAGAATTTTTATTTCAAATTTTATCGATTTTTGATGATTGATTTGGTGTATTTTCCATAGATTTACCATTTTTTGGTCGTTCGGTTATTTATTTTTCGAGAAAATGAGCACTATTTTATTTATTTTTTTTTTGTAGCTTCCGTTTCGGTTTATCGCGGCTCTCACAATTTGCTGGCAGAATTGCTTGGTAAGAGTTTTGTTTTCCCCACAGCGTGAAATGTGTTGAAGACGCGCGAGACCCATTTGAGCCGAAAATTTGGCTCGTAGAGTCACCATTGGCAACAATTCGGGAATTATTCAACAATTGACCCGAATCGAATTTTTTTTTCGCTGTCGGCAACAGAAACCCGATAAGCGTATTTTTTTCTCCAATGTCAATATTGGTTTTTTTTACTGGTTCGCTTTTGTGCTCAATTTATCAAAAATCATTACAAAAAGAAATTTAAAAAATTATTGGCTAAATACTTGTCAATGCGTCTCGAGGCAGCGAGATTGCGTACATTGCATAATACCGTACGCGCATTGAATATTCAATCAACGAAAAATTGAAATCTACATTAATTTCGTGAATTTGATGGTCCCGTCTCCCTTCAGTCGTTTGACGCCCACAATCAAAGTGTTCTCGTTCTCGTTTTTTTTTTGGCGAACATCTTTCTCTTTTTGATAATTTTGTTTTTCCCCACATCGGCGTCATTTTTGTACAGTGCAATGGTGGGAGTTTGAGAATTGTTTCGTTTTTGTTTCAATCAATTTTCGCTAAATTTGTCTATTTTCTGCCCCGCATCGAAAATTGCCGGAAATTGAAGATTTTGAAGATTCGTTTCCGATGACCAAATTGATCGATATTTTTTGCTCCCCTTTTCCGTGAGAAAATCGAATAATTTTAATAAACGAAATTCGATTAGAACATTTTTTGCTAAGATTGTAGTTTATTGTGTCACTGTACACAGAAAAGTCAAATATAGCGAGGTCATTTGCATAATTGAACTATGACGTCAGCGATTTGCCGAGACTTATGTTTTTTTCCAACAAAAAAAATGAATTTTTAAATAAATGTGATAGATAACTTTGAAATATATACGAAATTACAAGATTCAAGATTAATTTTCATGAGAAATTTGTTTGGTTTTGATTCCTTCCTTGGTTTTCGATGAGAATTTTTTAAAATTTCGATATTTGATACAAGTCGTCGATTTTTTGGATATAATGAACTAATTAAATGGAGAATTGCTTTGAAAATTATGCAGGTCAGAGGATTTTTTTTATTTTTTATTTGTGCTGATTTTTAAAATTTTAAAAATTAACCGAGTGTTTTCTCCAAAAAAAATTAGTTCGTATTGCTAATACATTTTCTAGTTTACATGAAACCACTAAAACAGTAAATTAAAAGCGCAATTGATTAACTTACCTATTTTCGCGTCAAGAGCCAAAATATTGTATCGTCGCCGTCGTGGGACTTTAAAACTTAAAAAAAAGGCTACAAGTGAAAAAAAAAACTTGGGAATGGTTTTGATGCACGGTATTGCGCCTTTAAACTATTCTCATGATGCTCGTAAACCTACAAGACCTCTTTCATTGTTCTATTTTGACATTTAGCCACCAATTTTCCGTCTCCGCGATAGAATTCTTCACTAATCGAGCGAATCACTCCTTAAAATGGAAATTTCTCGAACGGGTAGTTGATTTTTTGATATTTACCTACATGTTCAAACGGTAAAGTTCATTGGTCTATGGTAGGATGTTGACAAAACGAAGACGACTAATATCCATGTAGTTTGTGACTAGAGGCGAGTCGTTGTTTGCATTCGTTCGTGTCAATCGAAAAACGCACCTATTTGCTCACTTTGTACTTGTTAAATGGATGATTTTTGAATTCGACGCGCTCTTTTCTTGTGAGAGACCAATTTTCGCGAATCGTTATCATTTCGCTGATTTGTCATGGTTTTTTCCACTAAACCACCTCCTCCCCCCTCACTCGCGCTTTATCGTTATCGTATAATTAGCATAGTTAGCTGATAAAAAAATTTGCACAAAATTGTCAGGTTGTTGCCGGTTAATTTCTTTTTTTCTCTCAATTCGCAATGTTGGCGTGTCGAAAGGTGAGTTTTTGAATTGATGATTGATAGCACCAAATGGATGCAATTGATGTATTGGAAATATTGCAGAGCTCGCGAAGATCGAAGGGATCGCGCAAGATGGCGAGAAGAGCGGTCTCGCCGGCCTACGGGTGAGTAATCCAATTCGTTTGCGTTTCCCTCCATATTTGGAAATGGTGACGCATACCATCTTATGTTAAATGTCGTGATTAAACCTATTCAAAACCTTTTTTTCTTTCATATTTCCTCTAAATATATATTTCTTTGTGAAATGTTTCCTGAAATTGTGGCTACTGGGTATGTTTTGAAAGTTGTTTTTGCTTTTATGGAGGCTTTCTTTAAATTCGATTTAAAAAATCTAAATATTTAAGGCATTTTAAATTTAAAAATTTCATTCGATTAAAATTTTTTGAAAACGATTCATTTATTCGATTTTGATTGAAATCGATTGATTTAACTGAGTTTGCCGAGAGAATGTACGAAAATGGAATTTAGGTTTAAGAAATTTTGATTAAAAATCGCGGAAGCTTGGATGGGAATTTAATTTAGATTTCAAAAAATAAAGAAGTTCATTTTGAAATGGGATTTATTGTGTCGTTGTGTGAACAGATCATCATCGGGGAAAACCCGGCTAGCGGAATTAGTCGCGGCGAGATTCAACGCAAAAAATTCGTGCGCTTTTCATTACCGTAACCAAAAGCTCTTCCGACTCAATGATTCTCAAAAATGTTTTTCCCATTGGTATGAAGTTTGACAATCTGCTCGAACTTGATCGATATCTTATTCTTCTCATCCAGTTTGCCATATTGATCTTCTCGGTCCGTTTGGTTTCGCCTTCACGTTCTTGTCAATGAACGTAGCTTTCGTTCAATTCGTTCTGAAAGAAAACATATATCAGTTCTGTGAAAAAATTGAATTATATATATATATATATATATATATATATATTCATATTTATAACACAAAATTGTGTGATAAAATTTGTGAATTTTCCGTTAATCATACCGCGAAAATTTGAGAAAAAAGATCTATTAGCGAATTTTCGTGAAAAAATACTGTTTAAAGAATTATTAGAAAAAATGACACTGTTCATGAAACCGCGCGCACGATTTTTGAATATTATAAAGTGAAAATGAGAAATTGACAATAAAATCTCAAAAAAAAATGTCACAAGAGAAATTCTGATGCATTATTTTAAACTAATCGTAAAGTCCATCCTCAAATTAACAAGATTCTAATCAAAAACACTTTTTTGTTGGCATTTCTCTGAATACTTCTTGCGACTTGCTATGTCGCAAAGAAGCCGCCCGGTTGAGGAAGTGAATTCTCGACCTGCGTGGGACAGTGTGTCGATTAGCCTGACTCGATCCCATTGAATGATGACCGAGTCAGTTGATCTCCTTCGCCACGTAGAGGCTCGACACATGAAGGAGAGGCTCACCAGCATCAGGCCGAACACCTGATGTGGGTCATCGCCGATCCCACCTTGGGGATCACCCAAGGACATCCCACAACTATCATCCGAGGATAATAGAAGTAGAAGTGGTTGGGCAAGCCACGTCTGGCTGGGCCCCGGGTCTACTGGTGATATGGTAATGTGGTTTTTGTGTTCATAGCATAGCAGCTTACTACAAAGTAGTAGCAAGCCACTACAAAGTAGCAAGCTACTATGCTAAGAAGCACGGTCCATGTGCACCCGAAAGGCTGGACATATTGACATAGCTGGCCAATCCACGTCAATATAGGTCTGGGTTAGATGACATCCTGACTAGTATGGAGGACACCCGGTGAAGCAATTGCAAAGCAATGCCAGGCCAATCACCCGAGTTTAGGATACAGCGGATAAGCCGCCATCCAGCCAACGCCTCGGCACTACGGGGGATCAGGAAGCCTTGGCGTTTGGGGGAATGGCCGACTACGGCCCTAATATAGCCGACTACGGCAGATTAAAAAGAAGAGGGGTCCTTAGTATGGCTAATGCTTAATAGTGGGGGGAGGGGGAAAATTAGTTGTGGTGGTGAATCGATTCACCGGCAAGATCCTTCCATCGGCGGCGGCAGCGACGATACCTAAATATCTAAACACCTGAAAACTTGAAGTAAAAAAATAATACAAAACGGAAGGGGGAAGCCAATCATTAGTGGAATGACTGGCATGGCCGTAAGTGGTACGACTTTCCCCCCAAAAAAAAGAAGCGGTGGTTGGTCCCAAACGGTAGGACCGACAGAGAGAGAGAGAGAGAATCCCAAGTGGTGGGATATAGAGGAGGAAGCCGCAAGTGGTACGGCAGAGAGAGAGAGAATCAGTCGACTGATAGAGAGAAGGGACAGTCGCAAGTGGTACGACTGGTGGCAGGAAGAGAGAAGGGGAAGCCGGCTTTCCCCGAAAAAGAAGAAAAGATGGTCCCAAACGGTAGGACCGGGAGGAAGAGGGGGAGGCCGTAAGTGGTACGACCAGTAATGGTGAATAAAAATAATTAAAAAAAATAATAAGTAATAAAAAACTTGGACCTGACCAAAAATTACCAAATATCCGACGATTTTGCTCCGTCCTCGTCGCTTCTTCGAGACGTCGCCTTCGATTAGATCCATTCGATTCAAGATGCCTGAAATGATCCGAGTTATTCTGATAGACTGTGCCTCCTTCTTTACCTTTTGAATCCGCTTCCTCTTTCGCCATTCCCCATTCTTGCTCCTCTTCACGTGCTATGTCTACTCATGCAATGTGGGTTTACCATCAGCCTGGACGCGACACTGCAGTAGGGTTAGTACTGGCTAACGGAGTCGCACCAGTCGAGAATCCCCGACACTTTCAACATAGCACATCGGAAGAGCTCGAATGAGCAACGACTGTGGCTCTCATCGGATCTGCAATAAGAGAAATTGAGAAGAAGGATTGCGATGAATGTGACATACCGTGTGGATCCTTGGCCATGACGAGCCCGCCAGGATATGCGAGGCACGCGGAGCCCGCAGGTTATGCGGGGGCACGTGGGGCTCGCACATTATGCGGGGGCACGTGGAGCCCACAGGTTATGTGGGACACGCGGAGCCCGCAAGATAGGCGGGCTTCCCGCAACTCGAGGAGCTGAGAGAACTGACGGGATTGCGAATCCGCCGGCCTTTTATAGTGCCACTGGGGGTCGGTGCACAACGTGCAATAGAGCGCGTTTGTCGAAGCGAACTGCAAATTGACGCCAACTCACCGCCGATTCTCTCATGTTCACACACTTTTTCCTATCAGACGCGCTTTCCCGATCGACCCTGTCTTGCGGTAGCGCGCACTTCCCTCATGAAACAAACAGTTGGAAGTGAGTTGAATTAAATTCTTCGGAATAAATGATTCCTGAGATATGAGCAGATTTTTAAAGAAGAAATATGTTGAGTTTTTAGTCGGTGCATCGAGAATGTGCTGTCTAATTATTCTGTACTTCATACTTGCAGCATGAGTTTCAGAATTTCCTATTATCCTAAACCCGTGAAAAAAATCGAGAAAATTATTTTAAACTGTGCCGAGAGTTGTGAATGATTCAAATTATCGCCTTGAGACCTGTTCATTCCGTTTTTTCAACTTTTAAAAGAAGCGGAATTCCTTTATCACCATGTTTCGAACATGATATGAACGAATATGCCCTAATTTGACAGAACACTGAACACTTGTCTTATCAGTGTTAAAAAACGCGCCGTAATTGTCAACAATATTTATCTGTACAATAGTAATCAATCATTTTTGGCGACAAACATTCTATCGGCGTATTTTTTTCTACTCAATTTTTTTCGCGGTTTTGCAGAAGCGACGCAGAATGTCTCGGCGAATCGCCGGCGTGGATGTCGCAGGAAATGTCGGGCATCGGTTGGAAAGCGCGCGGCGATCGGAAGCCTATTGAGAAACGGGTGCCATTCAATCGGCCCACACCGAAACAGGTTGGTCCTTCAAGAAGAATGGTGGGGGGGGGGTTGCGAAATTATTCGTTGGCAAACCTCTAACACCGTTTCACGAATGAAAAAAATGGCACGGATTTCGTTCGAATTCAGTTTTGGGTAAATTGACGCGCTGTTCTAATCGTCTCGAAACCCTTGAGATGAAGGAAATGCATTTTAAAAGTTTATTTCAGTCGTTTGATTTGAAAAAATAATTTTCAAAAAGATTTGCGATGATCCTGACACAAAATATGTCGTTGTTTTAAGGTGTACGAGGCTTTGCCATTTGTCCGCAGATACTTTCTGTATTGGATGAAATACACGTTCGACAAGGAGAAGCTGTTCATCAATACATTCCAGCCGCTCAAACATAAACCTTATTACGGTTTAAAAAAAAATTATAAGCGAGCGTCTCAATTACAATCATTCGTATTTTAGGAGTGCCTTGCGGCGGAATCGGTTGCGGAGCCATCGGTCGAGATTTTCGAGGCGGATTCTGCAAGTTCAGCTTAAGGCCGGGACTCGTCGAGCACAAAGTCGATATCGTTGCGGTAGGTACATACATTTGCAATTCGACTTTTGGGACCACCGACGAAAAAAAAAACATATGCGCTTTTTTTTAATAGTCGCTAGGGACCAACGAATTCGTCGGGGCAGAACGTCTTGTTTGCTCTTGTGTTTGTTGAATTGAGAGAAACGACTGGATACCGAAACGTATTCAAGGAATTTACAGGCGGACCAATTCATTTTATCGGTTCGCGAACACAACAAGTGCATCTACCAAAAAGTGCTGACAGCCGCCGACGTGTGCCCGCCGTCTGGCGCGCTTTCGGCGTGGGATTTTAGTTTTCCGGCGAAAAACGTCTACTACAGGTTAGATAGAGTTTATGTATTTCTCAAAAGAAAAAACAATCCATTAAATGGCGAAAATTAAAGCATTAAACATGGAACAAATGGGATGAAATTTAAAAGAAATGTGTTAAACAATAATTATCAATAATTAAAAATAATGAATGACTTGTTAGCGAGAAGTGGGTGAAATCATCTTTGGAAGCTACAAATTTAGCGTGCGCGCCATTCGTTGTGCACAAGTCGATAATACGGTCTGAGTATTAGAATAGCATAGTAATCGAAATCATCGGCGTGATCCTCGTCGCTGTCTTTGTCGTCGCTGTCGGTGACGACGGCTGCATTAAACGCGCTGAGCTGCTTCTGCTCGAGAGCGCGCATCTCGTAGAACATGTCCATCGTTCGAAGATCGTCGCCGTCGTCCATGAACATTGAGTTGGTGCGATTAATTTGACGTGTCGCCTTATTAATTTCCACTTGCGGGATATCCATTTCGAATGGGATGCCAAATAGTAGATCAGCTGCAAGAGGTTTACGAATTATTTTTGAAATCGCTTAAAATTTGATGGACGACTACATGTTGAATTGATGGCGCAATTGTAATGCTCCAATTCGATTGGCGCGTTTTTATCGGACGGTCGGAATCGTGACGCGCGTTGCACAATCTGCAATTTTGATTTTTGGGCGGTTTGATTGATTCTCAAATCATACCACTTTAATCAGATCCAACGCGAGATAATCGATTTGATAGATGAGGTTGGTCTCGAGCGGCGGCAAGCCGAGCAACTCGTGAAATCGAACCGCGCTCATATCGTCGCAATAACCGTCAGGTTGGCAAAAGCTTAAGAAGCGGCCTTCGGCGGCGCAGCTGGTTTCGATTTGCCTCAATCTGGCGTCGGTCTAAACCAAAACGAATGAGCAGCGGTTTTTTGTTGGTGCTGATGATGTTGGCATTATGAAAACCAAACCTTATTGATGATGACTTTCTGGAGATCTGGATAGATTCGCCAAATGCGGCCGAACATCTCGAGCATCGGAAGATTTCTGAAAATGAGGGAATAAAGAATTGAAGGAAGATCAATTTTGCCTTCTCCGTTCGCTCTCATCTCTATCCCTATCCGTGTAGCTCTGAAATTAAAAAGTTGAGAATTTCGATGCTTTGTATTTTTTGTTTTCATGAGACGCATACTTTTAAATAATTCACATAGTGATTGAAGCGAGAATTGTTTTGTCGAAGAAGGGCCAGAAACTCGAGACAAGTAACGCTACTGAAAAAAAAAACATTGGTCGCCAATCAAAGATGGTCCGTTCTTACGCTCTTTTGGCAGCCACACTCGCCTTGTACATTTTATTCAAATATGCGACGAGATTGGCGCATATCGTCTTCAGCACAAGATTTACGCATTCGATGTTGGGAGTTGCGCTATCGCCGGCTCTCGTCATCAATTTTGAGGCAACAAACGCGAATCGAGACGAGTCGACGGTGTCGGGAACGTCTAGAAGGAAAGTAATGAAGAAGACCAAAACCAAATATGTGATGTACCCCAATTTTGAACAACCGGCTCGTCATATAAATCGGCGCCTTTGATGAGTGGCCAATCGACATGATTCGCGTCGATATTGTTGATAGTGTGAAGATTGCCGAAATTGCTCATTGCCGTTGGAAAATCGATGAATCGCATTGCGGGTCTATAACGTTATTTTTTTTATGAAAGAGGCGCTCGACAACGGCGGTTGGTATTTTAGATTGATTACCTGGAGAATCGAAGTCGTTTCGGTGCAATTAAATCGTCGTGTTCAGCGCCGATTTGTTGATGTGCACGCTTGCGGCTCATCTGAATCAAGAATGTGTGATGACGACTACCGTAATCAAAAAGAAGCGCTAGCGAGAATTGGGTGGTGTTTTTTTTTCTAAAAAAAATGAAAATAATGTGTGCGTCGTCGTCGTCGTGGTGGTCGTCGTGAAGGAAGCGCGCTCGCGCGATCGTCGTCTTCGTTTTCTTGATGGGTGGTCTTGTCGCCCGTCTGCGCCCTCCGCGCGCGATCACGAACGCGAGTCGAGGGGCGTTTGGGTTGTATGTATGTGTGTGTCTGGGGGGGGGGGTCTGTTGGCGACGACGGCAACCGCGCTTTGTGCCACTCGATTCGAGCGAATGTGTTGAGCGCTTTTCCCCTCGTCGCCGCCGTGTTGTTCGCATGCGTGTGAGCGGCCCGCTTGAATGTCTGCAGGACGTCCGTACCACACACGGCAATGGTGGACGCTCGTCCGAGAAAACAATACGTTTTTTGTTGTTGTTGTAGCTGTTTTTTTTTGCGCTTCTGCGTTCCATTCCACTTTTTCTTCGAGTAGCAATTTTTTTGGAATCCGAAATAATTGTGTAAAATGCCGAACTCTTCTAACCAAAAAAAAAACCTATCCTCCCAGCCTGAAAAGATTGAATAATTGGGTTAGACGAACAGAAAACCTCAATTATTTGCCCTTAATTGGCTGAAACAATGGATTAAAAAGAAATTCGATGGGGAAAAAAAAAGAAATGTCCTGTGAATCGGAAGAGACTCTAACAAGTAAGTAGTACGGTCACAGTTTTCTTCGATATGGGGGAGGGAGCAAGAAAAAACTAATTGGCCGTGTCTCTTTTTTTAATACGTGGTATATGCTGCTTTTTTCGTTGAATTGCTTGATGTCGTACACGGGGGCATGTTTACGCGCTGGGGGGTGGGTTTTCTCGCATAAATCCAAATACTAGTATTATTGTTGTTTTTCGCGATTTACGCGTGGTAACAACAACCGCCAACGATGATAAAACGAATTGAATCAAAATGTGGACCCAGTAGATTTTTTTTCATCGTCGTCTTCTTCTTATCAATTCCGTGTTTGGGCTTTCTTCGGTGGGCGGAACGAAACGCAATTCGAAATCGTTGAAACCAATTTATGGACTGATGATGATATCGAACAAATAAGATTAGATCTATCTTGGAATTATCAACACATTTCGCTGAGCGATCGATCTTTTTTTGGGTTGCTGAGTATCGTTTTCTGCAACAAAAAAAACGAAACATCTCAAGATTGATGAGAATTTTTTTTCGTCACCAGTTGTTATCGGTGAACAAAATCTGCATGCAGAATATTATATTGGACATCAACAAGTTCTCTCGAAATGTTGCTGCATTTATTGACGAGTCTGAAAATGTTGAATATCGGCGTCTGAAAACAAAACTAAAATTTTTACGGGAATTCTCGCTTTATCACCCTGAGTGTACGGTAAGTACTCGGTGTATACACACATGCCGAAATTGACGCGCAACTACTGAGAGTATTTTGCTTTGCTGTTTTTGAGGATTATGTTTGTTGTTTTGATCATAATGTTTTTTTTTCTTGGGTTGATCGCTCAGAGCGTATATATCTATGCTTATGATTAATTCGCAATTGTGCATTGTTTTGTTTGCCACTTGTTTAATCATTCAGATAAATAGTAGTTAGCAGTTCTTTTTGTCATACGATACCCAAAGCAGTTTTTCTATTCAATTTTTCTAAAGTCTATGACAACCTTTCACTCTTTTTAAAAAAAAGTATTTTTTAGTTGTTTTACAGCTATATAAGCGTTTTAATGGATTTTAAACCCGCGGGGTCACATCGAATTTTATTTGACGCAGACATAATAAGGCTGAATTTATTTAAAATGAGAAAAGAAATTTTGAAATTTTAAATTGGTTTTTGTTTCGGAACGGTGAACTGGGAAAACGGGAAAACTGAAAAAATCGAAAGGTTAGGTTTAAAAAAACCGTTTTCTTCGTTTTTTGTTCGTATCATTTGAATTGGCGCCGTTGGTCATGTATGGAAAATCTTCTAGTGACTCGATGAATGTGAAAGAGCATAATTTTTAATTAATTTTATGTTTTGTGTCAAATGACAAAGAATACGCTCATTTTATATTACGACACCAATTAAATTTTTAGCGCGCGAATTTCAAAATTTTCAAATTCACTTTAAACTTCTTCAAAGTATTCAAAACAATTTCTAATTTTAATCAACGGACATATTATAGGGGCCTCTATCCGCGCTCATGGACGACCTACCGTATTCCGGAACTCGGACTCACCGTGACAATTCGACAAGTGTCGCCGATCATTCCGCATGACTATGAGGACTCGTCGCTTCCCGTGTGCGTGTTCAGCGTCGAAGTCGAGAACGCGTCGCCTGATCGAGCGTACACAGTGTCGGTGGCGTTCACATTCCGCAACGGCACCGGCAATCGGCGGTGGGATCGCGAGTCCGAGTGCAGCGCCGCGAAATACCTTGCCGCCGGGCATGACGACAAAGCAAAAGTCAATGGAATCGCGTTGTTCCATTCGGTATCAGGAATGAGGTGTATCTATGGTCTCGCGACGACATTGGTAAGCTCTCTTTTTCTCTATCTCGAATTAAAAAAATTTTTTTTCAAGCAAAGAGACGTTGAAACATCGATATGTCAACGATTTGATCCGTCAAAATCGGGCAGAGCGTTCTGGACGACACTTGAGCAGACGGGAAATGTTCCGCATTACGTAATTTTGCCCGTCATTTTCCAGTTTTCGCCTATTTTTTTTCTTCAGGATAGCGAATGTTGTCAAAACTCAAGGGAGATGGCGGTTGGCGTTTGTAATAAATTCGAATTGGCGCCTGGAAAGCGAAAAACGGTCGATTATGCGCTCAGTTGGGACATGCCGAAGGTCAATTTTGGATCGCTGCAAAGAAGCTATCAAAGGTATGTTTTAGTGCTGGCGACGAAAATTGTAGAAATCGATATGAATTTTTTTTCGTCTAGAAGGTACACGAAATTCTTCCGAAGTGTCGACGCCGCCGACGCGCTCTGCGTCCGCGCGCTTCGTCGATTTGCGATTTGGGAACAGAAAATCGACGAATGGCAATCGCCGATAATCGGCCATCCGAAGTTGCCGGATTGGTACAAAGCGGCGCTGTTCAATGAGTTGTACTTCATCACCGACGGCGGAACGGTTTGGTTTGAGTTTGACGATAGTTGGTCACAACGCGAGACTCACCTCAGCGAGTATACGAAGAAGCTGATGAAGGCGACGGGGCGATTCGGCTATTTGGAATGTGGGTGGCCGACGCGAAAAAATGTTGATTGAAAAATTGGTGTTTTTTAGCTTGGGAATATCGAATGGTGAACACGTATGATGTGCATTTTTATGCGTCCTACGCACTGGCCGAATTGTGGCCGAATTTGGAATTGGCGGTTCAAGCGGAATTTAGTGAGTTTTATCTGATTAAAAAATCTTTACGATAAAAATATTTTTCAATTTCTCAAATTTCCTTTTTTTTCTAGAATAATTAATTTCAGCTGACCAAGTCTATCATTCGATTGAAAAGCCTATTCGATTCCATATGGAAGGGGATGTGGCGAACCTGAAGACGGCTTCGAGGGTCCCGCACGATCTGGGCAATCCGGCGGACGAGCCGTGGCTTGCCACCAACGCCTATGTGATGCATGATACGGGAAAATGGAAAGATTTGAATATGAAATATGTTTTGACATCGTGGAGAGATTATATTGTGTTGTCCAATGAGCACGACGATTTTTTGAACCACACCTGGCCGGTGATTAAGGTAGAGAAAAATAAATAGTGGAAACGCAAGATGAACATTGCAGATGATCATGACGGAAGCTCTTGAAAATTGGGACCAAGACAAAGACGGAATGATTGAGAATTTCGGCAAAGCCGATCAAACGTATGATGCTTGGCAAATGGAAGGTGTCAGCGCCTATTGTGGCTCATTATGGTTGGCTTCACTTCGGGTGGCCGTCGAAATGGCGAAAATTGTTGGCGACGACAACACGAGAGTGATGCTCGCCGAGACCATGGAGAAAGCCAAACTAGTGTTCGTTGAAAAATTGTGGACTGGAACGTATTTCAGATTCTGTGAGCGATCGAGAAGGTTGGGGCGTGAAAATGTTTGGGTTGTTAAAATCAACAATAATTTTCAGTCGTGAAACTGTGATGGCTGATCAATTGTGCGGCTATTGGTTCTTGCAATCGGTGTCGCCCGACATGGCCAATGATGTAAGCATGCACAACAGAAACAAATTGAGACATATGTATTGACTGTTGGGTGCTTTCAGATAATTGCCCATGAGATGGTCCAAACTGCAATTAATACGATCTACGATCTCAATGTATGCAGTTTTGCGAAAGGAAAAATGGGAGCCGTTAACGGAATGAAGCCGAACGGAATCGTCGACCGTGAGTACATTCAAGCGGATGAAGTTTGGACTGGTGTTACCTATGCGGTGGCTTCTTTAATGATTCAACAAGGTGAAATTGATAAGGCGTTCCATACCGCTTCTGGATGCTATCTGACGTGCTTCGAGCGAGCGGGACTTCAGTATCAGACGCCTGAAGCTATTTACGAGAGGAAGTAGGCTATTGTTTTGTGTCGCCAATCTAATTGAAGCTTCTCATAGGTATTATCGAGCTATTGGGTATATGAGGCCACTGGCAATTTGGGCGATGCAATGGTCGCTGAAACGACATTGCGGATTGAATACGAATGACGAAAAATTGCCTCAAATGAATGGCGAGGCGAGTTTGAAAGGTTCGCCGCGAGACCGCATTTTGGTAACAATCGAAATATTGCAGGTGACAGCGCGACAAGTGAGGATAGCTCAAGTCTTGGGTATGTCAGCGATTTTCGAGACGACGAACGACTAGTTGTTCCCAAAGTGGTCCGAACCCCAGCCTAATTGTTTGCCCCGTGTGAATATTGTACAAAAAAACTTGTCATTTTAGCCAAATCACTCGGTTTTTCTTTATTTCTATTCGAATAGACTTGCTAATTTTTTCGCTGTGCTTTTTCACTTTTTGGAATTGTAGTCACTTGTTTTTTCACGCAACTCCTTTTAATATTCTTCATAGATTATTGTTTTACCATTTCTTTTTTATTTGACTTACGGCTTATTGTTACTCAACGGCAGCGTCATAGGTGCAATATTTGGAATGCATTTAAATAAACCGTTTCACTTGAGCTGATTTTTAAGAATTTTTAGGGTTTTGAGCCTATAAAACGTACCAAATTTGGAATAAGTGATATTTAGTTCGTGTGCTTGCGGTGAATATTGTGAAAAATGTTTGGATTCCTAAAAATTTTAAAATTTTCTGATTTTCTTTGTATGCAAAAAAAAGAACATTGAGTTTCCACGAGGTTTTTCCTAATTTCCAATCTAAAAAAAATGGAAGAAGAACTTTATGAAGGAATTTGCGCATAATTTAGTTTTGTGGTGCAATTGTGTCGTCATTAATGAGCAACAACTCATAAATTATTTTCTTCTCCATTGAAACAAGAAGATGTTGTATGAGAAGCACTTCTGACCTTCGTGGAGTGGTGTCATGAGATATTGTGGGATGTTCTCGAGAGTTTACTGGAAATTCTTGAAAATGTGACGCTCCTTTTTTGCAAAGGAAAATACTGAAATATTAAAACCTCTTGAGTTGCTTACGATTTTCGGAAAAATAAAATGAGACAACTAATTTTTTTTTATTTTGCGTAAATTATGGCATGTGTGTAAACTGCATCACGCAAACTTGCACAGTAATAAATATTTTTGCAAATTTTCAAAATAAAGTCAGCTTTTTTGTTTTATTGTCAGTGTGATACAAAGACTAGCATTTATTTATATTTTAGATGATTCGCTCAGCTCGCCAGGCACTGTTTGCATCATTCCGTCTTCATAGTTCGTGCTGCGGACATGAATTGACAGCAGCTGAGCAAAAAATGAAAGAAATGCTCGAAAAGGGAATCGAGGGGTGCACAAAAGTCGAAGTACACGACATTTCGAGTATGATTTGGAATTTTTTCTTCGAATAATTGCAATCCGCTTTTTTTGGTATTCAGATGGATGCGGTTCAATGTATGACGTTGTTGTCGAGGCCACGAGCTTCAAGGGAAAAGCCAAAGTCGCTCAACACAAAATTGTGACAGGTTGTTGTCGGTCGAATTTTTACCGAAATTCTTGAACATATTAGCTTTCGTGATAGCGTGTCAGGTCTCAATTATTCGAACGAAATGCATTATCCTTACCAAAACCTTTCATGGATACTCATTTTTATGTTTTTAATCCTCCCAAAGCAAAAAATCCAATAATCTGCATAGAAAATCCGCCCATGAGCATTGCGAGCAGCAAGTTCTTTTTATGCAAATTGGCGCATCGCCAGGACTCCGCCCATTCATGCATTCAGCCAAAGAACATTCATGCTCCTTTTTACGTTTTTCTTCATGTTTCACTGCGTAAACCAATTTAGGCCAGCTGTTTGAGGGCGGTCACAAGATTTTATTCGAGTTTTTTATCACAAAATTTCCTGTTTTGCAGGCATTCTTCGAGAGCAAATCAAGGATATGCACGGGCTGACCATCAAAACAAAAGCCGCATCATAATACGCTTTTTTGGTTACTCTTTTCATAGGAATCTTTTATTTCTGATAAACTAGTGGAGTATATACAGTAAGAATTTTGAAAGGCAATTTAAATATTTGAGAGACAACGGTCTCGCTGTGAAATTACGGTATCCCAATTTTGAAGGTATTCCTAATAAAAAAATGTAGCGGTTTGAATGAATAACGAATTCGTTGTTTGTTTGGTGAGTTAGGATCACAAGTGCCTTCATGCAGCAACTGTGAAACTCAAACCGCCCTTCTTGTTCATTCCCATCGGCCTAATATGAATATTTTATAAAGTGGCGCGCTCGTTTTTTTTCTCTTTATCTCGCCTACACGCCGTCAATTATGGTTGGTGGTTCTTCAATTTCATTTTTTCTCTTCTTTGCAAACTTTTTTGCAGGGAGACCATTTTGCAGATAACTCCCAACTTTTTGACATATCTGACAGCTATGTTCGATCCATTTTTTTTCGGTGAGAAATTGGGAATCTTGAAAGTAAGCGTTTAAACGCGCAGCTCAATACAGAAATATTGAAAATTTCAAGTTTGATCATTGCAAGACTATTTCGCAAATTAGCGCTATGCACTTTTAATTTACAGTTTCTTTTCTCTCAATTTCTTTCAATGTTTTAAATTTCCGCCCAATTCCCGATGGTCCACGTCGCCCCCGTCCTTATAAGGAGCGCCAACTTCTCAATTACCCTTTTCTCCAGCATTTCCGTTACAATTTTTTATTGAAATTTGATATGGCCACTTGAGAAAAATTGCACAAACGCAGACAAAACGCGCCATTGACGGCTGTCTCGAAATCGATTTGATCCATCTCGTTGGTGTTTTCTTTAATTGAATCAGACTATAATTCGTTTTTGTTTGAAATTGTCGGCTTTTTCATTTTTGTTAAATTGTTGTTTGTTGAAAATGATTTGAAATTTTTTTTCGACCAGACGGTTTTAATTAACCAGATTTTGACTAGACGTTTGAGATTTTGAGAAATGAAAGACCCGACTTTTTTTTCAATTATACTTTCCTGGAATTTCGTGCTCATCGAGCCAAGTCAAACTTTTTATTTTTACCATTTTTGGAAATCGTTTTTTTAGATAATAATTTTGACTTTTAAAATTGAATGGTCCCCTAGAGGAGCTACAATGCTTAATTAATTCAAATGTACAGAAAAAAAATTTTGAGTGAAAGTGGGCGTGGCTATTGCCAATAGGGTCGATTTACGAAAAGTGGCACAGCGATTGCAGCTAGTGGAACCTTAAAATCTTCTTCGTCAAGAGATATCGTTAAGCAGAAACTTCATGCGCCTTTAATTAATACTACATAATAGTACTCACGGAATTGTATTTTTATAGCAAAACGAGGGGATCCGATAAATGGTGTGGTATGTGATGTCCCTTTAATTACTGTATCGTGCCTGACAAACTACACACACTTTTGGTGAACTATGCGATTCGCAAACGCCCCGAACGACTACATCATTTCCTTATGCGCACCGAAGGCGTTTGAATCTTTAATAAATGCGCTCAAAGATGAGACGAATTGAATTTTGTAGGATTATCTCGTTTTTTGGTCCTAATCCATTCATTTAGTCACTCGATGTGTTCTTTTTCGATTCGAAAAAGCTCATTTCAAATGGATTTTTCGCAAATTAATCCGAGAACCCAGAAAAAATAAATGATAATTGGATTGAGACGGGATTGTTCCAAATAATGGATTAAACGCATTTTTTTTCTGCAATTCTGTTTAAGTGGGCGTGGCCTATTTTCGCGGCGGATTTTAAAACCATTCGATTGATTAGTTTGTGCAAATTGTTTCGATTGGGTCCCGTAACGACAAAACTCAAAAATACCTTGTATCGGTGTGAATTTTCCCATTATAATTTTTTCCGTTGTAAAAAAATCAAACATCACCATTCGCAGTTCTTCACAATTTTCTCATCGACCAAATAAGACGAGGATGGCGATTAGTACATACATAATATATTCAATGGTTAATCGCTTCATTTTTTGGCAGGCTTCTAGGCTCCGCCCACAATTCGCCTCTTTTTTGCCCTTATTTGAAATGTGTTTCATGAATATTGTCGGTGGTTTTTCGCTTCAAAACGGCATCCAATAAAAAATTGCATTAAACCTGAAATTTTAACGAATACTTCTAATCGTTTATATTTTATTTATAAATCAGATTGCGGACAGTGGTCGGCATTATTTGTTTACCGTAGCCCATATATTTAGCATTGAAATTGATTATCAGGCGTAGGAAAAAGCGCATTAACACCAGTTCTTCGGATGCAAAATTGCGTTGACATTTGTGTGCTTAATTGCGCCTTTAAATATTCTTTTTTTTTTGTTGCGCCACTACTCTTCTATTGTGGCATTTTCGAGATCCATCATAACCAAATCCCGAAAATTGCATATCTTCTTGTAGGTGTCAAATGCACGAGTTTGAAGTTTTTCATCATCGCATCCATCATCACCTTCATCATCCGAAAAAATGTGAGTTTGTTGTAGACCGCCTAATTAAGGCGCACAGGATGAATGCATTCGAAATTCAATAGCATATATTTCCGACACATAGAATTCCGGTTTGAAAGACAATGGAGCAAAAAACGAGGAAGCTCATCGTGAATCACAAGATTTGGTTGCATAAAGAAAGTGATTTATGAACTACTTTTCCTAATTAATTTGGATTGAATCACGTGAAACGGAAAGAAAATTCACAATTTTTGCTCGAAAATTAAAAAAAATGGGACTGTGTGCAATATTGCGTCAAATATGGTGCAATGTTGTACGCAATGATTATTTTGAATTTTTTGCGGTTTTTTTTAAAGTCAAATCAATCAATAATTCAAATCCCAAACATTTTCAAATTCCCAATTTTCAGACAATGATTCGGATCATTGTGCGCTCGGCGGAATGCGCGGCGACTTCGCCTGGTATTCGCTGCAATCGGTGATAACGGTCCTCAACGTGTCGGCAATCACCGCCAACATTTTCTTCATTTTCGTGTGTCGGGTTCGTCATTTTCTCTGCTCGTTCGACAAAAAAAATCCGTCGCCGTAATCCACTTACGTTAGGCCCAAAAAAAGATGGCAAACCAGGAGTTTGATGCAGAAAATTGACTATAGACGTTCAAACATCGGGTAGTAGCTGAGGACGCCGCATAACACATGATTAGGGGGGAAATTAGGCATGAATGAACAACACATTAATAATATATTTATGGAATTCTAGACGTTTCATTTATTATATATAATTGGCTGACTCATTCAAATATGAAAGATACATAAAAAAAATTTGTTTCCTTACGAAGACTAGTATGTACAGTAACAAACCATTTTCAGAAAGCCGGTGTGATGCATAAGAACACTTGCGCAATGTTGGCCACAATCTCGTTCTGCTTCGCTGTCAACGCTTCCGCAGGTCTTCTCTACAATATATACTTCTTCGTGATGGGCATCATAGGCTTCCCAAAGACGCCGATTCATAGGTTGATTTAACGACTCAAGGCGATCGTATTCTCAAATTTCAGCGGCTGGTGTTCGCTCATCAATTCTCTAATGGTCCCTTGGGACGTTGCCACGTGTGTGCTGATGGTCGGCGTCGGAACCGAGCGTCTGATCGCCACGAAGCGTCACATGCCGAGCGGTACAATAAGCGGCTACGTTAAAGTGATATTCGTGTTGGATGCGTCGGCGGCTCTTCTCGTAACGATGAACTACGTCACTAATTTAACGTTAGTCTAAATTCTCTCTTAAGTTAAGGGACCATTAATATCATTCTCTAGGGATAAAGGAGTGTGCGTTTGCGACGGCGCCTCGCTCTCGGAACGATGGGCGATGTTCATTCGGATATTGACTTGCGCGGCAATCGAAGCTGGAACAATTTCGCTATTCGGCTATGTTCATATTTTGTCAAGAAACGAAGCCGACAGTTTGGGAATCAATACGGCAAAGTACTGCCTAACGCAGAGATTCCAGGTTCGGGTCTTGTAGGGAAATTGTAATATTGAGGTTTTTAGATTTACGAGACCTATCGCACCACACACATGCTTTTACCCTCCGCTGTTCTTCATGCTGTATTGTACCTTTCTTATTTATGTCTTTTGATCCCTATTAGGGACTTACGGTAGAGTATGTTAATGAATTTCCAATACGAAATTGGACGATTGCAGGGCTGAGCCAGATTTGACGCTTCTTCAATTCAATCTCTCCACAATTATTTTTGCGTTTCCATCAATTTACGCATTGGCGCATCCTTTGGTAAAAACTTGATAGCTATTATGTATTTTATACAATCGCAAAAAAAAGCGGGCGCCCTCGTGAGTTTGATTCGCAGGTTTTCGGTAGAACGGTTCCCGAATTTCCACGCTTTAAAAATTTGAATTGCCGCCTCAAAGGCATGAAAATAGTCCGCAAAAACTCGTGGTAGTGTCGGAGTCGAATCACCGATCAGTGGCGGGGAAATTCGATTTCAGTATAGATCTACGAATATGTTTTTACGCAGCCTAGTATAGATATAAATATTTTTTAAATTTCGTTCCGGCCTTCGATGCCGACAATAAAATCATCTATTCCATTAAATTTCGAATGGTTCCAATTTTTAGATTTGCATGTCCCGACATTACTACCTACGAAATCGGGTTGCCGAAATTCTTCACGGCTGGCTACCAATGCGCCAATGCGGCGGCGGCGGCGATGTAAGCCATCGCGATCAGCGTAAAAATCGCAGTAAATCACCGGAATTGAGCAGTAGTCACAGGTTTTTTTTTCGTCTTTCGATGGCGATCATTTTGCGATAAACATTGCGATTTATTGCAGCTTTCGCTCGGATTGCGGACGCGTCGAATATCGAATCGCGCCCGAGAAACACGCCGAGATTCTTGAGACGTTTTGGGAGCAGAAGAAGCCTCCATAGTAATAAAATAATTTGAACACTATCACAATTTATGTACTTATTTGTAAAAAAAAATGCATTTATGTAGGAATAAAGGAAACATCTTAATTATTTGACAAAAATTGCCATTTTCAAATTGAAATCGTCAAAATGCATTTTTGCGAGAAAAGTCTGCAAAATGACGTCGGCGTGAATTCGCACATTTTATTGATTATTTAATTTGAGACCAAAACAACAGCGATGTTGAAATGTTGCGTTGTGTACGAGAAGCGCCGGTTTTTCTGCACACCAATATTCTGAGTCAGCTGCCGTTCGTGTCTGCGCTTCTCGCTGATCGCACACTATTTCCCATGATCGGCTTCTCGCCGACGATCGACGATGGGGGGATTGGAGCCGCCAACTAAAACATAACGAAATCGGCGATCCTTCCTAATGGAAATATTCCAACAAACTTATTGTATTGATTATAATGGATGGGTCTCGGTAAGAATTTACGTCAACTTCGGTGCTCTATGCGATTTTTAGGGAGTTTCGTCGGCGCCGCCGCCGAAACAAATCGATTTTGCCTCGCAGACGATTCCGGAATTAATTTACACGAAAGTCGTTCATTCTTTGGTTGTTTTTATTGATTTTCAAAAATTTCAGACTGGAAATGACCGTGTGGCTGCGGTTTTCGACGCCGAATCTCAGAATTACACGTTCTCCAAAATCATCAGCGAAGTATTATTTTGTTTTTTTTTGCTAGTTTTTCGATTTTTTTCCCTAAAAATTGAGGGACGAATTTCAGATGGAAACACTGGCTGCCGGATTTCTGTCGATTGGTCTAAAACAGGGCGACCGTGTGCTGGTCGCTGGAAGCAATCATTCCCAGGTTTTTTTTTCAGTTTTTCGTGATTGAATTAATTTCGATAGGAAACGTTTTAAGGTAATGATCTGCGCATTGGCATGTGCTCGCGCTGGACTCGTCTTCTCATTGGTGAACCCAAATTTTCCCAACAGCCATCAACTCGAGCGCGCTCTGATAACCGTAAATCCCGCATTTTGGCTTGTTGTCTAATAATATCTCAATTTCTTGAATTTCAGGGCGATTTCACTGCGATTGTTTGCTTCCGCGCTCATCAGTACGACGCCGATCATTTGTATTCGCTTCTTGTCGAACTCGCGCCCGAACTAATGACGTTCCGCAAGGGGGCGCTCAAATTGAACGCGTTGCCGAAATTGACGCACGTGATTCTCGGCGAAGAGGAGCATCGACATGCGTATGACCGAATAATCGTCGATTTTTCAAACATTTCCATTCATTTCTAGTGGCTCTTTCACATTATCCGAGGTGTTTCTGAAGTCGACGAAAGAAAAAATCGCCAAACTTCCGGATTACAATAAATGGTCGAGTCATAAACTTGCCTGCCTTCAGTTTACACTAGTGAGTACTAAAACAAAAAAAATGAAAAGTGAGAAATTTGTGAATTTCGTCAAAAAAAATGAAAGGTGGGGGAAAAATGAGCCAATTTGCAGGGTACCACTGGCGATCAGAAACTCGTCGCCCTGTCCCACTATCAAATGCTGAATGGCGCGCGAGCGGTGGCGAACGCGTTCGGAATCAACAAGGAACATGTTCTAGCGTGCGCTCTTCCAATCTTTCGTATCGCGATATTCAATCTCGTGTGTTTGTCGCCGTTCCTCACCGAATGCCGCTCGGTGTTTCCCGAGCCGTCGCCATTGCCGAAGAACTTGTTCGCGAGTGTCAGCAAGTACAAATGCACCACACTGTTGTCGAACGGCGCGGCTCTTCGTCTTCTGCTGAAAATCAGCCAAACCCAAAGAGTCAAGGTTTGTTGGAATGGGTTTTGTGCGGCGCGGTTGCGTTGCGGCTAAGGCATGTTTCAGCAAAACGAATTTCAGCTCGCCGCTTTGGAGAATATCTTGCTTATCGGAGATCGAGTGTCGAAAGAGGTCCTTCGTTTAATCAAAATCCAGGCGGAAAATGTGAAAATTATAGCGGTATTGAGTGATTTTCGAAACGCGATTCGAAATAATTTCGATTTCTCCTAACAGGTTGGCTATTTGCTCACGGAAACTGGCTCAATTCCAATTATGGGCGATCAAAATACGGATTTCACGCGAACAATTGGCAAACCGATTGCAGGATATGAGGTATTTAATTAATTTTTTTTTATTTTCGAACATCTATGAACATCTCAGGCCCATCTGATTCCATTGGACGGTAGCGAAAATGCGGTCGAAGTTGGGAAACTCGGCAAATTGCTGATTCGCGTCTATTATGGCTCAACTTTTATGGGCTACGCGCCAGATACGCACGGCAAAGAGAAATGGGTGGATACTGGGTGAGTGAGGTTTTGCGAGAAAAAAATGTTCACTGCTCGCAACAGATGTTCTAACCAGACATCAATTATTGTAAAGTTCTCATACTTTCAATTATTCGAAAAAGCAAAATCAAATAATTATGGACCTAAAATAAAAAAAATTGCACGTTTTGAAGCGAATGATAGGCTAGTTAATACTTGTTTTGTTTTTTCTAGAGATATTGCTCGGCAAGATGAAAACGGCGCGTTTGAAATTGTCACCAATGAGGAGGATTTGATTTATGACAAAAATAATTGCATAATTGAGCATTGGAATGTCGAAAGGCTTCTCAATCAGAATGATTTGCTTAAAGGGATTCAGGTATATGAGTTGATACGTTCCATTTTTGGAAATCTGACTTTTAGGTGGTGTCCAAAGGACGAGACCAACCAGTCACCGCTGTTTGTGTTGCCCGAAATCGGCAATTTAATGCGGCTCAATTGAAGGATGAGCTCAAAAATATGTGTCGAAATCATCGGGTATCGGTTTTCTTTTCGATGATTGCATGAAAATCGTCGTTTTTCAGTTCCCCGTACCCGAAGCTTTTGCATTTGTCGACGAATTTCCGCGAGTCCACACGAAAATTCAAAAATTCCGCATTCGCGCCATGCTCGTTTCTGGCGAAATTGCGGTGTTTTAATATGTTATGTTTGTACTTTGTTGAAAATTCATTAAAAAAAACAATGTTTGCTGCCTTGTATCTACCTGTAATGCCGCCATTTCTCATTTATTCAATTGATAAACTGCTTGGCGAAAAATGAAATAAATTAAATGAAATTTTAATATTTTGTATTTTTCTATAATTATGTCGTTCATTTAATTATATTTTTGTTTTTGAGTAATTATTAAAACGACGATATAGCATTCTTTTTGATATTGAAAGGAAAGTCCGAATTTGTTCGTGTTGGTGTATACAGACAAAAGTTCGAGGGTGTTTTTTTTTTCTTCATTTTTATTATTTTTTTCAAATTATTTCCTCGAGTTGTTGCATTTCGGATGTGCAAAATCTTTTCTTTCCTTTCGTAAACCCATGATCCTAATTAATTTCTCGAAAAAAAAACGGAATATGGATAAGTTTTTATTACTAATCCATTCCGTTTTTTTTTTCAACTTCCGTCTTTCTTTATCCGTAATTTGATGCAATTTCCTATTTTTCTAGCATGTTATCTATGCGTCTATGAAGCCGAATGACTATAGATTCATTATACTCAATTTGAAACCCATCAGTTGAAAGCAAGTGAATAAAATGCGATGTTCGAAGACTAGAGAATGACAAAAGTAGAAAACAAAAGGTACTTTGGAATGGATGATTTTCGACTAATTTGGTCAGAATTTTGGTGCAACTAGAGATCATTGAGCGGGGGGAAGAAATAAAATACATGACATTTGAGAATCCTAGCGATAACAAAAAATACATACAAGCAAAAAAATTACAAAAAAAAAAGAAGCATTAAAGGGTCCATTCATCTGTTCTCCAAACCCCTATAGAATACATATCGGCGAGTTTCTGTTCTGCGACAAATCGATGAGAAAGGCTTCTTAAAGTTTAACAAAAACTGTTACTTTTTCAAATTTCCTTCAATTTACCTAAATTGCCTTCCAATTGTTACTAGAAGCGCTTCCCCTTGCTGCTCGACAGCAGCCGGCGTTGATCGGAATCGATCCACCGTCTCACTGACGCGTTCGCGAACCCAACCCAAACCACTTTCCGACGACGCTGTGCTCAACGTGGTCCTACCACGAACACTATCGCGATCTTCTTCCCTCACGGGCTCCTCGATTATGCAAATCGACACTATCTCTCCCTCATACGGCCGGCAAGCCGATAATGGTTGTAGCTAAACAATTTGATTGAATCAAACTACATACATCTTCTAGGAGGCCCACCGTAGCCGCTTGTGCCACCACAATGAGGCCCTTGCATGTCCCAATATACAATTGGTCTCCATCATTCCTTTCAAGAAATCCCATACACGTCACCATGTTTTGACTGCTAATTTCCATGTCGATCGTGTGAATTGTTTCGCTGCCTGTAGAAATCATTTTCCACAAAAATAAAGCTCGTCATACCGGGCATCACTTTGCGAAGATCCAACGAAGCGGTAACTTGGCGCTTCTCAACGTCAATGCACGAAACTTTCGAGCTCTTCTCGACCGACACCCATACTCTCGATGCGTCCTTGCTGCCGAGCATCTCCTTGACAACGCAATCGGCTTCGGGAAGGTACAAGCTGGACGAGAATGAGAATTTGTCGTTGGACGCGAGATGATGGATCGATATTCGGCCATCGGCGTGTCCCGCCCATATTTGACGCGTTGCTGAGTTCTCGATAACGGTGGCCGTGCGAATTTCATAGGGACTATCAAAAGTGCCGAGAAGAGTTACCTATATGCTTATTTGAATTGAAAAGCGTTGGAAATTTCGCCTACCGAGTTGGTTTCCGATAGTTTTAGCAATACTAGTTGACGATCCGAGACGAGCAGAAGGACGTCATTGGTAAGAAGTTCCGGAGCTCGAATCTTCAATTTGGAACAATTAGAGCGGTGGAGGGAAAAATATACAAACTCACCAGCGACCCATTCAGCGATGGCAACTGCAAATGCCCGGTCTCGTGAAGGGACACCGCGTAGACGGTCACCTGTCCGCATTCGTCGCAAGACCATATCGAATCACGAACGCGTGTGGCGAATTTGGCGCGAAACGGCATCGCAATCGAGCGATTCTCGACGAACCCGTATTGTGTGCAGCCGAGCACCGTCATCTCTTTGCCGCTGAGCCATAGTTGCGCTTCAAAATCATCCGGATCATCGATGTCGTCAAATATCGGCACGGCGAGCATTTGACTAGGAGGGAGTGCCTCGGAGAGCTCAACGACGTCGAGAAGATGTGTGAATTCGGGAGCCGCACAAAATCCGACGAGTTGCGACGACGACGGTCGTCCTTCGGGCCTCGCCGACCAGCAATGAACAAGTAGATCAAGCATTGGCGTCGGCAAAAGAAGTTCCTAAATGTTGTAGGTTCATTGGATAAGATTCCAAAAAATTTAAAGGTACATGCGGCAATAAGACGGGTCTCGCGCCGTCGAGCATTTTCTCTTTGACGTGCTCTTCTCCTTCAAACGGTAATTTCAATGTTATGAGCTCATAAAGGAACATTCCGAATGAGAAGCAATCAACTTTTTGTGTGTATTCCTCCTCTCCGTTGAATCTCACAATTTCCGGAGCCATAAATCCCTCGGTTCCTCCGAATCCTTTTGCGCCGCCCGATGGGAGAACCGACCTCGAAATGCCTGCCAAATAATAGATTTTTAATAATATCTTTGACAATTTTGTTACCGTAATCTCCCAATTTCAGAAGCACATCGGTTTGAGGGCTAAATGGCGCCGGGAACCGCCAGCCGAGCACGTTCTCGCTCTAGAAAATTTTGATGGATTCAAAAAAAAAAAAGACACTGCATGCGCACCTTTAGATCTCTGTAGATAATATGAGCCGAGTGTAGGTATTCGAGAGCGCGTGCGACTTGAACCGCCGATTCTTTGATAACGCCGAGAGACAATTTCGTGCCGCTTTTCCTATGTGAGGCCAGAAGTTGGTTCAACGAGCCCAATGGTGCAAGCTCGACGATAAGAGACAACGGGGAAGTGCACACCTATAACCGACGACTTCCTTGTATGGTTTGTATGAATCGATTTTTACTCCGACTAATCCGATAACATTCGGGTGCTTCATTCGGCTTAGAAGGCTGAGCTCTTGACGAGAAGTGCAGTAGGCGCGGCATGCAAACTCTAAAGCATCTCGTCGCCATTTGTCGGCGGCCGCCTGAATTCCAATTGCAAATTTTTGGTGAATAAGTCTTTTGATCTACCTTATAGGCAGCGATCGCTGAAGGTCGCCCACCTTGTCCCGGATCGACAGGTTCGAGCATTTTCTGTGCCACCTCGCACAGTTCGCCGTGATGTTGGCGTACTGTCGCGCGAAACACGAAGCCGAACGCGCCGCGGCCCAACATTCGACCGCGTTTGACTTGTTCGACGGGAATCATAAGCGACGATTCGATGTCGGCGAACACCGTGTCGGGCGCGAGCTCTCTCATATGAAGGCCGCCGTGCGATGGACATTCAAGCCATCCGTATTCTCGGCCGGCTAGCATGCACTCCTCGATGACGAAACAATGAATGACGCCGCGAATGTTCGAAATGTCGCCGGTCGTCTTCGAATTGCGCAAATGTATCGCATTGCTGAAAGCGAATTGAGTTTGATCCCACTTCGACTATCTAACCTGTGATTGAGAATCTCCGCGTCATCTTGCGATCGGCGATTCGTCGGCGCGTGTGTATTCGATTTTTGAGCGTCTTTAACACAGTGACCGCACAGCACATAGCGCGATACTAGCAGATCGCCTTCAGAAGAGTGCACAAATCGGGTTCCGAGAGCTGGATACCTGAAAAACATTTTGTCGGAAACAATTAGTCGCGATCCGGTTTGATTTACCAATCCTCTAGCAAAGTGTCGAGTAGATCAGTAATCAGAGCCAATAGCCGACTTCGTCCTTCCACATCAGTTTTCATCGACAATTTTTGCTCGTGGTAAGCCGTTGATATGCTAGAATTTTGGGCTTAACTGCGAAAAATGCGAGCTTGACACACCTCAACGATGAAATGAGAATCTCGATGAGCGGCCGATTCGCGCAATTCCACGTCCGCCATCGTTTCTGTTCATCCTTGGCTCGCATGTCGAAGCTACTGTAGTCGATGTCACGCGTCTAAAACACAAAATGATGTCAGCGCGAATCGAACGTAGTGAATACCTCAGCTAGCGGCAGGAACTGTTTGACAGTAAACAGAGAATGACCTTTGACGTGAAGCTGCAATTTGAGATATTAGCTCGTCAGGGGATTGTCGGATTACTTCGATTCCCGTCTGCCAGACGATCCATTCGGCGCGAGCATGCCTCGTTGATATATCGGATATTTTCGCGCAGTCAGCTGACGTCGTCATGAACACCGATTCGATAGCAGCGCATACGTTCTTGTCCCCCATTATTCTGAAAAATCTTGAAATTTTCAAATTTGAGCTATTCCAAGACCTGGTAATCAATCTGCTCCAGAATCCCGAAGGAATATAGGCTAATGCGTAGATTCGTCGAAGAAGCTGATCGTCGTCATAGGTGAATTGAAGCATCACATCGTCTTCAGCGCTCGAAATCTCATTGGTCCGTTTCAATGGCGACTTGAGCGGTGGCGGCGAACACGGTGTTCCCGTAGGGCTAGGCGATCGTACCGCCCATTTGGCGAGCTTCATCTTGATTTTGACCGCTGAGAACAAGAAATCCGCGCGGAGTTGGTATTCGTCGGGAAGAAGCGACGGAAGAAGGAGTTGGCGTGGTTGAATCGCCAACGCCAACTCGAATTTGTGAAGAACATCAAGAAGTTGATTTTTGAGCATTTGTGTGGCGCCCGATTTGAAGGATCTCGTCAGCGGCGCAATCGCGTCCATGTTGAGAAGACCGGCCGGCTGGCTAGGGCTTCTCAACGCTACAATCGAGGTGAGAAATTCGGCGAGCCAAAGTGGATCGATGAAGACCAAATCGCGAAGGTTGGCGTCCTCGAATCTCACAATCTCGCCGCAATCGTGTAAAAATGTGCAAGCGCCGTAGAATTCGACGTCGTCCCTTCAAACAACTCAAATTGGTTGATTTTCCTGAAAATATTCTCCCCAACCTGAACGGCCTTCCGTACTTTCCCGTCATCCGCTTCTTCACCCTCTCCTTGTACTGATCGACGGTCATCACCGCCGGCGACTTGTCTTTTTGGAATTCCGACGCGAGTTCTCTCGTCACCTTCATCAACGCAACGTATGACGATGGTATCTGCTGCTCCAATGCGCGTTCCTTGCCGACGCGCACTTCCCAAGATGTCTTGTAGATCGTCGTCAGCAAAATGCGAATATCGTGCTTCGACGTTGCATTCATCAGAAATACGTCGAGCACTCTTGGCAATCCCGATTTATCAGCATCGGAAATCATATAGCGGCTTCGGACCTTGAGAATTGTCAATTTTTGGTGGACCTTATGTTAGCCGAAATCAGACCTTATTCTCCATTTCTTCCACATAGCCGGCTGGGAATTTATTGGAATTCGCGCCGATTTGATCGCAATTCGTGCCGATTAGAAGAACAGTCGAGTTTGGTGCGCGAGCCTAGAAATTTGAATTAAAAATAATCGCTAATGGATAAATTCTTACATGAATATTCGTGAGCCAATAATCGATTTGTGATAGCGCTTCATCACCATCGGTAACTTTCCAAAGCACTATTGACAATAATCGTTTACTAATGAAATATTGATGAGTGGCGTAGTACTCTCTCTGAAAATGAAAGTGTACACAGGGGAGTATTGGCAATAGCGGACTTGTCCTCCGAAATCCCACGCGGTGATGCCAATCGGTCCGAGTTGTGGATCGCCTTTCGATCGTTTCGCTTCGTATTTCCACTCGGCAACTCGAATCGTACCGTTCTCCGACGTCGTCGGTTGGCGTTTTTGGGCCGCCTCATTCCGCAGCCCATCCCAAATTGTGCTCTTTCCGACACCGTCGCCGCCGAATATCATCAATCGCAAATGGCGATACGTTTTTGATCTACAATTTGAGTGATTACGGTAGTATTGAATTTAAAAAAACGCGTACTCTTCGAGAATCGTCTTCAAATAGGCGACAATTTCGACGGTTTTGCAATTCTCGACGTTCACCATACTTTCGAGCGGCTCTTTCAACGTGCAGCCTTTCAGCGAAAGCGACCATAATCGAGATAATTGGCCAAAATCGGGCGGAAGCTCCCTGATATTCGTGTTGCCGGATAAATTGAGCACCGAGAGCAGCGCGAGTTTCGAGATGTCCGACGGCGCCGCTGGTAGCTTATTATCGCTCAAATCCAAAACATTGAGGACTGGAAGAAGCACTTTGCCCGAAGTGGCGATAAGCGACAACGTTTTTAGGCGATTTCCAGATAGATTTAATGTTTTGAGCCTTAAACATTGATTGAGTATTCAATGCTGATTGAATTTTGTACCATTCAAGCGAATCGTGCCGCTTATGAACGCATTCCTCTTCCGTGTTGGCGTCAATAGGCTGGTGTCGGGAAACGCTCAACGAGCGTTGAGACCTCACCGCGGATTTAGAGCGACTCCCTTTAAAATTGTTTTGTTAACAACAAAGATACAATAAGAATTGGCTACTTTGTTGCCTAGCTGGACTGTTAATCCTTCTCGGCAATATCGACCCATTTGATGTGCTTGGTGGGACCGCGTGGCATACGGTATGCAAGCGGGTGGCTTGTACGAAGCTCTCCTACAATTCTGTGGATTCGGGTTTGATACGATTCGCAAACGCACCTGAATCTTGTTGTACGACATGTCCAATGTCCGCAGATGGGCCGGAACACATGCCATGGGTGGTAGTGACGTCATCGAGTTGTTCGACATGTTCAGTGTCAGTAGACGCGGACAAGTGCAGGCGAGACAGTAGGGGAACGTGTGGAACTAATAAATGGATTGATTTCGTGATCGCTTCAGTGCCTACCTTATTATGCGACAAATTGATACTCGTCAAGGTGTTGGAGGAAGTGACGGGGAAATCGGGGAACAGCGAATCGTCGTCGACTTTTGATAGATTTATACTGGCCTGCCATACGTTTTGCCGTTTTAGCGGGTTGCTGGTAACGTTTGGCGGCTCATCAATGGCTGGCACATCGATGGTGGAAGTGTCTTTAGATTCTTCATGAATAATTAGTAGATCAAAAGGTGCTTACTATTCGAAGCCAACAGTCCTTGATGTATTCGCGGTCGATCACCTCGAGAACTCCTCGCCGCCACCATCGGCAGTGTGCTGAGTCGATTGAACGAGGCGTTGAGCTCTTTGAGAGCTGGACACAGCCAGATGTATTCTGGCAATTGGCTGAGCTCGTTCTTCGAGACGTCGAGAATTTGCAGTTGTGGTATCGAGGCAAGGAATTGAGGTGTCAGACATTCAAGCTGATTATTGCGAAGGTTGAGAATCTCCAGAGATGTCGAGCTTATGTAGTACGTCGGAATCTCAATTGTACGAATACTGTTGTCGGATAGATTGATGGCGCGAAGGGATGGCATTTGAAAAAGGATTGCCGGGAAAACGGTTAAACGATTCGCGGATAAGTCGATTCGGGTAATAGCGGCCAAAGAAAGCCTTAACAACATATGGGATCTTAGAATTAATTCGGGAAAACGGTTACCTCGTCGTTCGAAGCCTTGGATTCACATGAAGAGCGGCCGCGATGAACCAATCCGACTGCACTTGATCCAAATTCGCGCTTCCCCAATTCAGCTGAGCGGCTTTCGATGGGCATAGAGAGGATGGTAGAAGACTCTGTCCGATAGGAATCTGACCGACATCGATATTCTTCTTGTTGATCTTATATTCGGGATCGGGGAAGACGAGACGAGTGAGGAACACTCGAATAATCTTCTCGTTCTTATTGTCAGCGGCGAGACGCAACGCCTTGTTGTCGGTGTCGAGTGCGCCATTGTCGAGCAGAAAATGCACAGTGTGAAGCGAGTCGGAGCGAACGGCTTCGACAAGGGCGCCCGAACCGATGCAGCGGCCTTCTTCCACACTCTGTTCGGAATCGAGCACGGCAAGAGGGAGGTTGATGTCGGCGCCGGCATCCAGAAGAAGACTAAAAATCGATGGGATTGACAATGAAAATATTCGATGTGAAACGCCCTACTTTAACATTGGAATTGATTGATTGAAGGCTGCCAGCATGAACGGGGTCCTGCCGCGAGTACAGTAGACGTCCAATTGAAATGGGCACCGCAGCTTGCCGTCGGTGGAAACACACTTGAACTCGATCATTGCTTGAACCACATCCAAATATCCTTCGGCGACAGCGAGATACATGGCGGTTCGGCATTCGCCGTCAACCTCGTTCACGTCTAATGCTAGCTTGTAAGCGGGAGCTCCGACGGTATCGATTTCCATTATATATTTTGATTCGAAAGGGAAATTGAGTATGCTGTAATTGAACATTTCTTGCTTCTTCTTTTTTTTCATTTCTTACGTTTTAACGGCTTCTGCCGACCCGCATCTGGCAGCCCAGTGTAAACAACTTGAGCCCTCGAGATTGACATTCTTTACAAGTTGGGGAAAATTCTGAAATTACATATTCGGTGTACGGTAGACTTGAAATAGTGTTCGGTGAATGCAGACAAGAGAATAAAAAATCAATATTTCCTTCTTTTTATTGCTTTCTGTTTTCTGATAATTAAGCGTAATTACTCTTAATTTTAGGTTTTAAAAAATGTCGAATCTTATACGACGGATCACCACGACAGCATCGTCGTCGCCAGTGTTCCGTCGAGCCGCCGGTGACTATGTTCTAAAATGTCTCAAGGGTTTGGGTGTAGCGCTAAAAGCTTATATTGTGGTAAGTCTAGTAGACTATTTCGACTAAAATAATGTAACTTATATATATTTTTTCATTTCTAGGAAAAAACGCCGGCAAATCTCGGTGAAGTTTCGTATAAATTGGACAAACTCTGGCAGAATTTGTTCAATTCTGACAAGGAGATTCCGAAAGCGAAAAAGTGTGAGCTCGCCGAGGAATTCCTCATTCAACCCGAACTTTTGAACAATTTGCTTTATGTGTTCCGAATGGTTCGATTAAGCGACAAAGCAAAAATACGCGATTTGTTTCGATTCACGCAACTCTGGACGTCGAACGAATCTGCCGAAAGCTCGATGCCGCGAGTGAAAGCGGCCCGCTTCACGACTTGCGCACGATTCGGCCAACAGCTTTTCGTTGTGCGGAATGAGTTCTTCGAAATTATCAATGAAGGCTATGATGAGACGGGAAGCGCCGGCATCTATCACGATCTCATTGAAATTTTCGTCGGCGACGACAAATGCCTCTCGACAATTTTTGCCGACACCGGGCACAACGCGAAAGGCGACAAAGTTCGCGAAGACGGTTGTTTTTGGTCGATTTTCGATCGACTACTCATCAGTTCATCGGAAATGGAGCAACACGATGTTCTGTTTCATACAGTTAAGACTTTGGAAGTAGGAATTCTTGGTGGGGGGTTAATTTTTACGCGGCAAAATTTTGTAGATGATATTGGAATGCTCGCATGTGACCGTCAGAATGTTCTTAAGAGCCAACTGGGATCGTTTTCAATGTATGATGATGAAAATTGATAGTGAAATAAGGTTGTTGGTTTTGCAGGTGCTATGAATAAGCTTATGCTTTCGACTAATTTTTTCATTCAGCGTAAATCACTGGATGTAAGTTTTTATATGATTTTATTGGTGCAATATTGTCGGGTCCGGGTTACCAGATTTATTGAAAGAGTTCCTAATAGTCTTGTGGAAATTTTGGACTTACAACATTAAAAAAAAACTACTTTGGGAAAAATATCTTGCTTTTCATATTTTTTTTACTCAAATTATAAACATTCAATAGATCATGTACAACATTTTCATCAACGCTCACTACTCGGAGCTTCGTGAACGCTGGATGTGGGACATGGAGAATTTCCGTCGAATTGTTCGAATCCTTCAAAATTGTCGTCGAGACGTCCGACTGGCGGCGTCGAAAATTTTCGCGGTTAAAACATTTGTGAAAAACGTCAACAAAACTTTGTTTTCAAGATATTTCTCGAACATCCGAATGCGCATCCCGAAGTTGGCAATTTTGTTGGGAAGAATATTTATCGTTTAATTGAGCATCATCTGGGAATGGTGCAATTGCACGGTTATGATGGCTCTCAGGAAGATGTTGATGACGCTTACTGTGCGAGAGTTATACACAAGTAAGCAATGATATATGGTAATTGCTCTCAACGGGGTATACCGGCGATGTGCGAAGAAATTTGGATGTTTTCATGCAGAGATTACGGTAGATGTTAAAGGCGCATGCGAATGCGAAGAAAGCGAGAAGAACGTTTAGAATATAAAATAAGGTTTAAATCATTTTCAAATAAAATGTGATTCAGAATCGCAATGAAGCGTTACCAACGACCATTGACAAAAGAGGAAATGGATTCGTACGAAGAGGAGCAAGAAGCGTTTGAAAAAATCGAAGATCGTGAGTAAAATGACTCAAATGAGGCCATTAGTAAGAGAATTTTTACCAGAAATGCTAATTCCCCAGCGCCCAGAACGCACTACACTATCTTTTTACTCAGTTGCTCGTGTCCCGCCACCGTACTATCTGGCACCATTGCGCCCAAAAATGATTTTTGGCAATCCGCCGCTTACGTAATTTATTTTTTTCTTATATTATCTATACCATTTTGTAAAATTGTGCTCTATGACCGACTTACTTCTAAAACTATTCTCAGCACGTCGATGTTTTTTGATGAGACCGCCACAAGGATTACGGTATCTTTCGTGTTGGGACTGATAAGCTGGTGTTCGGTGAAGACTAGAAGGCGCTTGACAATCTCGTAACGGCCGTGGGTGCAAGCTCTAGAAGGGAATAATTAAGAGCAAAATTGGAAATTTGAGAGCTACATTAAAAGAGCTGTGTTATCGTCGGCCGTTCTTCCGTTAAACAATATTTGGCGATTTGATTTTCTAGAACAAAAATGAAACAATTGGGTTAGTCTTGTCGCGATCTTGCACGAACTTTCGCGTTTTTTCTTCCAAAATTTCGTCGACGGTTTTCGAGTCGCCTTCGATGCACGCGCTTATTAATCTCTCGTGAGCCTCATTTAGGTCCTCATTCTCTTTTTCTATAATAATTTTGACGAAGGCTGTTTGAAATCATTGAGAGTTGTTACGAATCGCTTCAATTAGTGCAGCGGCCACCTCATTATGTCCAGCCATCTGCGCGATTTCTAATGCACAATGACCATCGTTGTCGATCCGCATCGGATCGGATCCTAGATTTAGATTTTTCTTAAGGAATTGCCTTAAATTAGATTCGTTTACCGGATTCGACGAGATCGAGCACAATTTCGGTTTCGCCCGACTCGGCGGCCATGTGTAGAGCTGTTTTACCCCTCTCATTTTCGAGATCTAACGAGTCTAAATGAGATATTGATTTTTTTTTTAAATTAAAGCAGAATTTGAGAGGCTCGATGAACCTGGAGAACACATTAGAATTGTTCGGAGGCTGTTCAATTTGCCGTTGTGGGCGGCGAGCATTAGTGGTGTTCTGCAAAAGAAGAAAGAAATGAGGTCGAGACGAGAAGTTTCGAAACCGTCCGTGTCGATCGACGCGATTCCACGTCCACGGATGCTCGCGAAACAAATCGGCGAGAAGCTCGACGTTTTCGAATAGAACCGCCTGTCGAATGAGTTGCGATGCGTCGGAGTTGTCGAGCTGGGTTGCGATGCCGCCGCCGCCACTCGATTCCTCCATCGCGTTGTGAGTGTGTCTAAATCAGTAGAGAATTCAGAAGTGGCGGTGTTCGAAGAACTGGTTCTATTAACTGTGTGAATGTTACTATACTACTACATGATGATTAAGTAGTCGAATAATCTTTTTTAAACAAAATGTTTGAAAAAATATGGGGGAGGATGCACTTTTAGCCTCGTGGCGAGACCTTTGAGTTTTTAAAGGTTATGGTGAGAAATTTTTGCAGTAGATCAAATGAGAAATTTTTAAAATCAAAATAGGTTAATTAAACTTTTAAGAGAATTACTTGCATCAATGTCGTTCTGCTTGTGTTTTTCGGGATTTTTAGAAATGAAATAGGTGTGAACGCTTTTTTAAACCTCGAACAACTTGAGTTTTTCTTTGTTAAACTGCGTTATAAATGCATTGAACTCGTATAGGCGATATTCGTTGCAACCTGGCACTAATATCGCCTCAAATTCGCTCAGATTTGTGGAAAAGAAATCATCATAGAAGCCATAAAATATTTCCGGGTTGGGCCAATATTTTTTTTTCGAAAACAATGCAAAACCCTCCGTGATAGTCGAGAAACATTGAAAAAATCAACAAATTTCGGAAATTGGCGACCGACGATGGTTGGCAAGTATGCTCTGTGGCAGTTGGTCGGCGAAATAGTGCGGCGGTGCCGGGAGACGCAGAGAGCGCAACAAAAATGGATACTTGGCGTATGGGAGATAGATTATGTTTGGCATGTCTCACCCGTGGCCGGGTGTCTATTATGAGAGTGCGTATGTGTGTGTTCAGGGTCGAATTGCGCAAATCGGAGATGATGAATTTACAAAAGAATCGACGTGATCAGCTTTTCCCATTTTTAGATTTGAGAGGAAAGTCTTGAAAGAAAATTGATTTTACACAATTTGGGATGAAAAAAAAAATTAAAAACTGTGAGCATCAAGCTCGAAACGATGAATTTCTGATATTGTTGGAAAATTGAGAAGGCATATTTTTATAACTGTCTCAAAAAAATCAGAAAAGATTGAGAAAATTGAAACGAAAATTTCTGATTACGGTAAGCGGTTTGATGAACTGCGTACCAAAAACGCACAATCCCAAGACATGTTTCGAACAATTCACTTTGCAACACATTCTCCATGTGGACGAAACCAGATTTATAATGAATATCGAAGTTATTACACCACGCGACGGGGGAACATTTTTATTGAGGGTATTCGTCGTCCGGCGACTGTGGTAGATTTACGCGTGCGCCGTTTTTTGCTGTTTTTAGCGTATCATTTTTCTTTATGAGTATGAGGTTTTCTATTTGTCAAAGTCATTCGATGAAAAAATTATCAACCAACCTCTAAAAGGCGACTGCTATTCGCGGGTAGATTTACGAGGATTACGAGGTTTGATCTTGCGCGGGTTCAACAATTTTTTAATCGAATGACGTTGGAAATTCAAGGAAATATTTTTCTCATAAAGAAAAAATTATCCGTTCTCATGAAAGCAGCAAAACAAAAGTTGGCACGTGGCGAGACCATAACAAAGGAGCATGCACGTAAATCTGAACATCAGTAACTGTACACCGACTATTATTGTTTCATCAATTTCATTTTAGGGATCACATCTATGTTGAGATCTTCCTCAACCGATTCTCCGAATAAAGTCCATATCTGGTCAATTAGAATGTGTTCTTTGGAAGACCTACTCAGGCTCGGTATTGTCTGTGAGCACGCCCACTTGCCGTCTATTCAACTTGGCACATGTTTTCTGAGAAATTCTTAAAGTATGAAAATTTTTTTCATTTTTCTAAAGACCGGTAGGTTCATTGCGTCATTGAATCGAATATTTTGACAAAAAAGGAATCTTTAATGTTTAATCGCTATTTATGCGAACACTGTAATTACCATTAATTGCCATTTGATATATTTATTTGTGCCATGCCAATTATCTATCTATCTAGATAAAACAAAAGCAAAACAAAAGGGAATTCGTTTTGCCGCATTTTTGGAGCTTTTAAGAGTTTGAATTAATTTAAATTTTGTCGCGCGTTGGTCACAAATACTGTCGATAAGACCATCGGAAACGGTCCCCGATTGTCCAGTGAGAGAAGTTTTGTCACGCTGACCACCCGGGCTTCGTTCCCAGTCGCGGCAAATCTTTTTGCTTGCAAAAAACATTTTAAGCACACATTCACCCGCCCTCACATGAGCAATAACAGGTGGTGCTAACCTAATTCAGAAGTTTAGCGGAATTGCAAACGGTGCTGCATATTTATGCGTTTTTATTAGTCTCATTTCTTGTCCGTTATGGAAAAATGAGATCATGCGAATCGCTATATTACTATTTCTCATATTCTACGATATTGTATATACCGATGAAGTCAGTGATGTTGAAGAAGAGGGTTCAGGTATTTTTGTCCGAATTCCATTTTTTCTTTAATTCGTTTAGGTCGAACTGTTCTGGCTGATTGGATTGTCGGCATTCTTATGATGATTGTTTCATTGGCGTGCGCCATAGCTTATTATATTATATTATCGGTAATTATGTCGTCATTAAGAAAAGGAGCTATCCGCATCAGTCGTCGCGAGATCCAACTCCCATTTCGCAATTGTGGATTTTTCGAAATAAAAAATCCCCATTTTTTACAGCAATTTTCATTTCTTTTCTGAATATTCAAAGATTTTGAATGTCAAACAAACAAATTAATTGATTAATGGCAGATGAGGCGGATCAGTTCTAGTAAATCGGACTTTTCTCCGAAACAGAACAACTTTAACTCTTTTTTTTTTCAGATTATTTATCGCGATCCGGAGCTGATGAGAATGGCGAGCTATAGGTTGAAAATTTCTCAAAAACAAAACAAAAATTAATTATTTTTTTTCAGATTCATGTTTTTCCTAGGCGTTTTCGATATTATTCAATGCTTTCCGCATTTTGTCACCGGCATTTTCAATTGTTTCCAAACGGTTGGCCATCCATATTTGGCAAAGGCACCAACTCATTCATCGACTTTATTCGAAACTTTCCATATTTAGGCGATGGGTGTTATTGCGACACCATGCTACGTGGCATACGCTGTTCTCATCATATTTCTATCATTGAATCGTTTGATTCAATTGACATCGAGTCGATTGAATTCGGCGCTTTATGGCGGGAAAAAATGGATGGTATGTGGGTCGTAGAGAGAAAGACAAAGTGGGAATTCGCGACGGGACCCAAATTGTCATTGTCGCAAAATCTTGTCTGTTTCCTTTAAAAAAAAAGTTGCCTGTCGTTCTACGATGTTGCGTTGCGTTTAATTAAAGAAAAAGATGAATAAATCTGAACCACGTCTGAAGTACAAGGTCATGCAGCGAATAATTCTGGAAGCCGAATTTTTTTTTTAGGGAAACCCACGATAGTTGGAAAACTGCGCATTTTTGCGACACGATGAACGCTCTTGCGATTTTTCGTTTTTCAGGCATGGATTGGCATTGCTTTTGGATTCTGTTTTGCTTTTATGATCGCTCTGGCGAGCCCATATGCAACAATTCGATACATTCCGGAATGGTAAGCGGGTGAACCAAAAAAAACTAAATGTTTAAGCGCAAGAGGTGGCTTTAGAAAACCAAAGACCAATACACATTATGCAAATTTTATTATGTTGATTATTGCACATATTTTATTAAACCTTTAGTAACCGATATCATGTTTAAATGAAATCATTGGAATGTCGTGAAGAATGCCAATTTGAACCGTTTTCTCTTTTTATATATATAAATTTAGATCTAATACTTTTATAGTGCAATTTTCATTGCTAATGGAATTTAAAGGAACATCAAATCTTTGATCAAATTTTAAATTACTTAAAGTTCATTTTGTATAAATCGAAAAGAAATGAAAATATTATTAGTGCATGTCTGATATCACTAATTAATTAATTGTCGGAAATTCAAAAAAAAAGTTCAAAAGTATGGGGGCCCTGCGGGGCAGCTCCGAAATTTTGTTATTGAATCCGCATGAAGTGTGCCTCGATGGTAGTATTGGGAAATCGTGCTCATATCCACTATTTAGTAAAATCCTAATTTTCAGGTACAGCTGGGATTATGACACTGACTACATTTATTCGAAATACGTGCAACGAGTTGAAATGTACATCGAAGTCGGTGGAATATTCGTCTCTGCGTTCTTTTACCTCCTCATTGTTATTCAACTAATCAAAACTGTAATTTTCCGTATTTTTCTGATTATTTAGAACCCGGTTTTTAGAGGAAACGATTCAAAATCTCATCCAACTTCAACGCTGAAATCAAAGTTTTGATTCAGGCTAGCGTTATCACAGTGTACTGCACAATTCTCAACATATTCTGGCACAATTATGAGGTTTTCAAAATTGTAATTCTATTTTCCGTTTCTCTTTTGTTGTTTTTTTTTCTGAAGCCAACAATCATCAAAAAATGCATTTTTAGGCGCTTCTTCCGATGAATCTTTGGACGTACACAGCCCTTAATTTTATGTGGATATTAAACAGCGGAGTTTACCCGCTGATTTATTTCATTGTAAATAAGTGAGTTGAACGAGTTCATGTCGAATTCGAAAATCATTTTTGCAGGGCGTTACGCAAAAAGATCGTTGTGAGAAACACGATGACCGCCATTGGTGGCACTTCGATGTTTGTGAGGAATCGTGAGAAACATGGTACTAGAAATACAATAACTACGATAGCATAGTTTGAAGCTTGATAATTTTCGATAATTTTCAGCTAATTTTGTTTTTTTTTTTACAGAGATTTAACATTATACGGGAGATGCCTCGTTTATAGATTTTTTTTTTGCTTTGAATTCGTATATTTTATGAACATAAACTGTGTCCTACTCTTTAATTTTTTTTGTTATTTTTTAAGTGACCAATCAGGTCGAATCCGCCGATTTTATATAAAATTGTCGACTTACGCGCATGCGCCTTGAAAAGGTCTCGCCACGCGTGAACTCTTATTTTTCTGTTTTCGCGTGAACGATTTATTTTTTCTTGATGAATTTCGCATTTCCTTGAATTTCCAACGTTATTCCATTAAAAAATTATCGAACCGGTCCATAAAATTTGAAACAACCTGTTCGTCCTTGTGAGACCATTTCGAAAGACGCATTCCCGTAAATCTACCCGCCTACAACAATCGCCGGACGCCTGCGATATATTTGTTGTATATTTTCTGAAAAATGAATTGATAGCGAAATTGAAAATTTCGTGAACTCTATTTGACACATTGACGAAGTCGCGCGACTGCGACGCTAATGGATCTATTCAGTGAATGTAAATTAAACAAAAACGACAAATTTTCATTATGCAGCGATGTCGTTTTTGTCGCAATAAGCGCTTAATTTTACTGAGGGGTACTGTAGATCGCGGGTCGATATTTCAAAAAAATTGGCACATGCTCCTTGAATATCGATTTTTTTAAAATATTTTTTATATTAAAATTTTCGTATTTTCACTCGTTTTTCGCGGATTTTTTAAATAATTTAAACTTTTTTTTGAGTAACACTTGGTGATATTCATAAAAACTACTAATTTGTGCATATATTTCCTTTTTGAAGCATGTCATTCGCTGAGTATGAAGGAAACGACTCTTTGGTCGAAGACGTGGTGGAGGCACATGGGCCAAGAAATTTGCCAATTGCTGAACAGCGTGAAGAAGCTAAGCGCACGAGAAGGAGAAAGCCACTTGTAGATGACGGATATGAAGCGGTGAGTATTTAAAAATGAATTGTTGGATTTTATAAATTAATTAAATTTTTTTAGTTTCCACAACACTTTATTGTGGACTTCATCAAGACCGTTGAGCAGTACCCAAGTATTTGGGACTCATCTATTAAAGAATACCACAGGAGAGAATTGAAGCTTAAGGTCTTTCAGAATATCGAAAGCATGTGCAAGAAATTTCTCCGCGCCGGAAGACCAAATGGTATTTTCAAAACCACTATCGGTAAAATTGAAGTTTTAGGTATGACGGCTTGGAAATTGTGGGATTCGATAACGCGCGATTTCAATAGACATGTGTTGCGAATCCAAAATGCTCGATCTGGAACTGGAACATTGGAATCATCATTTCCGTTTGCGGAATATTTACAGTTTTTGGATGGAGTCAGACACAAAAGACAAGTTAAAAAGTAAGTTTACCTGTTTTTTGTTAATTTTTTTTACTACAGTGCCTTCATATGCGGTGATAAAAGTATTGAGTTGCTTGAATCGCGGGGACCCTCGGATAGTCCGAAGACTGCTAAACGAAGAAAATCAGGTTTCTAGCAATAAAAAATGGAGTTTTATGGGTATGTTTTAGACAGCGATGAGCTGATGAGTATGTTGCGCGAGACGAACAGCGAAATCAAGCAGCTGCTTAGATCGAATGATGAGGAAGCCAAGGAAACCCCCAAATGTAAATTTGACCGATTGTGCAGGGTCATGGCCAGCCACGTTGCGGATTGGCCTGAATTGGATCAAATTCAAGCCGAAGCGAAAGCGATCGCTTTCATCATGGATCTCCAACCGACGGGCAAAAGAAATGAGCAGACGACTTCTCTCAGTTTGTTGGACGAAAATTATTTTTAAGTATTTTTTTTATTATATTAACAATTAAATTTAAAAAGATAAACATTAAACATGATAAAGAAGATAATTTTTTAATGCCGTTCTTTGTTCTTCGGCATCGCTGTATGGGTCTTGAAGTAAGGGAAAGTTGTGGTCAGGTGGAAGATCGGGAGGAGCACCTAGTGATATGTTATGTACAACTGAAAGTGCTACAATGAGGGCGCGCGAAGAAGACGGGTCCATATTAAGGGCTTTTTTGAAAATCTGGAATTTCGACTGCATCACACCAAAAAAATTTTCAATTTTCACCCTAGTTGCCGACATAATCTCGTTAAAACGCATGTTTTCTGGAGTCAAGGAAAGCTGCCTATAGGGTTGCATAAGAAACTTAGATAGTCCAAATCCGTTATCAGCAATTATAAATGGAGGCATTATAATGGATGAATTCGGAAGCGGGCGATATCCACCTATTGTGGCTACATTTTCGAGGAGTGCTCCCAAAGGCCCATCTCTGAACATTTGGGAGTCCGAATTTACTCCAAGCTCAGAGATTTGCAAATATATAACACGCAAGTTTGCATCACAACAAAAAAGAGAATTAAATGAATAAAACGACTTATAATTATAATTTAACGATCCTGTATGCGCAGGATGCTCGATCTTCCAATGCTTTCCATCCAATATGGCAAAACATGGAATTCTTCGACGAGGAGTTCGATCAGAAGAGTTCATAAATCCTTCTTCCAGACGAATTAATTCTCTTCGATTTTGTGGCAATCGGATTTGTTCTCCGGCAACTTGGACGATATCCTCGATTGTATCTCTAACTAGTCGAGAAATCGTTGATTGCGAAACTCCAATTTCCTTCGCAAGAAGATTTTGGCTAATACCTATAAATTTTATAATTTTAATGCTTGTAAAAAACTAACAAACAACTAAAAAATAACCTTCTCTTGTGTATTTTAAGAAAACTGCCAATCGAATTGTCGCATTGATTCGACCTTCGTGATTTCGGCATATCTTCAGAAGTTCCATGAACGTGCTGTTAGAAACGCCGGTCACGAACTTAATTTATTCTACATTACTTATGCAGAAATTCACTTGTTTTACTTGTTTCCTTACCTCAATACCACCACAATCTACTAATCGGTTGACTTTTTCACAAAAAAGATCGAAGCTCTGTTTCTTGATCACTTCAATTGTTTCAGATGCATTCAATGCATTTTGTTTCAATATCCAAACCAAAATAATTCGTTTTTTCATAAGCAGTGCAATCTATAAATTCATTTATTTGTTTTTTGTTTAAATTGTATTTCTTACTATAGCCTTTTTCTTATTTCGTAACCTATCCAAATTAGCCATGGAACGATCTGAAATATTCAATTTCTTTAAATTAAAACAATATTCGAATAAAATCGATTCAGTTTTGGAATAGAAAAAAACGAAAACGATATGAAATTATTATTTAAAAGTGTTACTCAAAAAAAAGTTTAAATTATTTAAAAAAAATCCGCGAAAAACGAGTGAAAATACGAAAATTTTAATATAAAAAATATTTTAAAAAAATCGATATTCAAGGAGCATGTGCCAATTTTTTTGAAATATCGACCCGCGATCTACAGTACCCCTCAGTAAAATTAAGCGCTTATTGCGACAAAAACGACATCGCTGCATAATGAAAATTTGTCGTTTTTGTTTAATTTACATTCACTGAATAGATCCATAAACGCAAACTTTGTGAACTCCATACGAACAATATGTGCCATAAGCAGTCGCGCGATTTCGACAAAATATTGGTTTCGGTACCTCTTTAATGCACTTCACAATCAGCGTTGTCATTTTCAGATGTAATCCCCAAGTGTTGAAACAAAAACACGAAAAATTAGAAGAAACGACAGCCACAACGGGTACAACGGTAAATTTTGGTATAGTCCATTTTCTATTAAAAAAAGGAGATCAATCGTAATCATTCTGTCTTTAGACGCGTTAGTATTGCGTCAAGAACAATGAAAAAAATAAAAGAAATGCGTTTGAATTGCCGCCAAAGCAAAAAAATTTTTTAGATTAAATCGCAATAATAGCGACGAACATTCTAGTTGACTAATGAACTCGTAGACGAATTTCACAAAACGCGCCTTTTGCAGCTTATCACGGAAAATGTCCGTTTCTTATTTTTTTTAATCGATCCTTTGTACCTATATTTCTTCACAAACAGGTCCCGAATGTTCGCAGTTAAATCGTTTTGTTCCTTAGGTCTTGCCATCATTGATTTTGTCAAGTCACAATTCTAAATTCGATTTGAGACGCGGAGAAAGTCAACATAGAAATCAATTCATTTTCAATACGCATTATACATATCAGCGGCGAATTGGAAGCGCTCCCTCAAATAAGTATTCAATATCGATTGTTCCAACGTTCCGATTTGCACATTCATTCTTTGCAGCTCCTCCTCCATTTTATTCACCGCTTGCTTAATTTTGACCAATGGCGCTGAAATCGTTGACTTGTATTTTTATGAACCGACGATTTTTCCAAAGTTTGAATTTCGCGTGCTGCCATTTAATTGATAACGGTAAAAAAATCCAAAATACTTAAAATTCTTTTTTTTTTAAGTTCCAATGTTTTTTCCCATACAAGGATCCAAAGCGGTAAATTCAAATGATACAGTAATCGCCCCGACAAAATCGTCTTTCGTTGACAATATTAATAATGAATTACCTCCATCGTTTGATTTGGCTCCTTGCTCTTCAATCTGCTGCTTCAACTGCTCAATATCCTCGCTGATCTGGTTGAGCTTGTCGGTCCTCGAGCTCACACCGACCGACGCCGACTTGTATTTCTCGCGTAGTTCGGCTCGGCGATCCTGTGCGGCTCGAAACTTCGACATCATCGAACTCAATTGATTGTTCAATGTTTTCTCGCGCGACGCGATTCGTTCAACGGTTTTGCTCATCTCTTTCGACATCTAGAAATATCGAAAAATACGTTTTGCAGTTTTCGGTCCATTATGAGATATTGATTGAAAAATATCGTTTTCAAAATAAATTTTCATTGAAATATTTTCGCAAGGGAGGTCTTTTATCTGTCCACCTTAAAGATCTCAGAAAGGCACTATTTTCGGCTCTCCAAAAACTGCAAAATATATATTCCAATGAAACCCCACCTGATCTAAAGTCGGCTCGATCAGCTTCATTTGCCCTTCAACTGTCTTCTGCATCGTGTGCATCTGCTCCAGATGAAGTCTCCAATCCTTTGCGTCTTGTCGAATAGTGATCTTCAATAGAGGAGCAACGCGATCAACCTCCTGCTTCCACTGAATCACATCAGTGGTGTTGTGGAGCATTGCTTGCAATGGTGCCTCCTCGGTGATAATCGTCGGTGCTTTGAGATCAATCGAAATAGCGTCGTCGTCGTCGTCGTCACCAATGAGATCGTCCTCTTCCACAATTTCGTCGTCATTACTTCCATCGTCGTCTTCGTCGACGTGAACGTCGTCATCGTCATCATCCTTCGGTGGAATCATTCTGGAATGTTTCGACTCATTCTGTTGAGGTTCTTTTTTTCGCGAATAACTACCGCTTCCATGCGAATCCGGTATGAATTAGGGCGGCATCGGCAAGCGAGTTGAGAATATGAATGGCTGAATCGCCGGCGCCGGACTTGAGTTTGTTCGCCGGAAAATCGACAGCGATTCCCTGAAAACCAAAAACCAAGTCATGATTCAATTCATCAAAAATTTTCGCCGCGGGACATTCCATCGGCGGCCACGATTCTAACAAAAACCTCGATACGTCTCCTGCCGATAGCCATCTCAACAACACGGCAATCTACCTCTCCCCCCCCCTCTGTCCAACACTGAAGGCACCATATTCGAGTCTTGCGAATATTGAATGATCGGCATCTTGTCGCCGATTCGACATCAACGTCATCATTTCGCCGACGACGAGAGAGAAAAAAGTTTTAAAGCCTCAGCATTTCGTTTTTATAAAACACACTGTTATTTACCGGAATTGGCCTCGCAATTCTTATCCCGAATTACAATCTATTTTGACCTTTTTTCTCGCTGAACACCATCTTGATTTATTAAAATCTGAGGTTTAAATGATCAGAAAATTTGAAACAATAAGTAGCGCGAGACATGCGATCGAGGGGAATTGCGACATTAGTTTTTAATACCATTTCATGATTCATATCCTTCAATAAAATTGAATTCGTTAATAAGAATGAGAATTTATGTGTACACGAAGACGCAATGTTGCCCAAATTTCTCATTTCTCATTAATCAAGCTGTGACAATTTCACATAACTTGAAATTTTTCAAAAATAAATCTCATCCGCGTATACTTTATCATTTTTTAAAGACTGCTATGCAGATTAAAAAAAACTCGGCTAAAACTAGCGTTTTTTTACAACTTGCTTGTGGTTTTTTTTTAATAGTTTTTAAATATTTTAACCGAAAATTGTATTTTCAAACAATTTGCTTCCTTATTTTCAAGATACATTCCGCGATGTCAACGAGTCTATTTATTTTTACAGACTTTGATGGTTATCGAGAACTTGGCGGACTCCATTGATTGTCGTTTTTTAATTCATGGTAAGACCCCACCGACATCGCCAATTAATAATAACAATATGATCGTATTAATGCAATTTAAACGATTGATAAAACGTACACCGTTTTCCAATGAAGCAATGCAAAAAATGCTATGTTTGCTGTAATTAAATGACGATGAAACCCATGAGATATACTGTTGCTGTGCGTCTTTTTTTTCTAAGTTACGGTATTATTTCCTTAGACAATATGATGCCTGTAAAATAAAAATTACATTTCTTAAGAAATATGTAGTATCGAAATTTCATGAAATAAACGAAAAGCACATTGCGCATCGAGACCACGTTTTAAATTTTCTGGCAATTAGCCAATTTGTCGCGGTGCGACGTCAACAATAGAAAATTAAAAAAAAATCAAATAGAAAATAATAATACCGTAACTTCTAAAGAAAGACGCACGACAACCAATTGTCTCAGTGGTCTCGCGGCTTTCGTCATTATTTAATTACAGTACACATTAAATTTGTTTGCATCGCTGCATTATTTTAATAATGTTTAATTCTTAGGCAAATCAAATAAAATATTTTGAGAATCAAATATTCAATAATGAATTCTAAAGAATTATGAGAAATTCTAAAGTTTATTGATACTTTCTAAAACTTATTGAGAATCGCTAAACATAAAAATTCTTTTAAAATCTTATAAGATTTTATAAAATTTATTGAGCAAATTATAAATTATCTCAATAAATTTTAAAATCTTATAATAATTTCTAAAGTTGATTGAGAAAAATCTAAAATATTATAGAGACACTTTAGTTTCGCAATAAATCTCATAATATTTTATTCGATTTACCTGAATTTTTAATAACATTAATAGGTTCAATGATAATCCGTTCTTTAGTTATCACCGCGAAACGGTATTTTCGACTAATCGCATTTCTATTTATCGTCTTATTCTTCGCAATCGTTTTCGGCTTACTAGCAGGTTTATTTTTAATTATTATTATTAGAACGTGAAAATTTCGGGACCAAAAATTTTGCAATATTCAGGTCTAACAATATTCGATCGTCAGCATAATCATATAATACATGACTATGTTGCGCGTAACGATGACCTCATTGTGCTTTCAACGACCTACTACGAAAACTCGAAGAGCTTTCCCGAAAACACCGCGGTGATTCTATTCAACGCCGTTCAAGTGTTCCATCTCAAATACGCGCATCTTGATGTCGTTGCCGAAACATTACAAGGAAATGTTGATGTAAAATTTAGGTATTTCAAATCAACTAGAAATAATCATATTAACAATTTCTAGAATTGAGCCAGTTATAAAACAACTCCCATTTTATTGTAAATGGGTCCCATACTTGGCGATCGGTCAGGTTCCCGACGATCACGTCCTCCTCAATCTCTCAACGAATAAGCAAGACGGAATGGAATTGGCGCTGCGGACTCCGTTTCACACGCCGAAAAAAGTGGTCGCATGCTTTTCGCCGCTTTTCCTCAATGAACGTTGGCAATTGTTGTTGGCGACCGTTGAGATTTATTCGCACTATGGAGCTCATTTACATTTCTACGTGCGATCAATGATCACCGATTTGTTCGCAATGATAAAGGAAAATAAAAATGTGAGCGAATCGGCGTTTTTTTTTCAATGAAATCGAATGGTTTCAGGTTCGAGTCACACCATGGTCGAATGTGCGATTGGGCGCGAATCGCGCTGCATCGAATCAATTCGATCCGAACACCGAGCTCGAGTTTCGGAATCAGGCATCAGCGATGACCGATTGCTTATTGCTATACAAGGAATCGGCAACGTTTGTCATTTTTCCCGATCCCGATGATATAATCATTCCATCAATAGCGAGAACCTATGAGGAGGAGTTTGTCAAGGTTTTAGTGGGACCTTCGATAGAAATTCCGCAACGATCACAATGAATCGAACAAAGAATCTATTTTGTTGCAGATCTTCGATATGTTCCCGACGGCCGGCGCGATCGCTTACAACGTGACGCAGTCAATAGTGGAATCTAGTGAGTAAAATCTATTTAGCTGAATGTGACACAAAATAGTCTGAGAAGGGTGGAACGATAGTAAATGTGTAGGTTTACGGGGCTAACAAAACGGATACGCGTCAAGACAATCCTTCAAATTTTTGACATGTTTAGCCAATAGAAAAAAAATTAACATTTCTAGCGACCTCAACATCTCGCTACTCGCCGCTCGGTTTAATGTCGTCGATAAAGTTCGAGGGCGAGCAACGTTGGGGAAAACTCGTCGTGAGGCCCGAACGCGTCGACAGCGTCTGGATTCATCGAGCGTTCGGAATACGCGATGGATTCGAGCAGGTCAGCCTTCCTGTCAACATCAATTCGGTCTTGCATTATCGCACGTGGAATTTTGTGGAAAAGACGAAAAGAAATATTTCAAGCATGTCTGGTAATATATATGTATATATAAATAAATTCTCAATGTTTCAATCTCCTAGACATCCCGTATTACGATCCGGAACGCGTGAATGCTACCCAACGTCGAGTTTTCACTTTAAGCGATGGTCTGAAAATCGAAAGGAATTTCAAAAAGAAGATCAAGAAGATGTATAAGGTGGGAGGAAACGTTTCAATAAGTTCAAGTTCTATTGCGAAAATTCTTTGGTCTTTTACGTTGAAGCGCGATAAGAAATCGAATCGATGACGCACATCGATCGGCGAATGTCGAAACTCAATTCTACCAAAGGAACAAGATGAGATTGATTTGCGCGTTTTATCGATGTATTCATGCGATGAAAAATTTTTTTTTAATTTCAAAATATTTTCAACTAATAGACCTATTCACGAAATGAAAAATTCACACATTTTTCTAATGCATTAGTGTATTTCTTTTTATTTTTTTGTGAAAAATTACATTTCATGGATAGGTGAGAAATAATATATTCGCAAAAAAAAGTTCCCCCCAACCCGCGCCGATTTAAGATGAGTTAGCTTCGTAGGTTATCCAGTGTACGGTATCCGAATTCCCATTGTTTAAATTTGAATTTGAATTATCGCCTCGAAAAAGAACAATGGTCCACGATTATGCAAGGTTCTCGTTTTTTTTTACGATGGTAATATAAAAAAAGAAATTAAACGAAATTTCTTGAATATAGCATTTAGAGTTAGAATTTCTTCAAACTTAATTTATTATCGATCTATTCATGAAATATGTATATTATTTTACAAAAAAAAATTTAAATGTGACATTGAATGTGGATTTAAAAAAAAGAGTAATCTTTGGAAAAAAAAAGTCTGGTTTTTTTTTAAACATTTTTTATTGCATGAATAGGTTTATTATTATTCGAAATTTCTCAATAATTTCGAAATGGAGACGGTTATAGATCAAAACGATTATAATATTGAGACCAATTTTTGGTTTATATCGATCTCCGAATTTGTAGATTTATGCGCGATCAAAATATTAAATGCACGTACGATAAAATGAAGAGTACACAAACGCGCATAGTTCTCTTTGCCTCGATCTATGTGCTCCACAACATGGAACATAACCAATATTTTTTTTACTTTTTTCGATCAGTCATTTGAAATAGACAAAACGATCCCAATTAAACATCGACCTCCATTTATGCGTGTCGGGCTACATGGGCGACTTTTGTTTAGACTAGTAAAAACTTTTCCCTTGTTCCCCGATCGAATCGTTGAGATCGAAAAAAACGAGCGCCTTTCGCCGATTTTATTTTGCTTCGCCGGTTGTTAGTAGTACTGTAGCCAAACTACCACTGTATAAAAAAAATTTGATTTCCCGCCTCGAATAATGGGATGGTCCACAATTACAGGGTGTCATTTAAGTTCCCGCACAAATGTTTGACACCATGAAGAGCTTGGCTGTTGCACTTTTCGTGCACCAATACAACTTATTTTTGTTAAATAAGGTATATTTTACTTACTTTCCAAGTTTCACCACATTCGGATGTGTTTCCGAGAAATGGCGAAGGCTAACATCCATCGCGCTTCCATTATCGAACTTCATAAGCAAAATGTGAGCCCGAGAGACATCATTCAACGGGTCGGTGTGCTTCGTAGAACGGTTTACGACACCATCAAACGTTTCAAGGAGCTAAATACGACCAGTGACCTTCCCAGACAAGGAAGACTCGTCTCAGTAACCACTCCTCAGAAGATCAACGCCGTCAAATCGAGGATCAGGCGAAACCCCCACAGGAGCATGAGAAAGATGGCGTCAGACATGGGAATGAGCATCTTCGCTATGGAACAAATCGTCAAAACGAAGCTTGTACTGACTCCATATCGTGTCCAAAAAGCGGCAATTCTATCGGCCGTCAACAAGCAGAGACGCTTCGAAAAAGCAAAACGACTTCTTGCTCGCACGCGGTCTGGACAACACCTCGTCACTGTCTTCTCCGACGAGAAGCTGTTCACTGTGGAGGCGGCATTCAACTCACAAAACTATTGAGTACTTTCCCAGACATCCCAGCAAGCTTCTGGGAAAGGCAGAACAATTCATCGAGCCTCGCATCCTGCCAGTGTGATGGTTTTCGGTGCCATCTGCTCAACAGGGAAGTGCCCCCTGGTTTTCGTGGATCAGGGGGGTGAAAGTGAACAAAGAAGTCTACGTTCGGGACATTTTGGAGAAGCATGTGATGCCCTGGACCCAAACGCATTTCGGTGGGCAGAAATGGGTCTTTCAGCGGGACGGAGCACTCGCCCACACTGCCAAAACTACTGTGGAGTGGTGCCAGACCCATTTTCCCGACTTCATCAAGTCATCCGAATAGCCTGATTGCTCCCCAGACCTGAACCCGCTTGACTTTTCCGTGATGGGGTCTTGCAGGAGAAGGTCAACGCAAAACCCCACTAAAATGTAGAGACTCTGAAGAAGACATTACTGGCGGAATGGGACAATCTTTCCATCGAATACCTGCGTACCACAGTCGAATCCTACCCAAAGCGTCTTCGTGAAGTCATAGCTGCGAAAGGAGGCCGAATCGAAAAGAGTTAATAGATAAATATTTGTTATACTATAGATAAAAAATATTTCGAGTCTCGTTTGATTTGGACTTTTAGTTTCAGAAATATACGTCTTCAAAGTTGTGCGGGAACTTAAATGACACCCTGTATACAATTGTGCAAGGCACTCAATTTCTTGCGACAGTATTATTTATTATTATGGCCTAGCATTTAATCTACGCTTATGTGCATTTTTCAAAAAATTGTCTTTCGCTGCTCAATACTTTTATCTTTCGAACATGTACCCTTAAACATCTACAGTAATAATTGCTTCACTGATTTCTCGAACATCCCTAACGCCAATTGTGCCGCACGTTTTTTTTTCAACCGAACTTGTTTAATTTTTGCCCTTTTTAGGTCTACCATCGCCTGCCAACAGTTTCACTATACTATCCACTCATCGAAGAATGCTATAATCGAATATTCTACAAGGCCAGTGACATGGGCAGCGTGTGCAAGGGTCCCGAATACTGCAACATTCCCATGTTTCCGGGCATGCGCTGCACGAATGTAGCCAGCGAGTTTGTGACATACAACAATTATCAAAACGTCTTCATTCATCAATTGATCTCCAGCGATTTCGAAGACAGTGAAAACGGCTGCACATTGTAGCCGGCCACCATTATCATTCATGTCACTGTTGTGTTTCTGTTTCACTCATTTTTTTCTTGTTGTATGTTTTCTACGGGTTTCGCACCTCGCACAATAATAGGATATCGAATTGAAAAATGAAAAATTCGAGTCTCACCTTATTTTTGGCCTCATTCGTGATTAGTGTCACCGTCGAATTCGGATCATCGAATTCCTGCGGCATCGGGTAATTCTCATTGCCAGAGATTCTAATCAGCCAGGCGGCCAGCGAAGTGAACAGAAAAAATTGTTCTCCGACATTTGTTGATTTCACGAAGTAGTGTCTGGGTTTTCGATGAAAAAAAAAGCAATGAATTATCAATAGAATACCGATGAATTGTTTTGTAAGCGCTGCCAAGTTTTAAAAAATTGTTCTCATAGTTTAACAACTTCAGTTTATCAACAAGTTCTTCGTTCTTAAAAATAAAGAATTTTGTCGCAATGATAAATGATTGGTTTCCAACCTTTATATATATTTCGTATTCTTTTCCAGGACCCTCTTCCGCGGCCCCGCCGGGTACAGAGTCCGCATGGTTTTGAATATCCTCGGCGTCTTCTTCTTCCATAATTTTTTTTTCTGAAAATTTTATGGCAAACTTCGAATAAAACGAAACGTTTCAGTCGAATTGAGCGGTGAAAATTGGGGAAGAATATTCTAATTTGGCGAAAAGCCAGAAAACAAATAGTATAATATTTAGAATGTCGCCAAAATTCCAAAATGTGGTCAGCACTTGCATTCTCGTTGTCATGGGAACGCCGCGCGCAAATTTCGCGAGCGAATTCAAAAATTTCCGCAAGTAGAACGAGATTTTTATTATTTCTGCATTGGCTCACGATGATTTTCTTTATTATTATGCTAAATAGTTGAAATAGTCGTAATTAGTGTCAAATTAGACAAATTTTGCGAATCTACATTAGGTAGTGACAAGTTCGACATTTTTTAAACAAAAATGAGAAAAAAATAACGACTGCAATGTTTATTGTTTTTTCTGCATTGAAATTTTTCCATTTTTTTTTTTAATTTTCTCTCATTTTATTTTACCCTTTTTTTATTATCAGAGAAGAACACATTTCTATTCTTTTTTTTTACTGAATTTCCCCTTTACGGTTTGATATTAACGTGAGACCACGTTAATATCAAACCTTTAACAATTCTCTCATTTGTATTCAATTATAAATAATGATCGGTTGTAGCAAAGGTACCGCAACCCCTCCCAGGAAATAAATTTCTTCAACAATTCCCATTTTAGTTTATTCGTTGTTAGAAAGATTCTCGAAAAACGAGACATATTTAGGATTGAGAGATTTTTCGGCGTGTTTAGATAAGGTGGCGCCCATCGAATTGAACAAAAATTGTCAAAAGTTCAACATATTCAGGTGTTTCATATTTGCTGGATCGTGTTTTCTGTGTTTCTGATCTCGGCGTTATTTCTCATAATCTTGCCAAGTGAGTTGAAACGTTCCGAATCGCACTGGTTCATCGCTGTCTGCGCATTTTTGACGCTCGTTTTTCTGATCAATATCGAATACCACTACTATGCGAGCCGTCGCAAGAAAATTGTGGAAAAACCGGGAGTTCGAACCAGAATGAGTCGAGAATTATTGAATTTTTGAATTGATTAGAAGCCTGGAGACGCGTTCTGCGAGAAATGCGATTATTGGAAGGGCCCGAGAACCCATCATTGTCGATCATGCGACAGGTACTAAATCGTTTTTTTGTTGTTTCAAATCAAATCGCATCCAATTCAGGTGCATTTATAAAATGGACCATCATTGCCCATGGATTGGCCAATGCGTCGGCGCTCACAACATCCATCATTTCGTTCTATTCCTTTTCCAGCTTCTGTCTGCAGCGATCCTCTTTTTTGTGCTTTTTTCCTCGTTTTGGTCACGATTTTTCAAGGTAACCTCAAAAATCGTTAATCTCTTCAATTAAAAAAGTAATATAGAAGTATATTGGACTTCACACCATCCATTTTTTAATTACGGGCCATCTTAAGCATGAATATTGTACTTTTAAAGATATTCGTATACTGAAAACAATAACTTGCGGTGGAAGTAATTCTCATTTTCATATTTATAAAACCATCTTTAAAAATTTAGTGACCCCAATTATATTAACATTTGTTGGTACAATGTTTATCTTCATCATATTCTCGGCAATCGTCCTTTTAGCTCAATATGTCTATTATATTTCTCTCGATGAAACGATGGTCTCAATTCTGGTAGTATTCCCATATTGAACAATGTTATTTTCTGAAACCATTCTTCCAGAAGAATAAAAGTAAATCACGATCACCGGCGACTTTCACCCAATATCTGAACAATTGGCGGATGTTCATCAGAAAATTCACACGCGATCGCTCGCTTTTGAGCATTTTAATCATTCCCGGACCATTTCCTGATGTTATCTATGAAGATGACAAATCTGAGATTTGATCAATGAATCCTTTATTTTGTTGTATTAATTTAGTGGTTCCATTGAAATCTACATCTTCGATTGACTCATTTGAGAAGAAGCGCCCATTGCACTTGACGTTACGCTAGTGCTCGACGCATCATTTTTGATTGTCGTCGATGCACTTCCGTCGTCCTTCTTTGACGCTCTGTGACGAACAATCTAATATTTGAAAAATTGTTTCAAAATTAAATTCCGGTATAGTTACGTTGGAAATTCCGATTGGTGGTCCGCCCGGAAGAGGTCCGTTCAAGTCATCGAAAAGCCCAGGCTCCTTTATCATTTCAAACCACGCAGGTAATTGGCTCGCATTTGTTATATTCTGCATCATTGACACTTAAAAAATAAAATTAGTCGAATAATAAATTATTTAAAATTAACTTTTTAGTTTCGGGTGCATATCTCTACTGTACATTTCGTTCAGCGCCAACTTTGACTTTGCCTCAATCCTCAACAATTTTGCTTGCATCTATAATTTAAAATAGTTTCTTTTTGTTTAATTTGGTACTCACTTACCATTCCTATTATAAGAGAGACGTTTAGAACTGCGAAGATGAAATTGAGAAGTGGAATGACAGTATTAATAATTCCACCTATGGCTAGAATACTGCAATATTTCAAAATTACCTCTTTTTTTTATTTTATTTTTATTTCTCACTTGACCCGAAGAGCCGCCAAAGACGCAGCATTGAATTCATCTGCCTTAACATGTTGAAATTAATTATGTATTTTTTAAGGAATCAATTTTTACCATCTTCTACGTGTGTTTTGTTGTTTAGAATAATCCAATAAACGAAACCGAAATAAATTCTGCCGTCGGATTGTTGTGTAATTTCAATAAAAAGGTCATCACGCAAACCGCTTCTCTGTAAGTTTTTATTCAAATTATTGAACAAATTCGCATAAATGAAATAAAAAATAATTGCGGCAAATAGTGTGCAGTGTCTGAGGTTCACGCTTGCCACTGACCTGCACATTTTCACTTTTTATTTCTGCTCTTTATTTCTGCCAATTCGCATTGCTCATAATTGCGAAAAAAAACGTTTCAGTGTTAAATTATTAAATTTCAGCTTCATGAATATACGGGTTATCGAATAATCAAAATGACAAAGGATGGGGGTGATTTCAGTGTTCGTTTCGACATCGATGATAAAGCAATTGATCCAAATGAGGTTTTCTCGCTTCAAAGCAGGGAAACAACTCAAAGAACATTTTTAGGGATCATTTTGGCTTATTGTATCGGCAGTTTTCTCATTTTTAATATGGGGTATTTTCTCGGCTTTCTACTTTTCTCGTCTCAGCGCGATTCTGTTCACTTTCATCATCGACAAGTACCTAAGGCTTTCAAAAAATGGGATATACTTCAAAATTGGGAGTATTTCGATTTCCGGTTTCACCGCCGGCAAAATCATGTTCCGCAACGTAATTTACGATAATGGCGACATGACTGTTAAAGTCAACGATGGCCATTTGATATTCAAATTTTGGAAACCAGTGGAAAGTCGACATCTTCAACTAGAAAAGTTTTTTAATCTCCCAATTTTCACAATATTGATTATTCAGAAAACTGGCGTCACGTTTGCAATTATGCCTCCACGGACTTCATATAAATTTGTACAATAATTTGGGAAAATACTCTGAGATTGCGAAAGTGCGACAATTCAAATGGTTTTTCGACAAATGCAATTTATCCGAAGTCAAGAAACAAATGCCACCAGATCGGTTTGAAAAAATTGATTTTGATTGTTTCTTTTTTGAACGATTTTTTAGTTCTCCTCCATCATCAGTGTGGAAAAATGTGTGGAATCTTCTCGGACTTGTACAAATCGATGTCTCCTCTGGTTGTTTTCTTGTCGGCAACAAAATGCTCCCATATGCACTTTGGACCCGTTTTGAAAATCTCACAAGTAACAAATTCTTGAAATATTGAAAGAAAAAAAAAGTAATTTAATATTTTAGGCAAAACCAGTGTGGGAGAATCGGAGAATGACAGAGCTCTTCTAACAATCGACGGCGACACTGAAAATGTCAGCATTTCTCTAATCAAAAATGAGGAATATCAATTTTCCGAGAATGATAAAGAGCCGCCGAGGACCACTGGAAATGACGGGTTCATGCTGCTCCAAACCGCTTCATTGCAATTTGTCTACAAGCAAGATCTTCTTGGATATGTCACCGATGATGAGTTTCAACAAATTCAAGCAAAGGTGCCAGTTTGGTCGTCTGAATGGAAATTTGGCGACAACACTGTTCTTTCTTATGGTCCGTGGGCTGAGCAACAACGAATGATCATTTATTCGTTTTTCTTTCCAGCCGATTATCAGGTTTTTTATTAGAGAAAAAATAAACAAAAATTTATAATATTAATAGACCGCCCAAGTGACTCCAATGCCGCAAAGAGGCCAAAAGCGGATTCACATCATTCACAAGGTACCGCTCGCATAAATATTTCTCATAGATTGTATGAATACATTCAGTCGAAAATCATTTTAACCAAAGAAACTTGTATGGACATCTGGTTTATGCGAGGCGGACAGCTTGAAAGCATCAGAACACGGTGTGGAAAAGACAGCACCATCGATGTAAGGTTTTGCGTTACATTTATCGGCATTCAAGTATTTTCAGATGTCTGTATTATGGATAACAACGAATAAGGGCTTCCACTGGGATATGCAGACCAAATTTTTCAAGTATGATATCAGCCGCGTTTCGATAGTTTTTCGTATCATTTTGCAGCTTCGAGACCACCACCTCATTATTGTTCACAAAACTCGTCGAGTGCCAGAAATTATGTGTAAATGGCAATTTTGTTTATCCATTGGTAAATTTGGCGAGAAAATTTTTGAAGATTTAAAATAATTTCTTTTTAGACATGGAATGGCGAGCAGATTTGGACCATTGACTACACGTTCTCGAAAGCCACTGCTTGGTTTGTGTGGGACCATAAAAGAATATTCACGGTATTCATTTTGCATTTTTTTCCAGATGAAAATGCATTTTTGCAGGATTTGATCAATGATTGGCTTGGTGAGGATCCGCCGGATATCACCAAATTCATACCATTCCGCGTGTACAACAATTTGAGAGTGGTCGACAGTTTTGAAGTGATAATGCTTCTCAATGAATGCAACTGGGTGGACGCTTCCGACAAAAACGCGGAGAATGTGGAAGCGGCGATTGTTGGCGAAAAACTCACATTTTGTATGCTCTCAGAAAAACATACTCATTTTAGCTAAAATGCTCATTTTCAGCCTTCGAGCTCCCGTTCACTGAATTCCTTCCGCAAGTCCAACATGTCAAATATCAAATGAAGGGTGAACGTGGTGTAGCGTTGAGGACGAAATTCCCGCCCGACTCGGCGACAGCTCCGATTCTTGCGGCGCTATCGAAATTGGCTCGCGGCTCGTCGAATGCACCGAAATCACCGCACGGAACTCATTCGCTTAATAAGGTGACCACTTTTTTTTAATTGAAAATTTGAATATTAATTTGCGTTTTTCTTTTCAGGATGAATGGTTTGAAATTTGGCGAACTGAGCTAATTGAAATGCGCTTCGATCATCAATACAAGCCGTTGGTTCTTCGCAAAAATATTCCATCGAGTTTGCCGTTCTCAGTTCTCGCCGATTATTTGCCAAAAGCGGCTACTCATCCTTGGAATGTAAGACGCTCATCGAATTTGAATTGAGATTATTTTTGGTTCAGCTAGAGCCCGATTATCTTGGCGTCGAAATTCTCATCGAAGGAAGCGAGGTCAAATTCACCGGGCTTATCGTGAAAATATTATTCGAACTCAAAAATAACTATTTTGGATGGTATGATTCGGTATGAAATTTTTGAATTATTAAATATATGTATCAATTTTTGGGGAATAGAGTGTCATATCATTTTCAGATGACTACAATCGATGAAGATGAGGAGAAAGATGTGACGAAAATAAAATCAGCGTTTGATCGTGTTCCAGTTGACGCGCCTGCTGAAATGTATCGTACAATGAATGTCGATGTGACGGTGCGCGTTTGTAATGTTCGCGCCGAAATGCTTCTCTACTCGCCTGCCGTCGATGAAAGTCTCGTACAAGATCCAACGAATAATGAAGCCGAGAAATGTCCGCTCATTTTTGTCGAAGAGATTGTTGTTGAAGTGAAGAAGACCAAAACGCAAGCGCTTATTCAGGTACATCCTTTTCGGAATCGAAAATTGATGTCCCATTTTATCATTCAGGTCGGCGTGAGCCCGGCATGTGCTTATTTGGATCGGGCAAGTGCTGACTCGCGAGCAGGATGCATCACATTGTCGGGACTTCAATTCAGGTTACTTTGCTAAAATTGTGTAGAAAATGAACTCAATAATGGAATTCGTAGAGGGCATGCTATGTATTCGTCAAAAGATGTCGCCTGGGATATGGGCGTCGTCGAATATGCGTGGATCATGGAAGTGATTGTGGGAGACATTTCCGGAACGCTTGACTTCCCCTCGCACGCATTCGTCCTTCATCAAATCGTCGAATCTCTATTGATTTTTATTGTATCGCCGGACGATGCTACGAGAATTCCGGAACGAATGCAGTTTTGCCATCATGGGCAATTAACGAAGTAAGTGAACAATTTATGAAATTTTTTCGATTTTTTAAAATTCATATTTGGTATTGGCGCTCGCCAATGTGCCTCATTAACTCAATAATAGTTAAATAATTGTCAGAGCGTGCTCAATTGCTGGAAGAGGAAAGAATGAGGCGAAAGGCGCGTGCGACACTGAAGAACAGTGAGAAAATTGCACGAAATTCATTCAAGAAGTTAACAATTTTCAGTTTAAAATATCGCCAAATTCGAATATCGGTCGATTCGGTGAATTTGACATTTGTTGAGGAGAAAACGCTCGTTCAAGTAGGCAAAAAACACCGCAAAAAATTATTTAAAAAATTTTTGATTTGTTTTTTTTTTTTTTTAGATTTGCGCAGATCCGCTGAGGGTTACCGTTTGCAACGCTCATGAATCGCGATTCACTGAGCATGTTTGTGTGAGAGTCCCTGGAATTACTGTCAAGCAAGGTGAGAAACTTCAATTAATTTGGTTTTTCTTTTGAGAAAATTGTTTTGTTAGCGGTTCGAATCAGCGAGAAACGCGAGAATGTTTGGGTTGAAGGCGCCAATATCAAAATCAATGAGATATCGCTTGACATCGAGCTACCAAATGACAAGCATGTCAGCTTTGATTTTGAGAATATGAGATATGATTTTGTGAAATTGCACGATGAGGAAACGAAACGACTTCATTTCCTATGGGTCGACCATTCGGTTTGGGGATGCGCATGCTATGGAAACACGTATTTTTTCGCTGAAATCGATACAATGTAAGTAGATGCATTTTTGGAGATTCTCTTATGCTCAATTATTTTGAGAGGCTCATCGTTTTTGGAGTATAAAAAGAAGCGCAAATTTTTTGTGCCGGCCATTGAGAAAGATACGAGCCTTCAGCCGATGGTGCTTCAGAGTATTTTGGAGAAGCGCAAATCGATGCTGAAAAAGCAGCCGCATCTTTTTTATAAGAACAAATCGGCAAAGAATCAGATTGAGTATCGGAACGCGGAATCGATGGATACCGAATCGTACCATTCGGCGAAATCGCAGCAAAATGTAACCAACTCGTACATTGTACATTGTTAGTGATTTTTTTTTTAGATTTTCAATCGAATTCTTCCGTCGCCTCAAATGACAACGATGTATGCGCAATTTGTGAACAATCTTTCTGTGAAAATGCCTGGTTGGTGATATTTGAAGAGGAAAAATAATACAGTTTCATCCAGAAAATATTGAAATGCCTTCGTTTGGTGAGCCCGGAGCAATTGAGCAATGGATTGAAGCGCATCCGCCAACGCAGCTCGAAATGGTAATTGTTGAATTTGTTAATTGATTGAAATTTTTATATCTAGAACGAGTCCAAGAAGGGCGTGAACAGCGTTTGTCTGATATCAAAAACCAAATCGGGAAATATGATATCGCAAGTAATGGAGAAACACACGAAAGAAGATGATGCCGATAGTGTTGAGGTAGAATTTGTGCTGAAAATGCTTACCGATTGCAAAATTTTGCAGTTTGACGGCCATCGTTCGGGACCAGCAGCTGCGCGAAAAAAGAAGAGGCTTGCGGTTAGCGGCGTTGCGGCGACATCTGTCGATGTAGGTGGTTTGATCAGAATGGAAAATTTGGTTAATGACAAAAAAGTGGTAATGAGCCTGCTAGTAGATTTTTGTTGCCGAGTCGTTCGAGAGTTACTAACGAAAAGAGTTGCCCAATGTGCTTGCCGTGGATGTGTCTTCTGACACACGGTCATTACAGTTAAAATATATGTTTAAAGGCGAACACTCAATTTAGTATTTCTTCCATGAGCCATGTTTATAATGAATATTTTCAGTGCTTCTTATCACCAATTGGATTGGAAGCTCTTGAAAAGTTTGTGCATGTCGCGACGAATTCGATACCTTCCATCAATCCGTGCTTATTGCTTCATATGTGCTATCGAGACTGCGTATTCCGGATGCATCGACAGCCGCTCACTGAAAGCCTATTCACTAATAACGAAGATGGTGCCAATTATTTTTAATTTCGATTTTAACCCAGACTATTCTAGAAGCTGAGCCGCCACCGGAGCTTGAGATAATGCTGGATTTGCCAAAAGTGAATATGACGTTGTTCCAATGCGGAATCAAGAAGAATGTGCCGCGAACGAATACGAATGAGCATGTGACGGCGAGCATCGCGTTGATTCTAATCGATCACGCTTGGATTCAGTCGAAATCGATGTATTGCATGTCGGGCAGCGTGATAATGCCGACGACGCCGCTCAGCTCGCATCAGCCGCACACGGCTAGCATTTTCTATCAGCTCAATTGCAATGTGATCACATCGCAATTGCTGCAAATCACCAATAAGGATGCGGCTGATTTTAGTGGTCCACAGGGTTCGGTGACAAGTACGGTGTCGAATTGGGATCAGTGCGCAATTGCGCAAAGAATGGCCGACGTAGAGCCGAGAGTCATGATGGATTTCAACATTTCCGATGTCTCGGTGGTTTTGGAGCGACGGCCAATTATAAGGGTATCGATTTCCCGAGAAAATAAACAGAATATTAAAATTTAACAAAATAATTTTTTTTAAAGAAAAGTAGCCCACGAATCAGTACGCCAATGAACTCGCCGGCCGCTCCACAAGTCAACAAGACATCGTCGACAGCGCCACTTACGACTCCCGACGTCGCACTGCCGCCCAAGCGCAAGCGACAATTATTACATGAGCATGACCTGAAGGTCTCAAATTATATCCAGATCATGTCTATTTTGATTAATTCAGGCTTCTGTTGGATCAGTCAACACGTCTGTTGTAATGGCACGACCGCAAGAAATGACCGCTGGCGATGAGTTTCCAATCTATGAGGCTCTCGCACCGGTGATTGTCTCGTGGATGAGCGTTCTTGAGAATTTCATTGACTCTGTTGTTGCACTTTTGAGCCAAACTGAGCGATGGCGAGGTGTTGCGATGGCAAAGGTGTTGAAATTGGCGCTGGATTGTACCGATGAGCGAGTGGTGCGAGATTTAAAAAAGATGGGTTTTTGAAAATTTAATATCAATTTCAGGCGGTGAAAGTTGGGAAGAATCGAATGTTGAGTGTTAGAGTGTTGGGACCTCATCAATCATCGTGTGCTTCATGTCTTCTCCTCAAGACGCTCTTCAGATGGTTTGCATACGATGATAAAGCTGTGGATGCGGTCGCTGATCGACTTGAAATTCGTCCGGAGTTTGAATTGGTTAGGGGGTTTTTTGGAATATTCGAAATTTTGATTCTTCCAGGAAGAAACGAGAAAAACGGCACTTATGGCATTGTTGAGTCATTGGCAGCCGGATGTTGGACGGGAGTTGAAGTTGGTCTCGATGGAAGACGCTTCTCGATTCAAGGTGACGCGACCCGATGAAGCCGCGATCGCTGCGTTGACCAAATTTAGTAAACGGGGAAGGAAAAAGAAAAAGTCGCCGATAAAAGAAACGCGAATTGTCATTGAGCCAACGCCGAAGATCAATCCGCCGACGGAGAAAAATGAGCTGTTCGTTTGCGAGAATTGAGAAACTACATATTCTTGAAACATTTAGACTGCGAAATTTGAAGCGAGGACGATTGTCGCCGGCGCCACTTTTACGGAAATTTCGCAAAAAAGCTGGAAATGATGGTGAATGGGATGAGGAGGGCGATGTTGAGGATTTTGGAAGTCGGGTGAAGCTGACGAATGAGAAGGATGGACTCTCGTTGGGAGATATTGTAGGAATCGAGTCTTGAATTTTAATTCTTCGATTTTCATATTCAGGAAATGCAAGAAGTTCGAGATTATTCTGACGACGAGGATGAAGAAGACGATGAGGAGGAAAAGAAGAAGAATGAAAATGGTAATGAAAATTTTCATTTTTTTTAGAAGATAATTAAAATTTTAAACAGTTGATTTGTACACGTGGATGAGAAATGCCCAACGAGAAACGGCGTTGAAAAAAAGGAAATTGGCTGGAATTGAGGAGTCGTTGTCGAGAGATTCAACGGGAATACCAATGCATAAAGAAAAAGAATATATTAATCCGATGGATATCCAACAGAAGGTTTTCGAACCCTCGAATTCGTATAAGAAGTCGATTTTCAGGCATACTTTTATGCGTTTTATCGCTGGGCGAGACTGCAATGGACTAGTTTAGATGATGTCGAAAATGATTATATTCATTTCGATTATTCGGTGCTTCTTAAAGAGGTTGATGTGAGAATGATGGCTAAAAGGTGAGGTTCGGAATGGTTTTGGTTCTAATTCGATATTGATTGTAGCTTGAAAATTTCGACGGATCAGAAGAAGCAATACATCACACCTGCACAGCAGAAAGTCATGCAAATGAAGAATGCCGCTGTGAATGGCAATATCACGTGGGTGTTGGAGCGAGATGAGAAGCGGAAAGTACCTCTTGGCGGTCAGGTGGGCATTTCGAACATCAAAAATCATTTTTACGGAATTTTTCTTTTAGTGGAACATCAGCTATACGGGCAATGTGGAGGGCATTCGATTCCTGATTGGAATGGCTACCGTATCGCTTGCGAAAGAGCTAACATTGGTGTCGCGGGCGGCGTCGGAGGCGAGAAATGAGCTGCATTCGAATAGTCATCGACGGAAGCCATCGAGAAGGAGGACATTGCCACTGCATAATGAGCCGTCAGCTTGGGACACAAAAGTTTTGGATATGACGAGGGATTACGACAAGCATATGCAACGGATGAGGGCGAGCAAGACGGAGAATGGAGGTGAGGGGCGTCAAATTTTGCAGATCGAGTCGAGCCGGGCCTAGGCCGAATAAAAATTCGATAGTAAAATAAATTTCTGAATTTTTAATATTTGGCTAATCTTGATAATTTTCGTTTACCCCCATATTTTGGTCATCGCCTTCCGAAAAGACAAGCCTGGAATTTAGAAGAAAAAATCAAATTGTTTGATTTCAGATAAGGTCAAGGTGTATGTGAATGGCACGGCGGTTGTGGCATCGGTTGTCCTTGAATCGGTGCTTAATGATCTTTATGTTTCGGCGATGATTTTGAAAATCGATTTGAGTCAGGATAAGAATCCGATTCCTGACGGAATTATTGTTGGTAGGATTTATGGGTTTTTCTTTTCCAAATGAAATTAAAGTCGGTTAGATTTCTTTAGCGATGATCTCACCACGCGCCGAATTTTTTTTTGCTATTATTTTTTTTTTTCGCCGAATTTTTTTTGTTATGGGAAAATTTAGGTTTTTCTTGTCGGTTTTATCATTTTCTAATGTTTAATGAAACTGAACGTTATCAAAATGAGCCATGGAATGCAAAACTACCAAAAATTTCGGTAGAAATCATGGCGAATATGTTCCCCCAGACACCGACTATATTTAATATGATCTTTTAGATCCTAAAAATGCACAACCGGTTTCAAGTGATGAGCGCAAACCACCTGCTGCACAAGCGGTATTTTTTATTCAGAAAATTTTTTCATCAATTCTTTTTTTTAGAAAAAGGTGCTCCCTAATATCAACATTCCAAATAAAATCGATGACATCTCGCTTTCATTGGCGTAAGAGATTTTTTGTTTCATTTTTGCCAAAATTGAAAGCTGCTATTTTCTTTTTTTTCAGAAAAGTGTCCTTGACCTTGTCTGAATCTGACAGTTCCAATAAAAAATCGGATATTTTGAGATGTACACTGAATTTGAGCACCCTTAATTTCTATTCGTATGTTTTATTATTTAATTTTCGTTTATTTCAATATTTTGTCTTTAGAAAATTACAACTCGCCCAAGTGAGCTCGACGAAATTGACGAAAAACTCGCTGTCAGCCCTATTGCCCCATTATATTCTCACGCGTGGAGCGACGTTGAAGCTTGGAGCTCTTGAAGGCAACATGCCGATGGCTGCGCATTCGCTTCACGATGTTGTCATGAGACATGGAAAAGAGCTGGAGCAACAGTTTAATCGGCTCGCCGCTCAGCCGCCGACGCCGATTGGGAATCCGACGACGAGTTTTGCTGAATCACCGTCATTGATGAAGGTGCAGTCGATGGAATCGCAAATCACTCAGACAACGCTGAAAACCAACCAGACTAGTGAGCAATCGCCGTTTCGGCGAGTGCCGACGTCGTCAACACCACTTGTTTCAAAAAGCGCGACGACGCGACGAGTTCCGATTGTTGTCGTCAATTTTGTTCTCGAGATCACAAGCATTGAGATGAATATCCAGCTTCTGCCGAGTCTCCAAGCGAAATATCGAATATATCGAGCTTCGAGTAGTGGAGTCACCGGCGACAAGGCGAAATGGATCATTTCCATTGATCAGCACTTCTTCGAGTTTTGTGTGACCGCGCAAGGCAAAACGGAAACGTTTCGCCTTCAACTACCTTCGATTAAATGCACTGGACATTATTCGATCGAGCAAGGACCATCTCAACACAAACCGAGCACCGACAAGAAATTGATATATCGCGAAGGTGGATCGCTTCATATGACTGTGGTTCTAGGTTGAGGTTTTATGAGAAATATGTTATAATTCTTGATTATTCAGGTTCCGTCAATCACACATTCACCACCGAACTTTTGAATCAGCTGTTGTTCGCCGAGCACTCCTTCCGCGCTGAGCTCACATCGTTGATCAATCGAATTCGATCATCGTCGTCTTCGGCATCGGCAACGCGATCACCAATGGCGCAGACTTCCAACGAGAAGACGCCTCTTGGTTCGACGCCGTCGAATGCGAAGCTCTCGTTGGCGATTCAGCCGCAAGTTGTCGAGCCGCCTACGATGGAGACCACGTCGAGATCTCCGCTTCTGTTCACCATCAAAGTTCTGACGAAGGATCCGTCGACGCCGATTACGGCAGCTCTTTCTGACAAACCGTCACCGTGGCTTCAATTGACCGCGGCGACGCCGACGCAAACCGCTGTTCGATTGACGATTGATAGTCTCGAAGGCGAGCTGACGAATAAGTGGGTTGTCAAAGAGGAAGGTTCACGAGAGCGGATCTACGGGAACGCGGTGATCCATTTCAATGCGAAACTCGGACAACTAGTGAAGGCGGCGCAATACGACGAAGTGTCGGCGGAACTTCAAGAATACGCGACATTCATGACGCAGGTGAGAGTTGAGAATAAGGAGCGCAATATGCTGAACAGCGCCTATTCCTATCACATCTCGTTGAATCGTCCGATTCTTCTCGTCAAAGCGGCGGCAATCGATAAGGCGATATTGCTGTGGCTCAATTATAAGAATACGTACGATTTTTGGAAGAATGAAATGGATAAGGTATCGTAATTTGAGGTGGAAATTGTTTTTTTAATATAGATGTAATTTCAGGGAGCTCAAGAAAAAACCCAAAAAGAGCTGATATCTGCGACGCAGAGTAGCATGTTTTCACCGCCGCAAATCGGACAGGTTTCAGATTTTTTATAATAATTTGTTTTCTTCGATTTCTTCAGGACGCTGACATGAATTTATCGCTTGCTATCAACAATGGAATGTACATGTGTATGCCGTTGTACAGCTACGATGTCACTGAAGGAATGCCGGCGTTGGTGCTCTCGTTGCAAAAGTCGGAACTATCGGTTCTTGTGAAGCGTGAGCTGACGTGCAAGGCGTCGTTCACCGGCTTCAAGCTGTCATTTGTCGACGACTTTGATGAGCAAGCGCTTATGCAGAGCTTCTTGGATTTGTCGCACAGCGAGCAATCGAATTGCTTCTTCTTTCCCGAAGGCACCTATCAGTTGTGCTCGAAGGCGTCCGCGTCGGATGGTCCGGCGAAATGGGTGTTGAGCGTTTCGGCCGAAATGCAAGGAATCGAAATCGATTTGGATCAACGGATTGGGAAACTCACGAAGCTGCTCGTCAACACGTGCTCGATGATCGGTAAAGACGATGACGACGATATGTCGTTTTGGGAGGATCAGATGGAGCTTGACGATGATGAAGAGAAGGTTGAAGGGGCGAAAGAGTTGAAAATGATGAAGGCCGAAGAGCGCGTGCCGTGGCTTGAGAATAAAATGCACGAGCACTCGCGCGCGGTGTTCGAGCTCGCTTCGAAAGGTGTGTCGACGAAGAAGCTTGAAGCGGAGAAGCACAAACTTAGACAATATGAGTTGATACGATTCAAAGCGTTCCGAAGGAACGTCGTGGAGAAATTGAGGCGTGGTGCGAACAATCAGGAGCAAAGCCGACCGACTAGTGTAAAATTTTGTGTTACTTTTTTTTAGAATGTTTGGATTTTTAAAAAATTTTAGGCGATGTCAGCGCGAAAGAACTCGTTGAAGGACGAATCCAAGTCGAAGACGTCAAATTCAGCGAGAGAGGAAGAAGCGGCGCAATCGGGAACTATGGAAACAGTGTATTTCAATGTTGACGTGAAGGTTGTCACACAATTCATTGCTTCTTTATCAAGCCTTCGTTATTCTAGGTGAACATCACTTCTGGAACGTGCACTCTACGAACAGCGAAGAAAGAGGGAAATGTGCAAATGTTTCCTGGTCAGCTCGGCGAGACAATGAAGCGATTGAATCAAGGCACGAGGGATATTAAGGATATGTTCCAGCCGCCGACGCTCACCACGACAACGTTCAGCATTCCTAGTGTTGAGATTAAAGCGTACCACGTTTCGGATCCATCGGAAGCTGTTCTCAATGAGCGATTCGCTAGGAATCTGAAGAAGCATTTGCCGAAAGATATGGCTAAAGATGCGGATGATTTGAGGAAGAAGATTAGCTCGAAATCGCGAAGTGCAACGGCGCCGCTGTTTGAAAAGAAAGTGGCGAGCTCATCGAAGCGTGGATGCTTCTTTATGTTCATTGGTCTCGCCTCGATGCCGAGCGAGACGGTCGTCACCCCGCACTTGGCCACCTATGTTGAGCAGGTTTTGGAGCCGCTTCCGCCATCAGCGGTGTTTCGATCGCAAAATATTGGGACTGACACCGACACGAATGCGGCGGACCATAAACATGATGGTAGTTCGAGTTGATTGAAGATTTCGGAAATTTTATGCATTCAGCCAATAGCGATGTTCACAATATTGTTGCGATGGACACGGCAGCTCTTCCAATCGATTTTGTGCTTTATTTGGATGTTCAGAGTTCCACTATTCGATTTGACGGAAAACAACAGGTGCGAATCTTAAAGAAATGATTTTCTCATAGTGATTATAGACGTCGCGGAATCAAGCGCAAGCCGATTGCCTCCTGACACTTCCGCGATTGACTTTGGAGTTGACGACGAAACGGAGTAAAGAGCATGGAATTGGCGGAAGCTATGTTGGCGGAATGCACATTTCCGGGCAGTTCAAGGGATTCATGCTCAAGATTTACAATCCGTTGGAGCCGGAATTGGACTCGTCGCGAGCGCTTCTTCTTTCACTCGACTTACTCTCGTTTGTGATAAGTCGTAACAAAAATTCGTCGACGGAACCTGATAATCGCGTTCGGGTATATATTTTTTAATATGCTTTAATTACTCTCCAATCAATTAATTGCCTTTCAGTTTGTGTTCACTTCTCAAATTGGTCGCGCCTCGTTCGAGTACAACTTTCGACGGCTTGGTGAGCTCATCCAATTCCCTAAACCATGGTATCGAGCCGCAATTGCGAGGTATTTTATTTTCATTCATTATCAAGCAGTTTTTTTTATATGGACGTGTCCATCGGTAAATCTCTTTTAAAGTGCCCGGAAACTGTTTAAGACGCTCTGTAATTGTATAATTTTGTACTTGAAAATGACAACTAACCGACCTGTACAACTATTTCGGCACTATTTTTGGTGTAGTTGCAATTTTCGAGAACAATTCGAGAATAATAGAATGATTGTCGAATCTTTAAACGGAAGATAGTTTCGCGAAAAATAAATACAGGAAATTGTCGCGGACGGGCGAATTTGAAACATTTAAAGTTGTCAATTAAATGCTGCCGTACGATATAATGGATTTTCATTTGTATGTTAAAATGAATCAGTCGCCAAAAGACCTTTTAGGATAGCTAGAAAATTCAAGTGAGAATTATTCTCATACCGGTACCCAAAGTGGTCATTCAAATGATGGAGTAACCACCCAACGAATTCGGTCCGTCCACGATGAATATCAGAATTATTACCATTGTTTCGCGCAATTGAAGCTCTTCTAGTGTTTTTGAATTTTCGAGATTTTCGCGTAGTGAAGATTGATTCCCAAACGTCTAAAATAATTGGGCAATTTCAACGAGAAGTTGGCGAATCCAACAAACTGAGAGCATTTGTTGATGAAGATGTGTGTTGACGTTGGCGGTGGCCCATGTTGCTGCGATCGCGGCGGTTTGTTCGCAAATCTCGTGGGCAATTTTATCGGAAATAATTGAAATCTGTAAGAGATTTTGATGAGAAGTAGTGTTTTTTTTTGTTCGATATAATTACGATTCCTGTTAATGCTGGCTTCACACATGGCAAATGGGATTGTTCGTGAATTTTGACGCAATTTGCGCAAAGAGATGTGTCTTTTAGTGTCTTAATTAGTTTGGTGTCAATTAGTTTGTATGGTAATTTGGATTGAATACCTCATAATTGGTTGTTGACAAGTATGCGATTGGATTACAAGTGGGATTGGCGCATACGAATAATTTTCGAAAATCGGTGTAGTTGGAGCAATTCGCGCATTTGTACTCGTCATCGCATGTCCTCTAAAATTGCGATTTGAAGAAAATTGGAATTATGAAGAAATTGGAAGAAAAAAAAACTAATTTAAATATTGCAATTCTTCTAACACAATTTTAATCGGTTATTTTTCCAAAATCTGCATAGCGCCATTATTTTGAATACCAGTTCAACGAGCTTCTTTTCGGCTTCCAGAAGTTTCGAATTCAACGACTGATTAACTGAAAATCGAGATTTATACTATAGAAATCGTTTTGGGCTTACTGTGTTGCATCTCAACGAATTTCTGATCGTTTTCGTTGTTCTCTGAAAATAATCAATATGGTTTTCATTTTTTTTTTTGAAATACTTGAAACGGCTTCATTGAGCTGGCTTAGTACATCTGAAGTTCAACCGTTTATTAGATATTTTTTTAATCCTACGTTTGTGCTTTAAAAATCGAATAACATGCCGGTTTTCAAGTACATCGTTGCATTTAAGGCATTTAAACAGCGTTGTGTTCTTTTTTTCGCTATTGCAGGCCTTTGGTGTCCTATAACACTAAATTAAAAAAAATATCGTTTTTGTCGCGTTATTTGCACTTGTCTCTTTCCAAACATTCTCTGCAGAATATGAACACATGGTTGCAGTCAAGCTGCACTGTGCAAACTTCTAAAAGAAAACACTTAAAAAAAAGATTTTTCAACGGCGTTACTCATTTTTGGCATAAAACAACGCTCACAAGTGTCTTTTCCCGGATTATAAATGGTTTTCCGTGGCATTGTTCGGCTAAATTTGAGATTTGCTCATAAAAATTGGCGAAAAAAAGAAGCGCGAAAAAATCGAGTTCTGCATGTTTGCGTGCCGAAATTGCGGACTTTGCTAGCTACAGTAACGCACACAAAAATTCGTCTTCCTTCAGGCGAGTGTTTTTCGGTGATCAAGCGCCCGCACGGCCGCGCGATGATGCAAGTGATGTCACTGGAACAACGAGAAGCCGAATTCCCGAAGAATTGAATAAGCGGTAAATGAATTTTACACCAGTTCAACGAATTAATTATTATTTCTCAGAAATCAAAAACCGGCTCAAAGTGTTATCAGTTCAGCGTCAGGTTCTGCCCATCAGAGGAAGCCGTGGACGGCAATGGTTAGTGAATTATATGTATTAGGAATATTGAAAAATTTCGAATTATTCAGGTGCTGGCGGCGATTCAGTGGAATGAGTTCGAGGTGACGGCATTTATGTCGAACACGATGGGAAAAACTACATGGAATGTAACGAAAGGCCTTTTGGCGGCAGATGCGAAAGTTCGATTACTTGAAATAATTGAAAATTATGATTATAATAATCTATTAAGCTTAACTCACAAATGGAACGCGATGTGACAGTGACATTCAAACTGGGCTCTAGTGAGCTTATCGCGAAAGAAGGAGCGATTAGTGGATGTATAAAGTTGAATAACTTTAAGATTACTGCTGCCCATGCCCTATGGATTGATGTGAAGGTTGTCTTGAGATTTTGTTTACAATCTTGCATTTTTTTTCTAGAAACCTCCTATAAATAAAGCGAAACTTCGATTAGAATGGATCACGGCGAATATTGAATGGATGAGCCGGAGAGTTTTGATTGCCAAGTGGAGCAATCCGTCATTTAATATCTATGATTACTATAATGGAGTTAAAGAAGGCGACGAAGTGAGTTTAATGTCATAGGATCTATTAAAGTTTGATGAATTTAGATTTCTTTGGCTTCGCTTGGGATAAATGTGAAATCGTCATGGAAAGACCTGCAGATGGTGATCACGAAAACGACTGTCGAGGATATTATTGCAATTATCAATAGACTTGTGGTGTTTTTCGATGTAAAATGAGCATTTTCAAAAATTTGCTCCTCAAAATTGGAAATTGTTGGTTTTTTTTTTCAGGAACAATTGAAAAACTCGCGAATTCTTCTTGGCAATTTTGGGCCGTCGGCGAATTTGAGCGGCAAAAAGTTGCCCGACGTTCCGACGGAGCCGCGAAAACCGAGCACCCATTTTTGGGAGCACGTTTTGGATTATGTGTCGGAAATGCAAATCAATCAGCAGCTGATGCCTCTCATGAAGTTCGAAGGCGCGAGAGTTGGCGGAAACGTCGAGCTGGAAGCCGGCGGTATCTCATTGGTGTTGATGAAAGGCGACATGAACGCCGAAACGTGGGCGGTGTTCCATTTGCGCGACGCGAGGATCGTCTTCATTCCCGAAGCGAAAATGGACTTTTTGGATCCGGAAACCAAAGAAAATGTCGGAATTCTTCTTAAACAAGAATTTCGACTCAAATTGGGCTCACGAGAAGAGAATAAAACGGACAATCTGGCGAATGTTTGCCGTGTTCAGGTGACTTTTGATTTTCTCTATATTTCCTTTTTTGATGAATTTTAAATTTTAGACGCGTTATCATGGTCTTCGCCATTTGCAAAAGGTCGACGAGATATTGGAATATTTCATTGGTGACGTCATGAAGACGCTCGGATTCCATCATTCCATGTTGAAGAAGGCGAACGAGGAGGGAAAATCGCTTTCCGGAATCGACAAGTATGATTCGATTGTGAATACTGAATTGAATGTAGTTTTTTTTTGCAGGTCTTCGACGTCTCTCAGTTCGTTTACTTCATATTCGCAGCTTCGCGGACAAGTTTCTGGAAAAGATAGTAAGGTAGAGTTGGTTTTCGGTAGAAATTGCGATTTTTTAAATGAAAATGAATTCAGACCGCTAGTTCGCCGCCGAAAGGCACTCACAATGTCTTGGAGCTCTTCCAATTCCCGGGTCTCGAAGCGAAAATGACTTCGGAACAATTGAATGGTCTCGATGACGGCGATAAATATGAAGCGGCGCTGAAAATGCCGATGGAAGTGTTCACGACGTTTGTTTGCGATTTCTACGGCGATGTCGCGGTTGAGACCAACTTCAACGCGCAAGTTTCGTTTTTGCCGGAATTGCTCAAGAGCTATTTGAAGGTTTGCTCTGGCCTTTGGATTATACACCAAATGATGTTCAGGAATCTTCTACGACGTCGTCCCAAACAACATCATCGTCTTTGACATCGCCAGCGGTTACACCAAAGTCGTCGAGTAAAGAGTCGGTGAATTCGGAAGCTCAAAAAGGTGGCCATTCGATCGAAGTGCTTAATCATTTATCTTGGATTTCAGCAGATCCGCGAGTATTCATTTGTCGCGAATGGCTCGTTGAGCCTCGTGTTCGTTTCATTGATCGATTTGTGTGGAGGCCGCCGGTAGTCGATGATATTTTGAAAAAACTGCAGGTATGCAAAAAGAAGCTACTAAGCGACTCGAAACGTTTTTTCTTTGAAGATCTTTGATCATCGAAACACTATTCCGAAGGTTATCCAACGAGCGGTTTTGGATCCTTTAGATGCGGCGTTGGCGAGCTCAATGGTTGCTGCTTTGAATCTTATCGATAATAAGCATACTATTAAAAAGTTCAAAAAGGCAATTTAGGCGGGATTAATTGGGTATAATTACAATTGGAAATTTAGAATCGTAATGTGGAGTTGACGAGGAAGGCGTCGAAGTTTGATGATGATTTCCCATTGCAATTCAAAATTCAGAAAACGCCGCCGCCAACGTCTTCAGAAGAATCAATTTCGAAATGAGAAATGCTTTAATTATTATGCGAATACTGTATAATTTGTGCGTGTTTTTTTTTTTATTTTATCGATAATTTATTGTTGTGCCAAATGGTTGTGATAGTCCCCATTTTTTTTTTAGTCATGTAATATTTATGTCCGATTCTTGTAAATAAATTGAACATTTTAATTGATTATTGATTTTGACGGGTCTCATTCCGGTTTTTTATTTATGACGACGCACACGCGAACGCGGAAACGATTTGGCTTTGTCCCGGAATCCTCAAACGCCATTTCGATCCCTCGCAGCTCAGTGATCCTTTGCTCTTAATTAGATTAATTAGATTATTGTTTCGAATATTGTTGCTTACTCCAACGGCGCTCATCGGTGCGACGAACTCCTTCCCGCTCTCATTGTAGAACCAGACATCAGTGTTTGCCGGGCATTTAATTGTGTACTACAACACATCTAATCGATTTTTTTTTCCAAAATTGGGTGTTTTTGAGGGACCAGTTTTTTATTTTTGTGAAAATTCTCGATTTACCATCACAAGAGCATTTGATTCGCTATCTTAATTTCCACCTTTCAAATTTCGATTTGATTTAGCGCCTCGAAAAAAGATATGATGGTTCACGTACACCAAAACCTTCCGCTTCTTTATATGACAATTAAATGTTTACCTTGTTTCCTGATCCTTGGAATGCTCCTGACGATGGTGTGAAATCGCATGATGGGCATTTGACCTTAGCGGGAAGGTAGATGGAGGATGGTGAAGGGCAGCCGGCTACAATTGATTGAGCAATTAATTTGAGCATTAGGTAATTCGGGTTACCATTGACAGCAGCCAGAATCATGCACACGATCACGAATAGTCGAAACATTCTTGAATGTGCTTCTTGAAAGAACAGCGCCGCTTTAAATATATTTGGCGACGAGACAAATGACCCCGAACTGCGTGTGTGTGTGTTTTTTTTCCGCAAAAATTGTTCCGCATGCCTTATTGATACGAAATGTTCGTGAACGAACGACAGTGATGATTTTTAATTGGTTTTTTTTTTCCGAAGACGGAGAAAAAAATGGAGAAATTGAATTTATTCACATAATTTGTGTAAAATTCGATTTTTCGTTCAGAAAATTAGGCTTCGTTTCTTTCTTGTCGCTTGTTTTGACCCGATTTTGCCAATGCCAATCTGGGTAATTGGAATATTGTCGACGTCAAATGATTGATCGGTGACGGGAAAATGAATTTCGCAGAATAAGTGTAGATCTAGAAGAATTTTTAAATTTGTTCAAATAATTGCGCGTACGCTAAAATGCAGGGTACGCAAACACACACGGTTCTCTTTGCCTCGAAATACCATGGCACATAGCCAATTTTTAAAAAATGTCGAAAACGAATTTATTTTTGTTGTTTTTCAATTTCTACATACAATTTTTCTAAAAGAAAAGTTCATTATCAGTTTACGTTTCGTTATCATTCAAATCATCGAAAACATATTGATATTGTTTTGTTTTGCAGGCGCCTTCGAAATGTCGGTGGCGATCATCACAGGTAATTGATTGACGAATTGAATCGAATTGGTCAGCCAGTCGTCAATTGCGATTCGTTTTAGGCGCCAGCTCAGGAATTGGTCGCGCCACGGCATTTCTACTCGCCAAAAACCATTATAAATTATCGTTGACTGGAAGAAACATTGAGGCGCTCAAAGAAGTTGCGTCGCTTTGCACAAGGAATTATGGTCTCAACGAGAACGATGTAAGAATGTCCTACTCGTCTCATTTTCCTAGTAAAAAATGGCAGGTTGTTATCACTCAAGGAGAGTTGACTGCAGAAGAAACGCCGAAAAATGTTGTGGACGCGACAATCTCGAAATTTGGAAAAATTGATACCCTTGTATGGATATATATTTCGTGTTTTTTTCTTAATTTCGAAAATGAAAAATTTCAGATCAACTCGGCTGGCATCCTCAAAGCTGGTCCGGTTCTCGAATCGGGTCTCGAGGTTTACGATGAGATTATGAATGTGAATGTTCGTAGTTTGATCCGAATGACTCGCACCGCATTGCCGCATATTATTAACAGCAAGGGGACTGTTGTCAATGTGAGCAGTATCAACGGACCATGTCCTTTTCCGAATGTCACCTACTATTGTATGTCGAAATCGGCGGTCGATCAGTTCACGAAATGTTTGGCACTTGAGATGGCGCCGAATGGTGTCCGCGTGAACGCTGTGAAGTGGGAATTATTCAATATATCAAATTATTTGGTTGAGTTTGCAGCCCTGGTGTTACTGTAACCAATCTTCACAGAACGTCTGGACAGGATGAAGCCACTTATCAGGCGGTATGCTTATTTGCGATTGTCGACGTCGCGCAACTGCGGAAAATTGGCTAAATGCAAAAAAAAAACAAGAATCGCGGTGGTATTGGCTCAAAACTAAAAGCGTAGATATAGGACCTATGCATAAGGATGGGTTAAACGCGCACACTGCTCACCGAAGCAAAATTATTTAGGCATTTAGTCATTTTTTTTCGCAGTCCCGCGACTTCGACAATATATGAATTTAAAGTTTTTTTTTTTAGTTTTTGGAAAAATCGAAGACAACTCACGCTCTTGGCCGTCCCGGAAATGCTGACGAGGTTGGTACTGATTCCAATTTTGTGAAATTCATTTTTATTCTATCAGGTCGCTGAGGCGATTTTGTTCTTGGCCTCATCGAAAAGCTCGTTTACCACTGGCCAATTGCTTCGTGTTGATGGAGGCCGCGGAATCATGCACCCACGATAAATATATGTATTTTACTCGAAAATATTAGTGTAGAAATAAAAGATATAAAGAATGACCAACAATATTAATTCTACATTATAGTAAAAATTACTATGCAACAATTTCTTATGGGTGTATAGATTTTTTTTTTACTTTCAACTACATTTTTCAGAAAACTCATCTGGAATGTCCGTGAAGAAAGTTGCCATAGTAACTGGTAGAATTATATATTGTCTACTAAATTAATCTTATATTTATTGAGACATTTAGGAGCGAGCTCTGGGATTGGCCGCGGTGCCGCTCGTATTTTGGCAAAAAATGGGTATCGAGTGTCTTTGACAGGAAGAAACGAGAAAGCGTTGAAAGAACTGGCAGAGAATGTTAAAAGAGAGTTCGGGCTCACAGATTCTGAGGTTCAATGGAAAACTCTTGAATTGAAAAATATTGTTTGATTTTCAGATTCATATCACCGCCGTCGATTTGAACGCTCCAGAAGCGCCTGAACTAATAGTTGGAAGCACTATTGAGAAATTTGGACAAATTGATACGTTGGTATCCATTTAATTATTCGCGAAATGTGTCATCATTTAATTTTTTCAGATTAATTCTGCTGGAATTCTGAGAAATGGCGCAATTATCGACACCGGGATTGAGGTTTTCGATGAGCTAGTCGATGTCAATGTTAGAGGGTAATAATTAGGGAGTCAGAATTTAAAAAAAAAGGATTTTTATTCGGAATTTAGACTTATCCGAATCACGAGAGCCTCACTACCTCATATTATTAAGACGAAAGGGACTGTTGTCAATGTTAGTAGCATCACAGGTCCATGTCCGGTAAGATTTCAATTTTTATAGATATCTTTAATAATTCATTTTTAGTTTGCCGGAGTTGCCTATTATTGCATGACGAAATCGATGGTAGATCAATTTACGAAATGTTTGGCACTTGAAATGGCTCCAAATGGGGTCCGTGTGAACGCTGTGAAGTAATGCGTGCTATTGTTTTTGCTTTTTTTACAACTAAAATTTGCAGTCCTGGTGTGATTATCACGAATGTCCATCGCGCTTCGGGCCTTGATGAAAAGGCTTATGCGGAATTTTTGGAGAAATGCAAATCCACTCACGCTTTGGGAAGGCCCGGAGATGTTGAGGAGGTACTTTAATTAATAATTGGCAGCCCATTGTTTATAATCTCACAATTTTCAAGGTTGCTGAAGCTATTTTGTTCCTTGCGACTGAACGAAGCTCATTCACCACCGGAGAGCTTCTTCGTGTTGATGGCGGCAGAGGAATCATGCATCCACGTTAATTGTGATGATTCGCAGATGTTTTATAAATGTGATAAGATTTTTGAATTATTCGCTGTGAAAATGAAATTGCACGTGCTGACGATCCATAATATTTGAGGCCAAATTAATTATAAATTATAATATTTTGCTAGATTTTTATGAATCGACAATTATGGACAAATTCGAGACGAATGCTGTCGCTGAATGAGATCGCTGTCACCCTGCGACCATTCTTTTTTGAAGTGCACCCAGATAGGTTTTCAACAAAAAAAATTTCAGTTTTGTCACTGATATTTTCATTCCGCACGAAATTAAGGTTTGCTCAACATCCGGAAATCCGGAGAAAGAATGAGAAATCGCTTCAAACATTCAACGGCTACCTCAATGATTTGTTTCCGGCGACGACGACGATTCGGCCGATTCAGGTGCAATTCTCGATTGTTGATAAAACGCAGCCGGAGAAATTCAAAGAGATTCGAATTGAGCTGTCCGGAACGGATCCCGTCAGAATTGCGAGGTCTTTTTTTTCGTTCAACCCCAAATTTTCAGTGGTTAGATTTGCGAAACTCTTGCAGAATGGCGTTGGAATCGTGCCAATTGAGCACTTCGGAGTTGCCGGCGACGGAGTCTTTCAAACCGAGCATCAAGTCTTCAAATCCGGGAAATTTCCGAACATCTAATATTGATGAGGATTTTATGAGATCGTAAGAATGAAAAAATTGGGCATGCGTCTTTCGCTATGGTCTCGTCAATGCTTATTTCTAAATTTTCTCTTTTGCGTTCTAGCATTGTTGAAATTAAATAATTAAAGTGAACAGTTAAAAAAAAAAACAAAAAGAACAACGTTTGCTAGTTTCGTCCCGCATGTCAAAGGCGCATGCTGAATTTCACAATATTTTGCGATTTGAGACGAGTCGAGATTTGTCAATTCTTGAGCAGCTTACCTTAAAATCGTTGGCACTGATTTTCTGGTCATTCTAAAAAAAATTATGAAATTTCTAGATATTTGAAGAGGAAAAAGCAAAAAAGTGTAATTCTGAAAAATTTGCGACAATTCGCCGATGAGCGGCGAGATGAAGCGATGAGTAAAATGAGGGAAAACGAGAAATTGAAGGCAACAATCAAACAAGAAATTGATGAGCTCAAAGTTCGAACAGGAATAAGAGACGTACGCTGAAATCGCGCGATCGAGAAGGCGTTAATAACGATTTTGAAGGTGGTTTGGCAAATGGACTGGGCTGAAACGCACATTCGGCGATGTTTGAAGAATGTGCACCGATTTATTGATCAATCTGGAAGTCGAAGCAAACAAGAAATCAGTCAAGCGATGTTTAAAAACGTTTTAAGGTATTTTCAACTTTGAATTCAAAAATAATAATAATTTTTCCAGATTTGGACGGGGTTCATTCACATGCTGCGATGGTTCGATTCAGCTCGGCGCGGATCATGTACTTGAGCAATGGGAGCAAGTAATGTATATATAGTATAAAAGAAATCTAGACGAAACCATTTCAGGTCTGTGTGGACCATATTAATCGAAAACAGCAAATTCCGGAGCTACGTCGAACCACTCAACGGTTATCGGAAACTCTTGGCGGAGCTCAAATTCGCCTACCATATTATAAGAATTTGGCGCAAACGCTAACACAAATTCAACAATTGATTTTGAGGTATATAAAACTTTATTGATGGTTTGTTAATATAATGCGTGAATATTTTAGAATTTGGAACAAAGAGGCTCTTTTAATTCGTATCGAGAACGCGGGAAAAGGGACGATTGTAGATGTAATGAGAAATATACAAAATTATCGAATAGAGACAGAATATATTACAGGTGGTGACGTCATATGATGAGCTTTCAGTTGGTCTGGATGGGTGCATACATATTCCATGCAATGTCGATATTCCATCATTGACAGTGTTCTTAGAGCAAAACGGTTCAATGTCATCAATTTTGGGTGAGGAGCATTCAAATTTAATGGTAACAAAAATGAATTGCCGAGATAAAAAAACGAAACAGCTGGGCGATTCCAGGAATCGGTTGAAAGGTCGCGAAGAGAATGCATCAATAGGCTAAAATTGCGCGAATTGTCTTGGGACCCGTCGGTGAGCCTCGCCGACGTGATCAAGTGCCTTGATCGACTCTCAACAGTCGACGCGCCAATTTCGGGATGCGCAATTTTCATTTCAACAAACCCGACGATGTACGTGAGAAATGACGGCGCTTTTTGTATACCAATTGAATGGGTGTAGTCTTTCAATTATGCAATTCTAGTAAAAAGAAAGATTGAATAACATTAATCGCTGTCAACGATTTTTTTCTCGATGAACGCCGCATGAGTGCCGTTCATGAATGCTGAAATAATTGGTGAAATCATGAGCAAAAAAATTTCGCGCGAATACCATCGTCAAAAATTCGTCGTCGATGGCGTTGCAAGTATTTCTTAGTAGCTTCGGCATCCAATACCTCTTTAATTATGGGAACACGGCGATTCTCATTCACAGGAAGGACGAATCTGAACATGCCATTTGTGGAGCACAAACAAAATCTCCGATATGCTCACTCTTTTAGAATATTCTCTTCGTTTCGTTTTGATAGTACATGCGATTCGGGTGGGGGGAGTCGTCGGGGAGTCGATGGTCCGGGTTGATCACGTTCGGTTGGAGTAGGTGGTTGAATCGCGTTTAATTTCGAAATATAGGCTTGATCAGTTTGTTGAGAGCAAAGAACTCGAGGACGGTGCGATTGCCTTATAAATGGGACTTGCGGTGAGCCATAAAATGCGCTTGCCGCCGCCTCAGACGAATATAGCAAGCCCTTTCCATTAGAATCATCATCAGAATCGGATTCGTCTGAAGTTGTGCATTTCGACGTCATCTCGGTGCACAATGAAATTACAGGTTCTGAATGATGATTGCGTTTTTCTCCAGTGTTTTTTTTAATAGGAACTTACTAGGCAATACGAATTCTTCCACTTCAGCTTGCAAACGATCAATTTCCTCTTGTTCGCGTAGTAGAATATTTTTGGTTTGCTTCGAAATATTTGGCTCCATTGGCCTGCAAAAGTTTAAAAAAAAATTGGAAATTTATCAGCTAGTGTTTTATTTTACAGTGGCGCGATTTCTCCGCGCTCCAGTTGGCACAATTCGAACGTGTCTCCGATAGGTTTGAAATGTTGAAGCTGGTTTTTTGAAAAAATGTCGAATAGAACATGTCTGTAACGTTTTGTCAATGAGTTTTGTCGAATTAATCGAACATCGTACGCTAGGCGTGTGTTATGAGCGGCACAACATTGATATTTGGATACAATAGAATCTTCAGAAAGTGTTGCGTGAAAATCGCAAAGTCGATGGTTTCCAACGCGCAAATAATTGTTCTGAATATTGCAAGCGTTGAATAATTGAGGAATTGCCAAAAATCGATTACGAGAAATTCGTTCTCAATCTCGTCGAGACCCCATTTCTTCGAGTTGGGAATGTTCGTTGGCGATTTCGACAAAACAATGGCGGCGAAATCTTGAACGGTTTTCAAATATCCAATATATTCTGAATTTTCAGTTATGTTTTGTTCATAAAATTCCAATATTTTTTTTACTTTTATAGTCCAAAACTGCCTTTCTTCCGGACATGATTGCGAGAGTTTCAAGACCTCGAGTCTAGAAAGAACATGAAATTTTAAGATAATGATTAAAGAATTGCGCATTACCACCCAAACGTATTGCTTCGTATCGCATAAAAGAATAGCGTCCATATCAATATGACGAAACACCCATGCATTGGCATCTGTAGGCGTCAAACCATCTTCGGGACCACTTTGTGGGATGCCAAGGCAGCTGCCTATAATATACCAATTTTTGGAAGAAATTCATCTCAAATCCTACTGTATGCTTCAATAGTAGCTTGATCTGCGAGGAAATTTGGATTCGATGGTCCCGCGTTTTCGCCGTAGTAGGCTTTGTGGTCGAACAGAACTTGGATTGTTTTGGTGTCGGTAAGACCTGAAACGCAATAGTTAGAAAAATATATGAGATTTTGAGATTGAACCTGACTGGAAATCGAGCGTCGCAATTGATATTTCGACCGGATATGTGTGAACCGACTCATTCTTGATATTGCAGATGAAGCTTATTGGAAACACGGAAATTAGTTGAATTTTGTTGCTAATTGGTACCAACCAATCTTCCAGTTCAGCTGAAGATCATGTAAAATGGGTTTGTTTCAAAAAAAAATAACTCACTTTGAAAACGCTCGGCTGAAATATTGCCGAGCTCTTTTCGATGATTCGCGCGCATCATTAAAATGTCTTCAACGAAAATTGGCTGAAATTGAGATTTCGTTTAATTTCTCGCTTCCGATTCTTCCAATTATGCAATTCTTACCAATTTCTTATGCGTCGTTTGTTGCAATGGAATTCCAGCGACATCGATCGATTGGGCTTCGCGTATTTTAAGTTTCGCCAAACGCTCATCCCTTATTTCCTTCTCGCGCAAAACCGCGTGACAATTTTCGAACATTTGTCGACGTCGACGTCGTTCCTGAGTTTCTCTGTTTCTCTGGAAACCAAAAAAAATAAATTTTATACAAAAATTATTGAATATATTTTTAGAAAGGAGATTTCCAGCATATTAGATTTTGATTTATTTTAATTGTTGTCATTCAATTTTTCTATCATTTACAAACCTTTACAGTTTCTTTATTTGAATTTGCCTGATTCGCCATCTCCTTATAATGATTTTTCTCTTCAGCGTCAACCATTGAATATAGGCCATTCATTATTTCTACGTGATCGACATTTTTGACATTGTATTGGCAGCCGAAACGACTTCGAAATCTGAAATCGGCAATTTTAAAATTTTCTTTTTTTTTTTCAAAAGATTTATACTTTGCGTATCCTTCTCGCTTGAGCCACAACATATATCCAGACATTTTGCCAGTACGCTTTGTCAGAGAGACCGAGCTTGTAGGAATTTCGCAGGAGCTGCTTCTAAAGCAAACAACTTCAATTTACTTCAAATAAGAAGTTTAAAACCTTTCGTGATTTGAACTACTCGGTTCGTCATTCCTTTTAAAAGTTTCTCTTCGATCATCGTCCGGCATTTCCCCTAAGAATTTACCTATTTTAGTTTAATCATTTGCAAATTTCTTAAATTGATGTGAAATTTCAATTTTTAGAACAAAACGCCGTCAGGCGAGTATTCTATTGAAACCACACCCCTAAACGCAACTCTCGCACAGTTTTTTCTCAATTCGCCATAGAGCGCGCTTGCTGTGATTCAATTTCGAAAACCTGGAATTCTTGCGGCCTCGTGTTTTCCGCGTGTTTTTGTGTTATATGTTTCGTTTTCATACTAATCCGCAACATTTTTCAGAAAATGGCAGAAAACGGTTCATCGGAACCGGCTCAACATGATGAAAACACGCGACCGAATGCGGTACCAGTTGCGGTACCGATGCCGGTTCTTCAGCAGCACGGCGAGGTTTTTGTAGGCCCCGGTGCGCAAAAAGATGCGCAAAAAATTGGTCTTGGCCTTTCAAAACTTAGCTCAAGGCGGAAAGATGATATTCAGATGGCTAAGAAGTATGCTATGGACATTTCGATCAAGCAAATCTTGCTTCGCCAGCAGAAGCAACAGCAGGAAAATGTTAGTGCAAAAGTATTACACATGATATTATATTAATTTTTTTCAGCAACAAAAACAGCAAATGTATGCTCAAGCGCTTTCAATAATGTCACGAATTTACGTTGGATCAATATCGTTTGAAATACGCGAAGACATGCTCAAAAAGGCGTTCGAGCCATTCGGTCCCATTAAATCGATAAATATGAGCTGGGACCCAACAACTGGTCATCATAAAACGTTTGCGTTTGTTGAATATGAAATTCCGGAAGCTGCGATTCTCGCACAAGAATCCATGAACGGCCAGATGCTCGGAGGAAGAAACCTGAAAGTTAATTCAATGATGTTCCAAGAGACGCGAATGCCACAAAACATGCCGCAGGCGCAGCCAATTATTGATATGGTGCAGAAAGATGCGAGGAAATATTTCAGGTAGGCTACATTTTTTTCGTAGATTGTCTATAGATTATAACATTTTCAGAGTTTATGTGGCTTCGGTGCATCCAGATTTGTCTGAAACCGATTTGAAGAGTGTTTTCGAAGCATTCGGAGAAGTTGTCAAATGCCAATTGGCTCGAAACCAACTCGGTAGAGGTCATAGAGGATTCGGATACATCGAATTCAACAACGCGAACTCGATGAACGAAGCAATCGCCGGAATGAATATGTTCGATCTCGGAGGACAGTTTTTGAGGGTCAGTTTAGAAGTGTTTTTTTTTCTCGAATTTTATTTTTGTGTTGCGTTTTTATTCGAATTTTTCAATTCGCCGACAATTGGAGGAGCAACTGGACAAAATCGGGTATCATTTGTTTTCAGTGATTTGTATAATTTCAGGTCGGCAGATGTGTGACACCACCGGACGCGCTCTCGTATCTCCAACCAGCAGCGGCATCAGCAATTCCAGCCAACGTGTCGGTCGCGTGCGCCGCAATTACCGCGAAAGTGATCGCCGCCGAAGCTGTTGCCTCGCCGGTGGGTGCGAAAGTGTCGCCGAGATATTGAGAACATGATTTCTTTTTTTTTAAATTACTATTTATTCAATTAATTGAATTTCGCAATTGTTGTCTTGTAAATATCGTTAACCGCTATCGAAATGTTTGTGTGTGTCTCTCTGTATCTCTCTGACTCAAAAATTGTTTTTGGTTCATTCAAATAAATGATTTCCGTTTCACATTTTTATTGATATTTTTTCATGGTTGTATTATTGTTACTCGTTATTTGCACAGGCAATAAGATTTGAGGAAACTGACTAATTTTTTTCGATTATCCGTGGGGCAACCATGAAGGAATTTCAAAGAATTTTGTGGAAGGAATGAATTGGCGCAGACATACTGGTCTCGAGTTCGAATTTGCCACCCTCGCCCGGTATGCCTGCGCCATTGAATGAGCCATTGATTGAATATGACCATCAATAACAATAATAATAATTGGTTGTTTTTATTTAGAATGCTGGATCGGAGGGTAGTGGATCTCGTGGAGCTAGTCCAGCTCCTCGCTCATTATCACCCTCGACTCCATCAGCGTCGCTGCCAAGTGATATTGATAATAAATGTAATTTGTCGTCACCGGTAAGTTTTTTGTTTTTTTTTTTTAATTTTTTACCTAAACCTTTTCAGAATCAAAGCTTTAATACACCTCCACGCCAAGCTACTGAACCATCGTCTTCGGTTGAAGCGGTTGAAAGTCATCCAACTCCGCCCAGAGAAATTAAAGATGAGCCTATGGATATTGATGAAGAGGAGCCGGAACCGCCTAAACCTGTTGTGGTCCCGCCGCCGGGACTAGCGCTACCTAAATTGGTTAGGCTTTGAAGCTGCCTGACTCCCAATGATGGATTTTTTGCAGAGCTCTGTTCCTCCTGTGGCCAATGTTGCACCGCCTGGACTAGTCGCCCCACCAACTATAGTTGTTCCCAAACCCTCGTTTGTACATAATCAGACAGTTCCGAAAGTCGAGCCGAAGACTGAGGGTATCAATTTTGTGGAAGCAATTTATTTGAATAATATTGAGAGAAAAACATTTCAGCTCCAGAACCGATTGCTCTAACAAATGGCGAGAAGGTGAAGCTCTCGACGGCGCAAAGAAAGAAATTGAAGAAGCAGGCTTTAAATCAGATGTCATTCCAAGAGAAAATGAATCAGGTGCTGAGTCAGCAAAAAGGATTCCAGGAGGAGAAGCTCGCTGAGCCGGTGACGTTTGGGGCGCTTGACGACCAAGTGGCGTGGAAGGATCCGAGTAAATCCGAGGATCCGGAGGGTGAAATGTTGGCGATCATGGGACCGGGACGAGGCGGCGACAATGTGCAGAGTCTGGCTCTGGCGATGATCGATGGCGGCGGCGCGCTGATGTTGGCGAATAAGAAGAAGCAGGAGGCGGCGGCAGCGGCGGCGGCGAAAATCGAACCGAAGCAGAAGAGGAAGCGGGTTAAAGAGGGAAAGAAAATCCAGCCGAAGGTTTGAAATGAAGAATTTGAATGGAATCAATGAAATTTGGTTTAGTTGGGAACAGCGCAAGCATTAGCAGCGGCGGCGAAAGCTGGTGAGATGTCGGACGCCCTTAAAAACGAGGTGATGAATAGTGAAGATGCGTCGCTGGCTTCACAAGAAGGACTAGAGATTCGCGGAAATGACGCGAGACATTTGCTGATGACAAAATTGATGAGAACGAATCGGTCGTCGGTCATCGTTCTTCGAAATATGGTGAAACCCGAGGATATTGATGAATATTTAGAAGAAGAGATTAAAGAGGAGTGTAATAAATACGGACTAGTTCAAGATGTAACCTGAAATTGTGTTATTTTCTGACATCCGATATTGATTTTTCAGGTTGTGATTGCGAATTTCGCCTCCAGTGGAATTGTGAAAATTTTTGTTAAATTTGCCGACCCAACACAGGTATATCTGATACTGCGCCTTTTTTGGATTGATCGTACGAATTGGAAAAAAAAATTATTTTTCCCTATTCAGAGATGTTAGAAAAGTGTCAAAAATTACATTTAGCTTGATTTTCTTTTAATTTACTGAAAAATTTTCATTTTTTACAGGTTGATGCAGCTAAAAATGCGCTTGACGGACGATTTTTTAATGGGAACGTTGTCAAAGCGGAAGCTTATGATCAGATTTTATTCGATCATGGAGATTACACGTCTTGAATTTTAATCATTAATTATTGTTTTACGTTTCGTCGTTTATTTTTTTTCTGGCATTTCTTGCCATTTTCAAAAATACTCTAATGCGATAAATAATAGTTTTCATGTTGGTTAATTTTTTGTTAATTTTTGAAAAAAAAAAAGCGCGAAATAATTAGTTTTTTTCAATTTCCGCAAATCAAAATGTGTTTTTATAATCTCACAACGCTTCCGGAATTATCGATTTCGATTTCCTCTGAAACATGTTTTGTTTTCGATGGTTGTGTGCAATAGTGCGTAGGATTTAGCGCATACACCGAAAATTTTTAAATTTTTCCAATCAATAAATCGATAACTTGAATGGAATCATTTTAGGTCAACAATATTTATTATTCCCTTCTTGGTTTGTTTTTTCAATCATTTCCACCTGCTTCTTTCATAAAAGCCATAATGGGGTTCTACAATTAATAGATTACCTTTTTACCCTACCCATATATCATTTGCGTTTATTTCAGATATTTAATGATGTCCGACGAGCAGAACCATTCACGATTTCTTCAAGGTACCATTTCAAGCAATGCAAAAATGATAAACGGTAGCTCTCCGTGCACAAGAATCTCGAGACTTATTAAAAATACTTCAAAAATTATGCCAAAAATTAGTGGTAAACTGGCATGAGGCTGTTCGACGAAATCGAAAATCTTCAGGATCGAAAAAATCGTCAAAAAAATCGCAAAAAAAATATCCAACAATGCCAACAAAAGCCATCGACGCTGAATACTTGGATCATGCGCGACTTGATCATCGACATAACTTTTATGAACAGGTGATTAGCGTAATTTCTAATATTTCAACAACAGGGGCTTTTTCTCAGGTTTGCTATCTGTTGTACCAAAAACTCGGCGATTCGTATTTCGAAAACGATCCCGAAACCGTTGAGCAGCCATGTCGAGACCATTAATCTGTCGAAATGTCGTGCCAAATGATACTTATACTCAATTCATCATGTAAAATAATTGATATACCTATTCTTGCATTTCGTATATAGAAGAAATTTTTCAACTATTAGATTTGTGTTTCCTATTTTTTTCCATACAAAAATGAACGACACAAACGCGAACAAGAAGCGAATCGCGTGGCGCGTAAAATTCCACGTGCGCCGATGCTCCAAATGATTAGCGACCGATTAATTTCATGAGACTCCCCCATTCTTCGTGTTTTTACCTAACCATTCGATCGCTTTTCAATTTCTGTTTTAAAAGCAAAAACAAACGTCGTCGACAGTCATGTCAGTACATAGGACTGTTCAAAGTGAGTCCGAGTAGAGGGGAGCCGAACTCATTGAAACGAGGCGATTTTCAGAGCGATCCAAGACGAACTCAAGCTCGAAAACTGTGCATGACAACGATGCGCCGACGGCCGGCGAGCGAAAGCAACAGAAGAAGCTGGTTAGGATGGCGTCGAAGCGAAATTGTTTATTGGTTTCAAAAAAAAATTATTTTTTGATTTAGATCGTCAAATTTGTGGCTCGAGTCCTCGAAAAAGGACCGACCGGCCTACGCGCCGAATTTCAGAGTATGAAGCGACTCAATGATTTTGAGAAAATGAAAGCGTTCAAGGAAAATCAAGAATTTGGAAAGAATCGTTACAAGGTTTTGATTTTGACGACAGAAGAGAAAATTAAAAGAAAAACCAAATTTGTTGTCCTTCAGGATGTCGGATGTTTGGATAACTCGCGCGTCAAGCTTTTGCCGCCGTGGCCACACGAGTATATCCACGGAAATTATGTGTCAACAACGACGAACCCGAAACGGTTTATTTGCACGCAGGTCTCTTTTTGCGAATTTATTGAAATGGGGAGATTTGTCGAAAAAATTTGATGTTGGGCCGGAAAATTTTTGTATTTTTCTAGGCACCAAAAGTTTTAAATTAATCAACCGTTTCAGATAATAAAATATATTTTTTTAATTTCCCATTTTTTTCCGATGCAGGGTTGTAAAAAATGCACATTAAATGTAATCTTTTACAATTTTTTTTGTTAAAAAAAGTACATTTCATGAACTACATTTTTAAAATGTAGATTCCAATTTTGACGTGTTGTACGCGGGTAGATTTACGAGTGCGCCTTTCGAAATGGTCTCGCCACCTGTGAATGCTCATTTCGCTATCACGTGGGATGGTTATTTTTTCTTTATAATTTTGACGATTTCTTGAATTTCGGAAGTCATTTAAACTAACAATTATCGAAACGACCCCTAATATGCAAAACCAGTACGTCCGCGCGAGTCCATAGCGAAAGACTCGTATCGTAAATCTACACGATTACGGTAGTCAGGTAGAAGCCGACTATTCTAATTTTTTACATTGAAATTATTTTTCAAATTGCCCAAAAATATTTAATCCATCTAAAAAAATTAATCAGATCGAGTAGATTCCGACTAGTACCCACATTTTTAATTACGAAACTATAATGTTCCTTTGATCGCCATATTGTAATTCAATATTTTATCTTGGAGCTCAGAATTCAGAGAATCGTGTTGTAGAAACGATCGGAGGGTCAAAAAATATTTTTTTTGGGTTTTTGCTTGAGAATGTGTGTGTTTTTGATGGATTCAATTCTTTTGAACTCGAAATTTTCTAGGCGCCTTTGGAGAAAACATGCGCCGATTTTTGGTATATGTGCTTGCAAGAGCACGTCGACGTCATTTTCATGTTGTGCAATTTCACCGAGAAGGTTGGAATTTGGAAATTTTGGGCGTTGTTGAAATTTCAAATTTTTTTAGGGCACCAAAAAATGCCATGAATATTTTCCGACGAAAGATAAGCCGGACACATTGAATTTTGAAGAGAAGGGAATGAAAATCACTGTGAAATACGAGTCGTCGAGAATGGTGAAATTCAAGGGAAAAGACATCAAGGCGAAAGTTTGCGAGACGGCGTTGACGGTTGAAGGTCCCGAAGGAATGGTACGTGATTAGCTAATTGGCTAATTTGATTGATTGCTAGAATGGTCGCGTCACTCATTATCACTGGATTGATTGGCCCGATCGTGGTGTTCCGCCGGCGGATTTGGCGATTATTGAGCTGCTCGAGAAATCGCGAAAATCGCAGTAAGACGAATTGAATTCGGCGTTGTCTAACCGATCACTCATGCTTCTTTTTTTTCCCTCCTAGGGGTCCCATTGTTGTTCATTGCTCGGCGGGAATTGGCCGCACTGGAAGCGTTGTGATGATTGAATACGTGATGGGACAAATTTTGTCGGGACAACAAATCGAGGAGACCGACAAGATATTGTTGAAGATTCGCGAGCAGCGGAACAACTCGGTTCAAACGGACCATCAATATTTGTTTGTGCACCAGGTGCTCATGAACTATTTCCGTCAGCGGAAACTGCTCGACTCGTCGGTTGAAGGCCACCATGATGATTTCACCAAAGTGTATTTGAAATTGGTGATTTGAGTCGACGTGAATAGTGTATCGAACCAATATGCAGTTTCAACCCTCAATTTTTTTATTGCGATCGAAAATGAATAAATTAAATTGAAAGACTGGTGGGCCGAGTTGATTTGAAAACGGGTCTAGAAGTGCTCCTCGCGAGCGGCTTGAGCTCTCGTCGGATTACGGAATTGGAATTGATCAGCGGTGTTCTTCGCGGCGGTGGCTAGGCCGCCGATGGTCCATTTTGTCTAAAATTGACATTGAATCGAAGTTTTTTTTTGGTCTCAAATTGCCTTATTGAGCAAATTTCCGACGGTTTCTCCAAGATTTTGAACGTTTGGGCGCGTTTTGATCTCGTTCCATTTTTCTGATGCGATTTCTCCTTTAAAAGGGTAGATTTTCTTAATTGACCTTTTTTTTTTAATTTTTTGTACCAGCAACTTGCGCCACTTCAGCGGTTTTTTGATACATTTGACTCTCCTTGACGTTGGAAATGCTTTGTTGAATATCTTGCTTGATTTCGGTTATCGCGTTGATTCCGAGCAATTGTTTAATCTCGTCTTCGCGCTGAAATTTGAAGGAGAAAAAAAAAACATTTATTGATTTTTTTATTTGAAGTACACCTTACGTCGACGCATGAGAACATCTTTGAAAATTTGAATCTCGTCTTGAATTTTGGCGAGCTCTGAGAAAAGAGCGGCGCGATCGTCGGGCGAGAGATGATCGCTAGCAGAATTGAACGAGTTCCAGGCTCTAGAAATAAGACATTTGGAATTGTAGTTATTAAAGGGTCAATGCAGAGAAAATTGAAATAAAGGAAACAATTTCAATGCTGAAAAGAAATTTTTTTTCAGCTCTTCGTTTTCTCTGCATTGCGCCATAAAAATAAATTTAAAAAAAACTTAGTAGCAAAATTTTCGCGACGATTTTCCGTTGTGTTCTCCTTTCTGAAAAATATTCCAATTTGTTTCACTATTTTTATAAATTGGATAAATACTCATCGCTGGCAGCTTCTTCAGCTTTTTCGATGCTCTCGTCGAGATCGATGCCTTCCAGTTTTTCTTGCAAATCGGACATTATTTTGCTGGAAAAATTGATGTTTAAACAGACCGCCCGTTTTACATGTTTTCGCAGCTGTTGGCTACACTTTCGAATAATTGGAAGCAAAAAGTTCAATTTGAAAAAAAAAATGTAGAAATGAGTTTTTCAAAATAGACTAAGCTTAAGAAGTTTCTAGATAGAAGGAGAAATTGAGATAATTTGAAAATTTTAATAGATTGTTCTCTAAATATTATTGGGAGAAGTTGATCGAATTGGACTTCATCAACGATCATCATGCAAGTTGAGCTAATCAAATAAAGATGAGTCGTTCTAATTCAAACAGAGCCCACCGACTACCATATATAATGAAATCGTGCTCGATGATGAACGCATTTCACAATGAGAACCATCTTTATTTTGTGCGCTGTAATTGCTGTCGTTGTGCTGGCTCAAGGCCCTGGAAGTCGGCCATCGAAAGATTCGAGTGATAGCAATAGTAAAGGTGAGATTTAATTATTTAATCATCCTTAATTAGAATGTATTTTTGTATAATAGATAGAATCATTTGAAATAATTTTTACAGAGAAACACTCGAAGGAAAACTCGAAGGAAAATTCGAAAGAAAATTCGAAGGAAGCTGGAAGAAAAAAAAGAGAAGGTAGAAATTTAAGAAAAAAAAAACTTATTTAATAAAAAAAGAATAGTTCAAGATTCGGATTCCAATGAAGACGATGATGACTCGCAAGAACGAGACGATGGTTTGAAAAATTTCGACGTTTCAGATTTGTAGAAAACATATTCTAGGATTCTTCGATAGGATTTGGAACTTCTTCAAGGGCGATAAAAATAATGGAACTACGAGAGCTCCACCACCGACTGGAAGGCCGACCGGAGAGCCGCCAGTGAGGCCAACTGGTCAACCACCAATCAGAATTTAATTAGCTTTGAGTTTGACGTGACCCGATAAAAATGAATTTCACATTTGATCCACACTCGTTGACATTTCCACAACAGAATTCTTTTTTATTCTGGAATGGAATGGAAGAATGATGTGCTCCGTTACAGTGGATTCGATTATGGCGTCGCGAAAACGGCGGAAAGCAATGGTCTGAATTTGAATTTTTTAGAAATTAATTTAGCGAATCGATTTATTAGAATCGATGGTTGAGATAAGCGCTAGTGAAGAAAAGGTGATTAGTAAGATTGATGAGGATTGGAAGGAAGGGATGAAGAAGAACAAAGCATATTTGGATTACCGTAAGATTTTCTGATAGACCCCACGTTTAGTTTGCTATTCCAGTCGTGACGCTTATGAAAAACGAGAAGACTTCGATGGTCCCTCGTGTTGTCGAGAATGAATCGGAATTGTGCTCATGCTGTGAGCACGGTTGCTCGTCGTCCGAACCGGCCAGTATTAGTGAAATCGTTGCAGTTAAAGACCTCATTTTTTTTTCGAAAGAAACCAATCTTCTTCAGAAATCTGAAGAAGGAAATATCATTGCGCCGGTGGAGTTGATTGAGGAGCTGAACCAGCGGAAAATTGAGAATGAGTACTTTAAGAACATTGAGCAGGCCGAGAGGAAATGTGTGAGGTTTTGTAGAAAATTAAAAAGACACAAAAATTTTAGTGAATCAAGTTTTTGCCTTGAAATCTCAATGGTTGAAAATGTACCAAAATGGCGAGATTATTGATCGCTCATTCTTGCGACCTATAGCTCATCCGAATCCGTGGCGAGCCGATGAGCCCGAGATTGTCGATCTCGAATTGGTCGAAAATTCGAAAACGGCGAAAAACGTTTCGCGTTGTGTCATTTCTTAAATGATTTTTAATTCTTTAGTTAATGGTTTCGAATCCTTCATTAAAATTTCGTTGTTTTGTTGAGAATGAATATGCATGTTTCTCTCGTTGGTTTTTGCAATTAACTCCATAGCCTCATATTCGTCGCTGCAGAGGTTTTCGTTCGAAATGAAAACATTGAGGGCGCGTTGCGCCACTGCGTGCGGCCCGCGCGCTCCTCGCCTCTCACTCCCTCATAGGTCTGCCTTAAATTTTTCAATCAAACGGCCTTCGAACAACTCGGCGACGAACAGGGACGCCGAGTAGAGAGCGGTAGGCGGAGACTTGGCTTGGCGCCCGGCCGCTAGACGACCAGCGACAGCGGTGAGACGAGAGGCCCTTTTGCCTGACACACACCAGCGCCGCGGCCGTCCCGGCGTCCTCGATCGTCCATTTCGTTTTGTTGCCTCAGAATGTTCTACTAGAATATGTTTACGTTGCAAAGCATATTCTACTAGTTGCATGTTTATGGTAGATTCTCATTTTTTTCGCCTTTCAATTTTTTTTGTTGCCGTTGCCCAAAAATTTCCGATTTCCGATTCGGAGGCCTATAATTCAGAAAAAGAGGATTAGAAGGATGAAGAAAATACGAGAAAACGTTATCAAAACACTTTTTGGAAAAACAACGAAAAAAAAATTCCAGGCGCAGCAAATGTGGACCAATGCGATATTTGGGTACTGTAGTTCGCGATTTGGTACTCAGTCAACAAAATTCGAAATTTGAATTTTCGAATTTTTTCGAAAATCGATTTTTGTTTACCAAATCAAAAAAATAGAAGATTCAAATGCTTTTGCGTTTTTGACCCACATTAATTTGATCATCTTTTATGTTTTGGCGCTCAAATATTTATTGACTGCGTCTTATTGTTGTGTTTCGTTTCAGTTTTCCTCTCAACGCTATTCGCAAGCCATGCCGTCGATGCAAGAGCGCTACACGACTGAATTGCGCGATCGCGATCCAAACACTGTTGATGTGCTTTTTCTTGACAACTCCGAGGGAGCTGAGATCGCCGGTCTCTCCGATCAACTTACTAATTTGACGGTAAAAACACAAAATAATGTAAATTAGATTTTTTTGTATTTTCAGTCTTTGAGCATGGTCAATTGCCAGCTCAAGTCATTCAAGGGACTGCCATCTCTTCCATCGCTTAACCATCTCGATGTTTCGAACAACAATCTTGGAGATGATGCCGGATTCGATGTTCTCTTGAAGAACGCTCCAGAGCTCGAGCGTCTCATCATGCCAATGAACAACTTCACTTCGATTGACGCGTTCCGCACATTGAAGATGCTTCCGAAACTGATCGAGCTCGACATTAGCAACACCACCAGTCTCGGACAAACTGAATCTTATAGAGACAAGATCTTCGAGATGATTCCAACACTCAAGGTTCTTGATGGATGCAACGCTGCCGGCGAAGAAGTTGAAGAGGAATACATGGGAGAGGTGAGAAATAGAAACGTGCCGACCGGATAATTCAATTTATTATTAGGCTGGCGAAGATAGCGGAGACGACGACGACGACGAGGACAGTGGAGATGATGTGGACGGACCAGGACTCAGCTATTTGGATAAGAGCCAATTCTCTGATGATGAAACTGATGACTACAAGCCGAAAGATGTAATGCATTAAAAAAAATAATTCTTATAATGTACATCCTTGTATGTATTTAGGAAGCCGAGGAGGAGACTCGCGGAACTAAGAGAAGCGCTAATGGTGACGCTGGAGCAGAGCCAGAGGCTAAGAAGGCCGCCGATGCTGAGTAATTCATCCATCCAATCCGGCTGGCATTAAATTCGATCTTCATTCCACTGGTTAATCGACCCTCTTCTTTAACCCCAGTTTAACTTTATTTTTGAAACTAATTTATATTTTTTGCGTTCCTAAAACAAACTATTTTCGCATATTTTTTATTATTACCTCATTTCTTTTTTTGTAATTTGTTTGTTGAAAGGCGGCTTTTTTTCTCTGTGCCCCTTTATAATTCTGTATTATATATTTTGGAAAATGATCTGTGAATTGCATCGAATAAATGATCGAGGGTCAAATTATTGCGCGTTGCATCAAGTGGTGCGATTCGAATTTTCGCGGTGGCCTAGTTTTTGTCGCGTGGCCGCGGCGTGCCGAATCAAACGTAAAATGCGTCCAGATGCTACTTTTGCTTTGACCTTGTCTTGTTTGTGTGGGGGGTGGCTTGCCATTAATTTATTGATTAGCGAATTTTCAGATGGGAAAAGCTGACCCACTGTTGACTGCTCGAAGACGCGGGCGGCCGGCAAAAAATCGAAATAGCGAAAGTGCGCAGCGAACGGGATTCGAGGGAAATACCCAAGCACCTTGGTAAAAAGATTTGTTTTCTAGTTAATCGATTTTTAGCACTTTTAACATACATAAATGTCTTTTCAGTGTATTTGAATTAATTGTTTAGCAAAAATAGTCATTATTGAATGTTTAGGAGAAAAACGGTATCGATTTTCAAGCAGCCTGTCACGCAGGTATCAACGGCGCGTAAGGAGTCAAGAGTAACGGTTTTCGATTTGTGTAAATTCGAATTTAAAAATTCAGGTGTTCAATGAAGACCAAATTAAGAGAAAACCGACGAAAAAGAACGAGAATAGACCGTTTCAGGTAGGCTTTTGCGGAAAATCTCGCCAAACACCAAAACAATAGAAAATTTAGGCAATGTGGGCGAAATCATTAAGTGGACTTCGTGCGTTGATTCCGGTAGCGGTTGGCGACAAAATCGGAGATGTGGAGAAGTCGGAGTTCCTTGAGGAGACGCTCCATCTTGCTGGAAGGATACGACCAGCGCTGGATGTGATTGATGAACAGGCGACAGCGGCTTCTTTATGCCATGTTCTACATCATCCGCATTCTCATGGGCAAGTGTTCATTTTTTCATTTCTCTTTACTGTTATCGACGTCATTTCGAGATTTACGGACGAATCATAAGAATAGCTTAATGCGCGTCGAAACCTTTTTTCAATAACTATAGATATTGAAGCTACATTTAGAAAAAACATCAAATAAACTTTAAAATAATATATAAATCATTAAGAAACGTTTTATTCGAATAATTGAGTATTAAATACAAAATACTGCATTTATTTTGCGCTTTTGACATTTAGTTAATTTTCGCGCGACGCCGACAATATTTTTTTTTCAGAACTTTTGGCCAAGTTGCTGATAAGAAGAGCCTTGAGCATGATTTTGTTGCGAATGTGACGTCGGATCAGCCAATGATTGAGGTATGGAAAAGATGAAATATGAAATTCACTTACATTTATTTTCAGAGAATTTCGATCAGTCAACTCAATGAAGACATAATTGCTCAAGAAAAACGCGTGTTGGATTGTCGAAAGCGCCTTCAAGAAGTCATGAAGCATTTCGGATAAGCCGTCGATCATTTGTACGTATTAATTGTATGTATTTTGATCTCCATTTGTTTTATGTATAATTCCTTCAATTAATATTAAAAAATTAAGACTAATCAAATTATTTTATTGTCAATAAATTTTTGTCGGACATTCACATTCATATTCAATGAGCCGTTTTTGTTAACGCGGTTCTTATATTTTTTAACGATTTCGAAAAAAATGAATGAATAGTTGCGTTGAAAATTTGCAGAAAATGACGAAAAAGCGAAAATTTTTTGGGAATCCGAGAAGGTAATTGAATGAATGGGTTTATTTGCGAAATTCGCAGAATATTTAGAAAAGATGTCTTGGAAATTGTGAAGATCATCGGAAAAGCCGCCGGTCATAATGTATTGATAATCGATGGTGAAATTAGTAAGTTTTTTTTGGTGGGCAAAAATATTAAAATCGGATATTGGCGTTGTTAATTATTTTTTTTTTAATTTTTGGGTGCCTCGAAAAGCAGCAGTAATTATTAAAGGCGCAATCAAATGAATGCTCAGCATTCTTTTTATAGAAAAACTTATTCTTATGAATTTATTCATGAAATGCATTTTTTAAACCAAGTTTTGATAATTTAAAGATCAATTTCAATTTATTTACTTGATTCTCGAAAGCCGAAAACGAATTTGGCTTCTAAATTATAGAATTTCAATTTTTCCTGCGCTTCTCGTTGATCAGAAAAATTACCAAATTCGACACAGGGAATTCAGTAAATGTTGTTTAAAAAATTATTTTAGAGAATACAAATATTGTTTAAAAATTATTCTCCAAAAAAAATTTTTTTGGTTTTAGATTTTTTCGAGAATCACTTGAATTATTCCGAATTTCAAGAATAAAATTCCTTATTTATTTTTTTTATTGATAATAACTTTCTTGAATTTGAGAAGCTCGCACAAAATCGACGTACTCGCTTCAAATCAATCCGAATGCGCCGCCGTTCGTCATGAGGCAAATCGGTTTCGCCGGAATCCCGTTTTGCATTGTCAGTGCGAAAGGAAGTGGTCAGACCAAAGAGATGGCTGAATCGGCCGCCGCTCAGGCGCTCTTGGATTACTTCCAATTCGTTTTTCCTGACAACATTTATGAAGCACTACGATGCGTCAAGAATAATGTAGGAAATTTTTTGAAAAATTCCAGAAGACAAAATTTTCAGGACATATTGAATCCCGAGATTCAAGCGGTTATGCCAATGTTTCGAATACTTGAAGAACTGCTGAAGACCGATTTTCAGCACATTGCCAAAGTTTGTGAATGAGTCGCGATTTCAATCGGAAATCTTGAGCATTTTTCAGCTTGGCCAGTATTTTAGGCCGAGGGCGAAATTGCAGGAAACGTTGGAGATTCGGCATCGAATTAAAACTCGAATTTACGAAATGTATCAAGGTTCGCAAAATTGTTTGTTTTTGATGTTTGAATTCATTATTAGAAAAAATATTTTTTGAATAGAAAAGATGAGGCATTTAAAATTCAAAATAAGTTTAAAAAAAAAAACAATTTTGTCATGACTTGCGTTTGAAAAAAACAATTTGTCATGACATAAGTTTGATTTTGTCTGAAAATTTCGTTTTGAATGAAGTATTATTACCGCAAGTTGAATTGTGTGGAACTTCGCGTCACTGTATGTCAAGATAATCAGAATAGAAACGAAGCCGGCGAGTTTGAATTTTTTTGTTAAAAGTGGAACTTTAAAAGCTTCGCTCCTCTATAAGTTGTTTAGATTTTCGTTTTAGGACCATCGAAGCAGGAGAACAAGTTTGAGGTCCTACAGGTCTCTTTAAAAAATTGACAAATTTGGCATAAAAACAAAATTTTCAGGTTGATGAATGTGTTTTGGGTGAAGAAGTGGATCACAATGACCCACACGATGATGATAATGATGATGAAGATGCAATTATCATTGACGTTCAGGTAGTTTGGCGAAAGTCGCACATCTTTTTGAATATGTTCCACTGAAGCGAATCACATCAACGAAGAAGAAGGCGAGACCTAAAAGTACCCTTATCGAAACGTGCGCGCGACTTCGAGAACTTCGAGATCATGATATTAAGCAACAGCAAATCTGTAATAAAGAAATTCTAGAGTCGTGGTGGGTTTATGATATTGTTTTTCTTTTGGGTCATTTGGAACCACTTTGGGACCATTCATGATCAGAATTTTGAAGGGAGTTGGCTGGGGAGAGGTCTTGTCGCGATGCCAGTAAATCTAGACGTTCAATTTTGCGCCAAAACATCTCACATAGATTTTTTGGCCAATTTTCCGCATGGATCTTTCTTTTTTATTGAAAATTCCGTTTTTAACTTATTGGCCATAACCGATTTTTTTTGTCTTATAAGAGAATACACAATAACTAAGTTTTGAATTCTTAGGACCTGAAAATTTACACGAGTTTCTTTTAAAATTGATTTCAATGATTATCGTTTATTCATTAAATTTACCAATTGCTTTCTCTCGTTTCTTTCTCCGATTCTCTCGATCCCTTGCGCTCTCTTGCCCTCGCTTTATTCGTTTTGCACATTAACAGCGTCTGATCAATCTCGTGTGAAACACTTTTTGGCAACAACGCTCCCCTTTGTCACATTGAAAATCGATCGTTGTTCGTCTTTTTTTTGTGTGTGTTTTCTTAGATATTCACAAATTTGATGGGTTTTTTTTTCTAGAAATTCTCCAAATTTTCAGCTCGAACATGGCGCAATTTAACAGGAATCGGGCGGGCATTTGGCAGAATGCGGAAATTGGCGAGATGGACTTTGGACCGATGAACACGACGGCTAGCGGGCCGCCGGCCATCAATGCGTGCAGTGTGCAGCCGAACACGCGGAGGAAGGATTGTGAGATTTTTTGTTGTTGTAAGAAAAAAAAAATTGATTGATAAATTTTTAGTGTATAATGCCCCGAAATTTGAGATTGATTCGAGTGATTATGATTCGGATTATGAGCCGGCTTCGAAAAAACCGAAAACGTCAAAGGTTTGCATTTTTTTTGAGAATTGAAGCCATAAAATTGACATTTTTTCAGAGGAATGATGAATTGAAGTTGAATATTGTTGGTGAAAAGCGCGCCAGTGATGGAGGTAATGGTTTGATTTTGAAATTGTCATGAGAATCATACAATTGTCGAGGTTTCATTTCTGAATTGACGGTTTCAAACGATTGATCGAAATTGGCTATGCGCCAGGGTGTCTCAAGACGTGCCCGATGAATTGCGTACTCTGCATTTCAGCGTACGCGCCTTTAATAATTAGCCAGTGCCTAAATTTCCAATTTCGTAGATCTACAAGGATTTTATGAAACTGAATATTCGCGTCATTGATTCGTCGTTTGACGCCGGCAAAAATTCCAAAAAAATGCCTCGTTTTTAATAGATCAAAATACATCGATTGATGAGATTGAAGAAGTTGCACTCGTCGATGAATGGGATGAGAACGACGATGACGGCGAAAAAGTGGTGAAAATTGAGGAGAAAGACGACGAAGAGGAGGATGATGATGATGTAATTGTGTTGAATGAAGGTGATTGCTCGAGCGACGGCGATGTTCTTGTGGTGGGAGATGTGAAATCGGGGAGAAGCTCGTTTGGCGAGAATTCGATGAATCAGGAGAGATTTGAGAAGGGCTCGCGTTCCGATGCCACAGATATTTATGATGGTAGTAGTTTGTTGGTTCCAGTGTTGACCGTAGAAATTTTGATTCAGGTGAGCCCGATGTTGAATGTCTTGGAACGAAACATAACTGGCCGAAGGATTATGAGAAGAACTTGATCGGAGTGATATATAATGCGGAAATTGTAGATTTGAATTTTCTCGAATTAATATTGTGTGTCTGTTTTTTTGTTTCCAGGCGAAACCCGTTGAGAAATTTGTACTTTCTCAAGCGCAGACGTCTTTTGATAGCGTGAAGAAGCTTGGCGATAATGTGTGGCATCATTATCTAATGAACTCGCAGACTTTTGCGATTTACAAGACGAAAATGGAGGTCCGCGAGAAATTGTTGGGAATTTTTCAAAAGGTTTGAAATTTTTAGAAAATGTGATGATCCGAAAAAAATATATCAAAGGGTCTTCCTTATTTGTGCGCAATTTTAGATGAAAATTAGTTTATCTTCAGATATATCGCGAAAAGAAACTTCTGATGCACGTGACAGGCTCGTCGGTGAATGGATGTGGCGCTTACAACTCGGACGTTGACATGTGTTTGTGTATTCCGAAACTGAAAAATGGAAAATTCTTTGACGATTTTCCGTGTGGTAGAAAGTTGGAATTACGCCAATAATCCGAAAAAAACGAAGCATTTTTTTTTTTCAGATCAAGTTTAAGTCAATTGCGCGCGATTCAGCGGATCTTGTCGCGTGCGGTGGCGCGAAGCGAGATTCGAAAGCTCGTGCGAAAAACGACGCTGATTCCGGCGGTGGTGCCGATTCTCAAAGTCGATTTGCAGCCGCCGTATGAGAATCTCGACATTGACATTAACATCAATAATATCGCCGGGATTTACAATTCGCACTTGTTGCATTATTATTCACAGTAAGATTTTTGATACTTGTTGGGTCTCGTCGCGATATAGATTTGGGAGAATTTCCGACTTGTGGGCTCGAATGGATAAACTCTATTGATGCAATTTTTATTTTTTTTACCGACCCTCCCGTCATTGTTGTAGTGCTTCGAATAATGGCTGTTTGCAAAATTCGGCTAGAATTTAATATGATTTGAAAATTCACTTTTTTTTTACTAAAGTTTTATTATGCTAAAGTGACAATCTCCATAAACTTCGAACCGCAATCGAGCAATAATGGCCAGTAGTGTTTTTTTCTTTCAAATTTTAATCAATTATTTGAATTGTGACTCGAATTTTTGATGAGGAGCTCTTTTTTTTTTGTTTATGGGACCTATTGAATTGAAGCCCGCACAATTCAAAATTTATAATTCCGTAATATATGCATTCTCTTTTGTTTTTTTTTTTAGAATTGATGGACGATTTCCGGCTCTTGCCCTTGTTGTGAAACATTGGGCAATTCGAAATGAGATTGGGGACGCTCAATACGGAACTTTTAATAGGTAAATGGCGAGCAATTTGAAAAAAAAATTATATCGTTTATAGCTATTCGCTCATTCTTCTTGTTATTCATTACCTTCAATGCGGTGTCCGACCGGCAGTTCTTCCCAATCTTCAGCACATTTTTCCGGAAAAGTTTGATCGGAAATTGTCGCTGGAGAATCTCGTTTTGTTCGGAAATATTATTGATAAGCTTCCAGGTGATTTGATTTGCCGGGTGTTTTTGTTTTTTGAAATATTTCCTCATTTTCAGACCGTCCGCCGAACACATGGTCCCTTGGTGAGCTCACAATAGGATTTTTCAATTATTACGCGCGTTTCCCATTTAATAAATATGCGATTTCGATTCGATCTGGTCAAATATTTCCGCGGTAAAATTTTGATTCTGAATTTTTTGATGTTTTAAATCAATTTTTTTTTAGAAAGTACTTACCTAGAAGCGATCATTATCATGTTTTTATTGAGGAGCCGTTCGATGCCTGTAATACTGCGAGGTATGTGAACGAAATTGAATTTTGTTGAAAAATGAATGGAAAAAGAAAATTGTTTTCTAATGATTATTGAAATTATGGTCCGAAATCGGAGAATATCGATAGCTCTGGTAAAACAAATCTAGTAGGATCCGACTTGGACAAATTTTACAAACGAATTTGAAAATTGTCAATTGGATGCGAAAATATTCTTTAAAAAAACCAATCGAATACGACAATTTTCTAGTTTTTCGCTGCTGAATATTTTAAAGTTTTTTTCAAACTTAAATCGTCTACAATAATCTTCTCGAAATATTGCCCTATTTATCGGCATCTGAAACAAACTATTTGAGAAAATTTTTGAAATCCACCACAAAAAAGCTAGAAATATAATTAGATTTATTAATATTTTCGGTTGCCTCTATCAATAGTTGAATTTTCAGATGTATACGAAACGACGAAAAAATGAGAAAGGTGAAAGATGCATTCCAATACGCTTCTGCGGTATTCTCAAAGGATAAATTTGATTTGTCGGAAATTAAAGTTCAATATTAAACGCTCAATTTTATAGTTGTCCCCCCGCCCCTGTTGTCAAATGTTTTTTTTGTTTTCGTCGAAGTTTAGAAGTTATTATTATTATTTTTTCATTATTAAAGTTTCTTATTAAGAAAAAATATTTTCGAAATTTGAATACTCAAATTGTCTTAAAAACCACCAATTTCGGGCGGTTTTTTGTACAATTTTCAATTATTTTAATTTTTGTTGATATTCGATTATATGGAAATTGCAGTCAAAATTGTGTGGTTAAACACAATTCAATAGTGGATTGAAATATGATTAAAGGAACAAAGCGCGGAAGATGAGTTTGGTCTTATTGCGACGAATTTCGGTATCCGCCTTTTTTCCAGAAGCACTAGAGTAATGGTTAGTTTTTATTTTTGACCTAAAACTGACGTCGTATGCACAACACATATCGGAACGGTTTTGTTTTCCCAATTTAACTTTCGTGCAGAGGACTGCACATTTTTGGTATTTCGAATTATTCAAAATAGTTCTAACTGTTGGGGCAATCCGTGCACGAGAAAAGGTGGTGTTTTTTTGCACTTTTGCTGTTGCAGTGGAATCAAATGTTTTTTTTTTTAATATTAAAATCGGATACGAACATTTTCCAATGTTCGCCGCAAAATTTCGCAGTCCGATCGGATTGATTCGGCTGCCAAATTTTGTCGAATTCAATTAGATGGATTATTATGTTGAAAAATTATTTGAATTAATGCCAAATTTTAGAGGAACATGGAAGAAGATGCGATTTTTCCATTCGAAAGAAGTGCTTATTGGATGAAGGTTTTCACATATTCTTCTAAAAAATTCGAGAAACGCACTGTTAGATTCGCAGGCGCAGAGTGGTATTGCAAATATATGGAATTTGAAAGATTTAAATATTTTCAGGAAGATTGAATTTTCTTGGCGTAATGTAGATTTAATTGTAAGCTGTAATAGTTGCAACTACAGCGGAATGTGGTCGTATCAGACGAAAATCACATTTTCGAATGGCACTGCACCTTTAAAATTTAAATATACGTTCGGCAAATTTTCGAGACCATTTTCTACCAAGAATCAGGAAACTGAAAATGGTTATGAACTTAAAATCGAAGTGCTCAATGTGGAAGGAGATCCATTACTTAATTGGTTTAATCTCCTTCATCGCCAACCGGAACTGGCTGATGTTGTGCTCGTTGTTTCGGGAAATCGTTTGAAAGCAAACAAGATTGTAACTTATTTTTTTCAAATATTTTTCTAGTCAATTGATTTATTTTAAGCAATTGGCAACAATTTCCACCTATTTTCACGCGATGTTTTTCGGTTCTTTTGAAGAGGAGAAGAAAAAAGAAGTCGAAATCAAAGATGTCGATTTTGAGGAATTTGTTCACACATTGAACGTTGCACTTCCACCAAATGAGCCAGTTACAGGTTACAAAAAAAATTTCAAAAAATTGACAACAATTTGTTTCAGAAAATTATTTGGATTCACTTCTTGAAGTTGCTAATCAATTCGATATCGCGAATGTATTGAGTCTTTGCGAACGTTTCATGATGGCCGAATTGGAAAAAGAAGTCAGTATCTTCAAAGCTAGAGAATATTTGAAATATTCCGATGATTATTCGCTGGACAAACTACAGGTTAAGTATTTCCTTTCATACAAAAAACTCAGAGAATGTCGTATATTTGAAAAATTAAATGAAGTCGGGGTCCGACGACAATATTTAAGCTGATCGTAGAGTTTGGGCGCTAAAAATATAAAAAAAAATTCTGGATATGAACGCTAGAATGCGAAATAACCAATCCATAAATCTCTCCCATACATCGGTGGCCGGACGCCGACTATGAGATATTACCATCGCAAAAATTCGAGCGCCTTTCATTGTTGCGGACCATCGCACTTTTTTGAGGTGGTAATTCAAATTTAAACGGTGGAAATTTGGAGGCAGGTATTCTGGATAACCTACGAAGATAACTCGCCGTAAATCGGCGCAGGGTGCTCGTTTTGTATTTGCAAATTTAATACTTTTAGAACGTGTGCTTGCATGCTCTCGAAAAGAATACGTCAATCTATGACAAAGAATGTTTTTTGGATTTGAACCTCAAAACGCAGCTTGCAGTCATGAAGGTGCTTGCAGGAAAACAATGTACGTAGTGTGCAACATATTTACTCGTTCAATAAATATATAACTTAAAGGAGTCTTCGTTTTTGAAATGAACGTTTAGCGGAATAACACATTTCGCGTTTTATTGACAATCTGTAAGAGGATTTTGGTCAAATGTAATAAGGTGGTGAGAAATTGTCGAAATTCAAAGGAGCAACTTCAACTGATTAGATTTTAAAGTTGTGTTGTGCGACAGTTGAAGGACGCATCGACGCAAATAAAAATCAAACTGCGAATTTTGGTTTGGCGAAGTATAGAAATTATTATTTGTTCATTATTAAAGCTGATTATAACAATACAATTATTAGGTTTAATGTTTCTTTCTGTATGAAGGGAACATGAAGCCGAGAAGGGCGTCGACCTTGTCTGGAAGATCGTCTTCGGACTCTTCAGTTTTCGGTTTTTCTGTGGTAATGGTTGTTTTCTTCTCAGAAGTGATATCTTCCATGGAATTCCTTAATGTTATTGTGTATGAAGTTTCTACTATTACAATTGTGTCATTACTCGACAATTTCAGAATCCGTGATGTCATTATTTGTTGGTTCAGATTCGAGATTCTTATTGGTTTGCAACGTGAAGCCATCGTCAATCTGCGACTCGTCTCCAGCTTCATCAACAGAATCGTCTACATCGATGACCAGCCTGGAAGAAGCAAAGGTTTGCGCCTTTAAAACAAACGCACAACTTACGGTGCTGTTGTACAATCGATTTTGAAGTTTCCATTCGATTTGCGGCATTCAAGTGTTCGCCACATGAACCAATCGCTTTGTCTTCGTTCGACGCCAAGGGATTCTCCCAGCACGCAATCGGAATTGTCGATAATCACGGCACGATTGGATCGACGGCATTGAAGAGGGCACATTTCGATGGCTTGCTTCTTGTCGGAATCGAAATGCTGAGAATTATTTTCGTTTTTGAATTTTCGATTTGAGAAAAATTGAAGCGTACCATGAAGCATCCATTGTCGTTGATAGCGGAGAGCTCTTCCTCAGAATCGAGCCCAAATTTCAGCTGGCACACTGAACTCTGGGCTTGCGCGGACGATTTGTTGCAGCGATATTCGCGATGCTCAACTGGAATCGATTAGAAGTGCGATTTGTTGCTTGATTCTAGGTTAATTATACCATTTTGAGCGATCGTTGTGACGAATAAAAGGGCAATAACGAGGATTGACGGTGTCATTGTTCGTTGAAATGTTCGTCGGCCGACTGCCGAGACGTCAACGAACAAAAGGAGGAGGGAAAAGCCGTCTTGTTCGTGTTCCCGAAGAAACTTGCAAATGTCCCAATTATGGTTTATCGCCGGTTCGCCATCGTGGAGTCGTTCCTCCCTCGATTTGATGTGTTTTTTTTTCTATCTCATGCCCATCGAGAAACCAGTTTGTTCATGGATTTTCGGCGGTATGCAACTTTATGATCATATTTAGACGAGTAATTTGTGGGAGATGAACTGGAAATTTTAAAGATTTTCATTAATTGCAGAAGAGTGAAAAAATTACCTTTTTTCTTTGAAGAAATTTGAAATTTGAAAAAAATTGTGAAATTGTCGTAAGATTAGGTGCAACTCTGTGATCACTTTAGGTCAAATATTGCGAAGGTCGAATGCGGCAATTCAAAAAATGATTTTGGCGCGATAGCACGCGCGCGAAAAAAATTCCGACCTCGTCGAGTGTTGCCATTTCGTCATTTTCGTTGCCGTTAATGGGTCGGTATGGGATTTATGTGTGAGCTTTTTAATGGACCTATTCATGCAATGAAAAAAATTTCAAAAAAAAAATCAATTTTTTTCATTTGAATTCCCTATGCTTACAAAAAATTGACACGGTATATCGTAATTCTCCGCTATTTATTTTCAAAGGCGCACGCGAAAAGTTGCGCGGGTCACTTCGCGAAGTCGGTACTGTATTTTTTATGGCTGGTTTTTTATTTTTTATTTTAGTTTTTGAGCGTTTAAAACGTCTTTTTTTTTGGAAATCTGTAAAAGTATTTTGTTTAATCAACATTTTCTCTTCAAAGCTTTCGAACAATACGGAAAAAATTGCACACAAAATGAACAATAAAAAATACAGTGCCGACTTCGCGACGTGACCTGCACATCTTTTCGCGTGCGCCTTTGAAAATAGATAGCGGAGAATTACGATATATCGCGTCAATTTTTTTGTAATTTTCGACGTGCGTGCATAGGGAATTCAAATGAAAAAAAATTGATTAAAAAAATTTTTTCATTGCATGAATATAATTGGCGTCCAGCGACTGCTGTACGCGGGTAGATTTACGGGAACGGGTCTTTCGAAATGGTCTCGCAAAGACTAACAAGTTATTTCACATATTATGAACCATTTCGATAATTTTTAAATCGAATATCGTTGGAAATTCAAGGAAATGCGAAACTCATTAAGAAAAATGAAGCAGTTCGCGTGAAAACTGCAAAATAAGCATTCACGCGTGGCGAGACCTTTTCAAGGCGCATGCGCGTAAATCTACAGCAGTCGCCGGACGCCGACTATAGGTCCATAGTAACAATATTGTATGCTCAAAAAATTGGGAGCGCAAATTTTTAGGGCGAAAGAGAGATCATGGCGCGATGCGTGTGTTTCGCGCCAAGAATCTCTCAAATTTTTTGTTGAGTTGACGCCAACAATTCAAAATTAATTTAACATTTAAAAATTCCTAGTTTTTTGATTTGTTCAGTGTTGTGCAAATTAGTCGAACTGAATAGATTTATCAAAAAAAATAGTTCGATTTTGTTTAAAGCATGTAGCTGAAATGACGAGAACCCGAGTTGTTTGTGGTTGAGAATCTAGATTTTTGGAATCTTTCAAATGCGACTAATTTTGTTGGAAGTTTGCGGAAAACGAATATTGACTATTTTTTGAGCAATTGTTTCTAGAGAATGAGAGGTTAATTAAAATTTTTGATTGTCGTAGCCGGATTACTGTAGCTAAACACGTTTTGAAACACTGTAGTAACAACTATCCGTTCATCGTTCGAATTTCGCGAACCTCTATTGCATATATATGGTCGGCGTCCGGCGACTGCTGTTCGCGGGTAGATTTACGCGCATGCGCCTTGAAAAGGTCTCGCCACGCGTGTATGCTTATTTTGCTGTTTTTACGTGAACTGTTTCATTTTTTTTATTAGTTTGCCATTTCTTGGAATTTCTAATGTCATTCGATTTAAAATTATCAAACCGACCCATAAAATGCGAAATAACCAGCTAGTCCTTGCGGGACCATTTCGAAAGACACATTCCCGTAAATCTACCCGCGTACAGCAGTCCCCGGACGCCGGACGCCAACTGTATGTAGGAAATTTACACTGAATTTGAAAATTATACTTGTTTGTCCGGAAATACCCGTTTGCATAGCTACCACCTCATAAACATGGAAGATTTTGAGTGTGGTCCATTCTTTGTGGTTGAAAAACGTCTCGACTATATTTTTAAAGTATAGAATTGAATTTAGTGTGTAATTGTCGTTTTTTTTTTGCATTGCAATAAGCTAAAGTTGATGTAGGAAATCCGGCCAGAATTTTGTAGTTGTGTTTTTGCTTTAGGTGTACTGTATGTGATAGGTTACGCAAACATATAATTTGACGACACTCCGCAAACACGTTTGCGCGCCAAAATTCGAATATTCGTCGGTCTTATTTGATTTGTTTGTAGTTGGTTGCAACCTTTTTCGCTGTGTTTCTTAGAAACAGCCCGCATTTCCTGTTTCTAACAAATCCCAGGCAAATAACTTTGGTTAAGATTTATTTTTTTCTTAAATAGTGGCTAAAGAAACAGAATTTAATGTTTTTCATTTTCAGATGGCGATTTGGTTTTTTGCGTTGGCCACGACATCGGTAGTTTCTTCTGATAATTGGAAAGGTTTGTGTCTACAAAGCTGTCGAAAATTTCCCGGACAAAAACTTCGAGTTTCTTTAATTAGAATAGAAACGTTTATTTTTTTTGCATACAAATGTGCGGAAACTCGAAATGAAATAATGTGATGTCTTCTCGCGCTTATATCTTAATTTGGCAAGCAGTTGTGGTTCAGTTCCGGATTCGGTCCCGCTATCTTCAAATTTTTTGTGTATTTTTTAAAATAGAAGATACAGTAATTATGACAGTGCAATTTTGCGTTTTTCTATTCAAATTGGCCATTTTTATCATATTATAAGGTTATTTATAGCAAAAAATAGTTTTAAAAAAGTGTTAAAAAATTGAAAATTATTATGATATGCTTAGAGCAATGGTTTTCACAATAGAAGACAAGTACGGGGAGGAAATGTTGGTTTAGAAATCGCAATTTTTTTTGCTGTATTGATGGGTTTGACAAAATGGATCAGAAGGATCAGGTGATTACGGTAGTTACAGTAATCGGGTTACGGTAATGAAAATATTTTTAAAAAATTCAGCATATTCGATTTAGTCAATGAACCAATTTTCAGATCGATCGGATCAATATTCGCGATTTCGGGTTACTGTAGCTACAGTACTCCTGGTCTTGGAAATTTTCACCAAACTTGGTCACTAAGGGTTTCGCGATAACCGTGACTGACGAATGAAGAACCCCAATTATTTTTTTTCTAAAAATAATCGTATCTAATCTACGGGTCTCTTACTCGGTTATCGATTGCATTTTTTTTGTTATGCGCGTATGTTTAAATGCCGTGTACGCAAACACGCGCCCAACCAAAATGCCCTGCGCAGATTGGAAATCGTTGATTTTTTGTATGTACTTTGATAGCGAATTTTCAATATCGATTGATGTTTCTTGCAAATTCAGTTCTCAACAATTTTGATGATTTGTTTTCGCGTCCTTCATAATTTCTTGCTCACTTTCCGTTTAGGAAACATTCTTGAATGACTTAAATCGTTTTATTTATTGTATTTAATGCCGTTTTCTTCCTACGATACTTTTCTTTTCAGGTAGTGCCTCAACAAGTCTTCCGTGGCGACGGCACTGATGGTCCCATGTGGAGTGTCGAAGGTTTGTTACTATTTCAAAATTTAGACAATAAATTTATTTTTTAGAACTTTTGAAACACTGAAACCAATTCGTCATGGATTGTAGACGCAAAAACTCAGAAGGTGAGATAATAAAAAATTTGAGCATTGTTTGAATAGCTGGCATTTTCAGAGTTTTATTTGCAGCGGCAGGAAGCGGCTTGATCGGTAGCACATCATTTGGCTCCTCGGATTTCCCTGGTCGTCTCCGAATCTCTTTGCTTTTTTTCCCGAGTCAAAATCCAAGAAAAATGTGATGCACAAACCGGCTGAAGATAATGACCCCGTAATTTTTGACCATTTTTGCTCTTTTTGAATATTGTTCGATTTTGCCTAACGATGACATTCGCTACGGGAATCGTTTTATTTCAGATGATTCGAGTTTTGAGTAATTAAAGTAATTAGGGATAAAATTTAGGGAATAAATGGTGGGATTTTAAAGGGGTTTCGGTTTTGGCAAATTTTAAAATTTAATTCTTCAGATAAAAATAGTTGGAGGGTTTCTTAGAATTAATAATAATTGAGATTCTTCGAGAAGAGATCTAATTCTTATAGGGGGAAAAGCAACAAGGACTGAGGAAATGATTGGTAGGAATATCATTAGGGTTGTGATAGCTTACTGATTCTTTTTTTATGTCAGAGGTTATATTAATAATTTCATGGGGCAGATAAAAAAAATGAACAAAAAAACATTTTTTTTCTTCTTTTTCTTTCGAATCTGCAATGAAATTTTGTCAATTTTTTCTTTTTTTATTTTCTACGCATTGCCGTTTAAGCTGCTTGATAATTTAGGGTAATTATAAGAGTGGAGTTTTCTTAAAATAATTGTAAAGGTGTATTTTTTAGTTTTACTAGAGTTCTATCAGCTAATTTTACAATTCAAAAAAATCACAATAGACAGGTCATATAGGACATTCCAATGGTTAAAAAAAACTTTTTCAACCAAATTGCGCGTTTTAATAAAAGTGGTTTATATTTCTAATTGATTGGATGTTTTAGATGTTTAATTGCGGTTTAATATTAGGATATTTTTAGAATTAAGATTTTGAAATTAAGTCTTGAGAAAAGCGGGTATTTAAAATTAATTTTCTGGCTATTGCGATCATTTAATCATTATTTTTACAAAAAGAGATCCTCATAAATTTTAATTTAAAATAATCGACTTTCCATCAAATTGCAATATTTTTTCTTATTGAAATTTAAAAAAAAGACGCAATAGCCCTAAAAAAAATAGGAATTTTGATGGGAATCGAGTTTTGGGAGTACAGGTAATTAATTTAGTGGTCCGTGAATGGGTTCTGATTCCAGTGACAGACAGCCGCCAATCAAAAAAATTCGTAAAGAAATTATTCAGCCTATGATATTTTGTTGATAAAATTGACCAAAAACGGGGGAATTTTTGAACCCCCCGCCCAATTTTGTTTAATTTTAAACAATTTTATGCATTTTATTTTTAATTCATTTAGATTCAGATAAATTTTGCTCAATACGAATCTCAAACAATTTTTTTTTCAATCCAAAAATTTCCACAGTGATTGGCGGGCTTCGATAATTTTTCATAATTGTCAAATTAAGTTCGGAGTATCTCATTTGTCGACAATTTATCGATTTTTCACTATTCAGTCAATTTCTTTTCATATTGTCGTCGATTGAATTGTTCCAGAAGGTCGTTTGAAGTTTAGCGGGTAGTTCTAATTTGTAGTGTTGCTGGGTAGATCGTAGATCAAAACTTGTGGTTGCCTGTCATCAGCTCATCTGAGAGAACGGGTCTCGTAGCGAAGGTCAAAGGGAAGTTCGTAGTTTGCTTTCTTGGTCGAAGGTTATTAAGCTTGTATTTCAGTTGACGTAATGGTTTGAGACGGATTACTGTAAAGGTCATCACGGCCCACTTACAGTATTCCTTATCAGTCCGTGAAATTGCGTCGACTGTTGTGCAATTCTTATTGACACCCGACTGAGAGGTCATAAAAACTACGAATTTCCATTTTTGGCAAAATCGAACAAAATTCAAATTGCCCAAATATGGTCAAAAATAGGGCGATTTTTCGGCTGTTTTGTGCATTACGTTTTTTTTTTGCGATTTTGACTCGGGAAACGAGGGGTGGAGGAGACGACGAAAAAATCCGAGGAGCCGCTAAGTGGGAGAGACGATCTTTTCGCGAAATTTCGAAAAAAAAGTAATCAGATCCCCCTTGTTTCTTTCTTCGAATGCGCGCCCTCTACCCGTCTTTAGCCCCAACTCCGCCCTGCCACCCCCTTTCATTTCCGAATTCTGTGTTTTCCATTTGCTCCCCGATTCTCCATGACTTGGACGACGAACTCGCCCAACTCCCCTCATAAGGGAGGTCATTTTAGGTGTCTTTGGCGATTTTTCTCTAAATTCTCTCTTATAATAATCTACGAAATATTTTTTATCGACTGATGTTATCCTCTACACTTTTATGTCGGTTCGACTCCTCTCAACTTCAATTTTTTTGCGATCATTATTATTTTTTATTTTTATTGTGAAACTCAAAAATTGAAAAAAAATTTTGTAGCCCACTATTCACATTTGTATTAATGAAACTACACAATGATCTATAAGAAGATGAAAACGAAATAAATTCTTGTTTCTCTGTTTACTACGATTGTTCTAATAGAGTATGAACAAAAGTCCAGATTTGAAATCACTTAATTACAAAGGTATCATTAGGTGTTACGATGAAATGTCAAAATTTCGAAATTTTGGGAATTTAAATTATTATCGATTTTTTGACGAATTGATGGATTTTCAGCAAAAAGATTAAAATGTAGCTCTAGTGAATGAATAATGATAGCAAAAAAATTGAAGTTGGGAGAGGTCGAACCCGCATAAAAATGTGGCGGATAATACCAGTCGATAAAAAATATTTCGTACACTATTATAAGAGAGAATTTAGAGAAAAATCGCCAATGACACCCAAAATGACCTCCGCTTTTGAGGCCAATTCCTTTAGACGACCGTTTTCTAAAATTTTCCTTCAATTATTGTTGACATTTTGCAATAAATAGTTTTGATTCACTGGCATCCTCAAAATGTTCGACTTTAGAACAAAAAGCTTTGAGATCAAAAATCGGATTGCTGTGGATGTCGCAAGAGGTCTTGAACAGAAACATGTCCAAGTTCTTCAATTTTGCGAAATTTGCAACCATTAGCATAAATCTACAGTAATCCAATTTGATCTCGCCACTTCAAGTATACAATTTTACAAGCTATCCCATCATTAATTAATTAATTTGCTAATTACTGATTACTTAGTGAACAAAACACACCGAAATTCCAGAGGTTGAAATATTTTTTAAAGCTAAAACTAGAAACTACAAAAATTAGTCACAAATTTAGCTTAAATTACATAATTTGTGATTAAACCCAAAAAAAAAACGGTTAATTATCCTAATTAACTCAATTATCATGTGTTAATATGCCTAAATTCTTTATCTACAACGAAATGTTCTGAAATGCGAAAATTTCGCTGAAACTCAATTATCAAAATTAGTATAAGCCAAATTTTACCTTATTCAAGCATAATCGAAGCAATTTTGAGTATAAAATTAGTCGAAAATCTTGTCCAAAAAAAAATTCGACACAAAATTTTCGAAATATTCTTCAAGATTATTTTTTTCTTATAATCGAAAGCCGAAATTTCATTGAAAAGTTCGCATAAAAAAAACATGAAAAAATTCGCGAATTCTTCGAAATTCCGACGCCAGTTTCGATAAATCCAATAAATCGAGACCATTTATTGCAAAATTTCAACAAAAAATCGAAAAATGAGAGAGAAAAAAAAATCGCTAATTGGTCGCTAAACGAAACAGAATTTGGGAGAGCTGGGCAATTCCGTCGACACGCGTGAAATATTCCTCGACAAATTAAACAATTAATTAATTAATTATTGAAACAGTTAATCTATATGAAAATGTGCTACAATTGGACGAGGAATAGAGATGGCCGTGGCCGAGATGGACGAAGTTTTTCCCAGGCCATTCCGGAGCGGAGCCACGTTTTTATGGGCGACGCGACGGTTCTTTTAGCTGTTAACTGGTCCAACTATTCTAATTTGGTTCTTCACTATTGATTATCTAAAAATTCGTAATAAAAGCTTAAAATGATAGCGAAATTTAATAGAAATCCCAATAGCTAAAACCTAGCAATGAAATAGTAATTAAGGAGCTAATTAAAAATTCTAATAAATCCCACAAAGTCGAGAGAATCCGCCAGCGATCGACCTCAAGTGTGCCCATTCCATGTGATTGTTCGAATCAACCATTTTTGTCCGCAGCACTCTCTCATTCCTAGGATTGCCCCTAATGCCTAATAAGGAATATTTCACGCTAGCCATGGCGAATCTAGGAGCACACAGGGGAACGCCGAATTCGGAAATAAAAGCGAAACACGGCAGAACGAAATTGGGACTTACCGGGTAGGAGACGCGCAGGCGGCTTTCAGACGACGGCAACAGAAAACGAAAATCGAGTTGTCGTCGACGTCGCAGAATCTTCCTCTTTCGTTCGTTTGCCCTGAAAACCCGGAAATCGATGTCGACAAAGAATTAAACGGTGCGAAACGAGCAAAAACCAACGCGGATGACAACGATAATAATGAATTGCGCATTTTGAGAGACGCAGAGAAAAAAAAGCGATGATCAAAACTGGAAACAATGTATTGATTGATTGAGATGAGAATTGAAATCGGCGGCTACACTGTAGTCTTGCTTTCGCTAAATTGGCGACTTCATTTTTTAAACTCGATAGATCAAAATATATTTTACATCTTGAAATTTAAACACATATTTTGAAATTAATGAACCTATTCATACAATTAAAAAAAAAGTTTTTTTAATAACACATTTTTTTTTCCAATGCAGGTTTGGTGAAAAATTCAAATTGAAAAGAACCCCAAAGCCCGGTTGAAGTGGGCTAAGGAGCATTCGAATTGGAGTTTTCAGCAATGGTCAAAGTTCGCATGAAGTGATGAATCGAAGTATATGTATATTGATCCGAACTTGTATTGTTTTTTGTTAGAAGGGTTCAAAAGCTTTAATGTTACTGTTCGAGATTTAATTATCTTGTTTTAAATTTAAAAGCATGAAGTGATGAATCGAAGTATATAAAAAATTGTCGTAATTGATTAATTTTTGGGTATTTTCGAATACGATTGGTAATTCGCCGGATTCGATTGGAAATTCTACGGATAAGATTGGTTATTTGTCGAATCCGATTCGAATTGAAATATTAAAACAAAACGGATTCGAATATTTACCAATCGGATTCGAAGAAAAACGAATCGGATACGACAAATTACCAATCGGATACGAAAATACCCAAAAAACCAATCGGATACGACAGATTTACAATCTTATCCGTAGAATTTCCAATCGGATAAGGTTAATTCTAGAGCCGAATTTTGTCGAATCCGATTGGTTTTGAGTTACCAGAGCTTATACGAAATAATTTCTACAAAATTTGTGGCTGAAATTTACCCGTTCAAATATATCGAGCTTCTTATTCGATTAGAAACGCTTTTAAACAAAAAATTGGCAGTGAACTCATCGAACAGTGCCACTTTTTTTAAAATGCTTTTAAAACTCAGCAAATTGTCCCAATTGGTTGTGCATAATTGTGAATCTACTCATTATATTATTTAAATAAATTAAAATTTTATTTTAATAATACAAAGTAAAAAGGTTTAGACGGCTGTACGCGGGTATATTCACGGGAATGCGTCTTTCTCTTGGTCTCGCGATGACTCTCTGTCTATTTTGCATTTTAGGGGTCATTTCGTTAATTTTTAATTTCAATCATATTAATTATTCAAGGAAATGTATAATAAATACTAGGTGTAGGTGTTTTAATTATTGGAACACGTATAGACAGAGGAGTATGAGCCGATTTTATTTTAAGGGATTCTCGGGGGTTAAAGAAAATCAATCAGATTCAAAGGAAAGTGAAATATAAATTAACCCTATTCAATTGAAAAAAATAATAATTGAAATTCGATTTGAAAATATTTTTCATTTTCAATTGCATTCTGAAAGAATTTGAACACAGCTCGCCCCCAACTGAAATCTAGTGATCATCGGAGATGGAATTTGGATCCATTAATGGTCGAAAAATTAATCATTTGTTATTTATATGTTAATAAAATTAAATAATGTTTTTAATAACTTTTCTTGTCCACTGATTTTCTCACTCTCTTCGTGTAATTTAAATTAACTTGGATATATGGCAGCAGGCTGTCAAATTTTCGCCCGCGTGGAAACCCTAACCCCCAATTTTGCATCGTAAAAAATTGATTAAAATAAAATAAAACCAAACAATGAGGAAAATATCGTCAAATAAAAAATTTGCAGGCATTTTGACCTACAGAATCCGTCAAAAAAAATCTCTTCTGAAGAAAATTTACATGAAATTTTATTTATAAAAATGAGGAATATAATTCAAAAATTCTTTATTAAAATTAAAAATTTGAACTTCAGCAAACCGCAATCTCACTCTCAATGAACCCGTTTTTGGAATTTCTGCAAAATCGCCTTCAGGAATTTGATCTGCGGCGACGCCAATACATAATACTCATCTCTTGATCGAAGCGCGTCGATCTGTCGAAAAATGTCTGAAATTCGCCAACAAAAAAAAAGAATCTCGCACCTCAAGCACATTATTGCTAACAAATATCGGATGGAACTCGTCGAATCTCAAATTCTTGACAACCCACGTCTGTTTGAATATCAAATGAAGTCCGCGATCATTGACACCGGCGAGGCACGGTCGGCAAGCGTTCGACGATCTCTGAAAGCAAATCGCGATCCATATGGTCACGTCTCGGGAAGAGCCATAATTATAGGCAATTATTTCAAGTTTTTGGGACCCCACCCTTCATACAATATGAAACAGCACACTTGACCCCTCAAACATTCTTGAAAACCTGAATTGGGTCCCGTTTGATTTATTCATTCGCCGTTACGTCCCACCCAATCCCGCATAATGGGCGTATTTAAAGACGAAACTCAACAGGTGGTCCCGACGCGAAACATCTCGCTTCGAATTTCCGCCATTTTATGTGCTATTTGCGCCGTTTCATGTGTGTTCATTTTTTTTTTGCTTCTTCTTCTTCATCGTCTTCTCAATCTCATTCATTCATCATCATATGGCTCGTTAAACTGACCACACACACACATTTAAAAAAAACTCATACGTTTCCCACAATTTCGCCCATTTCAAGGTCTCGACGCGAGCGAGCAAAACCAAAAAAAAAAGACCACCGAGATGACGGACGTACCTTTGAGATAATGTCGACGTCGAAAAACGAGGCGCCGTAGGTCATCAAACCGCGCGCCGTCGTCAAAAAATCAAAGTCGAGTTGCGCGTCGTTTCTCGTCTATAATTTTCTTGATTTATGTTTTTTTTTTAAACAAATCACAAAAAAAAAACACATTTTTAAACGAAATCCACATGTTTGCTCATTTATCTTCACGAGCATCCGGCTCATCTCGTGAAAATATCAAAAACCAATTTAGCGAAATTCTCCTTATTTCATATGTATATACATTTCTAAATATTATTCGTCGGAAAAAAAAAACATCAAGAATATCACGAAAAACTTCTCAGGTAAATGAAAATCAATCGGATTCGAAGAAAAATGAAATATAAATTAACCTGTTTCGATTGAAAAATCCTCAAAATCGATTGATTTATTTCTCATTCTCAAAAAATTCGATCGAAATTGTGGAATAATTCGAAACAGATTAATTTACATTCGATTTAGATTGAAAAAGAAATTATTTTCGAATCCGATGGATTTTCATTTACCTGAGATTTTACAATTGCGCAATTTACTATCAAAATGTTCGTTTCAAGATCATTCGAAAATAAAATCGAAATGCTCCTTTGAATTTGTTTTATGCAAATAAAAAGAACGCAATTTTTCAATCAATTTGATTTTAAGCGCCTTTAATCATACCAGACTAACTCCCAAAATTTTCTCCTTCAAAAAATTTCAATTGGGTTAATTTTCCAAAAAAAATTTATCTTCATGGTATTCCAATTGACCACAATTCTTTTCTGAGCAAAAAATCTTTTTATTTTATTTTTTGCGTTTTCTCAAAAAAAATCATTTGAAGCAATTTTCAGAACGAAAACAAAAATACCGAATAAAATGAAATCACCTCGTTCCGCTTCATAGCCGTCCTCAAATGCTCCAGAAGTGTGTTCTCGTCGTGCAAATTGAACATATATTCCGGATAGACCTTCATCATATTATGCGTGCTGCAAACATTTTTTTACAATTTCACAACACACAAATCGTTCCCCTCTCATTTTCATAATTTTCACAAAATTTTCAAAATTAAATGATAAATATGGAAGAGATTGCGAAAAGTCAATAGAAAAACAAAATTTTTCAATTTTATACCAAAAATCAGCGTATTGCTCCGAAAAAAAGCTGAAATTCTTCACACCAACGTAAAAATTCCAAAAAACACAATTGAAAAACGAAAAAAAATTTTTTTTTTGCAAAAATTTCACAATTTCATTGATACCTCAATTTCGATGTCTTCTTCGACATCTCCTCTCAACAAGCAAAACCATCCCCCAAAGGGGAAGACGAAGAAGAAGAAGAAGAAGTTGCGGATCTCAAGCTTATCCGCTGCACTTCGTAATGGATAATCCCATTGTCAATAAGTTTTCGCCGGCCCGAAAACATATCCCCCAAAAAAAAAGAAGAAGAAGAAAACTCGACGACAAGCAAACTTGATGGATAGCTTATGAGTATATGCGCCTTTTTCAAAAAAAATTCTCGCCAAGAGAAGGAACTCCCCGTTTCTTCAGACTATGCCATTATTATTATTATTATTATTATTATTATTATTATTATTATTATTATTATTAATATTATGCAACATTTTAGGGACCTTCTTCCAACATTGAAAAGAATACGCAATGAGGCGTGAAAAAATATCCATATATGGTTGCGGGCGCGCGCGCGCGTGCAACCGGCGGTTTTACTCAACTCGCCGAGCCGCTTTATTTTATGTCTTCCATTCTTCGACGACGGGGAAGAGCCCAATAAACTTGGCCGAAAAATTGTTTCGCACGTATAATAGCTTCCTCCATTCCTCAACACAATTTCAATGGTCCGTCCCCCAGCATATCGCTAACACCCAAAACTTTTCAAAAACACACATTTTCATTATTCCTTCATTTCTATGTATATCGTTTTTTTTTTCTCCCAATAGCACCTTAAAATGTGTGTTGAAATATTCCAAATTCTCATTTTAAAAAATTGACGGCCGAATTTTTTCGCGTCCACGGCCGGTATTCAACAGCCATATTTTTTTTGAAAATAATTTGATTGATTCATATCTTAAAAATAACTGTTTATTGCCTTTATCAAATTTTTCTGACTTTGAAACTCCCGTAGAAATTTCAAAAAAAAAATTAATAAATTATCTATTTTCAAAAAAAAAAATTTTTCGGACACAAAAAATCCCACAGAAATCGGTTTTCATTCAATTTCTTAGCTTTTGGCGCGTTCCCATCCAAAATTTAAAAAAAAACTATTTTCCATTGCTCAATTTCATATAGTTTTCCGATATGTGCCTTTAAACATCTACAGTAATCTTTGCATGTAGAAAAACACCCCCGATTTCGCGAAATTTCCCAGCGAAGATCTCTGAATTCAATTTTCGACAAAAATTTGAACAAATTCCCTTTCTTAATGTGAGGATTCATTTAAGTGTGCAATTTTGCGTGCCAGTGCACCACAGATCTTTTGGCAATGTTTTCTGCAAAGACACATTTTTTCTAATAGCGGCAGAAATGAAGAGAAAATCAAAATAATTAGTTTTTTTTTCTTTCTCCACTAAAAATGTATCTCACTTTTATTTTCTCTGGATTAACCCGCCAATATGACTCATCGATTCTTCAAGCCACTCGAATCCGTGAGATCATATGCTTCATCTTGCGAGAACAATGGAATATCAATCAAATCCCCCCAATGACTTATTAATAATCAACGGGATATAGGGGGAAAAAAAAGTAAACGAGACGAAGGCGAACGGTCAAATCCCGCATAATTATGCAAATCCGCGAGTAGCACTACTCAAACAACATACAGTGAGAATACGATCCGATTCGATTGCACCTGCCGCATGCGTGTGTCAAAAACAGTCGAACCCCCCGCCCCCCGGTTACCCCCAGCCTCATTATTTACACACAATTGGTCATCCATCCGCGAAATTCTCAAACCTCTTCCCAATTTAGGTTTGATGATTTTTTTCTCTACGATGACTCACTCAAAAATTTTCGCATTTTCTTTTTTTTCAAATGAGCAATAAAATAATTTTTATCATTTCTTTAAGTCAAAAATCTGAGCCATGGGCAATAAAAATTCAAATTACGAATTAGAAATTTTCAAAAATAAAAACAAGCGAAAATCTGCTCCAAAAATTGCGAAAATTTCAAGAAAATATTTAATACAATTTTTTTCCACAAATTTAAGAAAATATTCGATTTTTTCTCATTTTCCAACAAAAAAAAATAATAATGAGTTTGAAAGACGACAAATATTTCAAACAAAAAAAAAATGCTGAAAGAAAAAACCCAACAAATTTGCAAATTTCGAAGGAAAACGCCAATTTCCAGCTGATATATTGCCGTTTTCTCCATTTTCGCTTTGTGTTCCATTTCTAATCTAAGAGGCTCTCGGTTGCACATTACAAATGAAAATTCACTATGGGGCCGTCAAAAATTTTTTTCGGGACGCAATTTTAAAAAAATCACTTAAAATGAAAAAAAAAATAAATTTACAACTAAATTTTTCTATTATGGGGCTATGCAGAAAAAAGAATAGACAAAATTTGAATGACTAGTTTTAAAAAATAATTATGAAAAAAAATTTATATTTTCTGTTTTATTTTCTCTTTTATTTTTTCTCTTCAAAAAAAGCGAATGCTTATTCAAAATGAAAAAAAAAACGTCTTGGAGACACAAAATAACTTACTGTTAACGATTTGTGACAAAAAATTAGTATATGCATATTTTTGATTAAAACAAATATCAAAGCTTACAGAATTGTTCGAATTTTTCAAATATTAAAGCTTTTTAGTTAAGAACAGGAGAGAAAAACGTGGACTTTTCACTAATTTTTTAATCTTTTTCCAAAATCTGCATATTTCCATAATACTATGCATTATTTTCTTTCTTGCGTAATCTCATCACTGATTTCCATAGAGTCATTCCCACCCAAAAAAAAAATGCAAAAAGGTCCCAATTTGACGGCACATATTGATCTTCAAATATTTCAAAGTAACATTTATAAACCCCTACAAGAAAAAATGTTACGGGGGGGGGGCAACCTGAAAGACAAAACTCGATATGCGCCTTTAAAAATCTATAATCATTTCTCTCTATGGTCAAATTCCGTACTCGCGAGCGCGCGGCCAGCAGGTGTTCCCCAGATATCGCGCATTCTAAATCCGTTTTGATGACAGTTGAAATCCAACTCAAGGTAAACGAAACAATACGAAAAAAAAGCACTCCCCCGCAAGAAAAAAACAAAACATCGAGTCGAGAACCAATTGCGCCAAATTTTTGTTAACCGGAAACTGTCGGTGTGAGACCCATAATCTTCGGTGTAGTGCTGCCACCAGCGAGGCTCGAAGTGGCGCGTTTCCGGGCCGCTGCAGCTCCGAGTCCATTAAGGTAATGATGGTTAGGTGTGAAATATGAGCACACGGCTCGGTGTGCACACGCAGATAAATTTTTTGCGGTTCCAACCAAAAAAAAAAATGGTCCCGGCGCGATTTTCAGGCATACGGTCCAATTTGCCAATTTCACGAGTCGTTTGCAAATTTCAAATTCCCAAAAAATTCCACCAATCGGTCCATTAATCCACCCCCCCCCCCTCCAACACTATCAATACGGGTCCTTATCTAAACGGTGCGTGAAGTGGGCCTCGCGGTCAACCCTATCCGATTACGGTCCCTATTTATTCAAACGATTTATCGGTTCAAAATGGCTCCTCTTAATCGTCCAAAAAAAGGTCCCAATTCGTGGTTCCTTCAAAAACTAAAAAAAAAACAAACCGACACAAAATGAGCATCATTTCGCGTCTTGCCTCCGGCGGCTCATTTTCTCGTTTTCTTCTCAATTCTGGTGTGTTGCAATTGCTTCGACCTTCTTTTTTTCACGAGAACCCCCCGCCCACCCCCATTCAATTCCAAAACCAACCAACCAAAACAAAACGAAACATTTTGGGCAACAATCTATCAATGAAGGACTTCACCATTGCCACCAACACCAATTTTGTGGGGATTCAAACATAATTGCATGGTGGCGAAGGCTTCAATATCATCCCCCCCCGCCTCAATCCATTATACTCTCATTCGACATTTTTAATCGGGACCCTCGAAATATTTAATCAAGCACTCTATTCATCAATATTTATTTCCAAATTCAAAAGTGCTCTCCGTTTCGCCGCATTTCGCGACAAAACCCACATTTTCAAGGATTTTCCACACAATTTCGTGTGAAAATTCGAGCTCGCGCGTGCTCGCGACCACCGCCACCGCGTGAAAGCGATAAGCAATTTTCGCGGTGAGCGATGAATAAAAGTTGGCAAGAATGCGCCGGTTGTGGCCAAATTTAGCTCGACGTATTCGAATTGAGCAAAACATTCGCTTGAATTGTCGCAAATTTGAAAAAAATGCTCAATTAAAAAAAAAAAACAATTTCTATTATTTGAATTTTCAATATTTTTTCTCTCAAAAAAACTAAACTGCCAACAAATCCACGTGGATTTCCAAATTTTGCTTTTCGAACAAAAAAAACAGATTCCACGTGGAAATTCATGTATTCAAATTTTTATGGTCTGATTTTCAGAAATCCACGTAGAATTTCAAAATCTTCAAAAAAGAACCCGGCGCGATGGAAGAAAATTATTGTTTTTAATGAATTAAAACTAAATAGAAGCTCATTATAGTCAAATTTTTGCCAAAATTATAATAAAAACGCCTAAACATTGACATGTGCAACATTTAACGAGAAACGCCCAAAAATTGGCACACGCATAATATGTAATTATCTGTATAGGTGGTTCGTGTACTTAATTATATCAGTCTACCAGCCAGCGGACTCAATTTTCGATAGATTTGAGGGCAAACAATGATTTTTTAGTTTTCCTCAAAAATTGTGTGGCAAAAAAAAACGCCGAAAATTTACAATTTCTGCTCGATGCGCCAAATTTGTAGTGCATATACAAAAAATTCGACGACTACATTTCTCGACGCCGCCGTCTTCTCACAATTTATTATTACTAGTTTAATTAACTTAACGTTTGACTTCACATCTCCTTCTTCTCAAGCTCATTTTGTCTCGTGTAATGAGCGAGTAGAAGGAGAGGAGAGGAGAGGAGACCTCCGCTTCCCCCCCAACAAAACTTTCGTGGCTAATTATTTTTGGGCGTGTTGGGTCCCGCCTTTAAACGAGACATGGGGCGTGGTTCCATAGGGCCAATTCGATGTTCGCCCCACTTTTAACGGATTATTCGCGTGCGCGTGCGCGCTTTCAGCTTAATTCCCATAATTTCCATGCGCCTTTAAACTTTCAATATTGCCAAATGGCAGGCAATTATTCATAAATATGTAGTAGCAAATTCTTGAAATTGTTCTTCTTCTTCTCGCTTTTTATTTTTTTTGCACAAAAAAAAATTACCCACTTGGGCTGAAACGCTCTTCCGTGCACCTTTCTCGCCACAATGCTCGCCATTCGCGCAATTTCCTCTCTCGAGTTCGCTATCAAATATCCTTTGAGAAACGCGTCGAATGCTTCTTCCAATAGTGTCGAAAATGCGAAACTATTCCGATCCACTTTCTGCAACAATTCAATTTTATATATTATCGCCAATATGTCTATGGCTATTTTTCCAATTTTCAGTATCATTTATGCATTACTTGTCGCCATAATTCAAAAAGAAAAAAAAAAAGCCAATTCCTTCTAAATACGCCTCAATGAATTTTCTTGGCCAACATTCTTTTATAATTTTATTTTCCACCTTATAATTTGTTTATTGGCGAACAATTTGCACAATTTACAATGAAAAATTACTTTCAAGAGAATTTCAAAACAAATTCCGCATGCTCTTTTAAATCCATGCTTGATTCAAGACTCTTGAAGCGAAAATGTCATTTTCTTGTCTTCAAGCTATATATTGGCGATTTTCCACAAATAAAAAAAAAGTATGACTAATTTATTGGAAATTTCAGAATCAACTTGAAATTTTCCTATCATATCTAACATTCGCCTTTAAGCATACCGAAATCTTCGTTGGCAAACTAAAAAAGTTGTTTTTTTTTAATTAAACCAATTTCCTATATTGCATTGACACCATCTCATCGTCTCAAGACCCCAACACACATTTTTTGCATAACCGGGTAAAAAAAACCGAAAAATTCAATTCTTGTGCCTTCCAGAAATGCGCAACAACACCACCTGCCATCGATTGTGCGCCGTCGCCGCAATTCTCATCCTTTTCACCAAATACGGTACGTCTTTCACAAAAAATCCAATTTTTTTTTGCAAAAAAAAAAATAAAACAATAAAGAGTGAAAAGCAGGTGGTATCTTGCGCAACCCAGCTGCATGTATTATTCAAATGAAATTGCGCCAAAAACGAAATGAATTGGCGCCCCGCTCATCGAATTGTGTGCTAATCGCTTCGTTTATTGCAGCTCAAACACTCGATTGTATGCAATGCGGCAACACCGGCGAATGGTATTCGGAAGAGGCGCATGAAAAGTGCGCGAGTTTTATCGCTTCTTTTCTATTCAAACCCCCAAACCAATCCTTTTAAATATGGTTGTTCTATATGGCCATTTATTGTCTTTTCATCGAACCGCGAAAACAATCATCACGGTGTCGTCGAACACAAAAATGGGACCCATAAATGCCTTATAAGGCAATTATATGTATATTGTGCACAACGGGGGATGCGTCGACTCTGTTTGACACCGTCGGTGACAAATGCGGGAATTTGAAAAACAACACAAAAATTTATGAGCAAGATTTTACGAAAAATAATCTCAATTTTAAAAAATCATAAAAAAAAACATTTGAGAATTTGGGAGACGACATCTTTAAAAAATAAAAAAATATTCAAAAAAATAGAAAATACATCAAAAGTATTTTTAAAAAAGGAACAAAAACTCTACGTTAATTCATCGCGGAGAAAATCGATCGCGAGTAATTGTCGGCAAATAAAATGCACAAGTCCGCAATGATTTCAATTTCGACATTCCTGTGCAATTCATCATTCGTACTCACCCTTGAGAACTCGATCACCCACAATGCGGACTTGTGCATTTTATTCGACGACAATAGACGTGTTCGCAATCAAATTTCTCAGCGACGAAAAAATGTGGGTAGAATTTTCGTTCATTTTTTCGATTTCTTGCCTATTTTCAATAACTTTTAATACTTTAAAGGGTAACACATCCCTTTTTTTCAAATTAAAATTTTCCAACGTTTACTACAATTGTCAAGTTCCGAAAAAAAACCTATAAGACAGTTCGCTTGCTTGCTCTATTTTGGCCATTTTCATTTTTTGGCAACTCGAAACCAATCTGCTCAAAATTGGACAACAATTTTACATACAGCTTTAAAAATTGGCAATCAGCAGGAAATTTCGGATGGTATCTGAAAAGCTTTCAAAATAGATCGGTTTAATTCCAAAACCTAAATTTGCCGAAACCGATTGGTTCTAAGTCCAACTACTGGAACACTATAAGATTTTTTTTTCAATAAAATCCATGAATCAATCATTTCGCAGATTAATTCCCTAAATCGATGAAAAAAAAAGACGCAAACATCAAATTGTATCACAAGTCTCAAAGTTTCCTTCGTATTTTGATTTTTATACTAATTGCAAGTATCGGTAGATTTCGCAAAAAAAAAGCCACAATATAAAAATTGCAATAATAATAATAAAAAAACATTTAAAAAGGGACCGTTACGATTAAAAGCCTAAAAGATTAAAAAATCATGATTCTTGCAGCGATTTAATTAACAAAACTGTCGTACTGTAGGCTTTTAAAAACGTGACCGTGGTAGAGTTTTTTGAAATCGTTTTTCCACAATCTTCATAGAAATTCATAGGATTATTAAGTTCTTTTTTTTTAAGACGTATGAATAAGTAGGTCCACTATTAGTCATCATTCGAATCAATTTTGCTAAAAAAAAAATCTAAAATTCGGCTAATTCGCCGTGTAATATTGACTTCCGGCTTACAGGCACATCAACGCGTGTCGCCACGGCCTCATTGCTCCAACGCGTTGCGAGAACGCCTCACACACGCATTGTATCGTGAGTTGGTATCGAACCGGCGGAAGTTCGGGTACGTCGTCTCACTCGCTAATTAATTAGTCGCACCGCATTCGCGCATTGTTGTTCGATGCCGCGCATCTTTGATCTCTAATTACAGCGCTCTCGGTCGCAAACCAATAATACAATTCGTTTAGAAAAAATCGTGACTCAACGACAATGCGGTACCAAGGACGACGTGACCGGATGCACTTTGTACAATTCGAAAATCAGCAGACGAGTGGGTTTTTTTTTGTTGCAAAAATTGAATTCGTTTTCGTTTCGAGACCCATAATAGCTGGAAATTCGAATTTCGCGCGCTACGAATTTTTTTATGGCGGTGTTTTGCCAGAAAGAGATTTAAAAAATTTTTGGCTAAGTTCCAATGCGTCTCGACGTAGCGAGACGTACGCGAGATTGCGTACATTGCATTATAGTGTACGCGCATTTAATATTCAGTCAACGATTAATTTAAATCCACACTGATTTCGAAGGCTCCGCCTCCCCCCTTCAGTCGTTTGACGCCGACAATATTCAAATTTCAATTATTTCAAATTTCGCGCGCTACGAATTATTTCAATTTCAAGGTACGCCACCTTCTGAATCGCGATGATGGCACAAAAAATTTGCGCAAGGAAACCGTCGCGTCGTTCGTGGAAGTCTGCAGCACCTCATGCCCGAACGGTGAATGCGTGAACACATCGAACTCGATTCCCTACATCCTCACACCGCTAATTTCTCTCATTTTGTCGCAATTTTAGCAACTTTTCCAAATGATTTTCCTCCCAAAACATTTTACGGTGTACACCAATTCCGGTTTCGTGTTTGCTCTCTCTCTCTCTCACTCTTTTCCCCACCGTTTCCTCTATTACTTTCAACTCTTCATCTTGTTTTTATTCTAATAATCGACTAATGCTCATTTATAACTTTTCAATAAATAAATAAAAACCTACTAGTTTCAATTCCATTCCGGCGGTTGCGTAGGCGTTTCGCCGAAGTTTCAAGCGTGGCGTCTCATTCTTAACCGCATTCGGAATAATCTGAATTTTAAAACATCGCGTTCGCAAAACAACAAGCGCCCTGCACTGATTTACGGGGTTTGACGCACAGGCAAAGATCCTAACGCGAAAACGAGTACGGTTGCAATAGTTGGGCGCGAAAAAAACAGAAATTTACTTTAATCGAAACCGTAAATTATATAAAAACTGTAATATACATTATAAATTAGTTTTGAATGTTTTTGTTTCTTCTGGAATCGTATTAAGAAACATTTTAAAAGTATTTTTTGGCAAAAAAAAACAGGAAAAAAAATAGAAAAATGGGAATACGGCGAACAAGGCCAACGGGAAACGTAATCCATGGACAATTTATTGGTATTGCCAGCGTCAAACGACTGAAGGAAGACTTCAAATTCGCGAAATCAGTGTGGATTTAAATTAATCGTTGACTGAATATTAAATGCGCGTACACTATAATGCAATGTACGCAGTCGCGCGTACTTCTCGCTGCGTCGAGACACATAGCCAATCATTTTTCAAATCTCGTTCAATCGTTTGACGCTGACAATATAATGCTGAAAACGATTTATAATTTTATGTCGTTTTTTGAGTTGTCTCCCACAATACTACAAAAACGAATAAAATCATCTAAAGTGAAAACGAAAATTTAAAATATTAATATTGTGAATTTTACGACCAAGATTTCAATAAAACTAAAGTTCAATAACATATTAGGGATCTTCACTCAAAAATTTCTATGAAAATCCTGCAATTATTCTCTTTTTTATCTTTTTCAAATTAAATCAATTATATCCGCGGAGCGCGTCGCAGTTTCGCCGGGTATGTTAGGGTTTTCTGCGAGGGCGCTGGCTTGCTTTTATAAATACTGACATTATTACTCTTTGGTTTAAAAATAAAATCTACGGACCATTAAAATGTTTTACCTTTCGTATTGTCGAATTCCATTTGTCAACCTTCAGCATCTCCTGAATCAAAGAATCCGGCCGAAGTTGAAGAGCTAAAACGGGTCCCAATAATGAAAATCGCTTGTTAAAACCAACACAATGAATCAGAATAGATGAAAATCGCAAAGCACGCCATTTGCTCGATTTGCAAGTGCGTCTCCACGGCCAATCGCTCCAAAATCTCGGCAACCGTCGCAAATTCGGGATGTTTCGATTTAATGCTGAACGCGCCGATGATCGAGTCCACATTGATTTTCGTCTTATACAGCTGCATTTCAATGATTCCTCGAATGTTCGGATGATTCGTGCAATAATCAATTGCGCGCAGACCATCGTTATTTCGGATATTCTACGAAAACGTCGTATTTCAATATCAATTTCAAAAAAGGCGCCAAACGAAAACCTTACAATGTCAATTGAGGCGTGCGAGGTGAGAAGCTCGACGAGATACTCGTTGCCGTTGATCACAGCGTAGTGAAGAGCTGTCGCACCGCCATTATTTTGAGCATTTATCTGCAAAAAGGAAAAATTATTTAAAATAAGAAAAACAGCTTGTTGTTCGATATATGTGCAGGAAAAAATCAAAGTCTCTCGGAGCCAGAAAGAAACATAAATAATTTCGGTTTTTTGAGAATAACTTTGCGAAATGTGCTCTGATTGATTTAAATATTTATTGCGGACGTGCGTGGTTCATTTCTGATAGATAAACGGCATCATTACGCTCCAGCAATTTCAGAATTTTAATTTTTCAATTTTTTATATTTCAACAAAATGTTCAATTATGAAATTTCTGCTTTACGGTAACGTTATTAAATATGGCTAAACTTTTCAAAAAATATTATATAGAACCCTAATATAGGTTGTTTAAATCGGTTAATCGTATTTTTTCCTGGTAATTTTCAATAAATTTCGATTTTTTCTACGATAGCTAGCCAAATTTGATGAATATCATGGTGAAATACATATGATTCAATTATGGAAGATTGGAAGACATTTCGATATGTTAAAAAAACCCGATATTATATATTTATATATTTTGGCTACGAGTGCAAATTTAAATATCGTTCGGTTAATTTTTCATAAATTTCTCAATCACAAACAATTTTCTTACTGAAATCATATTTGGGGAGTTCAAAAGGACCACAACGATTTCCAAATGTCCATAAAAGCAGGCGTAATGAAGCGGCGTCCAGCAATCATCATCTCTCTTATTAGTGTCGGCGCCGAGATTCAGAAGGCGTCTGAAAAAATGTTATCGATTTTCAGTAAAGACAAAACAAAACAAGCCGCCCCACTTGACTTCTTCCAAATTCCCATCTTCAGCAGCTTTATGCAGCGGAAACATTCTCGCGCAATAATCTTGCGAGCTAGTCGATATTGCACGCTGCACTCGAGCTTTATTCATTCCTACGAAATAATATCGGCTATTCTGAAAAATGGTTTTTTATTGAAATCGTCTCTTGAGAACCTTGAGAAAATTACAATTTGTTCGCAGTTTGGATCATAGGCCGGATTTATGACAACTATGTCGAATTTGTTGTAGCGGAGCATCACCAGTCGGGCGAAATTTGCACTATGAACCTGATGATTGAATTGTTTCAATCAAATTCGGAAAATAACACAAACTCACCGTGTCGTCAAGGTCAGCCGATGAATTGTTGCTGCGGACACTTGATGATTTGTTTCGGAAGCATTCGAGAAGATCTATGTACACTGGATTGTGCGCGCATTGTTTCATTCGAGTTCGACATGCTTCTCGCATGAAAAGACCCGAAATAAAATGCTCGTCGTTTTGTTGGGAGCTTATCAACCATCTGAAACGGAGTAGTTCAAATAAAACAGAGTTTTTAAGAAAATTTTCGAAATCTTTGAACAAAAACCAATTCAATTTTGATAATAATATGGATTTTGTCTAAAAGAAATGAATTAATATGCAATATCAATCAAAAATTTAGCAGAAAATCGTCAAAACCTGGAAAAAAATGATTTCGAAAATTTGAATTCTGGCAAGTCCGCAATCCATTCGACGCAATAATGCACTAGCTATTTGTTTTCCTGGATTCCTTCGCAAAAGATACCTTTCCAATATCAATATCATATGCTTTGTATGAACCTCAAACATCTCCGGCTGAGTATGACACAAATTAACCAATTTTTGTAGATTTTCATAGTGCGAGTAGGCAACTTCGACGTTTTCTGCAAGAACGCGCTGGAAATTAATTGTGCACAATTGAAAAGACACCTTTCACAAATACAGGCACGCACGCTAACGATAAACCCGGAATATGCCTGATGGACGATGAGGATGACGGTTGCCCGAAATTATCGTCGTTGAGTTTGACGCGAACCACTCGGCGAATCGAATTTCTTCAAAACCAAATACACTCAAGCATATCAAATAAATATTATTGGGAATCACAAATTCAATAATAAATTTTCTTAAATAAATATTATGATAAATTCTCTAAAACTTATTGAGACTCGATGTACCAAAAAATTTTTAATGACTTATAAGAGATTCTAAAATTAATTGAGCAAATTCTACATTATCTCAATAAATTCTAAAATCTTATAAATATATAATAATTACTAAAGTTCATTGAAGAAATCTAAAATATTTTAGAGGCACGTTAGTTTCTCAATGAACCTCAAAAATTGAAAATCAAATAATAAACTTTTAAATATTATGATAAATTCTAAAGTTTATTAATACTTCCTAAAACTCATTGAGGCTCGATGTACCAAAAAAATAATTTTAAAAAAAAAGTCTTAAAGAGAGCTTCAATGAATTAATTTCTCAATAAACCTCAAAATATTTTATCCGATTTTCCTGACGAGTCGCTACCCGAAGGGAAATGATGTTTGTTACCCGGTTCTGCTGAAAAAATCATGAACCATGTCCTCGACAGTCGAAACACGCGAAGGTTCAAACGAAAGGAGTGGAAGCTTGAAGACATTCTCACCAATGGTGTGACCGCCAACCGTCACCCGCTTAGTGATACTATAATCCTAAATTGATAGCAAATTGGATTTCAAAGAAAAATACATGGCTTGACGTACCTTATGATTTCCAAAGCTTTTCACCGTCGCCGGCTCCCCTTTCACACAAATTTCATAATCCAGACCGGTCGGAATTTTTCTGCAATTTCTCGTGTTCGCTTAAACAATCAAATTCGCATCGTAAATGATGCCAACCTGTCGGAAAGAGCACTGATCTTCAAGCGAACGATCGCTACAAATACTTCGGCCATGGAACGGCGCGAGACCACAAAATAAGCAGATTGTCTGTAAAACAAAAAAAAAGAATTGGTTATAAAAAAGCGTTGCTCGCCGTCGATCAACATAATAAATGAGCGGTGTTATCAGGGGCCACACCCAAAAAACGTTTGCAAATAATCGATAGGTCGTCGTCTTTTCGGAGACTCTTGACAATGGTAAACATCAATTTCAATTGGCGAATTTTGCAAGAACAAGGCAAAAAATAATGAAGGCGATTCTTTTTTTTTTTTTGAATTCAAATATTGGCAACAAATAAATATTAAAGCTTATGCCGGTGGCATTTATAAAATTAGTAAAATTCTCATTTTAAGAGAAAAAAATCAAAAAAAAAATCGTAATAGACAATTTAATAGATCGACTGGTTGATTGAAAATAAATTAAATACTAAATAATAAAGGAAAATAATTTATTATGGTGCATGGGCTTTTCACAAACCAGCTTTCGACTTCTACTGGTCATTCTGGGATAGTACCTATACAGCTGGTAAAACAGGAATAAACGTGGTCCTCACAAAGAACGAACATCTCAGGAATGTCCAGTATGTTTTTTAATAGATTTAATATTTCAAAATACTGTTCATATTGTAAAGGAAATCCCATCATGTTCTATCGCAAAACCTAATCTAATACATCAGCTCCACCGGAAGCCGTGGGCGACCGGAAGCTGATGTAATCCTTATCAATCCATTATTAAATTCTTTATTAAATTCTTTGATTGTAATAGCACCGTATATAAACCCCCATAACTATCCATCTAGGCTCTCTTTCCTTCCTTTTATGAGTCGCACATGCCGGCTCCGATTTTTACCAACTCTCTCCAATACGATCCACCACCAATTTGTTTGTGATTTCCCCACTCTATTGAAGAAATAAACAGTATTATCTTCGAGCGTTATGTTATTACTAACGTCTATTAGAGTGAGTGAGAAATAAAGGGAAGCACCGCCCTGCCACTATTCGGCAGGACGGCAGCTTTTTAACCCCTTTACTATATGTAGTTTTCAATTTACAATACTCATCAAGACATGAAAATAATACTTTTGTTCAGCTTAACTTAAGTTTTTTTTTCGAAAAAATGCATTTTCAATCGTATGAAACGATTTGTATGAAGAAATTATTGCTTAAGACATTTTTTTTTATAATGCCGACGCTAAGTTTTATTCCATATTTAAAAAAAAAAAACATTTTTAGTCTCTTATTATTTGAAATATTTCAATTTTACACACGTTGATAAAATTTTGTTTAAGAAAAATAGATAAAACAATTAAAAGCCCTTAAGAGGGCCGTTGGGATTCGAAAGCATTGGAGGTGTCTCGGAATACTTCTCACGACTTGCTGGGTCGTAGAGAAGCCCTCCCGAATGTATTTGGTTTTAAAAATGAATTCAGGTAAATCGAATAAAAATTTTGAGGTTCATTGAGAAACTAACGTGCCTCTATAATATTTTAGATTTTTTCAATGAACTTTAGTATATTTTTTTTTATTTTTTGCATAGAGATTATTAAGAAAATTTCCAATCGAATGAAGTAGGCCAGACCTGTGCGGCAATCGGAAATATCGGCAATCCGACAATTCGGCAATTTAGGCAATCGGCCATTCCATTGCCGCACAGCCCTGGTCCCTACCTGCCCAAACTTCTAGTTATCGAGCTATGGACCTTCAATTGTATGCAAAATTCACGTGAGAGGGAATAAAATTTTGGAGGTCCATATCTCGATAACTAGAAGTTTGCGCAGGTAGGGACCTAGTTTATTCGATTGAAAATTATCTAAAGAATCTGTATGAAAAAAATTTTAAGACGGACTGCAAAAAAAAACCTCCCTTGTTAGCATTTGTTGGTATTGAAACGAACTTAAAGGAGAAAAAATAGTTTTTTTCTTCACTAAAAAATTCCCGTGAAAGTCTCGGGAGTCTCGAAGACATTGTCGAGAGAAATCCTCTCTCCGGAAATGAGTTTTGAACGCTTCTAACAAAAACAATACTAACCAAAATTAAATGTATCACATATCATATATATTCACATTCACATATAATGGTTCGAATTTATTATTTCTCGATCGAAGTATGAAACACACTGCACAAAAAATTGCTTATTTCATTTAAAAAAAATGTGAACAAGTATTACTACTTAAATAGGGCATTGAAAAATGGCAATTTAATTCCGACGCCATCATTGCCAACAGAAAAACCGAAACCCAGCGCCGACATTTCAACACCATTATCAGACACCTTTACGCCAGTGTCAATGTTGAGACCACCGCCAATTTTTACATGTTCAGTCTCATGCTCAAGCCAAAGGACTTTGCTTTCAACGCTGACATCGAGGCCCTTGTCAGCGGTAAGTCCAAAATTAGCGCCAGCCTTTGCAATCGATAATTGGTCTTCGCTGTCACCAAATTGAAAAAGCGTCGCATTGGTGCCAACATCCAAGCCTTTTCCGCCGATATATCCTTGGCCATTAATGTCCAACACTTCGCCATGTGCTTTGTCAGAGTCGCCAAAGTCCAGTAGATTGCCATGCATCTGCGTTCCCGGGCCTTCGTCCCAGTAGGCGTTCTCAACTGCCGACCTGCCCAGCTCTGAGCCGGTCACGGCGCCAATCACTGAGCCAGTGACCGCACCGGCGATCATTCCAATCGGCCCGCCGGGGGCACCGATAAGGGCACCAGTTTGGGCCCCGGCATATCCAAACGCCGCCGCTCCGCCCCATTCGAATCCACAGCAGACAGTGGTCAGCAATGTCTTTTTGCTAGGATTCTTCTTGCAATCTCGAGCATCGTCCAACAGATCATTCGCGAAATTCAGAGCCTTATTGATCTCGTCTCTGTCCACCCCGCTGGCGGACTTGAGATCCAGCGTGAGGCAATCGATAATGTTTTCCAGTGCTTCGATCTCTTCATCAATATGCACTTCGTCGTAGATTGCCTTGCCAATTCGTACGCCGGTGGCAATAATGGACACAACGAGCAACACTTTGCCACCAACCTAGAGAATAATAATCATTAATAATCTATTATTAATAATTATAAACAAAAATGGTAATTAAAACGTTTAATTCTAACCTTTAGTCCTTTTTGTATCTTCGCGGCAGAATTGACAGTTTCAGCGGACACAGGAATGTGAGAATTGGTTTTTTGTGCAATGCCGTTAGGATCGATACAAATTCGGTGAAAATCCGAGTTGGTGTTTGGCACTGGATTGTTGAATCGAACAACATTGCCCCCAACCGGCTTTCCATTTTTGGGACGACCGAGATTCATATCACGAACGCCAGCAACGGTAATGTTATTCAAATAATTCGTAGGAATGAGCTCGAACCTCATTTGCATTGTTTTGGATGCTTGGAGCACCTTGGCGAGATTCTCAGAGTTCTTGATAATGCGATTTCGCTTCTGATTTGCTGTTTCTATTTTTTTCGGCATTTTGAATAGTGATTTGAATGCAATGAGTGCTGAAATTAAGAATATCAAACAAATAATTGGATTGAGAACTAATTCCGTTAATATAATGAAGGGCTTGCGGTTGAATAGAAGTAGTATCGAAAACGAAGAGTCGTAAGATATTAGAATGAACAGAAATGGAATGCTTTTTTCTCAGAGACTTTTCGCCGGTGGTCTAGTGGTCGAACTTCTCTATGTTGATAACAGGAAGCTTTTTTATTTTTAATATGGGCGAGCAAAATATATGAGAATGCGAGAAACCAATCGTCGTGATATTCAGCCGGGATACTAACGTAACCTTGGCAAATAAAAATCGCGAAGATTAAAAGCGCTATGGAATGTCACGAGAGTGGTTTCTGTGTTTAGTGATAAAGGAATTATTGAAAAAAAGATGGAACGAATGTTTTGGTTTTCATGATGCGGAACGGTGGTAAATTAACGGTGAAAAGGGACGATCAAACTGATATCGAAGGCGTGAACCAAATATTTTTTTGCTGAGAATGAGTGTATTTTGAATACAGTCATAAAATACATGATGTGAGACTTTTGGGTGACAAAAGATTCGATTAAAAAAACGGAAGACGGAATTCCGTGCATCTCTGTTCGGGAGCCGAATTTCGTTGGATCGGATTGAGTTTAATTTTCCCGAATAAGTTAGTTATTTCCTTAAATTCCTAGCAACATTAGAATTAAACATTTTTGAAGCGACCCAATAAAATGCCAAGGAATCAGTTAGTCTAGGCGAGAGAAGAGAGAGAGAGAGAGAGAGAGAAAAATGCATGCGAATTTTGCGACAGTTAGCTCCCCTCGATTTCAGTTGGAAAAAAATGTTTGTAATGAAATGAAAATCAATCACATTCGAAAATAGCTTCATTTTCAGTTTGAATCTGATTGATTTTCTTTAACCCGAGGATCCCTTAAAATAAAATCGGCTCATACTCCTCTGTCTATACGTGTTCCAATAATTAAAACACCTACACCTAGTACTTATTATACATTTCCTTGAATAATTAATATGATTGAAATTAAAAATTAACGAAATTACCTCAAAAATGGGTATCAGAAGAAGAAAGCGGAATATTTGTTGCGATTAAACGTCATTTAAGCAATTTGTTATCAGAGAGGAACATCGATAAAACGAAAATGGGAAGGATGATTAATCACAACAATAAAACAGTAGGAAAAATAAATTTAATAAATAAATGAAATAGTGAAACATTTCGCGAAAAAGTTGGGTAAAACTTTATCACCGGGGGAAAGTTTTTGCACATCTCATGTGTACATGATTACCGCTGAATTGCAACAGAAAAAACAACAAATTGATTCGTTATCAAAATATGTTCAATTATTTCATAAACTCACCGGTTTCCTCATAAATGTCTTCTACTTTGTACGACATCTGGTGCATCTGCGGCTCCTTTTCATCATTATTCTTTGGTTTATCTTCGCTCTCTACTTCGTTTAAACATCAGCTGCTATCATCTAAAGATTAAAACATTTCCAACCATATTCTGTTTATATGTAGATTCTTTACCTTCATGAAATCTCTCAATTTCTTTGTCGCAAAAGTTATCATGCTTTTCGCAGATTTTCAGGATATCGTTAGCGTCCGTTTCTTCATTAAGCTCCAGAAGAACCTCCTCCTGGATTTTCAGCCAAATTTTCTGAAATTTGTCATTTTTTTGCTACATCATAATATCTTACTTGTGTAGTTTTTCCTTCTACTATATTTGTCCGTTTAAAAAAGTGGCTACGCTGAAATAATTGTAAATTAATAACAAAAACGCTGCAAAACGAATTTTTAAGGACGAAATTAATATTCAACGAATGATTTTTAAACAAAGATTGTGTACTTCAATTTTAAATAAGCCTGTTATGTATTATTTTACCGAAAAAATTAAAGCACGAAGTAAAATTGAGAAAAAAATTAAATTGCATGAGAAGTAGTAGGTAGACAATGGGGCGCGTTTGCATTTAGGCATGTGTAACCTTCGGGCGAGTTCGCGGTGAGCTCGCGGTGGAGGGGCGAAAAGGGCGAGCTTGGGGCGAGCTCGCGGTGAAAAGGGCGAGCTTCAGGCGGGCCGCCCTGGGGGGCGCATTCGCCCCTCGACCCCGGGCGAACTCGCGAAAAATTCCCTGAGTTTATAACAAAAAATCGTAATATAACTTACTACACGGTACTGTATAAATGACTTTTCTCCTTTTATTTGTTTGAGAAAATTTGAAACGCTAAAGTTAGGCTCTTCTTTTACATTTCTACTATTCTTAAAAACAGTGTATTCGGCTGTTGGGCTGCTGACTCGCTTATTATTCGACATCGAGAACTGAATGATGTATGAATAAAAATAATTCTATAAAAAATTAATTTCTAATGGTCATTCATATCATATCCTTCTTCCTTTAAAATATATTTATATATAAATATATACAGGGGCATCGAGTCCAAGAGGGTGTGAATCACTGACATCGGAATGGCATTCCATGCGGCTTCGAGTTGAGCGAACTTCTCGTCAGCGATTGATGCTCGTAGCCCTCTAATCAAGCGTTTGAGTTCTTTCCAGAGATGTTCGACCGGATTATGATCAGGAATCTGTGATGGCCATGCAAGAACATCAACTCGACGACGTTGGAACCAATTCTTTACATGTCCAGACGTGTGCTGAAGGTCGTTGTCTCCCCCCCCCCCTCATTGTGGTTTCCTCATTGTGGTTTCCAGGATATCCTTGTACTGGTACCGATCCATGATTCCATTTACACGTCGGAGTGGTCCCATGGCGGTGTCGGAGAAGCAGTCCCAGACCCTGCAAGATGCTTCACCGTTCGGATGTGGTACTTTGGCATGAATGTGGCTACAATAGGTCGACGAATCCACTTGATTCCATCAGTTCTGAGCAAGTTGAACTTCGATTCGTCGCTCCAGATGTGTCCATTCCCCAGTTCAGATGATCCTTGCACCATGCCACCCTCGTCTTTTGGTTCTTCTCAATGATCAATGGTTTCTTCACCATGCGTCTTCCATGAAGTCCATTCTCCCCCAAACGACGTCTAATTGTTCTTTGAAGCATTTGGCGTTGCCACAAGCATCTGGATATCTGCTGAAGTCCGTCTAGGATCTTCTCTTGAAGCCCGACAGATATTCCGATCTTGGAGCTTAGTGGTTTTGCGAGGTCCACTGTGTGATTTCTTAACAAAAATGCAGCCCAATAGATTAGAAATAGTCCAGAACGAATAAAAAATAGTAAATTTTGGCTTAATCGTTGCAAAACTTTCTGGATTCCTCTTCGGGAGCACAGGAATTGCTGAGCCAGAGAGCTTCCGGATGACCCAGCCTTATATGTCCGTTGACGATCGCTTTTTGAACGTCCGCCGTGAAATTTTTCTTTCCAGAACGTTGAAAAATTACTAAAAATATGTTTCAGGTTCAAATTTGAAATAAAAAAATTTTTATGGACAAAGTTTGAAAAAAAAAGAAAAATTGGTAAAATCGAAAAAAAAACATAAAAAATTGAAAAAAAATTAATTTTTCAACATTATGCAATTTTTGTTGTTCCCAAGGTTGCGCAACTGTGTTTAGCGTTTACAGTAAAAAATTTCAGCCAAATCGGCCGCGTTTGAGCCAAGTTTTGCTCAAAAAACACTAGGCGAACATCAATATGGCCAGTACTGTATTAAATCTATTAAAAAACATACTGGACATTCCTGTCAAAAGTCAAATTGCACTTCGAGACCGAGAAAGTAGTTCGAGCCTGTTTGGCAATCGCTGAAAATTCGCATATTTTTTGCAGACCAGATGCCGATGAGGTCCCATGAAGACATCTTTTGGCATCAGCTAAACTTCTCCTGTTATGCTTCAAAAAACTGGGCTCCTGCCCGCCTTCCATTCGGACAATCCTGGACATACTAAGACAGGTCGAACAATAACAGTTATTTCGCATAGTTTGCATATTTTGACGTTCAATTAATGAATTCAAGGAACATCATTCGGAATAGAAATCTTACAATGAAGTCTGCATTCTGTGCTTGCCGAAAAACAATCATAAAGAAGTTCTTTGGAACAGCTGAAATCGAATATATCTGGCTCGAATTCAACGAAAAATGAACTCGAATATGAGTCTTCTCAGGTAAATGAAAATCAATCGAATTCGAAGAAAAATGAAGTAGAAATTAACCTGATTCGATTAAAAATAATCAAAAATCGAATGAGAAAGTGTTCGATTTGAAAATTTGGTTTCGATTCAAGAACCTTCGATTGATTTATTTCTCAATTTCAATTGTTGATAGAAATTTTTGATTGGATCTTCAACATCCTCGTTGTGCTCCGAAATACGAAATCAATGAAACAGTTTTTTTTCGATGTATTAAAATTTAATCAATTTTCAAAATAATAGGCATCTCATGCCAATTTGTTGCATTATTATTTCTCATCACCGAATCGCCTATGTTATAGCAGAGGGTCTCGCAGCGATCGACACTAGCAGTCACCTTTCTTTTTTTTCAGTAGCAACATGCTAAATGTTCTCAAAAGTCCAATCGTCTAGCCTTATCAATGGCGGATCTCTTCTCAAAAAAAAAACAGCCGAAAAAAAGTGGTCGCCCGTTTACGTATAAACTGGCTATTATACAATCAAGTCCGACGCTGTTGGTTTTTTTTGCCGCCGTCGCGATTCCTATAAAACGGTGGCACGATGATCGAGACGGCATCCGGGCAGCAATGACTGGCCAATTCGTCGCGGGTACAGCGGTCGCGATTTCTGGAATCGCCATTGTTCCAGGTTTTCCTCGTGTCCCATTCAATCCCAAATTAATTCCCCTCCATTCAATTTCAGCCATTTTTGCCGCCTTCCTTCTATTGAACGAGATCAACACATTCCAATCGGAGGTTTACAGCGGACTCGAGGAGTTCAAGGTAACCGATGTCAAATCCCTTAGTGGTCCCTACATCGAGATGTTGTAGACGTTTGCCGATGATGCTTGGACGCAAATGATTCCGCACGCTGACAAGTCGGTGAGCTTCGAGAGATTCGTGAGACGAATCCGACGCGGGTACGATTCGGGCGTCGCCGCGTCGGCGTCGTCGTCGCAATCCGGCGGATCGTGCAATTGCGGACCACAGCCAACGAATTGTCCCGCCGGACCGCCGGGACCACCGGGAGAGCCAGGTGTGCCGGGTGACGACGGACCACAAGGGAAGCCCGGAAACCCGGGACAGGACGCCGTCGAGGGAAGCAGAATGGCCGATTTCGACAAGAACGTCAAGTGTCCGGCGGGACCACCGGGTCCACCGGGACCCGACGGCGTCACAGGCCATCCGGGACCCGATGGCGAGCACGGACAAGACGGCGCGAATGGAAAAGACGGCGAGCCGGGAGCCGACGGACCGCCGGGCGACGAGGGAGCCCCAGGACTTCCGGGACCACCAGGCGAGAAGGGAGCCGACGGGCAGAACGGGCAGAAGGGACACGGAGCGCCGGGACCCGTCGGCGAGCCGGGAGCGCCAGGCGAGCCTGGAAGAGACGGCGAGCCGGGACGAGACGGCGAGCCAGGACAGCAGGGAGCCGAAGGACCAGCCGGTCCGGATGGAAACGACGGAAACCCGGGAGCCGACGGGCCGCCGGGTGGAAATGGAGACGTCGGCGCGCCAGGAGCCGACGCCGCCTATTGCCCATGTCCACCAAGAAGCTCTGCCGTCGTCGGAGGCTCCAGCTCCTATGATAGTGGCAGTGCGCCAGCGTCTGCTCCAGCTCCACCAGTGGCGCCACCAAAATTGCACGACTACTCTTCACCAGCGCCACCTGACAACGCGCCAGCAGCTCATCCATACAAGTAGAATAATTAGTTGCTCTTTTTGACTTGTATGCTTCATTCATTCATAAAATATCATAGAATCGCATGTATCAAATCTTGAATAGGATTTTTTCACCCAATCGTGCCCCCGCGAGTTGTCCGCAGCAAAATTCTTACACAAGGATTTTTTGCAATTTTTTTTTTGCTCTAGCATTATTAAGAAGGGCCATTTTTGGAAGTGCATATATTTCAAAACAAAAAATGCGAGACTCTGAAGAAATCCGCCAACAGAAAATCGACATTTATTCATTTCTAGTCAAGATTTCAAGAAAAATTTAATTTTCAACTTCATCGTGAAAAATCTGCAATTTGAAATCTTAAAATTTTATTTTACAACTTAATAAATGAAAATAGAGAATTATAGAAAATTCCAGAAATTTTTTCAATGGTTTGTTTCGAAAAAAAGAAATATAATAATACCCCAATTGTGATTAGTGATTATTTGCGTCACGGTGTTTGCACACTTTTCAAAATACGAATTTCGTTTAAAAGTATTTATTGATTTAATAATTTTATTTAGTGAATTTAGTTAAAATGAGGCAAGTCCGCAAACATCTCGAGTGGTTCAACTGGCCCGCGAGTTGTCCGCAGCAAAACTTGATTGCGCCGAAATTCATTCCAACGTGACCTCCGTCAAGATAAACATCAAATAGGGCGAATCGACGAAAACGCGAAAATCAGTGTTTGGAATAAATATTAAAGTGATTCGATGCCGACAGCGAAGGAAGACACATGGGCGTTTCAGGTAGTTCAAAATTGTCGAAGACGCGTGGATCGAAATTTTGCAGCCAATCGGCTCGCCGTTTCCCGAAGCGCCGGTTCGTGTGCCGAATCAGCAGAACATGTACGTCGCGTTGTGGTACAAACACGGCAAGCCGATTCATGGTCGCGCGTGGAGCAACGACGGCGTCGTCGAGTGCTCGTTCGCCTACAACAAGGCCGAGCTCAAAGGCAAACAGGATCTCGGCGGTCAGATTCAGATTTTGACGTACAAGGGCGACTACAACTCGCTCGGCTACTGGTACGAGTGGCTGCCGTTGAAGCAGCGGCATGAGAACAACGAGGGCGTTCGCGAGATTGTGCGCTGCGGCAACTCGGTGCCGGTGCTCGGCAAACTCGCCGACGGCACCGACAAGCTCGGCTTTCTCGACCTCAACACCGAGGTCGCGTTGTTCGCCAACAACGGCAAAGTCGAGCGATTCGAGGGCGGCGCCACCAACGATTTTCTCACCATCTACCGTAATCTCAAGCCGCCGCCAACCGGCAAAAAGGTCTACGACGATTTGTGGCACGACATTCGCTACGGCGACACGTTTCCGGCGAACGCGCTTCCCGCCGACGGACGCGCTCTCACCACCGAGACCGGACCGCACATGCAGTACGTCGCGTTGTGGTACAAGCACGGCGAGCCGGTGTTTGGGCGCGCTTATCCGGGCGCGGCGAACAAGACGCAAGCGCACTTTGGAATGAACAATCAGGAGAACGCCGGACCCGAGATTGGATCGATGCAGCTTCTCACCACACCAGAAGCCTCATGTGTAATTTGTCACCATTCCACTCTAATCGATTGTGTCTTTTTTTTGTCGCTCTAGATGGGTCTTGAGTACAAATGGATGCCCTTGGCTGAAGGAAAATCGTCTGGCTGGACGACTGTGCACATTGGAAACGCGGCTCCGTGCATTTTGAAGGACGAGAAAGGTTGTATAAAATTCTCAAACGATTTTTTTTTAATGTTTGCCCTCTTTTTTTTTTCAGGATTTGAAGTTCTTGGCAACATCTGCCTGACGACCGAGAAGGCGTCTGCTGGATGGGGAGGAAAAGAGAAGGTGATCACCGGAGGACCAGTGGCTTCCCTTAAAGTGTTGTTCAAAAGACGAATCAATTAATATCGAAATCTTTTCAATCAATGAATTCTACAATCCTTGCTAGCCTCAGCGTCCATTCTATAATCACTGATGATTCAGCCGGCACTTCCTAGACAGTATCGTCATGGGCTTGCAATATAAAATTGTCTGCGCAACACAGCCAGGTCACTTTGCCGTATGCCCGACACATTGCGGGTTTCGCCGCCACCTATCTTTTGCACGCGGCAAACCACGCCCATTGGCGAGAAATCGACCAATTTATACGAAAATGAGTGGCTATTGATAGGAACGATGGAAATATGTGTTGAAACTTGATCGAATTAGCAGTCATTGGGAACACTGGAGGGCTCGAACGGGAGAGAATAGTTGAACGGGTACGAAAATCCTTCAAAAAAATCAAAATGGAAAAATTTCCTCCATCGTCGAATTGCCTACCTGCGGGCATTCCGCTGAATGACGGCTGAGCGGCGCCGAAATATGAGTTGCCGAATGGAAAGAACGGCTGGTAGGTGTCGGGAAAAAATTGAGTCGACGTGGCCGCATTGGAGCCGTCTTTTTTGTCGTCGAAATCGTTATCGGCCTCGATTTTCGACGACGCAGCAGCATTGGCGGAATAATTTGGAAAATTTGCCGGCGGTTTGATGTCGAATCTAAACGAAAAACCCGCTGAAATTCATCTTTTTTTTTCGCCTACGCCTTGTGTGCATCGAACAACGACTTTTCGACGTCCTTCTGCGCATCGAAAAAATCCTCGATGGGTACGGTAGCTTGTGATACGGTAGTTGTCGCGTCGGCCGATTTTGACGACGACGTGCTCGAATTGTTGTTGTTGATCCACGACCAACTCGGCGCCTGCATATTGCGAATCGAGCTCTTGTCCTCGACGCTGCCGTCTTGCTTCTCCTGTCGTCGATATTTGGCTCGTCGATTTTGGAACCAAACCTACAATTTTTTTTTTGCGTTGAAATCCAAGAACTCCCCAATTAGGCGCGCGACAATTTTTCTGTCACAATTAATTTGCAGGAAATGCGTGTACTCCTTTTACATGTCGTCGCTTCGCTCGACACATCTGGCACCAACAATTCGCGGCCGACCCCCCCCCCACGCACAAACCTTGGAACACCTTGTACGATGCGCAACTCTTGCCCTTTGTCCCCCACCGTGAACAGATCTCAAATTTCCGTGAGCGTCAATTAACGGATTATGGGATTAACTCCGTGCAACAGGCCACAATAGTAAAAAAAAACCAAAACGTTCTCTCCCCGGCCGGGAATTGAACCCGGGTCTCGCATGTGACAGACGCGGATACTCACCACTATACTACCGAGGACACGTTGGAGTCATTGCCAGGCGCGATAGATGTAAGTGCTCGTCAAAATGGCGAGGCGCGTAACCCGCGCACATCAATTAGCCCACTTCACCAAATTAAGATTACGGTAGCCGCCAACTTTTCTCATCGTTTAATTTCTAATCCGATATTCGGTAATAAATTGTTTTTCATAAAACAAAGACCGTGGGTAGACTTCAACAAAAATACTAACTATTCAAGCGAATGCATATTAAATTCAAATGTGTGTTTTCGATTACCTGAACGCGAACTTCGGGAAGGGAGATTTTGTGGGCAAGCGTCTCTCTGGCGTACACATCCGGATAGTGGCATTTGTCGAAGGCCTGCTCGAGCTCGTGGAGCTGGTAGGTGGTGAATGTGGTACGATTTCGACGCTGCTTCTTGTCGGCGATGGCGATCTGGAAGATTGGTCAACATTTCGAAAGCAAATGCACAATACCTTTTCTTTATGCTTTTTCGTTCTCTCTGATGATTCGTAGTCGTTGTATTGAAGTTTTGCCGTATACGGAGAGACAACCGAGAATTGGACTGTAAAAATTCAATTTTTCTTTGAAAATGCTTCTTAACACTATCAAAACTCTATAAACATTTTTTTATTTTTTTAGTTGTGCAGCAGATACCGAAAATAACGCCTAATTTGACAGGCAAAATCAACTAACGCCTAGCGGATTCGATCCCTTGACTTCTCGCAAACCAGGCAAAACAGGATCAAATCACCTACCTATCAACACACCCGAGGTCTGCGCGATTTGTATATTTAAAACCTTCACGCGTTTCTCGGTACGTATAAAGAAACAATGGAAAAACAATTTCTAAAATAAAAAAATATAATAAAAACAATTTCTAAAATAAAAAAATATAATATCCTCCAAAAAATGGTCAACAGAATTTTTCACTGCAATTCTTTGTATTTTTATGGCTTAAGTTACTTCAATCTCGATAATAGCGTTTGAAAAAGAAGTTGGCTCCGGTTCCACCAGAATATATTCAGTATCATTTTAAAAATTCAAAAATAATTTCAAAATTTTTTTTCGCAGCGTACGCCAACCGCAACGCTTCTAACAACATTGAATAACTGCTGTATTTTTCCACATTTTTTTTTCTGAGAAGCAGATTTAAAAAATATAATACCATCGTAAAAAAATTTCCGAGCACATTGATTATTTGTCGATTACATTTTTTCGTGTCTCAAAAACTTTCTGAGAAAATCGGCTATTCGAATTGATCGCGGCGAGACTTTACACAAAAAAACTGCGTGCGCCTTTAATTATCTTGTCAAGAATTTTCGAAAAAAAATTTTTCAATATTGAAAATCTCGCAAAATAAAAAAAATTGATTAAAGGCCCGTATATTGGAATATGAGTGGGTCTTGTGGCGATCAATTCTAGTGAGTTTTTTTTCAGAAAATTAGTATTAAATTGAAAATAATCGTTCCTAAAAGCTGAATTGCCCGATTTTAATTGAACTTCAATTTTTTTCCTGCCAAACCAAAAAAAAACTTTAAATTTCTGCATATCACATAACTCATGTGGTAGCAAACAAAATGACTCAATCACTACCCAAAAAAGGCTCTTTAAAATCAACGTCACCTAGTTGAAAGAAGCAAAAAAAAATGCTTAAATGATGTGCAAAAATTTTTGTGGGCGGCATAATTCGATTTGTGACCCGAAAAAATTATATTCAATTACAGCCCCATCGGCTCCGCCTTTTCAGCAAATTGAATTAAGCGTCGTAAAAAAAAATCAACAACAACGACGACGACAATATGCAGCGATTTTCGAGGCAAAACTTACAGTTCATATTGTCCGCAGCTGAACAATGATGCATTGCGTCCATTGATGAACCGAAATCAAAAAAGAAAAACTCGCAAAATTGTGGTTTAAATCGAGGGAATAATGTGGGCGTGGTCGGTGAGCCGCAATGGGCGTGGCCAGCCAATTAGAGCCGCGCGCCGCGCGCAATCGCGCCACTCAAGGAAATCCACTAATTACTACCATGAAACAATTGAACGCGAAATTTGAGGAAATTGTCCGCAGATTGACCATTTTAATGTTTTATTCGTTTATTTCTGGCAATTCTCACCGCTTCATAAATCGGTATTCATCTGCGGACAATTTTCCAATATGAAAAAAATTTTTTTGAACAAAAATTTGACTTCCAAAATTCGTATTCGTTTTTTTTTTTCAAATAATACAAACAATTTAATTTTTTAAAGTCATCAAAATTGTGATATTTGGCGTATAACGAATTGCGCATTTTCAAAGGGTTGTGAAGATTTAAATTTAAAAAAATTGAAATAATGGGTCCCACCACGAAAACGCGTCATTTCTCGCAAATCAAAAATAAATCAATAAAAAGGAAGCCAATAAAAACGCGTTACAAACATGCAAAAATTGTGTTCGGCATTGATTTTTCTTTTTTTTTTTGATCGCCGAAAACGTTCTTCATATTTTTTTCGTGGAAAATCATGTGCATCAAATATGACGTCGTGTCTTCCCCCGGCCGAGAAGAAAAAAAGCGAATTTCGGCGATTATTATTCATTTTTAATTTGACACGAATTGATTTCGCCGAAATTGGTTAATTGGGACAGCGATTTCTATTTTTGGACAATTTTGTGTGGGTTGAAGCTTACGCAATAGCGCGTATTCGTTGCGAGACCTTAAGAAAAAAAAAAAGAAAGAAAGCGCAAAAATATCGTGTTCGAAATTTTGTAGAAACTGAGTGTTGGTGAATGTGTGCAATTTTGCGTGCGCGTGTATGACACCTTTCGATTTTTTTTTGTCGCCATAAAATTTTCCGGATTTTTTTGAAATGCGCTGCGCTTTTCCCCGCGGGACCCACTAGAATTATTCGTTGAAAAGAGCGCACACAAAGTTGCCAAAAATAATTATATGTTTCAATATCTACCAAAACCGCACGTTTACCTTTTAAGGTCGCGCTATTTTCAAATTACCCAAGGGGATATCACATTCATGCAAAAGTGCGTTTAACATTTCGCGAATCATTGCGGTCAGTCTCTCGACATTTTCAAAGAGGTCTCGCGGCGACGTCTATGCAAAAAGCGAGTCACCCAATTTTTTTTTGAGACAACATTTTCTTCAATTAAAATGAGAAATCTCACCTTTTTTCTCATTTTTCATTGACTTCTCAATAAATGGCGGCTTGCACAATGAGCTGGCAAGCGCCAGAGAACTATAAGCGAGGCTATTCATCATCAATCTGAAACATGACCATATTTGGGCAAAAATGGCATAATGTGGGAAACGTCGTTGGGGGGGGGGTACGGAATGGAACACATATAGGCGCCGGAAGCGCGCGCGCCGCCATCTGATCAGGTGGCCGAGTGGTTAAGGCGATGGACTGCTAATCCATTGGGATTTTCCCGCGTGAGTTCGAATCTCATCCTGATCGAAATTTTTTTGCCGGTTTGCTCTGCGTGCCGCCCATTCCCCGGGGATTCTTAATTATGCCGATTACTCATTCGAAGCATTAAAAAGTGCATTTATCAGGCAAACGTGTGAGCAAGAACGACTAAAGCAGTTGAAAAATGTTATCAAAAAACCGAAAGATTGAATACGGAATTTAGCGCGGCCCGCGATTAATTGGCGATTGCAGAAATCCGACGGGATACGCCATTCGGTAGGTGATAAACCAGAAGAAAACGGCTACAAGAGCAGCGACGATCTAGAAAATAATTCTTGTGAATCGCAAAATTGAAAAAAAAAATTCAAAAATTTCTGACCTCTTCCACATAAAAATGATAGTAAATGACAGAGATGATGAGCTGTTTGAACTGAACCCTCAATTTTCTCATAAAATGCGAGCAAAAAAAAGAGAAACTCGTGGAAATTACCCAAAACGCGTGAAGGACAAGCATGGCAACGAAGAAAATTTGAATTCGTCTCGTCAAAATGTCATGCTGCTCGCGATGCTCGGGCTCAACTTGTGCTGTCACCTGCATATACCGTCGGAATGCTTTCGCCTCTTCGGTGATAATCAAAATGCTGTAAAGCATTAGGAAGCAATGGCCAGAAATATCGTAGCCAGGCGTCCAGACGCCTAAAAAAAATTGGAATATTTCCAATTGTCGAGACGGGTTACCTTTTTTGGCGGAACATTGCTCTCTGGTCAATCTGACGCCTAAATTGCACACCGAAGTGCTAGCGGTGAAGAAATGGAAGCTGAAAATTGAGTTTGCACTTGTAAGAACAAATTCTCGACAATTCATTTTTTTTCTGGTTTAACTGCTAGGGCAAATCAAATAAATTTTTTTGCGATTTATTGAGAAACTAACGTGTCTCTATAATATTTTAGATTTTTCTCAATTAACTTTAGAAATAATTATAAGATTTTAGAATTTGTTGAGATAATTTAGAAATTGCTCAATAAATTTTAGAAAATCTTGTAAGATTTTAAAAAATATTTTTAAATTTATCTATTCTCAATAAATTTTAGAAAATATCAATAAACTTTAAAATTTCTCAAAATATTTTAGAGTTTATTGTCGAATATTTGATTCTCAAAATATTTTATTTGATTTGCCTGAGTGGAAATGTCTTTCGGATGATATTGTCAAAATTCGATTTAATATAGTCTACAAGAATCAGTCGCCACAAGACCCATCTAATTTTCCGCGAATTATTTCATTTTTTAGGAATTTAGAGTTAAATTTTTTCGCGTTTTGCCTTAATTTCATTAAAGTTACAAAATATTCAAATTAAAAAAAAATTCATGAAATTTTGACACAAAAATTACTCAAAATCAGTGGTTTAAAGACAAATTTGAGGAATTTTCAAATTTCGCAAGATCTTGAAATATTTTTGGATACCGTATTTAAAGGCGCACGCAGTTTTTGCGCTAGAAGTCTACCGCATTTCAGTATGATTTTTTTCAGAAACACAATGTAGAAAAAATCTCACAATTTGACAGCAATCCACCAGAAGAACGTAGCAACTCCCAACCGGCATAAATCGATATAAGGCATGTCGCGATCACGATAATGAGCTTTCGAGCAAAAGTAGACGAATGGTCCGACGACGACGAGTGTCCAGAACCATCCAATTTTCACGCCGTATTGATTAAATACACTGTGCTTCTTAAAATTTGAATTGAAATTTAATTTCGAATCGATTATCCACCTGTACAAGATAATAGGACGAATCGAATTCGAACCATTTTTCGATTAGTGAAAGAAATGTGATGAATGCCAAATAAAATATGGCGACACGGGCGGTATCGATGAACAAAATTTTTCGGGCAATCTAAAAATCAAAATATCGCGATGAAATAGGTGATTTGATACCGCTACAAAAACTCCAAGTATCGGATTCGGCGTGCTGCCAAGCGAAACCGGCTTTTTCGACTTTGGATCGACTTTTTGCGCTGAAAATCAAGCAAATCTTCAATAATTAACACGTTTTTAATAAAATATTACGCCTTGGAGATTCAGTTGGCGGTTGAGATTGCACACTGCTAAAACATTATTTTCAAAGAGGGAAAAAATGTATGAAAATCGGTTACCTTTTCTTTTGTGACGTTTTTCTAGAATTCATTCTGTAAAAATAATCAATTTAGAATTTCAGATGAAGAAAAACACTAAAAACTCTAACGAACGTGTTATAATTACGAGGATTTCACAATAAAAACAAGTGAAAAAAACTTGTCCTCCGGGACTACAGCTGATTACTCCCGCTTTTTTCTTCCATCAGTTACGAGCTTTGGGTTTTTGCTTATATTCTTTTTTACAGTTTTCATTTTAAATATTTAAATATTTTTCTTATTATCCTTTCAAAATAGATATATTTCGAAGATATTCCTTACCGCTTTCGCAATGTTATATTAATGTTTTGAGCTGGCCTAGAAAAATTCATCTGATGGCCGGGTATTTGGCGGCCCAAGTTATTTTTTCGCTTTTTTTATTCGTCGCGTTACCCCTATTTTTCGCGAATCTTTAATTATTTCCATGTTTAGACGTTTAAAAATAGGCTTTTCAGAATATGGCCCGTGATGTAAAGAAGCGCGGAAAGCGGGGATTTGTCAACAGGCGAAACCGAGCGAAATATTTGAAAAAGAAAGAAAATAAAAAGAAATTATCGAAAAGTGCAGTGTATGCTTTGTTTTTTATTTAATTTCATAGTAATTTTTATCAAGATTGATACAATTTCAGGCCAATTATCAAAACGAATTGGGATATAACAAAAACAGCAAGAGAAAATGTTCAAGACATGGGAATTGCGTTCGACCCTAATGAAGTAGTGCCAATTAAGAAAGAAAGGGTAATTTAGTATTTTTTTTTAAATTAATTATTGCTAGATTTTCAGCTAGAAATTGTGGATCCAGTTCCAATCGATGGCCAAATTCCCGTGGAAGTGCCAGTTGTTGAAAAGAAAATCACAAGGAAAAAGAAAAATACACAACAGGTAATTTATTTTTTTTAAGTAAATGTTCAAGTTTAATATTTTATTTATTTCTAGGCCGAATATGTTGTGAAACATTTGGAAGAAGACGCGAAAAAAGAGGAAGAAGAGCGAGAAGGCCAAAACCGAAAATTCAAGTTATTCCACCGAGAAACCGAGCTATGTATTTATATGTTGGCAAGGCACGGAGAAGATTTCCAGGCAATTTATTTTCATAGCGGCGATTTAATCTCAATTCTCCTTTTAAGGCGATGACACGGGACCCGAAGAACCTTTGGCAGTACACACCGAAACAATGGGCGAAGAAAATTCGAGTATACAAAGAATCTGAAATGTGCAAATTCTTGGACACCGTCTAATTCCGTCATTGTTCATTTTGTTGTTGTTGTCGTTTTTTGTTATTGTTATGAAATCGAAGCCAATTTAGAAGTGCTATTGCTTTTGATTTGCCGAAACGACGGTTTCGAATATAATTGACGTTCGAAGATCTCAAAGTAGACGTCGGATTCGTTCACATTCGCCGGCAGCTTCAACTTGTTCAAATTGTTCTGAAAATCGATTAGTAGGCTGAATTCGAATCGAAAATTACCCGTTGGCTCTCATAGCGAATACCGAATAATTGGCGAGTTCGACTCAAAAAGAATCTCCGATAACTTTCGATTGTGAGAATTGCCGTTGGAACGAGAATAATCGGGTTTCTAAGTCGATGAAATCAATTACTCAATTAATTATAAAGGCAATTACGCGTGGAAAAGGTAATCCAAATATTCGCGAATCGATAAAATTGCGGATTCGGGGAATTTGAGAAGAACCGGAATCGAATTTGTGAGCGCCATCACCACAATGAATCCAATGATCGACAGGAAAAATCGGCGCATAAGCTGAAAAAAAGTTTGCGAGTTTCGGCGTTGTCGTTTCGAAAGCGTGCACCTTTAAAGTCTTCAAGTTCTCCTTCAGCTGATATCGAATACTTAGCGAATAATTCGTGTTTCGATGGTCTTGCTCAAGTTTCAGCAGTCTTTTCTTATTGATATATTCGACAAGAATGTAAATCTTGAAAAATTGCGAAAAAAATTGGTTTTTTGAAGAATCACCACCGCCAAAATTTATACCAAAATTGCGGCTATCATAATTGTGCCGGTGCAAACAATTAAAGCGACAAATGTTAGGCGAAATGAGGTCGTGATGAGGGCGAAACTGACGGAAAAAATTGTTTGAGCTATCAGAATTATCACATAAATCCAGCTTCTCCTCTTTTTTTCGTAGTCGCTGAAGACAAGTGCTCATTAGAGGGAAGAGACCTCGCCGCGAGACCCGACATCGAATTAATGTGTGCGCCTTTAATTTGTGTTCAATTGAAAAATTAATTTTGTGAATAAATTGAGAGAAAAAAAGAGCGTGGCCTAGGATTTGAATTGCGCGGACTAACTTTTCGTGACAATTTGCGAATCATTTTTAATTGACTATTGCAAAAATCGCAAATTGTTCAATTTTTAAAAATCAAAGAATTTAAATAAATTATGATTTTCGCTTCGAGACCTGCAATTGGATGATTTTGAATTTTAACTGTAAAAATCTTGAAAATTCACGATTTTTTCTGATTTGTTATGTTTAAAACAAAACCAAGCAAGTTTTTCTTATACCAATATTTCAGCTAGTCAAAATCGGGAAATTAAAAAAAAAATAATTAAAGGCGCATAATGCCGAAAACGGGTCTCGTGGCCAACATTAATTACTGTATTAGAATTGTCGCCGAAATTCGTTCGCTTAAAATCGCAATTGGTGTGAACATCACAAAATACATGTAATGGTAGCGGAGATTGGCAGCGATGAAAATGCTGTCGGCCCAGTTCGCCGACAAACTGCAGTTGCCGATTCGGCCGCACTCGTCGAGCTCATCGATGTCTGCGAATTTTTTGGCTCGGCAATTCCATTCCAGGAAAAAAAAAACAGAAAAATTCGGATACGGTAGCTGACAGGATGCACAAGTCCGCATTTGTGCGTCGGGTCTTGATGCGGACCTCAGAATCAGCTGTCGATTTTTCTTTTTTTGCAATGGAATCATTTTGATTATAATGAATAATGAAGCATAAGGGATTTTTAAAAAATTATAAAAACCTCGGCCACGGCCAGATTTTTATACTCCTGCTTTTTAAAAATTATATCGCTGCAAGAATCATCAAATGTTTATTTTATGCTCTTTTAACCGTTGTAGAAAATCGCGAAAAATCTTAAAGGCGCATGTGATTATTATTATTTCAAAAAAAATCTGCAGTACTGTAGACTCCGAAAAACTTGGCCGTGACCGAGGTTTTCGAAGATTTTTTCTACGAACCTTCTATTTTGAGTGTTTTTCCGAATATTCATAGAAAATAATTAAATAAAATTTGAAAAAAAAAATCAATTTGAATTACCTCCATCAAAGTTGGCGAGAATGTGCTGAAATCGAAAAACGAGCAAGCGGCAAATGAATAATTCGAACCAAACGAAAATGAGCGCAATGAAGATATTTCTGAGGTTTTTGTGAAATGTTCTGAATGAACCATGTGTTTTTTTGTTGCCAAAATTCACCAAAAAACAAAAATCGAACACCTACGAGCATTTGATTGCAATAAATACGCATAAGGCGGTCAGTAAGCAGCCAATTAAAAATAGACACATTTGAACGATTTTTGACACCGTTGATTGAATTTGGTGCGAGTTTTTGAGAAAAATTTCCATTAATGTCACCTGTAAGGCATCTAAAAACCGAAAAAATTGGAGAAATTTAGAGAAGCAGCTTACCAGACTCCATTTCTTAAAATAGAGCAATGGCGAGCATGGATTTCAAATAAAATGACGAGCGTCCATCGCTTTCCTTAATTAAAACTCCTCCCTTATTTGACCAAAGCCCAACTTGCAAAAGCATTAGACGTGAGGTGGGAAAAACAAAAAGTGCTCTGATAATGTAGGTAGACCACATGTTGGAATTCAGTGAGAGAGTTCAAATTTCATCATTGCACGCGGGATGGGGGCTCGAAACCGCGATCGATATCGCAGCAGGCAACAAACTTGCCGCTGCGCTAAGCGTGTGACATTGGCGTTGGTAGCAAACGGCATAGAAGAGATAGGGGGAGTGTGCGTATGAAGAATGACTAGAAAATGGTAGAAGTTGCGAATTTTTTATGGAATTAAATAATTTAGAAAAATTATTATAAATATGCCGGTTTCATAAGACTTATCGAAATTGGAAAAAAAATTGGCTATAGTGCGTTTCCCAAAAGAAAAGCGGCTACTGGGAACATTTCGTTGCAAGACCTTATAGTTCAGAAGCGTTGCGGTTCACATTCATAATCGGAGGAGAGAATCATTGAAAAGAAGTCGACGAGGCCAATATGAGAATGTTGTTGCTATTGAAGAAAATCAAGAAATGAATAGGGTTAATTGAATCCGTGTAAGGGAAAATCAAGCATCTGATGGTGATGAAGAATGTGAAGATGACGCCGATTGTGAGACGGAAACTAAGAATTTAACAGATGAATTCCGAATGAGTGCCGTATTGTCTAGGCATAGTCAAAATGGTAATTTTCCGTAATGCATATTTACATATATATACACGTTATGCCAAAAGTAAGGATTCTTCGAAATATCGTCGAGAAATGACTAATGTATCCAAGTGTCGTGGGATTCTGCGTTTTGTACGCAATGAGCCGGCAACCGTAACCCTCGCAGTGATTTACGGAGTTTTTTTTTTAAATTTCGTTTTTCAATTTTCTTAATTTTTTTGCTGTACTTTCTTATTTCCTTTAGAAATTTTTTATTTAAAATCTGTAGAAACCGATTTTTATATTTTTTTTTTGCAGAAAATGCACTTTGCCACTTGTCCAGTTGAGTTGTCAATTATTGTGAAGGTTTTGTCGAATCTCTGCTGTAAATCGCAGCGAGGATTACGGTAACTGGCTCATCGTATTGCGTACAAAACACAGGATCCCACGACACCTGGATACATTTGTCATTTTTCAACAATTCTCAATAATTTTCATTAATAGGTTCAATCCTATGATCTCGCCTTGCCTTGCTTCACAATTCCGGGTACACCTCAAACGAAAACAGATTATTGCAGCAATTAGAGACACAATTGTCAGGTTGGTGTATGATTCTAATTTTATTCAAAGTAATCATTTAGCGACCGTGTAAGGACCACTTACAATGAGCAGTGTGAATCGTCACATGCATAAAAAATACTTGCGCACCAATTGGCAAAGAAAAGAAAATAGGCAAGGAGAATTTATTGAAAAAATTGAGGAGCGAATCTCTGAATACTTTTCTGCTAATACCCATTAATAGCTTCACTATTTTTCTTTTTTCTTCTGGATTCAGTTTTCCTTATATTTGCTGTTAAGTTTAAATATGATATCTCTTTTATTATTTTGTTCTCATTTGTTATTATTATTTAAAAAACTAAAGTTTCGTTGTAATGCAATCAACTCGGCGTTCCTGAAACAGTCAGATTTGCACAATGGTTGAAATGGAACCAAGCCGATGCAAAAAACAGTAGGAATGAGGAAGGAAAATTGATATTAAAAAAACAGACGAAACGTGGTTGATGAGCTGGCGGAAAATAGATGAAAACCCCTATGAAACATGGATCAAATGCGGACAAAAAAAATAATCTGTGGCAGACCCTTCTTTTATCACTTTTCTGCGCATTTTTTCATATGTTTTCCATCCGTTTTAGTTTTTTTTATAACTGGAATTATATTCAAATCAGGGCTGTGCGGCAATCGGAAATTTCGGCAATTTGCCGAAAATCAAAATTTCGGCTATTAAATGTCTTCAACGATAATTGGGAAATATAAATACCGAATTTTCACGGTATCCCAAATTATTCAATGGACATTGATTTTTGTTTCGCCGATTTTTTTTTTGATATCAAATTGCCGAAAATATAAATTTCGGCAATTTGGCAATTTGAAAAATCGGCAATTCCATTGCCGCACAGCCCTGATTCAAATATCGTCCCCCTAATTCTAAAAAATAGTAAGATTGGGGATTTGTATTTCAGCGAAATTCAAAATTTCGCCAGAAAACGCGGCTCACAATTTCAAACGGATGCCTGTTCAAGATGAGGCCAAACATATCGAATGGAATTTTCGTTGGACCATGTCATATTAGCACCTGTAAATAGGCAAACAGTGTGGCTCGCGCATTCGAATAAACATCTTATTTGGTGGCAGGCAGATTGTGGGGGGAGGAAGAGGAGGGGAATCATTCCTCAGCAAATATTAACAATGCTGCCCTCGCTTTTGCCTCATTTGTTAAACTGTATCTCACCAAACCTATACTATCAATTCAGTCATTCTATTTTTGGGATAGCTTTTATTGTTTTGAAATATCTTAAAGGCGCATCGTCGCAAATTTGATTCGTTTCTTTTGTCAAAATCTAATTTTGACTATTTCAAAGCGTATTGGCTTTGAAATAGTGAAAAATAACAGTGTGCCTTTAAATAAATAAATTTTTGAGAAAATCACTCAACTAAAATAAATTGATTTTCTTCTTTTATAAGAATTTGGAAGAAAATGGGAAATTCATAAAAACTGAAATGTGGGTAATTTTGCGTGCGTGTGCTTTCGGACTTAAAAAATTCTCCGCCGGCCTTCAATTTTTTTCCTTCAATCGAACCCGTATAGCAATCCAATGCTCAAAAATATTAAAGGAGCATTTAAAGGAGAAATTTTGGCATCTGGCCAATGCTGAAGGCCACAAAGAAATCTTCTCGAATTCCTCTTTTTTGAGCACAATAGCTCACAGGTGTGCGTCGGCTCAAGGCTCTCCAGATGTCACAAAAATCGCACGCTCGACCGAAACTTTTCGGCTTCTCCGCGCGGCCGCTCATGCTCCGCCCACTTTTTTCTGTCGAAGGGGTTTTGGGGGGGGGTCGGTTTATGGCGAAAAGAAACACTTCCGCGCGATGCTCCCACCAGTGCCGCCACACGAGAAGCTTCCTGTGCCTAGCTCTGGTCACTTTCTCTTTTCATCCCCCAATTTCGAAAACCACAATCTTTTTTGCGATTTTTGTGAATGGATTACTGTAGGCAATAAAAGTCCGCAAATTGTCGTAACGCTGCGTACAACTATTTTCAGCCTTCTTATTATTTTTTTGCCGTCATTTTTTTGTGGCGTTCATTTCGTTAGTAAACTTCTTCACATTTTACAGATGAACACGTGGGTCCTAATATTGGCATGGTGTCTTCCATGGGTGTATTGCGCCAATATGAGCTGCCTAGTCATGCGTCCAGGTTTGAATTTTTTTTCAAAAAAAAAAAACATGTTTTTCGCTTCAAAGAGAGCATTTTGATGTAATTTAAAGGTGCGACGGGTCTCGAAGCGAACCAGTTCGTGCAAAGGTGTTTTGTGCCCGCGCGATTCGCTTTCATATCATCTTGCTCATTTGTTTGCGTAATTTGAGATGAAGCCTTCGTCCAAGTTGTCTGCATCGCGCAAACACGCGCATAAATGGGCATGTATGTATACAAATCGCCGCCGTCGTGCGCGAGCGCTCAAAAAAAAATGTCCGCAGATGATGATGATGCTGAAGGCAATGCTCAAGAGGTGCCCTTTCGGGTTGTCAAATTGGGAGCCATATTTTCGGGACCTTGATAAGATCGAATGTCATTGCAATCATCTGCGGACATTTTTTTCCGGGATTCGCCACAATCGCCTGCTTGCTGTTGTTACTAGCGATGGCGGCAATTCAAACACAGGGCCCCGAGGCTCAGATGGGTCCCGGTTTGTTTGACAACGCTGGTGCCCTTGACAGCTTCATGTCAAAATCAGCAGCTCGCTGGGGTCTATGAATGTAGATTTGAGGGCGTCGCGTAAAAGTCTGGAAATTTTCTTGCCGTCAAATAAAAATGCGCATCAGATGTATCAATTTCGACGAATTTGAATGGCCACAAGCGCCCCCCCCCCGTCCCGTCGAAATGCGATTTGTGGGGAATAGGGCGAAAAGCCGAGGGCAAAAGCCAATTTAGGCGGACATCGTCGTCGAACAACTTTTGGGTCCCTAACGAGAATGCGCTGATTTTGTTCAAATGCGGGTGACGAAAAAAAAAGAAATAAATTTTGTGGGCGAAAAATCGACGAAATATTGCTTTTGAATAGATATTTTTTGAAGCAAAACAAATATGACGAAAATTGATTTGAGATTTTTGGTCTGCAATTTTCTTGCTATTCAATTTGTCTGCCGATTATTGAATTAATCACACAAAATTGTCGGCAGCAGAGAATTGCAAAAATCTGATGAAGCGCTCACACGCGGCGGTTTAATGGCATTTCAAATTCCATCGTTGAACTCGGCAATGCATAACCGTAATGCATAGTTAATGCATGGTGATGTCCCTTCCAATATAAACACCATATGGGACCCATTGGCGTTGGGAAACCCCCTCCAAAAAAAGAAGAAGATGTGTAATCGAATACGCATGTCTCTAGAGTGTATTTAAGCTGCGGACAATGTGTTGAGATTTTGATGAATTTTTTCTCCGCTTCTGGTTTTTTTTGGGTGTTGGTGGGACGTGTGGCGGAAAAGAGAAACGGAAAACGTAATCGGATATGCCATTTTTTTGGTGTAAGGCAAACATTAGCCAAAATGCAGCGAGATTATGCGTTTTTAATTATTTTTGCCATCAAGGAGTTTTTTTTCTCATCGAAAATTGACATAATTGGCATTAGCACGCACACGCTCATTAGGAATGGCGAGATTCGAGACGAATTCCTCAATTGTTTGCTGTCAAAATGCCATTTTTCGTATAGTGGTGGTGGTGGTCATGTCGCAATTGAGCAGATAATCGCCGCCGCCGCAGCCGCGACGCCAAATTTATCCCAAATTTACATCTTTCTCGCGTTTCAACAAAAATACTCCTTTGGGGAAAACGATTGACGAAGAGTAAGATGAAAAAAAAAAACAACAACATCAGGAAATGGTCAAGAATGGAAAAAAAAATAGTGGACAATTGAGGGGGAGAAAAATGGCTTGTGATAATCAAATTTATAAATTTAGGGTATGGCTTGGTTTCTGAGGATTGTCCTTCGCACGCGGTCGGATGTCGAATTCGAGTTCAAAAGGATCACATTGGTGAGTTTGAAAAAAAAATTGTGTCATTTGTCGTCAGGTATAATGCAACAGGTGCAAACACATGCGCAAGAATTGACGCCAATTCTCCAAATGTTTTTTTTTTTTCATTTTCAGATTGGTACGAGTTTTCGCGCCTGTATGATAGAAATCAGCTAGTTTGTGTTTATCCGGAGGAATATAAATCCATGACAGGTTTTTTTTTGCGCATTTTTCATTGTTTTTGTTCGAGCAAAACAAAAATAATAAAATCAGACAATTTAATTATTTTTTTCACGAAATTGTCTGATGACGTCGACATTCTGCAATTTTCTATGAGTTTTTTCGTTCTGCAGGATGCATGCGCAAACCGTCGGGAAGCATTCGTTGTTGGTGCGGCGGTCGCGGCGATTGTAATGATCCAGAAACTAGCAGGTATTTGCGGTTCAAAAAAAGAATGCGAGATCAAAACTGGAATCATTGAAGGGATCTTTATGAAGCGTTCACGAATGGCGACAACGAGGCCGTTCAGAAGATATCCGATTGGCTGAGAAGCGACAAATCAGAAGATCGTTAGTTATTTTTGATTTGTTGAACAAGTAGGAAATTTCGAATTTGAAAATTTGTAGGCTGGAGGACGTCTAGCACCACACCGCAGCCGACATCTCCGAAACCCACAGAGAGGTTTGCCTTGCTACCCATATAAGTATTTTCCTGATGTAATCTGTAGGGTGAACACTACCACGTCAACAACGACGACGACGTCGACAACAACAACTGAAAGACCAACGCCTAAAAAGTCTGAGAAGCGTATTGGAACAAAGACGACAAGAAAACCGCTTTTGGGAGGAGTGCAGGCGAAACCGAAAGTTATTAATATTGTGGATATTAGGGATAAGGTGCGCAGAATTCGATAGTAATTCTCCTAAAACTCTGAAATTCTTTTAGAGCGAGCCTTCGGATGATAATGAGATTGACCTGGACAACAGTTTTGAAATCACGCGTCGAAAATTGGTTGGATTTGTTTTTATTTTATGATTTTTGCAAAAAATCGATTATTTTAGGAAAAAGAGATGAGGGAAGAAAATGAGCGTCTTCGTGAAATGCTCGCCGATGAGGAAGTTGAGAACGCTAACGATATTCTTGATGATGAAGAGATGGAAGACGATCGCGATGCTTTCGATTCTGCCCGGTTTTCAACCATTTTTTGCCTAAAATCTAATTATTTTTCGATTTAAGACTCGCCGAGGAGCGCCGTCTTCGCGAAGAGGACATTTTGCGAAAAATCGAGGAGGACGAAGTGAAAGCCGAAGAAAGTGCCCGTGTGAATCGCGAAAGTCGAAATGAGCCTGATTTTGTGAGCCGCGCGGCCTCAACCATTTATGTTTTTCCCGTTTTCATGCTTGCCTTGCTAGCCTATTGAATTGTTTCTTATTTGTTGTTTTTGAGATTTGAAATTAACACAACGAAATTCCTCCTGACCACTCACAGATACTGGTGCGCTTTTTGCTTTTGATTCCAAATTATTTATGATTTTGTGTATATTATATTAATATTTTTGAAAAATGTTTGAAATAAATATTTAAAAGTCTAATTCAATGGTGAAATTTCACAATTTTTTTGCAAAAAAAAATTCGACTACCGTAATGATTTTTAAAGGCGCACGGTATTTAAATCGCCGGTCTCGGTGAGATTACTGTATTTTCAAAAAAAAAACATTTTTTTTTCTTCGCAAAAATTACCCGAAATCTGAATTTCGCAACATTTTAAAAGCAAAAACTATTTGAAAATATTTTTGTTAATTTTTTTTATGGTGTGTAAACCTGCTCCATGGCTAGATGTTTAAAATTATTTTCATTTTTTTGTTTTCCATTGTAAAATTGGAAAACATGACTAACTCCAAATAAAATAAAAACCAGTTTATCCGTCAGATGGTGGCCCAATGTTTTCACTTTTTCTTGAATTCGCTTTATTTGCCTCAACGCCTCCCCTCCCAACCGTCATTCATTTCATTGTAGCAAAGATGTCCGACGACAACGAAAAGGATAAAATGTATCCGAATATTCCTGACGATCTTGAGAAGATTCGTAAGTTGCTCTTAGTTTTCTTAATCGTATTATTATTATTAGATTGTTTCAGATTTGAAAACAAAAGATGACGACGATGATGATGATTTCTATCCGAAGAAACCGGAGAAGCCACTGAAAGAGGCCACCGAACTAACTGATTGGAATCTTGTGATGAAGGTTGGCATTGGAAAATCTTCTATGTTGTTCTATGTGACGAATTTCAGGCGGCTGAATTCGCTGCTCGTCGGCATCGCCACCAAAAAAGGAAGGACAATGCGACACCATACATCAATCATCCATTAGGTGACGCGTAAAAAAAAATAAAATAAAATTGCGAGTTGTGTAATACATTGGAATTCTTCACCAAATGTGTTGTTACACCAATTTTGTGATGTTTCTTATTCGAATCTTGCGAAATTTAGTGGAATTGAAGGAAATCAGCCGATGAAATGAAAAAAAAAACTATAGAAGACGGATATTTCCATTTTCAATCATTTTGTTTTCAGGCGTCGCTTACATTCTGACAAATGAGGCGAAGGTTTATGATCCGATCACACTCGCGGCTGCCATGCTACACGATGTCGTCGAGGACACAAAAACGACGATTGAAGAGATTGTCGAGAATTTTGGACAAGAGGTCGCCGACGTCGTCGCTGAATGCACCGACGACAAGAATTTGGGGAAAGCCGAGAGAAAGCGGCTTCAGGTCGAGAATTATGGAACGCATTCGCACCGGGTTTGTTTGTTTTTTTTTTTTCTTGACACGAGAATTGCAAAAACTCGTCAAATTTTAGGCGAAACTTGTCCATTTGGCCGACAAATTGTACAATTTGAGAGATTTGGAGAGAAAGTTGCCGATTGGTTGGGATAAGAAACGAGCCAAGGAATATTTTGTGTGGAGCAAAGAGGTAAGAAATTCCTGCTCAATACTTGTATGAAATAATGGAGTTGTTTTTCAGGTGGTTACACAGATGAAAGGAACCAATAATGGACTCGAATGCCAGTTGGACGATGTCTTGAATAGGAATATCAATTAATTTTTATTAATTTATTGATTTCGGGAGATTTTTCACTTATCTACAAACTATGTATGCGTAACTACTAATGTAATAAAAGAAAATGTACAATCATACCGTTTCCTAAAAAGAATAAAAAAATATTGGGAGAGAAATTTTGAAAAAGAAAAGAAAATTTCACTATTTAATAGTGAAACATAATTTTTGTCGTTTTGATTGAAAATGCATTGAAAACTACATTGAATTACCATCGCAATAAACGAGCGCCACGCGGATAAATGTGGACCATCGCACTTTTTTAAGCGGTAATTCAAATTTGCTAATTGTAGAAGAAAGACAATTAAAAAATATATTATTACTAATAATATAATTTATTAGTATATAGAATTCAACTATATACTTAAATAATTTTTTATTAATACAAAATTTCCGTTTAACAATTATTTTTGCAATATTATTACAATAAGATAATTCAAGAGCAAAATGCATGCGGCAGCTACCCGCAATTTTCGCGTGCACTCCCCTTCTGCTTGAGAGTTGCATGAAAGTTGCAATAACCTTTAATTCCCTCTTTAAATGATTTAAAAAAAAACGAAATTTATTCTAAACAAGAACAAAGATAATAAAAATTAATTATCGAAAAAAATTTTACTTCAGTGTACACTGGTTCCAGCCAACTTACAAAATATGTCGATATAAGAAAGTAGATTTTTTTCTCCACTTTCATATATGAAATGATCCGTTTAGAAAAAATCGTAAAAAATTTCTCATTGTAAAAATCCCGCGACTACACGATTGATTCTGGTAGCCAAAAACTTGCCGGTCATTACGTTGTACACGTGCGGACGAGAAAAATGGCTAAAAAATATGTCCAAATAAAAAAAATCAAAAACCGGAGGATCTTCGAAAACTGACAAGATGCATAATAATAATTAACTAAATAAGCCTTTAATCATTTCATCTCAAATGTGTTCAACTTCGTCGGTTTCCATGTTAATGCCTCATTTTCTAATTCGCTCACTTCGATAATCCGGACCGCTCATCATTTTTAGGCGGTGCGGCTCGATACACATTTTAATTAAATAATTATTTTTTCATGTTTCATACCTTCTATGTCGGCGTCGACCGTCGACCTATCATCGTAGTTCAAACGAGATTTATAAATCCAAACAACGTTCTAAAAATATAAATTTTCAAAATTAATTAACTTACGTGCCAATTTGCCTTGATTCCGTCGACTAACTGTCAATCGCAATCGCTTATCATCTGGAAAATATAGGTTATGCGATTTTTTAAAGCATAAAAACTTTTTAATGAAAAATAACGAATGTGAAAAAAAAAAGAGATTTCATGATGTGTGCAATCACGCAAATCTTAAATCTACGGACTTACACTCAAATTTACGCGCGTTTTCATCACAGTGGGCATGAAAGTTGCGGGTGGCAGCTGAAAATCGAATAAAAAAATACAATTTAATTCAGCGAAATAAAAAGTAATCAAATAATTGATTAAAGGTTCGAAACAGCGGAAATTCGGCGGGTCTTGTGGCGATTGATTTTGATAGTCGTATTTTATTACCAAAAACATACTATACTAAATTTCTTATTGAATCATTTTGTTCACTATTTCGAATAATGGCGTGCAATTTCGTCAAAACTTTTCTTATACCAAAAAATTTCTCCTTATTCAGAAATAACTGAGCACGTCGACAATTAAAGGCTCATCTGAAAATGCAAACCAGACGGGTCAGAACTGGTCATAAATCACACGAGTTGGTCAAATAGCTAAGTGTGAGGGGCGTCTAATTCGTCAAACATCCACCAATAATTGTTTTTTTTTTTGAGCGTGTTCTTCCTCTCGCCGAAATTGGCCAAATGAAGGCCGAACATTCAAAAAAAAATTTGCATTTCCCGCCAACACACAGCCTTGAGATGCTTTCTTTTTTGTTCGTCAACTTTAATTTTATCGGATTCTGAAATCAATTGTTGTAACAATTTGTTTTTGCTACCGGTTCCCTCGTGCCGATGTTTGTGTGTTTTTTTGTTCCTCTATAAATCACAAAACCCTGCTGCGGACAATTCACAAGTTCGAACCCAAGCCAGCAATGCTAATTAATAAAGTCGCCGGATTTAACCACACCCATTGCGAATCAGGTCTCGCAACGATTTGCCCCAAACTCTCGCATCAATAAATGATTGGGTCCGACGTTCAAGGAATTCGGGCAATTAAAATGAAAGTTCATCGAATTGTGTAATAATCGAAACAAACAGTTTAAAGCGATTAATTAGACTGCCATTAGCGAGGTTATCATCGAAATCGATGAATAGTACAACGAACAGCGTTCTCACGAAATTTCAAATTGAAGTCATGCTGGCCCGTCATTTGTTTTTGTTAAAGAACCTTTCAGCAATCTGGCTGGAAAAAAACGTGAGGGAAAAATGCGAGTAAGGTGACGGTGTAATAGAGGGGGGGAGGGCAACTAGCCCGATTATACATCAAGCATATCCATTTTTGTCCTAAACGACCTTCAGAAGGCGACATGAAGCCCTGCCCTTACTTCTGATCAATAGGTGAAGAACAAGAAGGGGCCGATGCGCGAATCATTACTATTCGACTGGCCTAGGTGTTGGTAGGCGGAGGAGGCGGCCGCCGGTCAGGTCCGGTTTTTCTTTCCTTCAATTCTTGGCCTGCGAACAAGATGAAACAACAATTCCTATTGATTTTTTTTCCGATCGTCTCGGATTCCCTGCAAGAAGACCAAAATGTTTTCAGTGCTCACTTCAAAGGAGCACATGAATTCTCATCCCCCCCCCCAAAGGGTTTTTCGTTTTCCCCCAATTCGATTCCCCCCTCCCCACCACCCCCGAAATTGTCAATTTGTACTAAAAACAGTCGCCTAAAAACAAATGGAAAACGAGAATTCCATCACCATCATTCCTTTTGTCTCCTTATTTGTATATTTCGCCGCCTCGCAATTGCATTTAATCGAGTTCTCCTTTTTTTTTCCAATCCAGAGTTCCCATTTCTCGTCAATAATTTTCTTGTTGTTTATTAATTTCCATCTGCGGACATTTTTGTTGAGCACCAAAATTGCCTGCAAAAATGCGTAGCCGTGTACACAACCATCGAATTGCGCGAGAGAAAAACTCGTTAGAATTTTTGATCCTTGAAAATCACATACCGTATAACCATTCATTCGATTTTTGATTTATTCGAAACCCACACAATTCATATTACGAATGTCCTTGACGGGCTCAAATACTACTCAACCATTGTGGCGGACATTTTTCAAAGAAAAAAATCACAAATTTCGATTTCACGTGACCGATGTTATCTGCGGACATCTCACGTGTTCGCTAGATGGCCACTAAAAACCTATGAGTATACAATTGACTTCTTCAATCTTTTTTTTCCACCTTCTCTCCCCACTCCCTTTAACTGATATGACGTAGTCGTTAATCGAAAGTGTGTGTAAATACTAAACATATATATATGTACGTGTTCTACCGATGGATTCTCGTTTCTGTTACACTAAAAATGTCATCGACTTGACTTGACTTGACTGACACGGTCGGTCACATTCCTCCATTCACTCTTCGATTCAACGTTTATCTGTCTTGCAGAAAAAAATAATTATTTTGCTGATTTCGGCGGGTCCCGACGCGAGAAAAAAAAAACGCGATTCAATTATTTTTGTGTTGAAAAGTGGAAATTATTTTTCAAATTGATACCTACTTGAAACACTTGTTCGAAAAAAAAAACCAGATGTTTGGTGGGCCGCGAAAAGGTCAATGACTTTAAAGGAGCATTATATATGTGGAATATTTTCGCAGGGAGACCCCCCCTTGTTACCCCCTGCGTGTTTTTTTAATTGAATTTGGAAATGCTGGAAACTAAACAATGCTCGTTGTTCTCCCCGCGAGAAGACCAATTTATCATCTGGTCACAGTTTCAAATCTGTTTTTTTTTTCGCCGCCCCTTTTTCCCTCTGAGAATCCAGTTTCGGCGTCGAGACAATACAATCCATTGATCATTTTACACCTATCCATATTTGATTCGCAAAAAAATTCATTGAAAAAATCCCTCATTCATTCTTTTTAGACATCATCATCATCATCCCGTATACATATATGTGCTTATAGGTATAACTCGGGCGGCACATTGGCTCCACCGGCAAATTTACCATCGACGCTCGAGGGCAGCATTGCTCGCCCTCGTCGTCAGTCATTGCTCATCGGACAGCGCTCTTTAGACGTTTATAACGAAGTTGACCAAGGTGATGGCCGAATTTTTAAGGCCGTGAAAAATCTAGGCCTCCAATATTATTTTTTTAACCAATTCATTGGAATAATTATTTTCCCTATTAAATTATGCATTTTTTAAGGACCGAAATTTGTGAGATGGATCATCGACAAATTCCGGAATTGGGGATTCCTGATTGCCAAACACGCATGGCTCGCCATCATTATCTGCTTATTTGTTTCTGCCGTTTCAGTCTTGAAGATTTTATTTACAAAGTAAGTGTTGAGCAAGATTGAAGAAATAATTTCGTGGCGAGAACCTGGCATCCGAATAATGCGCAAAATGCGAATTTCAGACAAATGAATGACATTACTGGTTATACACCATATGGTGCTCGCGCCAAAGACGAGTACATCGAATATCAGAAATTTTTCTCTAGCGCCGGCCTCCCGATCGCCGCCTATCTTTTCATTGTCGCCAAGGATAATGGAAGTATGGTGCGGCCGGATTATCTCGACGAGACAATTCAGGTTATTCAATTCGATGACACTTTTAAAGCACATCGGCTGATTTTATAGGTGTTAAACTATGCGATGAACAATATCACCATGTACGATTCGATATCGAAACGAAATGAATCGTTCAATCAGTTTTGCGAGAGCTTTTGTCAGGTTAACGAGCCAGTACGCCAATTCTACGTTAGTTTTCGCCTATTTTTAAATTGTAAAATTTTATAAACCACAAATTAACGATCGAATTTTAACCAAAAGATCCACGTGGAAACGTCACGACTTGAAGAAATTCGTTTTTTAAAAGAAATTTCAATGGAATTTTTAAATGTGTGCAATTTTGCGTCGATGTGTATGAACCATGTGGCGCAATCAATGAAATTCTTCATTTATTTTTTTTTGCAGAACGGATACCAAATATTGAGTGATGGGGAGAGTAATTCACGCATCAAAATGAGATATCCAATCTCGGAAATGTTCGGAAGACAATTTTCCTTGCAGGTTGCTTTCAGAAAATTGTGTTTCTAATTGAAAAAAATCAAAATTTAGCCAAATTTCTTTGGAGTTGAGCTATTCGACGACAATGCTGACGATGATGCCGCCAAACTCTTAGATGCCGCAAATGGAGAACCAGTTTTGGGTATTTTATATTATTCAATTTTAAATATCTAATATCATGCGTATTAGAATTGAATTCGACGTCTCTCAAAGATCCAATGTCAAGGATAAGCAATGTAAAATCGGTAAAGATGATCACATTCCAATTCCGCGCCGAACACAAGCCGGGATGGACTGAAGAGCAAGTGAAAAAATGGGAAATGAGTCTGGTTGATATTTTCGAAAAGTAGCACAAAAAAAACGGAATTCAAATCAATCAATGTTCAATTTCTAGACGCTACAACTCAAAACGCCTCAAAATTTACGCCTACTCGCAATCGTATGTGGAAGAGGAGATGGTCCGTGGTGGAATAATCATGCTCCCTTATTTGGTGGTTGGTTTCACTATCATGTGCGTTTGCAGTTGCATTCTGGTGATGACAAGAGCCTTGTACATGCATCAAGAGAATTTCTATAAGGTATAACTTATAAATATGTATAATAAGAGTCTAGCCCGAAAATTCTGCAGATAATCCTTGCCATAATGGCGTGTCTCACGCCGCTGCTCGCTTGCGCCACCGCATTGGCGCTAATGTTTCTGTGCGGCGTCCGATTCGCCTCGATTCTTTGCGTCATCCCATTCCTCGTCCTTTCGATTGGTAAACCAATTTTTTTCAAATTCTCGAAAATTGCTTTTTCTAGGTGTTGACTCATCTTACTTGATGATCCATGAATGGCAACGAGTCACGAAGCATATGCGAGAGACGCCGAGAAAAAAGGACAGCGTTGGCCATCGAATGAGCGAGGTTTGCAATTGGCCCCCCCCCCAAAAAAATCATGGACCATCAAAAATTCAATAATTTTGTTCAAGGTGATGGCCGAAGTCGGCCCGGCGATTCTCATTTCGTGTCTGACGAACATGTTCGCCGATTTTGTCGGCTCGTTCACCTCGTCGCCGGAAATTACGCTCCTCTGCACGGGCAACATGCTCTCCATGTGGTTCGCTTTCATTTATCAGGTGTTTACAATTAGCGCCAATTGTCGATAATTGGTTAATTGGTTTCAGATGACATTCTACGCCGGTTTGATGACAATCGTCGGCGGCTATGAGTTCAAGCATGATGAGATCGACAAGAATCGAATGGAAATCAATATCGCTGAGAATCGCGTCAACATTGCGCGACACCATCGACCATTGACGGTAATTTGATTGGCGGCAAAATTAGAAGATTGCGTAAATTTCAGCGCCAACCGTCGAAATTCCATGAGGCGACGAAGCCAATTATCAGCGAGAGCCTTCAGAAGTACACCCATCTCATGACAACGCCAATCGTTTTTGTATCAATATTTTTGATCTACCTCACTTATTTGGGATTAAGCATTTATGTAAAATAATTTATAAGCGAGTTAATGTTTAAAATTACGATTTGAATTCAGGGAATCACTAAGCTTAATATCAACCTGACTGCTCAGAAGCTGTTCGCGTTGGATTCTCCACTTCTCGAGGTTTCGTTTATTTTCAGTTTTGAGAATTGTTGTTTAACTAATTGACACCATAAAGAAGGGGGGGGGTCGTCGAACAGGTTTTGATCTTCTCGTTATTCGCTTAACACGGAACCCACGCGCGATTTTCAGCTTGACGACCTTCGCATCAAATACCAGGTTCCTCATTATTCAATGGCGACCGTCTTCGTGAACAATCCCGGCAATCTTGAAGATCCGAAGCGTCTTCAACGACTCAATCAGTATTGACTCATGAGATCCGTTTTGAAAAAATCGGCGAAACAAAACTTTCAGATTTGTGCGCGACATGGAAGCGGCGAACGGCACTTGGGGCGAATCATGGGGCGAAGTCGGAACCAAATATTTTGTGCGAGATTACGATGTATTCCAACAATGTAATAGAAATCAGATGGTATTCATTTGATCTACCCGTTGATTTACAGCATTTGGAAGTGAGGACGATGAGGAAGAGGAATTTGACCCGAATTCGGTAGACAAGCCAGTTTCAGTGCACTCGGTAGGAAGGGATCGAGGCATTTCGCATGGAATGTCTTTTGGGTGTTTACACTCTGACGCAAACTTGCACACATTTCAAATTTGCGCAATACATTTTAGATTCTGATTATTATCGGCTTCCCCTTATTTCGATGCGAAATTTCTATACGCATTTGAATTACGAGGTCTTGTAGCGAAAAATTCTGTTAGTCATTTTTTTGAGGGGGCGTGGGCAAATATAGTCCATCGCAAGAAACAAACATCCTGGGTGTTTGCGGACCATCGAATGTAGTTTTTTTTGGTTCGCTCGCAAATTCAAATTCCGGTTTTAACATTCGTATGAACCTGAGAATCAATATTTTTAATTGTCCGCGAAATTTCAAAATTTTCCAAACATATTCATCAATTTCAGGACGATCAATTGATCTATCGTGAAGACGAGCTGAAATACTTCCTTAAATGGCCGGAATACGATTTTTGGCAAGGATTTGTGAAGTTGAGAAACGTGACGAACTCAACGGATCCCGAGTAATTCAATTTCGAATTTCAATTTTTTTTTCGAAATATTTTTGTCAAACGTTTTTTTTTCAGAGCGGAAGAACTCGACCGCTTCTTTTTCACCACCGGATATCACGGCGAGAATTTGACGATTTGGACGCAACGCGGTGAAATGCTGAAATCTTGGCGAAGAGTCGTCGACAAATATTCGTGAGTGTCAAAGTTAGACCCAAAATCCAAGAAAATTCAATTTTTAGCGATTTCGATGCTTCGGTGTTCCACGAAGACGGCGTCTATCTTGATTTGATCGATAACATGCCAACGGACACGTGGCAATCAGTTCTCGGAACGCTCGTCTGCATGGCGTTTGTGTGTTTTGTGTTCTTGAACAACATGTTCACCGTCGCCATCGCCTCACTATCGGTGTTGTCGATTTGTGCAGGTATTTTCGATTCTCATCAACCCGATGAGCAATATTTTCGATTCGTCCCAGGAATCCTTGGAATTTTGTCATGGTGGAATGTGGATCTCGATCCGATCACAATGGCGGCCATGATCATCTCAATCGGATTCTCTGTCGATATTCCAGCACACGTCTCATATCATTACTATCAAGCATGTAAGAGATGGACGGCTGCCAATTTCTGATAATAAAAATTTTCCTTGTAGCGATTCAAGAGGGACCAATGTCGCCGCCATCGTCGCGTCTCGCCAATTGCCTCTCATCGGTGGCGTTTCCGGCGTTGCAGGTTTGTTTCTCTTCAGCATTAAAAAGAAACTATCGAGAAATTCCATTTTCAGGCGGCACTTTCGACAATTCTTTGTGTTTGTAGTTTGTTGTTCGTCAAAATCTACATGGCTGAGGTGAAATTCTCAAAATTTGCAAAAATTTTCCTGTTCGATTGCATTGTGTTATTTTTTGTTGTTGTTGCAGGTTTTCGTTAAAACCATGGTGCTTTGCGTCGTTTTGTGCAATTTGCATGGTCTCGTCTTTTTGCCGGCGATCCTGATCCTGTTGGATTCAATTCGATGGGCGTTTAGGCCGAAAGGAGCTGCGGCTCAACGGCCGAAGCCGAAGACGAATTCAAGGCAGAAGCATAAAAACTCAAAAGTGAGGCAATTTGGAGAAAATCTTTTTTTTTAAGAAATAATTTTGAGGTGCAACCTGAGAAGAGCTCTGTCACAGATCGTCCGGAAGTTTAAGTTTGCCACAACATTTTTTTTTCATTATTTTTTTTTTCGAAAATATCTGTATTTATTAGATTGCCACATGACACGATTAATTGTTTCTTGCCACTTTTCAGAACTTTCTTGAATTGAAAAAAATTGATATTCTAAATACCAATTCGGGTAGTAAATAATTATAATTAGTATTTGTCCTCCTTTTCCCACCCCCCCCTCTCCCCTCCCCCATTCGCCAATTTTCAGGGTATTTTTTTAAAATAGGATTTCTTTTTTTATTCTAAAGCCATTTTTACGATTTTTTTTCGAAATTGTACATACATGATTGATATAAATGCTTAATTAAAAGATATTGGATTTGGATTGAATTGCCATTTGGATAACGCGAGGGCCGAGTGTACAATATATGTGTGTTATTAAAAAAAAGCAAAAATTGAATGAAAATTATATAATTGAATACTGTAGTTTCGTATTTGTGCAGGCATTTTATTAGACGACGGTTACACACTGCGATTTAAAAATGTTTGTAAATTATTTTTTCTTTTTGATTTTGAAAAATACAGTCCTCTGAGTAATCAAAATACATATTATAACTGTTTAATTAATTGTGCAATTCAGAGAAAATTAGAAAACCAAAAAGATACAAATTTTCAAAGTAAAAAATTTTTTCGACGTTGAAGTTTCGTTTATTTTTTCTTTTCAATTTTGTTCGCATTGTCCCTGCATACTTTCTAATACCAATAATACATAAATTCTAATACCAATAATTAATGAAACCTCGATACAACGACGCTCCACTTGCCCTCGATTTATTGTAAAATTAGAACGCCGTTTTAAATTTGAATTTATTCTTTTTAATTTTTTTCCTGAAAACTCTTGTGAAACTGCTCCAATCGCGTTTAATATGTTTTTAAAAAAATGAAACATTTTTTGCACGAAAGAATTTTACAATTTATTGTGAAATAAAACTCTTATTCAATTTTTCAGAAATGGCGGAGGTAAATGCAGAGAAAGATGAGTTAATGCAGGAACAACACATGAATATTGATCATTGGATGGATGAGCAGCCTGTCGAGGAAGTTGTAATAGGACAGGTTTAGTATTATAAAATAAAAATAGAGAATTTTTGTTTTTATTTTCAGGATGGCACCGATGAATATGTCTTAGGAGATCACGGTGAACATATGCTCGATGAAAATTTGGGAATGGAATATGATGGTTGGATTTAATCAATTAATTCCATTTTACACGAATTTTCCAATTTTCAGACGGCTATCCGTCGCTTCTTCCGATCCGCGATGGAATTCCAGTTCTATCGCTGAATCTCCCGGATTTATTAAGCAAAACGATAACATTCACAACTGGAATGAAGATGACGCTCTGTTTTAACAAAAGATGTCAGCGGCAGGTCACTTTCAACGGATATCTCTACACCATTGATGGCTATGTTGGTTGAATTTGTGTTTTTCGCCTTGAAATTTCGTCTTCAGGTTCACGAAACATCTTGGAATCTGTGGAAATGTGTGAATCCGATGTGTCCGGGTGCTGTAAGAACCACTGGCAACTGGCAAGAGCTTCGTGTTCACAGCGAACATGATCCTCAATGCCTTCCAGACAGTACTCAGGTTGGAGAAACTGCAATTTCAAAAATAAATTTTCGGATTTGTTGTAGATTCGTCTACGAATTTCAATTTACGACCTTCGCCTGATGGCAGAATTCACCGAATTGCCGCTAGAGGAATTATATCAAGGATGCGGTATGTGTATTTGGTTTTTTTTGCATTTGGACATGAAAAATTCCAGGAAATCGATTGAAATCGGAAGATCCCCAAGTTGCGGCGATTTTTCCGAGCTTCGAAGCGATAAAGCTGACATTAGAAGATCATCGATATAATAAAGTTGGTTTCCGGAAATCCCCCTTTGTCGAATTTTGCGTGCTTCTAGATTTACCGAAAACGATTCGAAATGCAAACATTGAAAGATAAGCAAAAGAAGCTGCACATGACGCCGGATGAGGTTGTTTATGCTGAAAGTACGGCTGGAATGATCAAATTCCGACGCACGAAGCCGTTTCCACCGGTAAGACACGTCAAATCTAATCACTATGATCAAATTGAGTTGGGTCTCGTGTGGAATTTAAAAAAAAACAAATTGATATTTGCAAGAATGTCTGCATATATCGAAACTATGTATCAATCTCAGCAAGTATCTATTAGTGGGTCTCGTATGGAATAAAAATCTTCGATTTTTTTCCCAAAAAAATGATTTAACGGCGCAGGAGGGGTCCAAATTAAAAATTGGCAATTTCTTCCCCTCGGCCATCAATATATTCTCAAGAAATTTTTGGAAAAAACAAGATTTCGAAAAATCTTCGAGCCTTTTTTCCCCGAAATCGTTTTGTCTTTTCCCACAACGAAATCTCTCCAAAAATTTTTTTTCGATAAATTTGGATTTTATTGTTTATTTTTTCAGTCGATTTGCTATCTTTGCGGCGAGGCGATGCAAAGCAATTCTCTGCCGTCGCAAGACCAACTAATCGGCCATTTATTGTTCAGCCACGGCAAACAGCTGATAATTGAGCGATTCGTATTCAAAGAAGTCAATCTATTCGAGGTACTTGGGCCGTTATTTTTTTTCTCGACATTTTCTTTCGGTGTTTTTTTTTTTTTCTAGCAATATATGAGAGAGCTCAATGTCTATAGTCGCCATCGTATGAAACGAATGGGCCTCGCCGATGAGAACATGTACTTCTTGTGCTCGTGCGATGATCGGCTCGGCAAAACGGGAAACGGTCGAGCGGGCAAAAATCAGGACCAGAATACGCATTGTACCGCGTTTATTCGCGTTTTTGACTGGAGGGTATCGAATTTTCTCGAAAAAAAGCTAAGTTTCATTTTTTTTCCAGCTAATCGTGAAACGAGAAACCGAGAAAGTCGTTGTGGATTACTGTCTGGAGCATCCATGCCATGACGCCTTATATGGAGGTATAACCACAATTTTTGTGTGCTCGCCGCGGTGGTCCCTAGAAAAAATCGAGATTCTTCCAGATCCGCTCGATCAATCAAAAGCCGAAGATTGCCTGGAATTCTTCACGCCTGAAGCGTTTGTTCGAGAATCCGAGGATCGCAAACTTCGAACTCAGAAGTTTCTTGATGAGACGAGTCTTCAACGATTAAAAAGACCAATTGAATGTAAATATTGTGGTTTCAAAGATGTTGAATTAAAACTCTATATGGATTACAGTACGATCTGTGAATCCGACGACGAGATTGAAGTCGTCGTTCGGGTCGAGATCCATGGCTCCGCCCATTGCTGCGCAGATTGCTGGTGGCAACACACAGCCATATGTCGACTCGTTTTATTCAAATGGTCCGTCTTTTTTTATATCATTAGTGCGTTTATTCGTTTTTTTTTTCAGAAGATCCTAATATAGAAGCTAGGAAGAAGTACCGAACGTCGATTCGAGAAATCATTGTGGGAAATAAGGTATGGATTATGAATAAAACGTGACTTCAAACCAATTTTTTTTTCAATTAGAAAAATGAGGATTCTGATGATTCTTCTCAGCCGACTCCGTCTACTGTACGCAATGAATCGACTCCGCCATTAAGCATGAGCCCAACGAAGCAGCCACCTCCGCCAGCTCCGCAATCGCGACTACCTTTGACGAATACGGCCAAGGATCGAGAACGAGTGACGATTCGGACGAATTTCAAAGAAATCTACACGTTCAACGCGGTCACGAAAATCGAAGACGCTTGTATTGTAGGAATTCGTTTCATTCTCGCTCTCTCATTTCGATTTTTCAGCGAATTGTGCAACGCCTTCAAAATTGCCGATCAAATCGGGTTGCACTTGGCTACAAGGACAAAATCAAAAGCATATTGAACAAGGCTCTATCGGATCCGGCGTTGGCCGACGATGCGCCGATCGGTGATCATGAGAACTCGTGGGTTCTGGCGAAGAATGTCCGCGGACGGCCGAGGGTTTGAGTGGCTCATTTATTTTCACCCAATTGTCTCATTGATTGTGATCTTCAGAAAATCGCCCAATCTGATGACGACGATGATGATGATGATGGCGTCAAAGATGGCGACGAGCAATTGGAATTGGAGGAGGACGATGCGGGAACATCGGTCGATTATCTCATGCCTGAGCAGAATATACCGCAAGTCGCTGAAGAGCTTGTCGTCAAATCGGAAATGCTTGTAGAAGATAGGTAATGCCCATTTTTTTCTTAATGACAACAAATTTTGTTTTTTTTTTTCAAGGGTTTCTAACATTAATTTGAAACAATTGATTTTTTGGGGTTTGTTAAAACAAAAATTGAACATTACGAGTTTAAAGGCGCATATCTAATTTTTTTTGGTGAGAATAAAAGCATATTGTAAAGCGAAATGATTGGCATTGCTTAGTGGTTAGTCATCGCAATCAATTTGTTCTCATTTCAGAGGCGAATTCCATCATGAAGCGAAAACGAGATCGAGAAAACGCGCGGCGTCGGAAGCGGCTGGAAACCAGAAAGTAGGCATTTTCGTTTAAGCACTCCATCGATTTGATGTCATCGAATTTCAGAGGAAACGCGAAACGTCGGACGTCGAGCCGACTCAATTTGTCGGCGAATCGAGAAGCGGTCGAGTTCGCAAATTGCCGGCGAAATTTATCGAATAGAGAGATGAAGTTCGTTCGCTTCAAGACCCGCTAGAATTTAAGTTGGCAATTGAGCAGCTGTGGTCTTGAAGCGAACAATTTTTGATTTACTTTTTTTTTCAAAATATGTATATGACGAAAAACACGTTTGCCTCGCAAATTCGCGCATTCTCTCTCTCTCTCTCTCATTCGTTGCCTTATTCCCGTTTTTCTCGAAACCCCGCCAACCTCCATGCCGTCGGCCGCCGAACCGGTTGCGACGGCGATTTTGTGTGTATTCGTCGACGTTGTACGGTATTTCGCGCAAGTGTCGCGCCGTCTGCGCGTCTCCTCCCGCCGCCCGGCCCGGCGAGATGTATGTGGAACATGGACGATACAAAAGTTTTGTTTTGTCATTGATTTTGTCGCCTCTTCATCGAAGGTCGACGGCATCGACGGTTTCGCGATGATCTCGGCGAGCGGCGTGTTCCGTAATTGTTGCGTCACACGAGTTGCCCAATGAGCCAATGAGAATTGTTTGAGAAAAAAACCACATTTTAATCTAGCCCCCCATCTCAATTCTGAACATTCTTTGCTTTGATTTTGTCTGTACATTATTATCAATTATCATACATAAGTCATCTGCTTCTCGGTCTCGTGATTTCTCTGTCAACACCTTGACGAGATATTACGGATTTCATTTAACTCTCACCTCGCCCATTTCTTTTCGAAACAATAAAATAAAAGTATTTGCGAAGCAAAATATTTTGTGTTGATTTTCAGTTAGTGTTATGGACACACCCGGTGGTTTCACCGGCAACGAAGCCCAACCGACCGTTGTGCTTCGTTACGGCCGAATTCGCGAAACTGTGGGTCTCATACGGAATGAGCAGGTATGAACGGCTCGATTTCATAGTGACGAGAAAAAAAAAACAAAAGAATAATCGCCAACAACAATCGTTCACCATCTCGCCACACTTTTCAGATGCTCGATTTTTTGTTCGACGTCGCACGTCAAATTGTCGAGAAACGCGAGAGTCTCGATGGGCGGCAAATGTATTTGTTTCGACACGACTACAACTCGCCGACACTCCTTCATCCGATATCATCGCCGACGCAGATTGTGAGTACGCAACGGCGCGTTAAATGAGTGACATCGAAAATTTGCATGAAATTCCCCCGAAAAAATTGGGGGAAATTTTTTTCGTGCCAAGATATTGTTGGCCAAAATCGGCATGAGCCTTTAAATCTACAGTATCTCGCAATTTTTATTCCTGCTGATATATCCAATCAAAAAGCTTGCGTTTTAAGCATCATTTTTTGGAATTTGAAAATGAATTTTCTGATTATATAGCGACAATTTTCAGAATCATGGAAGTATTATCGAAATTATTACAGTTGATCGTTGTGAACCGGCAGCGGCACCACATTCGGTTGAGGTAAAAATTTTGGATTTTCTTCTTCTTTTCTAAACACTTCTCCATTTCAGCCTGAAACCTATATGAGGCCGACATTCTGCGATTATTGCGGGGAGATGCTGACAGGTTTTATACGACAAGGGGTCAAGTGCAAACAATGCGGGTTCGTTTTATTGTTTTAATTTGAGAATTTCCGATTTTGTTCCGAAATCACGTCAAAATTCATTTTTATGAAAATTCCCATGCAAATCGTAGTTCATCGCTCAAAGGTTTTGGTTTATGCAAATATGTGACGTAGGGCGAACGATCATTGCTATTGTAATATTTTTTTTGGGAAAAAAAGAATTCTATTTATTAGCATCGCAAAAAAAATACGAGCGCCTTGAATAATTTTTCCGAGGCGGCAATTCAAATTTGAATTTGGATAACCTGCGAGAATCAAATAAATGAGCAATTCAGGAAAAAAGAAAAATGACAATTTTCCATTTTTGCTGTTTTTTTTTGCGTTGCACTCTAAAAATTTTTCAATTGTGATTTGAGAAAAAAACTGTAATTGGCTACACCAATTCATCTTAGACGCATAAACTACACGGAAAAATCACAAAGGACGTAAACATTTGCGGATGACGTAGGAAAACAATTAGATAAGTGCCATGGACATTTGGTTTGAGTGCCTCATATAAATGATGACTTGGGGGAAGGGGGGGATATGAGGAAATGTCAAAAAAAAAAAGAAAAATGTAGTTTATTTTTTCAAACCACATATAGCCGGCGTCCGATGACTGATGTACGCGGGTAGATTTTCGAGTGCGCCTCTCAAAATGGTATCGCTAACTGATTGTTTTTTGATTTTTGTGATCATTTTGTTAATTTTTGATTTCAATTATATTAAGAATTCAAGGAAATCATGTATTCATCAAGAAAAATTGAATAATCTTCGTGAAAATAAAACAAAAACAGATCTTCACGTGTGGCGAGATCATTTCCCTCGTAAATCTACATCAGAGGGCCCGACGCCGACTAAAAATAGTTTCAAAAAAATACCATTAAATTGCACCTTCAGAGGCAACTATCATAAGCGGTGCAGCAATGCGGCGAGGAATAATTGTCCAGTCGTTGCGTCGTCGTCAACATCACGTCCACCAGTCGTGCCGCCGTCTCCACAATCACCGACTTTTCCAGTTGCAGCGCTTTCAACGCCATCCGGTACCGCCCAACCTCTACAAATTGTTTATTATTGAACCAAAATGTTTTTTTTTTTAAGGGCTTCCACACACTTTAATCGAACATAATTATCGACAATTCACGGTTTGCAAAGTTTGCGATCATTTGTTAGTTGGTCTAGTCAAACAAGGCCTTAAATGTCGAGATTGTGGGGTAAGAATTTCATGAAAATTTGGTTCGCACAAAATTTTCTCTCTTTCTTTTTTTTTTAGGTAAATGTACATCGAAAATGTGCCATTGAATTGGAATCAAATTGCGTTTTAGCAGATAATGCAATATCTAGAGTGAATATGAGCGACACTGAACAAATGGAAGGAAGCAGTACAGATAATATTCCGCTGTTCAGATTGCCAGGTAGAAAATTTGAAAATTCGAGTAAAATTAGAAAACATTTTTAAAATGCGACTGCCGTAGCCGTTTAAATCCGAGTATTCAAATTCGCGCGCACAGAATCGGATGCGTTGCGAATGCGTCGCGGTTGGCGTTGGTTTTAAATAAAAGTCGTAGAAATTGAAATATTGTTGAGAAATGACTAATATATCCAGGTGTCGTGGGATCCCGCGTTTTGTACGCAATGCGATGAGCCAGTTACCGTAATCCTCGCAGCGATTTACGGAGGATTTTTTTGAATTTCCTATTTTCATTTTTTTTCATTTTTCACCCAATTTTCGTATTTTCCTTTGAAATTTTGTTACTTAAAATCTGTAGAACTCGAATTTAATTATTTATTTAGCAGAATATTAAATCGGTTTTTACAGATTTTTTACAAAAAAAAATTCGAAAGAAAATACAAAAAAAATGAAAATAGGAAATTTAAAAAAAAAGCTCCTCCAAATCGCTGCGAACAATAATTAGTATGAAGTTTTTTGTGTGTGTGTTTAATATTTTGAATATTTTTAGAATTTCTTTAATATTTTACTGAGATTGATAATATGAATGACAAAAAATACACGGGCCTGCTGAAACGAGCCTGAAAAAGACGATTTCTTATGAAACTTACGATAATTTTCGCAGAACGAATTTTTTTCGCATTTTTCAACAAAAGAAAATCTCGAAATTTGCAGGTCAAGTGCGTGCCAGCGAAAAGAAGCATCTCGAAGGATGGATGATGCATTTCGTCTTAACAGATCCCGAGCGCCGTCTCAAACATTATTGGATGCTCGTGAACAACGCGATTCATATGTACAATGAGTATAACGAGGGAATCGGCGTCAATCCGAATCGCGTCTACAAAATTATTCCACTAGCCGAGATTGTCTCAGTCGTCACCAACAATGGAAAATCGGTGTTGGCCAAGTATGTATCTGATTTCTGGTTTCATTTCATTTCTCGTGGATGCGTGACCAATTTCAGACATCCGCCGCATTGTTTCGAGATCCGAACGACGAACCAAATTGTGTATTGCGTTGGCGAGGACTATCACGCGTTTTCCGGTGGTCCGCCGAAAAAAATTCCGAGGAGTATGAGCGCGAGGCCAATGTCAAACACGAATATGTGGTTTCAAGTAAAAATTCCACATTTTCAAGCTGAACTCATTTTTTTTGCTTTTGCAGTTCATCAAGGAATCGTTGCAACCGCCGTCGCGAACCGAAGATAATACGGAACAGGCGCTGGAATTTGCGAATTTGTATCAAGTTTTGAGCGATAAAACATTAGGAAGCGGTCAATTCGGAACCGTCTATTCGGCGATTCAAAGGCATTCGGGGAAAGAAGTCGCCGTTAAAGTGCGAGACGCGTTTTTTAATTTCAAAATTAGAAACCTCGTTCCGATTTCAGGTGATCTCAAAAGAGCGCTTCTCGAAAAAAGGCAGCGGCGCTGAGTCGATGAGAGCCGAGGTGGCGATTCTTCAACAAACGTGCCATCCGGGAATTGTGCGTCTCGAGTTCATGTGCGAGACGAAAGACAAAATATTCGTTGTGATGGAGAAGATGAACGGCGATATGCTCGAAATGATATTGTCGCAAGAATTGGGACGACTCAATTCGAGAGAGACGAAATTCTTGCTGGTTCAGATTTTGTCGGCATTGAAATACCTTCATGATCAGGTTTGTGAGCGAGGCGAGAAATTCGAAAAAAAAAACATCATCGAATTTTTGCAGGGAATCGCCCATTGCGATTTGAAGCCGGAGAACGTGCTCCTTTCGGACATGCATTCGAATTTTCCGCAAACGAAAATCTGCGATTTCGGCTACGCGCGCTTCATTCCCGAATCGCAGTTTCGCAAGACCGTTGTCGGCACGCCGGCCTACCTACCGCCGGAGGTCTTACAACGAAAAGGCTACAACAAATCGTTGGATATGTGGTCGGTTGGTGTCATCATCTATGTGACGCTTTCGGGAACATTTCCGTTCAATGAAGGCGAAGAGGTCGCCGAGCAGATTCAGAATGCCTCGTTCATGTTTCCAAATGATCCATGGTCGGAAGTCGATCCGTTGGCGATTGATTTGATTCAGCAGCTTCTGAAAGTTGAAGTACGATTTGGGGCGCTCATTGAATAGAGTTAAGCTCAATTTTTACAGATTGAAGCTCGGATATCCATCGAGAAATGTCTTGATCATGAATGGCTCAAAGGAGAGCAATTGTACAGAGATTTAAGGGACCTTGAAATTCGGCTAGGCGGACCAAGGTATATCAAATCGGATGGTGTTTTTATGCAAATCTATCAAAATTTCGGTCGGAAATACAGAATAAAACGTTTTGACGTATAGTTATTTTTTCCGAACGACGAAAATGTTGCTACCACAATCGATTGTTGTCGCGAGACCCATTTCATTTTCTGCAATATGTCTTTAATCGAATTATTCCATTTATATGAGAAAATAAAACTCGGCATTGGTTTTCAAGACAATTTGCTAATTTCGAAACTAACGGAATATATGTTGTGTGTGTGCTGAGTCTCGATTCTGGTAGCCGCCTTTTTTTTTAAATCTGTAACATACTGGATTTGTTTGTGTTGAACCGTTTAAAGATTGTTTCCATTTTAGCTGATTTAATTTCGACCGCAAAAAAAAATGAAAATGATTTTATTTTTCAAAAATTTGCACGGTTTTACACGAAGTTTTGAGTACCCAAAATTACAGTTCACATTAAAGGCGCAAACGAAAATTGGTACATCGCTCCAAATATATATAATAAATATTGGGAATATCTTTTTTTATTTTCCGACTTTTTAATGGTATACAAAATCTAGCACTCCTTTTTAGGTACCTAACCAGCGAACAAGACGACGTACTGTATGGTCGATGAAACTCCAGCACAATCTCGCCTAATTTATTATTTATTCCTGTTTTTTCAAACTATTGTTCAGTTGTCCAACTATATTGTGATCTGTGTTTTTGTCTCTCAAAAATTCTTAGACAATGATCGTCATTCCCTCATTCATTCATTTTTGAATTATTTTTCGCCGTTCTACTTTCGATTTCGTGCACTGCTGAATGCGTATAAATATCGCATTGGAAGAAAAAAAAAATTGAAAAACCACAAATGAAAGCCATATTGGGCGTATGGCTTCTACTCGCCGCTTCGATTGTTGCGGTTTTCCTCGCGATTTTCTCGATTTTTGACGATATTGCTCAATTTTCCGAGCGGGCGAGACTCGATTTGCAGCATTTTGAAGTGAGTTTTTTTGCACAATCTTTTGATTTTCTTGTCAATATTCGAATTTTCAGAAATATTCGAATGAAGCTTGGAAGCTGCTTGCGAATCGTACACGCGCCAAGCGAGCTGTCTACCGTATCCGTCTGCCGAAGTACGCGCCAGTCCCACAATACTACAGCCATCAACCGGTTGGCTATCTGGTTCCAGAGGTCGCCGGGGCGCCTGTCGAGTGTCCTCGTGGAGCTCCAGGCCGACAGGGCCATCCGGGCTCCGACGGACTTGATGGTGACAATGGGCTGCCGGGAAGTCCGGGAGCACCGGGCGTCAGCCTCGTGGTCCGTCTCCCTAACAACGGCTGCATAAGGTGTCCAATGGGTCCGATTGGTGTGCCGGGACCCGAGGGACCTTCGGGATACCCCGGCGATGACGGGCTTCCGGGACAGAGCGGCCGACGGGGACTTGATGGTCCGCCGGGTCCAACAGGACCAGCGGGAGATGTGGGAACCTCTGGCGAACAGGGAGCCACCGGACCTCCCGGCCATCCAGGACGAGACGGAACTCGCTATTCAAACGCACAGGGTCTCAAGGGTAGTCCAGGGCATCCGGGACCAGCTGGACGTCCAGGAGAGGATGGCGGGTATGCTAGCGCAGGAGAACCTGGACCACCAGGTCCGCAAGGAAAACCTGGAAACAAAGGACATCCGGGAATGGATGGACGACCAGGAAGAGTAAGTCCTTAATGAGTGTGAAGAACAAATTTCAAAAGCACACTTTTCAGCCTGGAGGTCCTGGCGAACCCGGAAAAGACGATGGCTACTGTCCGTGTCCAGAACGGGAAAAAGTGTCCAGCAAGCACACCCCGTACAGACGGCGCAAAATTCGCGTCAATTAAATGAATGTGATTTATGGAACAAAAGAAGAAAATAAAAATTATAATCGATAATGTGTTAGTCGGTCGGCAATCATTTTTGTAATTCGTCAAGAAATTATGTCGATAAAATAATATGCAGTAATTATACAGATTCTTATGCAATAATCTTTTGTGGCGCTGCTCAATTCCGATTGAACAATCCGAGCGTTCCGATGCGCTTCTTCATTGTTCCGTGTGCGGTGTGAGGCGGGCTCGCTTTGCTGCCGGCGCTGCTCACCGAATTCTCGTTGTACATCGCCAGCGAGGTTTGCGAGCTGGTTAGATTGCCATTGCGCAGCTCGTGAATCTAAAATCCTCTTATTAAAACACATTTTTAAAAATATTTAAATAATTACATATTACTGAATCTGGAAATTTTGAATTTCGCGGTAAAATTCGATAATCAATTTTTGGCGCAATTTTTAAAAATTTCACCAAAAGCTAACCATGCAGGCTTCGAAAAAAAATTTCAAATTTTTTGATACGTCTCTTAATATTCGAATTTTCGTTTTGGGACTTGTATGGAAGAAAAACATTTCTTTTTGATTTCCAATAACATTGGTGGTTTAAAAATCAAAATATATATTTTTTTCTTTGCGGGACCATTTGTGCAAAACTCATTACCTCTTGCCGCAATCGTGCAATATCAGCCTTCTTCGCCTCAATTATTCTCAGATTCTCCTTTTCTTGCTCTTCTAAATTCTTCGCTCTCTCTTCATTCCGCGCTTTTCGCGACGACGTTTTCTCATTAAAAACCTTAAAAATCGAGCATTTGATTAAAAACGTATGTCTCAAACGGAAATTCCTACTCGCTCAAGTGTCGCTCGCTTCTCGACGAGCTCACGATCCTTCTGTCTTCGCTCTTCCTCAAGATGTGTGAACGGATCACGATTCTTCTCATTCTTCGGCAATCCGTCCATTTGGCGGAATCGGAAATTCTCGTAGTGCACATTTCGGGTAACATCGATCATATCGATGAGATTCGTGCGAATAATCATGTCGCGAAGTGTCAAAAAATCGTTATGGTCCATATTTTCAACCTCAACCGTTCCCCAAGGGTACTCTCGGTAGCGAATCTTTTTGCCATCTTTTTCGCGCAATGAGTTCGAGCCAACAACCGCAAATGGAAGAGCTTTGCGTAATTTTTCAGCAACTGTCTGAAAATGCTTTTTTTTTCATTCAAAATTTCAAAAACAAAAAAAATTTGTAGAACCTTATCAGCAGCATCCTCAATTTCCGGAAACTTGTACAATTTAATTTCCGCGTGTTCTGCATCTTTCATGATTTGCTCCTTGAATCGTTTAAGCTCTTCTCTCGTCAGACAATCGGCTTTTGCGATCACCGGAACTATATTAACCCTTCCGTGTAATTGGCGCATCAGCTCAATATCGAGTGGCTTCAATCTTAAAAGAAACATCTGGTCAACTCAATTCGCATAATTAATTCTTGTTACCCGTGACCCGAAGGCTCGATAAAATAAAGGCAAAGATGTACACATTTATCGACGAGCTTCTCATCGCGATCGATTCGCGTCTCCTCGCAAAAGTGTTCGAAGAACTTGCTCTCCACATAATTCACGATGGGCTCCCAGCTGGAAAACATGTCTATTCGAAACACCGCTCATCAATCACCACTCACCATTTCGCGTTGTTCACCGCGTCGCCAAATCCGGGTGTATCGACAAGTGTGAGATTCAGCGAAACACTGTTCTCCACCAATTTCACCAGCTTTTCCTCGATTCTTACTGTTGAGCCGTGAACTGGCGCCGGCTCGTCGTTTAGATTATTGATCTCAGCGAGGAACAATGTGTTGATGAATGTGGATTTTCCGAGGCCGCTACGTCCTTCAAATCAGGCCATTAAAATTTTTTTTCCTCAAATCCGGTTTAAAAAAACTTACCAACAACCATGAGCGTGAAATTGAATCCATTCTTAACCGCTCTTCGAAAAACCTGATTGGGAAAATTGGCGAAGCCCCAATAATTGCCGGCCTCTTTCTGATTGGTAAGCCGCGATTCGTCTAATTTTGATCGATTCATTCGTCTGCAAATTTTGTTTTAAAATCAATAGGAAATAAGAAATGGAAGAGGCACGACGCGAGAAATTGAATTTGCATTGGAGGAGGATGTGCGAATTCGTAAAACGCTATTTAGTTGGCAAAAGAGGTTCGAACGCCAACAACGCGCAAGAAAAATTGTCGCGCGGTCAACGAAATGACAGCTGTGGCGGCGACGGCCGTACGACCGACGGGGCTCCGTCGTTGCCGTTGTTGACCATTAAATTCGCGTTTTCTGATTGATTGGGAGCCAGTGGCATAATGCGCCTTTGAATGGACTCTTATACATCACATTACACATTTGAAGTGCACTTGAGACTATTAATATTAGTTTTATCATTTACGCTAAACCTGGAAAATTTAAATATAAAATTTGAAGTGCTCGGATTCATGTTATTATTTCCATTTGTTTTAGTTTTTAAATCTCTGATAAATGAAAATCAATCGGGATCGAAGAAAATCAAATATAAATTAGCCTGCTTCGATTGAAAAATAATTCAAATTCAATTAAGAAAACGCTTAAATTCGATTTTAAATTTTGGTTTTCAAAAATCATCGAAATCGATTGATTTATTTCTCATTCTCAATTTTGAAATCGTATTCGATTGAAATTTTGGAATAATTCGAAACAGATTAATTTACATTCGATTTAGATTGAAAAAGTAATTATTTTCGAATCCGATTGATTTTACCTGAGATGGTGTTTCATATGGACTTATTCATGAAGTGTTATTTTATAAATTTTTTTTTGAAAATTACAGATAATGCTCATTTTCACCTACTGGCATTGGAAAAAATTGTAATTTTACAATTTTTGAATTGCATGATTAATTCCAATAATATTATTCAAAAAGAAGCAAAAAATTAGTATTGAAAAAAAAAAATGAAATTTGAACGTGGCGGCGAACTGACAACTTTTCGTGGTGCGATATCGCCGGTTAGATAGTGTATGCGCCTTTAACCCGTATTTTCGTTCAAATTCATTTTTTTTTCTTTTTTTTGTAATTTCCTAATGTTTTCACAACGATTTTATTTAAATACCTTTAAACACACTAAATTTTTGTCTTTCATTATTTAATTTTTCAAAATAAAAAAAATCTGTTTTGTTCAATATAAGTATTTTTAGGTTTATGATATTCGCAATGTTTAAATAATTCCTAGTGTACGCTTTCTGAATAATAAAAACTTTAAAAATTGTATTTTCAGATAAAATTTTGTTAGATTCACATCTTAAAGGGTAAAAATGGTAAGTTCAACCGTAATTATTTTATTTAATGTTCGATTATTTTTAGCCACAGAACGAGCATATTGAGTTGCATAGAAAACGACATGGACGTCGTTTGGATTATGAAGAACGCCTGTATGTCAAATTCTTTTTATTTTTTTACACAAAATGTCTTCAATGTTTTAAATTAAAGGCGAAAGAAGCAGGCGAGAGCTGCTCATGATCGTTCTCAGATGGCAAAGAAGCTTCGTGGACACAAAGCGAAGCTTTATCATAAGCAAAGGTATTCCGAGAAGGTTGAAATGCGCAAATTGCTCAAGCAGCATGAAGAAAAGGAGCAGAAAAATACCGTTGAAACGCCAGATCAGGTATTTTAAGAAATTAGTGTCCCCAAAATGATTTATTAATTTTTCTAGGGAGCCGTTCCCGCGTATCTCTTGGACAGACAGCAACAGACTTCTGGAACAGTTCTTTCGAACATGATTAAACAGAAGAGAAAACAAAAAGCGGTAAGAATTATTTTTAGTGCTAATAAATTATTTTCATGAATACAGAGTAAATTCAACGTTCCAATTCCACAAGTTCGCGCTGTCAGTGATGCAGAAGCATTCAAAGTTGTCAAAACAGGAAAAACTAACAGAAAAGGATGGAAAAGAATGGTCACAAAGGTATTTAATAGTTTAAATTTCATTTTTTTTAAATATTTTTAAAGGTTACCTTCGTTGGGGAATCATTTACAAGAAAGCCGGCCAAGTTTGAGCGATTTATTCGACCGATGGGTCTTCGTTTTAAAAAGGTAAATTGCTATTTTTGTAAATTCAAAAATCAAAAAAAAAAGTGTTAATTTCGTGAAATATTTTTGAAAGCATATTCCTGCAATTTAAATTTTGTGTGATAAAATTACACCAAACTTAAAATAGAAATTTGGGAACATTCACATACTTGTTAGTGGCAAATTGCCAATTAATTCTATTCCTTGAATAACTCGAATAATTTAGATTTCCGGGTTTATGAAATTTGGACGGAAATTAAAAAAGAATTGTTCCAATAAATGTTCAGGCACATGTCACACATCCAGAACTTCAAACAACATTCCATTTGCCAATTGTTGGTGTGAAAAAGAATCCATCAAGTCAAATGTACACGTCGCTTGGCGTTATTACGAAAGGAACCATCATCGAAGTGAACGTATCCGAATTGGGAATGGTGACGCAAGGCGGAAAGGTAAGAATCTTCGCAAAACTCTGTTTTTGATACATATTTGATATTCAGGTTGTTTGGGGAAAGTTTGCGCAGGTGACGAACAACCCGGAGAACGACGGCTGCATCAATGCGGTCCTTCTCATTTAATTGTTGTCGACCGTGTTTCTTTTTGTTTGTTTTGTTTTGATTATTGTTAAAGAATGTATATTTTACCTTCATTCAATAAACTCGTTGGTTCCCACCGCAAAACTATATGCAGTTTTTCATACTCATTATTTTTATTGCATTTGTATTGTATATAATGCATATTCTGGTTTTTCGCAATGTTGTGAAATTTTTTTGTCGGCGAATATTTCTTAATCGATTTTCTTACAAATTCTAGTCATAATTAAGGCAATAGGTTTGGATGTTTAATTAAATAGTCCAATCGTGCATTTATTTGCTTTTATCGCGTTTCCCAATCTCCGTCTGTGGCATATTTTTGTGGTGACGTTTCAACGATGCGCACGATCCGACGCGAAACCGCACACAATTATTTTCCGCTGTCGTTTTTACGCGAGCACGTCAATTTTTCGCTGAAACTGCACACTTTTCTCTTTTCAATAAAATTAAAAAAAGAAAAATAAATTTTTATTTTCTAATAATGATATAAAACACATTTTTAGAATGACCCACTGAGTTTGACGAAAACCGACAAAAGCAACGATGGCACGCAAATCAGTGGGAAACATGTTTTTGAAAAGCGGCATCGAGAAAATACTCGCCGATCGCGATATAAAGCGAAAAGAAAATCTACAATTGAAAAAGGCGTGTGAGAGTGCGCTGGGTATGTCATTTTAATATTTTATTATTAAAAAAAATATTAATTTTAGAGGAATTAAAAGCTGGCGAAGAGGAAATTCCATCGAGCGCAACGAACGGCGAAGTCCTGCCCGATGCGTCAAGCAACGTCGAAGCCGATCGATATTTTCTGCCGTTTGAGCTTGCGTGTAACTCGAAAAGCCCGAAAATCGTTATAACCGCGTTGGATTGCCTACAGGTTTGGCGATTTTTTTTTTCGATTTACACATTATTTTTTCTTGCAGAAATTAATTGCGTATGGCCATTTGACTGGTAGAGGCGCCGACATATCGAATCCGGAAAGAAAATTGATTGATAGAATTGTTGAAGCGATATGCGCTGCGTTTGTCGGCCAAGGAACCGATGAAACTGTGTTGTTGCAATTAATAAAGGTAATTTTGGCTGAGATTTTTTTTTCCAAACTATGCCTTGATAAAAATAAAATTTTAATTTATAATTAATTCGACTAAATCTTTGAAAATCAATATCTCAATTACTAGAAGTTTTCTTAAATAAGGTCCTATTTCTATTGATTCTGAAAATTTACTAAAAGAAAAAAATTTAATTTAAGATACACCTTATTTCTAATTACGTTTTTTTCAATCCCATCATAATTTCAGTGATTTTTTCTCAAATTATTAATACAATTCAAGAATTGTCAAATTTTTAGGCGGTGCTCGCCGTTGTTCTCAGCACCCATTGCGAAGTGCACGAGGCGTCGCTTCTGCTCGCCGTTCGAACATGCTTCAACATCTACCTAACGTCGAAGAGTCCAATAAATCAGGCGACCGCAAAAGGCACCCTAACCCAAATGATCAATACCGTATTTGGGAACATGGAAAAGTTTGGGAATATGAAAGACGACAACACAATCGTGAAAGAAGTTGTTGAAATGCTTGTGACGACGACAATCGAAATGGTAATTGTTTTGAGAGGATCTCTCTTTTTTTCTGTTTCGATGTTATTTTTATTTTTCAAAAAATAGTCGGACGAGAAGAGTGAAGGTGGAACAAGGAAAGGAGGCTCGACGATTGCTGAGAGCGAAGCCGTGCAAGATGATCAACAATTGAATTTTGTCAATGTTTATCAGAAGGATGCGTTCCTCGTGTTTCGCGCGTTATGCGTTCTGGCGCAGAAGGAAGAGGGCGACGTGAACGACATACGGTAATAGAAATTTGCGAGTTTTCGCCAAACATTTCCATTTGTTGTTGTTGTAGAAACACGCATCTTCGCTCGAAACTTCTCGCTTTGGAAATGCTTCTTCTCGTTCTTCAGAACTCGTCGGAAGTGCTGCAGAATTCGCAGCCATTCATCATTTTAATCAAAAAATCGCTTTGTGTCGCCCTCTCAAGAAATGCGGTTTCGTCGAATGTTCAGGTATGAAATGAATTCATTCCAGTTGGTTTTATTTTTTGAAATTCCATTTTTTTTAGGTGTTTGAAAAATCGTTGGCGATTTTTGTGGAGCTTCTCGACAAATTCAAAGCGCACTTAAAAATGCAAATCGAGGTTTTCTTCAAGGAGATCATTCTATCGATGCTTGAATCCAATACGTGCCCTTTTGAGCAAAAATGGATTGTGTTGAACACGATTGGTATAATCATTTTCAAAAGAAAAATATCTTCATTTGAATTTTTCAGGCAAAATTCTTGCCAATCCACAATCCGTTGTTGATATGTTTGTAAATTATGATTGTGATATGACGTCGCATAATTTATTCAAAAGTATCGTCGAGGTGGTCTCGAAGACGACGCGAACCGCTATCAATGATAATTCGACGGTTGCCCAGAAGGAGAGGTAATTTTAACGAATTAATCTCGATTTGCAAAAAAAATAATTGAAATTGAAGAGAGCGAGCCATGCGTTTATTGGGATTGAGCTGTTTGACGGACCTTCTTCAATGTCTCGTCGATTGGTTCCAAGTGTGCGACGTCGCGAAATTGAGCTGCGACATGAATATTTCGGATCCGGCCGAACGCGATCACACCGAAGATTTTGTGAAGTTTGAGAATCTCAAACAGAAAAAGGATCTCATGGAGCAGGGAATTATGATGTTCGCGCAGAAGCCGAAGAAAGGTTTGAAGTTCCTCCAAGATCACGGATTCGTTGGAACCGAGCCGGTCGAAATCGCCGAGTTTCTCATGAAGGAAGAGCGATTAGACAAGACGGTGGTTGGCGATTATCTTGGCGATCACGACGAGTAGGAATACATTGCAATTCATTTCTTTCTTTCATTTTTTATTCTTGATAATTTAGGTTCAACAAACAAGTGATGTACGCGTACGTCGACGATCTCGATTTCTCATCGCTCGACATTGTCTCGGCGCTTCGAATGTTTTTGGAGAAGTTCCGATTGCCCGGAGAAGCGCAGAAAATTGATCGGCTGATGGAGAAATTCGCGTCGAGATATTGCGATTGTAATCCGAGGTTGACATTTTCGTCGTGTGTTTTGATATTCTTTTGACCGATCAAATTTTCAGCTTGAGCATTTTCGCGTCGGCCGATACCGCCTATGTGTTGGCCTACTCGATCATTCTACTCACTACCGATTTGCACAGTGCGCAAGTGAAAAACAAGATGACGAAAGAGCAATATATCAATATGAATCGCGGAATCAACAATGGCGGCGATATGCCGTCGGATTTGCTTGCGGCGATTTATGATGATATATCGAAAAATGAGATCAAAATGAAGGCGGGTGCGAGTAAATTGTTGAGATGTAAGCGATTGTGTTCGACATTGAATTGAAATCGAATTTCAGCCACCGGCGCCATTTCGAATTCGGCCAGCGACAAACAGCGTCGCGCGATGGCCACACTTGAGCTGGAGGCGATGAGCGAGACGGCGAGGACGCTGATGGAAAGCGCTTCTGACGCCGACGCGAATTTCACGCAGGCTCAACATCAGCATCATGTTCGGCCGATGTTCAAAGTGAGTTTCGAAGAAATTCGATCAGCGTACAATTGAGTCTCGAGCGTTTGTTTTTCATTCGTTTGGTATTTCAGATATGTTGGACGCCGTGCCTCGCCGCGTTCAGCGTCGGCGTTCAAATGTCCGACGATGAGGAGGAATGGTCGCTTTGCTTGCGCGGATTTCGTCTTGGTGTCCGCGCCGCGTGTGTTCTCAATTCGACACTTGAGCGAAACGCGTTTATACAAGCTCTCGCCCGTTTTACACTATTAACCGCCAAAAATTCGTTGGCTGAAATGAAAGTGAAGAATATTGAGGCCATCAAGCTGCTCTTACTCATTGGTTCGTTGATTTTTAGCCTCACAATCAGATTTTTTGATATTTGCATTTTCTAGGTGATGAGGATGGCGACTATCTTGAAGAGAACTGGCTTGACGTAATGAAGTGCATGAGCTCATTGGAGCTCGTCCAGCTCATCGGAACGGGTTTGAATAGTGTGTCAAGAGATGGCGATAGTAGTAGACAATGTAATCGCTTCGAAATGTAATGTTTTTTCAAAAAATTTGTCATTGTGTTGAAGATGTTCTAAAAAATACGGGTGGTCTCGATGAGCGAACGTTGGCGAATTTGCAAGACGCTCTTGGCGAGACGTCGTCACAATCGGTCGTCGTCGCCGTCGATCGCATATTCAACGGCAGCTCGAAATTGTCGGCCGACGCGATTGTGCATTTTGTGAAGGCGTTGTGCGCGGTGTCTCGCGACGAATTGTCGCAAGCGGCCTCGCCGCGAATGTTCTTGTTGGGCAAAATGGTCGAGGTTTGGAATTTTGATTTGAAAAATTAGAAAGAAAATAGCAAAAATCAAATTGTTCAAGGTGGCCTTCTATAATATGAATCGGATTCGCCTCGAATGGAGCCGAATTTGGAATGTGATCGGCGAGCACTTCAACATGGCCGGTTGTAACGCGAACGAGGCGGTTGCCTACTTCTCGGTTGATGCTCTACGACAGCTGTCGATGAAGTTTCTCGAGAAGGGCGAATTGCCGAATTTTCGATTTCAGAAGGACTTTTTGAGGCCGTTTGAGGTAAGAATTTCTTCTTCTTCTTCTTCCACACCCAACAAATTGCGATTCTAGGTGATAATGGCACGAAATGGGAGTCCTCAAACGCGAGACCTTGTCGTTCGATGTTGCACCCATCTGATTGAGGCGCACTCGGCGCAATTGAAATCGGGATGGCAGAATTTGTTCTCGGTGTGGACGATTGCGGCCGGTTGAGATTTTCGTTTGAAAAACCTGAATTAATCGAATTGTAGGCGATTCTCACATGGATATTGTCGAGACGTCGTTCAACGCGGCGTCGCACGTCATCGAGACGCGATTCAAAGAGGACTTTCCGGCGTTTCTCGACTCGTTCCAAGAAGCGTTGAAATGCCTTCAAGAGTTTGCGTGCAACGCGAATCTGCCCGACATGAACATGGAAGCGATTCGGCTGATTCGCGTTTGCGCCGAATACGTGTCGCTGAATCGCGAGAGGATCGACGAGGTCGCGCGCGACGACACGCACGTGATCAGCGCCGATCAGCACGTGTGGCTTCGCGGTTGGTTTCCGATATTCTTCGAGTTGAGCTGCATCATCAATCGCTGTAAACTTGACGTGCGCACGAGAAGTCTGACGGTGATGTTCGAGATAATGAAATATCATGGGAAGGACTTCCGCGCGGAATGGTGGCGCGATCTTCTCGAAATCGTTTTTCGGATATTCGATCACGCGAAAATGGATGAGCACCGGAGTGATGTGAGTTGTGTTTTAGTTTTAGTTGACGCTCACGTTTTTTTTTTGTTTCAGAAGCGCGAATGGATGAGCACGACGTGCAATCACGCGATGCTCTCCGTTGTCGACATATTCACACAGTATTTTGATTTGCTCTCGGTTCACGCGCTTCCGATGATCTACCGGCAATTTGCGATATTCATAAGACAGCGTAAGCGATTTCTTTTCGAGGTTCGAAAAGCTAAAATTTTCTCCTCATTAGAATCAGTCAGAAAAGCGGCGATTTTTGAATTCTAAAAAAATCGATTTTGAACTTTTTTATTTTAGCGAATTTATGGATTTATAATTAATTAGTTAATTTTTAATTATTATTAAACAATAACGAAATTTAAAGAAAAATTCTTGCCAAAAAATTGGCTGGAATTTTTATTTTCTCTATTTGCAAAACTTTGAATGTTTTTTTTTTCAGAAAATGAGCAACTGGCTCGTTGCACCATCAGCTGTCTCGAATCGTTGATCCTGCAGAATGGCGAGATGTTCACCGAAGATATGTGGGATCAGACGATTGAGTTGATACGCGAGCTGTTCGCGGCGACATTGCCGAAATCGCTTCTGACATGGGAGCCGGCAAAGAATAGCGGCGGCGGCAAAGATGAGTACATGAATGGGTATTCTTGAACGCTTTTGATTTTCTTGCAAATCACGCAAATTTTAGTGTCAATAGCGGCAGCGACGCGCTTTTCTCCGAGCAAATCGTGTTTTGTGTTGTGCAAAACGAGCTTGTCGAAGCGGTCACACGAATCGTTTTAGGCGTCAAAAAGAATGGTAGTGGTTGAATGAAAAGCGGACGGCAAAAAGAACACGAGATAATTTTCAGATTCTCAAAAAGCGTTTGAAGCGAATGAGGCGAACACGGGATTGTTTGCGAGCATGTCGCCGAAACTATTATTGAGTATATGCGATGCGCTAGCCGAAAGTCAGAAGCTCGCCAAACAATTTAACGACAATAATGGGCAGCGGACATTATTGTGGAAGGCTGGACTTCGCGGTTCGAGCAAACCGAATTTGATCAAGTAGGAGTTTTTCTTTTGAATTGAAAATTGTCTATTCGATTTCAGTCAAGAGACGCGATCGTTGAGCGCGATGCTTGCGATTGTTCTCCGATTGATGTATGATGAGCGAGCGAAGGAGCACAGCGATGAAGTTGGGAAGCGTGTGTTAGAGTAATTTTTTTTGGCAACTATTTGGGCACACATTGAAAATGATGGGAGTGGTTTTATTTTTTTTTTTCAGAGTTGTCTCATTGGCACTTTCGGGCTATGGAGAAGCGGAATCCGAATCGCGACGAAGCGCCTACGGGCCGGTGATATGTGAGCTGCTGCGCGAATGCATCCGATTACCGCCGCATATGATTCCGTTGCTTGGCGATGAGTTCCCAACAAGGTGATCACAATTTTCGATGATCTTTGAAATTCGGCATTTCGCTTAAAGGGACATGACGCGTTATTCTTAAAACGCGAAATTTATGTTGATTGACGAATTGTAGGTTATTTAAAGGCGCATATGTAAGGAAGGATGTTGGTTTATTCGCGATAAAATCCATCTTTTATTGAATTCGCGATTTTTTCAAAGAATATTATGCAAATAATAGAAAAATGCGGATTTTGTTGGGGCGAAAAATCGATTGTTGGATCATTTTTTAAATTTTCCATCAATTTTCGTCGTTTAAAAATGAGTTTAAACTCGATGAAAAGGGTTTATTTGAGGGGAAACTTGAAAAAAACCAAGTATTTTAATTGAATGCACTTATTTTTTTTTTAATTAAGGTTATGCGATCTTGTGGAGACCGCCGAAGGTCAAACAATGCGCAAACTTCTCGCCGAGCTTCTCCGAATTCTAATGCATCTTCGAAAAGAGGAGGCGCCGAAAATGAATGGAACGCGTTGAGCGAGTGTAGAATATGCAATTAAAAAGAAAACAAGTTTTTTTTTTCTTTTTCAAATAACTTAATAATTTATTTGTTTGAACATATTAATGGTCCCTAAATTTGCGATGCTCATACAGACACCCTTGAAACTCCGATTCATTGATTTCACTTCATATCCTTTATTTGTTTGGTGATTATCGTTCTCAGAAAATATTGAATTCGGGGTTTGTGCTCCTTTATATTGCCCCGCCCACTTTTTATTTATTTTTTTTTTTTTGGTTGTGCCTGACCTGTCCCGAAGCTAGTAATTCGATTTCAAAATGTGATATATAGAAAATTAATTATGTTTGTGTTGTTCATTTCTGTTGTGCACTTGCTTCCGTTTCCGGTATCGTATTTGTGTTTCGAAAATCGGAAAAATTGTATGTAATATCGATTAAGTGTCAAATTTTAGATTCAAATAGATATTTATCACTTATTCTTTATTTATTTTGTTTGTAAATTTCTATATTTATCGGTCTCGAACCGATTGGATATATTTTTGGGTGTTTTCTTGGATTTTTTAAAAATTGAATTTGAATTTTTTGCAGGGTTTTGGCCAATTTCACAATCATGGTAGGATTTTTTGCTTTCAAAACACTTCTATTTATGATTTTATTTATTCTAACTTATTTCTAGGCGGTTCTTGGATTTCACGTAGTGATATGTTTAATAGCGATCACATTAATATCGAAACTAGTTAGTCGCGCATCATTCGTCAGCTTTTTTATTACAAACGGGTAAGAATTTTTTTTGGTTTGTCGAAAATTGAAAAAGTTTCGAAATTTTCCCAGGCTTTATCGCGTTTTGGCACCGTCGAATCATGAGCTGAAAGCGCTTATGCCGCAATCAAAAGAGAAATTGAATCAGAGGAATCGGAGGAAGAAGAGGTTTCTTTTTGGCTGTGTCGAAAAAAATTGATTTTTTTTTTCCATTTTTTTTCTAGGGATGAAGAAGAAGCTGAGGGATTCAATGTGCCGAAATCCACTCCGATTCAACTTCATCGAGCACCGGTCGACGTTCGCGATCTCGTCCAATTTGAGCTTTACACATCGCTTCATTGGATTTGCCTTTGTGTTCCGATTTGTTTCATTGTAAATGAGAAAGCCAATCAGCCTTCAACACTTCATCGAAATGATTTTTTACAGGTTTATGCGATCTCTGAAACCTATAATTACATTTCTCCTCAAAACACGGATTTCAATGTGACAATTATTCTCCTATTGGTTTTCGTCGGATTCATTTTGCAGGTGAGCAATCGGTTTTACTAAAATGGAAATTGAGAAATTTGGAAATTTCATTGGTATCAAAGTTGACCGGAATTTTTCCATATTTCGTCCTTTCTTCCCTATTAGGCCATTTTCAAAAAATGAATAAATTCCGTTCAATGTTAAATTTGATTTTTTTTAAACTGAAATTTATTAAAAATAGAAGGAAATTCTGCAATTCTTCACACGAGAACCTCATTAATTGGTTGAGACATGAACAAAAAATGAATGGCGATTTCAGATTCTGATGAGCCTTTCATCATACCTCGTACTAAATGTTGATGAACGCGGATTCATGCTATCAATCGGCGCCCTCTATTTCCTATTCTCATTCATTTTTGCGATGAGCGCCCAACGTGTATTCGATATTCAAATGTTGGAAGGTATTTCTCATTGTCTATGATAATCTCGACAAAAACCTCGCAACTTTTGCGCAGATATTTTTTTTTAAATATAAATTCAAGCAACAAATTGAGTTAAAAAGGTGTTCCAAAATTTTTTTTCAACAAGTTGCTATTCATTGTTGCGTAAAAATCGAACAATTAATTATTTCTCGCAAATATTGAGTAACTTGTAAATAATCCGAGTTTTGCGCAAAATTTGAATTCATATAAGCTATATTGTCGGTGTCGCGCGACTGAGGAAAATTGGTGGAATGCCAAAAAATTAATGACAGTGGTCGTGGCGTAAAACAAATAGTGTAGATTTACGGGCCTAATGATAAGGATTAGTTAAAGGCGCACAGGCGCGATCTCTTCTTAATCTTTTGGGCATTTTGCCAATTTTTCGAAATCGCGCCACACCAATAAGACTAAATGTTGAGAAAAAAATCTTGGAGCAACTTTTAAACAAAATTTGCACAATATTCTTTTGAACTTGGTTTGTTTCGAAGTTGCTCAAAATCTGCTTAAAGGTTTTTGCCGTGATAACATATGATCTTCAGCCTACGACACTCTTGGCAAAAATATTGCGGAGTTTGTGAAATCGGCGGACATTCTTGGCAACGGAAGCACGTCAATCGCCGACTATCGGCCCGACAATCCGCTATTCTTGTACATTTCGCTGTCGGTGTTCTTCTCGATGCTATCGGCGATGTTTTTGTTTCCCAACTTTCGTTGTGCCATCATGTACCTGAAAGCCATCGAGAATGAGGGTCCGACTTATCGGTATTGGATTGCCACCAATGTGTTTGATTGATTTTTTTTTCCAACTTAGAACGCTTTCTCATGTGACATTCCTGATTCCCGCCGTTGTTCTCGCGTTGTTCTTGAAGCCTGTCACCCATCAGATCGTTGACGGACCACGAAAATTGTGAGCGATGACTTCAATTGCGAATATTCAATTGGAAAATTTCAGTTTGACCTACAGTCAATTAAACATTCTCCGAATATATTTGGTGATTGTTTGGCTTATGTTCAAGTTCTTCACGAGAATTCCGCATTTGCAGGTGAGTGTTTTTTTTTTGGTTGAAAATTACCGAAATTGATTTTTTTTTTAAATTTTCTAGGCGCACTTGAATTTGTCGTATGACAAAGTGATGGACTTGCAGAAGGAATCGGGAAAGGTCAAAAACTATGCCTTACAATCAATGGTAATTAAATAGAACCTTAATTAAGCATATAATTGGATTTTCAATTATCAAGATTCTCCGTTATTATCGCTACATTTGCTGCGCGGCGATTCAGTACTTTGGTCCCGCGCTTCTCGCAGTTTTCTTCGCATTGATCCTTAAAACGACAGGTAGACAGTCATCGTCAGAAATTGTCAAAAGCTGTTCGCTTCAGGAGGATTGTCGTGGCTTGGTGAGCCGGTGACGATCGACACTGGTCTCAACGTCGTCGGACCGATTCGATATGTGTTCGACGTCGTCGTGTGCCGCGCGTTCTTCTCGTTCCTCCTCGTCGTCACGTTGCTCATCAATTTCAGTCTTCAACTGATGGGTGTTGTCTATCACTCGTATTTTGTTAAATCTTCATAAGCTTTTGTACCTTGTTTTAGAATATTAGTATATTTAGCAAAATTCTATCATAATAGTAGTAATAATAATAATAATACTTTTGGGGAAATGCGGAAAAAAAGAAAAGTATGATTTTTTCTTTTTTTGCATTGAAATTGTGCTAATTTTTTAAAAATTTTCTGCATTGACCCTTTAATAAGAATTGCTCAAGAATTTCCGTTAGGTACCTCAGCTTTAATAAATTGATCTTTCATTATTTTTTTCAATTATTATAATTATAACTGTTATTTAACAGTTTTCATATTTTTGCTTTATTAACTAAATATTGAATTATTTAAATTTTAAAATTAGGATGTCAGAATGCCTCATGTTCGGCATGGATTGTGAGGCGCGTTGCCTCGTCGCCGTTCAAGCCGACGAGGAGCGAGTCTCATTTTTTGTTGGCACCAACAACATCAAATCGGATAATCAGGTAGCGTTTGTTTTTCTTTCTCGTAGAGTCTTCCTCGAAATTCTAGCGAACAATTTTTTTTTCTCGTCAGGTGAATAAACTTTTCGTCGATGCTGAAGGAAGCCGCCTGTTGTCGAAATGTTTTCGGCATCCCGCTGGTGAAGTGCGCGCTATTGCCGCGCATCCGACGATGACGAGCGTTCTCGCGACGTGCTCGGCTGATTGTGCGGCATTTTTTTGAAAGATTTTGAAGAAAACCGATTCCAATAAATTTGCAGATTCGACGTTGAACGGCAAATTTGGACTTTGCCTCTGGAATATTGACGAAGACAAACGCACGTTGGAATCGGTCAGCCATCTCGAAGTCGATCATTTAATGCATGGGTAAGTTTGGTGGCGTTTCACGCCGACATCATCGCCATCGCGTAGCTGAGTTCAGATTGGAATGGGACGCGGCGAATAATCGAGCAGCGACACTTGGTCCGTCGGCAATCAATTTGTATGATATGGAAAATGAGCCGAAGGTCAGATTTTGTTGTATTTCTTTTTTGGTGGCATCGCTTTTATTCGAATTTGTCGAATTCTCGATTTTTGAAGCTGATTCGAAATGTCGAAATCGCTGATGATGACGAGATTCATTGTGGGCGTTGGAGTCCGCATCATAATGGGAACATGTTGGGCATCGCCGTCGGCAAAAACGTGTGTTGCGTCGACTTGAGAACCGCCGGCGCGCAATTTCGAATAGGCGACGCGCACTCGAATCGAACACTAGGAATCGATTTCAATCCGAATTTGCAGCATGTGTAGGTGTCTGTTGTTGTTGTTGTTTTTCGACAATCCTCGAGTTTTCAGAATTGCCACTTCTGGTGATGATGGATTTGTGAGGGTCTGGGATACGCGATCCACCAGCGAGCCTCTTCTAGCGATGCACCATCATGCTCATTGGGTTTGGCAGGTTCGGTACCATCCGGTGCACGATCAGATCCTGCTATCGGTTGGATCCGACTCGTGCGTCGTGCTCTCTTGCGCTCAGAGTGTCAGTAGTGAGCAGAATGAGATGGTGATGGATGAAGAGGAGGAGGTATAGCATTCATTTTTCTTTCGGGAAAATTTGTTTTTTTTTTTGTTTTGTTTTAATATTAATAAGTTTGAAAATATCTGAAAGCTGTCAATTTAAGAAAAAAAGTTCGAAAATATTCTTCTTTTCTTTCTTTATTTTGAAATTCGAAAAAGAATGAAATTACAATTTTGTTTTTCCCCCATATTGAAAAATTTAAACATTAAAAAAAAGAAAAAAAGTGACACTGAAAAATTTCTGGGATTGATTTTCTGGAAATCTGAGCAATCACCATTTTCTCGTTGTAGGACGCTACGATTGAAAAATTGCAAGACGGGCAGCTGGAGCGCATCGACGAGCATGAGGATAGCGTGTATGCGTGCGCCTGGTCGGCAGCGGACCCATGGACATTCGCTTCTCTGTCATATGATGGCCGGTTAATATTGTCGAAAGTGTCACGAAAACATAAATATGCCCTAATGCAACTATAAATTATTTATTTATTTATTTGTTTTCAAAAATTTTGTATCATTTCTGACGTTGATAATGCGTTTTTATATATTTTTTTTTCTCGCTTATAATTTTCTTTTCACAAAAATTATAATTTTTCAACCAGATGGACGACAAATTGATGCGGGAAGTTCGTCTTTATGACAATCATTCTGAACGAGAGCAGGTAATTCATTGTTTTTTTTTGTTGTTGCCTATCGCTTTTTTGTTTTTGTCAGATGGAGAATTTGTCGGAGTTGTTCGCGGTTCTCAACGCGTTGGAATGTTTGGAGAAGATGTTCAGTCGGGATCACGTGTCGGCGGATGAGTACAAATCCGAGTGCTTCAAACTGATTGATCAGTACAAGGTGGCGATGCGATTGGTGCAGGGCGGCACCAACGTCGATGAGTTCGCCAAGAAATATCGCCTTCATTGTCCGGCGGCGTTGGAGAGAATTCGCGAAGGTCGACCGATCACGGTGAAAGATGATCAGGGCAATCTGTTGAAGAATATTGCGTCGATTGTGGAGGTATGATTGGGCTGAAAGAGAGAAGAACATTTGAATTTTTGATTGATGATTTTCAATTCTCATTTCATTAAAATTTTCGTCTCATTCTACATATTTTAGACCGCCACTTTAGATCGTGTACAAAAAAAAAACGTTGATAAATTTCGAAAAGGAAGATTTTTCGATGAATTTTCGATTTCATCAATTTAAAAATTGAATTCCATCTCTCACCCTCTCATTTTTTGTCTTTAACGCTGAGAAAAAATCCAAATTGTTGAAAATTTTCAGATTTTCATAACTTGCTGCGATCAGCTGAAATTGAATGTGCGAGCTGTCGACGACTTGTATCCGTACTTGAACGAGCTCTACAATGCGATCAACGCGACGTCGCGACTGCCGAACGACGGGAACGTGACGTCGAAAGTGAAAAAATGGCACGATCGGTTGTCGTCGATGGCGGCTTCCGATGAGATCACCGACGAGGATGCTCGTCAAATGGCGATGGATCTTGAAGGCGCTTATCACGCGTTTGTCAAATTCTTGCATGAGCAGAAGCATTAATCAAGCGCGTTGTTTTGACGCTAAAAATGTACTTAATTACTGTAAATTGCTCGACCCCTTAAATTGATTCGAAAATTTCTTACGATTCATTTATAAAAATTCGGCATTCCAATTTTGACATTTAAGGCTTTGAGATTCAAGCACCGCTTTTTTTGTTCTTGATTTCATGGACTTTTTCTCAATAATTCAAGTATTCTTTATAAAATGACATACTTTATTCACCAGAGAACGCTTTAAACAATAAATGGAAAATTACAACACGAAAATACAGATATTACCGTTTTCCAACAAATGTGAACGCGATATTTGAATATCTGCTTTTAGAAGCAAATATTTTGGTCGATTCAAATTCTTGCTCTTTTGGGAAAACGACAACATAAACAAAAAAAACATTAACGATAAATTTTACACGATGGGAATGTTACAGGTAGAATATGGAAACGAACAGAAATACAGAGTTAAATAATATAAATAAATATATAACAAATGACATGATTTTACATGATGGCAATGGTACAGCTGATTGGAATTGAGGGTTTATTCTTTACTACGCTTTGTTGGGCTCTCTTTCGAACAGGAGACAACGCGAGCGAATCGCATGCTCCTCCTTGTTGGGCTTGTGTTATTCTCGTCAATGGTAGCTTGCTGAACATGCGTAATTAAATATTCGAATTGCGAAAAGGGGCACCTTTCGTTTGTTTTTCTTCCCTTTATCGCTGATATTTACACTGTCGATCTTCTTCTGAAATTCATTTAATTATTCTAGTAGTTTTAAAAAATTTATACCGCAAGTTTTTCTGCGGCGTCAATAGAAGCATTAGCTTCATCATTCGGCGATTGAGAGGATTCCGTTGGAGCGGCCACGAGCAAAGAAGCGTTTGTCACATTTGGATCATCTGCTGACATGAATGACTGATATAAACCGCTTGATCGCTCATATCCCAATTGGTCGGCAAATTTATCGGTATATTTCTTGAGCGTTGTTTCAGCGGTGAACGAATCGGCTATGAACATACTAGAACAGGAAACGTAGCATCTAAAACAGACAATTCAATTATGATACTAATTTGGGCTGTTAACCCGTGATGACCAGGTCGGAGGTGTCCCAGTGAAGCGGATTGGCAATCCTCTGGCACAGAATAAAAATAACTGGAATCCCTAAATCCTTCTATTTGATAATCCGGCCGTACGTCTTAAAATGTGCAATTTACGAGGAACGAATTAGAATTGCGTACGTGGAAGATAACTGACTCGAAAATTCATGGAAACATCTTTTGGTAACTCGGAAAGAACTTTTTGACAGATAACTTGAATGCTTCTGACGAGCAATACGAGCTGGTCACGAACACTAGTCGACCCTTCATATTTGAGTTGAGCGAGTTGTGTAAGTGGAGAATTGGGTTCTTCTCTTCCTTGCCTAAAAAGAAATCGAAATTGGAAATTAAAAACTTGAGATGATTGTTACGTAAAGGTCGCCGTCGGGTTGTTGAAAGCATCATAATGCATTTTCCAAGAGAAAACTTCAAGTGCTTCTTCTTCTTCCTTTTTCGAACTGATAACAAGTGCGAACTCCTCCAAAACTCCTTCCTTGATCCCCTCGGCTGCCGAACGAATAAGAAATGCTATTCGTGAAGCGTCGGGATTCTCAAAGCTCAGCGCCCGAATTTTCAATTTCTCTAAAGTAATTAGTTTTTGTTTTTGATTTATGCTATTACGCACACCAGTTATCATCGTCATCTTGAAAAAATCCTCGGCGAAAAGTTTTCGATAACGCAGCACACACGAAAACGCGACGTACATCGCTCTGGTCATGAATTTCAATGAGCTTTGCTCATCCGCCAAAGACTGTGGAAAGCATGAGGCCCACTTCTGCAAATTTTTACTCCATTCAAAAAAATTCATATTAAAAACGATTCTACTTTATCGTGAATAAAATCGTTGGAGTCCACACCCGGAGTGGGAATTGAAGTGTTGTTGACAGCAGTCGCAGCAACCATCTGAAAAGAATTGTGAAAAAAAAAAAGAATTTGAGGCAATCCAAAATTATTTGTCGATAGCAGAAAATTAGCCAAAAAATAATTGAGAGTGAGATATTGACACTTATTCTCTTACTTAGCTCATGAATTTACAATTAGCCATAATCTCAAGACGCCGAAAATATTCTAAAATGATTAATAGAATAAAATATTGTTGAAAAATTAAAAAAAAATCTGAAACGCTAAAAAAGGAGAAATTTCGCGATCGGCTGAGTATCAAACAAACTACCGTAATCCAGTTAGCAATGGTCCACGTTTGCAACGCACTTCAAATTTTCATTTCAATATTTATTAGATTTGAAAAAAAAAGAATATTTATGGGATTTTAGAAAACCACATAATTAAAGGGTTTCAGCACAATAAAAAAAAACGTCATTCCAATTAATCATCATCGCTATTCTCTTGTGTGCATTAGCCATATTTGGTTGGTTGTTGTGGGAACCATCATCCTGCTGACATGCTTTCAATCAGCCGTGGAAGCATCCGTCTCGTTCGCTCATATTTTTTTTGCGTTTTTTTTGCTGTCCGTAGAGATTTGAATTTGTGCGCGCCGGCGGCGTCTTCGATACTTTATTCCAGCAGACGTTCTCGTTGCCCCAGCCATTTTCTCTCGTCGACATTATGATGATTCAACTTCAGAATCGCGAGGCTGCGTTTTTTCGAATCACTTTACGTCGCTTTTCTATTCTCCCCTTTTTTGGCGAAAAAGCAATAAAACAAGAATTGGTTTTACTCGACTTTCGTGTAACCTATACTTATGGTCCCTTCAATTTTCGTTTCAAGATATTTTCCAATAAATTACTGTAGATTTATTTGAGGTAATTATTGGAATTGCTCCTTCAAAAAATAAATTGGCAATCGCTGCGAGACCTGTGTGCACCATTCATTCATTTTCAAATTTTTCAATTTTTCTGATTTTGCGAAAATTTGCAAAATGAGCTGCCCCTTTTAAATCTCTTTTTATTTCTTTCGTCACAACAGAGTGTTTTCGAAGCGTGAAGGGTTCCGTCGCGAATATTCTATTCCATCAGTGTTGATTGTTTTCGGAACAAGCAGCACCGCAATATAAAATGCGTTGAACACTTTTGAAAAAATAAAAGAGAGCCCCTGTCGCCGATTCTCAACTTTTTCGTATTTGTCTGTTTTTTCATCTCCTTTTGTTCTGAATGATGATGATGATGATGTTGCCTCGAAAAAAAAAACGAAAATACGAAGACGAAGGAGAAACGACGAGTGGGAGGAGCACACCACAACTTTTTTTGATTCGCCGCCGCCGTTTTTCTCCTCGTTTTCGTTTCCACTTTTTTTTTGGGGGGTGTCTTATCTTCCGCTTGTTTTTGTTTTCATTTTTTACAAATCGAGTTGACTCTGAAATATTACTATACCAAAAATTTGTCTATAAGAAAAATGCAAGTCAGAGTGAAAAAGTTGACCGATTATCAATGGAGCGCGTTTGCGCTCCGACTTTTCAACAAAAAAGAAACGCCTCAAATTTCATCCATTTCCGTCGCATTATATCGGATTTCAACTCATGATCCATGAGCTTTCATTTGCTGCTGACGTTCCCGTATATGGAAAATGCCTAACAATAAAAAAAAACAGCGTCATCGCAATTCATTCCACTCAGTGGCATTTTTGATTTATTGAGCATTCGCGATTTCCAATTTGACGAAACAAAGGAATTTTAGCAAAAAACAAAACGAGAATTTGCCGTCTGGATGTTTTTTATGCCGACAGATATTCAGAAATGGTCTCAAGACGAAGAGAAGCAATTGCGTTTTAAAATAATGCATTGAATTGAGTTTCAATGGCCGCCGACGTTTTTTTTTTCGCTCTCACGGCCACCAACTCAGCGACAGGTCTCGCCGCGACGAAAAATGGGTCCCAAGGTGATAATTCGCGAGGAATTCAATTCCAGCGATGAAAGAAAGATGAAGAAAAATGGGGGGGGGAGAAACGACGACGAGATGGCGTTTTCCGGGCGTCGCCACATCATCGCCGCCGGATGTTCCGAGTCGCACTGTTTTTGATTTCGACTCGACGACGTCGTCCTTTTCTCCTATCCGTTTTCTGTTTTGCCACACAACGAGAAGCCGACGCGAAAACGGAAAAATGGGCTCTCTGTATGAATCGAATTGATGCGCGCTTCTCCATTTTTTTTCCTTCTTCGGTTTTTTTTTTTTCAAATTTCCATTTTTTTTGTGTGTTTCGCGTGCTCCCTTAAATAGCTGATGACGTGATTTTGATCTACGGCGCTCACCTGCACACCGAGAATTTGTGGTCTCTTTTAAAAAATTTTTTTGTGTAGATTTACGTGCATGCGCCTTTAAAATAGTCTAGCTATTTAGAGCTTCTTAGTCTTTGAGAAAAGAAAAAATGAAGAAAGTTCGGGGACCATTGAAATTTTTAATGGTACTATTCAGATTTCGCAACAACAAAAAACCCCCAAAAATCTCGGCCACGGCCACGCTTTTTCGAAGCCCACCTACAGTACCACTGTTTTGCTTATTTAATCGCTTTAAGAATCATTTTTAAAAAATGTGTGTATGCGCCTTTAATCACACTAGCTACCGTAATCGAAAAACTTGGAATAAACCATATAAAATCATTTCGATTAAAGGTGCAATTAGCGATTTAATTTTTTTTTTTGAAAAACCGATTCCGGGGTTTTTTTTTGTGAAATCCGCATAGTACCATTTAAAATGACAATGGTCCATAAATATAGCCGTGTATCAAACTCACCGTAAGCTAGTTTTAATACGCCCCTGACGATAGCGCGTTTAAAGGCGCGCAACGATCCAACTCGGGTCTCGAAGCGAACAAGCGACATTTTCGTTTTTGTTTGCAAAATCGGCATTCCTGACCAAATTTCCGGTGGTTGTTGTTGATGTTTCGCCATCGCTGGCGGCGGATATCCAATAAATTGTGCCTTCGGCCCCGATTTTTTCTTGCTCGCGCCTCCTAACCAAATTTTTTTTTCTCTCGCACGCCCCGACAGTGCAATTCGACGAATCCAATTTTTTCCTCTTCTGACACCCAGCAATCATATTTCAAATGCTCTTGTCTTTCAACAGAAAAAAAGGCATTACACGGACACACGCAAAATTATTGCTACCGTATCTCTCATTTAAAAAAGATACATATATCGCTTTTCTATGTCTGCAGTACCCCGACCTAGTTTACCGTAATCTGTGCTCTTGAATTATTTTCTATTTCAAAACGACACACCCCCAGCTATCTTTAACAGTCGCCACGAGACCCGATAGGCATTATGCGCCTTTAATCAATTATTTCATTCATTTTTATTTTGAATTGTATTTTTCTGGAATTTTCCTTATCATTTTGATTTTTTGTATTGAAGAAAAAACGTTGGAAATTTCAAAGAAAATGCGGTCGCTTCAAGACGCGGTTGATTGGAGGTGCAATGCGCCTTTAAATTTAATTCACAATTTTCATTGAATTCTTAATATTTTGACTTGAAAAATTTTAACAGAAAGAAATTCGATTGGCGAATTTTGTGATTTTGAAAAAAATTTTTTTGAGCTCTGGGTCTCGCATGGCAAACCAAATGCTCATTCTTCAGAAATTGGAATATTTGTGCAATGGAAAAAAAAACCAATGATTACGATAACTCGTTCGGTGTACTGCGTACCAAAACGCAAGATTCGACGACAACAAAAGAAAAAAAAATTTTTTGGTGTCTCCAAACCGATTTCCGAGCGCGTAATTCAAAGAATTGGGCTGCGCCTTTAAAATCGCCACTGAAATTGTGTGGTTGGATAGCGAAGACAAAAAAAAAAACGAATCGTCTTGCAAAAAAAAATTGGTAGCAATGTCACTGGGAATTTCGATTATCTCGTCCCAATGACTGGCATTCGACCAATTTCGTTTTTTTTTTTGCTTCGCCTCCCAAAAAAGAACAACGACCCGATCAAAGAGCCACCTTAAAGGCGCATATCACAAGAAGGCAAAATATACAATTTGAAACCGGCAAAAAAAAAACAGGGGGGGGGCTTAAATTTTTTTTTCTTGCAATAAATTCGTTTCCTTCATCCATTCTTTTTCGTTTTTTTTTTTTTTATTATTGTCCGTCGAGTATTCTTTCTTTTTCTTTTCGTTTCGGCTTCCAAAAGAGAAAAAAGAAATGTCTTATTAATGCTTTTTTTTCTTCTTCACATATGTATGGATTTGGTCGGTTTGCGGCCAAGTAATCTTCAGAAACAAATGCGATTTCGTTTCACTTTAATGGACTCTGAAAATCGCATTTTCCCAATGCCGTTTTTTCCATTCGTTTTCAAAGTTTGGGTGGTCCCACAACGAGATTACTGTACACGACCCCCCCCCTTATTCACAAAGCATTTTGCATAATCGCGCTTATTAACCCTCAATCGACGTCAAGTGTTATTGTCGCGGTGAGACCTGAGAACACGTTTTGTGTACTAATTAATTAAGAGGCTGTTTGGGCAGCTTACTGTAGCACTAGTTGCCGCTACCGTAATCCGAAACGCTTTTTTCGTGATAGGTTTTTTTCGTCTAACGATTTCGCCAAAAATAGGCGAAACCCACGCTTCTTCTTCTTCTTCTTCGTAATTCAATTTCGAAAATTGAATGCGAAAATTTTTTTTCGTCGCCAATTGTGTTGAAAAGCTTTGGGACCACCCGCGGCGAAGGAACTTCTCGAGTGTCGACACTACCGTAGTCGCAAAATTCGCGGCGAGACTCGATGGGGTTCCCTTTCGCCAGAAGAAAAAATAGAATCAACGGAGAGGAGTCGAACCATTCACCATTCCATATTTGTGCAACGTGTCCGTTCGCTTGAGTAGTTTTTTTTTCTGCCCAACTATGAGCGACGCTTCGGCTTTTCTTTTAATCTATGCCGTTTTTTTTTTCCTTTTTTCTCTTTTATTTTTTGAAAAATAGAACGATGCTCGCCACCTTTCTTGTTATGCAATTTGCAAAAAAAATTATTTTTATATGATTTTTTCAATTACAAGATATTCGCGTCAAGACTGACGCAAAGAGGGGGTCTTGACACGATTAACAATGCACAATTTGAAAAGATGAATAAAGATGTGAAAACGCATTCGAAACAGCAAAAAATGTTTCCCAAATTAAAAATATATAAATTTCGGCGGACTAACTTTTTCTCGTCCACGGCCATTTTTTCGCGGCCATTTACAAACGTCACCGAAAATGAGGCCCTATAATTTCGCGTTTCGCCATAAAAACTGCATTAAGCGAGTCCCGCCTATGAGAAACATTGTGCTTCAGCACTTTTCGAATTGATTCAACATTCATAAGTGCTCGTCGACTGCTCTCCCGCATTCATTCATTCTCGGTTCGGTTCTCTCGTCTTTTTTTTCCAACTGCTGTCGGGTTCGTTTTTTTTTTGTTCGGCCCTCGTTTTGCGAATAACATATTATAAACGAACATCATCATCATCGCCTAATCCCGTGTAATGAGCTGCGGCTCTTGCTCACTCACTGCTCATTTATCAAAAGACGAAAAAAAAAAACTGCTGCCCGGAAACGGATTATTTTCATTCGCTCCTTTTAATTTTAGACCACACACACACTCTCACCAGCATTTCAATTTCCGGCCTCGACCCCTGTTCCAATTCGAAGACACTCACAAAAAAAAGTTATTGGCTTTTCGACATCAAGAAACCAACCAGAATATGTAAGAATGCTCTTCTCCATTTTCAATTGTATCGATTGATGACGATTCTCATTTAAAAAAGGCCATTATGATAATTTTTTAAAAAATTTTCTCGAAATTGTTTGTTTATCATCTCTTGTCTCCTCACATGCTTTCATATATGCCAAGAAGGAAGGCGTCGCGCAATGTAAAGGTGGTAAAGTGGTACGCGTTTTACCGGGTTTACTTTTACCCGCGGTTTCAATCCCACTTCTCAAAATTAATTTCTTTGCAATTCATGAAGAATGTCGTTCGTTGTGTTTCCATTTGAAAAAAATTCGTATGTCAATTCAAAAGAAAAGTTGTTGAATAACCTACTCACAATACATTCGAGTTCTCGGAAAATTGTGCATTGTGCTGCTTTTTTTCAATCAAAAAAAAATGGAAAGAACCGACGAAAATCGAACAAAAGGTTCGAGATTAGGCGAAAGAAGGACACGATTATACATACATATACATATTCGTCTCGAAATTCATCAATTTATTCCTCACCGCCGCAAATTTCATTAAAATTATTTATCATCTCCCCCGCTCATTCTTTTTTTCCCACCCAATTTGCTTCGGGTCCCACGACGAGAATATTATTATTGTGAATTTCAAGGGCATGTTGAAAATATTGAAAAAACTTAAAATTTGTGTGTTTTTTTTTTAAATATTTGCTCTTTCTTATATATTTTTTCTCAAAAGTTGGTCGTCGTCTCCAGTCAAAAATCGAACAAGCGATTCCCATCAAGTATCGGATTACGCTTCAATTCCAAAAAAAATGAAAAAAAAACCGCGTGCGGCATTTTCGAACCGAAAACGCAAATACTGAATAAAATATGATTTCATCATCGATATCATCGTTTTCATTCAATCTCAAATACACTTTTTCTTAATTCGCAAAAAAAAACCATTTTTGTAATTTTTGCTTGTTTTCAGATGCGACCTGGTTCAACGGTCCGAAGTCGAACGCGGGCCCGCGTCATTCGACGCCTATTTCTAGTGCCGATCGCGGTTTTGGTGCTGGTCGGTGTTGCCGATTTGGCGAGACCTCGACGCCACACTCCCGATGAGACGTCGTCGCACTCGACGTCGGCTTTTAATGGATTTCTGAGATCCGTGCTGCCGACATGCAACAGGTAACACGACACACGAAACAAAAAATAGTCAATTACCTTTTTGGTTTTTTTTTTCTTCTCTTCAGAACTCTTGCGCCACCGCCTCCTGAAGTCAACGATGATGGCCAATTTCCGCCGGACCCTTTCACTTTGAAGCAGAGGCAAAGCGGATTCGGTAATTGTTGAGAACGGCCTATATTGTTAGGCGCGTTGCGGTCCGCGTGCGGTTTTTGCAGATCCGACCAATGTTTTACAAAAAAAGCTGCTGGAAGAAAAATAAATGAGGCCGCACGCGCTTAACAACCTTTGACCTATGAAATGAAATTTTAAAAACACCCAAATTTGCAATAGGCATTTATGAATAAAAAAATCCGAAGCCCTAATGGTCAATGAGCACGAAAAGAGCAGACTAATGCATAATTCAGACGTCGCTTGACGTTAGCTTGAAATTCAAAAAAACATTTTTTACAGTTCTATTACATATTGCCGGTTTGATCTACATGTTCGTCTCATTGGCGATCGTATGCGATGAGTTCTTCGTGCCGTCGCTCGACGTGCTCACCGAGAAATTGTCGTTGTCCGATGACGTGGCCGGCGCGACATTTATGGCCGCCGGCGGCTCGGCACCGGAATTCTTCACCTCGGTCATTGGCATATTCATTGCGCAGAATAATGTGGGCATTGGGACCATTGTTGGTAGGGCCTTCTTTTTTTCTTCTTCTTTTGAATCTCTGAAATCTTCAACAGTACTATTCAAATTTGCAGGGTCCGCAACCTTCAATATCCTTTGCGTTCTAGCGTTTTGCACGATTTTCTCGAAATCCGTCCTCGATTTGACTTGGTGGCCGTTGTTTCGCGACGTCAGCATTTATATGATCGCGTTGGCGATGCTTGTGGTTTTCTTTATGGACGAAATGGTACTGTAATTAGCAATTGAATCTCAGATTTCACAAAAATCGATTCAGATCACATTCACCGAAGCGTTGTCGATGTTTGTCGTTTACGTTGTTTATTGCACCATCATGAAGTATAATGTTCAATTGGAGCGATTTGTGAAGGGCGGCGGCGATGACGAAAATGCGAACGTGCATGAGACGCTGAAACTCGCCGACACGTCGAATCACAATAATAATCTTGCGTCTGAAATGGTCCGACTTCAGGATTTTCTGGTTTAAAATCGAAATTTTCCAGACAAACCTTGAAGCAAATGATAGGCGACGCTCATCGGCTCGTCGCCAATCGGTGCCGATTCTCCATTCCGGAACAATGTTTAGAAATGGAATAATGCAATTGATGAATCACACGCTTGAGCAATTGCCAGAAGGTTGGAAAAAAATGCGCGACAAACTTGAGAATTAAATAAATAATTTTGGAAATGTTTTGGCGTACAATAAAATGCAAGTCCGCAGTGTGTTGTGCAAACACGTCGCGGTTTTGCATTTTAATCTACGCCGAATTATTTCAAAGTTTATATGCTAAAGGTTGAAAATTTCGCCTCATCTATTCAAATTGTGAATTTTTTCATTTTTTTTTTGCCAATTTCAGACAGCGAAGAAGACTCGAGAAGCCGTAGCAACGCTGAGATTGATAATGCCCATTTGAATATTAATTCGCAAGTTCCCGATCGAAGATCGTCGCAAATCGAGGAGATTGTAAAAACGCGGAATTCAGGTTTTGAAACGAAAAATGCCATTTTCAGAAATCATTGTTGGAAGAGGAAGAGGAGAAGCCATTGGACATGACATGGCCGTCAACATGGCCCAAGCGGTTCACCTATGTTTTATTGGCTCCGGTCTTGGTACCAATGTGGGTAACAATTCCCGATGTTCGAAGAAATGTAAGAAAATAATTTGCAAAATCAAATATATGTATAATTTTTTTTTCAAAGGAAAATCGCCGTTTTTACCCGGTGACATTTGTAGTGTCGATCCTGTGGATCGCGTTTTTCTCCTATCTCATGGTTTGGTGGGCGAACACAATTGGCGAGACGTTTGTGATTCCCACCGAAATTATTGGCTTGACAATTCTCGCCGCTGGTACAAGTATTCCCGATTTGATTACAAGGTATTCTTATTAATATTATTTGATTTTTTTTTAAATTAATGGTCCCTGATTTAGTGTAATTGTTGCCCGAAAGGGTCTCGGCGATATGGCGGTGAGCAGCAGTGTCGGCAGCAATATATTCGACGTGTGCGTTGGGTTCGTTCAATGATCAACCCGAAAACAAAACGTTTTATATCAAAAATTTGAGATTGCCGATCCCTTGGCTTCTCTACTTCATCATGGAATTCGTCGCGAGACCCGGCGAGCCGCTAACCCCAATATCCGTGAGCAGGTTATCTTTTTTTTTTCGGCGCCAACTTTTTTCAACCAACTTTTTCAGCAAAGGACTCCTCTGCTCGGTCGGCATGCTATTCGTGATGCTCGTCGTCCTCGTCGGCGCCATTTTCCTATCCGGCTGGAAAATGAACAAAATCTTTGGAATCCTCATGATATTATCCTATATATTTTTCTGCGCGTTCTCCGTAGCCCTCGAAATGGACACCCTCATATGCCCATTGAATATATGTTAGTTTTCACATCTTTATTGTTTCATTACGGGTTTCAAACAATTTTTCCCCTTCGTCGTCTTCATCATTTATTCATAATAAAACCTCGATCTCATCGCCAAGAGCCGTCGTCTCGTTCAATGTATGGGTCTCGGTGCGATTTTGCGTTGTCAAACGGGCGGCGCGTGTGGTTGAATGCGTTTCGTCGTCATCAATTTCGGCGGAATTGAACGTTCGCTCAACCTGTAATTGAGAAAATAAAAGAGAATTCAAAATTCGCCGAAAACCAAATGACCTCATCTTTTGTCCAGACCTTCTGCGTGTGCTCCGGCTCCGCATTCCAGCCGCCAGTTTTTTGAGGGCTGAAAATATTGATCGCTATGAGAACCAAACGATTGCCATCGTCTCTCACTGTATCACATTTCCGTTTCCATTGTTCTGCGGAACATTGCAGAAATTCGTGTTGCAGCAGCACAATGAGATCGGAATGCCTTTGAAATTCGTCGAGATACACTTATTCTGGGCGAACTGAAACGAATCGAGCTTGTTTGGGTGATTTCTAGAGCCACTGGAAAAATGAACCATGCATCTCCACATGCTGCATCCAGCCTTCATCACGTCGATCAACACATTTGTTGAAGCTGTCATATTATAGCAATAGGCGGCGGAATTGTCGCAGCGAATCGTCGCCGTGCCCACATTCGTACCTTGAATCAATTTTAGGCCCTAAAATAATCGAGAGAATAAAATTTGGGTTTGCGACAACATCATTTTGACTTACATTATAACATTCAATTGAAAATACTTGTGGAAAACAAATAATAGCGAAAATTGTGAATAATAGTGGGCGCGACATGACGAAAACCTGAAATTCGACAATCTGAAATAATTTTTTTGGTCAGTCAAAGAACGAAACACTGGGATTGATAATAGTTTGACCTTCTTCTTTCGATTGATGTCTCTTTTGACCACGTCACAACGAAAGCAGTGAAAACGGTGTAGTATTGTTTATGATTCGTTTAGTTTATAAAATCGGAGAAGCGATTCGATGAAACAAAAATTTGAAAACACATTTTAGGTTTGAAATTGTGAAATTAGATACGGTAAATGCAAAAAATTTGTGTAAACATTGAATTTGACGAACAATGAATAATCAAAAAGTTTCAATTTGCATAAAAATGTTATTTTTATCGATTAAATGTCAGTTGACTTTAGAAAAATGAAATATTCTTGCCAAAATCTTCCAATTTCCTTGAAACTTGCTTATTTTATTATTTATTTTTCTTGTCTTTGACTCATATTTCAAAAAACAAAGGTCTGGCAACTTTTTAGCACAACTATAAGAAATTGTAAAAGTTTGCGCATTTTCACGGCGTTTCGAATTGTTTTAAATCTCATCTAAATTGTTTTCGGTTTTTTTTTTTGAATAAATATGTTCAAATTTAATTAAATAATTTTCATTTTGCACTTTTCAAGTCCACTCCAAGTTTCCAATATTCAAGTGTTTTGCATCACCAAAATTTTTCAAATTGCTCATTTTTCGCGCCGGCGTCAACGCAATGACGTTTTTCGCGTGCGTGCATGAGTTTCTTTTGCTTCTTCTCCGTTTTCTGCATTCGCTCTCAAAAAAAAATCGTACGTCGCCGATTTTTCGCGAAGATTTGCAAAAAAAAAAATTATTTTCAGATAATGTCAGACAACGATGGCATCAATTTAGGACCACCGCCAAACGAAACACGTCAGATTATTAATCATTTCGAAAAGAAAATGCATGAAACAAACTTTTTGCAGTGTCTGGCGATGACGCAGAGACATCTAATGACTCAATCGAATCGGACCAACCATTTTTGGTATTTTAAAATTAGTCGAAAGCCTAGTAGAAGTTCTATATAACATTTAGTGTGATGAAATGTTCACCAATTTCGAGCCTGGCGTCGATCATGATTTCGAGGAGTACAGTGATGCCGTTGATATCGATCCCTTTATTGAAAATATTGACAAATACAATGTTGAATCTGTCAAGGTTGGCTGAAATGATCTGAAATCGACGATTATTATCTCAGGAATTACTTCAGGCATTCTTGCCTAGCGTTTTGGCATCCGATGGATTGAAATTGAGGGATGGATTCACTGGCGACGAAATTAACTATCATATCATGTAATTAAAGAGTCATGTTAATTGGATAATTCCAAAAAATGATGGTTTATAGTTCATTGTTCAAATTTGATTTGAAATTTGTCGTTGACACCCTTCTTGGAGAATGTAACAATCCGAATCCCCAATCAAATGCAAGTTTTTTGATGGAATATTTTAGTATAGTTTTTTTTTGTTGATTTCAGACGGATCTTGCGCACACACTTGTCGAAAAGGGTTGGCTGAAATTCGACAAAAATCGATTCTTGTAGGAATTCTGTGTCAGAAGTTTGCTAATTGTTTCTCTTTCGCATTTTCAGTCCAATCATTCCCAAAGAGGCCGAAGAAATTGTCACGCATATTATTTCTGGCGCCGAAGCCGAGTAATTTGATATGCGATTTTAAAGAATTGCACTGAAAGTGTTTCAGAGCGCGCTATGAGAAAATGTATTCGGCGGATAAGGAGACATTCAAGGACAAGGAGAGCGAGATTCGAGCGATGCATGTAAAAATCATTAAAAAAAAAAGAATTTTGCGATTAATATAGAACAATTTGAACATTTCAGACATACAATTTCCTCTTAAAATTTATCAGCATCATCCAGATGAAAGAAAAGAATGAAAAGGTTTTGGTTGGGAAATGTTTCAACTCTGCAATTCAATAATTTCAGATCACCTATCAATCATTGATCGACAATTACAAATTGATGGTGAATGGAGAAGTTTGCCAGGATTTGTACGCCATGATGAACCCATTGCTGCATTTCGACAAAAATCCCGAATTGAAGCGCGAGGTTTTGAAGGCGTACTTTTTTTTTGCGGAGCCCAACTCTTGATGTTTTCAGTGGTACCATTATTATACGAATCGCGCATCGTTGAAGAAGTTTGTGAGCATGACGCAGTTTTCTGGAATTCAAGTGTTCACCGATGACAACAATTTGCAGATTATCACGTTGCGAAGTAAAATTTCTTTTGTTTTTTTTTTCCGATTGCGAAAACGTGGAATATCGTGGCAATGGGGACTCATTTTCAGAAACGGCGCAGCCTTTCAAAAAAGAGGATTTCGAGCGAATCGTGTCGAGCGGAAATTCGACGGACGGCGAGGAGAACGCCGGACGATACATGAGGCCGAAGAAGTATCGCGAGGCGGATCCGAATTTCAGGCCGACAAATATTGAGCTCGATGAGGATACGTTCAATTGTCAAAAGCCGACGACGATCAAACCGAAGTTTGCGAGGACTGACGATTGGGGAGCGCCGCCGATTCCGAACAGCGGATTTGGGGGGCCACCGATCGATCCGGACGAAGTGAGTATTTGAAAATGATTAATGGTTGACGAATGCTTGATCTAGAGCCGACACCGCGGCGAATGGGTTGATCGCGCGCACACCGGACACGCTGTGATTGAATCGGAAAGCGAGGCGAGCAGCATCGATTCGGAAGGCGAATATTCCGATGATGATGAGAATGTGAAGCGGCAGAAGCGTGCCGAGCAGGAAAGGCGTCGAATAGAGAAAGAGCGTCGACGGATGGAGCGCGAAGCGAATCGCAAAGCCGAACAGCCGCGAGAATTCCAATCGACGTTCGATGCGTCGCCGAAAAAAGTTGTCCGGAAACCATCGTTCGATGATGATGTTGATGATGTTATCGGCTCAGTGAAATCGTCAAACAAATGCCGTCCGAGTGTCTCGAAGCTTCCAGTCACAATGCTCGAGAATGATGGTGTAAGAATTTGACATTATATCATCGATATAATGAGTGTATTGATTTTATTTAGATCAATGAAACGCGAAGGAGCTATGCGCCGCGAACGAATGACGATGAGAAGCGAAGGAAGTTTGAAGAAGAGGAACGAGAAATTATGCGTAGAAACAACCAGGTATTGTAATCAATGGTCCCTAGAAATATTGTATTGAGCTTGTATCGCATTTTGTGGCATTTTGAGCAAAATTGGAAATTGTTATTGTTTTTTTTCTCACTAATCTCCAAAAAAAAAACAAATTGAACAATGAAAAAGTCGAATCAAATGGTTTCTCTGATATTTAGGCGGTTCGAAAATTTGTTCGAGTACGGTAGTCTTGTGCCCTGCGCATTTTTTTTTCTTTTTTTTTTGAAACAAACTATCGCGCTGACTTGGCTAAATGTCAGAAAAGGTCTCGAGACACGCTCGTTTATGTACTCCGCACGGACAATGCAGTGTTTAATTAAATAGCGTAAAAATCCAGAAAAAATGGAACCTTGACAAGTATTGATTTTGGTTTTTTTTTGTAGAGAAGACATCTTGAGCAATCGACGAGCCAAGATGATGGTGGAATGACGGAAGAGGAGAAACGATTGCTGCACAAGCAGAAGGTGATATCGGAAGAGGAATCGGAGCGTCTTCGTGCCCAGTTGAAACAGGATGAGGAGTTGGCGCGGCGACTCGCGATGGAAGAGGATGAGCAATTGCGACGTGACGCGCGAGTGTACACGACAAATATGTGAGTGTTGGACTCTAGTCGAGTCCGATGATTGATTGAGATTGCAGACCGCGGCCGGTGAATGTGCCGAAATCGCAATTTGGCAGCAACTATTCAATTGGGTTGGCGCGTTGTTAAATATGTCGAGAAAACTCAAAGTTTTGTTATTTTTTTTTTCTAGAATGCCGCCGGAGAGCCATCGAAATGCTCCGACAACGAGCTATATGCCGAAGCCGAGTCCGACTTCAATGTAACTATTGAATTATTTCTTGAATATTTGTTCTGTTATTTTTGTTTTGCTCTCGTTCAGGTATGCGCCACTTTTGAAGCCGAATATGTATGTACCTCCGGGCGAGCGTTTCCATGCGCCGATGCCATCACCATATCCGGAATATCATGTGCGATTTTCAGAATTATTCAAACTGATCGTTTTTTATTTTTGAAATTTTCAGCCGGTTCGGAGCAATCACACAGTGCCGCCGAACGCTTATCCGAACCAGTGAGCAAAAAAAAATCCAAATTTTTTTTTGAAAAAAATGCTGAATTTTGCTTTTAGGACATTTTCAACAGTTCCGTCGCGTTGGTCGCCGCCGGAATCCGATCGTGGAGGTTTGATTCGAAAAACGTGAATTGCGATTATAAGTTGTTCGTTGATTTTAGAATACGCCCATCCGTATGCTGGTCTTGGAACGACAAGGAAATTGAATGAAACGTTTGTTATTAGTTTTTCTGTTTTTTTTCTTGTTCTAAATTGAATTTGTTAAGTGAGTTTTAGCATTCTTTCAGAGCCGCCTCGTCTTATTCGACTCGCCCGCTGCCGGTTTGTTTAAATTGTTTTTTTTTTCAAGACAAATTGTGTTGGATTTTTGTTGTAGGCTGAAGAAGTGGTTCGAAATCGCATTCTATTCTTGTTGCGAGAATGGCGAAATGATGGTGTTATTGTAACGGTACGCGATTTTGAAAAAAATTGTTTGAAAGAAGTGGGCGATGAAATTTTGGTTCAGGGGACATATCTTGAAAAAAACTACACATTTGCACGCAACACGCCTATCGATCTATTGGCGTTTGTGCGGAATTTCATGACGCACGATGTGGTCCTTCAGCCGATCGAAACCGGCGCTGGAACGGACGTGAGAATTCGTTTCTCGTCTTCATTCAATAATCTCGAATATTTTCAGTTCGTCATCCATTTGAAGGAATGAGCCGACGAAATCAGGGGGAATGTTTTAATTTTTTGTTAAAATCCAAATTGTTATTATGACTTGTCCCATGAAATTTTGAAATGCTTTTTGTGAAAAATTGAATATTTTTTTCCTCTTCCTCTTCTTGTTGAGTATGGTGTTTTTTTGGTTTTATGAATTTGGGAAATAAACGCGTTTTGTAGAAGAAATTGGGATTTTGTTGAGTTTTCTCGAAATTCCAAGGTGATTTTGCCTTGATTTATACTTTTCCTTGTGTGTGCGTTAAAAAAAATTTTTTTTTTGTATAATAATAGTCTGCCTTCCGAAAATGTGTAGTAGAAATAAATAATTCATTAATGCGAACGCGCAAATTAATAGCCCGGTGGGGTTCTTGGCGTTGGGCAATGGAAGCAGTCGCCGTTGGGTCCCTTGGATCCGATTGGACCTTGACCTCCGGCCTCGCCCTTGCGTCCGGCGCGTCCCTTGCGTCCCTTGTCTCCCGGTGGTCCTTGAACACCTGGATGAACCGATCCGGGCACTCCTTTTGGTCCGCGCTCGCCTTTGCGTCCTTGTGGTCCTGGCGCTCCCGGTGGTCCTGGTGGTCCGTTGACCTGTAGGTATGATGAATGTGTGTGTGTGAAATTTTTGAGGAACGCCTCGAAAACTTACATTGATGACGCGACCGTCCTCGCCCTTCTTTCCCGGTGGTCCTTGTGGTCCTGGTTCGCCCTGGGTGCCGGCGGGTCCCGCCATTCCCGGCTCGCCGCGTCTTCCGTCGATTCCTGAGAGTCCCGGCGAACCGCGTGGTCCTTGTGGTCCCTTGGCTCCTGGCGCTCCGACTGGTCCCTGTGGTCCCGGTGGGCAGATGACGCATGGCTCGGATTGGAGGCCGTCGGATGGCGCGACACCGCCGTCCTTTCCGTGTTGACCGTCGTGTCCGGCCTCGCCGTCGTTACCGTCCTTTCCGTCGTCACCTGGCGGTCCCGGTGGTCCGGCTTTTCCTTGCTGGCAAGTGCAGCACTGTGGTTCGGGCTCGGCGTTGACAACGGGTCCGTAGCCGTTGGAAGCTGGCGCGCTGTAGGCGTTGTCGGAAGCGCCGCCGTATCCACCAGCTCCACCGCCGACTCCCGAATCTTGAACCCACGATCCGAACTTCCAGGCGCGTTTGACGCGATTGACCGGAGCGATCTGGTACATTTGGACGAGCATGTCGCGAGATCGCATCTAAATTTTGATGTTATACCGTAGTGGAATATCAACGTCGCCGCAATACCATGCAGAATCCAGTCTCCATGTTGATCTCGCTCTGAAGACCCTGAACGTAGGTGTACAACAGTGGAAGTGTCACCATGGCGGTGACAACGGCGGCCGTCGAAACCGCGACGGCGGTGAACGCCACCTTACGCATATAGCTGAAAATAGATTATAGATTGGCAACGAAGGTTGGGTGGGGGGTTCTTACCGGTGCTGATCGCTTTCCTTGAGGTCCATCATGCAGACTGGCGACGGGCGCAACGTTCGCCGCTTTTATAGCAATATTCCTATCAGGGTCATCATTGTTACCGTAGTCGCCTCCTCCCCGAATATGCAAATGCGTCGCGGAGATAAGAATCCAGATTTGATCGAGTATAAGTGCACCGGTTGAATTATACATATTATTGAATATATATAAATAGGTCATTCAAGTGTGAGGCGATTTGATAATGAATGATGGCGAAAAATTCGGTAGAATTTCAAATAAATTACAGTTATATGTTTTTTTTTGGTGAGGGTTATCTATGAGCTGATAAGTGGGAAGGCAATTCGCTTATTTGGTTGCTATTTGCACAATACTGAAATTTTTATTTTGTTTTGAGCGAATTTATTATAGAATGTCGCCGCGCGATTTGGAGCCGGCGCCGACGCCGAATTTGTCGTGGACGAAATTGATGCAGCACTCGAGGAATAGTCGAAACGAGATTCGCGCGGCGCTTCATCAGAACTTCACCAAATGGTCGCTGGTCGCCACCGAGCACGGGTGTAAAATGTGAATGGTGTCTTCTTGGTGGCGTTTCGAATGTTGGCGTTTGTTTTTGTTTTCAGGTTTGCCCTCGGTACACCGGCAAACTCGTCTAGTCAAACCCTACTCGCCGTCGACATCCCGTTGGCGCAACTCGATCAGATCGCCGGCGAGTCGGGACCGAATATGAAACCGGCGACGCTTTGCCTTCAGCCGGTTTTCAAGAACGATCCGTTTAGGTTTGAAAAAACCGTCAAGAAAAAGAAAAGAACAATCATTTTTGTCTCAGAAACTCGATGCCTTCTCTAGAATTCTCATTGATGTGCGAACGCCAGCGATCGTCGGTGGTTCACGGTGTGACCGACTACAGCGTTCAAAGCGGAAACATTCTGATGATTGGCGGGGAGCAGATATTCAAGTGGGGGCCATTCATTTTTTTTTTTCTTTAAAATGATTCTGTTTCCAGATACTCGCCGTCTCGCGAGCTGTTGTGTCCGATCAATTTGAATCTCAATGATCAGCAAGACGATGAGCGAATGGAGGAGGAGCATCCGATTGATGTTTCGCCGCCCAAATCGGGCTACATCTCGGATGCCAAAATTTGTCCAGTCGATTCGAGATATGTGGCGTATGTGCTCAACAAGCAGGTGCTCTTTTTTTTCTCGCTTCTTCTCATCGTTTTTTAAAGGTGCATATCGAAAAAGACGGCACAATTATCTATGCAACGAAATATGAGGCGAACGTGAGCAACGGTGTGCCGTCGTATATTTGTCTTGAAGAGCTCGAGCGATTCGAAGGGATTTGGTGGAGTGCGAAAGAGAAACGGTGGGCGCGCCTTTAAAAGACCACCTCGATTATTATTTGTTTGTTGCGATATGCGAAAATTGACAAAATGCCAAAGGTCTTGGGGCGAATTGAAGATGGACACTTCAATGAACTCTTTGCGTTTTGGAAAAAAAGTGAAAAGAATAAACGATTCTAGAAAGTAATGGAAAAAATATGATGGTTTTAATCATTTTTGGCATTTGGACAATTTTTCGCAAAAAAAAACCGCATAATTGAAATCGCAAATTTTTTGATTTTATCATTTCAAAAAAAATGAGCCCAAAAAAATGAGTTGTGGACCTTCGCACTTTTTCGATTCGTTGATTCAAATTCTAATTGAAGCATCGAGAATTTGGGTACTGTAGTACGAATATAGTGAATCAGGGCGCTCGTTTTTTTTTCGCGAATGTAATAATAATTAGGCTGCTCTACGAGCGTGTCGATGAGTCGATGGTCGCCGAAGCGCAATTCTGTATGAACGGCAACAAGCCGGAGCCGGCGATGAAGTACCCGCGTGTTGGGACGACGAACGCGCGCAGCACACTCCGCCAACTGATAATTCACGACGACGATGATATTTTGAGTTTTGCGTCAACAAAATTGTATTGAACACTTTTGCGATTTGCAGGTCTACGATGTGCCATTGAAGCGCGACTTACACCAAATTCTGCCGAGTATGGAATACATCACGAGGGCGGGATTCTTCTCCGACGGCAAAACGTTGGATTAGTTGATTTTGGGGAATTCAATTTTTGAGACACGCATGAATTGTAGGATATATGTTCAAATGATGTCGCGGCAACAGCATGAATGCGCTCTCATTTTGGTGCCCGAATGGGATTTTGATCTACCGCCGATGGTGGTTTTCGGCAAAAATGTGAAATGTAGATGGTGTTGAGCGGCAATCACAAAAAAAAACCCCCGAAATTATAGGCTCAAATAGTATTGATTATGATTTTGGGACATGGTGTGCTCAATCGTCGGCCGCGTTCGACATGCCGACGTCGCCGCTGCCGCCGCCGACGCGACTCAAACCGGGCGCTCTGCGGACGACGGTGCCGATTCACAAAATCAACTCGGAACACTGGATAAATGTTGGCGATCGTGCTTCGGCCGACTCAAACACGGTGTTGATTGATTATTGCGTTTGTTCAGGTACATAACGCCACTGTGCCATTGCCAATCGAGAACGACAATGAGCCGATTTATCAATTTATTTATTGCCGCGAGACTCGTTTTGGTAGCTGCCTAACGCATTTGTCGGTGACACTGAACCAGCAGTAGGCGATTTCGAATTGACGACGAGAAAATGAAATGCTGTTTTTAGTGGATCGCCGTGCAATGTTGTGGAAAGTGAGCTGATGAAGAGGAACCACTCGATATGCAAATCGATTCAAGCGAAAATCGATGAGAAGCGGAAGCTTGTCTATTTTGTCGCGAACGAATCGCATCCGATTGAATGGAACGTGTGCGTTTCGAGCTACGCGGCGAACCATCTCGCCTATCCGATGACGAAGCGTCTCACCGAGGCTGACATGTCGTTTAGGTTTTTTCACGCGTTTCTCGTTTTTTTTGTTTTGCATTCAATTTTGCTCAGATTCGAGCGCGCCAATTCGAATTTGGCCGTCGAGTTTGACATTGGATTCGTTTGTTGGATGACGTCGCAAAAAGTGCCGCCGGTGTGTCGATTCTATCGGTTTCGGCACACCGACGTGCTTCCCGACGCCGTGTTTGCCGCTCAAGTGACGGTGCCCGGTTTCGCGATGGTGCCGGAATTGAACGTCGACTTTCCGGAGATTGTCGAATACACGTCACCGTGAGATCGCTTTGTGTATTTTTTTAATGTGAAATTTGTCCAGAAAAACCGGATTCACTCACTTTGGGATGATAATGAAGCCGAGCAATTTTGATGCGACGAAAAAATATCCCGTGCTTCAATACGTTTATGGTGGTCCCGGAATTCAAGTGATTCATAATGATTTTTGCTCGTCAGCCGCCAATTGTTGGGTACCAAAAATTGACGAGATATCGCATTTTTCAGATGGCTTCCTTTTATAAAATTCACCCGACTCGGATATATAGTGGTGGTTTTGGATAATCGAGGTTCGGCGAATCGCGGCATCGAATTTGAGGCCCAAATATCGCGGAAATTGGTATTCGAGACGCTGGCCTACCATTTTCTTTTTGTTCAACTAATAATCAATCGTGTTTTAGGGATATGCGGAAGTCGATGATCAAATCGAGGGATTGCACATTCTTGCCGAGCACAGCGGCGGCATAATGGATTTGTCGCGAGTGGTCGTTCAAGGTTGGTCGTACGGCGGATTCATGTCGTTGTTGCTGCTCGCTGGAAATGGTCATGTGAGTGTGCTTTCATCTTGTTGCGAGTATTGTCGTTACGACTACGTGTTGGTGGGCGAAGAGGTCTTGGCGCGATGTGCTGCGTCTTTAAAGGGGGGGGGGCTGGGATGGACCTCAAAAAAAATAATATAGATAGGAAATAGAAAAAAAATGAAAAGTTTACGTTTAACGATTGCGATGTCGACAATGTTTGTGTATTGTCGGCAAATAAAATGCACAAGTCCGCAATTATTTCAATTTCGCTTATTTTCGATTATCTTTGGCATTTATTCATCGGTACCCTTAATTGGTAACTCGAAGACGTCGATACTCGATAAAATGAGCATTCAGAAGTTCTAAATCACGTGAAAGTTACACGTTTCATACTAGTCGTCAAATAAAATGCATTGGGTGTAAACACGCGACATGCTCATTTATGAAATTTCCGAAGTTCATTTATTGTGTTAGATAATAAAAAATTACATTTCAAAAAAAAGTTGAACTTCTTAATGAAGCTGAAGTTGATGTTGCGGACTTGTGCATTTTATTTGACAACAATACGCATGTTATTGACATCGCGAACATTTTGTAGCGAAATTTTCCAAAAAAAAACCTAATTGTTGAGCTGTTCGGAATGGACGGATCGCTGAAATTTTCGGTCCACTCCGATCCGTTTAAATTGGCCTATTCAATTTTTAGATTTATCGCGGCGCGATCGCCGGTGGAGCAGTGACTGATTGGAGATTGTACGACACGGCGTATACTGAAAGATATCTTGGATATCCGGTGTACAGCGAGATTTATTATAAGAGCTCGGTATTGCGATTAGCTGATAGTCTACCTGATGAGTGGGATTCGTTATTGCTATAAGAATAAGGCCGAATATTTTTCAGACCGAATCGCCTTCTTTTGATTCACGGACTAATGGATGAGAATGTTCATTTTTCGCATTTGTGCGCGTTGGTCGACACGTGCATCAGAAAAGGAAAACCCTACGATCTACTGGTTTGAAGGAGCCCCCCGGTTTTTTTTTGCCAAAGATTCCATTTTTCGGTTTTAGGTGTTCCCTAATGAACGTCATGGAATTCGAAACGCCGATGCGGCGGCGTACCTTGACGCGAAAATGATGTATTTTATGCAGAAAGCGCTGAATGAGCCGATTGAGCGTCCGATCACCACCAACACCACCACCACTGCGACAATTCCGAATTGGTAAAATGATTTCGTACCGGCTCACGATATTAGAACATGGTTGCTTTGTATTATTAGAAGCCATTTTTTTTTGTATTACTGTACTATGGAAACGAGGCGTTTCGAGTTCACCGAATAAAATCACGATTATAACTGTATCAGTAGATGTTATTATTTGCCAAAATGACTCATATACATGTAAAACAGGTCAACTGGGACCACGGATCGCATTGAAGCACACGACATAGTGTAAAAATGCATGGAAAATCACAGTTATTAGATGGGGAGGGGGTAATTTTAAAGTAATTTAGTTGTCGAGATGAGAAGAACATGTCAGAAATATAAAGATCACAATGAAAGGGCGTGTTTTTCGTGTGGCACAAATATGACAAAACCTAAGGAATATACCGGTAGATCATTGATTGTTTAGTAACTTGATTTGGCTCTCGTAGATCACATCGTTGAGTTTTTTCTGGAGATGAAGCGCCTCGCCGCGATTCGTTTCTTCGCAAAGTCTGCAAATGCGCCGATGCACGTTTTTTTTTGCTTGAATAGATTTGCGAAAAACGAACCGTCTTAGTTGGGCGGCGACACACGCGCCGAATAGATCAAACTCGTCCTGAGCGGCCGCCGTCGTCGTCGATCGCCGAATGTTGTACGGCTCGAAATGGGCGCCGCTCGGCGAATTGCGTTTGATCAACGGCTTGCATACGCGCTTCCGACGCGGCTCATCGTCGTCGTTGTCGACGACGACGGCCGGCGGCGCGTTGCCGTTGGTGTGCGACGAGTGGCCGTTGGGCGGCGTGAACGGCGGCTTCGCGCATATCGTCTCGGTGCTGCACGGCGCGCCGGCGACCTGCGGCATCGGCAGCGACGGCGACGGCGGTGAAACGCTTTGCAGACCCTGCTGCTTGCTTTCGTAGCTCTGAAGAAAGTCTCGTATGGAATGAGCGATTTTTTTTTGTTTTACTACTCTAATTTCATTTTTTTGGAATAAAACGAATAATTATGGTAACCGAAAAAATTTTTTTTCCTTCAAAAATTGAATTCTAGATTTGAAAATGAGTGCGGCAATCAATTCTAGAATATATTTTGGTTACTTTTTACGGAATTAGTCATGCAATAAAAAATATATGAATAATATAATACATTTTTTTACAATAAAAAGTGCGCATTTAATGTAATTTTAGAATTCTTCGCAAAAATGAGCATTTCGGTCCAAAAAAAATTGTCAAATGATGGGACCACGATAAAATAAATATTGAAAATTTTGGTTGTATAAAGAAAATCACCTGTGAGAACATTTGCAACATCTGCTCCTCGCTTGATGGAGCGCTATGCGAATTATGCTCATAATGCATTTGGTGCTGAATGTCGCCTTTGATATGCATTCTTCCATTATCGTACCTAAAACACCAAAAAAAGATTGTTTGAGACGAGAAACCTTGCGTACTGCGGATTATCATTGTGTAGCTGGACTAGGTCGAACTCATTCTGATCGACAATTCCTTCACTGTGAAGGCGTTTCGTCTCCTTCTCGTCGAGAAACGACAACATTCGATAGAATTTCCACGTCGGCTCCTTCGTCGGATCCTCCGAGTATTTGCCCTCGGTGAGCCATCGTAATTTGCGAACAAACGTGTCTTTCAGATTCTTCCATTGCGATCGAACGTCTTCGCCTAGAATAATTAATAGCTTCAATTGGAATTCGCGAATTCGACGGGATCGTTGAAAACATACTGCTGAACTTGGTGCCCATTGGGTACATCGCATTGAGATCCTCGACGACTTCCTGAATCGCGTCATTCTTCGCATTCCGATAATTGTTGTCGGTGGCGTAATTTTTGTCCCAAATGATTGGGCGGCTTCGTATTGCGGATATCAGAAACTGGCGAGATGGATCAGTCCATAGCGCCATGATACATAGAAACACCCTGCAAAAAAAAACGGCGACGTTTTGATTGGACGAAATAATCGACAAAAAAATATATAAGTGCGTTCACACAATTAATGAAGAAAGTTTGCAGCGGTGCAATAAAGTTTCAACTGCTGACCCGACAAATATTTATCAGCGAAATAATAATTTGAACGTCTAGAAATTTGTGAAAACTCAATGAAATCGGGAATTTGGGGTCGAGACGGTGCACAATTTTTGAAATATTCGTCCAGCCGGCTTAAAACTGTGAATGGAGGGGCCTGTGCGGTGCCGCGACGCGTGCGTGTCGCGTTTCGCGTGTCGCTTCTGCGTCTCTTGTCGCCGTCGCGGTCTCTAGCGCGACGACGATGTCTCGCGCACTCCACCGCCGCGTGCGCTATCTCGTCGACGAGCCTCCGCGTTTCGTGCGCTCTCTCGTCGACGACGTCTCGCGAATCGTGCGTTCGCGACTCGCCCCGTCACTCAGACCCCCCCCCCGGCGGTTGCCCAGCTTTTTTTGGTTGCCGAGATTCGGAGGAACGCAATTCCAAAAAAAAAAAATCATGTTTTTGCCGTATTCGTATATGAATTTTTGAGCGCAACGTTCGACTCCAAATTTTCAGCAAAATTTTATCAATTTGAACAAAGGAAAAACTATTTAAAATACGAATATGTGTATGTACATTATACTACGCACAACTGCCAATTATTTACGCCGACATTCTTCGACGCATAAAATTGGCTATGTCAAATTCTCACCTTTATATTAAATGATTCGTTTAGTATATGAAGATGGTGGGATGAATCTCTAAAATATAAGCCTGACCGAAAAAAAAATCGCCATTTATTGAGAAGCCACTGTCGGGAAGGAATTCTCTGAAAGTGACTACAAAATTCATAAAAAATACACAAACTCGCGTGATTTTAAATATTTGCGTGTACGTTAAAATGCAAATCCGCAGTGTCATTGCGGCGTGATTGCACAATTGCATCTTAATTTGCGCCAAATATCAAAAGTCACAATTTCGTGGGAATAAGAGAAGTAATTCGTGAGTAATCATTACTCACAATTTCAAAAAAAAAAACTAATAGTAGGTTATTTGCCGCACTTTCAGCTTTTCCCAGAATTGTGCCGCATTTGCATTTTTTGGTTTTTAAAATTGTCGACGCGGAATAAGCGAATAAGAGCCTGGACTGCAACTATTAACGTCGGTGATCGAAGTGGATAAATACAGTGAAAACATCTGGAAACGGGATTGTAATTATTAATAAATTTGCAATAATCATTGAAGAGTTTTTGCATTCGAGGGGTATTATTATCAAACATAGCTCAGGTAAATGAAAATCAATCGGGTTCGAAAATAATTTCGTTTTCAATCTAATTCGAATGTAAATTAATCTGTTCCGAATTATTCCAAAATTTCGATCGAATTCAATATCAACCATTGAAATTGAGAAATAAATCAATCCATTTCGAAGATTTTTGAATCGAAACCAAAATTTAAAATCGAATTTAAGCGTTTTCTTAATTGAATTTGAATTATTTTTCAATCGAGACAGGTTAATTTATATTTTATTTTTTTTCGAATCCGATTGATTTTCATTTACCAGAGTCGAAGGTTATGAAGTACTCGGACCCGTCAAGTGACAGCGAGTCCGACTACCAGTCAGTGGTGCAGCCGGAGGCGGTCGACTCTGGTAACTCAAAACCAATCGGATCCGACAAAATTCGGCCCCAGAATCAACTTATCCGATTGGAAATTCTACGGATAAGATTGGAAATTTTTCGGATTCGATTCGTTTTTTTGGATTTTTCGGATCCGATTCGTTTTTCTTCGAATCCGATTGGTAAATATTCGAATCCGTTTTGTTTTAATATTTTAATTCGAATCGGATTCGACAAATAACCAATCTTATTCGTAGAAATACTAATTGAATCCGGCAAGGTTAATTTCAGAGCCGAATTTTGTCGAATCCGATTGGTTTTGAGTTACCAGAGTGGTAATTCTACAGATAAGATTGGTTATTTGTCGAATCCGATTCGAATTGAAATATTAAAACAAATCGGGTTCGACAAATTACCAATCGGATACGAAAATACCCAAAAAAAAATGAATCGGATCCGACAATTTTCCAATCTTATACGTAGATTTTCCAATCGGATAAGGTTGATTCCGGAGTCGAATTTTGTCGGATCCGATTGGTTTTGAGTTACCAGAGGAGGCCCAGCTCTCTTCCATCATCCACTCGTCCAACGGCCTTTTTTTTTAGCACACGTGAGCCGATCGCCGATGAACACGCTACAATATCGCAAATAAGTGCTTGTTTCGTCGTGAGACCCAAAAAATGTTAATTAAACGAACCCCCAGCCCCCTTCTAATTTGATTTGTATAGATGCACACAAGTTTTCTTTAATACGAGCTTCACGCACACATTGTTTTTCTCAGAAAAAAAAAACTATTTAACATAACGAATTGGGGAAATGAAAAATGAATGCTGAAAAAAGAAAAAAATTGAAAATATTAATGCAAGAGTTGAATAATTATGACGAGCGGGATTATAAAGATCCAATGGAAATGATGGAATTTTGGAAATTTTCAATTTTTTCGGACTCCCCGATCACTAGGCTTTTTAAAAAGTCTCAAGATCGACACAGAGATGGATATTTTTTTCTGATTTTGAGATTCTCAGAATTCTAATCAACGAAAACCATTTGAACCACATCTAACCAATTTGTGAATGGTACTTAAAAATCGAGGTGTTTGGAAATTAATGAAAATGGGGGATTTGATAGCGAAAAATCGGTTTATAATTTCAATGTTTGTACCAAAATAACAGAAATCAGTAGTTTTTTTTTAATTTTCCGAATTACATAATATATGAGAAAATCAACTACAGGGTGTCATTTAAGTTCCCGCACAACTATGAAGACGTATATTTCTGAAACTAAAAGTCCAAATCAAACGAGACTCGAAATATTTTTTATCTATAGTACAACAAATAATTATCTATTAACTCTTTTCGATTCGGCCTCTTTTCGCAGCTATGACTTCGCGGAGACGCTTCGGGTTGGATTCGACTGTGGTACGCAGGTATTCGATGGAAAGATTGTCCCATTCCGCCAGTAATGTCTTCTTCAGAGTCTCTACATTTTAGTGGGGTTTTGCGTTGACCTTCTCCTGCAAGACCCCATCACGGAGAAGTCTAGCGGGTTCAGGTCTGGGGAGCAAGCAGGCTATTCGGATGACTTGATGAAGTCGGGAAAATGGGTCTGGCACCACTCCTGAGTAGTTTTGGCAGTAGGGGCGGGTGCTCCGTCCTGTTGAAAGACCCATATCTTCCCACCGAAATGCGTTTGGGCCCAGGGCATCATATGCTTCCCCAAAATGTCCCGAACGTAGACTTCTTTGTTCACTTTCACCACCTGATCCACGAAAACCAGGGGGCACTTCCCGGTTGAGCAGATGGCACCGAAAACCATCACACTGGCAGGATGTGAGGCTGGATGAATTGTTCTTCCTTTCTCAGAAGCTTTCTGGGATGTCTGGGCAAGTACTCAATGGTTTTGTGAGTTGAATGCCGCCTCCACAGTGAACAGCTTCTCGTCGGAGAAGACAGTGGCGAGGTGTTGTCCAGACCGCGTGCGAGCAAAATGTCGTTTTGCTTTTTCGAAGCGTCTCTGCTAGTTGACGGCCGATAGAATTGCCGCTTTTTGGACGCGATATGGGGTCAGTCCAAGCTTCGTTTTGACCATTTGTTCCATAGCGAAGATGCTCATTCCCATGTCTGACGCCATCTTTCTTATGCTCCTGTGCGGTTTTCGCCTGATCCTCGTTTTGACGGCGTTGATCTTCTGAGGAGTGGTTACTGAGACGAGTCTTCCTTGTCTGGGAAGGTCACTGGTCGTATTTAGCTCCTTGAAACGTTTGTTGGTGTCTTAAACCGTTCTACGAGGCACACCGAGGCGTTGAATGATCTCTGTCGGGCGCTCATTTCGCTTATGAAGTTCGATAATGGAAGCGCAATGGATGTTAGCCTTCGCCATTTCTCGGAAACACATCCGAATGAAGTGAAACTTGAAAAGTAAGTAAAATACACCTTATTTAACAAAAATAAATTGTATTGGTGCACGAAAAGTGCGACAGCCAAGCTTTTCATGGCGTCTAACTTTTGTGCGGGAACTTAAATGACACCCTGTAAGTCAATTAATTAGTCGTCAATTTTGTCGAATCCAATTCGTAATGAAAAATTAACAAAACGGATCCGGCAATTTTAAAATCTTATTTGTAGAATTTCCAATCGGATAAAGTTGATTCCGGAGCCAAAATTGGTTTTAAGTTACGAGAGATACTACTATACATTTAATTACCGTCTACGCTGTTTTCTGGTAACGCAAAACCAATCGGATCCGAAAAATTACATATCGGAACCGACAAAATTCGGCTCCGAAATCAACCCGATCCGATTGGTTGGTAATTTAGCGGGTAAGATTTGTAGTTTCTCGGATCGGATTGGTAATTTTTCGGATCGGATTGGTAATTTTTCGGATCGGATTGGTAATTTTTCGGATCGGATTGGTAATTTCTTGGATCCGATTAGTAAATGTTTGGATCCGATCGGAAATTGTTCTGATCAGATTTGTTTAGATAATTCGGATCCGATTCGAAATTCCTCGGATCCGATTCGATTTTTGTATTATTTCCGATTGGTATTGAGTTACCAGAGTTTTATGATGAATTCTGAAGCTCATGCTGCAAGCTTAGAAGAATTCAGCAACGAAAAAAGAAAATCTCGGACCATGAATTCAAACGAATCTCCTTCAAAACCTGTTTCCAGGAATTGAATTCAAGGAGGAGTCAATTAATTGAAAAACTCGATGTCTAATTAATCGGTTATTCTTACACGCCGGAATGCTACATTGTAGCCAGCAGCAATCCAAGCCCCGCCCTGCGATTGTTTGTTTCATGAGGCAAGCGCGCTCTACAGCACTCCAGCGTCGATCG